TTTTATATCGCTGTTATATTCTATTATAGCGCCGATATATTATAGCGTGTCGGTGACATGTCCACCGTGGTCACGTGCTGTGTAACCGTTCCGGACATTGGTTACTCAGATTAGGATTCTACTTGATAAGAGTCCTTGTCTTTCCGGACGTGGCCTTCTGCCTAACGAGTCCGCCTCACTAGTTGTTCAGCTAGCAGGGGTCCGTAACAATGGTGTCCAGTAGTAAGACTGTTCCTTACCTGTAGCTGATTCTATAAGCTGACTTTTATTAACTTAATTAGTCTTATAAGTCTATTTGAACACGATTTTAGTCTCTTTAATAGTGAGGCCGTTAAGGCCGGCCATTTAACAATAAGTCCTTTTTTTCTTAGTATTTTGTCTTTCTAATCTAGCCTGTAATTTATTAACTTCCTGCTCAAGCAAAGCAGCCTGGTTGAAAGTGATTTCATATTCTTTTATAACATAAAATAATATTGCTTTTATCTATAAAGATAGACTAATTATATATTTATAAAGAAGTCTTTTAATAATAGTTTCATGTCTCCGCAACTATCTTATATTTTTAAATATTTTTAATATTATTAATATAATAGAGATACTGCTAGTTAGAATAGGCTTATGGAGCTATATAACCAGCTTACTAAGAATCTTATCTAGCTAGAATAGAACCAATCCTAAAGTCTTAAAGATATTGTATATAGTTGATTTTTTAAAAACAAGAAAACATGTATCTGGATATATATTTAAAAAATCAATCTTATTAATATAATAAATACTCTAATAAATTAATTCTTCTATTAAACTTCTGTATATTTATTTTAATAATATAAAGTAAGTAATATCAAGTAATTAATAAAGATATAAAGAATATAGAGACATATAGATAAAAATAATATTATTTTAGCTATATATATTTTTAAAATTCTGGAGTTAAATAAGAGTTATGTTTATCAAAAATTAGAAGACTATATTATCCAATCCACCAGTCCTTAATAAAAGAAATAAAGTATTTATAAAGCTAATATAAACTAATCTTATTAAAAATTTAATTATTTAGTAATAAATTGATATGTTAATCAGATAGAATAAGATCTTAATATTATATCTTTATATGAATCTTTTTCTTAAAAATCAAGTACAGTACTAATATCATACTAACAGTATTAATATATTTAATTAAGATCATCTATTCGCGGTTGCTAGATTATATAAGAAACAGTTTATCTATACAGTCAGATCTTATGATTACATATACTGTAACTACTATATCTATAATAAAGCCTGTTTTATCAAAGTTTCAGATATCTTTATTAAAAATACTGTATTTCTTTCTTATAGCTTTAACCTGATCAAACCACTTATCTAAGAACATAGAATCTTTATATTTTATACGTTAGATATGATATCTTCAAGAGAATTAACTCTTTAAAACCAGTATATGCTTAACAAAGTTATATATCCAGTTTTCGCTGACAGAGACTGCGTAAGTTGAGGCACGTTTTTAAAGAAGAATAAATACTATATTCTAAATATATAACAGCCGAGGATGAAGCCTATACTTAATAAGTAAGAATATCCAGTCCTTTAAAGCCTCTTCTTCAAGAAGAGTCAGTTTTATAGACTTGACCCGTATATCTAAACATGATTTGACTCCTTTAATATATCGTTACAGAGTTAAACGCGGAACATTATAAGCGCTCACAGCTTTATTTATATATAAAATTCTGCCACTTTGAATAGCCTCAACAACTAGGCAGATACGGCCTTCTTGTTCCACCAAAGATTTTGACGATTGAGGCATGTCTGGTAGAGTTGTTGGTGGTTGAATAGCTTCAAGTTGAAGAACGCGAGAATAACGCGCGCGCCGGCCCACTCGCTTGTGGATTACGTTAACTTGACTTCCTTGAATAGCTAACGTAATTCCCAACCGAGTCGACCGCCCGGTCGACCCGCTCACCTCTTCCAAAATTCATCGCTTGTTCAACGCGTGACTATTCAAACAACCACCATACCACCAGTATCGCGTCATCTAAACCAAAACTCAGTAGAACAAGAGAGAAGGATTCAAATCGCTATATCCGCATTAAAAAAACTTGAAATCTCGTCAATTCATCACGCGGCAGAGGTTTTTAATATACCTTACTCAATATTACACAATCGAATGAAGGAAAAGCAATATCGACTCAAGCAGCATGCAAATAGCCACAAGCTCTCTAAAAATGAGGAAGCATCTCTGGTTAAGTGGATATTATCAAGAAATACACGTGGAGTTCCTCCTAGACCATCTTATATGACAGAGATGGCTAATATTCTACTTGATTCCGCAGCTCAACCTCTTAAAAAGAACTGGGTCTCTAGCTTTATTAATCAAAATCCTGAAGTTAAAGCCTGATTTGCTCGGCAATATAACTATTCACGCACAAAATATAAAGATCCAGAGATTATAAAGAGCTGGTTTCAGCAACTGCAGAAGGTTCGGTCAGAATAGAGGATCCTTGACCAAGATATCTATAATTTTGATGAGACAGGCTTTGCTATAGGTCTTATAGTAACTACTAAGATAGTTACTAGGGCTGATATACCTGGAAAGCCTTATCTTATTTAACCAGGCAACCGTGAATGAGTTACAACAATTAAATACATAAATTCAAGTGGTTGGATGGTCCCTTCATATATTATCTTTAAAAGTAAGCACTATATTAAGGGCTGGTTTGAAGAATACAGTATACAACCTGACTAGTGAATTAAATTAAGCGCAAACAATTGGACTACTGATGAGATAAGTCTCCGGTGGCTTTTAAAGGTCTTTATTCCTGTAACTACTTCTCAAATGATTGGCCAATATTGATTACTAGTCCTTGATGGCCATGGAAGCCATCTTACACCTTGATTTAACAAGCTTTGTAAGTAGAATAATATAATTCCTATCTACATGCCTCTTCACTCATCTCATCTTCTACAACTGTTAGATATTGGTTACTTTGGCCCGTTAAAGCGCGCGTACGGAGAACTAGTAGAGACAAAGATATACTTAGGATTCAATCATATTAATAAGTTTAACTTTCTCAGTGCTTATCCTAACACTCACCACAAAGTCTTTACAGTACAGAATATTCAAAGCGGCTTTGCTGCCGCTGGGATACTTCCATTCAGCCCTCAGCGTGTGCTTGATAAGTTGAATATCTTACTATCAACACTGACACCCCCCCAGAGCCCTGGTGGGAACTTATCTAGTTCCTCTATATTAATAACGCCTCAAACAGCTCACGAACTCTTTAAAAAAGCATCCTCTGTTAAGAAGATGCTTTGAAAACACTCTTAAAGTCCTTTAACACCTTCAAAAAAAACTTACAATGAGTTGCTTAAAGGTTGCAAATTAATAATGCACCAAGCAGCCTTCATAATAAAGGAACTACATGATCTCCGCGCAGAACATGAGAAAGTGAAGCAGAAGAGGAGACGTTCTAAGCGCCAGATAACTCCTAATAATGGACTATCAATACAAGAAGCGAGAGACTTAATTACGCAGAGGAATGAGCGATTGAATCAGGAAGGTGGTAGTAGTAGTAAGCCAAGTATTTCTACTTCAAATACTTTAGTTCCTCAAAAACGTGCTCCACCAAGATGTTCTGACTGTCATATCTTGGGGCATACTAGAACTAGATGTCCTAATCGCCATATTGCTTAGTTTTATTAATTTAATAAAGGTTTTAGTTGTTGGCGATAGCTTCAAGTTTAATGAGTATTGTCCGAATGGATGGGGTGTGAGCGGGTCGACCGGGCGGTCGACTCGGTTGGGAATTACGTTATATAAGAGCGGACTCTGATATTGTAAGAACGGCAGAAGCATGATTATATAAGTTGACTTACTTACAATCTTTTTGATATGTATCACAGTAATGGTGAATCTGTAATATCAGCTAGTATGCTTATCCACCCACCCACCCCACCAAATCCAAATACTTATATATCATTGTTGAATGCTGCTCTAACCCGATCCCATGATTTCCCGCTATCTAGGGATTATACCACTATCTTGATTGTTGCAAGCCAACCGGGGTACCTTATATGTATATCTATATTAGTAAAAGCACCCGATCTGAATATTTCGGGCGGTAGTCGGCCAAAACAGCAGACAGTAGAAGTAATATGAGGAATTATTTTCTGTCCGGACTGTGGTGCGTATCATCCTGTATATTTTATGTTATATATTTGGGAAGACGGAATGGAATCAATCTCTGGTATAGTACTTCAGATAATAGGTACGCCGCTTTTTGGACGGAAAATTAAATGTATTGAATGGGGAGAATCGAGGAGATTACTACTATGTTTTGTCCGGGCGGGGATCTTTGATGATGTTCGGATTTTGAATGATTGGAAACCGGTCGCGGGGTTGTTTGTATACATAGTACATAGTACTGGTAGACGGTTAAAATGGGTGGGTCCTGTGAAGGGGGCGGGGCAATTTAGGGGTATGTTGCCGCTGTCGAGATCGATGTCTTGACTCTTGAGGTTCTTGTATGGGGTCGGAAGATGGGAGTTGAGCAGATGCTGAATTGGGTGTGGAAGGTTACCACCAAGATAAACCGAATTTATCTTACTACTATGTTGTACTATGTAAGGTGCTCTTGTCGACCACTGTCCGAGATGGCATTCATCAAGCCGACATTCAAGCCGAACAAATGGTGCTGCATTTGGTTGATAGGTCCGAGGAAATGGTTCCTTTTTTCTTTTCTGGTAGCCTTGTGGGGAACAGATGTTGTCATAACCCCAACGGTGGCAGGGCTCGGCCGGATTTGCGTATCCGGAACTCTCCTGCCCCATCGATAGAGTGTGGCGGGTGGCTGTTCGGAACCAGTAGTTTGGGAGTATGGGTACACAGGATGGGGATGGGAATGGGGATTATTAATAGATCCCAGGGGTCTCGGAACTAAGTATCACTTAGTGCACATCGTTGAATGATGGGGGGTGCATGTTGAAGATGTAACCGGATGAAAAATCAGTCGGTTATGTCACAGCCAGGTGATGACGTTACTGGGCCAAATGCAGTGGGAATCTCCCCTCGGGATGCCGATCGGATCCAATCTTATCCGCGGCTCTCGATCAATCATACTCGTTGAAGTCTGAACTCTGAAGATGCCCTGGGAGGTCAACTCCACCCCAACCCCCCGGGGAATGGGATCCACCGCCCCGGCTGGTCGGCAGTGATCGCATCATTGCCGGTTCTCAGAGCCCTTCCAACTCAGGTACGTCATTGGAATCCGTCCGGTCTCGCCTCGCCACGGCTTCCCCTCTTCCTCCCCGAAGATATTTCACCAAGCCCATATCCGCCTGGCTCGGCTGTCGCCATCTGTACATCATCATCACCCTCAATCGGTCCCTAACCCATCCACTAAACCTCAGCCAAAAATGTCCACCGGTGCCACGACGAGAAAAATTGTCTGCTTCTCAGGTAGGGATTTCCGGTGGATCGCCCTCCACTGCGGCCGCTGCTAATCAACGACCTACAGACTTCGACGGTACCATCTTCATGCAAGATTCGGGCCATGTCCTCTTCGACAATCTGGGATGTGGCGCCAAACGCCGCCAAGTCCTCGACGAGCAGATCAAATCCGGCGAGCGCTCATTCCGAGAAGTCTCCGAGGAGATGTGGGGGTCGCTACGGATACCCTTCGAGGATGGCTTTGATGTGATGAAAGAGGAGCTAGACATTGATCCGGGATTTCAAGAATTTCACAAATTCTGTATAGATAATGGCATTGTTTTTAATGTCATCAGTGCAGGGCTGAAGCCAGTCTTACGTAAAGTGCTGGACACTTTCCTCGGGGAGCAAGAGGTACAGTTGCATCTTTCTCGTGGGGGAATCCACTCACCAGTGGTCATTCACTAATCATTTATTTGTAGGCTTCGCGCATTCAAATTGTCGCCAACGATGCGGAAATCAAGTCCGATGGGTCAGAATGGAAGCCAATCTGGAGGCACGAAACAGAACTAGGCCATGACAAGGCGCTATCCATTCAGGAGGGCCGCGCGCAGGCAGCCGAAGAAGCCTTGGAGAGCGAGATTCCCCTTATTATCTTCATTGGCGACGGTGTGTCGGACCTTCCGGCTGCCCGTGAAGCGGATGTCCTCTTCGCGCGCAAGGGGTTGCGGTTGGAGCAATACTGCATTGAGCACAAGATTTCCTACATTGGCTTTGACTCATTCTCCGACGTCAAGCGGGAAGTACAAGCCATCATGAAGGAGGATCAGCAGAAGACCGGGGGCGTGGGCAAACCCGCCCGGTTCAATCCCCGAGCCAATATGTGGCGGCGGATTTCCAGCAGGCAAGCTGTAAGTCGGCGGTCCGGTGTTGCAGAGAGATATCCTCAGAGCTGACATGATGATCCCAGGTTCCCAAATTTGTTGCGGCGACCCCATCAAGGGAAGACAGGATATTCCTCTGGCCAGAGAGCTTTTCCGATTACCAACCCCGGGGTGCGTCGGGAAATATTTCGGCTTGAAAGACGGGGTAGTGATGTATGAATGAATCATTTTCAGGCGTTTGGGGGCAGCGAGCTGGATACATAGATCTAGGAAGTGTTCGATGAATGTATAGGGTTTCAGGATGACTTCATGCGTGTCAGCTTATGCGCTAGGATTGCGACGGTGTCGGGCTAGGCGTATCTAAAATCTGTAGGTTTGTGCAGCATTGAATCTAGTTAAGAAGAGGGCAGTGGCCGAATAAGAATTCACAATGATAGGCAACCGATTGATGGTCGCGCCTGATCGCGCGACCGGGCAACTTCTCAGAGTTCAGTTCGCAGAGCTTGCTCCACGTGGAATGCTGGGTTCGGGATTTAAACAATTGCCAAGGACTAATAAGCTTGTCCATGGATGGCAGAGGTAAAGGGAAACAACATGGGCAGGTGATTAGCCCATCTGGGTGGAGTAGGGACAATCACCATTCTTCTATATACTGGCTTAAGAGAAGCAGTTCTGCTTCAGACGGTCAAGAACCATGCCCTCCAGGTTGTGTTTCGAGGTGATGCATACCTTGAGAGGTCGGTATATATTTGATGAGATGAGTGCTGTACCTCGGGCTCTATTTTGTGGATTCAGACCAACTCAGGCGGGCCTAGTCACGAGTTCTTCGGGTTAGTGGCCAGAGTCGGTAGATAGGAGACAACGCTATAGGGAAGTGGTCATATAGTATGGGGAGGAAGAATTCGCCGTTCTGTCGCAGATGAGTACTACATGGAAAGTGAAAATAAAAATAAACAGGGTATGGAAGAGTGGCTCAGCAAGGAAAATAGACAAAAAGCAAAAAGGAAATCTCCCCGACTGGGAGTCGAACCCAGGTCTCCCGCGCTTGTTCCCAATTGGGATTGACAAGCGGAAATCATGACCGTTAGACCATCGAGGATTGGATATTATGTGGGTTTGATGTTTTGCTCTATGTTCTAGACAAGGAAAGTAGTGGTTGAATGGCCGCTCTTATATGTTTTCATGTTGTTGGCCTCTTTTAGATGCGAATGTTTGATTTGCGTTGATATTTTATACAGACCAGGTGGTTTTGCTTGCGTAGATTTTCCAATATTGTGTGCTTCTCAGTCTTATCCCTTGCTTTTTTCTTTTCTTTCTTACTATCGCTGTCGGCTATCAGTATATATTTATTGTAACTATTTGCATCGGGCTGTTATAGTGGAACTACTAATACCAGAACCGCACAGGATCGAAATGTAGATAGAGTATCGAAGTATCTGACCGAAGTCTCGGCCACCATGCTATATGAAGACAAAGAAATATTCTCATAGACAGGGAAACAGTATAGACAGTGACCTGGTCACATGTTTGAGGAACTCTCTACTACTAGGACCCCTCCAAAGGTAGATTCATCACTCAAACAATGAATCGTACTATCAAGACTCAAATGCCATTGTATATGCCACATCAATTAACAGGCAGTTTATCTGACCATAAAGCATCGTGTTCTGGCTGATAGAAAAATGATGGTTGCGCCTGGGCGGATTCGAACCGCGACCCTCTCCTAAGAATATCGAGTACTACGGAGTACTCTGTGGCCCACAAACGACCCACTTAGCATACTGCGCTTCTTCCCAATGTATGCCTCAGGCCCCAAGCCTCAATTTCAAGTGAAGGCGTGCTGCCCAGCCATTGCACTGTTTCTCTTCATCGCATCGATGCATACCTCATCCTAGCTGGTCGACTAAATCCCACCGAGGACGCCCATACAAAGTCGTAATCTACCTTTAATAAATATTAGCTGTCTGATCGCTCTTCTTGTCTAGAAAGCGGACTAATCTCTCACTCTCACCTGGTTTTCAAGGTTCTTCAGGCCGCTAGGAATCAATGGTATTTACTCTGGACTTCTAGTTGCATTCTAGTCTAGACCAATTGCGTGAGTTGTACCTTACAGATTGGGCTTCTAAACATCGGTACACGCATGTCTCAGTACATCTATGATCTTGCACAGCACCATGAACTGACTGACAGTCCTGGACAGTTCCTGCATGCCTCTCATCGCCAGGGGTCTCGATTCACCCAACATACGTCAGCCTGCATTCACTGTCTCGGATAACCTCCGGAATTAGGCGGCCAAATTTTCCGAGTTGTCCAAGGCAGAAAGTAATCAGAGGTAAGATACCCGACCGCACGGCCTGCTTCAGACTGTGTTGAGTAAGACCAAGAAAATCGGGATAGCGGTCGGTTCTGCCCGCTCGCTGAAGAACCATAATTGTGCAGCCCAGTTTAGATGGTGGTAGAATCTACTCAAAGTTTGGGGTAACCACGGAACCACGACGGGTCAGGTACATGCCTGCCAATCTGCCATGCATGCAAGGTTCCAGGGGCTGACACGACTGAATCAAGAACACTCGTTCATCCGGGGATCCTCAGGGTCCCGCCGGGGTTTTCCCTGCTCGGGCCTTTGATGCGGAGTAACAAAGAGGGGAAGCGCACGGACAACGTCACAGCCTCGCCTGGTGGATCTTGAATCTCGAGACCACCCACCAAGCTAAGGATCTAAAGTTGGGCTGGCACATGGATGATGGTGCCAATTGGCAGCTGCGTGCAGTCGATGGGTTGACTCGGACTCGGGTGCGGACTCGACCATCAGTTGACGACTGCCTGATCTGACATCTCTCAAGCACACCACACACCCAAGTCCTCCAGTAGATTGCTGGCGGGACACTGGCGAGAGAGTCAATACTCAATAGCCACGAAGCTTGTCACATTCCACCAGTCTACCCAGGCACATGAGAAACGTGACTCAGTATGCCAGAGAAACACTGTTTTTGCCGACAGAATGGTGGGAATCTTCGAAGGACCAAAATTTCCCCCCCCCCACTGCCTCACAGAGGAATGGAACGGATCGGCATGTCGTACGACCGGACAAGAGTCCTAAATCTGGGTGGCCCGGGGAATAATGCTGGGGAAGCCCAGTCGAGGAATGTGTGATGCCGGTTAAAACGTGGGGTGGACAAGCCGGAGGTGGGAGGTCCCAAGACATCCGCGCAGCCACGCTCCCCTTCTCCCATCTCTCTCGTTCGACTCTCCTGCCCTCCCTCGGTGGTTGTTGTAGAGACCCACCCTTATCCTGCCTTTGAAGGCCAATTGATCGGTTAATTCCAAATGGATCCCCATTATAAAAGGCCTCGAATCCTTCCGTGGTGACAATGGCATCAATACCAGCCTCCTCGAGTGAGCCTGCAACATGGTGGCCTTCTCGACCCTTTCGGGCATCAGCGCCCTCCCTTTATTGCTCTCCTTAGTCCAACATGTCCACGGTATCTCGTTGGAGGTATCTACCCAGGGGGGCAATTCATCCAGCTCGCTACTATATGGGTTCATGTTTGAGGTATGCGCATGGCCACGACATCATCAGTCATTGGCCTTCCAGTAATTGACAGTGAGCCAGGACATCAACCACTCGGGAGATGGCGGTATCTACGGCCAGATGCTGCAAAACCCTGGTCTTCAGGGAACAACACCTAATCTGACTGCCTGGGCTGCTGTCGGGGACGCCACTATCGCCATTGATGGGGACAACCCGCTGACCTCAGCTATTCCGAGTACCATAAAGCTGAAGGTGTCTAAAGACGCCACCGGTGCAGTTGGGCTCACCAACGAGGGTTACTGGGGTATCCCGGTTGACGGGAGCGAATTCCAGAGCTCTTTTTGGATCAAGGGTGATTACTCTGGCAACATTACGATTCGGCTGGTTGGAAACTCCACGGGCACAGAATACGGATCTACGACCTTCACCCATACATCTACCGCAGACAGCTTTACCGAAGCCACCGCCAAGTTTCCTACGACCAAGGCTCCAGACGGCAACGTTCTGTACGAGCTCACGGTCGACGGCAGCGTGGCCGCTGGTTCCCCGTTGAACTTTGGGTATTTGACGCTTTTTGGCGAGACCTACAAGTCAAGGTTGGTTCTGCCGGTACCATGTAAAGGGGAATATGTACTGATTGTGTAGAGAAAATGGCCTGAAGCCCCAGATCGCCAACGTTTTGGCTGATGTCAAAGGATCCTTCCTGCGATTCCCTGGTGGCAACAATATGTAAGTCCTGGCCGGTGCTTATGTAGAACGGGTGCTCACTAGAAACAGCGAGGGATACAGTCCAGAAAACCGCTGGAAGTGGAACGAGACCATTGGCCCTCTTGAAGATCGTCCTGGACGCGAAGGTACATTTTATTTCTCTAAAAAACAATACCGTTTGCTGATCAGATATAGGCACTTGGACTTACTACAACACCGATGGATTAGGTAAGAACGGAATCTGATATCGAGAGCCTCGGTCTAACATATGCAGGTCTTGCCGAATACTTTTATTGGTGTGAGGATCTGGGACTTGCACCGGTGCTGGGTGTCTGGGATGGGTTCGCTCTTGACTCGCGTGGCGGTACTCCCCTGACGGGCGATGCGCTGACCCCTTACGTCGATGATGTCTTGAATGAACTCGAGGTATGTCGATTCCAAACGATGAAGAACTGCAGCTAAACCGATCCTAGTACATTTTGGGTGATACGAGCACCACCTATGGAGCAATGCGCGCCGCAAACGGACAGGAGGAGCCCTGGAAGCTCACCATGGTTGAGATTGGCAACGAGGACCACCTGGGTGGAGGCTGCGATACCTATCCCGAGCGCTTCACCCAGTTCTACGATGCGATTCACGCTGCCTACCCTGACCTCATCCTCATTGCCAGCACCAGTGAAACGGATTGCTTGCCCGACTCGATGCCCGAGGGAAGCTGGGTGGATTACCACGACTACAACACTGCCGATGGGCTCGTCGACCAATTCAACTACTTTGACAATCTCAACCGCTCTGTCCCGTACTTCATTGGCGAGTATTCTCGCTGGGAGATTGACTGGCCCAACATGCAGGGCTCGGTTGCCGAGGCAGTGTTCATGATTGGATTCGAGAGAAACAGCGATCTGGTCAAGATGGCAGCCTACGCTCCATTGCTTCAGCTGGTGAACTCGACTCAGTGGGTGGTGAGTCCCGGTGAGAGGGTGGATTTGAAGGCGAAGATAAGCTGACGTGTCGTAGCCGGACCTCATTGGATTTACGCAGTCGCCCGACATGACCTTTCTGTCGACCAGCTACTACGTCCAAGAGATGTTCTCAACCCACCGTGGTGATACCATCAAGGAGGTTACCTCCGATTCCGACTTCGGCCCTGTGTACTGGGTTGCCTCGAGCGCCGGGGACGCGTACTACGTGAAACTGGCCAACTACGGCTCCGAATCCCAGGACCTGACCGTGAGCATCCCGGGAACAACGACCGGAAAGTTGACTATCCTTGCGGACAGTGATCTCGAGGCATACGACTCGGACACGCAGACGCTGGTTATACCGTCCGAGTCCACCGTGCAGGCCAGCAATGGGACGTTTACGTTCAGCCTGCCTGCATGGGCCGTGGCCGTTCTTGCTGTGAATAGGGTTGAGCATTAGTGGTGTGAATGGATCTGACGTATCTGTTGGCTTTTAGATATTTGAATGAATTGCCCCTTTTTTTTTGTTGTTGTGGTCAGCATCCAGGACCTGACATAGCTTTAACAGTGAGGTATAGATCCAGGCTGATGCATCTCCCACGTATGGATGCACTGGTCCGCCAATGAGAGCGAACGCCACACCACGTGGGGAGCCCGGGTTGGAATCAGCCTGGAAGAACTGAGCGCCCCCAAGTGATATCTAATTTGTGTTCGCCACGTATAATGCGTAGGGATTTCCTTGCACTCGCACGATGCGCAGTGCCTCAGGCAGCGGGGCGTGTTTGTGCGGGCGGGCATGGAAGGTGTTCCTCAATCCATTTCTTTTGGTTGGTTGTGCTTGGATCCTCAACAGCTCACGAAAATTTTTGCAGCAAGTCGAGGAATTCTGGTACGTACCACGACCTGGCTAGCACTGTGTAGCTCCAACGGCGGTGGCCCCACCAGCAAGGCACGCGAAGGGAAAAAAAAATGGCCGCCAAGTTTGACAGACGACGGCCGTGCACGTTTTCGGGCGGCTTCCGCCTGCAGCTCCCCACGCATGGTTGGGCGTCGAGGAGGGAATATATTCAGGACCTTGGCTTGGATGGACCGGTCCCTGGTGATGTGCAGGCCTTTGTTGATTCTGTCCGGGTCGAGTATGAGGAGTATCAAGAATGAAATTCTGGTTAGGTGGAAACTGGAAAGAGGATCGGGGATCCCCGCCCGGTCGGGATGCAGATGGCTGGCGGCGTTGCGATTGGCTGCGGCGGCCCACTCCGGCGATAAGTTGATATCCAAGTTTTCCCCCGTTTGGTCTGGCCTCGTCCGGCCTTAAATTCCCCTCTCTTCCTGCCACCCGTGCTCTGCTTTATCTTTTTCTTTTTTTCTTCTTTGCGCCCTTTGGTCTTAGCAGTGAGCGACTTTGGAGCTTTGCGCTCACTTTTGCTGGCGAAAAGCTCTATTTGATACCCTTAATCTGCAGTATCTTGCGTCCTCGTCTCTTACAGCTTCCCCGCCATGTCAGCCGAGAATGAAAAGACCTCGGCGGTCGCCGACGTGCAGCCTCAGCCTCAGCCCCAGATCCAGGGCGAGAAGAACGAGCAGGTGCATACCGTGACGGAATCGCCCGATAATGTCAGCCAGGCGCAAGAGCAGCAGCAGCAGCAGCCGGCACAGAGTCGCGCGGCGAGGCTGTTCGCCTATATGAAGACCCGCGATTTCTGGATCGTCCTGATCTTGGGGTGAGTGAGACCCTTGCGGCAGAGATAGGCACGATGCTAACCAGATACCAGTCAAATCATTGCGCTGGCCGATATCAGTTCCTCCACCTTCTCTTCCCTCTTGTCCAACGCGGGAAACAGTATCCCGGCCTTTCAAACCCTGTGGAACTACATCCTGCTCAATCTGGTCTACACGAGCATCACCATCTACAAGTACGGCTTCAAGAAGTGGTTCCGGATGCTGTACCGGGACTGCTGGAAGTATTTCATCCTGTCCTTTCTCGATGTCGAGGGCAACTACTTCATGGTGCTGGCCTACCGCTACACCTCGCTGCTGAGCGCCGAACTCTTCAGTTTCTGGACCATCATCTGCGTCGCCATCATCTCTTTCGTCTTCCTACGCGTCCGCTACCACATCACCCAATACATTGGCATCTTCCTCGCATGCGGTGGACTGGGCATGCTGATCGCCTCGGATTACCTGCGCGGTGCCAACTACCCCGCCGAGGACCAGGTGAAGGGTGATCTGTTTGCGCTCCTGGCCTGCACCATCTACGCCTTCAGCAACCTGTTCGAGGAGTTCATGGTGTCGAAGCGCCCGATGTATGAGGTCATCGGCCAGATGGGTTTCTGGGGCATGTTCATCAACGGCGTGCAGTGCGCCATCTTCGACCGGGGCTCCTTCCACGGCGCCACCTGGAACAACAAGGTCGGTGGCTACATCGCCGGGTACACCATCGTGCTGTTCATCTTCTACACGCTGGCTCCCATCATGCTGCGGGTGTCGTCGGCCATGTTCTTCAACATCTCGCTGCTGACGATGAACTTCTGGGGCTTGATCATCGGTATCCAGGTGTTCCATTACTCGGTGCAGTTCCTGTATCCGATTGCCTTTGTGCTGATTGTGATTGGGCTGCTGGTGTACTTTGTCATGGAGGGCGAGATGGGCGAGGCCGCCAAGCCATGGCTGGGTGCTAACCAGGAGGCCGGTGTCGATGGCGTGGGTACTGGTCGTCGGGCGCAACAAACGGGACATGCGATTGTCTAGAGGGTGTGGTGGATATGATATGATATGAAGCAATATGGGCATGAGAGTAATGTGTACGAGGACAAAAGTTATTCCTTTATCTTAGATCTTAATATATATTAGACCGGCTGCAGTGCAAGACTGGTGGAATTAATCTATTATCTATGTGCAGTTTTGAGTAGTGCTATCTAAGCATTCACACGACTTACCACTGGTCAGTCAGTCCTTGTATGTCAACACTTAATAGTACTTTGTCTCTTTTACTCAAGTAACAGCGACATACAGTATCAAAGAAAACAGACCCCACAAAATCCCAACCCCAACCCCGACCCAAAAATAACACCGCAGAATAATCCAATCCCATCCCATCCCTCGTGAATGAACCCAGAAAACCAAGAACTCGCCAATCAATTTACTAGAGCCATAGTGTTTCCCTAATAAAACAAAATATTTACTCATCTTTCATCAAATGGGGCTGTGGTTTAGTGGTATAATATTCCCTTAGCATGGGAGAGGTCCGGGGTTCGATTCCCCGCAGCTCCATTTTTTGGGGTTTTTTTTCATCTTTGCTTTGTAGATGGGGGTAGGGGTGTGGGTTCCACTTGGTTTCTTTTTTACCCGTACTGTTATGTTGCTGTGTCCTATGGTCGATATAGTCTAGTGCATACTAGTACTACTATCTTCGTTTCATATATATAGTTTTAGTCATGCAGGCTTTAGCAGGGGCATGTTAGTTGTATTGTATTAAGTTTGGAAAAAGTATGAGAATGTGTGTGTTGGCTAATAACGGGTAAATTAATAAATAAGAATGTCACTTATACTTGCAGGACAAGATACCTAGATACATCGACCGTTTACAACTCTGTCCTTTCCTCCCCTCTCACCCAAGAGAAATCAGCCCTGATAGGTGTCTCCTCCACACCAAGAGGATGTACATCAGTCTCACACTGCGTCCCGGGTGTCGGGAGAGTACCGGTTTGGAAGTACTTCCGGATATGGTTCTCTGTGCAAATCGAACGGGATGCAAAAGAGCAGTGCTATTTCAGCCAGCCCTGTTAGAAGAGATACTACCGAGTAGGATAAGATAGGCAGGAAGGGAGGGGTAGACATACGCCTTCAGCGAGTTGTTCCAGAACCACGGACCCATTGAACAAGGCAGACATGGCGTGGGCGCTGATTGCTGTTGTTAGTATATAGGTCCCACGTGTATGAGGTGTATGGAATAAGTAGGCTTGAAACATACTCTGCAAGAGGGGTTACCGGATCTAGAGAATTACTGACGAATAAGATCGGCGTGGACATGCTCTCCGCTCCGATGGGTCCATTATCTAATTAGTATTCCAGAGCCAAGAGACAAAGAGGGAGAATATAATATAGATAGGAACCTACCATCAAAAGAGCCAGGCCCCCTCCCCTCCCAACTAGCACACGGCATAGCAAAATCCGCAAACGCATCCCCTACCCAATGGGTACTTTGCACCACGGGACGGAGATACTCCTCCCAGTATGTCTCCTTCGCGACATTAAGCAGTTTCTGATTCAGATCTAAGCATGCAATACCCGCAGTGACTTCAATTCGGAAGATATATTGACAGGATTCGCGACATGCTGGCTGGGATTGACATTCAGGATGGAGACAGTGAGGGGGTTGCATTTCGTTACGTAGCATGGATTTCCATTCCGCCATGCTGGTTGCGCTTCCCTGCTCGAGGTCGGAGAGGATGGTGGCGAGGATGGGGAAGAGGTCGATGGGGGCATATAGGGCGACTTTGAGGAGGCGTTTAACGTCCGAGTAGGTGATTATTTCGGGGCTTGGGTAGCCAGTTGAAAGAGGGGTGGTTTTGAGGTCGGTGAGAATGTTGGTAAGGCGTTGTTTGAGGTGGGTGGTTGCTTGGGTGTTGGTTTCGTCGACGGGGGCGGGATGGCTGGCGAAGGCGCAAGTGGGATAGCCTATTTGATGGCAGTAGTGGAAGAAACTGTCGACTACGCGATCGGCGTCGCGGAATGAGGTAGAGAGATCACTCAAGTACCATCCTGGTGCATCTACTACCCCGTCTAGTACCATGCGTTGGACTTGGTCGGGGAAGAGGCTTGCGTAGGTCATGCTGAGGAGGGTTCCATACGAGTAGCCCCAGTATTGTAGCTTCGTGTCTCTATGGGAATCCGGTCGGAGTAACTGGGTAAGATGGCGCAGATCATGTGCCGTGCTCCAGGTATTCATATACGGACCGATATCAGCACCCTGCTTGTGGGAATCCGTACACGCGGTGCCTAGGGCCTGCATGCGAGACCAGAGGTGATCGCCCGCACGGTCCGAGCTATCCACTAGACCTTCGGCCTGCACGGCTTCGTCCCAGAGGTAACTGGAAAGCAGATCCGGGAAGCATGTCAGTGGGGGGTGGGTATTTCCCACACCCCGGGGATCAAAGGACACGATATCGAAAAAGCGGGCTTGGTGCGCATCATTGGGGCTGTCAATGATTTTCTGGACTTCTTTACCTCGGACGAGTAGGTCCTGCACGCCGGAATCACCGGGGCCACCTGTTTGACGAGTGAGTAATCATGGGGGATGATAGCGATAGTACTGCAGTACCTGGGTTGATGATGATGGAGCCCCCGTAGCGCTCGTCGGTAGGATCAACCTGCGCGGACAGTTTGATGATGGCCAGGATGGCCGTGTCATTGGCATCGTTGGGTATTGGGGAGGCTGACCAGTCCAGGGGTACCTCGAGGCGTGCGCATTGATAGTCCTGGTAGCAGGGGACAAAGTTCAGGGTGGAGGCCGAGACGGTCTGGGGGAAGCTGGTTAGATTAATCCCGACAAATGACAGGAGGATGAAGAGGAACCCATACATTGCTCTAGGAGAAGTCTCCAGCTTGTACCACGGCGGGAAACATGGTGGATGGGCTTCCTGGAGGGAGAAAAAGAGGGTAGAAAGGAAGTTGGACAGAGAGGCGTAAGACCGGAGGATATCAGGACTCCGAGCCACGGCCGATTTAGCGTCATCCATGACCAGGATGGCATGCAGTATCAAGCCAATCGGCGGCTACAATAAGGGCCGAGGCTAGGCTGGAACGTGGCTACCTAGGGTTAGCGGAGATAGATAAAATATTTGAACAAAGGAGACGCGCAATGAACGGACGTCGGAAAAATCAAATGGGCAGTCAAGAGCGTGCGACAATCACAGTCAAGGGCGACGGATGCCTGTGTCTATGGGCTTTCGAAAGGGACCGTCTACCATATCCAACAACTCACTTGGAGGGGGTGAGGAGCTGGGTTCGAATAGAATGGCGGGTGAAGCCTGTAATGTATTCATTCCCAACGGTCACGATGCCCTGTTGGATGTCTAAGCCACGAAGTAGCGTTCTTAAGAGAACAAACTTGCCACTGTAAAGCAACATCTGCGATCAGTCATTTGCAACAGCTTTCTCGATTGGAAGGTCGGCTTCAATGGCTTACCTGCAACTTCGGCCACATGCCACTTCCTGTCCTGCCTGGATAGTGAAGCTGACAATTTTTCCGCATCGTGCTAGCACCTGGCCCAGAAAGGAGAAAGAGCTGTCTGTGCTCTAGCTTCTGGGGTTCCCAGGATATGCAAATGAAGGATGGGTCCAGATCCTAGTGACAATTCATTGCCGCTGTCTGCCGCTCAAGGTTGAGCCTTCATAGCTCACCACCGTCTGGTCTCTCGCCGACAGGGCATCGAGATCGGGAAGCAGAAGTGCGGTCTCCAGCACCTGACCATACTACTCTGGTTCCATTGCCTGACCACCGAGGATATTATTGTGGATGAACTCGTTGAGAAGCTAATGCTTCGGGGCACAATAGCCCATGCGTAGATGGAAACGGATATGGGTGCTCCCCGACACCAAGCAGAGCTCGCCAAGGATGGCTTTTAACAACGAAGACTTCGCCGAGCCCAGTACTGCAAAATTACGAGTCAACGTTTTATACACTGCGGATATGCGCACCACGAAACTGACCTTCCTTGTATGATGACCGCGCTGGCCGGTTGGATCTCGAGTGTGACATCGGACAGTATGGCTTCCTCCTGGGTACCCGCCCACACATCGCGAATATTGATGGCTGAGGTTCTCTAATTTGCATCCCCTGGTGTAGTCCCATTCGAGACGCGAAAGCAATTGAGCTCAGCCATGCCCTTGTCGGGGACATTATCCCTCTCGCAGAAAAAGCAGTTCAAGGCACCTACCCGGCGAAAACCCTGGTAAACTAAGCCTGGGATGCAGTATTCTACCACATTCCTGTAACCACGACGATGAACACCTTGTATCTTGATCTCTGGGCTGATGAAATGGCCGCCGCTACCTTAATGGACGTATATGCCCGATACGGGGCGAGTCTCACTCTGGAAAATATCCTTCAACATCTACCAAGAACCTGCAAGCGATGCTGTACTTGAAGATCCTCGCAGATGGACCAGGTAGTGGCGATGGTGGCACCGCATCCTTCCTCCTGCAGAAGACCGCTGTCGACGATGGTTCTTTCGATCCCTCGGTGGAGAGGATTACTCCAGCCACCTCCATGAATCATTGTTGGGGCCGGCCCAGAAGAAATCTCGCTGCTTTGGATGTACCGAGGAACTGAATTTCTATTCGTGAGTATCCTAATGGAATGGCGCTTCATGCTTGGTGAACTATGCAGCAACGGATCTCCAGCCGTTCAAAAGGGTATTCTTCATCTGTTTATGCTTCTTATATTTCCTTCTGCTCTTCCTTTGCGCTCTCGTTCTTATTTCTGACTTGCTCTGTAAAATCAAACCTGTTAGATCTCCAAATGCCAGTTAACCTCTGTACAATACCCTCACCTCGTATGGACGCACCTCACCTCTCAGTCTCTAGCCTGTAAGATGAACAGAATAGTCAGAAAAGACAAGCATCATAACATCCAGACACTGTTGCATTAACTCAAGGACGACACCAAGTGAGATGAACGAATCCCACCATGGATGATAATGACAGCAAAAGTGAAGCAGAAGATGGAGGATCTCAGCAAGAGACAAAGCCGACGGCATGCGATCACATGACTAGAGGCGATAGTGACCATCAGGCAAACAACAATCAGATCAATTGACGCTCAACGAGAGGAAAATTATGGAAATCAAACCATGAACGTCATTTAAATACCCAATAAGTTTAGTCAGGATGCAATGCCTAAACTTAATCCAGCAAATCACAGCAGGAGAATATCATATGGGTTTGTTTTGTGAGGGGTTATGCGATTAACTTGCGAGCAATAACGCAGTCTATGGGAATTTTATTTACTCTCTTGAGTATGCATAGACAGAAAAGTAGCCGCAGTTTATCTAGCTGAGAGTGTTGAAGGGGGAAGAGAGAGAAGAGAAGGACGGAGGAGGGGGGGGGTGGTGTGAGATATAATTTGGCGCCCTGCACGGGGATTGATAGAAAAAGACTCCAAGGTGAAGGAGGGAAGACCACCGAGAGCAAATCGACTCATCTGATAAATCATGTGCTCAGGAGACGACAAGTGGCCGTACAAGCACAAGTGAATAGCGAGGAGAAAATGAAGGAAGCTTGAAATCACAGAATTTCATGGTATAAGGCGTAATAAGACATAGCATATGCCACCTGCCTCGACAAACATTCCTTTCTCGCGTCTAGACCTTGGCAAATGACCAATTCCGCCTGGATTAACCACTGAAGCAGCTTTCACTGGAGCGGGGGGTAAAAAAATGGCAAGAACGGGGTTCGAACCCGTGCATCTCACGATAATGGATCTTAAGACCATCGCCTTAACCACTCGGCCATCTTGCCTTGTTTCCCTTGCTAGAGGAGTATTTTCCTCTCGCAAGGTTGCAATAGATTGGAGCTGAAGACACCTGGGAGGAAAGTGCGGTGTAAGGAAGCTCTACTTCTCGACGAGAGGGCCAGTGTATGAGCCATTTACGAGCATGTGCGGGAGGGATAATGTAGTTGGTGTCGGGGTCAGCTGCGGGGATCCTGCAGACTCGTGGATGGTGTTATGAGAGGTATCTAACAATCCGGGCATGGAGATAGGATCAGTCTACGGATAAGCTGGAAAATCACTCAATTGTTCCGACCTGTCTTGTCTGGGGTCACTATTCAAGCCATAGAACCGGGGCAACCCCGCTTAGGGCCGGGCCGCCTGGAGGAGGGAAGGCAACAATCGGAGATGAAATAATGGCAATGGGATACCTAAGGAATAGGACACTGCGTAATCGGCTGATAAGAAGGCAACAGGGACGGATCGGCGGACCAATGGGCCATTGGCGGTGGCAGTGACCAAGCCTCGGGAAGCGCAGCCAAGCTCGCCGATCCGCAGCGAAGGCAGCTTAGCACTTTGCAGAGAGGGGATGAATGATGATGTGATCCGTGCCTAGCGTGGCGCCGGCATTGACAGGTCGTACGACCTCGCCACTTGACAGACTGCCGGCATCCAATTCTGGCCAGCCGAGAAGATAAGTCTCGTGGGTCTCTTTGGGTCCGTCTGCTTTATCGCCCGTCTAGCCTGGAGAGCGACCGCGTACTTCGCGTCATCGCGCCGATCTCGCGATCAGCTGGGGCCAATCACCCGACATGCCTCACGACCCTACGCGCTGAAGAGGGTCAGGGCCAGCTGAAATGGTCGTCTGCCGGGCCGCAGGTGGGGACCTGGTAGATAGGCATGACGTCTCAGCTTCAGGTTCACTGGCAGTCTTAAAAGCCGGGGTCGTGCCCTCGTTCCTCTCTCCCCAGTTCTTCTCGGAACATCTTCAGGAATCTCACTTACCCATTGAACACTCACTGCTTCACTTGCCCATCATGGCTACCAAGATCAAGCTCATCCCAAACCTGAACTTTAAGCGGTCGGGGACCAAGTCCTATGTGCACATGATGCGCAAGTACCGCTTCAAGCCAACCAAGCCCGGTCCCTATACCCTCAGCAGCACGCTCCAGCAGACTGGTCGGCCATACACTGACAAGGCAGTTGGTGGACGGGCCCATATTCGCCAGGTGATGCGAAAGACGACCTCGGCCAGCGGCGAAGTCGGCGAGGTCCCTGCTGAAGACGTGCAGAACGACTCCGAGTACCTGGCGACAGTCGGGATCGGAACGCCTGCGCAGAACCTGAAGTTGGATTTTGACACAGGATCTGCTGATCTCTGGGTAAGAGCATTGATATTTCCTAGATAGATTCGGGGTAGCTGACATGCGGACAGGTCTGGTCGACAAAGCTCCCGTCGACAATCTTGTCGGAGAACAAGACTCACGCGGTCTTTAACCCGTCTGACTCCAGCACCTTCAAGACCCAGGAGGGTGAATCATGGCAGATCTCGTACGGGGACGGATCGTCTGCCTCCGGTAGCGTTGGAACCGATGATGTCAACATTGGTGGACTGGTCGTCAAGAACCAAGCCGTCGAGTTGGCAGAGAAGATGTCGACGGCGTTTGCTCAGGGCGAGGGTGATGGGCTGCTCGGACTTGCATTCAGCAACATCAACACCGTTCAGCCCAAGTCGGTGAAGACCCCGGTCGAAAACATGATTTTGCAGGATGACATTCCCAAGTCTGCGGAGCTGTTCACAGCGAAGCTGGACACCTGGCGGGACACCGACGAGGAGTCGTTCTATACTTTCGGATACATTGACCAAGACCTTGTCACGGCGGCCGGCGAAGACATCTCCTACACCCCGATCGACAATAGCCAGGGCTTCTGGCTGTTCAACTCCACCTCGGCGATGGTAAACGGCCAGACCATCAACCGGTCCGGCAACACGGCGATCGCCGACACCGGTACCACCCTTGCGCTGGTTGACGATGAGACCTGCGAGGCCATCTATGGTGCCATTGAGGGAGCTTATTATGACGAGGAAGTGCAGGGATACATCTACCCATCCTCAACATCATCCGACAACCTGCCCGTTGTCTCATTTGCCGTAGGAGATAAGCAATTTGTCGTGCAGAAGGAGGATCTGGCCTACACCGAGGCCAAGACCGGATATGTGTACGGTGGAATTCAGAGCCGTGGCAGCATGGACATGGATATTCTAGGCGATACCTTCCTGAAGAGCATTTATGCGGTAAGCCAATGCCCCCGAGGTAATGAAGTGGACACCTACTGACTGGATTGTCTCAGGTCTTCGATGTCGGTAACTTGCGGTTTGGAGCTGTGCAGCGAGAGGAGCTGCGCCAGAGCCTTGCGCAGTAAGTGGGCTGGCTCACCATGATGGTTGATGACTTATGTGACTTTATGTACTTTCAGTGGGTTATCTTGTCAGTTAATTCGGTCTGAAATACGATGCAACTTATAACGTAACCCATCTTGCTATTGGGAGAGTACAATGAGGAGCCATCTGATGGACGGGAATGTAAATGTTGGATAGACTTTGGATGACGTTCACGACACGACATACGGATACAATTCAGTTTAGCATTCATCTCGTTATATCAGATAATACAAATGATATTACAAGGAACAACTCCCTAGGCAGTCAAAATCCTCCTCCAAGAGACCGAGAAATTGACCAAAACAAAGCCATTGACAAGATCTAACAAGGTCGAGATAATGCCAAAGCAAAAGTCAATTTCTTGCCCGTGACAAGATCACATGATACTGTTCTCCTTACTATGAATGAAGCAGCTAGAATTCGCTCGCGACCAATCTCAATCTCGCCTCTCGAGTCCTACAAATAAGACAAGCTTAAGCCCTTTCACCAGACAATCGTGCACCGGGTAATAGAAACTAGGGCTGTACCTATTGACGCCACACTTGGCGGAACCTATTAGTTTCGTGGCTTATTTCTACTTCATATAGGGTGAGGAGAGAAGTCGAGCCCGTATATCGAATCTTTTGATCTTTTGTGTATTACTGGGCTATATTTACTGCCTCTATGACACCGGCTTTGTACGATGGCGAGGAGCCAAGGTATAGATAGGTATGTCGTACAGGCAGTGGGGATTCCAGAACCATGGATAGTTGGGATGGCTTGTAACCGTGAGACAGGGGGGTTGGTCGAGCGGTGGTATCGCGAGTAATGGTTCGATTTTTTCTTTGTGAGATTCATAGCAGAGGCCAGGACATAATGGTTCACTTCTCCAAGGCTTTGGGAGCAGATGACTCTAGTCAGTAAGTCTTCTCGGGTTGCTGTCTTGCTCCTCGCTCCGTTCGCAACACCGGTTTGCGTAACGTTTGGCGAAGGCTATGGACTGGGGCTCCATGCGATACTGATGAGAGACTGGAGAAGCACGTGAAGGATATCGAGAGATTATTGGAGGAATTCCAGGTCTCAAGCGACTGCTAGCAAAAGGATGTTCGGACGAAGGTGAAAGTGATTTGGGAGCAAGGCTAGGAAGTGTAAAGCGACACGCAATGTGCCAAGCAGCAACACATTAATGCCTTGCGTTTTAGCCTCTCGTTGCAGATGGCCATGCTGAATATGCAAGAGTATCTTGAGCTCTTTGGGAAACAAAAAGGTTGACCTGGGTCAGGATCTGCTTGCGCGATGGACATCACCTTGCTGATCTCGGATTTCCTGGAACACCTTCCAAATATAATAGGGAATCCACAGACCAACTTTTAACCTGAAGGTTCAAGTGGAGGACCAAGCTGTTTGGTTTCACAAAATTTCGTCTTTGGTGCGGAGCACGGTTCAGGAATACTTTCCAATGCCATGAAGGACAGTTACCAAGCCGGAGTACGACAGGAAGGCCCGGATTCTGTGAGACTTCGCAATGATAGTGCGCATGACCATGGCTCATCCATGCGAACCAGGCCTTGTTGCGTAACATGTCCGCATCCAAGACCAACTCCGCGCTATTTCTGAGACCTTGATCTACCGAGTAGCCTGACAAGATTATGTACGTCCTGGCTTTAATCAGATGGACACCCTCGATTGTTCCGATGTGGTGATCTATACCAAATAATTGCAAGCTCTGACTTCATGGTGTGACAAGGCAAACACGGAGATCCAGCGCTTGGTAGATTAAGTACGTTATATTTGGAGATCCGGTCATCGTATGTCATACTAATTCTTCCAATATGGCACCAGAGACATTGAAGTGAGCAATGATACCAGCATCAGTGCTATTGTGAACGCTGCGATCGAACAAAAAGTCTTCTGGCTTTCGCCGTCGCGGCAGGAAACAGATAGAAAGGAGGTGATGGACTGTGCGGTTTCCACACCACACAGATATTGCTCTATTGTTCCGGGAATCCCTAGTCTGTTCGTCTGTGATTTCCTTCGGTTGGAGCCAACAATACATAGATGGCTTCTTCGGCGCTTGTGTTATCTTTTCAAGCGCGTAACTTTGTCCAATAGGCCCTTTCTCTTGCGACTATGCATGTATCTATCCGCATCATGTGCGATGCTTGGCTTCCTGGCAAGGGTTGTTCAATTGCAATACACATTTCTGCAATCTGGTTAGCGCCGGGTGAGAGGAGATCAGAGCCTCAGACACCGATGACAGTCGTGGGACGTCAGGCACCGATATGATGGTTTCAGCAGTCGGATTGGCGACATGCGACCGAGGAAATGAAACGTGGGGAAAGGAGGGAAAAAATGAAAAGTTTCTGCGGCCGCCACGGACGGCCGCTGCCGAGCCGTTGATCGGTCGGTCGCGGGTTCGGCCATCGGCATCGGGCCCTGCAAGATGCAAGTTGCAACAGTGCAACTGGTCCGTATCCGTATCGAAACGCACAATCCTAGCAGGAAGTTGAACCTCCAAAATTCATTTCGCCCTCGGAATCCTTTCGGACCCACTGAAGCTGTTAGACCGCCGTGGGTCTATACTAGTTGACTTGATGCCTCCAACTGGTCCAAAGATGTCGTGATTTTGGTGGGATTCCATGATAGACATCAAGAAATTCTCATCTATCGCGTAAATAGTTGGAGTCTAGTCACCCTCTCATGTAATACGAGCCATTTTCGCGTGGTTACACATACAGCCCGAAGATGCCATGGATTCTGTTTAGGGGCTTGGAAGTTGGAGTAGCACCCAGGGTTATTGATTTCGATCGACACCCCAAGGACGAAGACAACGACTGAGAAAGTCCCTGCATGTCCGAAAGATATCCCTGCAGGGTGAGCAGGACACCGGCAGACTACCGAGTCTCTAGATACCCACCGGGGTGACGGGCTACTGCATGAGAATGTCCACCACTGAAAAGGAGTGAGTCACAGCTCACGGGGAATGATCCGGTCGCATTCGGTTTCGCATTCAATGAACAGGACCCGCTTAATTGGTGAGAGCTTTTCCTAGTCAGATCCGCTAGTGGAATGATAACGGAGGATCAATATTCCTTGACACTGGTCCTCTTCAGCAAGAGTAAAGGCTTCGGGCGATGCCCAAGGCTACCCGGGATGATATGAGTCGCGCATGGAGAGATCAGTTGGCCTCGAAGACCGATCCAACTGAAGGACGTCCTCCATCTCCATCCCGAGAAGGATGAGTCAATTCTAGAACAATGGCCGACTGGGATCGATTACGAAGTTTGGCCAGGCCTTCGGGGATAGGGTTGGGACCCCATCCTCAGGCGAATCCACATCCGGGCCTGGAAGAGTCGGCCCCAAATCTACAGACGGTTGACGTCCTCATTTCGGCGGTCAATGACCCAACCGTGTCATCCTCCCATTCGCGTGATATGGGCATTCCTGATTCTGGAGGGTGCCCTCGTCCGGTGATGTTGGGCCAGGCACGTGGGTGTGGCCACGCCTATCACAGCAGCAGGAATTTCTCCAGGTACCGCCGTAGACCGGTCATTATCACAGGGAAATTCTAGACCAGTCAATCGAACATTGATGCCTACTGTTGTCTGGGTATGCCGGAGTGGTTATGGCAAACACACACCCAGTCGGTCCGATAAAGTTTTCTTACCCGACACCTCCGGCTGGGAAGCATCCACGCAGCAGTGGCAAGATAGCATCCGGATGCCGGACAGGACGCCATGTAAACACCAATGGCAATCAAAGCGAATTAGCTCAATGAAAAGGATTGGTGGACTCGGAAACCTTGAGGTTATTTCTCCCCCGAGGTTGAGAGAGGGGCAAAGGAAAAGGGGAGAGGGGCAAGGATGGCGACCAGAAGGGAAAATGGCAAACAAAGAAGAACCTTGGAATCCCACTCACTATTGCACCCCCAGCCACTTCCCTAGAGTTTTTGCCCCTTTTTTGTCCATGGTCCGGGCGCATTGGCAGGAAACTACACAAGAGAACTCAGAATGAAATAAACGTGGTCCGTGGGAGGGGGATGATTTGGCCAGAGGAGTGTCAATTTGAAACTGGCATGGGAAAATGGACGATAGCTCTGGAAAATGGAGAGCGATGAATGCCCGACCAGGAGCTATGGCCTCTGGTCGCGTCGCGACAGCATCATGTGCAGCGAGTGGGTAGCTCTGTCCATCGATAACCACATTGGAAGGTTCTAATTGGCGAGGGCGATCCCGACATCCAGGTGATGGCCAGTGGATCCTCTGCAGAGCAGGGATGCGACGCATTGACGGTGTCCCTCGCCAGCTGCCCGAATGAGTAGTAGCAAGTAGATAGCTACATCATCATATCTATACCCATTACCTAGGGGATACGGTGTACTCCTATACTCCCACCGCTCTCTGCGACCGAGTGATAACAGGGATTGTCAGGGTATTGGATCAACCCCGTTAGCGTCTTATCACGCAAGATAAGAGCGTCAGCGCATTTGCCACAGATGTGACGGGATCTGCAGATAGCACCGGCAGTGGTTGGAACGATCGTCACCAGTGTACGTACGATGAGCGAAGCACGTCATGGGTAATGCAATGGTACGAAATGGATGTGTCACTCGAGCCACTTTTTTGAGGGGAATGATGATGAGTGAGGACAATCGATGGAGGGGGGAGAGTACGAGTCCCTGGGGGGGGAAGAGGGGAAGTCGGCTGTGTGAGTGTGACAGATGAGAAAATCCCCCCCACCGACCAAGAATAGAAAAATCCCAAACATATTCCCAAACCGGCGAGCTTATCAATTCCACGTGCCCGTGCACGGACTGCCGTCAGCTTCTCGAACGTCGCCGCCCTCCAGGTTTATTCAATCTCTGGAACGTCTCAACACTTTTAATTTACTTTGATTGTCTGATTTTCCAGAGGAACCACCCAGGTGGCCAATGGGAGGCGGCGAGGACCTTGTCCAACGCGTCTCAGGAACTGCAAAGCTAAGTTCGTCAGGACGGACCCGCGATTGGGCTGTGTCTGACTGTTTGTCGGCCTGAATCCCGGGCTGGACCAGCCGGTCTCCACCGGTCGATCCACCCCGACGGCGATTTGGCTTTTCAGGCCGGTTCTAGAGCGTTCGCCAACAAAGTTCTGCGCATCCCATGACCTTCTGGCTATCATGGTCTTTGCTCGCCTTCCTCCCGTATATAGACCAGCTCTCCGACAGATTTCAGACATGACGGCCAGACACAAACCAGCCAGTTCTCTATATTCCCCTCGGACTTCTCGCTCTCGCCCTCTCCCATCCTGGGAAGGCATTCTGCAGCTGCCCTTCCAATAGCTCGCGCAGAACCCACACCATACAATGTCCTACACTTCCTCCTCCCGCTTTTCCAAATCGACTTCTCCCGCCCCTCGTACCCGACGACCCTCCCCGTTGGAAAGAACCTCGTTGCATCTCCGCCTCAGTCTGCTCTCCGGCGAGAAATATGAACAGGAAAGCAGTGCCAAGGAACCCGATCTCCGTCGCTGCCTCAGTCATGCCCACATCCACGCCAAGTCCATGGCCATGGTCAAGCGCGACATCCGAGTCCACATCCGCTCCATGGGCATGCCCATGGACGATGACAGCGACGAGGAGACCATTGACCACGAGATTCTCCCTCCACCCCCTCGCCGATCGACGCGCAGCTCTTCCAAGTCCGCGCCTGCCCCACGGGTGACGGCGTCATCCCCCAACTCCAGCGAGAAATCGAGCCTGCTTGACAAGGGCCGCAAGTGCTTGGAGAAGATCTTTCCCCGCCGGAACGGCGCGCACTTGGCTCAGTCCCGAGTCACGGTCGTCGCCTGATCCCAGCCTTGATCGCTTGCTTGTCTCTCTCGGTTAGACATATCCACACCACTACTCATCGGTTTCGTCACCAACACCAATTACCAATGGTTCTTATCCAACCTCGGGGTAATCACGCCATGTCGCGTACCCGCACCCATCCATCCTCTTGGAGTTTGGCCACGTTCCAGACTGCGTCAGAGTCTCCCATCATCCTCCCGCCAGTCCGTCCGCGACTAGCGCGCTCTCCTCCGGTCGAGAGTCTGACCTGACGCGTCTGGGATCCCGAATTCCATCATCCACCATCCACTACTCTTCACATTCTTCCATTTGTGTCCTTGAAGCAGGCTTTGATGATCATATTCGGAAGTTGATATGTGCCTGTCTTTATCTTTGTGTTTTCTTTTGTCTGGGGTTATTTAGCATGCTGGGTTTCTGCAACAGCGATACCAATTTAGAATTTAGAACTTATAGATTAGAATCTTCTCGGCCCGGGGCCTACATTATGAGAATATCATCCAAGCCTCAAATCTATTCCCTTCCAGTGACGTTCATTGCTTATTTCTTAGAACTGCGGACTTCACATTCTCCACCAATCATATTAGCGCGATTCGTTCGGAAACAGAACCATCCAATAACCGCCCACCACTCGGGCATGCGATCAACGGTCGCACTCCTCACCGGCCGGACCTTCATGCCCAATGCGTGTGTTTGATCCTCCAATTCATCACACTGCAAACAACCCGCCGATCTTTGACACCATTGGTGCGCCACCTGGCGCCGACCAACTCAACGGACTCGGGCCGGGGGGGATTATTGAGGTGCTCTTGCAGCGGCTACGCGATATTCACCCGGATGGCGATAGGCCGAGGGTTCCTATCGATGGATGCCGGCACAGCTGCATCATGCATGCAACCCCCTCCTGGCCTGCGTTAACCGAGACGACTGTCGGTCAGAATGATGACTGCCTTTCCCGGAACACGTTGCGGTCGGACCGACATTCTCGGTGCAGGTCTCGCGAGAGTCGATGAGTATCAAAGCGCTGGTTAGGGAAGATGCCACTTCCCTTCATATGACGCGTCTATAGCGGAATTGTTTATTTCCGTGGACCAATAACTCCCAGCAGATAACATTGCCTACACACATAAAATAAACGCTAATCTGAAGGATACATCCAAATATCAACATCCAAGGCAAATGAAATGTCACGGACTGATTGATAGGGCTGTTTGAAAAGTATGGTATAGCATTTGGATGACTCCGCGCTATCCGCCAGCGGTCGCGCGGTGTGAAACATCAGTCGGTCGCATGCTACCATGGTTATATGACATCTTGGAGTTCGATAAAAGGTCCGTCAATGAAAACGACGAGCCAACCGGAGAAGTGAAGTGTGGCATGGGCGGTTATGAGTAGTACATCAAGAGCATCCTCGGTTTGTCTTCAGAGGTGGGGAAGAAACGTCCAATCCACAGTGCGATAAGCGCTCGCGTCGAGGGCTCTCAACCCGACAAAGGCCTCGACAATCAAATAAAGTCTTGCAGCCGCATATGTGCAAGCGAGGGGAAAGATGCTCCAGAACTCAGCTTTCAGCGGCAGTTCTTTAGGAGTCTTGACTGACTCTCTGGCCAGTCGTGCTTGCTCCACGTCCGCCAACTTGGACTTCCAGAATATCATACAGAAGAAGCGCTGCCAGCGTCCTATGCGGTACCAGGCAGCCGACGTTTCAAAGACCCAAAAAGCGACCGTGTTTCCGAACAAGAACATGCTGCTTACCCTCCACAGGATGAGCTCGATCGGTGTTGGGAATTCAAAATTCCAGCCAATGAGATGGATGGACGCATACAGCAAGGTTGCCACGCAGAGGATTATTTCCTGATAGCCCTTGAGGTCAGGAAGTCGGTCGTTTCCAAGTCGTGGGATCGGTCGCTCGAAGGGTGCGACGGGCATCTTCATGAAGGGCTGGACATTCAAAGACCAACTCGGAAGCAGGTCATCAATGAAGTCCAGTGGTGTCTGTTTGTACGGTCTCATGGCAAGCTCACCGGCTTCTCTGCGTATCTCCTCTAGGCTAAAGTGAAGCTCCAGCCTAATCGGCGTCCGCACATCGCTGGGCTTATGGAGCCAACAGAGACTCGTCATAATCGAACAGACCACAATGGCAAGAGCCGACAATTCTAGTGTTGTGATGGTGAGACCCTGAGCTGAGCGACCCAAACACTGAAGAAGCATCCAGCTGGTCTGCATACAGCTAACTACTTTCGCAACTGTATCTTGCTTGGACCGATCGGTTATTTCTTCTGAGGTGACCTCTGGGAAAGGGAGGTAACCATGGACTACCAGCCAATGTATGTGCTTGGCGGTTATCGGAAATGGAGGGCTGTCCGGCGACACGAGATAGAAACCACCCATGTCGGCAAAAAGCCCATGTCGCATTGTCCATTGATGGTATCCGGAAGCCTTGAAGGCCCGAACCGAGTCTCTGGCCCTGCCCCATTGCGCACTGGCATAGGTAAGGACAAACTCGGGACCAGATATCGCTACTGCCATCCAGAACAGGCGCCGACGAATGATATCCCACGGCTTCTCATTTTGTGCAGGCACGTTGAGACACAACATTGTGTAAGTGCAGATGAAGATGGTGAACAAGCCCGACCATATGATATCAATAGTTCCCCGACAGTCCGGTTGATAGACCCATCCATAAATGAGTCTATGGTTGGTTGCAGTCACAGTAGTAGAAGTCGTGACGCATGTTGTGTTGTTTGACATCGGACCCACCTTTGCATGGAGAAGGGCCCCTTGTCATGTGATATCCTTGGACTAAGAGACAAAGCAAGAGGAGAGATAGCACGAGAGCATGAGATATATTTCGAAATGTGTCTCCGAGTATAACGCAGGCGATTGAATAGGACGCCGTGTCAAAGCAGCTGAGAAGTCGCTGTTTGGAGATCTTTGCATCCATGTCTGGGGCGCCGGTTGGAAGGACTTGATATAACCACATGGTAGGGTCGCATGTCCAATATGTTGTCGCAGCTGAGAATCCATCCTTGCCAGGCATGAATCGTTCCCCTCCATGGCGCACCTATGGCCGGTGCAGCTGGTGTATGATCCCGAGCCTTAGATACAGATGCGCTACGTGGGAAGCACCTGTTTGGTGCCAACGACAAGGGGAAGGATAAATTTAGCTGAAACCGAGCACCCCAGAGAGTTCTGTCGACAAACACGACCTCCTTTAGCGCCTGTGGGACAGGAAAATGAATCCCATATAGGGCTGGATGTTGTAGAGGGGGGTTGACCCCCCAACAAGTGGCTCGGAACGGCCAGGCAAGCCCGTGCACTAACCCCGGTTGAGCTCCTCCAGGCGGGGGCTCGATCGCCAATTCGCCAGCCTCAGCGGCTAACTTGCTCAGGGACCCCTGTCGGTTCCCGTCCCTGGCGATGCGTGATAGGCCAATGGTTCTCATCCTTGGGCGGCAAAGCTGCCCTCATGCATGCAACCCCCAAAGCCCCTCTTCGTGGGCGCGGTGGACACAGCTCGATCATTCCGGTCAGACAAGTCTCCCCAGAATCACATCTCCCCAAGCATTCAGTACATCTGAACAACAACCACCCCCCATTCTGTTCCCATCATCCCAAGCAGGAAACACCCAATATTCAACATGCAATCATCTTTTGCCGAAAGTCCATCAATAGCGGAAGTATTGCCGCGGCATCGGAAAACGTCCCCATTCCCACCGGTAGCGGTGGTGGAAGAGCCAGCAACACCGGAGAAGATCCGGTTCGGGGACAGTGACCCAGTCCTGCTATCTTATGAGGAGATCCCCGAATGGTACCAAGACAATGAGTCCATCCAGCATGGCTATCGCCCCGTCTCCAATTCGACCCATGCATGCTTCGCCAGCTGGCTGTACCTGCACAATGAAACGGTGAATATCTATACCCATTTAGTCCCGGCCGCTTTTTTCCTCGCAGCGGAAGGCATGTTCTATCAATACCTCCAAGCCAGGCACCCCGAAGCCACATTGGGCGATCATGCGGTCTTTGCCTTCTTTCTTTTGACAGCCGTTATATGCCTTGGCATGTCGGCGACGTATCATACCTTGATGAACCACTCCCTCCATGTCTCCGACTTGTGGTTGAGACTCGATTTCGTTGGGATTATTGTACTCACTATGGGGGACTTCGTCTCCGGAATCTATATGGTATTTTACTGCGAGCCTATGCTAAGACATATCTACTGGGGCATGGTATGTTATTATCGCGGCTCTGACACATCGGCGCTAACCGATCCTTGCGAAGATCATCACCCTCAGCTGTGTGACCATCTTGATCCTTGTGAATCCAAAGTTCCAAGGTCTTCGTTGGCGTACCTTTCGTGTCTGCACGTTTGTTGGTACGGGACTGTCAGGTTTTGCGCCTCTCATCCACGGTATCAGCGTCTTTGGGTTTGCCAAAATGATGGAGCAGTCCGGCATGCCATATTACCTCGGTGAAGGGGTCCTTCTTATATTAGGTGCATTTTTCTATGCGGTCAGTACTTCACTCATGAAATTAGATACATCTAGGACAAGATACTCATGTTATCTTGCAGATGCGAATTCCTGAATCTCTGAGGCCTGGGAAATTCGATATCTTTGGCTCTTCTCATCAGATCTTTCACATTCTCGTCGTCCTCGCTACTGCGGTGCAGCTGATTGGTATTCTGTCCGCATTTGACTACAACTATAGGCACCGAGAATGTAGACACCCGTAAAGTGGTGCGTGTTGTACCCCAGGGTACCGTTGACTTTTAGGTCATGCTTTATGGTGGTTTGTATGTTTTGGAGTGCCTCAAGGCCATGCTATCATTTTCTATGTGACTTTTTTGTGCCTTTATATCCTGCTAGATCTCTCAGTACTGTCTAGATGTTTGATTCTGATGCAAGCCAGGCTAGCTCTGATATGTTCGTCCCTGTTTACTTCGGCTAGATGATGGCATACAAATAGAACAGTCAGTCATACAATTAGCCTCTCTGATCTGCTACACATATATACCAAGACTAGACAATCTATCCCACGAAGTGATTAGTCCCGCAAGAATCTACCAATAACTCATGCGCAGCGCATACTCAAAATCCAACGTCGCAAACCCATTCCTCGTCTCCCTTTCAAACTCCTTCAACGTTCGCGGCCCGAAATACAAATCCAACTGATCTTGGATGCCCCCCTTAAACTGCACCGCCTGTTCACGTATTTTCTCTAAATCAAACCGCTCCGGCGGCACTGAGCCCCCCGAATGAGCTCCATCCAGCAGAATAACATGAGAAATCACATTCTTCAAACTTGAATAAATTTCAAATGCCATAAAGATGCCCATGCTGTGTGCGTAGACTACCTTTTCGGTCTGATCGTGCTGCAGACCAAAGCAATCGAGAACCTCGGCGCATAGTCGGAGGATGAGCTTGGGGATCCCGCCTTTTTCGGGTTCCGGGAGAGCTGATTTGGGGGATTGGCCATGTCCGGGGAGGTCGATGGCGATGTACAGGTCTCCGGGGGTCTCGGGGGTGAGGCTGTGGGTAGTGAGATGGGTGATTAAGGGGATGTAGTGGGTTGCCTGGCAGCCCCAGCCGTGGATCATGAGGGAGAGGCGCTTGATCGGGGCATTGTGAGAGGGGATGGGAATGTTGGTGAGATAGGAGAGGTGGGTGGAGGGGATACGGTGCGATGGATTGCCATGGTTAGGATTGAAGTGCGTGCCTGTAGGCTAGTTTGTTGAACTGGATGGATTAAATGTAGGACAGATTGGCTAGTTCATTACTAGCTTAGCTGCCTGGTGGAAATCACTTGATCTCGGCCGCCGGAGATCCGCCGGTCGCCATCTTTCATATCATTCGGCTTCCATCCATCAACTCAGACGCAACTTCATCACGCGCAGAAAGGTATACAATCAGAGCACCATTTGCCATTTCACTTTCTTCTCCTTTACCATGCCCAACACCCCCACGGGCAAGAACTTCTTGTCCACCAGGTTGATGCCTCCCAGACTGTCCATCACCTCGCCCGCATACAGTTGCAGATTCCACCACTCTTCCTCGTCCAAGTCATCGATCTGCTCATAGGTAAGGTTCTCGCCGATGGCACTCCTGATTTCTCGTGTTGGGCAGATTCCCTGGAGGCGCGGGACTTGCATCAACCTCTCATATAACTGTTGGAGACGACCACTCCTGGATTCGCGAAACTGAACGAATTCCTCAAATGACATAAATGTGCTGATTTCCCTCTCCGTTACCAAGGGTGGGTTGAAATCCCTCTCGGCAATGCATATTTTCAGGGTCTGACGGCGTTTCTTGTCGTTGAGCCCTTCGAATTCTTTTTTCCTCTCCGCGTACGAGATCCGCTCTTCCGCCAGAAATTGTTCGGTCCTCTTGCGTGGCGGGTCACTCATGATATTCTGCACCAGGAAAACGGATACAAATGGGTTGCGTAGGCCGAGGCCACCCAGTTCTTCGGGGAAGAAAAAGAACGCATCCGGGATGTTGATCGCCCCAAATCGCGACGTGATCATGGTCCGCAGGTGCTCGGGAATACTGGTGCCCCCTGTTTCTGGGTTCCCGAATATTGTCTCTTGAATCTTTCTATAGGTGGTGAGAATGGCCCGAACATGGGGCTCCCCGAAACAGTAGGCGGGCTGGCCGAAGGTGTTCTTGAAGAACCGTCCGATGCAGCTATTCCAGGTGCGCACCCAGGAGATCACGCTATCGCAGCGCTCGAGCTGCTGCCTGAGTTGTTGGACGTGTGCATCGACGGGGCCCTCGTCGATCACCCAGGTTTCAGTGTCGGCGTCGAGTTTCAGAAACCCAAACGTAACCGCACCCTTGGGTAGTCGAGCAGCAATTTTGGGGTCTCTTGACTTCGCCAGATAGGCCGATCCTGTCTTGCTGTGGTTGAACTCCAGCCTTGTTACTTGGGCAAACTCATTCATCACCTCCCAGGCTTGCACACACTGCGCCGGCTCACCACACAGCCACAGGTCGTCATGCAGACGGTATAGGAGCATCCCCGTGTTGCGATTTACTGCCAGGTCCATGAAAAAGAGAATCAACTCACCAAGTAGCTTTTCAGAAGCATGAGAGAAGGGGATGCCTCGCTTCCGGATGCGCGGTCCGACCGGTTCACGTCCTTCGCAGGAGCTGTCCATGTTCAGGGGTGCTTCCAGGTAACGGTGATAGAAGTCGATCCACTCTTGTGGAAACCAAATATACTTCATAACCGCGATAATCGTGCTGTGAGGGAGACAGGTAGCGTACCACTTCATGTCCGACTGGACCACCGCGGCTGCCCCGTGCATATGTCGATGGAGAAGCGCCTCCGTGGCGATTTTGCGCAACAGCAACTGTCGAAAATTATCTGGCCTGGATCCCGCTGGACGGCTCCCAGTGTCTTCATCGTGGTCGTCATACGAATTACCCTTCTCACTTAACGTTGTCTCAGACGTTGGAAGCTGAGACAGGAAATATTTCTGCAGATAATCCTCTTTTCGCGTTCTCTCAACCGTTGTCCGGGGTATATCAGAGGGCACATAGTATATCCGTCGAAAGTGATCGCGCGCCGTCGGCTGAGCCTCGGGCCTCCAATTCCACACCGATTCCAGTTCAATAAATCCCGTCAAAAGTTCCTTCAGGCGGTTACAGAGTCGTGTACCAATGTACTGCAGGAAGATCAGCTGCAGGAGATCCTCATCCATCCAAATTCGATATTTGCCATTTGCCTGCTGCCGGGGTACCACGGGAATACCTTCCTCGCGGGCATGCCAGGCCCAGTTTTCCAAGTCCCCATATCTCATATTCAACACATCAGCAATCTCGGTCAAGGCGACGGGTGTCTTGAGGAATGACTTCATGATGGCACGCTTTTGCTCGCTGAGGAGGTCTGCGTTCAACAGCCCGCGCACACAGTTCGCCACCGCGCCCGGGCTGAACGGTTCCTCCTCTCGCCAGAATGTCAGGGTATCATCCGTGACCTGCTTGCGAAGCTCATTCAAGGCGTTCATACTCTCCTCATCCGGGAAGAGCTGGTCGAGGAACGTCCGAATCTGCGACTCGCTCGTCTCCAGCGGCTCAAATACGGATGCATCGAATGGATCGCACAGTTGCTGCAATCGCTGCTTTTGTCGCTCATCAACGACCAAGTAGTCATCGTCGATTGCCACGTCTGGCCCTTCTTGGCTGGGTGCAGTGGGGTCCACCCATTCTGTCAATAAGCGCGAGTATAAGTCGGCGAGGTCTAGCTTCCGGCTTTGAGCATTGAAGTCTATTGAGGAGCTGAGTCTCGAACTCCTGAAGTTTGGTTGGTGGGATTGACGAGTCATAGGTGGACTGATGAATCCAGCGCTCAATGTTGGCTATCGTTAAGTCGGTGGATGCTGACGGGTATAGCTCCTTTGCTCCGTCGAGGAGGCGTTGGAGTCGCTGCTGGGGGTTCTGGGTGACATGGGCAGCCTCCAGGACGGCTAATTTGCGGGTTTCAATGTTTCGGCGCCGCTTGTCGAGCTCACGAATTTTGCTCTCAGTCAGGGACTGCAGGGTCTTCGAGAGAGCGGAAACAGCGGGGGCCATGATCGATTGCACGGAGTATTTTCAGAGGATTGGTTCAACTTGAGAAAGGCTGTTTGTTGGCTGTGTCCATGTCATTTGGACGGCCACTATATATTTCTCCCCACGGCTTGGCAAACACTTCTGCCGCGCTTCTGCCTGCGCTTCTGCCTGGCGATCGGCATGCCGCTTGGACCTGCAGCGCATTCTATTCCATCTCTCCCCCCCATTGGTCGGTCTGCAAGGGATGGTAGCATCGATTGGGTTTACTTTTAGTTGATAAAGAAAGATTTGAGGACCTGGAAAAAGACGACATCCATAATGACGACTGCAACGAGGATCCTACCCTACTTCTCGATACTATACTTGGCCAGTCCCTCTACCCATTCCTGATGCCCCAATAGCATCGGATTCGGTTTCTTCCCTGCCAAACCAGCCGCCGGTTTCCCCGCCTGCACCTCCTGGGTCAAGATGCGCACCACCCCCCACTCCATATCCTCGATAATCCACGCATGATAGACCTCCAGTGCTGTCTCCTCGTCACCCTCCTGCCACGCGCGCCACGCCAACCGACCCGGTGAATTGGATGTCGGCGCCACCGATTCACACACTTCTGCTTGGAGCGGCGGGAAGCCGAATGTAGCGAAAGTGAATCTGTCGCCCTTGTTTTGAATGGTTGGGCCAGAGGAAGGGGGTGTTATTTGGTCCACGTTGGAGTAGTAGGATGTCCAGCGCGCGGGGTCGACGAGGTTTGGCCAGACGCGGGCGGCTGTTAGCTGGGGGACGAAGATTTCGTTGGACACGAAGTTTTCGGTGGTGCCGGGGAGGAAGCGATGGGGCCAGGTGATGGTGGACATGTTGATGGTGCAATCCGTACAGTGGTGTGCTATGCGGGTCGATGATTCTTTGGTGTTGGTGGAACGATGAGGTGGTAAAGGCGCGGATAACCAGAAGACTGAACTTGCCAGCCCGCTAAACTTGCATGGTTTGATGAGGACGGGGGAAGGGGGATAATATATGTTGGTGGAGGATATTGCGTCATGATGGTTTAACCCGGTGGCTGGCTGACTGTCATGGATGCGATCAATCCGAGGCTGCCGATCCGTGGATCTGCCACGGCACCAGAGCTTAACAGTGGCACCATACTGTCTGTTCAACTATATTATTGACAACTAAGTTAACATGCTAACACAGGTATAATACATTCATCATCGGTCATGCCAAAATTATACCAAGAACTGCTTAATCAACACATTCAGCTGCGCCGTCATGCCAGCATACATCTCCTGGCGCTTGGGCTCAAAGGCATCAAAGATCTCCTTGGCCGACCCGACGGCAATCTGCTCCTCGCCCTGCTGCAGCTGTCCCCAGACCTCTCCAACAAACTCGTTTAAGGGCATACCAATCAAGTGGCCGTCCTTCAGGTCGGGCTGGTGCTTCGCATCATGCAGCTCCGTCTGCACCGCCGGAGGGAAAATCTCAAACACCTTGACGTTTCCGGGTCCCTCGCTAACCTGGGTGCGCAGCGCAAGGATGAAGTGGTGCAGGGCCGACTTGGAGGCGCCGTAGTTGGGGCAACGCATCATGGGGACCAGCGCCATCTGCGAGGTGGTGAACATGAGGCCGGTCGGCTTGTTCTGGGCCTGGAGGTGAGGCAAGAAAGCCTTGCTGAGGTAGACGGGGGCGGTGTAGTTGGTGACGAGCTCTTGGTCGAAGATGCTGAGGTCGACGGTGGCGGGCTGGGAGAAGTCAAAGGGGCGCTGGATACCCGAATTGACGAAGACGAAGTCGATCTGGGGGTTTTCGGCAAGGACTTCGGAGGCAAATTGGGGGATCTGTGGGATTAGTTGGATCAATAATTATGGAGGTAAAGTGGGAGTTACCTTCTCCAAGTTTGTCACGTCAAACACCTTGGTCTTGACCTTATCCGGGCCGTACTGGGCGGCGAACTCGTTCAGGTTGGCGTCGCGCCGGCCGGCGATAACGACAGGGATGTTGTTTTGCACGAGAATGGTAGCCAGGGCATGTCCAATGCCGGAGGTGGCGCCGATGATGAGGACTTGGGAGTAGTTGAAAGGCATGTTGAGATGAATTGAAGGAGGATGAGAAGGGTTGGAGGTAATGGGGTGGAAGATGAAGGAGATGGAGGCTGATGGATGCAAGGAGACTGACTATTTAGCCGGTCCTATGGCCATATTTATGTCCGAGAGACCTGTGAGAGATTTCTGGATGGGGGCGTTCTGAATAATCGCCATCGGATGAGACTTTCGGGAATCTTCTCGGACCCTGCCTCAGGCGGCCCCAAGCGATGGGACTCGTTCCGCTCCGGGTTTAGTCTCCGTCAGTTGCTCAACTTTAAATCCGCCAGCGGACACTAGTCCTATTCAGGCTAACTGGTACTGGTCGATCAGGGCTTGCCAATGTGACATCATGGTCAGGCAACCCCGAGTCGACATGAAAAGGTGAGCTGCATGAGCATTGGCTGTTTTATCGCTTATTAGCTAACTATAGAAAACCAATTAATGTATTCTGCGGCTATACGACAAGTCTTAAATGGGACGTTTGAATGACAGCAAATTGGAGCACTCACCACCGATATGCCGAGCGGCCCTGACAAGATCCCCATACTCCACCTTCCCCGACCACTTCTCCATCAAGCTCAGTCCTGATAATCAATTCCGTGGTTTCCGACAGGCTTTTTTTGCATTATTCAGCCGAATTAATCATCGGCTTTGGCTTTTCGAAGATGCGGTCCTCCACAGCGCGCAGAACGGGCTGTCCAAATGTGGTTTAGCCTCCGCTCGGGAAAGCTTGGGCGGACTCTAAACTCTTTCCGGCCGGGCTGGCGGACGCTCATTTGTCATCGGTGTCTGCCTTATATCCATCATCTCGAACAGCATATAAATACTGGTAGACTATCATTCACTTCAATCCTCATCAATTCTTCACCTTGAAGCTCTATCCACCATCTTCCCACATACCACCCCTTCACTTCATCCTCCACAATGGCTCCTCAACTCGCATGGCTTGGCCTCGGCAACATGGGCAGAGTACATCCCCCTCTCCCATCTCCTCCATCGAATCCATACTAACCACCCATGAACAGGGCATGGCCAAGAACCTTGCAGCAAAGGGCACCCCCAGCCTCCCCCTAATCATCTACAACCGCAGCGTGGCCCGCGCACAAGACTTCCAAGCTGCCACCCCCAACACGATGGTCGCTCCCACCATCTCCGAAGCCGTCACCAAATCGGACATCATCTTCACCTGTGTCGGTGATGACGCTGCCATTCAATCCATCGTCGACGCCAGCATCGCTAGCGGCTCCCTCCAGAACAAGCTCTTCGTCGACCTCTCCACCGTCCACCCGGACACCACCACCTCCATCTCCACCAAGCTCCAATCCCACGGCGCCTCCTTCGTGGCCAGCCCCGTCTTCGGCGCTCCTCCCATGGCCGCCGCCGGCCTCGTCATCGCCGTCCTCGCAGGCCCCCGCTCCGCCGTCGACCAAGTCAAACCCTACACAACGGGCGTCATCGCCAAATCCATCGTCGACTTCAGCGACCAGCCCCCCGCCAAGGCCTCCCAGCTCAAGATCCTCGGCAACACCTTCGTGCTAGGCATGGTGGAGAGCATTGCGGAGGGTCTGGTCGTGGCCGATAAATGTGGTTTGGGAACCGACGCCCTGCACCAGTTCTTCGAGGCCGTGTTCCCCGGTCCGTACGTGGCTTATTCGGCCCGTATGCGCTCCGGCGATTACCATGAGCGTGCGGAGCCGCTCTTTGCAGTGGACTTGGCCAGAAAGGATGCTCGTCATGCACTCGACTTGGCTGCGAAGTCGGGTGCTACCATGAAGGGCGTGGAATTGGCGGATACGTATATGGCCAAGGTCAAGGAGCATATGGGTACCCGGGGTGATGTGGCGGGGATGTACGGAGCTGTGAGACAGGAGGCGGGATTGAAGTTTGAAAATAAGGAGTAGACATAGATACCATGACTATGGTAGGTTAGATTCGGTTATGAGTTATGTTTGAATTAGATTAATTCTTTGAGATGTACCTATCTACCACTTCCCTTTCCATAGGGACATTCTCCACAACAGCAACTATGCTCAAACAACAAGCACAACCCCCTACTTAATCCATCTACCAAAACAAACCGACACCCTAGATATCAAACCACATACAGAATGTTAAAAGCACATCCCTAAATCCTACTCCCAAGTTCTGCGCATAGTTATTAACCATATACCAGACCCACAGTACGCGACCTACCTACCCACCTACATCCATCCTTACGAACCGAATCAAATCAATTCAAGCGGCGAATGATAACAATGAAATAAATAACCTATCTATCCATTCTATCAAACATGCAAAACCAAAAAAAGGAAAAAGAAAAAAGAAATCTCCCCGACTGGGAGTCGAACCCAGGTCTCCCGCGCTTGTTCCTGTTAAGGATTGACAAGCGGAAATCATGACCGTTAGACCATCGAGGATTAGATATTATTAGGGCAGTATATTGTGATATATTACAGGGGAGGAGTGTTTATAGAATATAGAAAGGACATTAATGGAACTGTGGGTTTGGATTGTTTGGATTGGGATTGTCATGGGTTCGGTTGTGTAAGTAGTGTTAGGAGGGGTCTCTCGCTTTCTTTGTATCTACTTATTTTTTATAAAGTGGGTAGGGGTTTGGTTTTTATTATTTGGTTGTAAAAGGTGATTGGGTTGGGGAGATGATAATTATGGGATATTATGTAGATGATTTCACTGAATGCATTCTCTGTGAAGTATGTAGAATGGAAAATCAAATAAGAGTGATAATCACCATATCTCAACCATCTCCTCATCGTACAACTCCAACCCCAAAGAGCGGAACCACGCATGCATCATAAAACTATTTGCGACTTTGCCATTGAGCTCCGGTGGCAGAGTAAGTCCCCATAGCCGCTCTCTCATTCGGAGGTGGGTCTCGAATTCTTGAACGTCCCAGTGGCAGGATTCATCAAGGGATGGTCTCTGATCCAATCCATTTTGCGGCGAACCCATCCTCACAGCATCGCAGAAGTTGTTGTAATGAGTGGTCCACCTCCCAGCCAGTTGGCTACCCGGAAACGATGTCCAGCATCCCCTAAACACAGAGTCAGTGTATTCGAACATCCTCAATAACTGCTCTGTTGTCTGTGCCCATTTTAGGATATCTGGGAGATGCGCCAGTATCTGATTGAGAATAGGAGACCAATGGGGCGAGGGTGGTGTGTGTTCGGGGTTGATGCGATGCAGAAATGACCAGCAGAATTGACGTAGATCCCATGTATATGTGGATGGGAAATCTCTGCCGCAGTATTTTATGAGTAAGTTTCCATATCTTCTCATAATGGATTCGCCTTGTCGGTCGGTGGCATCCAATCTATTGACTTCTTGGAGAAGTTGCCAGATGGCTTCCTGATCGCGAAACATCCAGCCGAGTTCGCGGCTCAGTGTGTTCCATGTTTCTCTTAGTTTAGCTTCATGCAATACTAGAGGTGATAGCGATATCATTGAGAAGCTCAGGACCCGGTCCCGAATGGTCGAGAAGACAGGGGGTGTGTGATCGGCCGAAGCTTCCTGGATAGCTTGTTGTAGGATTAGGTGAAACTCCTGGATCAAATTATTCTCTTCCAGGGAGAGCGGCGAGACGGTATGATGTATATCATTCGAATTAGGCCATGGCACTAACAGACTCCGAGTAGGAGGCGCCCCGAGCGAGAGAGTGCATGCCGTTACAAGAGTATACCCCCCCGAGACAGGATTGTTTCTGAGAATGATGGGACTGCCACACCCACCCAGGATAAACAATCCGTCCTCCTCAGGCTGGTATTCCGGATCCGGAACAGTGATTATCAGGTTTGTTCTTTGTTCAAGTAATGAACTGACATGCGCATAGCGCTTGAATCGCTGGACTGTTCCCTGGATATTGCAGAGTCTGATGGCCCGTGTCCGCAGGACTGACGTATTCGTGCTCTTATGAACATCACATTCATGGTCAAGTAAGCCAGTAAAGAGCACATGCATTAAACCCGGTAGCACATTATCTTCCTCATCGAGCAAATCTTCGGATTGTGTGAGTATATCCGGGGTGCATGCTTGAGACCAGTCCGGAACCCAGGATGGAAGGTCGAACAACTTCTTCCGCCCAGCTAACCTGAGCACGTCCATGGCGTCACAGTATTTGACAAGGTATTCAGTGAGTCCAGTATATACCCTCTCAATAGGAACCGTATAGTCAGGGACGAGTCCACTTTCCGCTATCAAGCCAAGTACGGCAAAGATTTTGTCACGCGGGTCGAGGCACTTGTATGGTAATGCCTGGATTAGTATCCCTGAAAGGTCTCGATCAGTAAGCCCATACCACTTCTGATCTCGGAACAGCCAGTTTGGTATAGAAAGGTCTGGAGAGGCTTGTGTAAAAGGCATCTTGGGCCATGGCGCAAATTGCCTGCCACAGACTACTTCAAACTCCCGAGCTAACAGGACTTCTTGAACGGCCCATATCCTGAAAAAATATGGCCGGTTTAGAAGGCTTTTCAAGGCGCTTTGAAGATCCTTGTCAATATGCATTTGACCAACTGTCACGCCTGGTCCAGCCATTGCAGTGCTCTTGAGAAAACCCATGGCTTCGGCACTGTCTGCTGTTTCATCCCCTAAATAGGCTATGACGCTGGTCGCTCTTTGATAAATATGGCTTATCAAAGAGACTTGCTGGCTCTTCTCTTGCAGGTCTGCTGGGTTGATACATAATGAGTCCACCCAGAGTAGTCGGTCCACCGCCTCATCCCGAATGGATCGCAGCGCTTGCTCGCAAGTGTACGGCACGTAGACAACGTCCCAGTAGGTGCCCACAAACACCGGACGAAACTCGTCTCTGTCCCCCGTTTCGTTGACAGACGTGTACGATAAAGCCTCATATAACGGCACTGGAGAATGATTAATGCGCACAACTTCCAGCTCGGCATGCAGAGGACTGTCAAAAGTGCCAGCCTTCAGCCGTATTAGGCGTATACCGTCTTTAGACGTGATCTTTGGGAACCCCAGTCCTCGTAAGTCCGAGCTTGGCGAACCATTTTGGTGCTCAGTCTGGCCTTGCTTCGAACTTCCCTCGGGTATTTGGCCCTTCTGGCTAACGACTGATGGCCAGGCTAGATCGTAACTGTAACTTTCCAGTGGAGAAGAAGTAGGCAGCGTCGGACTTTCTTCAAATGTGGGGACAGCGAAGCAGTAGTTACAGCATATTATGCCGCTAGCGGCACTGACGTCTGGTCGTCGGCATCCGGACTCGTGCCATCGGTTCATTATGCATTTGATCAGGGAGGCAGAGGTGAAGGAAGGAAGTTGAGGCTGAGGACGTGGGGAATGGAGGGGTATGGAGGGGCGGATCTTTCACGCGCCCGCTAGTGTCAACATGTGACGCGTCAGCCTTGTGGCTCTTCATCGGATCAATGCGAAGCTTACAGCTCTCTATTGGATCAGTCCGAGGCAATGAGCCATGTCATAGGCAAACCACTATGCAATGAGACCGTTCACGATTAAATCGTCTCTCAGTAGACCTCGAGCAATCTGCACCCCTCCCACCTATAGGAAGAAACACCAATAATACTACGTCCGGTAAGGTCACACAAAAGCCCGCCATCTCAGCAGACTAATTCGCAGCTAATTCGACTCGACTGACCTCTGTGAAGAGATCAGCAGCTCAATGATTACAGTTGGTGCATTCCTAACTGTTGTAGACGAAGGTGAACCCAAGTGGATCTCTCGCTATTTTCTCGTCCACGGTAGTACTCCTTCTACCGTATATAGATAAAGAGAAGCCTCCAGTGACGGGGGATCATCTCAGTTTAGGAACGCAAGTTCTGTTCAGTGTTTGCTGGTTTCAAGTTGCTTCTGTAGTGCCGACCAATTAATCCTTCCAGATAGAATACCTTCCACACCGACTAATTGCTCATGTGGACTTTCACTCACCGTCCTCTGATCTTCAGCTGCACTGTCGATCCTCGTCATTCAGAACAGCAGATTGCCCTCCTCAGACAGGAGTCTCGGTAGAGAGAGCGTGGAATCTCAAGCCGGCAATAGTACCTTGAGCTTTGAGTTGTTTAAGATATGTACTCCGGGGCCCCGAGAAGCGCCGCCCGCGGAACCCAGACCTCGGAAGCGGCAGGCACGCTATATGGATATATAGAACGGTCATGCCCTAATTATTATTATAGTGTACACTTGAGTTGGTTTTACGTCGTCTTGTATCATATCAAGTAGACACATTTGTCGAAGATTATCGTTGATACAAGGTCGCGGTTCTTATCATAGTAAGAAGCTATGGCTCGCCCCAATGGAAGATCCATTGGTGTCATCTTGTTGCGATATACATGCTGTACAGACATCGAGTCAGGATTGGCCTGTGGGAAGCGATATCTTGAGAGCAATCAGGACCACCCTCTGAGTGATGGTAGATATGCAAAACCATCACCACTGGGTAGTCGAATACTTAGCAAACGACCATGGCTTGACAGGAAAATGGAATTCTCTCGCTGCTTCCCCATGCAATTGATTCCCACACAGCCCAAAAAGTTGGCCAATGAGTGTACTAGTACTGCCACCCGTCTAAATCGACTGTCATCAAAGCCGTCAATCTCAAAAAGCCTGAGACGCGCCGCCGGGTCGACACTTCGAACAGTATGGAAGTTGTAGCGGGGTATTGGGCGGTTGGACCAGCAGTTTAATATCGGAAACCCCCGCTACTGGCGGTCTAAGTATGCTTTGCCCCACACTTATGGACACTAGTATGGGTCAGATTCGTTTTCAGTACTGTGTATTATCGCCGTAAGAAGTGGGTGGCTAACTGGGTTATGGCATGTTGGTTATGGGAGACTGTTTTACTATCAACAAGAGTTAGCTTTTGTCCGGGTCAGCAGAGAGCAAGGCATGGGGTAACCGAGATTGTAAGGGACAATCAACGAAGGCCTGCTAAGTGCTAGCCAGTCATACCATCCGAGCCGATTTTCCAGATTGAGCAGTGGGCCCCATCGGATTCGAGGCCAAGATAGTCCGCATTGGCCTGGCAACTATCCCTGCAAGTCCACGTAGAAATTTACCCCAACCGATCTAGACCCGACATCGTGTCAAACAATCTACTTTGGCGGCTAAATCGGGGAAGCATTTTGTGACCCGCGCATAGAAGTTGGTTGTTGGTCGATTCGTCAGGGCTGTATAAATAGCCGCCACAGTACCTTTTCTTTGTCCAAAGCGGGCTTCTGACTATCTATTTCTAAAAGTGGGCCAGGTAGTGACCATGAAGGGATACTTGTCTTTAGGCCTAGCCACCTCGCTGGTGGCATCGGGCACGTCTGCACAGAGTGCCTCGAGTGTTGGAATCTCGTCAAGTGCAGCAGCGGCGACTGTTACGAGTCCCTCTGCTGCACCACCCTTATTCCCGGGTGAATCGGTCCAACTGACCGATGATGTCTTGACTAAGGCTACTACCGCCCTGAACAATGAGACTCTGTCGAGGACGTTTAGTTTCGGGGTGTCCAACACGACTAGCGTCAACGGAACTCGCGGCCATGTTTGCAAGGTCATGCCAGGCGATGCGGCGTGGCCTACTGAATCTACCTGGGAAGTTTTCGATCAGTTGCTCGGTGGAAGTCTGATCAAGCCTGTGCCTTTGGCAGCCTACTGCTACCCAGACTGGCCGGAGTATGATGTGGAAAAGTGCTCTGAGGTAGTATCAGATTGGCTTGATTCTTATCTGCAGGAAGTTGATCAGTTCCAAACCCCACATCAAGGCATAGTCACGTTAAGATGCACCAAGCTACGATGACCCTACCTCTATCATGCTACCCCTGTATGAGGGCCGCTCATGCATGCCCACTGGGTACAATTACACCAGTACATGTACGCAGGGTGCGTACCCAACGTACGTTGTCAATGTGTCCACCGTTGCCGAGATTCAGCTGGCCGTGAATTTTGCCCGCAACCAAAACCTTCGCCTGGTGGTCAAGAACACTGGTCATGATTTCAACGGGAAGTCGTCTGGTAAAGGAGCTCTGTCCATCTGGACACACTGGTTCAAGGACAAGGCATTTTACCCTGTATTCAAGGCTGACAATGGCTATTCTGGGCCCGCCATGAAGCTCGGTACCGGTATTCAAGCCTGGGAAGCGTATGAGTTCGCAAAAGTTTCCAATGTGACCGTCATCGGAGGTGAAGGTGCTACCGTTGGTGTTGCTGGTGGCTACACATTTGGCGGAGGGCATTCGCCACTAAGCAGCATGTATGGCATGGCAGCAGATCAGGTCTTGGCGATGGAAGGTTTCTTGCCCTTTGACTCAGACCTCACCCACCAGGATCAAACGCTGATAATTGATAGTTGTTTTGGCTGATGGTCGCTTTGTCACTGCAACTTCCAAGCAGAACTCGGATATTTTCTGGATGCTTCGTGGTGGTGGAGGCAGCACAATCGGTGTTGTGACGTCTCTGACGATCAAGGTATATCCGAAACTTCCCACGACAACAGTAACTTTCAATTGGACGATAAGTGACACGCCCAATGCAGATGCGTTCTGGGCATCTTTTCGGTCCTATCTGGACAACCTTGAGGCCTTTGTCGATGCCGGAACATACGGATACTATTATCTGGGTGCTTCTTCTCTCGAGATGGGGACAGCCTATGCTGGCGACACTGACTATTATTTCCGCATGGAGTCCTTTATTGCGCCAAATATGACAATTCCTGAGACGAAGAAGCTCCTCAAACCTTGATTTGATGTTCTCGATAGCCTAAACGTCAGCTATACTCCGTGGTACAACCACGCGGATAACTTGTATGATTCGTCGTTCACTTAATCATACGTGGATAAATCTGCTGACTTTACTAGCCACGACGTCTGGAAGGTCGCTTTCCCTCTAGAGGCTGGGGGATCAGACGTGGTCAAGACGGATTCGCGTCTGCTGCCTCGGAAGGTATTCCGCAGCCAGGACCTCCGGCACCGGAACTTCCTTGCCCAGAAAGATGCCATCGAGAAGGTATGTAAAAATGCAACACATTTATCCTATTATGAAACGACTAATCGATGTAGGGGCTGTTCATTGCAGGCTTCCACATCAGTGGCACAGGCATCGCTGTCGAGCCGCCGACCGACAACGCTGTCTTGCCAGCCTGGCGTGACGCTCTTCCTCACGTCATCGTCGGATCCGAATGGAACTTTACCTCCAGCTGGGGGACCGTCCATAATTCGTCCCTCTTTGTGACGAACTGGATGAATGCCCTGCGGGAAATCTCCCCCGACTCTGGTGCATATATGAGCGAAGCTGACTTGCTGGAGCCTAATCTCCAGGAGGCCTTTTATGGGGCCAACTACCCCCGCCTTTATGAACTGAAGCAGAAGTACGACCCGACTGGGTTGTTCTTTGCTCTTACTGTTGTGGGAGCTGAGGACTGGGAGGTCCAAGTCACCGACCCGTTGCCTTATTCGTGGAATAACAATGGGCGGTTGTGTCCGAAATCTTCCTGAGAGAAATGAGGTCAGTGCACAGAGCCCGTGTATATAGATGTCGAATACATCGGAATTGTTGAAGTCACGGCTTCAATGAGCCATTCCTCAACCAAGACAAAGTAGAGTACATCTTGGGTGTGTTAACAAGGAATGAGTAGACCAAATAGAAACCGAAACAAAGCAAAACCTACCACGACTGAAGGTGATTTGAGGATAAAGCTGCTACCAGGAAGAGGCAGGGAATGGGCGAGGGGAAGGAAGAACATCGCCGGGACAACATCGGGTGATGGAGGCTGCAAACCAAGAGCGTGACTTCTCAATGCAGCTAGCCCCGATCTCCACGAACTTCATCTTAGGCTTCAATTACAGTAAAGGCATTCCTCCAATCGAAAATCGCATGAAACCCCATTACTTACTCATCCTCAAACCCCATGATGACTCGATAATTGAAAAACCTGCACAGGCAATGCAGCCCATGCAGCGCCATCCCAAGCCCACCATGAGACGAGAGGCAAGTAACATTAAACCCCGGCGCGTACTTTTGCACCACCAGATAAATGACTCACTCTCCACGACGACCGAATAGATCTGCAGCCGCGACAATCGCGAAAATCCACATCTCCCCAGAAAACCACCTCCAACAAAAAACCAACGCGCCGACGCGAATTATGGTGGCCCGCAGACCAGCCCGACTAGTCAAGAGTCGCCAATCTGCGGTGCATCTGCCCTGCGTGTCAGCAACCTCGGCAGATCGATCATCCGGCGAGTAACTGGTGACTTGCTGACCTCGATCTAGAGCAACTAAACCAGTCACTAGATCGATTTTAGCGCAGACATGTTGCATCATCAGTCATATGAGCAGGGGGGAAAAAAGAAAGAAAAGAAAAAGAACATGCAGGAATTGCAGGACTTGCCAAGCAACAGACCTCCGAAACCAGTTACTGGTCGGCGTACTTTATCCCAAGACCGCACGGTACTTTTGTCAACGGATCGGATTTGACGACTACCGGGAAGGGAGGGGGGGGAGAAGATCGGCATGGCTCATCTCTGGTACGGAGGTCTCCGTGGCGAACGGCACTGCAATCGTACTTTTGGGCGCAGCAGATCGGGAACTCCCGGTCGAGCTAATGTTTCCATTCCCATGGGGTCGAGGTGACTCGTCATAGGGTTTGGTTGGGTCGATCTGGTCCTACGTGTCGAAACTCGAAAGACTGGTACTGGGCTGCCCAGTGGGACAGTTATTGATTTTTGTTTCTGTTTATATACGTATAGGTTATATTGGACCTGCCTGTGCGGTTTGTACGGTATTCATGCGACTGGTCGAGGGTGGCGAGAGTAAGACATTCGAACATTCCATCGGGGATGAGGAACTATCGAGCTGGGTTCCGTGGTGCTGGTTCGATAGGGGCAGACGTCATTGTACAGATCATCCTGGCCTTGCGACGCCGAACACCAGCTGAGCTCTCGTATGATTAGGTGAAGAAAGGGACAGCGGCGGCGGTGACGTCAGGGGGTAATATAAGTTATGGCGCATGGACAATGTCCCCCCACGCTATTCTCTTAGCACAACAACGGCTGGGATTAGGGGGTTGAAGGATCGACCACAGCCCACACGTAAAAGACAAAGTAAATAGTTCATCCTGGCATTCACCTGGGTCGGGTAAATGCATGTTAACCACTTTTGAGGTATCAACAATCAATAAAAGGTATATGATGAAGCAACGCTGGAAGCAAATCTATTGGCAAAACAAAGGCCATGAGAATAGAAGGGAAAATCAAGTAATGGCCAAAGAAAGTAAAAGAAGTGACACAGTTCCGATAAACACCCGATATCGCCATTCTTCCGATTGCTCATCACTGCTAGCTCGATGGGGATTGCTTGGACCGGGTGGCTATGCGCTTCTTTTCTTGTTCTAGAAAAGCCAAAGCGTTAGGGCCAAGGACTAGAGGAACTCTTCTAGAAATACACACCTCTAGCTTCATTGATCTGGCGAACGGTATCGTCATGGATTTTGGCCCATTGTGCTTGGTATGTAGCCAGGTCTGGTAATTCAGAGGCAGAGTGGTTGCTGCCATGGCTATTGGTTCCAGTAGTCCTGGTGGAGGTATTCCGGTCCATTGTGAGTCTTGTACAGTGGAAGCTCAGAGGCAAGGAAGAGGAAGAGTGATGTGTAAGGCAGGAATAAGCTTCACAGGTGAGGGATGGACGCGAGATAAGCTCCAACTGAAGGGCGGTTGTTGAAGACAACTTCTAGCAGGCCGTCGAGCATATTTATAGACTACTGGGCCTCAACATCGACCTGGGTCATCCATCCGATTCCATCGACCTGATAATTCACTCCGTGCCATGTGGCCGCCCCTCGATGAAGAGTCGACGGCTTGTGTATCGGCCTTGTTCGCCAATTCCCTTGCATTCCGTGGGATGAGCGAAATTCCGGAATCAAAGAAAACGAATGAATGACCCGCTGCAGATGGGGGAGCTTCCCCGTCGCAACGGAGTGGACGGGCGATGGAGATGCAGGTTAGGTTCGTTGGATACCACCGTCCGACGGAGGTGCGCCAGGTCCTTTTTCCTAAAGTGAACCAGTCGTAGCCGACGCGGCCTTGGGACTTCAGATCGCTCGACCCCCGATTGGCCGGGGAAGGCCAGAAACCAACATCGGAACAAAGTCGAAGGGCGGGACGGAACACGTAGTTCGCAGGGTGAGGGTTTGTGTGACGGACTGTCGGGATCAACGGTTTTGGTGTGATTGGCCTCTTACTCTCCGATCCGCTCACGCGGATGGCCTTCCGGGCTCGCTAGTTTGATCCGGGTATTGGGCACCGATGGGCCGGTTAGGCTATAGCAATGAATTCGATTGTGTGACGAGTGACGATGATGGTGTTGGATTTGGAAGGGTGGGCCTGCTGCGATGGCCGCGGAATGGGTTTTTGGTGAGTAAGAAGAAGGGAGGACGAGAGCGAGTGACAAAGAAGACGCCAGACGGCCGAAAGAAAAAATAAAATAAGAAAAGAAAAAAGCAAAGAAATGCAGATCGACACATCGATCCCATATGGAAGTTTCGCCCTTTCTTCTTCCAGTTGCCCCGTTTGCACTTGCAGACTCCACCGTGGATCCGTTTGCGAAGAAGTCAAACATGTTTAATTTGGTGGGTATCGTGATTGATCGTGTTCCGATCGGCTGGACCGCCGCGGATGGAGTCCGTCAGCCCGTCTATTGACCCATCCGCGCCAAAATGGCTGGGAATGGCTTCAGGCGATCAATAGTCCAATCGGGGAACGGGTTCCGCTGCCATCTTGCAGGACCCTGAGATCCACTGCTCATGGCTTCATGGAGTCCAGAGAAAAAAAAAGAGCACCATTGGTAGGTTAATTACGGGACTCTTCTAGGCCTTTCTTTTCACCGCCACTTCCGCAGCCCATTAATTAGCCCTCCAGCCTCAGAGGGGAACAAAGACGGCTTGTGTCTGCCTGTGAGGATCGGGTTCACCGCTAGACGAGTCAGCACCAACGGGCGCTGATAACCTTCTGGTTTCGGTGGATGGCCATTGGATCTGGCACTGGTGGAACCCTGCTGGGTTCGAACAGCTTCCCAGACGAACACAAGGTAGACATCGGTCGGAAACCATGGCAGACCAACAGGCATTACCTGATTCCAGGTACCAGCTGTCGTCGCATGCAGTCCCATCATATGACAGGATACATATCATTTTCGTTTCACCCGAAAATCCAGAGCGCAAATTTGATACGCTAGACGTGGCCTGTCATGTCGGTTTGCCTAGTGACGAGTGCCCTGTTTCGTTATAAGCTCTGCTTCCCACAGATACAGACAGGTATGTTATGCTGCTGTGTCACAGCAATGCTATAAGGCAGCGGGCCCTATTCGCATATTTTCCTTGGCTTTGGCTTCCTTTGTCTTCCTTCGTCACTTGCTAATTATAGGCAGTGTCGAGCCCACGAATCCCGTGTCTCAGCCTCCTTTTTTCTGGCTCTTCCCTGTCATCTCTTCCTCTGCCCTGGCCTACCTGTACGACCCCAGCCATTCCCTGAGGTGCTTCATGGCTCTCCCGTCCATACCCCTGTTGAGCCTGCAGTAGTTCCCACATCACAGCATCGCCAGCAGAACCTTGATCGAGTGAGGCATCCATTGTCCTTCTTGGGATCGTATCGAAAGTGTTGGACAAATCCGGCCTGTCGAGCAGCCCAACGAGCCACTGGCGCTCGGTACCAATGTTTCCATGGTCTGGACTAGGTCGGTAGTTGTAACCCACTTGTAGTGGGGCAAGGACAAAGAATGTCTTCAAGCGCGCAAAGTCTATTAAGATCTAATCGGGAGGACGTCAATCAGAGTGGGCCATTGGATGTAGCAACTAGCAAGGGGCGTACATACGCGTTCCACTGGAATTGGAAATGAGGCTGTAGGGAAGAAAATCAGTAGGCACAATGCTTACCTTGGTAGCCTAGACTGTGTCTTGGGAATTGCTCGACAAAACCCAGGTATGAAGGAACAGCAACCGGTCTAGGACTTTGGCACACGTCAACCACTGGAAATGGGTCCCGTGACCCCGGGCACCTGATCTCGGCTTAGAACCTCCTCTGTTTACACTGCCTGCCACTACAATACGCTCAACAATCGATTGTTCGGTGGCATCAATACTGTAATAGTGTCAAGACCATATCTGATGGGTTCTGATTTATAACATTATGTACGTAACATGCGTCCTATATTCATCATTTCCAAAAACTTACACAGGGAGGGACCGACTACAGCAATCCCACCTTCGTCCCATTCCTCGAACAAAGCGTCAACGTCAGACCCTCCTCCCATGGCCCGGGGTCCCTGCTTTCAAGCACGGAATACTTCTGGGCAAGTCGCACAGTGACATATCCCGCCTCCGTGAGGGCATACTGTTGGCCAACGCAAATACGCGGTCCCCCGTTGAACGGAAGATACTCCCATCCCGGACGAATGTCGGCCCAACGCTCGGGTCGAAACTCATTGGCATCCGGGCCGAAAAACTCCTCGCGACGATGCATCGCATAGACATGGTATGCAACGGTGCAGCCTTTGGGTACGAAGACAGGCGACTTGCCGTCGGGTCCGCCACCAACGGGAAGGATTGTGTCAGTATTGGCAAAGCGTGCGTTTGCCGGGACAACAGGGTGCAAGCGAAGAGCTAGATACCAGTCAGTATGGTTCCTGAAGTCGACTTTCTGTCTCTGGATGACTTACATTCGTTAAGGCAGAATTTCAGGTACTTCAGGTTACGCAGTTGCTCGTACGATGGCGCGCGACCTTCCAGGCTGGCAACCTCCTCGCGCAACTTGTTCCAAATCCGGGGGTTCTTCGCCAACATGAAGAATAGGTTGCTCAACAAAGAGGCGGTGGTATCCCGTCCAGCCAGAAGGACATTCATGAGCTCGTCGCGGATACGCCTTCGGTCACCTGTCTGTTGGGCTAGCCCGTGGAGGAAGAGGTATTTTCTCTTTTCTTTCGCACCGTGGCTATCCCCTGCCGTGAGCGCCTTCTCCTCGTCATACCGCCCTCGCACCCTTAGTGCGCTATCAACGAATTGCTCCACCAAGTTATGACAGATACGATTGCACTCCTCAGCCTTGCGGTCGCGACGGAAATGTCTGAGCTTACCCAGGCGTAGGTTCGTTGCAATGGCCTCTTGTGCATAGTTGAATGCCCCCGCGAAGTCCTGTTCCGTGCTGTCGCGGATCCCAGCGCGTCGCTTTTTGAGACTATGCACGCTGTGCCCAAAGAGGAACTCCGTCGCAGAGTCAATGGTGAACTCAAAAAATAGCTCTTGCAAATCAACGGTTCCCCCGTCGGTGGGGATAAGCGGGAGCAGATCGTCCATGAGTTCCTCAAAGATATCCAGATGTGCAACTTGGTCCTTCACAAAGTTCGGACGCACCATAGCACGCGATTGCGCCCAATGCTCACCGTCAGTTGTAAAGATGCCATGGCCCAAAAGCGGACCGGCCGCATTGATGCGACCAGCTAGGCCATAGTCTTTGAAGCGGAGTGACAGGATCGTCTTCACATTCTCTGGCTCGCACGTTATGATGATGGGGGTGGTGAGTCGTCGTCCTTGGTAGGTGTTGCCATTCTCCTTGAAACGCTCGACGATGCGCTCGAGAAGCTTGTGCTTCCTGGCGTACGTCAGCTGCTCGTGTATATTGTCGAGGGCAAAAAAGGGGTCCTTCCGAGGGTAGGTGGGTGGCGGTTGACAGTTGTTTGCTTTGGCGATGCGGCGCTGGGTCCATTTTCGTTGCAGGTAGGTCGCAGTATACCAGAGAAGGAGGACGGCGCTGGCAAGCGCCACGACTGGATAATGAGATTTGCCGGGATCCATGGTGACTTGTGATCTTGTCTGACTGTCAAAGGGTCCCTGAAGCTATGTCCACAGGGGAGCACCGACTCCTTTTAAGCTGTGCGTGGGGGGTGGATCAGATGATGGCATGCCGCGGTTCAGACGGAGTCCGGAGGGATTGGCACCGACGATGAATGGCGTCTCATGGCAAAAGGCTGAGATCATTGGCGAGCAGGGGTGGAGTACAGCCTCGGCGGCAGGGTTGCTGGGCTTGACACCAACCGCTCGTTCTCTTGTTTGCGGATCCCTTGCTTGATCCAAACAACGCGAACATGCTTGCAGGAAGAGCGGCCCGATTAGGGCACCCCGAGCTGCAGAAGATCCATCTCTCGAGTACGGTATTTCGACCCATGCATGGCGACCACACGACGAAGGACGATGGTATACCGTTCCAGCGTGATGCACCGATGATGGTCGTGGCCAAGTTCTCAACCATATCTGCCAAGGCACTGGTGAGGTTGCTTTTTCTCCCCTGTTTTACTCTATTTTTTCTTTTTCAATCGCGACGATCATGTTCCGATCGTGAAGATGACTTGAGTCCGTGACGCATAATTCGGGTACTTACCAAACCAGCCAAGCTAGTTACTCAGCGCGAGGGTGGTCCGGGACTGCGTCATCCCCGCACAACCGTGCACTCTCTGATCTGTACGTACATAATGCGGCATAAGAATGCGTCCAACGGACGAGTTGGTGTAACCGTCGAAGCTTGCTCGTGGAGGTGGCCTTGAACAGCCGCCCGTGCTGGCCAGCACTAGCCTCGGGTGCTGGCCATGTGTATCTTGCTGCCTGTCCTTTCCCACGTACGGAGGACGAGTGCCGACTACCGACTACCGGTATACGTTCACAGAGGACTGAATGCCGGGAGTAAAAATAGCCTAAGAGAAGCCACCCAATCCGACGCAACTCCACCACGAGCTCAACAAACCCACGACCCACAACCGAGGCAGGAGATCACCGCCAGTGCCTATGATCGTTAATCATTCTGCAAGATCGCAGCCTAGGTAGCTGAGCACTTCGTACTCCGTAGAATTGATCAAACACCGAACATACCTCTTCAAAAGGTTAAAAAAACCATGATCAAGTCACCACAAACTGATCATCCCTGGCCTCCAAACAAGCATCGGTCATCTTATCGATCGCCTCCGCCCTCTCCTCCTCGGTCACCCAGCCTCTTTCAACCAATCTCCCCAACGCATCCCCCACCCAGTGCTGACAGTTCCACTCCAGATCCAAATAACCATTTCGCACCGGGGTTCGCGCCACCGTCTCCCGAATTGCCTCCTCCTCTGCTTCGACGGACCCCGACAAGTCCGTCACCGGCACCACACGCACCAAATCCCCAAGTTCCATCGGATCGGCCCCCACGTATTCCACATACCGGAAGAGTCCCTGGGTGCCTATAATATGCAGGACGCTGCGGCCTTGCGCGGCAAATTGCACGTATAATGCGGTGTGGCGGTATTCGCTGTAATCAAGGGGATCGCCACGATAGACGAGGATGAAAAGTTTGTGGGACATGTTTATTTTTTTTTCGTCTTAGATTTGGGAAGGGACAGGTTGGTGTGATTTGAGCTAGAAAATTTCTGGAATATGGAGGGGGTGGTTGGTGAGGGGGTGGACGGGCGAGGTTAAGATGGGCTAGTAAGTGGTTTCCCGGTCGGTCGCGCTAATCGCTTCGGGTCGGGTTGTGCCTTGGAGCCTTGGGGTACCTGACGACGCCCGAGGGGGTGGTATATGTCACGCAGCCAGAGGGCGTGTGACCAATCAGTTTCTTCATTCATTACTCAGATTAATCCATCGAATATAGGTAGCTAGGTGGTGGTTTGTAGGTAGATAGCTATTGTTGAGAATTGTGGCGTTTAGACTTTGTTCTATTTAGTTATGTGTGAAGTGCATGCCATTGTTACCTACCTAGTAGGTTTGGATTACGGAGTATAGGTTTGGACTATTAGCTATTTATCCCGATTTTGGAGTTAATTTGATATATATTGAGGTAATATAACGCCATGGATGTGGCGAATTGCAATATATGCCTAGGCAGGTAGGTAGATTCCTTATCTATATGGCATGGCAGCTGTGATATCATCAAGGAGTGACCCCATCTGAGTTGTCGATGATTACCTAGTATATACATAGTACTACGGAGTACGGAGTAGATACTGTCTATGATATCAACATAGCCACCAATCCCCCCCTCCAACCACCCAAACAACAACATCCCACGGCCAAATCCACCCCGCCAAGCCCAGCCCAGCCCATTCCCACTCCGCCCCCAAAAGCAACTAAGTACCAACCTCAGACCCTGAAAATAGGAAGTATCCACAATCGCAAACTCAATCGCTTTCCTCGGGGAGAAAAGATACCCCGATCTGAATTTCATACTATCATATATTAATAGAAACTTAAAATGAACTTAAACTCAAAGCTCCCTGCTGCCTTGCTGCCCTGCACAGCCACGGATTGCGACGCGTTGCGGTCGTGATGTTTCGGGTCGGGTAGATCTTGATAGTAGTGGGTAGGGTTTGGTATGGTTTGTTGGGATGGGTGGGTGGTAGTGGTGTTGGTGGGGGGTGGGGGGTGGGGCTCATTGGAAGGAGGGGTGAGGGGGGTGTAGGATGTGTGTCTATGTCGTGTCTGGAGGTGCCGTTGAGGGGATATTAGAACTGTACTGGGATTGGGTTTGATGGGTTGGGGATGGGAGGCTGGGTGGGTTATTGGAGGTGCGAGGGGTGGACTGTTGTTTGTGGGCGGGGAGTAGTGGTTTTTGAGAGTGTATGAGGGTGGAAGTTGAGAGTTTGTTGATTTGAATGATGGCCGCGATTATCGAGGGACGTATGCTAGTGAGGTAAACACCAGTATACATTTCCGTTCGATGAATGCAATGGACAAAGTTGGATGTAATCCCGAATACACACTTCTAACTATGGAACTGTCATCCAATCCATCTACTCAGCTACATCTAGATCGATCTACCTTTCTCTTATGCATAGCTTATCGCAAAGTATGTCAGAGACTACGGTGAACTTGGCAAGAAGCACTGATCAACGGAATGTAATTGATTCTCCTCCGGGGAGACTACATCCCCTTAATGGTATGGAAGCTTCAAGTGTGACAGCATTCCATTACCGATGCACCTAGGCATTAACTACCCAGCAGATGTGCCTTGCAACCCACGATCACCTCCATGCTCAGACAACATTGTGCACATGCTGCTTACTTCTTACCACCCGAGGCCGAGGGAGGGGTGTGGGTGGAGCCACCATTGCCATTGTTGTGGTAGGTGCTTCCATTGGGGTTGGAGTAATAGTACGAGCCGTCACTGAAGACCGTTAGCTTGATCCAGGCTTATTCTAACTCCGGGACATATGACGAACCTGTTCGAGTAGTGGTAGGAGTTTGGGTTGGCAGCACCGCTGCCATAGTCGCGGGAGCACCAGTGATTGCCCTAGAATCTATTGTTAGTTGGTTCTGATGAGGCTAGGTGCTAGGTTTATTTGGCTGTTGGTGCCAGAGCCCTTGTAGCTATAGTCCTTTCCAGAGCTAGACATGATTGTTGTGATGAGTGATGTTGTTGAAGAGATTGGTAGATGGAAACGTCAAGACTGGATGGATGCAGTTGATGATGATGGATGGTGGGAGGAGGGGAAATACGAGTGGGAACGTGGTTTATATAGTGGGGTTGTACGGGATGGCGGAAGTCACTGTGTGGCTCCCTTCAAGAAAAGGTGCGAATTCCCAGTGGGTTCGAGGGATGGACCTTTCCATGTATCAGATTCTCTACTCTGGAGTGTTCATTAGCTTAGTTGACGTGTGCTATCGCGGGGTACATCGACTGATAGCATCTGGATTCCCGAGACACTAAGATGTGGATCTTTTCTCTTTGTCCGAGTCTGTCAGCATTTGGGCAGAGTTGAAAGTGACGAAATAGTCTTCGTCTACCACAGGCTCGAGTAATCAAATCTGGGACATTCAATCAGATAGGCTTAGAGCTAACTTTATTCAGTCAGACATACGAGCTACTATGATGTCGGCATTCCATGTATCTCTAATACATCTATGACTTCCCATACAAGTTAGTGAATTGAAATAACGACCAGGAAGAGGTAAAATGCCATGCCTGGCCTCAATTACTAGCACCTTACCAGATCAGGAGGCATCATGCCTCAGGCTGCTTCATCAAGCTGACTGAATAAGCTCTTACGTCAGCTATTTTCATGACGCCATACACACCTTCCTTTTTGGCATGGCCATTGAAGTAAGGCATGGCCTTTACTCCTATGCACGACAGTATCTCAACCAGATTGGTCCCATTTTCCTGCATTGGCGTCTACTATTTCAAAGGTTTAATTGAATAAGCTCGCTGTTACTAGTAGTGACCATGTTGTGATTGCAAGAACCTTGTCAGCCAATCATAGGCTTTTGTCTAGTGGATTGTTTCGCTTCAGATGGCTTACATATTGCAACTTCTGTGTGCCTAATAAAGTTCGATATTATGGTATTTATCGCATGTCGCATTGGAAGGCCTCCGATTATCCTGTTCCCTAAGTATGTACCAGAAATAAGAGGTAAGTTGCTCTCATCGGCGGCAATAAAGACTGATGGACACCCGGGTGCTTCCGGTTTCGATGTGGGTTATACGGAGAAATACGGAAAACTCCAAGTAAAAATTATCTCCTACTGGAAATTGTAGCAGAGGTAGGACAAATCCAAGCCAACCATTTCGAGTTAGCACCGTAATCGCACCACCGCCAGGAGAACCTTGCCACTCGAACTATCTCCGAACAGAGGTTCTGTCATGAAACTAACTATTCATAGTCATGGCAGGGTTCGCATTCTATCTTGACAGCCAGTCAGAGTCAAAAAGGACAAATCTGCAATCGCAAGAGTGGGCCCAAGATCTCTGGCAGGCCAGATTTCCCCTGAATGGCACACAAGGAGTACGGTGGGTCTGATCAGCACTAAGCTATCCAGCATATCTGATTGGTGTTGAGGTCTCACTCATCATGAGTCATGTTGCACTCATTCGCACCGCCTCACCACCATGTGGGTCATAGATATACCCGATCGGGTAATCACTTCAGAACCATTTTGTATAAAAGAAGTACATTTCTCGAAGATTTACACCAGCATCAATTCAATATCTACAACTTGACGAGGAAAGATTTTCTCTCTTTAATTTCTCTAATTCGCCATCACCTTATTAATGCCACTTGCACACACAACCACATCCTCAACACACAACAATATGAAATCTATCAGCCAATATCCTCTCCCAGCAGGTGCACACATCATCCCAGAACACCTCCTGGACCTTCGCTCTGACTCCGAAGTTGACAATGACCTCCTCCACCCCCGACCCATTACCGACGAGAAAAACATTTGGCTCTTTTGGCACAGCGGCTACTCCACCATGCATCCATATACCAAGCGCAACGTGCGTGCTTGGCACCGTCGCTTCTCCAAATCAGGCTGGGCTGTCCGTGTCATTGACTGCCTGCCATCCTCTCCGCTTAACATCTCCAATTACTTCGACATCAATGACCCGGAATACTTTCCTCGCGCATTCGCTGAAGGTACCATCACCGGTACCTACGCAAAGCAGCACACATCCGATCTCGTCCGATTACCCCTCCTACTCAAGTACGGTGGAATCTACGCCGATGTCGGACTCATCCAAATCGGCGATGTGGATTGGCTGTGGCGCGAGACAGTCGGAAACCCGGACTCCCGGTTCGAGGTGCTCTCCTACAATGCCGGCGACGTCAATGAACGCAGTCTCACCAACTACTTTCTCATGGCGCGGCCGAATAACCCGCTGTTTGAGCGGTCTCATCGACTACTGCTGAAGTTATGGGAGGGAAAGACCTGCACGGAGGGGATGCACCGCAGCCCACTGTTAAAAGATCTCCCGTTCATAGAAGGGTCGGGAAATCTGACGGAGCAGCAGTGCAGGGAGTTGACGGATTATATCATCCAGGGACAGGTGATGACGCTAGTCATGGGGTTGGTGGATGAAAAGGATAATTGGGATGGACCGAAATATATCGCGGAGCATCTTTACGGTATTGAGTTCATGCAAGGATCGCAACTGATCAATGCCATGACTGCGTGGGATGGTCAGAAGGCGTTTGAGCTGATCTCGTTGTCGTTGCCGAAGGAGGGCGAGGAAGAAAGCCCGGAGCAGAAGCAAGCGCGGGAGATTGTCGAGGGGTGTCTGACGAAGAGTTTCGGGTTCAAACTGGCGCACGGATACATCTTGGAGGTGATGAGTGTGACCCTGGGGTCGCTGTGGAGGGCGAACGACGGATCGGACAATGTGCCGGGGACGTATGCGCATTGGCTGCGACATGGGATTGTGTACTGGAGTCAGGATGTGCTTCCACCGACGCAGCCATACACGGTGCTTGAGCCGGTCAAGAGGGGGGGGCTATTGAAAGAGTGATACTACATAGATAGACTTTATACTACCCTTTTATCAGCAACAACCCGATAATCCAAAGAAGACAAAGAAATACCCACCAGCCACACCACGTGCAACCATTTCACCAGCCATATTATATAATCCACAGCCACAGCACCGGCCGCGGCACCGCCATCCAAACAAGGCCACCTTACCATCCATACAATCAATAAATCAATCAACGTCACTCACTCACCACCACGCCCATCGCGACCATGCTCTCCGGGATTCAAAATGTGCGGCAAACCGCCATTCAGCTACTCAACTTCGGGCTGGTCCTGAGCACCGCATTCATGGTACGTCCCCGTCCCCTTCCCCGAATCCAATTCCCCAACAACCAAACACACAGCCCACCAACCACCAACTAACAACAATGAACAATGAATAGATGTGGAAAGGTCTCTCCGTACTCACCAACTCCCCCAGCCCTATCGTGGTTGTTCTCAGCGGCTCCATGGAACCCGCTTTCCAGCGCGGCGATCTCCTCTTCCTCCGGAATACCCAACCGTCGTTAAACGTCGGCGAGATTGTCGTCTATCAGGTCAAAGATAAAGATATTCCGATTGTGCATAGGGTAGTGAGGCAGTTTGGCGAGGGGTGCGTATACCCACACCTACACCTATACCCAATCCCAATCCCAATCCCAATCCCTGCAATAACCCACCCACCTGAAAGAAATCACCAAACTTGACTAGAGCAATAATACTAACTATGAATATATTTATATCCGATAGGGAATCTTCGAAACTCCTCACAAAAGGCGACAACAACATCGCCGACGACACGGAACTCTACGCCCGAGGACAAGATTATCTCGATCGGGAGGATGTCGTGGGAAGTGTGTTTGGGTATATTCCCTTTGTGGGGTACGTGACGATTTTGTTGAGTGAGCATCCGTGGTTGAAGACGGTGATGTTGGGGGTTATGGGTGTGTTGGTGCTTTTGCAGAGGGAGTAATTGTTTATTTGTTTAATGAAAATTGGGTTTGTTTGTGGGTCTTTTTTACTGTTTGGTTGGGTTGGTATGGGTTGGGAATTTCATCTTTTTATATGTGATTGTTGTTTTTAGGGGTTTGGGGGGTGGTGTGGGGGTTGTGTAGTGCTGGAATACGTAGTATGATGGTAGTATTAGATGAGGTGAGATGGTGGTAGTGGGGATAGTTGAGTGATTTGGGGATTGGTAGTAGCTGGCAATTATTTGGATGTGTAATGTAATCGGGCAGAGGGGATTCAAGATATGCTCTCTGGTATATCTTTACTGTACTCCGTATGGGGAGCAGTATCACTTTCCTAGCCCTTAATTTCCCAAGAAAGATGGATACCTATCAGTTACTACTACATCCCAACAACACAACCAACTCTAACAAAATCAATTCTATACATCTCATCTCCCCCATCTAATCTATATACCCCACCACCATCATCAGAAAATCAACCACTATAATCCAAAACACTCTTAATCCTAACCGCCCCAGCCGAAATATTCCCACCAATACCCCCCTCATCCTCCTCCGCCTCAGTATACGCATTATCCACACTCCCCGCATCAGCCGTAATACTCGAGCAAGTCCCGCCCAAAACATCACACATCTGCAACCCCTGCACGGTAGCGCTATTCTTCTGGGCCTGAATAGCCGAAACATCAAACCCACTCCAGTCATCATTCACCGTGGATCCGAAATCAAACTCGCCCCAGGTACAATCATAGATACCGCTGGAGCCCGTGGGCAGGGAACTTCCCTCGGCGGCACCAAACGCCCCCTGGGTGTCTTCGTCAAAGGCAACGTATTTGGTGTCTCCTGGGGACATGGTGAAGGAGAGGGCGGAGTAGCCGTAGAAGCCGTCCATTTTGCCGTCTGGACCGTATTTGTTCCAGAAGACGACGGTCCAGGAGTCTGAGGAGGAGGAGGTGGAGGGGAGGGTGAGTTCCATGACGTATTTGTAGCTGGATGCGGAGGAGGAGGAGACTTCGAGCATGTTGGAACCCCAGGGGGAGCCGACGTTGCCGATGTAGGTGTCTCCGCTGCCGGTGGAGTTGGTTTGCGTGCCGAAGCCGGAGGTGGATTCGCTGCCGGAGGAGGGGGTGGAGGTCCAGTCGCTGGAGGAGCCGGAGGAGGTGCTGGTGGAGGAGGCGGAGGGGATGGAGATGGAGATGGAGGCGCTGGCGCCGATGGAGATTTGGCGGCGGGAGTGGCCGTGGGTGTGGCCGTGTTGGGGTTTGGTGGGGGTTGGGGAGGAGAAGGTAGGGGTGATGAGGGCTGCTGCGAGCAGGAGGGGAGTGGTGAAGTGCATGTTGATGTGAGGGATGTCGCGTCGAGCGATGTATGTATATATGAAAGATAGTGAATGTATGTGTGTATGTATGTATGTAGGATGAAAGAATGGATGTAACCTGTCAAAGGTACAACAGTTCTAGTAAAGACTGTGGGTAGTTGGGACACAACTGGTGGTTGAGAGGATAGACAGAGGAGGAATAAGAGGAAGAAGAACAAGGATTATATATCCATCCCTCTGGTGACCGTGCCATGGCTGCCTCTGTTCTGGAACCTGCAATCGATGCGTCGAGAACAGGGAGGGGCAGGGTGCGTCAGCTACATGCCATGGATTGACATGGTGGGGGACCGTTGAGGTGGAGGATGCAAGTCAACCAAGCAAAGTATGCCGATTGACTGGGACATGTAGAGCATCCACTGGGCTTTTGGACTGTGCAGTGGATGGTGTAGGGGTTAGGGTTTGTGTGGGTGGGATCTGGAAGTACCTGTTTCAGGCAGCGGCAGTGTAGGGTGCTGTTTCAAGTCGGCCATTATTGACAACTAAAAAACTGGCAGAGGATGTCTTCATTGTCTGTCATGATGGGTTGTTTCAGATTCAAGAGAATGTCAGTGAGATCGTTGGCCAGCGGGTCAGGGGTCAAAGAATAGCCGATCTGGACTGACTGTTGAACGCGTATTGAGCTGAGTGGAGCACTGTCTAGTGCGTGTACTAGACTAGGTAGTAGTAAATGGCTCACGGCTAGAACTTTACTGTTGTGTTGACTGTGGTTGCTCTGCATCCCTCCAATACCCTATACCCTAGATACATTTTGATTTTACCATACCCCATTCCCCTCACTTAGAGACTCACTCTTCACAGACAACCACGACAGCCATACAAAGCAGGATGAAACCAACAAGAAAGAAAACCACAAAATAAACCATCCACGCATCCCTCCCCCCGAACCACGGTTCTATTCTCTGGTCCAGGGGCTCGAACCCAAGAGTGGTCCGGCTAAACCATCCCCTCCACTCCTATTGGGCGATGCTTTAAATAAATCCAGGAGAATTTCCGCGTCCACCAATCACATTACAATGAGCCTACAATCCAAGCACGGGCAACGCCCATTGGACACCCGAACCATGGATCTACCACACCTATATTTCCTAACCCGGCCACGCAAGTGACTCTTGGCGGGGCCGCACACGTTTTTCGGGCTCGGCCTGTGCGCGCGTTCCTGGTGACCCGGCTGGTGTTTCCGTGGGAGAGGAAAGAATTTTCTTTATGTTACGATTGTGGGTGGAGGGATGTCGTTTGTTTATCCTAGAAGGAGTAGGTGGAGTTGCTGCTGTAGGGTGGGTGTTGTATGCGGGAATTCTGGTCTCCACTTGACACATCCAATGTTGGAATCGAGCTGGCTGGCTGGGATTGAGTTCAGCCACGGAGTCATGGCAGGCTTGGAGTCAGGATTGTTGTCGCGGCCATGGGGGGTTAGTGATTACGCGGTATACTACGCAGCACAGTGAAGGATCATCATATACTTCCCCCATACGCAGGTGCAGTCGTCATGCGAAACATATAATGGTGATCTCCAGACTCTGAGTCAAACCTTGTATGGTGGCGAGAGAAGCTCTAGCAGACTACCTGTTGTAGAAAACCTGGAGAAAGCTGGTCGAATCGAGATTGACTCAAAGTCTGAGCATGTGCCGAGTCTGGTTCCGCTGTATCCGGGCTGCTGCTCTGGAAGTCTGTTATTCAGCGGTGAGTGATTTTATGCGTAGGTTGAGTGTTGATATCATTGATGTCGGTTATCTGTTGGAATCTATTCACCTTGGGATAGTCACACTAGCAAAGAGGTATCTCTTTTGGTCTAGTTGGAAGATTTTGTCATTGTCTACTGCGTCTTCGCTGCAGGTGTTAAATGTGAGGTTACTTCTGCAAGTGGTAATAACCCTGGCACAACCTGCCAAGTGGGATTAAACCACAGCTGGTTGATAATGCATCGTTGTCTATCAACCGGGCTACAATGTATGATGTGTGTTGCCGAGATAGATATCTTATCGGGGCTGATTGAGGGCGAGTGCTATGACCTGAGGCTAAAGACGCCACCACCACTCGTCGATCCGTCGATCGTAGTAATCAGGACCGCTGTGTAAAACGACTTCATCTCTGAAATGTAGTATGGTTGGGGCTTCCTCGGTAGTATTCCTGTGGCAGAAAACCAGGCGACGATGGTAGCTACTCAGTCAGTATCCAGCCAACAGCACTCACTCACCTATCACCGGAGTGCCCCGAATTGACCAGCTCTCCATTGCCATCGCGGTGTTTGCGATGTCTTTATCATCTTCCTGTAGAATGCCTCCGCGTATGACCAGTATTGTAGGAGAGAAGCTGAAGAGCTGAATCGAAATCACGGTAATCCCATCTATGAGAATCGACGTATTAGTACAACCCCAAAACATTGCCGGACACAGTCAATACCTCGTGACTGTCCCGTCCCATTGCCAGTTCAGACTGACTTTTGTAGCAACTCACCAAGACCTTCCAACAAAACTTCAAAACCACCAACAAACCGTGCCAATCCTCTCCCTTCACGGTCGCAAGACACAAGGTTGGCACTCCATGTCCACAGACAACCACGGTGCGCTGATCAACTCTGTAAGGCTCTCCTCACTCCTCACTTACTCCTCACCCCCCACGCCTGACTCAATCCCAACTCCACCAGGATTCTCCCCCCTGTCCATCCGAACCGACCTTCCCAGTCTGCAACACTCTGCACAGCACAGCACTGCAGAAGCAAACTCAATTCCCGAATCCTCCATCAAGGCCGGTCTTCCGCAGCCCGGCAAACAACGCGGAGACCCACGGAACCCCGTCCTACACATGCCAAACGTTATCAAGCACAAACAACGCATACCTAGAACCAGTACCTCCAGCATGATCCATGATTTCTCCGGGATATCGAAGCTGTTTCATCGGAGCACCGACCCAACTCCAAATTATCATTAATTGCAATGATAGCTATCACCCTGTCAGCATCTAGTGCCGGGTAACTGCCTCGGTAATCCGAAGACCTAGACTAGACCGATCGTCTACCTTCCTTGGTCAAGCTGCAGAAATCAGCCCAGGACTGCGTTGGACTTCGTGTTTTGCCACACAGATTATGGATATTGGATATGGTAAGGTATAATACTGATAGCAAGGATTAACTTGCATATCCGGCGCATACCGCGTATAGCCAACCCATGCCCCATGTACCTTGCATCTCCGATGGGATGACCCTACCCCTCAGGGCGATTCGTATACGGGATATCCGGCCACCTTAGTCAGAAGGATTCGCTGCCGTTCCCTGACACATGCATTGGATTATCGGGATTCGGACCATCATGATAAGTGTGGGGTGTGCATGGGAGATAGCCCCCTCCCTACGGAGTAGCAAGCTGGCTGCTGAGTACACCGCAGGTCCCGGAGAACCCCTGAAAGAGCATAACTCCCAGATGATCACTTTCCGAACTCGGAGACTTGGAGCGATTCAGTGTTGGGATCAGCCAGATGTTGGCTGGTGCCTGCAGAATGGGGCCCGGCTGGGAGATAAATTCGCCGACCAGCCAGCCAATCACCGTCTGTTATATGGTTGTCTGCTCGATGAAGAAGGGATCGGCCCGACGGCGATCCTGATTGGATCCCACAACAACATCCTTCACTGCGTTGGGGGGCTCTGATTGGCCAGTCCCCTGTCACCGGCATTATCTCTGCAGAATTAGACTTGCGGGTTTAATATACCTTCATTGTCCATCGCCCAGGAGGTACTAGAGTATCGAGGATTCCCCACCACGGCGTATAGGTAGGGAGGTTACATCCGACGTCGGCCAAGAAGGCTGGAATCAATTCGGACTGGATAATACTAACATGGTACTAGTAGCAGGGCATGATAGCTGGTATCCCCGGCCAATGGACGAGCACCCCCGCACACACCCCCTCAATCTGAATCCCGTCCAGTGCTTATCATTCGCCCACAAGGCTTATACGAAGCTTGTTGTGCCTGCGCCGGCGCCCATCCCCTCCCGCCGGCTGGCCCTAGTCGGCGCCACCCTTGTCATTCATCCGTGCACAATGCCATAGTTATCTCCCATACCTCCTGTGCCAGATAAGCCCGCGCAAGCCAAGCCGTCGGACTTCCGTTCCTCCTCCACTGGTGGAATGATGCTCGCCAGATCGAGGAGGGAGGCGCGCGCTTTTGTCCGGAAGGCGTCCGTAAGGCGCCCGTACTATTGCTTGTTCGTCTGGATCTCACCCGTCCCTCATCCGTCCCTTGCCGTGTTAGGCCTTGCCTTACCAGAGTGTCTTACCGGAAAGGGGCTTGAACAATGAGGGGGGAGCGGATATGGCTGGCGAGCCGGAGCTGTACGGCTTGGAGGGGAGCCACTACTGCAACACAATCTTGGCTGGTGCTGAAGCGGTGCTGGCTGAATGGCATGGCTCCACTGGATCCTCCCCGGGCCATTCGTGATTCTGCAGCTATGCACGAACTGCACCGACGGGGAACGACTCTGCACCCCCGTTGATACGACGTTAGTAGCGGACTTGGAGATTAAACTCCGTCGGACTAGCTGAGCTGTGGTGTCATAGTCCGGAGATTGCATGCTATCGGCAGAGCAGTGCGGATGGCTTCCATGAAGTTGATACCAGCTGCGAAGACATAAATAGAGGTTGGAATCCTCCTCAAACTGTTTCTTCTTCATCCAGCATCGCACAGTCTCAAGCATCGCCTGGCTCAATCTTCTCACTCAACCCAACTCGTCAATCAATCTTCTTGAAGATCCTCTTTCAGTCAAAATGAAGTTCTCCACCCTTCTCACCGGCTCCCTCTTTGCCACTGCTGCTCTGGCTGCTCCTCTCACCGAGAAGCGCCGCGCTGCTCGTGCCGCCAAGAGCCGCCACAGCAACCCTCCCTACAAGGCCGGTACCGACAAGGAGATCCTCAAGCTGACCAACACCACCAACGTTGAGTACTCCTCCAACTGGGCCGGTGCCGTCCTCATCGGAACCGGCTACACCAAGGTCACTGGCGAGTTCACCGTCCCCAGTGTCTCCGCTGGCTCTTCCTCCTCCTCCAGCGGCTACGGCGACTACGGCTACGGCTACTACAAGAACAAGCGCCAGTCCACCGAGTACTGCGCCTCCGCCTGGGTCGGTATCGACGGTGACACCTGCGAGACCGCTATCCTCCAGACCGGTCTCGACTTCTGCTACGAGGATGGCGAGGTCTCCTACGACGCCTGGTACGAGTGGTACCCCGACTACGCCTACGACTTCGACAGCATCTCCTTCTCCGAGGGTGACTCTGTCAAGGTCACCGTCGAGGCCTCCAGCGACAGCACCGGTACCGCCACCGTCGAGAACCTGACCACTGGCGAGTCCGTCACCCACTCCTTCTCCGGCAACGTCGAGGGTGACCTCTGCGAGTACAACGCCGAGTGGATCGTTGAGGACTTCGAGTCCGGTGACTCTCTCGTTGCTTTCGCTGACTTCGGCACCGTTACCTTCACCAACGCTGAGGCTACCAGCGACGGTTCCACCGTTGGCCCCTCCGATGCCACCATCATGGACATTGAGCAGGACAGCACCGTTCTGACCTCCACCTCCGTTGACGGTGACACTGTTACCATCACCTACGTCTAAGTGCATCTTTCGGGATGATGCTTGCCATGCCATCTTGGCACCGACCTGACCAACCCTGGGGATGAAGCAAAATGAGTGATGAGTTATCCGGATGATCTGATCTTGTTTGAGTTAGTTTGATTCTTTGATGCTGATGCTTTTGTTGAGTGATTGTATCTACTTTAGGTAGAAGAAAATAAGTGCGCGCTTGCTGAATTGCTTTCCAGTAACATGTAGATCAATCTCTTCTGGACACATTGCCAAGTAAACCCTTATCCTTCATCCACAGTCCCTTCCTTTCCCTTTCATTCCCTCCCTCCAAACACATTCCCATCCATCTAAACAACGCAACTCAACATCCCATATATATCCCAAAAACCAATACCCCGAACCCACCACACCCTCTATAAAAAGCCAAGACAGAACTTCAAACCAAACCCATACATACATACACTTTCAAGATAGATAATTAGAAATAAACCCCCTTTCCACTCCATTACTTCCCAAACTCAGTTTATACCCCACCACAACAACCTAATCCAGTGCAGTACATACAGTACAATGCATTAACCGACCACATAAGTAACAATAACATAGTGAATACCCCCCCACATTACGCATCACCACAGCACGTCCCTACTGGACCAGGACTAAAAGTGAAGTTTTGTGATTTCTTTGACATCTCGGTTAAGCAGGGCGGCTGATTGGTCTGTTGGTGTCGTATCTGATTGATATCACCGGGGGGTTCAACCGGGGAGTAGGTAGTTGGGTCTAGAATCTGCTCATTCATTACTATGTGTGGGAACTTGCATCGCTCATTGATCTAGTTTCTTTGAGGCTTTGTTTTGCGGGGTATAGGGGCTTGTGGTGCATGGGTATTCTACTTTATCGTTGTATGAGACCGGGGGACGGCACGGTTTGTTGGTTCTATTAAGAGTGGTGTGTAGTGGATGACGCTTGTGGTGTTTATGATATAGTGAGTATCATGGTGTCGTTCCAGGCACTGGGTATCCTATGCTAGTGCTGGAAATATTTTCTCTTGGTTTAAGTGATAAATGACCTAAGTAGACTGACACAGAAACACACCCGCTTCCAATATATATTTACCCACACAATACAGAATAACAATGCCACAACCACTAACCAAGCCAACTCCCCTTCCCCTTCCCCTAAAAAGCAAGACCCATATCCCAACACACCAAATAATCCAAACAACCCCCCCAAAACCCCCAGAACCCCCCTCTCCACCATCCAACAACCAAAGTCACATGACCCAACCCCCAACCCGAACCCAAATCCACCCCCCTAAGCTTTACCTTATAGCACCACAAATCCTCCCCGTTCCCACCAAGCAAGCCCGGCTAGCTCAATCGGTAGAGCGTGAGACTCTTAATCTCAAGGCTGCGGGTTCGAGCCCCGCGTTGGGCTTCAATGGCGAGTTGTCCTTTAGCCCGGCTAGCTCAATCGGTAGAGCGTGAGACTCTTAATCTCAAGGCTGCGGGTTCGAGCCCCGCGTTGGGCTAACTATCTCCCATATCTTTTTGCCTAGCTCAAAGATTCCTCCTGTGTTGTGCTGGATCATGGTGTTCTTTTTTTTTTGCTATGTGTGGTGGGTAGGTGCTGCGGGCGGTGAGAATCTGCCTGGTCGGTTGGCGCAATGGTATTGTCCCGGAGCACGTGACTAGAATAGGTCATCTGCATCGGCATATTCTATAGGGGCCAACCGGGATTGCCACTCGGAGAAATCCCGAAGTCCGTAGGCGTTATTATAAACCTAGATGAGAATCTGACCAGTATCTGTGCATCTCACCCAGCCCCAAAAATGCCTCCACTTGATATCTGAGTCACTCATACCCAATCAAGCTCTCTGCTTAGAAGAAGAGTAATAATATTACTCGCATCTCGCTCTCGGCCTCGGCCTTCGGACATGGCTTACCCGAAATACTCAAACCAAAACCCCATACGGATATACCACCCAGAACAAAATCCTATATAAGGAATCCATCCCGTCCCATTACTACTGTAGCACTCGTACAACCCACCACCATCATCACCCATCACAAAGACTGGCAACCACAATCATACAATACAATGACCCCCTCAATCGGCCTCATCACCTGCAGTCAGCGGTCCCCCCGCGCCGGACCCCAAATAACCACCTTCATCCAATCCACTATTCTACAGTCCCATCCTACCGCAAACCTCACTGTCATCGATCTCGCGGAATGGAATCTACCCATGTACAATGAGCCCGGGATGCCCTCGTACATTACCTCAGCGGATGAATATGTCCACGAGCACACGAAAGCTTGGTCGAGGGAAATCGCCCGTCACGATGCGTTTATTTTCATCACTCCGCAGTATAACTGGGGGTATCCGGCCAGTGTGAAGAATGCGATTGATTATTTGTTCCACGAGTGGAAGGGGAAGCCGGCGTTGGTGGTGAGTTATGGGGGTCATGGGGGTGGGAAGGCGGCGGGGCAGTTGAGGGAGGTGTTGGAGGGGGTGAGGATGAGGCCGTTGGCTTCGGAGAAGATGGTTCAGTTGAGGTTTCCGAGTAGGGATGAGGTGGTGAGGGCGGCGGGGGCGCGGAGTTGGGGTTGGAAGGGGAGGGGGATTCTGGGCGGGTGAGAGGGAGGGGATTAGGGTTGCTTTTGGGGAATTGGTGGATGCTGTTGGTGTGGTTGGAGAATAGAATAGAATAGATTGGTGTGGATGGCTGGAAGATGCGATATGTAATGAATGAGGTTATGGAATTCGACTTACTGTGTGTCACGGTACCAGGAATCGCCGTGTGATCCAACACAGCCTACATCAGATGCTCATGTATAAGCACAATAGGTAGCACAAATCGGCCCATCCTGACATGCAGTAAAGTCCCGCGATGGCAGATTGGCTCATGCCCCCAGAAGAATGAGATGCCACTGTGATGGAATCTGCCCCGCAAGAGGGCTCACGAGGCAGATAGATGCAGGTACCAGGTACCAGGCACCCCTGTATATTCATGTTTCACAACAGACAGTGATCATACGAGGGATGCATGTGATTCCATGCTAGTCATCGGATGCCGGGATATACTACCATCCTAGATGATTGCATGTCAGTATATAAGCCATACGAAAGCTGTGGAAGGCTGCACGTACTTCCAGCCAATATCTTATCTGCAGCCATATCAGCCATCGAACTTCAACATTCACCCAAAAGCATACACTGCATACCCTGCATCCACAGCAATCACTCTGATGGTCTGCTTCCCTATATTCCCTTTCGTAGGCTTGATAACAGCCGCCGCTCTCCCCTCAACCCCCCTCCACTCGAGACGATCACCTGCGACATCTGCATTCTCGGGGGCGGAAGCTCAGGGACATACAGCGCCGTGAGACTAAAAGACGCAGGCAAACACGTAGTAGTGGTGGAGCCCAACAACCGCCTGGGAGGTCACACAGAAACACTCTACCTCCCAGACGATCACTATGTCGACTACGGCGTCGAAGGCGTCTTCAGTGACGAGTTATCCAAGAACTATCTCAGACGACTTGGAGTAGAATGGAAGAGTCTGCTTCCGTCAAATAAAAAAACCGAATATGTTGATTTCACGACCGGTGAACGTGTGGACCCACCGGCAGGCGTTGTCAATATACTTTTGTCCACATTCCATTACCGCTCGGCTATCAAGCACTGGACAGGTCTCTTGAAAGGGGTATACGACCTCCCTGACCCCGTGCCCGAAGAACTCCTCCGGCCATTTGGCGAATTCGTCGAGAAACATTCCCTTGATGCCGCCCTGCAGTTGATATTTTTATTCGCCCATACTGTGGGAAACATCCTCGAGTTACCCACCCTCTATGCCATCCAATTCTTCGGAGTTCCACATGTCGATGCCCTTCTGAGGGGATATATCACGCCCCGGAACGGCATGGATGAGCTATACCAAGAGGCAGGGAAGGAACTGGGCCGCGACGTGCTGCTTCAGACGACGGCAGTTGAGACGAAGCGGTCTGATTCCGGGGTGGACGTGACAGTGCAGCATGCGAACGGCACTCGCAAGCTCATCAAGGCGCGAAATCTCCTGATAACATTCCCGCCGATCATGGAAAAGCTCCGAGGCTTTGATCTGGATGCGGTGGAAACGGAGATGTTCGAAAAGTGGGTTTGGAGGAACTATTACGTGGCGGTGCTCAACAATACCGGGATCCCGGACCAGATCTCAGTCATCAATACAGACCCCAAAGCCGGCCCTGGGGATCTGCCTCACATGCCCTTTGATTACCTGCTGCAGTATATGGGGGCGCCCGGACATCTCACCAGCAAGCTATTGGGTGATATGGATTTCACTGCAGAGGACGCGAAGAATCTCATGGCGTCAGATTTTGCTCGCATGAAGGCCAAGGGCACATATCCGATCGAGAATCCTCATATTGTGGCGTTTGGCGATCATTCGCCATCAGCGCCGATAGTGTCGCCAGAGGAAATTCGCAATGGTTTTTATCGGAAGTTGTATGCGTTGCAGGGCAGGCGGAGCACGTATTATACGGGCTTGACGTTTTGTTCAGATTATTCGTCATTGCTATGGGCGTATTCCGACACGGTAATCGAGAAGATGAAATGGGGGATGTAGTACATAAAACTCTGATGTGAAGAAAGCCTGCTGGACGAGTCATTTTATTTCACGGAGCATCCCCGTCAAACTTAATATTCTAAAGTGAGCAGCATCTTGGAAGCTTCCAAACTCTCGCCCATCCGTAGCGGACCACAGCAACTTTGGAGAGTCTGGCTCAAGCCATGAACAGCATCTACGCGTAGCAGTTAGCCTAGCTTAAGCAAGACCCACAGCCAAAGGATCAATTAACTCAACGAGTCAAAAACATGCCATTTTTAGATTAAACAACCCCGCGAAAAGCTCCGAAGCTTGTGTGTGACACTGGCTATCACCCAGTAGAGTTTTTAATGCAGTAGCATAGCCGTAACACCCAGTATAGTAACTCCGGTGATACAGATAGCATTGAAATGTGGTGGCCGAGACATAGCTGGCTGGCTGTCACCATCCTAATGGAGTTAGTGCGAGCAGCCATAGAATAATGCAGTTGCCCCAAGACCAGATGACAGGTCATTTAATTCAGTGGATGCCGACAGTATTGTGGCTGGTTTTGGAGGGGAGTGGCCCATACCCTGGTTTGAGGAGACATCACATCAGTGAGCAGTGTAAGGACGGAGGAAATAATTGAATTCAGGCTCGTTGCTCAAGCCCTTCAATGACGTCGATGAAGGAGTACGCGTTATGATTAAGAGGCAATCATATAGCCCACCACCATCGCATAACATGCCGCTATTTGTAGACAGCATGACCAAAGTGCATCAATGTGACCAGTGGCCTGACACATAAGCCTGACACATCAATCTCCCCATCCAAAAAGAAGCCTAGGCCAGCTGAAATGACGCACTACGTCAGCGCAATCAAGTCACAGCCGGGCGTCGCCGATCAAGGAGCCAAGTGCCGATGCACCTTCCAATGAACGAGCCCAGCACAGACGGGATCGATAGGTGACGATAGCCGGTGGGCGGCTAAGAAACGCTAAGCATTGAGAATTAGGGCTGGTTGGTTGCGGCGATGGGATCCCGCCCGCCATCGGCCTTGACGGCCTCTCCCGTGAAGGGCACGTGGGGCAAACCATTCTCCCGCTTGGCTTATCGCTGGCTTGAGAGCGTCGCTCGATTTGTTGATGCATCTGACATCGCTTATCTTCCGACGCGGCTGGTGTGACGATCATGGAGCCGGCGGGGTTTATAAGGGGGTCGCCGTTACCCCTCGGAGTTTGGCTATTGTCATTGTTAAGCTGCTGACTGCATTCCCACCCCATTTCATCAGTCTCTTCCACAGCATTCAAAAGCAATTCTCATCAAAATGACTATCCCCCACTATGGCGTCTGGATTGCCCAGCCAACCCGCTACACCGCTCAAACCGAGCAGGAGGATCCCAAGTCTCCTCACATCTACCTCTATTTCAAGGATGATTCCTCATCCCGCAGGAACCTCGAGGCCGCCATCAATGTCAAGTCCACGGGCCAGGATTCTCGCCTGGTGTACTGGTTTGACCAGAGCTTCACCCACCCGATCACCGAGAAGTTGACCAACTTGAACGAGGGCTTCCACCTCCTCAAGTCTTATGCCCACCGCCGGTATCGTCGCCAGGAATCTGATCTTAGCGGTCTTGACTTCATCCGCACACAGGGTCTCGTGGATATTGAGGCGGGGACTGTCCTTTCCGAGGCCGACACTGGGCCGAACAATGCTGTTTTGCAGAAGTTGGAGCCTATCCTTAACGAGGCGATCAGCCGAGAAGCGACGGTGTACATCTTTGGATCATCCTACGGTTCGGGTATTCATGATATCCATATGAACCAGGGCAGTTCACCGTCGTATGAGAATGGGATCTATGAGGATGGCGCGTTGCTGTTCCGCTTCGACGATGGGCATTGGGAGGCGGTGTTCTTGGCTTTTGCGTCGCAGGAGATCCCAACGAATGACAAGGGTGAGGCAGAGGAGGGTAGCAAATCCTTGGCAAGCATTCTTGGGCAGTAATGTACCGGCGTTGACATTGGAATGATGTACGGTCATGTCTGTGATGAACCGTCATACCTGGAAAGTAACGATTAGTACAATGTGATTTTGAAGAGACACTTACGATACCTCAAATTCTGTTCCTGGGCTCATCGTCCATTATTTCTGGCACAACACCCTCACACTTGTTCAAGTCAAACGGCTCCCATTTAACCTTGACGGAATCGCGGCTGCGACTGTGAATTCTTTCTCCGTCTTTATTCCAAAGCTCAAATCGAAGGTCCGTAGGGCTCACGACAATCTTCACCATGAAGGTTGCCAACAGATATACTGGGCCTCGGTTGTACCAATGTATGTTTCTCGGTTGTTTGTCAACACTAGTCATGTCAACCTCCAGGTTGCAAACCAGCTTGGCCCCGGTATGCGACATGCTGTGGGGAAGCTTCTGCTTCGGGAGCGTTGACATGACGATCTGAGCCTTCCATGGTTCTGTTATATCTCGGGGGTAAACCTTTCGCTGGAATTGCTTGGATACTCCTGTTCGAGGGACTGGGTCACCCTGGTACCAGATGACGGGTTAGGTGATTATTAATGCAAACCCAGGAACTGCAGGTACCTGAAGAATAAGCCAATCAATTTGCTTTACCGCATATGTCCGTTTGTCGCGCTCATCATAGCGGACAGGTTCCCCTGTATGTTGCCTGGCGTCATACACCTTGTCGCAGATGACGCCGTAACTCACCCGGCTGCAGAGGGTTTGAATAGGAACGGCTCCCTGCTTCAGCTCCTGGATCCTATTCATCACCTGGCCTTGAACCACTGCTAGCTGACTGTAATCTTCGAATTAACGTGAGCGGCTTTGTAACCCAGGAGGGGCTCTTACGGTTCATCTACTGTGAGTACTTCGATGATGTTTGGGACAACACCTGGGGTAGAATATCTCTCTTTAAGCTTTGCTCTCAAGTATGGAGAGCTTCCAAAACCTCCAGACAGTACCAGAAAAGACTAGATCGAGGGTTAGTGTTAAACAAGCAACCCTGCTGGAGATACTCACGATCTGTTCTAGTGGATGAGTAATTTTCAAACGACCAATCTGCTCGTCCAGCAGTTCATACGTATCCCGGACTCTCTCATCGAAGATTTGCTGGATTTCGTCCCTGGATTGATCAGTTGTGTGGCTTCTCCAGCATGTAAGAGTTCAGACCTGCTTATACACATATCACCGCCTATGATACCAGCCTTAGGAAATTGCGAATCGCGGCCAAGAGAAGGCACTTCGAGCATTAAGCCCGTCGGCTCCATCCCCGGGGCCCCGAAACCGCATTTGTACCGCTCAAACCGACGGCCAGCCATCATATCCCAAGCGATGTCATTAGGCTCACCTGGGAGAATGTCGCGAATTTGCTCCAGCCTATCACAAATTACCCGGTGAACGTTCATATCGATCAAGACTGACCAGATCGGTTTCCCTGTTCCCAGTCAATTCAGAACGTAACAGTGTCTGATTCCAAGTAGTCTACCTTCAACAAATCCAAGTGGTACGAACTTGGTAGGTTCACCTTCGGATGAGACTAATTTGAGGACATTGACATCCTGCGACAGGACAGTCAGTGCTGTATCAGTATAGTGGCAGTGTGAGTCTACCATTGTACCTCCTCCCGCATCGCATACCAGAATCACATCCCCCCTCTGTCATACCCCGTTAGCATAACCGTGGCTCGATTCGCAAGGATACGCACGCACCTGATAGAGCTGTGCGCTGGCATATACGGCTGCCGCTTCTGCTTCTGTTAGCCCGATAATGGCTCTATGGTTCGGAGACTGGAGCTCGATGGACTCTTTCAGTTGAGCCACCATCCGCGGATCTTTCCAGGTTGTCGGAATGCTGAAAACAAATTCCACCTGACGGGACGAGAATCGGGGGAAAGAAACAGCAAAGTGCGATAAAGTGTATTCGTATACGCATCTGATATAATCTCGGAACCAACCGACCGCCTCCTCACGACTAGGTGAATCGGGACGGCTGTCGAAGAAGTCGGGATCGAGGTTTAATTTGAAGTATTCCTTGATATCTCCATTATCGCCATCGTTGGCTAAACAATTCTCGCAGAGAAACCCCCAGCTCTTCACTATTTCTGACCCAGCGACATATCGGATTTGGCTTGGGACTTTGTTGGCGAGCTCAGCGCCCAAGATACCTGGCCAGCGTTGGATGGGTTTGGGAAATGACCAGTCTGGGGCGGAGGAATAGGCAATTCCTGATTGAGGTGACCGTTAGCTTTTCACAAGCAAAACCCAGAAACGGGCACAAGGTGAGAAATAATGTGAGGAATACCAGTGCAGGTCATGCCAAAGTCGACGCCGACCACAATGTCCGGGGTCCAATTGTCCAGCTCCATCGCTATTATTCCAGTCTTCCTGTTGAGGATTGCGAATGAGACTTCCGGGCCGACAGACCTAGTTGAGCAACAGTGTGACTTATTGTCCATTCCGTGTGATGAGACTCCTTTCAAGAAGTTGGAGAGGCTGGAAGGTTGGGGCCAACAGGAAGAGGGTGATACGGTATGGTCAAGGGTCCGTTTGTTCGGTAAATTACCGGTCGCTGTCACCCCCGCCAAGATTGGGTCGCTTCGACACCATTATTTCACCGAGCAAACCCGTGGGAGGAGAGTCATGGGCACACAAACAAAACAGCATAGACCAGTCCAGTTCAATGAGATTTTCATTCCCACTCTCTGGCTGAAATGGTAATGCGCTCTTCCCATCTGCCATCCTTGCACCGTCATTCTAACTCCGCCGCCTCCCCATTTTCTTTCACATCGTGGTGGAACTTTTGCTTACTCTGCCTCCAGGATAGCATCTGACTTAGCTCAGTACTGGAGAGTCTGGGAGTGTGGCGTTTTGCGTCATGCATGACCTGCTGATCCCTGAGGACAGCCTTGTCGGAAACACGGTCGATTGTGGCCTCACGGCTATGGAGGAAGGTGATAACAGTGACGAGGCTCTGGTGGCAGACAACCAGGCGTGAGTGATGTGCTCGCACTCGCTGCGCATCCTTCAAGGCCCAAAGCAAACGCTTTCCCACACTAAGCGTGCTTTTTCCAGCCCCAGTCTCGAGCCCAACCCGGCAAGGCTCCAGCAGCCGAACCACCGACTTGAGGGCGTCTTCCACATCCGTGACCGTATAATCAACCCAAATCCGCTCCTCCGGTTCTAACAGTGCATCCTTGATGTCGCGCAGACGTCGGGCTTCTTGGATCTCTCTGTCAATGTGCTGGGTGGTCGCGAGCATGTCCCGGGCTTCTTCGCCTGTGGGATCTAGCCGAAAGGAGGTTTCCATGAGGAAGGCAACCAATACGGTGTCTTTTGAATGTGCTTAGAGGGCTTGAAGACGGGCCAGAGGGTGACCTAAGAAGGTTGAAGCGTATATATCATGTTCTCTCACATCGCTAGCAAGGTCGCATCAAACGGAAAAAGTGGAATTACGATACGATACAGCAGGTCAGATCAGCTGCATGACGGCGAACGAGATTCCTTTCTGATCCGAAGGCCAGGCCAAAGCATACAAGCTAATGCAAGGCTGACAGAAGAGAGTTGGCTGAGCCACGCGTTTGCCTTTAACCGGCGAAGATGACTGCAATGCGTTCTCCGACTGGTTCTGAATTAGGGGTTGCATTTCAAAGGCAGGAGGTACTGTGCAGAGTGATTTGCTGGATGCTCTCTTATCATCTGGCTCAGCCGACGCAGTCCCCGCTCTCTGGGCTGAGGCTACTTTCACTACTTTTGCTTACATGCCCAGAGGCTCTCGGCGTGACTGGCGTCTTAGACTTCTTTGCGAAGGAACTCCAGTCTCTGATGCTTTATCCTACTGCCATCTCACTCGTCCTGATGCCCATGATCCAGTGATACCCAGATCAAAGTATTAGGGCAAGATATACAATTAATGCCGGGCTCCTGCAGGAACCACAAAGAGTCCATTAATATCCATGCCGCTTATTTGTCTCTTAAACTAAGATCCGACCGAAATTGAAGCGGCGAGCATGGCTACAAAAACAGCCGATAACACTGCAGAGGGCTCGAAGACGTCTGTGGTCACTGTCACCAGAATTGTCGAAAGTGTACAGTTTCGACGCGCAGGATATTATCAGGCTTAAAGCGCAGGCAAGTGAAGCTCTTAACTAATTGACTAGTGGGTCTGATGATTGACTAGAGATGCAATAGTGCAATTTGCAACGTGCGAAGGAAACCTTGGGTTTACGACGTCAGGGGCATATGCAGCCTGCTGTCCGACTTCAACGTCTGCAAGCTGTCTCTACGCGACAGAGTGTGCAACTAATGGAGACACAGTTTTCAATTGGTGAGAAAACTTTGTCCTAGAAGATAACGTCAATTTTTTAACAATCAATAATGCCGCAGCTCTTCAGATCGCGTATGCCAACCCATCACAATTAAGAAAGGTTCTACAGCCACCAATGACTGGAACGTCACTGGATACTGGTGCCTGCAGTCCAGTGCTCCGAATATCCTTTACCGAACCCTCGTCGGAACAATGGTGCAAGACGCAACCCCCCTGGAAACCATCGTTTTGAGCGCCCCAACCCGCACAGTCCACAACACAACCACAGGTACGACCTCGGGCATAGAACCAAGTTATACCTCAACGAGCTTTTCTCCCACCATAACTTCCGCGATAACTTCCGCCGTAACTTCCGCTGAAGGGACTACAGGAGGGTCCCCAGGAAGCCACAGCAACACTGGAGCGATAGCGGGAGGAGTGGTGGGCGGCGTTGTCGGTGCAGCATTTCTTGTTGCGGCCGGATTGTTTGTTATGAAAAGACGCAAGAAGAAGGAAGCTGAGATGCGGGAGATTGGAACCGAATACCGAGAGCTGGGCAATAGGTGAGCTGGTATCAGACTTGCTTACAAGTAAGTGAAAACTGTAGATTAATGCTCATATAAGGAGCTGGTTAATAATATCGCTTATTCTAGACAATCTATTGATATCCCACTAAAAAAAGCATTCGGTCCGATATACGGTAACTTCCTTTCTGATGACCTGACATTTTCGGATGTTGCATATGAAGTGGCAGGGATATATACCCCAGAATTCTGGCCACCCGAGTTATACCCACAGTTTTAACCCTGATAGCTGGTTATCCCCACTCAGGTACCTATAGCCCAAACCTTCTTATTTACATCATCTACGATAACCCACATCTATCTTTCTTAGATCAGTCCCCAACATGGCTGATCTGCAATGCATGCATCTCCCCAGGGGGAGATTCGTCAATACTCGAAGCATAGCCAGTGCCGGACAACCTTCAACCCACCAGAAAGCCACAAGGGAACCCGATGAACAAACATCAACCACTAAAACCTTCAAATTCATCACTCTACCCGTAAAGATCCGTCACCTCATCTGGGAGGCAACATTCCCCGAGCCCCGCATAATAGGACACCGCACAGCTGCAGTCGAGAACAACACAGCACGAGAACTAATCCACTACCTTGGCGTATTAGGGAGCGTGGAAACCTACTCCCACGCAAACTACCTTGACATCCTCAATCACTCCGTCATAGAGCGTTGTTCCAACCCCATCACGCTCCAAATCTGCCGCGAATCCCGACTTTTCACCCTAAGAACCTACATCCCCATGATGAATGGCATATATACCTATGGATCATTCTACTTCGACCCCAGACGCGATATACTTCTTCTATGTTGGGACTTCGAACACCACAGACCCACTCTGGAGTCATGCTACGGGACCCAGATGCGCTATTTCGAGAATGTCATGGTGGATGGCCATTTTTGGGTTCAAAGTTATTCTACATATTATGAGAGGGCAGTTGCGACCATTCGGCCAAATCCCGAAGGTGGTATTTCTTGGTTGTTTGAAGCGATGTATGATGCCTGGGGAGTTCATCTGGATGCCTGTCGGGTTACGGCCGCGGTGAAGTTTGTTTCGGTGATTCTGAGCCGCGTTGAAGTCTTTACTAGACTGCATGGACGGCCGATGTTGGTGGAAAATACTAGGAAGATGGTGGTTCAGGAGTTCTTTGAGGATGTAGAGTCGGAGGATGGTGTGAAGAAGGTCAGTCTTGGGATTAGGGGTAGAGAGATGGCTTTTTACATCTATCTTAGCTTTGTGGAGATGAATTTCTGGGATGATGGGGATGATTGCACGATTGATGCTGTTCATCTTTGTGATTGTGATAGGCATTCTATAGAGGATTGATGGTGGTTTGCTGGCCTGGAGGGTTGGTCTGATGATTTACAATGATGATTTACAATGATGATAATGGTATGATATTTGTGCAATGGGATTTATGACAAACGTTCATGGATGACAATATTATGTATTTATTGATTCAATCTAGCGTAGATTCATGAAGAGTGTATGTTGCATTTGAATCCGGATCAAAACCCCAGTATCCTCAATTAATGCATCCTAATTCAAGCCAATTCTACCAGTACTCTCCACGAAGCAAATAGAACGAGAACCTGTTTCCTCCCATAACATTAACATGCCACTTAAAACCAGACGAATCCCACACCACCGCAACCATCTCGTCCGTGAAGTTGAAAGCGCTCAACATATATTTAAAGGACCGTTCAATGAAATCGAGCCTCACTACACAACCAGGAGAATAACAAACCTAACACGTGGTTTTATCGCTAAAAGAGGGAACAATTCACCCATCTTTAAAAGACGGCTGTAAGCTTCACTGACTTCTCTGTCAGTTGTATCATACAAAACTGGTTGCTTGTATTATGTATCTCTGATTTGGGGGTACATGGATTCTTCATACGTGCAGTATCTGTAGAGATAAACTTCAACCTGTAACAAGTGATAGCAAGGGGATAATGTGAATGGTTAGGGAAAGATCCTTGGAAGACACCATCTCAGGCATATTCACCTTGTACATATAACAATGAAAGAAGTCTCGAGAAAAGAAGCAAGCGTGTTGTATTACTATTGGACATGACTGCTGGATCTTGGTGATAGGTAGTCACGAAGACGTGGCTGATTTTTCGGGAAAACTGGAGGCAATTAATGAGGCGAGTTGCTCAATTCCCGAGCTGTAGTTCCAGAACGTGATCTAATGAGCTTGTCACTTAATATCAGTGTCTTAGAAGAGTATGTCAAAGGAAACCATAAAAATTCATACCCAGATCAATCATCCGTGTACATGTATTGGCGTGTAAGGAAGGACATGAGATACCTCATTGACACTAGATGTTTGTGTTGTATGTCCAGGAATCACTTCCCGGCAATTGTCAAGGTGGATCTCCAACCAGCCGAATAAAGACGGGAATTTCCAGTCTCGAGACACAAATCTCTTTGTGAGACAATTGCAGACCATCATTTGGTTGATATGTTGTCCCCATATATCAATACAAGTCCTGGCGTTTTGGCAATATATGTGTGCTTATATCATGTTCGTTGTATAGGATTCTGCTATAAGTCCATGTATTTTAGGCTATAGCTAAGCTCTGGGTCCCTCATCTTACCCTCTCGCCATTGTCATCATCTGGACGGAACTCGGCGTTGGTGGAGGAAGGCGACAAGAGCGATCAAGGCGCTCAGAATGCTGAAAGTCAACCTAATAACCTCTTCATTGTTCATAAAGATAGAATGACAAATCAAGTAATTGAGTAAGGCCAACTAGCCAATCGGTAAATAATCTCCGCATAAGGAGACACATATATGGTAGACCACGGGCATGAAAGGTCGATATCAGATTTATGTAGACCGGGAGATGAATGTACCATCTCAACAATCAACATAAAGAGTCAAGTCAGTAGTTCTATACGGTCCATACGTATGTTTCTCCAAGAACCGGGTAGTTCGATCTGTATCTCCGTACTCGAGATAATGCCGATCTAGGGTAACAAAATACTCGTCTCTATTCTTAGAGACAATAAAAGGCTTTTGCAAAGTAATCGAACTTGTGCATTAGCAAGGATGGCACTGTATATGCTGGACTTGGTTGTTTGAGCCCGAATTTTGTAAATTTACCCAGTTAGATGAACTAAATATATGGTGACATTATTCCTGAGCTGGATGATCGGGCTTTCGTATGACTGGCTGCCACTGGTATCTTCTAGTAATAAAGATATCCAGAGACTATCGCACTGATGCATTGCAAGCGGGTTTTGGTCGCACACCCGTATTTCAATACCTTCGATGTTGTATGCGAAGATCAACTCTGTGTCGTAATAGTGTCATGACAGCCGGTTACTTAAAGCATAATGCTATATTTCTTGCTGAGAGAGTAGATATCAATTGATATCAATAATATGGGAAGATTTCTCTGGGATGATGCAACGAAAGCTGATGATGAAGTTGGTCTAGGAGACATCAGAGAAAGATTTCGGGTAGCAAAGGACATATTTATAGGCGAAGAGGATAGACGTGAATAGAGACCACGAATAGTAACACACCTGATTTCACAGGAAGATGTCCATTCCATATCCCAGTATGCAAAACCTAATATACTCATTCCCCATATAAACCTTATGACTGAAGCGATGAGTAAGCATCTGCAATTCATCAGCACTACTATTCCTTCACCTTGACCATTCCCATTTCCAAGGTCTAGAAGAAGATGACGCAGCTGGCCATAGGAACCGAATTTAATGATTATTTACCTGAAAAGAGTGATGTTGTAACGGCAATACATAGGCTCAGAAAGGTGGTCAATGACCATGCCCCTTGATGCAGCTTCCGGATATTGGCAAAGTACGCCGCAGTGGATGATATAAGGTAAAATCAAAAGGGCTGTAAAGATTTGTTAGTCCTTTATCTGCGGCGTAGACACGAATTAGTTCTTATGATTGCAGAACTTTCTCGCGCAGGGTTGTTAATGCAAAGTTCGTCAAGATAGAAAGCCCCTTAAAGTGCGGTAGTGTTCCAACCGGATTAATATCATAATAAGCTTCACAAGGCCGGGCAAAAAGGATAGCTCTTAGCTCTAGCAGCACGGGCCTCGCAATATAGTTGTAGGTGCATTCCACCTGCAGCATCCCTGCTCTAGTCTTACGTATGCTGCAGGAGAGAACACTTAGTGGTGTGATATGTCTTGCACAGTCATGTACGTCAATGTAGTCTATTGGTGTACCTGAGTCTTTTGCTTTCGAATAGGTAAGGACTACCTAGTAGTATACACTACGCGGTGAAAACCTAAGTTGAATTGTTGACTATCTAAAAGATGCTCGCTCACATACGAAAATTCGAAGTCCTCATGGATTCCCAAACGAAACTCCTGTGGCTACATATCTGTCTGGCTTTCCAGCGCATCTTTGAACAACTTTATCAGCTGCAGTGTGATGTGTGAGCAAGAGTAACAGGACATTGGCAATGTATGAGAAAGAAGAACACTCACATATGAAGAGTACTGACGATCTTTTCCGGCTTTACGAAACACCTCCCGTCGCTCATCCAGCTGGTCTGGACAGCAATACAAGGTCTCTTCTAGGTTCTTATTCATCATAAGGTTACTGAGAAATGTCTCTGCACCGGGGTCATTGCCAACCCGTGAGATGAGGAATACAGCGCCCGCGGAACCCCCGGAGTGTTCATCCAGCCTTCTCTTGCAGCCCAGAACAATTTCTTCAAGACAGGATGCGTCTTCACCTTGGGGCTTAAGCTCAGCTCGGGTTAGTATCTGCATTGAGAATCTTGGATAGAATTACAGGAATACCCACATCTCCATCAGTTATGATGATCGTGATCAGAGGCTTCTCGAGCTGGTCAGATTCGAGTTTATCGAGAATGAGAGGCTTGACGATCTTGCTGCTAAGCACAGTCCCCAGTCGAGTCAATCCGGAATATTTGACAGTGTTCATCTTGGTTCGGATTCCCTCACTGGTCAGTTTGGTAAAGGTTTCGTTCTCTGGAGTGTTTAGGAAGCGAAGATATACGCCCTGTTCCTGAATACAGCAGCCAATTTCAGCGACATTTTGGCAAGTATCTTCGAGAGCCTGGATGCGTATACCCCTCCCTCTCTTCATTGAAGTGCTGTTATCTGGCGCGAGAGGTCAGCATTACGCCGTGTATCTTGGGGAAGGGAAGAAGCATACCACAGAGTATCGCAAAGTCATACAAGGCCATGAGGGCCAATTTTGGTGTGACTTCGGGTTCCAACTCGTATTTCTGGGTGAGATTCTTAGTTCGGGCAGCTGCATTCTTCACCAATTCCTCCACGTATGGGTCTCCCGGCTGATAGTAGGCCTGTAGGTTTTGCTCGATGAACTGCCAGACGTATCTTCGATAGTCCTCTTCGGTCTCTGGTATCTTGGCTTCGGGGAAAGGAGGCAACGGCATGTCTTCTGGGTGCGGAATCCCGAGTCGTCGGCTGAACTCCATGAGAAATTGATCGACAACATGAGCGACAATGTCATTTATGGCATCGTCTTCCTCATCACCAACGCTTGAGAGCTCATCGTGCTCATCGTCGAATTCCGAAGCCATAACTAGTTATCCGATCGGCACGAGGAACTGTTGCAGTAGTCGCTGTGAAAGTGATGACGAATGGATAGGATGCGTGTTCTCTATGCTTTTGATCTGGCACATCGCCACCCCAAGCCGGACAGCGCATCACTGCGATAGACCCTGCTGGGGTGCATGACTCTTCACTTTCCAGGAGAGTTTAGAAGCCCAATATCCAGATATCTGTCCCCAAGTTGGTACTGAAAACGTAAGGCGTCAGTCATGAAGAGGTGATGAAGATTGTTTGTTGAACTGGCAAAGTGTCGAAGAGGCTGGCTGACAGGTGGGGTTGGGCGGGGCAGCTATGTATCATGGTATCGATGGCCTGTACTCGGTCCGGTATTCTATACTAGCTCCGTTTTCAATGTTGCGCGGCAACCGCGGCGGGCGAACCTCCCTCCCATCTTGAAACATCCTGGACCATCTAAACCATCTAAACCATCTAAACCATCCGGAGAAACTACATCCCTCGTAGGGCGGGCTTACAATCCAACGGTTCATCCCAAAAGATATCCAGGACGACAAGCTTATCTCCTAAAAGTCTGCCTAAATGTTGTGATATGATGCCTAATGTTCGGTTGTACCAGCGACGGGCACCCAGATCAGCCACCATGTACCTTTCTCCTTACGGATGAGGGAAGGGTACCAGAAACCACCCGAGAAAATCACCCATTTGACGATTCAAATACATATGCAGCTGATACCGTCGATATGCAGAACCACAAACAAGCATAACGATGGGCTGAATGGATGACATCACCGTCCTGCCCGAGCACTGCCAAGTCAAGCCAATGGGTGTTGTTGTCTAATGCATGTACAGGGATGCTATACCAGAGGACAAAGTCTCCGTGACCAGAGAGGCCCGAGACACGTCACTTGGTCGGCTGGCCATTCTTCGTTATTTCTCCGGTGCACGCGCAACATGCTTCCCCAACGTGCAACTTACCACCTGCATATGCCTGGCGTGAGGTCCAGTAAAGGGCTTCGCTTGCAGAACTCTTTCAATGAACTATACTGATCTACATTTTCCCTTCGATCACCTGTTACCCCCTCGCGTTTCATATTATTCACATTTTTTTACACGCCCGATGCCTAAGCCCCCCCTGCAAGGTGGAGAATATTGCTGACGAGCTAGAATGTTACAGAGAGATTTGTGCCCTAAGTCCCCCTCTTTACTGTCTACTTTGGAAATTAAGATGATTAGAGCCCAGTTCGGGTGAAGGAATCCGATATTCGGTCTGATAGTATGGATAATGATCCTGATGAGCCCCGTACACGCTGTCCGGTTGTTGGGCGCTCCTGCTTTGCTGGGCTGCTTTATCTGGCGATGAGGCTACTTCAGTATAAACCAGCTTCCCGTGTATACCCCATACTGTGAAGTGTATCTCCGATGGTAATGGCTATATAAATCTGGATATACTCGCACTCAGCAATCCGTATAGGCGTACAACAAAGCGACAACATCTACTCGCAGCTTCTTCTTAAATCAGTTTTCGAAACACCACTTCACCCTCCCTACCGAAGACACAATGGCCCCGAACACACCTGCCGCCCCATCCCCACCCCCTGGAAATGGGACCGTTGCCCAGAAATCTGAGGACAAACTCATCCAGGACATTGTCAAGGAGATTGGCAATGCATCCACCAACGAGAGCCTCAGAGCCCTTTTTCGGAGTCACCTCACAACAATCTGCAAGGGGAAACTGGATGAACTCAAAAGCGAGGGTCCTAAATACCAGCGACTTATGTTGTCACACGTTGCCTATAAAATGGTCACATATGTGTTTGAAAAATTCCCCCATGAATTGGTCGCCGAAATGGACAAGTAAGGCAATCTCATGTATTACCTGATAATCAATCAGTCGAGGTAAGTCCTTATGAGCAAGCAGATTTTGTGTGATGGTGACAATGACTGATCTGGCTGTCGCCTTAGGGATTGTGTAGGGCAGGGCCTGGTTAGCTGGGAAACTGGGCGGTGGATTGGATGGACGAAGTTTGGTCATACCCGCTTATTTGTTCAACGTTCTGCATGTTTTGAAACGGAAGCTTTGGATCTCCTTGTCATTTGATAGCTTGAGAATGGTTATCACCTCACGTCACTGCATCACAGCTTGCCAAGCCGCTAGAAATTCTGGTAGATCGCTTAGATGTTCGTCGCTACGTGATTCGTAGGTGGTAAAAGCCATCTTACAGCATGAGATAACAACCAAAAGAGACAGGTGGGCTGGCCTGCCAGTGAAAAGCCGAGGTCTGAAAGGCTTCGGCATGGCTTTGCAAGAGATTATTCGGGATCCCCTCACTTGGATCGCGTCAACCATTGGCTCAAAAAACCAGTGTTCCGTCAGTCGTTCCACGTATCTCAGGGTGTGCTAACAACATGGTTCCTACGCTACCATGGGACAGTTAATAGCAATGCAAAGGCCACGCTGCCCAACGTTCGGGGTAAAGTCCAATCCTGTCAATCGGTAGCTGACATTCAGTACTTTACGGGGTGTCTTGGATGGCTTTGCGGCCCAACAGCCGGGACAGAGAAACAGTCAAATAGTCAAAAGATGGTAGCCCCCCTCTGCTCTAGTCGAGAAGCATAATTTTCTTTCTGTTCCTCAACAAACACCTTCGTCCTCATATATTCTATCCCCATTGTTCTTTACTGGATAGTCATGGATGGATATGGCTCTGGGCAGCCGCTCCAATGCGCCGACTATCGAGTAGGCTGGGTCTGCGCTCTGTCACTCGAACTAGTGGCAGCGGCCGCCATGTTGGATGTTGAACATGGCCAGCCATCCGACTTCATCTGGCAACCAAGACTGGACCACAATCAATACGTCTTTGGTCAAATTGGTAGCCACAATGTCGTTTTGGTGGTGCTTCCCGAGGGTGTATATGGACTTACCCATGCTGCACTTACCACCAAATTGATGGCAAATGCCTTTCCTTCGTTAGGCTTCGCTTTGATGGTAGGAATAGGGGGTGGGGTACCGAGTACGACCAACGATATTCGACTTGGGGATGTGGTGGTCAGCACGCCGGTTCCGGGGCATCCTGGAGTGTTGCAGTACGACTTTGGCAAGACAGGCCCGGACGGCGAGTTGGCCACCACCCGCGCCCTCAACAGGCCACCGCTCGAGGCCTTGGCAGCCATTTCCGCTATGAAAAGGAGGTATTATATGAAGAGGAGTGTCTTGACGAATCTCATCCAGGACGTTCTTCTGAAAAATCCAGTAATGAGCGAGGAATTCTCCCATCAAGGTGTGGACAGTGATGTTTTATTTCCTGTGGATCATGATCATGTTGCTGGGAATGATTGTGCAAATTGCAACCGGGGCATGGCTACGGTTCGCCCACCACGGCTAACGAACGAACCAAAAATTCACTACGGACTTATTGGCTCAGGAAACCAAGTCATTAAGAATGGAAGGTTTCGGGAAAAACTGAGGGAGAGGCATGGCATCTTGTGTTTTGAGATGGAGGGGGCAGGCGCAGTGGTAAGTCGTGGAACCAGCACCATTGTGAATCTAGCTCTAACACCAGGTAATTAGGAGGCGTTCCCATCTCTTGTTATTCGGGGAATATGCGATTATGCAGACTCGCACAAGAATGACTCGTGGCAGGGATACGCAGCACTTACAGCAGCTGCTTACGCCAGGGATCTTCTGCTCTTAATGGGACCTCCACCTGTGCCTGGTCGTGAGTGCTATCCCGTCCTGGTATCTATTGCGCTTTAGGATTGTTCTGATAATGAATGTTTCTCTCTATATAGCACCCCCAGCATATGTTGCCGAGACAACATATGTCACAGCGCATGTTAGAATGGCCTCGCCACCCCGCAGAGAGAACTCGGAAGCAAGACCATCTTCCCGAAGCCCACCCATCCCCGAGATTCGGTCCAAGCAGCAGCCTATAGAAGCCCAGGTCCAGGGCAATGATGCAAAAACACGGCTTTACTCGGACAGTCCACCCATCGCAGATGAGAAGCCCATCCGGCAGACAACAGACCCTCGACCTCAGAGAAACGATGAAAAGGCACAGCATCAGTCGGGCAATCCACCCGTCCCAGATGAAAGGCCTACTCGCTGGACAACAAACCCTCCACCCTCGAGGAACTGTTCAGGACCAAACTCTTCTCCTCCTAGACCACAGGCCCCAAATCCACCATCCAATCATCGGCAAACCGATCCCCATCTTCGCGCGGACTATGGAAGAAGACTTCTCCAAGCAGCCAAAGCTGGCAATATGCCAGTCGTTAAGAGGTTTCTCGACAGAGGAGGTGACCCAAACATGACTACCGAAGATTGGAACCTCACGGCGTTGCATTATACCGCCGGAACAGGCCACAATGGAACAACCCAACTGCTGCTCAAAGCGGGAGCCAATCCGAATGCACAGGCCAAGTTCACAAAAAACACACCTCTGTATGAAGCGGCTTCCAACGGCCACGTGAAGGTCATTCAATGTTTACTAAGGCATGGGGCTGACCTTATGAAGCGTTGCAAGTGGGAGAGAACCGCGTTGCATGCAGCCGCAGAGAAAGGACATATGGCATGTGTCGAGATTCTCGTGCGGAACCGGGCCGAACAGGACGTTACCGACAGTAACGGATCTACACCTTTGGACTTGGCGAAGAAAGAAGGCCATTTGGACGTAGTGAAGTACTTACAGCAGGTTTAGAATTTGCTGCTCTTCTGTCTATTTCTTTCTTGGGAGGTTGCGATATAGTTTGATTACCATGCAGCACCAGAATGAGTTTATGAATTGGATTGATAGTTATGATGCAACGCTATAACCGCAGTCAAAAAAAAAAGAAAAAAAAAATAGATCGAGCTGTCTAGGAAAAAGGGGCCATGTTCAGAGATACCACATGCATCAGGTGACCGGGGTTTGTGCCTCTTCCGATCCCTGTTGTGGGATCTCAATCCCTCTCTTCCTTCATCCGCAGGATCATCCAGATCATCAAAATTCATCATGTCTATCATCAGGTAGAAATCTTCGAGGCAACATTGTGCTATGGAGGTAGTCTACTTCCATAACAGCACGGCCTTTAACGTCTTCCCACTCTTCATGTCGGTGATTGCTTGGTTATACTGATCAATCGGATAGGTCGTAATGAGTTCCTCGATTGGATAGTTCCCCAGGGAGTGCTGTTCAATGAGGTAGGGCAGGAACTAGATTTCTTTAGTAATGCTGACTTCGTTGTCTTCGATAGGGCGGTCCTTACCTTCTCAGCCTGCCCATCTCCCTCGCAACACCCTACATATTGACGACCAAAGACCAACTGTGCGAATATATCCACCTTGGCTGTCTTCCCGGGGGTTGGAGCACCGACAGTGGCCAGTTTTCCTCTTGCCCCAAGTGCCTGGATTGCCTTCTCGACAACCGCTGGAACACCGGTGCAGTCAACTGCATACTGCACCCCAAGCGGTGGATAAATTGTTTGGATCTGCTGGATGATGTCCTCATCAGACCCGATGATCGTATGTGTTGCTCCCAGCTTCTTCGCCAACTCGAGACGTTCCTGATTCAAGTCCACTGCAATAATACATTTCGCTCCGCGCATTTTCCCGGCCATAATAGCACTCATGCCGACCGATCCAGCTCCAAATACCGCCAAGCTGGATCCGGGTTGCACATCAAGTGTGTTTATCACAGCCCCAGCCCCGGTTTGGAATCCACAACCCAATGGTGCAAATCGATCCAGGGGCAACTCGGGTGCCACCTTTACGACACATGAGACATGGACAACGGCTAAGCTGGCAAATGAACTTTGTCCAAAGAAGTTCCCTCGCAGGGGATCTCCGTTCTCAAAAGATAAGGTGAAGCTTCCATCGGGTCTTTGCTGGCCAAAATTGCTCGGCACAAATTGATAGCAGTAAGCCGGATGACCGCTAACGCATTGATCACAGGTCCCGCAAGATGCGTAGCTTAATAACACTTTGTCGTTTGCGTGGAGATGTGTGACACTCGCTCCGGTTTTCACGATGGTACCGGCTCCTATATGGGACTTAGCAGGGTTTCATGGAGATAAGCTTCGTTCACCATACCTTCGTGCCCGAATACGCATGGAGCAGTGGCAGGAAGTTGTCCGTTCATGCAGGATATATCCGTGTGGCATATCCCTGTTGCATAGATGTCGACAAGCACTTCATCGGCTCTTAGTTCACCGAGCTGGACACTCTCCATACTGAGAGGGCCATTGACCTCTCTCATAACTAATGCTGTGGCGGTCGCTGCCATGGTTTCGGCTGTTCAGATAAGATCTAAAGAAGGGATAAGTGGTTTGCATGAGGAGTCTCCCACGTTGAAGAGCAAGATAACGAAGGCTTCCGCCCCTATTTAAGTCCCAAGTCTGTTGGAGTTCTACCCCATGGCCCAAATTAGGGTTGAACGGAGATGGCAGTGATGTTGATCGGTCATAGCTCCTAATCTGCCGTGATCTGGACCCGACGTTCGGCTATGCATACCAGGCAGCAACCCCAGGTTTTGACCTGCGGGGGACGCCGGGGAGAGCAAAATTAAACTTTAATAAGCACTCCACTAGCGTTCAGGAGCGAAGTTAATCAGTCGGGTAATTTACCAGACTTGTGTCACCAATTATGAGTTGATGGTTCATAATTATCCGGTGGCCAAAGCCCACGCCAACGCTCAATCGTGTTGTAATTGGGTAGGTAAATATGATTTGGATACCCATGCCACTGATTACTTACAGAAGTTTTTGATTGATTCATCACATCCTCGAGCATACTCGATTTGATCAATCATCGCCCTTCTCAACAGGCTCATTTGCAGCCGTGGCAACCCCGAGTGTGGGTCCCGTGGAGAGGGCCAAGCCTCTGTGACGGCGATCAGTTCGCAGATCGGAGGCGGGGGTTCACACAGGTCACAACAAACTTTCGGGCGTAAGGCAATGTAACTCCCGGTTTAATCTGCCGTCGACGATCCACCAAGCCGAATCCCATCCCGACAGCAGTTCATTGGAGTTGTCAGCCGCGGGGCCCCGCGAATCCCACCCCGATGTTTCTCCTTGATGGAATGCGGGGATGGCACCAATCCGGACAATGAGAAAGTGCCCATTATTCAGTCAACCTAGCCGGGCCAAAATGACTCCGGGACATGCTCAGGCCGTCACACGCGTCACACCTCTCGTATTTGTTATAGTGGGATGGGGCACGTTCCCACCTTCAGTGGGGAATATACGAGGGGTAAGACGCTCGCTTAGGGTATAAATATGGGGCTATGGAGGCACAGTTGGAATGCAGCATTGAACCAGAATTGGATCAATACCCATGTGCTTTCGTACTGCTTCACAATCGTATCTCCCGACACTTGATTGAGCTACTTTATTCCGCCAACATGGGCTCCCTTAACAAGATCGACTTCACTGTGCGTTCCATTCTCTTCTCATCACCCTTCAAACAGAATACCTGTCTAACATCTGTATAGACCTTCTACAACACTATCAACAATGAACTCACAACCACCTCCACAACCCGCCACAGCCTCAACCCAGCTACGCGCAAGCCCAATCCCCCGGTGCCCATCTCCACTGCATCAGACCTGGACCATGCCGTAACCAGCGCCCGCACCGCCTTCAAGAGTTGGTCCAAACTCTCCCCATCTGATCGACGTGCCAGAGTCATCGCCTTCGGGGAAGCCATTTCTCTCCACGCGGGGGAATTTGCCGACCTCCTAGTCCAGGAACAAGGTAAAGCGCGCACCCAAGCCGCCATCGAAGTAAACATGTCCGGAACATGGTGTAAACAGATCCCGCAATTAGAACTCAACGATGAGATCCTTCAAGATACTGCTGACCAACGTGTTATTCAACGCTTTACACCCATGGGTGTAGTCGCGGGCATTGTACCCTGGAACTTTCCGCTGCTGTTGGCAGTGGGGAAGATCGCCCCGGCGGTGTATACAGGCAACTGTATTATTATCAAGCCGTCGCCTTTCACACCATACTGTGCCTTGAAGCTCGGAGAGCTGGCAGCGAAGGTTTTCCCACCCGGAGTGGTGCAGGTGCTGAGCGATGATGGGAACATTGGGCCGTTGATGACGACGCATCCCGGAATCAATAAGATTAGTTTCACTGGGTCAACGGGAACCGGAAAGCGGATCATGAGAGATTGTGCGGAGACTTTAAAGTCGGTTACATTGGAGCTTGGAGGCAATGATCCGGCCGTTGTCTGCGAGGATGTTGATATCGACGAGGTTGTTCCACAGGTATGTCCACCAGCCTGCCATCAGACTAAATTTCCTGCGGCAAAGATTCAGGTACTAACCTTCTCCAGATCGCAACCCTAAGCTTCCTCGTCTCCGCCCAAGTCTGTATGATGATCAAGCGCCTCTACGTGCACGAATCAATCTACGACAAATTCCTCTCAGCCTTTGTCAACTTCACGAAGTCTCTCAAGACAGGCAACGGCGCCGAACCCGACGTATTCTTCGGTCCTGTACAAAACGAAATGCAGTACGAGAAAGTCAAAGATCTCTTCACCTCCATTCAGACCGAGAACCTAAACCCCGCTCTCGGCGGAACCATCACTGACTCCGAGGGCTACTTCGTCACACCCACACTCATCGACAACCCCCCGGATAATTCTCGAGTAGTGAAGGAGGAAGCCTTCGGTCCGATTCTCCCGTTGATGAAATGGTCTACTGAAGATGAGGTTATCGCGCGCGCTAATGACTCCGAATCGGGACTTGGTGCCTCGGTGTGGAGCAAGGACGTGGACCGGGCGCAGCGGATGGGCGCGCAGTTGGAGTCTGGGTCCGTGTGGATTAATTCGCATTTCCAAGTTGCGCCAAATATTCCTTTCGGTGGCGTGAAGAGCAGTGGGATTGGGAGGGAGTGGGGAATCGAGGGGTTGAAGAGTTATACGCAGTCGCAGATGATGTGGGTGAAGAAGGCTTGAATTATTTACTCTTGAGCGAGATTTCTTGTTTGAACCAGAAGTATACACCGACTGTAATTATGGAATTGATAAGTTCATCAGGTTCCATTTGTGGTGAGCACCGCAGTATTTGGTTTTAGATACTACGAACGTGGGTAGAACAACAGACCATGGAATTTTAATGTCTTCTAATATCCTTCTATCTAGTCCTTATGATTCTCATAAATCCCCGTAAAAGATAGGCAAGACCAGTAGCTTCCTAGAAATATATAGATAGGAAATGCGACCAAACTACCCCACATTCCACACCAACCACACTCCTAGCTTTCGGCTAAGAGATTTGTATCTTCAAACCTACATAAACCACGAGACAGATAAAAAAAAAGGATAAGAAAGCCAAAAAAAAGCATCGTTTATATATGGCTGCGGGCGGTATCTGACTAATCATCACCACTGTCACCCACGATTTTCTAGCCACCCACAGACATCCATCCCTACAACCCTTCAATCCCTAGCCATCCCCACACTTAATCAACATGTCACTAACCATCCATTCAAAAATAGTAGACCTCGATCATCTAATACCAAAAGTAGTAGACAGCGAACAAGTAGGTACCTACACCCCCGTCATCATCTCCACCCAACTAACCAACTCATCCCAGAATCCGACATCTCAAATCTCATCCCTTGGGTATACCAACATTCCGACACCGCAGACGAAGACAATGCACTCAATTGGCCGACTGAGCACAATAAGTTTAACTTATTCTTCACTGAACTAGTATCTTACCGCGCCGAGCTAGAAGCCTATACCGCCTCTAGCGATGATGATACTGGCACCGGTACTGGCACCGGTACTGGTACTAAAGTCTCAAAAACCATAAACCCAATCGAAACAATCACCTTGCCCTGCAAAAGCTGAAAAAAAGCAGGAAGAGATCGATACCGATATTTTATCCATTCGCAGTGTCTTTTGTTGAGGAAGTTAGTGGAGGAGGTTTATTTGGGTTTGGATATGGAAGGTCAGAAACGTAAAGTTAAGTACGTTGGTATCCTTTCTCGATTTGGATTTTATTCGGTGGGTGTGATCTAATATTCTAGTCTAGATTTACTACCTCAGCGCAAGATATCAAATACACCATCGGTGGAACCCGCTACGTCAGTAGACTAGAAGGTGCCGCGAATATTATCGATCCTGGAGGTCACTCTCTCCCGATTATTGCGTTTACAGGGGTATGTATATATACAGTATCTCTTTGTATACACATCAACAAACTAATCTATCACTACTTCTATGCAGTCCTTCCCAAACCAAACACGGGCTGAGTTCTTAATCGAAACATTCAGTTCCATGCTAGCCCAGCTTACTCAGAAGCTGGAGCAGAAGACTGAGTTCCACGATCAAGAAGTCTTCGTAGTTGTGTTTAATGGGTTTGATTTTCATATAGCGCGGGGATTCTTTCCCAAGGATGTTATTGGTAGGGTCCGTGCGGAGGGGTTTTCGGGGAATGAGATTCAGTTGGAGTTTACTCGGGGGTTTAGGTTGTGGGAGAAGGGGAATTGGAGTGATGCGGCGAGGGGGGTGGGGAGGTTAGTGAGGTATCTTTTGGGGAAGTAATGGGTAAATTTTTTTTTTCTTTTCTGGGGGTGTTCGGTGTTGTTGCTATTAATATGCTAGGCGCGTGGCTATTCCCGGCAGTTCCCGTCTACCCCCGGCCCGCTGCTATTTATATACCAGCTAGATGGATCGATTGGCTCAAAGCGCATGATAGGATCTTATCTGTAGGGTCGCTGAAACATAGCCCCGCGTCGTGTGAAAGGGACTATTGGGTATTGGTGGTTCCATTGCCGACGTGGCAGGAGAGAATAAGGACAAGGCTGAGACGGCGAGACTCTCGACCCTTTGTCTTTTAAACGGGACTAAGGTAAACCTCTCCCCCAAATGATGTTTCTATGGGGTATTTCCGACTGCCAAAAAAGACAATCAACATGAGCGACAACGGGATATTCAACGATGAAGGTAAAAATGGCGTCTTCAATGCCAATAAACGCCACGCGCAAGAGGACACGGACACAAACAAGAGAGAAAAGAAGCGAGCTCGCATTATCAACACCCAAGAAAACATCCAGCTTTCGGGTCTCTGGACAGCAGGAACCGAATGGGTCGTGTGCAATTCAATTCTTCAAGCACGATCAGTCATTTCCGAACCGAATGTTTTGTCTGCGGGTGTTCCTGTGACGTCCAATATGTACCCTAACGGTATAGGGGCGCCTGTCCAGCTGAGTGGTGGTTTTGTGTATCCGGGGATTCCCAACATTGTCCATCATCCACAATCTCCGGTCCCCAGTACTCCAAGGAGGAAGACTATGGACTTGGTGCCTCGGGTAGTGCATGGCCGACTGAAGTTTTACAGGGAGAGTATGTTGAGTCTTATCGTTCCTGTCTGGGATAAAGGCTGATATGGATTAGAGAAACGGTGGGTGAAAAGGGCGGAGGTCGATACTCCGCGAAGTGCAGTGAAGTCGCAGTCGGGGGTGAATTGCCAGAACGGGGGTTTGCAAAGTAAGTCGGTAGCGCCGCTATCGTATCCTGTCTATCCTGTTCAGCCTGTGCCTATGGTTGAACCAAGTTCCCCATTCGGCGATGAGGACAACTCCTGGTCTTCAGGTCGGGATATGGAGCTTGAGGAAAGCCATTCAATCGAACCCCCAGACGAGATAGAGGATGAACTCCCTCAGAAAGAGCATGGGATTGAGGAGGACATACAAGAACTGAAAGAGGCGCAATGCGACACTTGCTTTGGAGAGGTAGGTTACCGCGCTGTTCAAGCTGGCGCATGCTAACTTTTGAAGATCGTCAGTACAGCAGTCTCCGCCTCCAAGGGAAACAATGACAAGCAGCCAGACCTTGTTAGCATAGAGCCTCTGGGACATGTGCTCAAATTATCATTCAGGAACTCGGGCGTTTACGCCGGCATCGTCCCCATGCCCGTACTTGTGAATCTTCTCGAGCAGTATACCCTCAAGCTCGTGGGAGCCTTGTCTGTCCCGAGTTCACGAAAAGGAGTTGTGTCTCAGGATAATCAGGGTCCGACCATTCGGATAATTCTTTATGGCCGTGAAGATGAGATGAAAGCCGTTGGTGCTGGTTTATCCGAGGCAGGTGTCTTTCTGCAGCACCCAACAGTCGCAGATTATCAACAACTTTTGCCATATATGAACCCGCAATATCTCCTACGGCCGGGTAATCAGATGCCAAAGCTGGAGTATCTCGACCTTTCGGATGGTGGACAGCCTTCCAAAGTTTTGGAGCCATTGGCTGAGGATGAGAAGAGTAAAATAATGCAGATCTTCGACTCCGCCAATTTAGTCCCTGATACCTGTCAGGCCAAGTCTAGTCCCAGATTAAAGTCCATCCTAGAGGAGTGAGTATTTCTCCGGTTTAAGCATTTAATGCTAATAAGGATACTTACTAGGCATCAGAAAGTGGCGCTCTCTATGATGGTAGAGAGGGAGATTGGCAGGTTCGAGGAGTTAAAATTCCCGTCTCTCTGGGTAAAAGATCGCGATCAAAGGTAATTTTGTCGATAAATCCTGAAGGTCGTATTATAACCGATAATTAGGTATCGAAATAAAATCACAGGGAAAGTTGAAGTAGAACCTAGACCGCTGTGCGGTGGTATTCTTGCCGATGTGAGCCCCCATTCCCGTGACCAAGTGGGCTGGACTGATTGTGAACTAGGACATGGGTCTGGGCAAAACTCTGAGCCTTCTTGCATTGGTTTGCTCATCACTCGATAGATTGGATGAGGAGAAGCAGCTGGGTAGTAGCCCTCGGGCAACCCTGATCGTTACGCCAAAGTCCAGTAAGTGAACCATGATCAATTCCAAGACGAAGTTAGATGTTGATTGCTTAAGCCATCCCTGGGTGGGAGAAGCAGATTAAGACGTAAGGTGAGATCGAGCCCAGCTATAGACGTATATCTAATGTGAATCTAGACATATTCGCCCGGGTCAGGTGCGTTATCTGGTATACCATGGTTCCAAAAGACGGCAAGCAGAAGAAGTGTTGTCGCAGCATTATGACATAGTAATCACCACGTATGATACCTTGCGACTGGACTGACTCGCGGGTCGTGGTCTAAACAGTGAAACTTGGTACAGACTCGTCCTATATGAAGGTAAGTGTAAATGTGGAATGGGGTCAGCCTAAGTGTAGCTATGGTCATTGATATTCGTGTTTAGCACATCACATCCGGAGCCGATCATCCCAAGTGTTCAGAGCGGTCACTTCTCTGAAAGCGTACTTTCGATGGTGCTTGACCGGGACACCCATTCAAAATTCGCTTGATGATTATGGTGCTCTTTTGAGCTTCATTGGCGTGCCTGTGCTTAAGGAAAAGTCCGCATTTGACTATTGGATCGCCAATCCAATGAAGGCAGATCCGAGCAACAATCTCCAAACTCTTCAGTATCTGGTGGCTGCTACTGCTTTTCGCCGTACCAAAAACATGGTTAAGGCGGTGGTTGAGCTACCAGCGAAAGTAGAGAGGATCGAGTCGGTCCAACTTGCTGACGCAGATCGGGAGCTGTATGAATTCTTCAAGGTCAAGGCAGCCAAGACAGCAAGTCAATTTTCCAGATCAAGGAAAAACCCCTTCAAGAGCCTGGACAGCAAAGCAGAGAACAACCTGGTTTTCATCAATTTCCTGCGACTCATATGCAATCACGGTGAACATCTTTTGCCTGCATCGGTAGTAAATGCGTGGCGAAACCGAGAGAAAGAACAAGCGGCAGACTTTAGAGCTTCGAGTGAAGGAGTCATGCTTTTCGGGGGCCGTTCCGGATCCACTGAACCAGGCATACATAAGAGTGGAAACATTCCAGATCGCGAGGGGAATAGCGACACAGACAGTGCCTGGTCTTTCCCCAATAGTCCAAGCAGTCTGCATGGGGAATCTGTCACAAGTGCCTCTTCTGGGATATCTTTTTCCCCATCAGCCAAGATGAGGGCCTTATTGAACAATCTGGAGAAAGAGCAGAGGGGCTCTTCGGGTAAAATTCTGAAGCCGATAAAGAGGCATGCATACTTGGTTTATCAGTGTGCTGGCAGTACATGGCTAACGTGAAATAGTGTAATCTTCAGTCAATGGACTAAGATGCTCGATCTAGTCGCCGAATTCCTGCAACAAGATCATTACGGGTATGCATGCATTGATGGCCAGTCGAGTCTGGCAGAACGTCAGTCGGCAATCCAGAGGTTCAATGAAGATAGTAACTGCACAGTAATGCTTGCCAGTATCAGCAGTGCTGGAGAAGGGTATCTATTGCGGCTCTTTGGTCAGTGAGCGACAATTGTAGCTAACATTCCTTCAATAGGATCGACCTTACTGCAGCAAACAATATTCACCTCCTAGAGCCCCATTGGAATCCAATGATAGAGGCACAGGCAATTGACCGGGTCCATCGAATCGGTCAATCACGCGATGTTTCTGTCACCAGGTACCTTGTTACAAACTCAATCGAAAGTGTACGAGATAAGCAGGCGATTCAGTTTGGAATCAGGCTAACCCGATTGCAGTACGTTCGCTGGATTCAGGAAGACAAACTGCAAGTCATCAGCCAATCTCTGGGCTCCGTGCCAATTTCACAAGCAGAGCTCGATCGTCGGCGGTTAAATGTAAGTCACTCCAAGTTTACCATTGTACGCCCAGTAGACTAAATCGAGTATAGAAGCTGCAGAAGTTCTTAGGCCCATCGAGTAAAGTTTAGGCCTCTACTGTTCTCAGCCACATGTTATAGCAAGAGATCAATATGTCTTTTAAGCTTGTTATGGGTGTGAGAATGTGTATGGCAATATTTTCGCATTGCTCGATAGTCTTCCAATTTATTCTGCATGAGAATCTCGAATAGATGTAGCCGATTACCAATGCTTCGTGAATACTGGACCACCACTGGCATAAGGGTATCTCGGGGGCCTGATAAAAGAACAACCAAACCGGTGAAACTGGTAAGCATTAAGCTTCTACAAAGAGAATGTACCGACGGGGAGAAAAGATTAAACATACCCTTTCAGCCGTTGGGTTGATCAAACAATCAGGCCTCTCCTATGGTTTCTTGTCTGTGCTACCAGCTCGCCCCAAGATATCCCGAGCCACCTGGAGATCCCCTGGGCGTCTATATCATCGGATGGCTTTCGTTTGCGAGAAACTCTGTCTGGATCTGCACCCGCAAAGAGGGGGAACTTCATGAACTCCGCGTTCTCCGCCGAGGATTTTCGCGCAGCATAATGGAGTGGTGAAATAGCTGAGGGGCTCTTCGATCCTTTGACATCTGCTCCGTGCTGTATGAGACCTGCTGCGAGGCAAATTGAGCATGACGATCTTGCGATAGAGCTCAACGCGAGTGTGAGTCTTGTCGGCTTCAGCTCTCTGCCTAGTCCCATGAAATTCCATAGTGATGTTAGGAATTTCTCCCGGCTCAGGATCTTGTTTGTTGCATTCAATGCTTTGTATCCAACAAGAGCCTAATGCAAAGATCTAGTCTCATCGAACTGCTCTTTTGGAGAAGCTGCTACCGCCGCCGTATATCTCTCACACAGTCTGTACATCTCTTCCGAGTCGGTCTTCACGAAAGTTGCGATATAAAACCCATGATCATACTCGGGAGTGTTTCCTGAGTCGATGAGCCATTTGACAAGCTCAATATTCTGAGCTGTTATAGCTCTACTCATTACCTCATAGCGCTTGGCACGCTCAAAGACCACCTGTGCCATTTGAATCGACCCATATCGTCCCACTACATCTGCCAAGAAGTATGAGTCGCTATCGTGGAGGCCCGGAAGGAGAAGCTCGACCATCCCGAGTTCATTTTGCTTGATTAGATCATGCAAAAGTGATCTCAGCTCCCGCCATTCCACAATGTCCTTTGTGATCAGCCATTCGGGCATCTTGTCTCTGTGGGCCTTCTTCATATGCTGATCTCTCATTCATCGGGAGAGGAACCCCGTGGTCTCATATTCACACCCCGAAACGCTGCATTTCCATGGCAGGGTGTGCTTACTTTCATGGCGGTCTCGCTCTGCTCTGGATTCGAAGCCATATTGTTGAAACGAACAGTTCAAGAAGCCACATCTGAACGGACGCTTGCCAAAGTCACGTTCGATGAGATGGCAGTCGCATTGCCGTTTATGACGACTATAATTACACAAAATCCGGTTCATCTGCTGGTAAATCATCTACGATACGTGGAATATGGAGAGTGGATCCAGATTGATCCATAATTTTCCTACTCTCGTCAGACATTTCATGCGATAATACTGAGCAGAGGCACATACCGTCACTGATACGATACCCTGTTTCTAGGCACCTTTGGCGAAACTGAGCTACATCAGAAAGGAAGTCGTATATATCCGGGTATTCCTTTTTGATAGACTGCAGGTATCCAGGAGTAGTGAAAGTGTCCCGATCTGCTGCAAATTCAACATTGCTTCGTTTTGTCATAAGTGACCTTAGACACTCTGCAAGCTGCGTCGGCAGTACCTCATCCCGTGACAGCTTTAAGTAGTCTCGTATCAGATCAAACCAGCAATTGACTGCGAGGTAATGCAGTCTGTAGCTTCCGTTTAGCAGGACACTGGTGATACCGTTGCTTCGAACATCGACATCGTATTGTCTTTGACAAAGGTAAGTAGTGCAACATACAGCTAGATCCAAGGTTCCATTGACCAGGTCGATATGTCCGTCCACGCTCGGACTGAAGAAATATCTACTCTCGTTAGTCGGTCGTGTTATACTCGAATGTCTTACTGCTTACTCCTTGACTTTGAAATGCACGAATTGTATGTACCCGTCCACCACCTCAATGATTGGTCCACATAGCTTGTTAAGATTCGGACTGACATAATCCCTTTCCAGAAGTTCAAGACTGCAAGGCTGGATCGTTAAGGCTTGTTCAAGTTCTGGTAGTGTTAGCGGCGTGGGCGAGCAACCGACCCATGCCAGTATTCTTCTGGCCTTGTCCCGCACGGATGGTCGCAGCTTGTTAATTCGTAGCAGTACTCGGGAGTATCTGCAACAGAGGTTGTCAGCCCTGTCCACAATATCTATCATAGAGCTCCTACGCATCATCCAAATCCTCCGGCAGTGTGCTCAGCTCTTCGCAAATCTCGGTGGCATCGTCGACGAGTTCAATACTGCTCAAGACAACTGTTGCATACAAGAACATTCCTACATGAGTGTGTAAGAAACAGGATCAACTAAGGGTATTCCATTACATACCTTTTGCTTTCGATGCAAGCAGTGTTAGGGAATCACTTATCTTATCCTGCATACTGGGAGGAAAGCTTCGGCTCTCGAATAGTTGCTCCAGCTGATGATTGACGTAAATCTGAATGCTTTCTTCATTCCTGTCATCAACTCGAATAACCTCTGATGTGGGTTGGAGAATAGCCGTTATATCTACCTCCTGTCTACTGCTGATTAGTATGCGGGTCTCCTGGCACTCTTGGGATAGAAGTAGAAGCTGCTTCAGAAGCACCCCCCGCTCTATTTCATCTATCTCATCCACACCGTCAATAACCAGAAAGGCGGTGCCAGCACAACCCAAAACTTCCTTGAGCAAGGCAACTGCCACAGTTACATTGCTCTTAATGTGTTCATGAGCCGAGTGGCAGAGTACATCCTGGAGGTCATCGTGTTGGGAGGCTAGTTGGAATATAAGCGAATGCAAAACAGAGAGCGCCGAAGTATTGCTTCGGAAAGTGTGACTCAAGAATGCGAAGGCAGTATGACTGGCTGTGCGTGCGATATCTACCACAGTACCGGCAAGAAATGTCTTGCCTAGGCATCCATCTCCGTTAATGGTAGTCGAGGAGTAGATTGGGATGCACGAACCTGCGCCTGGAATTCCCTGAAGCCAAAGAACCCTTGATGTCCGGTTGCCTGTATCAAGCCATCGCTTGAAGGTGTCGTCCTGGCGCAGCCATCCCCCAGTCCCTTTACAGACACGACCGTGATACCAATTGAGCTTATCATCATAGGTCCTGGGATTTATTTCTGTTTTGAGCGCTTGATATTTTTGTAAGCGATCTGCTCGTTCGGATTTCTTATAGTGCTCCAGGGCCCTCAGCCTGGCATCATGTTCCTCTCGAATATGTTCCAGACGCACTTCATTCCGCATCAGTGACGTGTGTCTTTGTATGTGAGCTTTTACCATGTCGATGTGGTCTCGTTTTCGTGGCCATAGCGACTCGAAAAAGTATTTCCAGCCTGCACCAATAGCGATTCACAGTCAGCTCAGACCATAACTTTGGCTCCCACAAGGTCTCTGGTAAATACATACGTGGCATGATAAAGAACTGCAAGCAAATCTGATAAAAATCGAGGATATCCCTGAAGAACAAGACCAGAACGTCGTAGATTTTATCGTTTCGTGAGAACAACACCGCAACTTCCTGGAACTCCGGCAACAATAACCCGATATCTGCCGTGGTATTCAAGATTGCGTCAAACGACTGAGTCGGAACACTAGTCCATTGTAGAAGCAGCTTGATCGGGCCCCAAATGAGTGCCATAATCTCGGGTTCGATCTGCACGAAAAGTTCAATAGCGGCGGTATACTCTCGCAGACGGTTGAGGTAAGGTTCAATCTTCGCCAAATGCCGAAGGTGTCCTTTCCTACCTTGTTCGGCTTGAAGCTTGTCAGTGAGGTCGTAAACGCCCTCGATAGATGTTACTAAGAGAATTTGGGCATGAATCTCATCGTTGTTCAGGTTCATTTTGAAGTCATGCATGGCCGTCTGGAACGCTTTCTGGATGACACTCTGTACAGCAGCCATGTTGCACAAATTGTCGCTTTATCTATGTCGCACACGGTTCTCTCTCTTCTGGGCGTCGTCCTTGACAGTATGATGAGCCACGGAAGGATTTTGCTCTTGTAGGGGGGTGTTGAAACCAGAGAGCTCCGTAAGGCTGGCGCCAACGATGATGTGCCTGTGTTTCGTGCCATGCTTGATCCTGCACTTTTCATCCAATCATGAGCACCCCGCCAGGAAACAGGCGCTTCTTATGTTGTCCACGGCCAGCTATGTTCTGAGGTTTACCAGGATTCTCCCATCATCGTGTCAGAGAAAACTCCAGACTGGCGGGAAATGGACGGTCGGGTACGGCGGACGATAGAGGCCATCGGGCAAGGCTGTACGGTTTTCGCTTTGGCCCTTTACCGCAGTGGCAGGCGCCCACACAGAAGCCCCGGGGAAGTCGTCCCAGTTCCGTCGAAATTGACCCTGCTCTGGTGCCTATCGCCAGGGACAAAGAATACTGTATGCTGTCCACGGTTACACTGAAGCCTCCATGACATAACATCCAAGTCACATAATGACCGAAGCAACTAGCTAGACCGAAAGAGATAATTCCCGGCTAAGGGAAGAATCACAAAGGTGGATGGATAGGTGCTAACATATAAGCCATGCCGCGCCAAACAAAAGAAAGTTCATGTTAGTGGATTGGAAGAAAAAAAGCTCAACGACCCAGCCTATGAATCTTTATCTCACACGGCTTGCAATATCCCTAGCCACATAGATCTGCCCATATAGATCTGTGACATCCACGAACGTCTTGACGATTTTTGCTGTCCGCTCATCGAGCCCTGTTTCATTCACCAATTTCATTAAGCCCTGGAAACAACACTCCCTCTCGTACTCTGCAAGCCACATCAGATCCTCTTTGACGGCATGTTCGGACCGGTCCTCGCTTGCCTGACCAGCGGGCCTAGTCGCATCCTCCCAAAATTCCGGGAAGTCCACACTGTTCAGGGTCCCTTCTTCCACATCACGCAAAATGCTCCCGTAGTCATTGTACTGCCTGCACATCGTGGCCAGGTGGCGACAGACACCTTCGGCGAGGTATCGCTGACGGGGACCTTGGAAAGCCCCGGGACAGGACCCGGATTTGTCCCGATGGTGGTAGTAGGTGATAAGGCATCCCAGGAACTGGAATGAGTATGGACAGCTGGTATGATCAGCGGAAGTTGATCGCACCCAGCTGAAATATGACGTAGGTGGATCCAGGAATGGAGTTGCACGAAGGGAGGAATATGTGGACTGTGATCGGAATCGCTGCGCAGTCTCGAGGTCGGCGAGGTGAGCCAGTAGAAATGTCTTGAGCTCGCGGGTTAGGGAGACTCGCGTTCTCGGGGATGAGTGCAGTACAGCTGGATGAGTGAGGATGTATGCCGTAAACTGGCGAAGAATGCCATCGATATAGGCGAGATTGAAATGCTGATGGCCTTGCTTGAGGGCGTCCAGGGTGGTTGGGAATGATTCCTTAGGGACGACTGAATGTGTGGCCTTCTCATTACAAAGTTGGTGAATGACGACACGAACATTGTTCAGTTCGTCCTTAGTGCATCCACCAATGACAGATTCCAGGAATTCGTCGACCTGGTAATTGAGCATTGACAACATCATCATCTCCCACATCAAGTCCGTTTCTAGTGGATTACCATTGCGTGCATTGCAGGCTGTCCATGTTTGCGGTATATATTCTAGATAGTTATCTGCGGACATATTATGTCGGGGAAAGATGATGTGTCTCTGGGAAACAAGCAGTGGAAACCACAGCCGGGCTTCAACCAAAGCCATGGTAAGATTCCAGCGAGGTTCATTCGCAAACAAGGGCAAACGGGAATAGAATCCGGAAAATCTGTGAATCGCCTCGATGGAAATGTCGACAACCTCAGTGTATGCTTGCTGGAATTCCGTGGTAAATATCGGGGCTTGGATGGCCGCAATGCAATAAGAGCTAGAAAGAAGTGAAGACTTGTACGAGACTTTCTCGATCCAAATAGTTTCTCCTTCTGCCCACCTGTGGAAGTTCGCCTCGAGGAATGCTCGGCCGTAAATAATACCGGTGCGGAGCTTCTCACCCACGTACCTAGATAGTGGGCTGTTGGATGCTGATACCAGGGTGAGAAGAGCATAGGCTGTGACTTCGGGGGATCCATTATGCCATGAGCCGTTCTCCGAGTTCTGTTGCTGCAGCGTTCTATGGAGGATTTCGCACAGTAAGATAGGTGCCATTTGAATGCAGTCTTTCGGCAGGTTGCGGAGGGGGCCTTCTTCCCAGAGGCGCAGGACATTGACGAGGGCGTTGGCCAGTAGCATCCGGGGGTATATTTGGCTTGTATTCTGGAAAGATCAGTTTAGCGACAAGTCGGTGTTTAGTCGTGATGGGCAACAGATTATAAGCCTACCCATTTATCCCGTAATGTCCCTCTATTGTGTTGCTTGTAGAGGAACATGAGCGTCATCTCAATCTCTGAAGCATAAGCCCCTGGATCTGGTGTGCGAAGCAGCGCACAGAGTACGTTGCAATTTGCACTGATACTCGGATCTCTCTCGTCAGGGTAGGTCCGAAAATGGTCGTCATCCCTAAAATGCTCGATCAGGCGATCAGGTAGCAAATGATAGCCTGATAGATTTAATGTCAAAAGAGTCTTTGCCGTATCGTCTGCGTCGGCCATCAGGGTGGGAGCTGTGAGCAAACCATTGTCAGATCGCCCACAATAAGCAAACAGGAAGTTTTCGTCTCCTCACCAAATCCGACGACTCCATTCTGGCTGTTGAAAAGGTCTTTCAAGTAGCGTGTGATTTTTCCAAGACATTGCTGGCCCGTTTCACTGAGGACGACATTATGTTCGAGAAGAGTCGAGGCCACCTACGAAGGGTCAATATCATGTGCGCTTCTTGGCTGCCACGGAGATAAGGCATTACCCAGGCCAACTCGAAAATGGTAGTTGGAAACGCACTGGGGACCGCTCCCGATCCCTTCCCCGTCCCCAACTCCACGGCAGCCCGAACATACGCTTCGGCATCGTCATCCCAGTGCGCGGCATGGATCAGATACGCTGAAGTGGACGATGGGGATGCCAACATGCTACCGAAGTCCAACCGATGTCGGAGTCGATCGAAGTCAATCAATCCGATAAATGCCTCCAGAGAATGCGTCAGCGTGGTGGCAACGCCCCCGTACAGAAGCTCGGGGGAGAATCGACGCAGCTTCGCTGAGTTTAACCTGCTCAGGTACTTCTGACCGGGAAAATCAAAAACAATCCCTTCATTCGCCAGATAGCGCTGATGTGCGGGGATGAGCAACTCGAGTCCCACGCGGTCTGTGGCTGCAACATTCAAAACCTGCAACTTGGTTCGAAGGAAGTCTGTGGCACGGGCAATGCACTCGTCCGGGTCATGGGTATGCTTCTCAGCGATAACGCCATATGTGGGATTGGATCGATGCTTTACCAAGGAAAGCAAGGCTGCCATCGTGTTGAGAATCTGATCGATATCTGATTCGGAGTTGCTTTCCCATCCCCCTTCCGGGGTCTGGGTCTCCAGCAGATGATTGAACGAAGACGGAAATAGCCATTGATGCGAATCATCGGTAGTTTTGGCTATCATAGAGACCCAGGCTGTGTCGTAGATTGAGCATGAGATGGAGCTCATGCCATAAGGATGGGTGCAGCTGTTGGCTAGCCTCTGTAGGAGGGCATCACAGCTCTGTTGGAGCTGATCACGAAAAGAAGCAATGGTCATTGTGACACACTGTGAGTGTTTCTCTCCTCTATTCCGATTGAATCTACTGGTTCTTTCTGGCGTCTGGCGACTTATAGCAGCTACACATACATCTATGATTTGGACCACCTCTTCCGGTTCGGTCGGGATAATGCGGCTCTGCAGATTAAGATACTTCAATCAAACTGCACGCTCGAGATATCCAGCTTGATTGACAACCTGATCAGGACGAGATATCACCAAGCAATTGATGCGGTGTCGCATGTGAAGGCTTGTTTGTGTTGAGAAATTAATTCACGATAGCATGCACACATCTGTCCGCACAGGCTTAGCAGCTCCCTTCTCAATATGCATGTTTGCTATCGCAGGAATGACAGGACATGCTATAGGTGGATTTACTCGGCAAATGCTTAGCCTCTGTCAATGGAATAACCGATCGACATATACCCCAGACAAGACCCACGCACTATCTATGTATCGCATTCCCTGAATTTGTGACGTGGGATTCGATAGGGAACTTGAAAGCAAACATGCTGACCTACCGTCCTATTAAACCCAAGTAACTTCTCCTCCAGACCAGTCTAGATTCCACTCAATCTCAGCCTTGTCTCTTTTGGCAGCACGGATCGCAACACATCATACCGCCCCAACCGATCACCGAACAAAGCCTCCCCTTCTCCGAGCGAGTGCTAACGAAGACATTGCCCCCAACTCAAGATGAGCCCACCCCAGCGCCTTATTCGGTTTGACACCTATGTCAAGCGCCATCCTTCCCTGTCAGCGGAGGAGTTTCATGAGTCAGTACTCTCTCGTAGCATAGCCTCTCCTTTTCCTTTCTATCTTTTTTTTTTCCAATTTTTCTATTCTTTCTTTTTTGTGGGAGGGGGGGGTGCTTGTGTGTTGATTTTTTCTCCCCCTTTCGCTGTCACTCTTGAATTCATAGTATTCATGGTGTATCATCCCGAGAAAATTACTAAGCCAGGCAGAATATGGACAAATGAACATGCTCAACTGCTCAAGAAATGGCTTGAACGCCACGGCGTCTACCGCTATACTCTGGTTGGTCCACACCACATGCCCTCCCGCCCGCAGGTACCCATGCTTGTGTCGCAAAACCAAAAAAGGGGGAATAAGAGCTCTCCATCTGGCTGATAAGCAACGCGAGAGAAAAATCGCTCACATGCTGACGATCCAACAGTTTCACACCCCACCCGCAATGGCAAGTGAATACCTTGGTGGCGGCGATCAGGGCTTAGAATTTGACGGCCACGCGGAGGTTCTGTTGGAGAGCTGGGATATCCTGGCTCGACTGAGAGCCGACCCCTATTACCAGGAGGTGGTTGAGCCGAGTGAGAATAAGCTGATTGACAAGGGTAGTGTGAAGCGCAGGGTCGGATACGAGGAGATCTGGGTCACGGAGGGGAAGGCGGTTTGAGTTGTTTGTGTCATACGAATGCTAGACTAGAGGTGGGAGTTGATTAGTCTGGCTCTGGACGTAGTGCGGGTTGCCTTTATCGGTAACCCGAAGATGATAGGTAGAGGCATGGAATGGAACCATGGACACAACTCCGGATCAGCCTACTCCGTACCTCTATGTAGGAAAGGCACATGGTTTACCCCAGCTATAGACACGTCACATTTTCATTTACTTCTGTCACATGTATTGTCTTTATTGCGAATTGGACAATGTTCCTAGCTGTTTAAGGCGCTCGCGTTCCTTCTCTTTCCCGGCTTATCGGCGATAACGCAGATGGTCTTATCACCTGGGAACTAATGAGAATTCGTACAGGGAAGCGGGCACACAGAATCACACAGCCCAGTCTAGCACCTTGCAAGGCTACATTGAACCAAGAAATCCGGGCAGCTTGAAAATGTGGGCATCCTGCATGATTCTACCATCTGCATGTGCTCTCAGCGACATATCCCGCTACACTGGAGTCCCAAGATCAGACCCCTTGGAGCTGCTGGGGCGAGCGGTACTACGCAAACGGGTTGTACTGAGCAGCAAGCTCGTAAGCTGGTAGAAGCCGTCCATACGGACCCGGCGGAAGAAGTACGGAATCGATGGTAGACAAGAGCATATTGAGGCAAGTAGGGGCTCAAGAGCGTTGAAGATGAGAGCCGGTGCCACGGAATCTGTTCCCCAAAGGGGAAGAGTCAATCAGAGGCTGGGGGGAGGTGGTGGATATGGGATACAGTGGTTTGTACTCACAGGTATCAGATTTGTGCGAGGTACCTGGTGCGCCTTCGATGTAGGCAATTTTCAAGAGCCCCATGAGGGTGGCCCTATTCAAGGATATCAGTTGGGCTGTATGTCGCTGGGATATCCGAATTAAGTGCGGAGCACTCACACAAAGCTGATAAAAAAGGTCAGGCTGACGGCAAACTTTTTTCGGGTTCGCATATGGAGTCTCCAGATCGTGGGCTGTGGTAGGAGGAAGAGCATGACATCGTGGACTGCATTGAGGATGCTAGCAGAGTACTCCAGCCGGAGACTCGACCGACAAGAATTTGTGAGACTCCACATGCTCGAGAAAGGCCGACATTGGAGGGAGTAAGCAAACAATAACGCAACGGCCCATAGGATCATCCAGAGGGACAGGATCCAGATGCAGATGTGGAATCCGCGGGCGGTGCTGGCGAAAATGCGGGATAGAAGAGCCAGGATGGACAGTTTGATGACAGTGATACAGATAGTATAGGCGTAGAGGTTGACCACCTCCCACTTGGAGTTTGAGGTCAGTGTGGGCACGAATGTACTGGAGGGGATGCTCGCTTGCCTTGGCTTGCATGATCAGCTCTTCCGGGGTCAGGCTAATGATATGCCTGCCGATGCCGTTGCGTATCTCTATGGGCCTCTATTAGCTGGGTGACTGCGATTATCAGACCAGGGTGCTCCCACCTCCAAGACTGGCGGCCATGAAGGGAATCAATAGTATGGCGCCTGCGATGGCTAGATAGTCATCTAGCGCCAGAGACAATCGTTGCATGCGTCTGGATATCACGCGGAGACTGATACAGCAAATGGCTAGAATAAAAAAGGTGATTGTGACAGCATAGCACGCTGCTTGCCGACTCTGGTGAATGTGGGCTTTCTCGTATTCTACATCACTGGGAGATAGGCCGGACATGTCTGATGGGTCACTGAGAATAAGAATGCAGATGATAGATTGAGAGATATAACTGTGGTTTGCATGATAGAAGACATTTGGTATGCCCTGGGAAAAAGGCGCCTGAATTATATGGAATCTTTGAGCAAGCAGTAAGGTAAGAGGGGCGAGGAGGTGGGGGGGGAGGGGGGGAGAAGTGAGGAGGTGTGTCAATTCCAGAGCAGCTGCATATGCAGCCTTCCCCTGTGTCTGCGGCGACATGCGTTATACCGCTCAAACCGCCCCGATGAACGTCTCGCTTATGACTGTTTGATATTTGCCATGTTGGGGGCTGTGACCGGTCGGAATCCCAATTTCTTTCTTTTCCAGTGCTGCTTGCCGGTGGTCACACGGGGACCCCACCCCTGCAGGTGCTAGTTCAGACTATCTCAATGGAGTAGGTACTCTCTTGGTCCAATTGCCCCTGGCTGGTGAGCCTCCATTACTTTTCTTTTGCTGTCGGTGAAATAAGCTTTCATTTCAAGACTCACGCTCGCGATTCTATCTTTTGCTCCCCCGATACGTACAGCATCATGGCTGACCTTGAGACCTCTGGGATGGCAGACGATATCAGCAGCACTGTGGCTGGAGAAAAAAAGACAATGACCAAAAAGACAATGACCACATTTCAGTATGCGATCACCATTGTGTCTCTTCTACTGGGCATGTTTCTGGTATGTACATTATCATTCATCCCTTGCTGCCCACCATCTCTCCACGATTTACTAACCTGATCGCAGACAGCTTTAGATCTGGTAGGCAACAAATAAACGATGCTCCCAACTTCATGAATTCCTAATAATCGATACCAAAGACTATCATTTCAACAGCTCTCCCCCGAATAACGCACGACTTTCACAGCCTGAATGATGTGGGCTGGTACGGCTCGGCCTTCTTCCTCACCATGTGTGTCTTCCAGACACTCTGGGGAAAGTTGTACAAACATTGTCCCATAAAGTACACGTTCGTGAGTGCGATTGTTAGCTTCGAGCTGGGAACCCTCGGCTGTGGTACGTTCACTGCACCCTAAATCGGCTGATCTTCAACACTCATCATTCCTTCAGCGGTGTCATCCAACAGTGCTGGCTTCATTGCCGGGCGGGCAGTCGCTGGATTTGGTGGTGCTGGCATTATCTCTGGCACTTATATCATTCTGGCACACATCGTACCCCCCGAGAAGGTTCCTATTTTCTACGGCTTGAACGGAATTATTTTCACTGTTGCTAGTATTGCAGGGCCACTTATTGGCGGCGCTTTTACATCCGATGTGACCTGGAGATGGTGGTAAGTAGCACCCTCTATCCATCCTACACAGACGACATAATTAATTAGTCGTCCTTAAAGCTTCTACATCAATCTACCCCTTGGGGGCATCGCTGTCGCTGCACTGCTTCTTACCCTCAACCTTCCCCGTTCTGCGCAGCCAGTGAAAGCATCGCCACTCGAAATTCTCTCGAAACTTGATATCCCAGGTTGCGTGGTCATCACCGGCGCTCTGATATGTTACCTTCTGGCACTCCAATCTGGCGGGATCACGAAGCCCTGGGATTCCGCGGAACCCATCGGACTATTAATTGGATGGCTAGTGTTAACTCTACTATTCGCGATCGTCGAATGGATCCAGAAAGACGACGCATTAGTTGCTTCACGATACCTGCGCAACAGGGGGGTGCTCAGCTGCTGCGTGTTTGTCTTCTTGTATGTCAACCCATCGCTCCCCAAGACAATCAAATGAAGGACCTAACCCGCAATAGTCTAAACGCAGCCAACTACATTCGGGTATACTATCTCCCCTTATACTTCCAAGCCATCGACAACGCCTCACCCGTCCGCAGCGGGGTTCTCCTCCTCGCCTACATTGTTCCAACCTGTACGCCTTCCTTCAATTCCCACACATCCCCATCCCCCACACTAACCACCTACCCACCATATCAGCTGTATTCACCATGCTTGCCGGAGCCCTCCTTAGCAAAACCGGCTACTACCAGCCCTTCCTGCTCGTCGGAGCCGCAATCGTCACCGTCGGATCCGGACTCATCTGGACCCTCAACATTGATATCACCTCCGCAAAAGCAATTGGGTACCAAATCCTGGCAGGCGCAGGCGACGGCATATGCGTCCAGGTCCCCGTCACCGCTGTCCAAGCCTTCGTAGACCAAGCCGACATTGCAACCGTGACGGCCCTAGTTCTATGTACCGTACCCACCACAACCCCCCCCCTCTCATATCATAGTCCAACACTGACCCAAGCAAAAGTCTTCCAACTAGGCAGCGGAGTTATTGGCGTCGCAGCCGGCGAAAGCGTCTTCTCCAACCAATTAATAAAAAATCTGCCCCGGGATGCACCAGGAATATCTGCATCCCGGGTTCTTGCCGCCGGGGCGTCACAGCTGGAGAACGTCTTCGGGGCAGAAGCAGTGAAGGGGGCTCGGAAGGCGTATATGGCAGGGATGAAGGATGCGTGGATTTTGACCCTGGGGTTATGCGGAGTAGCATTTGTGGTGGCGTTGCTAGCACCGTCGGTGTCAATTTTCGGGAAGACGGGGGTAAGGAGTGGAGATCTGTCTGAGGGGGAGGAAGGAGAAGAAGAAGAAAAAGGGAAAAATGGGGAGGTGGTGGATGTGGTGATCAAGGCGTGAGATGAGCAGGGAGCTGCAAGGTGATTTTTCTCCCCTCCATATATAGAGTTGGTATGTTGGTCAGGGATAACATATGTAGATTTAGATCGTAATAAAATACTAGGCAGAGTTTACTGGTTGTGGTGGTGAATACTATGGTCGGACTACTTTGCTCCCCTATCATTGATAGGCAAGGATTTGTATTGTGTGGGAAGGGAAAGAAAGGGCCAAGAAAATGAAGACTGGATTGGTGCTGAAGTTTTTTTCTTCTTGTCACTGAAAACCGAGTACGGTACTTCGAAGCCTAGAGGGACTTGAGAAAATCTGGCTACCTATCTCGGGAGATTCTGTAGACGTGAATGTTCAGAGGGGGGGGGTAACACCGGCCAGGCTATAGCCACACTTTCTACCTACTCGATCCTTGTATCTTAAGCAGTCTGTTCTATGTAAAATGAAATGGTGAAGGTTTTGCTGACTATTGAAAGTAGAAAAGTAGGCATTACATATCATGGTAGGCAGAGTAAGCGGAAAGTGTGGTTATAACGGACGCCGGTCTGTGTGACTGTAACGCTTCCCCCTTACCGCCCCTTCTATTTTTTGTATAGAGACCAAATCTGTCTTAACTAGTCACTTGATTCTTAAAGAACGTTGTGTTGTGTCATATCTCGCATATCATAATTCCACGAGCAGATATCATGTAATCAGCAGCAAGTATGAAAGTAAAGAACAAGATATTCCCGAAAGTCATTACGGTAAAATTCAGATGAATTCATCAAAGGTCAGTCGGTCCATCCGGCGAAGGTGCTTTCTTCTTCTTTTTTCGGAGCAACACGCGCGCTGTGGGGTTGGGAAAATTGTATTCAAATGCAGAAATCCCGTCTGGTCGTACCGTCTGGTCTAATTTGAAGTCGTACTCGGTTAACAAAGTACCGAGGACCATTTTGATGACATTCGAGGCCATGAATCGGCCCGGACACGAGTTCTGGCCATGGCCAAAGTGCAGAACTGAATTGCTGGTCGTTGCGAATTGATGTCGGTGTGCTTCCGCTGGAGTTTGTCGCATGCGGTAGTAGCGGAGACCGTCAAACCGCGTAGGGTCAGCCACACTGTCGTGCTGGATGGGGACAATTGCAAACTCGACGTGCGCGCCGGCTGGTAGATGAAGACCGTCGCTGAGCTGGGTAGCCTCGATGATCTTTCGCTTGTATCCCACTGAGATTATTAGCGGTTTACGAGTAAATTATATATGGCATGGGTTAGTTACTCACTGAGACTCGGCGGATGCATTCTCTGTGACTCCTTCATGAAACTGTCTAGTCTGCGCATGCGGAGCAGAGTTGTTTTTCGCCATCCCCCATCGGCTTCTATTGCGTCCTGGACCTCCTGTCGGAGCTCGTCCTGGTACTCCGGGTGGGCGCATAGGTCATACAGGCACTCGGTTAGTGCCATGGCGGTGGTGTGGTTAGATGCTAGAGAAAGTGATAGGACCATGGCTGCCAAACTCAGTGGCTCTGCATCGCGCCCTTCGGCTTGCTCGATAAGATACTGTAAGACATCGGGGAACTCGGACTTGCCCATGCGCGATATCTCATCGGCTCTCTGGGCGATAATACGTTTTCTGTATCGGATATATGGAAGCAAGATGCGCTTGGCTTTCCAAAAATTCCACGAAATTTCCCACGAGCAGGGAAGAAACCAAGAGGCCAGTGTTTTAAACCCATAGGGAACCAGTCGGATGGAGATGGCTGTGGCGAAGATGTTGTTTAGGTAGCCTTCGGCCGCGTTGAGCCAATGTTCATCGTCACGCAGCTCCCTACCACCGAAAATTCGGGCAGAAATCCGACCGACGATTTTGTGTAGAGTGTGGAAAGCTTCAACACTCGTCCATTCATCCTCGCTGATGGACTGTGGGATTTCTTTGGTAAAGGCGGCGTCCAGTTCCCTGCGCACGGTCGGGATTAGGATAGCCAGTTGCGGGTTGAGCTTCCGCTTCAGCACGTGAACGAATAAACGGGTGGAGTTCAGAATTTCCAAGTGAGTGAATTTGCTCTGCATGTTATCGAGATTGGCTTTCATGGCGTTGGCCCGTTGGACGGGAAGCTTCCGGATCTCATCTAGGTACTTATGCGGCAGGACGACGACGTCATTGCCGGTCAGTTTCCATGGCTGGTCCTTGTATTGGGAATAACCCTTCTGGAGAACGAGCTGGGCGGATTGGAAGAACTCCCATCGGGCCAGCCATGCGTGGCGGGATCCGACGAACGGCGCTGTCACGGCCGCATTGCCGGTGGTGGTGGTTGTCAGGAAGGTGGGGCGCATCAAAAGGTGGAGGAGTGAAGTTGTTGTCCCAACTAGTAATAGTAATAGTATTAGTACTATCAGTAGGGCTAAACCGATCGGCCATGGAAGTGATGGCACAGCCTTGCTCAGGTGGGTCGGCAGCGACTGGAGTTGAGTCGGATGGAAGCCGTCCATCCTGGATGGTCAGTCAAATTGAACAACTCAGATCAAGAGAGGCAGAGGAGGACTTATACCGTGGGCAACGACTGTGCTTTTCCCCAACGCTCTATCTCTCAATCTGTCGTGGCAAGCAAACATTTTGGTCGGGGGTGATGGACAAGGCTGCGTGCAGGACGTCCAGGATAGCATCGATTTTAGACCCCTGTTGCTGGTGGGCCCAAGACAAAGCGAGCTGGCCATCCATCCATCTGTAAGTTTGTTTGTCCATGGGTTGGTTAATCGGCTTGCTTATGTCGAGCCTCAGAGCCTTGCTCACCGTCACGAGAAACAAATCATCCAAACCAGCTCCCGCCCGCCTTTCTTCCCCTCCCCTCTTTCCTCTCCCTCTTTCTCTCTCTCTCTCTCACACACACACACATCCATTCGACTTTCCATCCATCCATCGCCATGACATTTGGTATCTCTCTGTGCGCAGCTGTCATAACAGCTCTACTGGTAGGCTAAATACGCAGTTCGTGTGTCTTTTACTCAATGCCTACTAATTGCGTCCTGACTGACAGCTGCCGGTCCTCGGGGCCATCCGTCGGCTCTACTTCCACCCGCTGTCCCGCTATAACGGCCCGCGTCTCTGGGCCTTAACCCGCCTCCCTTACATGTTCGCCTTCCGATCGGGCCAGTTAGCGCACAAAATCAAATCCTTCCATGAGATTTACGGTGACACTGTCCGCGTGGCCCCTAATGAGGTGTCATTCATCGATCCCAGTGCCGTAAAGGATATCTACAACCGTCGTCCCAATTCACACTACAAATCCCTCCCCAAGGACCCAGTCCGTCAGCCACCCCCGCGACCCGGGCAGCCCATCAACATCCTCGAGGCAGGCGATGAAGACCATACGCGACTACGAAAAGCCTATGCGGTCTCCTTTAGTACCCAGGCATTGACCGCTCAGGAACCACTGGTCACTTCGTACGTTCGCAAAATGATCGCCCAGATGAAGTCCTGGGCAAGCAGCGCAGCAATTGTCGACCTCCAAGACTGGGTCAGCTACTGTACATTCGATATCATCTGCTCACTCAGCCTTGGGGAAGACTTTGGCTGTCTGGACCAGGATCGATACCATGAATGGGTTGGGATGCTTGTCCACTCCCTGAAAGGCAAAGTCCAACTTGCGTCGTGCCGCTTCTATCCCTGGCTCTTCAACTATCTGGTCAAGAGGCTGCCTAAAAGCGCCATGCTTATGGCGGCAAAGCACCAGGCGACCACAAAAGAGAAGGTTCAAAAGCGCTTGCACACGAATGTAGACCGACCAGACTTCCTATCGCACCTTCAACGTTCCAAACACGAGCTCACGGACGGGGAAATGGAAATCAACGCGGCTACCTTGATCTTCGCAGGGAGTCATACGCTTCAGACTGGCATAACGGGTATCCTATTCCGCCTCCTACAAAACCCCGACGCGCTGTCTCGGGTGACGGAAGAGGTTCGGAGTAGCTTCGCAACGGCGGAGGACATCGATTACAGGAAGCTGTCGAAGCTACCCATCCTAGAAGCAGCCATCAAAGAAGGTATCCGACTAACCTCTCCCGTGCCACTGGGCCTTACTCGCCTCGTCCCCGCCGGAGGCCACACCATCTGCGACGAATTCTTCCCCGAAGGCGTAAGTACCCTCCCCTCTCCCCGTCCTATCACCCCCACCCACCACCAGACTAACCCAACCACAGACCATAGTCTCCTACATGCAATGGGCTGCCAACGTCTCCCCCCAAAACTACACCAAGCCAAACGAATTCCATTTAGACCGCTGGCTCAACTCCAACGAAGGCCCCTTCGCCAACGACCAGCGATCCGCCACACAGCCTTTCCTCCAGGGCCCACGGGATTGCATCGGACAGAATCTAGCTCGGATGGAGATCTCCCTCATCCTCGGGCATATTCTCTATAATTTTGATCTGGACTTGCCTCAGGGAAACAAAGGTCTAGGTAAATGGGAAGATCAAGAGACGTATGCAGTTTGGTTGAAATCGCCTCTCCCGGTGAAGTTAACGGCACGTTGATCGGGTCCTGCTGCTCCCTACTAAGAGACACCGGACGAATTCACAATACCATCTTCCAAGCTCAACGCTACGCTCCGGCACATATGAACGGAAACAATACGACAATAGATTCCCACAGCGACTTTCATATACACATATGGATAATATAGACGATCGATCTAGTATATAAAAAAACGCACATACACCAGTAAACAAGTCTCACCATTACACCCTTCATTCAGAATATCTCAACACATACTGCTACACATCATCCTCATCCGAGAAAAAAACAACCTCTCGAATAGTGCATCGTAACAACACACCCACCATGTTATTTCTTTTTTCTTTTCATAAAAATAGGAAGATACCAAATCCAATTCCACAAATATCTATCCATCTGTAACAACCGAGTTGATCTACGTAGATCAAGAATACCAAGCTTTCACCCGCAGAAATTACACATCCTATCCATGTCCATGTCCATGTCCTGACGTACCGGATTAATTCAAGTACTCCATACTGTACCATGTACTATGTATTATGCACTATGTAGTGCTGCATTCCATTCCTAAATATATCCCGCATAATCACATGCGGGGAACTAATCGTCAAGGAATCAAGAAAGGAGGCGGGGAAACACCAAATCTTGATTCCAACCTTCCAACCTGCCCATCTAGACCCTAACTATACCCGCAAGGGGCTAATTTACGCTCGGACCAAGAATGAACGGATACAACACATAATTCTCATTTTATGCCAGCCAAGTAGGAAACATCCCGAAAGAATCCCATTTCCATCTACCTACCTAAGGTAAACTTAAGGGATGAATCTATATCTATCCGAAATGCTTCTCAAAGTATTCCCTGACAGTAATCAGCTCAGGATCTGATTTCTCGCCCTTAGCTTCCAGAGCTGCTTTCTTCAGCGCCTGACTGGGTTTGATATCGTTAGGGGGGCCGAAGAAATTGCCGTTCGTGTATTGGGTGAATGTGAAGATGTCTCGGATTTCTTCCAGTGCTGGGACGCCGTAGGTGGGGAAGTCGGCGGGGGTGGTTTGGGGGACGAAGCGGGCTTTTTTGCCGGTTACTAGGTGGATGTCAGCCATGGTTTGATTTGGTTTGGTGATGGGGGCTATGGAGTAACAGGGGGGATACCGTCGGTAAAGGTCTGGGCCATGTCCTGGAAGGTGATTGTATCGCTGAAACACTGTACGGTTTGTCGATGGTAAGGTAGTGGGTCCAGGAACATGCCGTGAATCATATCGCCAAAGTCATCGGTGATGGAAATCCAAGGCACCTCGCCAGGACCGCCCAGGTAAGGGCTCGCGAAATTCAGATAGCCCTCTGGGTCTGGCTGCGTCGGAAACCCGCCAAAGCATGCGGCATATTCCGGGGAGAGAAAGTTTTCCATGTACCAGCCTGGGATTGCTCCGATGACGGCGTCGAATCCTGGCTGGCGCAGCGCGTGTTGGAAGACATTGTGTTTCTCTTCGTATCCCTTTACTAGAACTTTGCCGTTGGTGTAGTTGGCAGAGCGCTCGCACGTGCTGTAGATCATGACCTTGACGCCTAGGTCGGCGGCCAGAGAGATCAGGTTGCACCCGAAGATGGTATCATCGATTCCCTCGGGGGTTGGGAAGGCCTGGTGAGGTGGACCGGGTCAGCTTGTGATTGTCGGAGGGTCCGGGTGGGAGGAGCTACGTACCGGATCATGGTGGTTGGTGTTCAACCAGAAGCCCCAGGCACCGGTCAAGGCTTGACGCATTTCCTCTTGATTGAAGCCATCGGCCTTGATGACCTCGGCGCCGAGACTGGCGAGTTTCTGGGCTGGGGGCGAGGAAGGGTTGCGCGTCAAAGCGCGAACATGGAAGCCCGCGGTGCTTTGCAGCAGGGACCGAGCGACGGCACCGCCTTGGGCACCTGCGAGGGCATTCCCATTAGCCGGGAAACAAGGCCGGTAGAGAAGCTCACTCACCGGTGGCACCGTATACGACAACGGTCTTGGTCAGAGGGGCCATGGTTGTTTGTTGTCTTGTCCTCGTGGTCGAAGATGTGGTTGAAGGTGGCCTTGGGTGGTAAGGGGCTGTTCTGGCCCGTATTTATGCAGTCATTCCCGGGGCATGTGATAGCCGTCAACTGGCTACACCTCGAACAGCGGTGAACGATGGTGTTCATTCCACCTGCAGTCGATCGGTTCTAGTGCTGATATTGCCGCACTGACATCGATGGCGTACCACCATCCTCAACTTCCGAGGTGCCGATTTGCCGAGTTGCTCAAAAGACAGAAAGCTTCATCGGTCAGGCCTTGCGTTGGTTTCCACACGGGACGGCAGATTTGGATGTCTCTCTGCCGTCGTCATCATCTCATCCCTTGAATAGTCGGTGTGTGAGCCGCTCGTGCATGTACTCCTTACCGGAATTGTGGCATCAATTTTCCGGTTTCAACGGGCGCTGTCATGTTAATCCCCGTGTCCCGAAGAACTGGAACGGTCGATTTGAATCGGCCAATATGCATTCAATATGATGATAGATGTTTCTGATGGCGATCAGATGCAGAGGGATTAAAGATCAGGTATTCTATGCAACGTCACACAAGCAAGGGACACACTCCTTGGTGTCGTTATGCTAGAACGTCCATGAAGTGCGAGACTCCTAGTAACCGAGGCGTAGGAGATAGACCACTGAAGCGCACTGGTGGAAGAGCACAAGGTTGGGGTTTTCCTTGATTTCTCACTGCCATTGTTCATACCGCACGTAGCATCATGGAAGGAGATGGCTGCAGGTCAACCATGACGAATGGTAACATCGCGGCCAGGGAGAGAATGAGACCGAGGTCGAGGCCTTCCTTGATTCCTCACTGGGGTGGAATATGCCGCACGTAATCTTGTGGACGAAGAAGACTGCAGACCAAACGCGATCATGGTAACATCCGTGGCCCGGGAGAAGATGAGATCGAGATCGAGACCTTCCCAGATTGCTCGCTGCGCTAATTTGTGCCGCACATAACACCTTAGTCACTCACTATCCTCAGACGTAGAGACTGAATCTGCAATCAGGTACTCGGCAGGGCCTCATAGAGGGGGGATGCTGCACGTCATACTCGAGGAATGGTAACATTGTTGGTCGGGGAGAGGACGAGGTCGTAGACTATAAATCGAACCAAAGAGCCTGCAAACTGATCTGCCGGCTTCAACCCCAATAGTGCGACGCCGCCCTCATACCCATCTTCGATCCCGAGTATCACATATCTTGTCTTGCACGATGGGCTCGTGGGCATCGGAGGGCCTTGCCCACGCGTTGCAACGCCAGGTGGAGCTGTCTGAGGCCACTGTAGCCATTCGGAGTGGCGACCACGCGTTGACCTTCAAAGAACTACACAACCGGGCGCTTCATCTGGCCGAGCAAATCGATCGAAAACGACTAGGCACCGAGTTTCCCGTCTCCATTCTGGCTCCTCGGGGCATCAATCATGTGCTTGCCCAGGTTGCCGTGATCTATGCGGGAGGAAGCTGTGTCCCCTTAGATGTGAAGCAGCCTGACGACTATCTGGACGGCCTGCTCGCCCATCTCCACTGCAGCCTGGTCATCACCGATCCAGAGCACCAAGGCCGGCTCGTGGCATACGATCATCTGGTGGCCGATCATGAGGCCAGTACGCCGCGGATCCGCGCCGTGGATGATGATGCTTGGAGGCCATACCCCTCGGTCGAGGGGGCATGCTCACACATCTTCCACACCTCGGGGACCACGGGAAAGCCCAAGGCAGTCCAGGTCCTGGGGCAGGGCATCCTCAATTTAGCCTCCAGTGGGACGTATTTAGCAGAACGAGGGCAGCGATTTGCCCATGTGGGCAATGTCTCCTTCGATGCTGCGCTGTTTGAGATCTGGGTTTCGCTACTGAGTGGCTGCTCCCTGGTAGTCATTCCCCAGGAGGTGGTGTTGGAGCCCGTGGCCTTCTCGGATCGTCTTCGCTCGGAGAAGATCGACGTGATGCTTCTTACCCCGGCGTTGCTGACCTCCACCGCCAACGCCATTCCCAATGCCTTTGCCACTTTGCACACGCTCTATACTGGTGGAGAGGCGATCAACGTCCCGGCGGTGCGGACCATCTTCGAAAATGGTGCCCCGCAAAGACTGGTCAATCTATACGGCCCAACAGAGTGCACAGTGTACTGCCTCTGTCATAAAGTGTCGGCCGCCGATGTGGAGGACAACCACATTCCCCTTGGTCACCCTATTGACAACATGGATGCCTTCGTGGTCGATGACGATCTGAATCCAGTCAATCCGGGCGAGGTTGGGGAGCTGCTTGTGCGCGGGACTGGGGTTTCCCGGGGATACTATGGCGAGGAGGAGAAGACCGCAAAGGCCTTTGTGCGCGCTGCCCATCTCGCCGGATCAGAGAGCGCCAGCAGCCACTGCTACCGAACGGGAGACCTGGTGCGACGCAACGCAGCGGGCTCGTATGATTTCATCGGCCGGAAGGACAACCAGGTCAAAATCCGGGGCCAGCGAATCGAGCTGGAGGCCGTGGAGCTCCTATTGCTGGAAACCGGTCTTGTCCGCGCCGCCACTGTACTGAAGGTGCAACCGGAGGATTCCACCCTACCAGCCCTGTTGCTGGCCTACGTGATCCCCGCCTCGTCGACAGTGGATGCCAACGCAATCATCCGGGAGTTCATCCGGCGGACGCCACATATGGTGCCGCGAATCGAGTTTCTCGAGGAATTTCCCCTGCGTCTCACGGGCAAGGTCGATCGTAAGTTATTGGAACATCAATACCTCGACAAGATGCGTAAGGCTCGCCGCAGCCTCGTATCTTCCGGCAAGAAAGGCCCTCGCGGCCAATCTTTTCCTGCCCTGCTGGAGTACTTGGAGGTGCTCTGGCGTGAGATCTTATGTCTGCCCGTCGACCGATTGCACAACTCGGACGATTTCTTCCACATCGGCGGAACCTCGTTGCAGGCCGCCACCTTGGTCGCTCGGGTGCGACAGGCACTTGCCGTGGAGTTGCCATCTGCCGCGCTATATGAGCATTCCACGCTCGAGGGCCTAGCCCGCCTGGTGCAGAGTCTCCAAGCTGGGACGGTGCATGATGCCCACCGGCAGACCGAGGAGGTCTGGCGGGAAGACTGTGAGTTGGGCAAGGATGTCACGCCCCTCCCCGGTGCCCTCCCCGACTGGAAAAGCCCGGACGAGGGCCGAGTGTTCTTGACGGGGGCCACAGGATTCGTCGGGGCGTTTTTGCTGTATGAACTTCTCCAGATGCCGGCCGTCCGCAGGGTCGCCTGTCTGATCCGGGCCAAGGATGTGGTGACGGGCATGGCTCGGCTGCGACAGAATCTTGCAAAATATCAGATTCGCCTTGAGCCGGGAATGGAGGACAGGATTTTCATCGTGCCAGGGGACTTTGGGCAGCCCAATATTGGGTTGGACCCGTACCTGTACGAGCTCCTGGCGGCCTGGTCGAGTGTGGTCTTCCACTTGGGAGCCCACGTCAACTACGTGCAACCGTACTCCAGCCACCGCGCAGCCAATGTGCACGGCACGCTCCGCATGATCGAGTTCGCCAATTCGCAGCGGCCCAAGATGCTCCATTATTCCTCCAGCATTGCCGCCTACGGCCCGTCGGGTTTCGTGCTCGGGGCGCGGGCAATCCCAGAGGATGCGCGCCCGCGGGAGTACATGCGCGCTCTGGAATATGACACGGGGTACTCGCAGAGCCAGATGGTGGCCGAGACGGTCATCTGGAATGCCATTGACAACGGGCTCCCTGTCGCCATCTACCGGCCTGGCTTCGTGCTGGGGCACACGCAGAGCGGAATCAGCAATCCAGACGACTTCGCTGGACGACTCTTCAAGAGTTGTCTCGAGATGGGCTGCTATCCCATCCTTCCCGCCCAGCGCAAGGAATTTATTCCCGTCGATTTCGTTGTGGGCGCCTTGCTGCATATCGCTGCCTCTCCAGCAAAGCTCCGCAAGGCTTACAATCTCATCCAGCCTCGACACGAGGCAGCTATCGACATGGTCACAACCTTCAAGATCCTCAACGATCTATCACCCACCCCAATGCAGGGGATGCCGTATGCCGACTGGGTCCGACGCTTCTCGCTGGAGCTGCGAGACCCGTTACATCCCCTGATCCCCATGCTACAGGAGAAGGTCCTCGGGGACCTGACACGGTGGGAGATCCAGGAGCACATGGCTGTTTACGGCACGGACAATCTCCGGCAGGCGCTCGCCGATGCTCCGGGGCTGTTATACTGTGAGCCGATGTCGGCGCTGTTTAAGCGGTATGTCACGCAGTGGATGCCGTCCCAGTTACCGCAGAAATAATCTTCAATCTCCCGGTGGGTACGAGACCTCTATAATGTCCCTAATCTTTCTGTATTATTCCCTCGAAAGCGAAATTGAACCTTTTTCTTGCTCTTTGGCGTGTTTGGCATATAGGTGGTAGCAGACAGACACATAATGAGCTGCTAGGTCACAGAAAGGCTCTGTCAGCTGGCGCCAGTCGGGAAGGTCTTGTCCTCCTGCGATGGTCGTGGTACCAGGAGATAGATAAATAAATAGATTGTGAGGTCTTTCGCTTGTTCCGCCATCTCCACCTTGTAATCAAGGCCCGGTCAGATGGTTGTCGATGACCTCTCCTGTCATTTAGTATCTCTCTTTATGTTGGTCCAACTGTTGTGAGCCCTCCTGTTCCACTCAAGGCGAGTCCAGCTCATTCGTAACGGTGTTTCAAGCACTTTGGGACGACTGTTCGGGTATCGCGCTCCCAACCCCAGCCTTGAGGTCCGCCGCGTCACCCACAAGGCGCAAAAGCTGGGGCAATTTGGGGGTGCTGGTGAGAACCAATCGGTTTGACGCAGCGCAGATTGTTATTGTGAAGAGCAAGGCCGGTGAACTAGAGCTGTCAGCCTAGTGATACGTGCTTGCACATGATAAATTGTCTTGAGCTGGAAGAATGATATCTTTGCATATTAAACAAGCCTTGCAACAACGGCTCTGTCTATGATATGAGCATGTTCTTCATTTCGGCTCTAGGACCCGGAGTATACCTGTCGGAGATGACCAAGTGTAGAACCCTATTTCAGGTAGATAGATCACCATGACCTGGAGCACACTTCTTTGCGTCGAATGGAAAGATTGTTTGAGTTTAATCCGTTTCATGGTCTTTTCGTGAGCACCAGAAACACACCATGCGTGCAAGTCGTCAAATCAGATACTTTTTTCATCTGTCGACTGCGACACAAAGGGGGGATGACCCATGATAACACGCGGGATCCTCCCCGTTAATAGCTTTCTGCGCCCATGCAAGCTCTGGGCCAGATTTTGATCCCAGCCGATCCGAGGAAAGGTTAACCAAGAATATACCCCAGCCATCCGTCCACCAGCTCTCGGTCATCATATCAAGTGCAACACCATAATAGGCGAGGAGTACGAGGGCATTGGTATTATCTTCCATCAAAAGATCCAAGAATCCCAAGTCTACCACAGCAGGCCACCTCAAGATAGTTGAAGCGGGATTCTCCACCGTGGTTGACAGTTGCAACAATTCAAGTAGCTTCTGAGTAGCAAATTCAACCACTGAGCCGGTGCGATCATGGTAGTCTGCCTCAGCAGATCGCGCCTGGCCGTTCTTTATACTTTGTATCCGAGCATACAGCTCCCAGACATGCGTCGTCTTCGATGTTTGACGTGGCTGCCGATCAACTTGCAGTAGATCTCTCATGCCTCCTGCTTCAATCCATGGACGGGCCTCCGCCACAATAGACGCCACTCCCCGAACCAGCTTGAACACTTCAAGAACAGCCGAGACACTCTGGGCTCTCAGATTGACCTTAGGGCCATGCGCAGCAAAAGAGAACATGGCGACAAAGCAGGGCAAATGCGAACAAAGCATGGCAGTTTCCTGTGTCACATTTTTCAGCAGAGGGGTGCATAAAGATAGCGAAATGTTGTTGTGAGTCATAGCGACCTCAGTATACCGATGTCGTCGCTCAACAGGACCATGGTGACTGAGGTGGAGGGCCGATAAAGCCAACAAACTGTGCATCAGAAACGGGTATGAAAGAGCCACCTGCGGAACAAACTCCCGCAGTACCTTCTCCGTCGATATTTCGTGAACCAGTGTCTGTACGGTCGCCACATGCCAGTGGTTCAAGAGCTCCAGGTCGAGGAGGTGGAGCTGGGAGCTTTCATATGCAAGGAACTCCACCCGCCTATCTGACCTACCGGCCCTGTGATGTGCTGCTGTTAGTACGTCATGGCTGTTGAAGGAGCATCTTATCTTCTTCTTCTGGCAAGAGGCGCACATAGGCCGAGCCTCATTGCATTTGATCCTGCGTTGTTTGCATTGGGCGCAGCCGTGATGGGAGTTGGCATGAGTGCGTCGCGATGGCATATCCTGTATCCACTATGTATTGACACAAAGCCCTACGGACAACAAGTCGCTGTGAAATGTGGAATACCATGGGCGGGCAGGTTGAATGTGCGGCTGTTGAATGCAAGAGAATCCCGGGGGAAATCGCGATCTCGGCGAGGTGGACCCGAGACCTGAGGCAGCAAAGACACGGGGTGTCGTAAACTATCCCCTTTAAGGAATGGTTTGCGAAATCCCATAGTGGAGACCCGAGATCGGTTATGCTCGGCCAATCAGCAATTGCCTCGCTCTATTCTTATCACCACCGGCACCCAGTGAGCATCATGAACATCGCGTTGCCTCGACTGTCGGCCAATAAACTTCCACAAGCTCCATTGAATTCTTTTGAAATAGCCACACAGGGGTTAAGCTCCTAAATCTAGGCCCCTCTCGGATAATATTACGGCCTTCGCTATAATCCACAATGGCGTTCCTCTTTCTCAAAGGGCATGGTTTCGCCAGACGTGATCAGAGCCATGTGTCTACTTACTTAAATTTGGCTTATCTTGTGCCCCAGACTTCGTCAAGCGTGAAATATAAAGCCTGCGCGATTCTTCCAGGGGGGACACTACGAGAAGATAAGGGAGAGCGAGGTGAAAATAGAAATCACAATGGAACTTACAACTCGCTCAGGTTTTGAATACTACCGTTACGATCCCTCCCTTGCGGCAGCAGTGATATTCATCATCTGTTTTCTGCTCACGACTGCCTTGCACACATTCCAGCTCATTCGGACGAAGACATTGTTTTTCATCCCTTCTCTCGTTGGGGGATACTGTAAGTTGAGAAGACTCATGCTCTATACTCTATGCATATTCTAATATTCCTGTAGTTGAATGGATCGGCTACTGCGCCCGCGCCGTATCATCTAACCAATCTCCCAATTGGACCCTGGGCCCATACATCGTCCAGTCTCTACTCCCTCTTGTTGCACCGGCTCTCTTTGCTGCCAGTATTTACATGGAGCTGGGGAGATTAATTGTCGTTCTTCATGCCGAGAAGCATAGCCTTATCAGGGTGAAGTGGTTAACGAAAATCTTCGTTACAGGTGATGTTCTGTCGTTCCTCCTTCAAGCAGGAGGTAAGTACAATTTGACTTCATGATGATATCTTCTCAACACCAACTCACGAATTGTCTATAGGAGCCGGTCTCATGGCTAGCCACTCTCAAAGCAGCGCCACAAATGGTTCGCACATCATTACTGGCGGCCTCGTCATCCAGATCCTCTTTTTCGGATTTTTCATCATATCTACCGCCATATTCCACCACCGCATGGATTCGAGTCCGACGCCATATTCACTCAGCTCTGGCATAGATTGGAGAAGGCTTATCTGGGTGTTGTATTCCGTTAGTGTGCTCATTCTTGTGCGGTCCATCTATCGTCTTATTGAGTATATTCAGGGTTTCAGTGGGTATCTGATCTCCCATGAAGCGTATCTTTATGTCTTTGATGCACTGCTCATGTTTGTGGTCATGCTATTGTTTCATGTTGTTCATCCGAGCGAGCTCAATGCTTGGTTGAAATCAGGCGGGCTGGTCAGCAAGGGATTTCGATTTGAAAGACTACAGGGTGCTACGGGCAACCTCGCAGAAACAGCATAGACTAGATATTCTGAAGATAGTATGTATTGTAATTGGAGGGAACAAATTAGCATTCCATCCGGTGACAAAAACTTTGATACATAATGGGCAGTTATATAATCAGGTGACCCGGGCAACTTGGAATCCCTCCCCGCCTAGTAGTTGGTTCTCCTCACCCAGGCAACACACCACTTTCTCTGTTTGAGCATAACAGACGGTCTTTCATGGCTGCGTATCCCTTCTCTCTGTCATCGAGACCTGGTCCTGTTCTTGGGAACCTTCTGCTAATTACTCGTGCGTTCTGATCCAGAGCTTTGATGACATCTCTGATATCGTTATCTGTGGTTCGTGGGTTAATGGTACACATCCGAAGGCATACTACCCCATTGATGCATGTGGTAAACGCGACTGCGATGTTTTGATCGGACATCTCCTTCGATACAAGTTCGTTGATCTTATTGACATTGTCTGCATTCATGCCCTTTGGATTAAACCGAAAGTTGAGGACCGCCAGAGCATTAGGCGTTACTATTTCCCAGTCCGCTAGCTTCCTTATTTCACTCTCGACGAGGTCGGCGAGTTCGAACCCGCGCGAGATCATCTGATCAATCATGTCTGTTCCCAGAATTTGCAGCGAAAACCAGAGCTTCATATGCCGAGCGGGTCGGGACAGTTCTATCCCATAATTATAAGGGTTTTGGTTTCCACCATCTTCGAGGTCGCGCAGGAAATGTGCTCCCGCCGCAAAGCTCTTGGCTGGAAGGCTTTTCTCCTTGAAAACGACAAGGCTGCATCCAAGAAGCTGAAACAGCCATTTGTGTGGGTCCCAGGCAATGCTGTCAGCGCGACCCAGGCCTTGCAGAAGGTTTCTCTTGGATTCGCAAAAAGCAACTGAGCCTCCGTAGGCGGCATCAACGTGCATCCACATGTTGTGCTCCTTGGCTATATCTGCGATTGTATCCATGGGATCGATACTTCCGGTACTCGTTGTTCCACAGGTTGCAACGACCACATAAGGCTTTAGGCCATCTTTTATATCCTGAGCGATGGTACTGCGAAGATTATCCGGGTCCATTTGAAATTTTGCATTGCAAGGCACAGTCCGTATTTGGTGCTCGAGAAGTCCAGTAATACGAAGTCCCTTTGCAACACAAAAGTGCGTCTCATCTGACAAATATGCCACCGCCTTTGTACGCATGTCATCTTCCACAAGCTGATCGCGAGCGACAATCAATGCGGTTAAGCAGGCAATTGAGGCACCAGAAACAAATTGCCCTCCAGCTGAGGGGGGCATTCCAAATCTCTCAGCCACCCAGCGGATGATGGAGTTTTCAATCGCACTAACGCCAGCTCCCGATTCGGAACTCCCTGCGTAGATGTTGAAGGCGGTGGTAATAGCATCGCCGAGCCATGATAGTGGCGATGCTGGTGCTGGCACAAAGGAGAAAAACCTCGGGTGGCCAGTACTAAATCGATAGGACAGAATCTCTTCGGTATCCTGAATGACGTCTTCCAATGACCTCCCTTTATCTGGTGGGGATGAATTTGACAGATTGCCCTGCTGCTCTTTAGTCGGGCGCTTGATAATATTATCTTGGTCACGAAAAAGTTTGCACTTTTCGACAATTCCTGGAAGCTCTTGAAATGTGTTCCACGCTATCTTTTCCATTGTGAAGGGGTACTAAGACGGTAAACCCTGGATACAATTGTCGCTGTGATCCCCAGGGTCCCGGAGTCGAAAGATTGCCGCGAATGCAATTCTCAAAACTAAAGAGAATGCAGACATTTCTCTTGTATTTATAGCGCGAGCTTTTGTTCAGGGCTCGCCATTCATCCTACTGGCGAAATCGGCGCGGAAAACTGCACCTGGAAACTCGATTCGAGTCCACCGGTACGTTCCAGCCACATGACCTGCTGAACTCTGGACAGCCGGGGAATGGCCAAGCTTCCTCAAGGTGGAATACATCTCTTGGACTGGCTCTGGCATACTGATCAAGTTTGCCTATGGCTGTTGGACCCGGCATAATGAGGACCGTTAAGGTTTAGCTGGGGCAGCTTTCTTGGTATATGGATCCCAAGTCCTGTCTTACTAATATCGTCACTGTCTGGTTCAAGCTTATCCGGCTACCCGGTACGAGAATCAAGGAAACGATCGGGAAATTGAATGCTGATTGCAAACCAGACTTTTGCTGACTGAGGCTCGCAGCTGCCCTCGGGCCTAGATGGCACTATATCCGCCCTCTGTCCCTCACACAACATCAATAGTCTGGCAGTTTTGTATGAGCTCTGAGAGACCTTCTACAATGATCACCCAAGAAACTAACAGCGGTCTAACCAGTTCTGTATTGAATGAGAGGTATGAGGCCGGATGGCACAGGTAGAAGGATCTGCACACACCCGTCATTTCTACGACTGGTACTTACACGGGATTAGTATCTTGGTGTAAACCCACTAGTCGAACTCTTTCTATGGCATTTTGGCTAATATCCTGACCCTTTCGCTCTATGAGGGTTTTACGTTGCATATTGTCTGAGTCGCTATGCTATTTATGCCACATTAACCCGGTCGGTTGACCTGGCGTCACAATATATATCATCACCCACCAGGCTCAATGACGAAGACTCAAAATCCTGCGATTCCACAATATTGAAACTAAAAACATAGTAAGATATTCCTACAAACAGATGGGCCAAGCATCACATGAGTAAAACCCTGCTCAGGCAAGTAACGACAAACGACGACATTGATGAGATCAGGCCAAGTTGAGCATCTTGACAGCGTTGAAAAACCTAGGCATAGGTTCATAAAGCAAAATTTGGAGCATTTCCTTCATTAAGAGCTGATAGCTCAATGGCATCATTGGTCTAGTGGTAGAATTCATCGTTGCCATCGATGAGGCCCGTGTTCGATTCACGGATGATGCACAGCAATTCATTTTTTTCTGGTCTGCCCGCAGCACGGGCGGATCAGTCGCGTTTTACCTGCCCTATGGAGTACTCCACCTTTGTCTTTTTGGTTCACACAAACTCGAACCTGCTCAATTAATGATATACGAAGTTCTCAGAAAGACTTGCAGGTTGCGTTGCTATATAGTTGCGGGTTGTCTGGTCGGGTCAGCCAGACAGACAACTGGTGCCGAGGTTCAACTCCAACGCGACCTGATTTGGCCCGACCGTAGCCTGACCTGAGCTGACCTGAGCTGACCTGAGCTGACCTGAGCTGACCTGAGCTGACCTGAGCTGACCTGGGCCTGACCTGGGCCTGACCTGGCCCACGCTAATTTCTCGCCTAACCAGACCAACCCCTTTGGGACTAGGCTCATCTGACCAGGCCTGCGCCCCAGATGATCCCACCAGACCGCCCTTGTGGCAGTTGAACCCCAGTGGGACCCCCAAGCTACCAGGTATCTCATAGTATGTACTCCGTAGATTAACAGAATGTAGCAAAGGAGTTTCCTCTTGGATAATGAATCCATAGAACAGTAAGCACTTCCCGGATACAGAAGCTACCAGTATCGTTCCACCCACACCTCGTGCACATGAAATTAATTCTCCGAGATTAAAATTGACTGTGCCGGAACGGGCCGTAAAGGCGTGACTGAACGGCGGAGGATAACTGAGTTGTTTTATTGCTTGCACAGTATGGGGTACGTAGGACCAGTAAATCCCCGAGGTATTATTATGTAGATCGTCGACCTGGGGGGAATGCAAGGGGGATCTTCAGGACCGGAATGAATGCTATTACGTAGGCCGGCCCTTGCATTTGGCAGTGGAGAGATCATACCGACGAGGAATGTAAGCCAAGACTGCCTGCGTCATCATTGTCTGATAATCGTATCAATCAGATTTAATCATATTTAGCAAAATATCTCAGTCTCCTTCGGAGTTCCGGTTATGTGGTCGTCTGGGGAGTTGAAGATAGGAATGACTGTACGATGGGGATGTAGTTCCAGGGTGTCCTAGATCTGAAGCTTCTGCTTGGAGGAATTGGTGATCATATACTCTAGATTGCTTTGAACTACCATCCAGTAGTATGTGGTTGGGGAAATGGTGGAACGAAGTGGAGGAGTTGGGAAGGGGTGGAGGGTTCGGTGGTCTGTTCATCTGGAATAAACTCGACTGGACTTGTTAGATTTCATTCTCTCAACATAGTGATTTTGGAGAAGGAAGGCTAGAACTCATGCGTGCTTCTAGGATGATGTGTTGAAGTGTATGATCGGAAGTTGGCTTTGCGGTGGTGGTGGAATGCAGTAGAAAGAAGATGATGAAGTCTGACGGACTGGTGATGGTGCTTGTGTCAGGTGATTGGGCTCTCCTGTAACTGCCAGTAGTACCTACTATTCGGAGGATAGAATCCTTCACCATGCATCATGCAAGTCTCATCGACGAGACAGCTCTCAAATGCTCAAATGAGTCAAGTAATCGAAAGGATTCCTCATGTTGTATAGGATCTATCCACCATGATATCTTTTCTACGAAAAATCCCCTCAGTGAGGACAGCCCATCACAGTCCAAGCCAGCCTTCTTCTCTCTTGGCATAAGCAAATTTCATAACCGTCCGGTATGAAGTGTTTAACTCACGCATCTCAACCACGGTAAGCCTGGCAGGAATTATCTGATTAAGCTAAGGCCCCATTCTAGACCTTGACCTGTTCCATCAGATAAGATTTGTAGGGACTTGTGATGCAGTCTGGGCTTTCTTCCCGTTAGCAAGGTACGGCCTGATGCCGGGATGACGTTTTTGTTGTTTGCCCACACTTTTCCCCCTCAAAATCTCATCGTCTCCCTTCCTGCTGCTGTGATCCACCCTGGAGATTATTCTCGGATACTTCACAAGAGCAAGAGGTTTGATTAACCATGGTCAGTTCTAAAGAGACCCCAACTGCTCATGTTGCAGTCCAGGGCCCGCAAGGTCCGGGCGCACCGCCTGAATTAGACAGCCCGGGAGTCAAGCGGATTGAAGTTCTCTCATCTTACCTATGGAACATCGACCGTGTGTTTCTATTTTCTGGGATCTTTCTCGTCGCTTACGTCTACGGACTCGACGGTCAAGTGCGGGGCACCTACCAGGTAAACCTGCACTGCTTTCTCGATGGTCAATGTTGGACAAACCGCGCTGACTACTTGTAGCCATATGCCACCGCCTCTTACGGCTCGCACAGCTTACTATCGAGTATCGATATCCTCCGAGCGGTTATTGCAGCTGCAGCACAGGTAAATGGCCTTCCTCATCGTGTCGTCTAAACTACTAACAGGCCCTGCACTGCAGCCAACTGCAGCCAAGGTTGCAGATGTTTTCGGGAGGGTTGAACTGATTCTGGTCTCAATCGTTTTTTATACCATTGGTACTATGCTGCATCCATTTTGGCTGGTTGTGTGCTGACTTGCCAGGTACTATTGTTGAGGCGTCCTCAAATACGGTCGAGCAGTTTGCTGCAGGTGCTGTTCTATATCAGGTGAGTTTTGAACTTGTTTAGAATCAACATCCACTGTTCAATTTCGCTGACAATGAACCGTGAATAGATCGGATACACCGCTATCATACTGCTGGTGGAGGTTTTGGTTGCGGATATCACCTCGCTTCGCTCGCGCTTACTCTTCTCCTATATCCCAGCACTGCCGTTTTTGGTGAGGTCGACCGAATATAGAGCGGAGCCTCGAAGCTGATGTTCTTAGGTCAACACTTGGATCAGTGGTAATGTCACTGGAGCTGTTCTGGGAACGACCACATGGCGGTGGGGCGTAGGCATGTTTGCCATAATCTATCCCAGTAGGTATATGCCCGCATGCCATAGACAATGACTGAGGTTCCTAGTTTGCACAATTCCTTTGCTCGTCACTCTCTGCATCGTTCATCGCAGAGCGAAGAGTAGTGGCGCGTTGGATGATATTCGAAGTTCTTTCCGTACACTGGGTGCTTACCGGCTGGCAAAAGAATTGTTTTGGTACTTGGACGTGATTGGCATCGTCCTATTGATCGCCTTTCTTGCCCTGATCCTCGTGCCATTTACAATAGCGGGAGGCTTGGCTTCACAATGGAAGACAGCCAAGATTATCGCTCCTCTCGTTGTAGGGTTGTGCTGTATTCCGGTGTGGGTTATCTGGGAAAAGACATGCAAACACCCGATGGTCCCTTTCAAGGTAGCACCAGCTATTTTTTATCGATGCTCTGAGGCTAACATATCTTGTAGCTGCTCAAGGATAGAGCAGTCTGGGGAGCATTAGGGATTGCACTCATGTTGAACACAGGTACGAACGAGGTCTTTTTCATCATTCTGTCTGACGGGGAACAGCGTGGGTTCTGCAGGGCGAATATCTCTACACTGTTCTTATTGTTAGCTTTGATGAGAGTATCACGAGCGCAACGAGGATTCGATCTTTGTATAGGTGAGCTGATCGTACAACTCTATTGTCAAAGATTAACTCTTGCCAGCTTTGCCTCCGTGATCACCGGATTCCTGTTGGGATTTGTCGTCTTCAAGGTTAGACGACTAAAGCCATTCATCGTCGGAGGGACACTGTTATTCATGGTGGCGTTTGGTATCCTGATCTATTATCGCGGAGGGCCCACTTCGTCCAGTCACTCGGGCATAATTGGTGGCCAGGTGCTTCTGGGGATTGGTAGGCTCACACCTATAGCTCTCAGCGCCAACTGACACTATCTAGCTGGAGGGCTTTTCCCTTACCCTGCCCAGGCCAGCATCCAGGCTGCCACCAAGCATGAGCGTAAGTTTGAAGCACATCTCCCAGGGACTGTTCTAACGGCATAAAGATTTGGCGGTGGTCACGGGCCTGTTCTTAGCGTGCTATAATGTCGGTAGTGCTCTGGGAGGAAGTATTTCTGGGGCAATCTGGACCCAGGTTCTTCCGGGAGAGCTGAACAGTCGACTTGGTAACGCTACGCTGGCTGCTCAAGCATATGCGGATCCCTTCACTTTCAGCGCCACCTATCCCATGGGTACCCCGGATCGGGATGCGGTCGTTGCTGCGTACAAGTCCACTCAACGGCTGTTGTGCATTACCGGGATATGCTTGACCGTGCCGCTGGTCGCATTCTCTCTGTGTACCCGGAACATGGTTCTAACCAAAGAGCAAAGCTTTACGAACGCCGAGGAGGATAGTGACGGGGCTTGATCCTCGATCGATTATTAGGTGGGGTTAGATACAATGATCTTTCGGTCCACTGGGAGACTGGTTTGCTTAGAGGAATAGTGTGATTTCTACTCTGTTTTCCCGATCGCTTAGTGAAATGAACTGTTTGCTTGGGAATGATCCTGCTGAACCTATTATCTTGATATGTAGTTCATCTTCCCACATAAATAAAGATTGACTTTACCCCTTGCTGGGTGACAGGGGCATGGAAATTCCAGCACGTGGCTGTTGGGATGGCTTCAGAGTTCAGAGTTCTGACAGGTTCATGTGCGGGATAAGCGCTAGGATGCCCCGCGGGGGAAGCGATAGGCAGCATCCCCAGGCAAGTTGATTGGAACACCTAGCATCACATGACGCGGCTGTGTTGAGATGACGAAGGCAACTGTCCTTCAGCCCATCTCACATCCACCTGTCCTCTTACCGTTCCTCTTCCTACCCTTCCCTTCTCAGCCTGTCTCTGAAGCCGTCAGCTTCAGCCAACTATTCGAGCTCGTCCCCATGGAACAGTCGGCAAAACCTCCAACCCCACAAGACATACAAGGATTTGTGTGACTTGCACACGACAGCCTTGACTCACGCTGTGACACCTGGACGGTCGTAACCTTGCCGATCGAATCCTCCCGATGATGGCCAGCCTACTGCGGCCGCGCAAATCCCTTAGAGATTTTGACGACAAAATTCTCACCAATTTGGCGAGCGCCATGCAGAACAAAGCCACACCATCAGAGACATTCGTTGCGCGGGAAAGGCTTGCAGCTCTTTGGACCCAGGAACTTCTCAAGGACTTTATCCGTCTCAAAAAGCCGGGGTTCCGCGACGACGACATCGACGTTATCCAGCGTGACTTCCTGCAGATAATCTCGATCCTTTGTTATATCGGGTGGCCAGAATGGACACAGTTCGGAAGGATATTTTTTGGACACTATGGCATTGATGGGGAGAGAGACCGTACAGATGCAAGCATCGGCAAGTTCAGACTGGAGGATTTGGAGAACAACGCCTTTTTGGGCAGCCCGTGGGCACACAAATTCCTCTCAGACCAATACATCTTTCCCCAATCATCTTGAGAGAGGGAGAGAGTCTGGAGTTTGGCCGAGAATGGAGACTGCCTTTCATCAACGAGGAGTCCAAGAAAATTCTCCAGGGCGGATATGGGAGTGTCACCGAGGAAATCATTCCAGGAGGCTACTATCAACGGTCGCATGGCCTCCCATCATATGTATGCGTTTCTTTCGTTAGGACATTCCATGCGGAGGCGCTGACTTGTGTAGAAACAAGTCCGTATTGCCCGAAAACGCTTTGCTATCGGCCAGTATTTCCGTTTCGAAGTCAAGAATCTGAAGCACCTTCGCTCGGCCCTCGCACATCACGATCGTATCCTTCCTTATCTCGCCACGGTAACGGTCGGCAATGATTTCAATATTATCTCACCTTTGGCCGACATGGATCTAGAACAGTTTCTCAGTGGTGGACATGGCAGACATCCGAACAACCGTTGCCACACAATGAAGGACCTGGTGACAGAGGCAGCAAATGTGGCCGATGCTCTCAATTTTCTGCACGAAGACCTTCGATCCCCGGAGCTAGGACTAACGTGTTGCCATCGAGATCTCAAGCCAGCGAATATTCTCGTTTTTTTTGAAGGAAACTCGTTACCGACAGGAAAATGGAAGATAACCGATTTTGGGATATCCAGCATCCGGCAAACAGAAGGCACAAACACCTCGGTCAGACACACTTCGGTGCCACTCCTAGGACCATATCAAGCCCCGGAGGTATGCAGTGGCCGAGAATCTGGCCGCAGGAGCGATGTCTGGTCTTTTGGGTGCATCCTTGTCCGGGTCCTCTCACTAGGCCTTCAAGGCCAGCAAGGATTGAGTGATCTTGATACCAGAAGGGGGAAGGCTGCCGATGGCATCTTACCTTATGACCATGATTACTTTCACCGTGATGTCCCTGCCGTTCTTAACCCACATATCCAGGCCTGGGTGGAAGGCCTTCCAAATGCGCACAGTGAATACACGAGAGAATTTCTACTAGAGTGCCAGGCGGTCCTTTCCGACGTTCTTGCACTCGACTTTGAGAGGCGACCGTATGCAAGAACGGTCTGCACAAGGCTAACGAGGATCCAAAGTCTTGCACAACCAAGGAATGAGACCATATCGCCCGAGTTAGACCCAACGCCTCCAAGATCGTCTTCTGGGATGACTCCTAGCATCTCTGACGGCAGCACTCGTGACTCGACTAGTACAATATCTACCACGCCAGGTCTCGGGAAGTTTCTCATTCAAGCAATCAAAGAACAGAACATCATAGAATTACGAGCACTTCTGGATGCCAGAGCGGATGCCGAAGAGGTCTATGATAAGGACAGACCTCTGATACATGCTATATTGACCGGTAATGTCTATGTGCTCGATGAGATCTTCAGCCGGTGGCCCAATCTTGACCTCGAAGGGCTCAGCTCTGAAGGCAGTACGCCTCTCAAGCTGGCTGCCGAAACCGGGAAGGTAGAGCTGGTTGAGCTGCTACTCCGCAAGGGGGTCAACCTCGACGCTCCCTCAGCAAGTAACATGACGCCACTAATGGCCGCAGTGAGGCACGGCCATAAGCCAGTTGTTCAGAGCCTGCTGAATCACAGAGCCAACCCCATGGCCAGCTCGACAGAAGGAATGACCAGTCTTCATTACGCAGCCTGGGCAAATGTGTCGGCAGACATCATCCGACTCCTAATGGACAACATGGACGAAGTCAATGTACACGGTCTGGGCAGCGAGACGCCTCTTTTTACGCTTGTAAAAAGCTATGTTCCTTCTGATGAGGTCTGGCGGCAGAAGTTCACCGCTATGCTGGAACGGGGGGCTGATGTCAACGCAAAGGACGACAATGGGAATACTCCTCTTTCGTATGCAGTGAAAGAGAACTACGTTTCCGTTGCCCGGAGACTCCTTCGTGCAGGTGCGATATACGAGGACGACGTTGGTCACCAATATCCATCACAGGATATGAAGAAACTTCTCAGGGAACACAGAAATCCAAATACACGCCGAAACAGCTCTGATACTTTTGCATCTTCCGCATCGAGATAGCCTCGTGTGCTTAGACAAAGGAACCGAAATTAACTGCAGACAGATACCTTCATGACTGATACCCTTGTTGATATACAATTACTCTGACCTCGCCATGAATGTTAATGTAACTACCATCTACCCCTATCTTTCCTAGTTCTTGACTCCATCTTTATGGTATCCTAACCCCTCATACTTTACATACTTAATCAACTTATCAACCCAAGAAAATAATCCAAGTCCAAAGACAGACAGACAAACTCTTAAACTAATTCATGACCCAAAAGTAATATGAAAAGTAAACTAAGAATTAAAACCAGTAGTAGTATTTACTAATAAATATCCGTGGTGCTCCACCCCTCCCGAGAGACAAAAAAAAAGAAAAGAAAGAAAAAAAAAGACATTCCCCCGAACCAGAATCGAACTGGTGACTTTCTGATCACAATACAATATTACAGTCAGACGCCATGAACCAACTAGACCATCGGGGGTTTGCATGTGATGAGCATACAAATTTTAGATCTTATAGTAAGTAATTTGTAGTGGGCAGGTACAACTTCGCTTATGTTTAATGGATTGATTGAGTTGGGAATAACTGTACAGGTTGACTTTTGTGGTAACGCTGATGGTTAGGAAGATGGGCAGGGGATGGGAATGATCCTGTTTAAAAGATGGGGAGGCGGTTTGGTTTATTTTGAGTTGGCTTACAGGGCAGTGCAGTAGTGCATATATTTTGGAGGGGTGGGATATATATTTGGGAAGGGTGGGACATGTTTCATCGTGAGAGGTGGGAATTTTTTCTTGTCTCTCTTTTTGTTCATGCGTTCTCCTCCGCGTGGGTTTCCTCTTTCTTTAAGATCCTATGAACATTTTATAGTCTATGAATGGGTATATTCTATACAAAAAAAAAAAAAAAAAAAAAAAAAAAAATGAAATAGTACATCAAGCATCCGTCGTCAATCCAAAACAGCACCAGACCCCCACCCACATCAACTAATATATACAATCCAACCCACCATCAAAACAACAACCTACCTCCCCTCCGACCAAACCCGTATTGTCGCCCCCCACCACCAAAAACACACCGGCACAGGCACCAAAGCAACACACACGGCGCCCAGCACCGAAGTGGCCTCAGCGACCCCCAGTCCCACAAACATCTGAGTCGCGAACAACGGAAACGAAGCACCGAAGATACTCCGCATGGCGCCGTTCACTCCCATAGCACTATTTGCCATCCCCGTGTAGCAATCCACAATGTAACTGAACCCTTGGATGAAGAGGAGATACATGCCGCTACCGATGAGGAGGTTGGCGCAGACGGGACTCGCCCAGTAGATGCCTGGGGAGGCGGTCCAGGCGTACCAGAACATGCCGGTGGGGATGAGACATCCGCCGAGGATCATGGGGGGGAGACGGGCTTCGGGACAAAATTTGCCTGTGTCTGGGTCGTGACAGTGGAATCGGAAGTAGAGGTGGTTGTAGACGATGATTCCTACTGTGCCGAGGAATATGCCGACGATGATGCCGAGGAGGGGGAGGGTATTGAGGCCGGTGTGCCAGCCGCGGAGAGTGCCAAAGGTGTAGGGGTAGGATTGGTAGAAGAGGTAGAGGATGCCGTAGAGGAGGGATTGGTAGAGGGTTAGGAGGAAGAGGATTGGTTGGGTGGAGATTAGCCCTGTGGTTTGGAGAGTGTAAGTAGTGGGACTTTGAACGGGATGTTGAGGGAGATTGGGGGAGGTACGTACAAAAAGGACGAATGAGGTAGAGTCTCGCGACCTGCGCGAGATTACTTGAATTGCTGCTCTCTTCCTCTTTCTCGGGAGACTGGAGGCTTGGGGTTTTGTGCTGCTTGCGAGCTTGCAGAATGATCGGGGTATAGGTCTCTGGGAAGAACACCACGCCGAGGAGCGCAAGGCCCAGGCCGCAGATAATCATCACCCACATGGTCCAGCGCCAGTGCAAGGGGGAAGCGACGATGAAGCCGCCGAATACGGGCCCGAACGTCGGCCCAGAGAACATCAGTGCCACGGCGATCGCCATTGCATTGCCGCGCTGTTCTGTGGCGAAACAGTCGCTGACGACCCCCCCCATTACCGCAACGGGTGAGATACCGGACAAGCCCGCGAAGAAGCGTCCCACGAGGACGGTGGTGAGGTTGGTACCCAGGGCGGGCATCAGTTCGAAGAGTGAGGAGATGATAACCCCGATCATCAGCGGCCATTTGCGGCCGAACTTTTCGGACAACGGTCCCAAGGTGAGGAAGCCGAAGATGTAGCCCTAAGACGTAGATGAGTTTCCCGGACGTATGCAAAGTAGCTAGCCCTGAGGGTCAATACCACTAAGAATAATGTGGTCGTGAGAATAGCCACTTCCTTTTCGATGTTGAACTCTTGCATAATCTCGGTTTGTCCAGCACTCAAGATGCTGCTGGCCACCGTGGCTAAAATGTTCATGAGGCCAAGAATGATGATCGTCCGGACCTTTTTGGCTATTGGCCAGTTATGTGGGTGCTTAGGGTCGGCATTCTCGAGGTCAGCCAAAAGAATATCCGCTCCTTCGACATCTTTTTCAGCTACGGCTATTGCCGTCGAGGGTCCCATTGTGACGCCGATCAATGTGTCAAAGCACGCTTGTGACCACTACACCGGAAGATCAACACTCCACCAGGAATGTGAGCGAGCAAGTGGACCTGACGTTCTAGACCAAACTTAAATAGCTTCTAAGAACTTTGAATGCATTGACCTGATTGGCAAGTCAGGCAAGTATGAAAAAATGGATGGAACTTTTGATTGTATATCCAGGGTGCGGGGAGGCTCTGCTGAGCCCCAGTATATATTTGCGAATGGCAGACATGTCGACCCCAACTCTACACCCCAATTTGCACAATTTTCCGTGAGGGGAAATGTATTGCGTGAGGGGAAGAATTCATCTGCCGTCACTGTGTGAGGGCCAAGTGGGGCTCAAAATGAGGCTAGACCCGAGAATTGAACTCACAGAAACGTGGTTGAAGCTCCACCTCAGCCTTGCCATTGGCTCAGTCCAGCCCAGAACCCGGGCAAAGCCCGGAATAGAGTCATGCCAGCCGTCTGCGGAGATGGTTCGGTGATGGGTCGGGACGGAGAATCCTCCCACTAATTCTCCTGGATTTCAGGAATGTCACTCCAGGTACTTCTTGCGCAGACCGTCCTTCCATTCACTCAAAGAAATGACCGTGGGCTCCGTTGGAACCAGAGTGTTTACCAGTGGCGTGACGTACATCTCTGGGATGAACAAGAACTGATGCCCGTGACAAGGCTGTGCATGTGGACCTAGCTTTCGCCACTCTTCATAGCATTTGCCATGCAGAGAGACAGTTCCGGCACAGTCCACACATAAGTAACAGCTTCTAAGATCGAGGACGCTGGTGTTGTTTGCATCTTCTCCACACCAGGTGCAGGTATAGGGAGCGATGACCGCGCTGGCATCGACTTTCATATCGGCAGCCTCTTTCTCACTCGCTGTCCACCAGGAGAGACGAATCAGGTGGAATATTCGGCCAATCACCTTGGTGTTCTCCAGGTCCCCGAATGTGACCATAATGCGGGAAAGGAAGGAGAACGCTAGCCCGTCATTACATGGGTCTTTATCTGATAGCATCTCTAAAGCCATCTTCAGCAATTCTTGCACAGCTGCCTTGGCTTGTGGGACACCACGCGTCATGTATACGTATCTAGCAAAACAGCATGACACCACCCTAGACTTTGTATGGTTGGAGCGTTGCATGAACTGCTCGAACCTCTGACCCCAATCCTGATTCGAGTTGTTGGCAATTGCCTGTCTCAGATACAATTCGGCAAGTATGTCATCGGCTTCATTAGCCTCCCGAGGCTTGAGCGTGTACTGGGGCTGGGCAGCGTTGAGCTGCAACGATCTTTCCAGATTGTCGATGATATTCGCCGTAGCCTCCGCATCCGAAGGGAATCGCCTGAGAGCGGTCAAATAAATGGACGCACAGCAAAGTGTGAATTCACAGCGTATAAGGACATCGCCTTGCGCTGCCGCCGATTCCCAAGCTTGACGAAGAAGGTCCACAAGAAGACCAAGGCTCCCCTTTTGTAGAACCGCTTTTCTGGCGAGATTCTTGAAAGCTTCCGTACCGAAAATCCCAAGCCAAGCCTGAGCGACATGACGCTTCCATTTCTCAAATGACGAATTCATTTGGCGGATGAGATCCCAGAAAACCCCGCTGGGTTCATTTAATTTGTAGATGTTATTCATCATGGTCTCTGGGTCGGGTTCTAGTGGGAAGCCGTACTTCCACATATCATTATACGCCGCGATCGCTCGATTATGATATTCCGGCCCCAATTCCCAGTACCTGTTCCCCTTTTCAAGCACAAGGGACGCAATGATAGCGTTGCCAGCCTCCAAGCCCCCATCTACCTCCTTCTTGACCGACGAAATCAGACGGTCGATCAATTCGAGAGCCTTTGTGGAGTTCCTTTCGTGACGGAACTGGATCCTCAAAGCCAGGATACACTCGGGCATGATGTTCAAGGCCTCGCTGAGACGCTCATCTCTGATTCGAATCGCTTCCGTCATTTCCATCTCGCCTATATTCTTGAACTCGATCAGAAGATCGATGCTAGCTGCGATGCGAGCATGATATACTGCTTTGAAGTTCATCAATTCCACGGAAGGAGGATTAGTGGAATCTATTGTCCTTATGTAAGGCTGATAGTACTCATCAACCATCAGCCATTCTGTCAGCGTGGGAAGACGGGCCTCGCTCTCTTGATTGCTGGGTTTGGTGTTTAAAGGAAGCTGAGGCTCGGACGAGTCAGTTGATGACTATAGTTGCGACGTGCGAATCAGAAGCAGACGCACCTTGCTGATCCTGCGAATGAAGGCAGTTAAATATTCCATCCCGGTAAGAATGGCTTCATGGCTCTGCGCTATACACAATTCTAACATGATGTTTTCCGAGATCGCTTTGAATAAGAGCTCATATCGCGTGTCGCTTGAGTTGCAGAAGGCAGAGACGAGGTTCATCTGCTTCTGCTCAACAATGTCGGCCGTAACAACCGGGTCTTTGAACCAGGATGCAAGTAAATTGCCGCCCCTGTCGCTGTTAAGCCAGTCATCGCAGATAGCACGGAGCCACTGTTGCTGGCCCCTACCCTCCCCCATTATCCACCCCAATAGGCCGACCATCTTTTCTTCTGGATTGATCCAGAACATGGTCTTGATCCCCTTGGAGCTGGTGAAGAGTTCTGCTAGCAAGCGGCCAGCTTGTCGTTTTAGATCGGGTGCGACCTGAGATAGACCAGTGCATTTCAGATGACGCAGGAGGTTCTTGCCAGCGTACTGGATGAGCGAGTCGGCCGCCTGCTGGGTCGTAAGGATCTGTAGACAAATCAAAGCCATTCGGATGTGCGCGTTTGATTCGTCCTTGCATATCATCAGGTGATCCGGATTCATGGTTCCAATGCGCTTTCCTTCCAGAAAGGTATCAAATTCGAGCTTCCGAAATAAGGCCTCAGGACACACCTGGCGCAGGAAATGGTGAACAATGTCAATCTCTGCCGAACGAACGTCTCGTTCCAGCTCTAGCTCGCTTCTCTTGGGGATGCCTTCCGGGATGTCTGGTGATTGCCATGTGACATATCCCGCAGGGTTCAAATCTAATAAGGGATACCATCTCATTCTTTCCCGGAAGCTGCAGAACCAATCCTTCTGGTACCCGAGGCGTAAAATCTCGTCCATCTCTTCGGGGGTCCAAAGACGGAATCCATGCGTGATACAAACGATTGCCGCGTTTAGCTCGCGGATCTGGTCGCTGTCCAATTGGCGATTGAGTTCCGCGATGAGATTGACAGTCGTGGTTTCCCGACTATTCGTCAGGCCATTAAGGATCTCATCAATTTTGCCTGGGTTGGTCTCCATTCGGGCGATGTAATCCAACGTAGTCGTCACTTTCAACCAATCACCTCCACTCTTCTCTTGTAGCTCCTTCAAAATCTTTTTTCTATAAAGCTGGACGGTTGGATTTGTTTCCCTCCCAAGAGACGCCATTTGGTTCATCCGAGAAGTCGCATAAACAGCAATGTCTGGCTTGCTGTGATGGCCCAAGTCCACCTTTGCCACGCTTGGATTATCCCCTTGGGACAATGTCAGGAGATCATCTGGGCTCGCGGTAAGCATCAGTCTGATCTTGTGGTCCCGGGACCTGTTCAAGGTCCGTATCAGTGGAAGAAACGCCGCAATCCCAATCGATGAGCAATCTATAAGCACAAAGATTACGTGATCCATTCGCTTTCTTTCGTCGTTGTCGACCAGCAGCCTCGTCCAAAGTTCAATCGGGTCCCTCTGCTCGGGGCTACCGTACTCCTGGATAAGTGGCGCCATTGATTTTAACAAAGGAGAATAGTCCACCGCACACTGCCAAATGATACTGCGGACTGCTTGGCGGACCAAGCCGGCCGAATCGACCATGGAAGGAGTCAGGTCCATCTTTTCATGAAAATAGAAGGCCACCAAGCCCCGGGCCTTGGACGGAGGCAGGCGGTTGGTCAGGTTGGCCATCAGATACGATTTGCCATATCCCGCCGGGGCGACCAGGAGGCAAATGGTCGTTTGGCTGCCGTCCAGCCATGCCTGGAACGATTCGTTGCTGTCAATCCACTTGCCAGTGTTCTCAAATGGAGGCCGGTAGAGCATGCCTAAACTGCTTTTCATCGGCTCTTCGTTCGGGCCCAGTTCTCCCGGATGAAAGTCCAAGGCTTTCACCAAGCTGCGGCGCCACTTTCTCTCGGCATCCGTGGAGAAGGTGACTCGATGGAGATCATTGACCACCGATTCCACTTGATCCTCTCGCAGCTCACTCAGCTCGTCCATCAACGCTTTGATCTTATCATCCCCAAAGGTCTTTTCCACCGCACGTTTGAGGCGATATTTTCGACTCTGAGTCGCGTTGGCACATTCGCAGCAGATCTGCACTATCAGAGCAAAACGCCGGTGAATTTTGATCGCCAGCCCCGCGTTCACATACATGCCTTGGATATTCTCGAGTCCGCGCATGCAAGCATCCGCCAGCTTGCCAAGTTCCTCGGGAAGATTGGCATAATTTTGGATCCCAGCGACCAGGATTGCCAGACCTTTGAAACAAGCCGATGCGCCAGGAAATGCCTAGAAGCCAAATTCCAACGGTCGTCGAGTCAGCAAAAGCAATATTTGCCCCATTTTTCAGTCCTTCAGAAACGAAACATAACGAGGTCGTGGGACGTACACCAGAGGCGCTGTCGCCTGCGATCGAGTTCAGCGTTTCTAATACCTTCACAAAGCGCATCACAACTTTTTGCGATCGGGGATGATTCTTCGTCTGTTCCTCGCAGTGGGTTTTCAGCCTGCCCAGGGTGGCCCCTCGATTACCCTCGATATCTGACAAGTGCGACGAAAGTTTACTGATTTGACAATCAATGTCTGTCCACAAATTTGCCAATTCTTCTTCAGCCTCAGGGTTCATGTCTGTGTTGCCCAGGAAGGCCCGCAGGCTCTTGATCGCCGTTTCGGCCTCCATCGGAATTGCTGGACGGGTAGATAGTATCGAATACAAGATTACAAAGCTGGGGAAATCACGACAATTCAGCTGGCTTGAGAGAGAGGATGGGACGGGTACGCTTTATGAGATGGAGGGGAGAAATTTCAATGAAAGGCCCATTTTGTCCCCCAGCTGTGTTGGAGGGAAATGTGGTCAACAAATGCGGAAATATGGGAGCGGACAGTGTTTTCAGTGTATCACTGGCTACTTGAGGTGCCCTAGGCGAGGCTAGATCCTTGATCGCTGCAATAGCGCGATGCAGTATAGGCACCGGGCCTGTTGTTGGCGTGTATGTGGGTACCAAAGCTACCGGCCCGAATCAGATCTCTTTTGCGACAGTCACTACAGACCTCTGTGCATGGTCGTACAACGGGATAGAATAACGTGATGCGCAGATGTTGACAGAGCTGGGGCTCCGGGCAAGATGCGGCTCAATTTTGACCATGCGGAAGATTTTACAATAGTACTGATAGAAATTTGTCCGTGATTGGCGTGGAATCCGTACCAGGAGATTTCCCGGACGCAAGTCAACATCGCCGAGATACCGGATGAGATCAATGGCGAAGAAACGTTCAACGATATTGTCGGCAATAATTTGGTCCCAGGGGTCCCGGTTACTATTAGATGGTACCGAGAGGTGAAACGAAGCCACCGATGAGCTGCCGAACAATCTCCCGGCCAGAGTGGTATCCAAGTGGAATGTGTTTGATGACATTGTCAAGATCCGCAATAATTATCTGGCATTGGAATTGTTGTAATGACTTTCAGGTACTTCCGGCCCCTTCTTCATGATGCGACGGAGAACTGCAAAGCACTAATTGGGCAATTTGGCGAGATTGAAACAGATTAACGACTGATGGAGACGGCATCAACACCATCGTGGTACTATCGCAAATGCATTCCGCGAGCCTAGACATTGTCGATGTGGGCGAAACCGTTGGACTCTACACGATCACCGGGGTGTTTTCCACGCGCTGTCCTTTTTGGGGCCGCTTGGTCGTTCTAGGCATCATAATGATGTTGGCTAACTCGTTCGTGGAGAGGGTTGCAAACTTGAATTGACACTGCACCCCCACCGAAATTGGACTGCACCATCTCCAGCGTCACTTTTTGTCCGACAAGGTCGAGGTTTCTCTATCAAGAAAAGCAGTGGCGACGACGAGGTCTGCCCGTTCAGCACGGACGAGCTTGAATTGGCTGCGCACGGACCCGGCTCAGGATTCCGTTGGTCATGTTGGTGACTCCGGGCGGCAAAGCAGAGAGACTTTGTCCTCTAGCGTGAGTGCCATGAAACCGATCTCGTAATTGGATAAGAAGAAGGCCGAGAACAGTCTGCACAAATTAGTGTCGAAGTCAAGATAGGAAAATCAATCAATCAACCCGGTCGGAGTGATGTCGATGTGATTGAAAATCCTGTTCAGTTACGATACCGTGAACCTGAGCGTCCGGGCATCCAGCAAACTGCGATCATCACCAGAACTTTCGCATATCTTCTGATTAAATCGATAATGACTCCCTCATTTGACAACCGACATGCCGCGGCGCCTAATGAAATGTCCGCCTGAGCTGCAAAAATTTTCAGCATCGTGACAAAACCCCGAGGACGGGTTGGATGTGCCGAGTGAGCAAAGCAGACGGCAAGACGGCGAGGCGGGCGGTGTTGTGTTGTGTTGTGTTGCGTGACCGAAACCCAACCACGCTGGCCGTGAAGCGCACGCGCAATAACAAGGCTGACAGGCCAGACCAGACCAGACCACCTCAAGCAACTAGCAAGTTGCCGCTCAGCGCATCGCATTGCGCGATCGGGGCGCACAAGCCTCGCGCAGGAAGATAAGCACACCAATCAACTCCCCAGCCCTGATCATCTCCGACTTCTAGAACGTATGGACTTGAGCCCAAGTAAATTGGTCGGACACCACACTGCCTATCAGGGGGAGGGGAAGAAAGGAAGAAAGGAAGGGAAAGACGGGGCGGGTAGTACCCGTGACAAGCAGATTGTGGCGGGCACCTGACCTGTCGGTCGTGCCATGACCATCTATCTATCTGCCCACTAGCGAGTAGTAGATAGCTACACAGTACGTATCAGGGGTTATCCTTATCCTTGACGATCATGGTTACAAAACTGAATTGGAAAATCAAGTTTTTTATATGGGATGGATAGAATGTATTCATTTCCCTAATTGTTTTATTGTACGGTTACTACCTAGGTACCTATTGGGAAGGGTGTACGTATACGTATGTAGACCAAGAAAAGAAAAAGAACATGGAATGGAAGACGCGTTCAATAGTTAGCTAAGTAATAAGTAGGTATAATGTAGATCGTGACTATTTTGATAGCCATACTATGTCCACTGTACTACGTTGAGCGGTGTGGTGAGGGATTTCCATGTATACCTACCTACCTATACTCAGTATGGATGTCGGTAGGCTGGGTAACTACCTACCTACGGAGTATTCCTCGGAGTTGTACGTAGGAAGAAAAACTAACAGGAAAATTAAAACAAGAAACCGGAAGTTTCATCCTGATAGCGAGTAGACAGGAAGCAAGATATCCTACTCCGTATCAAATGATGCACACACAAACTCACACGGTCGGGATCACCACATTCCACACACTCCAGGGGTGGCTGGCTCTTACGTACCCCCCAACCCCTCACACAATCTAGATACTATCTACCATAGCCTCAATCGCCTCCTACAATAACCATTACATGTCAAAAACTACCATAGATCGGTTAACTCGGCGTCGGGTGAGTCAACGAGAAAGAAAAATTTAGTATGCGTGATTTTGATAAGGGTGGCGATGGGGGGCACGACGGGGACCCGAACCCGAAGAGTGGAGCTTAGAGCCACGTTCTAGTCCTGGTCCATCGCCCATCGGATCGAACGTGCCGATTAATTATTTTTGGAATGGGAGCGGGGGGTTTTTTTTTTCTCATGGAGGTAAGTAGGTAGGTGTGGTATATGGTGTTGGAAAGTTATATAAACGGGTGTAAATCCTCTGGGAAAATTGGATATCATCAGCATCAATTCAATCAATTCCTCTACTGTCTATTACCTCAAGAGCGCATTGCATTGCATACCAAACCTGCAATCAATCGTCATCCTCCACAAAACCATCTATCCACTCCGGAAAAAAAAAGCCACATTCCACAATGACTATCCCTTACCCCTTGATCGGCCCTGAATCCTACGGCCTCGGTGCCTCGTCTCGTCGTCGCAGCAGCAGTCCCAGAAGTCTCGATCAGAGTCACGTTGAAGCTGCGTTTAAGGATATGAAGAACGGATCCGAGGAGCATTTGGATTCTTGCAGCAAGTCGTCGACTAGTGGACATGGTTGGAGAGCTAAGTTTTCGCGGAAGTATGTTCCCTTCTTTTCTTTCTCTTTTCGTACTTGGTTTAGTTGTAGGGGCAGTGTGCTAATGGATGATGAATAGGTTCTTTCACTTCTAAGCGACACTACACCACACAACACGACATGACATATAATATTCTATCTACTGTTGTCGTCTGACGAAATGCAAAAAAGGGTGTTTGGATAGGTGAATAGGTGGAGAGCATGGAAGCATGGGTTGGAGTTCTGTTTTCTGTTTCCATTATAATGATTATGATTGGGATAATTTAGATTAGATAATACTTAATTAATCGCGGGTTATGTACGCTTATTACTACTCTACTACCATCTTTCTTGTCTTGAGTAGTATACATAGTAAAAGTAACTTGCTTGTTAATTCTACATTGCAATCACACAATAAAATATCCTAATCTATAACCCAACCCGAAAACAGCCCACACAATAGATAGATACTATGTAAATATTCTGTTGTCACATAGACATCATCACCTATCCCCTATTCCACAAAAACAAGTTTTTTCTACCCGTACGGAACGGATAACGGGTACGGGTACGATATCACACTAGCGCGAAAAAAAATTAAAAAACTTTTCCCGACACGGAAACACGGCTAACTAAAATAGACTACTCGGATAGAACGGCGATCATCCATCGGTAATAGCGGCATTGAGGCGTGGATTGGGCCAATCAGGGTACTTGGTGGGATTAGTATGGGTGTGTTAAGAGGGTGAGGATTAGGTAGTTAGTTAGTGAGGTGTTGGTGTCGGTGCTGCAGACTCCACTTGTTTATGTTTATGTTTATGGTTATGTTGACATGGGTCGGGGTCTTGCTATGGGGGCTTGGGGATGTTGGATTTGGAAGGGGGTTGGGGATGGTGGTGTGGTTGGGATTAATGATGTCAAGGGTGGAAGAAGGGGATTGTAAGTATGATAGCCCTATTGTGTGTACAAAGTAGGTGGGATGGATAGGCTGACTAACACCTATGTTTCAATGCTGAGTTTCAGGTTAGTTCTATGGCGTCACCTCAGCTTCCTTACCTACCAGCTAACAGCTACATGTCATATCTACTCCTACACATTACTTATGATGAGACAAATTGTTGTGTACCTCACGGTAAAGATTTTTTTTTATTTCCTCAATAGGATAAAGCATCAAAGTCAATTGCGAACTCAAAACGAACGCGTCCATCACCTCCATCATCCCCATCCACAAACCCATTGTGTCCCACCTCTTAACATCCCCCCCAACGCCCTATAAATAGTAACCAAAAGTCCATGATGCCAATGTGGAGCCATCACCCGCCATCATGATCGTATTGTTATCATCACACTCAAGCATTTTGACAGTAGCAGCTCAAGCTTTCCGATCAGTGCGTAGGGCGAGTGGGTCTCTTATGATAACCATGGCATCAAAAAACTTAATCCTAAGGCGTTAGTCTTCACCACCACCCTCCGTCAAAACACCCCAAACATCCCCCATAAAAAGAAGCAGGATCTCATCCTTTACTTCGACTCGGCCGCCTTCTTCTTGTTCTCCTCCCTCTTAGCCTTAGCCGACTTGGCAGCCTCATCCATCTGCTTCAAGGACATGAGAGGGGCCTTAATGCCGACCATGGCCTCCTTGACCTGAGTCTGATCAGTAGACTGCTGAGGAGTAGACATTGTTGCAGACAATGTTCTTGAGACTATAATTTAGGTGAAAGGGATGGGTATATGGATTCAAGGACAACTTCTCTTCGTCACTTCTCTTCTCTTTACTTTCTAACGCAGCTGGAGGAGTTGAGCTAGATGAGCAGTGGAGTTGAAGGATGAGAGGATGTTGATGAGAATTGATCTGGATAGCAGGCCATTTGGGGGCTTTTATAGACGATTTGCTCTTCAGAAGTGTCTTTCGACAAGGCATATTAGGTTGTACGATGAGGAAGATTCCATCTCCAGATTGCTACATTTCGGGTGCGGGATATCGGGGAGTGTTGGATATTGTGAGACATTGATAACGAGGGTCTGGGATATTAGCTTTGGGTTTCGGAAGTTTGATGGCATGTCCTAGAGGAGAGGAGATAATGGGAGACGCTTTGTTGGAATTTGTGTAGTGTGTTGGAGGTTGTATGGTTTGTAGAGGCAGTTGATCTTGGTGTCGCCGTTAGAATGGGCGATTTATGCCGACATTGGGCATATTTTGTAAAAGCAGGGCGGATGGCTTGGATCTAGATCAATCGACAAGTGAGATTCTCGTTGGTTAGGTATATTCGTGCAGGGAGGTCCCTGTAGTAAATGGAATCAAGAGTGAAGATTAAGGAGGTGGCATTGTGGCGTACATTGGGGTGAAGAATGGCTTTGTGAGTTGTAGACAAAGGTAACAAGCATAAAGGAGATAGACAATAGAATAGGTGGTTCTTGCCGGCATCAGGCATATTTTGTAAAAACAGGGCGAGTTGTTTGGGTCTAGATCGAGCGAAGGTTGAATTTCGCGTTGTTTGGGTATAATCGTGAAGGGAGATTCCTGTATAGAATGGAGCTGAGAGTGAGAAATGAGGAAATAGCATTGTGGCGTTCATTGACATAGAGAATGGCTTTGTGGGTTGTGGATAAAGTATGGAGAGTATAAAGGAAATGGACGATAGATGGCGATGGTTGAAGGGGAACGATGAAAGTGAAGAAGGGAACAAAGAGAGATGGAGGAACAAATCCGATAAAATGTAAACATCACAGAAATTAATGTGTCTGATTATCGGTGAGTCCAGTTGGAAGATACCTATGTTTAGGAAATCGTTGACTGGACTGGGCATATCCAGTTATGATCAATAATTGTGTACATAAAGTGCCTCCATGTGTAGCTGCTGATTCTTCGGTAGGTATGCTGGCATGCTGTATGTATATGATGCCGATCTAATGTCTATAGTATTGCCAGTAGCAACTAGTCTCCTCTCGGCTTCCCTCCACGTCCACCACGCCCACGCCCACGTCCTCGTCCTCCACGACCACCACCACGGTTCTTCTCAACTCCACCCCGTCGTTCTCCTCCGCCAGGGCTGAGCACATCGCGAGGCTTGCCTGGAGTACGACCCTGGGGTCTAGAGCTGCGAACCGAGTCACTTCCGGTCGCATAGTTAAATCCAGGCACGCCCTTCAGTCCCATCTTGCCAATAATCTTCTTGTCCATCGGCGGGGGTTCGGGGCAGGCCATACCGTTGATAGCCAGGTCGTTGGCGAGCTGAACAAGGCCGGGCTTATCCATACGAAGCTGCTTCATAAGACCCGATCCAGCAAAGAAACCAATGAAAGACGAGTAAGCACGTTGCTTCTTCTCTTCATCAATGGTGTACATGGCCTCTGTGACAGCCTCGGCGCAAGACGCAGCGCCCGCATTGATGGCGTCGGTCTGGGGATGAGGCTGGATGGGCAGGTGGCGATTGGCCTTGAGGAAGAAAGATTCGGCTTCGGTGAGGAGAATGATGGCGCGACCGTCATTGCCGGCACGGGCGGTACGACCGACACGATGAACGTACTGTTCGCCGTTCGATGGCAAGCCGACCTGAATCACCAAGTCGACATTGGGGAAATCCATGCCACGACCAATGACATCCGAGGCGAACAAGATACCGGCAGCCGCTTGCTTGAATTGCTCCGTGGTCTTCGTGCGAGCGCTCTGACTGAGTCGGGAATGGATCTCAAACACGCTCAACGGCGTCAAGCCCCGAGAAAAGGCAGCGGCGAAGAGAGCAACCATGTTGGCAGTGACGCCGAAGACGATGATTTTCGAGCTGGTCTTGCTCTCCAGCTGGATCAGGGATGCAAGAGTCGTAAAGGTCTCTGCCACAGACGGCATCAGCACATGGTACTGGGGAACTCTCTCATGCGTGGGGGCCTCATTCTTTTCAATGGTGGAAATGCTACTGTAGCCTGGCTTCAACACCACGTTGACCACATCCTTGACCTTGGGAGGAACGGTGGCGGAGAAGCACATGCCCTGCCAGCCAGTGCTCTTGGGGGGAATTAGTCGGAGGATTTGCTTCACATCAGCGAGGAAGCCAGCCTCGAGCATCGTATCAGCCTCGTCCAGAACCAGGGTCTGAATGTTCGACATCTTCTCGGCGGCAGATGGGTCAGACAGGTAGTCCTTCAGACGTCCTGGAGTTGCTACAAGAACAGACGGGGCTTCCTTCATGAAGCGGGAAAAGGCAGATGCCCGAGCCGTTCCACCAACCGCAATGTCGCATCTCAGACGGGTCGCCAGTTGCGAGGTCAGTTGGTCACACGACTTGGCAATTTGCTGAGCTAGTTCTCGCGTAGGAGTAATGATCAGGATGGCGACCTGACCTCTTGGTGGGGCCGAAAAGCCTTGAAGCAGACAGTGCAATGCAGGCAGCAGAAAGGCGAGGGTCTTTCCAGTACCAGTCTTGGCCTGGACAAGGCAGTCACTGCGCCAGTTGGGCAGCACGGTCAACACCCGGTGCTGGACAGGCGTCATATGCGTGAACCCCATTACATCAAGGGCCTGCAGGAGCTTGGAGTCCAGCTTCCCAGCCATGGTTGCATAAGGCTGCGCGCCATCGTTGATCCCGGGACCTTGCATGATGAGGCTCTATATTTCAAGATACCTGGATATCACAGGAGGAAATTCAAGGTCGTATGCACCTGGGTAAGTGACTTGTTACCTGCAGAAAGCAAGGTAGTAGGATTGTAAGTGAGTGAACTCTCTTCTCATTTCATTCTGGCTTTGATATGGGATGCTGGGCGTCAGTTGGGAAACAATCGGGATCTGGCTTTGTCGGCAGGTAGAGATTGTTGCCAAGCCTCAATGGGACCCACTCCCCTGACTAAGCTCACGTTGATTGGCCGTGGTGATCCCACACAGTCTCGGAATAGAGCGCAACATTCCATTACTCGGATAAGCTTAATTTCGAATGTCCGTCAGTAGTAGATTAAATTTGGACAGTGGACTTCTCACGAGATACGGGGAGGAAAAGCCCCCAGCCGGAACCAAGAACTTTCTAATTACATTACACATTACAGGCACCACGACTAGCCCATTCACTATGGCCCATGTACATCATCCATCGAGTATACCGAGCTTGCACGCCGTTTCTCCCCGCCACAAGCCCCTTTCAGCCCGTCTAGATGCTCCTTCATATGGTTTGATGTTTTCGTATTGACTAAAAATGTTAGCACTCCTGCCGTTCTTGTTTACCTGGGGACGCACAGATAAAGTTCATTTCCTCAAGGTTGACCCTTGCTAGACCGCTAGGGACCTGAAAGTGTCAGCAGTCTCCACTTCATTTGTAGATAGAACCTACAAATAAAAATACCAGCACAAACGCAAGAACATTCAATCCCCTAATAGTGATTGTCAGCAATGTTCAGGCAAAAAGGGAAATACTCACGTGAATAAGAACAGCAGGTTCGATTGTCCAGTAGCATCATTTAGGTTCTCTCCACCAAATGCAGTAGTCAACTTTGGAACGAAGAGAACTAGGAGCCCGAGTCTGAGGAAGTTGACCATGACACTAAAGGACATGCCGACTTCTATAGGGTCGTTAGTATTCAATGACGAAAGAAAGAAAGATAGTGAATGGTGGGGAAACACATACCGCGGAAAGCAAGTGGAAACACCTCTGCAGAAAGAGTAAACGGAACCGGTCCGGCCCCAATCCCGTAGAAAAAGGTAAAGAAACCAATCGTGAAGGTGGCGACGAGCCCAAGGCGGACACTGGTATCGTGGATGCGGAGGAACAGGCTAATGGCCAAGAGGGAGAAAAACATCCCCCCTAGGGAGATCAGGAGAAGGAATCGACGACCACGCCAGTCAATGTATCTATAGGCCGGAAGTGTGAAGAGGAAGTTCGCGAGACCAAATCCTGCTGATCGTTAGCTTTGAAACTGACAGAAGTGAGGCTAGTACCGAAGTTCAGCCATGCCGTTTGCGTATCTTCTGCTGTGAAATTGGGCACTCTCGAGGAACACGAGTCTCCATCACTACCCGTGGACAATTTACCAAAGAGCATAGACGAGTAGAAAGAAACCACATTTATCTGTAGACTCGTTTAGTCGATGAAGATCTGACGCAGGACTATGCTCACCCCACAAAACTGTTGTGCCGCCATGACCAGAAACGCAGTCAGACAAGCTCTGCGGTTTCGTGGCTTAGTCCAGAGAGCTTTCACTCGCTGAAAGAAGCCCATGTTCTTCAAAACCTCTTGGTAAGCCTCTTGATTGTACCAGTTCCCCGGAGGCGTATCCAGAAGCAGTTCTGTCTCTGTCTGCAGTTGACTATGTATATAGTATAGGTCACGCGCGGATTGGATGTCACTTCCACGGAGATGACGGAGGCTTTCGTAGGCTTTTTTGTAGTTGTTGGTTCGCATGAGGAATCGAGGGAACTCAGGACAGGCAAATACGAGGAACAAGAGGACGATGGCGGGAATCGCAGCTGATCCTAAGATAATCCGCCAGTTGTGGTCAACGATCCAAACAACAGCAAAGCCGAGAAAAATTCCACTGAACTACATTAGCTCTATAGCAGGTACACATCTGTTGGGGCTTACAAAGTATCAAAGACTTGCCACATCATTAGCAGCCGTCCTCTAAGATGGTCAACTGCTGCCTCAGCAGCAAATACAGGGGCGATTGACGCTTTTGCTCCGATCTAATCAACTTAGTGTCTATCAACTGTAAGTCTATTGGATAGAACTCACCCCAATTCCCAGAAGCAACCGACACACCAGCAGTTGCTGCCATGTTTCGCAGCGAGCGCTTCCTGTCTATCAATCAGCGTGGCCGAATCGAGGACATGACAGTCATACCAAGCACACAGACAGCGCAGAACACAGCAGAAACGAAAAGCGCAGGCCGCCGACCGTATTTTCCCTCTTGCAGGGGATCGCTCAACCAGGCCCCTCTAAAGCATCAGTCAATAAATAAATCTGCTATCAACGTGAGGGCACCCACACTAGACTTCCAGATAGCCATGGTGCCGCATCAATCAGTCCAGCCAGTAACTCATTATGCTGTAGATCAAAGGCGCATTTCCAGAATTTTGAGCTGGCATTTATGGATGACTGCTGCCATCCCCTGAATATGTCAGTCAATGGAACACACACCTTGTTGAGCCGACTCACTGGGTAATTGCAGCACACGCAGTTGTCAGGATTGTGACCTTGAGATCCTTGGATTGCTGAAAGAACTCAGAGTTCTTTTCGGCAAACAGAGCTTTCTTTTCTGCTTTAGTTAGACCGGGAATGGCAAGATTCGTCGGATTTTGAGCTATGCGTGCTCCTCGAATAAGCAGATCAACGTCTACGACATCCTCTAGTTCAACGCGATCGTGGAACCCGCGCACGTCCCTCTCAAGCTCGTCTGGCATTCGACTCCATAGTGGATTTCGGTGCCTGAGGTCGCCCAAAGTGAGTTAGATAGACGTGCGGTTAAGAATGTCCTGCCTGTGGATCGAGACGCAGGGAATATCTTACCGTCTGCCATTCGCTGTGGGGGTAGAATTGTCCATCTTGCTGACGAGTGGAATGCTGCACCTGCCGAGAAGCCAATAATTGCTGGGATATGCGAGTATTCAGGACATTGGCAAGTGTAAATGTACAACAAGGTGCTGTCGACTATTCGATTCAGGGGAAGAGTATTGATGCCAGAGAAGGAGGTAACAGGGAACCAATTCACCCAATAAAGGAATTCTCTTGAGTCATTGGATGCCAACCCATATTGAGACTCCCAAGGCAAGATATGAGGCTCAGGAGGCCCGGGGACGAGGCTGTGAGGGTCTCAAATCGAGCAACACCTCGTATTTCGAACGATATTGGCATTGATCAGCCTCGTGGCCATAAATCAACTGTGTATCCGTTTGTAACGCGCACGTCACATTACTCGCTTTCAGAGCGAGGAGCCGGGCTGGCCTTACTCTGGAAATCGTCTTAGTTCTGTCGGGCGCATAACGTCCTTTTCGGATACTAAGTCTTGATGCAAAGGACTTTTAGATTAATCAGTGGCCTGTGTCCATCGGAAGAAGTCGTAATGAACATACAACTCACAGAAAGATGTGTAATGACGGAGATAGGTGGCCGGGGACGGAGGGGTCGCAGCGCTCTGATTGGCGGCATTTCTCCAGGAAAATACAAATCTATGTATTTCTTGGTGTCCTCGGTGTGCCTCGTACATCTCAGACATATTGCTTTTCTTCACATTGGCTTATCCTTTGCCACGACATGCTTCGAGATCGTCTAACCTGGCGGAAAGAGCGGTAGTGATAATGCCCGTGTCGATGCCCCTCACAAGCTGCAAGTGATAATTATGCACAGTTGAATAGAATAATTTCCCACATTGTCTGCCCTGTGGCGTACAATGGGGAAGAAGGCTCCGCACGTCCGAGGCCTAACGAGATCTGAGGCTTCCCCGCACTCAACAGCCAATGGCTGGCGACTCACCGCGAGGCTGAGTCCTGTGGGATTTCAATCATCAGCAGACTCTTTCATTAAGGAATCAATGCATGGCGGTCCGAAGGAGCTCGCGATGGTCCAACTTCCGGGGCATCTCACCCATTCAGCCTCAACAGCCTGGTACAAATCCGTCATCCACGCCCGGTCATCCTACCCCCACACCTCCTCAGCCTCGTGCCCAGAGCGTTTGTGCTCGTACTATCTTCCTTAGTGCTTTTCGCCTAAGGGAACGCCCTGAACTCAGAAAGCCGCCGTCCGTCCGTTCACGTAATCTATCGATAACTTGTATTGCCTTGCCTCGTGGTCGCCATGGCTCAGCTTATCGAAAATATCATCAACCCGGACATCGTGGGGTACATCAGGAAGGAAAAGTTGGAAGCGAGGCTCAGAATCGTCTTTGGTTACGACATCAGAGTTCGCGTAAGCACAATTTTACCGATTCGTGGTCACAAGTAAGCTTATGGCTGACGGTTGCAATAAGCATGTCAACGAGCGCTTTGTATTTGACGCTCCAAGGCTTGTCACTAGGGTAAGTTGTAATCTACCGGTCTTTTGTTCGCTGAAATCACCGATTACTAACCCCAGCAGGATGAAATCGAGTAAGCGCGATCGACAGGTGCCACAGTAATCGATGCTGACGAGGCGATGGCATAGTGATCTGCGCGAAATTGACCGGGTGAACTGACGGAGTGAGACTATCCTCCTACCGAGGTCTCAATTACATGGAAACTCTTTCGGGAATATTATATTTGTCTGTTTTCTGCCGAGCGCTTTAAAAATAGGAGGCTGTGCGTCCAACAATATTGCTGTGAGGGCTGTGCCACCATGTATAGGTGAATATTGCACCTTATTGTTAGTGTCCTTGTTATATGGACACACGTAATTCTGTCTTGTAACCCAGTGTCATGTTGATTAGAGTCCATGGTGGGAAGGGGAGGGTATATTTGACCTTGCTAGGTAACCTTGGTCTCCGCTGTCATCGACCGCGGTTTGACGGTTATATGGTCAGACTTCAGTGAATATGTCAGCATCCAGTGCCAGAGACATTGATGGAGGACATTATGAATCAGTCCTACCTTACCTGCGCTACCCCCCTTTGATTGACCCATCCGAGAGATCCGAAATTCGACTAGTAGATTTCGCGTGTTAGTTATCCCATACCACTCTAAAACGCAGGGGTTCACTGACGGCAACAGCGGAGGATGCATCAAGGCATGATAAACAATTTACTGATAGCGAGAGATTTGAGTGCCATATATCAACGAAAGCCAAGCCACATGCACGCATTGTGTAAGTAATACGGGACAATCGAATCGGCATAGACTGAGCATGCCAGATCAATATGTTCTCGGAGCTCAATCACTCCATTGCAAATCACGGAACGAGCCTTGCGTTGGCTCATGAAACTATACGAGATAGATGCAGACTTCTTTGATATTGTCGTCTCGTTCGGTGATAAGCCGCGAAACTCGGATGCTGGACTGGGGGAAATGAAGGTGAAACAGAGAGCGGATGGATCATACGGTACCACTAAATGATGTGTGAACGAAAATCCAATTACTGATGATTAAAGACATGCAATATCTACTTACCCATGCTGACGAGTACAAAATCCATGGAAGTACAAAGTGGACAATACGCCAGATAGGCGTGTTCCACCGGTACAATCCGTCCGGGGATGGCAATATCTGGATATTTCTCCACGCTAAACCTAGTTCCAAGCTGCAGCTGCAACTTGAGGCAAGGTTGTCTGAGTATACAAGCGCTCTGTGGCAGGATTGGTTCTCGTTGCATTCTCTCGTTTTGTCTTCATACCTGGTGAACTGGAGATGGTGTATCCGAGGTCTAGGCGATCAACTAGAGAATTCTGCAAGTGGACCCCTGATACAACCTGACCAAAGATGCTAATATTGAAAAATAGGCAGATATTGCACTCACGCGCGATCTCTCAAAGTCGGAAGGTATTGATCAGAATGTCCTTCTCGAACTTCTCAAACCCCAGCATTTGGGAGACGTTATCCTACCATTGTCATCATGGATGGGTGTCGCACAGGCGACAGTAAGCAAGATGCAGGAGATAAACACCCTATTATACTCCAAAAATGTCTCGACCGAAGACAATTATGACAGGGTTACCGGCGATCTTGCATCGTACAAAGTAAATCTGGAGGGACACCTAAGAAGTGTGAGGGTATTGGAGAGAAAGGCGCAGGGAATTTCCGATTTGGTAGGTCCGATGGTGGCCTTCGATACAGGGTGTGACTAATGAGTCCATCATAGTTAGCTGTTGCTCTAAGTCAGAGAAACCAGGCAGTGATCATCGATATAAACCAATCGATGCTGAAGCTTACCGACGAGGGATTCGATGACAATGCTACAGTGAAGGTAGTGACACTTGTCACATTGATATACCTTCCTGCGAGCTTCGTCTCTGTATGTCAAGTCGGTGACTACTAATGGTAGCCTGGATAAGATGACTGACTTCCGAGCAGACGATACTTGGTATGAATCTGTTCGACTTTGGAAATGGAAAACTCTCGATATCACGCCAGTTTTGGATATTCATTGTGCTGGCAGTGCCATTGACTCTGCTAACACTGGCCATGTGGTACTTCGTTACTCAGCGTCAGTTGAGGAATAGACAAAAGATGAAGTCGAAGAGAAAGGAAGAGGAGTTGATGGTGTGAGTGTGAGGCAACATTTCGATGGGCGGTCACAGGGTTTGTTTCCGTGACAGAGAGCGGTACCTCTTTTTCAGAGCTTTATTCTTCACCTTCGCTATCTTTTCACATCTCCAGCAATTTTAATTCTCTTTTTCTCTTTCATCTACTGATTTTAATTTATCCCGGTTGCAGCATATAGCAAGCAAAACAGTACTGTACCGCATCCAAAATTCTCAGAAGACGAGTATATTCACACTAAACGTGGGGAAAACGAACAACATATCCGAGCAGTAGAGACAGATTCCTTTCTCGATCTTCTACCCCCGTACGGCACGTTATCTCATGGCCCGATGTTTTACCCAACAGTAATATCCGAAGACCCACTGCTCTCATAACCCTCCGTAGCCACAATCTGGTAATTATGAGTACCCAAGTCCATTCCCAACTCAGCCCACGCATTGAAATGGTTCTCAGTCGTCACGGTTCCTCCAACCCGCTTGGACTGCCGAACAGACCAGTACTGCGTAAATGTGGCGGTTCCCTCGATCGAAGCGGCGTCGGTCCGGGTAGCAGTGTAAATATCGTACGTTGCTCCGTCTGAGGTGACAGTGCCCTGGTATGTACCTCCACTCCCAGGATTATAGTCGCCGTAGGATTCCACGATGTAATACTCGATCAGAGGGTCGGTGGTCCAACCGTAGACGGAGAGGTAGCCGTTGCCATCGGGGGTGAAGGTACCGCTGTAGGTGATGTTCCTGAACTGATGTGAGTACGCAGTGTGCGGAGTTGGATGTCTAATTGGAATAATCCACTTACTGGGCACTTCCGGGGTTCCACCCTTTTCCACCGACGAAGTTGCTCACGTCGGACCACTCAACGGTATATGATCCGGCGTCACCGTTCGTGTAGGTCACATCGCCACCTCCATCGGTCCAGAAGGAGTAGTAGTAACCGTTGCTGTAGCCGGTAGAGCTGGTAGTGGATCGCTCGGAGAGCTCAGTTGAATGTTCCTCGACGGGGACTGCCAAGGCCTTTGCCGCTGCCAAGCAGGCGAGGATTTTGTAAGAAAGAACCATGATCAATCAACTAGATGGGAGTATGGTGCTTCCATCGATTTTTCGATGCTCATAGCAGGAATTAACGAGGGAAGAACCACGTCTATATACCCATAGCTCTGCAGAAGCCATTTAGCCGTGACGATGAGAGGTCCTGCCGAGATATTAAAGTGAAACTCATTCGTACCTGGAATCTTCAATTTGAAACGAGTTTAGGCTGGGCGGTGATCGTCCCTTGGCAGATGGGGAAATCGGCATCAGCACCCGATCAGCCTAAATTGCATCTAATCCTCGTGCTTGGTGAGAATAGGCAATGGTCTGGACATTGTGTTCTTATTATTGTGGAATGATATTTGCCTGCGGATGCATTGGCTCATTCCGTACCAGTCTGGCGCCATCAAGACCTCGATCACTATTAAGAATACTAAATTCGTACTCTACATATCTTCCACTGTAGTATAGTACCCTCAACTCAACTAATCAGTCAACTATTTTTTCCACTATCAATCTGATTTACTATCGCCATCGCCTCAGTGTAGTCAAGCTTGTTCATCGACTAAATCTTATAAGATTGCATACAAAATCAAGAAAAGCCCATTCTGTGTCATCGCCTGTTGTGCATTGTAGATGCTCAGGTTGCTGGTAATCCTCAAAAAGTCAGGCCCAGACTGCCTGCCAGAAGTCCATGACAAAATCCCCACCTTCAGCCAGCAACTCTTGAAAATCATCATTTTCACCAATTTGGCCAAGCACTGATACAATATAGGTCGTAACCAACATCCTCAGAGTATCATGAGGCCGTGTGCCTCGATAAGAACATCGAACCAGTTCAGCCATGTCACTTACATTGTCCTCACACACTCTGAATTCTGTTAGCGTTGTCGCCAGCTTATACAAAACTAGGTCCGTGAGTGGCAGGATCCCATATGTATCAGCCAAAATGTATAGGTTTGCATGCCCAAGAAAGACGGGTGTGAAGTCCTCTTGAGGGTGAGAGTTCCGCCTTGGAGCGAACTTTGCTTTCTGCCTTGATAAAAAATCGTCATGCGACTGTGTAAATCGCACACTGAGACTCGCAAACTTGTCCCGAAGGTGCCCGCTCCATATACTCTTTTCCCTGTATGGTAAAGTATAGCCGGCAAAAAAAGAGGGCTGCGCTGCCTCTACCAACTCTACAGACTCGGACGTTTCCTCTGCTGGCGCGTTGTCATCCTCGTAAGGGATTTGTTTCGTCTCGCTCGCTGGTACGACGCTCGAGTAGAACCTTTTACCCTTGCGCTTCTTCCTAGATCCTTTCTTCAGCACGGAGGTCCGTGCACTCAAAATACTTTCAGGTTGTGTCTCTGGTGTCTCTGGTGTCTCTAGATCTGCTTCGGGGTTCTGAGGCCCTAGCAGGCTGGCGCTCACAGTGGGGGCCAGGTAGGTGCCCGGCGCCTCGCTGTTGCAGGTGGGCGTTGGCACTGGCGCTGCCTCATCATCTGAGCAAGACGGCGGCGTATAATCGCCTACGTAGGCGAACTCGCAAAGACGAACGAACGTATCTTCCTCGACTACAGCCGACCAGTCGACTTGATGAAGCTTTGCCTCCAGCATTGTGCCATTCATAAGCTTGTCGAGCGCGGGCGACAGGCTGGCCAGGGGCGCGGAGTGCACGACGATTTCCTTTTTCTCCTGGCCGACTATAAAGGTAAAAAGGGATGACGAGATGTGTCTGCTGCATATAAGCCTCTTTTGAGCAGCTTGGGATCGTTATTCCGGGGCACTTACTTTCCAAAGTCGCTGTCCATGGCTGTGGTTATTACTGGATTTTGGATGGAACGAAAGAGTTGATGAGTAGTAGTAGTTGGGAGACGGTTGGAATAGGCCCACAGATTGACATTGCGAAACCCCGCTCCTTCTGTTGTTCAGAGTGACTCGACTGCGACGTCATTTATGTGGATAGTGCCATAGTAGACAGCCGTGTACAGTTACAATAGTAAATGGTAGGCTGTTCTTTTACTGTTTACTCCTCTCTTACTGGCAGTTATCATAAACTCGTGAGATTGCAGAAAAGAACATATCAACAAGGATGAAAGGATAATTCCACGTAGCTATCAACAGACAGAAGATATTCGTAGCGTATATACAGAAGCGGGTTAATGTATGTCGGATCATGTTTCCGACACTTGCACCATCCTGCAGCCAGTTGTTTGTGGGGCTCTCGTATTAATATATGGTGGCACCAAAAGAGGATATCAAGTCCTCAATTTCAGAGAGCAAGTGCTGCATTGTCTGTCTAGGCAGCTAAGCAAGATTATATCACATTGACAGTACCCAAATGACATGAGTAAAACCCATGAACAACAAAGCAAGAAACAGCCACACACAATTTCAAACAACAGATGAGAGAAATAATCCAAGCAAGTCTCGTCCCAAGATTTAGATCAATTACAAACATCCGCATCTCAACAATAATCCTTCGTCTCATAGTCCAGATAAATATGGTCGTGGCTGCAAGCCGAGTTGCCCCCCAAATAAAACGACGTAACTATGATCCCACAATCAGTATGTGTCACAAAATCCTGATGGTAGAGACTTACGATCAACAGGAAGGTTTTTGCTCGGATTCTTAATCACAACCTGACTTTCCTCTTCCGAGGTCAAACTGTTCTCGCACTTCAGCTGCTCTTTGTCGTAGGTCGTCGAGTTTCCTCCCAGCCACACATCGACATGCCAGATGTGGCTCGTCCAATCTCTATTGCACTGTTCGCAATAGTCTTCGTTGATTATATACTTTTGCAGGTACGGCGAGTAGACGATCTCGCATCTGTCGAACTCGCCTGGAGCCGTAGCGAAGGTGAGTGGGTTTTCGTGGGTGCCGATGCCACCAGCAGACATGCCGCGGCCACAGTCTTCCGAGATATCTGCTCCCGGAGGGTCGTTGTCGGGGTATCCGTAGAAGGTGTAGGATACTTTGCTGACGACATGGCATTCTCCATCGTGGGGAATGATTTGGTCGGTGCCGTTGCCTGGCTGGCTTCCTAGTCCGGGTTGAATGTTAGTTTCGTTGGAAGTGCCACCCCAGTGGGGGGTATCATCTCCGTTAGGAGAATCACCTCCGTGGGGGATATCGTCTCCGTTAGAAGAATCACCTCCGTGATAGGTATCTCCTCCGGTTTGAGTATTGCTCCCATGGTGAGTCTCACCGTCATTGTGATGGCCGCCACCGTGGTGGCTCTTATCGTGGTGGAGCTTCGGTGGAATCAGGACTGCAAGACAGATAACAACAGTGGCGAGAACGACGAGGATAAAGCACGAAATAAAGATGATCACAAGACGCTTGCGTCTAGCGCGTGGGTTCTCTGGCGCCGGCATATTGTTGATAGTCGGGAGCTCGTCTCTAGCCATGATCAGATATAGAGGTGGTAGTGTTAAGGTTGTAGCTTGAGGGTGTAGTATGGAGTTCGTAGAAACGTGTATAGAACTTGGAGAATAGAGAGGATTTGTTGTAGTGTGCAGGATGGAAACTGTGTCGAGGGAAATGGAGGGGTTAAATACCTGGAGCCATCTATGATATACTCATCGCTACGTCTCCTGGTTGAGTCACAACGTATTGTCAGCCATGGTTCGGACCCTTGCTATGAGGAAAGCTCGCGGTCAGCCTCTCAAGAACTATACAGAATCTATGTAGGAGCGTTGCTGTGCGAGCGAGATGCTTACGTTCAGGAAATCCCATCATGATGACTTTTTTGCTTATGACTCAGGGTAGGTGATGGTAGGATGACATATGTACGGACTCACCCTATGTGCTTCATTTCGTAGGATGTGTGTAGGATAATTTCAGACGACATGCGGAGAGCAGAAAGGAGTCTCTTATAGGATTGGGTGACAAAGAAACCTTCGGTAAGATTAAAATCAAACCCCTTGCTGCGGTTGGGTGCCAGGGTCTATCCAGTCAAAACAAAGATAATGAGGTCAATGCGTTAACAGCAGTCAGTTGGCATCCATGATGCATTTGATTATCAACCGCCTCGAAAATACATTTCACCTTGGTCTTTAGCATACTGCAACTGTCAGAATAAGAAAATAACAGCACAACACTATTCAGTCACAAGCGCGGAAACAGCCCATTTGAAAATCGCAGAAGGAAATGAATAAAGAGCCTTGTACACTTGAGTATGGCAAACTATCAACAAATGACACCACTTCCCATCATTGATCAGCTTGTTTCTACTATTTTGGGCCAAAAATTGTCACTGTAGGCCAGTAAATATTGGTCCGATGAAGCCAAACTCGACTTACTCTTCGATACCCTATCTGGAACTCGGGAGACAGCTTTGCTCACGAGTCGACCGGGCGCCCTCTTCTTCGATACGCCTTGCTATTACAAGAAGCCTGACCAGTTCTCCGCGAGCAATTGCCAAAATTGTGGGCAGGCCGGAGTCGACTGCATGGTGGATGTAGATCAATATACCCCATGAGTGGGGGGAAAGGAACGGCACGTATTGGTAGATGGCGTAATGCAAATTGTCGGCGTCGTGAATGGCGCTTTCCAGTCGCTCGACATATGTCCGGTATCCTCGAAAACACGGAAAGTAGAACCAGGTGGTGGACAGCTGCCACTGACTGACCTCGGGGTAATCGTCCGACATGTTGCGGTGCTTTTCGCAGGTTTGTTCAGATTAAGATGAGATGCTCGGGAAAGGAACTTGTACGAACAGGATTATCAGAAGTCATAACGATTCCTCACTTTTTGAACTGTCGAACATACCTGTAAATGCAAGTCCATGAAAGGAAAGAGAGTCTTTGATCCGGAGAGCTGGGTGCCTGAAATGGAAAAGACGGTGCTGGTATTCACGTAGCTCCAGGAGAGACATGCCCATACAGCAGCCATCTCAATTCACGGAACGCTCCTTGCCGACCGTTCTAAGTCATGACAAGATGTGGTACTATCAGGGAACGGGCAAATCCCAAAAAAAATCAAAAAACACTCTAGCTTGCACTACAAGAACTCATTTTCACACTGAGTAGCTAATGATGCTAGATCATATTAAGACTAGTAGTACTTGTAGTATTCTCCTTGACCCTTCTTGGGCAGACGACAGTACTGACAGTGTAACGATAAAAAACAGGGTCCGCGCCCTTGGTTTCCTGTGTTGAATTTATCAGCCTCGGTCCCTGTTCGCAAGGATGGATTCACATAAAACCAACAGCATACCAACTGATTAGATCGAGCTCTGATTGCACACACACGAGACCATAAAGAATATAATTGGTGATGTTATAATATAACTCTTCCAGTTGAGAAACGGGATGCGTGCCATACAGACAAAAACATTCCTGGTGGAGGAATAAAGAGGCATGGATAACTTCACCCTGTACAACTCGTGAATGTAATTTGACAAGACCCGACAGAAACCAACATCTATTAAATCGGATGAATGACTTGCTTAGATGGGCCTTCATGAAGCAAGAGCGCTCAATCATTCTTATAGAAATGGAGGTGTGGCCTAGATTACCTGAATTCCGAGAAATTTCCCTACGATTTGGTGGCATCTTCCACGTGGTATGACCCACAACTTTTACTATAAGACCCAAAAATTCTGTACCAGGCTTTTCAGGGAGATCCCAGAATTTAAGACTATGATTTCCAGGGGAAAAAAAAAGCAAACACGAGATAAATTCAGGGGAACTTATGCTACAAAGCACATTGAAATGATGAAACATAAGAAGCAGGCACTGTAAGCCGCGACTGATTTCTCGTCCAGGAGCATGGAAAGCTTCACCAACTCTAAAGAATCCTGGTAGAAGCTAAAATTAAGCATCGTGGGCGTAACCGGAGATTCTTCCGATGGTGGGGGGTCGAGGGTACCTAGGTTGAGGTCACCTGAGACCCCCGTCCGTCACCTGTCAAATCCGTGGGGTCCTTCGACTCGCCACGGCTTCTCCTGCAAGCTGCCCACTTCCTATCGCGACGCGCGTTCGCTCGCCAACCACAAGGCCGAGCGGGCTGCAGATGGCCACTAGTCATCACCTCATCCATCAGCACGAAGGCGTCAGCACCAAGCTTCCTCAGAGTCCACTCAGGCGGCCTGATGTGTCGTTGGAGCACCGTCCGTGCATCGGCTCTCGTCTACGATGACAATTTGGGTCCGTCGAACCAGCGGCTTTCGCTCACACTTGGTTGGGCATTTAGCGTCATATGAAGACCATGGGCTGATATAAAACTGAATACTGCCAGTATAGATCAAAGGAAATTGCGCACTCGCAGGGCACTCAGCACGCAATTGACGCTAGTAGCATGTTCCACCCGCACATAATGGCCACCCAGCGAAGGATCACTCGAAGTCATGGAGGCCCCGAGCGACGAGGTCTTTTATATCCTTGGGCTGAGCCGTCTGTTGGTTTATTCTGATGCCCTGCAGTTTTTCTTATTTGTCTCTCCACCTGTGGATAACCCAAGAGAAGCGTTACCATGGCACTTTGGGTGTTACCTAAACTCAATTCGCGACTCGGAACATTGCGAGCGTATCATTTGGCCGCCATCGTGTTGTAAGAGAGTCTTCCAATACCCGTTATTCACAGCTAATCCTGAGGACTCTGCTCAGCATCTCCTCTTTCTTGTCGGGTTATGACTCCGGTATCGCGGGCGGAATCCTCAGCTACAGTACCTTTGAGAAAGATTTTCGCTACACCAGCGCCCATGAATCCAAGGTCTCTTCCTTGACAGTGGGTCTTGAACAGTTGGGGTCTTTTGTCGCAGCTCTTGTCGCCTATTACCTTACCGATAAGTTCGGGCGCAAATATGTCATCATTGGCTCAACTGCTATATTCTGTGTCGGGGTCATCATCCAGGTTATCAACACCCACTCGCTTGGTGCCTGGTACACGGCTCGGATAATTGCTGGTATTGGAATGGGAGGCCAAAGCGTTGTCGTCCCTATGTACTCGGCGGAAATGACGCCAAAGGAAATCAGAGGACGCTGCGGTTCTTTCTATCAATGGCTATACACATGGGGTATCCTCGCAGCTTACTGGATAGACTATGTATGTTACTCGATGGATGTCTTCCAATTCTGGGCTAACATCAAGATACACAGGGTGTCGCTGAAAGTGCATCTATCTCGAAAACCTCGCGAGAATGGCAGATTCCTGTGTGTCTACAGCTTGTATCTGGAGGAATAATGGTGATCGGAGCATTCACACTTCCCGAATCCGTACGTTGGCTGTTGAGCCAGAATAGGGCCGACGAGGCTTGGAAATCACTGACTTGGATTCGCGGTGATGATGGAGAGAAAACCATTGAGGAGTTCCACGAAACACAGCTCGGCTTGAAGGCTGAAAGTGCAGCCAAGAAGAACTTCTCTCTTCGCGAATTGTGGGAACCGGCTAACCGTCTTCGCTTTTTCGTTGGGCCCATGCTTTTCGTGTTCCAAAATGCGACAGGAAGCAGTGCTCTGGCCGTCTTTGCACCCGAGTATTTCAAACTCCTTGTTGGCAGCGGTGGTAATCGCGACCTTCTACTTACCGGTCTCTTCGGCGCTGTAAAGTTCATCGCTTGCACATTCTTCATCCTATTCCTTGCGGAACGGTTCGGTCGCCGAATGTTGCTTACAGGCGGATCGGCCCTCATGGCTGTCTGTATGTTGATCACTGCATTGATCGTCAAGTGTATTCCGACCGAGTCGAATACATCAGTCACACCCGCCGGTCGAGCCACCGTCGCCATGCTCTATTTGGATATTATGGTATGCAGAGATTGCTTTTTCCAAAAGGCTCAAGTCTGACATAGAATTCTCTCTAGGTATACAATTGCTCATGGGGCCCGGTTCCCTGGGCGTATGTGCCAGAGATCTTCCCTACACGAATCCGAGCCCTGGGACTGGCATGCAGCATGCTAGCCCATTGGGCCACTTCGTTCTGCTTCTCTTTCGCCAGTCCCTACATGATTGACAATATTGGGGCAAACACATTCCTTCTATTCATGGCCTTCGACATCGCCGCTACAGTATTTTGTTTCGTCTTTGTGCGAGAAACACGCGGTCAGAACTTGGAAATCGCTGCAGGGACAGAATGGGACGTGGTCGAGAAGAGCCCTGATGGCTTGGTGTCGGCAAGCGAGAGGGGCGAACTGGACACCGGTGCGCCTGCAGGAAATACCGGGATTGCCGTGGCACCTGGGGCCGGCAAGCAGCTGGAGGTGGTTGCAGTGCATGACACTTATAGTTCAAACTTTAAGCGTCGGTCGTAAGGCTCGTATATAATTAGTGGTCAGTACCAGTATGAGAGAGTACCGTGCACATTAGAAGGGAATTCTGGAGATGCCAATAGCTTGCCATCTGCTATAGGGGTTCGAAACGTTTCGTCCACGGACAGTATGAGCATATAACGCTATTCCACCAAATCTATCCCATAATAGAGAATAAAGTCAGTCTTTAATGCGATAGTCTTGACATTGCTATAGCTTTTGCTAAAGGCCTGGGTTCGCTGGAGAAAAAGAGCAAATTATTTATCTGGGTAAGTTGTATGAGGAGAATCGCTGGTGCTTATCTTCCCCTTATCGGGTGGTGGGGCGGTGAGATCACGTGGATAGGTTAGTATCCGCCAATTGTTCACGCCCCCCATCCTTGGTGATCGGTCTCATTGTCTATCGCGTTTTCACATCCAAGGCACAAATTCATTACCTCACTATCTATGGGAGCCTGCCGATGGCATTCTAATAGATCTTGAGGGTAGACACACCCATCTTCCATGTATCTGGGCTTATGTCGAGTCAGACACTCGCGGGTCAAGAGCGGCAGCGCTCCCGCCAAGCGTGTGTTCCGTGCCGTCAGCGCAAACGAAAATGCGACGGGTCGCTTCCATGTAACACCTGCTCGGGTTATGGATACGACTGCGAGTACCAAGATGTCGCACAGCAAAGGTCCTCAAAACGCAGGGCTACCTCCGAAGGGTCTTTGCCACAGACAAAGTCTGTCCGTCTTTCCACTGAACCTGGCGATAACCCGGCAGTCCCGTCTCAGCAGGGCATCCTGGAGCCGTCGAAACAACGCTATGTCGGTAGGCAGTCATCGGTCGCATTCCCGCTATTTGTCGGGCTGGATGTGCAGGCGGCGGATCCCCCTCGTCTGCATTCCTTTGCGTACAATGCGGGCATCAGAAGGGAGCCTGAGTGTGCAGTGAACTTCCAGGTAGTTAATCACGTCTCGTGGGATACGGTTAAGAGTCTTATTGAAGTCTACATCTCGACAATCCACCCCGTCTTCAAATTTCTCGATGGGGACCGACTTTATAATCAAGGAGATGATCATTGGCACGGAAAACCGCAGGGATCGAGTTTCGAGGCTGTCATCAGTGGTGTTATTGGGCTAGCATCTCTGTTCAAAGGCACACTGGGCCAGGAAATAGAGATGCGGATTGTACGACATGCAAAGGATATATTGGAAGATTACTACGTTGCTCGTTCTCCCTCGATCGAACAAGTGGCAGCGTGGATCCTGCGGACGATCTATGTCCGGACAACCAGTCGGCCACATATCGCATGGCTCTGTAGCTGTACCATGATGCATCTGGTTGAGGCAACCGGCATACAGCACGAGCCAGGTTCCATCGTCCTACCCGGAACCGGGACATCTGGCTCAAGTAGCCAGCAAGGCTATGTCAAACGGATAGGACAGGTCGCAGAATGCTTGCATGTGCTGATTGCCTACGATTATGGCAGATCTGTCATGGACCTCAGCCTACATACCCAGGAACCGGTGTGCTTTTCCACGCCTGAAAATGATTTTACCCCTCAACTGTGCCAATTGGTTCAAGCCATGCCGGTGAGCAACATGACTCGGGACTCCGTTGTCGGGTCTCAGCTATTAGTGCTCGCTTTAGAGAAGGTGGCATCCATCCACGTTGACCATGATTTCCTGATGTTAGTACGGACCGATCTAGTTTTCTGCTTATATCGTCGTCTTCGGCTGGTGAATTTCCGTTTCCAACACGAGCAGCTGGATCAGGTGATTGGCAGCGGAATGGCTGCCCTGGAAGCAGCGCATAGGCTTCTCGATCATGGTCAGCCCTGGTGGAATGTTTTGGGCACCGTGTTCCAGTTCGTTTGCGTTCTCCTTGTGATAGACACACCGGTGAGCCTTACAAAACTTCCCGAGTCCACGAAAGTCTTGGAGGTGATTGCGGACCGTCTAAACACGCATCTGGCGAACGAGGCTCTTACAACTGCGAGAAAGTTGATACGTGCCTCGATGGATAAGAAGCGAAAGGGCCTGATGTGCCTTGAAAGGGCTCTGGGAGGTGGTAGCGAGCTTGCCACGGATAATTCAGCATATCCTTCCGTGCTGGCTGATGCACCTTTCGATCCATTTTCACAGCCTTTACAAGGTCCTTTAATTGATCTGGACTTTCTGCTTGACATGGACTTGATGCATTAACCGAGATCTACTCAACTCTAGGAAGGAATATCTACAATCTGTAGGATAGGGATTATGGTACATGATAACGGCTGGTCGTCTCAAGACTTAAACAGCCTGCTTTGGTTGACATCTCTTCTGAACACAGTTGCCTCGCCTGAACCGAGTGACCAGCATAAAACATGTTGCGAGAAGCACACCCAAGCCAGCCAGGCCGACACCCATATACGAGGCACCCCGATACCCTTTCAAAGTGTTCCTGCCGCCATCGTTGACGTATGACTCTACAGTTCCGGCAAATCCAAGACCCAGTGAGATGGAATAGCTGACCACAGTGTTCACAAGCGAGCCTGCCACGCCCTGGTGTTCCCGGGGCATGGCATTGCTCATGATCACTGTCCCAGATGGGAACGACATATCCCTGCACCAATCAGAGATGTTTTAGTGTGAAGCAATGGATACTTACATTCCCCATGGGGTGATCAGCATGACCAGAAATGCCTGTGACCAGTATATTTGGTTTACCGGAATCGTGGCGAGCAGTACTTGTCCGACCATGAAAGCGAGCATTGCGATGAAGATAATGATGCTGGGTGGAACACGTCCTAAGAGAAACCCGGTGACCACTGCGGCACACGCGCCCGAAGCCGAGGCGCCCGACCATTTTGCTGTTGTTAAAAGGGGGGAGTTGCCATCAATCACTTCAAGGAACTGGTAGTAGTAATATACCAGAATACCGAAGCTGGACCACCCGGCAGCAATGCAGCCCAAGACCCAGGCGACTTCACTTTTGAAAAATGACTTAGGGAGGAGTGGACAGGGCACCTTGCGCTCAATAATTAGGAAACCGACGAGCATCAGGACTCCCACGATAAGCAAGGCATACGTGTATGGCACGTTCCATCCGACAACTGGGCCCTGATTCCATGCGAACTTGATGAGTACAAGAGCAGCGATGCCCGTTGCGGCACCCATCACATCCAGTCGAGCAAATACCGAGATTCCGTCGTCTTGGGATTTTTCACGCGGCGTGGGAGGAATGATGAGGGTGCCAAGACCGGCGAAGATAAAGCAAGCTATTCCCATGATCCAATATCCCCAAGGCCACCACACCCGCTGGGCGAGCAATGATGAGAAGGTCGCACCGACAGTGTATCCGCCCGGAGCAGTCGCCCCAAAGAGGCTGAACACCATGTCTTTCCGAGGACCGGGAGGATACGTGCGGCCTAAGATAGCCACAGCATTAGGAAGAAGAAACGCTGGCCCTATGCCTTGGAATGCCCGGCAGCAGTTGAAGAATGCCAGGTTTGACCAAACAGAGAAACCTGCCAGAAGGGACCACAGACCGAACCAAGAAAAGCCGATGATGAAGAGCAATCGGTGGCCGTAGACGTCCCCCAGCCGCCCTGCTACGAGGATGAATGTCCCCACTGTCAAGCTATAAGCAGCAGAGGCCCAGGTGAGGTCTTTGGGGCTGGCACCAAAGCTATCGCTGATGATATGCAACGGCGCGATTGCGAGCGAGAGTCCGGCCTGGGTCATGAACTGAGCGGCGCAAACAACACCGATAAATGCGATTTCTTTGCCTAGCGACTTGGGCGGACCCTGTTGCGTAGGGTCTTTGAGTTCTGTTGAAGCGTCGTGCTTTTCTTCCTCCTTGGCCATTATGCAACTAGGATCTCCTGTGCCACTGACAAGTCGCACACTTCGGGAAAGTCTCGGAAGGCGATTCAAGGGGTATGGATTCCGCTAACATTTGAGGTCGCAAAGTCGTTGAAGAAGTCGAGCCTGAAACAACGAGCATCTTTAAAGAAGCGATGGGAATTTGTTAAGGGCTTGTTGATTGCCAACAAATCGCAGATGCGTCATGGTCGGGCGGGCCGTTCTGGATGAGGACGGCCCGCGCGGCTCGCAGCAGCCGCCGCCACACACCGATGGCCCGATATCGAACATTTCGATATCATCACGGTGGAGGTCACGAAATGAAGCCTATAAATACGACGGCATTATGGGCATATACTCCAACGCAGGGCATTTGTCTATCTGAAATCACATTCGAGCCCAGATAAAACAAACGACCAGGACGCGGCGAAAATGGAGGCCCTCCAACTGACTCGATCGTCTCCCAGCGGCGATCCTACGCTGTTGCTCGTTTCCCTTCCAATTCCAACTGTCAAACATGGACATGCTCTTGTCAAAATCCATTATTCTTACATTCACCCATCCGACCGACTCAACGCCAAAGGCGGGTTTCCGTCGACCGTCTTCCCTTGCATTCCAGGACGGGATTTTTCCGGCGTCGTTGTCGACATAGCAAGTGACGATGAAGCCAAGAGCTGGATTGGCAAGGAAGTCTACGGAAGCAGTGGATCAGCTCTGGGCTTTACGGTCGACGGGCCTCATGCGAGGTACTGCCTTATTCCGGAAGAAGCACTCGTCGAGAAGCCCTCATCTTTGAGTTTACTCCAAGCTTCCACCGTTGGAGTGCCGTTTGCCACTGCACTTCTCTGTCTGCGCCGAGCCCAAACCCGCAAGGACGACATTGTGCTCGTCCTAGGGGCCACCGGAGCAGTCGGCTCGGCAGCCGTGCAAATCGCCAAGGCAATGGGCTGTCGAACTGTGCTGACAGCCGCACGACGTGCGGACTCCAATCCTGATATTCTTCTTGAAGATGTCGACAATCTTCAATCCCGGATCCCAGGTTTGACCAAGAAGCATGGCGTGGATGTTGTGATTGATGCGGTGGGCAGCATCGAGTTGATGAGTGCTGCGATCAAGCAGCTGGCCGTGAATGGACGCTATGCCTGGATTGCAGCACCGCGAGGGACTGCGAGCAAAGAGTTGACGTTTGATATCTTCCAGGCGTATCGAAAGGCTATCCACCTTGAGGGCTGTAACACCGGTCTGACCACGATGGCCGAGGTGATGGATGATTTGCGTCTGTTGCGGCAGTGGTTCGACGAAGGATTGTTGAAGGTGGAGGATGACGGAGCGTTTCACCGGGTACCATTAGCGGCGGCGGTTGAGAAGGGGTATCTGACTGCCGGGGAAAGAGTGGTGATTGAGATGTGAGACTATCCGGATAAGTCATTTCCCTGTCTCTATTGCATTGCCTCTTTTATTGTAATTAGCTCTTATTTTTAGATCCACTCCAGAAACACGAGACTCCCAGAATTTTCTTTGTCTCCAGAACAGGTGCTTCCCCGCCTCGAAGCAATACCCTGGTCAGGGTCATGGAGGAATCCTTCGCAATAGCCATTAGCCAGTCGAGCTGGCTGCTTGGAGAGGGCAATTTAATAGAGTTCGCGTGCTGCCGACGGCCGACAGCCGATGAGGGCCCAGACTCGCCCGCACGGCCCGCAACCCACAATCCAGGCCGATGATTGGCTGTGCAGCTCGCTTCCTTTCACCCCGATTGCGAGATCTCAAGCTGCAATCCAATCCCAAATGACCCAAGGCAACACGACTTGACAACAACGCTAAGCTCATGCACGTGAATGATGACGCGCCACGTGGATCTCTCGGTTCTTCCGACTATCGCAATGTCGTTGGCTCATGCTGTTCCCAGCTTCCCCAGATCCCCGGCCATCGCCATCGCCATAGGGCAGGAAGCAGGGCAACTTTCAGGACCCTTCGCTGCAACGCTGACATGCCCCGTCTGACTCCGACCCTCGCTCTCAATCATTGTCTCCCTTTTCTCCGCGATATCCACGTGCTGCTGACCACTATGTCCGAGCGCTCCAATCGATTTGGCCACCACGAAGCTAACGATCCCCGTGTCCTATTTCCGGGGTATTACCCCGGGGCCACTGGGCCCATGGGGTGACTATGTGTCACGGGCGGCTAAACTAAAGACTAGCAGCCGAAATTTTTTTGGTGGCGTTTTACCACGCCCTCGACTGGTCATTTCTTCGTGGAATGAGAGTCAGAGCCAGCACGCCGGCCCCTTACCACTGGATGAACGAGAACAGCCAGCGTGTTGTCCCGATAATTGCCCGTTCTGGCCTTTCTTGGCTGTTGGGCGTCAATTCGTAACCGAGCCCTAAGCAGACGCCACAGTGCTTTGCGCGGGATGGTGAGAATCGAGGGAGAAAATGTGCTTATATATCTATTCCAAGGTTTCCCCCTCGTATGCTGCGTCGCTTGGCAAGGCTTGACTTTGATTTTGTGTGAGGTCTCGTTCTCGGCATCATGGTGGTCAGTCAGTCAGTCGTTGGTCGTGCCAACGCCGAGAAGCCTCATGGCTTGGCGGGTATGCTCAAGAATCCGTACGTTTTTGGTACGTGTGCGTTTGCCTCTCTTGGCTGCATCATGTATGGCTATGATCAGGGTGTCATGAGTCCGGTCCTGGTCATGGAGAACTTTGAGAACCATTTCCCGTACTTTATGGGCTCCACTATTCAGGGTTGGTTGGTGTCGGCTTTGGAATTGGGTGCTTGGGCGGGGGCCCTCTTCAATGGGTATCTTGCCGATAGGATCTCGAGGAAGTATTCTATGATGGTGGCGGTGGTGATCTTCACGTTGGGATCGGGGCTGCAGGCTGGGGCTCAGAAGCCGTCGTATTTCTTTGCGGGGAGAATTATTGGTGGTATTGGGATTGGGATGTTTAGTCAGGTATGCCCCTTCACCTTTTTCTAATGGAGATCGGTGTATGCTAATGGTGAGATACAGGTCATTCCTCTGTATCAAGCAGAAATCGCACCTCCCGAGCTTCGAGGCTCTCTGGTATCTCTACAGCAGCTATCCATCACGATCGGCACATCGATCGCCTTCTGGCTCGACTATGGTACATTCCCCCCTCCCTCCCATATCTTCCCCCTCACTCATCATATCAGGAATGCAATACGTCGGCGGCACGACCTGCAACCCCGAAGGCATCGACAACCCCTACCTCTCCGACGGCACCTACAACGCAGCCCAAAACCACGGCCACACCTGTCTCGGACAGAAAACCATCGCATGGCGTCTACCCCTAGCCCTGCAGATCCTATTTGCCTGGATCCTCTTCTTCGGAATGTTCTTCTTCCCCTTCTCCCCTCGCTGGCTGATGTCCAAACACCGCGAAGAAGAAGCCACCGCCGCGCTGTCCAAACTCCGAAGACTGCCCCCGAATGATCCCCTTCTGCGGGCAGAGATCCTGGAAATCAAAGCCGCTGTGCTCTTCGACGAGGAATCCGAAGAAGAAGCCATTCGTTCAGGTGGAAAACTTGCCCCCTGGAAGGCACTTTTCGCTCCGAATATGCTGAAACGTTTGGTTTTGGGATGCGGTATGCCCTCCTCCCCAACTCCCCCAACAAAACCCCCAGCTAATCTGGAAAATGAATAGGAACAATGATCTGCCAACAATTCACCGGCATCAACGCAGTCCTCTACTACGCGCCCCAAATCTTCGCCTCCTTCGGCTTCTCCTCCACCAAACAAACCCTCCTCGCCACCGGCGTCACCGGCATCCTCCAAATCATCTTCACCTTGCCTGCTGTCCTCCTACTCGACAAATTCGGTCGCAAGACATTCCTCATCGCCGGCGCTACGGGCATGTTCTTATGCCATATTGTCGTCGCTATCGTGGAGGGCTTGTACGAAGATAACTGGAACAAGAATGAAGGGTTGGATAAACCCCAGGGTTGGGTCGCTATTACCTTCATTTGGCTGTTTGCGGTCAATTTTGCTTATTCGTGGGGTATGTCCATCCCTCCTCCTTTTTTTATCCCCTAACAGAACTAGCTACTAACCAAAGTTCGAACAATAGGTCCGGTAGCATGGGTTCTCGCGCAAGAAATCTTCCCCAACAGTACCCGCTCCCGAGGCGTCTCCATCGTGGCATCCACAAACTGGATGTTTAATTTTGTGATTGGACTCACTACCAAAGACATGCTTAACTCGATGAAATACGGGACGTATATCTTCTTTGCAATTTTCAGTGCCCTGGGAGGATTGTTTATTTGGAGGTTTGCGCCTGAGACCAAGGATAAGACGCTCGAGGAGTTGGATATTTTCTTTGGCGGCGGGATGGATAGTATTGCGGAGAAGGATCGGGTCAGGATGCAGAGGATTAATGAGAGGTTGGGTCTTGCGGGGATGCAGGAGGTGGGGGACTTGGATGTGGGGGAGAAGGGGGATGTTAAGGGGGAGGTTGTTGAGATGTAGGTTTTTTCTTAGGGGGGAGGTTTTGGTGGGGATGGGGAGATGGGGAGGGTGGTGGTAATATTTCGGGTCTTTCTGTAGTGAGGTAGTGGTAGTATTAATTGATTGCTTACGTGCATTTTAATTTGTCTCTCTCTTGCTATATGATATAGTATTTGGATATGATGCTATATTTATTGAGTTGTGAATGTGATCCCTACTCTCTCCTAGGCTTGCACACACAGATAAAAGCAGCCTTATCTGGTAGCAGTAAAGAAATACAATTGCCACTCATATTCAACCATGAACTATTCTACCATTCTCTGGATTTAATTTCCCTTGAATTATATACTATATACTCTTTTATCTTTCCCTCAACCTCTACATATGTACCTGTACTTGTGCTGTACCTGTACCTGTATCGCACGTGCCCAAACGGCCCGAACCGCCGAGTCGGACAGCCGCCCCACCAGTCAGTGTTCCAGCTTGAGAGGCAGTTGGTGCCTGAGGCATAGATCCCTTGCGGCATGCGATAGTGTTGGGTGTTTAGGCATTACTCAGCAACAACCAGGATACACCAGGTTGCGTTATTGGGTTTGATGTTGTAGTTCAGATGGAGGATGGAGGTTTGGGGATTGTTGTTTGTGTTGTGTTGAAGGGTTGAGGTTGGTGTGGTGGGTGTGGTGGTTGTGGTCAAAAATGGTAGCTTAGGATGAAGGTTTGGTTTACTGTAAAGGATAATTAGAAGAATTGTGGATTGATCTGGAGGGGAATGTTGGAAGTGGTATGTTTGTAAGCGTTTAAGTGCCTGATTCTAGATCGGATAGATGGAGTGATGTTATGTTTTTTGCTATGGTTTAATTTGTGGTTGATTAGACATTATGTTCATTAAGGATATACCCAGAGGAATAGAATGGGCTATGTACATTGTGTCAAGTTGTGCTACAGCTGATCCAGGATTGACGATTCACTCAAATTCGATTGGCCATACCCATGAGCCAGAAGCCACGTTGCACCAGGATCGCCGTCGGCCAGTAAGTCCACTGAGCTCTGCCAATAGTCGCTCAGCTCGCTGGTGAAGTTATCTCCAATCGCGTGGTTGGCATGTAGTGGGGGAGGATGCTGTTGATGTAAGAACGTATCCTCTGGTGTGTGCACAGTTTGAAATAGTATGGATTGGATAGGACATACCTCATTTCTATTCATAGTCGATTGTTCCTCCTTGCGGAAGGAATGTAGCCTACCCGGAGACAAGCAGCTCCCATCATCCGAAGCAGTTATTGTCTCCAAAGAACCAGCCCCCAGAACTAGGCCAGGCTGGCTGAAAGGAGAAAGACTTTGCAGTTGCGGAATGCTAGGTTTACCATGAGACCGGCAACTCACCTTCCCTGGATCGTCAAACTCAGGAACAAGACCTCGAAAGTCAGGATACTCGCTGAGAAACCCCGAGTCGACAGCAAACGGACATGACACGGAATTTGGAGCAAAATGCTGCTGAAACTGCGCACTAACAGTCAATCTGCGGTCAAGGCCGATCTCGTACGCATCTTGGAAGTTGATTTGCGGCGAAAAGTGGAGATTTCGAAGAGCATTGACTGCAAATGTCTCACATGGTTCTGTATTCGTGCTTACAGCAGTTTTTACCTGGGTAGAAAGCAAATGAACGCGTAACTGTGGCCTTGGACTGTTAGATAATTCGGCCCGCGGATATGCACATACCATGGAAGCATGTCGATCGAAATATTATGAGGGGTGTTCATCTGAGCTGGTCTTGTCGAGTCAGAAAAAGTAATCGTTCGCGGCGACGCACTTACGTTGGACGTAGCCAGCCTGGAATCGACACCCACGACTGGCGACCTCCGTGCTGAGCGAGCAGAAACTAACTCATTAGCCATGTACATAACATGTAGCGATAAACTTACCAAAAAAGACATCTGCACAAGATATAGCAGAGCCAGCTGATCAATTGGTCTTGCCAAGGGTCGCTCGAGCATGAACCGGCGATGCAGGTGAGCCATGAGGCGCTGGATGGGTTCTTCCTCCCTACTAACAGGACCGTTCCAACCATTCAGTATTCCATTGAGTATAACATGCGTGTCACTGAGAGGCGATAAAGGGGTAGATCCAACCGTCCTAAGCGCTTCGTAGTCGCGGAAGATGTAGCTGATGAGACCAACATTGTCACTCTCTCCATGTATCGGTGCTTGAACAGGAGCAGCGCTGCCTAATTTTGACTTCATTTCCCCCGCAATCGCCATCAAATGGTCGGCCATGGTGCGCAACTCATTGCGCTCTTTGCGCATTTGCTCGAGCTCATCCGAAAGCTTCTTGTCAACGCCGCCTTGCAGCTGCGAGACCTGGAGCTCCAGCAGTGCAAGACGGTCCTTGTTGCGTTGTCGAGCGGCGCGCTGCGCATTTCGATCTTGGGCTCGCTTTTTCTCGAGTTTGGAGATTGTCTGCGACATTGTGTGAGTGGGTTGATGAGGAGCGGTGCAGCCAGCTGTCGTTGGTTTCTTGGAACACGTGCCCTGCTTAGTGAGCGGCAGGGATTCTTTGTCTACGCGGGCCCTTGTCCCGATACCGGTGGTGGTAAATCCATTTAACATTAATTATCTAGGTACATCAGATATGCTTCTCATGTCCCCCCTTTTTGTCCGCCCACTTAAGTACAGCATATGGTACCTCGTAGAGATCGGGGTTAAGTTCCGGCACTAAAGCGTTATCGACCGTCGCTTGCACGCGAGATTCTCCGCCCAATATACGGCCAATATTCTGCAAAGTACTATACATGGCGCCCATCGAAAGGGATGTATGACTATCAGAGTCCTGGGTGCTATCGGGTTTACCTGAATCACGGCTAGTCCAGTTCCATCTTCCAATCAACGATGGGTAAGAGGAGTAACACTCGAGCGAGCCATTGCGACAAAGCTGACTGAGTAGACCTTCGAACTTTACAGCCCGCTTGTCCGTGGACAATGTCAAAGTAGCAAGGATCTTTTGTGATGCCCTATAGGTGATAGCGTAGGCCCCGCTGCATGCTGCTTCTTCCATCTTGCAGGTCATTCTAACATGGTTTCCGGCGCCGTTGGGAGCATCATACGAATATGGTGGAAGGAACTGAGGAGGAATCGCCGTTATGTCATGAGGCATGACTTGGACCGGGGACGAGGCGTTGCATTTCACACCGCAATGACCGAGCCAGAGAAGGTCCCAGCTATCTCCATATGGTGAATATGAAGCATTGCCATTTTGGATTTTCAGAGCACCTTGTGCAAATCCCCTGAGTTGCGTCTTCAAATTGGCATCCCAATCAACATCGTCTTCGAATATCAGTGCACTTTCATGTCTATCTGCGACAATCCTAGAGTATATTAGATACTGTAGAAAGACTGGGTACCATAGGCCTACCTCTGCACGACATTTATGTGCGATCGGAAAGCAGCAATCTCATCACGGTCCGTCGGCCCTTTTTCCTATCTAAAGCATAAGTAGACCTACTTTGTGAGCCCATAGCGACAAACCTTGATGTTATCTTCGTTGTAAACTATCTCGTCAATGAAGTCGACATGGAAGCCTGTGGCCGACGAGCCAAGAACAATCGCATCGCGTCTGTCAGGACGTTGAGGGGAATCAATCACAAAAATCTTTTCAAACTAGTCATTGTCAGTATCGAGCAGATGACTAATGACTGGTGACTCGCATACCCCCAAGGTATCATTTTTGATCGCGTCCAAAGGGTCTATGACAGCTTCGCGTGCAACAGGTTGGCTCGTTGTATTGCTCCACTGAACCGATAACCAGAGCAGAACAAGGATAACGAAGAATGGAATGAGCACAGCTGAAGATCTCCGACGTGATGGAGGGATCAACCTAACAAGGGATCCGGAAGAGACCATAGTGCCAGATACAATCTGGAGATATTCAGAATGCGACCATGGACCCCGCGTTTTAACAGAAAGGTGAAGGAGAGCTCCGCCGGCTGCACGGGGATTCAATGCACGGTGACTGGATTGGCGTGATGGAACAACAACCGCCAGTCAAGTGCCTCGGCTAGGCGCCGTCTCAGACACTCTTAGCCTAATCCAGTAACAAGCGAACCGGTAAGCACTAGTCGGTATTCATTCCTGCGGTCGCACCACCCATAAATAGGAGATATGAGAGATTGCCTTAGCATCTGCGATTCTTCCCTGAACCTTGCTTATGAATACAAAGACCCTATCTATTGAATTCTATTTATTAGGGAGTTAAACATATAAGCGTAGAAAATTTGTCAGGGGTAGTCTTCACTAGCATCCAATCCGAAATCAGGATTCTTCCAATGTCTCCGTTGACAAGATAGAACCCGATGTATATGATGGCGGGGAGTGCTCCACAGAGCTTTGTATCTTGTCTGGTTCTCCAAAGTCCGCAAATATAGTGATGGGGATATCCGTAACATCAAATGTCCTCATATTTCCCGCACATTCAAAAACAAAGGTTGCACACAATCGATACGTTCGGCTGATGTTGAATGTGCCAAAGGATACCTCCGTATGCCGGAATATCAGAGGACCAAACACCTGCGCCAAGTCCACTGTCCCCGAGACAGGCATACCGAGGGAAGTCTTGGATAATATCTCGATCCGCTCGTCTACTTGGCCTGATAGGGCTCCCATCAAAGACGGTGCAGCTCGAGCGGCAGTCTGGCTGAGCACAGTAATAGACAAAGATTGCATCAGGATTTCTGGAGGGGAAGTGACGGAAGAGTCTTCCAGAAGAGGCGTAATCTCTAGAAAACATGGAAGTGGCGTAGATTGGATGACCCGATAAGCGCAGGTAAAAGACGCTTTGAAGCTGAACCGGGGCAATTGACTGGATGAAAGCCAGGACTGAATCTTTTCCTGCAGTTTCAAGCTCCTCCCTCTGTTCTCCGGGAGAAGAAGCATGCTTCGGAGGTTGAACACTTGCTCCTTTTGTTGCTGATATAGTGCCGAGGAGTTGTTGTTTCGCTTCATGTCCAATCTCGCGGAGAAGGGCATGAAGTTCAATCGCACGACTTCAGAGAATAGTGGCGGCTTCTTGCCCAGAAATCCCCGCTGTGGCGAGAATACTTGCGCCTGAATTTGGTAGTCGATGTTGCAAGTAAGCTTCCGTAAAACATCTGCAGTCTCTGCTGCAAAGGTCGGCGGCAGCGGATGATTGGCATCGCTGCGGAAAGGGAGCGTCTCGGGCCATTTCGACGACCCGAGAACCTGCGACGGGAAGACAAATTCAAACGGCCATTCATATGTGCCGGGGACGACCGTTTCGCCGTTCGGGTGCCAGAGAATTGCATCCTTTTCGAAAAGCATACATTTACTGCGATAGCTAGTTGTCGGGGCTGCAGACCCTTTGACTTTCTGTACCTTCGCTTTGGCGCATCCGGAAAACGTCACTCGAACATCCTGAATATCGATCGGCTTGGAAGTCTCAAAGGTAATGCGACCTCGGATGGTTTCGTTTCCAGAATAGCATGGCTGTTGGTCGTTTACACAGACTGTGAGAGGCATTTGGAATTGACCTCGAGCCAGGGATGGTAGGCTTCAACTGCGAGAGGAACTGATGGTGAAGCCAAACGGGGTTTCGGGGTGGGCGGTCATCTTTTATGGCGAGTGGTTCCAGGCCTTTGGTGGATATTAATGGTAGGTTTGGAGATGATCAGCAAATGATGTACGGATCCGTAACGAATACGCAAAGATTGCCTCTTCTGGAAGTGGCGGGAGCATCCCGTCGTCCCACTGGAAAATCCACTCCGATCCACTTATCTACTACTTGGGTTCCACCGTGATGATACACTATGCTTGATTAGTGATCAGTTATGCACATTGTTGTTTCTGTAATAATTTGTCACATGCTAGACTATTTGCTGGAAAAATATTAATTAGGGATAATCAGCAGTATCTCAACCATCAAGCTTTGCGCACAGGCCAGCTCGTGTTGGGGAGTTTCTGGGCTTGTCAGGTGCCGCAGTCTATACGCCGGGGGGATATCCAGGCTATTGGAATAACACCGATGGTGTCTCATTTTGGAAACGGAACCTTCCTTTGTTGTATGACTCACAAATCTTCGGATTCGTCCAATTCCTATGATAATAATGCAAATTGTTACTTTTAGGTTCCAAAAATCTCATCATTAGCTGCACCAGCCGTGGTAGATAATGAGCATCTCTCCAAGAATCCGGGAGATGCCTCTCACATGACTTCAAAAAGTGAATCAGTTAGATTAAGTCCACTAAATTAAATCATAATCTTTGTATCCCGAATAAACCACAACACAATCAGGCAGGTACAAAGGATCTATAAAATGTAACAATGAGAATGCCGACGTCAACAGAAGTGTTGCCAGACCTTTGTTCCCTGGGCTCCCCCCGCCTGACTTGCACTCCTCCGTCAGTCGCGGAAATCACCTCCGAATCACTGCTTCTCCACGCCCACAACTTCTATCTCTTGCCATTGGCGTGTTGCACAAAGGCCTACTTATATCTCTGGTATCCAGCATTCTCTCGTGATCTCACATATCCACGCACATCATGCCTCTAGGTGATAGTATGCCCCGTCACAATCTCCACTCCGAAGTCTTGGAGGCATCCCTGCCTGGGAAATTTCCTCGCCTCAGTCGAATCCGTCTCGATGGAGGTAGTACCATCGTTTTTACCTACAGCTCGCCGCTCAATAATGAGCCTATTGTATTCAACGTTCCCATTCTAAGTACTTCAACCCCATCGCATGATTCATTGGAATGATTTGCTGACTGCCTTGGAAGATGTCGCAGAATACCCCAACAAGCACAGCTACTTTGCGTTCGCAACCACCGACAACATCTCCAAGCCGGTTTCCACCTTTCTAGACACCGTGCAGAAAAAGTTCGACCGTTGCAAGCTGGAAACTTTCCTAGAAGGTTTTTGCGACTGCATCGATGACGCTTTCCTGGAAGACTCTCTGGAAGATTCGGACGAGGGTGACGATTATGATCCCAAACATGACGCCGCGGCCTCGGACGATTTCGATCCCAGCAGTGACGATGAAGATGTGGACTGGGGCGGATTGACCGATCCTCCAGTGATATCCCATTCAACAGATAAGAAGCAACTCCGGGCTGATCTTCGCGCAGCCAAAGCTGCAGGGTTTAAAGTTGGATATCTGGAAGATCCGGATAGCGCTTTTGTGGTATCGATTTCCTGCCGCGTCTCTAAGCTGGGGATTTCACAGGATGCCATGCAAATGTGGAATGTTTCTCCCGAGCAGTTTTTGGCAGTGCTTCTTCGCTATCCTAGGGGTTATCGTGGGATGAACCAGATCCTGTCACAGCCACAGACAGGCCCAGCTCTCCTCCAAATGCACATTGGCCTTTGCGATACATATAAACCTACTGTGCTGTCGGTTCCGGACACGGCAAACCCCGCCAAAGTTCATGATATATTATGCCCCAGCGTGTCAGAATCTACGCCAAAATCTGCCATTAAATCAACCTTCATCACGGAGCCAATGGAGACATTGCTCAATACCCGCTTCTTGGGCTTTATACGAAACCGACTGGAACATGGCTTTTCGTGGACAGGAGCGGAGCTGTACTACAATGATGCTCAGGGCAAGAAGAAACTAAAAGCCAATGATGTTCTTCTTGCCAAATATCGTGTTCCTGAGGAATGGAACAACTCCACGCCAAGCTTCGTCAAAGGGGACGAGCTCCGACAGACGAAGAAATCATCCCGACTATCCCTGCCTCTGATTGCTATGCAGTATGCCCTTCGTCGGTTTGTGAAGTGTACGGAATTCTGTCTTACTTGCCACTGCAAGATAGACGCCGGCTATGAGGCACTGAAGCCGTACGTTTGTTCCAAGCCGTTGTGTCTGTACCAATACATGCAACTTGGCATGGGCCCAAGGCTGGAATGGGAAATCACCTCCCAACCGTACGTGGTCGATATGCTCGTTAGCTTTGCTTATGCGAGAGCTTGGGCGGGGAAGCTATCCGATTTCCCCCAAGGACTCGACTTGAAGGTCCCCTGGGGGGCCCCGATGAGCCGAGGGACGAAGCCTCGGAATGCGACATTGGATCCTGACAAGATGACGCTGTCCATCCGAGCAAGACACGACCTCAAGGTTGGGGAATGGGTTGCCATCAAGGCGGGCAATGATTCATTCTCCTCGATCAACACTCCATCGCTCAGTTGTACAGTGCTGAGTACACAGAACAACCTGATACAGCTTTCGCAGCCAATTTCCACAGGCTTTGGCGACCAAAGTAATCATCGGCAATGGGAGAAAGTGCAATTTATGCCTTACCGTGCTAATTTTGATGACTTGTCAGCCCAGCTGAAGCAGCATGCTGTCACGGCGCTCCTCGACACGCTTCCCGATGTTATCTTAATGAAGTCATTCATTACAAGCGGTCCAAGGCCTGAGCAAAATAAACCTCTTGCATCCTGGACCGAGAGAATTTGTCCATCCGCGCTCTCTGTACTGCGGTGGATTGTTGCCTCCAACCAATCATGCATTGTACACGATGATGACCCCAATTATCAGGTGACAGGCATGGGTAACTACATGCAGTTCAGGCTCGCGCAGGGTTCTCCAGATAAAGAAGCCCGGTTCATCCAAGCAGTCAAGAGCAGCCCGGCGAAGCAATTTCCCACCATTTTTGCTTGGCATGGAAGTCCGGTTTATAACTGGCATAGCATCGTGAGACAGGGATTGAATTTCGATGAAATGTTGCATGGTCGCTCGATGGGAAATGGGGTCTATATGGCAAAGACCATGGCTGAATCACAGGGTTACACTGCCTCCAACACATCCGTGGCAAACTGGCCGCAAAGCCTGTTGGGCATCAGGTCCGCCGTTTCGTTGAATGAGGTAGTCAACTCGCCCCAATCATTTGTATGCTGCAATCCCTGTTACGTTGTTTCTCAGCTGGACTGGATCCAGCCACGGTACCTTTTTATCTCAGGCGAGGATCTCCCATCTCAAGGGGGAAAGAAGTCCAAACCATCAAAGGTCTACGAACAGGACCCACAACATACCCCCATGGGCATCAGCCATACTCCCGTTTCTATTCCTATATCGGCCCTGAGCTCCCGTGAAAAAAAAACCAACAAGCAAGCACCAACTCGTGCCAGCAAAAAGAGGAAGGTGTCGCCAAACTCGGGGTCCAAGACGTCGGACACAAGTGACGATTGCGATAGCGTGGCGACCCTGGCTGATGACCTACGTTTGCTCCAATCCGATTCGGAAAATGAAGCCGCTGAGCCGGACCGTGCGGTCGTGAAGAGAAAGACCCGAGCAGATTCTAAGCCCAAAACTGACTTCCGGCCTGGAACCCTGCAAACAAGTTCCCTAAAGCTCCTGGGGGCACCAAGTTACGCGACCACAACCGCGACCCAGTCACTACAGCGACATCTTAAGGATGTATTAAAGGTCCAGGATCGAGAGCCCCTACATGAACTCGGGTGGTACGTTGATCCGACGCTGGTCAACACCGTCTACCAATGGATTGTCGAGTTCCATAGCTTTGACCCTTCTTTGCCCTTAGCTCAAGATCTCAAACAAAACGAGCTCACAAGTATCGTCATGGAGATTCGCTTCCCGCCTGAGTTTCCCCACTCTCCACCGTTTTTCCGGGTCATTCGTCCGCACTTCGTCCCGTTTATGAACGGTGGTGGTGGCCATGTGACCATTGGCGGAGCCATGTGCATGGAGCTGCTCACGAGCTCAGGCTGGATGCCGACCCTGTCCATGGAGAGTGTACTTTTGCAGGTGCGCCTGGCGCTTTGCTCGGTAGATCCCAGACCTGCACGGCTTGACAATGTTGGAGATTACAACTTTGGCGAGTCGGTGATTGCCTACAGGCGAGCATGCCAGAGTCATGGTTGGAGGGTACCTGAGGATTTCAATCGCATTGAGCAGGCATGATGTGCTGCGGAGTTTGATGATTGAATGACATCTTATGGAATTTGCTCTTAAGTATTTCTGCGTTGGGATTTCAAGGGTTTAGTTAGGACTTAGGAGAGAATGCACTATTCAATTCCATAGCTTCATCTATTAACAGTATACCGGGTAACAGTAGCTCGTATGCTTCCATCAAGTTTGTAATAGTATCCGACGGTTATATTATCGTTTACTTTAATTCTAGCCCCTTCCTTTCACTTCCATAGCACATGCTTGGTCTGTTGTCTCATCCAAATAAGTATCCATCGTAATCCCGCCATGTCCTCCGTATGAGTTGTGAGATGAATTTAAGATGGAAATAAGACTATACCAGGCATATCCTGGCTCTTTTGTGCTCTTTATTTAAGAGATAGTATGTTGACAAACAACATAAAGAGCGAACTGCAGGACTAAATATGCAAGTAGTGCATTCCCAATCCACCTGCCCAGAGCCGTTTGCACAGCTCCAGTGCAGTCCAGAACAATCCAATCACCATAGCCAACACCATTAGAAGATTGACACAAGATGAATACCGTAAGCATTCACCAAGCGCTGACAAACTCACAAGCCCGGCGGCACCTGTAAACAGCCCACTTCCTTCAGGACCGGAATAGCCTTGTCAACCACCCACTCTGGGCACTTCATCAACGGCCCTCTTTCCTCACCATTTTCATAAAACACCAATGGCGATAAACTTTTGAATGGCTCTGTTTGCATTCGCTTGATGTTGAATGCCTTTTGCTGTGGTGGAGGTGGCACCGCTTTCAATACCGTGTCCCATGTCTCTGGATATCCGGCTGCGGGTGTGTGACCAAGCAGTGTTCGAGAGAAGAATGTGTCAGAGGTCTCTGGACGAGGAGCAGATCTGCTATGATAGTGCATCCCTTCTCTTGAGGTGATATCGCCGTCGACTTCGTGGATGTGACCGGACCCGGTGATGGGGTCTGTTTCGACGAAGATCGTGGTATGATAGCGTGGAGACGGCAGGTCGGGGTCTTGTATAGCCAGGTGGGTTTTGATGAGGTAGACGGAGTATTCTGCCATGCTGGACACTGTCTTTTCGTTGATGGTTGTTGAGAGATGTGGTTGGGATAAAGTGGCAGCCGCCGAGAGGCGATTGGCTGGCGGCTACGGCGTTGTTGGCCTGAGGATATGGAATATCGGCACGACTTCTCTTCCCAGAATCACTACTTTTCTGCTTCTGTTTCGTCAAGTTGGAGACTTCAACTTGTGGCTGCTTCCTTGGCAACAGGCAGATACCTCTCACGCCATGGCATCGCCCAAATCACGCCATATACCATATGGCATGGAATTGCACTGGACTCAGACCAGATTAACGGGAAACTTCACCGAGTGCAAAACAACATACATACTACTGTATCGGACAGACGTCACCGCCTTCAGACTACGTGAATACGTTGTACTTCTGTGTTGATGGCTGGCAGAAAAGAGTGAATCAGAATGGCTGTAGAAATTCTCCAGCTTTCTCTTTCTATAATCTATCACCTCAACTGCCATACTTCCTCTACTTCTTCACAATATCTCACATCATGGAGACACCTACTCCCGTGCAGTTCTTGAGAGCAGCACAAGACCGTGACTTCCCTCTCATCAATAAGCTCATCCTCTCTGGAAAGAGCGTCAACGAATACGATAAAGATGGCTACTCTGCACTGCACAGAGCCGTCATTCACGATCCCGATGACCTAAACACCATCTCCATTCTCATCTCCTACGGAGCAAACCAAGACATTGTCCGTGAAGACGAAAAGGCTTCTCGCTGGAAAACCCCTCTCCACTACGCCGCCATCCAAGGAAACGCCGAGCTCGTCGCCCTCCTCATCAACACGGGGGCTGACCCGGCTCCCCAGCACATTAGAGACTGGCGAACCCCTCTCGAAGACGCCATCAGCAACGGCCATCTAGCAGTCGTCGAGAAAATGCTCGAGTGTTTCCTATACGGACCCCAGGACCACAGACCCTCCAAGGGACTCCCCGAAGCCATCATCCTCGCCTCCAGACTATGGTACTCGGACGTCTTGGTCCTACTCCTGGAATACAAACGCCTCTGGCTCCCCATAAACACCATCCCCCAGAAATCCCTCAAACAAGCCTTCTGCGAGGCTATCCAATCTGAAGCCTGCGGGTTCAGCATGAAGCCATTCGACGAACGTATCGGCGGTCCAGGCGACACCACCCCCACCAAAGTGGCCGAGCTGCTCCTCAACGCCGGCATCAATTTCAGAGAAGAAGAGCTCGACCGACTCCTCTCTATCACCTGTCGAAACTCCAACTTAATCGACGTCACCTGTTTACTCCTCATCCGCGAACCAAATGTCACCAACTACCACATTGTCCGCGCCATCGACAGCCAGAGCCTCGACATGTTCAAACTCCTAATCACCCCCTTCCTCGCCACCGGCGGCAGACCCTCTGATGATAACGGCTCCGAACCAGACCTCGTCCAATACGCCGCCGGCCACGGCACCCTAGAAATCTTCAAACACATCTACACCTCCTTCCCCCCGACACCCTCCCCAACCCCAGACTCACTCCCCTAATCCACTACGCCGCCTGGGGCCTCCAAAAACCCATCCTCCAATACCTGCTCGACACGGGACTCTCCCACGTCCACGAAGTCGACCAATACGCCCACACCCCGCTCATGTACGCCTTCGACGAAGTCGACTCCACAAAGGAACCCCTCCGTCTCCCGGTCCTGCAATACCTCATCGAACAAGGCAGCGACGTGACCGCGGCTTCCATCGACGGCGTCACAGCCCTGCACCTCGCCGTCCGAACCGGCTCGATCGACGTCGTCAAATTCCTTCTCATCAAGGGCAGTAACCTGAACGTGAAATCCACTACCGCTGACAACGTGTATCTGAAGCGAAACCCCAACTCTGCCACTAGCAATACTACCCTCCACTCCACAACCCCACTGCACTGGGCCGTTGACGGACTAGCCACTGTATCCGTGGACGTGGTTGTGGCTTTATTGCGTTTCGGGGCTGATGTGAACGAGCCGGATGGAAACGGGGCTACGGCGTTGAATATTCTCCTTACGAAGGGATGGGGGTTTAATGAGGCTTGGGAGAGTAGGGCTGCGGTGGTGGATGTGTTGATGATGTATGGGGCCGATGTGGATGTTGAGGATAATTCGGGGATGACGGCTAGGAAGAGGGCGGAGGAGAAGCATGTTTTTCTGAAGATTAGGGGGTGATGAGCTGAGCTGAGCTGAGCTGAGCTGAGCTACCCTTGTTTCTCGATACGTTTCAAAAGTTGTTGTTATGGATGATGGTGATGATGGATTTGCGGAGAAGTTAGTTGTGGAACATGAAGGAACTGGGTGGGTGGTTTTTAATGGTGAGGGATTTATGTTTATCTGCTGGGCGAAGAGGGAGGTTGTATCTAACTGGGTTGAGATGGATGGGATGGGACGGATGGAATTTCGCAGATGGTGGTGTTAATGGAGGGAAAAGTACTCTGAACCATGAATGTCATGTAGTTTTATGAATGACAGTTAATTTAATTGAGTCTTCATCAGTATGTATGTAGTAGATTTAGATTATCTGTAAGGGGTTCATCAGTGTAGCCAGACATAGCAGTATGGTAGATAGAATAGTACCCAAAGGTATGATACATTGCTTGTGATCTCTAGTAATTGTATCAGTGTCATCCTCATCCGTTCATATCATCGACATCAACCCTCTGATCGTCGTGAGTGGTGCCCAACGTGATGGTCCGCATTCGACCACACGGGCATGTAGCCATCCAAACGTCTCCCTGGGACCACTCGGCCCTTTACTGAGCGTCAGATAAAGGCGGCACCCAGGAGAACCTCAGTCTATCTCCGGAAGACCCGTCGGGCCTATAGCCCTCTCGAAGCCCGATGCCGTATCGTCTGCATCCTGAAGCGTCGTGGCCACTCGCATCTCAGCGTAGCGCCCATACATCATCTATCCCAAATCCAAACTAACCTCTTCAATCACTCTCCCCTTCTTCTTCAGCCTCCCCCTCCTCACCATCAATCTCAACATCCAACTCCGGCAACTCAACCCGCGTACTCGACCCCGGATTCGCATTCGTAGCCCTCCTACTCCTCTGCGCCTGCTGCTCCCTCGTAATCGCCCGTTCACCCACAAACCTATCCCCGGGCCAAGGAATCCTACAAACCGGACAAACCTGGGCTTTCTGCATCCGAAAGAAATTCCGCATGCAATGATCGTGTAACCGTCCCGGACAATCCCTCTCTGCGCATCGTTGACCCTACCACCACCACATTAGCCAACACACCCACCCCATTCACCCCTCCCAAAAAAGATAAAAGAAAACTCACAGAAGTAATAACATCCCCACAAGCCTCACACCTCTTAATCCTCTTCCCCCTCACACCCACCCCCTCATCATTATACGTCGCCACCAACCACCCCTTCAACTCCATCAACCCCCTCGGACTCAACCCATAATACCCCCTTCTACTTTTCTCCAACCACCCTTCCTCAATTAACTGTCTAAGGACGGTTTCCGCTTGCGTCATGGTCAGGGACTGCGCTGCCCCTGCACCTCCACCTTGTGTTGACTCCCGTCTCGCCTCCCCAGATACCTTCGCCAACTGCAACGCCTGCATACTACTTATCACCATTGCCTCTTGCCTCCTCGTGTTGTAGGTCTCGAACATCGCATCCAGAAGCCGTTTCACGAAGGCGATTTCATCTACGGAGTGGGTTGTTGCTAGTTGGGTGAGGGCGTCGCTGGTTGTGTTGACTAATGCGTAGACTCGTTCTGGGGGTGCGGGGGTATTGTCTTGTTGTATGTTATCGAGTTCGATTTGGGGTAGTAGGCTCCGGATTTCAAGGTCGAAGGGGGATATGGCGCTGTTGGCGGAGGCGATGTAGGTTTCTAGGTCGTCGGGGGTGATGGTCTCGGGAGGGGTGGGTTCGTTGTCTGTTTTTTTGAAGAGAGGTTAGTTTTGGGTTAGGGGTGAGGAGGAGGAGGGGGGTGTAGGGGCACTTTTTATGGAGTATATGGTTGCCAGAATGGGTTTTGCTTCGGAGAAGGTTAGGGTGGATCGGGCCATGAAGGCTTGCAGGAATGCGCGGTTGCTGTCGTCGTAGTCCATTTTATTCTCTGTGTATAGGGTTGGGGGATGGGGATTGGTGTAGGGCGAGGAATGAGAATCTTATAGTTGGGGATGTGCGGGGATGGATCTGGTCTGGACAAAGAAATGATGCGACGGGCGACGACGCGATTGACACGCCGCGGACAGGCCAGGCCCCGCGTTATTGGTTCAGGGTGCCAAGACTGTGTGTGTTCTTACTTCTTTGTCGGAATCTACTTACTTTCATTGATACTCCAACTCCATACTCATACTGTAACCACAATATGCCATTCCAATCATTAATACACTCTTAGCAAGATACCAAGCCATAATTACCTCTCGAATAAACGCATTCAGTTGATATCACAACATATACTAATAAAACAAGCGGAATGAATACATCTGACTGATCAGTTAATTCTCCCCAACGCCGCATACATAACAACAACAAAGCAACAACCCAATCCCACTCCAATTAGAACCTCCTCCGAGTAGGCTCCGGACTAGGACTGCGACTAACACTTCTCGCATCCCTACCACGCTCCTTGAGCCACTTCTTCGTACTAAGCCTCAAATCCCGATCCAACTCATTACTGGGATCCTTCCGATGAATGAAATTGCAGAACCCGCCACGTACACATCCCTCCCCACTATTTAACCGACAACACGCTTCTCGGAAATCCGTCACCGGTGATAGTTCACAGTATATGGGCCGGGCCGCGTACCAACGCGAATTCAAAGCATCGCAGGCTGCCTGAGCGTCTTCTTCGTATTTGAATCGTGCGTAGACGTTTCCGATAAGATCTGCACAAACAAACATATACCCATTAGCCATGTTGTTCTCTTCCTTCCCCCCCCCCCGAACGAACCGAGGGATAGTATAGTATGGTATAGGTAAACTCACGATCATTATTATTATCACAAACCACCAATTCCTCCAATTCACCATACTTGCACATCTCGCACCACACGTCCTCATAAAACGCATCGAAATGGTTCTGTAGCTGACTCGGATTCATCTTGTTCTTCGGGTCGTACGCCGGGTTCTGGTACATGTTTGGCATCAAGATCGTCTGGGAGTATGAAGGCTTGACGTGCTTTCGGGAGCAGCGGTCGCCGTGTCGACACGCGCCGATCTTGTAGTAGAACGAGCAGTTGACTTTGTCTTGCTCTGTGCCGAAGATGGACGCGAGGTAGTTGGCCATGGTTGGTGATGTGTTGCGCGTGTTCGGTTGAAAGGAATGGGGGTTGGTAGGTGAGAGGGAGATGGAGATTGAGGTGAAGGGGATTCGGGGGGCGGAGAGGTAAATGGCGCAGGCGGATTGTTCGTACAACGAGTTTCCCCAGCTCTTGATTGCAGATTCTGGAGAGCTTCGATCTCGTGGCGGCTGCGATGACTAAGCTCGGAGAAGCTTCTGGTTGGTGCCTGAGGCGACGAGGGCTAGCTCCGTTGCTTTGTAGAGCACTACTTGATTGGATTGTTGGATTTATGGGTGTTTATTTTGAATCATTACGCTCGTATTGTGTTGTCATGAGGCTGTGCTTGTCAAGTCTGTATATGCTCTATAACCGACTCCGGACGTCGGTCACGTCCAAACCTAGCCCACTGACATCTGCTGCTGGTTGCACTCCCCTAACCATATCTGCAATGACCTTTCCAGTTCCCAGTGAAAGCGAGATTCCCCAAGGACCATGGCCCGAGGCGACAAACACGCCGCCTTTGCCGGCCATGCCATCTCCCACCAATTTGTCGTCGACTCTCGCGACATAAGGTGTGCCGCGCTCCGAAGCAGGACGGAAACACAGGCCTTCGCGGGTTATCTTCAAGTCGTCAACGCTCGGAGCTTCGTCAGATGCTCCGGCAGTGCCCTCTGCAATCCTTCCAAGCAGACGGACAGCCGCCCCCTTCAGTCTGTCCATCTCTTTCTGATCCATTGACTTGTGGAAGTCGTCTGGTCGTTCTGGGAGCGGGAGTGTCCTGGTATTCAATCCCGCAATGTAGATTTCACCTCCTTCACGAGAGAAGATCTCAGGACTGAAGCCGCAAGATGGGGGTAATGTCGTGAAGACAGAATGGCTCCCGCCGCCGTACGTTTTCTGCTCATGCTCCAGGGTGTGTCTAGGCGAGCGAAGAACAAGAGAATATCCGGCCAGCGAATATATAGGAAGAGAGATCTGGGACGATGGGAACAGGTCACGGAACACCTGTGGTGTCCATGGTCCTGCGCAAACCACGAGATTTGTACAGGGAATCGTGGATTCGACTTTCGTGTCCAAGTTGACGATCTTGACGCCGGTGATAGCACCGCTCTTATCTCTAACGAGAGACGAGGCTCTAGTAGGATGGTGTAGCTTGACTCCGCGTGACGTGCAAGCGTCCATCAGGAATCTGCACAGCCGCAAGGGATCACTAATTATCGTCAGCATCATCCTTCGTTGACGGATTCTCCAAGCTTACACCTGGGCAGTTGTTTCCGCATCGCTAATCTGCTCCACCACTGCGCCTTGCTGCTGGGTCAACCACTCTGGGACGTCGGGGTCGGGATACTGAGTTGTCCCTGCAGCCGTCTCTGCGCGGCTGGTGCCCGCACGAAGCCAATCGTCGCCCCGAGCACCACCTTTGTTGCTGGCCGATCCTAGACTCAACGCCACACCCTTCATATATCCCCATTTCTGTGCGCCTCCGTGCTCAGCAGCAAGGGACTCGTGTAGTTTGAAAGAGAGCTCTCCTAATGGCGCGAGCGTAGGGGCGAACCAATCCTTGGCCATGAACCCAGCGGCATAGCCAGAGGCGGAGCAGAAAAGTGTGGATGATGACTCAATGACATGGATATCGTCAGCTGGTTGGATTTGGGAGAGATAGTAGGCGATTGAGGATCCAATGATACCTCCGCCGAGAATCACGGTTGACATTTTGATGATGCTATTTGGAAATCTTGGTCAAGAATTCAATCAGCGCTTGGTCTCAGAGAAGACTCGAGAAGAGAATATGTGCGAGCACACCATCCGGATGCTGCAGCTTATATGGACGGAGCGGTTATGTCGGAAATGCCTACCGAAAATGGCGGTCTCGATCCAGGAACCAGAGTGGATCACGCCCTTCGAATGACCTCCTTGGGTCCTCCACGGTGTCATTGGCAGATCGCCGGATTTCTTCCGACCGGCCCGGTCTCTCTAGCCTTCGAGTATATCATACTTCTATAATCGATAGATAAGGGTGGGTATGTGGTAAATCCAGATGATTAGCGGGGTAAACCCATACTTAACCACGCGATAACGAGTGGATCGATCTCATCCTTTGATGATTCCTCGACAGGTTCTAGTATCTGGCACATCATCAGCCGGTTCCTCTGACCGGGCCGGTTGTTCCTCCATCTCAGCTGCATTCAAGTGAGCAGTTCTGCTCCGTTTACGGAGTCACAAGAGGTGCTGTTGTTGAGCTCAGCTGGGGTTCCGAAGCTCGGGTAGCTCGGGCCCACCAGCCGAGCAAATCCCGGAGTCCCCAGATCCAACTCTCATGCTACCCCGACTTGTTCGCAACATATTCTCCTCCGTTATCGGGCAATTCCTTTACTGAAGCAAGGAGTGGACAGTGTATCGACACGTGCTAATCAAGGTACAGCGGAAAAGGTTCCCGCGGATTCTTCGAGACTGCGGCAAACTCATGAATCCATTCTCTACAATCGGACTTCGGGTGTCAGCAAATCGAGAATGTAAATATACGCAAAGAGGTTTCCTTCTGGAAGGTACTTGGAATGCCTCGAGTGGTGCAACTTGAGAGACATGAGTAGGTGGAAGTATGATGCTTACTGCGTGGGTGCTGGATCCCTGGTAGGTGGAAGGCAATCTGTAACCAATGGCACCGCGCTCAAAATGCATATACTAAGCGGTTATGCCAGGTACGTCAATTATGATTAGAATATTGGTAAACTACACAGGGTTGTAGATCAAAGTAGCAAGCCCTGCCATGAGGTTGGGATATATACGCCAAGAACATGCAACAATACGACAATTTCATCACAGCTTTCTGAGTCGTTCATAGTCAATATAGAATAAAACCCGGAGAAGAATCTAGAGCGCCTTCAAGTCCCACCATCGACCACGTACATACTAGTAGTACTAGGCAAACGTTCTGTGCATGGCGGATAAGCGGAGGAATCGGCAGAACCCCACGTTCCCCTCATTACATCACCGCCAAAGCCCGCGATTTTCTCAAATGTCTTGCAGCATCTGGCCACGATCGTGAAACCAGCTCAATTCCTGTCCCACCACCCATCTTTCCCCGTTGCACAACACAAGCACCATGTCGAAGACCATCATTGTCACCGGTGCCTCCAGAGGTAATCTCCCCCATCTGCCCAAGTCCTCCAATTGCAGCACTAACACAATCACAGGAATCGGTCTCGCCATCGCAAAATACCTCCTCACCGCGCCCCAATCCCACAATGTCATCGTGATCGCCCGCAGCCGCGAACCTCTCCAGCAGCTCAAGGAACAATACAGCAAGCAAGTGGAGGTTCTAAATGGCGACCTGTCCGACTTTTCCCTCGGTCAGAAGGCCGTCGACCTAGCCCTCAAGTCCTTCGGTCGTCTGGACGGCATGGTCCTGAACCACGGCATCCTCGGCCAAGTGGGAAAAGTGATTGATGCGGATCCGCAAGAATGGAAGTCCGGGTTCGATGTGAACTTTATCAGTCTCGTTGCGTTTGTAAGTCTGATTGAGTTTTCAATGCGGCAGAGAAAGCTAGCTAACGCTGGATGTGGATAGATCAAAGCCGGTCTTCCCGCGCTTCGCGAATCTAAGGGAAAAATCATCTTCACATCGTCGGGTGCGGCAGTTACGGCATACAGGGGTTGGGCTCTTTACGGTGCGACCAAGGCGGCCATGAACCATCTTGCTTTGAGCCTGGGTGACGAGGAGCCTGAGGTCACGACGATTTCTATTCGGCCCGGCATGGTCGATACCGAGATGCAGCGGGAGTTGCGCGAGGTTCATGTTACGAATTTGGAGCCGCAGATGCATGCCAAGTTTACGACGGTGCATAAGGAGGGCAAGCTTCTCAAGCCAGAGCAGCCGGGCCATGTTATGGCTAAGCTGGTTCTAGATGCTCCTAACGAGCTGAGTGGAAAGTTCTTCACGTGAGTAGGAAAATTTCTTCTCATTATGACAAGCTAACGAAACTAGATGGAACGACAAGACTCTTGAGGCTTTCCAGTGATTACGGCTAGCTATTCTGATGAAGACAGTCAGTATATACCGTCGACAAACTCAATAGAACGTAATGAAGAATAGAATACAAGTCAGTCGAAAGATGAAAAGCAGGTTACATTTTAGAAGCATTAGGCGTGAGCCTTCATGTTTAGCATGGAATGTAAGGTGATCATCATGTAAAAAAGTAGACCACAGAAAAAATTGTATTTGCATACCTAAAATGAAAGTGTGGTTGTGGTATTTGCCGAGATGGTTATCCACTTGTGGATTGCAGAATCTGCACCTAAATCTTTTCCAAAGTCAGCAAAGCACAAAAAATTGTGTAAATGACAATTTTGGATTGAGAATGTATATCAGTGGTCCGTTTGGCTAGGACAGTGTAATCACCATTTTATGGTATGATAGGGGCGACAACAAGGTTCATCATGATAGTAAAAAGGAAGCAAAAAAAAGTGAAATACATACCATTGAGTTAGTCCTCAAAAATGTCGAAATTTGAGCAATTGACAAGAGTAAATCATTTCAACTCTTGTGCGAGAGCACTGGATGAGTGAAGAAACTGGAGAGAAAAAAAGGTTGCGAACCGAAAATATAAACCCATGAAAGCGGTGTGTTTCTGCCGCGCGGTTCTTCCGTTCCGTGACAAGTCCCTCCGCGCCGGGATTTAATCGCAGCTATTTATACCAGTTGCTCCCCGCGCACCGTCACAATACATACTTTCTACTGCGAACGGCCACCAAGTGTGCGGACACGCGTTTTGTTTATTTCCTTGCTTGTCGCCCATCATGTCGGATCGAGAGTTTATGTGTATGTTTTTTTTTGTTTAGTTATTTGCGCGATAGGATTTAAGCTGACTCGCGATTTTACAGCGAACGACGACTTGTCGCTTCCTAAAGGTGTGTATGATGGCGGCCTCTTCCGTGTCGCATCCACCACCCACGTTCAATATCAACGAGCTTTTGCTAGTTGTTGCTCGCGTCGGTAATTACAATAAATTGGGTAAATAACTAATCGCGATACAGCGACGGTCCAGAAGATCATCACCGAGATCCTACCTCCATCCTCCGGCCAGACGTTTTCCAAAGACGCCCGCGACCTGCTCATGGAATGCTGCGTTGAATTTATCACCCTGATCTCCTCCGAAGCCAACGACATCAGCGAGAAAGAAGCCAAGAAGACGATCGCCTGCGAACATGTCGAGCGCGCCCTGCGTGATCTCGGGTTCGGCGACTACATTCCCGATGTTCTTGCTATCGCGGAGGAACACAAAGAGCAGCTGAAGGTATGTGGCCAGGTTCTGCTCGCGAATACCGGCTGACAGTTGGACAGAATCGTGAGAAGAAGCAAAGCAAAATGGAACAGAGCGGATTGTCCGAGGAGGAGCTACTCCGACAGCAACAGGAGCTGTTCCGTTCCGCCACGGAGAAATATCACGCCGCTCCAGAGTGAAGGTTACGAGCTATACATATGGGTAATGCGGTTGGTCTCATGCTGGTCATAGAAGATCTGGGTTTGGAGTTCGAGACGTTACGACGGTGATTGGAGTTTGGGATCTGCTTGATATCTATATGGAGGGATTCAGTGGCTATATATTTACTTCTCTTTAGTCGATCGGTATGCTTGCATTAAAGTGCATGATTCTCAGGTGCATGTATCGGTCGGGTGTATCATCCCGCTTATAATAACTATACCCATGGTAATGATTAAATTTGATTTCAGAATACAACAGCATTGAGTATTGCCTGGCCTGTCGCTTGCGATGTCGTCACGTTCCTGTGGCGTAGCAGGTACCCCAAGCATTCTGTAGTAGTACAAGTACAAGTAGACAGCACGGACCGTGACCGCGGCGCGCTTAACCCGATCGGGCTGCCCGCCCAACCTCCAGCGCGCAAAGATCGCTGTTGCAAACACCGCGGAGCATAGCTTGCTACTGCGACATCTTCACATCCGATCAGAATGCCGCCCTTCAAAGATGAGCATGTTCTCGTACGTGATTCCTCTACCATCGATTTTCATAATCTTTCCAAGGTATATTCTGACTGACCATCCAGATAATTGCGCTAGGCTCGCAAGTGACCCTGGCGCAACTGGGTCTCCCAGAGTCATTCACGCCCGCCCGCTTTCGCTTCCCCACGCGTATGTTCCCCGCCGAGAAGAAGGGCGAATTTGAACCGTACAAGATCCGCGAGCGCCGACAGGAAGTCAAGGGCAGCAATGGCACCACCGCGCCTGATGTGGAGATGAAGGATGCTGAGTCGACACAAGACGGGACTGAGCAACCCGGAGACGCGCCAAAGAGCGAGGGCCAGGATACCAACGGGGCAGTCAAGCAGGGAACGACAACCGAGATCTTTTATGACGAGGACGTGACAACCGATGAGGGAGCTGTCTATCCGCTCCAGAACGGTCATATAGTCGACTGGCCGTGCTTCTTTGCTCTCCTTACGCACGTTTACAACCACTTGAGTCCGCCTTTCCATACCCCGATCATGCTCATCTCCGAACCGGCATGGTCCGCTCGCGATCGGGAGACCATCACACAGTTTGTCTTTGAGAAGTTCAAGACGCCCGCCTTTTGCATGATGGATTCCGCCCTTGCCGTGTGCTATGGATATGGTACCTCGACGGCTACGGTGGTTGATGTTGGCAAGGGGAAGGTCAACGTCACGGCTGTTACTGACTTTCTTGTGAACGAACACGGACGGGGCATCGCGCTGGAAGGCTGTGGTGGAGACTACATGACGGATAGATTGGTGGAGCTTCTGGGCTCGAAGGGATTCTCGAGGGAGATGTGCGAGCAGTTGAAACGGAGCAATATTACTGAGCTGTTGCCTCCTGGGACTCCTCTTCCCGGTGCCGCTGCAACCGCACGGCAGGGTGCTAACCCGGCATCTACCTCGAAGGATGCGTCGAATGAAGGGTCAGGAGCTACTCAGGGTGAAGGCAATGGCGACGGAGACGAAGATGAGGGTGTTCTAGATGTCGCAGCCATTGTCAGTGGTAACACGAGTGAGTTCCTTGCCAATCGGGAGAAGGAAAAGGCCGAAAAGGCGTCGGCCAAGAAGGGCGGGACGGACCAGTCCGGCAAGCCCCTTCGTCTTCCCAACTCCAAGAAAGAAAAGGCTTCATTCCAATTCGAGGAGTATGTGAGGATAGCACCAGAGACGGATACACCGAACGGGCCTGGGCGGTATATGCGTCAGTCCCGCGAGATCGAGGTCGGTGTCGAACGCTTCCTCGCTGCCACCCCAAAGCAGTACTTGGCGGACCGTCTGACCGGCGGCCTGCTGGAGGATATCGCGACTCAGATCCACCACACAATTCTTGCAGTGCCCGACGCGACGAAGCGAAGTGAACTCTGGGATTCGCTCGTCATTGTCGGCAATGGCAGCAAAATCAAGGGTATGCCGCTCTGTCATTGTGAAGATCTTTACTGATAATCTAGGATTTACGCAATCTCTGCTCGGCACCATTTCCCAAAAATACATCCTCTCCCCATCCGCTACTATGTTCACCTCGGAGATCCCGTCCAATTTCTCTACTCCTCTTCCCACCGGAGGAACCAACACCCCAGCACCCTCCGGCCAGCCTGGTCCGATGAATCACCCTGCGGCCCACGGTGTGAACCCACTGCTGGTGGCAGCCACACATGCCAACAACCCCATGCCAGGCACACCGTCGATGGACCCCGCGATGTCGCATCACCGGTCGACCGGGCATTCGCAAACTCCCACATCGGTCAAGACTCTGCGACCTCCAGAATACTTTCCGGAGTGGAAGGAACAGAGCAACACCAACGCCCCTGGCGCAGCTACCACTGGTGGGCCCGGTGCCCCGAGCAGTGGCCACGGCATGGAGGAGGCGGTGTTCTTGGGAGCACAGGTTGCGTCGAAGGTTGTTTTTGTGCTGGACCAGGGACTTTCCAAGGGGTTCATGAGCCGGGTGGAATATAATGAGAACGGACCATCGGCGATCCATGAATACACCATGTGATTATGATTGGAATCATTTTGAACTGATGCGTGTTTATTTATCAACTGAAAGCGGATTTTGACGGCCTGGTTATCTACTTAAAATGGTTAATTTTGTTCTCGGATAATGTACTTTACGTTGTCTAAGCAGTCTTCCTGCGACCACAGTTGGATGTTGGTCAGTCTGACTCGATGCTAGGATAGTGGATTTAGTGGGATGCTACCACATACTAAGTACTAGGTATATCCAGTAATCGCCCAACTGCTCACAATTGGCCAGACATCAACCGATAACCCTCAGCCTCATCACTGCAAGAACCCACCAATCACCACTTCAATCCCACAATCTAATTCACGGGCTCGATACTACTAGTAGTAGTTTACCTAGTAGCCTCACGTCAGCTCGCCGACAAATCAAGTTTCCCAGACTTAGTGAGCCGCTAATAGTCGTTATCCCAGATCTAGGTAATACCAGGCTACCATGGCGCCATGGTCTGTCTCAGCCAGCCTTGTTCCATGGTTAGGTGTCAATAATCCCACTGCCTTGTTAAAGGAATACATATCCCTGTTCTATACGGAATGGAGATAACACTACCTACACACGAGGCTTAAATGACGATCCCCTCCTTCCTACTCCTTCTCCCAGTATCCAATTCACCCCAATCCAAATTCCTATCCCCTACTCACCCCCAATCCAACCGTCACAACACAATGGGCGACAACACCACACCCACCCCCCCAACAGAAACAGGAACCGGAACCGCAACATTCCACCTCGCCTCCAGCGAATCCTACGCCCTGCAACATAACCACCTCGCCGCCTGCCGTCTCAACCTCCAACATTACCTCTGGCGCGAAGTCTTCCGCTTCAACATCCACCCCTCAATCCCCACCACCACCACCCCCTTAGCCATCGCCGACATAGCCTGCGGCACCTCCCTCTGGCTCATCGACACCGCCCGAGACCTCCCCCACGCACACCTCGACGGCTACGACATCGACCTCACCCAATCCCCGCCCCCGCAATGGCTCCCCAAAAACATCTCCCTGCATGAATGGGACGCTCTAACCCCAGCCCCGGCCCATCTGCATGGGAAATACGATATTATTCATGTCCGTCTCGTGGTCTTGTTCCTCACGGGTATCGATCCCACCGTATTCATCCGCAACATTTACACAATGCTAAAACCGGGGGGGTGGGTGCAGTGGGATGAGCTCGATTGTGCGAATATCTCTGTTAAAACTACCACCCCGGGTGTATCTGTCCCTGCGTTGGAAGAGCTAAAGGTTGCTTGTTCTGCAGACGGCAGGCATGATTGGTCAATTGAGTTAGCGGAGATATTAGCCAACCATGGATTCGAAGACACGAAGTTACAGTTCTTCGATGAGAAAGATGAGCTGGTCCGCGCATTTGGAGACCAGCATTTATTAACGATGGGGGAATTTGCGAATAAATTGGCAGGGAGGGGGGAGAAACTCGCTGCGGGGAGGTTTAATCTTCTTGTTGAGAGGGCGTATGGCGAGATGGTGGAGCGGGGTGCCGCGTTGGCGATTCCGAGGGTTGTTGCTTTGGGCAGACGGCCTTTATCATCATCATCATCATCATAGTCTACTATTTCATATTTGGCTTTGATTTTATATATAGAGTCATGTCTTCTTTCTCTGTAGGCTATCCAACCCAGCCATGTAATAATCTAATCCCCCAAATAAACATCAACCTCCACCTCCAAATTCTGCCCCTCAAACGGCAACGCCTCAATCCCCAACATAGTCCACGTAGGCTGATGATCCGGACACCACTTCTTCACATTCTCCACCATCAACCCGATCATCATCTCCCTGGTTGCGGGTAAATTCACATGGTAGGTGCGGATTTTCACGACGCGGTCCCAGCCGTGGGTGACGGATGCGCGGAGATCGGGTCTCGCTTGTTCGAGAGCGTAGAGGATGACTTCGTTGATGTTGGTGAAGGCTTGGGCGACTTCTTCTTCGATGGTCGGGGGGATGGTGGTTGAGGTGGGGGACATGCCCGCTGGGAGAGGTTAGTGGTGGTGGGTTGGGAGGGGGTGTTAGGGTAGGAGGGGATACTCTGGCCGGCGATTTCCATGCGGTCTCCGGCTATGCAGGCTTCGGAGAATCCGTAGGTTTCTTGGAAGTGTTGCCCGCGGCCGGGGCGGGAGAAGCTGGGGATGGGGGGCATGATGATTATGGTGTGGTGGTGTGTGGGTGGGTGGGTGTGTGTGTTGGAGAGGAAGAATGGATAGTAGTAGAATGTTTGGTATGTAGTAGGGGACGGTATCTATTTATGTGTCAATGGCGTGGTGTGAGTGAGGCTGTACCCTTGTTCACTTTGGACACTAGTCGCTTCGATAAGCAAGACACAGTACCTAGTGCTTACAGCCTTACAGTAGTCGGGCTGCTTGAATGCTTTCTATTGGTATATTGGTAGCCTTTTACATAGTATAGCGTCAAAACTTTCATATCCACATAATCCATAATGCCATCAATCTTCCGTAGAATATTCCATCGGTAACTCGGGCGTCGTGTTGAATGCCTTCAAATCCTCCCCCGTGCTATCCATCCCACTGGTAATATCCGACAAAGCGAGCTCGTTCTGCGGCACATACACCGACGACGGCATTCCGACGTAGCTGCTTCGGTAGCGATTGGTATTCTTGGTGCGACGGTAGACGGTAGCAAAGGCTGGGAGAGACCCGACAATGACGGCTAAGCAGCTATTAGCGTTCCGTACCAACTAGCAAGCAGCAAGCAACGGTCCCACCAATTCCCGCCTCGATCATTCCCCAGAATGCCAGCCAGGAACTACTCGGAGTGCTGTCGTTGTTGGCCCGAGTGCCGATCTGGACGACTCGCACCACAGCCATCACCACGCAGATGGTTCCCAGGGCAAACACGGCTGCGACACTGATCTTCTGGCCTAGCGGGAGGTGAAGCGACACCACCAGTCGCAGAGGCAGCACCATGACTATTCTGTCAGTAACGATTTCAACAGCAGATAATACGGAGTACATACTCATGATATCACTCAGAGCGTCAACTGCAAATGCATAGTACAGACTGGCAATCTCGGCCACGGCATCGCGATGCGTATCGCACGCCCCTATGAACTGTCAGTCTCCACTATTCAGGCACCACAGACAGCACTGACCAACAGTGAACCATGCATGCATGCTCTGACAGGAAGTAAAATTGGACACGATTGCCCCGATAAAGGTCCAAACAGACGTCAGCGAGGAATTTCACGATAGCTCGAGCGGACACACCACGAGGCAGAAGCCCATGACCATATACCACCACTTCATCTGACCCGGCAGATCTCGAAGAAGTCGGCGATAGAGAAACAGAAATGCAAGCTTGACCGACCACAAGGCCCCCCACAGCAACATGGTATTCGCAAAAAACACCTTGATCATGAACAAGGCATCCGACACCATGGTCGCCCAAGGAGCAATGTCGCCCGCTTCATACGCACTGATCTTGTATATGACCGGGGTGACGATAATATACGCAATACTCATGGCCAGGAAACAAGCCCAGGCCAGCAGAATGCAGCCATCTTCAATCTGCAGCGACCGTAGCTTCCAGACAATCAAACTAAACCGAGCCATGACCACCGCCGACGACAGGGCAATCATGGTATACCCGGTGGCCTGCACCTGACCAGCCGAGACATAGTTTCGCTCCATCGGGACTGATTCGGGAGCGATCGACCAGGAGATCTGAGGCCCGTTGACAGCAGGGATTCTTCTTCATATTCGACCCATGGTCGGGGGGCCACTGCGACCGATGACAGGATCCATTTACGAGGGCCCCGAACTAAGCTCCTGTCAGCCGCCATCAAGCGAGCCGGGCTGCCGCTAGGGGCAAGCCCGAAGCTATAGCGTTTGCAGCTGCCGTTGCGGGCTATAAAGGAATGAGCCCCCTGCGCAAGTCAACGCCTCCTGAAACCTCTCCGACTCCTGCTCCATTCCTTATCTGCGCTGGTTCCTGCCAAGCACCATGCTGACCGGAGCCCTGTTGATCGCCGCTCTGGCCGCCCGCGCGACCGCGCTGGACAACACCACCAGTCACATTGTGGCCAAATTGGCCTCGTATGGTGTTGACGCCTACGAGTATTTCAACTCGAGTGTGCTGTCGGACTCCTCGCTGCACTCGCGGTCATTGGGATTCTGCTCGGAGCTGGTGAGTGATTTTCCCCTTCCTTCGGACTAGAACCGGACGGTGTCACCCGAACCCTGGCTAGTCGCGAGGCTAATGCAAAGGAACAAATTGGCCAATTTCACTAACGGCGACAGTGTTCCGCGCTTCCCCGGCTCTATCCCGGACACGTGCTGCAACGCTCCACCTCCGCTTACTCGACCTGGGACGCCAGTTTCTGGTCGCAGCAGCAGGAGGAGGTCGATCCCGCTTGCGTTTTCCAACCGGCCACTGCCGTCGAGGTCGCCGTTGGCCTGCTGCTGACAGAGCTGACGCTGTGTCCGTTTGCTGTCAAGAGTGGTGGTCATGCTGCCTTTGCCGGTGCCTCCAACATTCAGGATGGCCTGACAATCGATCTGGTCTCGCTGAACTCCACGGTCTTATCCAAAGACTCCACCATTGCCTCGGTTGGCCCGGGCAACCGCTGGGTGGATGTCTATGACTGGCTTGAACCGAAGAACTTGTCGGTCATTGGTGGCCGCGTGTCCGACATTGGCGTGGGTGGCCTAACTTTGGGAGGTATGGATCGATCGGATACGAAAGCAAGCAGAACTAATCAGACTCAGGCGGCATTTCCTTCTTCTCTGGTATCCATGGTTGGGCCTGTGACAATGTGGCCGACTACGAGGTAATTTGCATTATTATCTATCCTTGATGGTGTCTGACTGGAGCAGGTTGTTTTGGCTGATGGCAGCATCGTTAATGTCAATCTGGACACCCTCCCCGATCTTTACTGGGCCTTGCGTGGCGGAGGCAACAACTTTGGTATTGTCACCCGCTTCGACCTGACAACGCACACCCAAGGCCTCATGTGGGGAGGCTCACGCGTCTGGTTGGAGAACTACCAGGCCGACATCTTGCAGTCGCTGGTTAACTTTGGCAATGATTCGCCCTCGGACCCCAACGCGGCGCTGATCGTGTCGGTGGCCTACGCAGAAGGTCTGTACCTGTTCGTCGCAGACCTGGAGTACGCCAAGCCGGTGGCCAATCCGCCAATCTTCGACGGCTTCAACAGCACCGGGGCTCTGGAAGACACCATGGCCATCCGCAGTCTTTCTAACATCACTCTCCTGTTCAAGGAAGACAATCCTAACGGTCTGCGCGAGAGCTACTGGACCGGCACCGTCCAGCTCGACTACGACCTGGCAACCAACATCACCAACATGTTCAAGCAGGAAATCGTTCCCATTCAGAACGTGACTGGCCTCGTGCCCGCTCTCGTCTGGCAGGTGATCAGCACCAACACCATGGAGCACATGACCAAGAACGGGGGCAACGCGCTCGGACTCGATGCGACGGACGGACCCTTGCTTCTGATCAACCTCGCCTTCATGTGGGATGATGAGTCTGATGATGCAGCAGTGATGGCCGTCCTGGGCTCGATCACGGCAAAGGCCCTCTCGGCAGCCAAGGCTCGGGGATTGGACAATGACTATCTGTACATGAACTACGCCAGTCAGTACCAGTCTGTCGTGCCGTCTTATGGAAAGACCAACCAGGCGCGCTTGCAGTCCATCTCGCGCAAGTATGATCCTTTGCAGGTGTTTGAGAATTTGCAGCCGGGATACTTTAAGCTTGATGGGGGGTTGGCTCTGTAATGCTGTGTCTTTCTTTGGCGGTGAATTAACATCACGGTTTACTATGTACAATAGAGAAAAGCAGGCGCTCAGTGCGGTTTCTGTGGAGGCTTGAGGCTTAATTCTCGGTATAATATGTCGTATTTTATTCAGCATATACTAGAAGTAGAGTAGAGAATAATATAATGCAATTCAGTGATACAGTCAAGTTATTGACTTGAACAATCAGTTTCTTACCGCTACTCAGAGATCTTCATCCCAGGATTCCATCTCAGCGCTAATCACCATCAAACAAATTCCTAGACACGCTACGATCCTTGGGCTCGGAGTAGACGGTCGATAATACAGTCTAGACCAGTACCAATAAATTACCCGTCTACTCATCTTGCTAAAGAGTCTATACTCCTCATGCGCGTGCTATCTATCTCCAGGCGATATTTCAGTACAACATGCAAGTATACACCTACTCGCCCATCAAGTGCCGCGAAACACTACCTTCTTCCCTATCAGCCTTCAAAGAAATCTGATCCCAGCTTCGCCAAGAAAAAGCTTGAACAAAAGAGTTGATACAAATACTCGAATAATTGCTTCCATAACTCACACCTCTCACACCTTGCCAGACACCAAAACGCCATCATATGTTCTCTGCTTTGAAGATGTCATAGGAGGCACTCATATTCGCTTGCATACATATATCAGGAATGACTTTAAGCCTTCTCGATAACCCGCTGACGCCTGCCATAGCCATATGGTAGCAGCCTTTGGAAGAATTCCTTCCATATCTTGTACTTTGTCCCTGTTTACCAATCAGTCCTCTAATACAAGCCTGAATAAATTGCAAACCACGACAATTCTCACCTTGCAGATCCCAAAGACTGTAATTAATGCTCGACAACCCAGTCTCAAGCATTCCCTTGACCTGTGCCAACTCGCCACGAACCTCTTTGACTGCACCAAAACCATTAGCAAGAGCATCCTCAAGCACAAATAACCACCTACCTAGATCCACCACTTGCCCAACCTCCCGGTCCAACTGCCGCGGCCCCTCTTCAGGCGGGATATGCAAAATCAACGCCTTTGCATAGCTCACCGCAGCAGCAATAGCCCTTGGCCTCCACTCATCATTCTTATGCGCATCCGCATAATCACTAATGCCCCTCACAACCAAACAAGGCAAGCAATTGACCAACCCGGCCGCCTCCATCTCAAAACACAAAACCGACCCTTTATATCTCTCGCAGATCCTATCCCTAGTCACTCCATCCCCAATGACCGTATTCCCCGACGCTATCGTCCCCACATGCACCACCGGTAACGTACTCGTCCTCTCCTTTCTATATATCTCCCCACCTGCATCTCCACAAGCCAAACACCCCCGACCCTCAACCCCATGATAAACCCCGGAACAAAACAACCGATCCTCACCCCAACGGGATACCTATACTCCTCACCCAACTCCTCCAAAATCCCCCCAAAACCTCCCCCCTCCTCTTCCCACGCGCACTCCCCATCAAACAATTAACCATCGTCACACACCCCAACAACTTCTGCGGCGGGGAATCCAATTGCACCCGTCCCTCACAATCATACGATACTATACCTCCGTACCCACCACTCGGCACCCCCACAACCACATCCCCTAATCGAATATCTGATTCTGCCCCCTCCGTATAGCGGGGAACCCCGCCCCCAATCCCAACTAACACCGCATACTTCACCCCCGGGAACGTCCGCCGGAGATTCTCCCCCACTGTTGCGGCGGCCGCGGTGCCCATTCTTCCCGCCGGAAGACATACCATCACGATGTTGTGGGGTCCGATTGCCCCGAGGATGTAGGCGTTGGGGTCCTCAGCGGGTTGGGATTGGGGAATGCCGTGCAGGGTGTCGAGGAGGGTGAGCGCGGCGGTGAGTTCGGATGGGAGGGCGGTTATGTAGGCGAGGTGGTAGGTGGGGTTGGGGTGGGGGGAGAGGGGCATTTTGTTTGCTGGTGGTGGGTTCGAGGATAGGTTAGGTTGTTGGGTGTTTGTTATGTGTGTAGAGATTGGAGTTGGGGGAATGGATGTTATATATGGATGGCTAGATGGGCGCTGAAGCGCAAGGCTGAAGAGGGAGGGGTTCGGCGGCTATGGCAAGTACATTGTATATTGGGCGCGTATGGAGGATCTATCTACCTATGCGTGTTGGTCAATTATACACTACCACTTGTATCAGCCTAGCTCTAACTGCATACCTGGTCTGTGCGTTTGGAGTTTAGCTGACCTGACCGGAGGTTCATCTGAAGTCATTTGAACCCGTGGGCCTGATCGGTTGAAGTGGGTTGGGCGCACAGACCAGGTAGGTACACTTTGAGCTGTAGCCGTCATCTGCGTATCTTGCAGGCTCCACTGGTACACTGTTTATAGGAGAAATGTTTGGCGGGCTTCAGAGCAGCATCTGGCGTGGGTGAGAAAGTGAAGCAGCTCACGGTGACAAGTCAGCCCAGCCGTGAACCCCCGCCTAGCCCCCGTATGAAGACTTCCAAAAAGAAATTCCGGCTTATGAGAAGGAGGGAAAGGATAAAGCAGAGGGGGGACAATTGTTCTCCTGTTGGGTCACATGTTCGAGCGACAGCTGCGTAGCGTGGGCCCGAAGCCAGTGGGTGACCTGACCTGACCTGACCCGACCTGACCTGGGTTTACATTGAAGGGTTCAACAGCTCGGCGCACCTTGGTTGAACCCCGAAAGCTCGAGCCTATCTTATCTCTTACCAATCTAACCAATGTGGGTAAGGTGTGTACTTATGTAATAACTTAGTAATTGATCTGTTTCCGCCACCCGCTCCGCATCTTCATCTCCGAGTCTCTGCGCAACATCGTGTCTGTGCTCCACTCCGTCCATCTTCTTTGATTCTCGAATAACCCTTTCAGGCGTTATACCCAGTACGCATCATGCCGCGCGCAGAAGCTGGAAGCACCAAGGCCATTGGCAACAAAATCAAGGCTGTATGTTTCCCTGTCCCGTTCTCCGCATAGGTTTGACAGCAACTGACATCGAACAGAAAGGCTTGGGCAGACTCAGATGGTATTGTCAAGCCTGTTCCAGGCAGATGCGAGATGAGAACGGCTACAAATGGTGAGGATTGCCTTGCTCTGGATTTGCGTTGTTTATGACATGTGCTGATCGTTACCAGTCACGTCCAGAGTGAAAGCCATGTGCGCCAAGTACTCCTAATCGGCGAAGACCCCAAGAGATACATCGAAGACTTCAGCAAAGAGTTTCTTAGCAACTTCTTGAACCTGCTAAGGACCGGTCATGGCGAGAAGAAGGTTCACATCAACCAGTTCTACCAGCAAGTCATTGCCGATAAGGAGGTTAGTGGTCTAGAGAGGTCTTACAGCGAGCTTGTTGCTGACGGCATGGATAGCATATTCACATGAACGCCACGAAATGGAAGAGTCTTACACAATTCGCTGCATACTTGGGTCGGGAAGGTCTTTGTCGCGTCGAGGAAACCGAGAAGGGTCTGTTTGTTTCGTATATCGACCGGAGCCCTGAGGCTATGAGACGGCAGGAAGCCCTTCTCAAAAAGGAACGTCAGGATCGAGGAGACGAGGAATTGGAGCAGCGACAACTCCAGGAACAGATCAAGCGCGCTCAGGAGAATGCTAAGGAGGAGGAAGTGGACCCCGAGGCTCGGATCCTGCAACGCAAGGAGGGTGAAAAGGTCAAGCTAAACATCGGGTTCGGGTCAAAGACTGGTGATTCTAAAAGCGAGTCGCCAAAGCCTGCGTCGTCGGATGAGAAGGATAGTGGCGCGTCGACTACGCCCGAGACGGCTTCCGCTTCGTCTGCTCCTGCTCCTGCTTCTGCCTCTGCTCCCGCTCAACCACAAGCAGCACCGAAGGTATCTTTGTCATTTGGCGGTGGTTCCAACAAGCCAAAGAACGTTTTCGCTGCCGCTGCGAAGAAGAACCCGCTTGCTGGGAAGAAGGGGTCGGTTCTGGAGCAACCTAAGAAGATGACGGAGCAAGAACGTATCATGAAGCAGGAGATGGAAGCCATGGAGCGGAAGCGTATGCGTGGTCCATCTGGGTTTCCTGATGCTAAGCGTCCGAGGGTGTCCTGAATGATTCTTCTGGGATAACAGCTTCGAGTGGGGTATCAGACTCCACAACCATCATCCGCTTCGGTGTCGCTCCGCCCAGTGATGTCGATCTTATGTTCTCGTCAGCCGCGTTTCTGACAACCACTAGAGAACCATATGCTGTCTTGTAACCGGGCTCTGACCTTTACGCCATGCTTTGGGCGGTATTTCCATTATTCCTTGGACAGTGCGTTGCGGTGGTGCATTTGATCTGAGGCACATATATTCTATGTCCAGGAAAGGCTTTCGCGTCAGTATGTTTCAGCGGCTACTGTCGTCTGCTTTGGTTACCTTGCTAGGCCGTCTCGATAGATTTGTGACTAGATATCGCTAGCTATTGTTGTTAGCTATAATTAAAATATTCGACATTTTCCATGTGTTTGTTTCTACCACGAATCTTACTTATCAGTCTGCCGTATGTATGTAAATGAGTTGTCGCATGAGTCAACTCCGATGTTGTATATCCGCGTGCGGCTACACAGGACATTGAAGTAGGATCTCTCAACACAAATAGGTTAGAGGCATACCAAATGATGAGTTAAATCATCTGTATATTGCAGACCCCTTCGCTTGTGTTCGTCTGGTTGTGTACACCCTAGAGATTACTATTTCCTGGTGCTGTTGCCGGTCAGTAGCTTCAATTTATTTCAGTATTGGCTGGGTCAAATATATATCGACACCCTCGCCCTTCACATCAGAAAAATGTTTGAGTAGAACTTCCCCAATTCCAATCAAATCCTGCACAAGACATACGGAAATGTGTTATTATCATCAAGAAGTGGACCATACAAGCATAGGAGGACATATGCTCAACTCTCTTCACTACACAACGGAGTAAGTCAATGAATGGTAGCTGCCAAGGGGTGGCTCAACTGGCTGGCTACTCATAGCTGCAAAGTTGCAGACACTTATCATAACAAGCCCGGGTGGTCTAGTGGTATGATTCTCGCTTAGGGATGGCATCTCGCCTACAAACCCAAGCATATCTGCGAGAGGTCCCGCGTTCGATCCGCGGCTCGGGCCTTGTATATCCATTCTTTTTTTGCACGGGAGGAGGTCTCAGTCTAATTTTGTTTTTGGATTGAGCCTAACTAACTAACTAATCAACTAACTATCTTCAGTAATTTCCATCATCCTTATCTCCCTCTCTATCGCTCCCGTACATACAGAGAGCACCACGACCACACCTTTCCCCCCCAGCTTAAAACCCAAGTCTAGACAGTCTACCTACCATCCACTGCTACTGACTGCTGCCTACCAGCCACGCCAAGCACACTCTGCATTACCCCACCAAGAACGTAACACAGCTTGACCTAACCAGCATACGAACTGACACCTAAAAGCAAGGGTCTATCAGCAACTGCCAATAACTGCGTTGTCACTTGTCACCGACTGATCCACCCACCCCGCAGTTCCTCGGGATCCTTGCCCGAAGTCCGGCATATCGCACCGCAGCTTTTCCTCCACCGACGGAGATCCATCCCTGATTGACTCACCTTCACTTTTACACCTACACATCACAATAGAATAACAGGTTACACACACTTACCTACACCGAACACACTACACAAACACAACACAATGGTTACACAATTGCCCTCCCCGGCGGGGAAACAAGTCACCCTTGCGTTCATAGGATGCGGTATGTTACGTTCCTTCTCCCCGGCCGTCGTAGCCAGCCCCCCTCTGTACTATATACTAATCCCAGCAGGAAACATGGGCTCCGCGATCCTAAGTGGCCTCCTGGACGCAACCCGCACCAGCGACGGCAAAATCAACCATTTCATGGTGAGCACCAAAACCGCCTCATCCGCGGAGCGTCTCCGAACTCAATACTCGTCCGACTTATCTCGGATCGAGATCGCGCACGAATCCAACCTCTCCGCTATGCGCAAAGCAGACATCATCCTTCTCGCCTGCAAACCCTTTCTAGCGAAGGGGATTCTCTCCGCGCCGGGCGTCGGCGAAGCCCTTTCAGGGAAACTAGTCATTAGTATCATGGCTGGGATGACACCAAAGGATATCCTTTCTTGTCTGAGTGATGTCGACCCAGGGAGTGTGAAGATCGTGCGGGCGATGCCGAATGTCGCGGCGAGGTTGAGGAAGAGTATGACTATTGTGGAGGTGGCGGAGGGATCCGGGCTAGGGGAGGAGGATCTGGAGATTGTGACGTGGGTGTTTGAGGCTATTGGGAAGGTCAAGTTCCTTGCCCCGGAGTTGTTTGATGTGGGGACGATGTTGGTGGGTGCGTCGATGGGGGTGATGACGGTGCCGGTGGAGGGGGTGTTGGATGGGTGTGTGGTTGAGGGATTGAGGAGGGGAGAGGCGTTGGAGATGATGGCGCAGACATTGGAGGGGATGGCGGCGTTGTTGAGGGAGGGGGAGCATCCGGCGATTCTGAGGGAGAGTATTTCGTCCCCGAGGGGATGTACGATCCAGGGAGTGATGACCGTGGAGAGGGCGGGAGTGAGGGCGACGTTTGCGGATGCGATGATTGATGGAACGAGGCATCTGGGGGGTAAGAAGTAGGCTTTGTTCGAGTGGATTAGATTTGATGTATAGATAGAGATAGACAGATAGATAGATACTTACTTATAGAATCCTGCTGATAGATACATGATAAGAATATCCCCCGACAACAACCCGCGGTAACCCTAACCGAGCTGACCGGAAACCACCTCCGACTGCATCAGACACCAGCTGTATCTACCTCATGCACGACTCAGCGATCCTTCCCCTCGCATCCAATCGGTCAGAAAACCGGCCGTCTAATCTACAGTACTGCGCTGGCAACCCCTCACGCCTACTACACAGCAGGGATGATAAATAAGACAGGGAACCAACGCCCTGCATACAACCTAGAAACTATACCTACCTACCTACCTCACTTACAAGTCACATTTCCATGAAATCAACCCTCTTACTCCGGCCTAAACGGCCCAGTCCTCTCTTCTACCAACTCCTCCACCCACCCACCCACGCCTCATCAAGTACAGCCCGCCATGTTCCATTTCCCCCTCCATCCGGCCCCAAAACTCCCCTCCGTTATCCGCCCTCCCGACAAAAACCTTCCTCCGTTCGCTACTATTCACTTCCGTAATGGCCTCTCCCCTCCTCCGCCCCTGCCTCTCACTCTTGAAATACATGGTCGACTCCCAGTCCATACTCTTCAGCCCCGGCAGAAACCCAGTGGTGAATTATCTCCTCAGACGAACAATCTACGATCATTTCTGCGCCGGGATCAATGAAAACGAGGTGCGGAATACCGTCCAGGAGATGAGGACGTTGGGTTTCAAAGGAGTGATTCTGGGTTATGCGAGGGAGTCGATCGCCAAAGTGGAGGATATTGATCAGACTCAGTCGGCGGAAGAGAAGCAGGAGGTGCTGGATCGGGCGGTGGAGGAATGGAAGCAGGGAACTTTGAGGACGTTGAGGATGTTGGGGAGGGGGAATTATTTGGCTGTTAAGTATGTCCCCCCCCCTCTTTTTCTGCGGGTTTGCTTTGTGGTATGGGAGATGTTGAAGATATACGTACTAGATTTACCGGCGCCGGACCCGCAGCCGTGGAGGCGCTCTCACGCGGTGACCCCGTCCCTCCGCCCCGGATCTACGAAGCCATTACGGAGATCTGCGATGCCGTTGCGGCGCAAGGCTCACGGGTATGGATCGACGCGGAGCAACAAATCTTCCAGTCTGCGATTGATGCGTGGGCGGTGGATTTGATGCGGAAGTATAACCGGGATAATGTGAATGCGGATGCTCCTGTGGTTTTGAATACGTATCAGGCGTATCTGAAGTCGTCGACGGCTACGTTGAATGCGCATCTTCAGCTCGCTGAGAGAGAAGGTTGGGCGATGGGAGTCAAGTTGGTACGGGGAGCGTATATTGCACATGATCATCGGGACCGGATTCATGATACCAAGGCCGATACGGATAAGAACTACAATCATATTGTGGAGAGTTTGATTACGAGACGGTATCCGTTGGGAGGGGAGCCAGGACAGTCGTTTCCCAAGGTGCGTCTGTTTGTGGCATCGCATAATGGGGAGAGTGTGCGGAAGGCGTGTGCGTTGTATAGGCAGCGGATGGTTAGTGGGTTGCCGTCGATCCCGGTGGAAATGGGACAGCTGCAGGGTATGGCGGATGAGGTCAGCTTGGGGATGGTGGGAGGGTCGAGTGAGGGGGAGGTGCCCGGTGTGTTCAAGTGTTTGGCGTGGGGGTCGACAGAGGAGTGTCTGCATTTCTTGTTGCGGAGGGCCGTGGAGAATCAGTCGGCTATGGAGAGGACGAGAGATACGGCGAGGGCGTTGAGAGGAGAGGCTTGGAGGAGATTGGGTGGAGGGGCTGTGTTGTGATGGATTGTGACCTGGTTAGCTGATATGATGACGACGATGATGATTTGATGAGCATCAATGGATAAGCATTCAGAGATAACCTGTTCTATACTTTCGGCTCGTGCATCCGACCTCGGGAGGAGTTCCGGACTAATATCTTTCTACCCATTAATTCCCATTAAATTATAGTCGGGCATCTTATCGATACACACGGATTACACACCCCATAGCTTATCTGCAGATCTAAAGGATCGGCCCCCGTCTACTCCGCAGGATCTCCATCGCCTCTACATAATCGGGGTCGTCCTTATCCAACACGGCCTCTTCCTCACACCCCTCCAGAATATCCAGCACAGTCTTGACAGTCCCACTCGAGAGTCTCATTGTCCACCAGCGTGGCGTTGACGACGGTCTTGACGGTCGGAATATCAGGCCTGCCGATCTGGCACACAAACACTGATTCGATGAACCCCAAGTTATCGGAGGGGAGCCCGCGGGACACGACTTTCTGAAAGGAGGGATGTTCGCCATCGACTTCGAAAATGAGATCCTCGGTGTCCGAGTGGAGGTGAAGGGCCCAGTGTTGGAAGTTGCCGTAGCGGGGGTGGTAGATGGCCACGGTGAGAAAGGGGGGTTTCATGGTTTTGGTATGACTGGTTGGAAGGGTGTAGTGTAAGTGGATGCTTAAGAGATAGAGTTTAAGTTAAGCGTAAAAAGCACGCGTATGTAGTGGATGGTTGTTGTGGAAGGCATCGGCATCTACATCCAGGATGGGGATGCAGGCAACAGCCTTGCCTCAGGCTGCAAGGCTGCCAGGCACGGATGTTTGGAATGGTTGCACCAGCTTTCCTCCGCCACCATCATTCATCTTTCACCTTTCACCATCTCCTCCATCGTCACTCGCTCATCGCATTCATCCCGTGTCTAACCTTGGGTATCTTTCTTGGGTTCCATTCCCTTTCTTTGTTCCCTCACCGACCATGCATTCACCCAATCAAACCCCCCCGCCCTGGCTTGCCCGTGGCACCGACCCCTTGGGCCCCTCGCGGAATCCCCGGACTTTCCGGCAGCCAGCAGTCCAGGGCCTTCGGTACCCCACAAAATGACGCTGTCGAGTCAGAATACCCGGCCCTGAGCACGGTGCCCAGCCATGACGAGGTTTCTCGGTTCCTTCCATCGTCACCCGCGGGGTAATCCGTCACCCGAGAGACACAATTTTCCAAGGGGTAGTGTATTTAATCTCCTGCTGTCGACCTGTCTCTCCTTCATTTCCCCGATCGCCCTTGGCATTCCCTGTCTTGGACACGAGGTGGACCGGCTACTGCAGCTCAAAACTCCGATCGGATCTCGCCTCGCACGCAAATCTTATTTATATCTCCTATTCTCCCCCGTCTTCCATTTCCTCGAGCGGAAAGGATTACCGCATAGCTTGTCGTTCGGCCATTGCAAGATGCAAGTCAAGGTATGTTTGCTGTCACGACTATGGGTCACAGCTTATTCTTGGTAGTTTTTGGCAACCTTGTTGCCGCTTTTGCTGCATCTTCCCGCGGCTGTGGACGCGTCCGCAGGGATAAATGAGCGCATTTCGGCGTCCCTGCGGAGACACCTTGGAAGAGATGTGCAGACAGACTCCAATTCGACTAACGTCTACCCGACCCGATTCTCTGGCGTGACCTGGGATGATGATCACTGGTTGCTTACCACCACCACACCCGACCAGGGCCATTACCAGTCGCGTGGCTCGGTTGCAAATGGTTACATGGGAATTAATGTCGCCAGCATTGGTCCTTTCTTTGAGCTCGATGACCCAGTAAACGGTGATGTCATTTCTGGGTGGCCCCTGTACTCCCGACGCCAGAGTTTCGCAACCCTCTCTGGATTCTGGGATAGACAGCCCAAGACTAACTCGTCAAACTTCCCTTGGCTCTCTGAATACGGTGATGACAGTGTCATCAGTGGTGTTCCGCACTGGAGTGGTCTGATCCTTGACCTCGGAGATGACACATACCTCGACGCCGAAGTGGATAACCGTACAATCTCGGATTTTGAGTCTACCTACGACTTCAAGTCGGGCGTGCTGTCCTGGTCGTATACCTGGACACCCGAAGGCAACAAAGGCTCTTATGCAATCGTCTATCGACTCTTCGCGCACAAGCTTTTCGTGAACCGAGCCGTGGTGGATATGGAAATCACCCCCTTGACGAACGGCAATGCTACGGTGGTCAACGCTCTGGACGGCTATGCGGCTGTCCGTACGGATTTTGTCGCATCTGGAGAAGATGACGGCGCGATCTTTACCGCTGTGCGCCCTTGGGGTGTGAACAACGTTACGGCCTACGTCTATGCGGGTTTGAGTGGCTCTTACAATGTCGACTTGTCGTCGCGTAGGATCGTCACAGACAAGCCGTATGTGCACACCAACGACTCGTCTATCGCACAGGCAGTCGACGTCAAGTTTACTGCAAACGAGACTGTCCGGATTACCAAGTTCGTCGGTGCCGCTACAACGGATTACTTTCTCCTCACACAGGAAACAGCCAGGGCCGCATATCTTGCTGGACTGGCTGAAGGCTACACCGTCTCGCTGCAGTCGCACGTTACAGAGTGGGCTGGGATCTTGCACGAGTCCTCGGTCGACCGCTTCATGGACCCGGCAACCGGCAAGCTGCCCGATGACAGCCACATCATCGACTCGGCGATCATTGCTGTCACAAACACCTACTTCCTTCTGCAGAACACTGCGGGAAACAATGCGGTCATCGCGGCTGGAATTCCTGTGAACGTTGACAGTTGCGCTGTCGGTGGACTTACATCCGATTCGTATGCTGGGCAGATCTTCTGGGATGCGGATCTCTGGATGCAGCCTGGTCTTGTCGCGTCCCACCCAGAGTCTGCTATGCGGTTCACCAACTACCGCATCGCTTTGCATTACCAAGCTCAGGCAAACATCGACACTGCATTCACAAGCTCGAAGAACGAGACTTCGTTTAGTTCTTCGGCGGCGATCTACCCCTGGACCAGCGGCAGATTCGGGAACTGCACTGCAACCGGACCGTGCTGGGACTATCAATATCACTTGAACGGTGACATCGGACTGGCGCTGGTCAACCAATGGGTTGCAAGCGGTGACACGTTATGGTTCCAGAACTATCTGTTCCCAATTTACGATTCAGTAGCCATTCTTTACTCGGAACTGGTTGAGCGTAATGGATCGTCCTGGACGCTGACCAACATGACCGATCCGGTAGGTAAACTGCGCCAGTCAAATGATCTTGCTGACTTCTGTAGGACGAGTATGCCAATGCGATCGATGGCGGCGCTTACACGATGCCGCTGATTGCCGAAACTCTGCAGAATGCCAACAAGTTCCGCAAGCAGTTTGGCCTGGAGCCGAATGAAACTTGGGAGGAGATTGCAGATAACATCCTCATTCTCCGCGAAAACGGCGTGACTCTGGAGTATACAACGATGAATGGGTCCACTGTTGTCAAGCAGGCCGATGTTGTGCTCGACACGTTTCCCTTGAATTTCGAGTCGGACAACTACACGGCTGAGAATTCGCTGACCGACTTGGACTACGTAAGTGATCATCCTGTGTGAATTACGTTTCTAATAATTGCAGTATGCAAACAAGCAATCCCCAGATGGACCAGCCATGACATATGCTATCTTCTCAATTATCGCCAGTGATGTCTCCCCGTCCGGCTGCTCTGCCTACACCTACCATCAGTACTCCTACGCCCCATACGCACGCGGCCCATGGTACCAGCTATCCGAGCAGCTGATCGACGATGCCAGCATCAATGGTGGAACCCACCCGGCGTTCCCGTTCTTGACCGGCCACGGCGGTGCAAACCAGGTGGCCCTCTATGGGTACCTCGGTCTCCGTCTCCACCCTGATGACACCCTCTACATCGACCCTAACCTCCCGCCTCAAATTCCCCACATTACTTACCGGACATTCTACTGGCGTGGCTGGCCAATCTCCGCGTGGTCCAACTACACGCACACCACACTCCAGCGGGTGTCATCTCCTGCACCACTGGTGAGCGCAGACCTCCTTTATGCCGCTACCAGCATCAAGGTCCAGGTCGGCCAGTCCACCGCCAGTGCAAACGAGACAACCACATACGAGCTTCCCGTTTCAGGAACACTGACCGTTCCCAATCGCATGATCGGGTCCGTCAACACAACTCCCGGTAACCAAGTCCAGTGTCATCCCGTCTACTCGCCGGATGACTACGAACCAGGCCAGTTCCCCATCTCTGCCGTTGACGGCGCCACATCCACCAAGTGGCAGCCGTCGACATCAAACCTGTCTTCATTGACAGTCACCTTGTCCACCACAACCAACCCGCAAGCAGAGGCAGTCTCTGGCTTCTACTTCGACTGGTCTCAGGCCCCGCCTCAGAATCTAACCATCATCTTCCACGATTCTCCCATCTCAAACCCCTCAACGCTATTCGCTGCCTCTACCTCAAACTCAACCGAATACCAAGTGGTGACATCCCTGTCCAATATCGTCCCATCCAAGCCATACGACACCATCTCCGCCGAGGAACTAAACACCGTCTCCATCCCCACCGGCAACACCACAACCATCACTCTGGATACCCCCATCCAAAAAGCCCAGTACGCCACGCTTCTGATCGCAGGTAACCAAGGCGACAATGAATCCGGTGTCGGTGCTACCGTAGCCGAGTGGGTCATTCTGGGACCGTCGTTGAACAGCACTTCCAGTTCCAGCTCGGCGGCACTGGCTCGGCGGAAGATGAGTGCCAGAAGCAAGGCCACCTTGGCTCGATACAGCTAATCGAATCGACTCTTTCCAGCTTACTCTATTAGTTTCTATATCCATGAGGATAATTCCTGTATCATAATTATTCTTATTGCAATCTCTGTTGCAGAGGTACATACATAATCAATTAATTAGTATTTTGATTTCATGTTCGATCATTCCTCGTTACTAGTCACCAACCAGTCCAGTCCAGTCCAGTCAGTCGAGACTGGTCCGGTCCGGTCCGATGTACCAGCTTCGCGAAGCAATGTATGTATGCTAAGTAATAATTACAAGAAGACAACCCACCAATCCTCCTTCCTCTCCAGGTTATCATCACGCTGTCCATCACTCACGTGGACCAAATCAACCCAACCATAATAGAAAACCCAACGAATGGATCAATTGTCATCATCCAGTGCAAACCGATCCAAGAACTTGAATGTTTTCAACCCCTCTCTCACGTCATCTACGAACTCTCCATCGACACTCTGTCCCACCACCACACCTTCCCGGGTACTTTCAATACCTGCGTTGCGTAGCGCGACCTTTCCAGTACCCACTGCACCGACTGTCTTTCCGAATCGGAATGCGTCGACTAGAATTTGCAGTGGCCGGCCAGCTGGGTATAGTGTGCTCACTATCGTTGAGTTCGCGGGGCACTGGGGCGCGGTCAAAGAGCCAGAGGCGAAGAGGCCCTCTGCGCCCGGGGCGATGATCACGGCGTCGAATTGGATCGCGTCGGAAGCGGAGTATGTCTGGTCGACGCCGTCGGTGAGACGTTCTGCGACGACGAGCACGTCGACTTCGTCATCGGTGAGGTCTGATGCGAGGGTCTTTGCGGCGGTGATGGAAGTAGGGGTTTGGACGGAGGCGAGGAAGCCGATTTTCAAGCCCGAGAGTTTCTTGAGTTTGGTTCCGAAGGTGCCGACGTCGGTTGTTTTGTTGTTGTGGTAGTAGGTTGGGTCTGGGGAGGGGAGGGGGATGTCGATGGCGCGGGCGACGCGACGGGCTAGGTCGTTGGAGATGCGGTTGAGTTGAAGGATGACGTTCTGGCGGACGATGGTGGATTTGACGTTGCTGGTTTCGAAGCGGATGGCGTCGATGAGGAATTGTTGTTCCGCTGGGACGAGGGAGTTGTAGAAGAGGCGGGGCTGGGACCAGACGTCTTGGAAGGTGGATGAAGTGCTACGCAGGAGGTGGCCGGCGGTGGTGCGTCCGGGGGTGGTGAAGAAGCCGTTGCCTGTTGTTTGGTTGGCTTGCTTGGGAGAGGCCGAGTTGAGGGTGTTGGGACTGTAGGCGTTTGGATTGAGTGGGATGTACATTTGGCCTGGGAGGTTAGTTGGTGGTGGATAGTGAGGGAGACAGGGAAGGGGGTGTTACCTGCGCCGTCGCGGTTGTTGTTGTGGACAGGTACACGAGGTTGGTTGATGGGCAGCTGCTCGAAGTTGGGTCCACCGTGGCGGTTCAACTGTGTATCAAGGTAGGAGAAGAGACGGCCTTGTAGGAGAGGATCGTCGGTGAAGTCGACGCCGCGGACGATGTGACCGGGTTGGAACTGGGGAGGTCAGCTTGATGCGGTGTATAGGGCTCCCACAGAGACAAGTGGGGAGGAGGATGGAGGAATCTCACCATGACCTGCTCAGTCTCCGCAAAGTAGTTGCGCGGGTTGCGGTTCAGAGTCATCTTGCCCAGCTTCGTGATCGGGACGTACTCCTCCGGCACGATCTTGGTGGGATCCAACAGGTCAAATCCGTAGCGCAGCTGGTCTTCTTCGTTCATGATTTGCACACCGAGCTGCATATGTTAGCTTCCATACCGCGCAAAGAGGTGTGTAGCACATACCTCCCACTCAGGGTACCGTTCCGCTTCAATCGCCTCCCACAGATCCTGGCGCATAAAGTCTGCGTTTTTGCCTGACACCTGCTGAGCCTCTTCCCAGACCATGCTGGCCTTGCCCTGCAGCGACTTCCAGTGGAACTTGACCAGTTTCGACGCGCCACTGTCCGTCACAAGCCGGTACGTATGTACACCAAAGCCATCAACATGGCGGAAAGAGCGCGGGATGCCGTGTCCAGCCATGGCCCAGAACAGAGTATGCATGGAGCTAGGCTGCTGGCTGAAGAAGTCCCAGGCCGAGTCGTGGGCTGTAGCAGCTTGAGGGATCTCATTATTGCCACTGGGCTTGACGGCGTGGATCAGATCGGGGAATTGGATGGCATCCTGGATGAAGAACACGGGAATGTTGTTTCCGACGAGGTCTAACACATTAGCACCATTTCGCGTGAGTAGAGAGGGGGGGCTCACCAAAGTTACCCTCATCCGTGTAGAAACGAGCTGCAAAACCGTGCACATCACGGGCCAAATCGGTACTGCCACGACTACCTGCAACAGTCGAGAAGCGCACAAACATGGGGGTTTCTTTGCCTTCTTTGGCTAGGAAAGAGGCGGCCGTGATGTTGGAGAAGTCACTGTAGGAAACGAAAACACCATGAGCACCGGCACCACGTGCGTGTACGGCACGTTCGGGAACCTGCATTGTTAGTGGAGCCAGTGGAGCCAGTGGCGTAAAGGACAAAGGCATACCCGTTCATGATCAAAGCGCTGGATCTTCTGGCGGAAGATGAAATCCTCAAGGAGAGTAGGACCACGTTCTCCGGCGCTCAGACTGTTCTGGTCCTCGATGGGGCCGCCCACGTCGGAGGTCAGGTAGGAGTTGTTGTCATTGAGGTAGTACTGCGAGAGGAATTCTTCGGTGGATTCAGAGGCATCGGAGGAGTCGCGACGAGAGAGCTCGCCGGTCATGTAGGGGCAGAACGCATTGGCGAGGCCAACGAGGCCGACAAGACCGATGAGACGCATGGTCGCGCGGGTGGGGAAAGGGATGAGAGAATTGAACTCGACAGTGAGGCAATTGAGAGGGAGGAAGAAGAGAGGGGAGGGGGGAAGGGAGGTTATAAGGCGAGGTGGGCAGTAACTGTTTGTCTTACCTGGTATCGTGTCGCTGACAGGGGCCGGTATGTACATTCACCACCCACGGCGGAGTACGGGCGTATACATCGAAGATACCCATGTTTCGGTAAGGAACCGCGGCGCTGTATCGGCCTGCAGAAAACGCGGCCAATCATTGGCGGGGGGATTCAGACCCATGCCGGGTTAGGCTTGGCGGGGGAGAGGCGGGCGCTGACTGGCGGGAGGCTTGGTAATCCGGGGGTCTGGATGGCTGCGACGCCCTTGGCAGCTCTTGTCTGAGGGTCGCGCAACGAGCGATCGACAGTCTCCTGATGACGTGATGTCTTCTATTCGAGGCAGTTTACAGTTTGAGAGACCGAGACGGGATCAAGGTTCCCACTAGCAACAACTCGGTTTTTCCCCTTGCTGTTCCGCAGAAGGGACCGGGATCAAGCTTGCGGGTGGTACTTGGGTGGGTGCCAAGTCCGACCAGGCCTCCTGCATAGTGACCTATCATCCCACGCGCATTGGCTAACCAGCACAAGTACCTCGTACAGTTTACACCAGTATGCACGCCACCAGACTCTTTATAAATAACCTCCAACGGTTCCTTACAGCATCGCTGGGATCACTCACCAGACCAGAAAGCCAAGGCCACCCCCGCAGCCGGTGTCTTGGTCCTGCAGCTACCGAGAATCCATCACACCGACGCGTCGTCGCCCAGCCCGAGTCCAAACGAAGGACGAGAACCACACAATAACAGTCTATTTTATATCCATCTAGTCGCTCGGACCTAGTTAATAAGAAATTAAGACGTGGGCCATACAGGATCCTGCCAGGTCCTTCCCCCCTTGATCAGCTTCCCATCCACCCCTTCGTCGCCCGAAGAAACATACAACACCTTTGCATACGCCGCCTCGTTCCAATACTGATACACCACTCCCGCCGGCACAAACGCCACATCACCCGTCTCCAGCCTCGCTGTCGGATATTCTCCGATCTGCACCCGCACCGCTCCCTCCAGTACTTCGAACGCCACGGGTCCGGACGTTGCATTCCATGTTGGGGCTGTCGTGCCCGTCTGCCGACTCAAGATGATGGTGGATATGGTATAAGTCAGATCTTGTGCCTGGGTGGTTGTTACCAGTGGCTGCACGATCTGGTACGCCCCATATTGTGAGTTCAGGTACTTGGGGCCGTAGTTGTTGGCGATGAAGTACGACTTGGTGGGTTCCCCCAGGGTGTTGGATTCTGTGTGCCAGCCTGAGTCAGAGGGGGCGGAGCCGTTGATCAGATCCCGACGGGGGTTGAAGTCTAATTGTGCGTAGACGTCGTATTGTTGCAGGTGGGAGATGGTGCTGCTGCCGGGGCCGGTGGCAGAGGAGGAAGAGGAGTTGCTGGAGCCAGGTACGTAGGGGGTGTCGGTGCCAGAGGTGTAGTTTGTCCCGAGGGCGTAGAAGAGGTCCCTATTCCTTATGGTTATTATGGCTAATATGTCAGATGGGGGGAAGACATACTCGAATCCACCGGGGACGATGACCCCGACCATCTCAGTATCGGGGTCTAAGATCTGAAAGGTGTGCGTTGTGTTTCGAGGCACAGACCCGAAATCGCCCTGTGTCAGGAGACGGCCCTCCTGCTCGTCATCCCCGTGTTGGGCCCATAGCTGGAACCGTCCTTTGAAGTTGAAGAAGTTCTCATAATGCTTTTGGTGGATGTGTGGGAGGACACCAAGGGAGCCACTAGAGGGCGCGTTGGTGTTCATCAACGTAAAGGCATTGCCGGATGATGGGCCAGTGACACTGAAGCGGTACAGCTGGGAGCCAATAGTCACTGCGTGGGAGTTCTCATAATGTGGAAGGATATAGGGGCGCGGGGAGGAGGGGGCCTCGGAGACATAGAGGTCCTCGAGGGAGAGGGCAGAGGTGAGGGTCAAAAGAGAGGAGAGGAGAAGAGAGCGCATGATGAGATGCTTTAGATCCTGATTAGATCTTTGCTGACTGCTGATAGGGCTATTCTCTGGCATTATTCTCCCATTTTATACCCTTTGCTGGGCCAACGGCGTCCGACGACCCGGAATGCCCGGATCGTCAAACAAGACTTCTGCGGATGGACAGAAAGGTTCCGACATATCGCTGCCTACTATTGCCGGGGTTGCAGCGAACCGGACAACCAGGTTGAAGCCACAGGGCAGAATGCCCGAAGCCTGTCACCAGCCAAGAGTCACCGGCCATGACGAACGCCGTGGGTCGGATATCCCGAGAGGAGGGTTGGGATCACCGGTCCACTGCAGGAACTATTCAGGCTAAGAGGTGCAATCCTTGGCAAGAGCCGTCACGATATTCCAGCTGTCTGTCATCTGTTCGATGGGTGTTGCGTATCTCATATCTCAAAGGCACTCAGCAAGAACTTCATCACGAATAGCGTCCTTAAGTACTCACCTCCTCACAAACCCCCGCCAAAAAAGTGAGCAAGAAACCTGAAGAACCCACGACCTCCGATGTCGATCACTGTCGATCTTCCAGGGCCGAAAGCACCGGGTCGTCAATTCGGCATTCAAACGTGCAACCCAAATGAGTAAGCGGAAAACTGCACGTTTCCCCGTTTAGCGTCACCGACAGCACGCTATCTCAAATAGGACTTGACGACATGGATGCCTACTTGGTCCCTGCATTGTCTTTGCGCGAGGGACATTCCCCCCGAGGATCGAGAGGGGTAGATACCACATAGTAGACTGACAAGATAAGTTTGCTAAGCAGAAGCCAGTAGACCTGAACCTTTTATTAGAATCTTCTTACCACAAGACTACATTTTGAGACTGTTTTCCCGTCCAGCTAAATCCTAGTTTCTCCGTAGCGTAGGTAGGTAGCCTGCCGCCAAGCCCGCCTTGACGTGAAACGGCCGCCGGTTTCCTTTTCTCTCAATTAGTACGGAGTAAATAATCATCAGTATTAAATTACCCAAGTAGAAAGCCGTTTGCTTTTATTCATACCCTCAACTTATCCTCGAACAAAAGAAAAACAACCCGTGGTCGAAGAAGGTGCGGCAGGGAAAAAGAAAAAATACAAAAAGAAGAATGTCCCTGGGCGGGGTCGAACCGCCGATCTCAGTGATTCCTGTATGATAGAACCATAAGCACTATGCCTTAACCACTTGGCCACAGGGACAGCTGTTACATGTGGGGATCTTCTTACTATGGTTTATAACAGACAATTTTATTTTTACCTACCCTACGCCAGCCAGCCAGCCCGGTGGAGTTTGTTGTTGGGGATTAAGGTCTGTCTTTGTGTTACTTGGGTAGGGGTTGTTTGTTTAGTATTAGTGTTATTATTAGTATTGTGGGTTTTGCTAGTGTACACATATTAATTAGAGTGAGGTACGTAGGTAAACTTCTCACTGTGGTAATAAGAAAAAGAAAAAAGGAGGTCCGTCTCCGACCATAATACATATCCGAGCGACGCCTTAATTTCAACAGCGTTGATCTTGCTGTGAATACCCATCCACCACCATTCATCAGCTCGCGTCGGTGAAAGAAAAAGTCGAACACTACTACTCAGCTTTCCCACAGTGAGTAGACCGAGTCAATATTCTTTAGTCAAACCAAGTGTTAGTCTTCAAGTCAGTTTTGACAGGACGGGGGCCATCTACTTACCGAACACCTTCTGCTTTGCTAGCTAGCAAGCAAGCTAGGTAGCCAGCCGGGTAGTCTTGTACTGCACTTACTACGCAGGTCTACTCAATTCTCGGCACCTTATCAAGCAACTCGTTCATTGCTGCCACTCTGAAGTGGACCTGGTTCGCGTACTGTCCGATACCTCGCACCGTGACGAGAGTCTCCAAGTCCCTTCTCTCATACTCCTCGGCAGGGACGTCGCCACCAACGCAGCGCAAATAAAGCCCCATCACCCCGAAGTTTCTGCTATCGTGGGGGAACACGTAAGTGTCATAGTGACGGTTGATCGTGCGGTGAATTGATAGATCCCAGGGGTCGGTGCTATAGATTGTTAGCATTTCGTCTCGTCTCTTCCAAGTCAACTGCAACAACAACAACAACAACAACACAAACAAACAACAACAACACCAAAGACAGTCAGTGGGTGGGTGGGAGGGGGGGTACACACATGTTAAAGATCGCCGTCTCCGCCAAGACCTTATTCCAGACCATACCCACCGGCTTCACCATATCAAGGACGATTTGGCGCACGGGGACATTGGGACTGCAAGAAAACACAAAAGTCTCCTCATCGACTTCCAGAAATCCAACGGGATCTTCCACAACGACAATATTGAACTCCTTCAGCAGCTCCACGTCACTCTCCGTATACGCCGGGTCCTGGACCAAGATTTTAATGTCCGAGTTCCCGGTCTTTCTACGCAGGACATCGCGAAGCGTCAGGAGAAAGCCATGTTGGAAAGAAATCCTCTGCTTCTCAGGTAGACAGCCCTGGGGATTGACAATGCTATTGCACGCAAATCCAACTATCTTGGTCACGGGCCCGAAGAACTCGGGAAGAGACTCCAGAGTAGCACGGATGTGCCTGCAAGAGTTGGTGCTTTCCCAAGCATACAGAAAAGAGAGGAACTCTGCAAGGTTCGTCGTTAGCGGAGGATTGATGGTTTCATGGATGTACTGGCCGGTTTGGAGGGACCGGTATCGCAGACGGTGGTAGATGCGCATGTTGAGGTAGCCGAGGTGGGGGAAGTGGCCAGCAACGCCGTCGAGGCATTGAATGGGGAGATAGTCGATATAAGGCTTGCCTCTGGAGAGTGAAATGGTTAGTATGAGGATTATTAGGAGGATGAGAAAGGGGAAGGGGATGAGTACGCAACCAACGCCACGCCATCACGAATTTCCACGACTTCTCCAGTGCGGACCTTGAAGTCAACGAGCGAGCCATCGATACCCTTGATGGTGATGACTTCACCCGCCTTACGTTCTTGGATCTGCTTATACACGTTGCTGATTAGTTCCTTCTCAAAGAACGGCTTCCCGTCATCTTGAAGGTCGTGATAGAGAGACAAGCAGTCGACTGGCTCATCGGTCTCAGCAGCTGGAGACTCAGGAGACAATGCACTTTCGCACATTATCGCTTGAGGAAGTGAGTTCTGTGCCATGATTAATGACACTGTCGGGATACGGAAGTCGTGATCTGGAACAAGTGGAAAGAAGCTTGAACTTGAATGAGAAAAGTGTTTCGATAACACGGGAACAAATCATGGAAGATGTGTATGGCAGAAGAAGAGAAGTGAAAGGAGCGCGTGAAGGAAGAACTGGAAGGGAGAACTGTAAACAAGCTCGAGGACCATGTGGTTGTTTGCTCTTCTCGCTTATACAGGTCGAGTGAATCACGAAAAGCCTCGCTTTTGGTGACTTGACAAACAGGCCATAGTGAGTGTTCATCACGTGCCCGAGCTTGTTCATACAGGATGGTTTGCACCGGATGGGATGGTTTGATTGTGTGCACGTGCTGCTTCTTTAGAGAATTGTTCTGTAACTACCGCTAAATTGATACTGTTCCTCAGCGTGCTGCGATAGTCAAGATAAGTCCATTGCAGAGTAATATCTATGAGATATCTATATCTAGACGATTAATCACAGAGCCCAAGTACCGCATGAAGCAGATACATGAAAGACTGACTGTTCTCCTAAGACAATAGATCCCATCCCATCGACCACTGCTCCACCACGAATCAAGCAACATACTCCTCCACCACCTCCGCCCACGGACTCTGCTTCTCCCCATACATTATATCCGACAGCCACTTCTGCAGCACAAATGCATACGGCACCGCATCAACCGGAACATCCACCTCATGTGTACCATAAGTAATGCAAGAGACCGGGGCAATGAAACACGCAGTCCCTGCAGAGAACGCCCCACGGAGTCTTCCCTGATTAGCTGCATCAACGATATCATGAATAGTGAACCATTCCTCCAGCACCTCCAGAGGCTCCACAACCTGGCTCGACTCGTCTGGCATATTTACCTGAAGCGGACCATTGGAGAGCCTCTCCCGAGCCAGCTCCAAGATACTGCGGCGTGTCACACCAGGAAGAACCATTTGATCCTCGAGAGGCGCAGTGACCATCTGTAGTCCTCCATCCATGGTCTCCCAGATGACGAAGAAATTGGCAGCCCCTGCCTCTGTGACCTGGCAATCGGGACCAAAGAGCCACAAGACTTGGTCGTAGCCCAGCTTCTGGGCTTTGTTCTGCGCTTGCAGAGATGGGCCGTAGTTGGAGCCAACCTTCACATGGCCGGTCCCTCCAGGCCAGGCCCGGACCATATCCTCGGTGCTGGACCAGAGGCGCAGATTCTTTGGTTTACGGGATGGTTTGGCAGATGTGCTGAGCGCATATGATAGGACGATGTATAGAAGAGCTTCCTGTGGGGTGTTTATGCCCAAGCCCTCGCTCGTGCCGAGTAACGTTGGTCGGATGTACATGCACTGACCTCTTCGGTCTTTCGATAGCCATTTTGGAGCTTCAACGGCACAGATTGCGCGGATCAAGTGGAGTAGCTCGTTAGAATCGAATTGCGGCAAGCCGATACGCTTAGCAGAAGATAACATGCGTTCGCAGTTGAGATCTGGTCGGAAAAGTCGCAGTTTTCCGTCAAAGCCCCGGTAGATCTTCAGGCCTTCGAAGCATTGCGTAGAGTAGTGGAGTGTGTTTGCAATGGGCGGTATAGAAAGAGGGCCGTAGGGGACGAGACCTGGGCTTCCCCAGCCTTTCTCTGCAGTCCACCGTGCTTGTATCATATGGTCCGTACAGGTTTTGAAAGACGTAACACCAGGGGCATCTGGAGCTGGCAGTGGCTTGGGGTCCGATGAGAGGGTGATCTTAATGCGTGAAGCGAGAAGGTCCTTCCCATCCTTGTCTCCGTCGCACCCATTCGATGAAGGGATAAGGGGCCTCTTAGGACCTTTCGGGATGCTTTCGTCGGAGACGTCTGTGGTTCCATTTTCAGCGCCATGGGTTAGGCCATTGCTCGGGTCAGCCTTGACTTCCTTGACTGGTTTTGTGTCAGGACTTTTTGATTGTGTTTGCTCTTCCGTAGAATTCTTTGCAATCATGCTTCCAAGGAGTTGAAGCTCCTCAGTCCTGTCATCAGGCTGTGTGCAAATTTCAAGAAAGGCAAGCTTGTCAGGCTCTTCATCAACCCTGTTCAGGGCTGACTTGAGATCTCCCTGCGTCTTGACTTGCACAGAGAACATTGCTGGATTGCCCTCCAGGTCTTCCTCTTCCTTTCTAGCATAGGGATTATGAGACAAGGAATGAGGCTTTGCAGAAAAGACACTAGCCAATTTAGCATAATCCCAGTTGGCAATGTAGTTGTACGGTCCTTCATGTACGGCAGTCTAAGTCTGTTGTAAGCAAGGGTTCTGGAAATGTCTTCAAGACATACCTACCTCAATCTTGTACCCCAGATTATTAAACACAAAAATGACTGGATTGACCTTCTGACGAATCATGGTACTGAGCTCTTGTGCTGTCATCTGAAACCCTCCATCGCCGATGAGGATTATAGATCGACCACGCGTGCGACCAAGCTGAGATCCAAAACCAGCCGGCAAAGCCCATCCAATTGCGCAATACGGAAATTGCATTTGACAGTCTGCTCCAGGAGGGAGTAAAATGTGATTGGCAACAAACCAGGATTCTCCCGCGTCGCAGAACAAGGTATCATGCTCCTTGATAAGCTCCTGAATACCGCTCATGGTGCTCTTCAAAGTCACGGGTGCCTCTGGTGTCTCTGGCCCGTCAGGAGGCAAACAACCGAGCAGCGGCTTCGGTCGAGGAACAGATTCGCTCTTGGAATCCATGTCGGACTCGATCAAATGCGCTACCAATGTATGGATTTTCACTGGCTCAATGCGCTTTCCTTCGGGGAGTCTAACCCAATCTTTATCGACGCTGATAATGCGGTGTTTTTCCTGGTGAATGTCCACCCTAAAGGCATGAAGGTCGGACCAGTTGCCGCCAATAACTAGCCAAAGGTCTGAGTTCATGACGAAATGCTCGCCTTCCGGGTTGGTCATTCCAGACCAGAACTGACCACAGTACTGTGGATGGGACTCGTTGATGCAACGTCCGTCCGGTTGACAAAGAACCGCACACCCTAGCTTATCTGCTAGAAGCTCGACATGATCATGATGGAGAGACCGACGTGCAAGGCTTCCAAGTATAAGAACGGGATTGCGAGACGAGTTCCAAATGTCCGTAATTGTGTTCACAGCCTCATTTAGTATGTATGGGTCACCCCTCGCGGCAACCTTCCTGCTTAGTGGTGACGGGTGAGCACATGCAGCAGAAACAAGGTTATTGGGAACCTCAATATAGACTGGCAAGGACGAGTCAAGGCATTTGCCTATAGTGTCATCCAACAAATCCACAGCAGTCTCTGCGGAGTCCAAGCGGACAGATGCAGCTGTAACCCCCCGGAATGCGTCGAGGCCTTGGTCTTTGTTCCTCGTAGTAGGCGCGTGATGCAAAAAGCTGCCGCTATCTAGCATACTAGTCCCTGGGCAACCGGCGAGGACAATCAATTTGATATTTTGCGAACAGGCGCCTGACACGGCATTGAGAACGGACAAACTGCCTACAATGTAGGGCACCACGACAGCTGCAATACGGGTTGGTGAAAGGCGAGCGTATCCGTCTGCGGCATAGCCGGTGTTTAGCTCGTTGCAACATCCCACCATGCGAAGATTGGGATTCTTCAGAAGGCCATCCAAAAGAGAAAGATTGGAATCCCCTGGGGCTATTAGTGAACCATATTAGAAGATGCGGAGTCGAATATCTACCTGGTACAACGAAGTACTCGCGGATGCCCAACTCCTCCAACCGGTAGGCCAGGAATGTACCAATGTTGTAGTTATTTTGGTAGAAGGTTGGTTGAGGATTTGGTGGATTGACTGGCCTTTGATGCACGGAATTTGGAATTTTGATGACCGCCTCACCGAGCAATTGATCCCCATAGGATAAGGCTGCCTCAGGGGATATCTCCTTAGGGTTATCCCTCCGCACGGCTTTGAGGAATTGAGGAAGCTGATCAAGACCCAGGACATGGCATGGCTGGTAGAACCTCTTATTCACAAAAATACGCATGGCCTCTTCTATTTGTTCCCGAGTTTCCCCACAAGGAGACGCTTTTATTTGCGCCATCCTCGACATCAGATTTGAAACATCCACACCGACTGGGGCGCCTGGAGGCAAACCCATAACAACAATCGTTCCTCTTGGTCGCACATACTGATTTTGTCAGATACCCTTTCACTGAAAATCCATAGGTAACCAACCTGAAGTGCTCCTTTGAGAAGCGTTTCGGTTCCCTCGATCAAAATGACGGCATCAGTACCACAACCGGTAATCCTTTGGACTTCAACGGCGACATCCTTCGAGCTTCGGTAATCCAGGTAGAAATCGACGCCAATCTTCTGCTTGTATAGGAGCTCACTATTCTCTCCGCTAGATATGGCCAGGACTCGACAGCCACGGGCTTTGGCATATTGGCATGTCAAAGATCCTAGCCCACCCGGGGGTCCGACGATAGCTTGCGCCGGGTTAAAGCGATCCATATTATCTTGGCTTTGATGAACTTACCCACGATATCATCCGTCTTTGCATCACTTTCCTGCACAGCCCTGAAGCATGTAGTTCCAGCGCAAATAATCTGACTTAATCAGCGAGGCTCCACATATTCGACAAGCATGCCTTCACTTACCGGGGCTACAGTATCAAGAGGAAACTGTTTCGGGATGCGCACAGCATGACAGGCTTGAGTGATACAGTATTCACCAAATGTTCCATCAACTGAGTACCCGGTCATCCGAGCGTGTGGGCATGAGGCAAAGTCCAACCGTTTATCTGCGTCACAAATTCCGCAGGTTTTGTTGATCCACTGAGAGTCTTAAAAGAGATATTTATAGAGGGAGAATGGCTGAATTACCTGAACCCCAACATGATCACCCTTCTTAATATCATTGACGTCGTTTCCGATGGCTGTAACAACTCCTGTGCCCTCGTGGCCATCTTTCGTTGTTCGAAGTCAGCATACCAGGGGTATAATCTCAACGGATTGCAGGCCTATATACCAACGCGATGTCGTTTCCTAGTAGACGAGTTCCCTATGCTAGTTAAAATCGGGTGTACGTGTGCTCAGCCTGGATGAGGCCCACCTTTCCATGAATGAAGGGAAGAGTGACAGAGGCCAGAGAATTTCAGGTTGACCAACACCTCGTCCGGACCGGGAGACAAAGCGGTATGGGCTCTGTGGTCTCGATCTAAGCTTTCAGAAGATGCGCTTAGACGATCGGTACTCAAAGAGAGGACAAAGCTCACTGGATATTTGATGTTGTTCGAGTGCCTGACTGTAAAGCATCGTTTGTGTTTGGGCCATGGTTGCTCGGGCATTCACTTATGCCTCTGAAGAAAAGCGTGTGGTAGAGAGATGAAACGAAAGCCAGGTATACAAAATCGTGAATGCTAATTCCACTTAACCAAACATGCTGAAATATCTTCGACCTATCGTTTCCCCGACGGTAGGCGCGCTTTTATAAACCCAGCAGAGACATGGGTGCTGCCCACCAACCGCATACTGCTTGTACTTTACTTAAACTCAAAGCGACGATTTCGTCCCAGAACTTTATGCTTCTCAGGAACCTGGCACTCGTAGAGCATGTGAATAAAATGAGGAAAGAGTCTACCGACCGAAGAGACCAGAGACCAGAGACCATGGGTACGCCTGGTTACATCATCAGCGAGAATTAAAGTCACAAACGATGAGTGGATGGGAGAGATCCCACGTGCCAGATACAGGATGGGCATCAACCCAATCGGATAGACCTAAACTTCAACCTCATATAGCAAGAATATAACTATCCGAAGGATATTTTTCGGTGATTCTAAAGGCATAATGTGCCTTATAGCAGGCTGTCTGGTCACACTTCATTGGACCTTGACCAAGAAAATTTGATTAGATCGCGCCTGGGCCTAGATCGTCGTCTTGTGGAGCCTTTTCATGGGGTGCCTGGGCCAGTCGTCTGACACACTGACGTCTATTTCTCCAAAACAGAAACTACTCCATTGCTGAATAGTGACGTATTGCCACAAAGCTGAATATTATTCCGAGTTTAACACATGCTCATGCATCATGTGACAATAATAGCCACTGTTGATGAAAGCTCTAGACTGGTGTGCAGCATCGTTCTCTAAAAATGTAAGTACTGCAGGTAGTTGTCATCGCAAGAGACATGCGGTGACCCATCTGTTTGTTCCATGTTGGCACAAGAAAAGTCCGCCAACCAGATCGGGAAACTTAATCTGAATGCAAAGTTGGACTCCTGATTCAGGCTTTACCTGCTACGTGTCAGCCACCAGGAGGAAAGTTCGTACCCCTTGGCACGCGAAAGCTTTTCCCTCCAAATGGGTTACCGCTGGGACAATCACCAGCTGGGCACGGGAGATCTTGCGAAAGATTTACAAGCATGTCTGTTGCCAATTTTGCCTTTAATACGAGAGTAGAGATGTCTGGTATCACTTTCGCCAGAGGTGATTGACGTGAATGGTACCAACGGCAAGTAGATTTTACTTTCATATGCCATGGTAATTGTGGTCGACTCATCGACTACCATGGGTAGTTGTTCAATCCGATGACTGGTTCCCAGCCAACTTCTCCCGCGTGGAAGCCAAGGAATTGAGCTGTCAGAACCCGAATATCTGGAAGACCTTGCGTCACCGACAAAGTCTATGCCCGAACAGTGATTCTCTCTGCAGCTTATCTAGATATAGCTAATCTGGAAGCACAGGGACATACAACCCACCAAATATTGGCATGAGAAGCACACAAATGCCTCAGTCGAAGACTCAGGTATAGATGCAGGCAATTGCATATCCGTGACTAACATCGATGAGGGCTTTTGGCATGATTAGGCTGCCCTGCAGGGCGGCATGGGATGACTCAACGATCTACAGCACCAGAGAGCAAGTCAGTTTGTGAGACGTAACAAGGCGGAATTCGCACTTAACTCTAGCCCAGTAACAGAAGTGTTGAGACAGGGATCCTCCTGGCATCAAGTTATAGGCCTGCGATCGCGGAGGTGCGGGGACCGACGTGGTACGACTGCTCCATTCTTGGGGTCTCGGAGCGCCCTCCGGCGATTAGTGACTTGCGGCACTTGCCGACTACCGAGAAAGGGAGCCCCAGAGTGAGCCAATCATGCGCCAGAGATCCACTGCGGATCTCCACTATCCGAGATGTGCTCTTTTTTTTTCTGCAGCACGCCAAACCCTCAGATACCCAATATGCAGTGCTTGGTAATCGGTTTGGGCTGTAGGACTTTCCTATGTCCCCCTTGGCTTCCCTTTATACCCCTGCGATATAATCTGTACTCTAGAGAGGCTTTCCCTATACCCCTTTGTGGCCTGTAACGCAGCTCGCTGAACATACCATCCACGCACAGGGAATGGCGGATATTGAACCTCATGCTCGCCCCAGCCTTGACCGGGGGGCGCAAACAACTCTCGAGAAGTCGGCCTCCCAAGTAATAGAAAGAGAAGAGCAAGATGATTTCCTCGACGAGAAATTCCCAGAGGGAGGCCTTCGCGCTTGGCTTGTGGTTCTGGGATCATGGTGTGCAATGGTTCCATCCATGGGCCTTTTGAATACCATTTCGGTCCTTCACGCGTGGACCTCGACACACCAGCTCGCGAATTATTCCGATTCCAGTGTTGGGTGGATCTTTGGCGTCTTCAGCTTCTTCCTGTATTTTGCGGGGGCCCAAGTGGGTATGTCATCCATCCGCGATATTTTTATAGACAGCAGCTTATACTTTGGTATCAATAGGTCCGATTTTTGATAGCCGTGGCCCGCTGCCAGTGGTAGTTCCCGGATCTATCGGCTTGGTGGTCGCTGTTTTCTGTTTCAGTGCAAGCACAGGTAAGCCTTATCCACAAGCATTATCGAAGAATTCCACTAACGTATAGAAGAATACTACCAAATCATGCTCTCATTCAGTGTGCTTGGCGGCCTCTCATCTTGCTGCCTCTTCACACCTGCTATCGCCGCTATTGGTCACTGGTTCAATGTCCGCCGTGGCCTCGCCACCGGAATCGCTTGTACGGCCGGCGGACTCGGGGGCGTTTTCTTCCCCCTAATCATACTCTATATCGCCCCGAAACTCGGATTTGCCTGGGCCCTGCGCATTATCGGAATTATCTGTTTCGTCCTTTGCGGCTTTGCGTGCCTCTTATTGAAGACACGTCTTAAACCCGACGCGAAGCGCGGCATGGCGATCGACCTTCACGCCCTCCGAGAGCCCAACTACGCACTGACCACACTCGCTGTCTGGCTGGTCGAATTCGCAGTATTCGTCCCATACACCTATATCTGCTCATACGGACTGTATGCCAACATCGGCGAGTCCCTCTCATACAAGCTAGGTATCTTCCTCAACGTCGGAGCCATCCCAGGACGTGCATTCCCTGGACTCCTCGCGGATCGAATTGGGCGGTTCAACGTCATGGCATTGACAGCGCTAGTATGCGGCATTATGACTCTTGCATTGTGGTACAAGGCTGGTACAAGTGATGCCGCCATCATCGCATATGCGGTTCTGTTCGGCTTCTGGAGTGGTGCGGCCATCAGCTTGACGCCTGTGTGTATCGCGCAGGTGTGTCGGACGGAGGATATCGGCAAGAGGAATGGGACGACCTTTACGCTGGTTAGCTTTGGAACCCTGACTGCTATTCCCATCGCAGGAGCGATTCAAGAGAGCAATGGGGGAGAGTTCTGGGGGTTGATCATCTTTGGAGGGGTGTTGTACCTTGCGGCGTGTGCTGCGTTTGTGGTTGCGAGGGGAGTTGCAGGGGGTTGGGGGATGAGGGTCAAATTTTAGAAGATAATAGAGAGGGAATATAGACACCTGATATAGGCTACCCATGATGGCAGAGATGGCGACTGTGGGTCTTGATTGTCGATGCCGAAATTTTTGCTGCCGGTGTGAGGTTGAGAGGATTCCACCGCTCCCTAGCACAGTCTCGTGACGTTGGTTTCTGCCTTAACAATTCAATGACTACTCCCCGTGATACGTCCACTCAGCTATCTAAATTTCTGTGGTAAGTTATGACTACACATGAGATCACCTTTTCATCGAAGCAAACAATCGAGAATCATCTCTCAAACTTTCCCGACAAAGATGCAACCAGGACATAATCAATGCCCTGTGAGGCAAAAAGTCCTCGAAAAACGACAAGAGGTACCCACAAGCCAAGTGGGTATAGTCTACATTAGGATGATATGAGACGTTACCTTGTGGCATCCTAAACTATTTGCCCAGAATCACTACAGGTGTAGCTATATCTCGATCAGTTATATCGTTTCGGCTGCATTCCACCAGCTTCTCCTTTTCTCATAGCGGGATTCTGATAACTTTCCCCCTATATTCATATTGTTTGATTGGTTGATGAGCTGGCATAGCACGATCGAAAGTCCGACAAAGCTTGGCAATTGCCGTCGTGTTCGTAGAGGATAGGGCCTGTGCAACTGGCGCATTGCTTCATCTTGCTTTCTTTGTTAGCATGACGCCTCCATTGGTCACAGCTTCACTTACGAAGAGATACCACTGCTCACCGCTTCATCGGTTCCAGCCGACTGGGGAACTAGGGTTAAGTCCGAGGAGAGCATGATTGGTAAGCCATAAATCGAACAAAGAACTGTATGTTTGACAACACACGACGTCAGAGTAAGGGGAATAGCCAAAGTCCAGACCAGGCCCCGTAAAGCATATAAGCCCTCCCGTACTACCTGGCATCGAATTCTCTACCATCCCAACAGCAATCGCATCCAATTCCTTACCGTACCATACTCACCACCACGATGTCCACCCCTTCACAAAAGACCATCACCATAATCGGCGCCACCGGCACGCAAGGCTCCTCTGTGGCGCGGACATTCCTCTCTCTCTCCAACTGGCGCGTCCGCTGCATCACCCGTACCACCACCTCTCCGCGTGCAACCGCTCTCTCCGCTCTCGGCGCGACCCTCATCCAAGCGGACCTGAACGACCTCTTCTCCCTCAAAACTGCCTTCGCCAACACGCACGCCATCTTCGTAAACACTGATTTCTGGGGCCTTTATCGCGCAACCTCCCCATCCAAGGACGCCAGCCACTCCGCCTACGCCAAAGAAATCCAACAAGGAAAAAACGCGGCCCTTGCTGCATCCACTATCCCAACCCTGGAACGATACATTTATTCTGCTCTCGGGCCGATGAAGAAGCATTCGGGGGGAAAGTATCCGCACTCGTATCATTGGGACGCAAAGGCAGAGATTGTAGAATTCATTGAGAGGAAACTGCCCGGATTGGCGGAACGGACTTCGTGTATTTGGGTGTGTATGTCTCGAATCCGCTGTTTATGCCGAGGGTGGATGCTCAGGGGAAGTTGAAGTTTGTGATTCCGTTGGGGAGGGGTGTGAAGGTGCCGGTTGTGGATGCGGGGAGGGTGACGGGGGGTTTTGTGAGGACATTGGTGGAGGAGGAAAGGCCGGGGTGAAGTTGTTGGCGTGTTGTGCGTGGTTGGAGGTGAAAGAGATGGTAAATGTTTGGACGAGGGTGACGGGGGGGGAGGCCGAGGTGGTAGAGGTGACGCCGGAGTGGATGAACAAAGAGCTGGGGGTTCCGATGGAGGTCTTGGATGCGCCGGCTTTCATTGAAGAGATGAGGTATATGGGGGGTGTGAAGGGATGGATTGAGCCCGGAGAGTTGAGTGAGAGATGGCAAAAGTGGTCGTTTGAGGAGTGGTTGAGAGGTGAAGATTGGGAGGGTATTTTGAGGGCTGGAATGGAGGAGTTGGAAGGGGTGAGCAGGAGCTGAGGGCTGTGTGAGACTGGATAGAAATTGGGCTCTTGTCTTTTGGAAATAATAAAGGACATATACCTAGAGAATGCCATATCAGGAAGCAAAAAGCGTTCTTCCAAGTTTGGTTGGTCAACAGATCAATACTTCTTATGACTAGTCCAGAATTAGGATGGTGACGACCCCAAGACAGACTATCCGCCCTTGCACTCGAACCAGGAAAGATCTTGGATGTGACACAGAAAACCGCAATTGAGGTAGAATGGGCTCATCAGTACACTCGTCACTCTCTGCTTATTCCGGTTTGTAGATATCCAAGCCAGTGGGTCAAAAGATACCAAGTTTGGTCAAGTTATAGATAGTAGCGACACATGATATACGATCGGAGGTACTCCCCAGGAGTCCATACCAGTTCTCTGTTTGCTGCCTTAGGCATAACAGTTGGTCGCGCTGCTCGGCTCCGCACATTACTTGGAATGTTGTTGTTTGGAAGCATAATAAGGCAATAATCCGTAGGACGCATTAGTAACAGCTCCTCGTTTGCTGATTATGGACACATATGCCCACCATGAGGCTTTTTTCCGACGATAAGCTGGCAGTCGTATACTGACTCGTGTTGTTTGAAGGACTGGGCGTGATGCACCAGGTAGACAGAGGCAAATTTCATAGTGCAGAGGCAGTGTAGCCGGGTATTTCCGGAAACGCGCTGTAGCCGAAGCAATTTACTTACTGCAGTAGCAAGTTTCCATAAAATTGTCTTCGAAGGAAGGATCACCGGCCCAGTCCTTTCCTGAGTCTGGGAAGACATCAATAGAGGCGTGATAGGAACCGTCGAAGGGCCTCCGGAGCTTGTAGTTTTCATACGGTGTTTCCTCTTCTAGACCGGAGTTTCTCGATTCAGAGAGGCACAGTTCACTCTGCTGCACGGGATGTGAGTCCACGCGCTAGTCCAGTGGCGCAGGACTGCACGTCCGAATCGTTGACTAATGCAAGCGCAAATGCAGCCCATTTTCCTCGTTTCACCTGCCCGCCTATGCAGACAGCCACATTGGATAAGTTACACCCGGAGTACCCGTTCGTCCCAGGCGCACCCTCGAATATGGAGTATTGGAAGCCTGGCGTCAGGAAAAGGTGCATCGGCCCATGACACATCCCGGAGAGCATCTGACAGTCCTATATCGTGGACTTAACTCTCGAACTGGACAAACGAGACACCCGCAGGCGGTGGGTGGAGCATCGTAACCGTATGACTCGAATATCTTTACCATAACAAACGTAATGCCGCTTGTATCCAGGTTTTCGGTGGCCCCGATTGGTGGATAGGAGTAAACCGGGAGCATCGCAAGTGGGTGTCTCTTCCTGACCGGGAGAAAAAGAAACGAGCGCAAACAGTGCTACCAGCCTCGTAAGCTGCAATAGGCTTCATTCTATGGGTGGGGGCAGATATCAACCCGCTGCCTGACCTCCCATGCCGACGAATTCATTGTTGGTGTTGAGCTCGACTGTGATACGTGCGCAAGGGTCTAATGGTGGGTAAGCAGTACGGGCAGAACCTGTAGCGTTGAGTTTGTGAGTACCCTGTTATCCGGATTGGGGGTCTGCTCATGCAAATCTCGAGAGCGAAAACTCTTACCTGCACTAGTGATCGAGGGCGAGGGTTCTGGTCACTAGAGAGTAGACGCTGGGGCGTCTCAGGCCGCCAGAGGTGTAGGAACAGCGTGGCCGAGCAGTCTGAGGACCTTGAGTGACGGCCGGACATGTGAGTGCCACCAAGGTGCTCATGCTCTCAAGGTGCTCATTCCCCTCTTATATTTTAAGGATCCCATCTTGAGCACGCGCAAAATAATTTCTCTTGACCTTCCCTTCCCTTTGGTCATGAATGCTGCTTTTCGCCCCCCTGGAAGGTGTCCCCAAGATGACGGGGATGAAGGAGGATGATCAGCACTCGTCGACCCGTGATGAGAACCCGCTCCAGATGGCGGCCGCCTGGCCTTTAGCGTGCTCCGGTCTGGCCGGTGGTGGGGAAGCGAGGTCAGGCAACGATACCTAGTCAAGGTCTACTAACACCTGCTACGAGATGGAATTACTACTCGTTCTGTAACTCGCCGCCCAGCTGCCTCCCCCCACAGCCACCCGAGCTAAGTGAGGGGTCATCGTCATGCTCGATGCGCTGTGGGATGGTCAGGACGCGCGGAAAGCGCAAGAAAATGGGACGACTGATCAAACTGGTTGCTCAGAAAAGACATAAATAGGGCTTCTTTCCTCCTGGTTACTGATTTTTCTACCATCATCAAGCTCCAGTTCCTCAAGCGAAAGCAAAGTCTACAAATCTCAAACCACTTTTGTACCTCTTACCGGTTTCAACCAATCTCTGCCAAAATGTCTCCCTGCTCCTGCAACTGCTGCTCTGGCAACTGCGCCAGCTGCTCTTGCTCCTCCTGCAGCGTGAGTCTCCCGTATCCCAGTCTCGTTTGCTGCTCTGAAGCGTGCCAATCTGACATGGTGATTAGCACTAAGGGCTGCCATTCCTCGCTCCCCGGCCGAATTACCACCGTGCCCCGGCCATCTATGCCAACACCACCGATTTCAGGTTGCATCTCGGGCCTGGAGACAATGTTCTAGGGTATATTGGGAAGGTTGATCGAGATGGAAGGTCCGTTAAGGGGGAGTAATTTGTAATGTGAATGAGATTATGGGTCTATTAGTCTTTTTATCACGTCACCTACGGTAATGATCAAGGTGCTGTACGCTCAATAGAAGACTTTTTGGAGGAAAGCTTGGCTATGCATCGATCTGTAGGGAATCAGCATACGTAGGAATCTTCCGAACAGAACCAAAGCCACACGCACGGTGGAGATGCACATGTCGGATGCATGCAGTGGAACGTTGTATAGAACTCCACATGCCATGATGTCAATCTTATTTTAACCTTCATAAGATGAAAGTTCAGGAATCTCATGGCCATTGTCTCCACCCTTTCCAGCTTCGCGTATTTTTTTCTCCAAACCAAGAGCCTAGCAATTGAAACCCTTCGAGGCGCCGCTACCCATAGGACAAGAAATAAGCGCAATGTGGAGCGCGAACCAACAGATGTTCCACTTCCATCTCCCGATCATTATATTGCAATCTTGGCAGGCAGTCTCTCGATCGCTTACGAGATGAACTGCACGCTGTCGGTCACATCCGCGTCAGCACTTTTCCCTAAGGGAAAGCTACAGTGCGACTGGCATTGACGGTTCCATGGAGGCTAGTATTCCTGTGAGATTGAAATAGGGGTCTAGCGACAGTGGGTTCTTTGCAGCATACATCTGCCGGTGGCGCACTTGATTAGGCTAGATTTGGCTCGATCTGATATGATGATATTGCGTGGTTATACCAGACAACGTCAAATGTTGCACAGTCCATCATGTTTCTCATAGCAGCTCCTGGTCACGTTATATGCGACGATGGATACCTGTTGAGCACATGGTAAGCTATGGTGGTGGAGCAAGAACCACTTGGTTCAAATTACCTGGCTGCTGTACCAGAGGGGCTAGTCAAGAAAGAAACGAACCTTGCTGTGAGACATGGGGCTAAAATGGTGGCAATATTATCAAGGAAGAGTAACTAGCAAGGAGGAGAACAGGTGCCCACTAGATATTGGTAGTAGGACTGATAATACAGATTTCCGAGCGATCTATTGGTCTGTCGCGCTTGACGGGCATCCGCGAAGTGTTTCGGTTCCTGGCCGGTAAAGCTACTTACTTAGTACATGACAAGCGCCGGAAAACGTCCATTATTGACAAGATCGGGTACTCTTGCCAGGTCCTCGTAGAATTAAATTTACGTTATCCTGAACAGAATCTTGAGTACCTGCTGGTCACAGGGAGCTGAAAGGATGGGATCCGTTATCACGGCGGAATCCGGGCATGGGCAGCAAACAGGCACACCAAACATGCGGCTAGAGGGGGGAGAAATGGATCGGGCCAACCGGTGGCGTGAACGGCGTGGGCGAGGGACCTTAGTGGAGGGGCTAGACTCCGTTTCGTCTCCTCCGCCGCCGAGCCGGTCCTGTCTTCCCCACTGCTATCCACGTCTGCCACTGCCACTGCCATCCTCTCCTCATCATTACCAACATGCTGTATCCACTGTTTTCCATCAAGGTCCCTGTCTCTTCGTTTCCCTCTCCTGATGCGGTTTCCAGCCTGGGGACGATGATGGTGTGATGTGCTGCAATTTGGTGATGCTCGTACGTGGTTCTCTTCCGAGGCGACGGGAAACACTGCTTTCTTCACTCAGGTCGCAAAATAACTTCGCTGGGGGATGTTGCAGGACGTGGAGGGTGCATTGCCATGGATTCATCAATTGGCTATCACTGGCAAAAGCAACCAAGAATCCCTGGTGAAAGAACGAGTCAGCGGCGAGCTATGGCTTAGTGTCGGAAGCCGTCTGCGCGCGCTCTCAAGGTCCTCACTGGGAAAATCTCTGACCTTCCCCTCAATTATATAAGACCCTGACGCAACGATGTGCCAAACAAAGGAATTGATCAGAGCCATCTACATCACTTCTAACTTCTTCCTCTTTTCTCCCGACTAATTCTTGCCCCAAGTTCAAAATGTCGTTCAACCCTAACGATGTCGACCTCGATACAGCCGACCCGACTCAGATCATCTGCTATCTCAACAAGTCGGAAAATGAGTACAACGGCCACCTGGGCGCCCGTATCTCGGCCATCTTCGTCATCTTTGTCGTTTCAACTGCAGTGACCTTCTTCCCAGTCATCGCCAAGCGGATTCCCAGGCTTCACATCCCACTCTACGTCTACCTCTTCGCTCGTTACTTCGGTGCAGGTGTCATTATCGCAACCGCCTTCATCCACCTTCTGGACCCCGCATATTCCGAGATCGGCCCGCAGACATGTGTCGGCATGACCGGGAACTGGGCCATTTACTCCTGGTGCCCTGCGATCGTCCTGACCTCGCTCATGTGCATCTTCCTTTTGGACTTTGGTGCCGAGCGTTATGTTGAAGTCAAGTATGGCCTCTGCAGGGAGGACCCGGAACCGATCATGACGAGCGCAGTCGACAACTCTACAGTGGAAAAGTCGTCGGCGGGAAATACCCGGAAGGGCGAAACGGACGTGGAGGAGTTGTCGCAGAGTGACACCTTGATCGAGAGATCTTTCAGGCAGCAGATCACCGCTTTCCTCATTCTCGAGTTCGGTGTCATCTTCCACTCCGTCATCATCGGTCTGAACCTGGGAGTTACGGGTAGTGAGTTCGCAACACTCTACCCGGTCCTTGTCTTCCACCAGTCGTTCGAGGGTCTGGGTATCGGAGCTCGTATGTCAGCCATCCCTTTCCGCAAGGGCAGCTGGCTGCCCTGGGTCCTCTGTGCGCTGTACGGCTTGACCACGCCCATCTCGGTCGCTATTGGTTTGGGTGTTAGAACCACGTACAACTCTGGCTCGTTCACAGCCAACGTGGTCTCCGGTGTCCTGGACTCTGTCTCCGCCGGTATTCTGATCTACACTGGTCTAGTCGAGCTGTTGGCCAGAGATTTTATCTTCGACCCTCACCGCACCCAAGACAACAAGCGACTGGCCTTTATGGTCATCACCATGCTCTGGGGTGCCGGTATCATGGCGCTTCTCGGCAAGTGGGCCTAAGCTGGTGGTGTCGTTACAAAACCATGTACTGTGTATAGATGTCTACCCTTGTGGCTTCCTTGCGGTGCTACCTGGTCCTGCTGTTCTCAAGATATCCATTGCTTCCGACTTTGCTTTTTATGCTCATAACACATCGCTTTGCTGTTCGAATACCCTTCTCATTCTGTGATCACATTTTCATCTACGCACATACCATAATACAGATTAGCTGAACAAATTGCTGAATATTGCTATACAAAACATCTTTCTATTCCAATGATTTTAAACCCTGCACATGTATACTGTACGACGGAACATGACGCGATACTTTTTAGGACCATCTCACTACTCGACCCCAACAGTATCCAAAGAACCTTAAGCAGGGCGATCGCGTATACTTTTTCTCTTAACGAATAAGCTATCCACTGAACACATGACAGTTCAACGTACCCTAAACTCCAACACATAAACCTAGAAGAAAAGGAAATGATTCACCAACCCATAAAAATCCACCCCTTGGTCGAAGCCCAAAATGACACCGGTGTCTGCTACAACCATACCTCCATCTACCCTACCGCTTAATTAAACAGCCTACTATACAAAACCCAAATCTTTATCTACAGGCTATGCTATAAAAACAACTTCGAAGCATTCACAAAGTATCTCACAGAACCTCACGCAGGGTCTTACGCAGGTTCACACGGGGTAAGATAGAAGTCCATAGAGAGAAAGTTAGTGGCCTAAGGCACACACAACCTTTCCCGCCTTAGGTATAAACATAATGCCTTAGACATCTATCTTAAGCGGTGAAGATTCATTTTATACCTTTCCTAATATGGTAAGCGGGGTAAGCAGAAATGGATCCATACTATAAACATCCTACCCTTTGTTATGAAGGAGACGTCTTATATAAGTACATCTATGAGTACAAAAGAGAGTCGAGCACTTATCATAATCATCTCATAAAACAAACCACTTCATCAGATTAAACACAAAACAAAACCAACCCTTCCTTAGACAATGGCAGCATATCTCTCCCTACCCGCATTCGAAGTCCTGATCGACTCGGTAGAAAATGACCCCACATGCACAAACGCAATCAAAGCTCTAACCAACGGCATCCTAAATTACTATTTCCCCATCACGGACGGGTGGATCGTGGCCCCCGAGGCCAAAAAAGATACGATCGGGGAGTTTATGGTGTTTCGCGTCAAGCGGCGATATCCTGGTGGTCGGAGCTTTGTTGATCATATTGTCGCTGAAGCAAGGAAGGCGGTTGATGGTTCTTTCGATCAGATGAGATTAGCTCTGGAGAAGTCTAGCCCTGAAGCTGGGCGGTGCTGGGGTGTTTATTTCCACGGTGTCAATGTTGAGTTTTTTGAATATCATAGGGATATTCAGGGGCTGATTCCATGGTGTCTGGCGCAGCCAACGAGGAAGGTATTTCATGTGCGAAATGATAGTCGGGTAGTTGATGAAATGATGCGATGTATGAGTCAACAAGCTCGTGAGTCTACTATGTCACTAGTATTTTAGAATGAGGTTGTTAGGAGGAAGAGGTGGGGGGAGGTAATTGCTTTTATTTGATTTTGTATGTTAGAGAGTAATGTAACCCGAAATTATGCACACTGTATTTTCTGTTTTCTCCTTCCTCACTTTTCCCGGCTGTGCATGTTGAGATCCCAGTCCTCGTCTGCTTCATCCAGAGACCGTCAAAAGCATTGAGGCCATTCATCGTTAAAACCCATAAGCCAGTCCAGAGAAAGCGTCCCCGAACGAAAGGGTGTATCTTATTTGCCAGATTGGACCTCCAACTTGAGATGTATCCTCTACATCACGGCCCGAAGTAAATAATTGGAGGCTCCTATTAACACCATTGATGGTGATGTTGCAGGATGGTCTGCTAAAGCCATAAGCTATAGAGACCATTCCTGTCATTGGAATGCCACCTGGCTTAGGATGTTCGCAAGTGTAACAGACGTACTTAGTACTAGACGCTTGGAGACTTAGACCAAGACACGTTCTGTGATACCACTTATAGCAAGTCGAGCAAAAAAAGCCTTCTGTATCAGGTTGGTCCCAAATGCCACAGCATGGTATTGATCGGTCGAAGTCTCGAACTCGCAAGTTACTGGAATGCCTTCCAGGCGAGTAGTACGATTCAGTTAGATACGAAAATGCCTGGGCGGCCGATACAATATCTCTCTGCGATAAGTGTTCAAGTATCATATCAAGAATTTCGTTCGGGAGGTGGGGGAGCCTTGACTTAGGCAGTGGCTTCCAAGCGGCCGAAGATAGAATTGATGTTAAAACTCGAGACCCAGGCTTAGGATAGTCTGGTGCACAGTTGCGAATGAGAGGGATAACAGGGGTCAATTTAACAGGTCCAGAGGATATTTCGATGAGCCTTATATCATAGTAAACCATGAGGATCATATGCGTAACATGGCTCCTGTGCGGGTTACGGGGCAAGTACCATTGCGCCTTTTTGATGGCCACACCAATAGCATTAATATCCTCATGTAGGACGATGAGGAAGCCATGGAACCAGAACACGTCGGATGAGGGAGCTGGCCATGTCGGGTGGTGAACAATGGTCACTTCTTTACCCTTGAGGTTGTAATTGGGCACCTGCACTTCGACATCCCATGCTGCGATGCGTAGGACAACAATAGATAGGGAACGATACAGAGGGGTTACTCTTTTCTTTCTCGGCGCTTCGTTCCAATTCTGCCCCCACTTGGCGATGAAGTCATTCATAAACAATAACTGCAGCTCGTTCAAAGACGTGGGCTTTCTCATATTGATTGTTAGATGTTCGTATATCAGTGTTTGGGTTCCGTTGTCGTCGTCGAAGTTCTGGGGGAAGAAAACACCATGGAAAGACTCAAGAGCCAATTCTGGTGTAAATGTATCGCCCGTTGGAAGATTTGTCAAGGTAGTTCGTCGAAACAGGGTTGAATCCCCGCCTTCATCCACATCCACAGCCCATCGGTCAACCGTGAAGAGTCCCAGATCCTTGTCAACGAGGTATGCGGAGCCTAGGTTGATATCAAGAGGACTGGGATAAGGTACACATTCCCATCCATCATAAATTGTTAGACAAATAAGTTCCCTGATGTTTTCCTTAACCTCGGGACGTCCTGGTTGGGCTAAGGTGTTCTGATATGAACGGTACCATTTCCCTACGGATGTTAACCAGGTGAAGTAGGTGCTGAGTTCCTTTTGATCTGATTCTTACCATCCTCACGTATGTTCAACACATGCCTTCAAGACATCGTAATAAGGCACACTGAGCACGACGAAGGCAGAGAAAGGCAGAATATCTCCGCTACCTAGGTAGTCTGAATGAGATGAGGTGGTGAGGTTGTGATGGAGGGGCTTGTATAACCCCGGAACAGGTTCATCCGGTCCGATGGCGTCATGCTCTATACCATCTTATGGTGATTGGCCTTAGGCTATAAGAATCAGGTAAGCATTACATTGCATGGGTTCTCCGCTTTCAGTGTAGACTGTCCCGAGTTTACCCCAGAGTGAGTGACAGCAACACAAACTAGTATATGGCTCAACGGAGCAAACCATCATCTAGCAAAGAGCCGCATCCAGGAAACTCCGAGTGGCTCTTCAGCCAAGCCGGCGGTTCCAGCGCTAGTCTCGGCTAATCCGTATGCAGTTGGTCGGCGTACGTATACCTTGGGTTATACGAGTCATAGAACAACAGGATCAAGGCATCTGGCCCACTATTGGATCTTTTTGGACCCCAAAGCTCCAGGAATCTAGAATGAGGCAGTAGCCTGTGGTGGGGCGAACTATGGATGAATGAACTTCCATAACTAAGGACTTGGATTATAAAAGGTGGATCGTTCCTCGCAATCTCAGTTCCCAATTACTCACTCAATATCCCTGGAGAGTTTGAAAATGAAGTCGTCTATTGTCTCCGCTTTGGCTCTTGCCCTTGGTGCCTTTGCCACCCCGTCTGCCAAGGTCGATTCTAGTCTGGAGAAGCGTAATCCTACCGGATCTTTCAGTTTGTATGCCTGGGGTGTGGCCTCTCGCGGACTGAAGTTCTTCTACTCTGATGGTATTTTTTTCTCTGCTCCAAAGGAATACTGCTAACTTGAGCATAGGTCTTGCGTATGCCGGTGATTCATCCCTCTGGCCTTATGGATCTGTCACTACCGATGTCACCTGTTAGTCTATTTCTCTCGAATTCAAATAATTTCTAACCGCACTCACAGTTGTGATCACCGACACTGAGTTGGTAACCACTGCCACCACTGATGGCGTCACTCTCGACTCCGATACTCTGTTCTATATCCGCCCGACCGCAGACGAGATCCTGCCTGTTGGTTTCACCGGCTACGGAATTGACACTCCCTCTGATGCTGCTACGGATAGCTTCATCTTCTATGGTTCCTATCTCATGTGGGAGGAGTCGTCGGGCGAGTTGTCTGATGTTTTCCGTCTGAAGGAAACGAACGTCTCGGACGTGTATCAAGTTTACTGGGATACTTCAAGTTTGGATGAGAGTGGATACTACTATCCTACTGTCAAGGATACTGCTCCTTCTGATTAGATGCTGGGTTAGCTAGAGTGAACTGTGTCTGGGTTTTGTTCTCTATGACATGTGCAGTAATACACCATAGTCTGTGAAGGCTCTGATGATAATTTAACTCCTGTCATGATGTTGAGGAATTATTCCAGGGTAGAATGGATAGATATGAATCGATCTAATAGAACTTTTGAGACATTAATATCCCCACATGCTAATGAATACCAACGGCAATTTACAAAAACTGGCGTATCCTATATGACTTCAGTCACTATATTTCTCCAATGATCAACGATGCAATTTTTTATCAGACACCTCAATAAAACAAAACCAATCTTTCTATTTTAAGAACTAGACAAAACCTTATACGCCCACCATGCAACCAATTGCACCCTCACTTCGCCAAAGCCTTCTCAACAGCCCTCAAACTAAGAACCGTATCTACCACACTCTCCTTCAACGACCGATACTTCAGTCCCAACCCCTCAATCGACGCCGAGTTATCAAATCCATACTTCGGCCCCCCACTTGGAAACCTCCCATTCGCCAACGCCTCACCCTCAGGCAAACCCTCCCTCGACTCGGGAAACTCCACCCCAAGCACCTCCACCACCTCCGCATTACAAAAGCTCCCCGCCGTCAAAAAGTACCTCTTCCCCGCCGTCTCCTCCTTTTCCACCGCGACCGCATGAGCCAGCGCCGCATCCCTGACATCCACCCAAAACTGACTCCCCGTGGGCGGACACTTCTCCTTAAACTTCCCATCCACAAAATCCCTAATCCTCTGATTCGAGGTATTCACCTCCCCCAACGACTTCAACGACGACGGCACCGGCCCAAAAATCAACGACGGATTCATCACCGTCAAACTAAACTCAGGCTTCTCCTTCTCCATGAACCCCCATGCCTCCTTCTCGGCTAACGCCTTACTCGTCCGATATCCCGCCTGACCTTGTGCATTTCCCGCACTTTCAGCATCCTCCCACGTGACGGGGTTCCAGTCCGCCTCGGAGTATTTTGACCTCGCTGGTTTCGAGGCGTTGAACATGGCTGCGAACGACGAGGTGATGACGACTCGCTTTACTGTGGGGGCATACTTGTGCACGGATTGGAGGATTCCCACGGTGCCGTTGACTGCTGGATCGAGCATGTCTTTTTTGACATTGTCGATGCTGTAGTGGAAGGGGCTGGCGGTGTGGATGACGGCTGTGAAAGGGGGGTCGCTAACCACGGCTTGGTCGAAGGCGTTGAGTTGGGAGATGTCCTCGACGATTTGGAAGGAGAGGCGCGAAGAGGGGATCTCGGGACGTTGGGATTGGAGTCGTTGGGCCTTTTCGGGGCTGCGGACGGTGGTTACCACCGAGTGGCCGCGGGCCAGGAGTGTGTCGATGAGAGCGTTGGCGAGGAAGCCGCTGCCGCCGGTGACGAGGATACGAGACATTGTTCTTTCTTTGGTAGGTTGGATGCTTTAGATATATGGAATGGAATGTAGTGAGGATAGATTTGACCTGATGAGAACAAGGATGGAAGGTTATATACCTATTCTCGATATTTGATAACGCCGATATTATCGCCGCGTAGGTCCGATCGCGGGTCCGGGCATGCGGTTAACACCGTGATTGGTAAGAGTTGGGGTAGTCTCCCGGGGCTAGTTCTGCTCGGGGCGGGACAATAGCACCCCGTTTGTTGGTTTAAAGCGGTAGACCTTGCGATATCAGCAGGATTGCTTGAAGGAGCGGCTAGTCAGCCGCTATCTCCATTGGGTGGAGATTTGCACGACGGGTTTAGGTTTTAAGATGTGAGTTGCTAATGATGATGGATCATCTATGGAGTATCTTGTGAGTCATTGATAATAGGATGATGTTCTAGATCTGGCTGATGAGCAGCAATTTATGACATCACCCTATCTGATGTACCCTTCCTCTATTCCGCTTTTCGTTCTTTCTTCTCAATACAGTTCATGCGAGTATGATGTTTTGTAACTGCTTCCTACAACATGTCTTCAAGTAAATACTTTTTGCACCCTATTACCCTGAACAAATGATACAAAATTATGATTTACCGGAAAAAATAATTTCACTGCAGCAGCTGGTTCGGCAAGCGGCCCGACCCGACTGAGGGGCATGCATAATTGCATATAGTAGAAGACAATCATCCCGAAGAAACAGATCAAGAGACACCTAACAATTCCAACTTGAAGCCATAGTACACAGCTACTATACATATACTCCCTTCCACCCTCAGACATCTCTCCAAACCAATACCCCCTCCCCCACATACACACCCAGCAAAAAGAAAAAAAAAAACCTCACATCCTAACAGCCCTCACCAACCGAACCTCAAACCCCTCCTTCTCCCTCCACCCATCCCTCAACACCTTCGCAATTCCCTCACAAACCTCCCCTAACCTCTCATACAACCTCGTCTCCTCCTCCCCACCCCCTCCCCATCCCTCCCCCTAAACTCAAACAACCCCCCTCCCTATCCCACCCAAACACCCCCAACCCCTTCCCTCCCCCACCCCCTCCACCCCCACCACCTCTGCACCCCCACCCCACTGACACTCCACCCCGGCTGCCCCCCCAAAACCACGTACACCACCTCCGGCATAACCCCCATCTCCAACACCTCACCCACCAACGCCGGATCCTCCCAAACCACATCCTCACTAATAGCCAAAAACCTGAGTTCGAAATCCAACCGAGCTCCCTTCCCACTTAAATCTGGCTCGTCAAGACGGTCGAACGGGCCGAGAATTAAGTCGAGGATGTTAGAGGAGGTGGTGTAGAGGATATCGATATGGGGGTTGAAAGGGCGGGTGTAGATTTCTGTTTGTGTTTGGTTCGATGGGATCTGGCGAACAGAGAGGTTTTGGGCTTGAGCCCAGGAATGTGCAATTGCGCGAGCCTCCCTATTCACAGCGAATAAAGGCGTAGTGACTTGGATGTGGTCGAGGAGGGAGAATTCGAAACGGACTTCGAGGTTGTCGGGGTCGGTGGGTTGGTAGAGTTCTGAGGTGGGGGGGATGGGGTAGGGGATCCAGGTTTTGGGTTTATGGGGGATGAGGGCGGGGGAGTTGAGGGGATGGGGGAGGGTATGGTGCCAGATTTGGTGGCGGAGTTCGGGGGGAGGTGGGGGAAGGGGTGGAATGTAGTTAGTGTTGGTTTTGGGTTTGGTGGTGGCATGGTTTGGATGGGTGGGTGGGTTAGTAGAGGAGGAATGGTTGAGAATAGAATCTAGGGAGTGATTAAGTGAGTGAGATTAAGAAGGAGATCATACAAGGCTGAATTGTGGCGGTGGTGAGGCTGTTCAATCTCACCAGTGCTGTCAGCCACAATTTGCGACGCTAGTTGGCTGTGAGTGGCAGAGTGGGGCGGTATGGCTGAGTGGACATTGGGGCTTGCCTAGTAGTTGGTTACGGATGGGCACCTTTTACTCGATATTTTGCTCGTGAGGATTGGGGTCCTTACATGGTTCAACGCAGTGGATCTATGTGTGTAATGTTTATAACTATGCGTGTTCTGAGCTACTGTGCTCGGAAATCTAGCCTTTTGTTAGATAGCTGAATTGGTAAGCTAGCTCGTTGCTGGTAGGATTCAATTTGGAAGGACACTCAGGGTGGCTGTTGACACTCGTCTGGCACACCCGCTAAAATAGCAGTATTTAATTGTCTGTTTTGTATAGTAAAGTATGAATTAACAATACCTCTCTTCAAAGCTTCAAAATTGAAGTTCTTGGAACAATTAGGTTGATTAGAGTCACTAGAATGATTGGCGTGGTTAGGGTATTTAGGTACCTTAAAGATCTTAGAAGTATTCTGATATGCAGCTTATTATGACATATTACTCACACAACGGAGAACAATGATCATCACCGCCTAAAAGGCATGGGTCAGAGTGCCCGCAAGATGAAAGCTCTTGCACGATGAATGATTCGCGGACCAGGGAACCCGCCGATAGGATCAGTCGTTCGATGCAGTAAACTTAGGCGCCAAGTCTTGCTCACAGACGCTGATCCCCACACAAGCGAGGAATTTGATTCCGAGCGCTTGACGTGGCGCGTCCCGCGGCCAAATTCTTCTGTGCATTTATTGAGCTTCAGGACGCCCAACACACAGCTACCCAGGAAAATCTGATGGCAATGTGTGTTGAAAAAGATTGAGGTAATGAAATGTTGTCAACACTTTCTGTTCTACGTCTGCAAATGAGCACCTACAGCGGAAGATTGAGAAAGGCATACCATGGAGATGCGGGGATGCTCGTATATGCCAAGAGGATCCAGTAGAGATCCGCTCAGCCAATTGATAGACATTTTGGATAAAACCCCGAAAGTAGCACGGACAGTCCTCCAACTGGGTAAATAAAGTGATTTGGCTACAACCCCCACTTCAGGAAAAGTCTCAATGAACCTATCCGAGTTCCTCAGACCATAAGTTCCTTACCATGATGACGCGCTAAACCCAGAATACTACATTGCAACGGCTACCACCCTACAACCCAGGGAAATTCCCTGTCATGACCGAAAGCGATCATGACGCTTTCTAATCGTGGATACTCCGCACGAGTACGGATGATAGATCCCCTTCATCACACCCAACGACCAGATCCTATCCGCCAAGAATAGATCATCTACCACCCAAGGAATAAACCCCTCACATTCCCAAGCCACGTCAACACAGGTATGGCTTAGCTGAACTTCCGGGCGCGGCCAGTCGAGATCTCAATCTATGGTCCCACCTGATGGATAGTCTCCACTATGGTACAGATCCCTCGAGGTGATAGGCCTGGGCGGGATCTCGGGATCTGAGCATCGATGAACTATGTCTGATGGGGTATAGATCACCGGAACGGGCCAGAATAGCTTTTCAGAGGGGTAACGAGATGTGATAGATCTGTATCATGGCGCAATTGTTGCTCGAGAGGCACGAGGGGTATTCCTCTGATCTGGTGAGGGGCAAGGCGAAAGTCTCCTATAAATACGTCAGTGCATCCTCACTTTCTGGAGATCAAACCAACATCCGTTTATATTTCTCTACTGTCAAGACACACTCTTCAAACCTTTCATCATGACTACTCGGCTGGTATTTCCCCCCAGCTATAATGCCCTTCTATAACAGTTGGACCTGACAATACCGCTTTAGAGTGTTAACATTCAGTTTACTCCGGATGGTTTTGGCTCACACCATCAAGAGGTCGATACGTAGGTTGTTCAGAGCGCTTTCCAAAAAGGACAACCTTGCTGAAGATTGATATAGCATTATCAGGGAAGATACTGGGTCTAACCAGTGGATTGCTACACCTACCATTCCGCCTGTGTATTTCGTTCCGTGAGTTGCCATGTTTCTATTCTCCTCTACGCTTCTTTTTTTTCCTTTGCTTTCCGGGTGGGGGTCTGGAACTGGCTAATAAGAGCTGTTGAATTAGGGGTTTGACCGAAGTGGCTATCAATAAACTACGGGTTATTCAGGGGGTTCTTGTTAATGTTCAGGAATAAGGATGATGGAGGGATATGTAATGTTCATAGTTTAGGAGTTGACAATGGATATTTTCCTCATCGATTTGACTTTTCCTTTTTTGATCAATTTTCTGTCTGGGGGAGCCCTTTTGCCCCGCTACAGACTCAGGTTAAGCTTCTAGAGATCGAAACCATGCGTAGGGGAAAAACACAAAATTTAACTATGATCAGATACAGTCTTTATACTAGTATCTCAACAAGGAGGATTCCCCCCGAGTCAGAAGAAATCCGACTGTACAAGGCGAGGTCACCAAAGGCTAGCTAGCCAGTAGGCGAAAATTCCTTATAAAACATGGTGATCCTAGGATCTTTCAGTGGAGGCAGCCCTTGTGTCGCCCACCACGTGTTGCATAAGAGGCTGGATGACTTGGATGTGATAGGCCATTTTGAGACAGTGGAGGAGTACACGTTTGCGATTTAATAGATATAGTCGATGGTAAGCAGCGGATGCGTGCACAAGCGCTCTCATTTCGTTATATTCCAGGTGTGAAAGAATCTCGAGCTTGAGCTCGGGTGGAAGAGTTGCAAGCCGTTCATTATTTGGCTCGGGGTTGTGGAATGCTTTTGACGCCATGGAAGTTTGATTATTGTGATGAGGCAAGATGTTCGGATATATGAGCAAAGCACATAATGCGATAATGGCAGAGTTTATAAAGATCTGTTGACTGAGTACAAGTCTGCAATATATGTAAAGATGCCGATATCTCGGACGATGTCTGCATATCGTATAGTAAACATCCTGCCAAGATTATATAAGTTAGTATTGTACGATTCCAAGCGATTAGTCTGTTCAATATGACCAGTCCATGTCTTATATCACCTATAAGGCTGAGAGTTTGCTCGGATTTAGTCTAGATGGAAGTTACATCCCCTCTGGCAAACGGCTACTCAGCGGAATGTCCGCATTATTGCCCTCTTATCATAACTTTTTTTGTCTTTGTCTTGATGATTTTGTCTGTTCTTTCAATTTCGATCTCTTTGTTAGGTAGGGGCCAATCATACGTTCTGCTTACTTCGTTTACCATGTTAGCCAAGCTTACTTCTTATAGCTTAATTATGATAAGATCTTGTGTCAGATACGTGAGGTGATTTAATAACTCATGTATATTTATCAATCTGTAATATAGAACAGACTGCTTAATTATGCAGGTTGAGTGGGTAGAAGGTGTGGTTTAGTAGCGGATGCCAGTGTAGCTTCAGCGCCTTCCTTTGTCTATCTAGCTATTTTCTTCGACTATTATACTTTTGCAACCATCCTGCCCTACTCCCCCTTCATCCAGCAAAATCATCCCATATAATCCACTATCCTAACAAATCATCCCGAACCCAACAAACAACCATCTACTCAACTCCCCATTCTATCCCTCTGTAACCAGTCCTCTCATGCTATACCCACTTCCCCACTTCATAGTCCCGTTACGATACCTTGGTACATACCGTACCATACCCAATCCCTTTCCTTCCCACCGCTCACCAATCTTCACATCCGCAAGACCAACCTATAAACCATAGGTCATTTCAGCTCACACTCGCCGGAGTTCGATTATCTACATCCTCTCCTCTTCATTAGCGTTGTTGACGCCCGCGATGATAGACCCACATTCCATATCCCTATGATATACTCAATGACCATGGCCGGGCAATTTCGCAAAGAACCCTTTCCCAATCCCCCAATGCACCAAACATATAGTATGAGAAATGCAGTGGTAGTTATTTGTCTGATAAGTTCATGGAGATCTGCTTGTAGAGGTAGGTACAAGTTGACAAGGTGGGAGCTTGATGCTGAAGACAGCGTGAAAGAGATATGCGGTTGAAGAAGGTGGGGGACTCGTCTCTTCCGCAGCGGATAGACGCAGGGTAATTTGCTGCGTCCGAACGCGTATATTTTCCTCTTGGCAAGGCTTCGGCAGGATGTTTTGAGGGAGATATTGAGAAGGAAGGACCGAAGCGAGGATGTCAGTTCAATAGAAGGTATGGTGTCTGCTTCCCCGGTTGTTACTGTTATAAGTACTGAAGGTTGTCTTTTTGGTGAGGATTGGTCTTTTGCCAAATGTGATGGGGTGTAATCTGATGCTGGCATTTGGACGGTAGGGAATATCCTGGGTGCCATCGTTGATTTTTAGTGGGAGTATTTTAGCGCTGGTATGCTAGGAGGTATACCCAGTTCTGGTTCTCCGTCATGATTGCGATCGGAATTATGTCCTTCCCTATTTACCCTCCGCAACGTGGAACTGACAGAAATGGCGCATTAACTTCACATGTCTGGGAATGAGCCATGTTGAGGGAATTAGACGAGTAATCATGTCGAGGGATCGAAGGGAATGGATTCTGTTCTGGAAAGACAATTGCGTGGTCTGATTGCCTTGACCGAGTTCTGTAGGTGAAGTGCAGGACCTAGTTTGGATGTATGTCTGCAGATCTGTAGGGACGTAGCCCGATAGTAAAGACATAAGAGTAGAGAAAGGTAGATCATTCCAGTTGAGAAGAGAAGGGGAAGACTAACAACACCCTTGAGATTGTTGATCGCTCGAGTCACTCGAATCTGCAGCATGCTTTATGGTATCTGTATTCAGCCCTCTACCGCCCTCTTCTGGCGTTATTGCGCTAATTCCTGAGGAACAAGGTAGGCGTTATCTTCAAACGTCCTGGGCCTTCTTCCTGAGTTTCTGCCCTCTGCACTACTAAGAACCGACCACTGTGGGTCTGCTGGCTTCGTTCAAGTGTCGATATTCAAGGCCCCCTCCAATGAACAGTGAATGTGCGCGAGGTGATGCCAGAGAGAGCAACAAATAGATTCGAAGTCTTGCATGGGACAAACACTATCCTGTTGGCCTTTATCGTAATGTTTATTTACCTCGGGCGTCGGTCTTCCGTGGTATCCTCGTTGAGGCGATGAAGGTGATTAGGCGCGAGGATGTGAGTGCTGATACTGTGGGATGCGATGTACTACTGAGTAAGATATTTGGCTCAGGTGTTTGGTTGAAGATGCGATGTCTTCGAAAGGGTATTGATTATGATATGAACCATTGCATCGTATTAGACGCGTCCTGCTCGACATTGTTCTTTGTTTTTCTTCAAACCCCCCATTCTCCTTCGTGTACACTCTGGTTCGATTGTCCATACCAATGGGGAAGAGGCGGAAGCATGAGGTGCACAGATTTTGAGAATAACTTGTTCTGGCAAACCCATTGTCTTAGAGAAGTACACCGCAGTAGGGTTCAGAAAGGCAGTACGGGACTATTGAAGCTGATAATCAAGGTAATTCTCAGGCGATGATGTATACCGGGTATAGATTTCCAGAGACGAGCCAATGTCATTAAAGTGTGAGCTGACTGGGCTAATTAATTCTGCTGAATATAGAAGAACAGAGGATATTTAGCGAAAGCACATGGGATAACATGTCATGAATGGACTGCTTCGGTTTGCGTATCCTCGGTTGTTATTTATCTGTGTTAGAGGCGGCCCAGGATATGATATGTTGAGTCGTACGAGCGCGTCATAAGTCATTGTAGTGAGGCTTCTATGACTGGCCATATTGCGTGTCAGTATGTAACTGCTGCAATATATAGATCCATGCTTTGGATTTGGAATTGGGTAGAAGCTTCGTTGACATATGAAACCGCATCCCAAGCATTGTAGTATCATAGTACTTCGGATCAATTGATTGATCTTTTTCTTTGCTTTAAATGTTGGACTCAGCGGACGAGTCTCGCCACGTCCCTTCTCATTATACTCAGCAATGAAATGTTGCTGATTGACAATTTGGCGTCCTCAAGGACAGAGTTCCTGGGACGAGTGGTTTCTGTATGTACTCCGCTGTGGTGGGACATGGGAGATGGTATTGGAGACAACATGTCCGATGGAGGTTCTGTAAGTATACCCGATATCCGTGATGAGATATTCGCATCTGGAATTACTTGCAACCCGCAAGCAAATTATTCTTCAACATAGCAATTGGCCCATGATGATCTTATTGTCTCCGTGACAACCATGATGACACCCAACAATCATGTATTGGTAGCGCCATTAATTCCATAGCCTGGAATGACGTCCTAGCATTGTGATGTTTTGCTAACCATCTTAACGAAACCAAAACCAGAGACATGAGGAAGACAGCTAGTTCGTGCTTTGTGTATGCACTAGTGTTGGTATACTCCTTAGTTTAAGCCATGATTCACACTCTCATAACAGTACCTTGGACGGGACATGGAGGTGCACACACGCGACCTACCCGTGGGCCCATCTCCACACTGGCATTTCAGCTTTAAGCCACCTTGGGTGACGAAGAGCTAACAAGGAAGTTGATTCTCTTACCGACCACCCAGGATTGTAGCAGATATCGATGATCTTAACACTTTCCCGATGGAGATATCAAGGCATCGGTGAGGATGGTCAAGCACCACTATTTCTGGATCCAGGCATGGATTCCACTGCTGGATTTGATCTATCTTGACTCTCTAGCAATGCGGACATATATTTCCAGGTGCACGGTCATAGCTGTCAATTGTGCTCTGTACAATCAACCGAGACATGTGCAATCTCGTTCAGGATAACTTTGAATAGGGACCTCGCTGTTCAGTCCCTTACCCTGTAAGAATTGGATGCTCGATGCTTGAATGAACATCGCAACAGGTAGTCGAGGAGTGCATCGGCGATGTCAGGACATGCAGTGAAGATTCTGGTGAAGTGCTATCTGCAGGGCTTTGTTATCGGAGAACATGGGGGTTGGTGTGTACGGTTCTCCCATCAGTCCGGAGCTCCTCTTCCTTCCAAGGATAAAGAGCCGGGGGCAAGGTATGTAGTGAGGCTTCAGAAGGAGTGCTCTGTATATAGATCCAGTTTCATCCGAATCAGACAGTAAACCGGAGAGATTTGAGACGATATGCGGCAACAAGTGAAGGTAAATATAGCCTCATGGTTAATGTTATATATATTTTCAAAGATGCATTTTGATCATAGATGTCTGAGATGGAAAGAAGGAGAACAAGTCGAGAGTCAAAGGGGTTTATATAGATTTCTGGTGGGGCAGTTGGGTAACGGAACCTGCATTTCAGGGGTAGGAATGTATCCTCATCATCTACAGTTACAGATCTGGGGCATGTGGCTGTCCGGAAGTTGTCGATGGATTAGAGGAACGTGGAGACTAATTGGCTTGGGTGGGGTATGTCAACTAGGGAATCAGTACTAAATTTATCATGGGGCTTGGCTATTTTTAGCGGAGATGCCATTTATAGGTATTGAATTTACGTGTGGCCATTAGATTGTATCTACAGATTATACAGCTTAGCTGTGAAGCCATTAACGTAGATATCATCAAATACATGAATAGTGTATAAACAAATCGTATCCTATGCTTATGATCAACACCCACTTCTCAACCAGCATTGCATGAAAACGGACGATTAATAGATCCCGTCCGAAACTTGGAAATCTACAAAAATTAGTCTCCATCATTAACACGCTCCAATGGGATAAACTTACCACCTCAGTCACACTTGCATACATCCCACAACCAAGCACAGTAACTCCCACAACAAACACAATCAGATTCAAGATTGCAAGACGAATATTCCGCTTCTCTAGCCAGGATCCTTCTTTGATAAGAAAGAACCACATCACAGGAGGCAGATAAAAAGAGAATCCAGAGACAAGCAAACAACCACAGATAGAGAGTAACTCAGAAAAGAAGGGAATGGCCTCGGCCACAATCCACGCGAGAACAATAATAAATGCCACGACTCCTAGCCAGGTCATCCATCCCTTAGCCGTATTGATATAACGAACAGTGGAGTCTTGATATATCCGGCCATGAATGAAGCGAGAGGCGACAGTGGCGTTGATCGAGCCCGAGATAAAAATAACAGGCAATGCCACACCAAAGGCAACCTTAGCAATAAGAGGACTAGCGGACAGCAGTGCTGGGGACTGGACATCCTGACCCACGAACGCGTAGACGAGTGCTCCCGTGATAGTGTATATCGTCATTTGCGTTAGGGCTAGAGCAGTGATAGACTTGGTAAAGTCTTTCGGGGTGTGCATTTCATCCATGAAGGATGGCTGGGCCGAGGAGAAAGCATAAGCGAATGCGATATTCGAGATAGCGACGAAAGCCTCGCTGAATGTTAGATTTTCTTTGGGCCATGCGGACCACGTTGTTGAGACATCGTGGCTTTGAATCCCAGTTGCGATCATGACGATCCCAATTGCCACTATGATGGAGGCAAAGTCGATGTACCCTAAGATGGAGATCTCGGCGAAGGACGGAGGTACGGCCAAGGCGAAAAGAATGATGGCGGATACAATGCTGAATACGAGAGCGCATACACTACTCTCGGTGATGGTCGCCAGGGCAAGTTTCCCCGTCAGACAATGGGATCCTACTGTCAGGGTCATGAGGGCCACAAATGCGACCGCAAAGATTTTGTCCCCAATGCCTCCCATGAGAAGGCGACCAAAGTCAACGTAATGTGGGAGATGTGGATACTTGAGCTTCACCAGACCGACGATGTAGCTAGCGTAAATTGTGATGACTCCCAATCCCACGGTCAGTATGACACCGGCAACCATTCCCATTGTTGCGAATGCCGCTGGAAGACTCAAGCTGCCTAGTGCAATTGATTGAACAATTAGCACTATTGTAAGGCGTTTCCAACCAAGACGATGGAAATGTTGTTCGCCTTGGATGGCTCGCTCGTGATCTTCCTGTAGGTAACCCTTCCCAATGACTTCTCCTTCGGATTGATCGAGATCGATCATATTGTCCACTTTTGTTTTGCCATTGCCGATATTATCGGCGGGGAATGTACCCGATACCATATTTTGACCAGGATGGGTATTGGAAAGAAACAAATAAATAAAATCCTCCCTTGTCTGAATATCGATTTATGAATTTGTAAAACTTCCCCTGGGATGATGCCTCTAATGAAGCACAGAATGTGAGTCAATGAAAGTACTTTTATTCGGACCAACAAATAAGGTTAAACTAACAAGATACAAAATGTTAAATAGTGTAATCAGCTTTATCAAAGTACTTATTGTAATCTGATAACGCGTCATCTTGGCACTGCATGTCTCTGACGCTGTAAGAACGCTAAAATTACAGTGGGGCAATTGCAAGGAAGGAGATAGACTGATTACAATAATAACTAAAAGACATGTGTAAGGGCGTCTCCCTTTCTTGAAAGGCGTCTGTGAGGGGTCCCATCATGTAACCCTGGCAAGGCCGATCATGACCAGCTGCCTCCAATGGCTCCCATCTCAGCCTGGATAGATAGTTCTCTAGTGACCATCCAGTGCTTGATAAAGAGACGGACTTTGCCGTGCCAAACTGATCATGTCACTATCCTTAAATTGGGGCTATTACCCCATCACGAATCAAGTATACTTGCATGTTACTTAGATCCCCTAATGCTCTCTATCTAATAAATAAGCCCCTTCTTTCAAGTCGATTAGAGACCAGCTCACTTAAGCAACCAACCCAACTCCAACCCCAGAATCCACAATACCCAAATATCCCTGATTCCAATCCACCTATCCCCTCTTCCAATACACATGCCTTTTACTATCTCTGACCCACCTCGATAACATCAGACTGCCCTAACTGACCCAGGTGTACCCCGCTCCGCGATCGGAGCTGTAGGGCCCAGAAATAAGATACGTATTTATGTGGCGATGGGACACGCCGTCTAGCCCTACCAGGAGACTGCTACTAGTACGTATTAGTAGCCGGCCAAGACTATGGATTCCCCACTCCGCCCTACGGTACCTAATCCACCGCGTAATCAGAGTGGGAGTACATTATGACTAGTAATCGAATCAAATATCAGTTATAAATAGGATACAATGTTGGATGGTGGCTAAGTTGGGTAGTTTGGAAGGTACATGCGAATAGGTTCTTATTATGGTTGGTTTGGTTATAATTGGGTTTTGGGATGATGGCTCTGTCTATATATGGGTATTTAGAATTGGGGTTTGTTTTCTTCTTAGTAGGTATATTGTTGTGCTACTGAGAATTTCTCTTGGTTAAAAACCTGTCAGGATCTGAGTACCTATGTGAATGAATAAAAGTGTCTGTCTACTGGTAGGCTCGGTGTTGAAATTAAGCCCGAGAGTGGGGCGATTACCAAGCGCAGTGCTCCGTACTGCGTATTGATTGATCGTATGTTGTGAGAGGAGATTGTAGATTACTATGAATAACTAATTCAGTTATAAATAAGATGCTGATACCCCCACGTTGAGGACCTTGATCTTTGGTTTTTGTGGTTGGGAGGTAGTTGGGTGACACAGCTAGTCATGTCACAGGGCGTGCTTCAACTGCTACTTGATCTGTAAATGGTAGGTCCATGCTTTGGGGGCTGTTGGAGTGGAGCTTATCTAAACAACTGGAGATGGAATTCAGTCATGATCACTCGGATGGATGTGTAGTATCTTGCTGGTACCATCGCTGTAATGGGGCGACTGGCCACAGGGTATCTCACTCTGGGAATCATCTGACATGATTGAGTGTACAGGATCTGAATCAATGCAGGCCTGAGACAATAATAATCATCCTTACCAATTGACTGGTATCTGCATCCTGGTATAGTGTGTTTGTGTGCGATCTCGGCGTCTAGTGATTCTGTGTAGTTCACCAGAGTCTTCATTCTATCACAATTGGACTTTATAAGTACGAGATGTTGCTCCAAATATCCCTTCTCTTGCGGAATCACTATACTGTGGCACAGCTTCACTTTCACAATGGCAAACAAAACAACCATCAACCTCCTTAACGCCAGCATCACCGACCTCAAACACCTCCTCGACACTCGATCCATCACAAGCGTCGAGCTTATCTCTCTCTACCTCCATCGCATCGGCCAATACGATCACCGAGGACCACAACTCAACTCTATCTCTCTCCTCAACTCCAATGTCTTCGCCGAAGCCCAAGCCTCAGATGACTACCGCGCGGCTGGAAACCCACCCCGTCCTCTAGAAGGCATCCCATTTACCGTCAAAGACTGCTACAAAGTCCAAGGCATGACTGTCGCTGCCGGGTCACCTGCTTTCGCCGACCTAGAAGCGTCCTCCGATGCAGCTATTGTGGAATCCCTTCGCAAGGCTGGAGCAATCGTCTTAGGAAAGACCAACATGCCGCCCATGGCAGACGGGGGTTGTCAGCGCGGTCTGTACGGGCGTTCCGAGAGTCCTTACAACCAGAAGTATATGAGCACTGCGTATGCCTCGGGTTCGTCGTACGGCTGTGGAGTCTCCACTGCGGCTGGCTTCGCTGCCTTTGGGTTTGCAGGGGAAACCGTCACATCGGGTCGCTCGCCAGCGTCTAATAATGCGTTGGTTGCGTACACGTCTTCGCGCAGTGTCATCCCGCCTCGTGGCATGTGGCCGTTGTATCCCACTTGTGATCAAGCTGTTCCTCATACTAGGACTATGGTGGATTTGTTTGACGTGCTTAATGTTGTTGTGGCGGATGATCACGTTGCCGGTGATGCGGATTTCTGGCGTGAGCAGCCGTATGTGTCCCTTCCGAAGGCTAGTGAAATTCGCCCGGTGGATTATCACTCCTTGGAGGATCCAGACGCGCTTCGGGGCAAACGAGTCGCTGTCCCGCGGTGTTTTATTGGGGTTGAGGGTGCTACCCCAAAGAATGCTTGCTCTGCTGGGGTCCGGGCTCTTTGGGACAGAGCACGGAAAGATCTCGAGTCGCTAAGAGCAACTGTCATTGAGACGGACTTTCCCCTGTTTGAGAATTACACCAGACAAGATGTCCCGGGACAGGCTATGAACGTCCCTGGTCTTCCGAAGGATTGGCCGGCTCTTGAGCGATGTGACATGATTGCCCTGGGTTGGGACAACTTCCTTCGCAGCAATGGCGATGAGAAGATCCCGAGTCTCACCTTTGCCGACGTTAACAAGATCCATCCGCATACTGCCCCCATGGATGATCCCTCTCAACACACCGAGTCGCAGAACCAGGTCCGCTATGAAGATATGGTCGAGGTGGTGAAGCGACGGGGTCAAACTGGTCCTGTTGATCTTCCGGGGTGTGAGGATGCTCTCAGGGCATTGGAAGCGATGCGGAAGAAAGACTTGGAGGACTGGATGACTGAGAATGATTACGATGTAGTGGTGTTCCCGACCAATGGCGATGTCCCCTTGGCTGACTCGGATGAGAACTATGAATCGATGCTTGACGCACTGAGAGACGGAGTCAAATATTCCAACGGCGGTCGCTCTTTGAAGCATCTAGGGGTTCCGTGTATCACTGTTCCAATGGGAAATTTGGAGGAGGAAAAGATGCCAGTCGGACTGTCCTTCTGTGGCAAGGCGTACCAGGACTCGGATCTCCTGCGATATGCCTTTGCCTATGAGACTGAGTCGAAGCGCAGGGAGAATCCACCGTTGGCACCATTACTGCTGACTGATGAGATGGTTCTTCCTAGTACCAGTCCGTCGTCTTCATATTCCGTCAAGCCAGACTTGAAGATTGCATCGACGGAGTCAATCCACGAGGACGACGAGAACTTGGACATTCGTGTGGTGACCGTGACTGGAACCTGCCATGTGGAAGGCTCTGGGGCAATAAGCTCACTTCGGGTCTTCACAAACGGTGAGCCATCATCTCCCGTATCCTGGGAGGGTGATAACTGGACATGGACGGCTCGTCTCAGACGGCCCAAGAGGGAAGACCGATACCCGCCACTAGGGAAAGTACCGAGGGATCAATTCATGGTGGTGGTGGTCGCCAAAGCTGACAGTGGTCGGTCATCTGGCTCGTTGATCTTGTTTGATTGAATCAGTCATGTCATGATAGTTGATTAATTGGTAAAATTGGCATACCCTCGATATATAGACTGCAATATAATATAAACTGCACCGAGAACCCCTCTGTATAGTGTATTGATGGACCACATAGCTCCACTTTGGATTGCCGGGAAAGCAGACGCGGATCTGTCCGAGCGAGGCGTCCTTAAAAGGTGGGCCATCTAATTTTGCATGTTGGGATCCGCACAACGGCAGATTGATCTGGTGCAGTTTGCCATTGATCGTGAGGCTGCTCGGTGAGAGAACGATATGGCTGAGATTAATATTATGGGATCTGTGGACAGGAACAAAAAATGGAATTACTTGCTCGGCCCAATGGAGGAGAGGGGGGAGGGAGGATACGAGCAGGCATGACGATGACGAAACTCGCGAACATAGTCAAGACGTAAAATTCTATGGCCCGATCCGTAGCAGTAAAAGAAAAAGGGAGAAGGAATAAAAAGAAAAAGTGAAAGCCCAACGCGGGGCTCGAACCCGCAGCCTTGAGATTAAGAGTCTCACGCTCTACCGATTGAGCTAGCCGGGCTAGTTCATATCTACCACGCTGTACTAATGTTAAATAAGGCTAAACAAAGCTATTGCAGTGCATTCCAGGCCAGGTGAAACCATGCTTGATTGGGAGCTCCAGCAGAGCGTGGAAGGTATACGAAGGGAGAATTTCAATCGCCGGGAGGAGGAGATATTCGCTGCTCTTGACTAAGAGATTGAAAGAGTCTTGACGGAAGTTGGACAGAACTGAGTTTGTGATTGAATGTTGGTGTGGTCTTATACTATAACTATATCTTCGCGATGAGTAAGGTAGGATCTCGATGCTTTAATTCCGTCACATCATCCTAAGCTCATACGTTGGATCTTCCTGCATGAATCCGTGGCGGTTTGAATTCACATCATCTAGTATCCACTACATCGAGCACGAAGGTGGTATTTCTCCCCCCCTGAAACTTGCATGCAAGACAGGACGCGGGCGCAACGGAAAGAGTTGCTGCCATACAATTCAGGCCCACTACGGCCGTTCAAATGCAAACACATTGACATTGATTCGTTTCATATTAGTTCTTCCCGCTAAGCAAGCACTCCCATCGGATCCCATCGAGGCAATACCTTTGGACTCTGGTCCAAAATGGCCCGTATCTCACTCGAGACAAAATCAGAGTCCACCACAGCCTGGAAGGTATATTCGTCCATCCACCGGTCGGTCATCACAAACCAGCCCTTATCTCCAGCACCCTCACCCCAGGAGTTCTCCACGCGCCAGCGCACCGGCTTGTCGCCTTCGATATGGACGCCGGTAATGACCATGGCGTGTGTCATCGATGACTCCCCACTCGCCAGCCTCTCGGCCTTGCTCATTCCCAGCGAGATGTTGAACCCGAGGGTAAGATCCACGATGTCGAGATCCATGGTTCCCCCAACGGAATCGGAGAATTTACCCACGTCACATCCGAAGAAAACGGGGTGTCCGGCTTTGAGCATGGCGATGACTGCATTCTTGAGGGTCTGAATACGTCAGTAACATGTTGACAATATAATTGCCTGTGTACACACCTTCATCTCCACGTTGACGTATGTCAGCGGCCGCCCTTCCAGGATATTACCCAACCGGTCCACCGTCAACAACCGGTTATACTCATTCCGGGGATCGTTGACCAGACTGAACATGCGAGAGGGGGTAACGGTAGCCTTGCGAGCAGCTGTCGAAGTCGTCGCTTGTCGAGCAAACTCACGCGGAGTGAGTTGAATCTCCTTGGATTTTCCATCCGCATCGTAATACTGCCACACAAACTCTTTGTCCGGGCTAGGGGGCGGGCCCAGGAGCAGCGTGACTAGACCATGGATTTCACGAAGAAACCGTTCCTTAGTCTCAGCCAAACCAGCACCACCGCCACGCACCAACCGACGAAGCACGAGGGCCTGCTCGCGCAACTTGGCTGTCAGCAACCAGTTCATCTTGGAGCTGTTCTGCGCATGGTAGGCATCCGGATACACATCGTGCGGCACGAGACCATACTTGTCGACCAGGTTGGCGACCATGTCCCACTGTCCGCCATCAGTGACGGGGTCTTGGAAGAGCTTTTGCACCAGCCGACCGGAGAGGTCTTCGTCAGCGGTGGAGATGATCTGCTCGAAGAACCAGTTTGACTTTTCCAGCTTGTCCCAGTAGAAGAGGTAAGCCTGGCTTAGCTCAAAATCCTTCAAGTTGTATGTCTTGATCAAGGGAACGCGGAAGATGTTGGTCGAGGCGAACAGCCAGCAACGGCCGGAGGAGCGTTGATTCGTGATCGGTGATCCTTCAACGGGCACCTTGAGGTTGAAGATGTGGCGATCGAATTGGAGAGCAGAGTGGTTTGCTAGGACATTGGTGTAGGGTTGAGTGGCGAGGCTGGAGATGGCGAGCCGGTTCTATCGCTCGGACGGTTAGCACGGCCGGGTTGAGACAGGAGATAAGAGAGCACTCACTTTGGCATCGCCCAGCAACGTCTCATTCCAGTCTTCTATGCGCTGAAGTGTGAGAGAGGGGGCGCGTTCTCGCTCCTCATATTGTGGTGCTGCGATTGTTAGCCTCTCTCTTATCCAACATGAGGAATCCATACGAGATTGCTTCAACTCAATGTAGACCTGCGAAGCATGAGAAACTCCATCTTCGATCACCCTCCTAGGGTAAGTCTTCTCATCCCGAATGGGCTCTGGTTTGGAATAGTTGGCTCCCATGATGAAAGTAGCGTTGGTGAGCAAAGTCAGGATGGGGGAATCCGTGGGATGGGGGAAGATAAGTGATAAGCACCACAGCAAAGGACCCGGGGAGCCAGAGCGGGGAACAGAACAGGATTAGGATAGCTTCGGAGGTTGCGATTGGCTTGTCGGGTCACTTATCGGTCTGGTGACCGTTGGTTGGCTGCTGACGGGTTGCAGGCGGCTAAGCAAGGCGAAGGAATGATCCCATGCCGAGCTTCTATCTCGACATCCTTGCGAATGCCAGGCGGCAGCCATTGCATCTAAAGCACTAATATTATTGAGCTATGAGTCATCCAGAAAGTGAGTGAACCTCACCCCAGACTAAGGAAATATGCAGGGTTTTGTGTCTCTTCCTGGATTCTATTTACCAATACCTTAACTTGATGTTAATCTGGTCCAACCCACAAATGTATCATTCATTATCCATGCGATATACTATTCAAGGCAATATAACGGATAAATTAATAATCTTACAAAGTCCAACTCGTCACAGATTCCCTCGGCCAAGCGCTGTCAAAAATTCTCAAGGCATCTTCACTCTTCCAGCCACACCGTTTTCTGCGTCCTTCGTCTAATATCTCCACCGTTAATCCACGGGAATTACGATCAACAAAACCGGTGTGAGCCATCTCCACGGGAATGTCCGGGTAAGAATCCACCTCGCACCAAGGCTGTCCGCGTGCTGTATATTGATACTGCTGGCCATACAAAGGGTGCAGGCTCAGATGCTGAAGCTGTCTGGTAGGTTGGCGGCGGGCGATGTAACCATATATTGCCTCGGCCAGTCTCTCATCAAGAGCACAGTTGATCATGCAATCGCGATGGTACCAGACCGGCATCTCATCCGGTACTTCCTCATCCCAACCCCGGGCTTCCCAGATCTTGATCTTTTCGAACCCGAGTAAGCTCCGCGGTGGGACAGGTTGCTCATTGGCGTGTATAAGGATAGACAGTTTAGAGCGAGGTGGAGAGTGTCGAGGGATGAAAATCAGGCCAACGCGGCGTAAGCGTCCGTTTCAAGCCCGCAGAATCGTTGGATACAGATGGTCAGCTCCCGCAGTGACGGGCACTGGCTGCAATGGGTGAGATATTCTCCGCAGGGAATATCGGGCCAATGGCTCCCTTTTTTGCAAGTCTTGCGAAGTCATGGTGATATCCGCGGCTATTTGGGTAACCCTCTGCAGATTTAGCACGTGTAATGTCGCTCCATGCTTGCCAAGGACCGCAGTGTGAAGAAAGCTAGCATCATATGTCAAGCGTTGAGCATCACTGATCAATTCCGGTTGCAAGAGTCAATCGTCTCACATGTGCCAGGATCCGTGTTTGGGTTGGCAGCGGAGTATCGTCGTACCAGGGAATGACGAGATGCCGATATAGAAATTTTCCGGCAATCCCATTCCAGCGCCGACTTACCTGGGACAGGGAAGTTTGCAGCGGGAAGGTTTCTGATTGGCTTTATATTTTACTTATAACATGACTTGCTATATTGTTATTATTCACTGCTTCGCCCTCCCAAGGAGAGCGGGTTGATATGGAAAATTGATGTGTGAATGTCGTCATACTTGCTCGTTTAATCCACGATACTGGGAGTGAAGTTTTGACGAAGAAAAACCCTAGAAGTATGAGAAATTACTCTCCTCGGAGATTGGCAGGGTATGGAAGGAAAGCCCATCCTCCTGAAGGATGATGCCTTGGAACATAGTATATCAAGCCATGGAATATTCCTGGACAGACTGTATATCTTTGATTGAGTCTCTCAAAGGAAATACATCGATTCACTCTATGTAGGGTAGTAGCTACCTACCATACTAAGCTACGAGATATCCTATAATTCTCAGTATATTTTTCGTCACTCATATATGATATAGCACATGATTGTATTCCCATTAACCACTATGCATATTCTCATTTTCAACCTCATCCATCATCCGGTACGCTCGGCCAGCCACATCCCGATACTCCTCCTTAAACCTCTCATCCCCATGCACAAAACCAAACTGCTTCTTCCACTCCCTCCACCTCTCCATACTCCACATCGCCCGATACACCTCCGGAATCCTCTCCCTCTTGCTACACTCCCGATACACAAACCGACACTCATCCACCCGAACCACCCACTCCGCCGCCGCAAGCATATAATTCCCCAACTTATTCGGCCCATCGATCGGCCGTTTCATCAAATCAGGATACTCGTAATCCCCAGGCAAAAGGTGCCGCAACGCCGCCATCCACCCACAATTCACAAGACCGAGGGTTGTGAGGCGCGCCATGGCAGAGTTATAATTCCGTAAACGATAGGGAGCGAGAACATCTACCCCTCATCCCTTCTGATTAACACTCGATCTCATCACCAACCAGACAAAAAAAAAAAAAAAAAAAAGGTGAGAGGGGGAAACATACAAACAATCTCAAAGTCAAAATAATCCGCCGACTCTTCCCAATTGCCATCATTTTCCTCAAGCGCCCACATCGTGACAGTGCTATACTTCTTCGCCGGGTCAATCGGCGGCCGCCCATACAACACCTCATGTCTTTCCATCCCGTGCAGTATCTGGAACATTTCCACAAGGGCATTCTGGCCTGCGTGGTAGGGCGGGAACGCTGAACAGAGTTTTGTGATTGCTTTGAAAAACATCTCCATCCAGACTTTGGGGTTCGGGGCTATTTGGTACATGGTCAGGTTTTGGGCTTCTTCTTCGGGAGTGAGGTTTCGTGGGTCGGGACGGGCCATTAGGGCTGTGTGTCTGGTGGCGCAGTCGGTGGTTATGTGGGTGTCGATGGTGGTGGCTGCTTCTTGGGGGGTGATTTGGCCGGTGACGAGGAATTCGAGGGTGTGTTTGATGAAGAGGGCGTCATTGTCGTCGTCCCAGGGCTGGTCGTAGAGTTTGAGGGCGAGGGGGGAGGTACGGGCTGAGGGGACGTAGTCGGGGTTTTGGATTAGGGTTGACATAGTGGGTTTCTGGTTGGGGGGATTGAGGGGAGGAGAGTAGTTTTGTATATGGGTGATATACTGTTGGACCCTGAACCCCGCAGAGGCTCAGTTGTTGGCATTCGGAGTGACTCAATTAGCACTGCCAGTTACAGCATGCTGTAGTCCACTTTGGGGCTGAAGCCAGTCAATGACTGTACTCAGCTGCTGTAAGGTCAGCCGTGTAGCGCTTACTGATGCGTGAGTATGTTGGACTTCGGGCATCTGATTGGCTCGTTCGGTTAGAAGAATCTGATCTTATGGAATTGATATTGGTTATTCATTCTGACCCTTTGTTTTACCTATGTGCATCGATTACACACATCCATCATTGGATCATTATTCGAGACTATGCTCCTGATGTTAAGACCGACATAGCTCCGAGCCTTAAATCAACGATCCAGCCTAGTGGAACCATCTGGCGCTAGAACCTGGGCTCCATGGTTTGCCAAGGATTGCATTGTGGGCACTGAGATGTTTCTGGAAGCCGGTGCTGCTTTATTCAAGAGCCGCTTTGTTTCTATATCGCGTTATCTCTGAGGCATTATCTTCAGGTATACCGCCGATCCGCGGACGGCTGGCTCTTGAGTTATACCTTGACACATAGTTGGCTGTGCTAGATCAAAGCAGGTTTTTTGCTGCCTGGGTCAGCCAGAACTTTCTTTCTACGACTATCTGGACAATCTAAGCTACTTTGGCACCAGTTCGACTGCGATATGATGTCTCCACTTCGGCTGAGGCGATGCGAGTTAGTCACTGCTTGGTACTCATGTCGGACTGTTATTGGAGGCTTTAACGCAGCTTCCGAGCTATCCGTGAGCTACTCGTAGTTGAGCTTTGACGAACATTGGATGGTAGATATGAACATGGCAATCCGATCTTATATCTGGTGGTGAATCGAGCATTGCTCAAATGCAATGGCATGCTAACAATTACAATTCCTATATTTCCTCACAACACTGAACATTCAAATCTTACCACCTACATCCTGTGGCGAAGCTCATCCTGCTGGATCAGCTCAGCGGGGCTGAGGAGCTAAATCAGCCCTAGTCCGCGTTAGTCTCGGCTAAGCCTTTGCCTCCACCACGAGTAGCGGTCAAAAGCCACTACCAACACACTACCAACACACTAGAGACAGCTAGACCAGCTAGAGCAGGTAAAGAACACTAATCAGTGTTGAATGCGGCCTGACCCGAACCCCTCCTTGTCAGTTCCGCACTCGCATGACGCGATTGGCACCTCGGAGCAAGACATGATCGTCCTGCCAATGATTAGCTTCACCCTAATGAAGAAATCTGAGTGATTGGCCATCGTGATAATGCAGTTACCTAACAGCCTACCATCTCCGATAAGGGTCCTCCGCATGCCCTAGATAGTCTACACGACGATGCAACCCCGACCGGAGTATACGGAGGTAAGCCGGTCTCCATTATAAATACGCTGAAGGAGCCGGATATTTTCAACAGAGCAGCAGCAACTCAGAGCAACTGCAACTGCACGCAAGATGAGGCTCTTCTCCACCCTCTGCAGCTTGTCCCTCGCGGTCTCTTCCCTGGCCCTGCCCACGTCCGACCATGTCGTGCACGAGAGGCGTACCACCACCCCGGCCAGATGGCAAAAGACCCGTCGGGTCACTGGACACGAGCATGTCTTGGTCCGCATCGGATTGACTCAGAGCAATCTCGATAATGCCTACGAGTATTTGATGAACGTGTATGTGCACCCCCCCCCACACCCCCCTCCAACCATCCTCCATACTAACCAGACAGGTCTGACTCTGTTTCTCCTAACTACGGCAAGTTCTGGACGGCCGAAGAGGTGGCCAACACCTTTGCCCCGTCGGATGAGACCGTCAAGGCAGTTCGCAGCTGGCTGGTCGGAGCCGGTGTGGATGAGTCCCGTCTGGCTCAGACCAAGAACCAGGGCTGGATCGTCTTTGGCGCATCGGCCAAGGAGGCCGAAGCCCTGCTGCACACCAAGTACTACCACTACACCGACAAGATCTCCGGCACCAAGGCCATTGCTGCTGAAGAGTATGTCTTTCCTACTTGACTCTGACACTAGATGCATACTGACCAACAGGTACCGCGTTCCTCAACACATTCAACAACATATCGACTTTGTCAAGCCCGGCGTGCTGCTGCCTCTGACCTCCAAGGGCCCATCTGCCAAACACACCAGCAAGTCCAGACCTCTTGGTAAGACCAGCGTCAATGCTTCCTCCCTCGCTACTTGCGACGAGGTCATCACTCCTGCCTGTGTCGCCGCCCTCTACAAGATCCCCCATGCCAGCGCCAATGTCAGCGCCAACAACTCCCTCGGCATCTTCGAAGAAGGCGACTACTACGCCCAGGAAGACCTGAACCTGTTCTTCCGCAACTTCACCCCCTACATTCCCCAAGGCACTCACCCCAAGCCCGCCTTCATCGATGGTGCCGACGCCCCTGTCAACACCAGTGACGCCGGAGCCGAATCCGACCTGGACTTCCAGCTCGCCTACCCAATCGTCTACCCCCAGACCATCACTCTCTACCAAACCGACGACATCAACTACGCCAGCGGAGAGATCGAAACTGACGGTTTCTTCAACACCTTCCTCGACGCCGTCGACGGAGTAAGCCCCCTCCCCCTCCTCCCCCCTCTACCTCCACCCCAATCTAACAACCCAGTCCTACTGCACCTACTGCGCCTACGGCGAATGCGGCGACAGCCCAACCCTCGACCCCGTCTACCCGGACAACTACACCGACGGGTACAAAGGCCAGCTCATGTGCGGCGTATACAAGCCCACCAACGTAATCTCCGTGTCCTACGGCGGCCAAGAATACGACCTCCCAGCCTACTACCAACAACGCCAATGCAACGAATTCCTGAAACTTGGCCTCCAAGGCACCTCGATCCTCTTCGCCTCCGGTGACGACGGCGTAGCCGGCCCCCCCGGCGACGACAACGACAACGGCTGTCTCGGTAACGGCACCATCTTCAGCCCTGCCTTCCCCAACTCCTGCCCCTACGTCACCAACGTCGGCGCCACCAAGCTCTACCCAAACCACACGATCGCAGACGGCGAAAGCGCCGTCGTCGACCCCGTCGGCCACCCCTACTCCATCGCCTTCTCCTCCGGCGGCGGCTTCAGCAACATCTACACCGTCCCGGATTACCAGGCCGCCGCGGTGGCAGAGTACTTCAAGAACCATAACCCGCCGTACCCCTACTACGAGGGCAATGCCAGCTTCGGGAAGAACGGCGGCATCTATAACCGTCTGGGCCGCGGATACCCGGATGTTTCTGCCAACGGCGACAACATCGCTGAGTTCAATGCCGGGGAGTTCATTCTTGAGGGTGGTACTAGTGCTAGTACGCCGATCTTCTCCTCTGTGATTAACCGGATCATCGAGAGACGGATTGCGGCGGGTAAGGGCCCGTTGGGATTCTTGAACCCGGTCCTGTATCGGAATCCGTCGGCCTTGAATGATATCACGAATGGGTCGAACCCCGGTTGTGGAACTGAGGGGTTCTATACTGCTCCTGGGTATGTCCCTATCTCTTCCTCCTTATTTGAAAAGTACTAATAAGATGAATTATAGATGGGATCCCGTCTCCGGTCTAGGAACCCCCAACTACCCCAAATTGTTGGATGTGTTTTTGAACTTGCCCTAAACGATTACGGATTATGATTAGATGGGGTAGTGGTGCAAGATAGATTAATGATGAGAAATATGAGACATTGTTTAGGAGACCCGCAGGAGTACCTAGGTAGCTTTTTATCACATTATGACTACTACTAGATAGTAGGTAGGCTGCAGGCTCATCACACGGGCGTCCGGCGGAGAACCGTCGGGATGAGCGGGTTTCTTATCTGGTGGTTGAAGACACGGGAGGGAATTGATCCCGTGTTCGGGACCAGGTACCTACATGCTACTACCTACATGCGGAATAAGTAGATAGGAACTAGAAAGATGAATTCTGCAAGCTGCATGTAGGTAATTATGCAGGTTTAGATTTCCCATCACCAACACCACCCCGAAAGTACTAGTTCTCCGTACCCCGAAGTTAGAAGATAAGTGGGTCACTCCCTCAACCACCCACCAACCATAGATAACCATAATGATCAATAATAATCCCGCATTCCGGAGAAAAGAAAAAGAAAAAGTGGAGAAAACGGAAAAAATCCAACCAGCACCACCAGCACCACCAGCCACAGTACGGAGTATCATTCATTCCACCTAACACCTCATTATCATCATCATCATTATTATTACAATTCCCATTCAGGAAATAAGAATATTACTCCTCATCCAAAATGTCTGCCGCGGTTAGTTCTACCCACCACCCAACTTCTCGGACAATTATGCATGCATGCATGCATGCATACAATTAAACCCGACGACTTACTCACCTACATAACCAACAACTCAACTAATCAACTAAACTAACTCAAATACCCATGATATAAAATATTAGGACTCAAAAGGAACCCAAGGTTTCTACGACGAGCTTAAAGCTCTTTTCCAGCAGGCTGTATATTCCCCATCCTACCCTACCCCATAAACATCTCATATCTCATCTAGAATAAAGAATAATAAGTACTAACAACGATAGGATAAATCCGGCGAGGGCAAACTCGCTCTCCCTGAATTCACCTCCGCCGTGAAGGGAAGTTCGAGTGGGAGTCAACTTAGTGATGCGCAGTTGGAGGCCATGTTTAGTTTTTATGATGAGGAGAAGACTGGGTTTGTTTCTTTTGAGAGTTAGTATACCTTTCTCTCTTTCTCTATCTCTTTTTTTTATTTTTTTAAAAAAAGGGGTTGTGGCTAATTGGGGTTGGTAGGTGTGTGGAAGAAGATGAATAGTATGATGAAATAGAGGTTCACTCTACCTTTTGGTTCTGGAATGGGGTATAGGGGATAGGTGAGAATGTGGGAGGGGGTGGGATGGGGATGGGGATAGGTTTAGCAGTCAATAGAAAAGGAAATTGTTTGTGTGTGGTTTGGTGATTGGTGAGGGTGTTGGATTGTAGGGTATGTTGTTTAGTATAGGATTAAGGCCGAGGGAGTAGGTGGGGTAGGGATAGGTGGTTGGGTGGATGGTATCCATGTGTTGAGTGGATATGTCAAATGGGTTGGTTAATAAATTCGATCTGCGTATGTTCCTTTCACTACTTTGGTACAAATCAAAACGATGATTGCCCTACTCAAATACAAACTCTTTCCGAGTCATAATCAAACAGAGTAATCAGTTACAACCAATCCAACTCGGCAAATCAAACAATCTATTGAATAAAGAAAGACATATCTATCGTAATCTATGAAATAATCATGATTCTATATACCGACTCCCAGAGCCATCACAACATTATCTACTCATCCAGAACAAACCGATCCAAGAAGCGGAAAGTGTAAAGACCCTTGATCACCTCCTTGGCAATCTCCGAGGTATCATTAGAGCCAGTGTACACTCCCGGCCGGGTAAGCGAGATACCCGCGTTCATCAAAGCCTGGCTACCACTACCCAGAGCGGCCACGGGCTTTCCGTAGCGGAACGAATCAACCAGGATCTGGAAAGGCCGGCCAGGGGGATACAAAGCGGACAGAGACGAGGTGGCATTGGCCTGGTTGGACCAGCTGGGTGTGGCAAAGATGCTCTGAACGCCGTCGGCGATGACCAAGGCGTCAAAAGCAATAGAGTCGGAGATGGAGTAAGTGGCGTTGACGCCGTCGGCATAAGCTTCGGTGACGATGTTCAGGTCGACGCCGGCGGCGGCGAACTGGGCGGCCAGGGCCTGGCCCTGCTTGATGGACTCGGGGTGGGAGTTGGAGGCGAGGAAGCCAACTTGGAGACCTTCGACGCTGAGGAGGGGCTTGCCGAAGGTGCCGACGTTGGAGGTCTTGTTGGTGGTGTAGTAGGTCGGGTCCGGGGTGGGTTCGTCGAGACCGAGACCACGGGCGACGCGCTTGGCGAGGTTGTTGTTGACCCTGTTGAGCTGGGTGACGACGTTCTGGCGGACGTGAGGACTGGCGACCTTGGAGTTTTCAAAGACAATGGCGTTGACGAGGAACTGCTGCTCGGCTGGGACGAGCGAGTTCCAGAACATGGCGGGCTGGGACCAGTGGTCATTGAAGGTTGGGCTAACCTCGCGGACGAGGTGACCGCTGGCGTAGCGGTACGGGGCAGTGAAGAAGCCGTGGCCGTGAGTCTGGTTGGCTTGCATGGGGTAGCCGTTGCTCATGCTGTTGGGAGTGTAGGCCCAGTTGTTGGTGGGAATCTGCTGCTGGCCGAAGCCGTCGCGGTTGTTGTTGTGGACGGGCTTGCGAGGACGGTTGACGGGGATCTGCTCGAAGTTGGGACCGCCGTGACGGTTGATCTGGGTGTCCAGGTAGGAGAAGAGGCGGCCCTGCAGCAGGGGGTCATCGGTGAAATCGATACCGGGGACGACGTGGCCAGGTTGGAACTGACAGGTTAGTTTCGTCAAGTGCACCGAGGGGATGGGGGATGGACATACTCCGACTTGTTCGACTTCAGCAAAGTAGTTGGTAGGGTTGGCGTTGAGCTCCATCACTCCGAGAGGGGTGTAGGGGACAACTTCCTCGGGGACAATCTTGGTGGGATCCAGGAGATCGAATCCAAAGCGGAGCATGTCAGACTCGTCCATGATTTGGGCCCCGAGCTAGATAATTAGCATAGTTAGATAACAAGGGGAAGGTCTTACCTCGTATCTAGGATAGCGGCCGTTGGCAATGGCGTTGTAGAGATCCTGACGATGGTAGTCGCTGTTCTTACCAGCAGCAGCCTGAGCCTCATCCCACACCAGACTGGCAACACCCTGCAGGGACTTCCAGCGGTAACGGACCACCTTGGAGGTACCGTTGGCAGCCACGAAGCGGAAGCTGTGCACACCGTAGCCGTTCATATGGCGGAACGAACGGGGAATACCATTGCCAGACATCAGCCACAGGGCGGTGTGAAGGGCTGAGCTCTGCTGGCTGAAAAAGTCCCATGCAGAAGTGTGAGCAGTGGCGGCCTGGGGGATCTCATTGTTGGGCATGGGCTTGATGGCGTGCACAAGGTCGGGGAATTGAATGGCATCTTGAATGAAGAAGGGGGCCATGTTGATTCCAACGATGTCTGTGATGATTAGCTGACTAGCAGTGACTATCACAACATAAGGTATTACCGTAGTTGCCCTCGTCCGTGTAGAAGCGACAGGCGTGACCGTGGACATCACGCGCAGTATCCACACTGCCTCGGAAGCCGACCACGGTGGAAAAGCGACAGAACATGGGGGTCTCCTTGTCACCCGCACTCAGGAAATCGGCTGCAGTGACGTTGGACCAGTCGGCATAAGACTTGAAGGTGCCGTATGCTCCAGCACCACGGGCGTGGACGACTCTCTCGGGAACCTACCACAGTTAGTGGATGTATTGATGGATTGTCTGGTGGTGGCATACACGCTCATGGTCAAACCGTTGCAGCTTCTGACGGAAGATAAAGTCCTCCAGAAGGGTAGGACCCCGAGCACCAGCCTTGAGACTGGTCTGATCCGAGATGGGAGTACCAAAGTCGGTGGTCATGTAGCTGTCAGTGTCATTGACATACAAGGTATTGTCAATGGCCTGTTCCACGACCTTGATGGTATCGGTCGGGTTGTCTGCCTCCTCGGTGAAGCTCATTTCACCCGACAGATAGGGACATTGAGCCCCGGCGAGGCCAGCAACGGCCGGCAAAAGCCAGAATTGACGCATGGCGAGGAGACTGAAGATCTTCTTGGGTCGTGGTCGTCTGGATGTCACTGGAGGTGCCTTCAGGGATCTTATGTAGCCATGCGGCCGATCATAGCCTTAGTTAAGCTGGGAATCCAGAATCTGGTTCGATGCAGGCACAGGCACGGAATTTGGTAATCCGGACACTCCTGTTGGGACCAAAGGATCCACCTGGGTCATGCAATCTCGCGACCGATGCTGATCACTTGCAGGCGATATACAGCTTCGGTCACGGTGAGAGACATCGTCCAAGGTCCCCATGTTCATGCAGGAGGTTCATCCGCTAAGCAGCTTGAGCAAACTCAAAGAGGCACATGGCATGGTGATAGGCTGCGGATGGCTTCACGTCATGCCATGTTGGGCCAAGTATAGCTGGTGAGCTGCAACCCGACTGGTGCGTTCCGACAGGATCCCGACCTGCCAAGGCCGGTCTGGGCATTATTCCGTTACTTCAGCAGCGTTCTGGACGCCGGATGCTTGGTAAGAGGCGGACGATCGAGTTGGCGACTCCACTGGTGGCCCGATTGGCGCGGCTGCTTGGTAATCCCCGGAATCTGGATCGTTCCGTTGATGATTCGTCCTCTGCCACTCTCGACTTTCTACGCACTCGGTCGCTGTGAATTCAATGACGTTGGCCACGCTCGCTGTCCCGCTCGCTGTCCGGCAGATGCTCGGTAATATTTCTGGCCAGTTTATCTCTGTTTACCTCATGAAGTGTCTGGACCACGTGTTAATCAGTCGAGTGAATAAGCCGGTCCAGTCCGGTCATGTGACCTGGCCAGCAATGCTCAGTCGGCCTTGTTATCAACGCCATGCTTGCTAATTCTCGAATTCTAGAGGTGCCTGATGACCATGGATCTGATCCGATCCTTTAACGGCTAATCATCCGCATCTCCAATCCTTAAGCGCCGTTACTAAGATTCAATACTGACCCCGCACTTGCCACCTTAGTCACCTGCTTCACCACCACTGTTGTATGCGAGTCTAGTTCGTGTTCCTCTCACAGTGACTCAGCATCATGACCAAGCACCCCGGATTGGACCCTGTTCAAGCAGATGCGGGGTGCGTCATCGGCAAATTTGCAGCCGTCCGTGCCCTTGCGCGTGTGACCGGCCCATTTTGGCCACGGGGGGTCGTATAAGATGGCCTGCCATCATCCGAAGGGTATGGCATGATCATTGTCTGATCACGTATCAGACAACTGCAAATATATTGAATTTCATCAACACCAATGACCGAGTCCAAGTGTCCATTCCACCAGCGCGGATCCAACGCCAACATCGGCGGTGGAGGCACTCGCAATACCGACTGGTGGCCTGATCAGTTGAGATTGGATATTCTTCGCCAGCACTCGGCTGCTTCGAACCCTCTCGCTCCGGACTTTGATTACACTGCCGCCTTCAATAGCCTCGACTACTATGCCGTGAAGAAAGACCTCAATGATTTGATGACCGACTCTCAAGACTGGTGGCCTGCGGATTTCGGTCACTATGGAGGTTTGTTCATCCGGATGGCGTGGCACAGTGCCGGAACCTACCGGGTCTTTGATGGCCGTGGGGGTGGTGGTCAAGGTCAGCAACGGTTCGCTCCTCTCAACAGCTGGCCCGACAATGCGAGTCTGGACAAGGCCCGTCGTCTGCTGTGGCCCATAAAGCAGAAGTACGGCGCCAAGATTTCCTGGGCAGACTTGATGCTGCTGGCAGGCAATGTGGCCCTCGAGTCTATGGGCTTCAAGACCTTTGGCTTCTCGGGTGGTCGTGCCGATACATGGGAGGCCGATGAGTCGGTATACTGGGGTGGAGAGAGAACTTGGATGGGTAACGACGTCCGCTATGCCGATGGCTTTCCAGGAGTCACCAAGCACGGTGCCATCGACACGGACGAGCCACCCCATCTCAACATCCATACCCGCGAGCTAGAGAAGCCGCTGGCTGCATCGCACATGGGTTTGATCTATGTCAACCCCGAAGGCCCGGATGGCAACCCGGATCCGGTCGCAGCGGCGCGAGATATTCGCACCACCTTTGGTCGCATGGGCATGAACGACGAGGAGACAGTCGCTTTGATTGCTGGTGGCCACAGCTTCGGCAAGACACACGGCGCTGCCCCTTCTGACAATGTCGACGCCGAACCTGCTGCGGCTGATCTAGAGGCCCAAGGATTGGGCTGGAACAACAACTACGAGAGCGGCAGGGGTCGTCATGCTATTACCAGTGGTCTGGAAGTCACCTGGACCAAGACTCCCACCCAGTGGAGTCATGGATTCCTCGAGTATCTGTTCCGCTTTGACTGGGAACTGACCAAGAGTCCGGCGGGGGCCAATCAGTGGCAGGCCAAGGAGGCAGATGATATCATTCCCGATGCTTATGACTCTTCGAAGCGACACAAGCCCAAGATGCTGACCACCGATCTCTCTCTGCGTTACGATCCGATCTACGAGAAGATCTCGCGCCGCTTCCTGGAACATCCGGATCAATTTGCCGACGCCTTTTCCCGCGCGTGGTTCAAGCTCCTTCATCGCGACATGGGACCTCGGACTCGATACATTGGCCCGGAGGCGCCATCTGAGGACTTGTTGTGGCAGGATCCCATTCCGGCAGTCGATCATCCTCTGGTGGATGAAGCCGACATTGCCAACCTGAAGCGCACCATCCTGGCCACCGGGGTGGATGGGTCCAAGTTTGTGTCCACTGCCTGGGCATCTGCATCGACCTTCCGCGGGACCGACAAACGAGGCGGTGCCAACGGGGCTCGCATTCGCTTGGCGCCACAGCGCCAGTGGGAGATTAACAATCAGCCGTGGCTGGAAGAGACTTTGTCGATTCTCGGAGCTATCCAGAAGGACTTTAACAATGCCTCGGCGGGAAAGAAGATTTCTCTGGCCGATCTGATCGTCCTGGCTGGTTGCGCTGCGGTGGAAAAGGCTGCTCAGGATGCCGGCCACTCCATCACCGTTCCGTTCACACCCGGCCGAATGGACGCTTCGCAAGAGCAGACCGACGTGGAATCCGCCTCTCACCTGGAACCGGTAGCTGATGGGTTCCGGAGCTATGGATGTTCCACGGCACGGGTGCGCGCGGAGAAATATCTCGTGGACAAGGCGCACCTGTTGACATTGACTGCGCCCGAGATGACTGTCCTGGTGGGTGGTCTGCGCGTGCTGAACACCAACTACGATGGGTCGTCTCATGGTGTATTCACCTCCACCCCTGGACGTCTGACCAATGACTTTTTCGTGAACCTTCTGGACATGCGCACGGCTTGGAAGGCGAAGGATGGAGACCGCGATGTATACGAGGGAACCGATCGTAAGACGGGCGAGAAGAAGTGGACGGCGACACGCGCGGACCTGGTCTTTGGATCTCACGCAGAGCTGCGTGCGGTCGCAGAGGTTTATGGCAGTGTTGATGGGCAGGAAAGGTTTGTCCAGGACTTTGTGGCGGCGTGGGATAAGGTGATGAACTTGGATCGGTTTGATCTGAAGGCTTGATGGTGTTTGCATGATTTTAGTGATGTATATTTTTAATGATGTAATCAATGAATTTCAACAATGATCAAGGTGGTGCCAGGGTTACCTGGCTAACGACATGTTCCTTCGGTCGAGTGGCTTGACAATTCACGAGCAGAGATAATACGAGCAGAACTTCCAACAGGCTCTGAAGTTGCACAGAAATGCAACTTCCCGAGGAGTGACTTGTCTCCGGCAGGTTTTCATCCGTCTTATATGCCATCTCTCGTGAGACGACATACCCACGATCCACTGCTCTTATCCCAATGACAACCTCATCATGCGTCTTCAGGGTATTCTCCTCTCGGCTGCCCTCGCAGCAGCCTCACTCGCCGACGTGGACGTCGCCATCATCGGCGCCGGCTTATCCGGCCTGTCAGCCGCCAAAGACCTCGCCGCGGCCGGCAAATCCTTTGCCATTCTTGAAGCCCGCGATCGCGTTGGAGGTCGAGTCCTAAATGTCGAGTTGCCCGGGGGTATTGTCGAGGAGGTAGGGGCAGAATTCGTCGGTCCGACCCAGGATCGTGTCCTGGCACTTGCAGCCGAGCTCGGGTTGACCACGTATCCCACTTACAACACGGGGAATTGCACCTTGCTGCGAAATGACACGGTGACCAACTATCCTTGCGATCTGGGGAGTGGTGGATTGCCTCCTGTGGACATGGAGGCGTTGATCGAGCTGGTCACTCTCCAGCAACGGCTCAACACCCTGGCTGCTGAACTTGATGTGCAGTCACCATGGAACCACATCAACGCTTCAATATTGGATAGCATGACGGTGGCTACCTTCTTTGCATCACAGCTTACTCTGTCGGATGCGCAATTTCTCATCGATACCGCCGTCACCGGGATTCTCTCCACCGAGACCAACGAGCCGTCCTTGCTTTATATGCTGGCTTATATCGCGGCCAGTGGGAATGAAACCACACTCGGAACACTGGATCGTCTTATCGGGGTGGCTGGTGGGGCACAAGAAAGTCGCATCAACGGAGGGACACAGCTGATCGCGTTAAAGTTGGCAGACAGACTGGGTGCAGAGAATATCTACCTCCAAAGTCCTGTCCGCAGGATTCAGCGCCACGATGAGGGATACCTCGTCGTCTCAGACCAGGTACAAATCACAGCCAAGAGAGTCGTCGTGGCAATGTCTCCTCCTCTGGCCGCACGGATTGTATACGACCCACCCCTCCCCCCAGGACGAGACCATCTCACCCAGCGCATGCCCATGGGCTCCATCGGCAAGGCAATCGCCATCTATCCGACCCCATGGTGGCGCAACCTGGGCCTCAACGCACAGGCCCTCGCCGATACGGGCGTCATTCGCATCACCTACGACAACACACCAGTCGATGAATCCTTCGGTGCACTCATGGGCTTCATCGTCGCCGACGAAATGCGACGCTTAGACAAGATGAACCAGACAGAAATGGCCGCCCTCGTCACCCAAAGCTTCGTGAACATGTTCGGCCCAAACGCCGCGACCCCAATCCATGTGATCATCCAACGCTGGGACCTGGAAGAGTACTCGCGCGGTGGCCCAGTAGCATACGCCCCTCCCGGCCTCCTCACCGACTACGGCGACTCTCTCCGCGATCCCGTCAAAGGAATCCACTTTGCCGGAACCGAAACATCAACCTACTGGATTGGATACATGGACGGGGCCATCCGATCGGGGGAACGAGTCGCAGCCGAGATTCTTCAAACCATCTAACCCCCAAATCAAAAAATCAATCAAATTCCTTCCTCATATACGTCGCCTTCAACATCACCACCCCCTCCAAATCCCTCACCTCATACCGATCAACCTCTTTAAACCCCACATACCCCAACCTCTCATACCACTCCTGATTACAATACGGCGGTCCCCCAGGCCCAAATCTATCCCGAATATGTTTCTCCTCGTACCAATACCGTTTACTCAACGACGTTAATGTAATTGCCTGACAGTGTGCATCCCCGTGGGGTTCTCTCCGCGCCATTCCCTCCACTACCTCCATTACTTGTCGTCCGAGACCCCGCGATTGATACTCGGGGAGGATGAAGAAGTTTTGAATCGTGAGGAGGGATTTGTCGGATCGAGCGAGGTCGGGATCTGCGGGGTCGGTGTATGCGTCCAGGGAGATGTGCCCGGCGTTTATCAGGGTTTCTTTATCTTCGGTGGGAATCATAATCCAAAAGAATCCTTTCAGACCTTCGACTTGTTTCTGTTTCCATCCGTCGAGATCGGAGATGGAACTGTCCCAGCCGCAGAGGATACGTTGGTGGTGGAGTGTAGTGTATTGGTTTTGTTCGTGGAGGTTGATGGGTGTGAGGTGGCATTGGGTTATTTTGGTGGTAGTCATTTTGAGCATGAGGGTATCTTTATTTGAGGAAGTAAAGAGAGGGGCAGGGGGGGGGGGGGGGATTTATATAACCCATGCTTAGTTTATTTCTATTTTATTCTGTTTAGTTTACGTGGGGTAGTTCATAAACCCGACCGTATCTATTCGTATTTCTCGACCCGCAATTTAGTAGTCTCTGACTCACATCCGCACGTAAGCACTAAATAATCTCAGGATCACATTATTGCGCGCACATTCTTTTACCTGAGTAGTAGCTTAGAATAGATATTACATCCCCTCCCGATATGTCCAACGAATCAAAAAAGCAAACGCACAAGAATAGAGTAAAGAAAAGTATTCACATATCTGCCTGATGATGCCACAGTTTTAATGCTTTAGTTGAATAGTACCACCCACCACATACGATATATGAAAATAGATAAAGGAGACCCGAGAAAAGGCAAGCTAAATGCTGGATAAATATTAATACCTACACCCGCGTGTATTTTTTCTCTAGCTTATTGTTTACAATTATGTTGTACTTGGCTTGATTTAAGAGCAAGTAGCTTGTTGTACCTAAGATGGGGTAGATAACTTGCATTCTGTGTATAGTATAAATCCCTCACTACCCATATCACCATGTTACCATCCATCCATTTACCCGAGTGCTCTGTAGTAAGTAAGTAGTTGTGATCATCCCAACCCGGAATATATTTCCCTCATCCCACCCAAACCCCAACCCAAAACTAAAGACCATCACTAAGCGGGAATCTCCCCTCACCGATCCTACACCCTAAACCCACGGTTCCTATCCCAAGCTAGCTATATAGTAGAATTGTATCCATGGTTCACCACCCGGGGAAATATACCCGCTCCCGGGCTAGACCCTACTGATCGACATGGGATCTTCGGGTGGGGGGATACGAACGTGTTTGTTACTTACTTACTACTGAAAAGAGTTGGGAGAGGGGTTTGGTGGGGATTTGTGGGGTGGAAAGGATAGTATACGAAGAGGTTATTGGAGAATTGGTTGGAGAATCGGTACTACGAGGATTATCTAAATGGAAGGTTATTTGGTGAGGTCGTGAGGTCGTGAGGGAGGAAGTGATCGGCGGATGTCTTAGTTGGGATTCTCCTATTTGGTGAGGGTGAAGAGGGATCCATGATAATACTAGGTAGGTACTAGTAGTAAGTAAGTTAGGTTAAGAGGTGGTTGTCTTGTTGTGACTGGGTTGGTGGGTAGATTCAAGATAGAAAAGAGGGAGGTAACGGAGTCAATGAACATCATCAAGTGTTGTATCACAAGGAATCTAATTCCGATCTACAAAGAGGTAAAGTGGCAAACTATACACCCTCCTTCCCGTAGTCCTTCATCTCCACTATACTCCCCCTCACCCCCAACAAATCCCTCTCGGTATCATTCGACCGTCTATTCTCCTGTTCTCCGTCCGTCCGCTTCCTCCCAACGGCAGCAACATGAACACTCGTTTCCTTCTTCCAACTCCAACTCCGACTCCGTCCCTGACTATGCCACGTGCGACTTTTCCCAGTCGAACTCTCCGTACTTCCATGCTGACTGCCCACAGACTGAAAGAATACCTTAACAGCAGGTAAACTCGAACAAGTAACCGCAATGTTAATCTCCATCATGGCCAGGATCCAACAATACCAGACTTCCCAACTCGCGTCATAAGATTCGTAAAACATGCGGTAGACGAAGTAGATTCTAATCCCGGCGACCACGGCAGCGAGATATCCCAGACCAAAGACCACGTTTAGGAGAAGTTTCTGCTTGATGGACATTTGTAATCTCCAGCAGAGGACGGCAGGGAGAGTCGTGCTGATGATGTCTTGGGTGAGACTGATGGCGGTGGCGGCGATGAGGTGCGCGGGTTCGTCGTAGCAGTGGTAATTCTGGGTGAGGGCGTAGGTGGGGTCGATTTGCATCCAGTAGGCGGACCAGGGACGACAGGAGAGGAAGATGACGATGAGAAAGGCGATGTTGTAGGCTACGACGGAGCCGATGCTCACGTAGATGATGGTGAGGAAGCTGCGGGAGATGGTGGTGCGATGGCCCATGCGGCGGTAGAAGAGAAGGACGGATACTTTGACGAAACAGGAGGCGAAGACGTAGAAGAGCTCTTCGGCGATGGCGAGTTTGCGTTCACCCAGGAGGAGAGTGAGGGAGTTGTCCCATGTGTGATGGTTTTCGCCGTAGACGTAGGCGCCTATACAAGTTAGGGTGGGTCATGATAAATGAATAAGGGCATACCTAGAGGAACAGCAATGCTGAGGCCGATAGTAGGAATCAGACATAACGCGATAAAAATATCGTCAAGACCGGCCTGTCGCTGGATCACACAGCGGGCCCACAGTCGAAGACTAACGGTGGCGACCGCAATGCCTCCAAAGATTGCGGAGAGAATGAGAGCTGCCGGACTATGGGATTCCGGGTCGATGGTATTAGGCGCAGGCCACGACTCGATGACCGAGAGTGGCGGATGGAGGCCCCCAGACATGATGAGAGATGAGTGAATTGAAGGTGGTGCTGATGCAGACAGCAGCGAGGGATGCCCTTACATACTGGTCGTGGCAAGGGTGTCTGGTTAGGGGCAAGTAGGTTTCTTCGGATCCTGCAAGCCACGACCTTATTGTGATAGACAGCAGGCAAACCGTAATCTACCCATGACACCCAGACTGTTGAACCGCCAATCAGCCGACGGAACCCAAAAATGAGATGGCGGCAGGTGGGCCCAACCCTAAAAGCGTGCCGATCAGGAGCGTTTCACCGTGAAACGCCCGCACGAACGCTTCCGGTGGTCCTGGCACCTGTCAACTCGAATGCACGGTGAGAGGATGTACTTGATGTATCCAATGCCGACCGACGTCAAGTCCCGGATTGATTGCACGGGTAACTCGGCTCGACTTTCGGCCGGATCTAATCCTGTGGAGGCTGGTTGTCAAACTTGTTCTGGCTGCTGCCGCAAAGTCCCCCGATCATATAATTCGACATCTGAAAATCCATCCAATCGTTGCGTCATCTGGCCGCGTGAACCCAGATCCTTCCATCGCCTCAGTTCGATCGCAGAAGCCAATCAGCAGTGACACACCCTCAGACCCATGGAAACGGGCAGAGTTACCGCCCAAAAACTGTGCCCCTGTGGAGGTTCCGTTGTCGGACGTTGATGAAAAGCTTGTCAAGACTGTCCCAGTGGACATTTGCCATGTTATACTTCTCATACCTCGACAGGTCTCTTTGGTAGTTAGTGATTGGTTCGCTTCGCTGACTCTTCAACAGACTCCAACTTGATCCGACAACGATTATTTTATCTGGCTCAAGGTTAAGCACCGCCTTGGTGTTGTCGCTCGGAACAGTTAGACTCAGCGTTGTAGAGATTGTTGAAAGCGAGAGTTGCTTATCATGACAGCCTCAATGCAAGTTCCATACTCTGAGCAGCGGTGGTGGATCTGGTATCGCTGCTGGCATGCCAATGTAAAACATTTCGATCGCAATTCATAGCTGTAGCTAACAATGTTTCAGTTCCTCCGTGTACGTCATGAGGAAATCCGTGTTTAGCTTCGTCATCGCAGCTCAGCTACGACAGGCTCTGGCTTGAGTACAAAATGAGGTCCTTGGTATCGAGAGATGACCGTGAAAATTATTCGTAGGAGATAATCGTGCTGAGATCAACAATCCAAGTGAATTGGGCAGACTGATCCGCTGGTAAAGTCGACTCGGCTATCTTCAACCCTTTGGGAACAAGAAATATTCGGTCGCTGAATTTTCATCTTGCTCGTTTGCGTCTTCGATCTTTCTCATTGTCATATGCTGGGGTCTTTGATGAATCTCACGGGGCAGACTTCATGTCAGCAACTTGGAATTCCAGCATAGTGCTGGGTGTAGATTCTTGTGCAGAAGACTTTTCCGAGTCTCTCATGGATGAGCCCCCTAAATGAAGCGAAGTGGATCTGCAGTCACTCACCTGATGTCATAGCTACGACAAATAACGCATCGAGGTCGGAGAGCGATGCGATGGTACTATTCATTCGCAGAAGTGATAATGTCTCCTACTCGACGACAACTATCGGATAATAGCATAGTTGGCTCACCGTTCCAGAGACCTTCGTGGAACCATGGCATAGATGGGTTGGATGAAGCTGCGATTCCCGGGCGGGTCATATGTGATGCAGCCATGTCAGCAAGCTGAGGAGGTGGAATACTATGTTGCAGTTCGCAGGATGACTTGCATCATCAGTTATTGGTAAGACTCAATACCCCTGACCTGGCATTGGTATTTCCACCAATCACGGGCTGACTGATCCTCACAACTGATAGCCAGAACAGGTACCTGAACATACACTGGATTGAGACATACGACCGGATCCCGCGGATCAATTAAACCCACATGCAGTGAATATGCCGAGTTCTCACCACCATTGATGGGTACGGAGGTGTCTCCGTGTTGGATCAGTCACGCATTCATCACCCGAAATTAATCTATCGCTTGGCCAATGTACTGAGAGCTCACCTCATCTGCAGTAATTTCAAACCATGAGGGGTCAATCCATCTGACATGCGTTCCGTTCCCCTTCAGGCATGGCAGTCTAATGCAGGGCGGAATCATGTCACGCATGAGCATACTTGATCTGCAGCGGAGCACTGTCTGAGCCATTCATTATTTAAACACTATCATGTCCATCCAGTCCAGTCCATCCAAACATCAGATTATCAACATGCGGCATACAGCAGCCTTTGTTGCTATCAGCTCCCTCGTGGACTTGGTCCAGGGTGCCGCCTCTCAGGCTTATACCTGGAAAAATGTGGTCACAGGAGGTACGTTCATCCCCCCATGCAGAACCTGCTAACAATTCAGGCGGCGGAGGCTTCACTCCAGGCATCGTGTTCAATCCCTCGGCCAAAGGTGTTGCGTATGCTCGCACCGACATTGGTGGTGCCTACCGGCTTAACTCGGACGATACCTGGACTCCATTGATGGACTGGGCCAACAACTCCAACTGGTAAGCTATTCATCCGGCTAGGAACACGGCTAAGAATATGCTCATTTCAGGCACGACTGGGGCATCGATGCCATTGCCACCGATCCCGTCGATACCGACCGGGTGTATGTGGCCGTGGGTATGTACACCAACGACTGGGATCCCAACGACGGATCCATTCTCCGCTCCACCGACCAGGGCGATACCTGGGCGGAGACCAAACTCCCTTTCAAGGTTGGAGGAAACATGCCCGGTCGTGGAGTTGGCGAGGTACGCTCTTCTTCGCTCTTCTTCGCATTTCTTTGATCGATTTGCTCATACTGACTATCCAGCGGCTGGCGGTGGACCCCAACGACAACAGCATTCTGTACTTTGGAGCCCGCAGTGGCCACGGCTTGTGGAAGAGCACCGACTATGGCGAGACCTGGTCGAATGTAACCGCCTTCAAATGGACCGGCACCTATTTCCAAGACTCCAGCTCCAGCTACACGTCCGACCCGGTAGGCATCGCCTGGGTGACATTTGATTCGACCTCTGGCACCTCTGGCTCTGCGACTCCGCGCATCTTCGTCGGTGAGTTCACCCCATACCACCTATACTCCAATCTAACCAACCAGGCGTGGTCGACACTGGCGAGTCCGTCTTTGTATCCGAAGATGCCGGTGAAACCTGTACGTCCCCCATCCACCCACCCATCCTCTTCCCACTAACTCCTCAGGGTCTTGGGTATCCGGCGAGCCCTTGTACGGCTTCCTCCCCCACAAAGGCATCCTTTCTCCCTCCGAACACACCCTCTACATCTCCTACGCCAACGGTGCCGGTCCCTACGACGGCACCAACGGCACTGTACACAAATACAACATCACCAGCGGCATCTGGACCGACATCAGCCCTACCTCCATGGCCTCCACCTACTACGGCTACGGCGGACTGGCCGTGGACCTCCAAGTGCCCGGCACCATCATGGTGGCCGCCCTCAACTGCTGGTGGCCCGACGAGCTGATCTTCCGCAGCACCGACTCGGGCGCCACCTGGTCCCCCATCTGGGCGTGGAACGGCTACCCCAGCATCGACTACTACTACACGTACGACATCACCAACGCGCCCTGGCTGCAAGACTCCACCTCGACCGACCAATTCCCCGTGCGCGTCGGCTGGATGGTCGAAGCCCTCGCCATCGACCCCTTCGACTCCAACCACTGGCTCTACGGCACCGGCGAGACCATCTACGGCGGCCACGACCTCCAAACCTGGGACACTTCCCACAACGTCACCGTCAAATCCCTCGCCGTTGGCATCGAAGAAATGGCCGTCCTCGGCCTGATAACTCCCCCTGGTGGTCCCGCCCTCCTCTCCGCCGTCGGCGACGACTGCGGCTTCTACCACTCCTCCCTCACCACCGCTCCATCCCAATACTTCCACACCCCGACCTACAGCAGCACCAACGGCATCGACTACGCAGGTAACAAACCCTCCAACATTGTCCGCTCCGGCTCCAGCGACACCGATCCCACTCTCGCCTTGTCCTCCAACTTTGGCCAATCCTGGTACGCCGACTACGCCGCCACCTCCTCCACCCCCACCGGCCAAGTCGCTCTCTCCGCCGACGCAGACACCATCCTCCTCTCCACCACATCCGGTGTCCTCCGTTCCCAAAACTCCGCCACCTTATCCACCATCTCCTCCCTCCCCTCCTCTGCAATCATCGCCTCCGATAAATCCAACAACACCTTCTTCTACGCCGCCTCGGGCTCATCCTTCTACCTCTCCTCCGACACAGCAGCCACATTCACCAAAACCACCACCCTCGGCTCCAGCACCACAGTCAACGCCCTCCGCGCCCACCCCTCCACCGCAGGCGACATCTGGGCCTCCACTGACGTCGGCCTCTTCCATTCCACCGACTTTGGGAAATCCTTCACCCAGATTGGAAGTGGATGTACCGAGGGATGGAGTTTCGGGTTCGGGAAACCGGAATCTGATACTTCATACCCCGTTCTGTTTGGTTTCTTTACTGTGGATGGCGTCACTGGATTGTTCAAGACGGAGGATGAGGGTGTAAACTGGCAGTTGATTTCCGATGAGAGTCATGGGTTCGGGGCTGCGGATGCGAATGTGGTGAATGGGGATTTGGCGACGTATGGGAGGGTTTTTGTGGGGACGAATGGGAGGGGGATTTTTTATGGGGATGCGAGTGGGACTCTTCCGAGTGCGACTGCGACTGCTACTGCCAGTGTGAGTGTGAGTGCGACGGGGGTTAAGGTGGGCTCGAGTACGAGTTCAGTGTCGACTGTAGGGTCGGTGACGAGTAGTACTGTTGGTTCTACTACTAAGTCGACGACTCTGACCACGACGACAAAGACGGGTGCGGCGAGTACTTCTACTACTACTGCAGCTACAGCTACAGCTACAGCAACAGCAACTGGAACAAGTACTGCATACGGTCAGTGTGGAGGGAGTGGGTATACGGGCCCGACGACGTGTCCGAGTGGGTATACCTGCACGTATGAGAATGAGTTTTATTCGCAGTGTGAGTGATTCTTTTCTTTCTCTTGATTCTTTAGTATGATACTAACGGGAGTAGGTTTGTCAAGTTGATGAGATAGGGCAAGACGGGATGAGACTTATAGTGTTGGTATTTGCATTGATAGTAGTCAATTGCTATGAATGAAATCTATCAGTATATACCTCCCTCCTCTATCTATATCCAAATCTATATCCATCAAGGATAGATTACTCCCTCCTCAAACACCCCCTATTCAAATCCTCCCTCTTCACCGACGGCAACCCCGCCAAATGCAACGTCAACTGAATCTCCCCCAACAAACTCCTCAACACATGTCTCACTCCCTCCTCCCCCGCAATCGCCAACCCATACACATACGGCCTTCCCACAAGCACCATCTTCGCCCCAGCGCCAACGCCTTAACCACATCCGCACCACACCTCACCCCCGAATCAAACAACACCTCAATCTCCCCTCCCACCTCATCCACAATCTCCGGTAACATCGTCAACGACCCCACCCCCCCATCCTGCTGTCTACCCCCATGATTCGAAACCACAATGCCCTGCATCCCATACCGCACAGCCAACCTCGCATCCCTCACCGACTGAATCCCCTTCAACACAATCGGCCCATCCCAATTCTCCTTTAGAAACTCCAAATCCTCCCACCCATGCGACCTCCCGGGAAAAATAATCCTCGCCCACTCCGCCGCCGCAGCACCCACATCCTCCTCAACCTCCATCCCATACCTCTTCACAAAATGTTCCCTAAACACCGGATCCGAAAACCCCGCCTCCACCCCAATCTCATCCGCCCTCAGAAACGGATTATACCCATTATCCAAATCACTCGGTCTCCACCCCAGAATGTACGTATCCAACGTAACCACCAAAACCGTATACCCGGCCCTCTTCGCCCTCTGCAACAAACTCCCCGTGATCTCATTATGTTCATTCCCCGGCCAATACAACTGATACCACCGCGGCCCGGTCCCATTCGCCCCCGCCACATCCTCAAGACTGGTTGCGGTGGCCGTACTCAACGTATACGGAACCCGTAGGGCGTTCGCGGCCCTCGCAACGGCTTTTTCGCCCTCCGGGTGGAAAATAGTCTGTACGCCTACGGGCGCGATCGCTATCGGGGAAGCGTATTCTTCTCCGAAGAGCGTGGTGGATAGGGATGGGAATGAGGCGGGAATGAGCCGGGTAGGGATTATGGACCATTGGCGGAAGGCAGAGCGGTTTTTGTCGTCGGTTTCGCGGGTGCCGGCGGAGCCGTGGACGTAGTTGAAACTGGTTGCTGGGAGGTGGGATTTGGCGAGGGGTTCCCATTCGTGGGGGTGGAAGGTTATGGGGGGGCGTTGGTTGTGGAGACCGTGCGTGTAGGTTTCGGTTTGGTAGGTGTAGGGTTGCATTTTCATATATTTCAGAGATTGTTGTTAGGTGGGAGGGTGGTTTGAGGAAGGGGGAATGGGGTGTGTGTTATGTGTAGGTGTTGAGGTAGGTGGTAAACCGGTTTGCTGTTATATCATTCAGGTGAGGGTATGACGACATGTAGATGGGTGGGGCGGCGGAGTTAGGGCGGAGCCAATTAGGTGGTTGGGTTTTGGTCAAGCTTCTACTTTGTCGGATTGGGGTCTCGGCCGAGTTTCTACCGTGTATGGGGGTTGTGACGTTGTAGCTCGTCTGGTTTGATCTCTTGCAAGTAATGCGACAGGGTTCGTAGTTGAATGTTTCTCTGTATGTATGGGATGGTCCTCGAAGGGAGTCATGGCCGCACTCTAGCGGGGTTCTATAGATGAAGGAATGATAGCTGCATTTACTGGTAGGTTAGTTGGAGGGATCTAAATTACTATGTAGGTGTCTCTGCATCTTTGGATAACAGAAAAACGAGACAGCAATCAGTTCGATAGGAGTGAATATGACGCGCCAATTCCATAGAGAATTTGGCCAGCCACGCTCGACAGTTTAGATGCTAAGTGGAATGTCTTTAATCCGGTGGGTGTTTTTCATAGGTGACTGATAGTCTAGTTGTATAGCAAAATTAGTATATTCAAGACGCCCTTGACATAAACCATAACCTATTATAATGATATCTGCAAAAATAGTATCAGCTTGTGTGGCTTCCTCCACCCCATCCATCTTATCTACCAACATTCCCCTGATTCTACTAATATCTAACTAATAATCATATCTAAATCATTAACAAATTGGAATCCAACCCTTATTTTCATCCCCACCCCCACAAGACCCTCCACGATGGACAATATCAATCCGATCACCCTAACCCCACCGATTATCTCATCCGAGAGGTCATGGGGTATGATGAAGTGGATACGAGATTTATTAGTGGAAGAACAGCCGGATCGGTGGGTGGATTATCAATTGGTGTGAGGGAGATTTTTATTAACAGGAGGAAGAGATAAAACGGCGGGCGGAAGAGGAGGTTATTAGAGTTGTGGAAGAGCAGGTGTTGAGATTTCTAGATTTGGAGTGGGATGCAAGTATGGATAGTAGTGACTTGTGGATGGTTTGGGGGATGAGTTTCTAGATGATTATGAAGGGTATCAGGTTGGGGGAAGATAACTTGGGTTGATGTATCGGCTGAATATTGTTATACATCCAGGAATAAGACTGGTTCATGTAGACTTCATCTTCAGTCTATTCCCTCAGTGATGGTATCTCCACTTGATCCGCCGCCAAGTTGCCCACCAGTCGATCAGGTCCGTGGCGTGGCCACAGTGGGTCGACGAGATGTGGATCGCGAGCCAAGTCATGATAACGCCACTGCTTGCCATCAATAGTTGTAGATCAACTTGCTGTATGGAGTAGACTAGACATATCTACTAGTACTTGTATCTTATGAACAGAACAAAACAAAACAATCATACATGGAACCGCTGCATTTCCCGACTCACCATCACACTTCACTCACCCCTCCAATCTCAACTCCAACTCACCACGGGCATTATCGCCACCATCCCAGAGTCAAACACTATTTATGCTCCCCATTGCCCCGCTCCAGCATCGCCTTCTCCGAATGCATCCACCTCGCCCCTGTTGTTCCAGACCACCCTTCCGCCATCCCGACTACCCCATCACAGCTTCATGTGAATACCACGTTTGCGGAGATATCACAGTACAGCTAATGGCCAATCATTTCCAAAAGAGTGACCACTGCTGTTCAAATGCTTCTACCCGAGCATTACCGCCAGTTGCCAAACAGCGCAAATCCACGGTCGCTACATCCCACGCTGGACACGCGTTAACCACCCAACGCGTAAGCGCGTGCCTGTGAAACATAGATAGCACGCACGGGATGAATCAATCAGCAGCCTGTCAATCAAGTGATTTAGAATAATATAACCCCGATCCGCATATCCGGTGCAGGGTTGATGTCACGGAGCTGATGCATTGACCAAAGGATATCTCTCAATCCCAGCGACTACTAGATATGGTATCTGGGGGTGGAGATTGTGATACACCAGATGGGATTATTGCTCCCTCGCGTTGGAATCCTGGTGCCTGTGGATTTGATTCAAGGGAATCTGAGACATGACAATCTTAGATCAACACACTTCTGCTTGGGAGTATACGTCATTGATTGGATAGCTGCTGGGGTTTGCTAAGGTATGAAATGTGAGAAGTATGGGTTGGTGTGTTGCTACTATTGCGGTGGCCACGCATCCACCGTTATCAACGCTGCAACGATCCATGAGTCATTGATCATCGGCTATCGGTTAAGTGGACTTTCTGTCTACTGTGTCTCTGTACTGTTAATGCTATGTAGATCTCCAGCCTGCTCATGACAACCGCCCTTGCGGACTCAACGGTGATCCGGATGATCATGACGAAGCTCTGCATACCTCCTACCCCTGAGTACGCAATGCGCGGAAATTAACGCCGCCGCATCAAAAAGCGGTCGCGAAGCCATTCCTTGGTCTCAGGGTGTAGTGCAGGACCTGATTTTCTCGGGCCGATAGTTTCGGCATTGAAGTGTACTATTTGTCGATCCGCAGCGGGAACAACGGTTACAGGGTCGGACTCGAGACAAGCAAGCTCCCGCCACGGGTTGATCCGGGTGGCTACAACGCCCTCGGTCGGTCCAGGGGATCACGCAAGATTAGAGTGCAGCTGGAGATTCCAAATTTTAGTGCTCTTCCAGACCCAATCGACTTGCCGATCGGGTCACACAAGCTCCAGCCCCTTCACAGACCACATGTCAGATACCGACCGAGTAGTCATGGTGGAGCGAGCAATCATTGCAGTTGCATTGTCAATAGCACGATCCACCGTGGCGAGCATGTGAACTTGACTGGATTCTATGATGGTTATTCAGCAGGGAGGCGAATCCACGTCGGATGATCCTGCGACAGGTGCTGCGAGCCTGCGACAGGGTCGCATACCGCAGGGAGATCATCCGCGACAGATAAGCTGAATAACTATTAATACACTAACCAGCAGCCAAGCGGCAGGGTGAAGGGAGTGACGCTGGACGCGCAATCGATGAAGACATGCTGCAACACCAGAAATTAGGGCATGGGGGTGCCTGCGGAGCGCGACCGAAAAGTCCGGACGACCAGAAAGTCTATCGCAGGCTCCAACAAACCCACTTTTCCTCAGATTCTTTACAGACTTTTCCTTGCGCCCCGCTATCTACTATTTAAAAATGGCTCGTCTTGCCAGTCCTTGTGGTTTCTTTCAGACAAACCATGGCTATTCTTGACGTTTTTCGAGGCCGTCAGCAGCAGCCGTCCCCCGACGGTGATGCCCCGGCCAAGTTTCCCCAGTTTACCATCTTTTCTCGTCCTGGCTCGTCGTTAGGGAACAGTACTCCCTCGTCCGGTCTAGCCACCCCGACCGAAGAAAAGGGTCTCACGGAATTAGGTCCATGTCCGGAGATCGGTCGTCTGGCTTCGTGGAAAGGTGCCCTGATTCTGCTGGTCACATCGGGCTCCCAATTCCTCGACAATGTCTTCATGACGAGTGCCAACGTCGCCTTGTCGTCCATTCAAGACGCCTTTGACGTGTCTGACACCAATCTCCAGTGGATGATCTCCGCATATACCCTTACCTTTGGTGGATTCCTGCTCCTTGCCGGCGTCCTCTCCGACCGGTGAGTATCCCTTCACCACTTAGACCCACCTATTCTAAACCATCCCAGCTATGGCCGCAAGATGATCCTCTGCCTGGGATTGACCTGGCTATCCATCTGGACCCTAGCCATCGGCTTCGGCCAATCCTTCATCCAACTCACCGTCTTCCGCGGTCTCCAAGGCATCGGGGCGGCACTCACAGTCCCGTCCGCGATCGGAATCATCAGCGCCTACTTCAGCGGACTCGATCGGACTCGCGCACTCTCCATCTACGCCTCCTCCGGCACGGTAGGGTTCTGCGTGGGTCTGATCTTCGGGGGTTCCTAACCTCCTCCCTGGGCTGGCGATACATCTTCTACTTTATCGTGATCATCACCGGGTCACTCGGGATCCTCGGTGCGGTCGTTCTCCCCAAGGATAACCTCGCTGGCAAGGAGAAGCCCAAGATGGATTACGTAGGGGCCATGCTCTCCACTGCGGGTCTGATTCTCCTCCAGTTCGTCCTGTCTAGCGGTGGAGTCTACGGCTGGGGAACACCCTTTATCATTGTCTTGTTGATCCTAGCCGTGGCTTTACTGGTGGCCTTTACTCTCTGGGAGAAATACATTTCCTACCCCTTGATGCCACTGGGACTATGGAAACTCCCTAACTTTGCTGGTCTCTGGATAGCCGGATTCAGTGAGCCTCCCCCTACCTCATCACTCTCATTCTATACAGCCCCACTAACCATGAAATCAGCCTGCTACGGCAGCTACCAAAACGTAATCTACTACATCGTGCTAATGGCCCAAGAAGTCGACAAGCTATCAGCCGGCCAAACTGCCATCCGATTCCTACCCATGGGCGCAATCGGTTTCATTGCGTCCATGGGCACCGGAAAGGCCCTCGAATATGTCAATGGGAAATATACCCTTCTTGCGGGGTTGGTGTTGACAGTGGTAGCTCCAATTCCTAGCGCTATTACCTCTAGTCCAGAGAATAGCTTGTAAGCCCCCCCCCCCCCCCCCCCCCCCTCCGCTTTCACCAGCAAACCCAAACTAACATGATAAATACAGCTGGCTCAACGTCCTCCCCACAAGCCTAATCAGCATAACAGCCGTCTCCCTAATCTTCGTAACCACCAGCACCGCCATTCTGACGACCGTACCCGTGAACGTGAAATCCCTCTGCGGGGGGATGCTCAACACGGCCTTTCAAATCGGGTCCGGCGTCGCACTCGCCATATCAGCAGCCGTCACAGAAGCAGTAGATATCAAAAAGGGACATGATCTGGCGCATCAGTATTCTACGGGATTGTGGTGTTCGGCGGGGTTGGCGGGGTTGGGGTTACTGATTGCGATGTTTTCGGTGAGACGGAGGGGGATTGGGCCGGGGGATAGGGATGATAGTGTTTGTGCTATTTGATTTCCTTCCTATTCCTTTACTCTTTGTCTTTTTCTTATTTGGGTTGGGATGGTTGGGTTGGGTGCTGGATACCCCGGTTTGCTTGATGGGAATGGAATGGAATGGAATGGAATGGGCGTTATGATAGATCATGATTCGATATGACATGATATGATATGTACAGAGCGATAGAATAGATAGATAGATATATATGCATGCATACATGCACTTATTCCTTGTTTTGAGTTGATTCCTTTCCCTACTCTAGTCTCACAGTGAATACACTGAATAAGAACACCAATTTCCTTTACAGAACCAAAAACGCATAGAACTGGGGTTGTAGCTCAGTGGTAGAGCGCTCGCTTTGCATGCGAGAGGTCAAGGGTTCGATCCCCTTCAGCTCCATTTCTTTTTCTTCCCCTGCCTCTTTTTTTTTCCCCTGTACGGAGGGGGGGGAAGAGTATGCGGGTTATCTTATCGCTTATCCATCCTGTTTATACTTTTTTTTTTTTTCTTAGTCCAATTCCTTAAAATTAACTTTTTGACGAACTTAAACATACCTACCACCTATGTACGTAGTAGGCTACTTACTTAGATGGTTGTTTATGTTAGTGGCAGGGATCTATCGATCGGCTTATTGAGAATATGCAATAAACCAGAACGATTATTTGAGGAAAAACAGGTTTCGGGATAGGGATGGGAATAAAAATAGTGTACGGAGGGTCAATCCTATGGCTGTATGAGAAAAAAGTTTGATTTACTGCGGGATCCACTTGCCTGTCCTGTCCTGTCCGGAGAATATTATCCTTACTCCCTTCCAGTACAGACACATGTAGAAATTATTAGACAAGCCCATAGATAGATAGATAGATGAATAGATAGTATCGAGTACATTCACCTACATAGATCATCCTCAACAAATAGAAAACTATCTGCATGGTCGGTGATTCTTCCACCACCTTCACTCTACTCTATTCTACCTTGTCTACTATCCTATCCTTTAATCACACTTCTACAAACAACCCATCCCCCACTACCCAAATATCTATCTACACTCCCCACAACTTAACATCCCTCAACCCCCCACAAATCCCCCCTCCCCCTCCCCGATGCCCCCTCCGAATCCCCCACCGGCGCCTCCACCGCAATAGGCCCCCAAACCAATCTCTCACCATTAACGCCCAACCTCGCCAGAAACTCCATCTCCATACCCCCATTCACAGAAAGTAGTGTCCGATTCCCCCTTCCCATCAACTTTACATCCGTCCATACTCCCACAGGGAGACTATAATTCAACGAGTACGGGTTCCCACCGCTCACTAGGGTAATATTCGATATGGATCCGTTGCCGTTGAGAAGGGTGGAGTCGAGACCGGAGAAGAGGATCCCTGGGTGGGAAGTGGAGGGGTTTATGGAGAAAGAGAGGGTATAGTTTCGGCCTTTGCTCTGGAGTGGGGTGGTGAGGTGGCAGGTTTCATTGAGGAAGAGGGTGTGGTTGGTGAGGGTGCAGCCAGCGCCGTGGAGGTGCGCGTGGTAGTTGTTTCCCGAGGTGTCGGGGATTAAACACTGGGTTGAAGTTGTATTGGTGGTGGTGCAAGGGTAATGGAAGATGAGATCTGAGGTAGAGGGAATAGATCTGTCGAGGTTCTGGGCTGGGATTGTGGCGTGGAGGGAGTTAAAGACGTAGTCGTATTCGGCTTCGAGGAGGTCACCGCCCCATTGTTTGTCCGCGAGAGCGGGGAGGACGTTACGGAAGGAGTAGTATGCCTCGAGGTAGGTGGTTGCATTTGGCCCGTAATCGTTCCAGAGGGCGGCAAGGTGGCCGAGAACGTTGGGGTTATCTCTTGGAGGATTATTGGTGGCGTTGTTGGTGTCGAAGATGTTAGGGGCGTAGGGTCCGTGGTTGGCTGGATTACCGTGGAAGACCCGTGTTTTGTTCAAGTGTTGGGGGTAGCTTCCGGACCACTTTCCCACGATGTAAAAGGCGTCGTCGGAGTTGAGGACTGAGTAGTTGTTTTTGATATAGTCGAAGTAGGGGTTATCTTCGAAGAATTCCCAGTGTTGGATGGTGACGGCGGTGGAGACGTTGGCGCCTTCGGAGGGGGTGAATGTGCCCCAGATGCGGGTGTTTTTGGTCGATTCCTGGCCGATGTAGGTGTGCATTTCGTTGACAAAGTGGGTGTAGTCGGATACGTAGGACGAGGAGTATTCGTCTGCCCCGAGGTGGACGGTTTTGCTGTGGAACCAAGGGAGGAAGGTCTTCCAGATGGTTTTCATCGTGGGGATAGTGTCGGGATGGCTGATGTTGAGCATGCTGAGGTCGGTGAGACCTAATTCTGGACGCCACTGCACGATAGAGAGGGCGTGGCCCGGGGCTTCGATCTCCGGGATGATGGTCACGCCGCGATGGGCGCATTGGTGTTGGATATGGTCGAATTGGGTTCTGGTGTAGGATTCGTTGGCGCGTTTGTTGAGGCCTGCGACGGTGGGATCGTCGGACCAGGGGCGGAATGCGGCATACAGGTTCATGGATTGTTCGGTGGAGTAGAGGTCGACGTTGTTGTAGAGGTTGTCGCTGAGGTGGAGATGGAAGACGTTTTGTTTGAAGAAGGAGAGGTATGAACACATCTCGATCAAGAAGTAGGGGGGGTAGTAGTGACGCCCGACGTCCAACTAATCGGTCAGCTTAGAAGGTGGCACGGGGTTGAGTCTTACCATGATGCCTCGAGTGCCCCATCCTGGGGCATCGACTGCCGAGCCCTGAGGAAGAGAGTGGTCACTGATGACGGCAGCCTGGATCAACGAGCGCGATCCCCACCAGACACCTAAGGGACTCGCTCCAGCGATGGTGATCCCGTTGCTGTGGACGTCCAAGGCGTATGCCTCCGAGGTAAAACGTCCTGCGACATCGTGGAAGCCAGTGTTGTTAACGAGAGTTAGGAAGATACTGTGGTTACCAGGTCCGCTGCCGGAGATGAGCGGCAGGTCAATGCCTAGAGAAGACCGGAGATCGTCTTGGAACGTTGCAGCAAATTCCTGCAACGTCGGTATTGATGTCTGGCCTTGGTTGTCCACAGCGTCGGCATAGCGGGCGTCCACGACAATGCCAGTAAGTTGGGATAGTGAATATGTATCATTTCGTTCGACAAAAGGAATAGTTGGAACTGTTACCAGCCGACCGAGCCCTATGACTATAAGAAGCTGCCATGGTTCGGAATGAAGAACATACCACAAGTGGCGAGGCCCAGGACAAGCCCCGATTTATAAAAATTGCAATGCATTTTCTGTGGAGTGTTCTAACGGTCGTGCTGCGGTATAAATATTGGTGATTGCACCATGTAACCTGCACGTACCCTGCCATTGCATGCAGCTAGATAACAAGGTTGCAATTGGCAAGGAATCTCGGCCGTCGGACTGCAAAGGAATCTGTTATCTATACTCCGTATATTAGAGGCCCAAACCCCGCACGGAACTACTATGAGGTCAGAGAATTATCGGAGTCCGATGTCGATCACCGGAGCATACTAGCAGTGTCACCTTCCTCATGTAACATGGTGCTATACCCACTATGATAGGTTGCAGGGATTAGATATTGCATTTATATGGATCTAGCGGAGTATGTAAGGAAACTAATTTAGCCCTCACTGCCGGCATGGCCCAATTAATTATTAACAGGATCATACTCTAATCAATTCAAGCTGAATCACCGTATATACGAATACTGACAAGCCAATAGGATACATATCCAAGCCTGTCTGAGCCAAGTAAGAGCAATGCGCCCAGCAATTGCAACGCCAGCCCTGCAATATAAAGCACATCTATAGTGAAAGACCCAGTGATAACACCATAATGACAACGACTAGTCGCTATCGCTGTCACTGTCACTACCACTCGGCAAACTGCCCGCCAAACTGGTCCTCGAACTCCCCCCTTTGACACCGAGACTGCTGCTCGAAGAACAGCTCTCTGACACGCTCGACGCCTTCGCATGTTCGCCCTTGCTCTTTGAACAAGTGCTCGAAGAACAACACACCGAACCACTGTCCGAAAAGGTACTTGCATAATCATCCAATTCATCATGCTTAGTACCAATCATCTCAGAGATCCCAGGCGACGAACTCCGCTCCGAATCCGCCTCAAAGCCACTTTCCCCAGCCATGCGACTTGATTCCATCGGTTCGCGTTGTCCCCCCTCCAAAACCACAAACCGCTCGAGCTGGGTCTCCAATACGTCCAAGCGATTCTGAAGGTCCTTTATCTGCGACTGACCCCTTCTGATATGCGATCGGAGAACCCGCAACGAAGTGGTGATTGCATCGAAATTCTCGTTCATGAGGGTGGATGTGGAGGGTTGTGGTGGCTCTGGGGCGGACAATTTGCGGCGTTTGGCGACCGGTTGGCTCATGCTGTGCAGGAGGGTTCTTTTCAGACGAGGGATTCTGTATTGGATGGGAGGGGACTTTCTCGGGGTTAATGCTCGGGGACTCATGTGAGGCAGTCGTGAGAAAGCTCACTGAGAAGAGGTCAGCGAGTTGCTGGGATTAACCAAGTAGAATACGGTATGGGTCAAGGATAAATATGATAATGGTGGATGAGTCCAGTGATATTCCTAGGATAGAAGGAAAGGGAAAGTGACGGAGGGAGAGAGGCGGGCTTTAAATAGGCGTGGGTGCCTCAGGAAACAGGCAACTGCCGTTTGGGGCAGGTGGCCGGTCGGGAGGACGCTGAATTTGCCATGAGAAGGTCATGTCGAGAGCACATCACAACACCTCGTATGTGGGGGAGATTGCTGGACTTGGTGCGTAGGTGTGAACCTAGATGTGGGGGTTCAGTCAAGTGCTAAAGTAGATTTATGGTAACTTCCTGGCTGGGGATGTGTTAGCACGACTCTAGAAATTTGAAGACAAAGTTCATTCTTTGCAGCAATCGGCAGGGGGGTGCCTCTTATAAACCTTTGTGAACCGGGACATTCCCTTTTTTTTATGGTCTGTGAAGGAAACTTCCTACAATGTATTATTCGGGAATAGTAGATGGGGCTAGAATGTTCGATAGACGATCTGTCAACCAATAACCATGTTCACCGTAAACCCAATAATATTATCATAGCGTATTATTCTTTTTATATCCAGGTCATTCAAAGCTATTTAACAGCAATCCACAGCAATTCACAGCAAGATCTACCCATACAATCATATCTCTAAGCAAATTCCTCACAACAACTATAAAAGCTCTCTGCATCACTATCCTCCTCCTCCTTCCCCTCCTCCCTCTCCTCCACCACCCCATTAATCGCATCACTCAACTCCAACTCCAACTCCAAATCCCTCTTCTCCTCCTCCATCTTCCCAATCTTCCCTTCCTCATCAGTCCCCAAAGAAACCACCCTACACTACAAACACTCACATTCCATCTCCTCCTCATTCTTCTCATCAAACACCCCTGAGGGATCCTCAACAGGAAATCCCAATGTCCTCGCAGTAGAATGAAAGTCCCACTCAAGAAGTTCCCGGTCCTCGACATCTTCGGGAATATAGCCCGGTTTATCGACCATGATGAAGTCGGTGTCGGGATCTATGATATCTTGGTCTTGGGTGTTGAGGGGAGACCAATCTGGGAAGGGGTTGAGGAGGGGCATTGTTCTTGTTTTTTGCTTGGGTCTTGGTGAGGAGGGTATAGGGTTTGTTCTGTAGTCGATATGAGAAAGTAGGTTATAGTAAAGCAGTAAAGATGTAAACAACCGACTAGTATAAGATACCTAGTAGAGTGTCTGTGGCTTGAGTTTGCAGAAAGATGGAAACATCTCAGGGAATACTAAGTTGATATAGACACAGTGAAGCGAGACAGGTGGCAAACTGCGACTCATACGTACGGAATTCTGACGGCGACGGAGACGTCAGTACCTTTATTGCTGTGCTCATGTTAGAAGAAAATTTCACAAGATATGCTCAAGATTACCTCACCAATCCTCCACCCACCAACAGTACAACCAAACATCCAGCAAAACAATAAATTCCAACAACCTATCTTAATCCATACACAACCCTAATAACCACCCCATCCAAGCACTGCCCTCCGATACCCCAATCCAACCAACTCCCGATCAATCCAATCCACCCAGAGTTCAGGAGAAGTATTACGCCAATACATCAAGTAATCCCATTCATGAAAACGTAGATCTTCTTCCACATCACGACAAACACATTCCCGGGGTGGACCAACGTCATCGTCATCGTCTTCATCGTCGCCGTAATAGTCGTACTCGGAATCGTCAATGTCGAAGTATTCGCTGTCGTTATCGTCGCTGATAGATGCGGTCTCAGGTAGGCTGTCGTCATCGTCCATGTCCGAGTATTCGCTTTGGCTGGAGGATGCAGTTGCGGTATGGGAGAATATGTCGAGGGAGGCGAGGGTTGAGGAGTCGGAAGAGTCCCCATCATTGTCATCATTATGATGATCGTGATCGTCAATGACTGTGCCGTGTGGACTGGGAGTGGTAACTGGCGAGATGCTCAAACCATCCACGGCAGTACTGTCACCATCACCAATAGTACCGGTGACAAGATGCGTTTCAGGCAAGTCTGTCTCAGTCGTAGACACATCGCAAATGAAGCACCCCGAACATGCCTCCACACTATCAGTCTCAGATGGATCTCTTTCTTGGTTGGTCTGGGGAGGCTGCGTCTGTGTCTGGGTCTCTGCGGTTCTGGTTTCCGGTTCTAGATGGGCATGGGGCATCTCAACTTGAGAGTCCGTGCTGGATATGTCGTTCTCTATCTGTATGACTTCTTCTCCCCGGACTCGAGTGCCAGACTCTGCGCTGTCCATCTCGTAGCTTGGCGAGCCAGATTGGGACGCCCGAGGAGCTTGGATTAACCGTGCGTAGGGAAATAGCTCGCTTCCGTCATCCATAGTTGGATGCGCTATTCCCCTGTTGGGAAGGATGGTGTTCTCTGAATGGGATATGAAGTCTTAAGAGGGTAAAGTTCCTTGCTTTGTATAGCAGGGGTTATTGTGTGACTGGAGGATGTTTTGGGGTCGTGAAGTCGTGGATGGTGATTAACAAGATGGAGGAATGGAAGGGGATGGCTGAAATGAAGGCGGGGTGTATACGACACCCTGATGAATGTTTTGGCGGATTAAGACGTCAGGGGTACCTTTTCCTGTACCTACCTGGAAGTTCGAATAAGGAAATGGAGAGATATACTTAATCTTAGTCTAAAACTTTCTATAACTGTATATAGCCGAGAGAAAATCTGGCAAGATGACGACGGTAATATGGCATGCATCGTCAGGTATCCTTCCAATGACGACAGATATACGTCCAGGGAGAATCCACATCTTCTTCATCGTACTTACGGTTCTCGCTGTGGATGGTATCTGGAAAGTCTTCCATGTTATCAACAGTTCAAGTACTGGAGAATCAAAGAATACCCAACATATAACATGATACGATGATTAAGATTGTTCAATGCGTCGATCAAGCAATTTCTCAACCTCAAGCCAATCCAAATGATCCACACTGGTCAACGGGAGCATAGGATAATAAAAGCTAGTGTAGACGCTTTCCGCATCCACCGAGAGGTCCATATCCCATTGTTGGGGCATATTGAATGCCACGGTCCCAGGGCCTGTTTCTAGCAGTGCGCTTTCATCCCAATCCCTATGCTCGGTCGTGGATTGTGGGAGAAGTGCGAGCCGTGAGCCCGTAGACTGAGGCCCGACCAAACTCAAGGCAAGGGCATCCTCTATTGGGAAATGATTCGGTCATACGTGAAGACAGGATTGTGTTATATGAGTCGTCGCTCGGCAGCAGGGTACCGGCGCGTATGAGGAATCGTAAAACGGTAAAAGCTTGGTTGAGGGCTGGGCTGGGGGAGGTTGGCTCTCCTGGCTGGGATTGACAAAACCCACCATAACCAGAACAAAGGCGGTGGAGAAAGTGGCATCTATATCGAAGAAGCCGTATCGTGCTGGATTGTCATATTAAAGACGGGGTGGATGATCAGGCAGGAATGCATTCGGATTTGGGCCTGGAGGGTGTATAAAACTGCTAGGCTTTTGACCGCGGCTTTGTTGCAAGTCTCACACAGTCGGGTTCAGACTGTGGAAACGGACTTTGGAGAACTTTTTGGTCTCAACGCCCTGTCGCATGTAGGAGGATGGGTCGGATGCATAGAATAATCGACTATATTTTTCTAGGTGTGAGAGCGTAGAACATGTACCATCGAGAAACGTACCTGGAATAGCATCAGATAAAGCGAGGCACCGGCTCGGGTCATGATTTGGAGAGGTCGGCTGAAATGGAGAGCCAATGCAGGAAGAAAGCATTGTCCAATGTCGTAGAGATCGTGTAGCGCTTTTTGAACTTGAGACACCAGTTCTGTCTGCCTGATGGATGCATTCCAGTACAAAGCTGCATCACGTTAATACCAGTGAATGAAAATCGAGAAAGGTAAGGATCATACATGACATGATAGGATCTGTGGTACGCGCAATACGGATATTGATAGTCAAGGCCAATGGGGATTGGAACCCAATCGCTGGTCGAGGGAGCTCTGCGCGTAACTGTCTCTCATCCGCGCCAGCTGCGAATCCTAGTCCAGAGGAAAGGCGACTGGTTATGTGACATCAGTCGGCTGAGTCGACCTTGCAGTCAGAGAACATACCGATTTAGCATATATAGTCCACCACAGTCGCACTCGATGGGCATTTTGTAAAGGTATACATGCCTGCTCTTTCGAGGGCTTGTCATAGCCCAAAGCTATTGCCAATCGCATGACAAATCCTATCTTTCGATCAGTCGTCAATGTCATTCAACGCTCACGTTCAGAATGGCAACGAATATATAGATGTGCGTCATGCTTCCGATCCCACCACTGCAAATACGTTGCAACAAGAGTCAGAATCTCCACGGCAATTACCCCCTCCTCCCCGAGTTGGTGTAGCGGAGGAAGCCGTTTCATGGATTCGGCAAAGGAACTCGCTCCAGGTGGTTGGGATGAAGGGTCCTCAACATTCATCAGCTGTGCCATCGCCATAACGAGGAGATACTCTGTACTGAGTTGCTTTTCGTAGCATCTGACCTTGCCCAACAGACCTTGGACATGCCTACACCGCAGTCAATGGGGATTCGCACAAGGCGTAAGCACCACATACGCCTCATTATACCGTCGGCGACCAGCATGGCCAAAGGTACATTTCCAGTTATGTCTGAGGCAGCTACGGGAGAATTTAACCTTGCGTCGGCGACAGGACTCGCATCTATTCCCAGTTAGCAATGGCAGTCACCGGAAGGAGATGCGAAGGGCCCGAGATTCACATACGCGTTGCTGGCACGAGTTTTCGGGGTTACCATGCTAGGCGTGTGTCAAGTTGAGGTTAGCGTTCATCGAAAACACTCGTTTTAGATAATTGGATCAGAGCTGCGCCCTTTGAGGGGACTCCGATGTCTCTCGATGTCATCGGCGAATGCTCGAAGGATCCACCGTGATTATATGATCCAATCAGAAAGTAGCACATTCCGCATAACGAAATAACCAAAACAGATAGTTCATTAAAGAAAATGAGTTGTACTTTCCGTATATAGATAAAAGCCTACACTATCATTGATTGTATTTCGATATAGACTGGTGACTACTCACAAGCTGAATGAGCTTTCTGTAAATCCACTATGGGTCCAGCAATGAGAGGCTCACTTGATGTCTGATATGTGCTTTGTTTTGGGGAAAAAAGCGACATGCCACGAGTTCCCTATCATTCTCATATGTGATTTTAACCGGCATAATATTATCGGCCGATAACCCTTATAAAGATGTGGCAATAGAAATAATTCAACTTGAGAAAAGAGGATATAAATATAGTATACAATCTCGCTGATGCCCAGAGCTCGGCGACTGAATCAGGGATTTTCGTGAGACACTGCAATAGATCGTTGTGGCACGAGGGTTGAAACCGAAGCCACTCATAAGGAAACGATAGCGAAAAGATTCCCCTGATCTGCAGTGTAACCACCATTTCTCCCACAAGGGTATCGGTGTAGATCGAACGTGACCGGTTGAATGGTCGGGATGTCAAGAGTTCAAGGTTGGATAAGGTGTTGATGATCATCGTCGTATAGTGGTTGGGTATCAAGACAGTGGCTTCGGCGCATTGGAAGAATCCGGTGTCGCGTTGGGTCGTGAGCATCATAACTTCAAGCAAACAAACATGGCCATGACAACACCACCTTGACCAGTGAACAGGTTGACAGAAACACTAAGGAAATTTTCACAATATATACAGACAACACAAACAAGTCTCCTACCACACTGACTGCATATCCTACATCGGCCATCACTGATTGCGGGGCTTCCATGTCGCAAGGGATTCGAATGCATTGGGCTTCGATGGTCGCTACAGGGCTTCAATGGCATTGTCGCAGGGGTCGTGGTTTTCGTTGGGTATTCGTATCAAACCGATAATGGCGCTGGGGAATCGAACACTCGCTGGGCAGGTAGCTGTTGCTAGGGATCGGGCTTGGGCTTGGTGTAGGGCAATGACAATCGAGGGATCTAACAGTCGCTGGTCCAGTTGCTGCAGGGCTCGTGGTATACGTGTCGCTCGGGATGTCACAGGGCTTGCCGCAAGGGTTCGGGTATCATGTCGCTGGGGGTGTGGGATTGGTGAGGCTGTCAGTTCGCGGGTCCATCTTTATCCTTCTCGCCGGCTTGGTTGCTTTCGGAGGCGGAATCTGCTACAACTGCTTCGGTGACGGGGCCATGGTAAAAGCGCTTGCCGCTGATGAACCAGTACACCAGGGCAAACAGCAAGACAAATACCAAGAACACACAGGCGTAGTTCATCTGAGATGGTCAGCCAAGAGAGCACAGGATGCAACAGATATCACTTACGTTGTCAGGAGTGACGGGGCGCTCCGTAGGCAGAACGAAGATAATGCTGACAAACAGTGTCCACAGACAGGCCCAGGCGTTGACCGCGTTGCTGAAGATGCCCATATGCCAGGGTCCGGGCTTGAACTTGCCAAACACGAGCTTACACAGAACAGGAATGCAGTAACTCCAGTCGAGGGCAATGGAGCAAAGGGTAAAAACGGCGTCGACTGCAGTGTATGAACCAAGAGCAATCAGGTTGATCGCAATGCAGAAAACCACCGAAATCCACACGGCATACAGGGGCGTTCCAGTGTAGGGGGATACCTTGACCCAGACGTTGGAAAAGGGCAGCATGCGGTCACGAGAGAAGGCAAAGACGGTTCGACCCAGCGACTGCATGGCCGTGAAGCAAACGAATTTGATAATGATCAGGGCGGAAATTGTGAAGAAGATTGCACCACCCTTGCCAAGGCTGTTGTAGAAGATCTGTGCAACTGGCTGCTCCATTGAAGAGTTGAGGATCTCGGTGGGGTTGCCCATGCAGAAGCACAGAACGATGTTGAACAAGAATCCAGCGAGATACGTAAACAGCATAGCCAGAGAAATCGCCCACGGGGCCTTGATCTCGGGGTTGCTGATTTCCTCGGTGATGTGCGCCGTAGCATCGTAGTCCGTCATGGTCCAGCTAACAGATAGGAAACCAAACAGAAAACTGAACCCAATGGGCTTCCAACCCGTCGTCGCCTCGACATGAGTGAAGACGTACGAAGCATCATGCTTATCGTCAGTCATGACAAGAAGGGCAATCGAACACGCGACAAGAATGCAGACGTGGAAGATGACATAGAACTTGGTCATCTTCTCCATCCAGTATGTCGACAGCGAATTGACCAGGCCGGTGAGGACAGTCAAAGCAGCCATCACACCCACCGTCGTACTGGTCTTGATCTCGTAATCGGGGCCCTTGCACATGGCAACAATGGCGAGGAGCATCTGCGCTCCACCATACTCCGACGAGGCAACACCGCATATTTGGCCGAGGAAATTTAACCAACCAGTCACCCTGCACAACATCAGTATTCATTGGTGACAAGATAGGAACGAGAGTGGATGTATGTACCAACTGATCGAAGGAACCCAATCGTGCGGAGCGAGTCTCGAAATTGTAAAGTACCTGAAACCAGTCAGTCATTAGTCATTCCTAACGATCGGGACACTCACAAGCCTCCAGAGGTCGGATAGGCGGACACAAGCTCAGCGACCGAGCACTGCATTGGGTTCGTCAGTCGTCTGTACCATCAATGCGAATGTTACATTGAATCACCCACCGCGATACACATGCAGCCGGCACCCGAGATCAGCCAACACCAAACCACCGCACTACTTCCTCCCGCTTCGAGAGGATATGACATGGTGGTCATGACTGTCGAAAACAGACCACTGATACTGACGGCGAACGAAAAGGTGGACAGGTAACCGAATTCTCGCTTGAAGACAGGCTTGTAGCCGAACTCTGCAACGAGCTGGGCATCGGCTTGATTCGATCCTGCGAGACGGGACTTTTCGAGCTCGGCCGGATCAGCCATGGCCGGATGGGCGGCGGCTTTGATGTCTGCCATAATTGCTGGACTGTTACGCACAGTGAGGGGACAGATGAGCGAGGGGTGAAGACGAGCAAAAAGAGAGGGCAAAATCTTTTTCTTAAGAGGAAAAAGATTTTAGCATCCTTGCGCGCAGTGAGACAAAATTCGGCCTAAGATAGAAGCGGTATAGTGACACCACGGCAGGACAATTATCAAGTTGCGCGTCGGTGGGACGAACGATCAAGAAGCTCAGTGGCTGCAGTCGTGGAAATTACCACTATGGGGCCCGTATTCCTGTCCCGGCCGTGCTCTACTCCATGGGACTGGAGTACGGAGAATCAAGGGGAAGTGGGCTCCGGTGGATCATCATGACATGCTGTCAGCCTTTCCTAGGCCTTCCGCGGGACTGCTTTTCTACACCCAGTTTAGTGGGAATACCGGAGGCTCGCTAACTGCCCCGTCCACGCCGGCGTTCTTTTCCCAGAGGCTACTGTCGCCTATCGCCGGCTTTGATTGGTTTGGCCGATTCAGCCACGACGCCACGTGGAACTTTCGGCGCTGTTGATGTCATGGGAGGGGAGGGATCTCGGCTAACATGCCTAGTCAGTCGAGGGGCACAACTGTTGGGGCTTGCAGATAGGTTGTGCTCGACGTTGAGAAGAATTGCAGAGGTGTTCTCCAACAATAACCCCGGTGAGAATGGGAGGAAGCCGGAGGACGAGCTAAGGTTGCATTCCCTGATTCCCAGGGCAATTGGTGGGGGCCACCGGCTTACTTAACGGCTTATCTTGCAGGTTACAACCCGACAGCCATTGGCGGATTGCCCGATAGCAGTGCGTCTTGGCTGCAGCCACGGGAAGGCTTGTCTCACAGCGATAAGCCAGTCACTGAGTTGACGATGGGCTGTTCGTCCAGACTGCTGCTCATTACTCACACGTGCGAGGGTGCCTGAACAGGCAAGGTTTTCCAGGGATGCAAGCCGGTATCGGCCGATCGACCATCCGCGACTTTTGGCGTTGAAGTATCTTTGCACGAGTTGACACTATCCTAACACGGGATGGCTCATGCCAAAAGTACCACTGGCAACAGGAAAAGCGCACTTGATCTGGAAATGGCCGAGTTCATCTCACGATTGGAGCGGAGCTTATCTTGGTCCTGCCGTGTGCGATCGGACCTCGGACCCTCTCGAGAGCTAGTCAGTTGGCGATAAGGTGATAACAACCCACTTGGGGCCAATGTCATTATCGGCTTTCCCAATCACCGTGTCGAAATAGACTGATAAGCTGCAGCTATTTTCTTAAAGAAGCATCGCTATGACTTGAATATGGATCTAGCGCCGTCTTTATGGCGCCGTGGAGGCGGTCCGGCGACCCCGAGGAGTCGGCCGGGAGAGCTTCCGGAATGGAGTTGTCGCTCTGAATTAGTGTATTGATTGATAGATGATCAGATGATTAGACTATCAGTCAGGGATGCTGGGGATATGATAGCATGATGATTAATCTCCTGACGATTGATGACTTGCGGTGGTTGATAAGACAAGATGGGGTGGAGACTGGAAGAACAACCGGAGACCATGGCGAAACACGCCTCGATCACCTGATGCAACTTGACAAACTGTTCAAACTCATATCTACCTCACATACAGGTGCTCTGTCCAGGGATTACTCTGATGATATCATGTCGGATTCTTCCAGGTGAAGGGTATATACTCAACCCCTACAGCAGCTGCAACCGCTTCGCAACCCAACAAGCGACCGATACAAATGCAAGCATACATCCCACAATCGAAAAGAACCACGCCAGGTTGTGAGTATCGTCTTGCCCCGGAACCTGCACATTCATGCCAAACAACCCCGTCACCATATTCAACGGTACAAAGATGGTCGCCAGAACTGTCACCTTGCTGAGCACCGCGTTGATATCAAAGCTCAATCGGATGTTGTTCACACTCAGCTGCGCCAGGAAATTCGACTGCGACCGTCCCACAATCTCATCGAAGTGCGACAGGCTGGTCAACGTGGTCACCAGGTGATCCTGCACATCGCCCAGGTAGACGATGAGATCACCGTCCGGGAACATCGGGTTCCTATTCTTCGCCTGACAACGCTTGACGAAGCCGTTCAGGACATCGTATTTCCCGCTCAGACAGCGGGTGAGCTGGGTGATGTTCTTGCGGAGGCTATCCACTTGGGGGATGAGCGATTTGACGTCGTCGACTCGTACGATGAAAACTTGGTCTTCGATGGCGTCGGCTTCGCGCTCTGCGGCGCGCATATACGGCTCGAAGCTGTCAATAATGTCGTCGCTTATTGTGGCTTAGTTAGTAAACTGGGGAATGGGAGTGTAGTGACATACATCAAAGCGTAGCAGATCCAGTCACTCGATACCATTTGCGTGTCTTGGGTCCTGCGGATCCTGTCCCGGACATGGGATATATGGCCACGTCCACTGGGCGAGAAAGTTACCGTGGCATTTTTGAACACCAGTATGTAGAACCCCGTGGAGCCGGGAATAGACGATGATGATTTAGTTATTCGCGAACTATCGTTATCGTTGCTAGAAAGCAGGGTCTGAAAAGAGATCAGATAGTAGTTCCGAAACGCTTCGATCTTCTCACGGGACTCCCGGGTCGCAATGTCCTCTGCTGTCAGAGGATGAAAAGACAGCGCCTGACAGACGGTGGCGACCTCCTCCTCAGTAGCATCACAGATGTCAATCCACCAAGTGTCATTTTCTGATCCTTTGGTGTCGGAGGACTGGGCAGATTGGTTAAGGAGAAGCCCATCCCATGTGGAGGAAGTGACGACCTTCTGGGTTCGACAGGAAAAGTGGGAGAAACGCGGAGTTTCCCCGGATGGCATGGTGAGATCCAGCTTGCACCGGCAAAGAGCTCAGGGGTCGGATAAAGAATTCATTCAAGAAAGACACATCAAAAAGCCGGACAAGCGCAAAAAAGAAACAAATTCAGCCCATCCTACGATAGTAACGCTCGGATTGAACAAGCACAACGTCAAGAGCGGACACGGTTGCATCCGTAGAATGTGGAGTCAAGAGAGCAGAAAAAGTGCACAGCCTAGCTTTCAGAAGAAGGAAAAGGAGAAAGAACATCCACGTTGCAGGCCGGGGTCAAGTGATATTTCACAGATTTCCGCAACAGCCTTGTAGGGCTGAAGGGCCTGTCCCGCCCGAGCAGCCAATGGTGGAGCCCATGCAGCCAGTCAGTGTTCGACTCTTGCGCAAACTGACCCAGTCCAGGGTTCTGGTTGGTCCGCTGATGAGGACCCCATGGGTACTTTCGGAATTTCGGAAGAGAGGATTTGGTAGGATCGGCGCATTCAGGCAGCCTTTGCGACCGGCCTGCCTGAAGGGGATTAGACGATACTATCTAAAGAATTAACGCCATTGGAAGGTCAGAATATTTACCCCGTCCGAGTGGTGTGGCTCGGAGAAAACCCGTTTCGTATGACGATACCAGGCTGCTACCTTGGCAATGGCGCAGCTGTCGAATATAACCAGGAGACATTGCTTTCCACCTGGAAGCACGTCTATCCTCATGTTTGAAACCTATTTGGAATTCCTGGTTGCTGCTGGAAGCTATATATTATACCAATATGTCCGCCACTATCGTGTAAGCTGCAGCACATCATTCAAATACGGCAGCCGAGCTGACCGTTGAAACAGATCAACCCTGACGGTCGTGTGGAGATACGCCTGGTTCATTGCGCTTCGTCCATTGGCTGTCCTCATGCTGACGGGGGCTGCCGTCTCCCTTGTTCGATCCGGGCTGTCAATTTGCAAGGATATCCCTTCCATGGCCTATGAGATGTGAGTACTGGCTCCTTTTCTCCTTGATTAACTCTGACCAGATCGGCAGATTTATGTGGTTCACGTCGTAGGGTGTATCTCACATCTGTACTTGTCTGTATTGGTACTGGAGTCTTGTGTTGGCATTTATTCTCTTAACTGCATGGTGGCGTAGCGAGGTCTTGCATTTTATAATCATTCCGCCCACTCGTACTCAAATCCACCAAATCCTATTCCTTCAAACCCTCGCATAAAAGTTGAGGCGTATTTCTCAATCGTAGGTGAACGTACCATGTTCGACAGCATATCTGCACCATCATCATCATGATGCTCGTGAAAGCCGTCCAAAGTTTAGGTCCTCTGTCAACGGTCGTTTTCTCTGGAAACAAAACACATCGAGCTTCCACATGGAGCTGTAGAGATATTTAAACAAACGCTAGCCTATGAGCTTCTTTATGTTGTCCGAGAAAACAATCAAAAAGACCGAAACTCGATTTGGTGGTTCTTGTTATATCTCATAGATACATGATATAAAGTGGGGTAATGGCCTAAAAGCCCAAGATAATAATGCCCATTTCACATGACCCAAACGCCCATACCGACAGTGAATATATATCCGGTACTGAAGGACAGGATCCTCAGCAAAACAACCACGTGCCTTACAACCCGAACTATCGGTGCCATATCACTATGGTACAGCAAACATATTCCACATAATTCATAAAATGCCTTTAAGACTACGTATTGTAGAAAATATGAGCTACAATCAAGGCAAACTGGATAATTCGCCGACCAATCAGAGGTATTTCGTCACACTTATCCACTTTTTCAATCCGACCAATCAAAATCTCCCGGTTGTAGGGTGCCTTGCAGCCTGAGGCGGGACGATTCTTTGAGGACGGCGGTTGCGCCCGTCAAAGCACTCAACATCCGTCTGCTCCAATGGATAACCTCATCTTCCCCGAACACGATCGCGTCTTTTTAGAACCCCATCTGCCACCCAAAGATGGAGATGGCGAATCCAAGTCGAGATCTCTCCCCTTCACCACCCTCACGTTTGCCACCTCCCTCGACTCATCATTGGCTCTCTCCCCCGGCACCCGGACGGTCCTGTCCGGGCCGCAGTCAAAAGCCATGACGCATTATCTCCGCTCCCGCCATGACGCCATCCTCATCGGCGTAGGCACCGCCGTGGCCGATAACCCGGGCCTGAACTGTCGAGTGGCGGGGGTGGGTGGCTACGGTAGCGAGGGTCTGGCCGGCCAGCCACGACCCATCATCATCGACCCCTCCGCGCGATGGGAATTTACAGCGGAGTCGAAGATCTTCGAGCTCGCTCGGAATGGGCGTGGACGAGCGCCGTTTATCATCACCGCTGCGGATACGGTTCCTCTGTCGGCTCAAAAGGAGGTCCTTGAACAACACGGCGGGAAGTTTATTGCGCTCCCGGTGGGGACTACCGCCGATGGAACGCATCGTATTGACTGGACCGCGCTGCTGGAGTGTCTTGTGCATGAGGGATTGAAGAGCGTCATGATTGAGGGAGGGGGTTCCATCATCAATTCGCTGCTTGAGCCCAGCTACCAGTCTTTGATTGATTCGGTGATTGTTACTATTGCCCCGACTTGGCTGGGACAGGGAGGAGTGGTGGTCTCTCCGCAGAGGAGGGTCGAGAATGGGGTGGTGGTTCCGGCCTCACGGTTGACGGGGGTCAAATGGTATCCGTTTGGGGAGGATGTGGTTCTTTGTGGGAGGATTAAAGGGTCTGCTTAAAGATGTTCTTTGTGGCTTTGGACAAAGCAAAGTTTTGGACAGAACAATGGGCCTGGTCAGTCCATAAAGATCCAAGGACAATAATACGGTAACCAGTTTGCGACTAGGGCGTGGCCAGAGGTTTCGTCTGCATTGATGCCGGCTGGCTCGATTGCTGGGTTCCTTGAGCGGAACAGTCCGAGGAAGGTATACCTGGGGTGATGTGAGGGCCAGGTCAAATGCATGAAATTTCAATCATACCGTGGTTTTAGGAGTATAGTGCCGATGCAGCGCGGTAGTTGCTATTCTCAAAGCGGAGCTTCGTAGCCATGACAAACCAGGATGGCAGACAAGTACCGGGGCTTTGACGGAAGTTGCATGATTCTTCCTTAAACAAGGAATTTGACACAATCAACACAGGCAACATGCCACAAAGGACTTCTTTGTTGACCCCCGAAATAATTAAATCATGATCCCGTTGAGAGGCATTCTTTAAATACTCAGCCGGTAACCCCCCGTCAGACTGACATTGAGGGAAATCCCAAGTCATGACTGTCTGCGACACTGCAACTATGGCTTTGGAGCTCCCCGATGAGATCTGGGTCAGCGTCTTTGATTACCTCGAGCCAAAGAGTGTCGCCAATCTTTCCTTAACCTCGTTTAGGTGGCACAAACTCTCCCGGGCACACTTATACCGAGAGCTCCACTGGCACTGGGGCAGTATTCCCCGCTATAGAATTGCGCAACATATGATAACCTTATTCCGCTACCCACATCTCCTGAAGTACGTTCAGGAAGTGGAGATTTACTCGAAGGAGAGCAGGCTTGGGGCCAACCATTCTCACGTTATAAGCTGGCCCAAGGAGCAACTGGACTATAAGCTTCTGAAGAGAGCTCTTTTGGATACCGTGAAGGGTACAGGCGTTCCAGACCAACGGGCATGGCAGGAAGCAATCGAAAATAAAGATCCATACGCTTATGTGGCTCTTCTTCTGCCCAATCCCCCAAATCTCAGGTCTCTCAAGCTCGACTACTCCTTTGTGGCCATGGGTGGGTGGCCGGGCCTGATGCTTACCCACCTCACCTCTAGTCAAATTGTCGACTCGCGCTTTGAGGGCGCATTCAACCGTCTCGAAGTACTCGACTATGGATCGAACGTGCCGGATTTGATTTACGACCACTTTAAGAGGGACCTTAACTTATTGCCAGATCCGCGTCCAGAGGAGTTCCTCGGACTCTTCCGGCTAAAGGGCCTCAAGCACCTTGGCGTCTGGCTACGATGGTCAAATGTTATGTTTGAAGCCTCCCCAGGGACACACTGGAACTTGGCGCAACTCCAAACTCTGGTCCTAGTCCGGTCCAGAATGGGCGAAGCCGCTGTTCCAAAGATTCTACAGCTGACGAAAAGCCTCCGCAGCCTCCACTTAGGTCTCGTGTATCGAAATGACGATCTAGTCTTCGATAATCCGGTTCAATATGTGCGGGATGGCTTGATGATGCTGATAGGTCAACTCGAACATCTATCAATCGACTTCCACTACCCTTCAAGATTTGATGGGGACTATGGGACTGCCGACGAATGGCAAAAACGGTTCGACCACTTGCATGCATTCTTGAAATCTTTCACTAAACTGAAAACGCTCGAGTTACCGATAGAGATGCTTTTGGGCTTCAAAGATCTGAGTCAGCAGAACATGTCCGGGCTCTTGCCGAAAAGTCTAGAGAAGCTCGCACTGCGGGATGACCTCATGGCCCTTGTCCCTGAGTCCTTTGATAGCACCGAGTTCGGAGAATGGAAGGAGAATAGCATGTTCGAATGTGTGCAGAGGTTTCTTAAACTGCCCGATCAGGCATTACAGGTTCCTCATTTGAAGCAGATCGTCATCCGGTTAGGTAAAGGATATGGCCCTTTGCTCTTCCAGCATTTCGAGATAGAGCTGCTCTCATGCACTGAATTGACCAAAGATTACGGTATACTGGTGCAAGGCCGGGCTGGCCACATGACACCAGGATACTGGACAAATCACGCTTTGAGGGATATCGATGAAGAAGCCGGTGATTATGATAAGAATGGCTGGGATGAGTTCTATTGTGTGGGATCGTCTACTCACACTCCTCGTTGGTTTGACCTCTTCGGATGTTCTTGATCAGGAGAAGCTTTTTTATATGGTGTACTAGAGTTTAGAACAGTTTCTCGAGGTCTTCAAAAGGTGCTCTAAAAGTCTTCCATATTCCCAGCCCAGTAAAGGAAAAATGCACACACGCGCAGGATTCCATCAGTCTTAGACAGCAGTAATCTCCTTGGCGTGTATATTCAGCAGTCGTGCATTACTTCCACCTACTCTCTTCCATCTGAAGCCATCGCACTTACAGAAAAATTACTATCTCACGAGAATTATCATTCCTAAACCCCACTGTTCCAATAACATCATACCCCTTCAAACCCACTCAGGCGTAGCCTCGTGTTCGATAGCATAGTTCCGTACCCAGCCTTCCCTCCTCTGCCCTTCTCCTACCTACCGAACCCAGCATCTTATAGCCATTCTACATGCACTTCCCGGCAGCCTTCCGAGAAACGTGCCCAATCCAACTACAGAAAATTATTAAAAACCAAATAACACGCTCAACATATACATACGCGTGTATTCCCAACCTGCACAGGGTTTCTCTTCTATACGAGGACACCTCCCGCGTGGCACCCAATCCCGAGGCTGAGCAATCCCACCTGACATACCATGCAGCCTCATGTCATCAACGAGGCTGAGATCAGAGGTATAATAACCCTGTCTCACCCCTTGACCGATCTACTTTACCTCATTCACCTTTCGTACTAATATCATAAACAATCCTCGGATCGGTTACAGTGTATATCCACCCATTTTCCACCTCCAAGATCATCAAGATAAAACATATTACACCCTACCTATCTACCAAACAACACATATAAATACCCACCATCTACCGAGAAAAAAAATAAGAAAGGGAGAGATGTGCTTCACATCCTCCACCAACGAACCCGTTACGCCGGCACGTCCGCGAACATACACCCCCTCTTCAACTTCCCGACCGGGACAAGGACAGACAACATCGGGATATAATGGGTCAAGAAGACGAAGGGGAAGAGGACGAAATTATGGATATTCTGGTCCTGGGGGAGCTGCTTGTGGGGGTGGTGGCGGTGGTGGAGGATGCGGTGGAGGAGGCGGCGGAGGGGGAGGCGGGTGTGGTGGAGGAGGAGGGGGGAGCTGAACATGTTTGCTCATTGGCGTCTATTTGCGTTTAGTGAAGAGTATACCTGAGCGGGGAAAGGGTTGTTGTTGATTGAGAATAGATGGATATTGTTTGTTTTGAGCGGGTAAATACGGTAGGGACGGGGGAATGATTGAACTTGATGGGAGTTTTGGTCAAGTCTGACTTCAAGTAACATGATTCATTGCACGAAGAGGCAAAAGACGCACTTCACAGTGTATGACGCAGAGTAGAGGATGATGTGAGCACCTGACATGAAGAACCTTAAGAGTTGAGGCTGTGGAGGAATGAGGTGAGATTCAATGCTGTGGGCGGAGCATCTCGGAAGTCGGAATTCACATTCTACACAATATTCATGGCCGGAAGGTCGGGTTTTGACATGACGCTGTTTGTACAGAGCACTGTACTGCCAAAGCTGAGCCACTTAGTCATGAATATGATTATCTCGCAGAAAACGAGGAGACCAAGTCACCAGGTATCTATCTAATCAATTTTCTTGAATACACAGACTACCTGATAGGTCTCTGCTGGTTCTCGGAATACAGGACAACACAACTACCCGGCAAATATCCGTCGCTTTCCGGAATACCCGCCAATATCCTGTCCCTGATCCTTTACCAACCTCTCCGATATTAAGTACAAGCAATACCGATAATCCTTGGCTACTAAATCATGCTGCAATTGGACAGGAGAGCAGCAACACGCCCTCCCAATGACATCTCGGAACGCAGCTCGGAACCGCCCTGAGCCCCGCCGGCTTAGCTTATCGATAAAAGAAATCCAGCTCCTCTCTTCTCTTCTTCTTCTTCCTCCCACTTTCCACTTCCTCCTCAAACTCGACCTCAATCCCTTCTCAATCCCCTCAATTCTCTCCCCTACACAGGGACCACCGTTCCAATGGACCGCGAACAATTCCGCGCCGCGGCCTACTCGGCCATCGACGAGAGTCCGTCCCCCCCATTCCCCCTCCCCACCATTTCCCCATCACCAACCTAACAACCCCCGCAGTCATAACCTACAACGACACTCTCCCCTCCCAACGCGTCCTCCCCACCGTCGAACCCGGCTACCTCCGCCCTCTAATCCCCTCCTCTCCCCCCGAAGACCCCGAACCATGGTCCGCCATCCAATCCGACATCGAAACCAAGATCAAACCCGGCATCACCCATTGGCAACACCCCAACTTCATGGCCTTCTTCCCGGCCGGCGTCACCTACCCCAGCATCCTGGGTGAAATGTACAGCGCCGCATTCACCGCCCCGGCCTTCAACTGGCTCTGTTCCCCAGCCTGCACCGAACTCGAAACCATCGTCATGGACTGGCTCGCCCAAGCCCTCGCCCTCCCCGAGTGCTTCCTCAGCACATCCTCGAACCGCGGCGGCGGCGTCATCCAAGTCACTGCCTCTGACACAGTCGCGACAATGATGATTGCTGCGCGCGAGCGGCGCGTCACGGAACTTGTTCTCGCTGAGGGTCTCAAGCCAGACACGGTCGAATACGAAGATCGGATGATGGACATCCGACCGAGGTTGGTCGCCCTGGCGAGTAACCAGGCGCATAGTAGTACGGCTAAGGCTGCGTTGTTGGCTGGGACTCGGTTCCGGAGCGTGCAGGCCCGATTGGAAGATAATTTGGAGATGACCGGGGAACGGTTACGGGAGGTGTTGGAGCAGGCAGATCGGGATGGATTGACGCCGTACTTCATTACCCTGGGTATGGGAACGACGAACTCATGTGCGCTGGATCGGTTCACGGAGATTAAGGCCGTGTTGGCGGAGAAGGAACATTGGAAGAGGATTTGGGTGCATATTGATGCGGCGTATGCGGGGGCCGCGTTGGTGGCGGATGAGTGGCAGTATATTGCGAAGGAGTTTGCGGAGGGAGTGGATAGTTTTAATGTCAATATGCATAAGTGGTTGTTGGTTAACTTTGATGCCAGGTTTGTGGGACCCCTCCCCCCCCCTCCACTGGCTTCCTGACAATTGAAAAAGTAACTAACGACTATGATGGATGATAGCTGCCTCTTCATCCGCAACCGCGAAGATCTCACCAACGCCCTAGACATAACCCCCGCCTATCTCCGCAACCACTACTCCGACTCCGGCAAAGTAACCGACTACCGCAACTGGTCCATGTCCCTTGGCCGACGATTCCGCGCCCTCAAGATCTGGTTCGTCATGCGCAGCTACGGTCTCAGCGGCATGAAAGCCTACATCCGCAAAACGATCGGACTCGGCGAAACATTCGCCAATCTAGTGCGTAGTCGCACCGATCTCTTCGAGATCATCACCAAACCCGCATTCGCGTTGACCGTGTTCCGGGTGAAGAGTCCCAAGTCTGCGATCGCGGAAGGAGGAGTCGCGCAGCCAGACGAAGCATCGAACGAGTTAACCAAGGAAGTCTACGAATTGGTCAACTCCCGAGGCGAGATCTTTATTACTTCGACGGTGGTGGCGGGCGTGTATGCTATTCGGGTGGTGAGTGCCAATCCGGCGGCTGAGGAGAAGTATATCCGGAGGGCATTTGAGATTTTGGTGGAGACGGCGGAGGAGGTTATTAAACGGGGGAATTAGAGATTGGGTGTATAGTATAGGATTTGTTTGGGTTGTCTAGACGGTACTTACGGTGTTGGGATCTAGATAGAGTTGGTTTTGTAGAATATGAAGATACGATATAATTTGTTGAACATTAGGATGCTAAGGAAGGAGAATTATACCTTAGTGGATGTACCACGTATACCTATTACCTCAAACCAAGGGAGGAATGAAAACCAGATGATATCATATATGTATGAATGAAAAAGAGGTGAACGGATAAGCAGGAAAGTCTGCACAATTTCCCAGTGGCTTAAAGCACATCACCAGCTACTTAAGGCTAGATGAAACCCCAGTAGGACAAAGTGATCAATCCACCAAGTTACAAAAATGACTGCTAGTGTTTCATTCATAGCACAGAGCATACAATCAGCAAGAAAACTAACAACATCACATTCCCAGATAGAATACAGGGTATGACTATGTAAAGCCAGTAAATGAGAAATTGGGGGGGTGGGGGCTAAGTACATGACCCGCCAGGATGAATCACACACACACACGCACACATAATCATCAGACATGGCTAGGCAAGGAGACACTGATCAATCCGCCAAGTCGCAAAATAACTACTCGTGATTTATTTATAGCACAGAACATATAATCAGGAAGAAAAGTAAACAATATTATTCCCAGATAGAAGACAGAGTAGGCCAGACCAGACCAGACCACGCATTAGACAAACTGCGGTAGGATAAGCCGCAACAGCGATTGCCTGTAATCCGTAGCAGGGAAAATGGTACCAACTCAATTCTATGCTATGGTAATATTTCATGTATGTAACAGTGAGCTACGGACTAGTGTACTTGAGCATATAGCTGGTCGTTGAGAGGACTAGTCGTGTTTTTTTTTTTTTTCTTTGATCAACGGCCTCGGATCTGCGCTTGGAGCATGGTATTCATCTGGAAGTGTGTATATCTAAGTATATAAAAGGAAAGGAAGGAAAGGAAAGGAAAGGAAAAAGACAAGATGCTTTAACAGACCATTCATGCGGCACCAACATGCTCCGGACCATGTATAGCCAAGTCAACCCGTGAACGCCGGTTGCTCTAATAATAGTCACAGTCATTAAATGTACCAGCATTGCACTATCATTGCCCAATCATTGCTAGGACGGTTGATAGCAGCAGGTCATTAAATGCACAATCATTGCACAGTCATTGCCAGGACCATTGCTATATAAACCTGGTCCCTTTCCTTCTCACATTCGTGAACATGGACCTTCCTACATCCCACTTCTGTCTTTCTTGAAAGCATCTATCTGTCTGCGTATCGATACATCAGAAAAATGTTTGACAAACTACCCAACTAAAACAGTTTCCTGGGGGACATCAGGCTCGATGAGAGTGATCTCCTGCCCGTTGCATCATCTGACATAGGGGAGTACTCTGATATTCACGACAGTTATATCAGCGATTCAGAGCCGCTCGCCGGCGCATCTCTCCTCAAAGGATTTGATGCAGACCATGTCTATAAACTGGCCAAAGATGGAGATGTGATGTTCGTTATCACGACCAAGGATCCTCCCACTCGGATCCGGGTGTCGTCCGAGGTGCTGATGCAAAAGTCCCATTTCTATGCGGCGCTATTGGGGCCGCATTTTCGAGAAGGCGGGATACTTCGAGAAACTGGCCGGTTCACAAAAACGTATGACAATATTAACCCTGCGGCATGAAAATAATGCACGGCTTAGCCTGGGAGGTCCCCGATCGCATGGATATCGAACTTCTCAAATACATTGCGGTCATAGTTGACACTTTCTGTCTTTTTGAAGTCGTTAAAGATTTTGTGGAAAGGTGGATAAAGAACGCATGGCAAGGGAACATTCCGACGCCACCCAGTCAAGATCTCGTAGACTGGGTGCCGTATGTCGCGTGGGTCTTTCGCCGATCTCCAGAATTCCAGCATGCAACTCGTTCCATCATTATGGAGCAGAGCGTAACTTTTAACCCCAAGCACGCCTATACCCCAGAAGAGCTGCACGTCGCCATGTGCAAAGTCCGGCGTCATCTTCTTTCTAGGATGAGACGTTGTATACGAGACCATCTCAAAGAGCTGGACGATGCGCATCACGACCCTGTGCCTGAAGGACGATGCCCATGTCCGCATAGCTTCATGCGAGAATGGAAGCGTGTTCTTCAAGTGGCCCGCTATCCACATCAGCACAAACTCTCCCCAGCCTCGATGCTCACGATGATCTATGAGATCGTAGGGAAGTTTGACATAGTGGTGGGATATAGTATCCCTGTATGCAGGGTAAATATCCACAGGGTCCTGGAGGCCTGTCGACAAGAGATGCGATACTGTCAAGGCATCAACTTCAATGGCCACCCCGTTCGATGCCCAGATCCACCACCAGAGATGGACTTCCGGGCAATTAACTGGCCCTACAACGCTTGGGTGGGGAAAGAGGGTTCGAGAACCGGCAAGCGAGATATCTGGAAACACCAGAGACGTCTGCTTGCTTCTACAGCAGCGACGCCGGGGTATGGAAGGGACCCAAACGTGGACTGGCGTTTGCTTCGTTTGGTTCTTCCCCGCACCTGACTGACTGACTGACTCGTGTCAGCATGACCGGTTCCCCTCTTTCCTCTTTCCTCTTCCCTCTTCCCTCTTCTTTGCTTCCTTGCATCCCCCCTCAACAAAGACACCACTATGCCTCTTGCCAAAGCTATCATTGATGATATCGTCCTGGCTGAATCTTCCGCCTGGGAAACGGTCGAGGGCAATGTCTATGTAAGTCCGCCATCTGGTAGACTGGCATGCCACTGACAGCTCAGTTTCCTCCCTCGGCCATTCGGGATCCCTCACTTCTGGTGCCGACAGACCTGGCAACCTTTTGTCCGTGGAAAGGAGACGCTTCGTATTATTCTCTCATGATTGGTAGTGAGTGTCCCATTCTAGAGAATAGAGTCATCCTGCTCGGGCGGAGATGGACAACGCAAGCGTGGCTAACACGTCGATCCAGACAAGACGGTTCCTAACGCAGCCTGGTATTATCCCAACCCATATGCCGCTGCCAGCAACATTAAGGATCACGTCGCTTTCTGTGCGTCCTATCCCCCAGCTATTATGTATCGGATAACAGGCTAATGACGCACCATGTTAGACACAAACAAGGTTAATGTCACGATCGAATAAGGGATCTGGGCAATGTGCTTTTCTATCATGTTTCTCTAATGACATTCCAGATTTTGCTTCCGAGCCCTCCACATTTCCTTCAAAGACCTTTTCGTAGATTTGTGTAAGAGTGTTCTACACCTTCCTCGTGATGCAGCTTGGCGTAGGCCTAGCAGCCGACCAGAGGTCCCGAGCACCGCTTATGAACATTGCATCATCCACGAGGCAGATCAGGGTCGGTCAACTCATTCAGCAACTCTGTCCAATCTGCCGCCTCCAGGGTGAGATCATTCCCAGTGTTGAGCATTTCCGACCAGATATCCTCCAACTGCTTACCGCCGATGCTGTCAAAAGTAGCCGCTGGGAGCTCTGGCGCGTCATCATTCAATGCAGCCGTCGAGTCGGCAAGGAAAGCCTGTGAAGTACCTTGGAGAGAAGGAGCTGCTTCTATTGCACTATTTGACGGGTTTTCTCCCCGCGGAACTAAAGAGTGCTTCCAATGCTTTTGGAGGACGCTCATCATCCCGTTGATTCCCTCTCTTACCAGAGAAGACGACTCTTGCGCCTTGCTCAGCATGCGACAGGCATCAAGCACTTCTTCCTTCCGCTTCTCGGCCAGAATATCATCCCAATTGAAACAAACATCTAACAACAGGATCACGGCGGCCGCGAACACATGATGCATCACAGACCAGACCACAGAGTTGGGAGGAGTATGGTTTGGTTCGTTTCCGTCCATGATCCGCTTGATTTCGAGCACCTTACGGGCGGACTGGAGGCAGATGACATGGGAATAAGAATACGCCGGTTCGCGAGCCCCCCGAATGAAAAAGTCTCGATGCAGACGACACAACCGGGAATAGAAGCCCTGCTGCAGGAGACAGCACTGCCATGCAATGGTCGGACGCTCTTCGTAGACGGAAGCAAACCGTCGTCTGGAAGCTGCATCGAGACGAAAAAATTCAGGGATTTCCGCGAGCGCTTCATGGAATTTTCGGTCCAGCTCCAGGATTTTGTCATAGCTTATCTCCAAACCATGTAGATGCTCATATGAAGTTGCATCTACTACATCCCGACTGACGAAAGCCAGCTTGAGACGTTGGAGAAAAAACGACATATCGGTTGGCGTCGAGCTTGGCAGCGTGACCACTCCATGCGTTCCAATCGCATCGTCATCGATGTTAGTAGGTTTGTTGACGTTCATGTGTTCTGGATGTATGAGATATGTCCATTCTTGAGGACCGGTAAGAAATCCCATTAGCCTGTGCAGAGTCAGTCATAAGCTATATGGAGAGGTTGGCGATCTTACCAATCGTAGGACGCCAGATCCCACCAGAGACGTCTCTTCAATTCCAGCTCTACTGCATCGTATGTACTCCCATCCCTTTCGTTCCGAAAACTTGGCGAGTCGACGCAATGAAGCATGAGACTTTTTGCCTGACTCACAATTGCACCGTGAACAAAGAGACCATTGACTAATGAAGGAATCTTCCAGTTAGAGACATTGTGCATCACGACCATGGTGGCCTGTAGGCCCTCCAATGTTGGTGATGCAGTGTAGTGGCTCTGGATTAAGGCTGCTCCTGTCAAGTAGACAAATTCCTGGCTACGGGCTTCCGCATCACCGGGAGCCTCCAAAGCCATCTGTAGACAGAGAGAACTGGCCAGAATGCTGAACAGCAGCGCCAGGTGGTTGAGCTCCACGGGCGAACCGTTGTCGATACAGTGGTAGATTCCATTCATAAGGCCCTCGACGCGTTTCGGAATTAAAATATGATAAAGGTAGTCCACATAGTGGTGATAATATCGGAAGAGGCCCAATGCCTCTGCCTTTGTGGGAAGAAACGAGACCAGGTTGACTGATGCTGGATTCTCATCGATGGCGGAGCGGCTCATGTATGGCATTGAAAGCAGTGGCTTTGGACCGGCCTCTAGATTCACGCTGGAGCTGCGTCTTCTCGCCGGATCACCCAGCCCATCTCGAAGCCATTTCGGGGTTGCTGTTGAGACCCGTTCAGCCAGGTGGATATTTTCCAGCCAGTCTGCGGTCCGTAGTGACTCTCTATTGTATGGAGCCGATGGGCTTGCGTGAGGCCGAGAGGACCTGTCCGTAGTCACCACTGGGCTATCAAGATTTGGGTGCATGCCACGTTCTACGACAGCTGGGGGCCTAGGTTGCGGCGCCCTCGCGATTGCTGGTCTGCCATAAATGCAGTCCAATTGGCGCGCCAAGCAACTGCTGCATGGCTGTTGACGGTCGCATTTGATCTTCTTGAGGCGGCAAGACTCGCACGACACGGGGTCTTGTCTGGGGGTGCGTTTGGGGAACCTGGAGGAATCGAGCAAATGTGAGTTCACTTTCCGCTTCATGGCGCGGATCAATCAGGAGGGTCCCAATCTTAGCGGACAAACAGAAGCAAGCAAGAGGGGATGTTGTTGTCAGGAGCGAAAGGCGGATTCTCCAGCCGGCGCCAAGCACGGCCCCCTCGGACTCTCCGCGGACTCTCCGGGCCGCATCTATACAGCAAATGCATGGCCATATATATCCAGGTTGCTTTGATACAACTTGATTCGTCTGGACAGAGCAACCCATGGATATTCAGTCTCAAGCTGGAACTTACTCTAATTCACTTGGAATTCGACACTTGACCCCTTTACTCACAATGGGTGCTCACGAAGATCCATCTAGCTCAACGCCCTCCGAATACACGTATGTCTACCTCCATTCCAATAGGACTATAGAGCTAACAACTCAGACCTCGAGCATGTCTGACCCTCCTAGGTTCTTTCTGCGGCATGTTCTGCACTGTCGGCTTCATGAACTCTTTTGGCGTCTTCCTCGAGTACTACAAAACAGCACAGCTCTCCGACCAGTCCGAATCCACCATCGCATGGATAGCAGCGATTGTGATCTTCTTCATCTTCGGCGTGTCTGTCATTTCCGGGCCTCTCCTTGACACCTTTGGTCCAAAGGTCTGTATACACATCTGTTCCAGCCATTTTTAATCTAACAACCCTCAGCTCCTCCTCTGTATAGGCTCCCTCGGAACCGTCTTCGCCATCATGATGACCTCCCTCTGCAAAGAATTCTACCAATTCATCCTCGCCCAAGGCATCCTCCTCGGAATCTCCTTATCCCTCCTCACCTGCCCCATGATAGCCCTAGTTGGCCAACACATCAAGATCAAACGCGGCGCCGCAATCGGCATCGTCGTCGCCGGTTCGTCCCTTGGAGGCGTCGTCTGGCCCATCGTCGTCAACGAGCTCCTCCAAAAGCCCTCCATCGGCTTCGGATGGACTATGCGAATCGTCGGCTTTATCATGCTCCCTCTTCTCATTATCACCTGTCTATGTTGCCTGCCACCACCATCACCACCATCAATAATACCCCCAAACACTCTCCCTCAAACCCCCGAATCCACCTCCACAACAACCACAACCACAACAACCACTATAAAAGAACCCTCCCTCCTCCGCTCCCCACCCCTCCAACTAACCTGCCTCGCCTTCTTCTTCATCTACTTCGGTATGTTCTCCCCCTTCTTCTACACCACCTCCTACGCCATCTCCCACGGTTTCTCCTCCAATCTCTCCTTCTACACCGTTTCCATCATCAACGGCGCATCCCTCTTCGGACGTATCTTCGCCGGCGTCATCGCAGATAAATACGGTCGTTTCAACTGCTGTGTTATATTCACGCTTCTGTCGGGCATTATTGCCCTCTGCTGGACGAAGGCTACGACTGTTGGAGGCCTCGTGGTGTATTCAGCTGCTTATGGGTTTACTTCTGGGGTGTGTATACCCCACTCCTTTCCCCTTTTCTTCCATGGATCATGCAGACGAAATGCTAACAATATGGGAAATGGAAACAGGCAATCCTCTCCCTCCAACAAGCCTGCGCTTTCCAACTCGCAACCCCAAGGACGGTTGGGTTGGCGGTGGGAGTGGTTATGGCTTCGACGGCGCTCTCGTATGTATACACCCACGCCCACACCCACAAGCCCATCCATGCAAAGAAAACTAAATAATTAACTAACTATGTATCTGTATTTGGGTAGTGCCATGGCCGGAATCCCAATTAGTGGTGAACTCAGCCAGAAGTACGGGTATCTGGCGCTGTCGATTTATGCGGGGGTGAGTTTGTTACTTGGGGGGTTGGTGTTGGGTGTTGCGAGGGGATGCAGAGTTGGAGGGTTGGGGTTGTTGTTTAATTAATCGCTTCTTTTTTTGGGGTGGGAGCTGGGGGTATTTATGGAGGGGAAGAAGGAAGGGGTTCATTTGTGGGTTTCTTGGGTAGTAGATGGTTGATACTTATACTACACATAGGGTGGAAGTAGAGGGTTATTTTGTCCATTTTAGATACTTGTAATAAGCTAGTCAGTCCTCCATGTAATCACCACTCCACTCTGAACCAACTCATCCGCAACCTCCAATCCTAAAAACCTAACAAACACCAACTGGAATATCCGTACTCCCAATCCGACGAGACCGATGATAAACAGCCCCAAATCCTAACCTCCGCTTCGCGAATCCCGTCCATATCTCACATTTATTCTTTCCCCCCGTTAAAGCAACATCAGCATCTAGGATAGCGTCCCGAGCTTGGATGAAATTCGGGTTACATGGTTGTCTGTACGGGTATTAGATAAGTTCGACCAGATGATGATGTGACTTACAATGCCATCCCATCCATCACCAGCTTCATGGACAGATATTTCCCATCCGTGGGCACGCCGTTACGCAACTCCGGTTTAGGACCATCATTCTTCCCGTGTTTGTCGATCAGGTTCCACATTACTTCGTACAACATCGTGGCCCAGACGGTGCCGATGTCGTGGACGCCGTCGAGGTAGTTCACGGTGCTATAGGTGAGGGGGTTTTCCGTGAGGGAGGTGGAGTATGGGTAGAGGCGAACGCCGTCGTCGTCGTTGGCGGACCACGCACCCACGGTGTAGGATGTCTCGCGCGTGTCGTCGGGCTTGAGCCGGATCGCTAGGCCCATGAAGTCGCCCCAGCCTTCGCCCATGCCGCCTGATTCCATGGAGTTGAGGCAGCCGGAGTTGTAGGGTCCGCCGGTGAGGCGTGTAGATACTTGGTGGATTAGAGTTAGGGTGGGGTGTTGGGGGTAAGTGAGGATGTGACTTACAGCCGTGGGTATATTCATGGATGACAATGGCGGCTTCGAAACTTCCGTCGCGGGGCCAATTGGCTTCGGTCCATATGTACATGCGCATGCGGCCGGGGATACCGTCCGGGGGAGTTGCAAAGTTCGCGTTGTTGACCCCAGAGCCATCCTGCGCATTGAGGATCACGTAGTCTCGGCCTCGACCGCCATGATTGCCGTTGTTGTATTCGAAGTTTCCGGCTGTTTCGGTGAAGCCTAGTGTGTATAGGAGGTCGTGGTAGGTGTTTACTGTGTAGAACAGCTGAACGATGGAGGCGTTTATGTACGACGATGGCTGGGTCATGTTGATTGAGTACGGCCATTGGAAGTTTAGTTTGGCATCGGACGGGCGATAGTTGAATAGGTAGGAACTGCCGCCGCTGGGATTCCACTGCGCGATAGCATTGTTTCCTTTAGTGGTGGTGTATTGCCTCCATCCATCGCCGATCCAGGTGAATTGCGAAGTAGCTAGGTCCCAGGGATCGGTGATAATGGTGCGATTTCCATCTGTCGGATCGGTTACGCCCCAGGGAATGTGTCTTGTCAGCTTCGTTCCTTGGTTGGAGACTCACACTCACTATACTTGATATGTTGCCTCGGCCACGTAGTCGATAACACCGTGGACCTCACTGGTAGTCTCTGCATCTATATACGTCAAGAACCAATGCTCGTCGACGTCCGTTTCTATTCTCCATGTGAGTGCGAGGCTCCCATCAGGCTTGACAAAATACACCAATTTCGCCATTGGATCGGATACTGCGCCTGATGTGTCTCTGAAAACGTAGGAATTCTGCTCGTCAGTAGCCTCTGTGGAAACGTTGCTGATAGCTACCGGAAGCCGCAAAGCGTCTTTTGCTCCTCTGAGAGCAGCCACTGGAGCTGAGAACTTGTGATCGCCCAATGGGTTGGTCTGAGGCAAGACTCCTGTAAAGAAAGAATTGCCAAATGAGAAGACCTTTCCGTCTTTCCCGATCTGAAAAGGTCAGTCCTGGTCAATCAAAGTGTATTGAGACGTACGTTGACGTTGAAATCCGCATTGTCAATGTCTATATCATGAACCGTCTGACGGAAATATACATGAGCAATCCCGTTGTCGCCAATATAATGATCATCGACGAGACGAAAGGTTGCCCCAGGAGCAATTTCTTGAACTAGTCGAGCTGCCGTCTCGGTATAATCTCCTTCGTATGCGGCGACTGTCAGGTTTTCCGTCGTCACAGCAAGTGAATTGACATAGTCAGTATTAGAAACAAAGCGGAAGGCGTTCAGATCGACGGCCACTTTGTCTGCATGTGCTACCTGAGCTGTAGGTAACCCAGCTGCAAGTAGAGGCAAGACCGATATGCCCCCTATCATTTGGATTCCATACATCGCTGGCCAGTGTCTCGAAGCTTGAGGTTCAGATATGATGGGCTTGAAAAGGTTGAAGATTCTCCATCTCTCTATGAAGACAGCAAGCCCGGAATTGCTCATATTAGTATTCATGCTTCTCCATGGTCTACCCCTATCAATGTACCACGCCTGTCCAACATTCCTGTAGATGTTTAGCACGGCGACGATACTACATTCCTATTTGGTCGACAGTTGCATAGCCTCCTAGTTCAGTCTCACAGATCGACGTACTGGGTCTGGAGAAGATACCAATGGTAGGCAAGTAGCATTCGTCAGCCAGAACCGAGATCAACTGCATGGTTGCATGCAGGGCCAAAGTAGCACAGCTCGCTCAGATGAAAAGGCAACTCGTACGACAGCTACTTTCAGTACCCTACCTAGACTTATGATTTGCTGTACCACGAGGGAAGCTGCCAGTAGCCGAGACGAGTACACCAGTCGACCAGCCATGCGACCTTTCCAGTAAAGGTCCGAGTACATCCAGTCATGTTCAAAAGCAATCCCACATTGCATAGACCGCATAATCCACTTGGCTCGACAAACAAGGACCTGGTGGCGAAAGGGTGTTCATTGTTCAAATCTATCTGTAAAATGTAGAACCTATATCTTTGCTGATTGCTCCAGTTTCTGTGCCCGATCCTTTGCGATGTCACACATGGCCTGAACCAAATGTTAGCGATATTCCATGTAAGAATAATTGACCTCCCACCTGGATAATTTCGTCCACCTCACGGTCGGCATCACCCCTGTCAATCCTCTGGCGCATCTCCTCCATGATGACATCCCTGTTGCGTCCATTTACAAATGTCCTAGATCGGAGAGATACGTCAGAACAAGCCCAACCAGCGAACGAGGCCCGACGTACACAAATCGCAAACCAGGGAACTTTTGCTCGTATTCCGCATTCATGACCTTCAATTTCTCCGCTTGTTCCTCTGCTCCACTGTTAAGGTTTGCTTGTTCCTTCTTACTTAATTCGCTCAAATGCTCCGTCGGGGCTCCCTTGGGCTGTCCCAGGCGGGGGTGCGACCCCAGAATGCCCACCAGGACTTCTCTGTCCTTGGACGAGTTGGCGGCGGACAGGGCTGACATGCGACCTCCAACGGCATCGATCAATCTGGAGTAGGAAGAGAACGTCTGGTTGGCCAGGACGGGGGCCATGAGGGTATGGAGTTCAGGCGACGACTCGAAGAGTGTATCCAGAACCTGGAATTGTTGCTCCTGCGGGAGTGATGTAATCGACGATAGTGGGGGGAGTGCGGAGGGCATGATGGCGCGGTGGAGCGATAGATGTGATTAGACAGTCACGTAGAAATTGCTGTAACGGGCTTATATGAAGAAGAAACCCGTCAACCGTGCGTTGGGGATGGTTGGATATATGGCGTCTCCAATTGTCCCCGCTTCGGCAGTCTCCGAGCGTTTGTCCCAGCGGGACGGAGACCTCCAGATACGGTCAGTCCCATCGTAGGCGGAGTCTCCGAGGGGATCCTGGGGATCGCAACGAGGGTGTCACAGACCTCTGGACTGAGCCTGAAGGTGCATTTCCTCATCATTCACCACTGAATCCCATGACAGTTCAATGACAGGGTCCGTTTGGCATTCCAATGGCGTTCTAGACCAACCACGGCTGGAATTTACTAGAGACCGAAATCTGGGGCGATGACAAGAATCGGATTGTCCATCGATAGTAAAGTGGGATTAAGTTTTGTGGGCAATGGCAACGAGTAAGAGTCCATCAGGGGAATTTCAACCATCGAGGTGGATGAGGATCGCCCATCACCCCGACCGATTTTGAGCCTAGCGGGGGGAAAGGGCAATACCGTCGCGTACGGCCGGCGTAATGCGAATAATTGCTTCACCTCCCTTGGATGTAGTACCACCGCCCTGGCAGCAACAGGGAAGGACCTGCAGATATCTAAGCCTTGACCCCTGCATCTCCAGTTTGCCCCGGCTGCCTTGTCTCCAATTGAACCAAAGAGACCACGAGAGGCATGAGTTTGTCAAAACCGGGCTGGGAGGTGATAGATCACACCGGCTGGGACCTGACGGATGGGGTGAACGCCATTGTTGAATGTTCATCTCCGATTCCAATAGTCCCACGGTCGGACGCTCCTCCTAGACTTCATTATTGGATTGGTCCCCCTCCGGCCCAGGTACACTCGGTCCCCGTTGCGCCCACTTGTCAATGGCCTGATTAATGGGAGAAGCACACACGATCCTATCATCCTACATTAATCTACTTCAACCCAGGATTACTTCCCCTTTGTGAACGTGGGGACCGACCGCCGAGTTCCGTCCCAATCAGCTGCGAGTGGAGGCGCCCAAGCAGCATCCACTGAGAGGAGCCCCTGAACGGTTCAACGCAACTCCTGAGAGGTTCGTGGGCAGACATTCAACCCGTCTTGGTTATGGATCAGCCTGATTTTATGAATAATAGAGAGTATTGGCCTAGCGTCCTGCCCAGAAGATCTTGGTCCGCCTTCTCACTTTGAGGAGTTGAGGCCCTCAGGCTCCATCGGATCACTGGCCTTCCCTATCGAGACCGCTTGGCTTCCTTACATCCTCAACCTCCGCTAGACCCTTCCTTTCCCCTCTTCCCCCTCTCGCCCCTCCTTTCCTCCCCAGGGCGCTCCTCGTCACCACTTCTCCGTGGTCTCTTGCGGTCCAGGGCATCTGCCTCCAATGCAGTTCCCGTCATGTCGCTTAATGGGCTAGATAATCCCGCTGTCATCGAAGTCTACCAGACTGCTCTGGCCGAAGCGGGAGGATGGTGAGTTCGTGACCTCGGCATGCTCTGCGCCAGGATCTCCGGTTGCAAGGGCGCCCGCCGCAAACCAATCGCATCCACAGTAACTAATGCGCATTGTTTGTGTTGTCTAGGTTTCTTCTCCGGTATGTATCAAGGGATGAGGTCGCTCTCCTTGATCGCGGGACTGGCGGGGTGCCCGACGTGCGCAACGCGATCGACAACTACGAAGAGAAGTCCCCGCTCTATGGCTTCCTCCAGTATCGGCGACGGAAGGTGGTACTCAGCTATCTACCAGAGGGCATGTCCCGGCTCCTGCAAGGTCTGTCGCTCCCTCGTCCATGGTGAATCCTACTGACCGGGTTTCATCCGCCTGCAGCCCGAACAACGGTACAATTCCAATCGGTTCTCGACAAATTCTCCCCGCATGACACGGTTTTCTCGGTGGCGCAGCCAACAGACCTCACGGAAAGCGCATTGTCCTCCGCATGTCTGCTGCATACTGCTTCCGGTTCAATCACCTCCTCCTCAAGCTCTCTCCGCCGTCGTCGATTGAAGGAGATCGCAGAAGATGCGGAGGAAAATACCGTAGGCAAGGACGAGGCGCAGATGCAGTCCCCGACCGATGGCATGCGGCAGAGATCATTCAGCCAACTCTCCGAGGCCACAGTTGTCCCACCATCGGCGGTGTCAAGCGTACAACAACCACCTGTTGCCGACGAGCCGAGCTCCAAGACCTCCGAGAGTGTCTCCCTTCGAGAACGGTCTCCCTCAGTAGCCAGGTCGGAGCGTGCTCCTTCCCATAAGAGCTTTCACGACGACGCATCTTATGCTTCGTCGGAGCCCCGAAAATCGTCGCAGTCCGCCCGACCCTTCGTCCGTGAGATCGAACGTGCAGGAGGACGCACAACGAAAGTCAAGCTGGGTCCCCGGCCTTCGGTAGACGGAAGTGGACGGCCACGGACTGCGGGCAATCTATCTCGAAGCGCCGAACGGCGGCCGGTCGCATCCTTACCTGCGGGCGTTCGGTCATCGTCGTTGCGCAGGGCGAATCCCAGTCCTTCTCGGCCTCGATCCCAGGGAGGCAACGGAGTGCCCGTGTCCAGCAAAGTGCCCGCTGTGCCTCCGTTGTTGGTACCCCCCTTGTCAATGCCTATCTCCCGACCCAAAGTTTCGCCCGGTGCCAAGTCGCTGAGTGCGCTCTCGTCCTCCACGACGTCACAGGAGAAGGAGCGGCTGATGAAAGCCCTTCAGATGCGGAAGACGCAGATGGAGAAGAGAGCGAAAGAGGGGAAGAACAGCCCGAAAATCGAAAAGGGAGATGTTGCCCAGCTGGATGCGACCGAGAATAAGGAGAACATCAGTCATATACAAGTTAAAATGAAGCACGACGGGGCCGAGGATCGAGCGGTCCACTTGGCAGGGCCGGACAAGGAACCCCTTTCCGAGACACAACCGACGGTGGTTCGCGATCAGGGGGCCGACGAGCAGCCGTCGCCTCCTAATCCTCCCGACGATACCTGCGCGGTGGATGAGACCGGCAGTGGTTCCCCTGAGCAGACGCACGACGACCCCTCAATAGATGGCGATGAGTTTCAGGCGGGAGCCCCTCGGTCGGAACCTGAAACGCAGACTGGCGACAGGGACTTGGGCGTGTCCAATTCCGGCGGCGCTACGGGTGGCCCCAGCTCCCCTAGGCTGCCTAGCGTCATCGCCGCTCCACTTGAGAACAATTCTGGAATGGCTCCGGTCGAAGAAATTGCTGGCCCCTCGCCACCAAAACCAGTCCACCACCCTCTTGTTCCTGGCGAACAAGAGGTTCAAATCATTGATCAAGACAACACCACCCAGTCGGAGGCTGATCGCTTCGACTCGATTTCTCGGTCCGACTCCCCACTCGAGAGTTTGCCCTCGACTTCCACCCCCATTGCCTCGTCGATCGCCGCTCCCCCTCCGCCGGAGCCGCAGCATGACTTGACCCCTGAATCCTGGAATGTGGAGCGACAGCACAGCACTCGAAAGGAGAAACGCAAACCTTACCTCGAGCCTATTCAAGTCCCTACCCCCGACTACTCTGATGACGAGAACCTTCTCTCAGACGACTCCTTCATGGAAGAATTGAAAAGTGCCACGGTAGAGGAGGCCAAGCCGATCTCGGTTGGCGTGTCCCCCCTCTCCCCAGGCTACTCCAACAGCAGCAACGGCAAGGTGTCTCCAGATGCTTGGAGGAATTCCCGCGCGGTTTCAAATCCTAGCGCCATTGGACACCAACCCCCCAGCATGCCGACCGCCATGGGCAGATCCGTGTCGACGACGGCCGCTGAGGCAAGTGCTACTCAGAATGCCCCGGTCCTGGTGGCGAGGAAGATCAACGTGTCCTCGGGCATCTCAAGCCGGATCAAGGCATTGGAGAAATTCTCAAGCACTCGCGACGCACCATCCACTACCAATAGCCTTGCCCCTTCTGCCGCCTCCTTCGAATCCCTACGCAAAGGCTACTCGGATGCCTCGTCCCGGCCTTTGTCCTCATACATCCCTGAAACCTTTTCGCGGGCGTCGAGCGTAAGACGACCCAATTCGCAGGCGGGTCCTGGCCTCACGCGCAGCGCCAGCTCCGTCTCGGTGACTGCTCGGATAGTCCGCGATCCAATTGCGGCTGAAGGCGACTCGACCGATCCTTCCGAGCCGGCCATCCTTAATCTACAACCCAGCCAGATCACCGTTGAACATGAAACCACCGAGGTTCATGTCTTGCCGAGCCTAGATACAGAGCCGGCCATTCAGTCGGAAGATGATACCTTGCCTCCATCCACTGCCGGGTCTGACCAGCAATCCTCCGAGTCGGTGCAGCGCCCCGAGAGCAGAATCTCCATCTCCCCCTCCATCAAAGAAGAAGAGGCATCGCCAGCCAAGTCGGACGATGCACCCTCCACCCCTGAAAGTCAGAAGCAGTCCCGTGCTACGCGGCTGCTGCGGCGCATGTCCTCCATCACCTCCCGTAAAAGCGTCGTCGGAGTGCTGAACCCGATCGTCAAAGGAGAGGGGAGTAATATCTCCGTCAAGATCGAAGAGCCTGAGAGGGTTGCCCCCAGCGTGACGGAGGCGGCCCCGGCGATCGATATCGGCGAGGTCAACGTGCAGTTTCCCGACACCCTCCTTTGGAAGCGGCGCTTTGTCCGGATCGATGACCAGGGGTATCTGGTGCTGACCCCTGGGAATGTGGATTCCAGTAACCGCAACTTGGTCAAGCGGTATCACATGTCCGAGTTCCGGACACCTTGCCTGCCCGATGAGGACCGACAGGAGCTCCCCAACAGCATCCTGCTGGACTTCCTGGACGGCAACACTCTGCAATGCGCCTGCGAATCGAGACAGGGACAAACCTTTGTGCTTCAAAGTAAGTCAACCTTTCAACCCAACCAAGACGGATCACTAACTCGAAATAGCACTGGTCGACGCTCACAGTACCTACCACACTGCCCCCCAGTAGCCTTCTGCCTGCTGAGCTGTGCCTTTCTCTCATTTTGACCTGCATATATTGCGCGTTCCTTCACCATTTCCTTCCTCACCCGGTGTTTTCAGCGGTATACCCCTCAAAAACGGTTTTCTTCTGTACCAACTGTTTTTGTATCCACAATTCTTCTCTCCCCGACCTTTTCTTTGTTCGACTTGATGAGGTGCATGATGTATGGCTTGTGCCTGCAAGGTTAGGATCTGGCTTGATATTGGCAGCATTCGGCGGTTGTTTCCTTGGTGTGGCGCCTTATTTAGGCAGCCTTGGATCTGTGTCCGGTGCCGTGGAACCTTTTTCGCATGCTGTTTGATCTAAGAATTGTAAACTTGGCATGTTGGCAGTTTGCATTTACGTACTTCTACTCCATTCACTGTACGCTGTTCCGACCAGGAGTCGATGGCATGTACTCATTATTTTGAGATGATCACAGGTGTTTAATTCCATATCCCAACGCCAGACTAGATATATACATATTTAAGAACGAGGAGGCGACCGGGCGAGTCTCTTCTCCTCCCAGTCTTCGAGGAACCGCTGAACCTTGGGGCCCCAGACCTCTTCGCCGGCCTCGAGATCCTTGTATTCGAGCACCTTCTCGGGGTCCAGCTCGAACTGGGCCTGGCGGGACCGAACCAGCGAGCTCATGAGCCCACAGCTGCCAACCGCCTTGCCTAGATCGTGCGCCAACGAGCGAACATAGAATCCAGACGACACCGTCATGGTGATCTTCACGGCAGCCGGCTGAGGCTGAGGCTGGGCCTCTGAGTCCTTCTCTGCAGTCTCCGAGGCGTCCTTTGCGGTCTCCGGGGCAGTCTCTGGAGCAGCTTCCGCCTGCTCAGTCTGTACAACAGGCGCGGCCTCCCCGTCAGCCACCTTTTGCTTCTTGGCCGGGGCCTCCGCCTCAGCAGTGTCCTCCTTCACATCTTCCTCCGCCGGGCGCTTCGCCGACGCTTCCTCAGCCTCAACCTTCTCGTCCCTCTCCACAACGGGCAGCTTATCCTCCTTCTCCAACAACTTTTCCGCAACAATCTTCTCATCCCCCTCCGCCTCCACCGTCGGCCACTTCCACTCATGTGTCCCGGGCTCAAACCACTCCACAACCCTGAGATCATGGACCTCCACGGGCCTGGACTTGATCTCAACCGGCGGCTCCTTACCCTCCCTCGCATACTCATACAACTTCTTTCCCTGCACTCTCAAAGCAGAGAAAATCGGCGGCCTCTGCATAATCTGTCCCCGGAACTGTTCCAGCGCCTTCTCGACCATCTCCCGCGTGATATGTTCATAGGGAGCCTTCTTCACCACCTTTCCCATCCGATCATAGGTATCCGTCTCCGCCCCGAATAGCACCACCGTCTCGTACTGCTTCGTGCAGGCCAGAAACTCGTTCAGGTGTTTCGTGCCCTTTCCGACGCCGGCCACGAGGACACCGGTAGCGAGGGGGTCAAGGGTACCTCCATGGCCGATTTTGACGTCCAGGCGTTGCGTGCGACGGCGTTTGCGCTGGTAGGTGCTTTCGCGCTCGCGACGGGCGCGCTCGTCGGCGAGCCAGGGACGGAAGGTCTCGGAGGGGTTGAAGTGGTGTTGGAGGTGGCGGACGACGTCGGCGGAGCTGACGCCTTGGGGTTTGTGGACGGCTGGATTAATCGGTCGTTAGATTCGCTGTTTCCGAGGGCATGAAAACAGTAAAGGGATAGTAAAGAGGGGCAATACCGAAAATGCCTTCGTAAATCTTTTCACCAGACATGGTGCGGCGGAAGGGTCTGAGAGCGCGACGGAAGCTCATCGGCGAGGACGAGCGGGTGAAAGCAAGATCAACTAACAAGATGACTGGCAGAAGGGAGAAAGAATGAATTGACCAGTCTAAACACAGCAACAGACTCAATGGAGAAAAAGTTGACCAACACCGCGTAGATGAATCCAACCAAGTGCCAACGGAAAGTTGAAGTTAAACCAAATTCCAGAAATATATTTTCGGCTGGGCGATAGCTCCGCGCCGTTGCAGCGAATCTCGTCGTAAATTACGGCGTAAAAACCCGGAATCCGGCCGCTGCGCACTAAGCCCAACGCAGCTGAGTCTTTGTAACGGTCGGTACGGGGCTGGCCTGGCCCTCTCCCCTCCGCCTTGCTCTGCCTCTGCTGCGGCCATCCATCCTCCCTCATCCTTCATCTTCTCCTCAGCTTCCCTTAACCCCTCCGCAGCGTTTATTTTCATAGTTATCACTGTTGTTAGCGCTATTGTTTACGCAAATCGGGAACCCCGCACTGTGACACCGAGCACACCATGCTGCCCCCACCGCCATGACCTCGCGAGAAGATAGTGTCCTGGCCGCCAGAGACTCGTCTCTCTTCGACGAGAACGACTGGGAGGAGTTCAGCCTGTCGGAGGTGCGCGTCCTGGTTCCGGGCAAATCCCGCTATGCGAATCTGTTGACGGCCTCGCCGGACAATCCGGTCCAGGTGACGGGGTGTTTGGATGAGGTGGAAGAGGAGCAGGAGAGTTTGGGTACCTCCCTTTTTTCTTGTCTATCTGTCTGTCCAGTGGGGAGATCAGTGGGGGTTGAATGCTTGTGCTAATGAATGTAGTCCTCGACCCAGAATACCTAAGCAAACGCATTGTCCTTGATAACGTGACGCATTTCGCCTACGGGCAGCATAATGATGGCGAGGTTGGGTTCTGGGTTGCTGGGCGGGCGGGCTGGTTTTCCATTTCCCCCGCTAAGGGATACAAGCCGATGTTTAATGATGTGGTGGAGGCCATTGATTTGTTGTATTTCTTGGCCGATCGACATCAGTCGAAGCGGAAAAGAAGGAATTGGAACCCTAGTGTGGAGTATTTATGTGAAGAGGTAAGTTTTCTTCATTGATCAAGGACGGTGTAGGGGAGTGGGGCTGATTTGGTAGTATGTGAGCCATACGCACGGCATCTGCGAGGATGCGGATGATTCCGCGGAGGTGTTTTATAAACATCATCATTTTCTCTTATCGCGGATGCTGAAGGGAGAGGAGAATCCCCAGTGGACGAGTACTAATATTTTTGAGCATCTGTGTGAGAAGTTTTCGGTATGTGGATAGTCTCGCTGGGTGGGTGTTTGCTGATGAGTGTAGGACGATTACGAGCAAATTAAAGCGCAGTATGAAGGGGTGAAGGAAGTCGAGTCGGAGGAGGAGGCCGAAGCCCAAGAAGAGGAGGAGGCAGAGGAGAAAGAGGAAGAGACATCCCATGAATCTGATCAAACTGGGTTGTCCAAGGGCCAGGCGGATGCCATCTACCAGGTGATTCTTGATCTGAAGGAAGCAGGATACCTGGCCAAGCGTCAACTGACTCTCGAGCTCCTCACCTCTACTCTGGTTGATCGCTTCGAGATCGATAGTGCCGAGTATGCACACGACCTGGTTGCCTCGCGGGCCGATGCCATTCTCGAACTGATGGACGAAGCAAAGACGTACAACTTTGACTGGTCCCGCAAGGTCGTCTATCGAGAGCTGAAAGCGGCAGGTAGGAAGAGTCGAGTTCAGCAAGTCACTCTTACCCCGCTTCGGCCTCGTCCGTCTGAAAATGACGGTTCATCTGGGGAAGAGAGCGAGCATGAAGACCATCCCCGCCTGCTCAGACGTCGGGTCCGCAAGTCCGTTCTGCGGCCGAAGAGCTCCGTTGCTACCAAACAGACTGGCAAACGGACGCGGAGCGCGGCTGCTGATATGGACGATGACTCGGACGAGAACGCTGATGCAATGGATGAGTTTGAGACCCCAAGCAAGGTCCGCGGCCATGATCTCGTTCGTGATCCCTTGTCAACTCGCGCAAAGCGCCGGACTCGGTCAATCCTATCCGAGTCGGTTTCTACGTATCAGAAGACGCCTTTACAGGAGACTCTTCAAAGCCGGAATACGTCTGTCTCTGTGGCGGATCACGATACCAATGCGGACGCCTCCGAGCTGGAAATCCCTCATGGCGATGGCGTGTTACCGGACACCTGGGTATGTCAGGTCCGCGGCTGCGAAAAGGTCATCCATAAGAGCAATTCCAAACGAGGCAAGGAGATGATCCAGGATCATTCTTTGGCGCATGCGGACGATACCAAGGCCAAGATTGATCTGGTGTTTGCCGAGCAGAAGCTCAACATTGGACTCCCGGTGGATAACCTCCTCACCCGCATCCGAGAGATGGGCGCGTTCGATGCGGAGCTTCCCGTGGATGCAGCTAATGGAACGAATGGCATTAGTACTTGACAGCGATAGATGATGGATATGAGATATGATAGACAGCATTGCTGAAGATGATGAGCGTGTGCAGAGATCTGGTCAGGTATGTGGTGCTGGACCCAAGTTCGACTGACAGGTGCTTACCAGGTGCAACCTTCCTAGCCACATCACCATAAAGCCAGTGGCACGCCTGAATGGAGACGGTATCAGAGGATTAATGACTCAGAGATGGCTCGGGATGCGGCGTTGAGTGATGATTGAAACAATAGGGCGGCGGTTTCGATTTACTGGCATGATGTGATACCACGATACCACTACAGATAGACAGTCACCATCCATGATTATCAATATACAAATAACTGTCTATGCTTTTATGACCCAACCAAACCGTACCGAGCAGCTAACAATAAACCATGAAACATCAGGCGCGGCCCTTGGCAGCAGCTCTCCTGCTCTTCCCGGGCCTCTTCGCACCTCCCTTGGCACCACCCTTCATCTTCTTGACGGAGAAGTCGCGCATGTCACCACTCGAGGCGGCGTCACCGCTCTTGGAGAAACGCTTCTTGCCACCGAAACCGAACCGCTCGTTCTTCTTCTGGCGCTTCATGGAGGGACCGTTTTCGCTGTCGCGGCCGCGCTTGCGGCTGGGCTGGGCGGCGGCGTCCTCGATGGCGACATCGAACAGGTTGTCCTTGTCCTCGGTGGGACCGGAGGTATCAGACTTGCGCTCTACAATAATTAGCACCTCACAACATCCCAAGCCACAAACAAAAAGACGGAGGACTCACTCTTCTTCAACGCATTAATCTTGTCCAACGTCTCCCGCTTCTCCTTAGCCCTCTGCTGCAACTTGGCCACCTGGACCTGTTTTCCGAACTTCTTCAGATCGCGTTGCTTCCTGGCATCTGCAGCCGCCTTCTTGGCCGCGGCCTCATCGTACAGCTTCTTCTTGATCTTGCCCATGTGCTCATCCGTCTTCACCATCTCGGCAAAGTAATCGCCCGGTCGTGTGAACATAACGCCCTCCTTCTTGAGTAGTCCGCGCGCCGTCGTAGCCGCCGCCTGGCACACCTTGTAGAAAGCCAATTCGCGGTTGAGATCATCGTTCGGGTCGGTCACCTCGATCGGCTCCTGGCTGACGAGACTGTTGTGCTCCGAGAAGGGTGTGGCGGAGGACAGGAATGAGATGCGCTTCAGGGAGGATGTGATGGCGGCCGAGTTGTTGATTGTGAGGCGTTGGTGAGTGACGACGTCTTCGCGTTCATCATCGGAGAGGTCGGAGAGCGGGATATCTTCTTCTTCCTCCTCCTCGTCTTCCTCCTCTTCCTGGGCTTCTTCGGCGTCGCTGTCGGGGGTCTCTTCTTCTTCCTCCTCCTCCTCAGACTCTTCCTTCTCTTCCTTCTCTTCCTTCTCTTCCTTCTCTTCATTCTCTTCCTTCTCTTCCTCCTTCTTCTCCTCAACCGGCTTCACATCACCCTTGCGCTTCCGCGCAGCCTTGACCAACTTCTTCTGCTTCTCGGCCTCATAGTCCCGGCCACGGTGCTCATCAAGAGCCTGAAGAAGTTTGCTCCGCTTGACCATGGTGACTGTTCGCGTGTGATGGAGAGTTGGGGAGAAGATGGGAGTGCGAGCTGCGGCTGGAACTTTTACTTGGAGCAACGGCGGGAATTTTTTTGGGATGGCGCTAGACTGGATATGGTTAGAGGTGGGCGCGGTGGGTGGAGTGGAGGAAGGTTGTTCCGTTATCGTTATCGCTATCGCTTAGTGTATTCCCCACGCTGATACGAGACGCTGTTGGGAATGTGAATGATACACTGTCGAGGGATTTCTTGTATTCCGAGTGAATATCCACGGATATCTCTGTTTCTGTGTCGCCCAGGCCATCCTATGACGACAATGATTTTGGAACGAGGACTCGGACCTGAAGTGGAGGGGCGTAGGAACGGACCTTAAAGTTCGTGGGTTCAGGAACAAGCAGCTAAACACCGAATCGTGGCACCAATAGCTCTGCTAGCATCACGTGGATACTCCTACCTGGATACAGAAGGATGAGCATAAAGTACAGGTCATTTCCTCTTTACTTCCCTTCAGCTACACCCTTTACTTCCCCCACCAATCCATACCATCCAACCCAGCACAGCAACAAACCCACACCATGGCCGCAACCGAATACTCAATCGACCAAGAAATCCAAAACCTCTTCGACCAAACCACCGCAACCCGCTCAGCATGCGATACCTTCGCCAGGGAGCAACTAGGTGGTGACATCGTCCCCGTAACCATCCAAGGCGTATGCAGCTATACCGTGATTGCCGGACCAAAAGGGGAATTCATCGCTCAATTCCGCCTTGAATGTTTCCAACTCAACATAGACATCATGAAACTAGCCGAGACCATCTACGGCAATCTTGTTCCCAAAGTTACCTATAGAGGACAGATAGGGGAAGATACTACCGCCACTGCCACCGAGACCAAACGCCCCCTACACATCTACATCATGTCCCGAATCCAAGGAATCAGTTACTTGGATTTCATCCTTGCACATAACGGCCAATTCTCCGAGAACTCACCCGAGTTCTTTGCATGGCGCAGGAATTTTGTCGCTGATGTCGCGAGGTATATACATCCACACCCTCCCACCCCGGTTCACACAAACATGCATACATACTAACCACACCACCCAGATTCTTCGCCCGTTCATGGAAAGCCCCTCAGGAAAATACCGTGGACGAAACATACAAGCAAACCCTCCACCAATCCTACAAAAAAGACCTAGACCTCCTCCTCACCTCCCTCCCCCCGCGCTTCACCCCCATAATCCAATCCACTCTGACCGCCTTCCCCTCCATCCCCTCCATCCCCTCCCTCCCCCTAGTCCTCGTCCACAAAGACTTCGGCGCGTGCAACATCCTAGTCACCGAAACGACCTGCAATCTAGTAGGTGTAGTCGACTGGGCTGAGGCCGAGATCGCGCCGTTCGGGATAAACCTCTATTCCCACCAGCGATTAATCAGTAAAGTGGATTTCAGAACCGGGTGGGTGAGATTCGATGATTATGCTGAATGTGAGGATGTATTCTGGGGGACGTTTAGGGAGGAAGTTGGGGGGGGGGGGGATGAGGTTATTGGGGCTATTATGGCTGCGAGGGTTTTGGGAGCGTTGTTGGATTGTGGGTTTACGAGTCGACTGGGGAATGTGTCTGAGCCGGTGCCGATTCGGGAGGATGATGAGGTGGGGAGGTATAATGTGCGGGATTTGGATGGGTTGTTGGTTAATACTGGGACGAGGTTTTTGGGGTTGGTTTAGGGGGGGGGGTTGGATTATGTGGTGGATTTATTGGGGATTGGAGGGGGGGTGACGATGGGTTTGGATTTACATTGATCAGTTCTTCTTGCAATTTCTCTTTGAAAAAATGTGTATGTATATTTAAGAGACTAGTATATCACTCCTGCATGTAATATATATAAAGGCGATCATCTAAATCCATTGACCCGACACAATCGCCCATCCTCCAACTCTGTCCACCGCTCACTTCCCACCCCGGTCCGGGCATAGAATATCTCATTCGGATCATATTTATCCTTGATATCAGACAAGGTTGCATAATTGTCCCGATAAAATACCCACTGCCAGTTCGGTTGATGAATATCCGCTTCGTTGAGATAGGCTCCGCTATCAGGGGATAATGCCTCTAGGAGGGGAAGAAGGACGTTTGTCATGAGGCGTTGGTTCAGGAGGTCGGCGGTGCGGTTGTAGTAATTGAATGTGCTACTCATATTGTTAGTATGGAATGACTATAGGAAGGAATAAGAGAAGGAACATACGTTCCCAGAACAATGTCGATCGCGATACCCCTCCAGGCCGGATTGACTGCATTATCGGGGATTGCGTTGCGCGAGGCATTCATTGATACTCCAGAGATAGCAGCGCCATAGTTTGCTATTGTCCTGAATGCGGTTATCAAGGCACTGGAGTTGTTCTCCACCGTTGATCGAGGAATCATGCGCCCCCCGATTTGTGCTTCTGTGACATTGCTCATTGGGTTCATGGCCACATAGCTTTCCCAGTAGGTTGGGAATTCACCAATATTGTATGCTGCCCGCACCATTAGCTTTTTCATACGAGGGTGTAGACAAAGAACGTACTATACGATATGTTATATCTCTTCAACAACTCAATTGTCGGCGACAACCACCCCTCCAGCTGTCCCTTTGTCCCCCCAGGGATCGTCGCCGGCGTCACGGTAAACATCTCACTCGTAGCCTCCCAAATAACCACGCCCCCGGCATCCGTGAGCGGTAATAACCCCTTCACAAACCTCTCCACGATCCCCCAATACACACCCTCCTTCACCCCCTCTGCACTGAAACTCAAATTCGCCGTCGTCGTCCTCAACTCAGGATACACCTTGCTCGTCATCGACAACACAGCCCCATAAGTACCCCCTCCACCCCCACACAACGCCCAATACAAGTCCCTATTCTCTGTCTCCGATGCAGTTAGCAGCTCCCCATCCGCAGTAACAACCTCCCACTCCAATACCTGATCCGCAGCGAGCCCAAACTTGGATGCTAGTTGTCCGTGTCCCCCGCCTTGCGTATATCCGCCTGCATAGCCAACAGATTGACAATTTCCGCCTACCAGGACAAAGTCTTGCTTATGGGCAGCGGCCATGGCTTCGAAGAACTGCACCCCGGCACCGACTTTGATGGCAGGTCCAGTATAGAAGGCTGAGTTGTAGTTGGATATGATCTGAATGTCCTTTAGATGGTGTGTCCAGAGGGCGAGGGCTCCCGCCCCGGTGGACTTGCCGAGGTAGTCATGACCGGTGTTGCGGATTACTAGGCGGATGTTGTGAGTTTGCGTGAAGTTGAGGGTCTTTTGGTAGTCGGATGCGGAGGTGGCGTTGACGGCATAGCGGATGAGAGGGCCGATGGTGCAGGGGGTGTTGCTGTGGAAGAAGGGGTTGCAGGAGAAGTTGGTGAACCAGGGGGCCATGGGGGAGGAGGAGGTTGTGTAGTGGGTGGAAGGGTAGTCCCAGATGGAGCGCAGGGAGGCACAGGCGGAGGCGTCATAGGAGGTGAAGGTGTTGTTGGTATGGCAGACACTACCTAAGGGAGTGGTGGCGATGAGTCTGCCGGAGATGGTGGTGTTGAAATCGTCCCATTGTTGAGGAGTAGGCCAACATGGGTCGGAAGGGAAGCAGCGACAAACAGTTGAGGCTGCTGAGGAGGACAGTAGAAGGAAAAATGATAGGAGAGAGAGAAGTAGGCCAACCATGGTGGTTGATGAAGATGATACAGCGATGGTGGGCTGATGGGTGATCCCAGCTGGCTTATTATGAGAAAAGAAAGAGGGGCGCATCTATGCGACAGGATAGTCGCGAATACGATGCCATGAGGGTCAGGTACGAGGGGCCCACTGGCGGCATGAAGCTTCAACTCTTACATTGTTCTCGAAGGAGTCGACGTTTCATCAGGGCGTCGCTAAGACTGCCCAGACCTGGATTGCCGTCAAGACATGCAAAGTCGGGGTAATATAGATGGAATGGAAGCCATCCAGATCCTGGTTTGACTGCCACGAGGTTCCACGTGGCTTTGAGCGATCCATCAACGGTGATGAGCCAGAATGGTCCTATGAGAGGTCAGAGATGAATCCACAACCAAGCCACATCTCCAGCCTACCTCGGATCAGTCAACTAATCATCCGTCAATCACTGCTCACTTTCTCCCTCTCAACAGCCACAGATATCATCCCATGGTGTCAGCGGAGACTATCGGGCCGATCCACGTGCGCTGAGCTATTCTCGCAGTCTTCTACATCGTATCAAAGCTTGGCTGCTGTCCTGCTGACCTGCAACGGAGATGGTTTGTCTGACCCTCCGCTTGATGTGAGACGAGCTGTTCCTCCGGTCATTCCGAAGCAGGCCTCCCTGTCGGACCGGGATAACCTGGAAGAAAGTCTTGGGTAGCATTGGCATGACCATACTAATAGACGCCAAGATCCCTCTGCTGGACTGCAACCTACTATCACTATACAGTATTCTGTGTCACCTGGCTGCACTGCGAGATGCATCGCCCGGCCCAGACCTGCTTTCACCCCGCTTCGGATCCGATGACAGATCTAGACGCGGGCATTTCTCCGTCGATCGTCCCGCCAATCGGACTGAGTTGACATCATATTATCACTGACACCTGCACGTCTGGCCAGACTGATTCTATCTGTATGGGGCGGTCAGGAGTTTCTTTGTTCGTTGTGTTGCCAAGAGACGGGGGAGAAATTGAGTTAAGTATCGAGTGGTAGCATTGAGTCTTTGAGTTTGTTTCTTTGTTCCTGATGTGATAATAGCCTGCTGATAGTGCTACTATAGGGACTCTATGATGTGATAATTAAAGCATGACCCCTAAACACACAGATAAGCCCCCAGTGTACGTATATTTGTCGCCTCCACTAACCACAGAGAAGCCCGTATGCGCATGCCTGCCCAACCTGCCAGACGATCCCTGTCACTCCAGCGCCAACCTTAATCGGTGGAACCTCTCCCCGTGCTATAGCATCCCCTTTTATATGCACCTCCACGAAAAGTCAACACGACATCCCTACCTCAAGCCACTCCCCGCAAACACGGCAACAGATACAACCCAACCAACCACGCACACCACACTCTCCACGCCAAGGCATCTCTCTCGACCGACCGACTGCGCAGTACCAGAACCACCACCATGCCTCCCACCCCCCCGACCAGCAAGTAACACCATCCCGGCAACGCCCAGAACCACACACAGACACCACTCCACCCCACCACAAATCCCCCAATCAACCCTCTCGACCACTGCTCCCCCAGCACCAGCGGGATCGTCTGCCTTGCACGTGCCCGATCCCCGGCCTGGTCCTTGAGGTCCTGGATCTGCATCGTCGTCAAAATCACCCCACTCACCATTCCTATCCACACATATCCCTGCTCTGAGGGTTGACTCTCGCCGCCGCACGCAATCCGTAACGACCCGGTATTATACAATCCGTACGCCACGGCGATGATTGCGTCGCGGATGATCTCGTCGCCGCCTTTAAGGTCGTTATACAGCCAAGTGAGCAGAAGAATGGGGGTGGCTTCATGCCATACACCGAGGGTGTAATTTAGGGCTAGCACGGCAGGGATGGCAGCCAGCATAAGACGGCGGGTTTGGGTGGCGCTGATGCGGTGGGTAGGCAGGGGGCGCCAGGGTTTGTTGAGCTGATCCTCGAGAATCGACTCGGGGAGACGCTGGTTGGCGAGGTCGAAGATGAAGACGGTGGCCCAGTTGAACAGGATGATGAGGGGGAGGCGGCAGAGGAGGGGGACAAACGAGGGGGGTGAGGGGGCAGTGGTCAGCGCTGACCCCGAGAGGGCTCCTAGAAAGCCAAAGAGAGAATTGGGGATCACGAAGGTTGGAAAGTTGCTCTCGGTAAAGTGCCAGATCAGTATGGGGAGGTGGTGCAGACGAAGAGAGGGTTCTTCCTTGGTGGGCTTCATCTTGAGCTGATCAGAGCAGGATACCTATCTGAGGATTGATGTAGCAACCGAGGCATAATGTCGACTGTATGACTCTATATACCATGAGGCTATCCTGATCGACGACGCAGTTGAGGCTGAACTGTTTTGATCCTGGGTGAGGCCAGGCTTTGGCACCTGCTTCATGCAGCAGGGTGATTCGGGATGGCCGGTGACAGCTCATCATCGCTGTGATGTGACAAACGCATCACAAGCCTCATCCAGGTGTCAAGTACTTGACTGGTCCATGATCACTGAATTACTGCACACTGCAGCAGTGATATCAGCAATGTGACACTGGTGCATATAGCACTTCGGTAAGCGCGGATGTAATATGGTAGGTAGATGACAGTAGTAGAAGAAGACAGACATATGAAGCGTGTCTCCTCCACTTACAAACATCATCATACTCAGGATGGATAGCTTACTCGCTCTGGGTGGTGGAGCCTTGGTGGGGATTGCCATCCACCACGGCCTCTTCATTCACGGAGAATGGCACGTCCAGGCTCCTAACATCCTCCTGGGTCATCTTCTTGCCTTTGCCCTGCTTCATGCCTTCCTTGACTCTGTGATATTCCTCTCCATCATCACAGGCTATCTCTCTGCTCTAATATCCAGCATCACAATCTACCGTGTATTCTTCCACCCTCTACGCCGTTTCCCCGGTCCCCTCGGTGCACGCATCACCAAATTATGGCACGTCTGGCAGGTCAGAGACTCCAGGAACTATCGAGTCCTAGACGACCTCCACACCCAATACGGCGACTTTGTCCGCACAGGTACCCCCATCCCCTCCATCCAAATCAGCATTCCCTCCCCCATAACATCATCAAATATCTAACAATCAACAGGCCCCAACGAACTCACCATCTTCCACCCAGACATCTTCCTAACCATCGACGGTCCCAAAAGCACCTGCATCAAAGCCGAATGGTACGACCTCCTCCACCCAAAACTATCTCTCGTGACAAGCCGAGATAAATCCACCCACGCTGCTCGTCGACGCCAATGGAACCGTGGCTTCACATCAAAATGTACCCCTCCACCCCCTTCCCCGTCCCCCAAGAGCAACACTTACTAAATAAAATAGCATTGGACCAATACATCACCAAAATCCTCCCCTACATCACCCAACTCGAGCACCGCATCAACCACGACATCCAAAACAACCACATCTCCAACGTCACCGACCTCTTCTACTGGTTCGGATTCGACACGATGGGCGACTTCGTCTTCAATAAATCCTTTGACATGCTGCATCGCAACGAATGGCATTTCGTAGTGGTGTTGCTCCGTCGTGCCATGTCCATCTTAGGTCCGTTGAGTCCGGTCCCGTGGTTCGTGCAGATTGCATTCAAGCTCTTTCCCAGGGTATGGATCCTAGGTGATTGGTTCCGTATGGTAGCTTGGTGTGAAGGGCAGATGAGGGAACGGATGGAGGTATCCCTATCCCTTTCTTATTCCCTTCCTTCCCTTCTACTTACCAGTTCGGTCTGATTCTAACCCAACCAAAACCCCCCAGCTCCCCGAAGACAAAACCCCAATCCCCGACGTAGCCCACCACCTCCTCCTCGCCGCAAAATCCACCCCCGAAGACTTCCCCTGGCTCTCCGGCGACAGCATCCTCGCCATCGTAGCGGGGAGCGAACCCACCGCCACAACTCTAATCGGTATATTCTGTGAATTGGCCCGTTCGCCACATCTCGCTGAGACAATCTACCACGAGCTTGAAACCGTGGATATCTGTGATCCGAGGGCAATAGCGAAGGAATGTCCGTTCCTGGAGGCTGTTATTTCGGAAGCGTTGAGGTTATATCCTGCCCTGCCGACGGGCGGGAATCGGAAGACTTGTGAGGAGGTGTTTGTGGGGGATGTGGTCGTGCCGAGGGGGACGACAGTTGTGGCGCCGAGGTGGTCGGTTTTTAGACGTATGCCCTAACCCCTCTTTCTTTGTATTGGGGATTGGGTTTGGGGGTGTGGGAATGGGCTAATAGTATGTATTGGTGGTGATAGGTGAGGATTGCTTCGAACGCCCTGACGAATTCATCCCTGAGAGATGGTACGGGAGGACAGAGATGGTTAGGAATAAAGCTGCGTATGCGCCGTTTGGGACTGGTATGTTCTTCTTTTCCTTTCATCCCACTGTATTTCGTTTGGATAGGTGTGGGTGTGGGTGTGGTGTTAATGAGTGCAGGCCATCATAGTTGTGTAGGACGGTTTCTGGCCATGGATGATATGAGACTTGTTACGGCGAGGCTGGTCAAGAAGTATCATTTGCGGTTGCCGGAGGGGGAGACCGGGGAGTGTGTGTTGGGGGATTTGAGAGATCAGTTTACGGCGACGCCGGGGAGGTTGAGGGTTAGGTTTGAGGTGAGGGGGGGGTGATTGTTTGAGATGGTTGAGTAGAAGATAAGATGGATTAGAGGTAGTTCCGTGGAGAAGGAATTAGGAGCGAGAGTTGGATGCGTTGAATAAACAATACAATCTGAGTATCCCGTCCTCATAAATTAGGCTTCATACGGTACCGGTCAGGCATGAAACGGCCATCCATAAACCCCCGCCATCAACTCCATCCCATTCTTTATCTCCTCCCCCTTGGCCTTCAACTCCTCCACATCCCAATTCGCCCACACCTGTCTGCCATTTAGGAATGCGGCCTCGGGACTCGCCAGCCAGACCGTGAAGTCCGCTGGGAGGTTCACTGTATCATTCATTAGTACAACAATAATCCAAAGTAATACCAGGGGAGAAAGAAATACCCGAATCCATAGGCAACTTCTCCTTATCACCCCCACTCTTCTTAAACACATCCGTCTCAATCATCCCCGGATGCAACGCCGCCGCAAAGACAGTCTGATTCTCAGCCGCAACAAATTCAAGCACCTTGTGCAGAGCGAGCTTCGAACTCAAATACGCAGAGAGACCCGGGACCATAGTCGCCGGGAAGGTTGTTGCGGCGGTGATGGCGATGATGGTGGCGTGGGTGGTGTTGGCGGTGGGGAGGAGGTGTTTGATGGGGAGGTAAGCGCCTTTGACGTTTGTCTTTATCCTGATTAGTATTTTGCAGTGTATAGGAGGATGAGGGTAAAAGATAGGAAGGGGATGTACCTCGAAACTTAACCACCAGTCCTCAGGAACCGACGATGCAATGGATGATGGACCAGAGAGGTATCCTGCGCCTAGGATAAGGATATCCCAGGGTCCGATTGTAGCAGCCAGTTCGGCAAGGCCCGACTCGTCTGTGACACCGAGAGCGTGGACGGAGCTGTCGCAGGTGAGAGCATCTTGGGTGGCTTTGAGGTTGGATTCGTTTCGACCGACGAGGATGATCTTGCTGGCGCCAGCGCGACAGAAGGAGAGGGCGGTTGCGCGGCCGATGCTGCCGCCCTGTACTGTGTCAGTGAGGGAGATGGGATGGGGAGGGACGGGACATACTGCGCCGGTGATGATGATGGTCTTTCCCGCGGCAGTTAGTTCCGGGCGCGAGGGAGAGATGGAGGGGTAGGTGTCATTGTGCCAGGTTGGAGTGAGGGAGGGAAGAGGGGGGTTCATTTTGATTGACTGTCTGTGTGTGGGGTCGGGTATATTGTGAGGTATGTGGATGAAGTAGGGAGTGAGTGATGCTGAAGTATGGAGAGGGTCTCGTATAGCTTACTCAGACCTGTCCAACAAGGGTAGAAAAGACCCGGGGGAAAGCAGCAGAGAAGCGGGAAGCCCCCCTGCCCTTTGGTAGGTTCGTCCCCTGTCACCTTTTCGCTCAGGCCAATCGCCACCCAACATAAAAGCAATAGTTATAAGCCGGGGGGATCCACTGCTCGTGTCAGTCCAGCCTGCTGCAGTCATGCCCTGCACTGTAACCCCGACAGCCACTGGCAGTCCACCCGACGTCGTACATGCCGCGGAGGGTATTGGTTTGCTGTGTGCCTCCTAGTTAAGGGTCCGGTCCCCGCCCGGCAACTTGCAGCATCTCCATCCAACTCGAGGCTATTTTCACCATGTACGGCTGAGGGTATTTCTGGCACTCACGCCTCTCCATCCATTCATTCATTCATTCCAAGTCGACCCAAGCAACATGGTCGGGCTCAGTGCCAACGGGATCAAGCTCCTAATATGGATAGTAGTATTCACCGTCCTGACCACCCTGGTGCTCGCCCTGCGATTCTGGGCCATCCGCCTCAAGCGCCGCTCCTTGAAACTGCACGATTATTTGGTCCTCCTCGCATATGTGAGGCTCCGATCCCCTTTTTATCCCCCACAACCACTGATCGGTTCAGATCAGCACCTGCTGCATGGCCGGTCTAACCTGGTGGGCCATTGCCAACGGTCTAGGCGCACATACTGAGGATCTCTCGACGTACGAACGGGGCGTGCAGTTTCAGGTACCATGCCTCCTTCCTACATAACCACCAAACTCCGAAAATTGACGCAGTATATAGTTAATAGTAGGCAGCAGCGTAACCTGGCTCGTCGGCACCGTGGCATGCAAACTATCCATGATATCCCTCTACAATACCCTGTTCCCCTCTCGACGCTTCACATGGGCCATCTGGGCCGTGACCGTCCTGGTGATCGCCTACTTCATCGCCTTCATATGTATCTTCCTGACGCAATGCCATCCGGTCTCCTACGGCTGGCATCCTGTTGAAGGAGGGAGCTGTCGCTCGCTCTTCATCCAGGAAATTCTCTCCATCACCCTCAACATGGTCATCGATACGTTGATCGCCGTGTTACCGATCCCTGCTCTCTGGAGATTGAAAATGGCTATTCGGAATAAGATTACTATTAGTGTCATGTTTGCGATGGGCTTGATGTACCCACCCAATCTCTTCTCCCTTTTGTGGTTAGCCGAGCGATGTACTAATTGCATTGTGTGGGTAGTGTGGTAGCCGTCATGGCCTTCCGGCTCGAAATCACCCTCAACCCAGCCACCAACGCCGATTTCGTCCAAGGTCTCTACCTCGTCGGATTAGTAAGTTTCCTCGAACTCTGGTTGAGCATCATCGTGGTGAGTCTTCCAACCCTGGCACCACTATTCCGGATGTATGTCGAGCCGGTGCTTGTACGAGTTTTGGGATCCAAAGGGACCGGGAGTAACCAACCGCGGCGGCTACGGGAAGCGCAGCATACCATTGGAAGTGATCCGCCCAGTCGGAGGAAGTACGCCATGCAGGATAGTTTTTTAGAAGAGGGGTATGAGTTCGGGATGGTGGGGCCGGAAACGAGGGTGAAAGTTTGTGGAGAGGGCGGGGCAGGAGAGAATAGTCAGGATTCGTTGGCCGAGTTGGTGGGGAAGGGAATCAGTGTTCGGCATGACATTCAGATTGAGAGGGAGGGATAGCATAGATTTTGTAATGGTGTTGGTGGTTATTGTATGTTTAGCATTCAATATAATGTCATCTTTCTCACCTCAGTTCCGAAAACTCGTCCCCGGATCTTCCCAGAATCAGTCCAAATACGATCCTGTGTGCTGAACAATGCATGAGTAAATACAAAGCAACAATAAGTGTTATGTGCCAAGATGCTTTGTCCTCGTTGTATCAGAGCCAAAAGCTTTTGCGCACCACACAAGGGAAAATAACAACTATTGTAAGGCCTACCGTAGAGCTACCTACGCGATCCTTCAATAACTTGGCAACGGTAATACATGTATGCCTCAGGCATAGTACAGGTATATTACTAAGCGGTCGGATGATGCATTGCAGCAAAGCGAGGGTTTTACGTTCCATATACCACCAATATTGCGCTCCTAGGCATCTGCAACTAGCTGATAGGTTCATTCCTACAACTTGGTAGTAACCACAAGTACAAGCAGTGCTTTGACACGTCTTTTTTATTAGGGAAGACGATCGACTCGGATGCAGAAATCGTGGGGCACGGCCGCGGCAGGCACCGAGCGAACAACCAAATGAGGGGATCGCTTTGCAACTAACCATCAAACCCAACGCCAGCCTCAAAACCGCGTGAATAGCTTCAAATTGTTTGGCTCTCCTTGAGATCTCAGCTTACATGTTACTGCCACCCTCGAAGCTCTGAACGTACCAAATTGGGCACACAGTTCCGACAGGGTCAGAAAATCCCTCTTCAGACCGGAGATGGAAAAACACATCGGCCAATTTCAGAGATTTCATGGACCCTGCAGCAATCCACAATTTGGTGGATCCTCGAGTGGGCCTTCAAGTACTAGCGGAGTCTAACCAGTAATCACACCTGGACAGCGATGGGGGATTAAAGGTAGGGTCTCAGCTATTCCCTCTCCCAGTTTTCTATCCATCAGTTCCTACCGACCAATTCCTAAGTCTCCTGTCACTTGTCTTTGGCAATGGAATCTGAAGCGGCATCTGGCATTAGTAGCTGCCCGACAGAAATATTGTACCTGGTGTTTCAATTCCTATCACCGGCCGACCTCCGAGCACTATGTCTTGTCAACAAGGCTTTTCAGAACTACGTCGAGCCACTGATCTACTCGAAAATTCAGTGGACTTGTTTAAGGCCGAGTTTCCTCCCCCAATCGCTCTTTTCTTACGGACAATACTATGCAGGCCTCAGCTGGCTACCTACATTACAAGTCTCCACTTTGATTGCGAGTACTTCCGCCGATGGGGCTTGGGAGGGGATCCTAAGATTGCCATTTCCGGTGAACTAGAGGAACCCATTGCATTCATCCGGGCGACTGGGGTCACCTATGGCGATCTTTGGATACAGGAATTACGCCAGGGTACATTAGATGCTTGGCTTGCTCTTCTATTGGCGCAATTATCAAATCTGAAAGGCTTTTTTCTCAGCCCCAATTTTACTCAGTAGAGTAAACTTGTCGGTATGTGCTCAGATCAGCCATACAGCCTATGGATGATAGGCTACCCGACTTTCATCATCTCCGAGATGTGTCTTATCATATCCATGCCGACGACACGTCACGCAAGAAGAGGGCCAAGAATACATCCGATGTCTTGCCATTTTTTTATCTACCGACTGTCCAACGCATTTCGGCCTTAATTGAGAACCCGGTTACGTGTATGTGGCCTGCAGCGCACTTACCTGTCTCGAATCTCACATCACTTGATTTGACCATTATACGGGAAACCTATCTTGGCGAAGTGCTATCCGTCACTAAAGAACTTGAAACCCTCCGTTGGGCCTGGTATTTTGATATTGATGTCCAAGATCAATTCATTACACCAATTGTCAACCTTGATCAGCTTGATACTGCGTTATCTCATGTTCGGGGTACTCTAGCGGATTTGACCATCTTAGCTGAGTGTGGCAGGGGATTCGATCCATTCCATCCTTCTATAAAGACAGTGGGATCCTTGAACATGGCCAATTTCAACAAGCTTAAAAATCTTCAAATTCCGCTGCCTTTTCTCGTGGGATTCGCACACGATACAACAAAACGATTACAGGATGTGGTCCCAAGGAATATCGAATATTTACTCATCACAGATAACTTGAGGCAACAGAATATGGATGTAGCTGATAGAACAGGTTGGCCTTTATGGGAATGGGACGACTTTGCCATTACGGACTTGATTCGATCATGGTTGGAGGATTGGAGGGCTTACACACCTCATCTTCGTGGTATTACTGTGCGACTAGAATGTTCGGATTGGGATATTGGGGAATGGCCCCCTGAGATGATACAGCAGTTCAGGGACCTTGGTGCTCAAGCAGGGGTTGAAGTTGAGATAATTGACCTGACATCTATAGAACCCTTATGTACATGGCTTAGTTGACAGATGATATATAATCACACTTGCTCATCCTTGGCCACTTTTAATAGTCAATGGTCCAACATAATCCATGACCGATCCCTGATAACCTAAGAGGTACATAACTGAATCTGGTCCTTGATTGATAGCCCCCCTGCGATAGTGCTCAGATCGTATGACTCTGGCGTAATGTTGATGTTCAACTCTGCCATTCCATATGTCTTAGCAAACAAGTCGCATCCCCAGATTTTCTAGACCATATATGTTAGTCCTGCCGCTACACTCTGCAAAGCAAAATAGCAGTCACAACCACTCACATTCTGAGGATTTCCACAAGGATCAACTTGCTTGAGCTTAGCTTCCACGCTGTCCCACATAACCGTAGCAACTCTTGCCTTCTGATCAACCAGCGGAGCGTTATGTATCGTATAATACATATGCGCAGCCATTACCTCACCAAATTTTTCTTCTCGTCTATGCTGCAAATCCTCTCCTGTATCATCCTTCCACATAATCTGGCAAAGCTGAAGAGTCTTGAGAACCTCTGTGTTGGCAAAGTTATACGAAAAAGAAGTCTCTCCCCTCTGCGAAGACGCTATGATAATTTCGTCCTCGAAAGCGAGGACTGTCAAGGCGTTGGGCTTGTTATTCCTTCCGGTAATGCTGTACAGGTCCATATCATCTTGGATCTCGTTGTACCCATCGAGTGCCATTTGCCAGAGTTGTGCGTCGGTGATGGTGCTGACTGGGCTGTTGAATGTGAGGTGGCTACTCCATAACCAATTCCGGCGGGTCTTTCGGCCGGGGATGGCGTTGATTGATGTCGGCCAGTTGGTTGCGAAGGCGTAATCGAGTCTCACGCCTAAAGGACCTTGCGGGTCGCGTCGTATAGACAGGTCGTATGGTTCTCGGGCGCTGGTGAATGCGCACCATATTACCAGGAGGAGGTGGAAGAGTTGGGATATAATCATGGTCTAAAGCCTCAGTTTTTTACTATTATCACTGATGATTTTAAAATGTCTGCACCCGTAGGAGAGGGATTCTTACCAAGAGGAACAGTGAGAATAGTGGACTTAAAACCACTGGTCATCTAAGATCCAGCAATCCGTGCCATTTTAAACACCGTAGCCTCGCTACACTTTCCATGTCGTATAGTACGGGTACACGCTACTATCATGGCCTACATCCATAGACTGAGACCCTTCGCCTATCAACCACACTATCCGATAGCTGCTGGGTCTGATGAGGGATTATTCTGTTTACTGTAGTCTATATCATAGTTGTCAACGTGGCTAACATGAGATATCTGTACTTGTATGGAGCCAACACACCCAATGAATAGCACAACGGTATCGATGATAGTACGATAGAGTGGTTGGTAGCATTGGCACGGAGATATCCGGTGCCATACTCACGAGTATTTACATAATGTGACTCACATCGGAGATTACTATCATGAACAGACTATTCCCTAGACATGAAATGGAGCCATCTAGTGATGAAGATAGAGAATTGGACTGGTAGTGTTGTTGTTCGGAGATGTTCGGATCTTCGCGATTGCTGCCAAGAACGCGCTTGTTGTGAACTGCTGGCTTGCTATGGGGTTGTTATCAGTCAGTATAGCTAGTGATTATGATCAAGTTTTTCATCGGAGTGGTTGCGCGAACTTTAATAATCAAACTGATTTCTTTCTTACAGCTATTCTTCATACTTACATACTTCGCATAGAAATCCCGCTACAAACCTATCACAGAGCTGTTACTTGAACCTCAAATAAGAGATATAAAGAAACCCCTGATAACGACTCTGAAATAATCTCAATAATCCCGAATTTTTCCTAATCTACCCTATGTGCAATACCAAAAGGATGTGTATTAAGTAATACCAAAAAGAACCCTTCCAAAGTACGGACCCTTGACATGGATCCAACGGATCAATGTTAAATCTCTGCACCCTAAGGCTATCAACTCAGCGCTAAGGAATTGACTGAGACCCTACCTCTACATTCTGCGCCTATTATAGCCAATCATTCCATGCATCGGATCACGGATGGCGGATTGTTAATCTCCCGAGCCCCAGGGTCCAGTTTAGCGCGCCTTGTGGGTCGGCTACACTTCGGCGGTTACGCGATGAGAACCACTTCTTTCCTCAACGGCATCCGTTGGCATTTGACATTTAAGATTATGTCTCACTCCCGTACCTGACTTCAACAACTTTTGGAACTGCTAATCTGTGAGCAGACACTACTGAAGTCATGAACCAATATCCGCTGTCAATAAAGCATCTCATAGGAACTATCACAATGGGTGGACCGATAATCCTCGGTCATGTCTCGCCAGACCTTCCAAAACGCGAGGGGAGCAGTGAGGAAGGAGCAGTAGCGCTCTTATGGATGGAGATGGCAGGCGGAGCTATACAGTACACTACCAGTGTCGGTTTCTCTGCATGGATATAAGAAGGCCATGATGTCGTTGGGATTTTGGATAGTATTGCATTCGCAAAGCCCTGTTTTTCCCTCCTCTCCTCCTCATCCTTTCGCTATGTACTCGCAACTATGGAACGGCCTAGCGGTCATTGCTACCCTTGGGAGTTGCGTCCTTGCGGATCATCGTCTACATCGGCATGTGCGAGGAAACTCAAGCGTGGAATGGGACCACTTGATGATGAGAGATGATGATACGACCGAATTCGATCCGACAGATCTTTCTTACATCCAGAGTATGGCCGCTATTGGTGACTCGTACTCGGCAGGAATTGGTGCTGGTGAGCGCCTGGGTGCTATTACCCAAGCGCTACAGCCGGAAAGTGGTAAGTGCTCTCCCTCACAAGACTGTAGCCTATGGACTGATAATCAATTCTCTTTCTGTATAGACTGGGCTTGTAGTCGTTACGATCACGCGTATCCTTATCTCATACATACTGATGAGCGCCTGGGCAATCAGGCATCACGGACCTTTCAGTTCGAGTCTTGCTCTGGTGCAGTCATAGCCGATGTTATCAACAACCAGATCCCTAGCATCAATGGGAACCAGCAAGTGATTATGCTATCTGCCGGTATGTGTGCCCAAAGCCTCTTTCTGAACTGGTCTAACGTGTCTAGGTGGCAATGATGTCGAGCTCTCAAACATCCTTAACCAGTGTATCTTTCAATGGGCCGTATTGAACTCCAACCAAGTAGCCGTGACCAAGGCAGCAGCTCTTGCAGATCCTGATTATACTTGGGCAGGGAGTTATGACTGGGACTCGTTAGGTCTTGGCTGCGATGGGCAGTTGGCTCGCACAAGAAACCTCATTGCTGGGGATGCCTTTAGCAAGAGCTTGGATTCTGTTATCGAGGCGGCCAAGGCAAAGCTAGGGTCAAAGTGAGTACAGTCGCTTTATTGGTATCTAAAAGCTAATTAATATAGGGGTATGATATATTACACTGGGTAAGTGCCATGCCGTCTATCACTTTGGCATCGTTGACAGGTTTATCAGGTATGCCAAATTTTGGGCCGAAGATCTATCATCTGCGTGTGATAGTGTTAGCTGGGCAACATGGATATATGTGAGTAGCATGACTGCAATACAGTATAATACTAACGTTTGTCAGAAATTCTACAACATCTTTCAGAACTCGCAGAAGCTTACGACAGATCATCGGAGAACAATGAATGAGCTTGTCGATTCTGTCAACGCGCAAATTGTTCGTCTCCTTACATTCCTTCACTGGAAGTTGTAACTAACATGGTTGCTCAGTCGGCTGCAGTAGATGGAGCCGGATCCCAGGTCAAGTTTGTCAATTATGACTCCTATGTAGGCTATTTCAATGGCCGCTTTTGTGAGACTGGTGTAGACGAATCAACAGCAGAAAGCAACACAAGGTTAGTGAAACGAACTGCAGTACCTAATATACTAACAATATTAGAACCGGCCTCATGTTCTACGAGCTCAATACTTGGGGATCCTCTCGGCCGCAATCCCTATAAACGAAGCCAAGACAACCCCTTGAATGGAACATTTGAGGGCTCCGTGAACCAACTCGCGCAGATTACACTGCTTATGGACCCAGATGCCACGTTGTCTGACCAGGCCTTTGTCTCGGACGCTGCTACTGTGGATGCCACTACTGCCATTCTTGGAGAATCGAAGATATCCCTCAGTGCCGAATCTTCGGATCTAGAAGTTCCGAATATCCTACCAGACGGGTACGTCTTTGGTTGTCATGACGGACGTTGATCTTTTGCTAATCAATGGATATGAACAGATACTGGCGTGTTTTCCATCCCCAGATGTTGCTTCATGAACTGATTGCCGAGTTGGTCATCTATGAAATGGTCAACTTTAACGAGCAAGATAACGGATACCCAGCAATTCCAGAGCAATTCACCTTTGACTCGTGCCCTTACTATCCTCCAACAAACGGTTCAAATGGGACTACAGACGGCCGTACGTATCACTGTCATATAACGTTAATGCCACTACTGACCTGATATCCCTTGGTTAGAGCAAATCGCTTTAGCATCATACATCAATCCCCTCTCTGACCCAGCTGCTTGGAACCGGATCATTGACTATCCAGGAGACAAGGTCACCGTTCTGGTCGCCAACATCCTCAACGTCCCGGACACGACGGTGGATGTGGACTGGCAGAAGGTCATCAACCGGGCTTATTCCGCAGGAAAACGCGTCCTCGGCTATGTACGGACAGGATATCTCGGTGTGAGCCAGGATCACTTCCAGACCCGGCTGGGTTCGAGCGACCTTGCTGACTGGGTCTCGCAAATCCAAACCGACGTCGACTAGTGGTACAAGTTATACCCCGGCGTGATTGGGGGCATCTTCTTCGACGAGGGCTGGAACGATTGTGGAACAGACAACCAATATTCAGAGCTGTATCGTTTCATCACCGATACTAAGAAGCGCAAACACCCTGGCGCCTTTACCGTCCTCAACCCAGGTGCTACCATGCCGCAGTGCTTTGAGCATAGGTCCGTCCAGCAATAGCTTGTCTGACGTCTGAAATAGAGACTAACAGAATACCAGTGCCGACACGCTCATGACCTTCAAAAACAGCTACGACACATACATGAACCACTACGTCGCCAACCCCGACTGGACCCCCAGCGACTCGCGCAAGCTCTGGCACATTATCTATAACGTCCCAGCGGACAAAGCCGGAGACGTTGCCGCGCTGGCCCGCGAGCGCGGAGCCGGCCTCATCCACATCACCGACGACAACCTCCCCAACCCATACGACACCCTCCCCGACGACACTTACATGCAAACCATTATGAGCGCCCTTGATGGTGGTGGACCAGCCATTGCAGACCCTTCAGCGTATTCAGATCCCGGCGATTCTGCATCCCAGCCCAGCTCGTTATCGGTTACCTTTTCCGACTATTCCTCCGTGACTCTAAGCTGGGATGCCAACTCCAAAACCCCCTACGCATACGCCGTCTGCCGTGACGGAACCGAAGTCGTCCGTCTCCCTGGCACAATGACCAAAGTCATCGTCGGCAACATCGACTCCGGATCCTCCATGACCTTCACCGTCCGGGCTCGAGGCACAGACGGCACCGAGACAAGCGATTCCAACTCCGTATCAGCCACCACCCTCAGCCTCCCCGACAACCAAGCCGTGACCAACGTCAAATCCCTCTCAACCGCAACCTCCACCACCGTCCAAGCCGACATCCTCGTCCCATTCGCCTTCGTCCGCGTCTTTCTCACCGACCCCGACACCCGCTGCTCCATGCCCTCCTGGCCCATCAACTACAATACCGGCAACTTCATTTGCACCCACTACATGGTCGAAGGCTCCGCCCTCTACCAATACACTGGCGCCAACCTCACCGACGGCCAAACCAACTACCCCTGGACCTGGACCTCCATCAACACGGCCCCCGTCTCCCGCAACGGCTACACCTACACCTGGACTCTCCCCATCGGCTCCTCCACCACAGACCCAAACTACTTCGTCGTCGAAGCCCAAGGCTACAACCCCATCACCAACGTCTTCCACCCCTGCCCCAGCACCGGCGCCTCCTGCACCGGCAAAGCTCCTTACGACTGCAAAGGCGAAACCCTCTGCAGCACCCTAAATGTCAAATGGTGCGACAAGGCCGTCAACTAAATGAATCGCGGCGTCACCCTCTACACATCCAACGCCGAAGCCCTATCCCTCTCCAGTAACTGCTGGGCCAACTGGGAGCAGTACGGATGTTCAGTACAAGTGCGCGGCAAAGACCAAAACATGAATAACTGTCAAATCACGGGCGATGAGATGTGGGAGGCATATCAGGATATCAGAAACATCGGGGGATGTAAGAAATGCGGTACTAAGCATTTTGGAAATGGGTGTTTGGTTAGTGTGGATTATTATTATGGATGTGATAATAGGGATAATGGGGTGAATTCGTTGGATACTTGATTTTCGTTTTGGTTTGGGTGGATGTTTGGGGGGCGTTTGGTTGGTTGTTTGATTAGTTTCTTGGGAAGAGGTACAGATTTCCTTTTATTATTTTGGCTTCATATTGAGAATAATTTTATTAGAAGATAAGCGCGAGATTTATGCGGCATGAAGTTATGGGTGATTGGCGGGCGATAGTGGCCATCGGGTATGTAAATAATTGCAATGCAATGCGATGCGGTGGAGTTTGGGCACACCCAGTGGGGCTCGGTGGGTTTCTGTCAATCTGGACCCACTACCCTGTGATGTGGGTGCGGGGTGGAGATGATCTGAATTACGGAGTACGGATATTGACATTTGACAGCCTTGATGTGGATCTAACACTTTTTATTGGGGTTAAGGGTGGATATACATTATATACAAAATAAAGATAGTGTTAAATTATCTGTATGGAAGTTGTAGAGGGTACGCTCAGTAAATGAACATTCGATTCCGTATGCTTAACTAGTGCAATGTAATGAAACATCAATTATGCAAAGACTAGTATGAAATCTCCTTCCTGATCATCGACTAGAATGGACAGAAGACCCAGCCTTGATAATATCCGCTGCCCTCTCCGCAACCGCATACACCGTCGCCACCGGGTTTCCATGCGGTGTCAACGGAAATACGCTCGCATCCACGACACGCAGGTTCTTCGTCCCGTATACCAACAATTCCTGGTCCACTACGCCGCCCGCCTCGCGAGGGAGCATTGCGGCTGTGCCGCATGCGTGGTGTGCGATCTGTGCAGTCTCGTGCAGCAATGCTTTGGTGGTCTCTAGATCAGTCGGGGCAGCAGGGGGCTGGAAAAAGTGCTGCAATGCTGGGAGAGCGGGGATCTGCTGCAGTTTCTGCACGTGTCGGGCCATGAGTTCCACGTCGAGTGGATGGGAGAAGAAGCATGCGTCAATTTTGGGAGGTACATCTGGATCCGTGGAGGTGATGTGGATGTTGCCGCGGGATGCAGGGAAGCATGGGATCAGGACGAGGATACCCACGGTGGCACCGGGCAAGATACCCAGGAGGATAAATGCGGATGCCTCGTTGGGGCTCTCCAGGATGCCGCGGAGAACTTTGTCGGGTCCTTGTTCACCAGACAAGAATCTGGCCGCAAGGTCAGCCTGCACCTCCTCGTCCAGCCTGACAAACGCCAGCGCTTTAACCCCGGATGCAACGTCTTCCAGTTCCGGGACCTTGTTCAGCGGACAAGGCAGAACACTCATGAGATGATTCTGCAGATTCCTCCCCACCCCGGAATTCTCAACCACCACCGGAATCCCCAAACTAGACAGCACCTCCCTATCACCAATACCAGAAAGCTCCAGCAGCTGCGGCGTATGAAAGACACCAGCGGAAAGAATCACCTCCCTAGTTGCCTTGATCGTCACAACCTCCCCATCACCCAACGCCACCTCAACCCCTGTAGCAACAACAAGATCAGAACCCTCCTCAAACAGAATCCGCCTCACCTTTACGCCCGTCAAAATAGTAACATTCTCCCTCTTCGCCGCCCCCACCCCAAACCGTCGATCTGCACCACTCCGCAACCCAGACCGCGCATCCACCGTCGCCGCATACGCCCTCGTCCCAACGCTCCTCTTCTGCACCAACAACTCCTTCGTAAACTCATACCCCTCTCCCTGAAACGCCTCCCCCCACGCCCTCAACAACGGATGATTCTTCTCCTCCTCAAGAACCGGATACGTCACCTGGATCGGCCCCTTTTCTCCAAACCCCTCCACCTCAACGCCAGCCGCACGACAAACCTCCACGTCTGGCGTGGACACATTCACCGACTTCTGCAAATACAGCTCCAAAGTCTCCCACTTCCAGTTTGTATTTCCTAGCTTCGCCCACGCGTCTATTCCTGCCGGCGAGGGAGGCACGTACACCGTTCCGTTGATGACGGATGATCCGCCGAGGACTTTTCCGGCGGGGTGTTCTGGTTCGCGGTTGTTGAGACCAGCCTGTATCCTATTAGCCTGTTTTCGGTCTGGCTAAGAAATGGATGGGAGTTGGGGGGGGGGGGGGATCATACCTGAGGCGCAAACTTCATATTCCAGTCCATCTCCGACCCCACCAGCCCATGCCAGGCATCTGGATCCTGGATTTCTGTATCTGAGCTTCGATCCGGACCGGCTTCGAGAACAAGGACATTCACGTCGGGGTTCTCGGAGAGACGGTTCGCGATGACGAGGCCGGCGGTGCCGCCGCCTATGATGAGGTAGTGAGTTGAAGAGGGGGGAGTAGTTGAAGTCATGGTTATATTCAGATCCACTCTGAGAAACGATCTTGTTGATATTAGTGTTGGAGATAGATGAAGAAGAAGTAGAAGATACTCTGCTGGCAGCTCAACGTCCTACTTATATGACAGACTGTCAGAGGGAAAGGAGTAAAAAGAGGGGCAAGATGGGTGGGTGGTACAGGGGTCGACCCGTCCAGAGCGAGTGAAAGAATGGCCCTTAAGGCATGTCAGCTTCCTTCGGGACTTTCCTCCCACTAGGATGAATAGTCAGCGCTAATTGCCGCTAAGGCATGTCTGGTGAGCCTAATTTCACCCCTAAAAGGATCAGGAGGTGGTCCCGGGTCAGATTTCTCGAGTGGGCGAATTGGAGTGGCTGTTGATTAGAAATGAAGGATGCAGGGTCCAGCCTTGTCTTTCATGATGTAGTTCCATGTCAGCATTCTGTAGTTTTTGCATCTGGCTGTGCATAGGTCTAGGACTCAGACACCTTCTTGATGTCAGCGTGTATTTTATACCTGTGTCACCGTTTGGCTGACAATATTAGCCGAAACGACACCCTAGTAATCCCCACTGTTTTACTCGTTTTACAGGCGGGACCTGTCATTCCCGCATCCAGACTAGTCTATGCGGCCCCACCCGACCCACCTGACAGTGTTGCCTTGACACCTGAAATCGAGTTCCACTTGTCTATCATTTGTAGGATACGGGGAAAGGGAAAGATAAAACCACTACAGAGATCCGAACCGCCATCTTCTCCTAACAATATTCCTAAGAAAAGTGGAGCACTCTACCCGCTCAGCAACAATAGGCAGTCAGTATTGGGAAATCCAGTACTAGTAGATATCAAGCATTTGGGTATACTGAAGGGGAGCACAGAAAGAGGTGAATTAAATTGGGAGAATAATCCATAAGACTTCTCCCAAGCGCAGCTTAGAGAATTTTACTCCTCAGCCACAGAATAGTCTATCCCAGATATCCCACAAATTACCACCCACACCCAACCCACAAATCAATCAAACCAACCCTTAATAAAATCCCAATTCCAACTACTCCTTCCCTCCTTCTCCCCTAGAACCCTCACTGCCTCCTTAAGCCCCATCCCCATAAACTCCTTCTCCTTCTCCCTCCCATTCTCCTCCAACCACTCCCTCCACTCATCCCCCAACCCAGACAACAAAAACTGCACTTTCATTGCCTCCGGCACACGCTGATCCCCCGGCGCAATCGCCCTATCGATCTTCCTTAGCGCATGTTGCATCTTCAACGCATAGCTCAAGACAGACTTTCCATTGTCATATCGAAGCGCCATTGCGGCTTTTATCCCATCCAACGGGTTCACAATATAGTACTTCCTGTCCAGGTACGTCCAGATGTCCTTTGCCGATGACATGTGTTCTACTTCGGCTAGGATCTGCGGGGAGAGGGTTTCCAGGATCATTATTCGAGCCCGGTCGTTGAGCGAGTTATGTGGTGGTCGGGGACATCGGTAGGAGGGGGAGAAGCGGAGGGGGAGGCTGAGTTCGAATTGGGGGAGTTTGAGTTCGAGTTGGGGGGTGCCGGGGGGAGGAGGATAGCGGGGTTCATCGAGGATGGGATCGGTGGTGATGGGCCTCGGGTCGGAGATGATGGGCCAGTAGCCGATTGAGCGCAGGTCAGCTGCAAGGGCTTCGCACCAGAGCTCGTAGTCGACTGGGCCGGTTAGGTGGGGGAGACTGGCGGTGCTGCTGGCGGTGATTTCGATCATGATGTCGTCGATCATGGTAGGATGATTTGGAGGTGTTTTGAGAGGTCCGATATCTTCGGGAGGTATGGTATCATCGAGAACCATGGTTTCATCGGGAGATAGTAACATTTTGTAGTTGATGAGTGTGAGAGAGACGGGGATAGAGAGAATATCAGCGACGATGGTGAGTACAATTCAGATGATAATGCTATGTAGGAGGAGGAAGAAGCGTCTTATATGCCGCTCTCAGGGAGCTTGGAAAGTCCACTGCTTGCATGCAACAAAGAATATCGGGGATTTCCTCTAAAGGCAGGCAGTCACCTCCTTCCATCTCTGCCAACCACATACTTCATCAGAACTACTAATTCCGATAATATTGATGGAAGTTCCACTGATATCTATATTCTGATGGGCTAGAGCGTATACTTGAAACCCGCCAACCCTTCAATAGGCTTTCCTCCGTTATCAACCCGCTTGTTCGCCTTCTGAAACTTCCAGATAAGCCCCCCAACAATCAATATAATCAGGGCATTAGCTATCATAGTCGTCAACAATCCGGGCCGGTAATTGGGGGCATCCTGCGCCCTGAAGACTGTCGTCCCGATGATTCCTCCAATGCTACCACCGCCGATCAATGTAGCGGATGTGAAGGCACGTTTCCATTGCCCACGAACGTTATTACTATTGAAGTGTTAGTATAATTGTATCATGAAGATTGAAACAAGAAACACATCACCTTTGCCATGATACCAAAGCCGGACAATTCGCGTTGGCTATAGTTGTCAACATCACTGCCATGAGCAGCCGAGCCAATTCACTCACCAGCGATAGTAGCCAGAAAAACGCCAAAGTAGCGTGGTCCCGATTCACTGAGATAGCCCAAAAGAGCCAATCCAAGCAGCCCCATCGCGGCATTTGCCGCAATAATGGGTCCTCGCAGGTGCCATTTGTCCGCGTAAATTGCCTCCACATACATCACAACTGCAGCAGCAACATATGGAGGTGCCACAAGACATTGGGCCTTTGCTACCGAGAACCCCATACTATCTTCCAAAATGATCGGAAGAAAGTACGCAATCGAGTAACTATTAGCGGTGGTTAGCATATACAAGGCGGCATACGCCCATAACTTACTATCCCCTGCGTTGCGGAGATAGCCTTTCAAGGTAAATGGCTCTGTGTAAACATCCGATCGATCATTCTCAATGGTAGCCACCACAAAGGCTGCCTCGGCCTCATTCAGGAAGTGCCATGACTTGGGCGACTGTTCAGGAAAGTCAACCAGGATAGCATAGGATCCAATTCCCATGACACATGTCAGGATCCCTTCAATCTATCCCATCGAACCTGTTAGTGATATGTATCAATAGCTTTCCATGAACGGAACACTTACGATGAAAATCCACCTCCAGCCGGCTCTTCCCGCAATCCCATTCATTTGCATCAACCCATAAGCCAGGATGCCACCAAACCCAGACGCCGTGCTCCCAATCAGATAGAACAGGGCATTCCGCTTCTGTAGCTCGTATCGCGTGTACCAGGTACTCAGAAGATAAACGCAACCCGGATAAAACCCCGCCTCTAGGGCACCAAGAATCACCCTTAGCCCAGCCAAGACCGGCCAAGTAGGCGACATGCCGAAACCCTATTCACATACAGTCAACACCACCACCCCACATCACCGTATCCTCGCAACCCATACTTACAATCATAACCACCCCCCACAGCAAAACAATGGCCGAAAGAAACAACCTCGGCCCCAACTTCCGAATAATCACCGTGGCAGGCGCCTGGAACACCGTATAGGTAATGAAGAACACCAACGAGCTAATACTGTATCCATTATTCTTGGCATTCATGTCCAAGTCCGTCTGCATCCTATCATAGAGTTAGCCAACTCTTGGCCCTGAAGCGGGGTTGGATTTCCATACCCGGCAACCGAGGCAGCCCCGAGGTTGGTTCTATCCAGCAAGCTGATACAATAGAGGCAGCCGAGTGTGACGACGAGACGGGCATCAATGCGTCTCATGAGTCGTTTTTGTTCTTTGGGGGTGAGGTAGTCGAGGGATTCGCCTTGGTGGATACTGTTGGATGAGGCGTCCTCGATGTGGGAGGCGTCGCCGGAGGTCTTTTCTGGGTCCATTGTTGTGCGTTGGGTTGGTTTCGAGGGATTGGGAAAGATACTGCAGGGGTGTAGTGGCCATGGGGATAATTTTCACAGGCATTATATAGCTCATGAAACATGATAGCTTCCCCGCATGACCCCGCAAATTGAGATCCCCAGATTATGCCGTCTCGAGCTAGCAGGGGTGAGTTGTTGGTTGATTGGACACGAAGCATCCGGTGCATGCAAGTGGTCGGGGAGTTGTCATCCCCGCTGCTGCTGCTGCTGCTGCTGCTGCTCCATGGTGGACGATAACTGAAAAAGAAGACATAAGAACCGACTTGAGGTGTTCGAATAAAGCTTTCATGCACTGTTACCGGTGAAGTATGAGAGAGGTGTGAGATTCTGTTGAAACCAAAAGTCAATATCCCATGAACCATGTGGATCAAAAGGTTGCAGGTTCGTCTTCTCTGCTCCAAGACGGGCCTCACATGATCTCGTTGATTTCCCAAACTCAATGAGAACTGTACCGCTGTTCATAAGCTGAGCAGTTGGGTACACCCATTCCAATGCATCTAGGTATATCGTGGAGCCAATGGAGTTTGCGAGTAACTGGATTATAAGGACCAAGCTATCTCCAGAAAGCCTTCACAGAAACTCTGCGCATCTCATCATAGTGGGGATGTCACGATCGAGTATAGGCTAGATAGAGTATATCGTAGATAGATAATATCGTACAGCATGCCGATACACATACAAAGAAACGAACACAACTCTAATGGTATCTAAAAGACAATCTCCTCCCGACATCACGCCAAACAATCAACCCCAACGCCAGTGACAATTTCCACCAGTCTAAAACCCTCCGTATGGATACTGATTGAGAGAACGATGCGGAGCAACATAATAGTCCCGATAGGGATGGTTCTCCATCGAAAAGTCCGCACTAGCCATGACCGGATTGATCACTCCAGCCGGCATTTTGGGACGAACAGGCGCATGGGCTGCGTCTAAAGAATGGTCGCCGTTTAACAACGCCAGAATATCTTCCGACATATGCATCGGGGGACCATGAGGATCACTCCAGCCCCAGGCTTCCTGGAGTTCCTTTTTCACGTGCTCGGCTTTCCAGCCGGTTTGCTTTATAATATTTTCGAGTATCTCGAAGGCTTCCTGTTGGGCCTCCCTTGTTGCTAGACATTCTGCAGCAATGGCTAGGAAGCGGATGGACAGACTCGCGACTCCGCTATGAGGGGTCAGCTTGGGCTTCTAGTGCTCGCATGGACTGGCGTTCGACTTACCGATCCCTTGAGTGTGCCACGAGGCCGCAAATGTCTCGTGCATGGCTTTGCTGCATGGTCTGCATCTCAGCACTGAATTCTGGCTCGACAGGGTTTGTTTTCGTTAAAAGAATTCGTGCGGTATGATATAACAGTCGAGCGATGATCGTAGAGCGCTTGATGAGCCTAGAAAATGTCAACAACCTTGTTTGCAGGAATTACTTGGATGCTCACCAGATCTCTGGAAAGACAGATTTCGAAGTTGTTTGCCATGAATGAAGATAGCCGAGAGGCATCATAGACCGGGGTACAGCTCTAGCCCACTGATCACACCAGTCATTGTAAGTACACCATTCCTGATAGCGCTGGCTGATCCGCATGTCATTGGCCGATGCCTCTAGTGATGGCGGCTGCGCTAAGGATCTGAAGTTCGCAATTTTTGCGCAGATAAAGACCATCTGGTGCGTCCATGCTTCTTCGTTGCCTGCAACACTAGGCTGGGCATGATTCAGGTCCAGTTCAACACCCCATCTGTCCGGGTCCCAGGAGAGTGTCCAATTGAAGTGCAGACAGTTAAGTAATTCCATGCTTACATTCAGCCAGAAACAAGCACCGCCAAGACCCGGTGTCTTCGCATTCCAGTGACACTCCTTGATCAAAGCTCTTGCACCAGCAATGTGACTCATACCTTGGATTGGTCTACCGGACATCAACTCGTATATATTTAGTAGGATCGCCGTTGTAGCACACAAGGCAGAGTCACGATCAGGATCTTGCAACGAGTGAAGAAGATATTGCGAGGCGACATTATGCAACTCCGCGGCCTTTTCCTCGCCATATGAGGCATCCACATGGAAAAGGTGCCGCGCACCGCATGCCAGGAGAGCTTTGAGGAGCATGGGCTCCTCTAATGCATGAAAAGGCAGTATATGCGTGAACTATCGAATAAGCTACTGAGCAAGCCTCATCGCAAGGGATAGTACTTACATGCTTCACTGCATCCATTGAGTCCATCCACAACCCAACCTCTTCGACAAAGACCTGTAGCAGATAAACCTCTTCTGGATTATTGAGACACGTATGGTTTGTGGCGTTGATATGACCCTGTTTCGTCGACCGAAAAGGAGCAAACGATGCAGTTGGGTCATAATATGGCGTGTTTGTCAACTGCGACAAACTGTTGAATGCGCCGCCCAAGTTCCCAGACTGGGGCGTCCCAAATCCTTGTCCAAAGGAAGCTTTCTGTGTGCTAGGGTTAGGGGTCAAAGAAGACCCTGTCGCAGTTCCCTTCTCCGGCGATGCCTCCGCTACCAAGGGAGGATATCTCTCAATCCCGCCCACATACTCCGACGCTATAAGTCGCGACTCATCCCGAAACGTCACGCCACTCGCTGGGATACGAACTACACAGTGCGGAGGTGTGGATTTCTGAATATCTATAAAGTTTAAGCGAATTCCGCGCCTGCATACTCTGCCCGACTTCCGGCAGTTCTGGCATCGATGCAGAGCCTCATCACATTTCAGGTGGCGTTCCCGACATGTTAAACAGCCTGTCCGAACCCGCCTGGGCTTCGTAACGACGATCTTGCCTTTGCGCTTGGCAACCGACGTGCGTGGTGTTTCCAAAGATGTGCTGTTCGGAGTGGATACCCCGCCCTCATCCGACGGACTCGTTCCTTGGGTATTGGCTTCGGTTGTAACAGCTGCACTGTTTTCATCGAGGTCGAACTCGAGTATATCGGTAATATGTCCGGATGCTGTCAGATCCAGTGTAAGGTCCAGATCCGACGGTGCAGAGACATGGTCGCTGATAGCTGAAGCCATATCAGGCTGTGCAATCAGAATCTATCCGTCGAGCCTCGACCGCAATAGATCCGTCCCAGTCTTCGGATATGGTCATCAGCAAGCCCCAGATTCAGCCCCCAAAAGTGTCACTCCCGGGCATTCTGGCCAACCACGAGATCGATAGTGCCGTAGGGCTTTCCTTCCAGTACCACTTCACATAAGTATCAGGGGCGGTTGGAGTAGACGAGGGTAGCCGAAGGCGACTAGGACCGATCGAAAGTTGTACGCAAATCTAGAGTGACACCGAAACGTGAATGCATAGGCACCGATACCTCGAAGCGGTTTCACAATCGCAGATCTGCGCAAACATACGGTTAGCATCGGTAAAGCAAAGAGCGACATCACACAGTCATAGACAGACCTGATGGTCGAGGGCAAAAGGAGCACAGTACAAATAACGGCGCAAATCCACAGCATCTGCCGCAACAAAGAGAGATGCCAGGGTCTCAAAAGATCCGCGGGGAGTCGTGAGTCCGGGACGGAGAGCTAATCCTAAAATGGTCTAGGGCAATCTGATCAATGCCGAGGCAGATTCGCCGATCTTCAACAGTCCAACTCATTTAATTGTATTTTGTGCTATATTTACCACTCAATGAGGGATGTCTATTGCGTTTTCCTATATGAACTAATTCCCTGATAAAAAATGTCTCGCCTTATAATCATAGCGCTATCATAGCGCTCTCAGTTTGTACCTAACATTACCTTTATCCAAAACTTTTGAAGCAATCAATCGTACTTTTAGATTCAACCCTCTTACGGCCAAGGATGGCTTTATCAAATGTTTATGTCATGGTCGTTTACTTTCGTTGGTCAACCGTCACGCACTGTGGCATATCAGCACCGTTGCATCCTCATGCTTTGGTTCCCAGTTTAGGGATCCGGGCTCGAAGGTGCAGAATAAGCATAAGAGCACCCCAGATAGCAGCAGAGAAGAAGGTAGCACGGAGGGCTGCAGCATACGCTCCAATCACTATACATCATGTTAGTATGGCTCGCTGCATTAGAGTGTGGACATACCTTGGTGCTGGTGCATCGGATCGAGTTTGGCGACAGCGTGGACAGATTTGCGGACGAGAAGGATAACATCCTCCTTATTTGGTCCTGTAACCATCTCTTCGAGGCGGTACAGGAGAGAATTCTGGAAAATCCAGCTGCTCGTTGCCACACCCATCACTGAGCCCAGATTTCTCCACAAACCCAAGGTTGTGGTGGCCACGGCTTGATCACCCTGATCAGTGGAGGCAAGAATCCCTACCATGATTGAAGGAAATGAGCACCCTTGTCCAAGGTTTGACAGCGAAACGCAAATCATCGCCAGCCAATCAGGCGTGTTAACACCCATTGAAGCGGCAGCGCAACCTCCCAAAACTAGAAAAATATCGCCGAACACGATAGTTGGCTTGAGCTTTTTGGTCCAAGTGATGATGAAGCCTGTCGAAACACTGGCAACGGTCACCGCAAGGGTTGAACCAATCAGTCTGAGACCCGAGTCAGTCGGACTAGCTAGCTTGACTGCCTGGAAATACAGCGGAGCGTTGAAGACCATGGTGTTGATGGAGATGGCCCCGAAAAAGTTTCCAAAGATGAGGCTGGCACGAGGCTCTTGTACCAGCAAGGATATCGGCATAACTCCGCGCTCCACGGTTCGCTCATATCGAACAAAAACAATGGCAAAGATAAAGGCTGAGATCAAGGACGTGATGACAATTGGATGAGACCAGCTGAACACATTGCCACCCAAATTGAGTCCCATGATCAATGAAGTCACACCAAGGACCAGTATAAGCGATCCCACGAGGTCAATGCTCCTGATAAGCTGCAGCAGAGACTTTCGTTCTGTCTTCGCTTTTTTCACGCCCAGGTCGGCAGGGGTTGTCCAGGCAGCCACCAGGAAATAGACAAAGATGAAAGGTAATTGCACAAGGAACGCACCTCTCCATCCAACCCGGTCGCACAAGAACCCGCCGAACGCCAGCCCCATGCAGCCTCCTGTGCCTAAGCAAAGGTTGATGTAGGACTGGTAGACGCCTCTGTATTCGAGGCGGACCAAATCACTGGAGAGAATCATGCCCATGGAGAAGACACCACCAGCTCCAAGACCGCAGAAGGCCCTGGCAGCGATGAAGCTGTATATGCTTTGGGCGGCTGCACACCATGCTGTCGTGATGAAAAAGACGGCGATCGCGAAAAGGTAGACCGGCTTCCTTCCAAATGTGTCAGATATGCGTCCAAACAACGGGAGGAAAGCAGTGGAGGTCAATAGGAATGCGGTCGATAGCCACGACGCGGAGTTTGAGGCCTCAAAGTAGGATGTTATAACGGGATGACTGGAAGCCATCAAGGTAGAATCGAAGAAGCCAATCAAATATCCCATCAGGATACCAGAGAAGATAAGCCAAAATCTCATTGGCGACACATTGATAAATCGTGAAGCATAGCCGGTGGGCTCACCTGGAGAGCCATCTTCAGAATCTCGGACTTGTTTGTGGCTCACAGGAGCAGAAGGGAGGCGTTCGAGATTAGGTTCGATGTCAAGCCCCTGGGGAATTGAAGTAACCCGGGAGAGACTAAGCAAGGCAGGGTCCTCTTCAGGAGCAAAGACAGTTGATGACAGACTAGGATCGACATCCTTATCTACATCTGTATCGGCCTCACTTGTGTATGAGTGTTGATGGGAGGATTCATTCAGCAACGGTGTAGACTCGGTTGCATCAAGGAATGGTGGCTTTCCATCTGCCGCATGGGGCAAAGTCATAATCGGCAGATGCGGTGTGGAAAACTGTACCAAAAGAAATCACTCTAGAATAAGCGTTTGTAGGGTAAAATATATTTAGATGTCATAAAGAAACCAAAATTGGAGTGGAGAGTTTATTCAGGGGGGGAAAGTTTTAGGAAAGAAGAAAGCTACAGCGAGAGGTGCGACTCACCTTGATACACTGGCAGGCCGAATTTTATAGAGGGATTTCTAGGGAACGGCACTAAGAATGCACGATGCAGCCGGGTCCATCCCGCATGGACCTACGGATGACTCGATACGGTCAGCCTTTGTCTCCATCATTTTATTGCACGAAAGACAAGCCGATTCTCCACAAAATTGGACGGCTGCATTGGTTGGTCCAAGGCACGAGGACCTGAAATTTTGACCTGCGCAAAGAATCTACTTTCAGGTTCCAGGATTGAGTCAAGTGAACTCAACAAGACATGGAAGATGTTTGGTAATCCGGACCAGCCGCATAGCTGAATCCAACCCCTCATCCCTTATGCACGGGACAGGATCCCTCTGAATCCACGCAAATGATGTCTTGCTCAGCCTGCGATTTCGGCCCACCCACGACATCACGTGTATTCCCGCATGCTGATTGGTTCAATCTCAGTCATCGGATCACAGACTGTGTATGCGACGCTGCATAGTCTAACCCGGATGGGAATAGTGGTCTTGCAGCGTATCCCGTATCTACTATCTAGTACTATCGATGTATTCCGGTAAGGCATCAATACCGAAGATGGGGGCGCGGCTCCCTTTGTCATTGTCTGGGGCGATTGCGTGACTGCTATATTGCGATTGATCAAGTATGTATTGATAATAAATATGATATTCCTCGGACAGAAAGCCGATCTCTGTCGTCGTCAGAGCAGCGTCTGCAAAGGCGAAACCTTTTTGATGTGAGTCGAATATGGAGAAAGGCATGTCGTCCAACTCGACGGGTCAGCCGAATGCTGTATCAAGTCACACATGATTATGCATGCAAGCCGGCATATCCAGCAAATAATACATTATGGACCCTATCACAGCTCTCCTACCGACATGGTTCAATCACAACTGCATCTTATATGCAACATGAAATACATCTCAGCCCAAAGCTAAGCAAAACCTACAAACCGAACAGCCAATTACCTCTGGTCCAAAAAGCAAGAGCCATCCCGTGGCCATTGTATGACATCTTCCCCGCATACGGGATGCATGAACAACCACCAGATAGCCTTCAGGCCGCCCTATCAGGCATCTCGAGTGTATTCCTTATCAAGGCGGCTGCGTCGTTTTTGAGAGATTTAGGAGATAGGGAACCCCTCCGCGGGATTTGGTGGATTCGGTCCGAACGGGATGCACTTCCGAGCCTCGAGGCAAAGCGGTGACAACTATGATTCATACGGTCACAGGCCACCTTTCCTACATAGTTCTAACCAACGGAATATCGTTCCGCAAGCTGTGCAAGCCTACATCTTTCTGGCTCCCTCCTGCAGCTGCTCCCTTCTCGGCCCCTATCTTCGAATCACTGAATTGCCCCTCCCTCCACCACAATGGCCCCACTTCGTATCGCCGTCCTTGAATGCGACACCCCGGTTGAAAAAGTAAACATCAAGTATGGAGGCTATCGCGGCGTTTTCTCACTGCTGCTCCGTGAAAGTGCCGCAGCTCTAGGCCAATCCGAAAAGCTAGACCCTGAGACTGGTCTGGAAATCTCAGGGTGGGACGTCGTGACTGCTCAAGAGTACCCTAACCTGGAGGATGTAGATGCGATTGTTTTGTCTGGGTCAAGTAAGTCCCTCAATTCCGTGGTGCATCTGCACTCTGCAAGGCGCGCGCAACCTGTGACTCATATGTCCTAGAACACGATTCGTTTGAGGACCACCCATGGATTCTCAAATTGGTGGAATACACCAAGAAAGCTTTTGAGGACAAGCGGGTCAAGATTTTTGCAATCTGCTTCGGACATCAGATCATGGCACGTGCCCTTGGCGCCAGGGTTGGCCGTAACACTGCAGGATGGGAGCTTGCAGTCTGTGAGGTGGACTTGACTGAGACCGGGAAGCAGCTGTTCGGGAGGGATAAGCTTGTATGTGTACTTCCCTTTGTTGTCGGCACTACCCTGCCAACACACTCACATCCATATTATTCTGTTTGGGAGGATTATGCTCTACTGCTAACGAATCATCTTGCAGCGCATCCATCAGATGCACCAAGATGTCGCCTACGGATACCCGTCGGAGGTTGTTTCCCTGGGCGCATCGCCAAAGTGCGCAGTGCAAGGCATGTATGTCCCCGGAAAATTGATCACTGTCCAGGGCCACCCTGAGTTCAGAGGAGACATTATGACGGAACTTATCACTCTGCGAACTGCGACTGGCCTTTTCTCGAAAGAACAATCAGAAGATGCTCTGGGTCGCGCTGGTATCCCACATGACGGGATTGCTATTACCATGGCGTTCCTGAAGTTCTTCCTTGAATAGAGTAGCCATCCAATTAAATAGACTGGGAAGAGTGCAGGCTGGTTAACGATGACTTCAACTCCAATAGCTATGCGCGAAACACATATAGAGAATCAAGATTGGATATCCTATCCATTAAAATGATGCAAATGGTTAGAACCTCCAACCAAGCGCGTCTAGCCAAATGACCGTAACGATGGTATAGAGCAACCAAAAGTTGGACACCAAATTCGCAAACCCATTTATAGCAAACCCCAAACGCTCAAAATCACAAATCCTCCGAAACACGAACATCCCAACCCCACTGCCAGAAAAAAAAGTATGCCAAATCACCCCGTAGCCGAAGGATCCTCCCTCTCCAAGAAAGTCGGATCCATCTCCACCTTCCTCTCAAACTTCGTCCACCAATCCCTGAAAGTCTTCAGCGGAACAACCTCCTGCCCCTTATTACTCGGATCCGACGACGCAAAACTAGCCAAGAAGTTGAACGCATTCCCAATAATCCGCTGTGCCAACACCTTGGTGGTAATCTCCTTCTGTTGCCGTGTGTGTCGCACCAACGCCCCCGGGCCAACCTGTTCCGCCTCCAACGCAGCGACCTGCGGTGCAACGGTTTGAACAGGCTCCAGCGAGATCCCCAACGTCACCATGGGCGTTGCGCCCATCATTCCCTCCCCATTTTGTAGCCCGGGGATTTGCGGTGGCTGAACTTTAAGTATCGCAGACGGTCGCTCGTTGGCTAGAGCTCCGATGAAGCGGAACTGAGGGGCGTTGTTGGGATCGGGGAATTGGATGTAGATTGCTGCGGCGGTGTCGGGGGGAAGGACGGTGCCGGGGAGGAAGAAGACGACAAGTTCGGATAATGATGGCGGAAGAGGGAAGTTGAAGGCGAACTTGGTGGTTTGGCCGTTTGGTTGTGTCTCGACTGCGACGATGTCGGTCAGACACGGCCGGTCTGGTATGATGACGGAGAACATGGCGGGGACGAATCAAGAGTGATGTATTGTATAGTATGTAGATGAGGTGTATGTGATGGGTTGGTAGGGTTATATGTACAGCTGGATTAGAGTAGTGAGGTGGAATTGCGATGCATCATTAAGGTATTGGAGCTCCCGAGCGGAGAAATAGATAGCTTTAGAAGAAATTCCTGGCGCGTTCCATGATGGAACCTCAAAGAAAGACTGGTGACGAAATGGTCGGCTTTTGCCCTTATCGATAAGGGCAGTCCCGCGCGCCCGGTCTTCGGAAGACGCAGGGCGGTGCTGCTGCTGGCAGCCCCTGTCGGTGACTAGTGACTCCTGTTGAGTAACAAGGCTGCAGTCGTTGTACATAGCTGTCATTTGTTAATATTTCTGTTCTGGCATCATGGGCAAGTCATACCTTGATCTGGTTAATGAGTGCGATAGGTGAGTCTCTCTTTGACTGCCTCGGCGGCTTTGCATCTAACTGAAAGATCTTGGTGCTAGATTTCCGTACTACGAAGATAACCCCGCAGTGTATCTCGAACATCTGAAGAACTATCACATTTTCAAAGTTGCCGGTTGCGATGCTGCTCTCGGATACATCCTGAACTCTACTGTAGAGAAGTTCTTCTCACTTTCGGACTGCTGGTCAATCGACACCGCGAACCGGACTGTCACCCTCGTCGCTCCTGCTGACGCTACACCTGAACAGCGCAGTCAACTGGTGGCCAAGTCCCTCGATAAGGCTGTGGAACTGGGAACGTTTGATATCCTGAAAGGATGGCGCAACGAAATGTACCCAGTCTACGGACCAGGCGGTGAATTCCTGCTGGAGATGGAACGGTCTGCTACTCCTTTGTTTGGTGTCGTCTCATACGGTGTCCATTCCACCTGTTACGTCGACGACGCGGATGGTCTTCGCATTTGGGTTCCCAGACGCTCGAGAACGAAGCAGACATATCCCGGTATGCTGGATAACTCTGTGGCGGGTGGAATGAGCACCACGGAGCATCCGTTTGAATGTCTCGTTCGTGAAGCCATGGAGGAAGCGTCCCTTCCGGAGGACGTTGTCAGGGCTAACGCTACTGCGGCTGGCTGTGTTACGTACACCTATGTCCGGAGCTCGAAAGCTGGGGGTGAGACTGATATGGTGCAGCCAGAGGTCGAGTATGTCTTCGATATCAAGGTTGGGGCTGACATTGTCCCTAAGCCCTGTGACACCGAAGTAGAGGAATTCAATCTCTACACGGTTGAAGAAACAAAGGCGGCAATGGCCAATGGGGAATTCAAGCCCAACTGTGCTGTTGTCTTGATTGACTTCTTCATCAGACACGGTATCATTACGCCAGAGAACGAGCCAGACTACCTGGAAATCGTCGCAAGGGTGCACCGCCGCTTTGAATTCCCAACCGCGTCCCACGTGATGAAGTGAGCTACAACTGACTCGAGAATAAGAATCAGACAATTGTTGTAGAGAAATGTTTAATGTTCTATTTGATATACCCAATCACCAATCAAACGCCGGCGCTGCAACCGAAGTACCCCAATCAATGCAAAGACTTTTCTGACTATCCGGACAGAACGGGCATATGCCCCATACTTCTGGAGACAAAATTCGACGGTCGCGGAAATTTATCTATTTCTTCAGGAGCAGATACACGTGGTCGATTCTCAAAGGTGCCAGCTTCTTGTAAGGACCTTCAAGGTAAAGCAACAGTCCACCGAAGGAGATGAAGACGGCCCTAAACGTATTCTTGGTCAGTCATTGTTCAAAAGGCCTCGGCCATGTCACAGGTTGAATCACGCGACTGCGCGATTAAGCGTGGGATCTTACATGTTTCCCTGGCTGGAACCCTCCTCGAAGCGGTAGACCTTTCCGTGGCAAACGTAATCGTAGTCGTTGGCCAAGGTGTTCTCGCCCATTCCAACCTCCCTCCAGCCCTTCGATCCAGAGTCTTCCTTGCCATCCAGAGACAGCGTCGACGCCAGGGCCATGGAAACGGATTCACCGACGGCACAGGGGTAAAGCTCGGAGTTCACATCGAGAGTGAAGTGGGTGAAGTTGTCGGTGGAGTTGCAGCTCAGACGCGAGACACGGTCATATTTCTGCGAGTTGATGGAGGTGATCGTGAAAGTGTCTTCGAAGAGTAATGGGTCGGACATAGTTGCGGCGGTGGCTTTGAGCCTTCAATCGATGCGCAAGTTTTCGCGAAAGGGTGAGAAGTCGACGATTTTGCGAATCTCAGAAGCCGAAGATGCAGGGATGTGCGCGGGTGACAGGAGGCGTGGTGGTAACAGCGGACGTGAAAGTGAGGGTTGAGAGCGGACAGCTTTTTTGCTCGACTTTTAGCGCGCCGCCGCTTTTACTTTCCGGAAGCTGCCCCGCAGCAAATCTTCAAAGTATCTGTCGGTCCACAGCTTTCATTACTCAACCAAATCACACAATGTCTTTTCGCAAAAGAAATATAGGACTCTCGGCAGGTGTTGATCGCAACGGTGCCGTCAATTCGAACGCGCAGCCACAACAGGCACCTGCAACGCCGGAATCGACACCCGGAGTTCGCCCCTCCCCCGACGATGGACGACCGACTACTTCAACAGGAACTCCATCGCTTGATAATCTCTTGGCTGGGCACGGAGGACTTCCCCTAGGAAAGATACTACTGGTGGAGGAGAATGGCACTACAGATTTTGCCGGTGCATTGCTACGGTACTACGCGGCGGAAGGTGTTGTGCAGGACCAGAAGGTCCATGTCGTCGGAATGCCCGAACAATGGGGCAGAAGTCTACCGGGGCTGCTTGGTCCTGCTGATGCTGTCGATGAGAAGCAGGACAAACGGAAAGGCGAGCGCATGAAGATTGCCTGGCGGTACGAGCGTCTGGGCGAGTTTGGCGCAGGAGTCGCTGGATCAAGAGGTAACTCGCATTCTATCCCAATATTATTTCAGAGCGGTTGCATTAACAAACTCAGCCTCCGCAACACCTTCAGGAGACCAGAGCCAATCCGCTACCGATGCAAATGTGGATAAGCGACCAGCATTCTGCCACGCCTTTGACCTCACGAAACGTCTCACCCACCCTTCCATAACCAACCTGAACTATATACCACTTGCGCCGTCGAACGAGCCTTTGCTCGTGTCGATTCAAAAGCGTCTCCAGGCCGCAATTGCATCATGTCCACAAAATACGGTCCACCGCATCGTTATCCCTTCTTTGTTGAACCCCACCATATACCCACCCGAAACCAGCCAGCCCGATAACCTTTTGCCATTCCTGCATTCCCTCAGGGCCATGATGAGCGCACAGGGAGCACGGATCACAGCAATGGTCACGTTGCCGCTATCTCTCTTCCCCCGTTCAACAGGCCTCGTGCGATGGATGGAAATATTGAGCGATGGGGTCATTGAGCTATGTCCCTTCCCGCACTCCTCCGACGCCCTCGCCACCTCCGGTGCCGCTACATCTCACGAAGAACCACCACAAGGCATGCTGAAAGTCCATCGGCTACCAGTGCTGCACGAACGTGGCGGTGGCAGTGATCAGAACATCGGATTGGATTGGGCGTTTACGCTTAGCCGGAAGAGGTTCGAGATTAAGCCATTCAGTCTACCACCAGACGAAGGAGACAAGGAAGGACAGGATGCCGCAGTGACGGGTGGAATGCCTAAAAAGGCAGATCTTGAGTTCTAGACCGCACGTGGGTTCAGACTAAGAACAACTACCCAGATCATTCCTCATGATCTGAGTTCCCCAGCATATTCTCCAGCTCGATCTGCTCAGACATGGCGGAGCCAGTGTTGCCCATCGATCGGAAGTAATGCCTCCCATATGAGTCAAGCCCCGGTTCTGATGAGAAATGAGATCGAAGACGAGAGAACCCAAGCCATGCTTCGTGGTGTCAGCAGGTATCATCGAGGATGGAAGAGCGGCGTTACCTAGGAGTAGCAGAAAGGGTGCGAAGAACACCAAGAATAGTAGGAAGAGGAAGTTCATTGCGAATGAAGCGGCAACAGCCACTGGATGAGCTTTAAACAATGATAAACCCCTTACGCGGGGATAGCTCTAAGAATCTCTGGGCAGCACAACCGTTGGCCATATTGTATGACTAATCAGTACTTTGCACTAGCTGGAATAGGCAAAGCGCCATTCGGGCAGCTGTTTAAGAGCTCCCCCACCGAATATTTTTTCTCGCTTCTGTTCTCATCACTCATTCAACGACACCGGGATTTGCTGGTCAAGTCCACGAGCATCATTCTTTCAATTCAATACTCTAATGCTGAGTTTTATTGATGGTAAGCAGTTGTCCCTTTCGCGTTAATTGTTTGCTTGCATGATTATATAAATACTATAATCTGTCAATCCCCTGAAGCTCAAAAATAATCTCATTAAACGAGCATATGTGATTGAGAAACGTATCGAAAATGATTAGCTTTCTCTTGCCGCTATTATTTCATCAGTCTTTGAGAAAGCCGAACGCTAACGTTCAATCAGTCGCAGCAGATACTTGATAATTGCCCTAGCCGCTAAAATGGACATCGAACCCACCCTTCCTATTCCGATCTCGTATATCGCGGGTAGCTACTTTCTCTTCTCTATTGATGCCGTTACGTATCTGAGACGCGAGTATCACATATGCGGCGTGTTAAGCGGCACATTGCCCCAAATCCCACAACAGAATGTCTTCCTGGGCTTGCCATTGAAGCTGATGCCTGAAGAGGCGCGGCTGCTCGTGGAGAAAGGTGTAGCGTGCATTGTAGACGAGGTAAAAGTCCAAAAGGATGGAATGCGATCCCTCATGGAAGAGGACCGAAAGAAGTATCTCCGTGAGCTAGAATCCCAGGGCCAGCATGCCATGCGGCTGCAGAACGATCGAAAGGAGCAGCAACGCGAGAAAGCTTTAAAGAAAATAGAAGAAAAGAAGGCCGCAAAGGCGAGAAAGTCGGAGCAGCCGCCTGTTGCTAATAGTCCTGGTGAGGGCTCGGTTGTTGATTTGTTCGCAAACGATCAGGGATCTGACCAGGCATCACGTCGTTCTTCGACTGCTGCTCCGTATGGCACGGCTATGGGAGTCACGCCTGCTACATCCTATCCGCCTCTTCCGTATGAGTCGTCTGCTGAGCAACGGCTGCCTCTTCCTGATGTGCCTGCCTCATACCCATTGTTCGCTCACCTGCACTCCGAGGGTTACTTTTTGTCGCCTGGATTGCGGTTCGGCTGCCAGTATCTCGTCTATCCTGGTGATCCCTTGCGGTTCCATTCCCACTTCCTGGGTGTCGCTGCTGATTGGGATGAGGAGTTTGATTTGATGAAGATAGTTGCTGGTGGTCGACTAGGTACGGGTGTGAAGAAGGGGTTTCTTATTGGAGGAGCTGAGGGCTCCGATGGGGATCCCAGTAGCGTGAGGACTTTCAGCATTGAATGGGGTGGAATGTGATGCTCATGTCCTCTACGCTTTATGGCTATTGATCATCTTGATCTGCTGCAGGTCGCAGCATACCGTATACCTGCGTTCAAGCAGAATCGCAGGGTCAGAGGACGTCACGCTGTACATCTACACCTAATCCAGCAGAGATGCACATGGACTTGATACAACCCGGTGTTGGCTTGTACGGCTCATGGTCCTCGTCCAACAAGTTCAGGAAGCGCTTCAGCTACTGGATCAGGATTCCGGAAGCATGTTTGTGCAGAACTTCGGACTTAACCAGAATTGAGAATTCATACCATGATCCTAAGACCTACAATCAGACAAAAATGAACTTGGACTTGTCTATTCCATTGATTCTCATGCACACTTCTCGTAGTTTCGAGTATACGAAGCTCTAATGCACTATGGCATGCCTCGTACCATTGTCGCCAACTTGCCGAACCAGGGCCCTGTCGACCTCGACTCTTCACTGGACAGCAAGGCTCTTCTTTGTAGTCATCGCTCCTCCGTTGACTCATATTGACGCGGATATTGCGATGCGTCATCCATGTGGTATGCTTCCCGTCACTGGTAAGAGCTGTATCAAAGCAAGCCAGCTTGATACACAAACTCATACCAGACGCGCAGACTGCAGGATGCGACGGTGCATTTCACAACGCACATCCACCTTATTGAGATGGCTCGTCTGGGTGTAGACTCGGCTTCTGGAGGATAGTCTCCCAGACTATTCCTTGCAATGCCAATATAAAATGATCATCACACCTGGTGATAAATTTCCCTCGGCAGTTCAAATATAATCCACATTCCGCCACTTGAACTTCTTATTCGCCCTATCAACCGGCCGATTCTGAAACTGACTGCCATGAAGCTCAAACACGAGCTCCTTTCCCTTGCCAGCACCAGCATCACCCACCTCCGTCGACGATGTCCCAGCCCCATCCACATCCATCGCCGCCTCAGACACAGGCAACGGCACCCAAAATCGAAAAATCGTCTGCTCCTTCGGAATAGCTACACAACCACAGTCAGCACAACCCCACCCCCAGAAACAAATCAGAAAAAAAAGGACAGACGTACTCTTAACCTCATCCCCCCTCGTAACAACCACAAACGTAAACTTCGTATCCCTAACCACAATCCCCCTAACCCCTACCCTCCCCTCACACCTACTCCTCACGACCTCCACCTCCGCACCATGAAAATCCGCACTTACAAGTTTACTTCCATGCGCGGTGGGATTCATCGGCGGCTTGAATTTCTTCTCCCCTAATTCTAACATCTCCTGCATATACCGCACCCACATCCCATGCAGTTCTTGGAATATGGCATATTTGCATTCTTCCTTGGGGAGGGCGTGGAGGCCGGTGGCGCGCTTCTCGCGCGCGGAGAGCGGTTGGGGCTTTTGTTTGCGTAGGAAGTAGGTCTTTTTGCGGATGCGGTGGAGGCGTCGGCGGGAACGGTTGTCGGAGGGGGTTGGGGAGGTGGGACGGATGTAGAGAGGTTTTTGTTTTATGCGTTCGGTGAAGAGCGTTTGCGCGGTGTCGGGGGAGTGTGCGCGGGTTAGGAGGGTGTGGGCGATGTGGGGTTTGGATGTCATTTTTGGGGGTTGGTTGGGTTGGGTTGGTTGATGCTAGGGGTCGTTGGTTGGAGGGGTGTTGGATTGGGGGGTGGTGGTGTAGGTGGTGGTGGTGGTGATGATGGTGATGGTGATGGTGATGGAGAGTTGGAGGTGTGGAAAAAAGATGTGGTTATCGGCCGCTGATAAGATCACATGCCGATTGGCTAACTACCATACTTCTGAGGTGTGCTTATGCTTTATGCATTGGGTTGTCAATGTCAATCTTCATTTCTTTTATTTTATCTCTTTGTTTTAAATCTATGACCAGTTACTGTACATGCTTGCTGAACATTGGAGGCTGTCTGAGAACAAAATTTCCGCTAGGACATATTTTGAGGCACGGTAGCCACGCAGATTCCTTTGACAAAAACATACTGTCCAGAAAAGCATAAAAAACTATCTGCAGGGCTTCATAATACTGAAGGTGATTCATTCATTTCTAGTTCTCGTCTTCTCAAATTATATAACTTGGGGAACTCTGTAATACTCGTTAGCCAATTGTTCCCTTACTATTTAGGCTCCCACCAGAGTTTAGGCTCCTACTCCAACCAATCTAGATATAACAGCATCAAGAATGAAAATATCCTTCACCTGAACCAAAAGCCTCACCATGTTAACCAACACTCTACCTCGCTTCCCCTCAGACATCCCCACAGCACCTCTCCTCCGCCTATCTCTATCGAAACTCCAATCCCACGACATCACCGAAACCCACCGTCTCCTCCAAGCATGCGAAGAAATCGGATTCTTCTACCTCGACCTCCAGGACACAAACATAGGCAACAATCTCCTCACCCTCTCTGACGAGCTCTTCTCCACCACCGAGAACCTGTTCTCACTCAGTCTCGACGAGAAACGGAAATATGTCTTTACCTACCCGAACTGCCATCACGGATACAGAATACACAGTGCTGGTGTAGTAGATCGTGAGGGTATCTTCGATGTTAATGAACTCTATAATGTGAACACATCCTCTACCCACTATTCCATATATGTCAAACTAATAACTCATCAGATCTCCAAAACCGACATCTTAAACCTCACACCACCCCTCCCCGCCCCTCCCCTGTTGCACTTGATCCGCCCAACCCTCAAATCCTTTATTCATACCTCCCACAGCATCATCACTCTTCTCCTAACCCTCCTCAATTCCAGCCTCTCTCTTCCCGATGCTACCCTTCCTAAGCTGCATAGCTTAACAGCCCTCAACGATGACCAAGTCCGCTTCGTCAAATCTTCCTCTCTATCCCAACCCTCCTCCACGCCTAAGATAGGCCGACAGACTGACTTCAGCTCCCTGGCTATCCTTTTCAGTCGTCCTGGTGGACTCCAAGTTCTCCCTCCCGGACAGGGTGCGGAATGGGCCTACGTGGAACCTCTCCCTGGTCATGTGATCGTTAATCTGGGTGATGCAATGGCGAAGTTCACGAAGGGAATGCTGTTGCCGAGTGTGTATCGGGTCGTGAGGCTACCGGGGGAGCCGGAGGGGTATAGTTTGGGGTATTGTGTGGGGGTAGAGGATGAGATTATTTCTAGGAAGAAGAGAGAGTTAAGGGAAAGGAAAGAGAAAAAGAAGAAGAGGGAGAATAGGGAAAGAGAAGAAAGACAGAGGCGGGAAAAGGAGAGTAGGGTGAGTATAGAGAGACAAAGAAAAGAGAGGAGAGAAAGAAGAGAAAGAAGAGAGAAGATGAGCTAATTCCTCCTTCGACGACACTCTACTATGATCTTATTTGAAGATACCAGTATAAATATTGCCCAATATCAAGATAAAAACTAATTCCCGATGACAAAGACACCCATTCTTCAGAACCAAAACATTTAAGCATAGATCCCTAAATAACCACCAATTCCACACTCGACATGTCACCTATTTCAACAGAATACACATACACACATCCAATTACATACCCACCTACAATACCACCAAAACCACCAAACCAAATCAAAACCCTCACACATCAGCATCCCCACCAACTACTACCTAAGCAAATAAGCACATTACATACTCCTAGGTGCGTAAGTAAAGCAGCCCGAAACAGTAACCCACAATCCTCGTAAAAAAATCCTTCCATGCAGCCATCCACCCATCCATTGCCCCATCCATCACCCAACCAGCCGCCTAATAATCTAAACAAAGTGAATGGAAGCATGGCTGCCTCCCCGCCAAGAAGGCAACGATGCATGATGCCTGGATGCATGCATGAATGAGTCAAACAGACCCATATATTCGTCCTCAGGGCGACATCCTATTCGGTTCCGGTGTGTTGGGTCAGCTTACACATTACCTTTACCTGCTTGTGACATATTTGTTTTTTTAGGATTGTTTGCTTTCGTATTTGTGGGGAGCTGAAGGGGAGGGTGTAAAATTGACTTGGTTTGTAAGGTATTGTTTTCGTGGGATTATACTTATTTATTATTATTTTTTTTCATTCATCTATCTTAATATGTTATAAGTATAATCCACAATCCATTAAATCACAGGTACGTAGCCCCCCCGTACAAAAAACAAGGACCCACCATCCCAAGCACCTCCCACCCGACATATGTACATACCAACCCAGTTCTAGAAAACCAGCATGCATGCATGGATTGTCCTTGTCTAGTGGCAACCGGGCAACCCACGTCCTGCAGTAGAATCCCACCGAAGCGAGGACAGTAAGCAAGACAAGAAAGCCAAGGCAGACAAACGAGCGGGCGAATGGGGGAAAAGTAACCATGCAAGTGACGCAACTAATGACGGGGGGTTTTGCAAGTTGGTTGGATGTTTTTCTTTTTTTTTTACGAATCTGTTTTTGGGTCTTTGGGGTTGGGGATTGTATTTTTTATTCCGTAGAAGTGATTATTATTGATGGGGTTATATCATAGTTATAATATACGTGCAATCTTATCAGGCACGGAGTACAAGTCTGCTATATAGTAATATGATGGATGGAATGAATCCAAGGTAGATAGTAGTTAACCGGCAGGCATTTCTCCGGCGGGTCGTGAACGGACAGACGGACGGATCGGACCGCCAGTGGGCAAACAGTCAAGTCCCAGTCTCATGATGGATAGTACACCTGGTGATAATGATGACAGAGATCAGCAGGATGATGGTGCTCAGTATTCGGAAGACCGGCTAAGTCAATACAGCCAGCCAGTCAGCCCTGTGTACTCCGTACGGAGTACCGTAGGTACTGAATCAGTCAGTTCTTCTTGATCGGCGTAAGGGGTATTCAGTAGCATGATAGCATCGTGATGATAAGGCTGTGGTAATGTTACACAAGATAACACTCATCGCTATCCTTCTCTAAACCAGTCCGGATCTCGGGCGTTATCCCAAATCCAACAGAAGACACAAATTCATGACCAAAGTACCCAACCCCCCCGATCACCACTACCCACTCTTCTACTACAATAAATTCGGTACTTTGTATTTTGTACTCAACCCCACCCAGCCACCCGCCTTGTCTCGCACACTCAACAGGTACCTATCTACCTACCTATCTATCTATCTATCAGCTGATCACCACAACGGCCACCCACCAACCCAAAACAGGAAGGAGACTCGCATGCAAAATTGTGGCCCGACTTACCAAATAAGGATTGAGATGCGCGTCGATCGCGAAACTATTTGTCGGGACTTGTTCGTTTGTCGGAAGGATCTTCATTCCGGGTTGGGGTAAGCGTAACGGCTGGGAGGTGGGTTGTGGAGATATGACAGCTGGTTGGGTGGGTTTTTGTGCTGTGTACTGTGTACTGTGTTGGATTTGGATCGCTGGGGGTATATTAGTGGCTTGCAATGGGAGGAGATAAAGTACTATTTTCATTTTTGTATGGAGTACACAGTAGATAGTGTGGTACAGAGATGTTTGGATGTAGGAAGGGATTACACAGTAGGGAGAGATGCTCGGCACCACCCCGGGTTATACTATGTGTAATACTGGGTTTGGGAGGTGGCTACTATCCTACGGAGTACTTTCATCTTGTAAATAATAGCATGAAATATAATAACCAGGACTGGTAGCCTCAGTGCCAACAACTCAACCCAAAGTAGCGGGTCGGATTATTCACTCTTCTGCATTGGAATTCTGCATTGATATTCCGTATTGGGACCTTGGCACGTCACCAAGTGCCCACATAGTATTTATCAAGGTGGGGTGATCATGCATTCAAAGGTACATTTGAGTAAAAAGGTAGAGGTAATAGAGACAAGACTGCATAAGATGTGTATAATCGCTCAAGATATTATCGAATATTCTTACGATTACCATGTAAACTGAATACCTCACGAGTAGTGGCAACCGTATCGTATATCATAAGCACCTAACACCCAGTTAGCATCGCACTACTGACCACCAGCACGATCTATTCAGATCCGTGCATGAACATCCGTCTTCCGGCCGAATCCTTGTCTCGCGGGATTTGGTCGGTGTTTGGGAAAGCCCTGCGAGTCAGGGGCTATTGACCTCCTCACTTCGGGGGAGATTTATTTTAGGAGTCCTCCGTAGTACGGGAACTATTTATTCTAATAAATTGCGGTGGTACCGGGAGATTGGTTAGCTGATAGGCTAAATCCCAATCGCAGGGAAAGTGGGCGCGTAGCGCTGTCGGTGCTTGGACTATTGCACAGTGGATAGATATCAGGTAGTCGGGTTGGACAGAAAGGAGTGTCCGTTACGAGGTTCCAGTTAGAGGATGAGAATTCCCCGTCGTGCATCATGCGACGCGCTATCCCTCCGTCTGAGAAACACCCAAGCGTCGGGAGCTGGTCCGCCAACATCGTCTTGCGGGGCAGTGGAGCCCGCGGTACCCTGGTCTGGATCCCTCCAGACCACCAATGCCTGGCGTAGCTTCGGACACACCAGTCTGTCGGATCTTCCGCCATAACATCCCGGCTAATTAGACTCCCTAGTTGTACTACCTGGTGGTCATGTAATATACGCAGCGGGGCGCGGGTTTAGGTTGGGACCACAGTGACTCCTGGACAAGTGGCTCTGCTGGCTAGTGAATTCGCCATTGTGCCACCTCGACGTGTTGGCCACGGCGTACAAACTAAGCAACTAGTAAGAGATTACACGGCCAGAGTATCAGCCGGAATCAGGTGTCACAGAGTAACATCATGGTTAGAACGATGCCAACTACCGTTGCATGTCAGTCTTGTGGCACTGGACGGCAGTGGATGCAAGCACATAGGTGAACAGACGCAACGTTGGCACTCAGTCCCAGTCCTGAGTCCACTTCGCTGCACATCGTTGTAGATTCATTGTAACCCAGCCAACTATCTACCCAGTGATCCTTACTTTTGCCAATCGCTCTTCAACCCGTCGAACAAGTTCAGGATCCGGTTTCGGCTTGTCTCGGCGGGGTCTGCGATCATCAGTATCTGCGTATACAGTAGTTACGAGCAAAAACTTACGGGTCTCGTATTGTTTCGGGTCCCTTTTCTTGCCCACAATTAGAGCACTCCCTCTCGCCCGATCGGTACAAAGTCGAACACTTGTGGCATGTATACCGTATGCGCTGCCGGGGCTTCTTCCACGTCCGTGCGGGAGGTTCTGCGGGAGCCACAACATCTCCAGGATAGCCATGCGGGTATTTGTCAAGTTTGGATCTGGGATCATTAGTTACATCGCCAGGGAGAACACAATGGGCTGGGATGACAAACGGTTCGCGAGGGCAGATCGTGCACCGAATATGCTGACAAGTAGTGCATTCCGTAGCATCCGGACCGAACACAGTACTACATCGATGGCATGTACGTCGAACTCTTTGTCGGCGTGGATGATGGACGACATCCTGGCCGCCGGTGCGCGAAGGCATGGTCAGAGGTGCCTTTGCTTTGGGCGGTACAGGGACCGTTTTGTGCACTCCCTGGGCGACAATGGCCTGAAGCGCAGCTTTCGTGTTGTCCCGGTGGTCGCAAGACTTTGCAGGGGGATGCTGGGGGCAGCTCTTGCAGCGGACGTGTTGGCAGTTGACACAGACTTTGTCGGGGCCGAAGGTGGTCTGGCAGCGATGGCAGGTCCGGCGCACTCGCATACGAATCGGTCTGACGACACGCTGCACGGTGGTGCCGTTGGGCGATCTCCATTCTCCAGGTTCAAGTTTCAATCCGTATTTGGCGAATAAAGCCCGCGCCTTCTCTTCCTGAAAGGCGCTCCAGTTGGTGAAAACGGTCGCGTCGGGCGTAGCTTTGCTGATGGCAATCTGCGGGGTAGCTTCGGGACTGTACACATGTCAGCGCCACCAGGACAATGATCTTGAAAGTAGACGTACGCAAGGGGGCTGCTGGACTCGGGTTCTCTAGATTGGTGCATGACTGGTGTAGAGGGGGCCCTGGCCATCGAGGTTCTCCTCAACACCATCTTCATGCGCTTGACATATTTGGACAACCCCTCTGGCTTGTCCTCTTTGGGGGGATCCCGCTGGGCGGACATTTTCTGGTCGGATCTGTCGGGGTTTGATGCTAGCAAGTCGGATAATTGTGACGTAGGACGATGAGACCGACAGTGGTTGTTTGGTGAAGCGCTATTTAAATCATCCCAGCTAAGTCGTGGTCGAAGTGTTTGAGAAAATAGGCGGTGTTGAGCCTAGATGGGGTACCGACAAGGTGGGTGGAAAACGAGGGAGCCACCGGTTAAGTATGGCAGGTCGCACGGGCGTGGACCGAAACCGTAGGCTTGGGACACCCGACGAGACGGTGAGATGAAAAACCCAACAGGAAGGGTCGCAGGGAATGGAACTGGAACAGCCGGGGGCAAATGCAACGGGTGATTGGTTGAATGGCGGTCAGATCCTGTGGACCGGGCGTGGATGTAAAGTGTAAAGAGACGTGACGTTGATTAGTTAGATAGGTGGTGGAGGGGAAAGCTTGAGAGAAGCCACAGGCCAACAAGCCAAAGGATGACGGAGAGGAGAGGAAGATAAAAGAAGGCAACGACAGCGCGAGCCGAATGTCAAATAGAAGCCGAACAGACTTTCTGGGGACTGAACGAGAGGGGGTGGGTAAGGAAGTGTATGTAAAGTCAGGTCGGAGTGGCAGGCGACTAACCTCACTAAGGGGAGTGGCACATGGCTGAGCCGATGCTCTTTTGATTCGTTCTTTTTCTTTTTTTATTTCTGTTTTTTGACTTTTATTTTATTTCATTTAATTTTACCTTCTCCCCTCCTACCTCCTTGATAAGAGCCCTCTTAATAATTCCCCTCCGATATTAAGGACAGCATTGAACCGATATTGAAATAATATCCAAATTAGGGAGCAGTGCTAACAAAGTCAATTCTGGAACCACTCCAGTGACCATCTCCTCGATAGTACCAAACCACAGCTGTAGCTAACTAGCTATCTACCTTGACCAAGTGAATTCCATGGAACTTGGAGAAGCTCCTCCGGAACAAAGGGAACAGGCGAAGCCAGGAAAGTCAGGTACGAAAACAAGGCCTCTGCATTGCCGATAGGCCAGCCTAGTTAGTAGCTGGTTGGTTGATATACGCCTCTTAATCCTCATGCAGCATGATTACCAGCGACTAGCGGGTGAACCGATGCGACGGGGCGCTTGGGGGACGCTGGGATGGAGTCTAATGCCGTGGCACCCTACCCACTCTGGAACAATGCCCGAACCCAGTGTCTCGCCGCGGTTTGAGTGGGTAGTGCTCTGTCTCCTGGCCATGGTCGGGGATGAGAAGCCATCCAGTGTTTGCTGAACATAGATGAAAGTAAACTGATATGAATGGGCATTGAATCTATCTGCACGGTCGGAGTCGGAGAGGAAGTTGATGTCAGCCGTATCGAACTTACCCCGTATTAGCCGATATGCTTAGGCTGCCAAAGACGGTGTATTTTATTTCGTCAGATACGCCGACAGCCGAAGCATGAAGACGATCGCGATGCTCCGTACTCTGAATAGTTGATCATGGCCCAGGGCTGACCGGACCGTTGCTATGCGTTATCAGACCCTTGAAAAACAAACTGACTTGACCAGACAGACGTTAATCAAATCGGAAGACATTTGACGTGCCGCCTCCGTAACAATAGCTGCCTAGCCTGAAGAAACCAGGACCATGAGATCATTGGCAGATTGCGAGGGATCCTTTTCCCTGGCTTCCTTCATTTGGCGCCGGGATAGCGATGCAACCTTCCATTCAGGACCGTGAAGAAACCTCCTGAGAAGAGTTTCGGCCGAAGGATAGGAGGAAAAACCTAATAATTTATAATAGATTAATAGAGGAGCCTATCCTGGACCTGTTCTAGAGCAGTTGCAGTCAGCGCCTCAGCAATGCCATTATCAACTATTTATCCGTGCATAAATCATGACAATAGCCCGGACAACCCCAAACAAGGAAAAGAAAGAAAAAGCCATTCCAACTCCCTCAGCTACAATAATAAACCAAGCTAAGCCCAAACCGCCCGAATTCTAGACTCACCCGCGCTGAAACCCGCCTCAGCTACCTACGGTATACTAGTACGTCTCCATACCGAGTTAATCCGAAGACCTTCTCTCCAACAGCCCGGGTACGTAAAGTAACCAACCAACCCGACCATTCAATCCCCGACCGCGCGCGACCGCAGCATTCCAACCATCCATCCATCGAGTTAGTCCATGCATGATGCATGACACAACCGACCAGCAGACGCCAGACGGTCAAGACCTGGCCCTTCGAATAAATTAGAAACGGCAACGGCTTCATGCAGGTTGGCGCCAACTCAACTCGCTACCGGGCTTCTCTTCGCTTCTAGATACGTCCAACCCCGACGGTGCATCCAGTAGATAGATAATTTGTCAGAAGCACCCGAAGAACCTTAACTTGCAGTCTGACGGGGGTATATATCGGAGAAATTTCACCCTACCGGGTTGGAAAGCCTTGGTCTCCACCGGTTGGTGGTTGGTTTGAAGAATCGCCTTGGGTTGGGTTGGGTGCCTTGTTCTTTTTGCCTGGGTGGTGAAGGGACACATGGCCTGATGGATGTACCACTCGGACGGTGTACTTGTATAGAGTAGGTGTCATTTTGCGTTCACCCATTATTGATTCCTTGACTGTGACCGCGACCGAGAGATTCATTCAATATAATTCACCGAATATTAGCCAGTACCTACCAGACTCTCCTCCCTCTCCCCTAACTAACCAATCTATACCAATACCAGAGACTTTGAAAATAGAATAAACTAAACCCATGGAACACCACCACCACCACCACCACCCACCGAACTAGCTACAACCAGTCCAATTAACAAAGAACCCCCCGAGCCAAACAATCGGGTATTACAGGGCTGAATCCAATCCAACCCAAGCATCCATCCATCACCTTGCACCCCCTCAGCATCCGTCAGCTTCACATCTGACCACCGATCTCCGCGATCCAAAAGGCGAGCTTGGGCCCAATCACCTCCGTCTTTTCTGGCTGGGATAACCAGTCCCGGCGGCGCGGAGAGAGGACCGAAAGGAAGCCGGCAGTGCCAGGTGTCAGAACTCCTGCCTGATGGGGTATGGTGAGGTGCTTTGCTTAATCTCCACTGTGGGGCGGGGAGGGAGAGATGTATGGTGCTAGTATTGGGGTTTTAGGTTTTACGGGGGGTTAAGTACTGCTTGGTTATATGACGGTGTATTGTGAATTGGTGTCCTGAGATAGAATGGGAGGGATGGTTATATTTGGATATGTTCTTTTTCGTCGGATGAGATGGGTATAGATGAGTAGATAGATAGTAATGATCATAAGTCTGCTCAGATAATATGTTATGATAATCACTAACTTACTGCCTGCCTATATCTAGATACCTACATAGGTGAGTGAGAGTCCACTTCTTCCAATACCATCACTCAATCAATCATCCCCATCATCTAGCACCTCTGTACAACCTACCATCCCCCATTGAGAATGACATCGATATCCATCCCCGCAAAGAACGAATCGGAACGACCGACCGACCGACCAAGCTTTCATTCCATCTACCTATCCTTCCATCCATCCATCCATCCCCAAGTACATTTCTCAGCTACCAGCATGAGAACAACCCATACTCCACCCATGTCGGAAACCTTCTCCCTCTTCCAATACTAATCCTCTCTCTCATACTCAGTATAATCAAGCCACTACTTCGGAGTAGTCACTCCCACGTAAACACCATTATCTACACCCCTCCCAGCCATCTCCTCACCCATCCACCCCAGTCCCGTCCCGCCTACCTAGTACCTCCCCATACATCTAGACAAGCAAACACCCGGACACAAACAAAGTTCAGGGCGCCCGAGTGGATCCTCGGTTACTTACAGCCAAATAGACCAGGCATGTCATGTCATGTCATCATAACCTGGAAAAAATTCCGCCGCATGCGGATTGTATTCCGGAAGAGGGAAGAAGAGGTGGGGTCGAACCTAGGTAGGGATATGATCAAGTTTCTATGTAGGTAAGTGATGATGATGATGCTGTTAGTTGATGATATGATGAGGTTATTTCTGTCGATCGGATGCAAGGGATCTGGGGATTTTGTAGTTTGGGGTATGTATGACAAATTGTGTGGGTGGGTTTAACCGGGGGTGGAGATGATGATGTGGTGTTTCTGATAGAGGTGGGTTATATGGCGGCTAATTGATTCCACCGATTGTTCAGCTTCATAGGAGGTATATGCAACTCATTGGAATAAATCTAGGTTGAGATGTACACAATGCCAGCACCGTCATTAAAGATGAATCTGTCGTCAAGACCTATATAAACCTGAACAAGGCCTGCAATCCAACTGTCTCACGTCGGAGGCTGCTGAAGCTAGTCCTCACTTTGCAGCTTCGATTCGATAGAGATAATATCATCCTCTTCGTACACTTCGATGACGCGGTTGACCTCCGCCGTGTTGCGCATCAACTCAACTGCACCAGCATACATCATGCGCATCGACGGGTTGCAGTTCTCGGGGAGGTAGTAAAGGAGGACGTAAGGAACCGTAAGGCGACCGGATGCCTAATACCAAAATCATCAGTATATCGTAACGAAGATCTAATGAGGGCTTGGAATCGCCTACCAAGGTAAGGGGGTAGCTGAGGAGGATAAACCGAGGGGACGATTCAGGAAGCTCGTCGGCTAAATCCACCATCTTGGTATAAACCTCGCCATCTTCTGGCCGGATCTCCTGACTCTTATTATCGATCACATCTGTGAACCTATTGTCAACCACCCACTGTTCCGAGATAACCAACGTAAACGAACACTGCGCGCCTTGCGATGACGGTTGTGCTTATGACAGATAGCGGGGCTATGAAGCAACGACAGGAGACGGGATCCTACAAATGATGGCCTGCGGGTCCTTGGCGCGGGAAGTTCCCAAGCGGAACTTGCGAAGTTTCTCTTTGGTCTCGGGGGAAAAGGAGTATAGGCGTGATTCAGACTGTAGGCATGATTTCAGGTTAGCAGGGGGATCGTCAAGACGGGCACGCGATGCGGGGCAAGTCTCCTCACCATGTTGGAAAAGGGGATGTAGTAAGAACACGGGGGAGAAACAAGACAGTCGAAGCGCTAAGAGCAAGAGAGAAAAACGGTGCCCCAGACGGGATGCGAGCGGGGATGAGAGCAGCTGGTTGGCGATGGTCTTGACCGAAGTCCAGGAGCAAGCAGGTGCTCCGCGTTTTCGGGCCGGTGGGATGAAGTTCCCCACCCGCTGCTGCTCGCTCCTCTTCTTCTCCTTCAATCTTCTCCCCGCCCGCGCTTGATCGTTACTCCGCCATCCATTTTCTTCCTCCTTTTCCTCATGTTCAGTCGTCTCGGTCAACTCACCCGCCATCTCTCGCGACCATCTCTCAATCTTCATCCCACCCCTGCGATCGCATCGCCATCTCTGATCTCGCCCGTGCTTCGTGCGCCCTCCCCCAAAATGACATCATCCGTCCTCCCGAAGAACAAGAGGACCATTCATACGGCGGCATGTCTTATCATTGGTGACGAGGTCCTTGGTGGAAAGGTAAGAAAGTACTGAGCCGGACTGGTAATCACTGTTCCGTCGCGTTCTTTAATTTGGAATTGTCGCGCATGCGCAGCGCACAATTTCCTGGCATGAACCAAGACTGACGTGTCCCGACTTGGACAGACAATCGACACCAACTCCGCTTTCTTCGCCAAATACTGCTTCTCTTTGGGTATCCAGCTGAAGCGAATTGAAGTCATTGCAGATGATGAAAGCGAAATCATTGAGGCAGTCCAACGTATGAGCGACCGTTATGATTTCGTCGTCACCAGCGGAGGCATTGGTCCAACGTCCGTACACCCCACATACTCTGAGAACCACGCGAATATGAATACTGCATGTGTCTTGAGAGCTGACTTGTATATGTCATGAAACCCAAAGCCATGACGATATCACTTATGAATCGATAGCCAAGGCGTTCGGACTGAAGCTGAAACTTCACCAAGCCGCCTTCGAACGTATGAAGCAGCTGTCCAAGCCTCACCCCATGCAGCCAAACTTCGACTGGGACACTCCATCGCCTAGTCTGACCGCGAAGTTGCGTATGGTCGAGATCCCCCACGACGAAGCTCTGCCGCTGGAGGAACAAGCGATTTTTGTTGCGGATGACATGTGGGTTCCGATCGCTATTGTCAACGGCAACGTCCATATCCTACCGGGTGTTCCTCGTCTATTTGAAAGGCTGCTCGAACACCTCAAGCCTAACCTGCTGCCTCGGTTGGTCAACCCCGAGGGAAAGGGCATTTACCGCTACCTGTTCAGCACGCCACTTCCGGAGAGCACAGTCGCCCCATACCTGACGGAGCTTGCTACTCGAGTTGCTTCCAAGAACGTCAAAGTTGGCAGCTACCCGCGGTGGGGAAATAAGCGCAACACCGTCACCCTTGTTGGCACTGATAAAGAGCTTATGGACTCGTTGATTTCGGAGGTTGAGCAGAACGTGGAAGGCAAGAAGGTCACCCGAGAGGATGAGCTTGACCCTCCATCTGACACGGAAGAAGGCAAATAAGTGAGACACCGGCTGTCACATACCTTACGTATACTATAGTTGATATGTAGACAATGGCACCCCGTTTTGACAGTATGGTTCATTCCCAATTGTATGGACGTTAAGGTTCCGCCCCGCGACGATGTTGCTCATTCTCCACTTCCACCTCGTAGCTAGAACTCGGTGAAGTCAGCATACCCATTTGAAGCATTCAACTGATAACATAGGAAACCGGCCACTAGGTCGCCAAACCCATGGAATCTCTAAAGTAACCCACCGATTGAGGCGATAACCGTAAAGCCCTAGAAACAATCAAGCCACGGCCTATAGGTTATGCCCCGTGGATTCAGTCTCCGAAAGAACAGTGCTTGAGCTTATTTTCACAGGTGTCAAGAATCCAGAACCAATAGGATTATCCAATATTCAAGTGTATACATGAAGAGAGAGAAAAAAAGACCAAGGTAGATATGCTTATTGGGCGCCGCTGTTGAGTGCAAGATAGGAAACACGGGAATCGAGGAGACGAAGAGGGAGGAACGTGGAAAGAGCAAGACCAAATTTGCCGAAGCGGCCGCCGCTCATACTTTCGACAGAATGCAGGATTGATTCCGAATCCATCTGAGCACCAGCAAGCAGTTAATACCGCCGTATAGCATTCAACAAGTGACAAGAATCACGGTTGAGAACAAAGTAATAATCAAAGAGAACAGAAGATGGAGGATATGCTCGATGCATATAAGGGTCAACGACGGATGAAAGTAGGCGATTAGAAAGCAGATTATCGGTGACTGCTGAATGTGCGTAGTTCAGTGCAATCGATGAGACATATGAAACGACGATTCTGCAGCCCAAGTATCACAGCGAACCGCGACAATAGCGTACCTATATTAATGCACAGATCTATTGACAGGTCCCGTTCTCGTCCTTTCAAAGATCGAGAAATCGTCAAGAAAACAATCTTTCAAAAAATAATAAACAAAATAGAGGAACAAAGGGGGAATCGAACGTTCATGGAGACGATGGCGGCATTAGGGTGGGAACAGACATCATCTGATAGCGAGGCTCGTATGGTATAATGATCAATCCAAAAAAAGCGTCGACACGCCACATTTCGCAGCGAGACAGTGGCCCGTATTTGTCGCTGATCTCTTTTCAGCCGGGGGTAAATGTAAGTGTTTTGTTTCCTTCCGTATCTCGACCTGTATGTATTCTTTTAGATCCAACGCCTGTCCCATTACATAATAATACATTTTCCACAGCAACCTGCGTCATCGCCAGGCTCGCTGACGTCCATCTTGCCTTCCGGAGCGCGTGAGCCCGCGCCCGCACCAGATGGATACGACGACATCTCCTTGTTGTACCGACGGATCTCGCGCACGAGGTCGTAGAAGGCGTTTTCGACGTTGATGCGGGACTTGGCGGATGTTTCGATGAACTTGCAGCCGAACTGCCGTGCGAGCGCCTCACCCTCTGTCGAAAGATAATTGTCAGCCACACCCTCCATGGGAAGCAGATGTCGGGTCAGGAAACCCACCTTCTTCGGAGACAGCTCTCTCCTTTTCCAAATCGCACTTGTTACCAACCACGATGATGGGGAAGTAATCCTTGTCCTTCACTCGTAGGATCTGCTGTTGGAAGGTCATGATTTCTTCGAAAGATTGGCGCGACGTTATCGAGTAGACTAGGAGAAAGCCTTCGCCGGTTCGCATGTATTGTTCACGCATCGCCGAGTACTCCTCTTGTCCGGCAGTATCTAACACATCCAACAATGCCACCTCCTCGTCAATGACGCACTGCTTGCGGTATGAATCTGTTCAAAAGACGAATCGGAATAAGCCACACGGTCGGTAAGCTATAGCAGAGCTCAGCGCCCACCTTCAATTGTCGGGTCATATTCATCCACGAAGTGGCTCTGAATCAATTGAATTGTCAAGCATGACTTTCCGACGCCACCACCACCGACAACTACCAGTTTATATTCTCTTAAAAACTATACGCGATTGATGTGTGAGCCATCCGTCACGTTGCTGAAGCGAGGAGTGGGAAGATCATCAGGGAAAACTGGGAAGGGAGGTGGTAGGAAGCACATGGAAGCCAATGACGGAAACTGGAAGCGCAGCGACAAGGCTTACCTTTGAAGCCATTTTGGTATGTTCTGGCCTGAATTATGCTGGGAGGGAGGAAGGGAAGGGGGGGGGAAGAGAAGCGGTGATCGAAGCTATCCCAACAGGAGCTGTGACAGCGGGTCGAAGGAGCAGCAACACAATTTTCTTTTGCAGAAGGGGACAAGAGTCGGGGCCCAGGTCGTCGGGAGTTTCGCGCAAAGCAGAGGCGCCTAAAGGGCAGTCCACAGCAACGGCGGGTCTAGTGATTACTAGGCCAAGCTTAAAGCAGCAGACGGGGGGGGGGGGGGGGGTGTAAAGTGGTGTGGAAGGAGGATCAGGGGGGGGTTCGTGGAACTTTGCAGCAGGCGGAATTGAAGGCGAGGCGGCAGGGTGCTGCTTGACTGCAGTTCGTCTTGTCCCAAATCGTCCAGATGGAAAGGGAAAAAACGAAAGAGAAGGGTACTAGAAACACCTTCGAGAACCAGGGTGGATTCAAGGAGGGAAAAAGAAGGAAGGGAAGAGACTGGGTGGAGAGACTGGGAGGGGAAAGGGGAGAGAGAGGATGATGATTAAGGAGAGTTAGGCCAACTGAGGAACGGAGGTGGGGATAGCAGACCAGCCCAGAAAGGAGTCTAGATAGAGAGCGAACCACCCAGGGAAAGGAGGTTCAGACTTCACAGACGCCAGCCAGAAAAAGGAAAAAATGGACGTCGTGATTGGTGTGGGATAACTATCCCTACTTATGATCTAAAAGAGCCTTCTTCCGCCTGTCGACCATCTGGATCGTGGATAAATTGATATGGTGCGGCTGCTGATTGGAAGGAGGGCGAGAAAAACTAGGGACTCGAGAGGCATAATCTCACCACCAGACCTAATCAATAATCCTAATATAATAATAATCTTCCTACTGCAGTACCTAGGCTTACTACTAGTAATAGGATCAATGCTACGACGACTCGGGCGATGGAGATTATTGGCGACAGAATGAAAGGGGGGAAGCGAGAAGGCGCGAGAGTCCGACAGACGGACAGCAAGTGGACAGACAAGTGGAGTGGATGTGGCATTAACCGGCGACGCGTGTGGATTCGGCCACCCAGCCAACTGTTTAATTTCACTGGTACCGCGGCTTGGCCCACCCGCCGATAATAATTAACCTCCATCGTCCGATCGTGAGATATGGACGGACAGCCTGGCCTTGAAGCCGTGCCAGCTACCCCAGAAACCACCAGAGCATGGTTCTATCAAATCCCTGGCGGGCTGGATCATCTTTGATCGGGAACAACGGTGCGTGAGTGGAGGCCAGGACAGGGAAAAAAATGAGTCAGTCCGGGGGGGGGGAGGAAGAAAAATGGTTGCATGGTGAGGTAGCCTGAAAAAAGGGGCCGGGGAATCATATTTCATCCCAGGGCACACAGATTAATGATCCATTGGGTTTAGCTCCTGCCAGCCTCCAAACTCCAAGTCCAAAGGATTATTATTATAATTATTGACCCAGCAAATACCACCGCAGCAGTCCGTAGTGACTTTAGTCTTTGCACAATCCGACTCTAGCAGTTGACGCCGACTCCGACAGGCCATTGATCGTATCGCCCACAGATTAATCTTCACCAGCTCCACCGCTTAGCGCCGGTCGTTAATGCTTCCAGCGTCTCCATCCGAACCCCCCCCCCCTGAGGGTCTTTTCCCCTGCTCACCTTAGTGACCTTACGCAACACAGTAAACGAACAAATAGCTCCCGGAATTCAAGCCAATCGCTGGGACGCCTGCTCGGTGGATTTGGTCGTTTCTTGCCTCTGCGTCCCGCTCCGGTTCCTTGAAAGTTGAACAGTTCAACTCCTTCGGACCCAGGGTGCAGTCGCCTTACTTACGCAAGCACTGTAAGAGAGACAGACAAGTGACAACCGACGAACACCCATTGATAATGACTTTCCCGTCCGGGCAGTTCAAAACTCGGAACGATCCATTGTACTAAGGGCCCTGGACGTTACAATTTAATAAGGAGGGGAACCCCCGATGGGAAGTTGTGCCGGGCATTCATCATTCCATCATCTCATCATTCCATCATTTGTGTGTTCCTTTCCCGCGACCGTTTGCTTCTAGAACGGTAGAACCATTCTCAGCCTTAACAGATGCAACGTGACAGCTCCGATTTGACACACCGACTTACATCATAAATCGAAATATTGAGTCTGGGTTTCTTTTAGCCTTCGTTCTGGCTGTCCCTGAGAGACGGAGGACAATGGATCCAGAAGGCGCCTAAAATAGGCCAAGGCCGAGGTCAGAAAGTTCTCCACGCCTCCACTTGCCCAAGGTGATATATTGGTCTGTGAGACCGTCCGATCCCATAATCCAGCGACGCTCAATCACGATTGGCGGATGAGGCAGCGGCCTCGACACTCCTTGCTCATTCGGTGATGGGCGGAGTCATCGGCATGGATAATACCCTCGAGTGTCAAAAGATGACGTCCCCCAAATTTAAACCCTACAAGTCCGAACACTTTTTGCATCCTTGCATCCAGCTGCAGGCTTGGGACGCTCTGCCTTGCTCTCATATCACTTTCTGCAATGTCGCTCGTTGATCTTCTTTAACACTGACCCCTACGGAGTAGAGCCGACTGAACCCACCCGTGTTCCGAGCCATGATCCATCACCTCATTGCCTGATTTTACGGACAAATGCTGATCGCGGAAATCTCTTCCATCCTTGCCGACACATCACATTGACAGCGCCATGGGCTCACTGTGGATGTCCTTGGCACCAGTCTGGGTATCTGATCCCCTCAGGTACAAAGTACAGTACCTGCACCGTCTCTGCGGGGTTGTCGTCGGGACATGCGACCGAGATCAGTACCTGTCAACTGCTTAGTCTACTGTACCAGTCACACTCTAGACCTTGTCCATGTGCCGAATGCCCGAATCACTGGCCTAGCAAACAGTTGCCTGCGTCAGTGATCAAACGGCAGAGCATTAGTGTCTGTGTCTCTGCGACGCTACCTGAAGTGCATACCCGCTGTAAACGCCGTTCTAAATCGCCCCCCAATGTTGGAAGTTTAGTTTATCTTCGAACAAAGTCAATCAATCAATCATCAAAAATTTCCACCATGACGTGGTCAGACAGAACCAACATACAGAGTGGGGTAATTTACTTTCCATCTATCATTCTCTCAAATCTCAAATCTCAAGTCTAAACTCTCAACTCGAGTCTCTCGCGCCGCTGATCCCCTCATGACGCATCCATCCCTCAACGCCATCCCGTGTGGGACACTGAACAAGACAGATGTCAACAATAACTTTGTTCCCTGACTGGTGCATATTCAAATGATCTGCAGAGTATCTACTCCGTACTTGACTTTGGCTGACACAACCTCTGAGCCACAAAGGGGTCATAGCTGCTGCTGCTGCTACTGCCCCTTTTCGGGTCCCTAGTACTACCTACTTAGATACTCAACGTACTAAACAAAACCACCACCAGGAACTAGTACCTACCTACCTACCTACCTACCTATCTATTTATCTATCCCATAATTTAAATTAAATAGTCCAACACTATTTACCTACATTGTCGCCAATGTCTTATAACCCCCACGTTAAGCACAGATAGATAGATAAATACTTAATCTTCACATGCTAAAGATAAATAACTCACTCGTTCCTTGGCCCCATGTCATATGCAGGGGCAGATAAAGCTTGGGAGGGAGGGGGGGGCAGCCCGGCCGGGGTTCTCCGCTTGCCGGCACGTCAAGCTCCGGGTCATGATGATACATACCTATCTATCTCGGGCCTCTATTTCCTTCTTGGAGGAAGTAGGTAAATTGGCATTAGATCGGACCTGGATGTTTTTTTTCTTTTGGGTTAGTGCCACTAGGTAGCTAACTAGTGTTATCGAAGTGTGGGAATGGATGGATGGTCCCTGGGTTTCTGGGCCCGTTGTTCAACTACGTAGAACTAACTAGCAGTTATTTGGTGCTGTAATTGAGTCATTATTGATATAGACTTATCGTCACTTAGTCCTTTGGGTACTTGTATATATCTACGAAATCTACGGCGCAAGAGATAAAGTACATATTTCTTCATTATCTGTTTCAAATAACAGTAAATACATGCCAGCGCAATTGCTAAGCTAGCTAGCTACCCAGAACTCCGAAACCAGTTCTTCGTAAAGAGTAAAAAAAAAAAGCCCAGCATTGCAGTGATGGAAGGTCCCAACAACAAACCGGGGCACTGTGGACATGTTTCACATATCGAAGATAAAGGAAAAAGAGAAGAGAGAAGAAAAGATCATATCTTCTTTACAGAGACACCGAGTGAAATGGTACAGGGGAATGTTAAAAGGGAAAAAACAAGGGAGAAGATCAGGTCACGACGCAAATAAAACAGCTCAATCCAAGTCATCAACATCATCGTTTTCTTCCTCCACTAGGGTAGAAGCATCATCAAAGGTGAACTGTCCAAGTGCGATAATAGTATCGAGTTCCGAGGCTCGAACGTCTTGGCTGGTAACTTCAACTATGAGATCGAATTCTCGGGGCAGGAGCGTGTCGGGGTCCTCTTCTTTCTCAATAATGAGCTCATTGTCTAAGGTGTTTTCGAATCCCTGAAGGATGATACGTGAGTTCTTTTGTGCTAGGGCACGGGCTTTCTCCATGTCTGACTGGGTTAGGGAGCTTGGGATGAGAGGTGTCACGGTCATGCCACATGGGTAGTCGGGTTCAAAGTGAACGGGTGTAGACCAGCTATACAATTCCGACTTGACTCGGTAAGACCAGGGACGACCGTCTTTGTAGACCAGTTCCATGTCGGATCTGGAGGCAAACACTTCGCACCAAGCGTACTTGAGTCTTCCATCAACGGCGTAGCTCGGAGACGTATGCCAGGGAGTTATAGGTGACGAAGTCTGTGGCAAGACGTTGATGGAGATCTTGTTTGACCCATTCGACGGGTGGATGGACAGGCGGACGTGGTTAGGGAAGTTCTTGCGAATGGCTTCGGCGAAAGCCTGTAGAGTCCATATGTTAGTTTAATGTAGTGTTGTATGCTATGGGTTTGAATTGGTTCATGACTTACTGCTCCTCTGCCGATCATTGTCTTGGCAATAGTTTCCAAGTTCTTCTTATGTTTCTTGTTGGAGATGCCATTGCTCTTAGTGAGTTCAAGGTCTTTGGTGAGGAACTTGATATATCCCCGGTAAGTGGTGCAGATGTCGACGTCGGATTTGATTTTCTCATCGACGTCAAATCCCAACGGTGTGTAGTTGTCAATCAGTCTTTGACGAAAATGCGGCGCGAGAGTCTCATATGTCTCGCTGTCAAGAACAATATCCTCGTTCCAGTGGATGAGGTTGCGTAATCTGACGAAGTCGATATGGTCGCACTCCTTTTCTGCTACCATGCCTCTCAACGCCTGGCTATACATCCAGACCTCGCTGTCAGGTACGCCGAGGATGTCTAACAGTGATCAGCGTGTAGACCCATAGGTATCCTGTTATCGACATACCGTTGTACACTAAGCCATCGGATGCGATGGTAAGTTGGGCTCCTGCAGTGTAGATCTCACCGATGGCCGCACAGAGTCCATTCAGGTGAGCGATCGATACGTCTTCACCCTTGTCCGGAAGACAACCTAAGGTCTTATTCTTCTGGTTGGGCGACTTGAATGGAAACGCCGGCATAATCATCTGAACCGGCTCCTGGGTGCGAATTTGGCCATAGATCATCGAGAGGAACTTGAGATTACCCTCGTCGGTGCGATCTTTTCCCCCCTCAGGCACCGGGGTACGGTATTGGCCGATGATGCTAAGGATGTCGACGGCTTTCTGTAAGGCTTCATGGTCGGGCTTGAACTCTGCAAAATGCAGAGTCAAGGCCGCCAACATTGCCGAGACCTCGACAGTTGGGTCCATCTTTTGATGGTTCAGTGTAAATACGTGAAGTCTGTTCTGCAGGTAAACAAGAACAGGTGATGAGGAACACGGTCCTACATAACACGAATGATGCAGGTCACGCTCAGTGATCACGACTAAGAAAAGCATGCACGACAACTGATCAAAACAAACTGACCCATTTACTTGGATTGAGATCCAGCAAATATGGGACTGTGATGTCAGTCATTGTCCTGGAGTATCATGCTTCAGTCCATATTGCGATGTGCCGGATGCAGTAATCGGCTTGCCTGCCGAAACCAGCAAACAAGCTTCTGATGTTCCACGAAAATCTTTTCCCTTTTGAAACAGCGGGACTCCCATCGACTTGCTCGCAATTAAGGCAAGAAGCCAGACGCTAAATTGACGACATGCTTGTTGCTGTCCACATTCGGAATATGGAATGCCAGGATGTGTCTGCTCTTGAGCCACGAGCTTCGCTACCAGCAGATTTTGCAGCTCAACGAAGACATGAGGCAAAGCCTTAAAGAATATGATGGGCTAGTCTGATTGTCCGGATCTCGATAGGGCAAGGCGGATTGGCTCCATGCTAGGCAGGGGTTTCAATGCAGAACTCGCCCTGAGTTCCTGCGTACAGGCACAATCATGGCTCTATTTACCCCAGTTGATTAATCTAATCCAATCTGTGCTCAAGCCATTGTCATTTCAAGGGCCGTTGCTTATTCTTCGAGTGGGTCGACAATGACTAGTGAGTCGATTATCGCCGCCGATGGTCGAGGAAAGATGCCGGCATCCCACCTCCTGTTTAGAAGTGAGATATACGATGAGGAAGGAGTCATCGTCAAAGAAATGGCTGTCTTGCCTATATCGACAACTCGGTTCTGAGCTAATCAGAAAATGTAGATGGTTTTAGCCATATTGCGAGGACTAGTTGACGCTGGTGGCTTGATATCCATGATCCATGCTTATGTCTCCTCATAGGGCTTATCCAATTAATCTGAGAAAAGAGTCAGTAAAGGAAAGGAGAAGGCCTGGGGGGTTTATATACTCAATCCTAGTAGAACCTGAAGGTGACTGAGGTTCTAATGTATTGAAGTCAAAGGGCCTGAATGGGAATGGATTATCCCATACCTCACTGACTTGCTAACGCCTTCATCAGTCAAACCTTGAAAGCAGAATAACTCACTTCACGTTAAAGTCATTGGGACCAATCACTTAATTATATCAATTTAGTCAATCTTGTCTCACCGCCTCTTTACCATATTTTTGATCAACACCGCCAAGTTCATCTAAAGGGTACACATAGCTAAACATGTTCATGTAGCTATGCCTGCACAGTTAATATCAAGCAATAAACACTAGTATCACAGATGCCTCCAGATTGTCATGGCACATTACAGTAACTGATGAAGACTAAATGGTTATGGCTATTCCGCAGAGCTATGATGATGAGTGACGCTCACAACAATGGGCTTCATTAACGTCATATTTACTGGTGTAGTGAACTGTGAGAACTGTCCTCATATACGTGAATACTTCAAGGTTGTTACTGCCTCCGTCACGGCGGGACCGTGAATTTGACTGCGACATAGGTTCGATGTGTTCACGGGCTGGGGTATACCATACTCTACTGTTAATGGGAGAGTCATCGTTTAGTGACTCCATAGTCGGCTTTATTTCCTTGTATGGAGATCACTGGGCTTAAACGTATGATGGCTGGCAAGAAAAAAAAAGAAGCTATACGGCTTTCTGTGCTTCAAGTAATCACCGTGAAGGTAGCAGTTGTTCCGGTAGAACTACTATATTTTCGAAAAAATGGTCTTGAAATGGAGTAATGTTCGTTTATATATCTAGGTCTACCAAGAATCCAATCAATTCTAACGGGGCTGCAACAAGTGAGCCATATACAAGATGGTTCTATATGCGCATATAATCTAAGACCTGCGGTGCATGGCAGTCGGCGATGCCTATGATATGAAGTCATCAGCACGGTCGTCGCTGAGCCTTGCATCTAATGGGTTGACTTACCTGGTGGCTTGGGAAGATCAGAGTATCCGCGATCACAACGTTCTCGCGCCGACCAGCGGCAAACACAACGATCTCGGCAATATCATCAGGGGTAAGGGGCTCACAGCCGCTGCAACATCTCCTATTAGTGCCTGACCATCTGCGTATCAAAGTGAGAAAATAAGGGATTTTACGCGTAAACGGCATCTGCCTTCGACTTATCGCCGTAGAAGCGCACGACGGAGAATTCCTGAAGAAAAAACATATTAGACGAGACCGTAGAATAGACATAAGCGGAATCCTTACAGTCTCAACCTGGCCAGGGTCGATCTCAATGACACGGATTCTTGTGGCGATGAGCTCCTTCCTCAGGGCATCGGTAAAAGATCTAATAGCCGCCTTGGTGGCGCAGTAGATACTACCACCGGGGTAAGGCTCGCGGCCAGCAATGCTACCAATATTGATAATATCTCCTCGACCACCGTCGGCTCTCGTCTTGAAGATGGGGAGGATGGCCTGAGTCATGTTGATCAGTCCAGTAACGTTGGTGGAGAACATGACATTGATGTCTTCAGGGTCGATCTCAGGGGCCTTGGCAACGCCCTTGACGAGGCCTCTGGTTTCTGTTAGCACGAATTTGAAGTTACAACGTGTAGGTGGCATGGTGACTCACGCATTGTTGACCAAGACATCAATCTCCTTAAACTCCGCGGGCAAAGAAGGCACAAAGTTCTTGATATCTTCCGGGTTGCTAACATCCAGTTGCACAGGCAACACCTTAACGCCTTCACCAACTTCTTCCTTGATCTCCTTAGCCAGCTCGTGCAGAGAGTCGATCCGTCTAGCAGTCACGATAATCTTCAAGTTCTTGGGAGAGGTGCGAGCAAATTCCTTGGCAGTGCTTCGACCAATTCCGGACGATGCACCAGTTACGAGGATTGTCTTGCCTTCAAGGCGCTTTGCCATTGCTGTAGCCATTGTGCGTTTGACGAATGTTGGTTGAACCGCAGTACGAAAGGGAAGTGGGGTGGATGCGGAGAATATCCCGGGCGAAGGGGAGAGCTGTCGAAGGGATCTGATTGTACTGTGGTATGCTCGGAGAAGTCGCATAAAGATCCTGGGTGGGGGTTAGGATCAAGTCAAGGAGAGCGGGAATCGAGAGGATGAAGAGATAGGGGCTGGCTGTGGTAGTCTTATGAATCATAGGCCGAAGGTCGGGATGGCGTGCGGGGGATCCGGCGAGGCCATTTCGTGATCCGGCGGGGCCTGGCCTCGGCTGATGGTTCGCCCGGTCGGACTTGCTTCCGATGCTGCTGAACTATCTTCCAATCCCACCTCCTCCATTACTTGCTGGAGTGGTGAAAGTCTATTGGAATGGATGCTTTATCCTCTTTTAATCTTCCCAAAGTCAATTAATTGGTGGAGTTAGGCTTATGAGAAAGCCCAGCATCTCCCCATATCGCAGGTATCTCTCTATCTCTTTATATATCAAGCCGAACGAACCGACTAAAGCTTTGGAGCTTTCTACGGAATAATTGCGGCAAATTCAATCGCTTTCTCCTTTAAATGATTCCACGCTGGTGGGCTTCATACCCTATGGCCCTTGCTGCAAATAAACGCATCTCGTAGGTGTGTACGGAGGTATGTTCCAAGAAGCCCGTCGCTCCTGAGAAGTTCAATTTTAACACAGTGCTGATAGGAACCTCCCTTTTCATGTCACTAAATCAGTTTGCAATCCTCGAGTGTGTTATACTTACCCTGATATCAATATATTCAACGTGCCTGCCCTGTTGATCGACAGTTTCACTCACCACCTGGCCTTCTTTTGACGAGTAATCGACGATTGAGAAGGTGTCGAAGGGAAGGTAATTATAATTGATTCAGCAAAGTTCTCCTAGACGCGAAACAGATCATGACTTGCTAATATTTACACGGGAGACCCTCCGCCAACGGGCTTTGGCCTTTTGGAATCTGCGATAGGGAGCATCACCAGGTCTCATGGCCTACACGATAAACAAACACCAGAGGACGAGGTGCCCAAGAGGACTTTCCCTACTGAAAGGCGCACAATTATGTCCATTATCCTCGAGCGGCTATAGGCAACTGACCTCGCACGGTCATGCAGAGTTTAATCAAAAGAAAACGGGGTCGAGTTAGAAGCTACTTGCATGCAGCTATCCAAACAGAGTCGACTATATCCTGCTGCCATGCTCCGTGAACAGGAGCAGCATATGTTACAGAGAAGGTCGTTGCGTTCAAGCCATCAACCTTACTCGCTTCAACTCGGAAGGGGATGTCTTGATTCGCGAAGTAGAAGCAACAGTATAGTGGGGGTTAACTGTAGCATAAGCTAAGGGCCTTGCTCCCGAGAGCTTCCGCGGAATAAGTATCAATCTAGACGTGGCGATCACTCGCTTGTTGAAAATGATCTTGAAAAAGAGCCCAAAGAGCAATTTGCGCCTGTAAAACTCGTCTACTATCAAGGTACATGCGAAGAGGAAAAGGTCTTCGCCTATGCTAACCATGAATATCATTGATCTGCAAAGGCTAGCTGTGGATCCGCATGTCCATATGACGAAATGCTTCACTGTCGGCAAAGCATTCAGCACTCTCTAGAATATGGCTCTATGTCGGGGGTGAACATGCTCCATGGCTACCTCAGATAATTGCTACATCTCTCTAGCTCACGGACTATAGCATCTACCAATCTAGAATATGCATCGCACTTGCACCTTACCAGCTCTCAATAACATTGACAGCAATTTCTTTCCTGGCACATTATCCACCATATTTCATGCACAATATTCTGCATCAATGATGTAAGTCAAATTGAAAAAAGGAGATCAGTGACAACTCTGGAGTTGACGTTCAGCCCGAGGGTATGATTTCTTTCTTTGGTCAACAGTCTGGCGAGTGACCGGCGCTCCTGGGGGTAGGATTTAGAGAAATACACTTCGTAGATAAGACCAACGAGATGACCTTTTCTGAATCCTCAGCCCTATAGATAAAGAGTGCCACGATTATTTGAACGGCGTCCGCGGGATAGAGTATTAAGCTGCATTCCATAACATACTAGTTCTGAATTCAAAAATCAATAAGCTTGAGCGACTCTCCAGTTAAGGATAGGTAGATTTGGAATCAGAAGTGTTTCGGCTGCTCATGCATTTGACCAAGGCACCGAGGTTATGATATACTCAGGTCCGATAACAACAGGAATTATTGAAATGGTGTGGTGGAAGGCGTGTTGGGTTGGGGGCGGCGGATCGTCAGGGATGGAGGGAGACTCAGGCTGGGCACTCGTTCACTCCCTGACCGCTTCACTTCCTCCTTTCCTTTTCTTCTCCGGTCGACGATCATCGCCGGCTTTTGACAGCAGCCCCGGACTCAGAGCCTGTGTCAATGAGAAACTTTTCACTAAAGGAACGGTTTGATGGGCTAGTCTGATGGCCCTAGTGACTCTATTGACATTTGACACTGGCCTATCTTGTTGTTGACACCTCACCCGACGATCTTCAATCCCCTCCTTCCTTCAGTTCAGAGCAATGGCGTAATACTTATCATCTTCACATGTTCTACTTTGTACCCATCCTAAGGAAGTCATCGAATGCAAGAAGCACCATTTCACGGGCGCTTTGGATCGCAAAGATTACATGAAGGGCATGGCTACGACTTACACGCACAATCCTGCAACAATCGACGAACGCCACCAATCGTTAAGTTTCCAAGGAATAATACCAGCTATTGAAACCAAATCTCAAAACAAAAGAAGCAATTAGTCACCGATTTAATTAGCGAAGAAGATCCAAATGGCTGGAATGAAACTCAGTGTTTCCAGAAGAGGTCACTGATGCGTTCATCTTTCTTGCAGAATCCTTATCAGCAAGCCATGTGCATCCTTCATGGCTCACTAGTGGCATCCCTACCGGCTGTCTGGTAGTGCGCATCCTTTGCCGCTTATAGCTTGCCCGGCGCAGCAATAGCGCGGCGCTATTGAAACTCGCCTTCCCTGTCCCCTTTGGACCTGCATAAGAGGACCCATCTTTTATTGATGATCATAGCCATATTCCCACAACCGCGTGCCTGAATATGGACAAACCCTTCAAACCCCGTAGGACAATTGAACGCCGAGGATGCGTCGAGTCTGGTGCCTTCGGAAAAATGTTGTCACCGGATCATCCAACCACGAGGACCAGCATTGGCAGCACGTTCACATATTATGTGCGCTCGATGCGAGGGCCGTACAACATACTCCACATGCGAGCTCGGAGCCCACGGGCTTGCTTCGGTCAAAGCATAGCAACGGCTGCGGGCTTCCGACACGAAGTCATGGGACCTCACTGTAGCTGGAGTCACGAGTCATGCGAGACACCCAACGTTTCTATCAACGACACAGGATGACAAGATATCTACTTTCTATGTGCGGAGTACAACAGTAGCATGTCCTTTCGCTATCCTTTGTTGACAACCACACTCTCTCGACAGGATGTTCTAGGCCCCTGGAGAATGCGGCAATACATAGATTCTAGCGAACCTTGCAAATTCAAATTCCTATGTTGGTCACACTCCGACCACGGCTTGATCTATGGCTAGGTTGAGATCGACGACCGCCGCTGGGATGTTGGAAGCAGGAGGAGACTATGGCGACTAGTTGTCGCTTGAATATCCAAGGTTCCAATCAAGACGAAGACCTGCGTAGTAAGTCGCCAAAAGCGCGGACACGCTGCCTATCGAGCGCTCAAGCCCACAACGAAGGTTTCCCCAACTTGTCGATCAACCACTGAGCAGACCGTGGTCAATCGCCTTGGTAAATTTCCGACGAGCGATGAACAAAGAGCAAGAAACAATGATTGACCGTCGTTGGCGATTGACCCGAGCAGGTGAACGTATTCGCCCGTGAAACAATCTCGACGCTAAGTAAAGTCAGTCTGCTCCACCGCATAGCAAATGGCCCCAATGGTTACTGACTGGCGGCAGCTCGCGATCTCCGATGTTGCAAATTTAACTTTCATCGAGGGGCGAAACTTTCGGGGGCTACCCGGCGTCTTCCACTAGCCTGGGACCCGACAGCATGTTTCCTCGTGCAATTGATGCTCATTGCCCTGAACATATGTTCTTCCCTATATCTAGATAGCCATGGATGGCCACTGCTAGCCAGGCAACAGTCCCTGGGACCAGAAATAGTTCATGCAAGGCATTGGACTAGAGATCTCGTATTTCTCCTCGTTGGGTGACCCACCGCCACGCTGGGTGGCAGATCATTTCTCATCCTGATCTATTCGCGGGAAAGGAAGAACATTGATGGACGAATGAACTCTAGGATCATGTCACACTACTGTTAGTCTCTTTGGTGCCAGAAGCTTCCTATACCGCTTGGGGCTCGCGTGCATCCACCATCGCTACCCACACCAGCACGGTTGCGGCCTGTCTCATCAACTTGAAACCGACGGCTAAACATTCGCAGCAGCGCCTAAGCCACATCGAGGGAATTCCCCCAGCTTTTCCATATGGTTATTGATCCTGGTCTATCTTCTGCACGCTTTCGATTCATGGTCTGCTCGCGGTCGCTCATGGGATACCAACGCCCGAGGATACGAGCCTGGAGGTGAAACGGGCATTTGCGTTCAACCTACTCTCTTCTCGGTGGAGCCAGTCCAACCGAATCAACGGTACCGTACAGGGGATATTGCCGAGTCCGTCCCATAAAAAAAAGGCACTATACCCCACGAGGGAAGTTCTCAAGACACCGTGGTGGCGTCCCATGGATCGATCACCGGAACGAGACTCCAGTGACAGGGCGCTGGATGCCATTCTGGGTCTCGCTCTACTGTTGACTCCGTCATTGACTAATGTATCCCTTCAACTGCATCCACTCTATCCACGACACCAGTGGAGACCCCGACTTAGTGCCTAAGATCATTACTGCAATTCGAAAGGAGTCTCCGTCATGTAGCCACATTGTGCCGGACAACACCGAGCTCAAATTGTCCACTACGTACGCTGCATAGATTCTTCCATGGCTCTCCAGCAGTCTAGCCGTCTTCGCACGCTATTTACTACTATCAAACTCTGAGCCATTGCGGGGGGTATCTGAGACGCAGAGCACCGAGCAGATAAGAGCAGGACCCCTCGATTTTTTTCGGGCGTGAGATCTTGGAAATCAAAGGTACCCCAGGAGCTCCCGCTAACCCACTCACTCTCCTTAAAAGCTTGTTGGTGCTATTCGACCCATGTGGTAAACGACGTTTCGACCTCTAGGTTCTAAGGACCTGGAGATTGCATATCTACGCAGACCGACATACAGACAGCAAATCAAAGCAATAAGAACATCGAGATTATCCTACATCACGATCTACACTCTTTCCCGGACACAGAACTGCGCATTTGGTTCACTCTTTTGTCGACATGCTGGATGAGATAGTGGGAAGCATTCTACTTCCCCGAGGTATAAACGATGATGCCGCCCGCGGACAACGAGCATTGGTGGTGACAGCCGTGCTGACCGGTTTTTCAATCCTCATTGTCGCTATGCGAATGTACGCGCGAGTTGGATTGATGAAATTGATTGGTCGCGAAGACTATATGATTCTTATCTCTTTGGTACAACGCTCCGAGACGGTTCTTCCGGGAGGCATTGGTCGCTAACTGTTCTGCCTAGGTGTTAGCATGTACGTATCTAGGCCTGGTCGCTGCAGGTAAGTCGTGGGTCATCCCAGAACCAACTAAGGCCCTCTCTCACATGCAACAGAGGTACATTTCGGCCTTGGAAAACACTCCGCCGACCTTTCCACACATGTCCTGAAAGCACAGTTAAAGGTAAAGCCACCATACACAACCAACCCCTTTGTATAGTGCTAATTCCTTCTTTAAGCGACTCTGGGCTGCCATTCCCTTCTATAACGCCAGCTTGATCTTTACGAAATTCTCCATTCTCTTTCAATATCTTCGGATCTTCCCCGACCGCCGCTTCCGCCTTGCCTGCTACGTCGCGTTGGGCATTGTCGCTACCTACGGAACATGGGCAGTTATCAGTGGTTTCCTGAACTGTGTCCCAGTGGCTAAATTCTGGAATAGCGACGTCCCCGGCTATTGTCTCAACTTCGAAGCAGTGTGGTTTTTCAACGCATCCATGAACATTGCCACAGACACAACCCTGTTGATCATGCCGATGCCTCTTTTGTCACAATTGCAACTTCCGCGCATGCAAAAATTGGCCCTTATGGGTGTCTTCGCAATTGGTGGATTGTAAGTCATGAATATTGACCATCCACCCAACGTATGCTAACCACCGTACACAGGGTCGTGATCACCAGCATCCTCCGTTTATCAAGTCTAAGAAGCGTAGCTCAAAGCAAAGACACATCCTGTATGTGGTCACCGGACCCTTTCATAATGCAGACACAGACCTAACAAATGAACCAGACAGCAACGTCGGAGCCGCCTACTGGACCGCCGCAGAATGCAATGTCGCTATCATCTGCGCCTGTCTACCATTCCTCCGCCCACTCGTCAGTCGCATCTTCCCTCGCTTCCTCTCAACCAACAGCTACACTCGCAATCCAACCATGTCAGCGAGCCGCATGACCGCTGCCCGAATGACCGCACGCTCGCATCGGCAAAAGGTCGAGCTCTATTCCCAGGATCGGGACTACGGCATGTACACCATCGACGTCAAGTCCGGTGAAGCAAACCATGATGGCACATTAGCCGGGATCGAAGTCACGACGACAACCATGATCCAAGAGTCGTCGAGAAACTGCAAGTCGACCAGTCAACGGCGATTGGTGGTAGATGATTAACGATATACCTATTTCACTCAAATACCCTCATTTTCCCTATCTACTCACGAGATTTCCACTGTTTTTGACATTTGCGTGATGCATGATACATGACCCTGCATCTTGATCCTCTTTTTGTTCGATATCCCAAGCCGCCGTTGTACTTGTACACTATTCTGCCACCTTGTACATTCTTCTCATTCTCAGGATGTTCAATCACTAATGACTATATGATTACATTACCAATCAACACCTTCAACCTTGCTCCATACACAATCTCTTCCTCTCACCTAAACAAGAAAAACAAACCTACACACACACTTCCAAATCCCCTCCAACAAACAACCAGACAAACAGAACATCTAGACAGACAATGATTAGACAACAACAAAACCAGCCCAAAAAAAAATCAGTCTAACCGCTCCCGTCTCAACCCAAAACCAATCTAACCCCCCCTCACTCCCCCTATCTCACCCGCCTCAACACCTAGTAGTGTACCTCCCTCCTGATAATAATTCATCCGCCCATCCCGTCCGTAATCTTATCAATCACATCACATCATCATACTATCCGGCTGATCTAAAACCACGTCTTATCTTGCTCTTCCTTTCCTCACCTCCCTCCTCATCGTACTTTCAAGGATCCAGGGAATTAATCATACCATATCATATCATACATACTATATCAGAACAAACCAATACTCCGTACAAAATAGCAAATACCAAATACCAGCTGGATGTACCATCCATCCATCTCCATCCCCCCGGGGGCCACGCCACAACATCCCAGAGAAATTAACCATCGAAGCTAGCTATAAGCAATATTACTACCCCACCAGAAACAAACAAACAAACAAACACAAATAATCCCCTTACAATAACCGTAATACTATTACATAGGTAGGTACTAGGTAGGTAATACTAACAGAAGTATCATTCAAATTCCGCTTACTAACAACCTAGTCGAACACATACATAAGCCAATGGAAAAACTTCGGAACGATGCTACGCTCCTACTAACTACCAAATTAGTCAATAGTATAGATACTAGTCACAAAGCATTTTACCAGTGGAGCTTAGTCTTAAATGAGTAAGGTGGGGAGGAGGGGTGTGATTAATAGGATGAGATATGATAGGGTAGGATAGGAAGGAGGAAGGGGGGCGGGGGTACTTACTTCATTCGGCATTCAGTGTTGAATAAAGACGGAGGTTGATTCTGATCCGTGATTAGGTAGATGGTGGGTGGTCTGATCACTGTAATCTATCTATGGCCGCTAGAACCAGGTAGGTATTTACGAGGCACTGCAATTGAATTACTTGAGAATAATATGGATTCAGAGGCCAGACAAGCCGATTTCGGGCCGAACCGATCTAAAATAACCTTATCAATCAGTGTTGAGATAAAGATTTCAGATAATCGCTACAGATTTAATCAAAGCTTTCATCCAAAGACATCTTGATAAGCCCATATTACCGTACCGAGATCTATTCATACCCTACGAAGACAGCAATCTCACCCGTATCCTGCGATTAGAACCTTGCCTCCCATCCGCCGGAACCATCCAAACAAGAAAAGGGGAGACTGAGAGAAGATGTAAACAAACAACAACAAAGCATGCCTCCTTATTGTCTTTCTTTTGTAGTCGCTTATCCCGCCAGCGCTTCAAACAAATTAAACCCAAGTAAAAGATAGAGAACTTTTTTTCCCTTAATAGTGCACAAGTCCCGTGAAACTCATCGTGTTGAAATGGTATCTCGTCAGAAAAAGTCTGCGCCAAGTGTATGATCGAACAAAGGTAAGGTAGAACAAAGCAATAATTTCCACACAATTTGATCCATGATCATTGCTGTCCCAATTCAGCTAATTCGCGCTCCTTCGCTCGCAGCATCTCACGCATTTCTTCCGCTTCTCGTTGCAACTTCAAGCGACGCTCTTCCCGGAGACCATCAAGCTCCGACACACCGGGCAACATCTGTGACGGCGGAGGAGCAAGCGGGGACGGTTGGTGAGGCGGGTGGTGCTGACGGCTAAGAGCAGCGAGCGAGGGATCTAGGCGCGAATCGTCGTGGTTGTTGTGGTTGAGGAGAGAAGAGATAGAACTGAGGCGGGCAGGGGGGGAAGGGTTGATAGAGGACATGATAGGAGGAAGTTGGTTGGACCCGTTCTCCAGAGTGGTGGGAATGGACATAGCCTCGGCTGATGACGCGGTCTCTGCAAGGGTCCGTTTCTTCGGGTTTCCCGATGGGTTTGGCGAAAGAGACCGCCGACCAAACTGAGACACCGGGGAGTGGCTTGGAGCACTGATGCGATCAGGCTCTAACAATCTCGGTGGCGGGGGGTGGTGCGGTAAGGAGACGGGCCCAGAACCAAATCCGGTAAAATCGACAGGCGGGGGTGCGAAACCAAACTGCCTTGGGGCGGCTGGTGAAATCCTTTCTCCAGACATCGGAGGGTAATGGTCCACCGGCTCAGCACTGTAGTATCGGTAGTGATCGTCGTGGACGCGAGCCAGTGTCGCTGGTGACGCTTCGGGTGACGCAGAAGAACCGTTGGACGATTGTGTAGCGGCGGTCGGGGAATGTTCCCGCAGAGCCGGCACAACGCGTTTCCGCCGCTTGATGATGGTCTTCTTCATTGTGGTGGGGCGATAGCACCCGTGGAGCTTGTAATATAGACCTAAACAAAGTCAGCCACTTCAGGGCTCAACCTGGCACAGGAGATAAGGAGGGAAAGAAAAACATACCACACGCATTGCAGATCGGATGACCATTCTCGTCTCGTCTCCAAAGCGGGGTCACTGTAGTTCCACAATTCTGACACGATACCAACATATTTCCTTCGGCCGGTGCACCATTCTTCCCGGGCACCTCCGACTCCGGTACAGGCAGAGGCTTTTCGCTCTCTGGATGAGCGGGTCGACCCCAAGCATGCACTGGTATAGTACCTCGGGCAGTAGATTTGTACACCCGGTTGTTGTAGGCTGGGCACCCGTCACACCCCTCAGCGCCGCCTGTGCCGTTGCAGTTACCCCCACCGGGGCAAGAACCCTTGGAACCATGGCAGCCTCCTTCGCTGTGTGAGTGGTGTGCCTCATGCTGGGGGATTATCGGAGGTTGCTGTTGTTGCGGTGGTTGGGGTTGAGTAGGTTCGGAACTTGTGTGTATACGGTTCCGCTTCGTGGGCCTGGCGACATTCCGGGCCTTCAAATAGAGGCCACAGGCATTGCAAATCATCGCTCCGGTCGGTGATCGTCGCCATAGCGGGGTGCTTTTCGTTCCACAGTTACTAAAAAAGGCCACCGAAGTCAGTACTGCCCACGCAATAACAACGGGAATCAAGGAACACTAACCTGCAAGAGTGTCCGAGAAAAGATGTGTCTTTCTGGGACTTCGGTGATGATTTATCTGCAAGAGCGACTTCGGTAGATTGCATCGTAGAACCGTGAATGGGTCGTTCGGAATCATAGGGGGTGGGAGTATGTCTCGCATCGAATCCTCGGGACGCATCATCGTCACGGTTGCGATCGATGAGGTGCTCTCGACCAGCCTGAGCAGACGAGATCAGCTGCTGAGCAGCGTCCAAGTCCTCCGCTGATGGATGCCGCGCAACCATATCCGGATTCCGAGGGAGCGATCGCACCGTCTCCATCTGGGGAATTGATGCCAACATTGCCAACCAAGGCCTGTGTGGTTATTTTCCTGCTTTCTCTATCTCCTAGCGACAAGGGCCCAGATCAAGGTACCTCCGAGAGGAGAGCGAGTCACTCGAGATGGATCGTAGTCGAAATAAGGGGAGGACCTGTCGTGAAGGTACGTCGCACCACAGTCGGGGGAGAGTAATGTATTGTATCACAAAGTCAAAAGTCGGTCAAGATGACAGTGCAGGGGAAAAAGAAAAGAAAAGTCTAACGACAGCCTGACTGGGAGGCAGGTAACTGCAGCTAGTGAAACTCCCAAAGCCAACCAGGCGGAGCCGGGGACGAGGAACAATGATCCCTGACAACGGCCAAAGCGTGCTAGAAGGAAGAAAGGGAGTCTTGGAAAAGTTGAGCGATCAAAAGTCAAAAGAGAAGATCAGCAACCAGCCGAACTGTAATGATGGACAACAGATCTGCCACGAAGAACCCGGGTGTTGGCCAATCCACGACTGGGTGGTCTGGGTGGCGATCCAGTGGTATCGGGTGCTGTGTTCCGGAATTCTGGTGCGAGCGAACAGGTGAGAAAGGCGGAAGGGACGAGAGAGAATTAAAAGGAGGACAGATCGCAGGTCGATGGGGGGGCAGAGCAAAAGTACGGGAATGGAGGAGGCTCAAAGGAACGGTCTGGAGAGATGGGATAGATAGATCGATCGTTGGGGGAGGGAGGACAGCGGCGACAGGAAAAGAAAGATCGGCGGGAACAGGGCGATCAATCCAAGGCGATGGAATGTCGGATCAGATATGATGAGGGGAGGGGGAGGAAATGGTTGAAAGGGGGGAGGAGAAAGGGAGAGAATCAGGGGGGGGTTGTGGAAAGGTTGGTGGAGTGGTGGATGAATGACAGGAAGGCGAGAGAGCCGAGGAAGCAGAAGAAAGATTGATAATAGTAGAGGCAGGAAGTGGGTAAGTACTATGGTGGATGGAGATGGAGATGATGATGATGAAGGTGAGGGTGACCGAACGCTGATAACCACGGGCCAGACCTTTTTCGGATGGATCTGTCATGAGACGGGCAAATAGAAAGTACCAGATTACTTACCAAGACGTCTCACGGTCTGTTTTTTTCGCTCTCTACTTTTAAGCGGACTTTCCCTTTTTTCTTTTTCTTTTTTTTTTCCCTACTTCGCGTGCTCCGTCGGTCTGTCACTCACTCCCAGTAGTGTGGTCTTATCAACGACAGCCCTTCTGTTATCGATCTCCCAGGGGGATCTACGACCGGGGCTATTCCTTTTTCCTCTGCTCGCCTGGGTTTTTGCTTTTTGCCCCTGCAATCTGTAGGCTAAACCGATAGTCTGACAAGGTCTGAAAGTCTGGAAGTCTGGATCCTTGCGATCTTTGTTTGTTCCCTGCCTTTCTCTGGGGGAGAGCCGGCAGAATTTGCGTGTGAGCTCGGTCGCGTAGTTCCCTCCCTTTTTCTCCTTCACAAGCCGTTTTCCATCCCATTTGCCTGCGGCCTCCCCAGATCGATTCATCCGAGCTCCACCGCTGCCTTTTCTGGTCTAGCTTACTGGGTCCAAGGGGCAGCGCGCCTTCCCGAACAGTCCATAGCGCGTCCGCTCGCGAATAAGCGTTATTCATCAGCCTATCATTGGCGCATAAAACCCTAGTGTGTCAGTCAGCGACATTCTAGGCAACCACATTGGCTGCTTCGGAGATTCCATCACGATATCCCGAGTGTCCATCTCCGCTCCGGTGGTCACACTATGGCTGGTTTTCACTCGGTTGTCGGCGGTACGAAGCACCGCCCTAGTGGTGCTAGTTGTTGGGCTAGGTAACCAAGTGCATAAGAATAGCAGCCCACTGGTCCCCTACGACCGTGTAAGGCTGCTACTGCCTAGCACCGGAACAGGTTGTTATCTCTCCGACGCGGCTGACGAAAGGCCCGTTTGATCTATCGTCCATGTGATTGGATCCTACCCACCCAACATCCAAAGTACCTTGCCTGCCTTTCTCTGTGTCCGGGTGCCGATTCGCCCTGGCGTATGTAGACTATCACCTTCTAGACTTCCAAAACCTTCCGACGCTGTCTGCGCAAGGCGCAGCTGCGTCTGACTGACATCCTGACACCTCCTTTTTTTGCCCCGGGGCCCGTCGACATCCGAGCCAGATGAATCTGATAGGTAACATTCGCAATAATTGAGTGGGGATGTGAAGTACCATGTCCGACCTCCTAATCTAATTTTTGTTCAACCCCAAAATTACCTCGTCTTATCTATCGTCGTTACCCAACCCTTCCAAGTTCCGACACCATGTTCATTTTTATTGGCACGATCGGCTCATCCGACACGCGTGGTCAACAAATCACCCCAATCAAACGCCACTAGTCGATCGTGGCGTGACGCCGATAACCTGACCCAGCGGCATGATATGATGTGAGATGGATATGATATGATACGATTCAATGACGCTAAACACGGCAACCTGCGTCGATTTAGGGTTCGACTTTTTTTCCCTTTCCCACCCATCTCTCGGACTCTAATTGCCGCCCTACACCGACTCGGGGGTTCAACGCGGAGCCCGTGAATCGGATATCATTCCTACTTGTTGGGTAAACTAAAACGGGGAAAGTCATCATCGTTTGCATACGCAACCGGATAACCCGGAACTCGGCTATTTGTCTCACATTTCTGAAGAGGTATACTACTGTTCATTATTGATTCCGGGTCTCATGACTACGAGCACTCGGGTCGCAAGGTAAGGCTGATTCTGGATCGAAAATAATCAATCAGTGATTGATAAAGTCGATGTAGAATCTTGGCGGGCTCTTGGCGCGATCTTGGCGCTGTCGCCCCGACAGACAGAGCGATCATGGACGAGGCGAGGCTTACTCCACTAGTTAGACTGAGCGTCCGCTCGGTGCAACGGCTTTGCGACGCTTGGGTCGATCATGCCGCGTGAGACATGTGGAGGAGGCAACGACCACAGCTGCAATAGGGCGCAGTGATAGGCTGTCCAAGAAGTAGTGTCAGCCTAGTGCTCGATAGTGAGATATGCTGCATGTGGGCAACAGGCAACTCAATCGAGATCCATACGCCAAGGGGGACTATGTGATGAATCATAAGCCCCCCCAACAGAATGTTCCATGGCCAAAGTGTGGTGCGCCGGTGCGGATTCAACAATGAGGCCCCGAGAAAGCAGTCCGTGAGCTGAGTGGGACGGCGCAGTGTTTTACCGCATCTGGAACAGGTGATAACGGCCCCGTTTCGATAACCCAGTCTACTCTGGATAGGCGAGGGTGCTCCATTCTCTGAGAACGAACCTGCTTATCTCCGAGCTGGGGTATTGCCATCTCCGAATTCTGGGACCGGAAGACAACGCCGAACCCGCTCGGGCTTGTGCAGCCAATGCCTGATGGAGAACGTCTGCGGACTGCACTACTATCCATTTTCCGCTTCTGATGCCTTTCGGTTCTCTTCGTGGGGCATTATGGACGGCTTACTTAGTTCCGGGATAGGTTTTCCGTAGTATGTAAAGGTGCAAATTGCCTCAAGCGGCAAAACGGATCAGATAACCTTACCCACCTGACATGGGTCTTTTTCGTCGGAGAATGGTAGCTGAGATTGCCCCATATAGTAATTCAAGACGCCGGGGCAATGCTGGCGTGGTCTACGATCGCTAAGTAGTGCTCAATTTGTACTCTGTACTGCTTGGCCATGGTTGAAAATTGTGGAGTGATGTCAAATTCAACAATGCAGTTGCCATCATGCCACGCGGCCAGATCTAAACTTGCAAGACCACATAAGACCGTGGGAGTATTATATATCATCTACTTATTATACAAAACTAATGAGCAGAAAATAGCGACATCCACTGCGGACAGACCATTGACCCCTTAAGACAACCTAGACCTTTAGAATACTCCCAATCACACCCACCGTTTGAGATAAAAGGATAACGTAATTTAGAATGATCTGGTGTTTTTTTCAGTCGACAAAACCGTCCTCCGATCCGATCTTCTTACTTTCGCTCCTTCACATCACTTGAATCATCGCTGAGAATCAATCATCGCGCTCGTCGATCATCAAACATCGCATCGAAGCTGTTTTTACTCCCACTGACTCTGACTCATGCTTCGAACGCCTCGTTTACAATCGCCGTATCTTTTGTCCTTGTCAGCTAGAGCATCCGCAGACGATAACCAACTCTGAAAAGACAAAGGAATCATGCGTCATACACCACCGCCCTATCACCCAAGAACACGTATTCACCGCGCTTAGACCTGCTCGGCGCCCCAACTCTGGTCGGCCTCACGCATGTTGGACGGGGGCTCGATGGAAGGAATGAACTCCAGGGCCAGGTAACCCAGGCCAATGAAGCCGATGATGGAGCCCGCAATGTATCGGAACCAGTGGTCGTGCAGCATGATCGATCCGACGAAAATGTAGACTGGGCATGTGGTCAATACACTGACAGCACTATCAGGCGTTCCAGAATAGTGACGACTTACAAGCACCGCGTCCCAGGAAGGAGAAAAGGAATGACGCATAGCGGTAAACGTAATCCGGGACGTTGGGCAGAAATTCCAATCCACCGACGACTAATGCGCAGCATAGCATGAGTATATGATCCTTAACCTTAAGCAGCTGACCGGTGTGATCACTCACTGGTACCAAAGATAATCACATAGACACCGACAATGATGGTGCTCATAGACGCAGGGAAGAATTGCGCAATACCTCCCAGCACCATGAGCACGCCAACGGCGATGTTAACGATCCGACTGTGGTTGTTCACTACATTAGGACATAATTCGTCTCAATTTATGCGGTACGAGGCCATGATCGACGTACAAGATGTTAGAAAGATCCATTTTCGCAACTGTCTGGACTTATGGAGCTTTTGTGCCTATATAGCCGGTTGTTGGGATATCAATATAGCGTTTAGGTAGGAGGGTTAGGGCTATCGTCGGTGGGAAAGATCGAGAGAGGATATTTCCTGTATAACACAGACGTTAGTCTTATTGACTCAACAAGATGAAGCGAATGCCAGTTCCGGTTATCGTCATTTGTGCTCCAGCAGGCAAGATACCATAACAGCTACGTCAGGTATTGTCGCGTGAGGGATAAACACTCGATTGGGCTGTGGGTAGAAGGATGACACATGAAGGGGGCCAGAACTCACCTTTGAACCAAGCTTCTTTGACAAGTAAGAGGAAGGAAGAGCACGGAAGGGAAACCAAGGAGATGGCGAGGCTCAAGCATCAGTTGTCGCGCTGTCGCAAGCAGCGGGTCCGCCAAGCCCGCCAACAGATGACTCAGCAGCACCCCGGGGCGTCCGCAAATAGGCGAAATTATGACCCATCTCGATCACTATTCTTGGATAGGGATGAAACTACGAAACAGCTGCTGTCTTGTCCTAGATGGCCATGCCAAGGGAGGCGAATGCTCCCTGTGACTGTCACAAGCAATGTACTACCTCATTGGCATCTTTGAACGCCATGGCCATCCCTCAATGATCACGAGGGCCGAGCATACGTCATATCTGACAGGCAGCTACAATTTAGCTATCGGAGGGATGACCATCACTGACGGGCATACTTGCTTTAGACGGATGCCTAATTAACTACCAGCAATGTACCGGAGCTATCTAGAACCCTTACACCAATCGTTCATACCGCCATGAGATCCCCCTGCCTTTTCTCCAGCCTGACAGCAGACAATCCATTGGCTAGTCGGCTCATCCTGGTCGAGTCATGTCCCAGGTCGGCGTAGATAGCATCCAGGTCCGTGCTAATCCCGGCCTTATCAGCCGTTTGCAAGCTGCGTCCATCCATAAACGGTGCCATTGACGGCCAAACACTCTGAACATTGTTGAAAAAGAGATCGGCTCCCAGATCGCCCAGTCCTTTGATCTCCTTGATCAATTGTCTCGTCTCATCTCGGTCATTATGGGCTTTCTTCAACAGATTGTTTAGATCACCGTCTGCAAGATACAATCAGTTATACCAGCCACAAAATCATCTCATGTACTCTAGGAAATAAGCAGACGTACCGTATTTTTCAGTGATCAACTCCGCCAAATCACCAAGATTCGTCGCCCCCTGCTCCCTATACCGATTATATCCCCCATCCTTGAGAACCATCGTTCTCTCCTCCCAACTACTCTCCCCCAGTTTCTGTATATCATGGTACCCAACCTCGATGACCTTCTTGACCGCACGCTCAGACAGATCATGCGAAATGGGCCGCGACTTCAACATCGCATCAATGGCCATGGCAAGGAGTGTCTCTGGAGAACTTTCCAGATGTCCCTCGGCGATTGCTGTACCGTGGAGAGGAGTTCGGCCAAACTCATCAACCACCTTTTCCAGTTTCGGCTTGCTTGATGCATCTTCTTCTTTTTCTTCTCCTTCGTAATCCTCTTCTCCTTCTGCGTCCTCGTCCTCGGGCAATCCTTCATCACCCTCTTCTTCTTCTTCTTCTTCTTCCTCCTCCTCATCCTCTTCCACAACCTCATCATCCTCCCCTTCTACACCTTCCTCTTCATCTTGTTCAACACCCTCAATATCATCCTCGAGCTCCTCGTCCTCGAACTCCTCATCATTCTCCTGGATCACATCATCTTCCTCAGCAGCAGCCTTTCCGCTAGACTTGGACGCTTTGCTAGGCGGTTGTTCGTTTTCTGCCTCGAGGCTTCCTTCACCGGTTGCTGTCTCGGAATCTCTCTGGTCGAGCTTTCGCTTGGGAGCATCGGGTGTATCCGGGTACTCCTCTACCTGTGGAGACTTGTACTTCATATTGACAAAGTTGTGTTATAAAATGATCTGGACGGAATTGGCGTCAATTTGACAGAATAAATTCCAATATGTGCAGCAATTGAAACAAGATACAATGAACTGTAGAAGTTGGAGCTGTCTCGGATAGGCAGGTAGACAGTCTGGGGTAAAAAGTTAGCTCTACGGGCTATGTCGTCATGATGAATTCAGACTCTGTGGCGGTCATTCAACGGTTGAGCCAGAACATTTCTGGAATTTTACGTACCAGTCAGTATCCGCGCTGAAAGATGGGTGAATTTCAATCTCTGATTTAAGTTTAGTTCAGCTTTTCTAATCGGCGCATACTATCTAATGCCCACAAGTCTACAACTTGGCTTTGTCCTTCCGGCGCAAAGTTTCCTGGACCAATTTGACAGCATCTCCCGCGCAACCATACGAAGCCTGGTATCCGAATCCACCATGACCGTAGTTATGCACGACGGACACGCCGTCGATCTTCTCTGCTTCAACGCGCGGCCCGCCCTCACGAAGGGGCCGCAGTCCAACTCCATGTCTAATTATATCCAGACCCTCGATGCCCTGGCCCTTCTCGACCAGCTCAGGGCATAGAGCTACTGCTCGTTTCATGATGCGGGTGGCTAGGTTGGGATCAGGCAGCGGATCCCACTGGTTCTTCTGGTACGAGCCTCCAATGACGGTCCCGCCGCCAGCTGCCCGAGTCATCATATAGACGACCTCATCCTCTCCATCATCAGTGCCGGAGATCGACACCATCTTCCCTGGATCGTTGCGGACGACGACGATCTGGCCGCGTGCAGGGTAGAGCTTGTCGTCATGCACCCCACCCAACCTCTTGGACGACAGCCCAGTGCAGTTGACTATCACATCGGCCTTTTGACCTGTGTGGTGTCCGGTGGCTGCGTCGGCTATGTGCTTGAGGACGGCTCGTTTGAAGACGACTCCGTTCTTCCGGCATTGGCCGACAAGCCAGGGTAGGTAGACTGCGGTGTTGATACACACGGATGTGAACTTGGATGCGTTGTCAATGCCGGGGGCTAGCTGGTCGGCGGGGATGTCTTGGAACTGCGGGGGGTTAGGAGCGTGGATGGTGAAGGAGAGAATGTGCACAGACGTCAGGAACAACATCCATATACCATGGGTCCTTCTGCACCAACTCCGAAAACCATTCGCCGGTTGCTGATCCCTGATCTTTTGTGCGGTTGTACACGATGGTTTCTGATGACGAGTGGTTTAGTATGGATTTTCAATGGGAGGGGGGTTTGGAGGCGTACCTTGGAAATGAATGCCCGCTTCGGGATGGTTCTTCGTCAGCTCTCTCAGAGCGGGCCAAGTGTCTCGTTCCCATCTCTCGTGGTCGCTGCCGGCCTTGCCCACACTACGAGATGTCCTCGGGTTAGACTTGTGAATTGGGTCGTGTAAGATGAAGGGTCGGACGGGCCTACCCTTGGAGGACATACGGGAGATAATTGGCACCAGCCCAAGGAGATGCATACTCGATGTCGTAGTCACCGGGCATGTGTTTAGCGAGAACCGTGATGCTATTGGAGGCATCTTTGGACAGGAGATATGCGGTGGTGAGGCCAGACACACCGGCCCTGAGATAACAGTTAGTATATCAACTGGTATCTTGTAGACTTGCGGGGAAGTAGTCCTACCCCAGGATTACAATGCGGTTGGTAGCCATCTTTGTTGCTGCGATGAAGGGTCCAATTATTGCTAGGATGTATGATGGAAGTCGCTGGTTACACAGACATATTTAAGAAGAAGTGTCTGGACAGGGAGATAGCAAGATAAAATAAAGCATGAGTCAAGCCAAGCGGAGGGATTGCGGAGGCATGATCCCAATCAGCCAGGTTATCGGAGGCCGATCCCGCCAGATAAGAACATTGAACTTGTTTCTTCGGGCCTTGTAAAGTACGGGCGGTTTCCGGTAATGTTCGTACAATACAGGGTATGGAACGCGTCCCGACCAACTGCGTACCGTACGGGCGAACCGACCGACACAGACTGGGCCGGTGGCATAGGTCAGGTTTTAGGACCCTGAGTCGTGAATAATGGGAGAAAGATGATGTGCAGGAAGGCTAAATCGGCGATGCTGGCGGATCTGACCATGACCTGCTCCAGTGGCCCCGTCCTTCAGGCCACTTCATCAGGTACGTCTGCATGGCCGGAGAGATGTACCAGCGAAGAACCAGTCCGTCTGGCCTGACCGCTCCCGACCGGAAAGATCCATCCAACCACTGAGGCCATCAGCGAACGGCGAGCGGCGTATGGACGTCTGGCGTCATCGGCAACACTTCACGGGTGTCCGAACCAATCATACCCGGCAGATTAGCTCACCGCCCCATCCTCGGTAAGGAACGGGGCTGTAAGTGGGAGTAACTTTCCACTTTCCGTTGTACGCAGTACACAGTAAGTAGTCGCAAGTCAGTAACGGGGTTCCTCCGCACTCTCCGTCCGAACAAGAAAAGTCTCGCCTGTCTCGCGTGTAGATCGTGTGTTGCTTTTCCCTCCCTCTTCCTCCATTCACCCCATTCCGGTCCACGAACGTTCAACCATTTCCCTTCCCCCCACCTCTCTTCCTATTGTCCCTCCCCTCCTCCCCTCTGCTCGACGAGGCTCTTCTGTGTTCCCCTTGCGCCAAATGAGGGCCGTTCGTCGGGCAGGGCTATTCACCAACCATGGCGGACGTTCCAAACGGTGGCAGAATCGTGCCTATAGTCACGACTGCCCGTCAGCATTACTCAAGCTCTCCGACAAATGAGGTCATGGTCAAAACTCCTCAGCAGCCCTCCGAGAAGGTGAAGCTGCCTCGCAATACGCGCAGCAAGACCATGGAGGCGGAAACTTTGGAGATTCCCTGCCTCAATGAGCTAGGGCTCTATGCTCTCCCCACTGAGGGTGATGGTAATGTTGTCCCTGCCATTGGATTCTCAGCGCCGGACTGGCCTCAATTGGATCGCGAAATCATGCTCCTGAACCGATCTGACTGTCGATCCTAGGCAACTGCCTCTACTACGCGCTCTCCGATCAGCTCTACGGAGATTTCACCCACGCCGACCAAATCCGTGACCGGCTTGCAGACCACATCTCTGCAAACAAAGATTACTTCATGAGCTTTATAGCCGCCGCCGGTGGAGAGCGTCGAGCTCCTCGACGGGCCGCGGCCGCGGCCGCCCGGCAATCTTACTGTTCCTCCTCGTCGTCTAGCCCAGCGCCTCCGTCGGCCAAGGATAAAGAGCGGAGCTTTGATTCCAAGGTGGCAGAGTCACGGAAGAAGGGCGTCTGGGGAGGAGCGGAGGAGATCCAGGCGTTCTGTCAATCTTTCAAGAGGGACGTCAACGTTTATACCATGTACGGTATTCAGAACTTTCGCGATGTCCACGCGCCCGCAACCGAAGAGAGAGAAATCGTACACATCGCATTCCATGTAAGTGGGCCTGCGCCGCCAGATTCCTATTGTATAATTGTCTAATCTGTCTAGGATTTTCATCATTACTCTTCCGTGCGACACAGCGATGGGCCCCATACCGGTCTGCCGTGTATCCCCAAAGTTGAGAAAGAGCGGGAGAAGGAGGCGTCGGCTGCTAAACCCACGATCGTAGACATGGCCACCCCGTGGAAAATTTCCGCTATACAGGCGGGTCTTGGGGGCAAGTTCGACCAGAGCGCCATAGTAGAAATGCTTCAGCAGTGCCGTGGGAACATAGATCGAGCGTTCATGAATCTACTTGGCGAGGACAATAACACGTCTCTGGCAGACGCGCCTTCGTCGAAGGCGATTATGAAGTCACGCCTCCAGCCCTCATCGAGGTCCTCGTCGCCATTCAGCACGGGCAGCAAACGTTCTGCAGATGAAAGCGATGCTGACGATAACCCTCGACCTGCTGTCCGACGCACCCGTGCTCGTGAGAATAAGCGACGGATCCTTCCGGATGTCACGGTCGGAATTGCATTCCGTGACGATCAGAATGACCTTGTGTCCTTGCGATTGCGGGTCAGCCCTGAAACAGTTGTCCAGACGCCTACAATCCGTCCAACCACTGAGCAGGCCGAGACAAGCTCTTTCGAATCTGCAACCGATAGCCCCGATCTTCTGGCGCAGGACAAGAAATTGAGGATCCGACCAAAGGTTGCTCCGAGTGAGACCCCCAGCCAGTCCAATGACTCCAGCGATGACAGAAAGCCCCCACGACGGAGCCAACGGCTTTCACGAAGTCGCACAGCGCCTCGAAGCAGTTGAGTCTCGCAACCTTCACAATACCTCACGTACATTTCTCATGCATACGACATAACGACACCATCCCTCACCTTCGCTTCATTGCTTTCTTGTACATTGCATTATGAGCGCGTTGGCTGTTGATAACGATACTTTCCTCGCTTTGATATTAGAGCATCGTCGACATTCTCTTTTTCCTTGTCCATACCACTGACGACTTTGGAGCGCTTACGACTCAACCTTTCCTCTCGCATATCCCTCTCCCATTTCAAATGACATAGTCAATGACGACTTTTTGACTTACCTACACGCGATGCATATGACACATCACATCTACATCCTCATGAGGCGTTATTGGACGGTTGGACGTTGCATAAATTCCATTGAATTTTGTCTTGCTTGCATTGGGTTGGTGCATGTCTCGGAAAAGTTACCCTCATCTATTGATCTAACCTGGCGGTCTTCTGAAGATTACATTCGCATTGCGGTTTCTTATGTGGTGATGGGACGGTTCTACCGAGATCCCACTTTGGTTGCATAATCTTCGATGATAGAGAAGATACAAGCATGCTACATCGCTCCTTATCCGCACTGTTACTTGTGAATAGATTGACAGGGGCAGGATCTGGTGATTTGCATGATGCTAGGATTTACTGTTTAGTTGGCTAATTTAGCTAGCTATCGTCCGGCTTCACTGGATGAAGCAATTTTGCTACAGGCAATATACACGTAGATCCGTGTACATTATTTTCCCATTCCTTCTTCCCATTCCTTCTTCCCATTCCTTCTTCCCATTCCTTCTTCCCATTCCTTCATATAACCTGTAGACAGTCCACTCAAAATCAAACTCCAACCATCGCACACCCACCCTTTCCACTTCCATCCCCAGTGGCCCCCTACACAACTCGAATCATAACTAACCCATACTACATCTAGCACTTAGCCTAATAATCCCCACCCGCCTACCTAAAACCAATTTAAAAAAAAGCTCCATCCATAAGCCCACTATCTACGGATCGCACAGTACACAATAATACAACCCAACCCAACCCAACCCAACACATACACATACACCTGTACCTCTACTCTACTCTACTCTACCCTATAAAGTGAAAGTAATCCAACACGCAACCCCCAACCCTCCATAAAGAGAACTCAAAAAAAGAAAAGCAAAAATGAAAATCCATAGAGTGGGGAGTTGATTGACCATTTATCTCGTCAAGAAGTTACTTCCACACACACACACACGGCGATAGATATGGCTGTTGATATTTAGGGGGAGTTTATATAGCATATTATTGAAATCGTAATTCATCAATTCCTCGATGGTCTAACGGTCATGATTTCCGCTTGTCAATCCTTTACGGGAACAAGCGCGGGAGACCTGGGTTCGACTCCCAGTCGGGGAGATTTCTTTTTTTCCTATTTGATCTTTTTCTATTTTTTTTTCCTTTGCGGGGCGATATAGGGGAAGAGAGGAGGAGGGATTCTTGGTTTTGTTTGACTGGGTCAGTACTAGTACTTACTTTTCTTGGAATATGGAGGTAGATACAATAAAAAAAGCCTTGAGGATTAATTAGATGGTTATTTGTTGTGTGTGAGTTCGGTTGTTTAAGATGGTTGTTTGAGTTGATGGTTTCTTACTTTTTCTGGTGGTTGGGTGATGGATAGTGTATGCATGTCGTTGCTGGTTGGTGTTCTCTGGTGTTGGGACTATGTACATTATGTGAGTGACACGCAGGTGTCTGTTCTCTATCCTTTATAGTATCGATGTCACAAACAAAAAGTAGAAGGGGTATGTGTATCTAAACGCTATGAACAGAAAACAATAAGAAAAGAAACGTAAAGAAGGTCGTTTGATGAGTGTAATCATAAGTAAAGTTGGCATGGTTGCGTTGGCTAGGAGTTCATGCTTTGATCATGTGCTCCGTTCGAGTAGAAGGGCATGGGATGGTTTTGTGCCGTTCTGCGTAGGAGGTGGAGCAGCCTTCTACGGCCCTGGTGCAGAATTTAAAATCCTGACGGTCTGGAAACCATCAGCGGTTCCATTAGAGGACTGAAGGGGGGGGCGTGTTCTCGACTGTCGAGGACATCGCATGCTCCTTTTCTCGGTAGGAAGCCTTGGGTTCGTTTAGGCGAATATAGGGTTGATTGGCAATACTCAATGTCAAGCATTTCATCCGTTCGAGACCTGAGTGATGGCCGTGTCCGGTCGCAAGCGGACACCAGGCGAATAGCAGAGGTTGTAGAGTTCGTCCACGTAGGTGCTAGTAGCCATGTCACCGGCTACCACAGTGGCATGCGAAGCATGTCTGCCTAGCGAGGATTCGAGTGCTGGTTCGGATAGCTTGGCAACATCGACCTTAACTTCCTTGCGGACCATGATGTCTCCCAGCTGCGAGAGCTCCGTCAGAGTTTCCTGAGAAAGATCCCGTCTCGTGGGATCCATATGCTTGCGTGGCCAAAGTTTCAAAACAGATCGGACGGACGGTGGCACGTCGGACTCGGTGGCGGAGCTGCTGCGTGCATTCGAGTAATACAACTCCCTGCCCAATTCCTTCGCAAATCCCTCGCTTCCAAGATTCGTATCGTTCAATTGTTGCTGAGTGCGGAAGAGGCGTAAAGGCATGAAGGTGAAGTCGGGGTTCGAGACCTGCGTATCCAGATTTCCGACTGCGCAGAATGATAGAAGGATACAGTTTGAAGCATCAGAGCCAGGTGATGTTCGACAGGGCGCAATAAGGGGCCGAGCTGAGAATTTGGAAGCCATGTTGATATCAGGAGGCAGTGCACTGGCAAGCGATGTCATTGCGTGGATCATATGCTCGCGGAAGTCATCGATGTCCCTATGAGACATGGCCGCTTCGGATTTCAGCCAAGTCAAGCAGGTAGAGATGGTCCATCCTTCCATGTGTGAGATTAGGTCGAGATGTTGGATTTGCATGCGTTTGATCGGTAAGGTTGCCGAGGGCAATGGGTTACCGGTGCCTTTTGCTGTTAGCACCTCAAAGTGATCAGAAATGGTAGGGCGCATGACGAAAGAAACGAGATGGACGCCAGGCTCGTAGTTGCGACCTCCGGTCGCATAGTCTCGCATGCCTTTGAGATGTCCGCCCAAGACCGGTAACGGAATGTGCATTCGATTCGACAGGGCTGAAGTGACATTTTCGATCGGGGTGAAACGGAAACCTGCGGCGGCCAGTCGATTTGCTTCCTGCTTCTCCAGATGGCGCACTGTGAACAACATTTGGCCCTTGCTGTTGCTTAGCCGCGAGTATCCCATCGCTCGAGAGAAGCGCGACGTCGGCGCAGTTGTAATCAACACATCGTCGTATAGCTTTCCCAGGGACGGTAGAGGCTGTCGAACCTCGTCGGCAAGATCCTGCGCGGTCACACAGAAGTGCCGTTTAAATAGCTCGTCGAAATCGCTCTGCAACTCAGTCTCCTGATCCGAAGGCTCTCCCTTGGCAATATAGTGTTCCGTTGCCTCCTTGTCCGTCTCAATTCGACTCCTCATGAAAGGAACAACATCCTTGACCAGGTTCCAGTGTCTGCTCGCTCGGAATGCCCAGAGGAAAGCGGGATGGCTTCGGGTAAGATCGTCATCGTTGAATGTCTAGAGTGGCGTAGGGATCCCGCATCAGCACATGTTCAGAAAACCTGGCTCGTGAACATACCTTTCCAATATAACGATCAACAATCTTCCGACTAGGAAGCAGCGCGTGAGGAGTGACCATGATCCGCCCTGACTGGTCAAAGAAAGCACAAGTCAGGACTAGCTGTCGGGCTTGTATGTTTAGTCGTCTTCGATTTCCACCAGCGGCTACAGCGCATGCCGTCAGAACTCCGCAAGCAGCGCATGCCTGTGCTTTGTTAATATCATCGCTAGCTGGTGCCCTCTTCTGAAGTATGGACCTACCAAAACAGCGCAGATGATGACAACCTGGCTCCGAGAAAGCTGGCCATTGTGTTGCATGGACTCGTCATGGTTGTAGTAGTATGTTCCCACCGCAGCAGTCCAGTGCATGCCCGAGACAGCGAGAGCGAGGACGCAGCCACAAATACCACGCCGCCACCAGCTATCCGTCCAGGTGGCCCTCCACCGAAAGAAGACTGTCAGGGCGACTGTGCTAGCAAATACAGCGATTATGGCGGCCCCCACGACGTTCGCAACTCGGTAGGTGCATGTGTAGTTGCTGATACCGAGCTGGCCGATATAATGCATACCACAAACCGCGCCACCAGTCAGTATACCACCCGCCACGATTCGAAAATAACTGGCTTTTTCGCTGGCTCCGATGCAATAAAAGGCGATAAGCAGGACGATGACTGGGAGTACAAAGGATACGCCGGTGAACTTCATGCTGTAAATGATCTGAGTCCGCATAGCCCCGTCTCCCAGGACGATGGCACGGTTTCCGATATAATGCATACACCAGATACCAACACCACCCATGGTTATGGAGGAGGTAAGCAGTAGATACCTGCGCAGATGGTCAGACAGATACGGGTTTCACATGCACGAGTAGATATCGTACCAGTTATACAGACCAGCTCTAGATGTCCGTCTATGGAGAAGCTCCAACGTTGTTGTGCATCCCATCACACTGACTAAGTAAGCCAGAAAGATGAACCCCCCCATGTAAAACACGTCGACATATTCCCCATCGGGGGATCTATCTGTGAGCAACATTCTCGAGGTGAGAAGTTTGATAGAACCGAGTATTATTCAAGACATTGACATAGGCAGGATGAGACGTAAGGCGAGAAATGACAGGGTAAGCCTAGCAGGGGCAGGCTTAGCCAGCATCAGGTGGGAATTCTTTTTAATATAACATTAAGATTCAGCTTCCAGGTGCTCCATGCGGCTGGCCCGTCCTATATGCTAGCCACTTTTTCCAGGTACCCGATTGACGGAACATAATGCCATTAAGAATAATAAAATAATGAGTAGACTAAATGAGGTTATGACCGAGTGGGAGGCGATTAATTCTTCGCGGTGGCTATGGATCCTTCCCTTTCCGCGTTGGCTTTGCACGGTCAAATTGTGGATGCGAACTCCAGAATGAGGACTGGGCCCGCTTCCAGTGATCATGATAAAAAAAAGGATGAACGCAAGTCTCCATCAAGGGCGTATCAGAGTCTGGGCTGTGGGTGATTGGATCACGACAATCGAGATCGAGGCTGCAATCAGGAACCATGGGGCACTGAGTTTGCCGACTTGGTCCCAGCCTTGCCTGGCAAGTCAGAAGCACGAATGAATGGTCGATAACCGTGGTCAATTTAGTCACCAAGACTAAGTTTCCCTCCCACTTTGTCAAAGTCAATTACTTGTCGAGCCAGATGGGTCTAGCTCTCGGGGGATGGCCGCTAAAGTCAACTTTGTCGGAGATAGGCCCAGAAGATTCAGCTGCGCCGCCTGGTTGCACTTTCGCTCTTCTCCGAAGGTAAATGTGCCGCAGAGACAACCCCCAGCACATTGATAGCCGGAAGAAGTTTTAGGGCGATTTGAGAGACATATTACGAATCTTCGACATTTGTGTAGTCTTCTCCTTATGCAGATCTCTAGGAGTCCGTCGGCTTACCCAGGCTCTGGTCAGTGATACGTAAGAAGTAAATAGCTGTGGTAGGAACGCCGTTCGGCTCCAGAAGACAAAATCAGATGGCGCGGGGCACACAACCAGGGTAGAGCATCATAGTTACAGTACATAGGACGCTTGGGGTTGGCCATGGGCAGTGTTATGGATTCGTTAACTGCCCGCGCCCACGAGGTTGACAAGGACCCTGAGTGGCCAGTGGACGTTTCAGCGGATTTAGCTCGGGGCACGTTCACTAAGAATCATGCGATTCATGGCACGGGTAAGACACAATCAATCTCGAGCAGGGGAAACAGGGAAGGGAAGCCGGCAGTAATCCGACGGATGGGACCAGATGGAACCGTTGACGAGCTGAGTGTGCCAGTGTGGCCGAGGAAGAGGGAGAGACGGAGAGAGAAAGTGAGAGAGAGATCCAGTGGTGGGCTCCAAGGCGGGCCACGGAGATGCAGTCCCGTTGGACCAGCACGCGGTGGCTAGCCCGCTTCCGGTGTAGCCTTCTGCCCCGTGACTCAGATCGTGGTTCGATCCCTCGATCGGCCATGCCTGATCGGGCTAGCTGGCCGAGTCACTGACCAGACTCGCCCCACTAGTCCCAGTTTGGTCACCACCACGCGCCTAAGCGATGGGCCATGACATCGCCTACACACAGGGGCAACGCCGTCTTTCCCGACCGACCGGGTGCCATACACCCTGAATTTTGGATGAGGAGACGTTAACGGTGTTTCATATAGGTATATCCAACAAGAATCGTTTGGCGCGCGCCCGACCCCTTGGTATCGTCATAGCTTCTTCCTTCCAGTCCATCCATGTGGGTTGGACTGTGGACTGTGGACACAATGCTAGGCGGAACTATCTAGGTGTAGTATCTAGTCCCCCCTTCGCGGTAATTCGACCTGCGGAGTTGTTTGGTCCCTCAGCCGCAGGTACAAAGTGCAAATACTAATTAGGCCTCCTGCTGGATGACTCGGTAGCCAATCGTCCGTCTAATCCTTTCGGTCTACTACTTCCGGGCCATCCTGGCGGTCTTGCGTAAGAACTAAAAGGCCAGGTTATCTATATAAACTTCATGATCCTGGTATGTCCGGCCTTGGCAAGATAAATCATTCGTAAACGAATGGTCCAAGCGAACCAATATCCAAACTCGGTGCCTCGGCATTTCACGGAAGCACATGGTAAGATAGCAAACGACTGCCCCCTCCCGGTCGATCGAACCAGAAAGAACAAACCATGGAAGGCACCTTCCATACCCATTCGATTGAAACATCGACGACCCACCGCAAGGGCAAGCGTGCAGACGACGCAGGGGCCAAACGCATGGATTCGTCACCTGTCAAGAGTTGCCGACTGGCCCTTGGCCCTTGGCCCTGGCACCCGAGTCATCAGATCCTTCCATCCTGCGACATAGCCAGGAAGATCCTCGATCCTTCTCCCCAAGGATACTACATTTAGATATGCGGAACTCACCCCAGACCTAGCCATCTTGTTTCTCTTCTAAATCAAATCATCGATCCTGCAACCCAGCTCCCCGGAATCCCTCGGCCCCAAAATTATCCAGCCGGGCTGGACAGGCCCATCACTATATTAACTTATATGACAGCCAATATAAGCCAATTAATTAATCACCCGTGCACGGAGACCGGATCCTTTCTGTTGGGTAATATTTCTCGGTATCCCCGCGGGCTCAGGGGATAACTAGGGAGAAACGGCGCAGCAGAAGTCGAAATTGCGTGCATGTGTAGCTGAATGATGGGGCTTGTGTGCCGTGTTCCTTTCGGGGCCCCTCCTGGGGGTCTGTTACAGTGTTGCCATTTGCTATTTGCTGTGCCGCCGAGACATGTCCGCACTCGGACGGGGCTAAGCTGCAGATCAATAAGGTACGGAGTCCTCCATAGTAGTCACTGTGGATGGACTTTCTGATCTGGGGTACCTATGGAAGGTGTAACGAGAAGTACGTTATATGCCATTGGAAAAGAAAACATACCGCTGATGCATGTAAGCGGTACCTGCATGCATCGCCCATGGGTTTATTTTCCGAACTAATAGATTGCGGCTACGGAGGGCCTACAAATCACCACTACATCCTATGCATGGCCCCTGTGTCCGAAGGAGTTCTGGCGTCTCCAGATCTAGACTCAACCAATTACCAGGTGAAGCTGCAAGTGGCCCCTATCTTCATCTAATTGCATTGAGATACAACAATACCCCTAACCTATCCTGACCTGGCAACCTAGAAACCCTACTAGTCTCTAAGCTACATACTTAGCTTTATCGAGCATATAGTAATCTCAGACTTATGGAGGACACTTACGCGTACTCGAAACTAACTTGCCAGTTAGCACGTGCTAAAAGCCTAGAGTGAGTTATGCCTTACAGATGGGCACCTCGGTCTTATCACCGGACAATTATATTGTATACATATCCTGGTATCAGAAACCGATTATGCATGTCTCAGATTTATCCATGCCTGAAGTAGGCAATGCGGCTGTGCTATTCACCCACACTAGATTAGATACCTGATCAGGATTAGTTTAGCACTTCGATCGGACTCCGATGAAGTAGGATATGAGATAAGTAGCATTCAATTGTGCTGCAAGGTATGTGTTATGCACTTACAGAAATACTGTAACACATCTATCTAGCTACAATAGCATAGCACTGTCCTAAAAGTCTTCCGATAGTGAAAAGTACAGACCAGTACTATCAAATATACACTATATCCCATCACGTCAATTAAAAAAAGAAATCCCTTCCAAACTGTATCCAGTACCAGTACCTTATCACATTCCTCTACCAGGAGACAAGTCATCATAATAAATAGATTCCAGTCAACGTATTCAATAACCATAATGTGAAGCTTGGCTGATACACTACATAAACTAATACCATTTGTTATGATCGATCATTATAAGAGTACAACTCAATTTATAATATGGAGTTACCCACAGACAATATATGAAGTAAGAAAGAATTGATATCTTAGATGTGCCAGGACAAACCACCTATCTAATATCCAGGATTCATCTCTATAAATTCTAGGCCAGTACTAGTAATCGATAAGTCCTACTTTACCCCCCTTGTTTTTTGTACCTACGAACTAAACCAACAGATATTATCATATCATTTGTAGATGATCCGGTCGGGATCGTTTGTCTTGACCTGTTATCGTTTCGATGAAATAGGGGATCTTTTCTAGGATTGATTCATACTCATGGGTGACATGCTATAGTGTGTTACTGAGATTGTGGAGCTGGATGGGCTTCACCGGTGTGGTTATCCTCGACTAAACGGTGATTTTTCAGTTGAATTGAAGTGGTCTTTCAGTTTGGAAGTTTTTGATGTTGGTACTGGTTAGTCGCGGACTTGGGCAGAGGACAGTACATGGCTGAGTAGAGTAGATACTGGAGTATTCGATCATTGCCACCGGATCTGTTTATTGATGAGATGAAATGAGAGATGCGGAAATGTAAAATGCAGGTACTATGAATAGCAAAGAAGCCAATCTTATCATTTCAGCTGTGACGTCTGCCCAGGGTGTGCATTAGCCTGCAGTGATGCATGACAAATGATGTGTTCAACAAATCATACTGATCACGACTCTGATGAAAATACTACCATCATCCATAAATACGCACCGAGAATACACCTACTCACACTACACAATACCAGGACAACCAAACAATATGCAAACAATTATGCGGGGTAAGAAGCCCATCAATTAAAGTTCATCTAGAACTAACAAAACAACCCCTCCTCATCATTTATCAACAACAAATCTAAGCAAGCAGAGCCTGAACCTTCACCTCCAGACCCTTAGGGTTGGCACCGGTGAGGTCATCGAACTTCTTGCCGTCCTTGAAGAGCAGGAAAGTGGGCATGGCACGGACACCGAGCTCGGCAGCAACGTCGGACAGCTCGTCAACGTCGATCTGGTAGAACTTGGCGCCGGCGTAGGTCTCGCTGAATTCGGCGACCTTAGGGGCGATGGCCTTGCAAGGACCGCACCAGGTGGCGAAGCAGTCAACGACGACGGGGCCGGCGGAGGGGCTGAGGACCTTCTCCTCGAATTCAGCCTTGCTGCAGAGACGATTAGTATTTGTTTTCCAAGGTTGAAGGACGAGAACGTTTCCAGGGGGGCATCACATACGAGGTGATGGAGATGACGTTTCCGTGAGACATGGTGGAGGAGTGGGAGAATTGGATGGAGGGAGAGTGAGAGAAAGCGCGACGGTTGAGGAACGGGGCGGGGATGTGGTTGACCGGGGTCGGACGCAGGAAGGAGGACGCTACTGCGGTTCTAGTGGAAGACCTGACAGAGAATCTAGCGGAGGAGGAAGAGAGGAGGCGACGGGAGGCCAGAGTGGATGGTTTAAAACTATGGAGGGTTGAGACGACGATTAGTTCCGAATTGAGGGGCTGCCCAGCACGGAGGGGCACAAATCGAATTTATAGTGGGTGAACCTCCCACCCGACATGACGTTGCGCCGCGGCTCTGGCCTCTGACTAATCGTTCGCCCGTCCGCCGAAGCCTCTCGGACGCCGTCGAAGGGGGAGGTCGCTTCTATGCACGCTTACCAAGGGGCGCCCCCTGAGAGGCGAAAGCGCATGGGATTTGTCAGGCCAGCAGCAGACATCGTGGCTGTAATTGAATTGAATTGATAAGAATATGGATGACAATCAAATTACGGGCCGGGGCCGACTTGGTTGGTGGACGGTGGTGAGGGAATGCACGAACGGATGGGTGAGAAACAAACCCCCAGATGACGTGCTCCCGTCGCTTATGAATCGCGACCGGTCTGGACGGGTGTTCCCGGCCTGAGGCAGCCACCGCCGCTGCTACCGAGTTTCTCCGATCAGGTGATCCAGGCGGAAGAAAATGGCAATACTCCGGACGAGGGGTGAATTCCTACCAGCAGTACCAGGAAGTTTATCATGACATAGTAGATGATGGGAGGCAAGAGTCCTTCCCGTGTGATATTTACAGGTAGATGACATCCATCTTTCGGAGAAAACAGGCCGCGGTAAATGCTCGAGCATATAGTACAGGAATCCCGCCACGAGCCAAGCAGACATTAAACAATACAAGGAAAACTAGAACAGATAAATTGTATCACAATATGTGCATTGAACTGAAGAACGAGATACTTCGAGTCTATCAAAAACACACAAGCGCCAACAACCACCAGGGTGCAATGATTGGGGCGAACTCATTCAAACTTCCGCTGATGTGGGGGTATCAACAAATTCGAAAACTAACAAAGCCCACCAACAAGACGAAGAGCACGGACAAGATCTGTACTTGACCCGATGAGAGCGTCGAAGAACGTAAACATGGCCACATCAAGTGTCATGGATCTTGTGAAAAAATCCACCGAGTAAGGGGGGGTGGGAAAAGGGGGGATATGGAAGCAAAGGAGCGACATAGGAAAGGTTTAACGAGCGACTGGGGTATATACTAAAAAAAAAAAAATATTAAATAACTGCACGTGATGACATCGAGAGATCTCAACACAGATAAAGGCTTCTCATCGAATCAAGGCCGTCACAGTTGTGATCAAAGCAACCTTGCGCGGAAATGGGTCTATTGGCCGCCTGACTCTGTTCGGCTGCCCGCTTTCGTGTCATCATGCGTTTCAAACTCAAATTCGGCAGAATGCTCTTCGATGGGGCTGAATTCCTCATCGGCACAGAACGACTGGACATTTCTAAGAAGTCCTTCGTTAGACTTCGGACGGATTGCTGGAGTCACGAGTACAGGTCTCCTTGCAATGTGATCGTGCCAGGCTTCCTCGGTTTGCTCTGGTACTCTGTCCATGTTCGTATCCTTGTCTGGCTGTGGGCCGGTTATATCAGTGCCAGCTTTCGGTGAATCATCCTGATGGGTTCCGAATCTGACGAGCGGTTCGCTGGTGGGGTTCTCATCGCCTTTGGAGGAACTCTCGCGCCCTTCTTCCACGATGTTTCGTGACGAGTTAAGACTGGTGCGTAGTGGGTTGCTTGCCTTTTTCTGAGATATGCGGCGCAGAAATTGCCCCGACATCCATGACCCTTCGGAGTCGACGGATGCTAAGGACTGGGACAGAGGAAGATTGTCTGGGTCACCTTCCCAGCTGTCGCCCGTCCAAGAATGGTGACGGTTTTTCGGAATATCCTGCGCCTCCGACCCAGAACTGGGGATGGGATATTGAGTCCCCATATTGATATCGGACATCTCATTCTCTCTTTCAAATTCGTCCACCACTTCCGGAATATCGGGAGATTGAAGACGTGAGTCCGGTGGAGACAGGGGCTCATCGCCGAAATGCTCGGTGAACTTCGACTGCGACCGCTTGATGGTACCTGATCCAAGGAATGTCCGTGGAGTAACGAACGACGGAGGCGGACCTGACGACTGTGTCTGAACCTTGAAGAAAGATTCATGGGACGGGTTCGAATGTTCGGGACTACGTTCATGGAAACGTTCACGATAGCTCCGCTTGAGACGTGAGCTGCCGCGTCGGAAGATGGAAGTAATTGTGTTGACACGTCCACTGCTATGGTCGGACAAGCGCCGATCCGAGTCGATGGTTCGCGATACATCGGATGTGGATTCTCGGCCAATACCATAGAGCTGCGAAGAAGTTGGACTGTAGAGTTCACGTCTAGATGGTGAATGAGAGAGGCTGCTGCCGGACATGCCCATGTCTTGCGACGGGGCAAAGCTACGGCGCATGACAAGCTTTGGTTCCCGAATAGAGCTATCGTCAATGTTGCCGAGGACGTGAACGCTCTCCATGGACTGGCGACCACCTCGTTCGGTGTCTTTAGAAGCCTCTCTCAACCAAGATCCCGAAGACTCTCCGCCTAGGAAGGCATTGGTTTCGTTTGTCCGGGGAGTGTGTTCGTCTAACCGGTCAGATGTAGCGCAGCTCTCAGCACCAGGCCGCCCACGTTGAGCTACAGATTGCTCTTCAGTCTCACCGGGCAGATTCTGGGGAACAGTATCAACACCTGCTTCTGCGTCTGCTTCTGTTTGTCGTTGTTGCTCAGCAGCCTGCTGTAGTTTCCGGTGTAGTTTCTCTTGGTCTTCGAGCTGCTTCCTCTCCCTGCGCCGGCGGTCCCTTTCTAGCAACTCCCGGAGAGCACCCGCATCTAAGTCATCGGCCAATCTATCCACTCTCTTTTTAGAATGTATATTCTCGTCGTGAGTGGCGAAGGTCGGTGTTTTATCCCTCCGAAATGAAGCCTCGGGCGGCCTTTGACTCTTCGCAGTTGACACCCGAGGAGCTTCCACATAGCGTATGACCGGACGCGGTGTCCACGCAGCGAACGTGTTAACCTTAAAGGTATATGATTCGAAGATGTCCGAGAGGGAGGATGCAGCCGAGTCACGCATCGAGAGACTACCGTCAGAACAGTGCCGATCTGAGCGCCGACTCTGGGCTCTGGCACCCCTGCGCGTCTCGATGGAGAACTGTTCCGCGGGCAACGGAGACGGACGGCGAGGAATATCTATCGGAGAAGAGGCAAGCATCCGAATTTCCCGCTCCCTGGCAATCTCGTAAGCCTTCCGCTTGCTCAACTTTTTCTTCAAAACTGCCGGCCCGGTATCGTTGCGCTTGGACCTCAACAGTGATGCAGACCGAGACAAAGAAGGCTGGTCGTGGCTCATATTGGAATATGTAGTGTAGGCGTCGGAATGCTGGCCTGCTCGGGAGACCGGGAGGCGGTTTTCTTTCATCGGGGTCGGCTGCTCACTATGTGACGTAGGTGGAAGGTATTGAGCAACTCGAGAGGACGTCGGGTGGGAAACATCGCGCAAGGAGCTCGGGATAACTTCAACTGGCTGGGCGTGTCTGTTCTTTTGACGTTTGGAGTGCTTGCGAGACAGTTTCCTGCTTAGCTTGCTGTCATCGAAGCTGTGGCGAGGTTCCTGCGACGACTGGATGTCGGCCACGGCAGGTGCATCCAGCTGGATCGTGTGCCGCTTGTTCTTACGACCAAACGGCCATATCGCCATGGCGTCTGATTAGAGATACCTCGTCCCGCTGACCAGTCAAACGTGGACGCTGATACTGTGGGAGGCGAAGTTGAACCGGGTGACTGGACTCATGAGGAAAGACCGGAAGGACTAGACACGCGACCAGCAGGCGAATCCGGAGTAAATGGCAAGGCACAGATAACAGCCAAAAATAAATAAAGCACCAGACAAGCAGGCTGGCAGAAGAAGGGAAGAGGAGTCACGATCCGAGGCGGTTTGTCTGGCAACGGAGGCGAACCGAGACATCCAAAGCGGTGGGAAGGGCTAGGGTGCGGCGGAGTGTGTGTGGGTGTAAGTAAGAAGTAGCAGGAGGTGTGTAAGGATGATCCAGGTGATGGTACTGGCTGCCTGGGTATGGACCGGGGGACTGGGGGGGAAGAAGGGGTCGTAGCAGGTCACTATTGGTTTAGAACGAACGGGTAATCGTAGCAGGAAGGAAGTAGTGGGAATTGGTTTAGTAGCAATAGTGAGACCCGGAGCCACGCCACATGGGGTGGCGGAAAAGATACCCAGTGATCTCTCTTGGGGTCACGAACGAAACAAGGAGGAGAAAGGAGAAGGGAAAACAGAAAGAGTGGGAAAGAGGGAAGGGGTGGGAAAGACCCGATGAGATGAAAGTGAGGAAGAAGGAAGAAAGGAGGAAGAGAGGGAGAGGAAAGGGAGACGAAGATGAAGAGCGAGAAAAGAGCGAGCGAGAGAAAGGCAAGTACCTACTAGGTTGATGAGCCCAACGAGCACCTACCTACCTACCTAGTACCTACAACCTACTCCGCACCTACTTACTAGCTACTAGCTACTACTGACAGCATGAGTACCAGAGAAAGTGAGTGGCCATAGCTAACCTAGTCTACACAGTCTCAAGTCAGTACTAGGTACTCCGTACTGGTCAGCTCAAAACGGTCAAGGTCGAGAGCGAGGGACTGAGAAGGCCGAGACAAACAAACCCGCCCGTTTCTGAACCAGGGGATCTGGTCGGTTGGTTACACCGTCGTCCCCCGGGGCCGGCCGTCACAGCAGAACCACTTGGAGCCAGTCCGAACCCACCATCGGTCGCTTGATTTTCTTCATTATTATTATTATTAATCCCCTCTTAGTTTAGTGAGTTACAGCGCTCCTTCCCTCTGCCTCTGTTCACTGTTCAGGTGATGGATTATATGCATCAACCCGTTCTCTTTTCCCTCCCCTCGCCCCCTCTCCCATCCCCAAATCCCCCCCCCCTTTTTCCTTTTCCCACCAATATATGTACTCAGTTGTATATCGAATAGGATTCTTGGGTCTCCCAGAGAGGTGTCCAGCACATACCTGCAGCTGCCACATCCAACACTCCAACAGCATCCGTTATTCGGTACCTCTTTACGTATCTAGCTAGTTCCCATTCAGGAGAGAGATCATGCGGGAACTCAAAAAAGGACGCAAAAATCGATTGTCGAAAAATTTCTTCCAATGTGGAGAAGAGACCACTAGTCACACCTAGAAGGCCAAATTGCAGCCCAATCCGATTATTGTTACCACCGACTAGGGGCAACTTCATTGGTACCTGCCTTAGGGACTGCCTAGCCAGTGATGACCCATGGTATCTGCCGTACTCCACACTCCATACTTAGAAACGGGCTAACCACAGGAACTAGTAATTTATCCGGATATCGTTACTGCACGACGCAGCCAACATACAGGATGTGCGAGCTCTTTCAGTACCACCTCAAGACAAGGCGGCAATCGATACAGCCTCAGCTCCTCTAGGCTGGAGGTAAGGCGTTTCCTCCCTTGAAGATCATCTTATATCTCCTAGTGGTCAATCTTTCGGGTACACAGTACGGAGTACGTCCTGCTACCTACATACACAGTAGTAACTAGCTAGTATCAACAATGATGTCATGGGCTCATCTCATCGTAAAAGCCATGCAACTTGATCGGAATTGAGTTTATCGAGATAAGAGAGCGAGATCTTGAATACGTACGCGACTGCTTCTTCATATTTTCTTAATCTTCCCGGCTGACGCCAAGGAAGCCTATCGAGGGTTAGTTACCTCCTGTATATTACCAAAATTAATGTGGTCGCGTCCGGTCGATGCTGACATGATCTGTAGAAGTAGTCACCAATGTAAGTACAACCGCGGAAGCACCGCTCATGACTCTCATACATACCTGCCTACATGAGCCGGATGCAAGCCGGCCACTTCCGCTCATCTTACCGACGGCAATAGCCACTACTCCGTACAAAGTACCTTTACTTCCACCCTCGTAGGTCCGACTCTGATGACGGGCAATAGGGGCGACATGCATGATTACTCTCCATGCCTACTGACCGATAATACTTGAAACCTCCGTACAGTAAGCACTACAAGGAATTTCACGCTTCTGTCTTACCTAAGCGGTCGGACCCCATCTTCACAACATGAGGAATGCTTGGAGGGGCTAAATGACGATGCAACGGGCTCCTGGGGTGGGGAGGGGAGGCCTTGGCCATAACCATGATGCTAATACCTTAGCTTGGCTTCAGCCGAGTACTATGTAAAATGAAGCAGACCATTACCAGGCGGTACGATCAGAGATTCAGACTTGCATAGGTATGTTGTTGCTTACTGAAGTACTACCGGTGCTTGCCAATTGGGATCCGATAGTATCTACTCCGTAGAATCCTAGACATATCCAGTGTTGGTACGGAGTACGGATGACTCCGTAGTGTCTTACATACTCCATATATCGTGTAGAATTGTCGAGGCTTCTATTATTATTCCGTACTGGTACCACCTTAAACAACGACACCGAGAAAAACCTTCTTAGTCAGGTACCGCACCTTTTGGGCTTCCATGCCCCCATGGACAGGGGTTATGGAGGACCACGATGTGAGTTCTTGTTAAACTTCCCGCTTCCAGCCCATCCAATTTCCGCTGGCTACAGACTAATAAACTGACAATTTTGACAGCCATTGACAGGTCCAGTATGCATTGGCCATAGCGTGCAGCACCATGACAATAACGTAAACGCCCGTAAACCGTAACGGTCGAATCTCCATTGTCAGTTAGGGAGCCGCTGTTCTCAATCACAGTGGGGCCCCCTTATTTTCCGACTAAAATCCTTCGGGTCCAAGGTTGAGAACTCCAGACTTCAGATTCAGCGCCGTGTCCGTTGATCGCCGTGACTATGATCCGGTTAAACCTCCTTCGAAATGAAATCCGTCGGCCTAAACAATCTCGAGCTGCGTCAGTGGCTCGCTCAAGTGACCTGCAATCAAATTGAGAGGGGTTCGACTCCCTGTTAGTAACTGGAGTCACCTCACGCTGGACCGGCAACGGAAATAATCTCCTGTTGTTTACTCCCATCCTTGCAGATTTATTACTCGCGACCGACTCACCTACAACCAAAGGGGAACAACCATCCAGCCCACTGGAAATTATTATCTCCACTCATAAGTTGGTATCTAACCGAAAGTGCCGAAGCCAGGCCCATGCGAGCCAACTTACGCGTGTGCTGCACGGGAACCTGGTAAACCGAAAAGCAGTTGTTGTGCGATCCATACACTACTACAGTACCTACTAGGTACACCATGTTACTGGCGTTTCCTCCCGTCAGGCTCCAGATTGCAATTGTGTAGGTAGGGTAGTGGATTTCAAGGCTTTCTCCCATCATTACGTATCACTTAGTTGCTCAATCCGCTGACTGTTATGACATCTGCTTGCCTAGTGCATAAATCTACGACTTGCCGACGCGCTCATCCTCTCTGCTCGTACCGAAGCTTATCCATCCCGCCTACTCAATACTTCACCCGTTGAGTTTTGACCACCTCCCCTTCGTGATAATACCATTGGTGATAAGGGTCGTCCAGTGCAAATCAGTGGATCGTCTGTTCCTGCGTCGGATTACTCAGACCCGGCCAGATCTCAATCCAGTGAGAGGAACAAGATGGGGAGGTGAAACATTCCGTCTGACTAACAGGCACTGAACTCTGAAGGAGGGAAACCCATGAAAAGCGGCGCCTAGCTCTTCTCGCCTTGCATGTGCGGAGGCGACAGCGGGTAGTATCACCACTCCGGCAGCCCTTGTTTATGGGTTTCACTCGGAGAGTTCAGCGTGGCTTACGCTCTAAAGTGCTCGGGTAAGCAGGGAAGTAGGTAACTATCCCAGTACCATGGTTTTAGGGTGGCTTAATTAAACGCACAGAACGCCCAGACTCTTCGTATCCGTCTCCCCCGTTCTAGATATGACTCCGCTATGCATGACATCCTCCGTAGTCCGTATGGCGTATCCAGATGTGGGTTTTCGTAATCAGAATTCAGTCGCTCGTAAATTATCGCCGAGCAGACTCGGTATGATCGCCTGTCTTGATAGGCGGATTAATTTCCCTTCTATGGGAATGGTGTGGGTCTACCTAGCATTAAGAGGCCGTTGTGTCTCCAACCGACCCAGGTACCTGAGGCCCAGTCATGATGATAGCCGCTGCTCTGTAACCTTTCCATATGTGTTACATGCCACCGAGTATACTGTGCAGGCACTGAGAGGTCAGATATGTATCTGAGTAAATAGTCATTGCCTCTTCATATAACATGCAGTAATATGCTGGCAATATGAATGCCCATTCCAGCTCTCGAGTGCATACACATACAGAATTCAATGCGAGAGGTTCTTTGTTCTGCACTGCACTGCATTGCACCTGCGCTCTGCACTCCGTACAGAGTACTCCTTGCATCTCAAAAATTTTTATTGCGTCTAAGATTTTTACAGTCCGTTGAGTCATAATAATTCCCGATGCCTCTATCTATACAATGTCGCATGTTATACTAGGGGGTGTGTATCCGGCACCTCAGAATGCCGGTGAGCCTTCATCCCAGGATATCCAACCATCGCACGACAACAAATGGCTCTATTCTTTTCCTATAGCAGAACGCATATGAGCTAACCTGATACACAACGACCAGAGCTCTGCGGACTCGATGGTCCTCCATCGACGTTTCCGTAAAAGGAAAGCCTTCCAACGCAACTGCCTACACCCATCCATAGACCCTGATCTAACACACCCAACACACGAGGGCTCCGATGCAATAGCAACAAAGCCAAAGCCAAAGCCAGACCTCACCAGATCACAGCCCAGTCTCAATCCAAGCTTGCCCTGCTGAGATACTAACCACTAGCACGAGGCACCTATGCACGACCCTAACCAAAGATCAACAACATCATGCAGCTACAAGGCGTACTTTCAAGTGTGAACGAACTCCTACATGACATGTCTAACGGTCAAAGCAACCAAACGTTGAGCCTACATGCTATACGACCACTGGAGCGGAGGATTAAGTTGCCTTTGGCTTGCCGACGCTAAAAAATTTCCTCCTCGTGATAGGAATCGGCGTCGAGCTAACGTTGAACTCTGGAGGTTGTAAGGCACCACGTCGGATTTGAGCTGGCAGAGTTACGGTGCACTCAGTCAGTGGGTGAGATCTGGATTGCCTTTGTGTCTTTATGGCGTCGACTAACGCTTTATGCTTTAGGTTGCCTTGCGATGTTCGTTATGTTCATATCATACTACCGTCTGTCTGTCTTAGTAGGTATTTACATGTGGCAGCATAACAAGGCATCCAACTTGAGGGTCCACATCAGAGCCCACCCGACTACCTACAGAGTGAGACACAAGGGTCTAGATTCAAACAGAAGAGTCCATCAAATCGTTAGTTTCTCGCGCCACGTTGGACTCCATACAGCATGTTCTGAGTCCAACAGTCCCGGTGCCATATATCAGTCGGCTTAACACCGGCTGATTCGAGCAATGAAAAACCAACGCCAAGGCCAACTGAAAAAAAAGCAAAAATAAAGAGAAGAATGACAGGGTGAGTACGCGGGAAAATAAAAATAGAAAGAGAATAAAGACCAAGATCCCGACCCATCCGTTCGTCGCCCACTGGTCCCTGGGAAAGACGATGATGGTGGCAGACAACACCCACTGATAAGAGTACAAGATGGTCCAATAGAAGATACACCGTGGGAATTCCTGCGGGAGCCGATAATATCCACCCGCGGCCAGCCCTCGCGCGGAACGACCAGTGCCCGCAGCATGGGGGATTGGATACTATACTTTCCGTCCATATAGGCATCGAGATGAGTGAAAGGAGGAGGGTAGTATTATATGTCCCCCAGTACAATAACAATAACACGTCCAATGTGGTAGGTGTATTCCTTCCCGAGGCTTTTTATTTATTATTGAGTGAACCTTTTTCGAAGCCGGTTCGGCTCGCGTTCCAGAACGCGATATCGACGGCTCACATGGCGGCTCAGGAATTTCTTTATTGACCAGGAATCACGACCATCATCCGTATGCTTATTGCCAGTTACATGGCCGAAGAAGGACCCGCGTCGTTTGCAGGGCTCCGGATGGAAATCCTTTTGCTCTGGGTGGTTCCGGAGTGAGGTTGTCATTGACTCTGCGCTCATCTTCTGACAGAACGCGCAGGGAACCTTGCGCACCGAACTAAGTGGTCCGTGATTTAATCGACTGGTCACCCCTGTACGCCACTAGATGGATCCAAGGAGAAAAAATTTATTAGGCAATAAGAAGTCTTATGGTATAGGCTGGTGGTCCGCTGGAGCTGCGTATGGACCGGGATCTTTGCGAATTTGGGCCGAGAGCAGGCAACGAAAATTGTTGAAGGCGGGGTTCGATGGGTGGCCGATCGATTGCACAATAGACGTGTGGGCTGCTGCTGTATATGACGCCAATGACTTGGAAAGACCGGGATTGTGAATTGATGGGCGAACTCAAAGATTATGGAAAGGATGGGAGGCCACAGGTCTTGGTAGTTTGATACGTACCATGTACAAGGTAACAGTGATAAGCAGCAAGAAGCTGGTTACCGTGAGGTCTCTGAGCTACGGTTATCACGATTACGGAATACTCGGTCAAGCTACCCTAGGAAGTAACCTTTACAGCGGCACAGGCAATACTTGTCGCGAATACTTTCGGGTCCCTCGGATGGGGGGGCGGCGGCGGGACAATGAAGGATGAGTGATCCATGGTTGGCGAAACTGGACTGGAACCAGTCGTGAAGCAGCACGGTTGAAAGCTCCAGTGTTGGGCCAGTCCCGTGAGAAAGCACGTGTTTTTTTTTTCAAACCCCACCCTGCTGACAGGCATTTCGCGAACTCATAACTTAGTCTTCTTCTAGAAGACTTCTTCGGTCAGCCTGATTTCCAGGCGTAAATCAGCATGGGAGAGAATGCATCGATTGCACATTTTTCTCATAATTAATAGTGCGGCGGTGTGATTCGTTCCTCTAGGAATCATTGATACCCGATGGTGTCGATAATGGATAAGCTTACCGGATCCATCGGCTGACGTGGAAGAGCTCCAGTGAAGACGGCTTGGCTAAAGGTTTGTCCGTTGGTGGTTTCGGAGTAGATAGGGCAGGTAGAGTGTTGGGCATAAATTATGACATCAATTGGATATCAAATTGTCGATCTGTTTGGTTGGTATGGAGTTACTGTGTTTGAATTGTGATGGAGAAATTGGATTCTCTTTCTCATGGTTCACCGCCAAGTCTGATATGATCGGGTCGGCGCATACGGAGTACTATCTATATAGTAGTACTTCCATACACCGCTCGGTTGGTAGGGAGAGATGTCACGACCAGTCTTCAGTGGTGTGTTGTTACTGGGGAGTATGTAGTAAATTAAGTGAAAGGGCCTCTGAATGGTACTCCTGTCAGTACTTTTTGTTTTACGGGTCGGGGTGCACATACTATGTATATATAGATGTAGATCAACTGCAGCGCTACCATATAGTAATTTCATCACATCAGATAGAAACCTCAAGTCGGACGAAGAAGTACTTCATACAGAGTACTTACCACATCATTAGTCTAATGTCCACCTTCCTGTATATAGTAAGTCCTACAGTAGTACATGAGGGACATTTCACGTGATGAGAGGTGCACCTGATGGCTGACTCTATAACTTAGACCTTGGCTGATAGTGCGTAATTTGAATACAATATTCAATAATCACAGCATGTTAGCTCAGGGGAAGAGCGCCGGGCTCATAACCCGGAGGTCCCTGGATCGAAACCAGGACATGCTAGTTATTATTTTTGTCTCTTCTTTTCTCTTTCTTGCATTACTATTCCTTTGTATAGCATATCTCAAATACCAAACTCATATAAGAAAGCATGTTAGCTCAGGGGAAGAGCGCCGGGCTCATAACCCGGAGGTCCCTGGATCGAAACCAGGACATGCTATATACATCTTCTGTCTTGTAATATGTTTTTTTGCGTTTACTTTTTCAGTATCCTATCATAATCTTCTTTTTGGTTCAACTTCCTATAGCCCCTTGGTCGTTGCTTCCATGCTCGGTGCTGCAACCTCTCATACCATCACATACTGAAGCTTAAGACCAGAGTCCCATGTCCCTTGTTGGAGTGAATATGCGGCCTGACTCTAGCTTCTGCGCAGCACGTGATGACCAGATGGCCGTTTGGCGGGACGCCAAGCCAGCCAAGTCGCAGAGGACGGGCGAGGCTCTCGACTGCCTGACTGACCACCGCCGCTGCCACTGCTGCTCTCGACCATTACTACTGACCCCCTCATTATTATTCCCTCCACATCACCGACCCCCGGATTGCGCAGACTGGCTTCTTCGCATCCTTCTTTTTTCTCCGATCGTCCCCCCCGTGTCGACCCTCCCCCTTCTTCTTACCTCCCCATCCGGGGGTCCCTGTGGCCGCCATGGCATCCCGTAGGTGTCCTTGTGTTGTTGAACCTCCCCCACATTGCCATATCGCACCCTTTCCCCTGTCCCCGGAGTTCCGTCGCTAACAGTCCCCTCTCTTGCCGCCCATTGAATATAGTGAAGCAATTCATTCGAAATGTGCGATCGGCCAAGACAATTGCCGATGAACGAGCAGTTATCCAAAAGGAGAGTGCGGCCATCCGTGCGTCTTTCAGGGAAGAGAGCCATGATTCTGGCGTCCGGTTAGCATTGCCACCACAACCCCTGAACGCGCTCGAACCAGCGTCTCATATACCCGGACAGGAGAAATAATGTGGCCAAGCTTCTGTATCTATTCACACTTGGTGAACGGACGCACTTTGGTCAGATTGAATGTCTGAAGCTATTGGCGTCCCACCGTTTCGCCGACAAACGCCTGGGATACCTGGGGACTATGCTACTGCTGGATGAGAACCAAGAGGTTTTGACGCTGGTAACGAACTCATTGAAGAAGTAAGTCCATACCTTGATCGGCCTACAGTACTATGGCTGACGTCTTACAGTGACCTTAATCACTCCAATCAATATATCGTCGGTTTGGCCCTGTGCGCTTTGGGTAACATCGCCTCCGTCGAAATGTCTCGAGATCTTTTCCCGGAAGTTGAAAACCTTATGTCCACCGCGAACCCTTACATTCGGAGGAAGGCGGCACTGTGTGCCATGCGGGTATGTCGCAAGGTCCCGGACCTGCAGGAGCATTTCCTGGAGAAGGCCAAGACACTTCTGTCGGATAGGAACCACGGTGTCTTGCTGTGCGGTTTGACCCTCGCAATCGACATGTGTGAAGCCGAGGAGGCAGAAGAAGGACAGGAGGGTGTTATCGAGATGTTCCGGCCCCTGGCCGGTGGTCTTGTGCGCGCTTTGAAGGGGTTGACGTCCTCGGGATACGCCCCGGAACATGACGTCTCCGGCATTACCGATCCCTTCCTCCAAGTGAAAATCCTGCGCCTTCTTAGAGTGCTAGGGAGAGGGGATGCCGCAACCAGCGAATTGATCAATGACATTTTGGCCCAGGTGGCTACCAACACTGACTCAACGAAGAACGTCGGAAATGCCATTCTCTATGAGGCCGTTCTAACAATTCTCGATATTGAAGCGGACTCAGGGCTGAGAGTGCTAGGTGTCAACATCCTTGGAAAGTTCCTGACCAACAAGGATAACAACATCCGTTACGTCGCCCTCAATACACTGAACAAGGTCGTCGCAATTGAGCCCAACGCAGTTCAGCGGCACCGCAACACCATTTTGGAGTGTCTCCGCGACCCGGATATCAGTATCAGAAGACGTGCCCTCGATCTCAGCTTCATGTTGATCAATGAGAGCAACGTGCGTGTTCTTGTTCGAGAGTTGCTCGCTTTCTTAGAAGTCGCCGACAACGAATTCAAGCCAGCGATGACGACTCAGATTGGTATCGCTGCTGATCGGTATGCCCCCAACAAACGCTGGCATGTCGACACCATCCTCCGGGTACTCAAGCTTGCCGGTGCCTATGTTAAGGAACAGATTCTCTCGTCCTTTGTTCGCCTCATTGCTACCACACCAGAGCTGCAGACTTACTCGGTGCAAAAGCTTTACATGTCGTTAAAAGAAGATATCTCGCAAGAAGGTCTTACCCTTGCTGCTACCTGGGTCATTGGCGAGTATGGTGACAACCTCCTTCGTGGTGGTCAGTACGAGGAAGAGGAATTGGTCAAGGAGGTCAAGGAAAGCGACATCGTTGACCTGTTTACCAACATTCTCAACAGCACGTACGCCACGCAAACGGTGGTGGAATACATCACTACGGCGTCTATGAAGCTTACCGTGCGCATGTCAGATCCAGCACAGGTTGAGCGGCTCCGTCGCTTCCTCAGCAGCCGGACTGCCGATCTGAGCGTCGAGATTCAACAGCGGGCTGTCGAGTACGTCAACCTGTTTGGCTATGATCAGATTCGTCGGGGAGTCCTTGAACGCATGCCTCCGCCGGAGATTCGTGAAGAGCAAAGAGTCTTGGGTGCACCGGCCAAGAAGCGTCAAAGCAAAATTCTGAAAGACAAGTCCAAGAAGCCTGCTAAGCAGGCGGAGCAGGACATGCTCCTGGACCTCATGGGCGGCGACGCCCCAGCGACCAGCCCAACCACCAACGGATCTCAGAACACGGCCGATCTGCTGGCCGATATCCTTGGCGGGGATTCTAGCCTAACTTCGCCTTCTCCGCAGCCCGCGCAGAAGCCAGTAGGATCCGTCAACACCAGCGCTATCATGGACCTGTTCAACACGAATGGAAGCACGCCATCCCCCCGGCCTTCCGAGCCCGCATCATCAGGCCTGGATCTTCTAGGAGGCTTGGGGTCTTCTGCATCGCCGGCGCCGGCTCCCGCACCGTCTGCGGCGCCCGCTCATACGGCGTTTAACAAGAACGACCTGTCTCTTACCCTCCAGGTCCAACGTGGCAGTGGGGGAAGTGCACAGATTCAGGCTCGTTTCCGAAACGTCTCCAGCTTTGGCCACTTCTCCAACGTTGGCTTGCAGGCAGCCGTGCCTAAGAGCCAGAAACTTCAGCTCAGTGCGATCAACAAGGCTGACCTTGATGCCGGCGATGAAGGCATCCAGATGCTTAAGGTTGCATCTCTTAATGGGGTAAGCTACGCGACCCGTGCCCTTCTTATTCATGCTGACTAACGCCCTACAGGCCCTCCCACCTAAACTCCGCCTTCGTCTCCGTATCACATACGCCAAGGACGGCTCCGATTCTGTAACTGACCAGGTAGACTGGAGCGAGCCATAAACGTAAAACCGTGGCCTCTCTTCCATCCACCTCCCGCATAATCACCCTACAGCTACCCCTTAGACCACCCGTCTAATCTACTCTATCCGCCTGAGCGTGTCTCCTAGCGCAGTCATCGTATTTGGTGAGGAAGATGAGAGCAGGCAAACTAATCTTTGGGAGAAGACTACGAGCGGGAAGCCAACACCTACTTGATCATCCATAGTTCCTCACCATTACATACATGCATGTTCATACATACCCGGTTCGTTTCTAGCTCACCATCTTCATTATCTCTTTCCTTTCACATTACATGTCCCTATTGCCTTTCTATGTAAATGTTTGGTGCGTTGCAGAAGCCTACGAGTGGCCATGAAACTATGATGGGGGTTTAATACAAAAGGTTAATTCCTCTTTCATGTTCATTACTAGCGAGATAAGTCCGCTGTCATATTTGACCAAGACCTGACGACCGGTAACTCAGAATGAAGTAACTATCCAGGTAAGCTCATGTCCCAGCAATAAATAAATCCCAGGATCAACAGCAACATCGACAGCAATTTATCAACTGTCGAACTTCGGTCATATATGATGTATCTGTTAGCTTAGGTCTTTATACCCGCTTTCTTCACGTTCTGAATCAAGGCATCCATGAATGCCAGTTATTGCATATCATTAATATATTGGTTCTTGAGTACCTGTATCCACTCTTGATATTCTTTAACCAACAAGACAAAAACACCTATCTAGTAGTTACTTATTCCTTCATCATCATCATCTCCTAGGCATGATCAATATAAGATAGAACACATACATACACACACAAATCAGTGTATACTTAACCCACAAATAACAAACCCAAAACAAGGAAACCTTACCATCACAAAAGATCATCGAAAACCGGTAATGTAAAATTAGTAATAAAACGCTGGAACTGGAATCTTTACCATATTTATGTATACACCAACCATACCACCTATAGAATAGGAATCTTCGGCACGCCACACTCGCTAACACCAAAGTATGTAGATATCTTACACAGCCTCGAATCACAGCAACTATCTTGGCTCTTCTTGCTCATATGATATACTGCGTGTTTGTAGATCCGTCATGTGAATATCTAGTCTATAAATATATCTCGATGATGTAAATACCCAGATGATGATGATGTAGATGACACCCAAGGACAATCCAGCGTACTTTGATGTGTGACCCCACGTGATCACCACATATACTTTATTCTAATTCGGTAGTTATATGTTGTTTTGCCTCATATGTCTGAGTTTATGACATAGGAAAGAAAAGGAAAGAAGGATACCACACTAGCCTAGAATGGAAGGTACGTGTGAGAGTACTCGTATAGCTAAATGTAAATGAACGGATAAAGGATGTATGGTTGACACTTCCAGTACAACGGACGTATATACGTAAGTACTGAGAAAATGAAAGAATGAAAGAATAAAGGAAGAAGCTTCCGAGGCTGCCATGCTACGTATACAACGTGGAATGAGGCGCAAAATGATGCAACGATGATGATGATATTCAATCTATCCAAAGCTACAATGAAATGCATATGATGGAGAGAAGCTGCGCTGCGGGAAATCGAGGCGGAGCAATATCTATGCTGTAAGAAGTATATGTCATGCGGTCTGTACTACACGACATGGCTTGATCATTGGAAGACGGAAGTCAAGGCTGTTGTCTTTGTCTCCGGTCACGTTACGTGGTTGAGGTGTCTACCCAATAATGAAAGGTAGCCTTACGAATTGGGACCGAGCCCGCGGACAAAGAACATGTGTTTCAGAACTGCATGGATACCCGATTTCTCCCTAGGTTCTATACACCCTAGAAACTCAAAACCAACCTGTCTATAACCTCGTTCGTTCATATTTCATTTCCGCTGTGTACTGTACTAGGTAAGTTTCCTCCCAAATCAATTTCGTCATTCGTAATCGTCATGTACTCCTAGATGCTCATTCCCACCGCCGTTCACCCAGGACCACCACCAAAATATTGTGAAATGCATCAAGTCAATCCGGCCCATGCGCCGGCAAAAGTAGCCGAAGTTATGGTAATAATAACAGGTATATCGTGTAAAGAGGCGAGAATATCAGGTTCAAAAGAAGAAAGGCAGATTATGACACTCATCGAAGATGGGATTGTGTATGAAAAACAATGTTATCCGAGAAGGAAGAGAATGTATTGGCGTTGAATGCCCAGTTCTGGAAGACGTCACAGAATGCTAGTACCCGGACAATCAAGTAGAGAGATGTCGAGTTTCAGCAGAGGGAGGGGGGACTTGTGAGTGTCACTGATGAGTGGAGCGAAAAAAAAAAAAGCGTAGATCAATGAATATATCAGGAAACCTCATCGCACATCGGGGTCGAGCATCGAATCATATGACTTCGGGACTGTCGTTATCATTTCTCATCGAGCAAAAGCGGATTGCCGCCGTTCTAAGGGTGGCATGGCATAGTCTCCATACGATTGTCGAATGTGAGGATCGCGTGATGGAATATGCTCCGGTCCCACCTCTCGCGCGTACCTGAACTCTTTCTCCTTTGGTGAGGAAACCTCGCGATAAAGAGGCCGACTGGAAGACTGCCTGGATGCACTTGGACGAGGTGCGGGCTCATAGCGTGGCGAGTGCTCCGTGGGGTAGGCGTAAGTACTGCTTCGGACTGGAGGCTTCGGCATAGGGCGCCCTGAAGCAGGACGTTCTTGACGTGGCGGTGAGTACCCCCTTGCGTGTCTCGGAGACTTCTGTGGTGGCGGTATGCTGGGTTCTACCACCACCATATCCGGATTCGTCAAGATCTTATACCGAGTTGACTTAGACGGGATCTCCCCAGATGCCATTTCTGGCGTACTTGGACTTGAGTACCCTGAATCGTATTTGTCCGTTCCTCTCAGTTTCGCTGCCCGCGAGCTAAGCTCATAGACCATAGGTCCGAGGCTGTCAGAGCGGCTAATGCCCTTGGGGCGGGAATGGGATTGTGCGGAGCTTGCAGACCGCGAGGGTTGCAGGGAAGGCCGGACGGATGGAGGAAGTTTGGCTGCAGGTGAAGTTGCCGCAGTCGGCATGCTAGGCACCTTTGTCTCGTAGGACCGGGCCGTGGTTTCGAGCTTCTCGTATGATCCACTGCGAGAGCTGGTCGTACGCACGCTTTCCTTGCTAGGCCGCTTCGACCTATCTGAGTGCCGTGAAGAGGATGACTCTCGATCTGCTGATTCGTAGTTATGACGGCGTGGTGGCGAACGGGACCCTTGCGGCCGACTATCGATCTCGATAGGCACGGTTCCCTTGGAGCGCATAATGTAATCTCGGGCTGTGGTGTGCAGTTTGTCGTGCTTCGACTCATATTCATCGGTATACTCATCGTTGTCGTATCGCGCCGGCTCGCGCCGGCGAGACGACTCTGTCGGTCTGGCTTTGCGGGAGGAAGAGTCCCGATTGCGCTTTTCGGAGGGCCGCTTGATCCTCACGTAAACCGACGAGGCACTTGAGTCGGATGCACCCCCATCATCATCAGAATCACTGTACGGAACGGCCCGGTCGTATTTCTCGAATGCTTCCCGTCTGCGTTCCTTGGTACGATACTTGGCGCGACTGGTGTGGGTCGTCTTTGGACTGTCGCGAGCCATATCCTTTGCTGCGCGAGCACTGGGAGTATCGCCTTTGGTTTTCTTCTTCTCATCTGATGGCTTGGTGGGTCGCTTTCCAAACTCGTCGTACTTGCGTGATGTCGATCGCGACCCTTCGGAGAACTGAAGATCCTCATCGAAATAGGGAGCATCGGCCGGGGTCCTCTCTTCGTATATCCGTCCATTGCGAAACTCACGAGCACCGCTCGAGCCGCTCGCCCGCGGGTAGGGAGATGCACCACCGATGTTGACAGACACTCCCTGTGCCTGCGCCTCGCGACGTAGCTCAGCTAAGCGAGCCTTCGCATCGTACTTTTGTCTTTTTGTCTCATCCGAAAGAATTTCGTAGGCTTGCTGCACTCTTTGAAACTCATCCTGAGCCTTGTTCCTCAGAGATTCATCATTGACCTTGACCTTGTCAGGGTGCCACTTTAGAACGAGCTTGCGATGGGCGGATTTGATATCAGCTAATATCGCATCTTTCGGAACCCCCAACACCTCATATGGGTTGATATCTGGCGTTGATGACATGGTCTGCAGAAGACTTGGGTAGATAATTTGGAAAACATAAACCAACCACCAATGCGATGCCGATGGTGTGGTTTAAATAAACTGGTTGATGAGATTGATGGTGGATAAAGAGCGATATAGGTGACAATTACCGCGGAGTGGCGCGGTATAAAAGCGGTGGTAACGGAAACAAAGGGAGGCGAACCTGGAGATGCAGTGACAGTGCGGATGTGTACTCCGGAAGGTACCTGAGAATGGGAAAGGCGGGCGGATAGACGGATGGGGTGACGTGGGTGTTGGTGACGATCAATGGCGCATAGTCAAGATTCCGATCGAAAATGCGGCCAATTCATGGAGAAGCCCGGAGAAGACAGAAGAAGGGGAGGATGCGGGATGACAAAAGCGAGGAAGAAACCGGCCGCAGGGGTGGATAAAGAAGGGGAGACAGGTGAGATTGTGATGAGTGATGAGTGAGAGTGAGTCGTGCAGAAGTTGAATAAGTTCAGGTCTGTCCAGTGTCCACAAGTCCGCCTGTGCAGTGCAGCAGCAGCAGCAGTAATAGCAGCTGGGGGAGGCAAAATAACAAAGATAGGTGTAAGTTATTAGGTATTATTACCGATCCGCGGTGTATGGACGTAATCCCGGGCGAGACCCAATGACTGGGGGGAAAAGCACAGGGGCAGTATTTGGCCCGGGTAATTGCGCCCAGGAAGTAATTGCGCCCAGGAGGTAAAGAAGGAGGGGTCCGACGGGCCACTGGTGCTAAATCCGTAGCTCGGCTTATGCGCTGGAGGGGGAGCGAGGAGGGGCGCAGGGTAAAACTAGTTAGCAGGCAGGTAGTAGGTATCTGCCCGGGAGAGGCGACCAACGCTGAGGGGCAAAATCCCAGAGAGGCCAGGGGAAAAGTCAAATTAGGGAAAGCGATATCATAGGAGGAGGGAAAAAGACGAACAATGATAGGAAGGATTAAGGAAATTTCCAAAATTAAAATTCAGAAAATAAAGAAAGCAGAGAAAGCCAAGTCAAATCACAGTCCGAATTCAAGCACGCTGCGCCACGCTGGTTCCCTGGGGAGAAGCTAAAAGTAGAAAGATAGCCAAAGAAGGATGGTCAGATGAAGTGGCACCACGTTTAGTCAGGATTGCTGGTACTGCCTAGCAGGTCAGAGGCCAGCGAGGATGAATAATGATGATGAGAAACGGATCCAACACGCTGGTGAAGCTCCTGGAAGACGCTCGATGATGCCACTGGGCGACTTTGGTTGGGTGGGCTTGCTAGGTTGGTGGCCCAGTTCTCAGTTGGGCCAAAAGGAAGTATATACTCCGTAGACCGTATAGTAATAGTAGCAACAGGTCGGAGTCCCTGATTATCAACAATTGTAAAAGCCAGGTGCGATCCTCTGACCTCTCTCCGTTGGAATAGTGATGATAGTAAAAATAATGATAGTATCAATAATGATAATCCAGGAATATTGTAAACAAAATGATGATAATCAATTCCTCTTGATATGCCGGCAGACTTCAAAGCAGCGGTGAACTGACACACTGAAACCAAGATGGAGTCGTTTTACAACGAATCTCAGGGCCCGCTTTGGTAGGGACAACAATTCATTCCGGTCTGGTAGAGGACCAACGATGGACGATTGTCAAGGAGCGGTCAATCGTTGATGCCTTCGTGGATGGACGTTGGAGAACTGATTCATACAATGTCCAGGAACCACATAAGAATAGAAGATAGAAGCCAGAAGCCAGAAGTTAAAAGCCGAGCCGGAGAAGGGGTTCTCGACCTGCAAGATGGAGGAATTGAAACAGGAACTGAGGTGGTACAAATACCCCGGTTGTGTTTTACTGTATGTTGATCTAAGATCCATCGACGAACTACATGGCAGTTACTACTTTCTCTCGGATTGTACCCGGTGGAGCAGGAGGAGAAGAAGAGAAAGAAGGAGAAGGTACGGAGTACGTGAAGACTAGTACTGACACTTTGTCCATAATGCCATTGGACTCCTCGTCCCATACTTAGTACGTGCGACTACTGCATCGAGTAAGATGGAATTGCTGGGCCGTTCACAGTCACATCTCCATCACGGTCAAGGCCGGCGCTTGGCTAGAAATCCATCTTGCCTGTCCCATCCTTAGCGTCAAAGTTACGACGCAGGCGGACCGAATCCATGGGTGTCTGCAGGACTCTTGTCTGTTTGGTCATCCACCTGGGCTTGGACTGGTGGTCCGCGGCAGATGAGCGAGTTTCCTCGACCGCGACCGTCATCAGCCTGAGCTGCGGGGCAACCCACGAGCGAACAAGACAAGAGGTACTCGGGAGGTGGTGGTAGATAGTAGTCTTTTCTTCCGCTGATTGATCCGTGAGAACCCCCACAGCCAACTAATCCGAGACTCGCTCGATCGGATCTTACCATCGGGGCTGACCACCGACCAGTCCAGTGTCATCCTTCCGGGCAGGAGGCAGCGAGGAAACCCCGCACGACCACCACTCATCCCTACTAACCTTCACACCACCTTGGGGCCTCTTTCCAGCCATTCTATAGGCCGAACCATCTCTTCCCACGACTATTGCCTTCACCGGGAGGGATTTACAGTCCAATCATGTCCGCAGTCACCTGCGCGCGCTTTTCTGCCTGCATCCGAACGCCCAAGTATTTCGGTCGCCTCACCGGATAGGATATGCTGGATTCTGCAGCCTTGAATTGGCTCAGCGAATTCGCTTCTCTCCTTCCTCCCCTCCTCTTGGCCGACCCTCACGGCATGCTCCGTATGGATTAGCGCCATGGAGGTGCCGGAATATCGCAAAATTTACTCATTCTTACATCGTACATATGCATGGGGTACCTCCATCTGCTTCAGGGACACCTAAAAGATGCGCACTGTACCTGGAGGGGCGCCCGTGGTTACAGCCATGATCGAGCCGATCCGGGCGCGCGTGAATTAGTCCCGTGGGTTGATCCCGGAAGGTTCCGCCCACCATGAGCGCCCTATTTACCTACCCTCGGTACCTGAGCGTATCGATTAGCATGCACGGCTACAAGTTGGCATCGATCCTTGGTGTGGCATGGTCTTCAATTCATCAGGATGGTTACTCCGTCACAAGGTGTATGTGCGCCCAGGGATTTTCGTGGGGTAGGGGCCCCAAATCGTGTAGATCTATCACTTCGATCGGCATCAAACGGTGAAAGTCAAACGGATTGGAGAGGCATGGCAGCATGGGTTTTTGGTCAATGCTTGGATCGTACTGGTGCTCGGCCTGGCTTGCACCACGCAATCGCCTGTCAGATTACCTTGCCTGTCCCACCCTGTGTTATCCGTGCCCAGGGCGCTGTGCGCCGAACATTCCTCGTCGAGCTGATTGTTCTCGAAGGAGTAATTGGACCCTGGACGAAGTCATCTGCACCCGACCCCAAGGTTGTTACATGGCCTAGCCAACAATTTGCGCCCACTGTCCATGCACTGATTGTCCCGGCATTAGTTTGCATCGCAGATGCTTCACTTTCGTGATCCCATCTATCCAATGAGGGCGTCTGGACGGACGTGGAATAAGGGGAAAGGGGTGCAGCTCTCCGTCAAGGCTTGCGCTTTAAAGTGTGATTGAAGGATAGTGATGCGAGATGTTAACAATAACCTAAAGCCAGCCCGCCGATTCTGAAGCTTTACGCGGGCGCTCTGGGCCCATCGCCGGCTCGGGCGCGGGATCATATGAAGCGGCTATTGTTTTGCCGTTGACACTTGACACAGGACCGATAATTGACCTTCCACTCAGCCGAGATGGTGTACAGCATTCGTATGACCGTCTCCGATGAGCGTTGGAATCCAGGCGTGTTCCTCCATGTGGGATGATGAGCAGGGAATTTCCTGAGACGGCCTACCGTTTGATTTTGGCTGACCACTTCGTACCTTGCTGGCTCACATCATCCGCCAACGCAAGCCTTCATGTGGGGTGTGGAGGCGCAGGTCAAACCGAAGGGCTCCAAGTGCCTCGTGGTAGAGTTACCTACGCTCTCGATGTTGGTGACACAGTAAGCATTGCGAAACATCCCGGTCACTTCATCAGCTGCACCCGGAGGTTACTACGGCTCTCACCAATAATACCGGCGAGTATCAATCCTGACTGCATCTTATCAATCCAGTCCGGCGGCTACCTAGCCGTCTTGAGCACTGGTCCTTACCCACCGGGCCCCATACAAAATCGATGACCACGGCTGGCTGGCTGGAAATTCATGCCTCTTTAGCGCGCCGACCTCAGCCCAGTGGCGTTGCTCGGTTTCATACTGCGTCCTGGTTTTCGCAGCGTCGTAACCAGCGGCATGCCTGAATTATTTCATACGTACGGATTACTGACGTACTTCTGTCACTTTCAGGCCTCTCAGTTGCAGCTGAGCACTAATCTACGTTAGCGGTTTCGTAGGCTCAGCTAGCGATCTCTCTCTTTTCAGCAGCGTTCTTGGTTGGGGGCAACTACTCGGATGTGTGAAAGTAAGTGTATCGTGGAGGTCTATGTCATTTGACAGGCGATGCATTGTTCTCTTTTCATGGAGCACAAAAACATGGGATCTTCGATAGGACTAGGGATGACTGAAAGCAAGAAAAAAAGATCTCCCCGACTGGGAGTCGAACCCAGGTCTCCCGCGCTTGTTCCTGTTAAGGATTGACAAGCGGAAATCATGACCGTTAGACCATCGAGGATACTTAATTAATGGTAGTTTTTTTAATCAAAACCTATAGGACTAAAATGCCGTAAATGCAGGGAAAAATCCAACTGACATCATAACCCATATGGAACATTCAGATCGACCAAAGACCCACTGTGGGTAAAACATTTCCATGCGATAATGGATTGGGAATCAACTTCCCCACGTACACAGTACTTCAAGTGTTCCCTTGATGCTATTCAAACGCCCTGGGAGCAGGCCGGAGTACTCACAGAATACGCACACAGTAGCAAGCCAGAAGTCTAAGAGTGGGCTCGTTTGGTCTCTCAACCCCGCCACATCACACCGTCTCCATTCATACGACAGCACCAAGCGCCTCGCCTCCGCGGGCTGTTCCAAACGAGCCCTGCCCTTTGTCCTTTACTGGTGGATGACCAAGAAAAGTCACACCTGCTCCCGGAATCTGTCATAGACCAAGAGTGCATCCAAGTCCATAGTATCATACCCACTCCAAGTGACTGGTGATGCCATGTCCTCTAATATAATGAGCGGAGGATGTCATTCATCGACATCATGTTTCAGGTGATCGCGCATGGCTGACCAGCCCTTAGGTGCTTCTTATTCGCTGCTTTTGAATTTCAACCAAAGTGGATATTATGGTTTACTCGTTGCTGGACATCTCTCCCGCCGTGTTGCCCCTACTTTCCCGATCTACTTGTTCGACCCCAGATTTGTGGTTCACCGAATGACGGCTCGACACAAGACAAAGAGTAAGGGAGCTAGGAAGCATCACCACAACAGCCACCGCCTTGCTGCCACTGAGTCATGATGTAACTTACTCCTGCTCACATACTGTGACTGACAACCACTCCCAGCCAGTTCGGGGCGAATACTCAAAACAGTATGGGGGTGAGCTACATGACTGAACTGTCCCCAAAATCCAAGGCAACTACCGATGCATCCCACCCAAAGCGGTCAGCCATACGTCAAACCGCAGGTCAAAGCTCAAGCAGCCTGCTGCACAGCAAGCGACATCCCACTTTGTAAAACCAATCATCCGATTCAATCCGAGCTTGAAGATTCAGGGCAGAAAGTATGGGATACACTGACTAGTCCGTGATATTCAGTTCCTGCTTTCCCTATTCCCAGACCGGGAGTTCTAGATCAACCACAATAGGACTATGGAACCGTTTCCCATCTCGGTGCGGCCAACTGGTTGCCATGATCGCTGCATTGACTATACATGTTTCGCGCCGCTGAGTGTATGGCCCGTCCTGATCGCCGCTCTGATGTTCTTTCAGGCATGAAAACGGAGAGGATGACGTTGGTTGATCGGCTTCGGAGCCTTGAAGCCTTTCCGACGGCCGCTCGGGCAACGGCAATAGTAGGGCATTCTGTGATGGTCCGAACAGTTGGCCGACAAGCGCTCGAATGTTGTTGACAGCAAATTGATCATTATCTAACTTTGGTGCCCTCTTGCCAGTGAGATCGACAAGGCTCTGTTTTCTACTTCCTGGAGGAGGCAGAACATTCCGGACAACTTGATCCTGCTGTCCTTGTCTGTCCACTGTTGCTGCTGTTGGCCTCGGATACCATCGCACCCTCTCAGACCCTCGAGATTCATGCACATGACCGCAAACTGCCAGCAGCGGTCGAACTTTGCTCAACGCACCCCGCAGGGCTTTGCATCCAACTGATATGCCTTCTGTCCGGCTATCGCAGTGAGACCAAGGTGGCGTGTGCGTTACGACAATATCCGTGTCCAATGGAATGATGTTCCAAAGCGCAACAGCATTTGAAGATTCGTACCCATATGCCCAAGACCCGGATGATTGGGAATATGGAGAACCAAAGATTTTGAAGACAGTATTTGGGCCGTTGGATCGCGTCAGCCGGACTAGTGCTGACTGATGCCTGAGATAAATTATTGAAGGTGATGCTTGAGTCACGATATCGATGCATTTCTGGGTATCTTCTAGACGCTGACCGTAAAACTGGGACCCGTATTCAGCATAGAAACCCGGGTCTAGTGTAATGTCATGGTTCCCTGGTGATCGCTTGTCTCAGTACGCACAGTTTCGGTAATACAGCCCGCCTTACCCCCTCAGCCCTACGAGTGGCCTTTCGAGTAAAGCAGTATAGAACCAGGGTTGGGTAGTCTTGGTGTCGAGGACAACTAACCGCAGATAATGATTTTGACTTCGAACTCAGCCGTAGCGATCCAACTCATTGTCTTGCGCAATTCGGCGGAGCTCCCGTGATTGGTGAGGTCGCCAGCATGGATTAAGACATCTCCAGCTGGAAGTTTGAAGCCAGCCTCTGACGGTGTGTAGGCGTGCGTATCGGAAACACAGACAAACCGTGTCTTCCGACGCATTTTTGCCCCCAATACAACCTGACTGGAATTGTCAGCTCAACCTAGCTTAGGGGAGTGTTCTATTTTGGTGAAGGCTCTGCTAGGGCTTGGTACTACAACGTACAGTACTGTGACAAGGCTTGGTTTTAAACAGATGCTGCTGTCACTCCACAGCCTTGTCGTCCAACGTCAGTTGCCTGATGAGGCTAACTAGATGCATGTCGGACATGAGCAAGGAATTGTCTAGAAGGATATAGGACCAAGCGCCATGGCCTGTACAACCCGACCGATGGAGAAGCAATAATCTTTCATCCAGGATATGGAACTGGAACATGATTAAATGCCAATGCAACGTGCTCCATGTGCCATCAGCCCATGCTGAGTCAGCGATCTGGCCAATGAACTCCGAGTCTCCGCTCCAAGTCATCCGGCTTCGGCCACCAATGAACGGGCGCTCCGAGCGACCCGAGTGGGACCGCATCTCACCATTACATGATTGATGATGGAGGTTCAGCGACCTCACGATACAACCTCCCCTATCCCCGTCTCACTACTGCCTGCTCAGCCGCCGGAGCTTAGGTGCACCCTTCGTCGTCGGTATACTTCTTTTTTGTGGCTGAGTACCTCTATCGGGCCCCTTTATCCATGATGCCTCGGTGGAAGCGCAGTAAAGCACGCCCCGAGAAAGATGCAGCGACCGGCGGCGGCGGTTCTGGTGCACCCTCCGACTCTCCTACTGCCCATTCCACTGCCGTGGCCTCCCTTCGCGCTGTTAGTGGTAGCTCTCCCGATGCGATGAGAACTACAGCAGTAACCCCGAACCAGGCACCATCCGACCCGGAGGCAATTCGAAAGCTGGCGAAGCAGCACGCCGAATTCGGACCCCTGGGCGATCCATCGCATCTCTATACGAGCGAGCACCCCGGTGGAGAAATCCCTGATCCAGTCATTGATGAGCCTCCGTACTTCTTTGTTTTGACAACGTACATAAGCTTTCTTGTCCTGATCTTCCTCGGTCACTTTCATGATTTTATGGACAAATGGTTCCGCTCTCATACCTACCGGCACTTGAGGCCCCAAAACGGCTATGCTTCATTGTACAGCGATTTTGAGAGCTTCTATACACGACGTTTGAAGCAAAGAATTAACGATTGTTTTGAGAGGCCGATCATTGGTGTCCCGGGCAGACATGTAACTTTGCTTGATCGGACAACGGAGGACAACCTACATTTCAGCCTTACGGGAACGACTACTGATACGCTGAATCTCAGCTCTTATAATTACCTTGGCTTTGCTCAGTCGGAAGGTCCATGCACCGACTTTGCTGAGGAAACACTCCGGCGGGATGGCATTTGCATTGCGTCGACTGCCGATGCTGGAATAACGAAGCTGCATGCTGAGGTAGAGGATCAAATTGCCCGCTTCGTGGGGAAAGAATCTGCAATGGTGTTCTCCATGGGTTTTGTGACAAATGCAACTATATTCCCAGCTCTCATGGAAAAGGGATGTCTGATCCTGTCCGACGAGCTCAACCATGCATCTATCCGATTTGGCGCCCGTCTGTCTGGCGCGGCCATCCAGGTCTTCGCGCACAACAACATGGCTGACCTTGAAAAGCGTCTAAGAGAAGCAATTTCTCAAGGCCAGCCTCGCACGCATAGGCCATGGAAGAAGATTCTTGTCACTGTGGAAGGCCTGTTCTCCATGGAAGGAACCATGTGCAATCTTCCCAGGATTCTGGATCTGAAGAAGAAGTACAAATTCAACCTATTTGTCGACGAGGCACACTCCATCGGAGCTGTTGGACGTCACGGGCGCGGAGTTTGTGACTACTTCAAAGTCGATCCTTCGGAAGTCGAGATTCTCATGGGAACATTTACCAAGTCTTTCGGAGCCAATGGTGGCTATATCGCTGCAGACAAGGCCATTATTGACAAGCTGCGCTGCACCAACGCCGGCCAAATATTCGGCGAGGTGCCGTCCCTTCCTGTCCTGGCTCAGATCTACTCCTCGCTTCGCCTCATTGCTGATGAGGATCCTCTCCACCCTGGCGAGGGACGGGAGCGAATGCAGCGACTTGCCTTCAATTCGCGCTACCTCCGACTAGGATTGAAAAGACTTGGTTTTATTGTCTATGGACACGATGACTCCCCCATTGTTCCCTTGATGCTGTATAACCCTGCTAAAATGCCGGCATTCTCGCGGGAAATGCTACGACGCAAGATCTCTGTTGTTGTTGTGACTTACCCAGCCACGCCCCTGGAGCTCTCTCGGGCGCGACTCTGCATCTCGGCCTCCCATACCAAAGAGGATCTCGATCGCATCCTGCAGGCGTGCGATGAGATCGGTGATGCTTTGCGGCTCAAGTTCTCCTCAGGAATTGCAGGTGGCCTGAGGGATCCATTGTTCATCGACGACAGCTCAAAGGGGCCCAAAACGATAGAGCCCCCTCGTTGGACTCTCGAGGAAGTCATTGCGAGGGGCACACAGGACGCGAATCTGCCTCTATACTGAACGAGCAGTATCCGTATAATGTGAATAAGATAGGATATATAACGCCGCGATGTCTTGAAACCATACACGCCAAGAACATAGCTAATGCCCCTTTTTTGGTTCGAGTCGTTACATTTATTTGTCTGCATAAGCGGACGGCGTGATGAGGGAATGCCCCGTTGCATTGTGATTATATCAATATTAATGTATACAATAATCTTTCTTTCTAGACAATATACACTCGTCTCAGTGGACCCGGAGATCTTGCTTCTTGGACTAGCGTCATTCCAGCTTAGCATTTCGCAACCTGCGCAGATAGTGTTTAGTTGTTTAATTAACCCCTAAGGAACACCTGGAAAAGCAAAACGATGGACGCTCAGATCACGACGCGCCACTGCCCCCATGAAGAAATGAAACAAGCGATAGACATGGCAGTGAGAGGTCAGGACTACCTACCAGACAGACATACTAGGCATACTACTAGGTATGAAGGCGGCAGCCATTCAGCGGCCCATGCCCACTGGCGGGACTGGCGTGGGAATCGTACCTAGTGGTCCGTAGTAGATATCCATCGTACTGACCGTTGTCTGGAATTCCGAAATTAGTTCGCCTGTCGTGGGAATGATGCTCTGGGCAACCAGCACCCCCTTTTGCTGGGACCAATGTTGATCACTTGTCGTTTCTTGTTATGGAGTAGTCTCCTTCCCTTTCCTTCTTGGCCACCATCCACCTTAGGACGGTCCTACCCCTGGTTCCGCCCTGTTCAATCTCGTGGTCTGGCACCATCCCGAGCCTCGCTACGGGCGGAGCTAAGCCTGGCCAGTTCCCTCCCCAACGCTAGATCAGCCCGCCAGTCATCTGCCATAGACACTCACTCGCCCGTTGATCACAATCCCCCCTCCGCTAAAATGAAATGTATTTGGAAACGCTGGTGGAGGTGTTGGAGCCAAAAAGATTCATAATCCCTGAATAATTGTCTTTTGCCAATCAGAATTCCCCAGTCACCGTCATAATGGCGCTTGCGCTTTCTCTCTAACGGAAATCCACCATTGCGGGACTCGGTGTCGGTGCTTTTCGCCTCATGACTCTCAGGAGGTAGGTAACTAACTAGGATAGCTCGCGACAGAGAAATCCATTTCACGGACCTAGCTCATGACAATCAAGTACGCCTTTGACGTAGTCAGTTCCGTGGCGACTCTCGAGACCTCTATCATCTCACGAGCAACGAGAGACCCTGCTAGCAAAGATATGGGAGCCTCAACCGATGGATCGTATGACGAAGGGATGAAACCCCGAACTACGGAATTGTAAGTACCTAAGTGAGTTAACTAAAATCCATGTCCCTCGCGTAGATACCTCTTGGCCCAAACCCGACCTTATGGAGTTGCTCCTCTGTTTGATCTGGAATGGGCCAATCATGACCGGACCCAGGGACAAAAGACATACATGGAGCCATGGATAGCAAGCTTTATGATGGCTGGTCTGGTCAGACCACCATGCGTGGAGCGGTATTCATGGGGTTGCTATCTAACCGTCCATGTATGTCTTGTACCTGCATGGACGATGGCCGCGATTCGGCAAGGGATGTCTAAACCGTGGCCAATGTGATATCATAGTCGGACTAATCATAATTTAAGAAGCTTCTTTGGTGGTGCATTGCCCAGCCGATGGATTTGCTAGGTGGAATGTTGGGGTGTCGATGATGTGGCTAACCACTCCAGAACCAACCTCGCGCGCTGGTTCCTGCATAACCAGTGGCGCTCCCACATCCGCTCCCACATTATCATTATCTAAATTATTGCTTACTGGCTCGCGAATGGACGTTGCCCCAGTGCGACGGTACCTCTGTAGATATCCCTGTTGATTATGGCTTTTGCATCTACGATCTAGTAAGAGGGTAAGGGTAAGGTATTGTGTAAAGTCGTTGCGATGCGGAGCGACAAGCCGAGTGGACCTTCGACACATGCCGGCAATTGCGATTGGGTTGCTTATGCTGGGAGCCCGATCGACCGGGTCGCCTGGTTCTTATTCAAAGGGAACGAGATTCTTGCTGGACATTCACTACGATCCAACCTAATAATGTGATGGGCCAAAGAGTAGATAGCTGTAGCTGTAGTGCATACTGATGTTCCGTGCTAGAATGAGTTGATGGGGAGAGTGGAAGGTGGAATGTAAGTAGGAAATACCTAGTAGGTATGGATGGGCTGTTTGCACCACCACAAATTGTCTGGGGAATGGGAACCCCTCGTGGGAGGATGGTTGGATCTTTATTATTTACTTTTTTGCTTGCTTTCTTTTTTTTTCTTGCCTTCCGATAATTGGGGTGTTGACAAGGAAAAAGAGACCGACCTCACCCACTCAAGCGGCGAACCGAAGAAGTACCACGACTGGGCAAGCAAGTAAAGTCGTAGGTCGTAGGTTGTAGTAGTAAGCTGTTGTGAACTCCGATGAGGCGGTGTCGCCCTGGCAGGTCCTCCTCCCCCCCCTAAACTAAAAACTAAACCTGCCATTTGCTACCTACCAGCAATAATTATCTAATGCTGGCTGGCCAGAAAGTGTGAAACGCCGGAGTCTTTCATTCTTCCTGTCTCCTCCTCTCTCCTCTCCTCCAATTCTCCACGTCCAGAGCCCCATCTTGCTCTTCGCTCACCTTGGTCCTTTTCCTCCCTCTTTCCTTGTTCATGTTCTTGTCTTTGGGTGCCAGTTGTACACTTTTCCTTCGGTCGTCCTCTTGCTTGTCCTTGTCGCAGTCGTTCCGTTCCCGTTTGCTGCTATCCACCCCCCTGTCTGTCTATCTGTGATTTTCGATGATTCAGTCGCCCCATGCTCTTTCAGCGTCGCGATCGGACTTTTTATGAGGCTATTTCGGATACAGAGGACGGACAACATTCGCAATTCCCGCCCCGAGACGTTGAGCGGCTTTAAGAGGACTATTTTAGCATCGTCAGGAACGAAACGCCGGTCCTACGCTGCCTGCGATCCCGATTTAATTCGCCAGCTCCTTGAATCCGTTCGACAGCTCGGCCCTCCTCCGCTATCCTCTTACCTGTCTTTTGAATTGTTGTCGCTCCTCTGGTTTCAACCTATAATATACCCCGATCTCATTGCAATTGGGAATTCTATTGGTACAGGAGACTTGGTGAAGCTGGAGTGTAACTTCTTCAGTTGCCGTCTGCTCTTCCACTGTTACTCCGCTGCTCTGTGCTCGAGACGACCGTTTACGACTCAACCATAACGATGGCATTCCTCTTTAAATCGAAGAAACACCAGCAGGGGTCTGGCCTACCTCCAGCGGCAAGAAATGTGCATACTTCAGAAGGGGCTACCGCAAACCCACCAGCGGCTGCGCCCAACGGCGCGAAAGAAAGGGATGGAGGACATTCCCAAACGCCGACACCTAGCAGCAGCTACAACAACTCTTTGAATTCAGTGAACGGCACAAACAGCCCCGATCACCCCCGTGCGCGACAAAGAGCTGAATCCGAATCGCAGGTTGGTCTCCCATAGCTTCTCCTGTTATGACTATTGGCATTGCGTCACATGTCTGGCTGCGATGAAATAACCCCAATTTTCGCGTCTTGGCTGATCTTGTGCAGACTCAACGACCCCAACAAGCGATGCAGAATACCTCTCCGAGCAATAGCCCAGGTGCATCATTGTACCCGTGGTCGCAGCGACGGATGAACTTTTCCTCTTCCCAGACGAACCCTTTCCCTCGTTACGGAGCAGCGATCAATGCGGTGGCGTCAAAGGAGGGCGATATCTACATGATGGGTGGGCTAATAGATGGGTCAACGGTCAAGGGAGATTTGTGGGTGATGGAAAGCAGTGGCGGAAACCTGTCCTGTCTCCCAATTGCTACGGTCTCTGAAGGACCAGGTCCGCGAGTCGGCCACGCGAGCTTGCTTGTCGGTAACGCATTCATCGTATTTGGAGGTGATACCAAGGTGGACGAGGCCGACACATTGGACGACACCCTTTATCTCTTGAACACATGTACGTCTACATATGTAGTCCCCCTCAACCTGGGCTTTTTGAAGGCTCCACGTGCTAACGCGATTGAATTCCAGCTTCGCGTCAATGGTCGCGATCCATTCCTCCAGGTCCCCGACCCGCCGGACGTTACGGTCACACTCTCAACATACTTGGTTCTAGGCTCTATGTTTTCGGTGGGCAGGTTGAAGGTTACTTCTTCAACGATCTAGTAGCCTTTGACCTCAATCAGCTGCAGAACCCCATGAACAAGTGGGAGTTTCTGATCCGGAACAGCCACGAAGGCGGCCCACCCCCTGGTCAGATCCCTCCCGCCAGAACAAATCATTCAATGGTGAGCTTTAACGACAAGTTGTACCTGTAAGTATTTCTCTGCCTCTACCTGAGCTGTTGAAGTTATAGATTCGGTTTCTGACCCTTTTGAAGGTTTGGAGGTACAAATGGCCTGCAGTGGTTCAACGATGTTTGGTCCTACGACCCTCGTGCCAATAGCTGGTCCCAACTTGATTGCGTTGGCTTCATCCCGACACCCCGGGAAGGCCACGCCGCGGCTCTCGTCAATGACGTTATGTATATATTCGGAGGTCGGACGGATGAAGGTATCGACTTAGGGGATTTGGCCGCATTCCGCATTACGACACGACGATGGTACTCCTTCCAGAACATGGGACCCGCGCCCTCTCCAAGGTCCGGTCATAGCATGACGGCATTCGGTAAACAAATCATCGTCCTGGCGGGTGAGCCGAGCTCTGCCCCAAGAGATCCCGTGGAACTTAGCATGGCGTACATCCTTGATACTGCCAAGATTCGATACCCGGCTGAGAACCAGAATGGCGAGAGAGCCCCGACTCAAGCAATGCGAAAGATGAGTGGAGATCGGGCAATGGCACAAACTGGCCGGACCTCTCGGGAATCGCAGAACCAGCCTCCTGACGCGCAACGACGTGGGCCCGGGCAGACACGGGACAGTATGATGACGAGTCCTACTGGTAGGCCAGGGCCAGGGGATACTGGCCCTACCCCAGGGCCGGGGTCTCGACTGCCCAGAGCATCGATAGCGCAGGCCCCTGCCGGGCCTCCCCCGCCCGGTCAAGCCCCAACCCCTGGTCCAAGGGGCAACACCCCTCAGCATGCCATGAACCCCCGAAGCAAAACGCCCACGAAAACCGACCGTAGCTATGGGGGCCCTCCGGTGGATATTGCCAAGGCCATGGGACCTGATAGAGATAGGGACTCCCCGGCTGCGAGAGACTCTCCAGCCGCGAGAGAATCCCCAGCTGCGAGGGACTCACCCAAAGAAAATCGACCAATGCAGGAATCGAGCGCTGGGTCGGGCGGTAGCCGTACGCCAACCCAACAACAGTCAAGACTGTCTGCGAAGGCTATGGAAGCTGGCGAGGCAGCTCCCCTCATAAGCGCACCGACTAGACAGCGGTCTTTGCGTCAGCACCGACAACGCAGCTCCATAGACAGTGCCGACGAGTCCATACTCGGTAGAAATGCTAGTATCGACGGTTCGGCGGAGTCGAGGAGTTACAGGAACTCAAAATCGGGAGATGAACCACGGTCGCCCAGATTGACTCCCCACCAGGAAGCACTAATCAAAGAACTGGAATCCGTGAAAAGCCGCAATGCCTGGTATGCATCCGAGCTTGCCTTAGCCAAGAAGGCCGGATATTCCCCCAACCCCGCAAACAACGGTGGCCTGGATGAGCGTGCAGCGGATGCATTTGCGGACGAGGATCGCCCATTGATTGAGGCGTTCCTTGCGATGAGAGCCGAATTGGCGAAAATGCAGGCGACTGTCGATCGCCAAGCAGCCATAGCGTCTAAGCGTGTTGCAGAGGTCGAGCACCAGAGGGATGTTGCTGTTAATGAGGCAGCTTACTCTCGTGCCAAGTTGGCTGCCCATGGTGGAAGCCATAGGGGCACTCCACAACCAGATGGACACACCCAGGACTCTGACGAGGCGACCGCAGAGCGTGGTACAGACATAACCCGAAGGTTGGCTCTGGCCCTCGCATCCCAGAATGAGCTCAAGTCTAAGCTGGAGGTGGTTTCCACCGAACTCGACCAGGAAAAGAGAGGCCGGGAACTGGCGGAGGAAACATGTGAAGCCACCAGGAGGCGACTGGCTGAGCTTGAAATGCATAATAGCAAGTTGGAGGCCGAAAGTCTTCGGGCGGAGCTCCATCAGCTGGAGGCCTCTGTCAGGGAAGAGTCCTTGTTGCGATCCGAGGCCGAGTCGGCCGTAAAGCAATTGTCCCTGGACAAGGAGGAACTTCTGCAGAAGCTTGACGAGTCTACCTCCCGCCTAAGAGACTATGGAAATAATCTCGGCAGCCTGCGGGAAGCCGTTACCGCCTCATCCGACAAGTCTCTTCTTCTAGAAAGGCAACTGGATGAGGAACGTGAGCGGCGTGAAGGCTTGGAAAGAAAGCTCCTACAGTTGCGGTCGGAGCACGAAGAACGGTCATCTGAGTTGGAGAACGCTACTCGTCGCCTGCGAGATGCAGAGGAGCTCATCCAAAGTCATTCGAGGGAAGCAGAGACTCACAAGAACGCATTCCTATCCGGTCTAGATCGCGCATCGTCCTTTGACTCTGATATGTCCTTGCGCTCCTTGTCAGATCAACGGGTGACTGCCTTGGAGACTCAGGTTGAAAGGGCGAACCAATTAGCGAAGACAAGCCAGGCTGCTGCAGACGAGGCGGCAGACAAACTTCGCCGCGCGGAGGAGAGGATCGCCGGGCTGGAAGCCTACCAGGAACAGGCCAGCAGGGAAGGGTTGCAACTCCGCAGACAACTCCAGGCAGCCATGAAGGAAAGCCAGGGCCACTCTGCTGAGAACAGAGACTTGAAGTCACAAATTGAAAACCACCAACGCGAGGCCGGTGCACTCGCTGTCCAGCATGCTGCTCTGAAGGACCTCCTGGGAGAACGTGGTGTCAATTACGCCGATAGCCGACGCTCACCCCTTGAGTCACCTGGCTCTCGTTTCGGAACTCCCGAACAAGGTCGGCTCCGCGAATTAGAACAACAGCTTACGACTAGCCTGAAGGCCCATGAAGAATTGAAGGCATCTTTCGAGACTCGTGAGCAGGAGGCAGACCGCGCATACCGAGAGAAGCTCGAACAGCTAGAAAACGATTACCAGTCGGCTGTTCACTACGTCAAAGGTACTGAGAAGATGTTGAAGCGTATGAAGGACGAACTTGCCCGATACAAGTCCCAGAACGTCAAGCTGCAGTCCGAACTAGACGCAGCACAGAAGGCTCTGGCCGAGTCGCCTACCGGATCTTCCGAAGCTCCCGCCGAGTGGGACGCCGAACGCTCGAGACTCGAAAGATCGATTTCTGACCTCCAAGACGACACCGCAGCCTCGATTGCAAATCTCGAAAGTCAAATTGCAATGCTGAGGGAAGAGGCTGCCGCCGCCGACGCTGACAAGAATAAGACTCAATCTCAACTCGAGCGTGTCAAACAAGAACTTGTTGCCGCTGCAGAGAAGAGCCGCTCTGAACTGGAGCAGCTTAAGCAGGAAAATGCCTTGCTTGAGAGTCGTGCTTCCGATGCCGAGCAAAAGGTCACCATGTTGCTTGATCAGGTGGAGGCATCAGTCGGGCATTACCGTCGGCAGTCTCAGCCCGTCCAAGGTATTAATGGCATCTCCCGCACCCACAGTAATGCCTCGAGTAACACAATCGGTGCGGGTCGTCGGTCCAGAGCCGATAGTGCCGTGTCCCAAGACGACTCTTTCCCGGACAACCGAAATTCAATGGCTTTGGACTCGCTCGCAAACGAGCTGGAAGCCCTGCGTACCCACTGGGAGAGCACCAACCGCAACTATCGGTTGAGCACACAGTCCGACTTCGATCGCACCCCAACCAAAGAGACCGGACTGAGCGACAGCCTAGCCGAGTGGCGGCGGCGTTTGGATGAGGACGAGACCAGCTCCACGGAGAAGATCCAGCCTCGCCACTCCGGCACCAATTTCGCAACGGCCAACATGATCTGAGCAGCCTAAACAAGGTGCCAGCCAGCTAGTCTAATGATCATTGAGTCAATGTTGACGGCTACAACACCCGCCCAGGGCGCAGCAGCAGCAGCTGGCAGAAATCGCCGGCTCGCTCTTTCTCGCTTTGCCTTGCCTGCTCTCACAAACCTTGTCCTTTTTTCCTTGTTCTCCTTTTTTCTTTATCCACACGCTCGAATCATTCCCCTTCGTTCTTTGTTTCCTTTTATACCCCCTTCACACTTTTACTTCCTACCTTGGACTGTACTATTACTTTGTTTACTTTTAACGAAGCCTCTGTCTGATCCTACTTACCCTTGATCTACTCAACCTACCTACCAACCTTAACCATTGAAAATCGTAATCCATATCATGCATGATATAACTACATAGTACTAAGACCTTTTATGCCTCCAACATCAACAACAAGTAACAACAAGCAACTTTGTAAGCCAAACAAAAATAGAGGAATTAGAATGAAGATCAGATCGCGTGAATGTGATTGTTAAACCCAATTAATGTATCTCGATCTTGGTCCCAGGTCAGTCACATCTATTTCATACCATCTTTCAGACAATAAAGTATGCCTCGTACGTAATGTTAGAATTACCAAACAGGGTAAAGAACCATGTGTTGTATTCGTGTTATACATTTTTAGCCATGAAAGAATAATAACGATGTGTAACTCTTGAGGAGTTGGACAGGTAGGATACGCAAATCTTGTATGGATGATGTCATACATGCGGGAAAGAAAGCCTTACAACTCTTTGGGTGACTGTACTACTAGATTGCTCCTCAGAAATACCCATGATGAAAAACAATCAGTTTTGTATCAAATTCTAGTTATCTTTCTATATTGGTCAAGTTCAGGGAATCAGGACATATACCAGCAGACCTACGCAGAGAATCCATCGATACGTTCGTAGCAGACATAGTGCGAAGTGAATAACTCACGATTGGATAGCGAGCTTGCAGGAAATGGCTCAGTTGCATGCTGCCTAGAGCACTTGCTACCCGACCTGTCCCACAAACCGCCCCTCTCAATATGGAGATGAGTGATCCTAAAAAGCGAAACGGTACACAAGGAAACTAACGAAACGACAGGAATTGACGCAATACCACCCCGGAAGCGACCCTAACCAGTTTCCGTCGCCACATACCCATTTGAGATGAACTTTTCCCTACCCAAAGCACTGCATACTACCCTTGCTTTTGGCAAAGATAGCGCAGAAGCGCCTGGACATGTGGGAAAAAGAGCCATCTCCAACACCTCTCCACCAGTCGTTCCTTCATTCCCCTCGTCCCCACTTGTGCGTCAAGAACAAAACTATGACAATCTGAGATAGCAACATGCAGAACAGAAAAGAAATTATGAATCAAGGGCAATGTATGAAATGGCTGTTCAGCATCATGAGAGGCTCTCGCGACAATGTCAGCGTCAGAGACATCTCCTTGTGCTTGAAGCGTAACCATTTGATGTTTGCATCTCCTTCCGTCTTTAACATCCCGATCGACGGCAGCGAAACACCACGCGAAACTTCAATGTGAATAGTATTTCATGTGGCAACCAACGATACCGGGAGGCTAAGACGTAGAATAGCCACAATTAGAGCGTTTTGAGTCTGCTACCGAGGACCTTTCGCATATAATGAACGTAACCGGAATTTGCAGGCGATCTTTTCGAGCGGGGTCGTTCCGAAAGGACCAGGCATTAGCCGATAGGCGAGCAGAGGATCTCAACAAACGCGACGGATCGAGACGGTGGGAACCGGAAGACGATCTTGGAACGGGATAACGGGCTAACAGAGAATGCAGAGAGGGAAATAGTAAAGAAAATAGAAAGGGGGGCCCAAGGCGAAACAAGTCCGAAAGGTTCACTGCAGGTTGCAGAATATAACCGGTATCATGATAATCCTGGGCTCCTCAGATAGCGTGGCGTCAACACACAGTAAGCTGAACGACAACCGAAAAGAAACGTCAAGCTACACTGCCATGCTGCACAAATCAGTACCACTGAGAACCGTACCCATCGTCCCGCTTCGCACGGCTACCGGCAGGGCCATAAGCACCTGAAGCAGCAACCTTGGAAGCAGAACGCAGCCTAACGCCGAAGACTATGAGATTAGTCAGATTCTAGGATTCAAGCCGACCTCTACGCACGGGGTCATAGTAAAGCACCAAACGCAGAGGAAAGGGGTTCCCTACAACGGAACCTAGGTTTCAGATACTCACATCCTGTCACTCCCTCCCACGGCCCGGTTGGTGTCCGGCGTGTTGTCTAGAGTTCCACGTTCGATGACCTTGCGGCGCTGGCTAGAGATCGCACCAGGCTTGGCGGCACCGGGGATGCCCAGGGGTGCCGCAGCAGCAACACCCTGACGGCGCTGCTGCTCTTCAGCCTCCTTGTCCTTCTTGTTGGCATCCACGATCATGGCAGCGTTCTTTTGGTATTTGTAGACGGTCCAGTCGAAGACATAGTCATACTGGAAAGACTCGCGGACGAACAGATCGCGGAAGATCTTGCGGAGGTAGGAGTAGTCTGGCTTGTCATCGAAGCGCAGGGAACGAGTGTAGTTCAGGTAGATGGAGAACTCGTTGGGGAATCCACGGCAAAGAACTTCAGTGGGCGTGGTCATCTTCTTCTCCATAATACGGTCGTACTTCTGCTTCTTAGTAGCAGCCTTCAGGCCTTGCCAGGGGAGGGTGCCACGGCAGAAATAGAGCATGACATATCCGAGAGACTCCATGTCGTCACGGCGGGACTGCTCAACACCCAAGTGAGTGTTAATACTGGCGTAACGAGCAGTTCCGGTAAGGTTCTTGTTCTCGCGGTAAGGGATGTGGAAGTGAGTCTTGGGGTCGCGGTACTTCTTGGCCAGACCAAAGTCGATGACGTTGACCTGGTTTCCACGCTTACCGATACCCATCAGGAAGTTGTCGGGCTTGATATCACGGTGGATGAAAGACTTGGCGTGAATGTACTCGATACGAGAAATGAGCTGGTCGGCAAGCAGGAGCACCGTCTTGAGCGAGAACTTGCGGTTGCAGAAGTTGAATAGGTCCTCCAAGCTGGGGCCGAGGAGGTCGATAACCATGGCATTGTAATCACATTCCGTGCCGAACCAGCGAACAAACGGAATGCCAACACCGCCGGCAAGAGACTTGTAGACGCGGGCTTCATATTCAAGCTGGGGGTGCTTGGCCTTGACGCTTTCAAGCTTGATAGCAATTTCCTCGCCCGAGATGATGTTGGTACCTGGACGACTAAGTCAGCCAGCTACTCTAGATAGCCTATCCAGCATCTCCGAGACAGTCACGTACCGAGGTAAATGTCACCGAAACTACCACTTCCAATCTTCCGGCCAATGCGGTACTTGTTACCGACACGCAAATCCTGCGGAAGGATGAGTTACTGGTATCAGAAGATTAAGGCACATTTGACACTGACCATGGTCGTCATCTTGACCGAATAGGCACTCGGCTGACTGGTGTGCTATGCAAACTGCAGAATTAGATTGTCAGTCAGTCACAGATCGATAGAAGAAATGAAAGGTTTCGATCGTTTTAGCGTGATGAAGAGAGTGGAAGGAGGGGGGGCGAATGCAAGGTAGGCTGTCAGAGGGATTGCAAAGTCACCAGAGGACTAGGTGCAGGGAGAGTCCCGGCGCGTAGTCACTTGGCAGAGTGAATCTGATGGGGCAGGTGGCCTGGGCGGGAGCAGACCAGAACCCTAAGCCAAGCAGAGTGGCCAGGCAACAAGAGAATGGTGGTATTGGCAAGTGCAAGTAGTAGAGAGACTAGAAGCGGACGAACCTGGTCTGGAAAACGGAAAGAGGAGATGAGATAGCGGTGATGTCGACTGTTGGGGGGGACCGACCGTGACGACCCGACCGGAAAGGCGAAAAAGGCGGAGAGGAAAAGAAAGGGGATCGAGCTGACAGACCTTTCTTTTAATGGCTGCCACGGCAAAGGAGACGGGGGAAAACAGAACAACGAACCTGCAAGATGCAGACCGAAAGGAAAGGAAAAGGGGGATATATCAGACTCAAGGACAAAGCCTCGATAATGGGGAAGGTGGGTTGGGGGAGGGGAGGAGGAGGGAGGAGAGGGAAAGAGGAGAGGGAAAATGCGAGAGTAAAGAGCAGCAAGGCCAAGCAGGTCAGACTTCAGAGGGAGGGGGCGGGTAAGGTAAGAGACTGATGATAAGTTTAGCAGGCGCCGGTCGGTGGTTGGTTGGCTGGTCGAGTTGGCCTGTTCGGGTCTGGCTTTTTGGTTTTGGACCCCCAGCGTATCGTAACCTGGTATTTTTCTCTCCCAGTACAGTAACCAAGGCTACCTATACTACAGCATCCGACTGATTCAAAGCAAGGCTGTCTCCTTTCATAGGCGGATCTCAGCGGCTGGCCTACCTGGCCAGCAAATACTGGTGACTACTAGGCAAGGATGGGGCCAGTCATCTCAATGTGATTCCAAACTCCTGGGGAGAAGACCAGAACAGACCAGGTGAAAATTGCAATCCATAATCAAGGTGGCTTAGGTAGGAGTCGGTGAAGCAACCCAGCACTCTGGCCAACATCAATTCTCTGCCCCCCTTCGGGATTTCACACAAAGCAATTGCACTTGACCATGGCTCGGATATCCCTTGAAGCTACTCTGCTTAGATGACCGATGCTTTTCTTAGTAACTACTAGAAGGTTGGCAGGCTGACAGCCCAGCAGGATTCAGGTCATGATGCATCCGGATTGTCCTAAGTAGTTAGGTGCCTAAGGCATGGTTACGTACCATCTCATACGTACTCTGTACAGATGGTTCAATGCAACTAAACAATAAAAAAGGCGAACGATGGCTTCGATTAAAACATTCTAGAAGTACCCAAGGTCGTGTCAGACGGCAAAAGACTTGCGACAGTGGCAAGAAGAAGGGTAAGAGCGAAGTGAAAATAACCTAGCCCAAAGCATGTTCCTACAAAGCTAGAACGCGGTTTGTGGCGGATTATTTCGCTCACACGCTACTCCATCCCACCCGCGCCCCCGAAGACCTCGATCGATGATGAGATGATATCTATCCCCTCCACTAGGTAGACATTTTTTCCCCTCACCAATGATAAATACCGCGGTAGATCCCTTAGCCTCCCCTCCGCCCCTCGCCCCTTTAAACTTTCAGGTGTACGGAGCATTCCCTCACCTAATCAGTAATCGCGTTGTCCCTTGGGATTACTCCATATCTGCCTCGGAATGGTACGTCCCATGGCCGACTGATCCCGGGCGGTGAGCAGATGACCCCAGATGCCGCATTTGCCCTCGTGTAGTAAATTAAATACGGTGGGCTTACGGGGCCCTCAATTAATGGGGTTTCTTGGGGCCCAAACGCGCCTTATCGGACCATCGATCAGTGCCTGAGACAGGCTGGATCGGAGAATACCTAACACGGCCTTCCTCCACTCCTGGGGCTTCCCGCAACAAAACATACATAACACCACTGGGCCAGATCAACGTGCAGCTCAAGTACCTATCTAGTACCCCGTCGATTCATGAACAAACACCTGTGTAGCAATGGCGATCAATGCATTGGCATCACCTGATCCGTTGAGGGTGATTTTAGTCAGGTCGTCATGTCTAAAGGGGAGGATCTCTGATCTTAGTGAGAGTAAATCCCTCAAACGTCCCGGGTCTAGTCAAAGTGGTCTCACCGCTAACGATGATCCCAATTCAATGACCACACATGATGGCCGGTCCGAGGTTTTATTGCACGAAGGGTTATTTGCCTGTCAGCCTTTGGCCAACACTGCATACTTGTTGCCAAGAACTCGAAGTAGTCCGATTGTGGGGTGTTTCAAAAAGAATAGTTGGCATATGTAGGTTGGCAGTACCCTCCATTGAGTCCATTCATCCACGTATGCACTACACCATCCACCCCCTCTCTGCATCATCACGTCCTAAACCTATGGATGTAATGCTGTAGTTGCCAGCCTCACTTCAACCAAACAAACAACCCAATATAGATTGCATCGATTGGTACCACATCCTACGCTTTTCTCTGCCTTATTTCCCGATTCTATACAAATGGAGTATCACCCTTACCTTAATCAATTACCTAGGGCAACACTGCCTAGACCTACCTACACCACGCAAGCTGTGCAGATATCTGCATCATCGTAATGGTACCGGCTACCTAACCACCTAAACTGGTTTCCCAGGTGATTAACCCAATCCTACCAGTAGTGATGCAAATAGCCTCTGTATTTTCTGGCCATGTAATTAAGAAACTGCCTTGGACAATGCCATTGCTTTGCCAATATGCCAGAGTGATGCCCATAGAATATCCTTTAAAAATGCAGTCATTCGCGGTCTTATTAAGGGATACCGACTTTTTTTTATAAAGGTCTAGGACTATAGGAGATAGGAAGTATGAATATCGCCTCAAGGTATTTATCCCGTCCTTCAAGGAGCAGGTCCAAGGCATCCTCAAATTAGGTATTCCTGGAGGGTTATCATCGGACGTTGCGTGATAAAATTCTGTCATATGGGTACACAACATACTACTCAGGGACCCTATTGCAGCAATAAGTCTACAGGATGAAAACGGTCACAAAGCAGTCGTCCAGCAAGGAATAATCTCTTATAAGGTGATAGTGAGTCCCGACTTCTTGGGATCATGTCGGGATCCCTGTTAGAGACCCCTGCTATCTCCCCGAATGAAAATATTTTCATCTAGCAAACCAATTGTGCTTATGTTTAGGAAAGTACTTCAGTGAGCGCTTCATCATTGCGATGACCAGATCGTTGACTTGATTGCGAATTAATGGTCAATGCCTAGATGTGACACCACATAGTTGTGAGCGAGCAAACTGCCAGAAAACCAATCAGCCAGAAAGGATAGTCAGCGTATAGTCGGGGCAAACATTTCATAACAGATAAATCGATTCATATTCAAATGGTTGGCAGCGATAGGTATAATGGCTCATTCCTGAATCTCCAATGACTCCGGGGAGGATCCAACAGAATCGCTCGCTCCTTATATAACAGACCGCAGTATACATATCGGAAAGCTTCTCAAAAGCACTGGTCATATACTCAAAACAGATTCCGACGCCCATGCACCAACAAAGCGACCCAAAAGAAAACAATCGCATCGTGGAAGTAGAATTCACAACAAGTCATCGTTACCAGCAGCTGCACACTCTTCAATTGCTTGGAGAACCTGACTTTCCCGGAAGGCAGGCCCTTGTCCATCGCACTGAGCAGTCCCCTGCAGTCGACCAGAGACATCACCGATATTCACCAAGCCGCGCTTGAAGAGCTCATGTCCCTGGATGAGGTCCCACGTGGCACCCGCATCAAGTAGTCTCTCCCCCGTTTTCCCGCAGACCGTTACGCGGTGGGCCGGACCACGACCCCCACCGAGGTCGGAACTGAGATCCGTGGGCGAGTACTTCATCGGCCCGGTCGTTGTCGGCTCCGGATCAGCCGAGTATTGATTTGAATGGCGAAGGGAGGTTGATGTTGCCCGAAGTATCTCATTTTCGGTTGTAAATTTGGCCAGTTCCCGTTTTAGCCGTTCATTGTCTGCCATAAGGGAGGTTGATTCATTCTCAAGGTTGCTGACTTTCTCCTCCAGTTCGCGCACATGGCGTTCCTTGCGTTCACGGAAGGCGCGCTGGCTAAACCAGGGCGACTAGATGTTAGCTCTGTGAAGATGAAAGCATTCCTATGCGTGCAACTACTTACGCAGCTCTGTTCTGGGCCTTCCGTTTGGATTGCGCCGGTGTCAGACTCTCCTTCTCCTCACTGCTACTTCGACCAAGGTTTTGATCTAACAGCTGGTCGTCTCCATCGAGCGAGGCCTGATCAAGGTGCTGGTTGGAAAAGTCATGGCTCGAGACCGAATGTTTCGTGAGGGACTCGGGGGGCGAGTGTGGCGGGGCAACGAAGGAAGCGGTAGTGTGAGGATCCTGAAAGCGCAAGTTCGGATCAAAGGTTTGGTAATGTTGTGCCCCCTTTTAACAATCAGTACTATAAGCAGATTGCACATCTAGCGTAGGTGAAGGAAAAGAAAGGCGAACCAAAGAAGCGTAAGTGCCCTGGAGGTTTTCAGCGTGAGGGGTCGGGTTGCTTTGGTCGGGGGTGGGCAGTCCGTGTACGCCGTAGACGGGATAAGGCTGCTGGTGGGAATTGGAATAGAACGAGTAATCCATCTCGCCTCGTCCCTAATAGATGGGAATGCTAGATGCGCCGACTGTGTCAACTAGTAAGGAGGGATAAGCCCCAGGAAAAGGGAGAGAGAGAGACAGGAACTGGGATCGAGTAAGCCGGGCCTAGAATTGAATAACGGCACGATGCGTGGACTCGGGATGGAACCGCGCAATGACAATCCCGCCCGTGCCAGCACCTGAGCCAATCATAAGCCGGACTCGGAACCGCGGAGAGGGGATCACGTTCCCCGCTGTCATTGGTCACATCCGAAATGGACCGCAGATTGATCGCGATAACTATCGGCTCCATACTTATAGATATAGAGAGGAATGGTGGTATAATAGACAATGAATCCATCAGTCTTCACAACCAGCCCTGAATACATGGTCCGAGGACTCGTCTACCTAGTATATTACAGATCTATACCATGATGTTGGCTATTATCGCTATAATACAGAGAAAAGATATGGGTTGTCAACACACCTGCGTCAATGAACGCGAACAACTCTCAACATACTAAATCCTCATGTGAGTATGTGGTCAGAGAAGGGACCACATGGACCTCTACATGTCATGCCAGGATGTAGAGATTCGGGGTGGTTAGTAGAATCAACCCTCTGCCAGGCAGTACAGCTCGAACCTGAATGAACTATAGAGTGGCAACTGGCTATTTACCGTGTACATGTCGGCAGAGATGTAAATTCGTGTTCGTCCTGTACAAGGGCTCATTGTGTGCAGTCACGCATACGGAAACGGCCACGACCTTGCATATTTTAGGATTTATATTTACCGAACACTCCACCTAATCCCAGTCGTCGTCATCGTCCTCCACGGTGGGTTTGGAGGACTTGATTTTAGATGGGCGTTCATCGTCCGACGAGTCCGATCTCTTCTTCAGACGAACATCGCTTTCTTTGACGGCACCCAATTCCAGGAGCATTTTCTCGAGATCTGCGAGTCGCGCATTAACGGGGAACTAACGGAAAACCTAGAAGCAACTTGGGAACGGCTGTATTTACCTTCAACTGTGGTCCTCGGCCCTTTCAGCTCTCTCAAAGTTACGAGTTGTCTCACAATTTCACCATTTCTGTAAACCAAGATCGTAGGGGTGTTCCTTTCCGGATATCCTTCGATGCACATATTGCCTCGGATCTCGCAGAACTTTATGTCACCAAACTTCGCCGCCAGTTGCCGCCATAGCTCTGTTAGCCGTTGGGATTCGACATTGGCGCTCGAAGAGCTCAGGTGAACCAGCACAAAGCAATTGTTCGAGGCTTCAGTCACCTCACGCCCATAGTCGACCTTTTGTAGGGGGTATACTTGGTTGTGGACGCTAGTCTGTTGGAGTGTAGATAGTTCAGCAAATCGTTTCTGGCTGGATCCGGTTGTCAGTCAGGCCGATCTTCCTGTTTCATCTGTCAGGGGTATGCGGGCGACCGTCATGGTACCGGTAGTGTTCCAGAAATGCCTCGTCTTCCTCGTCCTCCAGAGCGTCTAGCTCATCTAAATCCTTATCTTCTAGCCGGTTCTCATATGCTTTGCGCTCTGCCTCGACCAAAGCTTCTTGGATGAGAGGTTCGGGATCTTGTGGCTTTTCGGGGATAATGCCATGCTTGCGGAGAATGTCGTTCCTGCGGGGTGTGAGCCTGCATGTATGGCGGCGTAGAAGGGCGAGCATGGACTAACCACTCAGTGTCCTCGTTGGGGTTAACTTCGACCTGCATGGTTGCAAAGGGGCTGGGACAGCTCTCAAAAGATCTGAAACGAAATTGACAGGATCGTTGGATAGAAGTCGAGGAGCCCGTACTTTAACGATAGCTTCCTGTTGCCTGGGCGTGAACATGCCGCGTGTTTGCTCCGTTTGCAGGGCCAGCCACACCGCCCTGTGGCTCAGCCGCCCACAGACGCGGAAGGCCACCTGGAGATTGTTGGAGGCCGTCGGGAGAGCTGCTGTTGCTGCCCTGGCCAAAACACCCATCCTCCACCTCCATTGTCCTGTCGTGGTCTCATTCGGCTTCTTCCTCGGGACTGGGCAAGAGTCTTTATTTTCCAATCCGCCCTCCCCTCTTTTGCTCTCTCCCGTCCTCAAAGGATAATGAGGGCGCCGTAGTCGTGTACATACACCGCCTGCACAACGACTAACCCATCATACTGACCCGCCCTTATTCGTCTCCCATTGAACAACCCCCCGACGTCACTCGTACGGGGTTCTTTTCCAACCCAGAGAGCGCTATAGAAACCCTCTGCTGCTGCGGCATTTCCTGCAGCCCGTCACAATGTCTTACGTCAAGAAAGATGAGGACGCTGATCAGACCATGATCAAGCTGGATCGGACCTCCGTGTTCCAAGATGGTGAGGGTCTATCAATTTCGCCTTCTTCTGGAGTCGCATTAAGACCCTAAATATGGTTGCTGACCATCTTGTCATTTCTCTTGTCTCCTTATAGCGCGGCTGTTCAATTCTTCTCCCATATCTCCCCGAACATGTCGTACTCTCCTGACCAAGATCGCCGTCCTCCTTTTCACCGGAGAGCAATTCCCCACGAACGAGGCCACTACGCTGTTCTTCGGTATCTCCAAGCTATTCCAGAACAAGGATCCCTCCCTGCGGCAAATGGTCTACCTGATCTTGAAGGAGCTCGCAAACACGGCGGAGGATGTGATTATGTCAACCAGCATTATCATGAAAGACACCGCTGTCGGCAGCGACGTTCTATACCGGGCAAATGCCATTCGGGCTCTGTGCCGCATCATTGATGTAAGCGCATTGAGCCTTATGTCTTTGTTGTCGAATGATATGGCTGATAAGAGTTGTTCATGACAGGCTACTACTGTGCAAGGTATCGAAAGATTGATCAAGACCGCTATTGTCGACAAGACCCCGTCGGTATCCTCCGCTGCCCTAGTTTCCTCCTACCATCTTCTCCCGATTGCGCGCGATGTGGTTCGCAGATGGCAGAGTGAAACCCAGGAAGCCGCTTCTGGCGGGAAGCAATCGACCGGTTTCCTTGGATTCGGTGGCAGCTCTCAGGCTCATGCTATCTCGCAGTCAAACTTCATGACCCAGTACCACGCAATTGGTCTCCTATACCAGATGCGCTCGCATGACCGCATGGCCTTAGTGAAGATGGTTCAACAATACGGTGCGGCTGGTGTGGTCAAGAGCCCCGCTGCTCTTGTTCTTCTCGTGCGGTTGGCGGCCAAGTTGGCGGAGGAGGACCAAGGCTTGAGGAAGCCTATGATGCAGATGCTTGATGGCTGGCTCCGACACAAGCACGAGATGGTCAACTTCGAGGCCGCGAAGGCTATTTGCGATATGAGGGATGTCACTGACGCGGAAGCCTCCCAGGCGGTTCATGTTCTGCAGCTGTTCCTTTCCTCGCCCCGCTCTATCACCAAGTTTGCGGCAATTCGTATTCTGCATAACTTTGCAAGCTTCAAGCCCCATGTGGTGAATGTCTGCAATCCCGACATCGAGGCGCTCATCTCCAACTCCAACCGCTCCATCGCAACGTTCGCGATCACCACTCTTCTGAAGACCGGTAACGAGGCCAGCGTCGACCGCCTGATGAAGCAGATCTCCGGCTTCATGGCAGATATCACCGATGAATTTAAGATCACGATCGTCGAGGCTATCCGTACCTTGTGTCTCAAGTTCCCTAGCAAGCAGGCTGGCATGCTGACATTCCTGAGCGGTATTTTGAGAGACGAAGGTGGTTACGAGTTCAAACGCAGTGTTGTTGAGAGCATGTTCGACCTCATCAAGTTTGTCCCCGACAGCAAGGAAGATGGTGAGTTTTCTACTCATTGTGTTGACCTATTCTTAATGTCCACTGACGAAACTAGCACTCGCTCATTTGTGTGAGTTTATCGAGGACTGCGAGTTCACCAAGTTGTCCGTCAGGGTATTGCACCTGCTTGGTGTGGAGGGCCCTAAGACTTCACACCCAACCAAGTATATCCGCTACATCTATAACCGAGTCGTTTTGGAGAATGCCGTTGTACGAGCTGCCGCTGTGACCGCTCTGGCTAAGTTCGGTGTCGGCCAGAAGGATCCTGAAGTTAAGTCAAGTGTGTCTGTTCTTCTCACTCGGTGCCTTGATGACACCGATGATGAAGTACGTGACCGTGCCGCTCTCAACCTGCGGTTGATGAGCCAAGAGGACGAGACTGCCACCCGTTTCATCAGCAACGGTAAGCTTATCTTCAAGTTGACTTGCCTTGGCTGGGTTGCTAACGGTTATAGAATCTATGTATTCCCTCTCAACATTCGAGCATCAGCTCGTGATGTATGTGACATCAACAGATAAGGAGACATTCGCTGCAGCGTTCGACGTTGCCAGCATCCCGGTAGTTTCACAAGAGCAGGCATTGGCCGAGGAGCGGACTAAGAAGCTTACGAGCGCAACACCAACTCTCAAGGCACCAACTACTGGTCCGCCCAAGGGCAAAGCCAACGGCGTGGCCGAGGCCGTCACCGTGGCTGCCACCCAGAAATACGCCGAGCAGCTTATGCAAATCCCAGAGCTCAAGGAGTACGGCACTCTACTCAAGTCCTCTGCACCTGTTGAACTCACCGAGAGTGAGACGGAATATGTTGTCACGGCTGTCAAGCACGTGTTCAAGGAACATATCGTGCTGCAGTACGATATTAAGAACACCCTCCCGGATACTGTCCTGGAAGATGTCACGGTAGTTGCGACGCCATCAGAGGAAGATGTCTTGGAGGAGGAATTCATCGTCCCTGCGCCTAAGCTGGCCACAAATGGACCTGGCATTGTTTACGTCACATTCAAGAAGGTTGATGGCGAGCACAGCGTTCCCGTTACCTCTTTCACGAACAACCTTAAGTTCACTAGCAAAGAAATCGACCCGACTACCGGGGAGCCCGAGGATAGCGGGTACGATGACGAGTACCAGGTTGAAGATCTCGACCTCACCGGCAGTGATTATGTTATTCCTACTTTTGCTGGAAGCTTCGACCATGTGTGGGAACAGACCGGTGCAAACGGCGAGGAAGTCAGCGAGACTCTGCAGCTCAGCAACATGAAGGGCATCTCAGGTAGGCTGCTTTCCTCATACCAATATTATTATACTGCCAAAAGCTAACCTGAACACAGATGCCACCGAGCAACTAATCTCCACGCTGTCCCTGCAGCCTCTCGAGGGCACGGACGTGGCCCTCAGCAACAGCACGCATACACTGAAACTGTTCGGAAAGACGGTGACGGGCGGCAGAGTTGCAGCCCTGATCAAGATGGCTTTCTCCAGCAAGACTGGTGTGACCACGAAGATCGTCGTCCGGGCGGAAGAAGAGGGCGTCGCCCCTGCTGTGATTGCGTCCGTTGCCTAACCTCATGGACTTGTAAATGTGTAATGGAGGCATGTTCGCGAGGCGCACGAGTCCTGCATTATGAGATCGGACCTTCTTCTTTTGCTCCTTTTCTTCTTTTTTCTCCACCTATAATTCTGGAGCCGAGTTAGATGCGATGAATATCTTGCGTAGGCGTCAAACCCCTTTATTCATTCGACTTTTTCTATCTTCCTTATCTTGTCTCCCAGTTGACTGTATCATCTCTTTCCCCCCCATTTTTCCCTTGGTCACTGTTACTCTTTACTTTCTTCTAGCATGTTAGCATGTCTTGCTTTCTTCTCCAGCCACCTCCATTCTTCTTGTCCAGGTGGCCGGTCGGATGGAAGTGGCTGGAGCTGTTATGTAGTCAAAAGCGTCTATATATCTCCCACCTTTTAGAGTCCGCCTTTCTTCTTTCTTTCTCACTCATATCTGTCAATCCCGATATGGGAATCTCTTGGATGACTTACGAGATGCTCATCTATGTGCTGAGTCATAGACGCGTGGGCCTGCGTGTTCTTGATGTACGTATATGCCTTGCGCGTGAATCTTGTGTGGATAAATAGACGTCTCTAGTTATATTGTAGATGAACCGAGAATAAATACTAGAGACGGGCGGCATGAGCAAAAAGGGCCAGGCGATTCTATCAGCAGTAAAGCAGAAATGAAAAGCTTAATAACAATCAACATGTGTCTGTCTATACTAGCTGGTTTATGCAATGCATAATATAGGGCCGTTCAAATATAATAAACTCCAACCGTTAAATCCGAGTACTCACTCTTCTCTACTCCGTTATGGAGGGTGTCTGACTGTGACTGGTTCGCCTTCACAAACCGATTATATAGCAGCTCATCGATTTCCTCGTCTTCCATGATCCGCTTATTTGTGCAGAACACTTCGTGGAAGCCAACCGAGCGAAGATTTGCTAGTCCGTACTCCATTGCTGTGATTAGCGAGCTTGTGCTGAAGCTCAAACTCGCATCTAGGCTTGGAAATCCAAACTCGAGCGCCTCAAGCGGTAGCGGCGGGTGCATATGGCTCATGATATCGAAGAAAGAATCGTTGACCAAGTCACCGGGAATACTGAGGGAGGATAATTCGGGAAGAAAGACGGAAATAGCGTTGATAGCTTCGGGCTGAAGACCACGATTTGAACCGGAAATGGTGAAGCGTTTCAGGGTGGCAAGTTGGGGGTTGCTCATGAGGCTGCCAAGGTTGGAGACGGAGAGGTCTATGCAGTTCTTTAGGGTCAGGGAGGTCAATGTGCGGGGCCAGGAGAAGTTGGAGATGACAAGGGAGCGAAATTGGCCGCTGAACTGCAGGCGATGGAGCTTAGGGGGCCAGTCTATTGTTGCTGCGGAGTCGTTATGGTTGGTGAGGGTTGTCGTGCGGGGAAGACGAAGGGTGGTCAGTCGGGAGAGGTTGCTGAGAGCTTTCTTGAGGTTGGGAAAGGGTATCGGCTCGCCCACTAGGGAAAGGTCGAGGTGTTTGAGCTTGGTGCACTTGGAGAGAGCTGGAAGGCTGTTGATACTGTTATATGCTGTTAGAGTCTTGACCGAGGTAGGCGACGATGGGGTGGGAGGTCTGCAATAGAGCATATTGATGTGAACTTACGCAAAGGAAACTCGCGGAGCATGAAATACTTCCAAATTCTCCTTCACCCGGCCTAATAGTCGTGCCGTTAAACTGTTGGAGCTATGATAAACAAGGCCACTGAGGTCCAGTCTGCGAACTAGACTGCCCAAGTGTATCTTGTTCTTTCGTGCCCCGATTGGCGGGCTGATTGTATCGGTAAAACTCTTGAAAGCCATTCCGGCGCTCACCCGCGGCTTCTCATAGAGATAGGGAATCGCTACTGAGTACCATTGGCGCGAGACGAGGCAACAGGCGTGGAGGGTGGGCTGGCGGCGGGCATCATCTGCAGCGGCGAAGGAGATAATCTCCACCACGATTTCGGTGGGGAGATGGATCTGACGGGAGGGCATCAGGGGCAGTCATGAATGCCATGATATGTCAGCATGGAAGGCCGGTGTGCATTGGGAGGTATCATGCAAGTGTCTGAGGTCGACAGTCGCACTGTCGTTGAAGTCGTTGAAGTGGTGGTGGTGGGGAAGAGATTGGTGGGCTGAAATGGCGGCGGAGAAGACGGGGCCTGATGATATCATTCCGCCGATCCTCGCCCGACTGCTATCTCCGCCTTCCGCTCTCCTCGTTCTCAGTCATCCTGCCATCAACCGGACATCCATTCGCCGGTGATATCCATTCGCTCCCGTTAATTCCTGTTGCCAATTGTTTTTCATTAGTCCATCCTTATAATGAGATCGCAATCCCTTTGGCGGTCCTTTGGCCTGCTGCAGCGTGCGTCCACGCGCTCCTTTGTAGACGCTGGTTCGGGCCGGCGCGCCTTCCAGACTGCCAGTTCCCGCATCCCCGACTTCGCCTTTGCATTCGAGTAAGTTATTTGCTACCACACACATTCATTCAGCAGATGTGGACTAATTGATACTCAGCATTGATGGTGTGCTACTACGATCCTCCAAGCCCATTCCCGGAGCGGCCGAATCGCTATCCCTTCTCAAGGAACAGAACATCCCGTTCCTCCTGTTGACCAACGGTGGTGGAAAACACGAAACAGAGAGAGTGGCAGAAATAAGTGAGAAACTCCAGGTATCTCTGGATCCGGAGCTCATTGTCCAGAGTCATTCCCCCTTTGCGGAGCTTGTGCGCGGGCCGGACGAGCAGAGTGCTCTGGAAAATAAATGCGTGCTGGTGGTCGGGGGAGAAGGCGACCGATGCCGTCAGGTGGCTCAGATGTATGAAACATCTATATTGCTTTCAATGCACAGGAGAAATGTAATACTGACAATGAGTTCAGGTACGGCTTCAAGAATGTGGTGACACCCGGTGATATCTACATGGCAAACCCGTCTATCTGGCCTTTCAGGTCTTTCAAGGACTACTACGAGAATATCACGAAGCCACTGCCAAATCCTAAAGATCCTAGCGACCCCTCGAGGGGATTGAAGATCGATGCGATTTTCGTCTTCAATGACCCGCGTGACTGGGCCTTGGACGCTCAGATCATCACGGATATCCTACTATCATCGGAGGGCGTGATAGGAACAATCTCTGAGAAAAACGGTCGGTCTGACCTTCCCAACCGGGGATTCCAACAAGATGGCCAACCGCATTTGTACTTCTCCAACCCGGACCTCTGGTGGGCTGCGGCCTACCACCTTCCTCGCCTCGGCCAAGGAGGATTTCGAGAGGCACTGGAAGGCATTTGGGCGGCGGTGACTGGAGGCCCAAACAAAGGCGTTGAGTTGAAGAAGACGGTCATCGGCAAGCCCTATCAAGGGACGTATGAGTTCGCGGAACGTCAGCTCCTGCGCAATCGCGTCAGGATGTTCGGCTCGGATGCCCAACAACCTTTGCGGAACGTCTATATGATTGGGGACAATCCAGAATCAGATATTTGCGGTGCTAACAGTTACCGGAGTGGACATGGCAGCCAATGGCATTCGATCCTCGTGCGGACCGGTGTTTACAATGGCGGGGAGCCAGCGTGGAAACCAAAGACTATCGCTGATAATGTACACAAGGCCGTTGAATGGGGCTTGAAGACTTCCCAATGGCGGGCTTAGGGATTTAGATGGGGGATAGTGTTCTCACATTGGTTCTTCTTTTGAGCGATTATATATTAAGCAAACCGCATGAGCATTGGATTGCGGTTTCAAGATGGTGCACATGCATACGGGATAGACTGTTTACATATTACTATAGACATGTTTATTGTCGGGCATTCTTTTCAATGGAATCGGGAATAAAGCATGTAACGCAAAGCCCGTCTTTACCAAGATTACAGATAGAGATAACAAGAAGAAGATACACTCCAAATTCGAAGCATGTTTTGGCATTCGGTGCTGCCGCGCCTTGACAGCTATGTACTGCATAATTACATAAGCAATAGATACAGACATCTGCATCAGGTGATGCCCCTCCTAGGGCTTAGGGCTGCGGCATCGACGGCGGGGTGACTCAAAAGAGAAAGTTGAAGCTCCGTCAGGCCGCCGGACTAGTACCAGATTGCCTTGCTCCTCCCTCCTCCATCCACTCGCATACGCATCTACACCATCAAACATGGCGGACTCCGAATTGCCCACTCGCCCCAAGCCCGAGGAAACCCCCGCCGCTGCGGCCGCCCCCGCAGAGGGTGCCGAGGCCAGCAAGAGCGCCAGCAAGAGCGCCGCAAAGAAGGCCGCGAAGGAGAAGGCTAAGGCTGAGAAGGCCGCTGCTCGCGCTGCCCAGGAGAAGGCCCAGGCCGCTGCTGCCGAGGCCAATGACACCGCCAAGGATCTGTACGGCAAGCTCCCCGAGACCGAAGACGTCCTCCCCGCGACGCGATTCTCCGACATCACCGACGAGCACTACGAGCAGGAGATCACAGTGGTGGCCCGTGTGGACAATGCCCGTGTGCAGAGTGCTAAGCTGGCTTTCCTGATGCTGAGACAGCAGGGCCAGAAGGTGCAGGCGGTCATTGCTCTCACGGAACCCATCTCGAGACAGATGATCAAGTACACTGGTGGATTGAACGTCAACTCCATTGTCCAGGTCACCGGTGTTGTCAAGAAGCCCGCCGTGCCTATTTCATCGGCTACCCTGAGCAACCACGAAGTCCACATCCGCAAGGTCTACATGATCTCTGAGGCGGCTCAGATGCTTCCTATGCAGGTCAAGGATGCCGAGAGACCGCCCCCGGAGACCACTGAGGAGGGTAACGAGGTCGATGCGGATGGTACTCCCATCGTCACTCTCAAGACCCGTCTTGACAACCGGGTTCTCGATCTTCAGACCGAAACTAGCCAGGCTATCACTTGGATCTCCAGCGGCGTGGCCGAACTGTTCAGCGAATACATGATCAAGAGTGGCTCGCGGTGGATCTTCACCCCCAAGCTGGTGGGTGCCGCTACCGAGGGTGGTAGCAACGTCTTCGAGGTCAAGTACTTCAAGAAGAACGCCTACCTGGCCCAGAGCCCTCAGCTTTACAAGCAGATGTGTATCGCTGGTGACATGGAGAGCGTCTTCGAAGTCGCTCCCGTCTTCCGTGCTGAAGACAGCAACACTCACAGACACTTGACTGAGGTAGGTCCTAGATTCATCGGAAAGCTAATTTTCCCTGTCCATATGCTGACCATCTTAGTTCGCTGGTCTTGATTTCGAGAAGACCTTCCGCGGCCACTACCACGAGGTCTTGGAGTTCGCTGAGAACCTCCTTGTCTTCATCCTCACTCAGCTCAAGGAGCGCTACAAGGACCAGATCGCCGTCATCCAGAAGTCCTACCCCAAGGCGGGTGACTTCAAACTCCCCAAGGATGGCAAGGCCCTTCGGTTGAACTACATGGACGGTGTCGCTATGCTGAAGGAGGCTGGCGTCGATGTCTCTGAGCAGGAGCGCTTCGAGAACGACTTCACCACCGCGATGGAGAAGCAGCTTGGTCAGATCATCCGCGACAAGTACGACACTGATTTCTACGTGCTCGACAAGTTCCCGATGGCCGTCCGTCCTTTCTACACCAAGGCCTGCCCCGAGGATTCCCGCTTCTCCAACTCGTATGACTTCTTCATGCGTGGTGAGGAGATCATGTCCGGTGCCCAGCGTATCAACGACATCAAGGAGTTGGAAGAGTCGATGATCGCCAAGGGTCTTAACCCCAACCAGGAGGGCTTCGAGGACTACTTGGCTGCTTTCCGCCAGGGCTGTCCTCCCCACGCCGGCGGTGGTCTCGGTCTGAACCGCATTGTCATGTTCTTCCTGGGCCTGCCCAACGTTCGTCTGGCATCGCTGTTCCCCCGCGACCCCCAGCGCCTGCGTCCTTAAGCTGTGGGATAGAGCAATACATTGACAAGACCTGTATCTGGATACAAAAGAAATATAATGGAGCGACGAATTGAAACATATTAGCGTTGTGATATCAGTAGCACATGCATATCAGTCAATCCTCTGGCGTATAAGTCGTAGCAGACTCGATGTTGACAAAATTTAGACTAAACTATTACTGCTAATACGATCTAAAGAATCGATCAGTAAAGGGAGGGTTCAGCCTGTAGAGACAAAAGACAAGTGTTCAAAAAGGTAGTATCTTTGAGGTCAAACATTTAGACCAAACCTACCCTTTCCTTTTTCTTCATTTCTTTTCTACTGAATATGTTGGTTTCCCGCAAGATCGGGCAAGCGAAGGCTGCTCGAAGGCTGCTCAGAAGAATAGGCCTACTTCAACGGCATGACCATTCTTTTTTCACAATTGATCAGAAGGACCTGGTAGCAAGCCTGTCTGATTGAGCAGTCATGAACGCAGCGCCTGCATGGTGTCTACCCCAGACCATAGGTAGTATCCACCAAGACCCACCACCAAGTCCTGCTAGTTAACCCCCACTCGGCGCTATTGCGCATCTAGACTTCTCGGAACACTTTCTCAATTCTTGTCATGGATCTCACTTCATGACGAATGAGGGTATATTCTACTAGATATACTTTTGAGCATAATTGTGGTGTCACACTGAGTAGAGAAATCGCTACCGGAATTGGATAGTGAGGGTCTGTGGGCAGCATCGTGGTGCCTCTCTAGAGTACTTCATAGTGATGAGGGTGAAAACCATACAACAAGAGCACACATCGTTTACTCTTGTGGATTGTTGGGAGGCAGGAGTGTTCAGTATAGAAACTCAAGGAATATGCAGACAAGCTAAGGATATTTTTATTGAGTAGATTACCTTCCTAGTATTTAAGACTAGCTGCATGTGAAATAATATAGATCAGATTTACTAAGAGGAGATTCATCTACCGAGTTATACTACAATCCGACGTTATTTCCCCGTCCACCTAAACACCCTCAAACCACTTATGAGCCAATGCTTCACGAGCAGTAATCCGTTTCTCCGGATCAAAACTCGTCATGGCACAAATGAGATCCTTAACGTCTTCATCCACCCCCTTCCACAGAGAAAAAGGCCTGCGCGGATTATCTTTCCCGAAACCATCACGAACTACCTCAAAAATGCGAACCCAGGGATTATCATCGCCCAGATGTTTCAGAAAAGCGTCTATCCCATCCGCATCTGCAAAGTACGAGATCTGGCGCTCAATGACAATTGCTAATGGGATCACGCCCTCTTCTAATTCCTCATCCCCAACGGCAAAAATGACGCGTTTATGCACAGCGTAGATACACTAAATGAATTGTTAATAACCCCGCTATGTAAGGACATAGCAGTGTATGAACTTACGACAAGAGCAAACGAAAATATATCAGATGGTTTATTCAGGGGTCCGGATGCATGAGCCTCGGGGCTCCTCCACATCCAGTTACCCGCCTGTTTACCAATCATATGTGACCCGGGAGGGATATGCGCGGCATCTTCGAGATCTCCGAGTTGGACGTTATGAATGGTAATCCCTGCTTGGTGTTCATCCCAGTCGATGAAGATATTATCGGCTTTGATGTCTGCGCAGAATGAGTAGCTCCTCAAGACCTCAATGAAAGGGGGAGCTTACCCGTATGGACAATATCTTGATCGTGGAGGTCTGCGAGTCCACGCAGAGCATCTTTGAGAATCCTCTTTGTGATGTCGAGGGGGAGGTCTTTCTGAGCAAGGCACAGAAGATGGTCTTTGAAGTAATCAAATACAAACATTGATTTCTCGGGGATGGTGTCTTGGGAGAGACGGACGTGCTTAGCACTGTTGCGTAGCTTGCTGTTTATGTCTTCGAGATCCTGGTAGTTCACTGGGTGGATGTATTTCAGTATGAAGTTTTGATCCCCAGAGCTGTATATAATAGTTAGCAGGCAAGACATGAGAAGGGGTCGTTAAGGTCGACTCACTTAGCAAGATAGACTTGTCGTATGGGGGATGCTTCTTCCTGAAGTACTCGTCCAACTTCATATTTGCGGCCAGACTGACCGGTGTACATTTTAGGGTCTGCTGCGATGGAGGAGGCAAATGATGCTGTGGTTATTCTGCATCTAAGGTGGGCTTTTGATAATGGCCAGGAGCGTGATATAGGTATGGGTTTCGGGGCTGCGAGATTTGTACATGCTTGGCCTCTGTAAGAGCGGAGAGCTAAAGAATAGAGGGAGGTTAATGCTAACATTGAATGCAACTATATTAACATAGAGGGCTACAGTGCCTATGACTGACCCGAGTGCTTGCCCGACACACTCCCATGTACTTCAGTAGATCCGCTTTAGGGGTGGCCCAAGCTCCCGGTGGAACTTCGATCGGCCGGCATTTTCTCCGCCTCAACTTTGCTCCCTCAACCAGCCCACAACCAACCATGGCCAGCATGCCCGACAAACGCAAACCATCCGGTTCCTTTTCTGGATCCTCGCCCTATGCGAAGCGGTCTCGTCCTTCCTACGCTGAAGAAGATGACGAGGAAGAGACATCACAGCCGACCGTGACCCCGTACGAACGCCCGCGCAACCACCCCGTGTACGGACAGAAGAGCGCCTTTCCGGGTCTAGATGTCGCGGGAGAAGATGAGCTGTTTTATGGCCCAGCAGAGGATGGGATGGAATATCTGCGCATGGTCCGGTAAGCTGCCTCCTTGTTTGTTTGCCTGGGTTTTCCTTTATTCGCTTCTCGCTTGCTAAATGCCTGCGTGTTTCGAACTGTAGCTTGCGAAAGATCTCATACGAGGCTTCTTGATGAACAGCATCGTGACTTATTAATATTCTTGAATATTGCAGGTCGGAAGCCAACTCCCTCCCTTTTCTATTCACGGCACCGCAAACGACGGAACCGCCCACCGAGACGGATAACAAGGACAAAGAACCCCAACCGCAGCCACAAGAAGAAGAGAAACCTGCTCAGCCCGTTCCCGAGGGTGTTGTCGTCGATGGCGTCTTCTTTATACCTCCCTCATCCAATACCAAGACCACAGCCACAGCCCCTCGCGCAGATGTCGTCGAAAAGGGCATCTCCGACGCCCAGTCAAGCTATTACAATCTCCTCCACCATCGATTCCTTCTCCTTCGATCGATACTAAAATGCTCACCTCCTCCGGAAGCTATTGCTGCGTTGGACGATTCTCACCTGATAAGTTTACCGCGACATGCGAGAAACGCACGCAAGGAGTGGCGCAGGTTACTGCTGGCGGTGGATCCGCAGACTGTGCAGTTGGCGTGCATGGACATGGAAAGTGTGCTGGCGGTCTTAGGGATCATGGCGCGACTAATGTCGGAGAACGTACGGAGCGGAGATGCACAACGGGTCCGACGTATCGGGGCTTGGGCTTGGGGTCTGTTGGGGAGGTGCCGGGATGTTGGGCAGCTGGGGACGGAAGAGGTTGGGGAGATTCGAGAACTGGGGAAGAGGGCTGTGAAGATTCTGAGGAAGATGCGGGAGGAGGATGAGAAGAAGATGCGGGAAGAGGGAGATGCGTCGGATGAGGAGGACGATGAGGAAGATACAATGGAGCAGGGGGCAGAGGGAGACGGGGTGGTGAACCAAGTGGATGGACCAAGTGGTGATCAGGACCACGAAATGCAGGACGTGGCGGAGGAGCCTGCCGCCGAGGACCTGGAGGCTGCGAAGGCACGGCTTCAGGCGAAGATCCAAGGTGTGGAGGAGCAGCCCCCGGTCATCGAATCTGGGCCTGGGAATGAGGAAAATGCCACCGAAGTGGCGGTGCAGACTCGCGCCATGTTAGATATGATCATCACGGTCATCGGGGAGTACTATGGCCAACGGGACCTGTTGGAGGCACGCGAGTTGTGGAATGGGCCCGAGGAGTCCACCGCCTGACAAGTGACGGTGGAGTACTTCTGATGACCATAATCAAATGAACAAGATACCCAATGACATGTAAGAATAGTTGAATCAGTTGATGGCAGACAAAATGATAAATCGTTGCCTATCCACCCTATCCAACCCCTAGATAGTAAGTCGGCCCGGGGGGACCTTGCGTCATTGTTTGGTGTGCATCTAGCGGTGACTTTCTTATCGGCGCGCCATCCGATTAATCCACCGACAACCCGCACTCCCTTCTCCGCTTCACCTCCAACTCCAACTCCAACCCAACCTCCTCCTCCTCCTCACCTCCCTTATCACACCCAGACAACAACAACCCAAAGTAATGATCCAATAAACACACCACCCACCAACCTCCCCCAAAGAAAACCCCAAACAAAAAAAGAAAACAATGGCACCCCCCTCGAAATCACCATCCCAACAACCAGCATCTCCCCAACCACACCCCCCTACACCCTCTACAACATCACCCTCCGCCTGCCCCTCCGCTCATTCACCATCTCCAAACGCTACTCCGACTTCACAACCTTCCACACAATGCTAACCACCCAAACCAACCTCCCACCACCAGCCCCCCTCCCCCCGAAATCCTGGTTCCAAAACACCATCTCGAACTCCACCCTCCGCGAATCCCGCCGCGAAGCCCTAGAAACCTATCTCCGCGCCATCAACGAATCCGACGATGCGCGCTGGCGAAGCTCGCCCGCCTGGCGCGCCTTCTTGAACCTTCCCAGTCTGCCTTCTACGAACGGGTCGTCGCCGGCATCGCGCCTCCATGCGGCGATCACGGACCCCGCTGACGCAGAAGGAGGAGGTATCACGGACCCGATTCTTTGGCTCGATTGCTTTAGGGATATGAAGGGGCATTTGCATGATGCGAGATTGTATCTCACGAGACGGGACCAGGAGACAACGCCGCAGAAACAGCATGAGAGTTCGGCGAGGGCGAAGAGTGAGCTTTTGAGGGCGGGGGGGTTGATTGCGGCGTTGGAGAGTGGGTTGAGGAATTTGAGTGGGTCTGGGTCTGGGACTGGGGGGTTGGGGATGGGTGAGGATGGTGCTGGTGCTGGTGTTGGTGGAGGAGGGGGAGGAGGGGGATCCAGGCCGGGGAGTAAGTTAGGGAGGAGGAATACGGCCAGTACGATTGCGTCGTGGAGTGTGAGTGGGAATCATACGCTTGGGGAGGGGGAGATGCGCCGACGGAAGGATTTGTTGATTAATGCGCGGAAGGAGAAAGATGGGTTGGAGGATTTGTTGAATGCCATGGCGGCGAAGAGTCGGATTGATAGTGCGGTGGCGTCGATTCAGGATAAGGAGGCGTTGATGGGCACGAAAGGGGGGAAGAAGCCTATGAGGTCGTCGGGGCGGGTTCTGGGTAAGGAGACGGAGAGGACCCGCGAGCTGGATAATGCTGGTGTGGTGCAGTTGCAGAAGCAGATGATGGCTGATCAGGATATCGCGGTGGATGAGTTGATGCGGATTGTCAATCGGCAGAAGGAGCTGGGTATTGCGATTAATAATGAGTTGCAGGTGCAGAATGAGTTGTTGAGTTTGGCGGATGAGGATGCTACGAGGTATGTTTTCATCCTTTTATTCGATTGCTTGGGGTTGTGGTATGTGTGCTGACTTGGACAGGCTGGGTGGGAAAATTGATATTGGCAAGAAGCGAATCGGGCGGATCTCTTGATCGCGGGTTGTATGGTTCATCGGGAGGATGGTTATTTGGTGCGTATATTGATCTGATCTCGGTATATGTTATGCATGTGTTATGTGGTATAGCATGGCTTGTATAGTCTCGTTACTTGGCGCAGTCCTTTGGTCTTAGGGATTGATTGTCTGGGTATTGTACTCTAGCGAGCACGGCCTTTTCAGCATTGGAGTTTTTTTTTCCTTGTTTATTAATGAATACGTACTAGCAGCCTCTAGCAAATTGATGGTGCTAGACTTAGGTCCCACAAGTATCTAATCTGTTCATGTCAATCCCATCACGTTGCGGACATAAACTCCTTGGCCTCTTCCTCTGTCACTTCGGAGTGCTCCGACTGGCGCTGATCGATCAAGCCCACCTTGTTCTTCCTAATAAGCCACCATAGCTCACGCCGGTCTCCGCCAAGCTCCTCCTTCAACAGCTTGTTCTTGAGCTGCTTAAAGAAGTCGTTATACGCAGCAGGTTCCTCATACGATATGAGTTCTTCTCGCATCACTCCTAACCCCTCGGTGACCCGATCGTAGTTGGCATCGCCAAGGCTGTGCTTGACTTGATTTTCGATGATGGTGCTCATCTGCTGCACGGCCTCCTTGACTGTCTCAATGTTCTCCGCCTGCGAGAGCGTCTGCTTAAATTCAGGGATCGCATTCTTGGGTGAGATCTTGATGCGCTTCTCTTGGTGGAGGAGGCCGTCGACATCCAGTCCGGAAAGAGGCTTCTCTGCTTCGCGGATACGTTTGTTGCCTTTGGTTTTCGGTGGTACTGGATCCTTGTGAGTATATGTCTCAAAAGGATGGGGTGATACGGACCTTTCTTGACGTCAGATACTGCGATGAGCTTGTCTAGATACTTCTTCGACTTCTCCACTAGCTCTTCGGGTGGGTGAGAGAACTTCGTAAGGATTCCTGCAGGAGGAGAAATTGGGTCAAGAGGATAGATGGCACGATGACGGACTGCCGAGTCGATTCGATGCAGGACTGGGGAGAATGAGTCCTCGATGGGGAGGGATTCCGTGGGTTCCCTTTTGCATATTAGTAGGTAGGATCAATATGTCTGACAGTTTGGCCTCACCCGTTCTCATCTGTATCAGTAAGCTCCATGCTCTTTACGTATTTGTCCATGGCGTCTAGCAGATCGTCGCTGGGCAAGTTACGGTGCTGCGTCACCACTTTACCGGACACTGTGATAACTTTATCGAGTGGAGGAAAGCGGTATGTTCGAACATCTTCCGCAAATGGCAGCTGCGCTTCGAGGAGACATTCGTAATCGGGCTCGATTGACGGCGCAAGCAACACGATGACCGGGGCTTTGTTCTCTTTCAGCACCATACGGGCGACAGCATAACATTCCAGCTCAAAAAGCGCGTGGATGAAGGAGGAAAGCGCCAGAGCTGCTTTGTCATTGGCGCGCTGCGCAATTATGATGTTTGTCGTCGACATGTGCATGTATCGGTCGTACTGGATGGCAAAGTCCATTTAGCGCTATACAACCGAATCCTTGAGAGTGACTTACAGTCTCGCTCTGTATAAAACCAAGAAGCTCAATAGCCGCATAAGTCTCCAAAACTGTGATATTCTGGTCCATCTCGCTGATATAGACCGCTGTCCGCCCGTACTCGTAACCTTTGGCGAGGTCCTCTCGCTCCACCTCTCTTTTCCCACCTGGAGCAGTCTCATCGGTTATCTGATATGTTCTGGTATTGCGCACGCCTATAAGGGAGCTACCGTCTATCGGAGATTCTTGCGTGCCAGCCGCAGCCGTAGACGATTCGCGTTGTCCTTCTCGCAAGACGAACTGGCTCGCCGATGGAGGTTTGGCAACGTATGTCCTGTAGTACCGCTCGACTGGAATGCGAACTGCGGTATCGTATTCTGCTGGATCGCCTAGCTGAAGGTGGCCCTTGAAGGTTGCTGTTATTCTGGTGCTCTTCACGCGAGGCATCTCCAACTCTGCCACAGCCTGTTCCAACGTTCCATAAGCTCCATCGCAGTCTTCGGCGAGGCCTCGCAGGATTGTTTCATTCTCAGCCTGCAGTGAGAGTTATAGAAGGCCTAAATGTTGTAGGGAAGCGCGCAATACCTTGCGTGGGTCTTTATCCTCCTCCTTAACTCCGTATTCCGGATCATCAAAGTCAGGTCCCCTGCAGCAGGTCAGATTCCATTCTAGTTCGTCCGCCACTGGGCACCAACAAGATAATGAGTTCGATGTTGTCCTCCTTAATCTTCTTTGTTACCTCCTTGAGGTTAGTATCCGGATGTATCCGACCCTCGCCGTTGGTGACTAGGACAATTCTGCGCTTGTATTTCAATTTCTTGCATTGCGTGATGATCATCTGAATCGCGAGTACGAGGGCGGAGATAGCTAAGGATATCAGCTCAATCTAAAACCGTTTGATCTCTGTACTAGTAAATCAAGCTTACTGTCTCCCTTGTTTGTATTGCTAGGCTTTATTTGGTCGCTCAACTGCCGGATATCAGACATGAGAAACCTATACTTCATCAGCATCCCTAGACTCGAACCATCGTGATGCACCATACTGTTTGATACCAGACAGCACCGAGATATGCGAGTAATCGGGATCGTCTTCCAACTCGTTGGAAGTATCTGTTCCTGCATTAGTTCCGGCTCAACTACCGTATCATGAAAGCTCACTGTCGGTTCGAAACCCGATCACGCCAAGCAGAGCCATCTTGCGCCCCGTCGCCACCTACACAAACGAATAAGAATATGCAAAAGACATGACCGTATCGTAATAGAGACTCACCGTCCCTGTGATGCGATCCCAGACATACTGCATGGCCCATTCAAGATCCGTCACTTCGCGACCATGACGGCGCTCCCCCATGGACCTTCCAAAGTCCACGATGTAGACCGTTGCCTCTTTATCGGCCATGTTTGCGTAGGAGATAAAGATAAAAGAGCAACTCCATTCGATGCCGGGACCGCTAATAAAATAGGACACGAGCTCAAGGCAGAAAGGTGTAAAGCGCAGGCAGACGCGTGATATTTCCCGGTTAGGATCTAGGTGGAACGCGAAAGCACATGACATCATGCGATAGACAGGCGGAAGACACTGGCAGAAATGTGGGGCGGCAAGGGCCGCAGTAGACATGGAGACGACTCCCCTCACAGTGATTCATCTTCATTTACCGCAATGATGGTGGCAGCAATATGGAGTACTCCGGACATACTAGTGCCTACTTGGGTGAAGGAGTCCTCAAGATGAATTCTTTTTATTTAAGTTGCAAACACGAAATTCAACAGGAACTCAAGCAGAGTCTTGGTGGTGCCTACAGGCTCTTCCCGGGTTCACTGCAGTCTACTCACGTTGGAAGTCTCCCAGTATTTCTTGTGTACAATGCTCCAGCTTCCGGATTTAAAGTGACTATCCCAATATTAACGTTATGTCGGCTCTCTGCACCGTGAATTCATCTCAATCATTGATATAAAAGGGCCAACGACCTCGTCGCGGCAATACCTTTAATCTGCATCCTCTACGGCGTAAAGGTATCATCATGAGACTATCTTGTCACTACAGACCATCCTACTCAACTCCTTTGAGCCTATCAGGTGAGCCATTTAGTATGTCTGAGTCATCGCCCGAAGCCCAAGATCAAGAAAAAGGCCTCGACAGGCTACCAACAGAACTATTCCTCCTGTGCTCGAGGTACATGGATCGAAATGACCTCGCCTGTCTCATGCGGACCTGCAGGATGTTCCGAGATACACTAGGTGACACAATATACAGAGAACATGCTCTACCATCAGAAGACTGCTATAAGGAGTGGTGTTCACATGACAGCGAAGGGAAGACACATGGTAATAAGGGAAACACCTCTAAAAAAGTCTTTAAGATGAGAGATAATTTTGAGATGCCTTACGAGCCCCTGGCAACGGCGATATCAGACGGGAACTACGATCTCGTTAGACGCTTTATGAAAGCCGGTGTGAACCCCAACGCTGTGAGTCTGAATTCAATTTCTATGCTTCACATTGCCATACAGGAGCATCGCTTTGAAATAACTCAGCTCATGCTAGACTCCGGCGCTGACCCGAATATTGAATGTCTTGTCACTAAGCAATTGGCATTGGACTTCGTCACTCAAAGGCATAAACAGGCATATGCCTGGGTGGAATTGCTTCTTACCTATGGAGCAAATTTCACAAGAACTGAAACATTTGAATGGCTTTGCAAGACGGGACGAGAGGACTTCATTCGTCGAGCATTCAATAATGGGACAGATGTCGTCGATCTATCTGACAGCATGCACATTTTGCGCTCATGGAGACTAGCACAAGCAATGTCTTTTTCATCCCTAATGATGATTGAGACTCTCTTAGACCTGGAGCCTAGACTTACGAGGATCAACCAATATGGTGACGGTCTTTCTCTATTACACCTGGCTCTGGAAAGACATAGACCAGATGTTGCTTTGATGTTAATTGGTAGACAATTCAAGATATTCACCAGGAAGGATCCGTCGTTTGTGCGTCATGTGAAATGTCTTTACACAAGGATTGCTAGAGCTCTAGAACGAAATAGAGATTCGGATCCTGCCTGGACTAAAAACGCGGAGGATTTATTGGACATATGTGACCAAGAAGCATGGGAAAGTGGATTCAATCAGCCTGACAGATGTATGTGTAATAGTTGTTGTTTCAGGCTTGTCAATTAGGATTTGGAAATCCTTTGATGTGTCTTCGCTGGCTCTTGATATCCTCGAGTATTCCCCCTCTCCCTACACAGAATTACCTGTATCGAGTATCTTGCATGTACATTATTTGGAGGAATATTTGGAGGAATAACCCCTGCTATATATGAAGTGACGGACTATCATCTGTGGAATGAGACTTATGTATCTTTCCTTTCTCATAACATAGTACTCATTTTACATCTTGGACATACAAAGCCACATACTACACATTACACCCTAGAACTAAAAGACCAATAAAGTAGATGCTCCCACCACACCATGCCATATACCCCCTCAACCCACCCACCCAGTAAAATATCCAACCTACCCTACACAACCCCAAACCCCTCAAAACAAACCCCCCTAGCCACCCCCTCACCCGTAAACTCCACCCCTTCCTCCTCCAACATCCTCCTCTTCATCCCCACCCCATCCTTCGCATTCTTCGCCCCCGGCCCACCCCCCGAATAACCCACCAGTAGTTTCCCCCCACCCCCCAGCACCCGATGACACGGCACCGTCGGCGCAAACGGATTCAACCTCATCGCTGCGCCGATCGCCCGCGGACTAGTACCGAGGTGCTTGGCAAGCGCAGCATAGGTAGTCCATCGACCCGGGGGAACGGAAAGAAGAGCAAGGTAGACTTTCCGGCGGTGAGGGGGGAGGGTAGGATGGGAGGTTATCTTTTTGGTTATTTGGGTTTGGTCGGGTGAAGGCGATGGTGTTGTTGTTTGTGATTGCGTGGCGGACATGGTTGGTGGTGCGAGTGATTGATTGAACGGGTGGGGTTTCGATACTAGTAACTGAGAATGATATATTTAGGCGATAAAGAAGGAGGAGGGGGCGGCGCTTTTCTTTGTTTGTTTTGGATTCGGTTGATGGATCTTGGATAGGTTGACTCGTGGAGATGAGATGTCTTTGTCTTGTAAATGGTGGAGTGGAGTGGATGAGATAGGTACCCGCGTCGGTTTTCTTTGATTTGCGCGGATTAAGTTCGAAATTGAATTCGAAAGGATATAGATAAGTAGATAGATGATGAGGTGACTCTGTGTTTGTGTTAGTTTAAATCTTCCTTTGTAGTGTTGATGCTATATTTATACTTGTGGTTGATTGTTGGGGTGACTCCTACGCCGTTTACTTAGGTAGGTAGTACTAGGTGAGATGGGTGGATGTATGTGTCTAGATCGAGTCTGCAGAGAAGGAAGGGGTTTCTTTATGTGTCGGGGCCTGGGGACTGACTCCGCAACGTTGTGCTTGAATTGACGAATCGGGTTGTTCCGTGCACATGACTGATTGTATTGACTCTGCACTCGAGTGGAGTTGAAGGCGTTGGTATGAATCGCTCATTTTGTTTACACTCTTTATGTGTTTTGAAATATGCTGCAGGGGTTTTTGGTAAAGATGGTTTTGGGCTTGAGTCAGCCAGGGATCGTGTTGAATGGAGGGACATCTCTCCTGTTTTGGTGTGTGTGACCGACCGCGATAAAAATAGAGCTTAGGTGGCAGAAGGACTGCTGGTGGTTACTCCAAGGTATGGATTGGATTTCTATCGTGCTCCAAACGGTGTATTAGTGTAGATAGGATTTAGGAACCGTGGTTAGGATGACAATGTCACGCTCTAAGATGGTAATTCTAGCGTGAGAAAAGGCTGGAATCGAACCATGATGTTTATCCTAGAATGGATAGCTGAGGCGTTATGGTGGTAATAGCAGGTAATGTATTAAAATGCTGGTGGTTGGTACACTGCAATGTCTATGGTATATCAGACAGCAAGAAATGAAATGGTATATGCCAGAAGTAGAATAAGAAAGAGCCCTGAACGCCGTGCCGTCCTTAGGTCATAGACAACATGAAAATAGCGTGAGCGTGAGCATAAACATGATAAACATAGCAGACATAGACGGACGTGAAGTACCATGGTCATCGCATGGCAGGAAACAGAAGGGTATATATCAATAGCACAGCATCATGACGCAAGAGGGTATAATGACAAGGTAAAAGCATCATGACACTAAGCAGTTCGCGACCGCTTGGTCGTTCGGCGCTTAGGGACATCCCAGTGATGAAAGGAGCGCAGATGTTCGATCAGATGGTCGCGTCGAGGAAACCCATTGCCGTCCTTGCGCAGGCACTCCTGCACTGGACAGTCCTGAAACACGGGGTTGTGGACGCTGGTGTGATGCCGTTTCAGATCAGCTGGACGGGTGAAGGCCTTGCCGCAGTCTCGGCACGAAAATGGTTTGACGGGTCTGCTAAGGCATGTTAGTTACGGTCGGAAAGTTGTTGGCTAGGTGTTTATCTTACTTGGTGTTGTCTAGCGTGTCGCACATCTCCTCCGGAGAATATACGACCTCGTTTACGGGAGTAGTGGATTGGGGAGCAACCCACTCCCCGCTGGGTACTGCGATGGGAGGCGTTTGTGTTGATAGGAATGTGTACGCTTCCGGTGAGTACATGAGAGAAGGAGTGAAGTTATAGTAAGCGTTGTACGGTGACGAAGTGACGGATGATCCGAAGGAGGATGAGTCGTATGAGGATGGCTCGAAGGAGGGCTGGGTGAGGGGCAGTTCGGCCGTTGCCATGGTGTACATGGTACTATCGAAATATCCGAAAGACGATTGCATCGAGTCTTCGCTGCTAGCCGAGTAGGACCTTTGTTCTAGGGGAGGGCATGATGGGATGTTGTGGTTCTGCGCCGGCAAGGTCAGCGTGAGTGAAGAGGGAGGAAGAAAGTGGAGACAGATCGAGACCCTGATGATCGGGGACATACCATTGCAGTGGAGGCGAACATGATGTGATAGATTTGAGTTCAGTTGAGTAGGTTAAAAGAGAGACAGGACCAGCTCAATGGCCAAATTGTTCTGGAAAAAAAAGAGAAGACCTGCCTGGCCATCGTGACTGGGCCCCGGGTTTTTATAATCACATTTTTCTTCAATTCTTTGATCCAGGTCAACCTACGGAATACGTCGCACTTGCATTAGGCCAGGACAGTGGTCTCCACCATGGAGCCCAAACCGCCAAAGCCAGACGGTGCTAAGCAACACGAACGCACCCACGGCGACATCATCAGGTGAGCCCGCTCCTATGATCTTCCACTAAGAGCCCGCGCAGATTGGAGGGGGGAGGCCGGGAATGCAGGAGGAATCGCAGCCAACACACAGCCCCCCCGGCTCTACGATCTTATTGGTGGGGGTGAGCCACAAAAGTGAAGCAATCCTGGCTAGTGCTGACGCTAGAAACGACGAAGAAGCATTCGAAACTTCTTCCAGGCTTCTAGGGGCGATTGACCGACTGTGATTGGAGGCGTCGAGTCTTGGGACGGAAAATAACCAGCGACGGTGTCCACTCCGGGCCGAGAGAGGAGCCAGACAAGGAGACGGACTGACTCTGGCTTGCTGAAGAAGGGAAAGGACCGGAACGAGGGTCTGCCGTGACACGACAGCGAGACCGCAATATCGTCATAGGGTGCGATCCCCCACAACAACAAAGAGTCGGTGGAGACCGTCGGCCGTGCTGGGTTGGGCCTTGGGAGTCTGGGACGGACTGACGACGATGACCGGTGCTTTGGATCAAGACGCCAATTTCCCAGTCGGGACCACGTCCGTTGTTCGCCTTGTTGTGGTCCGACATGGCCATTCGTCGAGAGGCGCGCGGACCGTTCATCGGAGGGCTCCGATGGGAGATCCTGATCGATTGCACCCACGGTCACGAGTATATCCGCCAGGGTCACTGACAGCGGCTCCCAAAGACCAAAAGTACCACGAGCCGGTCACGAGAGCGAGTCTGGTCAATCTTGGGGTTCTGCCAAATCCATCGCGTGTGAGTGGATGGCTGGTGTTCTGCGGTGCTGCGTCGCCAGTTCCTGCTGGGCGGGAGGTTCTCTTCTCCCGACCGACCGAGGATGGAGCAAATCGGCACGGGCTTCCGGGCGCTTCGTCAACGCTTCCCACATATTCCCACTCGCCAACTGCGCGATTCACAGCCTTGTGGTTGGCGCCAAGCGGCGTCTGTCTGGGGAAAGCAGCAGGGACTGGGAGACTCGGGATCTATGACGATGATGACCTGGGGGAAGCGATGATAATATCGCACAGCCCCCCTTGCGGCCAGGGTGAGGTTGATGATGACTCGACTAGTGTGCAAGGCCACTGCCATTAATGCAGGTGTAAAATGCCTCATGCCGGTGCTAAATACATCGCTCAATCCCCCCCGCGGGATATTAACCGGAGAGAAGGTTCAACAAGTGAGGCGACTGCGGGATATTCTCCAGATTATCTCTCATTGCCTACCGCGAGGTTGACATTCTACAGAATCGGATGACAGAAGCATCAACACCACAACGCCCGCATTTGGTTTAGCCTGTTTTGCTACACCGCCTACGGATATGATGTGTGGACACTTACTATGAGAACCTAACAGATCTACAGACAACCCCCCAAACTCAAATCGAGGATACACGTATACTGGAATACGTCTAATAGACAGCACGGATGCCCCATGACAATGGAGTGAAGGTGTAAATCTCTTGCTTATAAGGCTTTGATGAAAAGTAATGAATGAAGGGGCTGGAATAGTGCAGATTTCTGACAGACATCTTATTCCAGCCCTAGTAGGCGGTGAGACAAACCACACTATCCTCCTTGCGGTGTTGCAGACACTTTCCAGGTTTGCCAGCACACCAAGTCCTGTGGGGTATTATTGATCGCGATAATTCCATCCAGAGTCGGGCAATCCACAGAGCCTCGCACGGAGGACATCATTCCGACGTCCGTAACTCTATCACTGGCAGCTACGGAGCTACCTCATTGGTCGCTATCTAGAATTGCCATTTCTTTCCAGAAACCCAAGTGCGATCTGGTACTTTTGTCTCTGCCTTATTTTCTTTTTCCCTGGCTTCACCATTGAATTACGTGATTACCACCCACTCCTTCCAATGGGTGCTTATTTTTAATTTCTTTGTCTTTTCCGTAACTAACGAACCCTGGTTTCTTCATCTCCACTTTCTGGGCTTTCTTCAACCTGACTCTGTGGCCCGACAGGGATCCCCAGCCGCTTACAGGCACAAAAAGTTAGTCAAGTCCGGACTTGATTATTCCATCTCAAATGGTCAATGTACGGTAATAACAAGCATCACTACCTAGATAAGTCATGGCTGCATCCCATCAGCTACCATGTAAGAACAGTACAGAACTCCCGTGTCTCATAGACTCGTCCCTGCATGCTCCAGGAAGACTTGGATGAACAACAAATCGTAAACAGATGGCAACACAATACTAATTGCATGGACAATGATGAACTGAACTCCCATATTTCCGCGCATCCTGCTAAAGGCAAACCCAACCGACCGAGGCACTTTTCCACTTATCTTCATCGGACCAGGCATGTACAAAGACCTTGTGTGTCGCCGATCACAATTCGTCCTCCAGATATTTGTAGACAAATTTGAAGTCAGCCTTGCGACGGTTCATCCTGTGACTTTGTTAGCGTGGTCTTAGACTGAAAATCAAGTCTCGAGAAGGAATCTTGAGATCAAGTTTTGAGAACCAGGTTGCACTTACCACGTGCTTTCATAGTCGAAAAACCGGTATGTACCCTGTTCAAATTCCTCCGTGATTGTCTTAGGTTCTTCGTGGCGTTGGAACCATGTCTGATATTGTTTGTGGAAGCGCCAGCTCTGGTTCTTAAGTGCCTTGGCAGCTAGATACTGCTGGTATGTGCCTTGTCGGTAATAGAAAAGGTAAAACAACGTGTCGGTGTCAATGCGCCCTGTTTCGTAGAGGCGCGGGTCATCGAAGATGGCGAGCGGCTCCTGGGGATAGTAGAGGGGTGTATTGTAAGGGTTCTGAGGCTTGTAGTGGCGAGGCTTCTCCGCATCGGCAGGCTCTGGACAGTTGGTGAGGGACGTGGCAAGCATGCGCTGCACTGACGGGGAAGGGTTGGCAGCACTTGCTGAGGCACGAGACCTCGTGACCTCGAAAGACTGGATAAGATCCTGCAGGCCGGGAGGCAGGTGGAAGATCGATTCCTCACTATTCTGGGGCTCTTCCTTCCTGCTCGCCTCACCATTCGTCGCGGGTTGTTCCTTGGCACTGGGGGCCTCGACTTTTTCCATAGTGTGTTGTGATGTGCTCGCAGCAGCAACGTTGGGACTGGCGGCGGGCGTTTTCGATCGGCCGGCGGGCTCCTCCGCGGCTATCGTGACGGCCGGCGTGACCTTGGATGCAGGTTGTGCAGATGCAACACTCGGTGAAGCGGTGGCTGAAGCTTTGCTTGCAGGCACAGCAGCCGGGAAAGCGGGGCTCGCGCCTGGAGGTGGCGGAAGTGGTGCAATGCCCACCCCGTTCTTGTCACTTGCAGCAGCGGCAGCGGCAGCGGACGCGTACTTGAGTGTTTCTCCGGGTAGGCGGGTAGGCGGTGGTGCAGGTTTCATGCCTGAGGCGGCACTCGTGGAGGTTGACGGGTGGAGTGTTGCTAGTACGGGCAGAGGGGACTTCATCTGCGCGGATGGCCTTCGAAGTCCAGCGCTCTCGCCCTTGGCTTTGGGTTTGATGTCCGACTCCTCTTCTTGAATTGATTGAGTGTCTTGTGATGACACCCGATCGTTGTCCCCTGTCATCCCGAACTGCACCTCCGCCTCATTATCCAGATTCAGGTCGTCATACAGAGTCTCATCCTCTCCAGAGTAGTCGAGATTGTGCCCATCCTCCACATAGTACTTGATGCTTTCCTTGATGTCCAGCACCTGACTCGTTTCGAGGTTGCCATTCTGCAGCGACCGTAGCAAGAGCTCCAACTTGTTGACATGCCACTTATGGCGCTCCGTTAACCGCGAGAGGTCCGATAGGCGATTCGTCTTGGCCACATCCTTCTTTCCCTTCTTCATTTGCATATGGAGTGTTTCCTCTTCGGCCTCCATAGCCTCGATCTTCTGTTGTAGCTCGTCCACCATGTTGGATAGGAAGTCGCAGGTCTCGACCTTCTCCTTTTCTTTAGGATCTAATCTCGATGCAGCTGACAGTCCTTCTTTCGAATATGCCTTCGTCTTCATCTCTTTCTCTACCGCTTTAAACTGTTCCATGCACTATGAGATGGGTCGGTTAGCAGCCCCTCCTCGAGTAAGCGCTTCAGCAGGAATCGAATAGCCCACAGTTTCAATGGCCCTGCGTTGCTCTAACAGCGGCCCCTTATCCTTGACCTCATTTCCTGATGCCCATGACTTGATTTGATCACGATATCGTTGTAGCTTCTTGATCTCCCGCTTCAAGTTCTCTTCGAGCTTATCCCGTTGGGTGATATTCGATGTGGATCGGATCTTCTCGTAAATGCCCTCGAACGTTTGAATGCCTTCAGCGACCTTCTTGAAGGTCTTGTCGATCTCCTGCTGCGTTTTTCGAGACGTCATGGCTGCTATTCACCATGAACAGGTCGCTCAATCTCGAAGGCTGGGGAGGATATGGGGAGGAGGAGGATAGGCCGAGGATAGAGGAAAGATGATGAAGGAGAGGAGAGGAGTGCGTGCACACAGGAAAGTCCCTAAAACCGCGTTGCCAGGCAACTCTTCACAACAAACGCGCGGAGCGTGCCTGTATATGTGAAGCTGTTCAGACGAGTGAATCTCCTGATACTTCGTCTGGTCGTCCAGAAGCTGGGATAGAGGCCTAAACAGGCAGGCGGTCACCGATGCTCATGGTCATGCCCCCATCGCATCCGAGTCTCAGGTTAGTGGAGGCAAATCATGACAGTCATTCTTTCATGATCGTGCAGATGCTCGTATCTTTTTCATACCTCTGGATCTGATTGATGTCTCTGTGCCCTAACCTAGCAGTATGAACAGGGCCTCCCTCCGGTTTCGCTAGTATCCTGAGAACATTGGGTCTGTGTGGTCCCGTTTTCAGTATCCCGCCGCATTGGGGTCCGTCCGATGATCACCAAGTTACTGACAACCCGATTTCATAGCAAGCGCTACAATTCTTTTGACAGTTCTCGAAGCTCATTTTCTTCAATCCTCGTTGTCTCATTGAATCTATAAGCTCGCCCCATCCAGTACACATCACCATGAAAGGTGCGCAGGAATCTTGCTCGACCCTGCAACCAGTGACTAATACGCACTCCAGCCGTTTTACAACGAGTCAAGTCTGCCTCGGTCACCGTGGATGGCCACCTGATCTCCACGATCGGTCAAGGAATACTCGTCCTGGCCGGCGTGGGAAGGGAGGATACCGAGAAGGATGCCGACTCAATGATCGGACGGATATTAAAGGCGAAGCTATGGCCGGATGAGAACGACAAGGCTGTAAGATGCGAGCAGTCCAGGCTCTGGGGATATCACATCTGACTAGATTCTTATTTCTAGTGGAAGAAGAATGTCCAGGATATAGAAGGGGAGGTACTCTGCGGTATGCGTCCCGTGATTAGGATTTATTGGCCAACCAGCCAGCCACTGACGTCTAGTCCAGTATCGCAATTTACACTCTATGGCCATTTGAAAAAAGGCAACAAACCCGACTTCCATGAAGCCGCCGATGTGGAGACCGCGCGCAAACTGTATGACTACTTTTATCAACGGTTGTGCGAATCGTACAAGCCCGAACGGGTTAAAAACGGGGTCTTCCAGGCGATGATGGAGGTTGAATTGAAAAATGATGGGCCGGTGGGTGTAGATTACCGCAGTGAGGATGCGGTGGTAAAGCTCTTGCTTCTCTTTCTGCTATCCCCGAGAAGTTCGATCAATGCTAACGGCTGTCTGGTTAGGTCACGATCGAGATCAACACCCAACTACCGAAGAAGGAGAAAAAAGAGCAACCAGGACAAGGGGAAGCGAAAGAGCCACAGGCGCAGACCTTTGAGTTCAAATTACCCGCGGAGTTGATGGAGTAAAAAACTAGTTGGCTCTGTGATTGTGTTTACGACTTTCATCAAATTGTATATATGAGATACCAATAGATGCGACAGATAAAATGAACTATGCTACGTGAATGTCTTTTGCTGGGGAGAGAACTACCCCTCTATGGCGGCAATCAGAGTGCCTTAGAGTATTCTCTGCGTCTCTAAACTTCAATGTAGTACATAGGGCCACCGCCAGCACGGGAATTCCTCAGAGCGCTGGGGAAACGATGATAGTAGAACTTAAAGATGTGCGATACAGAGGGTGGTTTGCCACGGTCGCCTGATTACAAAAACTAGATAGACAGGTTCATATCCAATTGATACATTTATGGGCCCGATTGCGCTGCGCATAACGCCATTCTCTCTACGTGACTTGATTTCTTCCTATGTGTACAGAGTGCCCTGTCTGGTCTGCTGAACCTCATTACCTAAAAGGTATTGAAAGCTACCTCAAAGCGAAGTGGAAAGTCCGTGCGTTGCTAACCCCCAAGGATGAACAAGGTCTTCGATAAGAAATCCGTTCGTGCACCGTGGAGCCGATGCAATGGTGGTAAAGGGGTTTTTTTTATGCAAAGCCGGGAATTTGGATAAGGAAAGATTAAATCATGCAATCATGAATCATGACGTCAGTCTCTCATGAGAAGAACTTCTGAGCCGTAGCCCTCTCTTTGGCCTGGCGGTCCTTGATAGCCTTCTTGACCCGGGCAACCTCGTTGGTGATACCAGCATCGCCGGGAGCCAATTGAGAAGCCTCCTGGAGATCCTTAAGAGCCTCGTCCTCCTCCTTCAGACCGCTGTAGGCGACCGCGCGGCGATAGTGAGCCTTGGCCTTGTCGGCATCCTTGGCGTTCGCAGCAGCAGCCACTTCAAGCGCATAAGTAGCCCAGGTTTGACCGTTCTTGAATTGACCAAGCTTGTTGGCGAGTAGGGATGAGTTCGAGTGCAGAGTGAAGCGGAGCGCCTTCATTTGGGGGTCCAAGTCCTTGGGGTCCTGCTCATCCGGCTCCGGGAACTCGTTCAAGTAGCGCAGACCCTTCTGGTACTTATCAAGACCGAGAGCGAGGTTTCCGCTCTTGAAGGCAGTGTTTCCGAAGTTCTTAAGCTCAGATGCGATCTTGAAGCAAACTGGGGCACTCAGTTCCTCGCCCTGGTGGTCATCAGGGAAGTCCTCGTAAGGATCGCCAGTACTGTCGGGGATTTGCTTGTCTGCGTTGTCGTAGTCGGAACCGGTGAGCTCGCCACAGTCGACGACAGTTACGTCGGTGGTAGGCTTGTCGGCCTGGGTGGACATGTTCTCAACCTTGCGAACAACGCTCTTGCCGTTGATCACCTCACCAAAGACCACGTGCTTGCCGTCCAGGTGGGGGGTGGGCACGGTCGTAATGAAAAACTGACTGCCGTTGGTGCCGGGACCGGAGTTGGCCATCGAGAGAAGGAAAGGCCGATCATGCTTGAGTTCAAAGTTCTCGTCTGGGAATTTCTCGCCGTAGATAGATTCTCCGCCCGTGCCGTTGAATGCAGTGAAGTCACCACCCTGGATCATGAACTGTTTGATCACACGGTGGAAGATGGAGCCTATTAGTGGGTTCAAGTTAGCGATCTAATGGCGATTGTGCATACGGGCCCGCCGTAGCGGGGGAGGGCAAGGAAAAATTGAAGATGCCGAGTTGGACCACCATACCCTTGAAGTGCAATGGCTTGCCCTGACTACCAATTCCCATTTCACCAGTGCAGAGAGCACGAAAGTTCTCCGCGGTCTTGGGGACAACTGATTATTCATGGTTAGAGTTATGCACGTATTTCCTCTACAGGAGGGACTGCACGGTACCATCGTTGAACTGCACAGGCGGGGTAGTTAGCAAGGCTGTACTGACCGGGTCGGGAAGAATGAAGACAGGGAATGCTGGACAAGAACAAAGCGAACTCACCAATTCAAGAGCAATGCGACCAGTCTTCTGTTTACCGATCTGAACGTCGAAGAAAACGCGAGGACGACCTGTGAGGTGGGCGCGATCAGTACTCTGCCGCTGAGGCCGCTGCCCCCACTTGAGAGATGAACGTACGCTGCGACTCGGCCATGATGGCGGTTTTGAGGGAGTGGTTAATGTGAAGGGAAGGAAGAATCGAAAGGTTACACAGATGGAGAAGCTCTAGATGCAGGCGGAGGATAGGTAAGAGAGAGGAGAAAGAGGAGGAGAGCTAGGGTGCGGAGGCAGACGAGGTAAAGAGGAGTTAGGTGGGCTGGACCAGCCTTTGGCTGCGATGCTTCAAGAAGCTTCCATCGCATCACCCCCCCCGTCGCCGGCCGCTTCCTTCCGCTAAATGCCTGCGATTTCCCCTCACTTTTTCAACTATCTACCTGCTACCACGGTAAGTACCTAGTTAGTAGCTGTCACAATCGTGCGATTGGAATTAGATGTGAGCGATCTAAATTCAACTACCCGTTAATCTCCAGTGGAGCATTGGCCTCCCTTCGATTCCGGGGAAATTGGCGATTCGGGTTTTCATGTTCCTAATCGTGATTTTGACTCTTCCGAGACATCGGAGGTTGCATATGAGATATTCTAGACGGAACTTCGCCCTTATCCTTTTCTTGAACTCCTTTTGGGCATTCAGTTCGGATGAATGCACTATTATTGCAATAAAGGTGAAGGTGCTAAGGCTCAGCTGGTTACTGACTCGACCCAATTAGAATCCCTTGACTACAACAAGCCATCCTATAGGAACGCCGCCGAAGGTACCTATCAAGATGACGGGACACGGTTTGTTTTGCCTAATCAGGAAGCCTATCTCGTGTAGTAGAATCATTCGCTCAGCTCAACGTTATGTGTGTCATTACCAATCAAGGCATGCCACTCGATATTAGTATTGATTTGCCTGGGCTTCGTTTGGTCGAGACGTGATCATGGAATTGTGTATAAAGATGCCGGAATGCTTTCCCCATTGACTCCTTCCGGGAGTTGTTCCTTCTTGAAGGTAACCTTGATGTAATACAACTCAACCAGTTCGTGAGATTCACCACCGCGGAGTTGGTACGTACATCTTGGCAATTTCTAACAAATTAAATCGTTTAATTTCGATCTGGGAAACTGTAATATTAGGTCTTGCTCTGAAGTGGGTTTTTGGATATCTCGAGCTAGCAGTTTCCCTACGCATCTACAAACTATTCTGGTCACCGCAACTGCCATATGGCTCGGTGCCTATAGATTACCAGGACGGTCAAACGCGGATACCAGGTTGGACAGCAATATAGGCACAAGAGATGGAATAAGCTGATCAGGCAACAAAGAGTATCAGGTGAGCTGGCTGTCCACAGTGAAGTGAAGTCTAGGTTTTTGCGAAAGACTATCAATACTAACTTAGCTCATTGCCCGATAAAGCGAGAAATATGAACACTGGAGAATTCTTTCATATTCAGGGATGGTGCGGGGAAACCCATGCAGCTGTATATGCAGAGAAAGACCTAAAGCAGGTAAATTGGCCATTAGTTACCTACTGCAGGCTCACATGGCAGTACAAATATAAGACGTCAAATTTAAAATCTCAATTATGATGAGTGGGTATATCAGCAGTTCGCCATGGACTAATTTCACAAACATCACGGCTCACCTACAGCCTGCTCTTGATCTTGGTCCATTCGGTTTCTCCAACCTCCTGAAAGTCCATGATTGCGTCAGGCCCTCCAAAGCGGTTCTGTGTCGCTTTCCAGTCTCTGTCAACCGCGGTCTCTGGTCTCCACCGAACAACATGCTTCAGCTCTTTCTGTAAGTGACCTTCCAACGCATCCACAATGAATCCTCCAATAGTGGGCATTTGCATTGCACCGTTTCCAGAGGCCCCGACAGCTACCAATAGCGAAGGGTGATCCGGATGCCTGTCGATCAAAAACGCGCGATCAGGCGTGTCAGCATCCCAGCAGATACGGGCGAACGCCAGTGGGCGGTCGGCAAGATGTGGCATTGTGTCTCGCAGGAAATCCTTGACACGAGCTTCAGCTTCAAGAGGAATCTGATGCTTTGCAAACGGAATGCTTCTGATCTCGCCCGATCTTTCAGGGTCTGGAATAAAGTTACAGTACCCGGGGTGCTCATCACAGATCTTGAGTTCGTTCTTATCCTCATCGGGTTCCATGAAGAACCCCTTTGCGATATTAAAAAGCACAGGTAGGTTTTTGTACAGCTTGGCCTCCTCAGGAGTCATTTGGATATGAGCGAGCGTCCAAGCGGTGGGGCGCAGCTGTTTCTTGAAGTCCAAGAGACGGTCACTGCCGGCACCAGCAGCCAGAATAGTTTGGTCTGCACGATGAATCACACCATCGGAGGTTTTGGCCCCAACCACGTCTTCGTTCTCGTATACCAGTGACACGACGTTTCCTTGGGGAGAGCCAGTGATGAAGTTGACGCCTAAGCGTTTGGCTTCAGTGTATGCAGAGAACATGGCCTTTTTGGCGTGGATCCACCCTGCACCAGACTTGTTCAGCCAGCCCTTCCAGCCGGGAAATTCGCCAGTGAGAACACCTGGAGGCATCGTCTTCCGGAAGTCTTCTGCTGTCTCCAGCTTGACGAAGTCTGAAACGGATGATTCGATTTCGTCTTTTCGGATGTGATCGATGAGTGCCGGGGTATGGCCAGATATGATCAGACCGGTTTCATGAAAATATGGCTTGAAAATAGGATCGGTATGCCAGGCTTTCAGAGCAGCGCGAGTGCAAGTCGCGAACGCAATACTCCGTGGACTTGTTTCACCCTCTATCTGGATTGTCAGAGCTGGACAAACATTGAGTGATTATATTGAAAGGCATACCCTTGGGCTCTTTGTGTTCCATAATTTTGTTGATATCATTGCCCGCCGCAATTGCAGATGGGATTGTATAGGGATCTAAAACAGTGACACGCTTGTATCCGCGGCGAGCTAAATGCAAAGCGGTGGAACAGCCCCAGACCCCTGCTCCTACAACAAGGATGGTGGAGTCATGAGTGACTGTGGAGGGCGCCATGGTCTCTGATGTTTTTGTTTGTGCTGTGCAGCGTTGGAGAGAAGGAAACTGTTCTTTGCAAGTGATCTCTACTTGGATGGGCACTGAGGCCGTATTTCAACGAGCCCATAGATCAGACAATATCCACTGAATGACAGCTAGTCGGGAGCATTGGGCACCATGGGGCTCTGGCTGAACCTGCGTCCGGAGTCCCTACTGCCGCCGAGATGGAACAAGTGACGAGCAACCAACAAGGAAAGATGAGCACCGAAACGGGGTCCGTCGCGGGGTTCCTGATACGGCTTAGCGTCCCGGTTGGACCTTCCTTGAAGCCTCCGTATCAATCAACGCCTCGTCCATCCTCCACTCATCGCCTGCAGAGTCGCCCGATATAATAGCCCCAGTTATTCTCCGGAATATTTCCGTACACACCTTCAAGGTTCTGACGGTGACGGTATCATCGCGTGTGGATGATATCTACTTCGTATCATGCCCAGGCCCTTGCCAACCGGCGATACCATGCAGCTTCTCCGCATTTACCTCCGGCTCGGCAGGCTTAGTTGATATCAACCGCATATGATAACCGTTCGTTTGGAGCTTCCTTTAGGTCTTTCACTTATCTTAAAATGGCTCTATCTCTCCTTTCCTCTTGGTGGCTGTCGCATCTCCACCGCTGTCTTATCACTTCGGATGTAATCCATTCAGCCGATACATAGTCTTTTGCCGCAGACTTCGGCAAGGATAGTGGCGGGCGAGAGGAGGCAAATGATCATCCTCTCTTATCGTCCTTGGCTAAACTGATATGCTCGGGACGGTCATCCAATCGGATGCCAAACAAGGATCTTGAAGGGCGCTTCATGCTTCGACGACCCCGTGAATGGAGGTTTAGCAGAGAGGTATCCGATACTAGTACTAGCCAGCTTTAAAAGACCGCTCAACCCCTCTCATGGCTTTCTTCTTGACTGTATATTGACTTCCCAAGTCAAGATGGCTCGTTCCGATGATATAGAAACCGATGTTCCAGGGACAGTGTACCTAGTTGATGGTATGTAATCCCATGCCTTCGACATCGGTTGTCACTAACATCGTATCTAGCAACGGGAGACTTGAGAGACGCAGCTCATGCTGGGCAGCAAGATATTCTGTTAATCCCTCAGCCCACATCTTCCTCAGCTGACCCTCTGGTGAGTTGCGAACAAATTCATAGACTTTTCACGGAAATCCCTGCTAACGTTTTCCTCAGAATTGGTCGCTATATAAGAAATACTGGACCCTCTTCCTTATCTCCGCTTATGCGTGCGTGAACTCCTTTGGTGAGAATAACTGGGGTGCAGCATGGACAACAATATCGGATGATACTGGTGTGAGTCTGTCGAACATGAACGGTGGCTCCGCCCTTAACTATCTAATGCTGGGCTTCTTCAACATCATCTGGATTCCCACAGCAATGAGATATGGACGCAAAATTGTGTACATTCTCAGTTTGCTGTTCGTTCTTGGTAGTGGTATTTGGGGTGGCTTCTACCAGGGTGTTGCGCAGTACTACATTATGATGACTATCAATGGCATTGGAACTGCGGCCTATCAGGCATTGATCCAGCTCACGGTATGTCATGTCCTTCAGATGCTTGTTGGTCATACGCTGATCGAAGAAAGATCTTCGATGTCTTCTTTACTCATGAACGCGGCCGAATGCTGTCCATCTACATCTTCTTTCAGCAGCTTGGTTCCATTCTTGGTTTGATCTGCGGTGGTTACATCTCTGATGGAGTTGGCTGGAGATGGAGCATGCCTATCGTGTCAATTGCTTGTGTCAGTACACCCACCTCTTTCTTCCGTATTGTTGAAGAGCTAAGTATTTACAGGCTGTCTTGATACTTCTATTCATTTTCACATTTGATGACACGATGTTTCCGAGGTATCGCTTTTCGGGCCAAATACCTTCTCGAACCAACAAAGTCGAGGACGAGGCTGCCCGTGCTATGTCTGATACGCCAACTGCGAACGAAAAAGATGCTAAGTTTGAATCTCCTATCACGGTCGTCGCTAGCCACACTGTTGGGGAAATCGACATGCCCCCGCGGACATATCTTCAGAAAATGTCTCCAGTTCACTACTTCAAAGACGATCATACAACCTGGTACCAGTACTTTCGACGCCCATTTTTTCTTTTTGCCTTCCCGAATATTCTCCTAGCTGGTATTCAATTCGCATTTGGCTGCACCGCCGGCATTGTCTCGTTCAATACGATCTCCGAGATCATGACGGAGGCACCTTACAACTGGAGCGCAGGCTCCGCCGGCTTGATTTTCTTAGCAGCACTTGTTGGTAACTTTATCGGGTATGTATTCATGTAACCATTTTGGCTATGAAGGAGTGCTGATATCATGAAAGGATGGGAATTGGATCACTGTCGGACTGGCTCGTTGTCTTCCTAGCGCGTCGCAACAAGGGTTATAAGGAGCCCGAAATGCGTTTATGGTCATATTCCATCTCGATCGTCCTCGCTGCGGTCGGCTACTTTGTCTACGGCTGGGGTGCCACCAAAGGCCTCCAATGGATGTCCATTGCAGTTGGCCTCTGTTGCATGATTGCTCAACAGGTCTCCGCCACCAGTATCGCCACCGCATATGCAATGGAATGCTTTGAACAGGTAAGCTTCCTGTATTCGCCACACTTGAACTTGATGGCTAATCGCCCCCGTCTCAGATTTCAGGTGAACTGGTGATCGTACTGGCATGCTGTTCATCTATAATCAACTTTGTGATCTCCTTCACTGTCCAGGATTTCATCGATGGTACCAACTACGGCTGGACCTTTACATTCTATGGCATTATGGTTGTTCTTTCCATGGCTATGGGAGCTCCGATGATTATCTGGGGTAAGGATTGGCGGCGGAGGTGTAAGCCGCGATACGAGAAGTTTTTGGCTGAGACAGGCCGTCAGTAAGCACTGGAGCGTGTTTCTCTCCATATATCAATGACTGTTATGACTTATCATTCAAGTAGTTGGTTGATATCAGTATCAGGATGTTTTTGTGTGCCCATAAACCAAAAAGTAAACCCGCTCTGTAAATGACAAGACCCGATCATGTGCTGTAGAATGATCCGAGAATTTCTGTATATCATATCCAATTTCGAAATGATATGGGGCAAATTACTGTAGCAGTATGAATTTCGGGCAGGATCAGAAAGCCTAGGAAGCAGTACATTCAATAAGCGTGTTTTCTACAAATTAGTTAAGTATCCCCTCATCAAAATCAGAGATTGAAGAATAATTACAACTAGATTGTGAGGACCTTGCCGGAAACGACCGCTATCGAGGCTATAAACAGCCCGCATTATCCCCCCTGTAACTAGGCACAGCGTCACCCACGTCCACGCCAACATGAAGCAAGCACAGACAATTTCCGTCGCGACAGAAAAAGCAGTGAGTCTTAAAGTGTCATAAGAAGTCTAGTCTCTGATATATGGTAATAGTTTTAATTGAGGAGCAATGCAAAGGGGAGGAGCATCTATATAGATATAGAATAGAGGAATTTATTAGATTCTCATCAACAAATACCTTCAACCTAGTCAGTTGTGCTTAGAATAATCATATAGAGCTGAGCCTGAAACAGGGAGGGGTGAATTGTTGACTGGTATTCCTGTGACCTTTCTTAGGTGGGCACACCAGGGCTCCATACAGCTCTGAAATACTCAAAGCCAATTCAAGCATTGGGGAGAAAATAGAATTAAAGAGTGTTAAAAAAGGAGGGAAAGAAAACCAGGTGGACAACTAGCTTCCAGGTTTGATTCGTTCAATAGAAGAGTCCTATAAAGCAGAAAAATCACAGAAATTGCGACTGATGAGTTCTCAAATATCTGTGGGCTGAATGTCAAGCTCCAATATGTATGTACAGTGCCCAAGCGCGCGGGTTATCTGCATATTAAGCTCGAATTTGTAGTGTAGCGTCTCGAACTGCTTCAGCCACAGCCTTATTGGGATCTGCCGAGCTGGCACGCCTCCGCACCAAGGCCTCGTAAAACGAGGCAGCCATATCGACGCATACTTCGTCGTCTGCCGACCACAGGGAGCCGACAACGTGAGAGAACCCGGCAGCCAGAAACCCGTTCGTGATTTTGAGGCTTTCATTCCTCAATGACTGGTCTTTGACTTCTGCCGTTGAGCAGGCGGATAGATAGGCTATCCAGGCTCGGGAGACGACGTTTGTATCGAGAAGTGTGGAGACCTTGAGCTGATCAGGTACCATGCCAGACTCCCCCCGTTTCTGTAAGAGGAGATGGCTGTCTGTAGGGTTTGTGGGATCTGAGTATCCATGACAGGCGAAGTGAACCATCCCTGTATCGTGAAGCTCGGAAAGGATGTCTGCAGTAGAAGGAAGGCCCCCGGCATTTCCTTTACATGGAATGTATGCCCTGCTGCGTGGAGGATTCCCTGCGCCTCACGGCGCACGCCTGAAAGTGGGTCATGTCCTGGGGTTTCGGGCATCGTTACAACCAAGAGAGATGAGGCTTCCTCTATGAGTGGCAGTACCTGTGCTGCTCTCGTGCGGGCGTTCTGCAGTGCCTTGAGAGTAGGAATATATGACGAGATTACTCGGTCAAGTGAGCTTCGCCCGTCTCCAATCAATGTAGGCTACACAGAAAACCCAAAATGATCTTGTGTATTAAGGCAATGATCTAGCGGCCTAGATTTGCAGTTCGGATAAGGTACATATCGTCGTCCGTGACCGCGACAGAATAACCGCAAAGGAGGGACCATATTACATAGAGAGTGTGATTCTTCCTAACCGGTACATACTCTGTGATGAAATGGGAAAGTCCGTGAAGGATGGGGTTATTATGGACGAGGACAGTCTCCAGATTTCGTAAGGTGACTGTCTAGGAATTACTGTCCTGCCCAGCTCCAACGACGGATTATATTAGGAAAATGAACTTAGCAGTCATTGTTACTGAGTGCGCCAATTCTGACTTTTTGGGGCTGACATAAAGAGTCAAGGAATGACCTCCATAATTTGGTTCGGGTCAAGAGCTTTCAAATAGCCCATATGACGACTCGCTATAGTAGCACATGTCATTGAATACTGCCTATCAGCAGCGTTGTCCCAAGGCGAGGGTCTTAGCTATAAGAGATCCCGGCATGATGTGATCCTATGCTGAAAGTATCCAACGTTTCTGGTCCTTAAAGCAAGCAACATTAGAAAGTAACTGAATCTAACACTTTCCCTAGTTACAGATTTAAACCCCATGAAACCACTCGTCACTCAAAAGCTGCCTTGCCGTAGGCCTGTCCCGAGGGTCAAGTGTCATTACCTTCAGATCAAATCTTCTGTCTTCTTCTGATATTTCTCGACGACTAGCTCTCAATAATGGTCGCATCGCTGTGGATGTTATGGTATCTTGGATCCAAGATAGCATTTTGGAGGCCCTCTCATCGAGCAGATCCGCATATGGTGGAGGAAATGGTCCAAAATAGATATGAAACTTTGTAAGTATTATCACTCCGTATGCCTCGTCGAAACAAGACACACCCGGATTGAAAATGAAGAAGTTGTTTCCCCATATAATAGATATAAGCTTGTAGAGGGGGAGGTTAGCAATGGAACCATAATAGTGAGATGAGAGAGTACCATCGTGCTAAATGACCATATATCAGTCGGTGTCCCCCATTGTAGACCAAGCGCGGCTTCAGGGCTTCTCCAAATTGGAGTTCCAATGAAAGGCCGACTTTTGCAAAATTGTGACTCAATGTGGGAGGCGCTCTCCAAATCAGATATCTGAACATCTGTGAAGCGTGATTCGAGGCCATAATTCACCAGCACGTTGTTGAGTTTGATGTCTATTTCATATATTTGAGCCGGGTTCCAATTTATGACGCATGTGACATACCTGTGTGGACATATCCAGCATCGTGGAGAACACTCAGACCTTCGAGAATCTTTTTGGACACGTACTTTATCTCTGGTATGGTAAGCCATTTTGCAGCAGAGGCTTTGAGCAAGTCGTCGTCAAGGTATTTTAATACTATGGCTGGCGGGTCAACTGGCTCTTTGATTCTGTCTAGTAACGGCCGCAAGCAAGTCGTCTGTGACTGAAATTTCTTTATAGTTCTCCTCTCATGGTCGATTCGTCGATATTGTGGATATGGGGCGCACTTGATCAAAAAAATTTGATCGGATTTGCTTCTGTAGATTGAATGAGTCTCGATCAGCGTTCAACGGTGGTAGTGGCCATACCTTGCCAGCCAGATGTATTCGCATAGCTTCTTGGTCACAGCATAGGTGTCCTTGTTTCCGATAAGCCTTTGGTCCAGCTCTAGAAGGGGAAGCACTATGCAACAGTTCCTTTCCTTGAGTGTGACGATATGCTGATATTGAAGTTGGTTGGAGTGACTAGATTTTAATGTTGAATCGATATGTTGTTTATGTGAAGCAATGAGTAGATTCTACTGCCTCCTTATGGAAAAATATCCAAGAGGCACGTGAAAACAGCTTCGATATCATTCAATGGTTGCATTCACAACTTAATAGTGGCACAAAGGCTCATGCTTCACCTAAGAAGCCACTAAATCAAATCATACACTATGACTATCAAGCCTGAGGCACGCCCGCGCTACCTAGCACCAATAGCATTCACTCCACACCAGCATTGATAACTCTCAACCTCTCCGCCAAAGGGCTTGGATCCAAATAAACGGTGAAAGATCGCATCTTGTCCTCATCCACCCGTTTCCCAAAAATGGCGAAGCCATTTATGTTGATGACCTTCTTTTCCGGGTCGGGTTTGAGGACGTACTCGATACTCGCCTCTTGGTAAATTCGATCAGGCAGAACGTCAATATGGCCGATGGTGTGTTTCATGCTCTCGAGAACCGTGGATTGTTGCTTGAAGAAGTTGATGATCGCTTCTTGACCTTTGAGTAGAGGATGTCCTGGAAATCGGAACTCGCAGTCGGGTGTGAAGAACTCTGGAATGGAGATGTCAGGGTTGAGCTGATCGTTCAAGAGGTGGAAGCTCTCGAGCCATGATTTGGCTGCTGCGGTCTGGGCGTTGAGGTCGGTCATGATCTGGACTGGAAGTTGGTTTCATTATGAGGGAGGACAGTGTCTGGAAGCTGAACCTACAAGTGAAGGTGTGGATGTTGGAATGAATGCTCCCAGCCTGAGAATGCTTTATATGGGCAGTGGCTGGGAATTGGGGTTATTTATATAGTATGTTGACTGAGCAACACTCATTGTCACTCATGATGACGAAGAGGCCTTTTCGGGTTAGACTGAAGGGTAAGGGCATGCCCATTGGCTGTTTGAGGAGCTTGATTTATAATGCTGGCTGTCAGTACGTATGACTGGGTTAACTGGACTGTATGTGTATGAAAAACATACAAAGGTATCAATCAATCCGGGGGAATTGGGTGAAATATTTATTGAGATCATAGATTTGCCACAGTCCAACATAGATCCTAGCGGACTGTGAGCTTGAACGATGGCCAAGTCTTAGCCCCCACCGTTAGATATTAGGCTAGCTGTAAAACTTACACCATCATTGGTCCTTAAACAAGTCTCATCATGATTCTCACAATATTCATCCAGGTTACTTGGATGGGCATTATTGGCGTGTGTCAAACAGTCATTCGTATCGAATGATTATGAGGAATAAACAAACCATAAATGGGAATACATACCAGCCTGTGCCGAATCCTGGATGATAACGCCCTCAATACTACTTAAAAAGAGTCAATTACTATGAATTGGAAGACAAAATCAAGCAGCGAATCCGATAACTTAATGGTTAGCAGCTTCAGCATCATTGGTCTAGTGGTAGAATTCATCGTTGCCATCGATGAGGCCCGTGTTCGATTCACGGATGATGCACTATAATTCTTTTTTTTTTTTGTTTATCACTCACTGTCCCTACCATTCCGCGAGACCAAGCACAAGGAAAGCGACCATATCCACATCCCAAGAGGCGATTATCCAGGTGGAGGATGTCGGATCAATAGATGTGGAGTACTTGCCGGCGGCTACCAGCTAGAGCTTTGCCCGATGGCCACTATGGGTTGCCGTACGCATGTTTGGTCTCCGCATCCGACCGAGGTTTCCTGCTTGCTCCATCTAATTGCCAAGGAATTTCTCCGCACGCACAGCCGAAGGAATCCATCCCTTGCGAATCAGATGTCATCTCTTTGCACTTCCTTTTTCCTGTCAGTTTGATTTGTTAGTGTTTAAGAATTTCCTAGTCTAGCAGCCCACTTTTTCGCTTCAGGCGGCATGGACTAGATGACAAGAACGTCATCAGAGGGGGGTTCTGGCACATAAATCTCGCAATCTCCGACCATACCACTAGGTAATGATCTATCAACGACAACTAATCTAGCACAACATCTCTAATGGCTAATGAAAGAAACACCCTAGCCATCCGCTGGCAAGACTTGGTCGCCCAGAAGCGCCGCGAATGCCAGGAGAAGATTCCTCCAGAATGGACCCTGAGTACAGATCTTCTGGTGGTGCCTCCGCGGCTGCTGGAGTATGACCTCCCGCGCCGTAGCGGTCTATTATCTGAAATTGAGTTGGACATTACCGAGAATTTCTCAGCCACGCAGCTCCTAGCCAAGCTAGCCTCGGGCGAGGTCAGTTCACTTGCGGTCACCACGGCATTCTGTAAACGCGCAGCGATTGCACAGCAGGTGGTTAGTAGAACCTTTAAGCCCAAAGGAACAGAGACTGATTTGAGATGTTCTTTGAAGATATCCTGCCTCACGGAGACATTCTTTTCGCAGGCCCTCGACCGAGCACATTTTCTTGATACCTATTTAGCGCGCGAGGGTAAACCCATCGGTCCGCTGCACGGTCTGCCTATCAGCTTAAAAGACAGTTTTTGTGTTGAAGGCGTGCAGTCTACCATTGGATATGTATCGTTTCTGAATAATCCACCAGAAACAAGAAATTCATCTCTCGTGGAAATGCTACTGCAACTCGGGGCAGTGCTCTATGTCAAGACAAATATCCCTCAAACCGCCATGGTATGTTAATGATTTCCAATCTACCAGCCAACATGCTGATGGATTGTCAGACAGCGGATTCTGAAAACAATATTTTTGGACGCACTCTCAACCCGCACAACACATCCTTGACTGCTGGTGGGTCCAGCGGCGGCGAGGGTGCACTTATTGCATTTCGAGGATCCATCCTTGGGGTGGGTACCGATGTTGCAGGCTCTATACGTATTCCGTCGCTGTGCTGTGGAATTTACGGGTTCAAGCCAACGGCTGACCGCATCCCATATGGCGGACAAGCTCGTGGGTCCATGAAGGGACTGCCAGGGCTCACTGCGGCTGCAGGTCCATTGGCGCACAGCATTGAGGACCTACAGCTTTTTATGAGGGTTGCGGTTGGTTATGGCCAGGCATGGGAGTACGACGAGACGGCTGTTGGGATCCCATGGCTATCTGATCTCCGGGTAACTGAGAAGAGGAAAGGAAGCTTGAGAATTGGGGTTTTGTCCGAAGACAGGCATTTCCCACTCCATCCACCGGTCAAGCGGGCATTGGAACGTGCGATCGCGGCCTTGACTCGGGATGGTCATCGCATCATCCGTGTCGGTAACCAGGACAAAGATGGGTTGTCCGTGGCATATGCCTCCCGCCTCGCATACCAGTACTTTACTTACGGTCCCCGCATAAACATGAATCACATTGCGGCTAGCGGCGAGCGACTTGTGAAGTCAGTGGCAAGGTTTGATAATCCTTTGTTCTCAGGTCCTCTACCTGTTGATCAAGAACTAGAACCATTCCAGAAGATTGAACAATTGCATATCGCTCGACAGCGCGTCAGCGATGCCTGGCGTCAAGTGTGGGTGGAGCAGAAACTGGATGCGATTCTAGCCCCAGGTGCTCAGAATACGGCAGTGGGTCATGACACCTATGCCTGGCCCCCTTATACGGTGATGTGGAACCTGTTGGATGTAAGTGGATATTAAGCTCTGTTCTCACTTGGGAATTGTGTGACTAACTTCAATAATAGTATCCGGCGTGTATCATTCCGTTTGATAAAGCTTCAAAGGAGCAAGACCCTGAAAATATGACGACAGGAGATGCAGTGCAGCCAGACTGTAGGCGATTGGTTGATATTCTTGCTGAACATGACTGACGTTACTGCAGACCACCCTGACGAGGTTGACGGTGCCCCATGTGCTATCCAGGTTATCACGCCGCGGTTTCAGGATGAGAAGTGTCTCTGGGCAGCGGATATTATCGATCGATCAATTCACGCATAGCCTTCAGATGATGTTCTGCTTAATAAACAGACGCAAGCATTACTATCGGACGCAAGAGTACACCCAAGCTTCTCTATAAGTACCTTGGATGAATCTCTGATCCACTACATAGGTGACTTGACACCCGGAGAATACAGTGTATTCCGCAGCAATTGAGGCAGTGCGATTTTGAAATAGTAAATCCTATATCAGGCCACTACTTAGGTACCTAGACATTAAGTACAAAGAACCCCAGCAACCTGATTGGGTGATAGTCACTTATCTAGCCAACATGAACATCACTCTTGGACCCTAGATGATGATGCGTGCGACTATTGCTAGTCCGAGCCAGGGCTAAGAGTCGGCAGCTCTTTCTCTATTAGGCAAGGCCAACCGAGCCATCTCTTTGCGCAGGTCTCCTGCGAGACGAGCGTGTATGCGGGGCCCTTCTATCATGACGGCATCTATACCTGTTAGTAAATGCCGGACAGCTACTTGCTTCCCGCTAGACACCTCACATGTCACACTGCCGACTCAATGTCTCCTTGTGATTGGAGGAGATGTGAAGCCTCATGCGGTAACTGACCCAGCATGATGCACCTTGACCAAATCCCCGATAACAAATGAGCGTTAGCGATAGCCAGTGGTTATGAACCTTGCTTAAGGACTGAAGTAACCCCGCATTTGATACTCCAACTGGCTGTTATCTCTGATCTCTTTTCTGCCGCTCCCATCAAAGATAAGCCCTCCTCGGACGCAGATTCCGCATGTCCAAATGGCCCTTGGAAAAGATGGGGGTGTAGAAGAACAATATGATGTTAAACTTAAATGCCACTACCAACCCATTATCCTACATCTCGATTACCGCGGCCTTGCGACGGCAAACTTGACTTCCACGCATCTAGCATGTCAAGTGACCAGATTGAAGAAGAGCCCTTGTGGGTTCCGGGGACAATCGCCCTCGAGGATGGTAAATCAGTCATCTATGTGGACATGTACAAAACTGACCTCAGTTAGTTCACAATACCAGAGTGATCCTCTTTCCCACTCCCTCTACTGACCCGGACGATCCTCTTAACTGGTCGACGGCACGGAAGGCCCTCAATTACACCATCGTCAGCTTATTTATTCTTTTTACTTTCGTGGAATTGGACATCGGCTTCACCGCATGGGGTCAAATGCAACTTCACGGTGAACAATCTTAATGCCGGTATGGCGGTCAATTATGGTGGTCTGGCTATTGGATGTTTTTTTTCTCCTTCCTCTAGCACGTAAATACGGTCGTCGCCCTATCTATATTCTCGCTTCGGTTTTCCAACTGGCGTCCTGCGTGTAGAATGCAGAAGTCTATACTTTCGGTAATTATATCGGGGCTAACCTGGTTTCCGGTCTGGGTGGTGCCATTAGTGAGGTCATTGTGCAAATGACTGTGGCAGACATTTCCTTCGTGCATCATCATGGTACAATGAACGGCTTGTTCGTGCTTTTCGAGTCAATCGGTGCATTTTTGGGCCCTGTTGCATCGGGATACATTGTGCAGTCTCAGGGTTGGCGATGGACATGGTGGTGGTGTGTGATCTTCTTTGGCATCATCTTAGTCTGCGTCATCTTCCTCTTCGAGGAGTCGAAATTTGTCCCCATCTTGGATGCGCAAGATATTTCTCCGGCCGCTCGACGAGTGACGGCCGTAGAATACCCTGAAAGTTCCCGAGCTCCCAAGGCCAAACGTCCGTCCGACGACAAGAAGGGCATTATCAAATCTGTGGTAACATACGACGCACCTTGCCCTGAATTCAAATCAAAAACCTACCTCCAGAGAATGGCTTTCGTCACACCATCTAGCGAGTCCATATGGTCTCATGCATGGTATCCAATCATAACTCTGTTTACCTTCCCAGCTGTTTCATATACAGCAATTATATACGGCTCTACCTTGTGCTGGTTTGCCGTCATGACATCGCTCCAGGCGACATATATGCTTTTGCCGCCTTATAACTTTAGTTCGATTGGTGTTGGCCTGATGAATGTGGCACCTATTATTGGGGGACTGCTAGGCTTCCCGTTTTCGGGCTATTTGAGCGACAGATCTATCATTTGGCTCTCTAAGAAGAATGGCGGCATTTACGAGCCCGAGATTCGTCTCTGGCTTTTGCTCCCTATGATCATCTTGGGCCCAGGGTCGATTCTGATGTTTGGCCTTGGACTCGCTTATGTACGTCATGACAATCAGTGAGTGTTTCGATCAAGCTAACATATCCCCATCTTTAAAGGGTGCTCACTGGTCCGTTCTAGCCATCGGCTACGGTATATATGGATTCGTCTTTTCATCTGCTGGTGGTCTCTCGCTGTCATACCTCATGGATTGCTACCAGGACGTAAGTACATTACACATTTTACGTTAACAACCTAGTGCACCCGAAATTCTTACCAAGCTCTTTTCCAGATCATTGGTGATACTCTAGTTGGTGTGGTATTCGTACGAAATGTGATCTCGGTTGTCGTTCTCTTCGCATTGACTCCCTGGGTTGACGGCATGGGCCTTCGGAACCTTCATATCCTGCTCGCCGTCTTGGCCTTTTGCATCTACTCACTACCAATTGCTCTTCTGATATGGGGAAAGAAAGCAAGGGCTGCTACCGCATCAACTTATCGGGAGATGGCGGCGAGTCAAGTTGACCATCGAGCAGTATGAAAGTCATAATATCCAAAATAAAGTGGTTTACGGTGCCACATCTTATTTCTTGCACAGCAGGTACTATTTCCAAATAGAGTTCTTTTCACTCTTGGGATGTTACATCGAATTGTTGTCCTACCTGAAGGGATTTATTTCGGCGGTGGTTATTAGCCCACTCGGCCTGTTATATCTGGTTTTCAAGTATGCCTGAGTGGACAAACTCCCAGATTTATACCATTCATCTCACCAGTTGCTCCATTTCTTGGCGGATTGCGTTCAACTTTGCGGTGGCCGAGGATCCACCCAGTAAAAGGACTGGCATTCGTGACCCATAGGCCCTTTCGACGAAGAAGAGAGATCCGTGCTGGGTAGTGTCGCCACAGCAAAGTCAAGAATCGGCAGTAACACCGACCAATTTTCTCGATAATAATTGACAAAGGGGATAAAGTCGCTGGGCCATGTACTGGTACATCATTCCTGTTTGTCCATCAATTTGCGGATGTGGATAGCTCGAGCCTTGTACCTCACCCCGAAAGCCAGCCATGATCTGTCTCCACTATTGATTAGAGAATCTGTAACGGGCTGAACAGTCTTAGTTTGCCGAACTCAGAGTAAGGTAAAGTTATAGTCGATCCTTCTTGGTTCTTTTTTCCAGTGGCACCACTCTTTGTAGTCAAAGAGAGCGAATTGAGTTGTAACGGACTAAACAGCATTGATTTGCCGAACTTAGAGCAAGGTAAAGTAAGAGGTGTTTAGCCAGTTATAGAAACCAGACACATGGTCCACGGACCGGAGGTTTGATCAATACTGATAAACTCGATGGTCTTGATTGGATTCAGATGACTGACCATATATAGAATACCGAGCAGGCAGTGCGATACTAGCCACAGCATGTATTTCTGATACTGTCAAGGGTGTCTCGTCACACACTTTCTAGTTTCACATTGACAACAGCTTTCTTCCACCTATCACTCTCACCTAGGCCAATAGCCTCTCTTTGTCGGACCCGTACTCAGGACGAGGATTTCAACAGCCACACTGGAAGAAAAGGAAAATCAGCCTGTCATAGAACAGAAAATATAATCAAACATTCTCCCTTTTCCTTTCTTCATCCACTTTTCCACAACATCGCATTTTATTCTCCCCGGTAAGGTGCCACACGGAATTATCGTTCCGGTAGCAGGCACGAAAGAACCCATGAGCCCGTACAAGACCAGACAGCTCGCGTAGCTTCGTCAGCTACTCAGAATCTTCCTGATTCAGTGCGTCTGGGTGAGGAGTTTGTTCGATCGCAAGTCAGCAAGCCGGCTTTGTTGTAATTCCGTAGTGTAGCGTCCAGATGGCATTTTCGAAAGATAGGGTATATATAGTATCAAATTCGTATCGATGAGCCTTGTGTGTTATAGGCGACGTCGAATTGCAGGATTAGTTACTGCAGAAGCGCGTCCAATGCCATCATTCTTGCCGTCGTGTAGAAGCGCCGCGTCCCGGGAATAAAGACGATATGTGTCTGTCCCCAAGCGATGTCATATCAAGGATGAGTCAGATGATGCAACGAGCTCTGTAAAGAAGGCCATCGTATCAGGGACATTGGTGAACGTCAAGCTCAAGGCTGAAAGAGGCGATATTGTAGTATCAAGAGTATCATGTATGTTTTCCCATCGGTGAATCATACTCAGATTGCCAAGATGGTGTATAGACATGCCTGATGATGATTATCCCGAGCAAACGAGAGAAAAGAGTACACTTTGATGGGGGTTCTTTCGCTCAAACCACCCCTTGGCTTTGGGTGTAGTATATTGTCAGTGGAGTTTTGTGAGGGAGGTGTCTCCGAATGATGTCGCAAATGTATATATAGAGAAGGGAATATCTAAAATTGATGGAAGGATTGCAGTGTATGAAAAGCTTCGAGGGGGTCACTCGACCCCGGACCTTAGTTGGACTGCATTCAATCTCTCCTATCTGCCTCTCTGGAGATCAATCGCAGAGAGCGCACGTCGATCTCATTGGATGCAAAGGGTCGTTGGTGGATTAAATCCCCGGAAGATGCAGTCCGATATTGGTGGCTTGGATTCGGTGTAGAGAAAAGAAAGAAGCACAGCAAGGAGAAAGGTACGTCTTAAATAGGTGCTCTTGATCGTTTCGTATCAAGAAAAAGGGGTGTTGTCTCCTAAAGGTAGGAAGTTTCCATCGGCAACTTTCACTAGTCGACATGGCTGCAACCGAGACATCCCTGCGATCTGTTACACATACGGATGAGAGTGGGTAAGAATAATAGGATGAATCCATTTGCTAGATGCCAAGCATCGATATACACTATCTACGCCTATTCACTAGTGAACGCGCAGGTCCCCATATCTAGCTTCACCGCGTCCGCCTCCGGCCGAATATCAAAGTCAAAGATGTCCATTGGCACTCCCAGAGTGGTACACGCATTAGGAATATCCACTAAGCCAGCAATATGTCCCTGAACAGGAGCACAGCTGAGTAGCAGATAGATCTGATAGTCACTGTAGCCATACCGACGGAGATACTCGATCACGCGGAGACAGGTTTGACGATACGCAACCGTGGCATCCAGATAGTGCTGCTTGCCCTTCTCATCGACAGAGAATCCTTCAAAGGTCAGGTACCGGCCGGGACCGAACTGAGGCTCGACAGGGCCGGGTTGAAAGATCGGGGACTTCATGCCCATCTTGGCCATGCCGTTCTTGATCACGCTGAATTTGATAGTGATCACGCCAGCCATTTCGATAGCGCCGCAGAAGGAGATCTCTCCGTCGCCCTGGGAGAAATGCAGGTCGCCGACGGAGAACTTAGCACCAGGAACGTGGACGGGGAGGTACACCTTCGAGCCACGAGAGAGGTTCTTGATGTCACAGTTGCCTCCGTGTTCGGGACGGCCCTATATTTATTAGTTCTAATGCGCGTGAATCCTGAATGGGCATTTAAAGCGTACAGGGATGGTTCGTGCGCCTTCATTTGCAATCTTTGCCTTCAAGCTCTCCTCCGCACTACCGGCATGCGCATTCTTCGGCTCTGGGGGCTTCGCAACGTCGCGTGTGGTTGTATTTGCTGCAATGAGTTCTCCTTCCCGGCGATTCCACTCTGCCAGGACCTCAGCGGAGGGTGCACAGCCTAAAATTCCTGGATGGATGAGACCCGCAAAACGAACATGGGGGATGTGGCGGGAGGAGCAGAAGATCCCCTCAAAGTCCCAAATTGCTTTGGCCCTATGAACAATCAGCCATCAATACCTGAAAGGGGGGAAAGTTATCCTACGCTTCTGGATAGATCTCGTCCAGAAATCCTCCTCCGTTATTTGCTGCAAAGACGCCCGTAAATCCCCACGGCTGCTCTTCGAAAGGCTGAACATCCTGGATCTCCACAAGAAGAACGTCACCAGGCTCTGCAGTCTCGATCTCAAATGGACCGGATAGATAATGGATTTGGGTTAAGTCAACGTTCTTGATGTCATCGGCAGAGTCATTATTCTTGATCTGTCCTCCGGTCCAATCCAAACATTCGATCTTCACAACCTCGTTGTTTGCAATTTTACCACAGGCAGGCACTGTTACCTCAGTTAGGATAAGCAATTGTGATAGTTGACAGTTGGAATCAACTCATCGGCGTACCGTCGGGGTGCCATCGGTTCTGAAGCAGTTGAGCATCAGCGCCTTATCCATGTAACTGTTCATGGCCAGACTTACGTGCAGACCAGGCTGCTCCCAGGCAGGCTTATTGAGGTCGACAGCGAGTGCAGTGCGGATCTTCTTGTGACCCATTTTGATCAGTGGATGATGCTATGCGGTAGCTAGTGGTAGGAGGTGTTGGCGGGGTGAGACGAATTAAGGTTGCCAACCCCCCTCAATTAATAGTTCAACTGCGCCTGCGACCTTCCCCTCACCAATGGCCGGCGGAGTCCAACTCTGTTTATCAAGACACCGAATAGGAATTACGGAACGCCCTCCGGCTGCTTTATCTTATCATCACTACCACGCTTATCAGCGGGGAAAGATGGCCCCGTCTCATTTCTGTCTATGTTAACAACAATACCAAAGCCCGATAAACAGGACACAAAATGCAATGTCCAGCACACTTGAATATATTTTCTCGGCTGACTTCCACGATCAACTTTTGTAGCTTGGGAGATACCCCCTTCCTAGCTCTCCTTCGAATTTCTGACCTCAAGCGAATTTCCGACCAGGGACCTCGGGCGCACTCGGCTTTTCCTCCTCCTGCGCTTTGTTAAGCTGGTCGATGTTATCCAACGACAGCTTCAGAAACTCATGCTTGTTCTTCCAGGTAACCTGGGTCTCAGCAAATCCCTCCTTCTCAGCAGGGCTCGGCGGGGGGTCCGTGACCTTGGTGACGAGATACGCCGTGGCTGCCTGTGCCACTCCATAAAGAAGAACCCCAATGAAGGGGGTCTTCAACACAACAGTGAAAGCAAAGGCGAAGCCAAACAGAACGCCCTCACGGTCGGCAAACCAACGTGCTCTCTGCTCATGGGTAAAGGGGACGCGGCTAAAGTACGGATCGAGCTAGTGGTCGTGTTAGACATGTTCGATGAAGGAAATCCACTTGACGACTTACCATCTCACGCATAAGCGTACGAGACGCATAAAAGCTGTGAAGGAAGGAAACGACGTAGCTTTTCGGGAAAATTAAGCCAGCCCCGAAGACGATTGCGGCAGGGGTGGTTCCCACAGCACCCTTGAAGGCATAGAACGAGGCAACTGGCGTTGCAAAGCGTCCGACGACGGGCACAAGCGATAGGATAGACACGCCCAAAAGCAAGGCCGCTCTTTGTCCAGACCTCCGAAGGAACAGAAAAATTCTCTCCTTTGCCGGCTTCCTCGGCTCAGTGGACTTGACCTTGCCATCTGCGGTTGAGTACAGTGACAGGTTCGGATAGTACATGGCGCGCAGAGTGTTGGGGTCCTCCGCCTTGTGCTTGTCGACATAAGTTGAGTCCACCCATTTCAATGACTCCATGAAGCTTAACGATCAACACATGAGTTCACGCTGCTGCTAAAGAAGGGCTGACTTACATTTCATCCAGAGTAGGGGTGATGTATCGCATCAGCGACATGATTAAGAAGGGAACCTGAAGAACGGATTTGGAAAGGAATTCAAGAGCATCAATGAGGGAGTCGTCCCAGGTCACGCTCTCGAGATCGATGATCCATGAGATGAACCAAAGGATGAACTTGAGTCCGATAATCTAGAGGGACAATTAGTCTGGTAGTCGTGGGCACTAAGAGTGAATGGACCGTACTGGAATCTGGATTAGAAGCTCGACGGCCACTCCGACTGCGACTGCAAAGGCAGCCTGTCGGAAGTGATCATACTTGAACAGGTCGGGATTCCGCAATGCGCGGACGGCTGGGGAGGTGAGTTAGCAGCGGGTACCATCTTGCCTAAAGGGACCATGCGGGTAGATATCTCAATGGCTGCTGTCGATCATGGAACTAGAGAATTCTGGCGTGCTGTGTGATCGGAGACCATCACAGCGTAGACCCCTTATGTCCCCAGACTTTTGCTCCCCCTGTCGCGCAAGGAGGGCCATTTCGCGCAGCCATTGGGCTACCCGAGTGTTCCGATTCTATCGCGGACAAAGGACACTCACTTGCAACAACCGTCAGCTGGAAGCCGCGAATCACGGCATTATGGTCGAAATTGCCCATATTGAAACCAAGTCTCCTGAGTACTCACGAGTGTCAGGGACAGGCTAGCAGAAGGGGGTGAATCGTCGTACTATTTATAGTTGTGCGTTGTCTGCCGAGGGGGGAACAGCCACAGGCAACCACATATTGAGACGGAATGACGCGCTCAGCTGTGGCTGCCAATTCCGATTGGCAGTATAACCGCTAGCCGCCGGCGGAATAACCGCCGGCCCCACCGGGAAGCGTAGGGCAGGTGACCGGCGCATAAAGGCCTGAGGCAACAATCGCTCTCCGCTGGGTTAGACCCGATTGGGGCCAAAGAACCGGGAATCCAAATGATTATTATTGAGTTCATCCAGCCAAGGGTCACTTGCGCTCTGCATTATCTCACCACCCGTCTCTCATTGTCTCTCCTCCCCCTGCTGATCGTCTCTCCTTATCCCTTCTGACTCCATTCTCTTGCTATATACTACCTAATTTCACCATACTATATTCAATGTAATCTTTTTTGTTCTTGGCCCGTTCTTCACCTTCCTTAGTCCCCATGAACGAGAATGTCTAATCTCTCGGATGCGCCACTTCCTCACACCCAATCCCTTCGCCGGTCTGCCACCCTTCCCTCGAAACTAAACCCCCGGCGTCGTCGGCAGTCGGAGTCACTGAAGCCATCGGAGAACGATCTATTCTACCACCCATCCGCGAAAGTCGTCCATTTTGCCCCTAGAGCGCTCGCTCCCATCCCCTCTAGCACTTCGCCCTCGGACTTTGATTACCCGGTCGACACCGTTGAAACCCTTCCTTGGAGATCCCCTACAGAACGGACGGTCGCTCTCGGACCGCTCCGGTTGGAAAATGTTCACGGCCTTACCGTCTTTCTCAAGTGCGGCAATGTCGTGCATGCGATTCTCAAGAACTCGCAATGTTGGTGTGTCGACGGCGAGTCGACCTTCGTCTTGCGCATTCGTCCTTTGACGTACTATCGCATCGAGCTACCTACTGAAACAGAGGACGACCAAATATTGGTCGTGGGGATGAAAAAGGTCCTACCAAAGGTTCTTCGTTATGAGGTGACCCCTTGCCCTTTCAAGAGGGGGTTTACCGTTGAGATACCGGAGGAGGCCAAAGCCCCCAGAAGGAAGAGAGCATGGCGCCCCAAAGGACGTCGGGACAGCGCTCCCATCACTCCAAGCTATCATCAGGGCGAAATCCAACACAAAGAGGAGCTTGCAAAAGACCCTGCGAGTGCCGGGGAAGACACGGATGGAGATGCGACAGATGACAGCGGTTTCACCACGAAGGGCAGTAACAGTACCATTTTGGAGACTATCCCGGATGATAACGAATCCCCTGAACTGCCTCAGACATCTGAACCAGTGGACCTGCCCGGACGCTCAGTACACGAAACAGAACAGAGTTTTCAGACCTTGCTGGCAAGGTTTGAGGATTACTCCGAACAACAGGTTGATCCTGAAATGATGTTCTCATCGAGCGTCGAATCTTTCCATTCTCTTGGGCCCTCATTATCTACATTACCGGACCTAGACGCGTGCTCTACGCCTACATCGATTGAAGGTACCGAGCAATTTCAGACCGAATATAGCGATAATCAATCACCGTCAGAAGAACACCCCTTTCGGGAGACAGACCGCTCCAGGGACAGACTATCCGTGTATGTGGACTGTTGGGATGACTTGTCATCTGCACCGCAAGATCTGTCGAGAGACTTTTCTCCTGAGCGGGAAGCCAAACCGATCCCGAACGTAATTCCCGACGTTCAACAGCCGGCTGTAACCCGCAATGGCGCGGCCGCGACCACCGATTCGAACCCAAATCTCAGCAGCATGAGCGTGGAGTTCCGCCGGCGCTCCAAGGCATCCCGCGAGCGAGAAGTTTCCCCGATGCCACCGGCGTCCTCACTGGCAATTGCGAGACCCGAGAAACACGATGCGGCGTCTCTCATTCAGAAAACTTGCACGCTTGTCCTGGTCCCCCCTATTCAACTACTGATTGTTCTCATTCATGTCGCCGCGCGCATCGTCATCGGCCCCGCTTTGAACTCCGCCATAGGCGATTTGAACCGGAATATCGAGTATGAAGTCACTGGTTCTCAGGACACAGTGGATGATTTCGATCTCCCTCTTCCTGATCGATCTAGGGCGTCGTCTGCCGATGAGGATACCAAAAACTGACATCTGTACCGACTTGAGTTTGCGCGCCCTTACCGTCTTTCATTCCGCCACTCTTTTTCCGCTGTTCATGTACCTGCTGTATTCTCCGCTGATGATTTGCTCGATTCCCTCTCATGTATTCTTCCAACTACGATGACGCATTTGTATGATCTCACTTTATATCTGTCTCTCCATCTATTCCCTTTGGTTCGGCATCTGTACGGATTGTGGGTGGGCTATCTCTGTATCTTGCACTGAATATGTACCCGTGTAATGTTTTCTTTGTATTCTAGCGATATCATAAAACCGGCTCAAAATTGTTAATCCGGTATATCATCACCCTATAAGCATGATTAGTCTAGTATATTCTTCGAAGAATGGTTCCATTCAGCCTAATCCCTCACCCATATCTACAAAGACCAGCAGTCAGGGGCATGAACATACCCAGTGAAGCAAACAAAAGAAACCCATAACGCCCATAATGCATCCTTAACATCACAAGCAGCGATATATCTATCGCCCTCTTCCGCATGGTGTCGAATAACCCCAGCCTCGCCTTCACCCAAATCAATCCAGACGCTACCACCATCCATCCCATTGCATCCCTTACCCGCCTAAGCCTTGGCTACCTTTCCAGCAGCACCGCCCTTGGCCTTCGCCTTGCCCTTCTTGCGATCCCTCTTCTTCAGCCCCGACATTCCCGCCTTGCACACCTCCGCATACCGAGCATAGAATGCCTCCAGCTCTTCCGGGCTCACTACCGTCGACAGCTTGACTTTCGGAGGCGCGGACTGGGCCTTCTTTCCTTGAGCAGTTTTGGGGTTCGGGGCGTTGGTGTTTCCGTCTGTTGCGCGGATGAGGATGGAGGGCTGTTCGGAGGTAGTGTCGTTGAGGAGGGGCTTCTGGGTGAGGTACACGGAGCCTCTAGTCTTTTGAGATGTGGTGGTGAGGAGGGTAGTAAGGGAGGTGAAGAACTGCATTGTTAAATTTGTCAATTAATATTTTCATCGAGAGAGCTTGAGGGGTAACAAGTAGTTACCTCCTCGTGGCCCAAGTGTGCAGGCATCTTTGCTGGATGTGTCGGAGGTGGAGTTTCAAGATGTGTGGTGTTGCTGTTGGTCTCGGAGACGTGTAAATTAAGTTTGTGAGATGTGGCTGGAAGGTTCTACCAGTGAGATTGAACAAGTAGAAGGAAGATCGCCGATTAGTCCTGTGCTCCAATGATTGGAATCCACACGCGATCTCGACGAGTCGGTGGGGGACACGAATCGAATCTCCGCAACTGCGCCCTCACCGCCTACGGTGTCCGCCTCCGCGGGACTTTTTTGAGGCGGCATAAAAAAAAAGTTGCGCCATTGCATCTATCGCAAAGCCAGATACAAGTCGATCGCCCATCATGCGGCGTACTATGCATAATACGACCTCCTTGCCGAGGAACCTGCGCGCGGAACTCGGGATCCGGGATACCTACGGCGAGAAGAAGAATAAGCGGAACGGACCTGCGTCGAGGAAAGAGCGCCGGCGGGAGGAGCGGTCGGGGAAGAAGCAACGGGCACCAGTTTCGAAGAAGCGAAGCTATCACCGTGAGGAGGTGGAGGATGATGACGATGAGGAGGGTGACTTTGATGGATTCGAGGATGACTTGGATTTAGCTGAGTCTGACGACGAGGCGCAAGCGCCGCCGCCTAAGGCCAAGTCGGAAAAGCAGCCCAAGCCTATCCTGAAGAAGAAGTCGAAGGTGGCTGAAAGCTCCGAGTCTGAGGATGAGGAGGACGAGGACGACGCCGGAACAACGCGACGCCCGATCTCGAAGACGGTTCAAGGCAAACTCGAGGAGGACGATGCGGAGATTGCCGCGCTGGAGAAAAAGCTGGGTCTTAAGAAGGGCAAGAAGCTTCCCAAGTCTTTCGACGAAGATGGTCTAGGTGACCTGTTGGGCGATTTGGACGACGAGTCTGCTGATGAGAACCGGAAGCGCAAAAGGGAAGCTGACGAATGGTTACGGAGCAAGAGGAGAAAGGCTCAGGGCTTGGAGCCTGAGGAAGAGTCAGAGGATGACAGCGATATGGGCGAGGACGGGCTCGAGGATTTTGATGAGGACGAGTCTATGGGTGACTTTGATGAGGATGAGGAGGGCGATGAAGATGAGGATGAGGACGAGCAGCCCGCTCCCAAGAAGAAGGAGAATCCCTACGTCGCCCCTGTTCAAGAAACCGAAAGCCGTCCCCAGAAGTACATTCCTCCTTCGCTTCGAGCTGCGTCCAACTCTGAATCTGAATCTCTCGTCCGGCTGAGACGACAGGCTCAGGGTCACCTGAACAAGCTGTCTGAAGCCAACATGATCTCCATCCTTGCAGAATTTGAGAAGCTCTACCGAGATCATCCTCGTCAGAACGTCACGTCGACACTGATTTCCCTACTCTTCGGGTTGATTTGTGAGAGGTCAGCCCTTTCAGACACTTTCATCATTCTCCATGCAGGTTTCATTGCTGCTGTGTATAAGATAGTGGGTATGGATTTCGGCGCGGAGATTGTGCAGAAGATCGTCGAGACCTTCGACGCTCGCGGCGATGAACGGGGCAAATTTGAAGGGAAGGAGACCATCAACCTGATTTCTCTCCTGGCGCAATTATACAACTTCCACGTTATCGGAAGCACCCTGATCTTTGACTACATCCGACTCTTCCTTCAAGAAATGACCGAGGACAACACGGAACTACTCCTCAAGGTCATCAGAAGTACGTCCTAACCCTCGAAGACCTCCCTAACCCATACTGACCACACCAGACTCTGGACCCCAACTCCGACAGGATGACCCTTCATCCCTTAAGGACATCGTCCTCCTTATCCAACCTGCTGTTGCCAAAGCCGGCGAAGGCTCTCTCTCCGTCCGCACCAAGTTCATGATCGACACCATAACCGACCTGAAGAACAACCGCCTCAAATCCAACGTGAACGCCTCCATCTCTTCTGAACACATTACCAAGATGCGTAAGATCCTCGGATCCCTCAACAACTCGCGGGTTATCCGGGCCTCGGAACCCATCAGCATCTCCCGCGATGACATCCACAACTCCTCCAAGAAGGGCAAATGGTGGCTCGTCGGCGCCAGCTGGCGCGAAGACCCTCTCGAATCCGCCCGCAAAGAGCTCACCAACCTCCCAACCAACAGCACCCAACCCGACGCCTCAGACAGCGAAGACGAGCCCGACCTCGCCAGCATCGCCAAAGCACACCGCATGAACACCGACGTGCGCCGCTCCATCTTCGTCGCCATCATGTCCGCAACCGACTACCAAGACGCGCACGTCCGCCTCCTCAAACTCCGTCTCAAACGCGCCCAGGAATTCGAAATCCCCCGTGTCCTCACCCACTGCGCTATGGAAGAAGCCGCCCATAACCCCTACTACACACTGATCGCGAAACGCCTCTGCGGTGAAATGGGCCGCCGCATTAAAGTCTCCTTCATGTACACCCTGTGGAACATCTTCAAACGCATGGGCGAAAACGGAGACATGGACGACGATGACGACGACAACGCCTTCGATGACGAGGATGACCAAAACAAACTCGAAATGAAATCCATCGTCAACCTCGCCAAGATGTACGGTTCTCTTATTGCAGACGGGACGTTGAATCTGGGTGTCTTGAAAATCCTCAACTTCGCTTACCTGCAACCGAAGAGTAAGACCTTTGTTGAGCTGCTTCTGATCAGCGTGATTCAACAATCCCAGAAGAAGCGGGGAGGCAAGAAGAAGAAATCTGCGGATGCGGAGGATGAGCAGGACGAGCAGGCGCTGATGGAGATTTTCCTGCGCGCGAGGGAGACGCCCCAGATTGTGAAGGGGCTGATCTATTTCTTGAGGAAGGTGGTGGCGAAGACGGATATTGTGCCTTCTGCGAAGGAGATGAAGGTCGTCAAGTGGGGGTGTAGGGTCGCGACGGATGCTTTGAAGGTGGTTGTTAAGGAGGGGGGAGCGGACTGATTGCATACGTACTGTCTGCTGTGAAGGCCGGGTCAGGCGTTTGGGTTGCATTGGAAGTGGGTTAAAAGCTTGTATATAGGTTCTTTCTCTTGACGATGGCTGAATGTTGAGCATGGTACATTAGGATTGCATTCGTCGTGTATTTGGGTATCATAGTAATGTATTGTACATGAGTGCTACGGCGAGTCTACGAGATTAGTTCCCATTCCATCCCAACGTGCCATTTACCTGCGGTTTGGAGGTACGAGCGGTCTAATGGGGATAAATCATCGAGTCTCAGGTCTGTTCCTGAGACCTGAGCATTTTGATGCTCGCCCAGGTCGACTTCCCAAGCCAGACCCCGACAAACACCGATAGTATCCCCGAGTTTGAGTTCGGGGATGCGAATCGTTGCATGGCGAGTCTGATGGGTAGGCTGTCGGGGTGGTCCGAGAAGAAGCACATTCTTCAACTGAGATTCATCATAAGTGACTGGCCCACTACTTACCCCCAGTGTATCCACAGGGTGGCCCTGCACAAACGCGAGAGAGCCACAACTCCTTAAAGCCGTCTGATGAGCACTATTTATCCGTACAGTGACTGAGTATTTCCGTGTATCCGGTGAGGATGAATCTGTTCTCTGGTAATAGCTCGGACTCGTCTGTTGTTGCTCTCGTTTTGCGCCCATTTCTAGGATCCAGCTGCGCACTTCCGCGGCCATGCCACCAGGCACATAGTTGGGCGCTGCGGAACGGCGGCCACCACGATGCCGGAGCGCACGAGACGAAGGCGAGAATGGAGTGGGGATACCGGTGAGATCGTCCTCCTCGTGAGTGGGGGACGGAGAACGGGGCAAAACGAATGCTGGTGTGCGTCGCTGCGAGAGTGGGATTGGGGTTGTTGCAGTTGAATTGGGCGGTCTAATACCGGACTGAGTCTGGCTACTTGGTGGTAGCTGCGATGCAGATAGGACAAATCGACGGGGCTGGAGAGGAGAGGGCATGATGCTTGCAGGGGTGGTGGGTTGTTGGATCTCTGGGGCGGATCGGACCGGTTTCCGGAATCGTTGTTCTGGGAGTGCTTTATTTGGCGTATGGTAGGAAGCCGAAGGAGTTAGATTGTCTGCTAGCGGTGGTGGGGGAGGATCCGGGGAGGACGTGGCGATTGCGTCGGCTCGTGGTTTGCTGCGTAGAATTGAAGAGGTGTCATCATTGCTATTAGTCCAAGAGACTAGACGTCTCTTTGTACGATTCCTTGTGGATCCAAATATTTCCTCGAATACGGCATCGAGTTCCCCTGGTTCGCCTGGCGAGCTGCTTTGGGGTTCCTCGTCGAGAATTCCCTCCTTTGAATGCAGGGGTGGTGTAGCGTCCTCGTCAGGCTCGGCCTCGGAATCTTCGATGATCTCCCTCTGGCGCGGGGTCGGTACATGTTCTCTTAAGCGTTTGGAAGTACGCGCTGTTGGGACGGGTGTGGCATATTCAAAGTCATCATGGTCAATGGATTCGACATCTTGGGATGGTCTTGATGAAGCGGGGGTTTGAGAGAGGAAAAATCGAGGGGTTGATGCAAACTGCGGGCCTGCGTTGCGACGCGAGGCACGGAAGGGCGTCTGGACAAGTTTTAGCTATGGCGTTTTGACAAATGGGGGTAAAGACGCGTACTGCTACCGGGGGCATTTAGGACAGGCTAGTGGGGAGAAAATGCGCGACAGCATGTCGGGACGCGTTGGGAGATTGAGAAGTTGATGCATCCAGTGTGATATCATCTGACATGTCATTTAGTTTCCGCTTTCGGCAAGCGGTCTACTTGATCCAGTGACAGACCCTAGTCCCAATACGGATCTAATCAGCTATCTGGTCGGCCTCGTATGATTGGCTCGTCCATATCCCTCTGCTTCATTCATCATCCCGGCGTGACCAAGGCTCCAACCTACTGTACAGATACACAGTTCTGTTGAACGTATACAATTCAGAGGAGGCACATGCTGTAAGAATAGTCACAGACTTTCGAATTTGTTCCCATCGAGCTTGTGGGCCAATCCAGACGAAGAATACAGTTATAATAGACTCGTTACCCCATTAATCATAGCAACCTAAACTCCATCTCCCAGTGGTATATATTTATCACACTTTCTCCTCAGTATTCGCATCCGGGGACATCGATTTCCGCCTATATAGAATGTCAGGTTTTATCTCACTGAGTCATGTGCAAAGGACGAGAAATACCTATTGAACTCCTCGATCATGGCTGCCATATTCCCCGCGCCACTGGATCGTCTGTCTGGATGGTCGTTTGCTGCACCTCCAAAGCTCCCTAATAGCGAGTTTATGGCTTGATTGCATCAATCAGCAAGTGCTCATAAGTGTTTTTGCAGATGTGGCGAATCGTACCCATCTGATTCTGGTGGCGTTCCTCTTCCGCAAGTTGCTGTTGCAGAGAGCTGCGGCGTCTGTCATGCTTGAGGTGGCCGTACTTCTGAACGAGATCCATGTTGTGAGTTGATGTAGTTCACGTAGAAATAATGTGGGATTCAGTAAATGGGGGATTTGATAGACATCTGCAACACACGGGCGGCCCTATGGGTTTTATGAGTGAGGTGGTCCTACTTCGACGTCATTGCATCATGGGTCCCTTGCACCATCATATGATTGCACAACCAAATATTGATCCCACACGAGGGAGAAATAGGGACCTATAGTCTACAATAGATCTCCAGCAGATCGCCATGCCATGCGTCATAGGTCGTATTGCGATCCAGGCCTCGACTTACCATTTTTCGGATCTACGGATATGCTTGGTAAACATCACCCGGCTGTCAAGTGAATTACAGACGCATTACTGACAGGGATTTTTGCAGGTTATGACTAGAGGCTTGTCCATTGTGAAGAATGCTGTTGATCATCTAGCTGCCATGTTTAGTACTTGGCAGGGGAGCTTATCTCATAACATCATATGTGAATGTTTATATATTCGTCATGGCCTTTTTATAGTATACTACTGCGCTACAGAGTAGTAGTATACATAAGTACACACAGTACAGCCACATATACATACACCAAAGCAATCAAAGAGCTAAGTAGTGGTACAACTCACAGTTCACAAAATACTACCTGTACCCCTCCAATACAGGTATCAAATCTACCAGCGACCGAATTGCCTCCCCACCTCGTGTCTCCAAAGCACCGCCACCCCGAGGAAGGTAAAGTCCCTTCCAGCCAGCATCAACCGCGGCGCGGTAATCCTTATCATAATCATCACCCACATGCACCCGCACCCAATCACCCTCCTGATCATTCCCCACCAGCCTCCTCGCCTGCCGCTCAGCCACATCGAAGATCACCGGACTGGGTTTCTCCTCCCCGGCCTCATAACTGGTGATCACCAGATCAACATCATTCACAGTGGCATCTTCCCCGTTATCACCATCCAAAACAGCATTAGTAGTGGTAACATTCCTCTGCTCAAAACCCGGCAAACTCAAACTCTCTATCCCCTCATCAGCCCTCACCCCTCCCACCTTCAACCCAAGTGACCTAAGCACAGCAGGCACCCGGTCATCCGAATTCGAGACCACACCTACAACCACCCTTTCAAACACCCCCAGCCCCCTCACTCCCCTTCTAACATCCTTCAACCGCTCAAAAAATACCCCCGCGTCTTCATAAAGCGCGTACCCTTCCCGACTCGCAAACCGATCCAGTAAACTCTGAAACAGTCCATCCGGTATATGCACTTCGCCTGTACTGGTTGAAGACTTCGCTAAGACCCGCTTGAAACACCCCCGCATTACCTCCTCCCACCACTGTCGGGGTCCGCCGTATTGACCGCGGAGGACATCCGCGCGGCCGTAGTTGGGGCGGAGGCGGGACTGCTCCTTGTAGACGGATTTGAAGGCGGACTGGATGCGGGCAGGGGTGACGGTGCTGCGGGGCAGGTTGAAGGCGTGGGCGACGGAGGCGTATTGGTCCGGAATGGGGTGGCGCGGGTAGAAGATTGTGTCAAAGGCGTCGATGGTGAGGAGGAGGGTGCGGGGGCGTGACATGTTTCTTGGGTTATTTGGCTAGGGAGGATGTATTTTGAGGTGAGTTATGTGTTGTTTTGCACTATGCTTTCATCTGGTAGGCTTATTGGAAGAGGGATAAGATGTGCACGGGCTCAGAAGGTAATGTTAGATTAAGAGGTGATGATACAGAATTTCTAGGTGGTTGAATGATATCAACATATAGTCATGTGACTACCCTGTCTGCTGGAGACTAGATCCTGGACAGTTTAACAGAAAACGGCTCTACAATGCCTCCTCTCAAGACCTAGGTTTGGGACTTCATTTCATTTCACACCTAGAGCTACGCATACGAAGCCCCAAGACAAGCGTACTCTGACGCCATCAGTGAACATGGACGTTTGTCCCACGGTCCCACACGTTCGGAAATGGGCATTCCGATGGCACCGCTGGCCGATGGTTAGCTCGGGGTTGGTTGCTTCTTCAAGAGGGTATGTCCGACTCTAAGGCCCGACGTCCGATGTCCGAGCACTGGAAGAGTTTGGCGGCAGATAAGATTAGATCGTAAATATAATGTACGACTACTTACAATGATGCCGACAATATTTGGTAGTAGGACAAGAACACCCAGGCCACTATCGCAGAGAGATTCTGGCTCAGACTTGGCTAATCGCGCCAATACCTTTGTTTCTGTTGGCGGCCAATCAATTGCCTTGCCACTGCATGTCATCGGCTCCTGGCTTCTAGGCAGCCATATTCGGTAAGGTTGATACGCTAGTTTAGTGCCGCAAGTCTTTTCACCAGCAATTTGCCATCCCGACGATGTGACACGCTCCATGTATGATCTCAAACTAAGCGGTAGATAGATATGCTCTCCTCACATGCCCGTGCCTTAGCCCCGAGTCCGATGTAGAACCCACGATTGGCTCTCCACCACCCCTCGCAGTGTGACCTTGAGCTAGAACTCCGACCGCCGATACCAATCTGAAGTGTCCCAACTCCAAATCGTCGTAATGTGGTAGAGAGTCCACCGCTAGTCCCAGCCCTGTGCTGACGCGTCCCTTAGTGCGTGTGTCTAATATCAACCAACGCCGAGCGCTTCTCCTATCTGGCCCAGCGCCGGTGCCTAACTGAGCTGGCTATAAATCAAGAAAGTTCCCACCGATAAGACTCGGCTTCATCCCTGTTTCTGAAACCATCACCAACACCAGACACTATGGGTGTCAGACAGCTTCTGCTATCGACCCTCTTGTGGGCCGCTAGCACCACCGCAGTGACAGAGTCGACGCCATATGCAAACCACCTCTTCAACACGATCCACTCCTCCATGCGACAATGGGGATCCTCCCTGCAACACAACGGCATGTCCTTCTTCTTGGCGACCGTCCCCGCCGGTACCCAGTTCTACCACGGCACGTCTATCGCCGAGGCTGTGAACGGAACGGAATGGCTCGCCTTCGAGCCGGAGCATGCCATGGTCTTCGCAAGACCCCATCATCCTCCCCCATCAACCGAAGATGGCAAGAAAGACCTGCGGAAACGCGAGTTTGAAGCCGAAGAAGAGGAACAGGAAGAGCAAGCAGGTTGGCTACACACCTATAACGCGGCCAAAGACCTGCGGCTGCTGTACGTCGATGGCATGGCAGCTGGCAAGACATCCAATGGAACCCTTGACTTGGAGGATAGAGTCTTGTTCCGGGATTCTCTACCGGACGGGATGATGATGGGGGAGCGTGAAAGAGCCAACATGTTTTGCCGCATGGCGCGCGAGGAATGGGATGATCGCTTGGATGGTTTGCTCCGCATGGAGGCAGGGTTTGAAGTGATTCTATGCGACTTTGCACGAGATCTCAACGAGGTCCGTGTTACCCAGGCGAAGCCGAGTGCTCCGTTTCGGGGTCCGGGAGGAGGAAAGAAAAAGGGCGGCAACGCTGGAGACGGAGGACTGTGGTTTAAGGCGATTGCTGCGCGGTATGACGGAATTGGAGGCAACCGGGTTACCTTGAATTATGACAGTTTCGTGTCCGCGTATACCTATGGACTGGACCTGTTCCACTCACCCAACGAGACATTCACGTTGCCGCGGTTGAAGCAGTTTTCTGTCCAGGAGTTGGACCCGATCAAGGACGGACTGAACGACCTCGTCCTGCAGCATGAAGCTAAGGAGGCCTCGTTCAACTGGCAGACCATCACGGACATGGTGGTAGAGAGATACGCGCGTGAGATCCGCTATCTCGCGTCCGGGAAAGTGTCGACAGTGGAGCAGCTCCATGCGGAGATTGACCTGGCCCTGGGGCCGTTTATCGATTACGGAGATCGTGATGGACAACAGGAGGCAGAGCGCTGCTCCATGCAGTTCATCCCTGGAGGCAAGTTAACGGATGGTATCGCTGCGACCGCAGTGCACTCGGTTACTCGTAGCATTTGCTCGACGTTGGTGGAGGCTGGGCAAGAGACAGACTACAAGACGGCAATCGGGTTCTTCCGGGACCTGATGGAGTACCTGTCCTGGTCGACTTGGAAGCAATGCAGCGGATGCGGCGACCACGAGATCTGCGTGGTTCCGATCTGGCCGACGGGCACCGTAGAAGACTATAACAATCCGCAATGTCGCGATGCGTCGCACCCCAGCAGCGACGGCCAGGCCTATTGGGGTGGTCGCGGTCCCGGAGGTCCCGGAGGTCCCCGTCCACCATCTTCTTCCTTGTCTTCCAGCTGGATTCAGAGGCTAGTCTCGTTCCTGCAGACGTTCCTTGGAGCAGCTCTGGGGATGCATTTCTAAGTGGATGAGCATATTCCAATTGACTTGTTTTTCGGGCACAGTATACTCCGCTCAGGGGTGCATGGATCCTTAGCAAATGAAAGCGAAAAGAAAGGAAAAAGAAAGGAAAGAGAAAAAAAAGCAATTGTGTCGAGCAGCCCTGTTTAGAGGCTCGGGGGGAGGGATTTAAGGTGACCGAGGCACTATCGCCCGTGCTGGTCGCGCTGCTTGCCAGCGCCACTTCGATAGTCGCTGCCGACCTGCATTAAGCACCGCGCCGATCAGCTGGGCCTAGACAAAGAAACACCACCCTCTCCCGACAGCCCACTTCTGTCATCTTGAACATCCTGTTTTTTGGTGCTTCTGTTATCTCAAATTGTCATTAGATGCTGTATCCTCTGTGGTCGGAACCAGGCCGCGGTGTCCACCCCGGGCAGCCACGTCGGAGCAGAATCGCCAGCTGAAAGCGAGCAGACCAGGTTAGCCATGTCAAGCATGCCGGGATAGTGATAACAAAAGCTTACCAACCCAACGCAGTGAGGCTTCATTCGGCCGCCTTCCACCAAAATTCCAAGTTGCCTTTCCCTAAAAGTTGTTTGCTAGGCACATAGTTTGCCGATGGTGCTTTCCTATACTCCAGCCCAATGTGTCATGAGCCCAAGTCCGGCAGTCAAGCGAACGTGATGGATCAATCACCGATCAGATTTGGCAAGCAGTGGATCCCCCGAGCTCCCCGATCGCGCAGAATTGCCATCGGTCTGCCGATCCTCCAGATCATGTCAGGTACAACCGGGTTCGCAGCCGATCAGCCACCAGAAAATAGACCTGGATAATGCCTGCTTGGCAGAAGATGCGTGAGGCTGGATGCTATCTCTATGTGTCGACAGAGTGAGAAAAAGGAGAACCAACCGAGGTCGAGCTGAGGATGCAGGGTATAAATACGACCAACTATTTCCTCCTCTCTGGTCATCGCAAGTCAAGCAAGTCCTTCATTCACTTCCGCCTTTGCTTCTCTTCCCTCGCTTAACGACCACCGTTCCTTTGTCGTTCTGTCCTTCCTTCACTCTCTCAACATGAAGGCGTCTTTCGTAACGGCCCTCGCCCTGGCCGCTTGCACACTGGCGAGCCCCGTCGGCCAGCCTCACGCTCGCGGCAACGAATGCACCTGCGGTGGTTCTGGTCCTAGTTCTGGCACTGAGCCTACGCAACCTGCACCGGAGTCTTCTGCTTCCCCGTCTGGTCCTTCCGGGGTGTCTACCTACCCCGGAACATCCTCCCAAGCTCCGACTCTGCCTGGCTACCAGCCTGCTCCTACGGTTACTGTCACTACGACCGTGCCTTATAAGCCTGTTCCTGAGTCCAGCAGCTCTTCCCAGGCACCTGCTCCTACCGCTCCAGCCTCTGAGTCACCTGCTCCGGAGACCTCTGAGCCTTGCACCACTCCTGCTACCTCTGAGCCCGCTGGTCAGTCTTCTGGCCAGCCTACTGGTCCTGCCGGCCCTACCGGCCCTGCCAGCCAGCCGTCTGCTTCTTCCTCTTCTGCTCCTGTTAGTGGGCCTACTGGGGAGCCTTCTGGCTCTTCCGGATACCCCTCTGGCTCCACCGGCCCTGCCAGCCAACCGGCTCCTTCTTCTTCCTCTGCCCCTGCCAGCCAACCCTCTGGTCCTACCGGTCCTACCGGCCCTGCCGGATCGCCTTCTTCCTCTAGCCCCGCTGGCCAGCCTACTCAGCCCTCCGGCCCCTCAAGCCCAGCTGGACCATCAGGAACGGGAAGCTCTGGCAACCCCGGCGGCTCTAAGCCCTCCTCCACCTCGTCTACGCCCAGCTCCTCGACTCCGGCTTCGACTCCTTCCTCGACCCCCTCTTGCGAGAATGGACACTGCCACGGCACCGGTCACCTCATTCAGGACCTGGGCCCTCAGGCCGATCACCTTTTGACCGTGATCGGTAACGGCACCGAGCAGCTGCTCATCGAGCTCAGCGACCCCGTTGCCGACCTTCTCTCCAGCCTGGGTCTCACTGGCCTCGCTGAGCCCGTCGGCCATATCATCAAGGACGCATCTACCATTGGCGAGCTGATCACGGATCTAGGAGCCCCCGTTGACCACCTCCTGATCGCCGTCGGCAAGGATACCGGATATCTGTTGATCGAACTGGACCACGACGTCAAGGATCTCCTGAACAGCATTGGTCTCAACTCTCTGGCTGACCCTGTGGGTGATCTCCTCGGCGCCATTGGCAGCAGCCTGAAGCGTCGTGAGGATGCCTCCAACCCGAACGGTCTCCTCGAGAAGCTGGGTCCTGTTGTTGACTGCATCTTGCGAGTTACTGGTGAGGACACCAAGGACCTCCTCATCAAGCTGAGCGACCCCGTGGCCGAGCTGTTCAAGAGCCTGGGTCTCACTGGTGTCGGCCGCAGCGTTGGTGAAGTGATCAAGTCGGCCGCGTCGGTGGGTGACTTGATTGCCGACCTGGGCCCGGTGGCTGACTGCCTGCTGACTGTCATTGGAGATGACGGCAGTGCGCTGCTGATCAAGTTGGCTCCCGATGTTGCGGACCTGGTGAGCAGCCTGGGACTCCCCGGAGTCGGACAGGCCGTGGGTGAGGTGCTCTACGTGGTCGGCGAGAACATCTGAGACGACAGCTCCAACTGCTACGATGATTGATTTGCAGCGCATTTGCGAGTGACCCTACGACTTCCGACCCCTGGCGCTGAAAATCACGGATGTGCTGGGAGTGGACTCTTTTTGGATTGTATACCAACTATATACTACTTGACATATCTATCGTAATTGTTAATTAATGATACCTAATTCGTTCTCCACCTCTTCCATGACTACATCCGCTTTCCTTCCACCCACCCGTCCGTCCCCCCTTCTTCCGACACCTGTCCCCCCATAGCGTACGTAATCGGACAATAACAATACCCGCCTTCCAGTCCAGTCCCCGGCTGTGAACTGAATCGCCCCACGGGGTCGATGTGCCGATGTGGAGAAGCGCACGCCAGTTTCAGCAATACGAACGCCTCGCCCTGGTGCGCGCGGGTGTAGGTCATGCTGCCAGGCTTCCTAGTTTCCCGGGGAAGCCTCGCCTCACGCGTGGTCCTCGGCCAGTGAGACGACGATGAAATCATGGCGATTGTGGGACGTGGGGAGGCCATTCCCCTCCGACGGGTAAGACTTAACCCGCCGTACTATGCCCGATTGCCGGTCGCGGTCAGTATTTAATCCTCCTTGCGACCGACCCAAATGTCTCTTTTCTCCTCCTCGCCGGTCTCTTTCAAGTATTTTTTCACAGACACATCTCCTCTCCTCTTAGACATCATGGCACAAACTCCACAAGACCTCAAAATTGCCATTCTGGGCGCAGGTATATGCTGCCTCCTATCCATCCAATCGCTGCGGGCCACGGGTATACTAACGCTCCACTACAGGCATGGGTGGCTTGACCTGCGCCTTGGCTCTGGCCAAGGAAGGATTCAAGCACATTGACGTCTATGAAAACGCACATGATCTGGGCTTCGTCGGAGCTGGTATCCAGCTGGCCCCTAACATGGCCCGGGTGCTGGACCAGCTGGGCGTGTGGAAGCAGATTGAGGCAGAGGCCGTCAACATTACCGAGACTAGCGTGAGAGGTATGATCTTTTCATAATTCCATTTGAAACACCCGAACCCCTAGCTAATGAACAATTTGAACAGTGGGTGCTTCGGATACGGAACTCGCCCACGTTCCGCTGGAATATATCCACGATACTTACGGGTATCCCCACATGGTTGGCCACCGGTCCTCGCTCGCCGGCGGGCTGTACCAAGGATGCCTCCAGCACCCGGACCAGATCCGCTTCCACTTTGCCACGACCGCCGATAAGGTTGTTTTCGGCACCAAGCCCTCCTTCACTGCTATTCCCCGCGACACCACTCAGCAGCCCTACCGTGTTGAGGCTGACATCCTCCTCGGTTGTGATGGCATCAAGTCCCAGACCCGCGTGGCCATGCTCGAGCTGCTCGGGATTGAGGCCCACGTGAAGGACACTCACCAGGCCGCCTACCGGATCATGATCCACAAGGACCAGATCAAGGACGACCCGGAGCTCCTGGCTCTCATGAACAGCAACACTGTCACTCGTTGGATCGGTGAGAAACGTCACATCATCGCCTACCCCGTCTCCAACAACACCATCTACAACCTTTCCACCACCCAGCCTGACATCAACTTCGCTGCTGCCACTAATGCCACCTACACTACCCGCGGTGACAAGTCCGTCATGCTGGGTGTTTTCGCCGATTTCTGCCCCATGGTTCAGCGCATGCTGAGCTACGTCCCGGAGGGTGAAGTCTGCGAGTGGAAGCTCCGTGTCCACGAACCTATCCCTACCTGGGTGCACGAGTCCGTCGCCCTTGTCGGCGATGCCTGCCATCCCACTCTCCCCCATCTGGCCCAGGGTGCCGCCCAGGCCATTGAAGACGGTGGCGTCATCGGTGCCGTCCTCTCTAAGCTTCCGGATACCTCACCCGCCTCTATCAATAAGGCGCTGAAGGTGTACGAGAAGGTCCGCAAGGACCGCGCCTACGCGCTCGTGGAGCTGGCTGCTGCGTCGGGTCGCGCCCTGCACCTGGGTGACGGTGCTGCCAAGGAGGAGCGTGATCGCCAGTTCGCTGCTCTGCGTCAAGGCAAGGGTCCTGTGCCCGACAAGTGGGCGGATGCGGACGTCCAGCGGGAGATCTATGGGGTGGATACGACCCAGATTGCCCGGGAGCGGTTTGATGAGCTGTTTGCCGCGTAAGCTTTGGCCTTGACCTCCTGCTTTGCATGCACGAGTGCGATGTATTTTGTATATAGAGCTGATGGATAGAAGGTCGGGTCGTACTGCGAAGCTGGCTTGAGGGGATGAGCGAGGGTTTGTTTTTATGGATATCTAGCATTGCTGCATTGCATACAATGATGAGTTATGATTCTTCTCATGTTCAGGTCTCCAACACTGCAGTACTGCATGATCGGTATTCTCTTCGTAGAGGGGGATAGATGGTGAGGAGTGTCTGGTTGTTGCTTACTACTATGAAGTCATTACCCCGGATTTCCCACCGCAGGTTTGACCACCCGGTGGCCCCTCCACAGGCCCGGAAACAAGACCCCTCGAGTTCATCTGCTAGCGTCAGAAATAGCAGGTACCGTACGACCAGATCTGAATTATATATCCTGTTTCTCTATTGTGGAGCTGGGCTGTACAAGGTTCGCTCCACCCCCGCGAGAACCGTACACCTTATAATCCCAGTGGAGGTTAAATTCACCCATGTCCGGAGATCCGTTTGCCGTGCTAGGATTTCATCATGATTAGGTTCCTCAGTGAATGTAAGTTCTCTCTCTAGTACGAGTGGATGTGTGCTGTCGATGGAGAAGAAGTGTTACGGCTTCTGGATGGTGGTTGATGGCGGACAGTTGTGTGTGCAGAGCATGTGGAGGAGGAAGAGGGAAAAGGAGGGGGGGTTTATGCTTGACCAACACAGTGTTTGCCTCAGGTTCCTCGCTACCCCTCCCGCAATGGAGGCCGCCTACGAGATGAACGAACTAAGATACCCAGGAAGGCTGAGTTGATTTTATTTTCATTCTACAGACTCCATTTTCTTTCTCTTATATTTTCTCATGCGCCACCAGCGCGCATTGAGGGTATCTTTAGGACGGATACATGCTTGTAACTATCTATGTCTATTAAAAAAGCGGCAAGTTGTGTCCGGATGGAATCGATCGGAGAGCGATGTATGACAGGTGATTAGCACGGCTAGGGAATAGACATATAGTACACGGCGCATAAGTTTGTTCTGGGGATACTGCTAGAACCTAGACGATCAGCACAAGCCTGCCCCTGGCAGGGATGCCATGTGGCAAGCTTTCTGGGCTGGACTTAGCGCGGTGGCGTGGAATGCAATCAGAATGTGACCCCGGTCGACCCATGAAACCTCACCTGTCGGAGTGCCGTGCTCAGCCAATCCCGACATTCTCAATATTCTGCAGTGACGCAGTCGTTATTATTAGACTTCCTTCACGCAAGCAATAAAGTTCCCAGCCAGTTCGAACTAGAATCTTGTCTTATCAGATGATTCTAGCTGATTCTGGCCGGGTGGTGGCAAGGCAGAGAAGCTACCACTATGTACCGAGGTGCAGTACCGAGGCCCCCAATGGTCGCTCCCAGCGTTCCAGACGCTAGTAGTAGTTGGAGTAAGAGGATCCCCGGAAGCTGCTGAAACGACCGAAAAATTGCAAAATCCGGCCATGATTGGGGAAGGCGACCAGGCTTGGCGCGCTTAATCATCCGGCGGGTGGCTGTTGCCGATTCGGGCAGGCGAGCAACGAACAAGGACAACCTTCTGGACCTTCTCGCTTTTTCGTTTCTACTTTCCTTCATTCGCTTTCTGTGACGGCCGGCAAAGTTGGACATGCAGGGTTCTCCCGATTCCAGCAGTACGCCTGACGACCTTTCACCCAAAACCGGTCTCGAGCTCGTTCCTCCCGGCAACTTGAAGATTGCCATCCCTCGGCTGCCCGCTTCATCCGTCAAGGCAAACCAGCGCACGGCACGCGCCTGTGTCGCCTGTCGCGCTAGGAAGACCAAGTGCGACGGTCGCAAGCCCGTGTGCCGGCAATGTCGCCGTCTTGAGCTGGTCTGTAACTATGCCGGCTCCAAGCGAGAACGCCAGCAGTTGGAGCTCGAGTCTGTCCGAACCAAAGTTGCCTCCTACGAATCGCTCCTGCGCGACATCCTCGCCGAAAGTAGTCGGCAAGGCACCTCTGCCATCGAGGACCTTATCGATGTCCGTGACCCCCCTTCTAGTCCCCGCGTACGTCATCGCCATGCTAACCCTCCCCGGTCAGAAACACTTCCAAGCATCTCCGGATGTCTTTGCGTCGCTTCTAGCGGCCAGATCCTTATCGGATCCTCAAATACTACCGCGGCAACAACCGGGGATTTCTTTACACCGCATGCACCTAACATTGGCCGCTAAAACTCGCAGTAACGCCGCCACTAACTCTCTCGTCGATACACCTCTGGTCCAGGTCAGCAACATCCAGCTCTGGACAGACCTTGTCAACAATACCACCGCCAGCCACCTTCTCTCTCTCTACTTCGCCTGGGAAAACCCGACATGGCACCTTGTCGATCAGGAGATGTTCGTGCGCGACTTGGAGGCCGGAAGAAAGAAATTTTGCTCCTCGCTTCTGGTCCACACGCTTTTGTTCTTCGGCTGTGTAAACGCCACTGCAGTCTGATTGCCTGAGTACTGAACGTCGGCCACTAACCATCTCGATAGAGCTCTTCTTACCATCTGGGGCGCATCACAGATCGACGAGAGGAGAAGGTTTTGGGTAAGAAGTTGTATTCTGCCTTGCAGCATCTTTGGCAGTCTGAAAAGGATGATGCCGGCCTTCCGACGGCGCAGTCCAGTATCATGATCGGGCTTCTTTGCTGTACCTTTGGCATCGACCGATTGGGGACCAGGTACATCATGCATGGTGCCCAACTCAGCCGTGACCTAGGGCTTCATCGCGAGTCGACCCCCTACTTCTCTACTGATGTTGATGCCGATGTCGATGTGATGTCCCGGTGCCACAAATTCGTTGCATGTGGCGTCTTCGATGTGCAGGCGTGAGTACCTTCCCCGGTTGTCTATCGGCACGGACTGATGAGGCGCAGACTCGCCGCGCAAGTTTATCGGAAAACACCGGTATGGGATCAGCCGCCAATCGCTACCTTCTCGCGGGAAGAAGCTGCGGCTTTAGATGAAAGAGACGACTGGAAACCATATCCTTATCTGACCCCTGTCTTTCGGCCCTTCTTCCACACTGCATCGCACTTTCGCAATGATCTGGTTGTGATAGTCAACGAGATTGCTAGTTTCGCATTGAAATTCCCGGATGCAACTCTCAATCAAGATGACTGGGAATACGGCCGTCGGACGTATCAGAGGTTACGAGAATGGCGGGCAGGTTTACCGTCTGTCGTCTTACCGGATGAGAACACTTCGCCGCACATTCTGACACTTCAGTAAGTCTTCCCTCCATGACCTTAAGTGCCATGCTGACGCCGGCCGCAGCATGTATTATCAAGCGACGGTCGTGTCACTATGCGAAATATATAACCTGAATGCCGACCCAACGACCAACCAGCAAACCGATCCCGACTTTGACACACAAACCATCAAGTTGCGGGCCCTGGATATAATTGGATCCCTCATTCTTCTTTTTCAAACCGCGCATGGGCTCAAGTCGGTCCCGATCGTGATGCTACATTACTTCTGCGTGGGCGGCGTCCACGCCATCTCGCAATTACGTCCTCTAGATATTAAGTGGAGTCTTGTTCTGGAGAGCTGCGTGGTCGGCTTATGGCACCTGAGCCTGGGATGGGGCCGACTATGTACTGCATTTCTCCGGACTATTGAACTCGTCATGAAAGCGATCAAACCGGACCCGACTCTCGTGCCGCCGAAGGTGACAGCCGTCTTGCAACTTTTGAGCACGAACCTCTGGACCGCGACGGACGTCTCTTCCCTTGCGGCCGATTATGTAGTGCACCATGTTCCTGCTCTTGCGGGACAAACAAGGTCACAAACAGGGTCGCAGTTCCAGGCTCAAGGATTGGAAAACTTGATCCGCACTATGGATAATTTCTCTATCAGCTAGAGTGCGATTTTGGGCATGGCAGTCTGCCGTGTTATCCATTTTGACGAATGTTCTCAGTACATGAACATTTTGCATCTTACAACAAGCTCGTCCAGCCACCGCGTCCTGGATACAGTTGCCCCGAGGACTTTGCTTAGCCCCTTCCATATATACGTGGGCTTGTTTGTCTTGACTTTCACCCGAATCTACGGCCACTCAGACAGGGGAGCAAATGAAGGCTTTGTCGCCATCCCTGTCTAAGACTCACGTGGTCGATCTCGCGCCAATGTAATGCGACCCCCAACTGTCAGTGGCAGCGTGGATTATATTCCATGCTGTTTATTAGGTACGATTGCGGATTTGATGGGCTAGTTGAGTTGTTTTTGTGATGGACGGGTATGTGATACATGTATATACCTTGGAAAGTAAACGCAACTAGAGTCCCCAGTATTACCGATAGAAGAAATATTTTTGATTTCAAGTTATCACATTGATCATATGACCATGTTTAGTGCAAGCCGAATTTTGTCCTCAAACAGAAATATACATCATTGACGGATAGATGATTAGACCAGATTAGTCTACGCCGAGACATCAAACCCTAACGCCCAGCCTTATCCCCTATAGGCTTCCCAAAACAAACCCATAGGACGCCTCCAGATTCACATACCCCGTGACCCAAGCAAACCAGTCATAAAGTAATAAACGCCAAATGGAACCCTCTACTGAGGACCGAGATAAACCAGCCAACTTACTCCCATTGCCCCTTGCCACCCAACTCCCCCAACCGATTCTTAGCATGTTTATCTAACAACGCAGAAATCCTTCCTCCATTGCTTCCTCTCTCCTTCATCCGCAACTGTCTCTCCCGTTCCTGTTCCCGCGCCGCAGTATAGTAATTCACCGCGCCCTTTTTCCCTCCTGCACCTGCACTTCCACTTCCTCCCCCGGTACTCACTGACGAGGTGGTGCTCGACTGTCTGGACTTAGCCCTAGATGATATCGTCGAGCTAGTTGCAGATGAGGTAGAGCCGGTAGTGGTCTTCCGGAGTAAAGGTGGACGGGTGAAGCCGGTTCCGTCCGCGGAGCCGGAGCCCGAGTGGAACGCTAGACGGTTTCCGGTGCTGTTGGAGGCGGAGGTGGCGGAGTTGGAAGAGGCTTGGCGGAGGAGGGCGAGACGGTCGACGACGGGGCCGCGGGTGCGGCGGGGGTGGAGGCGTTGGGATGGAGGGAGGATTTGTTCTTGTTGGTCGGGGTCTTGTTCGAATTCTGGGGTTCGGCTGTCTTCGTCTTCGTCTTCGTCGTGGTCGGGGGCGTCCTCCATGGAGGCGTCCTCGTGGAAGGAATCGTAGTCGTGGGTTTCGGTGAGGAAGGAGAGTGTCTCGCGGATTTCGGCGAGCGTGGCGGGTTTCTTGGACATGGCGCTGGCGGGTTTGCGCCGGAGGTGAGGGGGTGGGCGGTTGTAGGTTTCCTCGGAGGTGGGCTCCAGAGGGCGTTTTCTTGTGTTGATGGCGGTGGTGGTTGTGTTGGGGCGAGGTTGAGGTGCGGCAGTGTCTTGGGAGGGTTGGTCGTCGGTTTGTGTCGAGTCTTGCTGCTGCTGCTCATCGTCGAGGAACTCAAAACCAATGTCATCATCGTCATCGTCACGGTCTTCGACGGCGCGGAAGAAGGCGGCCTTCTTGGGGTTTTCGGCGATTTCTCCGATCTTCTCGTCGGCCAGGAGGGCTTTGCGCATGCGGGCGAACTCGCGTTGTTTCTCGCGACGGCGGGCGAGGAGTTCATCGTCCGAGTCATCGAGGTCGAATTCGTCGTCTGCGTTGCGTCGGCGACGGAGGGCACCGGTTGTGATGTCTTTCAGCAGTTTGGCGACTTGTTTTTCATCCGCGTTGCGTTGGTGGAGGCTGGGTGGTTGTGTTGTTAGTATGAGATGGTTGCATATGGTTAGAAGAATGGGGAGCTTACGCGTTCAGAGCAGCCAGCTGCTTCTCATCAACTGTTTCACCGCTATTGTCGTTGATCATTTGTCTGTCGTAGGCGTTTTCCGCATCTTCGTCCTCGTCGCTGGCGCCTCCCAACCCGGCGTATTCGTCGTCTGACTCCTCGGCGGCTTCTTCGACGATATCCTTGGCCTTGCTCTTGTTGCGGTCAAAGGGCACAGCAGGCTTCTTCGATACCTTCTTCATAATATTGAAGACGCTGGCGTCGATCTCAAAGTCCCCTCTCCCCTCTCCTTCGCCTTCCTCTTGCTCTTCGATCATGGAGAGGTCGGCAATTCGTCCGCGCTTGAGCTGCTTCATCCTCCGAGAGGGGGCGGGGGAGCTATCGTGGTCGTCTCGGTTGACAACAACCGTCTCAATGGTAGACTGAGGGGTGCCGAGGAACCGCTTGGAAGGATCAAAGGGCGAGAACACGAAGCCGGCATCTTGGGTGGGATCTGGGACTTGTGAAGGCTGGGTAGAGCGCGGAGCAGGGGACTCGGAAATTCGTGCATCAGATTGGGCATATCCTGCTAGCAAATCGGCAGACTCTGTCCTTGACTCCTGGCTGTCTTTGATGATCATCTGCGAGTCGGATTCTTGACGGTCGAGGCCCGGTTCAGGGAGAGAATGAGGGATTGTAGAGCTGCCTCCTTCGTTATCTTGATGGCTGCCAGCTATTGTGCCTGCGAAGGCCTGCGTCAAGCTCATCAGGTTGCTTGAGCTCTGGGTGGGGAGATGCGGCCGTTCAACAGAACGTGTTGTGGGAGTCACAACGGATTTCGCAGGGGTTTTTGGCTCTGTCTCATCGTCATCGTCGTCGTCATCGTCAATAACTGTCCTGGTAGGTCGCTTTCGTCGTTGCGTTGGCACATCCTCATCGACCGACATAACTTCCGTCTGATCGTCTTCTGACTCATCGCTCTCACCAGCTTCAGAGTCGATAAGCCCCTGTTCTGCGGCAGGCTTGGATTCTGCATTCTCTTCCTCGTCCTCATTCTCGTTTTCTTCATCGGCCTCTTCTTCTGAGCCAGAATAGTCCCAATCATTATCATCGTCTTCGTCGTTGCCTTTGAATGCTTTTCTTTCCATCTTTGCGATATCCTCAGCCTCTTTCCGTGCCTTCTCCACCAGATTTTCCAGTTCGTCCTCCATAGCAGCGCGCTCTTCGGCGGTTTCGATATGAACACCCTTGGCCCTGAGTTCCTGGATCCTATCCTGTCTTTCCTTTGCAGCTTGCTGCCTCGCCTTGAATAGTACAGTAGCTGACAACTGAGCGGGGTTCATGGTGGATTTCCTTGTGGGGGATGTAAGGTGCGCAAGGGCTTTCAGCTTGATCAAGGAAGCTGATTCCTGAACCTTCCTGGCTGGGACGTTTTCAAACGCTGCAATGCGTCTGGCCTTGGCAGGAGATGTGACGATCTCCAGCTCACTATCCGAGTCGTCCTTCTGTTGCCGGGCGACCTCTTCCCGCGTGAGACGAACGCGAACGGGCGGAACAGTTAATTCTCTCCTGGTCTTCTTGGATGATACCTTTTCAGGCTGCGTGGTGGCCTCATCAATTTCCATCCTCACAACGACAGGTTGCTCAGGCTGCGGGCGCGGGTTCGCAAGGATCTCCTCCAAGGTAGGGAACTCCTCAATCTCCGCAATCTCAGTTTCCTTGCTGATGTCTTGACCAGATGCCTTACCAGCTGGACCCAGAACAGGTGACGTACGCGGTGTCTCTTTGTCCTTTTGCGCCTCGACATCAGATGAGTTCAAAGAGCCGGCCGTAGTGGATGAGTTTTCTCCTGACGGACCAGGCACAGTCTGCTCCACTGATTGTTTGGATTTGAACCGAGCGAAAAAGCTTTCTTTCGTGATCTTCTTCTTCGTCTGTGCCTGATGCGCTAGCTGCATATTCCGGCTCATCCGCTGCGTCTCACGATTCATCTCCTCAAGGGCCTTCTTGCTGGCTTTTCTAGCTGGACGCGCTTGTTGCGTCAATTTTCGTCCAGAGCCATTCTCACCCTCACTCTCACTACCAGAATGAATTTGTGAGCTGAACTGTTCATGTTGCTTCGCTCTTGCTGCTCTTTTCTCAGCCTCGGCTTTCTCCTTCTCCTCACGCTCCTTGCGTTTCTGGGCAACAAGCGCCAGGAACCGAGAATTAGCCTTCGGCTGTGCGATATCATCTCCCGATCCTGCCTGGCTTTCAGCATCATCCCGCTCTCTCATCGGAGACGACACGAACAAGGGAGAGTCAGACCTCGCCGGAGAAGGCGACCGATCCGACTCATTTTGTTCAATTCTCGGATTCATACTCGCGACAGCTTTTCTGCCTCTCCTCCCCGGACCAGCCGCAGGAAGATCATCATTAGAATCGTCAGCATCATCCATCACCGCGTCACGGTCCGCGTCTTGCTTCTCCGTTCGAAGTGTCTTTGAGACCCGTTCGAAAGCCGTCTGCCCGGGAGTCGACGCGCTAGAATTCTGATTCTGAGCCTGAGCCTGCAGGCGAGCAGCCATGCGGCCTTTGGGCATGACAATGTCGTCCTCGTCATCATCCCCGTCTGACTCGAGTGTGGTTGTAGGGCGAGTAGAAATAGTGCTGTTTTTCAGCGCGTTGCTGAGTGTGGTAGTGGATCGGTCTGGTTTGGATGTCGTGACTTCATTGTCGACATCTGAGTCACTGTCGAAGGCCGCTAGCATGGCCTTGATTTTTCGTCCAGGCGTGAGCATCTCTGGTGAATTGGCGCGAGACGCGGTGCGCGTCGTTCGCGGCGTAGAGGGGGTGGATGACATTATTGTTGTGGGTCGGATATCAAAATAAGATCGTTATTATTTGAGAGTATGGGACATTGCTAAAAGTTCATGAGAGGCTTGAGGTCAATCGCAAGATACCCACGGTGGTGGGAGTGCAGGTCCACTGTGGAAGTCCAGGAATGGCGGAGAATCTACGGGGTTGTCGGACGCGCCGCGCGCGCGTTGCTATCACACGTGATCTGGCGATAAGCCTCGCTATCGACGAAGACTTGTTTGGGAAGTGTGGAGATAGTACGGAGTAGTCCGAGCGGAAAGGGTACAGTTTATAGAACCGAATGCTGGAAGAGAATAAAACTGCTTTATTCTTTATGATGCAGCGCCCCAGGATGTGTCTCGTTACGCCAATTAACACCGCCCCATATGAAATACAAACCGACGCTGTCTCAAATGCTTCCCGAAGAACAAAATCGTGCCGTTTCCATCAGAAGCCGTCGGCTAGAACGCATATGCTGTGTGTATGATGCTATTGGAACTGTGTCCAGAATCGTACTTCCCTATGATCAAATCTCGATATCGAGCTCCAGATCCAAGGCCGCAATGTTCTCATCATCCATGTTCCGGTGCCTGATGGACGCAACGCCACCTTTGCTGGTTCTCTTTTGAGTGCTCGCGGGGGTGGCGCTGCGGGCAGGGGTACTTGCTTTAGATGGTGTCTCAGAAGCAGTGTTATCCTGACTAGCGTTACTGTCCGGCTTCGGTGTCGAACCGTTTCCATTGACGTCGTAATGAGTCCTCGCTTGGGTTCTGACGCGCATAAACGGATTGAGGGTGGCTTCTCCACGAGCAACTGCTGCTGCTGCTTTACGACTTGCCTTGCGCTCTTCCAGTTGCGCACGACGCACGTTCTCGTAGTTGAGCTTCTGGTTGCGCAGGTTCAGTTCAGCAAGACGTTCATGCTCAGACGGCTTGTCCGCACGTGGCTTGGAGACACCAGTGTTAAGGGCAACTTTCGGTGTCGACATGCTAGCTAGTTCACCCTCCAATCTCTCAGCTTCCGCATCATCACCAGCTGCTCTAGCAAGCTTCAGTTGCTTTTCCGTTTCCACGCGTCTGAAGAACTTAGACTTGGTATCCAACGAGCCTTGCTTGCGTAACTTCTCATTCAATTCCTCATTTGTGAACTTGTGATTGAGTAAGCGGTTAATATCCGTTACCTTGTTGGCCGCCGCCGACCTCGTGGCCATCTTGCAGTCTTCGACGGCCATGGTTTGACGATACCGATTGAATTCTGCCTACAAGACATCAGTATAATGTCAAAGAAGACACTTGGATGGCAGTATACCTCTGTGAACGGGGAGTCGGAGCAAGCGACGAAGGGAAACTCGCGCTCAGCCTTTCCATGTGCCAGGACAGCATACTGGTTCGTTACAAACGACCTGCCGTTTTGCCCTTCCATAGCATAAGGCTTCCCCTCAGTGAATCCTACAGACATTAGCGATGGAAGCTTCCAATACGACCACAGGGACGGTGTCTTACTCTTAATCAAGCAAAGGCGGTATTCATTTTGGCCGGTTTCACGGTTCGGGCCTATATTGACACGGGCATAGCATCCGGAGATCGCGTCATCGAATCCTGGGTAGAAGCAGACTTGGGCGAAATTAGTTCGTCCCACACGAGCACGCTGAATGTCCCTAAGTTCGACAGGTGGATCGTCTTTAGGCAGCGATGGGGAGCGTTCCCGATCATCCCACTCGACTTCACTCTCGCCCTCTGCATCTTCGTCGGAGATCCTGTCATCTCGAGAACGTGCCTTCTGATCCTTGACTGGTTCACGGCGGCGGAGCTCATCGCGTTTGCCCTTCTGCTCTCGTTGGCGCTTGTAGGCCTCGATGGCATCTGAAGTTTCTCCGACTTTCCGGCCACCAAGCGTCATCTTCTGTCGCGAACTCTTGCGGTTGCCCTCATCCAGGTTTGCCACACTGGCCTTGCGTTTGTTCTTCTTCGCCTTGCGAGCTTCTTCGCGTTCACGGGAGGCTAAAAGGCGACGAAGTGCGAGGTCCTGGTTGTGGCGATCGACCTGTTGCGCACGCTCAGAGAGGATCTGTTCCCGTTGGATCTCGGGCATCGCCATAATCTCCTCTTTGTCCTTAACCGAATAGTAGAGTTTCTCGTAAGGGAATATAGGGCCTTCGTCTTCAGCTTCTGGGGCAGAGCCTTCCGAATCTGATCCAGAGTCTGATTCAGACATGCTAGCAGAGTCGAGCGACTCAGCAGCTGATCTAATGAGAGTTAAGTGTCAGTCAAGCCCTGACGCTGTAGTAAAGACCAGTTGTGGTGCCACAGAGACACAGCAAATCAAACATACATTTCTCCATCCTCCTCATCGTTTCTTCGCGACTTCCGGCCTCGTTTGACGGGCCTAGCAGTACCTTTGCGACCCATGGTTGTTGATGTGTTTGGAGACTGGGGGGAGGATGAACGAGTGGGAGATGTGACTCTCTCCTTAGAGGCGGGGGATGCCTCCTCGTCAGAGGAATCTCCCGCAAGAGCGAGGAGCTCGGCGTCGAGGTCGTCAGCCATAGTGAATAATGGCTGAGGTTGCCTTGGATATCAGGTACTGAATAACACGAGCGGTAAGGGAAGCGGCGCTAAGCTGCTCAAGAAGGAAACTGCTAACAGAAGGATAGGTGACTTCCAATCAACAGGAACAGGTGCCACCTGGGCCGCAGTCGCGCCGAGTGAAAAAAGGTGTTAGGTGGCCAGAGGGTAGCGAATCGGACAAGCTTGCTGCATACAAAAAGTGCAATACACTGGCAGAAATTGTCGTATATAGTGTCGCGCTATTGAGCGGAGGACAGTGGAGGCGAAAGGGTGAAAGATGTTGTCTGGGTGGTGTGTTAAGGCGAAAGTGGTGAGTGAAGTGAAAGCAGAACCGGGAAGCGAAAAGAAGCGATTGGAGCGATTCTCGAGGCTCGTTCATGACGTTCCGGTCCAGGGATGGCGTGCCAAGGCGTGTAAGCGCGCGGCTGCGGCTTATCGATCATGTTGGACCACCTCGGAACTCATGGCAGCATCTTGAAATCCTCCCCGGCCTAAAAATTGACCCTTGAGCCTTGGAGCAGCATCCAGTCTGTAAATTCAGCGTTTCCCACAACATGAAAGCCCTCGGTTTGCTCCGGAGGGGTCCGATCACCGCTTCACTCCGGCCAACACTTCCCGCAGTCCTTGACTTCCTCGCGCCTTCCACGCTACAAACCCGTCGCCAATACAGCTATATGGCTACGCAGCAGTCCAGAGCGAACCCCAGCACATCACAGCAGACTTATGGGTCGTCAAAGCCAAAGTATGTTCTTAACCAGAAACAACGCGAGTTCCTCGACAGAGCCCTCCGTGTCAACCAGGCCGGCGAGCTAGCAGCCACCTTAATCTACACCGCGCAGACACCACAAGTCGTGCGTTCTCATCCTCACCTACGGCCATTGATGAAACACATGTATGATCAGGAGGTCGGACACTTCAATACCTTCAACCATCTCATTGCGAAACATCGAGTGCGACCGACGGCTATGTACCCGGTATGGGAAGTTGCAGCGACATTTCTGGGCTGGTCGACCGGTGTGATGGGACGCGAGGCAGCTATGGCCTGCACGGAAGCCGTGGAAACAGAGATTGGATCGCACTATAACGATCAAGTGCGGGAAATATTGTCTTGGAAGGCGGAGGCCGAAAGCCGGGGTGAAGAGCTTGATGAGGAACTTGAGGAAATGCTGGTGACTTTCCGACGGATTCGCGATGAGGAGCTGGAGCATCTGGACCATGCTGTTGAAAACGATGCGAAGGAAGCCCGTCCATACGATCCGCTGGTCAACGTCATCCGCTACGGATGCAAGGCAGCCATCAAGATCAGCGAGCGGGTATGAACATCAATAAGCCATCTTCGAGATATTTGTCACGATACAGCCAAAAATTCTTGTAAAATCTTGGTTTACTGCTCCCAGGCGAGACACCACTGCTGACATGTCCGACATACTGTATTTTATTGTATTATATACATTCGATGCTCACGCTTAAAGCGTCTTCTAAGAGAGTTTCTACTCCTTGATACGATGCGTAACAAGTCTGCTCACTGGGTTTAAGTAGGCATAAAACCACAGGGTACTATCTTCAACCAGACACGCCCATATACCTTTAGCGAACGGGGCATTCTGTGAATGCCAAAGTCTATGGCCCCCACCTGTCTAGTCTTCCGACTCAGAGCCCTGATGGTTTTCCAGATAATCCAAGAAGCTCTTAGAAAACCGCACCACCTGTTGGTACACCTCCTCAAAACCATTGACACCGCCATAGTACGGATCCTGAACAACCTCACCACCTCCAACTCGTTCATGCAAGACACCGCCGGCACCAAAGTCACCAAACAGGCGCACCTCTGCTACCTTGGCGCCCGCCTCCCCGCTTGCCGCAAAGGATGCCGCAGTCGCTGCTCGAGTGCTCTTCGTGCCACGCGACGCGGGCACGGACTTATTCATAGATGCCAGAACTGACTCGCGAACATCCAACAGATCGCGTAAATTATATTTGTCCATCGCAAGAAGATAGTCAAAATCGAGGAAATCCTGCTTGGTGACTTTGCGGGCGGCATGCTCGTAATTTGTGACGTTGTGGCGGCGGAGCGTGGACATGGTACGGGAATCCGGGGATTCGCCGGCGTGGTAGGCACCTGTTCCGGCCGAGTCGATTTCTTTGATCAAAGAATGTGAGGAGGCTACATTTCGGAAGACACCTTCTGCCATGGGAGAACGACCTTTTGGGTTGGGTCAGCTTGAGGTGTGCTAAGTGCGGGGTGGGAAGGGGCGTACAGATATTGCCGAGGCAAACGAAGAGGACATTGACTTGCCGGCCAGCGGGGGTAGTCTTTGTAATGGTCATTATGGTTGTGTTCTTGAATAGCCTTTTCAAATCTATAAATCTATTGAGGAATGCGCTCAGCGAATGCGAACGAGAGATTGATGGTTGATCAAGTGGACAGTTGCAGAATCTTTATCGATAGCGGAGGGCGGTACGGCGTAGCTCTTGCCTGATTTATGTGGCATTCACACATAGTGACCCTGGGTTGTGACACAGAAGTTTTCCAGATCAACTCTTTCTTTGCCTTTCCTTATTCTCTGTGTGTAGTACTCTATGCATATGCAGACTAATGCGCGTTAGATTATAATCAGACCTATCGTGGACTGCTTGCTGAAGGTTATATAGATGGTGCTGAAACCAGTCCGCTTAACAAGGTTGCGAGCACACCTTGGAGTTGAGGTGGACTTGCATGTTACAAAGTCTCATAGACTTGAGGACCGAGAAATTAGAATTGTAGAGGATTTGCCATGTGTCCGACTGAAGGATTGACTTGCGCCACTCTTCTTTCCAGGACGTGGCTCTAGTTCCCGTTATAGGTCGAGTCAGCCTGATGGGGCAACCGATACGGAGTACGAGCCCGAGGAACAATCTAGGCAGCTATCTGTCATCAATTAGTGGAGCAACGTCTGCAGTAGGGGGCAAAGAATTGTAATTGTTCCTATGCGATGTCCTCTTAGCAGTTAAGATCCGTACTATACCCGGAGTGGTCCATGCTATTCCCAGTAGTATCCTCCGCAATATGACGTCCCCCGGGGAGATGGCCCGATGCAGACAGGCAACTGCTTTTTCGCTCCAATGGGGCGTATCTGAGGAGACAGCTAGGTAAGCTGCCTAGAGGATATAAAAAGAACACGAATGATTGATGCGACCAGTCACCCCGCTGTCTAACGTGCCTCAGGACACCGCCGCACAGCGGGTGGCTGTGAGCAAGGAAGGCTGACCAGCTGTTGGCCCAGTGATGAAGTGGAGTCTGGGCGAGCCATGGCGTTGCACAACTTCTACCCATGGACGGCTGGGCGGGATTGTTTCAGGGGAGGAAAATCACTCCGGGTGGGTGAAGACACCATTAATTGTCCTTATTGTAAAAACTGGGTATCCGCGATGAGGTAGCGCATTCATGAATAGTACATACTAGCTAGACAATGATTGTGTTCCCCGTGGGTGCCTGTAGAATCGGCCTTGTTATCGCGCAGTGGAGTTCTCGTCCTGTTTGTTATGACCCCGACTCGGGCTGGATGGCCCAATGGAGGAAAGTAAGATGGTGAACCCACCTGACTAGCCTTGTCCGCGATGGTTAGGCCTGCTGCTGATCCTCTCCGACGCCCTTCTGATTCGTACTTTGGCCCTTCCGCCGTCTTCAATCTATCCCAGTCTGCTTGCCGTCATTGATCGTCCCCGCGGTTCCTTGGTCAACGGGCCTCATCCTTTTCTACTTTCATCGCGTAGTGTCCTTCCTGCTCGTGGCGCTGCTACGGCGATTCCGATCCGCCGGCACCAACAGCCACGGTCCAAAAAAGCTGTCTTCCGCAACCATCGGTTCGACCTCGTTTCTGACATACTGACTCCAGTTATTCTACCGCAATAACTATCGACCCTCCCCCTCTCTTGTCCCGTACATTCCTTTCCCCATAAAACTAGACTCGCCTATCATATCCTGAAACTTCCGCCAGCAACGGAGCTCCCACGCTATCGCAGCGACCTGAACGCTCGCCGGTTCACATTCCACCGGGACTCCTGGCGCAATCTCCAGCCCGGTTCCCCTGGTCAGGAATTTCCAAGGGGCGTGGTTTATTGGGACGGTTGACTGCCCGAGGCACTATCGGCCATCATGTCCTATAATCGGTTGGGTAGGTTCTTAATAATTTCTCCGTCCGTGTGTTGTCTACTTTAAACAGATTGCGCGGCCGTGAGTTGTCGCGCATCTATCCCTTCTCCGCATCAATTTCCCTCCTGAAACCTTAGTGTCTGGAACGAGCCTTACCTTCGAAGGGAATTTGCTCGTATATCGGCGCGCAGGGCAGCAGACCATTTGACCGTTGCGCTGGCACCGTCGCCCTGCTATTTTTTCGAATCGCGCATCCGTCACAGGGCGTCTATACTGACAGCTGATTGTAGGAGAACCCTATGGGGAGGAAGACAGTCACTCCCCCATCATGAATCCCCACCATTTAGACGCCCGATCCCCTTCACCGGGGCGCCCGTTACATACTTATCAACTTTCGGATAATCCCTATATGCCTCAGGAGCACTTGGAGATGCCCTCCAGCGATCGGCTAGCAGAACAACCAACTGTGAGGATTTCCCTGGAGCTAGGAGGGATGATAAGGCTGACTGACCGCGCTCGTCGACTAGTACTCGGTTGAACGTCTCCCTAACTCTTATGGTCACAACGAACTCTACGAAGAGCACCAACCTCAAGTCTACCCTGGATACGAATATTCTGTGGAACCTGAAGCACACCACGATGCCTATTATACCCAACCCTACCAGCCTGCTGTAACCCCGCACGAAGACTATGATCTGGGGCAATATCCTGAGCATCAGCAATCATATACAGACGATCGTGTCCCGATCCTGCAGCCCGACAACCCATTTGGGCCGGATCCTTATGCCGATGAGTATGAAGATGAACCTACGATCGCTCCTACACCTAGTCCGGCGCCGGTCCGCCGATGGAAGACAGTCAAGGAAGTACAGCTCTTCAATGGTAACCTCGTGCTGGACTGTCCAATTGCACCAACACTGCTCAGTCAAGTCCCGCACGCCGAGCCTCCGGGCCGAGATGAGTTCACGCACATGCGCTATTCTGCAGCCACATGCGATCCGGCAGATTTCTTCGAGGAGCGGTTTACACTGCGCCAGAAGCTATTCGCCAAACCTCGGCATACGGAGCTTTTCATTGCGGTAACGATGTACAATGAGGACGACTTCCTCTTCGCCCGAACGATGATCGGTGTGTTCAAGAATATCGAATACATGTGCTCGAGGACGTCGAGTAAGACATGGGGCAAAGACGCATGGAAGAAGATCGTGGTCTGTGTCATCAGCGATGGTCGTGCGAAGATCAACCCGCGAACGCGTGCTGTCCTGGCTGGTCTGGGTTGCTATCAGGATGGAATTGCGAAGCAGCAGGTTAACGGCAAGGATGTCACGGCACACATCTATGAATACACCACACAGGTGGGTCTGGAATTGAAGGGGACCCAAGTCCACCTCAAGCCTCGCACTGGTGTGCCCGTGCAGATGATCTTCTGTTTGAAGGAAAAGAACCAGAAGAAGATCAACTCACACCGCTGGTTCTTCCAAGCATTTGGTCGCGTGCTGGATCCCAACATCTGTGTGCTTTTAGACGCAGGTACCCGGCCCGGAAAGGATTCAATCTACCACCTTTGGAAGTCTTTCGATGTTGACCCAATGTGCGGAGGTGCTTGTGGTGAAATCAAGGTCATGTTGTCTCACGGAAAGAAGTTGCTTAATCCCCTCGTTGCCGGGCAGAACTTTGAGTACAAGCTTAGCAACATCTTGGACAAACCGTTGGAATCTGCATTTGGGTTCATCTCGGTGCTGCCGGGTGCTTTCTCTGCCTACCGTTATGTCGCATTGCAGAATGACAAGAACGGACAAGGTCCACTCGAGCGGTATTTCCTAGGTGAAAAGATGCATGGTGCCAACGCAGGCATTTTCACGGCGAATATGTACCTGGCAGAGGATCGAATTCTTTGCTTCGAGATTGTGTCCAAGCGCAACTGTCGCTGGCTGCTCCGATACGTCAAGTCGTCCACTGGCGAGACCGATGTCCCAGACCAGATGGCCGAATTCATTCTACAGCGTCGCCGCTGGCTTAACGGCAGTTTCTTCGCTGCGGTGTATGCTATTGCCCATTTCTACCAGATTTGGCGAAGCGACCATAGCTTCATGCGGAAGTTTATGCTCTTCATCGAGTTCATCTACCAGACCATCAACATGCTGTTTGCTTGGTTTGGCATTGTAAGTAAACAGTCGGATTCAGTTGGACTGTGACTAACCAAAACAGGGTAATTTCTTTTTAGTTTTCCATATCCTCACGGCGTACCTGGGTGATGATTCCCTGCTGGGAACGGTTGGTAAAGTGCTCGGAGTGGTGTTCGAGTGGCTTTACCTTGCGACTTTGGTTACTTGCTTTGTATTGGCGCTCGGAAACCGGCCAGGCGGGTCGAACAAGTTCTACATGACAATGGTCTATTTCTGGATCGGAATCATGATCTACCTAGCCTTCGCTGCGGTATTTGTGACAGTGAAATCGATACAGTCGCAAGTGGAGAAAAACGGCTTCACGTTCACTGATTTGTTCACCAACTACCAATTCTTCTCTATTATTGTGTCTCTGGGGTCCACCTACGTCATGTGGTTCCTTGCATCGTTTCTCTTCCTGGACCCGTGGCACATGTTCACCTCCGTGAGTACTCTGCTCCCGGCGGCATTGGTCTTCCTGACGCTGTATAGTTCATCCAATACCTTTTGCTCACGCCGACCTACATCAACGTACTTAACATCTACGCCTTCTGTAATACTCACGACATCACGTGGGGTACCAAAGGTGACGACAAGGCGGAGAAGCTGCCCTCGGCCAACTTGAAACCGGGCGGCAAGGTGGATGTGAACATCCCGCAAGATGATGGGGATCTGAACGCACAGTATGAGGCGGAGCTGGCCAAATTCGCGACGAAGCCACCGAAGGAGGAGAACAATGTGTCTGAGGAAGACCGCCAAGCCGATTATTACAAGGGATTCCGCAGTGCGGTCGTCCTGGTGTGGGTGTTCTGCAACTTTGCCCTAGCCGCTGTGGTGCTCAGCGCGGCTGGTCTGGAGGAGTTCAGCACTGACAATGACTCGACCGAGAACACGCGCGCCACGATCTACATGGCGGTGGTCCTATGGAGTGTTGCGGGACTGTCACTCTTCAAGTTTATGGGAGCCATGTGGTTTTTGACTGTGCGAATGGTAAGTTGCTCATGCTATGCTAAATGTGCTCTGCTAATTGGAAATGTAGTTCCGCGGCGTTTAGTTTATTGGCGTTTGTTTTGGATGCCTGTGTTTCTCACGGGTGACGGATGGGCAGTATACCGCTGCAGGCCGGTATGGTATGATGATGACGAAGCGACAAGCAATGATGGTTCATGATCCACGCGGGCGACACACATACCCGGTGTTTGTTGATATGATTAGATAGTACTCGTATGTAACATAGTCAGATGCATATATGGTCTTACATGATCCTGCTACATAATCCGGCTCATGACTCGGTTTTTACCTAACTGCTATGCGTCATATAGCATTAATTTATTTTGTATTTCAACAACTAGCATCATTGGTCTAGTGGTAGAATTCATCGTTGCCATCGATGAGGCCCGTGTTCGATTCACGGATGATGCAAAGCAATTTCCTTTTTATTTTTTCTTCCCGTCCGAACCGTATACAAGCTACGCCAAATAACCAACAATCAATCCATTCGACAACAATAATAACACACACTACCCCCCAATTCCTCCTACATACCTAATCTTAAGTACTAAAATTCAAGCCTTCGAACCCACACAAAGCGCAATTCCCCCCAACACCAACCCCATCCCCAACCATGTCTCCTTCTCAATCACCTTCCGCTCTACATACCATTCCCCGAGCACGGTGAACAGAAACGCACTTGAATTTGCCAAGGGAACGGTCAATGATAGTTCTACTCCTGTTAGCAAATACCCGTCCATGTTTGCATATAAACCGCCCTTCTCTTGATAGTAATAAACAACCCCCAGGAAGGATAAGTAAAAATAACAGAAACATACCATGTTTCCCCACCAACAAAAAGAACCACACACTACCTGTTAGATTCACCACCAGGGGAATGGAATACGCGGGCGTGCGAAGAAGATTGATTACTGTCCAGAAGATAGAGGTGAGTTTTGTTCGGAGCCAGCTTTTGGGGCTGGTTTGGTTGCGTATCCAGGCTGGTTGGGGTGTGGCTGTGGCTGGGGCTGGGGGTAGAGTGTGGTCTTCTTCCTCTTCTTCGTTCTCGTCATTATTAGTGGTGTTTGTGTTGGTGTTGATGGGGTCGGTGATGGGGGTTAGGTGGACATTGTCGTTATCATTGTCGTTGTCTGGTTGGTTGGTGGTGGTGGTGGCGGTGGGTGGTGATTGTTGTTGCTGTTCCTGGCGGGCGGAGAAGTCCGCGGCGGCGCGCCGGATGAAGGGGGTTGTGAAGCCCCAGGCTACCCCGACTAGCAGGAACGAGAGGATGTAGTTAAAAATGGGGGGCTGGGAGGTTTCGGGTTCTGAGGGATCCATTGTTGGATGGATGGAGATATGGATTTGGTGGTGTGGTTGTTGGGAAGATTAATGGTTGTTGCAGTAGGCTTGGATGCGGATGCCGTCACCTTCTACCCCCTTTTAGTCCTATTCGGGTATGGTCATGGTGTCACCACTCTCCATCTCCATTCCAGGATGAACTTTTTGAACTTCATCATTTCTATCTATTATTATATATATTGTTTATGGTTGTTGGAATTAGGTCTCTTGGGGTTATTAGAGGCTTTTCTTTCTAGGGAGGTGCTACAGCCTTACCGGTCAGGCTACAACCACACTACTAATCCTATACTCCATTCACCTAACCAGGAAAGGCTTACTTTTTTACCTACTAGTAGGATCCTCACAGCCTTAACCTTCGACTGCCTAAGGCTGTGTTATAAGTAGTGCCTAAAGTCTTACATACGTAGCTGATGTCTGGAATGCCTGCTCGGGGCCTATAACATGTTTTATTCTAATATATAGTTATATCTAATATATCATGACTAAACCCTTTTCGTGGAACTCTCTGTGAGGCCTTTAGCAAGGTTATTTCTTAGGTGAGATTTCGTGAAATAAGACCTTTATGATGCCAGAATTATGCAAGGTCCTTGTTGAGGTAAATCCGACACTTTGAAATGTGTTCAAGAACTTCAACATACTTTCCAAGGCCCTAAAATCTATCTAGTAGAACATTACACAAAGGCTCATAGTTCCCAGAATGGTCTATAGTAGGATCCATAACCAAGCAGACAGAGTATGGGATTGATGTGGCTGTAGCCTAGCTCTTTGCATGGTGCCAGCTAGGTATGCAATGCGGATGCATGTCTGTTCTTGGGAGGTCATCAGACACTAAACCCTGTGAGATATCCAATATGGTTAGATTGTTCCAGGAGCCTGCAAGGGTTGTAAGGTGAGGCTACAGCACTCCATTTTTGTAGTGCTCAATGTGCTAAAAGATGTCTTTGTCTTTGATTAGGCAGCCATATAGACAGACCACCACTATCCCTCAACGCGTTAATGAGCATGTTCCAGGCCATATGCATACATACGCGTGAACAGCACAAACAATCATAAAAGACACCACGGAGACACCTCCCATATTTACATAAGCAAGGCTGTACATCAGACAACAACATATAACAGCTCTCACATCCACGCTGTCCTCTTCTAATCCTCCCCTCTGTACAGTTACTAGACTTAAAAAGAACACCCCTTCATCCCCCTCTCAAAACCATCCCCAACCAACCTCCCAAAATGGACATATTCACCCCCCACCCCCCACACCGAACCTTCACAATCGAAGAAACAGCCACCACCATAATCCAAACCCTAAAACAAGCCAACCAAACCCTCGGAGTCGCCGAGTCCTTAACCGGCGGCGGTCTCATGGCCGCCATAACATCCATATCCGGCTCTAGCGCTGTGTTCCACGGCGGAGTAGTCTCCTACGCAACGCCCTTGAAACAAGAGATTTTGGGTGTGGATGAACAACTTATTGCCAAAGAGGGTGTTATTCATGCTGAGGTGGCACGACAAATGGCAAAGGGTGCTCGGAGAATCACGAGCCATGGGGACAATAAGACGACGTGGGGGGTGGGAACAACTGGTGTTGCGGGCCCCACGCCGCAGGATGATAAACCGGCTGGGACGGTCTATATTGGGGTTGCTTCTGAGAGAAGGGTTTGGGCTTGGGGGCCTTTTAATTTTTCGGGTGGGAGAGAGGAGGTTCGGCGGGCGACGGTTAGGGAGGCGCTTTGTTTGTTGAAGGATGTGGTGGAGGGGCGGGTGTCGGAGGATATGATAGTATCTGAGGTTGAAGGGAGGGGGTGATGGGAGGGTTTGGGGTTTATCTGGGAATATGGATTTATGAGCAATTTATGGGGTTCATTGGGTTTATATTGGAAATATGGCAGCTTGGAGGCCTTTATAGAGAGAGATCTTGGCTTGATGATTATATAAAGCGTGGGTTGGAAATATCTATAATTTTCTTTATAGACTACCCAAAGCATTAGGGGTCTAAAGTAATAAACAGAATCCATGTGCATACACTAAGACGTGTAAAACAAACTGAACCATGCGGCATATAGCGATCCCGACATCGAGTTTAGAAACTTCGTTTTATCCAGGCGGTGTCAAGTTATCAGCCTTGATATAGCAGATGGTAAACCCCACATGGAGGAGCGAAAGAAACATCTTTGTTCCTGTCAAGGAATAACAGCTTTTTGAAGTGATTCAACGCTGTTATATCCTCTGCTGACGACAGTATGGTTTGACTGCAGGTTAACAAATAATACTCAGCCCCATGAAAGTCCTTATGCTCATATATGCTGAGATGATCAGAAAGCTGGCATAGAGCCTCCAATCAACCCCATAAGGATCTCCGAGAACATATCAGTATCTCCATTCTCGAAATTTCTGAGAATACTGGGATGTGCGTAGTCTCTTCGCCCAAATCCTGCCCGATTTCGTTCGCAACCCAGGTGTTGCGAGCGAACAGACAGAAGCCAAAACCTTGTAATCGGTGTTCGTCCAGGCTGGTAACTTGAGGATCCATGTGATCCGTATAGAAAAGGCAGGAAGTTTTAAAGATGCGCTCGCTCTGACGCGAATAAGCCCCGAAACTTGTAACGGTAGAACACAATGGCAACAAGAAGGTGTGAAATTGATCAAGCTTCCGTGTTGGAATCTGATTGAAGGAAGCAGACTGAAGCAGTCTAGGTCGCGATCACGACCAAAATGGGTTTGTACATCAAGCTTTGCTGGAGACAGGCAGATTAGATGTAGCCCAGTACAATTTCGATGTACTGGGTGAAGCTGGATTGAGTCACTTCGGACCTCACATCTCCGTCAAAGGGAAGTGGCGTGGGACGGGTCGGCGTGCACTGGGATATATTCTGGAACATCCCATATAAACGATTTTCATCCTAGGTAAACCATCAAGCATAGCATCTGTTGGGCCCACCATCTTCAATAATCAAACACCGAATCCTAATATTCGCCACCTGCAGCCATTTCTGCAGTTGACTCTGTATGCCTCTGCCCGTCGTTCAGCGTGATAGCCTGCAACGATCATCTTCTCGAACCGTATATGGCATTTTCAGCATGCTAGTGCAGCTGGCTTTCGGCCTTGACTTGTGGATGCCCTCGTGTCGGTACTTGATGAACCACCATTCCAAGAGCTCTGCCCTATAGGATTTTTTTCTGTTCAGAGTGGTGCTGCCTCTTTGTCTTCATCTTGTATGAATGTACAAGTCCGAGGAAGCTTTAGAATTGATGAATATATAGAAATAGGAGGGGCTATATATAGACAAGCATCTGACTGCAAAGATGATAATAACCACATGGCAGTAATGCACGTGGGAATATCCCATCTGCCTTCAGTCCTGCATAGTACAATGTGGCACAACTGCCTAAAATAGCTATTGAGAGCAATTTGATGACCGTGAACTGGAACGCACCCCGGTGGTGGGGAGTGTCATATATAGCCCTTCGTTTCCCCAGTATCTAAGGGATAATACCGATGCTTCATCTTGGAGATGATGTCGAAGAGGAGAATACCAATTTCTTAGGAGCAAATGAAAAGTAGTCCTCCGAGTGAGGGCTGGGTACCATCCTTGAACAAAGAGGCAGTGGCCTGAGAAAGTTATCTTTGGACGGAAAATTACGCAGTCCCCCGGGAGATCCCCGTACATCAATGGAGGTGGAGATTTTGAGTGTTCATACGATTTGAGGAGTTCAGACATCTGGTAATTATACCATCATCTTAGCGCTATGCGATAAAGGTCATAGGTAGGTTGTCTTACGTACGAGAAGAGGCCAGCTGGCTCTTAGTGTTTATAATGAAGCAGGTCTGCACCCGAATAGCTAATTCTGTCTAGCAACGTAGGGCATATAGAATTTATAGAAGTTGCACTCTGATTCATAGATACCGAGAACCCGAAAGACACGCTGCAGCACTTAGATCGATCACCCCCATGTTGGTCTGACAAAACAGAGAATTTCATGTGCTCACTTGTCACCAGTGTTATCAGGAGTGTCGTTTTCATCTTCTTGTCCTCGCTGATGTAGCAGATCTCCCAGAGAGGTGATCACTGTATCCATGGAGATACTGAGGCCAATGGACAAGTCGCCAGGGCTTTTCTGCATCTTATACACTTGGAAGATGATGTTCCGAGCCAATGTCTCAATATCACGGGCATTTGCCCACGACTCTGTCTTTTGAAGCCGGGAAAACATGCTCAACATGGTCGAATATTTCTCACCACTAGGATCTGAGCCATGTCGATCCACGTTTATATGGAGCTTCCTGAGCCGTGCCTCAAGAAACTCAAAACAATGCGCCGGGCCCATTGATGGAAAGACGATATCTGTTGGAAGACGAGATCGCAAGCCCGGATTCATCTGGATTAGCCTGTCCATGTCGTCCGAGTAGCCCGCAAGAACAATCACGAGTTTGCGAGCGTATCGGGGTTTTGTCATGCAGTCGACCAACTCGCCAATTGCTTCTTCAGCAAAGGTCGAACTGTGGCCAGTGGATGTGCCTGCTAACCGATAGGCCTCGTCTATAAACAGCACCTTACCCAAAGCTCGCTCAAGCAATTTGATGACTTTGGGTCCTGTTTGTCCAACATACTCGCCAGTCATATCCGTGGCAGTACATTCGATAACCTCGGAGGTGGACAGAAATCCCATGTCGTAGAAAACCTGGCCCAGAATGCGGGCGGTCGTAGTTTTGCCTGTTCCTGGGGGCCCCTTGAAGACATATGCAAATGGCACGTATGGACGCGGATCAATCTCGCGAAGTCGCATACCGGCTGCCATCTGCTGATAGTCCTTGAAGAGGGTGATTATAGGGTCCATGCCAATCATTGTCGAGAAAAGGGATTCACAAGCCTTGCTAATCTTGAAGGCTCTATCATATTCCGAATCAAAATCGACAGGCTCGATCATTTTCCCCTGCCGGTCGGAGACACCCTTTAGCCTCTTATTAAAGGCCGCTTTTGCTTTACCGAGCAGATTCTCCACATCACCCCCATTCCCAAAGTTAGGCCGATCTAGAGCCCGGGAAAGGACCTCTATGGCTGCTTTTCTGGCTTCATCGGTGGCTGTCAACCCATCGCGGGACATCTTCAAATCGAGTATTTCAGCGAGCTGGTCGACTGAGTAGTCCTGGAAGCGAAAGGCTTCCTCTAATAGAAATCGCCGTTGCAAGCCAGGGTTACTGTTGTCGAAAAACTCTTTCATCTGGTCCGGATAGCCGGTTAGAATGATGCAACGGTCCTCGCCCGGTTTACTCGAGATGTTTGCGACCAGCGTGTCCACAACGGCGATTCGATGCGAATCCGATTCATTGGTCCCATGTCCAGATCCCTGATAGAGCATGTGGGCGTCATCAATAACCAAAACCTTTCCCTCAGTGGCGCGGAGTATCTCTCTGGTGTTTGCTTCTGATTCGCCGGTGTGTTGTCCGATGAAATCAGAGGGATCCTTCAATACAACGTCGCCACTGGAGATAAGACCAAGCTCTGCAATAAGCTGTCCGTAGATTCTGGCCACTGTAGTCTTACCGGTACCTGGAGGGCCCAGAAATACCCGATTGAGAGATGTCTCGATTGGGGGCAGACCCTGGATCTCACGGTGATAATTGGTATTTGCTCGAAGTGCGAGGTCATCAATCATCTCTTTGACCTCCTGGAGACCAATCATACTCTGCAGTTGCTTCCAGCCCTCACTCCTTTCTCGCATGTCTAGTGGGGCTGGCCCGAGAAGGTCGGACTTCGTCAGGAAGTAGTAGTTGGGAGGCTTCTCACACTTCGCCGTCACGCCTCTCGATGACCGGCATAGCCGCGAGGCCTGACGTCCCATCACCTGCTCTAAGACAGTTCGTAGAGCCAACATATTGGTAAATGAAGTATCCGTCCGCCTGCGACAAATTCGACGAGCAAGAATTTTCATATTTTCACCATCCCAGCCCCCCTCGACATGAAGACTGCGCTTCTTCAGTATGCGAACCAACAGGCGGTAGATCTCTTCATTGGAGTAATCTTTGAGATCCATCTTCATGGTGAAGCGACGAGAGGCTCCCATGTCACAGAAGTCTTTGGGCGGTCCAATCAGAATTAAAAAAATCTCTCCAGTATAGTCCTCCATGAATGCAAGAAACTTGTCAAATGACTTGGGATCTTTAGTAAGCTGGTCGGCCCGGCGGATGAACATAACCTAACCCTGTTTAGTGCAAGGAAATCAACCCCAATGTAAAGAAAGACAGAACATACGCCATCGTCTGGGTACCAGCGAGAGAACTTAAGGTTTCTTATGTAGTATCCCGCATAATGGCTATGTTGCCGCGGTACAAGATCGAAGCAGGCGAGAAATTCTGCATAGAACTTGGCCACGATTGACTTCCCTATTACCATTGCCATTAGCCGAACGTTCTACCAAATAGAGTAAAAGGACTGACCAGTTCCTAGATTTCCAGTGATCACCATGTCGCATCGTGCTTTTTTGAAGTCTTCACCCCGGAATTTACCGGCTTCGATCCGGGCTTTGAGGTCCAAAAACTGCGCCTTGATCTCCTCCTGGCCAATCAGGCACATGACACGGTCCATCAATCTTTGTAGGCGTTGGCCGTTCTTGGAAGGGGTTATTCTTGCTAACCTTTTCTGTCTGAGCCATTCCAACCGTGAAGGTGAACCATCGTCCATCTCGTCGACGTTGGATTCAAAGTCTTCAAGGCTTTGATCCAAGAAGGTCAGATCGTTTTCTCCCTCTTCATTTGCATCATCAATGCCGGCTCCTTCTGGTAAATATACCCATCTTTTGAGAAAGTATTCGATATCTGTGCTAGAAACAGAGTTGGCGTCATCGTCTATTTCGTCGCCATTTTCATTTTCAGCTCCTTCGGCATTTTCGTCGTTATTACTGCCGTCTTTTTCGTCATTCGTATCTGAAATACTGACTTTTTTGCTATCCTGGTGGATTTTGTTCTGCTGGTCACTTTCGCTGCTGACACCTCCCTCGCCATTGCTGTTCTCATTGTTGCTTCTGCTACCACCTTCGGTGCGATCTTCAATTTGACCGTTGTTGGGATTGTCATTTGTATCATAACGGTCAACTTGGTTGTCGTGGTTATTATCGTTCACTAACTCGATGACCTCCTTTTCGGGTTCACCTGCATTGTCGGCTTGCTTCTTGTCGTCAGGCGACTTCCCAGTTTCATCCGGTCCTTCGCCAGCAGTACACCTGGTTTGTTGCCCCTCATACCTTTCGCTGGACAAATTCGCGTCCGCTAGACTGCCCTCATCAATGTCCGCTTGACAATACTCTTCATAACAACGAGGGCATTCACCCTTTCGCACACCATTTATCTCCTCGTTATTGTCATCGTGGCACGATTCACCAGTGTCTTTTGACGAGTCTTGATGGACGGTGTCGGATCCATTTCCCTCCAGGATACCGTGCTCAGGACTATCAGGAGAAGAGGACATATCGCTTGAGACGGGATACCCTAGGTGCTGCCAGTCATCAGGATTTGAAATAGCGCCCGCAGACTTGGGTGAATCGTTATCGACATTCGGATGGTCATCACTTTGTTCAGTGGTCGTAGGGACTGGTTCTTCGCCGATAATCTCCACGGTAACGTCTTCGACTGATGGGGCTAGGTCGTCTCCCATTTTGCTGTCAGCTCTCCTACTTGGGTTTTGGGTAGGTAAAGAGATAGAAAACCTAATGAACAGACTCACTTCTCTGCGGTAGATTCGGAGATACTTGTAGAATGCCTTCTCGTTGCGGTAATCAACGTTGTAGACCCTGCCTAAGAGACCAGGGAGAGAGGCAGTAGAGCCTCATTGCAAGGATCGTAGGCAGCGACGCTGTAGCCTTGGAGTTTCTACCTTTAGGGCGGGCATATTAAACCGACATATGCAGTGTGCGTTCTGGAGAATAGCCCGAGGAATCATCAATCGCGCGCCTGTGCATAGAGCTAACCCGCATGCAGTCAGCCAGCAAGTCCCCAGCCTTGCCACTTTTATGAGCTTGAGGCTCTGGGTACACTCAAAAGGAGACCGCCTTGTAGATGAGAAAAGGGAAATCGCAGACTGGTGACGTAACATGCTAAATGTAGTGCTGGACTCTGAAAAGGATTTTAACAAATGTGTGCAGGTATTGGAGAGCCTGGGGTCTTGAGTAAGTGCATAGATTCACCCAGATAGCTGTCTTCTGCTCTCTGCACTCACCAATGATCGGCATGAGCCACTCCCTTCCCCTTGCGTGGCCGGGGATTTCGATAACCACGTATCTAGTATTTCAGAGAGCCTCCTCTAGCACCATCTAGTGCAACATGCCTAGCTCTGGATATGCAACGAACAAGCATATCGGATTTACACGGGCCAGACAAGGCAAAAACACTGAGTGTTTTTCTTGCGTATCGGGTCCATTGGGTGGGTGGTATTACCTGTTTTGAGGCTGCTGGAAAAGACAACTAATTGTCCCTACAGTGCAGTGGGATGTTCACATCGCTCGACTAGGGGTGGAAGTGAGGCACCTCATGCCCCTCATGCGCATGCTACGTGTTTTCCTATCGCTACACCTTCCCCGAGATGAGGCCGGTTGAGTGATTCGCATTCATACACTTCGCCAGAAACACACCGCATCTAACCGTGTCTCTACATCCGCGCTGCTATACGAGCTCACTGGCTTGTGTCAAAGGAATGTACGCTGATTCTAGCAAATATAACGGAGGAAGTCCCATTATGATATCTGGCTCTCCAATCAAGTTTGGAGCCTAGACTCAACACCGAGAACAGAAAAATCTGTTCTGAGGCTTCTGTCCAATTACAATATTTAACTGCGGCGCATATCCATTTTTAAACACCTCGTCCCGTAAATCGTCCAGGAAAGCATCAAATTCCGCCGGAGTCTTAGCCACCCCGGGGATGCCATCGGGAGGAATCTTATGACTGAGACTGCGGAACCTCTCCACTCACATGTGAGCAGAGGGCACCTTCCAATGCTCCTCCCGTGCCTTTGCACCATAGCCCAAAGTGAACGAAGTTTGGTAATGTTGAGAAGCCCTGAATCTTGCAGCAACCCTTCCAATTCATAGGCAACATAGATGTTCATCTTGAAGGCGGCAGTACTCCATCTCTGCATTTTGGACATTTTCGCCAGTGTGAGGAATTTGACAGGGTCGAAATGTTTGTCGCGATCTACCCATTGGCGTTCTACGAGCTGCATCCAACCTCCAGGTTTCAGCAGCGAACAGAGATTGGACAGGGTCTGTGGCCACTCGGGACTTTTCAAACCCCAGATGAGGAGACGTTGGTGAATGATGTCAAATTTTTCAACCCATTGCAAATGCTCCGGTACCGGCTTGCGGATGTCCATCTCCCTGAGATCGATGGATGGTTCTTCGGCAGATGGGGGCGGGAAGAGCGCAGAGCCAATATCCACGCCATGGAGAGACCATGTCTGGTTGGGATAGAGCTCAGCTAGAGAACGAAGCCATGTGCCTGCTCCGTGCTTTATCAGTCAACGGGGCACTTTCTAAATACGAATCAACCTACTCACCATCTGCTGCACTGGCATCTAATACCCGCAAGTGGGGATTTGAATCCACTGGAGTGGTGAGCAGAAGACCTTCCGTGGCCGAGAGGATGAAGTTGTGTTTTGTGTCCTGAGACGCTCCAGCTCCTGTTGGTGGTGAGGAAGTTGATAGATCCCCTCGGTCCCAGCGAATGCATTCCCTTCCTGAGTGTAGGAAGCGACAGAGCTTGTGTCTTTCATGTCGATACAATTTCAGGTCAACTTGGAAACATTTTCTACCTGGTAGGTAGTCGGAAAACTCCCCTTCCCCCACCCTAGCCAAGAATCCTCACTTCGGCTAAGGTAGAGCTAACTGCGTGAAGTTGTGAGCTCAAGATGGACCCTGATCTGATCGCGGAGATCCGGGATCAGAGAGCATGTTAGCTTTGCCTGCAATTTGATGATGGTTGAATCGTCCCTGTCAAGTGGTCATGCATCCGCCAATTCGGCTGCGTTGGTGTATCTTATGCCCCACGGCTAATTAATCCAATTGTCTTTAGAACCCAACTAGAGTGCCCTGATCATTAGAAGTTTAAGCTTGAAGGATAGTATTTACACATAATACGTTTCTGAGAGGGAATTCTCTTTGATTATAACAGACTGGAGGGCTTTATTGGTTCGTCAGTCAGGTTGTGGCGGGATCCATTAGCTACCGCTAAACCACTTGCGGAGTAGAGATAAGACCAGACGCCGTACGGCCATTACTTATCGTCTGCCGTACCTCCTGCCCGTCACGCCGACTGACTCCGATGACTGACTGCGATATGACTGAAAGTCGCAATGCCTGCTGAACCAAGAAGACGTCACAATGGCCAACCACAGGCCTGCGAACCATGTCGCAAGTCCAAAATTCGTTGTGACCATGAAACCCCGAAGTGTTCGCGTTGCGTTGTGCGTGGATTAGATTGTGTCTATCATCCTGCTCCTATGACCAAGCGCCGCCCTCCATCTGCTTCTCACGCACCTGCTCACTTTGAAACCACACCGCTCGCAGACCTACTGACTGGCAGTACCTTTGTGCCTTCTACTGGCTCCCAGCTTCCGATCGTACCTCCACCGAGCGCAGAATCCTCCTCGCCGCTGGTTGCAGATCCCGGCTCCACTGCGAGCTCGGGACCTTCTGCTGGTTACAACACAGCACAGCGGGTCACTTTATTCCAGAAGGAATCTGGCCGACATGAAACGACCCGATTCTCCGCTGTGTTCTTCGAGAACGAGGACAGCTTTGGCCCAGCGATCCTTGATGCCGCGAACGTTAACCACGAGCTAGGCCGAGAGGTTGACGTGACAACATGGCCTCGCATGGAGTTGGCCGTCAATACCCTCATGAACTTCCCCACGGCTCGTACATGTGAAATGCTGATGACAGGTCTTCATCACATCCACGATGTCTGGGTGTCTCCAACCATGGTCCGGCACTGTCTGGATCAAGTATGGACGGAATACGGCAATTGTCTTGACCTGCGTAGGACACGGGATTCGGTATCGAGATTGGCAAATGATCTCTTTGCCAATGACAAAAAGCCCTATTTGAGGTTCAACCCTGATGACGACAGCAGTTTTGACCGCATCGGTTGGATGAACTGGTTTGCTGGTCCTCACTTGCGATGGGAAATGGTGGGGATCCTCTTCAGCTGGGCTGGAATGGCTTTCAGACACCGACAGGAATGGGACCCTGTCTTCCATTTACCCGAGCAAGAGGGGCGAAATCGCAACACTGCCGCAGACAAGATGAGGGAGTGTGCTGCTGCCTGTGTGCGGCTTTGCGAGGACCATTTCGAAATCAGTGACATCATGGTCATCTGCATGAAAAACAGCAGCAAATTGCAAAGCATTATCATCAGCGACGAAAGTAAGTTACCTAAATGAGCATAGAGTCTGGCAAGGTTAAACTGAACCTCATTTTGGGGTAGGTGATCGTATACGGGTCGACTATGGGACTGTTGGCAGTGCTTTTATAACAGCGGGATTGCACCGTCAGCCCCCCCTTGGGAAGGTCACGCCATTTTCCCAACACAGAGCTGCCATCGCGTCGTCAATGTACTATCTCGACAAATGCGAAAGTTTGTTCAATGCGCGGCCACCCATGCTGAGTCGCCATTATTGTCAGTGTCCGCTTCCACTTGACCTGTGCGAAGAAGATGTCTACGGGGGTCGGGAAAGATTGGCAGCCGCCGTTGCCAGGCTTGACAAGAATGGCTGGAATACAGAAGGCCACATTTTCACGACAACCTGGCTCCGAGCGCTTGCAATGCTAAGCCCGATACGAGAACGAATTTTGGAGCTCTCATTAAGTATTAATCTACAGTTTACGAAAGCGCAAGTCGAGTGAGTTTCCGGGAGTGTGATTCCGTACTTTTGGCTGATTTCGACTGTTTGCAGGGACATCATCGTCCAACTGAAGCAGATAGTTGCTTCCTACCCCCAGCATATTCAGTATCGTCGTAACTCAGGGGGATTATCTCGGTCAACTTCATACGTTCAAGCGCGAAGCGCTCATGACGCGTACATCATCACCCGCATACAACTGGATGTATTACAATGCCGTTTTCTCCTGCACCGTCTCCTTGTCTCGCGGCGTTTCAGCAGCGGTCAAGACTTGTTCGATACCGCCCAGGAGACTATGTCGGTTATTCTGTCACTGTGGCTGAATCGTGATCAGCTACATGACGTAAACTATGCCTTTGACTGGATTGTAAGTTCAGTCGGCCGCATAGATACGAATATCTGTCACTGATCGCCGTCTAGGCCGTGTCATACGGAGTTCCCTGCGCGGGAATCTTATGCGTAGAGCTTCTGCGAGCGAGTCATCTAGCACCACCCGCATTAGCTAACGATTCTTCGGCGACGGCTGCTGTTTACACGCCTGTTCGGCTTTCCCGGTCGGAGGTTATCCAAAGCCTGACGATGTTCGGAGCCTTGCTTGACTGGATACGACCTACCGATAATAATTCTCAGCTTAGTGTCAAATTCAGAAAGGTTCTCCAGCGGATCATTGACAGTGTGTTTGATACCCTGGGGCCGTTGCAGGACGGGCAGATCCGGGAGATGCCAAATAAGCAGGTGTATCAAAGACAGTACGGAGTACAATCCCAGCAGATGCGTGGACAAAACCTATCTCCCGCCACGGATGGTCAGTACGATATCGATCCCGCGCTGATCACAGACGACGATATGGACTGGTTGAACACTCTGGATTGGACGCAGGGAGGCTGGCTTGATCAGCCTTTTCTGTTCTGACCGGTGCCCACACACCACCATACTCAGCGGCGTAGTGCTGTATGCACCAATTATCCTTTTGTCTTGAAGCAATTTTGATCTCCCAATCGGTACGCGACTGGTAATCTCAAGACCAGATGTACTCAACAACGCCAAATCAAGCATTTCACAGCCTAATCAACATTCCATCAGCACAGAGACACCTGTCCAACGATAGATTTTTTAGATACCAACTCCTGGCTGCACTTAGACTGTCAGCTGTGCTGAGCTTTCGGAGTGCTCTCCTCCTGTCGGAGTAGCGTGGGGCAGTTGAACCGGAGTGGCGGAGTCAATGGGTTGATAAGGACCGGCCCCAATCTATGCAACACCGACGGCCGATGTGATCGCCGACCGGCAGGCTTACATTATTATCGACTATTCAGACGTTCCAGACGGGTCATTTGACCATTGAATGACCATAGTGGGGGGCCGTTAAAGCATCATCACCCGTCGTTGCGGATTCGCTTTGAGTCTAAACACCAGATCTGGCATTTCATATCATGTCTCCCCGCAACTCGTTCAATACGGGCTGCCTGCCTGTTGGAAACCCCACCGTGCCATTTTGGCATCAAGATATTCATGAGCTTCACGACCATCGGACGACGAAAGAGCTTCCGGCCTCTAGCGATGTGGTTATCATCGGTGCCGGCTACGCAGGAATCAGCACAGCCTACCATTTAGTCAAAGGCGAGGCCAGCCACAGCAAGCTCTCTGTGACAATATTGGAAGCACGGGGGGCCTGCTCAGGTGCCACAGGGCGCAATGGCGGCCACCTGCGGCCTGACATGTACGGCCACGTCCCTAAGTTCATGGACCGAGCCGGAATCGAGCGCGCCTTGGAGGTGCCCGAATTTGAAGTCGCACACCTAAACGTCATCAAGTCTCTGATTGAAAAAGAAAAAATCGACTGTGATTTCACCCTCACCCGGTCGATCGATGTGTGGTGCAACGAAGAAGCGGCTGCTAGAGCCAAAGGTGTGTATGACATGCTGGTCTCCTACAATCTGGAGTACATGAAGGATGTTTGCTTTGTGCTTGGGAAGGATGCAGAGGGCATCTCTGGTGTGAAGGGAGCCAAAGCATGTGCTTCATTTACGGCTGGCACTCTTTGGCCGTATAAGTTTGTGCTGCACCTCACCCGATCCATCCTGGAGACCGGCTTGGCAAACCTCCAGACCCATACGCCAGTCACGTCTGTCAGACGGCAACCCTCTGGCGAGTTCATCATTACAACCCCGCGCGGCGCAACCATGGCCCGACATGTGGTATATGCGAATAATGCCTACATCGCGGGCCTTCTCCCGCAGTATAGCCAAGCTATTGTTCCCTGCAAAGGATTGTGTACTCATATTTCAGTGCAAGAGGGCACCAGAACGCCACTCCTGAATAATTCTTACATTGTGCATGAAGAGGATGAGACGCTTTCGTATCTTGTTCCTCGCGCCGATGGTAGCATCGTTGTTGGTGGTGCTAATGCAAGGTATCGTTCGTTTCCGGAGCAGTGGTTCAACAATGTGGATGACTCCACCCTCATCGAAGAGGTGAAGCATCATTACGACGGTTACATGTAGCGGTTCTTCCATGGCTGGGAAAGCAGCGGTGCCCGGGTGGATAAAGTCTGGACGGGGATCATGGGATACAGCTGGGATTCCCACCCACATGTTGGTGCTCTGCCCGGGAATGATAGCCAGTATGTCCTTGCGGGCTTCAACGGACATGGGATGCCCGTGGTGTTTCTGTCGGCTCTTGGGGTTGCCAAGATGATCAATGGGGCCAAGTTCCAGGATACCGGTGTGCCGAGGGTGTTTCAGACTACCCAGGAGAGACTTGAGAAGGTGAAGGACGGTGTGCCGGGTGGTGATATGCTCACTATGAATGGATGATTCTGGCATGGAGTGGTGGCCTGGTAGTATTAGTAATGCAGAATAGTACCAATTCACATTTTTTTTCGAGTTACTGAGTGGTTCTGTGAGACTATGGGGCTTTGTTTGACCCGATTTGTCTCTTTGCTAGAAGGAAGAGTGCCTACAGAATACAACGCCAAGGAAAACAAATTGATGGCAAGTCACCAGCTGTTGCAAAAAAAGATAATATCTGCTCTCATTAATGCCTGTCTAATCAACATCTGTGTTCAAGCTGAGCTGTTCGTACTTCAAGAAATTTTCTCGCTCGCTCTCCAACCGGGCCAGGATGGCCGGGTAAGCGTCTGTGCCCAGCAAGATCCTCAACGGCGGGTTCTCCATGGTGGCAAGATCGTAAAATGCCTTAGCAGCCTTCCGGGGATCACCGGGTCGAGTTCCGTTCCGGGCCATCATCAGAGCTTTGGCGTCGATATGGTCGTACTCGGGATGCCGGTCAGTGAAGGCCATTGAGCGACCGGCCCAATCAGTCCTGGGGGAGATGATCGAATCAGAATCAAGTCACACACGCGCGCTTTCTCAGTCAACTGCAACTCACCTGAAGCCACCGGGCTCAAGGCAGGTGAATTTAATCCCCCATTCGGGCTTAACCTCCTTTGACAGGGACTCAGTGAAGCCTTCGACCGCCCATTTGCTTGCGGCATACATGCTAAAGGCGGCGGCTCCGCGCTGTCCACCAACGCTGGTGACCTGTTGGATGACGCCCCGGTTCAGCACCTCTTGGATCAGGTCATGACCGAAGCCGGTCGAGGTGCCGGTCACTAGGAAGACTTTGGGCATGATGTTGGAAGTATACTCAGTCAATTCAAATCGGCACAGCTATGGTATGGGCTCGCTCTACCGAGACTGTTCAAAGAGAGAGGAATGGCTGGGTGAGATGCTGAACTGAATGTTTTCTGAAGGCCGGTGCAACAGTTCTAAATAGAAAAAGAGCTTCTAGGCATGGTACCCCCGCATCGTTATCTCCCACCGGAGTGGATCTCGGCCTCCCACATGGTTCGGACTGGCTTTATCTCCTTAATCGGATTCCTATCTCTCGCACCTACGCTGCTTCAGCCGCTTCGTAATCACATCGACGCGGATTGGTCCTTTCCTTAGCCATTGGAACAGGATTCAACGACATCTCTACATTGGATGCAAAGATGGCTTATCTGCCTCGCTATGGTCATGAGATAACTCCCGCGTGGTGGTAGCTGCTCAGCAGCGAACGGACAGGGGGCGTCGGTAATGCTATAAGCTGTGGTTACGTCCTAAACGGCGCTCTCTCGGGTTGCTATAATTCAATCTCTTGAAGCCGTTCTCTTTTTTTGTGTCTTTCTTCTTGTGCGAGCGAGGCCGCTGAAACAACACCTAGCAAAATGTCTACGGCCAACGAATTCTCCAACGACAAGATGGACCAAGATAAATAGTCTGCGTCCCATGAGATGGAGGCATCGCTTGGCTTAGATGAGGATAATGGGGAGTTTGAAGAGGTCAAGGCCGTGCGGCAGGGCCTTCATCAGCGACATATCCAGATGATTGCCCTGGCTGGTACCATTGGGACGGGTCTCTTCCTCAGTTCGGGTCAAGCAATTGCTCGCTCCGGGCCCTTGGGTGCCTTCCTAGGCTACCTTATCATGGGTTGTGTGGCCGGCTTCGTCACCCTTGTCGTGGGTGAGATGGGGGTCCTCATTCCTCTGAACGGGGGCATTGTCCGCTACGCTGAATTCTTTGTGGATCCGGCGTTGGCGTTTGCTAATGGTTACAACCTGGTTTATTCGTACCTGGTGTCTATTCCCGCCGAGCTTGTGGCCGCGGCTGTGCTGGTGCAATTCTGGTCGGACCTGAACAGTGCGATCTGGATCACGATATTTGGCCTGGTCATGTTTTGCACGGCCCTGGTCTTTGTTCGCGTTTACGGAGAGCTCGAGTTCTTCTTCTCCACGCTAAAGATCTTGCTGGTTATTGGAGTCAACATTATGGTAAGAGGAAGAGCGGTTGGTATAGTGTGTCTCGCTTGCTGACATGTTCTTAGGTGCTTGTCATTACCTGTGGCGGTGGTCCTACGCATGAATCTATCGGCTTCCAATATTGGCGCAACCCCGGTCCTTTCGTTCAGTACCTTGACATAGGTGGTTCTCTTGGCCGGTTCCTCGGTGTCTGGACAGCCTTGAACAACGCCCTTTACTCTTATTCTGGAATTGAAACAATCACTGTCGCAGCTGGAGAGACCAGGTCGCCTAGACAGGCCATTCCGCAGGCTACCAAGCGAATCTTCATTCGTATCTTGCTCTTCTATGGTATGTTGCGCCCTTTTGCTCCTGCCCCAACAAATCAATGGATAAATGAGGGGGGGAGGAGAATATAGACGCTGTCAGGGCTGAGCCTTACATACTGCTTCCAGTCATCTCGATCTTCATGATCGGTCTCGTGGTCCCGTCCAATGATCCCGACCTTGACAAGTCCGGCGGCACAGCATCTGCATCACCGTTTGTGATCGCAGCCACTCGAGCAGGAATCAAGGTAGTCCCGTCCATCATCAATGCCGTCGTCATCACATCAGCCTGGTCGTCAGGCAACTCCAACATGCTAGGCGGGTCAAGGATTTTGGTCGGGCTGGCCAAGAACGGTCGCGCTGCCAAGTTCTTCACTCGCCTCAACCGCTTCTCGGTACCATGGGTCGCGATCTCACTCTATGGTCTTTTCATGGCCATGGGATACATGTCACTATCGTCGAGTGCCAACACGGTGTTCAACTGGTTGCAAGATCTGGTCTCCATTACCACTTTGACAAACTGGCTCACCATTCTGGTGACGTACCTTCGCTTCTACTACGGCTGCAAGAAGCAAGGAATCTCGCGAAAGACTCTACCATGGGTGGCGCCACTTCAGCCATACATCAGTTGGGTCTCGCTCTTCCTGCTCAGCCTTCTCCTTATAACGGGCGGCTACTCGACCTTCATCCGGGGATACTGGGACAATGAAACCTTTGTCTCGTCGTATATCAACATTCCTCTTTTCTTGATACTGTACTTTGGATACAAGGTAGTCTATAAGACTAGCATTGTTCCTTTGGAAGATATTCCAATCCAGCCGTTCATTGATATTGCCAATCGCAATCCCGAGCCGCTACCAAAGCCTAAAAAGGGGCTTCGAAAGCTCAATATCTTGTGGGGTTGAGGCAAATTCCGACTTTACCTATATCACTTTATCTCGTTTTCTTAATATTGATCTTTTGCTACTTTTGCTGTTCACATGAGTCTAAACCTTTTTTTGGAAGGGAGGTGTAGTCCATAGTACTATATATGTGTTCAATATATTGCTTTGTCTCTGGAAGATTCAAGCCTTAACTATCTCATATCAATGTAGCTAGCTATATGAGCTGAAGCCATTACAAACTAAGAGAAAACCTTGGAGCTGCAAAAACACTGATATAAAATGAATTTAATCAAGCAAGGACACATTAATGACACTGTATTGTACGACAAATAAAACTAGATGATACCTAAATACCGACATTCTATTTTACCTCTGTAGGTAGGCTTTGCCGACGATCTAACCTCTTCCTTCCCTTTGTGGTCTCTTTTTCCTACGTCCTCACCTTCCTGTATCTACAACTTTCTCGACACACTGGAAGCAGTACATCCGAGTCGCTTGCATCTAAATATCGCCACCTCGCATTTTGTAGTGAACGGAGTAGAATATGGTGGCCTCTCCTATCGCCGCCATCAGACCTCACCTACGGAGTGTTATCAGATAGTATAGATACTCGGAGTGGGGCCAGTCCGAAGAGAGCTTCACGGAGTCCCCGGAGTCATCGGAGTCCCCACACCGTTGTCACGGAGTAGCCCCGCTCATTCCTATCTTATCCTTATCCTCAACCTTATCGTATCCACCAAACATCATCATGGGGGAAGGGGGTAGAGGGTGGGAGAAAGCGTAGGACATGGCTGAATAGCATAGCGGGACTCTATACCCATCACACCCTCAAATAAAACAACCCTTCATCATCCCCAAGCCACACTACCCATCACCCATCACCATCCCCTTCAACACCCACCTCCTAAACCACCATTACCAACACCAACCACCAACACCCACCATGTCCCCTTCTCCCCCCAAACAAAAAACAAAAACACATAATCCTCGACGTCGTCGGCACCTGCATCTCCTTCAGCACCTTCATCCGCCGCATCGAAACCATCCTCGGCCCGCGTCTCCGCACCCACCACACCAACGCCCACATCTTCAGCTACGCCTGGATGCAAGCCTCCGAGCTCGAATACACCATGCTGCTTATGTCCTCGCGCTACACACCCTACAGCGAAGTCTTCAAAACATTATTCTACCGTGTGCTATACATGTCCGGGATCGAGAACCCGAGGGAATTCGCCACCGAAGATGAGCGCGATGCGTGCCAGGCCGCTTGCTCCTTGTTGGAATTGCGTCCTGGGTGTCGGGAGATGATGGAGAAGTTAAGGGGTAATGGGTTTGAGATTTGGTGTTTGACGACGGGGGATGTGGCGAGGGTGAGTGGGTATTTTGTTCGGGAGGGGGTGGAAATGCCTGTGGAAAGGGTGGTTAGTTGTGTGGATTTCATGGAGGGTGGTGGTGGGGATAGGTTGGGGGTGGTGAAGCCGTCGATGGGGGCGTATAGGAGGATAGTGGAGAGGTTGGGTTTGGGGGAGGAGGATGAGATGTGGTTTGCGGCGGCGCATATGTGGGATGTTAGTGCGGCTGTTAAGGCTGGGTGAGTTGGTCCTTTTTTTTCCTGTTCCTGTTCGTGTTTGGAGATGGAGATGGAGATGGAGATGGGAGAGTGGGTGAGAAGACTGTGGCTAACTTGATGATGATAATGGGTAGGTTCCGAGGCGCTTACTGCTCGGCTTATGAGAAGGAGTCGCGTATTGAGATCTTTGATACTCGGATGGATGTCATGGCTGATAGTTTGCCGGAGATGGCGGATAAGATTATTGCCATGACTTCGTGAAATTGGGTGAAACGGGTTCAATGTAATCGTTGTGGGTAGAATATTAGTTTTAAATTGAGCTGAGATATCCGTTGAAAGTTCAAAACATGGATGAACAATACTCCGTAAATATCGTCCAATAGGGGAGAATATCAGGTTGGAACATCTTCTACCTTCTACGCCAATAATGTAGTGGGATATACTATATCTCCTGGTCTACGCGGTGAAGCTACTAGTACGTAGTCATGGGTTTTAGTTGACTTGGTAAGTTATGAGATGCTTAGAGATAGTAGTTTCGACATATTATAAAGCAGTAATATCACCCAGATCTTATAATCTATTACGTTTGGCATCGACGTCTGTTCTTTAACGCCATAGTACGTAAGCGTATAATTTGCTACTTCTAGTCATCCAAACCAGAACTAGTAAAACACCAGAGAAAAAGACAATTCCAAAGTCCTAGTCAACGCCTCCATCTATCTATAAACAGACTGCGCCTCTGCAACCACCCCGTTCCTCTTCCCCGTAGACGACAACAACCGATCAAAGACCCTCTCCAACCGACCCAAAGCCTCATCAACAATCTGATAATGCACCACAACTCTCCCACCCATAAGCTTGAGCCCCTCCTCCTTGCCCACCCGAACCACTTCATCCGCCGTGATCCCACTATACGGCAAATCCAACAAGACCATATTAGTCTGCACAGGTCGACTGATGCTACCTCCACGCTCGACCCACATCTTCTCAATCAACTTAGCTTTCCGATGCGTCTCTGCCAACCGACCACCTTCACCGTTTGGCCCTTTGCCGAAAGTCTCCTCGACGGCCACGCGGGCCGCCCCCGCGATAATCCCCGCCTGTCGAATACCGCCTCCAATACTCTTTCTCACCCATCGGCAATGCTCCAGCGTCTTCTTGGGACCGACGATAATACTCCCAATGGGTGCGCCCAGTCCCTTGGAGAAACACATCTGGGCCGTATCGAAACACGCTAGGTATTCGGTCAACGAACCCGCTCCGGCTGCCACGGCCTCCCAGATTCGAGCTCCGTCTAGGTGCATTTTGATGTCGTTGGCGCGGGCAAATTGGGAGATCCGACGAACTTCCTCTAGCGGGGTGATAGCGCCGGCTAGGGTAATCTCCAATGAGATGACACGGGTCGGGGAAACGTGGATGTTGTTGCTGATGACTGCGTCTCGTTGGACGTCTTCGAGGGTTAGATACTGTCCGTTGGCTGGGAAACATGGCTGCATGTGTGCCTGGGATAGAGAGGAGCAGCCGCCGGCTTCGGAGTTGAGGATGTGCGATCGCTGATGACACAGAATGGCGTGCGGGGGTTGGGTCAGGAGCGAGCGCAGCGCGATCTGGTTTCCCATGGTCCCTGACATAACTAGGAGACTGGCTTCCTTGCCTGTTAGGTCGGCCATGAATTTTTCGAATTCCGTTGTCGCCGGGTCTTCTTGGTATACGTCGTCCATGAGCGTTGTTTGCGCGATTGCTTGTAGCATGGATAATGTTGGGGTTGTGATGGTGTCGGTGCGGAAGTCGTAAACCGCTGGGCCGGGACCGCACCAGGAGTTGGAGACATTGATCTGCTGGGTTTCCGTAGACATGTTGGTGGTAGTCGTGGCGAGGTGGGATGGCGTGGCGTGGACGAGAGGGATACGATGAGGCTGGACGTGTTGGGGATGGCGAATAAATGGAAATGAAGTGGTTGTATGCTTGTGCTCAAACTCCACCCCGCAGTCCATGATATCTCGGAGTACTCCGTATTCTATTCCGTACTCTATTCCGTGCTACTCCGAAAACTTGTACTCCGTCCCCGCAGCCCGGCGTGGGCCCAAGATAAGAGCTCTATCCACTCCGAGCTTCCGCCGGAATGACGCTCATTCTATCTAGATGATTGAGCGTATTCTACCCTTATCTGTATCATCTGGTTGTTATGGTCCTAGACTAACGCCAACATGATTCCAAATTGAGAGCCGCTCAAGTGGTGTGTAACCATGCGCATGAGATCAGGAAACTACTGCCTCAAGGAGGGATCAGATAACCCTACCAAAGACGCTGTTTCACTGGTAATCGAGGCTGGGTGAAGCGGGTTTTCTGAACGCTATTCAATCCTATCAAGCCAGCTTTCAATCTGGATATCCTTTGATTCTCGTTGTCTTTCCACATCCGAGTCCTCGTCATCAGGCTCTACTTTCTCGTCGATGCTTCCCAAATCCAACCAGGAATGCTGGTATATGACTCTTTCGTTGTGAGGGTACCCTGTCGGCCTTAGCCATCCAAATATCCCACATGTGGCTCCTTCGGAAAGTAATTCTGAGAAGAAATCATAGTCATAATCGTCGAGTGTAGCCGGTTTACTCCTCGCGGATGGATATGATGCGTGCTTAGCAGGCTGGATATTCTTATGTATAGTATCACGAATTGAATGGCCGTTCGTCAAAATCCATTCCCAAGATTCGTATTCCAGGCAGTGGCCGATACATTGAGCATGTTCTCGGACTGGCAGGTCTGTATCGCTCAGTTGTGTAAATCCAAAGGGCTTCCAACCCCAGATTGGAGGCCGTTCATGGAATTCGCAAGCCGTGATATATAGCAGCCGGCATTCATCATCGCGGCTTATTACTTCACCCTGACTGCTTCCCATTTTAGAGGTCAAGAAAGTCTGTCTTGTTCCCGTCCAGGCAGAAGCTGCAAGGTCGAGAGCCGTCATTCCTGTTCTTATGTCACGCAAGACAGACTTGGCCACGTCTGTGAGAATCGCACCGAGCCAGAGAGCGCCGAGTCGCGGCTGTCTGGTTGCCAAAAACGTGGCCAATAAGCCTTTCGTTGGTGAAACCGAATCAATGATCGCAAAAGCCGGATTAAGCCAGGCACTGATAAGATTGCACTCAATATCTGGGTTGAAGAAAGTGCTGCACAGGAGAGAGCGCAGGCCCCACACATTGAAACTGAGAGTCATGTACTTAAGAAGCAGTCCGTAGTGCTCGCTGAGAAGATCCGAAATAGAAAATGTAGAGTCGCCAACACCCTTTTGGGAGGAAATTTGTCTAGGAAACGGGAGCGAAACTGATCTTCCCCTCAGAAAAGGAATGTAGAGTGCCCCGGCAAGTGCCGCTGAACACTGAGCATAAAGCCCATGATACATACAGAAGCGGGAGAGGTATTTGAGAGCCGTTTTCGATCTCGGGGGATCCGACATGTTGATGTTTAAATCCCCCTTGGTGGCCAGGCTCATCCCGGCATCCTCTGCCGACACTGACCATGGCGACAAGTAGACATGGTTGTTATGTTTAGTGGTCGCGCTCCAACCACCATCAGAACACAAAACTGAGCGCCACCAGAAAGTTTCTTCCTCACCGACATCATCGTCTAGCTCAACTTGAACCTTGGGTTGCTTGGCCGACTGAGGTGAGCCCGCCGTGCCCTGAGAAGTGTAGTGCATTTGGCATTCGTGATCAACAGAGCGTCCAAGCAACTCAACCCATCGAGAAGAAAAAATATATGCCCAAGCGAGGTACAGAACTGACAGATAGTTCCCGTTGTCGTAACCTGAGAGGCCTTGGACTCCAAGCCAGTCCGAAAAAGGAGAGTCATCCGATAGCCTCACACCTGAAGGACTGTCTATTCCCAGTTGAAGTTGATCAGGTATAGTTCGAGGCGGTAGCTCACAGATGCCTTTCGAAGTCTTCCACGTTGACTGGCCCTGGATAAGAAGACTGCCTTTCCCTTGACTCGATGGCCACCTCTTGCAAACGAATGCGATGGGGTCGTTGGATGGAACAAGGCCGTCACCAAGGAAAGCCGGGGTCTGACAGACGAGAGATTTCAAATCTATGATATGCCGAGGTAACAAGTGATCTCCGTTTCCATCATTCAGATATGAGAACCATATCGTGAAACTCTCCTGGAGAACCTGGCTGAACGTATCTTCCCCAGGGCGCGCGGCATCGCTCATTGTGGCAGCCGCAAGTAAATTGCAGATTGTGAATAGAAAAACCAGCCAAAGGTGGTGAAAACGAAGGAGACGATGGCAAGACCGAGGTCTCTCGGTCGGGGGAATCAAGGGATTGAGTCTGGGGTTGTCGAGCGCGGGCGGCCTGTTTGTCATAGGCTAAATTTAGTAGCTCGCCATAGGTAGAGCTAGTTCTTTTTTCCTGCCAGATGAGATCCATCACATCACATGCAGGTTGTCTGTCAATCTTGGGCAGACAACCTGCCTGTCATGTGGGGGGGAAACATACAACAGAAGGGATTTTCTGGTGTTCACTCACTCGGAGTAACTTATCCCGCGATGTCGTATCCACTAGATGATCATTATTGTACAAGACCTGGTGGAGCTTGACGTCGTACTGTTCCTCCTCAGGAAGGGTGGAGGCTAGGATAATCAAATATAGAGTGAGAAGCTTTTTAAGAATGAGCTTGGGAGGGTGTTTTGGAGAGCGCCGAGTGCCCACACGGCCCGTTACTAGTGTCCTGACTAGGCGGCTTATTCCGCAGGCCGTACATACCTATACCAATGAGGCGTACTTGTCCAAGATAATCTCCCTTCTCCATGCGGTCCACAAAATTCCTCTAAGCTATTTACTCGTCATACTTACACTATGGGTCTTGCTGAGAGCCAGATGATTCTGACGAAACTCGATACTGCTTGCATTGAAGCAGGGTCCCAGGGCAGTTGTGAGATCAACAACATACTTTTCTATGTCTCTAAGATCATACTTGACTATTGCCTAAATTGTTTAGGAGAATGTATACTAAAGAGTGATAAGATGTATTGACTTTGATTCTTTGAGAAGCTATGTATGTTATCAAGGTCCTTTTATATACTAGGACGCCTCTCATTATAGTGAATGACTTCTAGTAGGCGGGTGGAATCACAAGATCCTTGTTCAAGCCTTTCGCGTTACCTGCAAGTTGGTCCGCTATCTTAAGCAATGAAACCTAGTCTCTCAACCTGCGAGCCAAGGATCTTGTAGAAGCTCCTGAGCTGTCGCTCTTTCCTCGGGTAGCCAAGTAAGAGCCCTTCTTATAAACCGAAGGAAGCCTGACTTGTCACTGAGTCGAGATTCTAGACTTTCCATTGTACGGTCATCTGGGATGGGTGCAAGGTCCAGCCATTTGCCTATCACGAGAATCATTAGCAGGAAGCAATTGAAACAGGTTCATTACAGAAAGAAACCACTGCAGATACGATCAACATACCATCATTATTCCAAAAGTCGTTCGTCCTTGCTGGATTTCTTTTTAGAAGCTCAGGAGGGGGTGGCCCCAATGCGGCGATTATCTGAGCGAGGTGTGCGGCATCATAGAGATCATCATCCTCATCGCGTGCTGTGAAAAGTTTCTTTGGCTCAAGAAGGTCCCAAGCCTGCATTCCAGTCCAGTCAATACAATATCATGCCCAAGGGAGCTAAAAGCGTGGGCTTGAGACCTACTGTAAGACCAATGCTCCAAATATCGACGGGATAGCTCCAACTGATGTAAAGTAATGTCTCAGGAGCCCGATACTCAAGATGCATGATATCACCGCCATGTAACTGTGAGCCGATCCATGCCTCACCAAAGTCGGACAACAGCATTGGACCTACTCTAGGATGCATCAGGCGTGATAGATAAATAGTCCGAGTAGAAGAGACTGGCTTGCGGGGAACTGGTGACACAAGTTCTTTGTCTTCTAGAGCCTTCAGTGACTGGTCATCCCAGGTGCCTAGGAGCATATTGCCAGGATGGATATCTATTATATTAGCAAGTTCTCTTCTTAGCAGCTGTTTCAGAAAAAGGAACCGTACCAGTGTGGACAATCTTCCCTTGAGTATGAAGAAAGTCTACAGCCTGCAGAAGCTCAGTAATAGCCCCTTTTACGAACATCTCATCAAAGCCGTCTTTCCGAAAAACCAGCTTCATATCACGCAGGCTCATCTGCGCTGGGACGGAAACAAGAACTGCATGGGTTCCACCTTGACTGGAAACTCGGAAAGAATCTAGCAACCTCCGAATATTATGCCGTCCTCGGTGTGTGCTAGTGTGTAAATGCTGGTTTATATGATTGTAGACTGGGACTTCGCGGTGAAATAACGAGGTATGCACATAGATCTTCAAAGCGACATATTGATTGTTTCTACACTGGTCAGTTCAATACTAGTGTATCGGCGTTCCATAACATACGTAAGATCTCGGGACAGCCATGTTGTTGATCAAGAACCAAAACCAAGTTTTGTGACTACTTGATAGCGGTTCTCAAAGATTTCGCCAAGTCGCACAGGATAAAATCGGTCTGCTTCATAGTCAGGCAGCTCCTCCTCCTCAACCATTTGATTGGATTGAATGATGTCGAATCCACTGGTCGGGAATTTCCGTGCATTCTGCAAAGCTTCTGGTATTGATGTGCTTGGGATGCTGGACCTTGTCGAGAAGGACTGCATAGATGATGCGTTTGCTGTCCAGGGAGGCATCCTTGATCGGAGGTGTGATTGAGACGGTATTGAAACGTCTGCATGAACAAAGATCTTTCTATACAGCAAAAATCTCGATAGAGATCTCTTTGTAGAGAGCATTGTCGTAGGCATCATAAGAAAGCGGATGCTGCCTTCAATTATGTGTGCCTATTAGCAAGCAAGACGCGGTGGATGGAATGATGTGACCCATCACGCAGATCCACCTACGGAGTGCGGAGTAGACCAATCGCGGCCCATTCCAACATCAACCTCAGGTTTCTCTAAGTAGTCAATCATGGAGTACTTTCACCTTTCTTTTTCTTTTCTGATAGGATCAAATGCGGTACCTAGAAATAGATTAGCTACAACTTCTTAGTATATTGGCATCAGATGGTAGGTTCAATCCTGTTGGGACATTACTATTCATCTCCGTCTGTTCTCCAGATAGACGCAATATATTGTTGTGGTCTATCTACTATAATGACATGTGACAATTTATACCAACGCAATTTCCCTCAGCGAAAATCTTGATATCCAGGTCAATCTTTTTCGGCGTACTGATCACCGATATAAAATTACACAAGACTATCTATTTGGATCTATATGAAACGTAATCTTATTTACTGACCCCAACAACAGAGAGAACGCATAGTGGTAGCATGAGGACCTTATCAATCAGATGACAATCACATTTCTGGGGCAATTTCAGTCGAATCAGCCTGTTATCCATCGCTTCGATGATCGAAAGTAGATTCACTTGGGCATGACAACCTCTACCTCCGGCAATGACTCTTTCTTTTCCTGTCCGTATTCCGTCTCCAGCGTCGTCCGCAATTCCACCTCCTTTTCCAGCCATGCAATCAAGAACCCCAACCCAGCAAACACGACGGAAATCTGCCAGACTCGCTGCAACGCCACAGTGTACGCATCAATAATTATTGGTTGGACCGCGGCCGGAAACTGCATGACAAATTCCCGAGACGCTTCTTGATACGCATTGCCAGTGTTTTGCAGCAGCGATGTGAGTGTCGAATAATTTTGCGCGCGGAGCCGCGCGGCAAACTGATTGTTGAAGATGGCAGCCGGAATGGAGACGCCCCAGACGGCGCCGAACGCCCGGCAAAAGGCCCAGGTTGCGGTCAAGGCGGCGACGTCAGCCTCAGCCAACACAGCCTGGGCAGCCGGCAGGGTTGACGTGACGATGAAACCCGAGCCGATGGCTGCCAGCAGTTGGAAGCCCACCCAGGCCCCGGTGCTGGAGGTCCGGTCGAGGAGGCTGAAGAGGCCCATGCTGAGGGCTATCAGGGTAAATCCGCTGATCTGCACGGGCTTGTATCGACTGGTCTTGGTGACGAGGCCGCCGGCGACGATGGCGGCGGGGACGCAGGCGATCACGGTAGGCAACACTTGCACCCCGGACCGGGTGGACGTGCTCAGCTGGACCCCTTGGAAGTACACCGGTAGGAAGTACAGCTGCCAGTACATGAGCATCCCATGCAGAAAGCTGATGACGAACGCCGCCACCGAAATGCGGTTTGCGAAGAGGCGAGGGGGCATGGTCGGCTCCGGACAGAGCTGGGGCGTCACCTGCACCAGGGCGAAGGCGATCAGGCCGACGAATCCCACCACCAACGGCACGAGGACATGCCAGCTTGACCAGTTGTACGAGGTGCCGCCGAAGCTGAGCGCGATGAGAACCGCTACCACCGAGGCAACCAGCACGGTGTTGCCTAGCCAGTCGATGCGCTTCAATTTCTCCGCGAAGGTGGTGTGTTTCGGGTATTCGACCCGGAGAAAGAGGACCATGAACACGATCGTGAGCCCGGAGATTGGAAGGCCGATGTAAAACGACCACCGCCAAGTGACGTGCTAAGTGAAGGCACCTCCAATGAAGGGCCCAAGGGATGACCCCACGCTGAACACGATGAAGATTAGCGCGGTCACTTGGCCTCGTTCTCGCAAGGGAACGAGATCACAGACGACCACGTCGATGAGCATGTTGACGCCTCCGAGGCCCACGCCTTGAATTGTGCGCCCGGCAATCAGCATCGCGGTCGAACTGGCACCGCCGCTGATTCCACTACCTAGAGCAAAGAAAACAACGGCAGAGATCAAGGGCCAGCGCCGACCGAAGACGTCGGCCAATTGTCCATAGAGAGGCTGGACGGCGGTGCTGGCGGGTGATTCAGAAATCAGAGAAAGGGTAGGGGATTCTCAAACGGGGACAAATACCGACCTTGATAAAAAGAGCGCATTCACAAACCAGACATAGGACTCTCCTGCTTTCAAATCGCGCGAGATAATGGGCAGAGCGGTCGATGGAACAGTGCATTCGACTGCGGTGAGGAGGGAGGTTATTGACAGCCCGGCAATTATCAGCCAAAATCGTCAACCTCGTTCAGCCATGTCTCGCTGGTGAATAGACAAAACCTATGGTGCCACCTGATTTTGTAGAGCTTCACTTCTGGTTACCCTTTCTCCAAGGTGGAAGTGACAGATGTTTGGCGGTAGCAGGGCGAATTGGGGAACGGCGACAACTATTTATGCATCTGGTATCTCCTGCTATATGTCAGCACTAGGACTGAATCCCTGGTGTTGTGCCTAATAGCTCAGCCTGTCACAGCTCTAGCTTGTGGCTAGGCTTTTGATGTTACACAGAAGGTACCGGCTAGTCCCATCATTAAAACCAACAAACCAACAAATCGAACACCCGCCCACTAACTTAGGCAATCATCTCCTTCCAAGCCAAGCAAAGATCATCCATGTTCTTTGAGCTGCCGCCTCGCTTGGACTGGGTCTGATGACGGGGTTGGTGCTCCAGTCTCTCCACCTGAATCCGCTGCGAGCTGCCGAGTCCAGCCCGGGTTGTTGAGTGTTGGTTCTACGGCGGTTCGACGGCGACGGAACCCTCGTCATCCAGCTGCTCCGCCATTACAGCTACCGGAGCTGGTCTATCCGCTGTGATGACTATGGGTGCTGGGTCTTAGTAAGAGAACAAGAATCACATTCTGTTCATGTCATCCACCACAGCTAGGACTAAGTAATCGGCGAAGACAGTGAGAGATCCCAGTAACGTAGCTTTGTTCAGATACGAACATCCTCGGGGGCAGAGGTCTTCTTGCTATCCTGACCCATGGCCGTAAAAGCCTCCCAGCTGGCACGCTCAATGTCCACGATCTTGCCCTCGTCAACAAACACCTCCTCCCAACCTGCGGTCACCGTGGCTCGCTCCTGGTCCAAAATATGGTCTTCCCCTGCGACGAGGCTCTGGAATTCCGGATCTGTGACAATTGCCTGTAAGGTTTCGGGGTCAGGCACGTACATCGATATCGAAACGTCGTGGTCGTCAATATTCTATCCGGGACGGACAGCCCAGGGGATCTTCTCGGTGATGAGGTTCTTGGTAATTGGGGGAGTGTACATCTAGAGAGAAGGGAGTGAGAAACACGGTGCGTATCGCTAGACAATAGAGCGAGTAAAATCGCTTGAAACTTACGTGTGCGATTTTGTAGGCACCGTGTCTTTCCTGGATGCGGGCAGCCTTGGGTGCATGCTCTCGGGTTCCGTATTCATGAAAGTCCTTCCAAGAGATGCCATCCTTCTTGTAGCGAAAGGAGGTCAGCTTGAGGACCAACTGCTTCTGGGGAGCCATGTGGGAAGAAGTAGAATGTTGTAGTTGTGTATTCGAAGAAAGAAAGAGGCGTGAGAAACGCAAGAGTGTCGGAGGAATGGACTGGAATTTATGTGTCTTGTGTCCTATCCCTGCACACGTCTGCTCTTCTAAGCGACTGGCTGGTGGATGATATGATTGGGGACTACTAGACCTGTTAGTTGAATGATTTGCTGTCAGCTGTAAGCTTGTACGTAGTTTCCTTAACTACCACCCCCATTGCCCCGCCTCCATTTATCTGGTAACTTCCAGACTGGGTTGATACTTAGTAACTATTTGCGCAGCCAAAGTCCGTCCCAGGACGAATCGGTGGGGACTAACAGATCAAAGTGCGGAGCATTCGATTGGAATAGATGAGATCTCCCATGCTCTCCTCCAGGCGTCAGCGAAAATATTAGCGCCGATAAAATAGTATCTTCCTCAACTGGGCTCCCCATCACTCGGGAAGCCAGTTTTTTCGAGCTGGAGGATAATTTACTGGAGCTTGGACCAAGCCCAGTCTCTTAACTGTGCTCAACTGGAGCCATTCGGGAGATTTTCTGACGGGTACCACGGGGTATTACAGAAAACCATTGTGGGCTTAATGTTGCGGATATCGACCTGACACGCCCCGTGGGCTGTCAACAAGCATCTGTTTTTCCTTTGTCTCCCACGCCGCATTCCTTTCAACTGTATCTCCACAACTAGTGTGACCAGCCTTCCGCAGCGTGACACGTACCCCCCGGCACCAGTGGCGGAATTCCTCCCGCTGTCCTTCAACGATGGTATTTTCGATCCGTTGGTTTTGGAGCCATTCTCGTTCATCTGGAGATTGATGAAGGAGCGACACCTGCTGTACTAACCTCTTTGGAAATCCCACCGCTTCCATCGTAATAGGCAATTCCGGTCACGTGGCACTGCTTTCCCACCGCTACTCGGTACTCACTGTCAGCTACAATTTCTTATGGTCTGCAGTGGTAAGATTTAGATTTTTTTTATCTCTTCGAGGTGTGAGCATATCAGGCTAGCCTATCCTTTCTCCTTGTTCAAGATAAGCAGGCCATAGATGGATATCCCTGGCCTGGTTGGCCCTTGCCCATCCAAATAGCACAGATGTGGCCGATCGGGTAATTAGCAAGGAGTACCTAGTAAGCGACCGTTTGGCCGGCCAGCTAATTATCTTAATGTGGATGGGCCAAACTTTCTCCATGTTTGCCTTCCTGTGAATCTGCCCATGTCGATGGGGGTCAAAAAAATACTATTTCCCTACTAGTACTTGAGTGTCTTGGCTTATCGAGCACCATTATGGCCGACATACCTTGTACCTACCTACTGCATTGTATTGTTGCATGCATGCTGAGCCCCAATTTACCAGGGACGGCACTTGCATCAGGCCGGTTCAAGGCCACCATAGTGGACCGTGGACTACATAGAGAGATAGAGAGGCGTGCTCAAGTGATTTTCGCCCTACCGGCCGTCAGCAAGACATGATCGGGGTTACTACTTAAGCCCTATGGATGTGAGTCATAAATCCGATTCTGGCCCCTCGCTTTGGCCCTATTCATGGCAGCGCAGGTGCCATGCTGCTTGATGGGCCCTGACCGTATGCTGGTGCGTGCCCACCTTCCATGAGTGATGACCTACTGTAGGTAGTAGGTACATCTGCCGACCTGAGTGGTATAATCAGCAGATTAGTCGTTGAATTCACCAGCGAGATATAATCATAGAACTCGAGGATTCCAAGTATCAGGGATCTTCTTCAGCGTTATCCATGGGTACTCACATCGACTATACTCCAGATACATTACAGCAGGCTAATTTTCAATAACATCAAGAACATCCATCCCAACTAAATACTATATACAGTCACCCCTTTTACTCCCCGATCCCAATCCCTATGGCCTCATCCTTTTCCCCGGCTAGACACCATCGTAAACTCCTGTGTCGAATGTATCGTCGCAACAGAGCCATCAACAGTCTCACTACCCGGACAACTCACCACCGAAGTCAACGGGTATTGATCATCGAATTGAATCTTCTTCTTCTTCGCTGCTTCGAGATCCCGATCCCGATCCTGATCCCCTCCAGCGGAATTCCCAGCTGATCGAGCGACAGTTGATGATGAAGACCACCTCGAGGACGCTGAGAGAAGTTTACTGACATAGAATTTGTAACTTGATAGAAGAGGCGTTTGTAGAACGTGTCTGAAGAATTTGGGTAACGATGGCAGACAGCCTGCTATAATACCGCCTCCGATTTCGGGTAGTGTGCAGACGCCGAGGAGGTAGATTTGGTAGGATTGATTGTTTTTGGTTTTGAGGAGTCGTACGGCGTAGTAGATTTTCAGGGAGGAGCCGACGCAGGCGCTGATTGTAATACAATTGGTTAGGATGTTGCTTAGAGGTACGGATGGCTGGATTGGGGAACGTACATTAAGCCGAATAGAAACGCTACAGAAACGGCGCGCTTTTTGCGGGGCGACATCTGGAGTCTCCAGACTTTGAGATGAGGGAGGATTAAAATTGTCAGATCGGATATCATGTTGATGATTCCTGCGACGAACATCTGGAGTTCTGTGTTTAGGCATTTGCCATCTGTGTTTAGAACGTCCCAGTATTTGGAGATGGGGTTGCAGGCGAAGATGATCGTGAAGGTAAAGGCGGTATAGTAGAGGATATTAATGCAGATGAGAAAGTGGCAGGTCCAGAAGAAGTAGTCTCGTTTAAGGCTGAAGATTTCGAGGAATTGGCGGAGGATGGAGACCTTGATGAAGCAGATGATGATGGAGTACATGACGAGGCCGCTGTGGAACCACTGTTTTGTATATTGATTAGGGATATGCGATAGTGACTTGCGTAGTTGACCCATACATGTAACAATCCGATCAGGTTCTTGACTTGCAGATTCCATTGGTCTATACCTGGGGCAATGTCGGCGACTTTCCATGCGATTGGGAAGTAGCCGATAGATAGTGCCTAGCCATGGTTAGATAGGGCGCGGTAGTGGAGAGGTATCATGTAACTATACCCAAGCTACAATCATGGTGTCTTATGCGGAATGTTAGCAGCCGATCAGTCTATGTGGAGCCGGCATTACTTACAATCCGATACTCTGACGGATCTAATAATAAAAACCTTGGTGTAGATGCGGATAGCAAACGTGATCAAAGCCAGACTCCAGAAAACGAGAATTAGAGCCCGCCCGACGGCTTGCAGATTTGGAGGATCAACAAGATTGGGAATGACTCCCGGCGGGGGAGAGGCAGCTGGGCCATCAAGGAGAGCTTGACGCTGTTCAGACGAGAGTGTCAATGTCATATTGTTAGTGAGACAGAAAGAAAAGTTTGATTGTGTCCGGGGTAACCCTCCAACGAGTCCATCAAGAGATTTATACCTTAAGATGATGCTACTCACTTCATGCTTCACGCAGGCTTTCTTTTTCTACCCCTCTTCAAGGGCTTATAGCATGCGTTGAGCAGGGAACTGGGCTTACAACTCGCAGCCTGCCACCCTCAGCCACCAACATGCCTTGATTACGCGCCTGTGGAATGTGCCATTGCCGGGTTTAGCGAGATCCTATGCCCTCTCTCGTGACAATATGTAAGCGCTAGTCGCTCGGTTCGATTTCAAGGCAGGGGATATCATCAGTCAGTGTCTCGTCTATTGGTCAAGATTGAAATGGCCCTTCTTCATATTTGGGGGCCGTGAGCGACATGACTCGTTTCACGGCCTCCTTGTCAAGCCTACCGACACCTAGCATAGACGATGCATATCTTAGGTAATAAGATAAGTCGTCTGTGTTCATATACCGATGACTTGAAAATAGTACATTGAGATCTGTAGAAAGCTAGGATAGATCTCGACTGCCGGTCTGGCTCCATCGGTACGGGAATTGCCCGTGCGGGCGGGCCGGACGAACCCGCTCAGCACGGAGCTTCCACCTAAAGCTTGCTGATCCTTGGTTGTCCCTGTAAATCTGCAATATGTAATCAAGGGGTAAAGTTAGATTGCCGATATGCACGGTGTTGCTGTAACCTTTCCTCATACATCTTATGTGTAACATAAGAGAGGCAGTGCAAAGACGCAGTCAGCCTTGGCCCCCAATAGCTAACGTGAGACACACAAGATGTATGCGTGCAATTCCACGACTTGGTCGGAACTATCGCTTTCTAAATGGAGAAATAGCGGATAAAATTCTTGCCGTCCTGCTCCGCCGAGTTTCTTGAATTCTGACGCGCCATGGATGGTGGATGGAATCGCGATCGAAATGCGGGTGGTGTCACACTCGCTGGTGGATCACGTTAGTGCAGCAGGCATCCACGCTATGCCACTCTTTCATACTTGTACGACATTCCACAGCCAATCGAATCGCTGTGTGATCCCTGTTCCCTTCCATACTCTCAACAATCATAGTGATCATGTGATCTCTCCCCTTTTTCTGGATGATCGGCACAACATCACATTTAACACAACACTCCCGCTCAACAACGGCCATTACAACATCATACCATACCCCTCAACAACCCATCTAAGACCCCCTCGCACCAATGACCCAACCAAATTCCTCATTCGCCCTCATAACCGGCTGTAGCAGCGGAATCGGAAAAGCGCTCGCGGTAGCATTCGCCGCCCAAGGCATCACAGTCCTCGCAACCGCCCGCCGAGCCGAATCCCTCAAAGATCTCACCAGCTCGCACGACAACATCGAAGCCTTCGAACTAGATCTCAGCATTCCCGAAAGTATCCCCAAGTTGAAAGATGCGGTATCCGAGCGCACCGGTGGGCGATTAGATTTCCTCGTCAACAATGCAGGCACGCATTACGCATCCACCGCCATGGACCTTGAGGTTGAAGAAGTCGAGAAACTATTCCAAGTCAACCTTTTTGCAGTCATGCGTCTTTGTCAGATTTTTATCCCGCTGCTTCGCAATTCGCCCCGCGGACGGATTGTTCAGCTGGGAAGCGTCACGAGAAACGTCCCGATGGTTTGGCAGGCGCCGTATAATGCCTCCAAGGCGGCGCTTAGTCAGTATTCGAATACGCTGCGTTTGGTGGGTTTGTCCGTTTTCTTTTGTGTTGTTTTTGGGGTTGGTGATTGACTGGATTTGGTGTAGGAGGTTAAGCCGTTTGGGATAGAGGTTGTTGAGTTGGTTACTGGCTTTGTGCAGAGTAATATTCTACATCATGGGATGTATGCTCCCGAGGGATCGCTTTATCTTCCGCTTAAGAAGATTATTGAGCATATTAAGTACCAAGGTAATGCGAATGGTATGCCGGCTGATGAGTATGCGAGAGCTGTGGTTGCCAAGTTGGTGAAGCCACGGGTTGGTGCTGAGATATGGGAGGGCGTTCATGCGCGCGCTCTTCGATTGCTTGTTGCGATTTTACCATTGCGGATATTTGTAAGTTTGATTCTTGTGATGGATAAGACTGGGGCTTGGTTCTTGACTAATATTTTTGCAGAATTGGTTCTTTTACAGAAGGTTTAAGTTGGGTCTTTTGGAAGGTCGCCAGGGCGATAAAAACAAGACAGTTTGATGGCTTATGAAAGCGAAAAGCTGGGTCTAGATTCGGCGTGTATTTGATATGATTCTTACTTGGACCTGTGATAGATCGTGTTGGTGGTATTGACTGTGCGACTGCTGCACAGTTCTGTAATGTGTGTTCTTGGAGTTTGGGGTTACTGTCTGATAGAACAGGTACTCAATCAAGGGAAACTATCTCGTCAACTTTTAGAACAGTCCATTCCTGTTGTCATTTGTCGAATTATCCAGTTCCCCTGGCCTTGGCATTATTTCTCATTGGCCTCTAACAAGTAAGACATCTTTGGTGGCCAATTCATGAAGACTGCTGAGCAATTCCTCCTCTTCGATACTCAAGGTAGACACTGCCGATCCCCGAGGGGACGGGAAATACTCCACATCAATGCCACACCTGTTTACCAAACTAGTATTTAGTCTCGCCAAGCTAGGTCAGGACAGGACTGAGATCCTACGTTGCTCCAGGTTCTGGGAGTATTCCCTCACTATAATACCGCCTCAAATGGTTCACAGTACAGAGTGAAGGCATGCTGAGACTACAGTGGCCATACGAGATCTGCTCCACGAGGCGAGCGCCTTCAAAGCTATTCTGAACTTTCTTTGCCGATACTAACGGACACACCGGATCCCGAGTCGTCGATAGTATTAGTATTGGCTCGGCTGTCCTTGTCCGGGGAAATCCGGGATGGTACCGAGGGTGGAAGTTATGGGTTGTTGGAATTGACCACGAGGCCCGATAGTAAATATCAGATCCTTGATACTTTGATACCAAAGATGACATTTCGGGTCGGGAGATCGTATGATTGTGGATTGGCTTGATACCATGAACTGGGGCCTCTTGGCCAGTTTTCCGGTTATCGTTCAAACTAATGAAGGTAGTTGAGTCATCCAGAAGAAATTTTAGAACCCATGACTCGGAGTATGCGCTGTAAGCGGGGGTTGTGTTGCCATTTAGAAGCTCGGCTAGGTTCTTTGCAAGAACGGGCCAAGTCGTCGGCTTGTATAGGGCGAATAATATCCCGTTGGTCACTAAACTTCGTCGCGTAATGGCTCCGTAATTAGTGCTGTTCAAATAAACAGGAATTGGCTCTTCTTCTAGCTCGCGTAAGAAGCCATCGATATAGGACCGTAGTTGACCAGCCGACTCGAAATGCTCTCCCTTGATTAAGTTCAACGGGCAAGCTTCTTTGGCTTCGAAACATTCTTCGATAAAGCCGGTAAAGATTCTGTCCGTGTCGATTAACGACTTTCCATACAACAAGGAATTGTACCATTCAGCCAGATTACTAACGCCATCAAGGACCATTCGGGAGACCCGGTCAGGAAACATTTGCGCATATGTTTGACCGAGTGTTGTTCCATCTATGCCTGTCAGTCAATTACCAAGCATAAGAACGGAGAGAATAAACAGACAACTAAGTCCCCAGTAGTACATCTTCTGCTGCCCGATAGCATCAAGAATAGAGTTCATATCAGAAGCTTTCTTGGCTAGCATTCTGATGATGGGTATCGAGAAAGCCTTTTCGGATGATTGGCTGAAGTGATCCACGGGAACATCCAGTCGGGAACCTTTAGCCACGTCAACCCGGTTCAGAATAGGCCAAAGCATTTGGATGAGTATGGTTACATTGGATAGTGTGGTTGTTGGCCTCGCCGCAGTCATTCCATTGCAATCCTGAGTCTGCATAAGAGGCCAGAGGTATATGAAATTCCTCCGCCAGACATGGAGCCACAAGAGCACAGCTCATACATAATGTCAACAATATACACAAGACAAGGCTATTCCAGCCTCCGGCACGAATCACCATGCCGTAGGGAAACCACAGTATGAGAATAAAGATACAAAGAATCGCAAGTGAGTACGTACCGCAGCAAGTGCTTGCCTTCTTTGTCTCCTCTCGGACCTCGCTATCCCCGGTCCGACTATTATTCCGCATCAGTATGTCAGATGAATGATAATAGACCGATTTAACTTGGCGAAATTCCGCCTATTTTCTAGGGCCTGTTTGCTCACTCTGTTCACCCATAAAGCAGCAATCCGCGAAAGTCTCATCTTTTAGTCGGCCGCACTCGATGGTGGCTGAGCGGACGGGAAGCCCTGTTTACCATACTCTGTGATTGTATTTACTATTTTCTCGTTGCTTTGTATTACAGAGAACTTTCAAGGTTCCGCATTTTCGCTGATCCCAAAGAGCATAAATATCTAGTTACAATGATCATAAATATGTTACTGATCTAGAATCCGGAAGGGTTTTTGGATTGACTTCTTCACTGCGAGACGACTATAAAAAGGATTCTGGGTAGCAGGGTTTTGGAGAGGTGGTCTCGGAGTTCTATTATAATACAGAGATATATATAGCAAGGTAGTGGAGACGAAAGGCACAGGAGTGATGAATCTGTTTCTTAAAGGTAATGCCTCATATGGCTTCTTCGTATTGATCTCTGTATGCTACTTGGGAATAGCTTTACCTAATATACCATGTTCTCAAGTGATTCTTTGAAATCGTTGTGTCACAGCACTTCTTAATTCCAAGCAGTCTGATTCCAGACAATAATTTCCAGGTCAAATTTCATTCGTTGGTAGCCACAAAGAGAATAAGCAACCTGACTGAACGCGATTTAACGTGCTTGAGCAGAATGAGGATAGATTGCGACAGGAACAGGGAAGACTCATATCCGAGATGTTTGCGGCGATCCGTAGAAAAAGCCCCATCAACACGTCCAACCCCTTCACCGGAAATCGAGGAAGGTGTCCTAACGTCTTGCCAATCGACTATGATCTCGTGGATATGTTCATCAAGTTGGTCGCAGCGAAGAAAATTAGCGGCTTTGCGAAACAGTATAAAGTAGGCATCGTTAATTAGCATTAGCTCTCGGGATGCAGTGTAGAAGTAAAAAGCCCATCATAGCAGAAAGAGGTGGGAATACGCTCTACTTTTTGTTTCCCCGATTATCGTCTCCAACTGGGTGGTGCCAAGGCCATATGACGCCCTTTTCCATTAAACGATGGGCTCTGGGAGCACCGAATCCTGCTCTTGGCCTCCACTGCAGCTCTCTCACTCCACTCCTGGGTCAGTCCCTTATTATAGACATCCCACAACCTCGGTAGGTATCGGACATCCTGAGCACAGTACCTTTGGATGTCTTTATTTAGAGGTCGGATGTTAAAAACCTCATAACTTCCTCCTATCTCCGGGGCAAACAACCTTCGTCCCCGTTCCTTTACCTCTTGGCATGTCCGTCGTTCCGCAAAAGACATGCGGATATCCTTTTCGAGACATCGTTTCAGTCCGTTGACGATGGGCCTCCTATGATCATGGGCTGCGAGCTCCATCAGTTGAAGATCTTGGACCCCGGCAAGCGTTACCCCGAAGTGGTGGTAGAGTGCATCAGCATCATTCCTCACGTCGAAAAAGACCTTGGGGATAGTAGATGATTCCAAGATATCCCGCATCGTGTTGCCGTTGGTCCCCTTTTGAGAAAAGGCTACCTCTTGGAGTGTGTAGATATCGATGAGGTACGTCTCGTTTAAATACCTCACATATATCTGAAGAATTGAGATACTTCCATGCCTCGAGAGATTAACCCCTTCGAGGTCAATGTAGAGCGAGGGGGGTGACACTGGTAGATTTACCAGTCTATCCACTAGTTCGGCGACTTCATAGCTCGTTGCAATGATATGATGAGATGAGTTCGTCTCCCTCTGTATACTCAGTGCAGCCGGCATATCTTCGGAGACTGAGATGTAGTCCAGCTTGTTTTTTCGGGAGGACACTGGAAAGACTCGTTCGAGAGGCTGTGACGTTCAGGGTAGCTCAGTCAATTGATAAAGTTGATAAAGATATTTTCTGAGTCTCAATGCCTGATTCGTCAAGATTAGCGAGGAACAATGTAGTATCACAATCTGTGTCGTGGGCAAATAGGCCTAGGGCACTGGAAAAATGCATTTTGGATAGAGGGGCACAAAGGAGCCCAGTTTATATATAACACGCAGCCTCGATGACATGGAACTAGAAAAGCTTGAGAATTTATTAGGTATCTAATGCCTTATCCATGGAAACTTACTGCATATTTTCCCAACAAAATATGGTGCAGGCCTGCTGCTGTCGCTGACAAGTTGACGTATATTCGGAACTATCCACCGCAGTCTGTACTTGCAGTAGGCACAATTATTAGCGATGATGAGGGCAGAGAGCACATTTATATAAGTTTAGGACATAAAATGAGGAAAGCCTGAGAAAGATTGAGAAGAATCTTTCTGCCTGACTTAAACAACAGAGTTGGCAGTCACTACCTCATCATGCAGTGAAATCGCAATATTCACTGATCAGAGAACCTGTATTCACATGACGACTGTGAAGCAAGTTCTTGTTTACCTGGGGCTAGTCACAAATCTGGACCTGGTCAAGTAGTATTTAAGGTTGGGGGTGTCTCTCGTATTCAGGGGAGTGCATAAAGAGCTCAGGAAGGAGCCATGCCACTTGTGGAAGATTCACCTGTTTCGTAGGAACGCTTCTACCAAAGTAAGCCAGTCGCCTTAGTCATTTTTACCTATTTGCTTCTTCATTCACCCCAGCCATTCCAATCCGATCAAATTCCGCCAAAAAGCCATTACTATCCCAAGGATCTATCCATTCTAGACTCTCACTCCCGTCTACCACCTTATAGACACCTTCAGCAATATGTACCCAACTAATCTGACTAAACAACCCCAACCCCCACAGCAGTATAACCAACCAACACAATATCCCTCCAAAAACAAGTAGTATACCCCGAAATACATCCCCATCCCCCCCCCAACAAACCCCCTACCGACAATCAAACGCCACATTACAACACTCCCAATCCCTCAACCCCTGACAATCCCTACAGACCAAATTCCTGCCCAAATCCGTCTTCCGTCCCGCATACCAGAAATACCCCTCCGGTTTATTGCCTCCACCCGTGAAATCCACCTCCACGGTCCAGGGCAGCAGCGACTGCACCGACAAATGGCCCTTATCGAAATTGAAAGGGGTGGTTCCGAGACCCCGGCAGGAGCGATCGTAGACGTACATTTCACGGATCTTGACGCTGCCGGAGGGTGCGTAGGTGGCGATGCCCAGATTGCAGTAGTTGGCGCCGGTGGGGGAACACACCACGGGGAGGGGCGAGTGAGGGGGGATAGGGATCGGGATGGGGATGTTTTGGAGGGTGGGGGAGGTGATGTCGTGGGCGGTGTTGAGGGCCGCGGTGATGGGATCGGTGGGGTGGGCGGTTGTGAGGGGGAGGATGGTGAGGAGGGGAGAATGAGAGGGAGGAGGAGGTTCATTTTGGTTGAGTGATTGTTGAATATTGTTTGTTAGGGTTGGGAGAGTGATTGTGGTGATGGAATGGAAGTAGATGGTCTATCCTACATATATAGCTACGGCTCATGGGACATGTACTGTTGTCTGTATGCTTTGTATCTGCCTAAGTGACAGGATCATGGCCATCACGAGAATTATGACGTGAGGCTGGGCGATATTCCATTCTGTCCGGGGGATTGCAAACCTGCCTACCGAAGCTGACGGGTGAGTGTGAATGTACCCCACACAGGGGCATCGAGAGGGCTGACACACGGTCCCGCATGACACATGCCTCCGTACTATGAGGTAAGGTGCAGATACATCGTGGAGGACTCCGATCCGATTTTGCTCATGGCGAGGTTTCGAAGACGATCATGCGGAGGCTGGTCCGGGATGAGATCTCGGTAGATATATACTCGCTTCAAAGCGATCGTATTTGTGCCCAACCTGTGCTACGGACCGGTGTGGTTTATAGTGCTGATTTGAAGTGATTGGGCAGTTGTTGCTTTTGCTAGGCTTCGGGATTGGTGGCCTGCATGATGAGTCGGAGTGCTGATACTTGGGGAGGGGTGAAAGTAAAGGGGGTGACAGTCGGGGTGGACTGAGTCAGGGGCATGAAAACCATAGTAAGACAAGTTCAATTCAATTCAATCTGGGTTACGCATCAATCACCAGGCATGAATCAAGATAGAGAAACACTCAATAGCGCGTGGCTCATATCACCACTGGTCTTCTCAACAACATCCACTTTGACATCCGACCCCTGCGTGCTCACCGTCCCCGTCCACACAGCAGAGAAGCGAGCTGCCGGTTTTAAGACAAGTTGTTGCAGCATGCTTCGTGTCTCCTGTCTGGACCCCCCGACCTGTAGTTCGTATCGGTAGTAGGTTCGGCTATCGGCCTGCAGGGTGGTCCGGAACGGCAAGCTTCCAGCGGCAACATCTTGAGGCGAGACATAGACATGATCCGGTTGGCTGCTGTTGGGGTCATCTTCGTCCACCAGGACAAAGTTCTTCGTGTCACTAAACACACAACTGTCATCATCCCCAGTATATAGCGAAACCGAGACTCCAGCCAGAGAGACTGCTTTATCAGTGTTGTTGGTGCCAATGACTGTAAGCTGGGTAGTTCGTCCCGGGGTTAGGCGAGAAGGTGTAAGCGAATAATTGAGCAGAGGATCAGCTGCTTCAGTAAATCCAGCAAGTAGTGGTTTGCCTGTATTGTCAATATACTTCTCGACGGGATCTGGCGGGGCACCGCCGCCAAATAGATGGACAAGGAAGCTGATGACTGTGAGGAGAACTCCAAGTATGATCAATACCCATCCGGCTACAGGAATGGCTGCCGCGAGTGTTGCACTCACAGCCCAGAGGCCGGTGCTGATACCGACGTCTGCTATGTCCAGGGCCACTGTCAGAAACTGAACCACCACTGACAACACGCCCATGACCTTGTCAAATGTACTGAGATTGTCCCAGTCATGAACGAGGTTAAATGTCATGGCAACAGCGATGCCCAGTCCCAGGGCCGCGGAGAGGATCTTCAGAACGTTACCCTGAATCCGGAACTCGGATGCGCTTTCTTCTTCCGCGGGAGATAATCCGTCCGGCAGCTCGTCAGGGGGGTTGTTGAAATCATCACCTGGCGTGACCTCCGTGGGGACACCGTCTCCAGCAACATGTTCGCCTATAGACGGACCAAGCCCATCCTCGCCGCTCACCTCCTCTCCCATAGCGGCCAGGTCTGGCGCACGCTCGTCGATTGCCCGATACGTTCCTTGGTCCAACTCCATAGTGTCCACTTGGTCAACGACGTACATGCCGGTTCTCCCTTTCCAGATCTTCCAAGTCTCGAAAGTGTTGTCGAGCCCCTTAGTCGCATCCTGCAGCAACTCTAGAACTGACTTCGATCGCTCGCCATCCGTCATATCATTCCAGTCATTGACCAGGCCTACCATGACTTTGGCAACCTGGAACATTCTAAAACCAACCTACAAGGATTGAGTATCAAACCAGTAATAAGAGGGTCGCAGGGATAGAATAAACTCACCATGCCTGTTGAGACTATGCCTTTTAGGTACTTGCTCGTGTTATACTTGTTTTGGATCTGGTTGAATGCCTGATTGACCCATTGATAGAGCGAGGCGCCATCGTACGCTTCGTCTAGGCTGGCTTGCGCTGCCCCCGTAGCCCATTTACTCGCCTCATCCAGCATATTACTTTCTCGACCAACAATATTTGCTGCGCGCTTCTCCGCAGATTGGCTGTGGTCCAGGTTATTATCCGTCTCGTATTGTTCCACGTCGTTCAATAGCTCCATCTGGACATCTCCGGGAATCGTCCCGTCGGGAGATATTGCTTTGATGATTAATGTAGATATTGCGCTTTCGAGGAACTGACGGGCTTCTTCCTGATCTGCCTTCATTGTGGGACTCTCCAGTCCGCGTTTCATCGTATAAGCCATGATCTTCTGCCACCAGGTATCCGGGAGATTGTTACTTGGATCCAGAACGTGCATTATCATGGCCTGTTGGTTGATGATATTTGTTCGCTATCACGAAATGGTCAGTGTTGGTAGAATTTATGGGACGTTTGGAAGGACTTAACTAACCACTCCAGTTGCAGGTTGAATCGGATTCTGGACGAAAAAGTCCAACACTATCGGTACCTGTAAAACGTTCAACATTCTCTGCGCCCAGTCTTGAGAGTTCTGTTGCAGGTAAGGAGTGATCCAAGTTTTATAGGATGTCTTGACTCCTTCCATTGAGGCAAGTTTGTTGATCTCATTGTACTCCGTTGCCTGAGCGAGACAGTTCTTCCCATTTCCATGCCACCAGTACCAGAGTTTCTTTTTCTCCTTGTCTGTGAACTTGCTTGCGTATTTATCGGAGGCAACAAATGATTGACACAGCCAGGCAGGGGCATACTTGGTGCGTAGAAAAGTTTTGATGTCCTCACTAAGGCCATCAGCAAGTTCGACGGGGAGGTCACCTGGTTTGCCCAATTGAGTGAAAGTCTCCCGATCATCCTGGTTCATATGATAGAGCATCATGTTTTGAATCACTGCTTGAGTAGCATTATGAACCTAAAGCACGATATAAGTTACTTGAAGGCAAAATAGTGGGCGATCATAATATCACACTGACCGTCTGATCATTGTATTCGTGGTGATCAATCAGGCTGGGTACATCAAGGCTCTGGTACTGATCAAGATGCGCTGTTGCCTCTGCCGGCTGTCGGTCGTTGGCCGTCAAGCTCCATAGAGACTGTTCCGGGGACTCTACAAAAGCTCGAGAGATTTTAGCCCTCACTCTCTGGAAGAATTCGACCTCTGAGTGCGCTTTTGTGACGGAAACGTAATGACTATCGAGCGTTACTGGCTTAAATATCATGCGCCGTTGCTAGAGGCTCTTACCGATTCCCTTTCATCCCACGCATGGAGGGATTGTATTCGAGAAGCACCGCTTTATTTTTGCTCGGGAATAAGGCATTGATTTCAACCTTCAGCTCCTGAAACAGACACGGAAGCGTCAAGTCGACATTCAGTTCTGATTTGAAGGTTACATTGAAATTGTTGTCCTTGTTCCAGTTCTCTGCCAGGAAAGGCATCCACGATGCTCGATGCATTTGAACCGTATAGAGTACATTGCCATTTTTGAGGTATGTCTGAGTGGCACGGTATAGTGGCTCAAGGCTTCTATTGTAGTTTTTGCTTATCTTCTGCTGAAGATCATCCAAGAGAGGGATGCGGGCTGTCTGGATGCTGTAACCCTCCTCGGTAGTAACGGAGCCGAAGATTATGTTTCCCCCGTCAACCGGGCTTTTCACGCCATTCCAGTCCGGGACATCGGCTGGCCAAACCTCTTTATCGAACTGTAACTGAAACGTATGATCGGCAGTGAACGGCATGGGGCCTTCGCCTGTTTGTTGTGCGCTCTCCTGAGTGGGGCAGATTGCAAGTGCACGGAAAGGATGGACGTCCGCCGTTGCATGGACGTCTCTTGGATCAGCATCAACCGTGAGGTAGACAACTCCAGAGCCAGATGCTCCATTAGGGTAAACACGCAAGTATGCATGTTCATATATATGCTGATGTGGGATCTTTCGAGTCCACCGGAACGTCCTGGCATTCTCATCACATGCTGTATGCATTATCACTTGACCGTCCACGACAATCCTCCCATCCACGACAACCAGGTCCGGCAGTTGATATCCGAATGGTAGAAGTTTTTCATGGCATGCAGTTAATTGAAACCGGCCTTCAATCATATTCAGGGAGCCTCTAGGTGTCCAGGAGAGGGGCTGTTTATCCAGTGATAGACGCCAAGGAGCGTGTTGGAGGTCATATATTTCGCGGTCCAGCCTGGTTTTGATGGTTTGAATGTCATGCTGTCGAAAAATCGGTGAAAGCTCCTTACAACTGGCGAGGAATGCCTGACGTTCGTCTGGGGGCAGATGCTGTAATTGATCTGCGATTGATCTCGCCGAGTATACTGGATCGTTACAGGCAACCAAATACCCATTGGCATGATGATATTGCACATCTCCTCTAAGCGATACTCTGTAAAGGGGTTGAGTAGCGTGAGGCATGATGTCAATCGAGGTGAGTTCCACCACTTGATACAAACCCTCATGGAGCCTGTATATGCAATGGCCAACTGCCAGTCGTCCAACGCGCTGGAAGGGATTCAATGCGTGGGCTGCTCGAGGGTCAACAGCACGTAAACCAGTTGTGGTTTCAAACACCTGCGATACTGTGGTGAACGCAGGCTCCCCATCTAGAGATGTCAGTGCGAAACAAACGCCGAACCCATGGTGGCAGCCAGCACTCACTGAATCCTACTGATGTCACTTCCTGCGACACTTGATACAATTGCTCAACTGCCTCATATCTCTCGGGATTGGCCGAGCAAAGAATCATATCGCCTTTGCGTATTTTCTCTATGGGAGTGGCTCCTGATTTAGCCACATGCACTCGGGTCTGCGGCATAAACTGTGATCCGCATGGCTGGGCGTCCCATGGGTCACATTTCCATAGGTGCAAGTCGGGTTTTGTATGGAAATTATCATCCATGACACGTGCTTGCCATTGTGAGATAATGTATCTGAGAAAGGAAAGGGCACTTACAGTTGGTTATCCAGTCATTAACCTCCGTCCACTTTTCCTGCGAAAATGACCGGTCTACAGCATGATTCCATTTGTCAAAGTGCAGGGCTTGGTAGTTGTCCGAAATTGTCTCAATCCAAGATTTGAATTGATTTATGACGTTCTCCTGGTCACTCAGTCGGACAAGGCTGTCAAGGATTGCACTGGAATAATCCTGGTCTGATGGTTCTTCGTCTCCGCGTGTGGAGCCGACATCATAGTGGTAGAATCCTTTCATCACTTCAGACGTCTCTGTGGGCTGTATGATCCCAATGGAGGTTTCGGGTACAAAGGATATTGTGCTCAACTTGCCGCAGTAGATAACATGATCGTCTGTCATCTGTGGATTGTTGGCCGTGTGATTCTTGTAGTTGACGCGCGACCAGCGTTGCAGAATCTGATAGCTTGGGCGTAAGGTATAGTGTTCCCCATAGCCGGGCATGGAACCCGGTTGGTATTTTAGATAATCCGCAACGAACATCAGGTAGGTTGGTAAGCGCCAGTCATGATCCTGTTCGGCTTTCCATATCAGGCCCTCAATGGTATCATCATCTTTCAACCAGTCGTATAACCACTTTTCGAAGTCTTCCATACCTCGAAGATCTTTGAGCGTTCGATGTTTCTTACTCGCAAGGTACGAGTTGATCCATTCCCCAAGGCAAAAAGCGAGTAGCATAGACATGGCTTCTAGACATCGTGCATCTACATTATCCTTGTGGCATTTATCAGCTTCTTAAACTCGGGAGTTCATATGAAAGTCCGATACTCACTGGGGCGAGACACTTCTTGTAGCCATGCTTATCCTTGCGGTCATCAACATTGAGGACGCCGTGTGCAAAGCCACAATTACTCAAAAGAGACAAGAAATAATCGGCGTTACCCAGTCCATCAAGGGACTGGCTATGCCAATCATTCTCGTCGCTATCTGGAGGGTAGTTAGGAGCCGAGTCGATGTCCCCACGAAGCTTCTCCACCATATGACTGTATTGAGCTTTATTGTGCAATCTGTTGCAGAAGTTTGGAAAGTCCGGCTCGCCAATTGCTTGTAGATCCTTGACTAGGGTCTCACAAATACCTGAATAGTCGATCGACAGCATCGTGGTTAGTCGGTGTTTATCGGGTTCGATCGGTCATGGTATGCTTGACAGGGGTTGAGGCTGTCCTCGCCATATGAGCCTGTCTTCTAGGTTTGAAATCTCAACATAATGACTTCATCTTGCTGGATAGTCTCTGCTAGGATGTAGGATGGGGACCAAAAAGAGGGGGGCGGGCATGTGAGAAGGATGGATCCTCCCCAACCGGAAGGGGTTCCTGCCTGAGGGGCTGACCGGGTGGCGGCCCTTCACGTCTCCCGACCCTATCATCCAGGAGGGGCCACAGCCACTGCTATCACACCCATTGGGATCTAGAATCATCTATTTTTGTTCATCTTTCACATCAGTCCCGATTGGTCCCAACGGCCGATGTTGTCAGTATACGATCACATCGGAGCAACTAATAGGTGAGCATGTGAGACTGCTCAGAGTATGCAGAAATCTTGCTGGCTCATGATACAAGTCCAATTGCAGTCATCCATATGATCTATCCTGAACCACACTGGCCCATCTATTCCGTCCCTAGTTTTTGGTCCACCATAAATCATGCAGCTCAAAGCCGGTAGATTCGGTCTGGTCAAGCTCCTGTCACCTCTGCTATTTTCTCAGCAGGCAATATCCCAGGTAATCAGCCCGATTGATACCCTGATATAACGCTTGCTGAAAGCCTCGCGGTAAACAGGTTTCGCTCACCTACGACACTAGCTGCACATTTGGTTGCCAGGATGTCCCTTACGAAGGAGACTGCGTGACAGCTAATTGTGGAGACAAGTGAGTCGCAGCCCGCCTGGGGGATAAGAGAGAAGGAGACAAAATAACAACGGATCCATATAGCGTGATAGGAGGGGCTAGTATCGGAGATGCCAGTTGCGACTTCTATTAGTCAGTTACCAGGACTCCATCCCTCAACAGAACACTAATCTTTTTACTTCTATGGTAGTGGTTGGTGGTGCTCTGAGGGGACCTTCGATGTTTCAATCGGTCCCGAGACTTGTTATAATATACCAAGCTTTGGCGGACCGTATCCGATCGCCGAATTCTCGGTGAAGTGCTATCCAGCTGAATATTCAGGCCCACGCCGGCCCAATGAGCTACGGAAGCAGTAGGAAGGAGGGATGCCCGGCATTTCTGTTTGATTTTCAGGTAATCTTTTGCACAGGGTATAGGAGGTTTTGGTCTATCGATTACGTTAGCTAGTTGATCCTAAAGACGAGTCGAATGAAGTCTAATCTAATGGGATTGTCCAGTAGCAGTGGCTCATACAAGTAAAGCACCAGAATCCGAGCTCACAATCCGTCCAGTAATGTTGGCATCCTTCATCACATACAGATAAGCCTCGGCGACATCTTCTGGCCTGGCAACCCGTCCCGTTGGCTGCTTTGCAGCGTAATATTGATACATCCCCCCTTTCTGCTCCTCATCCATCACCTCATTCCACATTGACGTAGCTACGAGCCCAGGACTTATGGCATTGACCCTGATTGGCTTCAGATCTAGTGCCAAGTTACGTGCGACACTGCAGATACCACCCAAATATCCGGCCATAGCCGTCCAATTAGGCGATGGATGTTCCCAAATAGTTCCGGTTGTCAGAGTCATTGAAGAATACGGATCAGGAGAGAGATACCGAGCGCCTATTTTCGCAACAAGTATTGCGGCGATAAAGCGCACCTGGCCTGCAGCGATGAGCTTATCCCGGGTGATGTCTTGAACGGGCATGATAGCCAATTTGTCTGCCGCCGTGAAGACGATGTGGTCGACCTGTTTGGTTTTCTGGAATAGAGTCTCTATATCTGCTTCGACAGTGTCTTTGGAAAGATCGCAGGCGTGGCCTTGGAGTTGGGCGTTGGGAAACTCGGACATAAGATTCTGGATGGTGCTTTCGATGCGTTCGTTTGAGGATGAAGAGATGGTGACTCTGGCTGATGCGGCCAGTGAGAGCTTGGCCACAGCGAGGCCAATACCGGAGGTGGCACCGATGACTAGGACATGCTTGCCAGCGAGTCTGTTAAAATTGTAGCCGCCTGTAGACATGTGGTCCCTAGCTTTATGTGTAGCCTGACGAGAGATATGGGGGTAACAATGGACGTAATTGCGAGGGGAACCCAAGGCGACTCTAAAGAAACTCATATATCGCTCGGATCTGAATTGACCTTATATCTCAAACACGATATCTTCAATCGGGTGATGTACTAGAGAACATGGCCATTAAGTCCGGTTAAGTCCGCATGTGGTGGTCTCCGTGTTCTTATCCCCTCTCATCTTGAATCTCAGGGCCCGGACTCCGATCCTTTATCCCCTCGGCTCTTTATCGAGGATGACTGTAGCAGGCTTGACTGTATCGAGACTGGGAGACAACCAACCAAGGGTCACCATATTGGAGAGATGCGATCTGATTCAAAGTGGTGATCCTCTTCCAAGTTTAGTAGATTCCCTGGCTTTGGTTTTCTCGAAACTTGATCCCACTCAGGTGTCCTTTTGTGTTTGTCTCCCTCATCTATCATCGAGCAAGGTGGCCACTGGTAAATGAGCAGTTTGCATTTCTGAGTCACAGCTCTTCTTTGAATCATTTGTGGTGTTTGCAGCAGTCCAAAGGATCCCGAGGCATGCAAACATAATGTTTGTTAGGTTTGTATCTTTGCTTCCGCTCAGTCAAACAGCCTAAACAAAACACATGCTACCCAAAAGTAACAAACAAGGCAAACTTTCCGGCTCAATGGTTGCTACCAAACCAAACAAACAAACCAAACAGTGCTGATCTTCCAATGTAGATGTGTGATCAGACATAACATAAATAAGGCCATTTCCCATGCCAAAAAATCAATACTACATCATCTTCATCATCCCTCACAATCATACCATCTATTCAATCGCATTTCAAACCTTCGACAACATGCATTCGCCCTTGGCTGAGAGCAGACTGGCCGGCTTTGACCTGGTCCAAGCCAACTACAAGACCATCGGCGATCACGGGATCCGGGCCGATTTCCTCATCCCCCAATCAAACTACACCGGCAAGCGGCCAATCATCATCCGGTTCCATGGCGGTGGTTTCGTAAGTATAGCCGGACTAAATCGCGTGAACTATCCAGGTTCAATTCTAACATACAACCAGATAACCGGAGATTCCCTCTTCATGGAATGGTTCCCCCAGTATCTCTTTGACATCGCGAAAGAGCACAATGCGGTCATCGTGTCTCCAAACTACCGTCTCATGCCCGAAGCCACGAGCCTCGAATTCTTCGACGACATTGAGGACTTCTGGGTCTGGCTCCATTCATCCACCGTTGCGGAGCTTCTGTCGTCCGGGCCAACTCCAACTGAGCTCGACCTTAGTCGCATCATCACCGCGGGTGAGTCCGCCGGAGGTACTCTGAGCATCTGCCTCGCACTGGCTCATCCAGAGGAAATCCGAGCTGGAACAGCAAGCTATCCCGGCTTGATCAGGACGGCTCCTGAGATCTCCCCCGAGCAGACAGAAGCACCCCGTTTGAGCGGACTGTCTCCGGATGAGGCAAACCGCCTTGTCAATGAGGCCATAAAACGCGCAAATCAGGGAGAAATCCGATCATCTGCCATGGTGCCTTACCGGCTGGATTTGATGCTTGCTGCCATTGAGACGGGGCGTAATTTCGAACTATATGAGCGCGGAACGGAGAAAGACCCTCGACGGACATTGCGGCATCCTATCGAACGGCTAGATGAGCCTGACTTGAAGTTTCCCCGTGGTGGACTCTCCATCCGGCATGGACTGGAAGACAACATTGTGCCGCCAGAAATCAGTCAGATCTTTGTGGACAAGGCGCGTGCAGTCATGAAGGGAAAGCCGGGGGGTGACAAGATTGTTCTGACGCTGCAGCCGGGTGGGCATGGCTTTGAGAACGATACTCGGGGTGATGAGGAATGGCTGCAGGAGAACCTGCAGTCAGCTATCGAGGCATGGTTGGAGTAGATGCACATGGAAGATGGAATTAGCATATAGTAATAGTCTTGCTTGAATAGCCCTAATGAACAAATGATATCCTTACATTATCTCATTCGTTCGCGGAATATTCTTTAAGACTTGTCCGCCCGAGCCAGCTCTTACTCCTGTCAGCTTCCAAAAAGCCTCTGTACAGCATGGTCGTCATCTGCGCGTTCTTCTTATTTTGCATGATCCCAGCCATGTTATCACGCACGCCACTCCCCGGATAATGAATCCTATGTCGGCATCTTTCCTCGTTTCTTTATTCAATACGGTGTCGATCCCCGGTTAAGTTCTGCCAACGATTCTTTCTGATCGCGTCGGCAGGTTGAATATGCTCTCCGCAATGGGAATCTGTAGCAGGATCCTTATTTGTAGCGGGTGCAAAGCATTGCAGAAAGTATCGCCCTCGCAGCGATATTTAGCTTCTGCACTGGCATTATTTCGGACTTCGCGATCCCCTAGCGTCCTGTTCGGAGGATCCTAAGAATATCAGCGTCTACATGAGCACGAGCATGGCAGTGGGGTCGAATTGCGAGCGTTTATCAGGTCTCCAAATTTAGGGGGTCACCTATTTGTTTGGGGGCTATTCTCTCTATTGGTGAAGCGAGTGTGAGGTAGAAGAAAGCTGCATCTTCTCGCGATCCCGTCAGCAGCCCAATCAGGGCACTAGCGCTTAGGCGGCGGCGTCTTTAACCGATTCCCTTCCTTCCTTGTATCTGTCACTTACAATCCTTTGCAACCCCCTCCTCCACTCCATGGAGACTAGCAGCTATAGTACCCCCAAACGTCGACGCCCCGCGCTGGCCTGCGAGGAATGTTGTCGGCGCAAGATCCGGTGGGTCAGATCCTGTCTCGTCGACCCCGCCCGTCTCATCAACCTCCAGATGCGATCGAGAGTCCCCTTGCACATACTGCAGTCGGTTCAGACGTGTCTGTAACTATCCTGCTGGTTCTCGCAAAGAGACCCCCAGGTATGACCGCACTAGCGATCTATCTGCGTCTAGATCGCAAAGTCCACCAGACGCACCGAATCACGATGCGCTTGGAAACCGCGTCACCGCGCGAGAGCCTTCCCATGGCTCTGCTAACGCTCACCAAGAACCGTCTCATCCTACACCATCGGTAGAGGCTTTGACAAATCGCATTCAGCAGCTAGAGAAGAAGCTCAGCGAGGCTCTCAGTTCGCAGACGGAAAGTCGATCACACCAACTCCCAACGGCGGCAACTGAACCTACCGCCATCAACGGGATATTCTCAAAGACGAGATTCTTTGGAAATAGCCAACGGTCAATCTGCGACCGTAAAGTAGGTCCTTCAATCCCAATCTCCATTTCGCGCAGGTCTAAAAGAGCAGTTTCGTCACCTGTTTGCCATGTTCTTCCGGCTCGACCCCCCCGAAAACTCGGAGATTCATGCCCTCGTCGAGCAAACTAAGCGGCTCGCACGAACGGTGAAAGCCCAGATAATACTCCATCAACCTGTCTGCTCCGACCTGCGCGGTTTGATTCCGCCCAGGCATGTGTCGGACCAGCTTGTGCGGGCGTATCTGCGAGCCATGGAGTCGGTCTACCGCATCGTGCATATACCGTCATTCATGCAGGCTTACGAACTATTTTGGATCGACTCTTCATCAGCTGCCCCAGCCCTCATCATCAAGATTCTGCTTATCATGGCCATTGGCAGCGTTTTCTGCCAGGACCATACCCAGGATGGCCTCCCCATCTCACGAGCAGTTGTCCTAAACTGGGTCTACACGGCGCAGACATGGCTCAGCTCTCCGTTCGATAAGTCCCGACTAGATCTCGATAGTCTTCAGCTACAGTGTCTCCTTCTCATCGCCCGTCAGATCAACCCAGTCGGCAGTGACCTGGTCTGGCTGGCTGCTGGCACTTTGCTTCGAACAGCCATGCACATGGGCTTGCACATCGATCCCCGCCATATCCCAAACATCTCCCCCTTCAACGCAGAGCTGCGACGCAGACTCTGGGCAACGGTCCTCGAAATCAACCTACAGACCAGCACAGACGCAGGAGGGATCCCTCTAATTTCCACTGACGACTACGACTGCGAGCCACCGATGAATATTGACGATGAACAAATGGAAAACCCGACCGCACAGCCCATGGAAATGTTCACCCAAACCTCCCTTCAAATTGCACTTCTCCGGTCTCTACCCATCCGACTCCAGATCGCTCGCTTCACCAACGATTTCCGTAGCGGTGTTTCCTACGAAGAAGCCCTGCGTCTCAGTGCAGAGCTCACAGCGATCTACCGAGATAACTCGACCCTGTTCCAGTCCTTTCACAAGGGCGTTTCTAAACCTACTCCATTCCACTCCCGCCTCTTCGACCTCATGACACAACGCTTCCTCCTCGCTCTCCATGACCCCTTCACCATCCGAGCCAAGTCCAACCCGACCTACTACTACTCGCGACAGATGAGTCTCCAGACCTCGCTCCAGATCCTCAGCCCCTTCACCTCCGATGCCCCTGACACCGCCGCCGATCCTGACTACACCTCGCTCCTCCTCATCGGCGCAGCCCTCTACCGCGACGTCACCGCGCAGGCCATCTGCACTATCGCTGACGAGAGCCTGGACATGCTTAACGGGAGACAGACGTCCCTGACGGCACTTGGTCCCAGTCCCGCGCACGAAACACAGCTCCTCGCTCTCCGAGCCATCGTGGAACGCTGCACAGCCTATTGCATGGAGCGGATTCGAGCCGGGGAGACTAACATCAAGGGGTACTTGATGTCGTCATTCTTCCTTGCCCATATCGATGCCCGATTGAGGAACGAACCGATAGAGCCGGTAGTGTTTGAAGCATTCCGAGCTGACTTGAAGAAATGTATCGAATTGCTGGAAGAATTAGTCGAGCGGGCCAGAAGTTCCACTTCCACCTCTCCTAACCTCCCTGTGCCCGAATCTGGTATTTCATCCAGCCCAGAAGAGAACCACGACTGGCTTGCAAACGACGAACTAGTATGTCTTCTCCCCAACAACACACCAACCATACATGGTACACTAACAACCCAGATGCCCGATCTAGGCCCCAACATGGACATTATCACCTGGCTCACAATGCAAGGAATGGTCTAATCTAGCCATAATTCTTCCAATCTCATCCCACCAATTACATTACATAGTACAAACTATATCATACCCCCCATCATTCCCCCTCCGAAAAAAAAACATTCAATACGTAAAATCATCCACATCCCCCTCATCCATCTCCAAATCCCTAATCGTCCTCGTCCCCCCCGCCAACGAATTCCCCCCACCCCACCAGACCCAATATCCATCCCCCCTTCTACATCCGGCAACGCGTACTCCCGTCCCGCACCATCCACCCTCCGTTCTTGGAATATCGGATCGTCGCCTAGATTCTGGTATCCGGAGCGAGTGGTTGTTTCGCCGGATGGGTTTGTGTGGGAGGTTGATGCGTATCGGTGGCCGGTTGTTTGGGGGTGGGTGGAGGAGGGGGTTGAGGTTGTGTTTTGGGTCGAGAAGGTGTTGCTTGTGTTGGATGTGGGGTTGTTGTTGTTATTGTTGGTGGTGGTGTTGTTGGAGGAGGAGTAAGAGGTGGAGGTGGTGGTGTAGGAGGAGGAGCGGTAGGACATTTTGTTGGGTCTTTGTCTTTGTTTCTTTGCGTTGGGTTCGTTTGGTGGTTTGTTTGTGTGTCGGTGGTGGATTGGACTAAGTATTATGTTGAACCAATGAGTCAATAAGTAAGTAGAGTAGAATCCAAGATAACTAAAGAATCAAAATTAGTGATAATAATGATTGATATGTCTGGTCTGTTGAAAATTCACAATGGTAGTAGTAGTGATGTGGTGATACTTTATAGGTAGAAGTTGAAGGATGTGGCGAGGGGGTGATGTCATCTTCTTCCTTGGTTCGAGATCCGGGTATCGATCTCAGACATACTATGTAGTAGATCGGTAGGTATTGGAGCACTGTTATGTCAGTAGTGGGTATTATGAGGTCAAGTTACTGTTGTTCTAGTTCTTTATTGGTTCGTCATTGCTTCATGTTCTAGACTCTACGTCCTGCGTTCGTTCTAGGCATGTACTATGTCAGCCAACGAAAGTACTGTGTATTTTCTGCCCTGAAGATTGATGCTAACAGGATTGTTGGAGAATGGGCTTTCTGTAATGTTGAACTGCCATGTAATCGCCTGGCCTTTCGACTGGTTGTCTTGGTTGTGCTAGACTGAGCGACGAGGCAAGATGCTACGTCGTAGCTAACAGGAATAGTAGGAAGCATCTCCAGTAGTGCACGGATCAATGGTAGGACTTTAGTATGATCATTCAGACATTTCCAGTTCGAGTCTATACCCTGGTAATTCACAGAAGGACAACATCGACACGGAAAGAACAAATCCTTCAAAAAAAAATGGAATACAAGACCATATGAAAGAATCGTCACCTCGCTTATTTTGACAGGATGAATATGAAGCAACTGGCCCAACACACAATTATCTATATAACGGAAGAAACGGAGTCATCGGCAGTGTAGTCGCTCGTTCGGTTTATGAAACATCGTGACGAGACTGGATCGATAGGCGTGGATCGAATCTGGATTATCGATTTCTAATCACCATGATCAGTCGACAGTGGCAGAGAAATAATGTCAGCCATACCTACTCTAAATTTGCTCGAGACCATGTATAATGTAGTGGTTTTGTATGTGGAATCCTCGTGAGGCATTCGAAGGTCTATATGAGGCCGTATGTGAGGCTTTCGGGGATGTTGTCAAAGTTGTCCTCGATGCAAGGCTGCCTAGTGTATTTGGGCGTCCAAAGGTCGGCCACCTCTCACTGTCGGAGGTAACCTCCATGCGAGGCTGCCTAACGCATTCTGGGTGCCAAAAGATTAGCTAGCTTCCATTATCGGAGCTGTCATCAACACGGGACTGTCTTACATATTCAGTATTTTGCAGAATCATCGGTGTCGTAACGTTCTGTCTCCACATTCTCGACGTGTCGGAGGGCAAGCCAACTCCCCTTGAACTGTTTTCAGTTCGGAGCTGCCTGATATTGAGCCGCCCCATAGAGCAGATGCTCGATGGGAGGCGTCTTGAAAGATAACTGAGATAACAGAGATCACAGATCAGTTAAGCTGACAATCGGCTCTGAGTAAGACTCACGCACCGCATAGCTTGGACAAGATGCCTGTGGGGTAGTTGTTTGTGTTATGTTGGAGATCAGATCCGCCCGAGAGCGAGGCCAAAGACCTTTCTGGGTCACCATGCGTCCAGGGAAGCCGCGCCCCAAGTCGGCTGCGTTGAGCAGGAAGGCTCGACCTCGATAGTCTAACGGTCACAAAACCCGCGAGAAGCCTGCCTGCCAAGTCAAATGGTGGCAGCGTACGGGAAATCATGAGTATGAGGCAAGTTCATGTAGCTGAGTAGTGGTGGTGGTGGTGATGGTGGTCATATCAGTCTATTCACTCCAATCTACTAACTAGTACTAAACACATCAACATAGTTAATTCAGCAACGGTAACAATGGTATCATAAGAATGAAAAGAGCTATCTACTCGCCCAGAGAAACAAAGACTATCTAACCGCCAAAGAAAAAAAGCTATCTAAACCCCCCAAAGAAAAGAAAACTATCTAATCGCCAGAGAAAACAAGACTATTTAACCGCCAATGAAAACAAGACTACCTAATCGCCAAAGTAAACAGCATCTATCGAAGAAGGGCATACTTCAATTTCCTGCCCGAACCAATGTCTATGGTATTAAGTTCCCGACTCAGGGCGTCAATATTGCCATCCATGTTTCCATAATTTCCATTCGGAATGCCCACTGGGACCGTAGATGGGATCAATGGGTTGCTGTGTTGCGCATATAAGCTCGAGGAGGAACTAGTCGAATATGTTTCGGACGCGGAACTCCCGTAGTCCGTTGGAGGACCGCGATAAAGAGGGTTGCGGAAGCGCACAACCACGCCCGGCTTTTTGGTTTTGCGTTCAGGCTCTGGGGCCCATGTATTGGTGGGAAGATGGTCGGATGGATCAATTTCTCGACCGTCATCGCCGATAATCGGACCCGGCTCCCGCGCCGCTTCGGCGCCGTATGAATCCGGTGAAAAGGGAATAGGAGACGCCTCCCGCCCCGTCATCGATGGGGGTTGGGGGCTCACCGACTTCCTCCGAGGGACAATTTGGTAATCGGGGATTGAACGGTGAACAGGTGGCGGCGGTGGAGGTCCGTCTTCTTCTTCGTCCTCCACTCGTGGTTGCAGCAATGCATGAGCAGAGGTGGACATATCGGAGAAAGGTGAAGGGCTAAATCCATGGTCGGCGCGTTCCCTCGTATGTGAATATTCCGGACGCAATGGACTAAAGCTCTCCTCGGAGGTAGACGGCAGCGAGTTGTATTTCACTCCCCAATGTCTCCAGTCTTTTACAAACCCATCCTTGTCCAGTAATTTGTTGATGTCAGGCGAGCTGCGATACGTTGTATAGCGGGCTGAGTCATCCGTGTCGTACCGCTCCGCTTCTACTGTCTCGACGTGTCGCAAGGCGGGCCAACTGCCCGTGTCCGAGCTATTTTCAACTCGGGGGGTTTTAGCATATTCCACATGGCGAGCCGCTGGCCAGCTTCCAGAGCTTTCTGTCACCACTGAACTGCTCCCCGCGAGTTCACAGTGGTCAGTAAAATAAGAAACTGATTCCGAACCAGAGTTCGAGCTGCCAGAGCGGGAGTCCGAAGGCAACGGGCGTCTCTTCACGTCCTTCAACTGCCTCGGCCCAGAAAGGGAAGACGAGCTGGTCGAAACTAAACCTGAGCCAGTCAAAACTGAACTCGAGCTGGTCGAAACTGAACCTGAGCTAGGCTTCTTTGTGTGAATCCTATCAACTGCGTGTGTTCGTCTTTCGATCACAGCCTCGTCTTCAGGTCTTGTGTCGTAATAAGTCATTTCGAGGCGCACTTCGCCGGCGTATTTTCCTCGAAACTGCAAGGGGTGCCAGTGATCGTTCTGACTGCCACCGGGGATGATGAGATCCTTGAGATCTATCCAGGTTTCACCGATCAAATCGGTTTTCTTCTCGTCGTTGAAGACCGAGACTTTGAGTTTGAAATAGTCCGGAGACCCGTGTACGGTGAAGCGAAGTTCTTGGTCCCTGCGTAGTGTTAGCACCCATCTCCAGCGACGCTTGATCAATGCCAGTTGCTGGTCATGACAAGGAAAACATACCATCTGGGAGTTTGGCCTCCTCTCACGTCGGTCTCCGTCTTTTTGGCTTCTTTTCCAAGGCGAGCAGCACAGTATGGGTTCTGCTTGCCCATTGTTTTTCTATTTGGCAAGTTTTTCGCGCGATCAACAATGACGACCAGCGTGCCAATCGCTGGGCCATCAACCGACATGTCCGCGAAGATTCCGGCCGCATGAGCAGCGTGAGCCATGGAGACCCGCTTGTGGGCTCTGGCGTCCATTTCTATCTAGGGTTTCCTGATCAGAGAGGATGTGGGTAACGAGTGTGATAATGTCACGAGAGTGTGTCACAAGAGAATGAGCGACGAGATGAGCGTTTGTTTGAATGGGTTTTGATTGAACGAGCAGCAAAGTAATGAACGACGATGTGGGTTCGCTTGATGTTGTTTAGCAGAGAAAGTGAAGGAAGGAGGGGAGGAAGGGAGAAGGTCCGCCGGCATAGTCCCCAGCAGCGGCCTTATCGATAAGCGGCGGGCCCTGATTGGGTGGCAAACTTAGGTGGGTCTAGCGGGAATTGGGGGGGCTGGGCGCGGTCCGAGCGAGGATGTGGCTGGGAGTGGGGCCTCATTGGCCAGCGCTGTCCGCTGTGACGTCCGCATTAGGCCAAAACCGCCTGATACAGGTATGCTTGGTTATTTACTTCCCAACAAGCGCTTGATTGGACCGACCGGCTTTTACTTTGACACATATGACACTAGGGTCACCCTGTAACAATAGCTCATCATGACCAGCCACGGATTTCCACGGTTGGCAGGAACGAGTATACAATGAAGATAGCCGCAAATCACCTCGATCCTTCCCTTCATTCTCCGTTTCATCTCTCCGCGATCGACTTGATCGTGCTACGATGCTTCCGATCATTCGTGCGACATTCTCCACAGCCTGAAGGAAAGCTAACTAACTAATCCTGGCCCACGACCAGACAGGCACGGGATGCCGTCGACGCAATGCGGTGCCTCTGGATATGGAGAATACCATCCGATGCTGCTACCGCCTTGCCCGTTAGTTGCAGCCCCATTGCAGAGTGTCAGCCTCCACTCCCTGTGCTGTCGCTGCAGGTTTCATTTTCCTGTGACTCCATTGCATACGTCAGTCCCAAACTTCATGGGCTGCGTCGATAGTGCAATCCTGGTGCCTGTGCCCCTGTACGGATACTCCATCCGTACCCTGTAACCACTAGCAATACCCGCTTGCCCCCAGCCACTGTGAATCGGCTTGGTTTGTACTTTGTAGGAAACCATAAGCGATTGGAGATCGCGTAGGCTGATGTCATGATGGGGCGGAGCGATCTCGTAGGGCGCTATCGATAAGTCTTATCGGGTGGTTGTTAGCAATGATCCCCGAGTCGGCTGTCAAGATGAGGAATGTCTACTCGGTATACTCCGTACTCTATGGCTACGGCGTACTATGGGATGATCATGGTCTAGACCAATCTCGGAGCTGCACCCACGTGGGAGGGCAGGCTGTTAGCCACTTAGCCTGGGAGCATTCCGAGAGACGATCGGCGGCTGGCAGCTGGGGTGTGGCTGATCGGCTTCTGCACGGCCGGGCACGAATAATCATCAGGAATGGGTCGGGTCGGGCGCTTACTGGCGTGCCTGGAAACTCCGGCCAATCGTCGCTTTTCTGGCGCTACTCGGAAAGTCAATGGAATCGCTAACCTACGGGAAATTGACTCCTGCGGACAGCTTCTAATGAGACCACAAAACTGAAAGTGAATTTCACCCTTCACTCTGATATGTTTCAACGTCCTAAACCGGTCAATAACAAGAGACGGGGAAAGCTCGGCGAAGAGACCAAGATGGCGAAGATACGAGACCAAGCTCCCCACAATTGATGCGTCGCTGGACCCCATGTATACCCAAAGTATAACTCAAAATCCTGCCCGATCATGTTGCAAACGGCCCATGTCTCACTCCACAGTGGTCCTTGGCTAATCTAAGCCTCCATTGCCTGACCACTGACGCCATTGACGTCCAAAGCCTCGAGTGGACCTCATGGTCGATTGAGCCGGCTCGAACGGGCTCGAAGGCATCGTCATTTTGCAGTCTGCAGTCCCTTGTTCCGAGGTGGATATCAATCCTGTTCGAGACCGTCCGTCAGTGTTGTTCAATGCTTGTGCTGGCTAACAGCTCACAGACTAGACAGGCTCGGGATATCCGACGATACAGACCCTCTCAGCAATAGTAACAGCACAGTCATGAGTGATCTTGCTGCTGCTGGACTATCCTAGTCTGGCTCAGTCAATCTGCAGTCAACGTATCAGTGCTTCAGTGTTTTGCTCGTGACGTGTTCTGGCTTTCAGCGGTGAGGTTACCTACACGCGCTGCTCTTGTGCTGAGTTAGGGAAACTACAACCTAGCAACTACTTTCAGGCCCTGAGAGATTTACTAGGATGGCCCAAGCATAGCTGCACTCATTCTACAAAGAACTCCAGACTGAAATTTGTCTAACACAGAGATATTATGGCTATTGTACATGTTTGTACATGTCGCGGTGGCCATATGGCGCTAAACCCGATTGGGATCGCGATAGACTTTTCCCGATGCGATTGTGCCTCGTCCAAAAAATTTCCCGACAATCTCGACGCCGACCACGCTTCAAGGCCGATGGGTGCTGGCCGATAACTCCTCCTATTCCCCAAATTAGCTGTCGCGAATTCCTCCCCGCCAGATCAAATAACTCCGACCTTGGCCGATAGCAGCCATGGCTGCCCCCGTCCTCCCTCTCCAGCAGGTCAAGCTCCCGGCCCTGCCCTCGACCCGATTGACGCCGGAGCAACAATACTGGAAGACCTTCAAGAACCCTCTCCTGATCCCCTCACCTGCCAATGGCCCCGTCAACCTCATCACCCAACCCTCCGCTCCATCCTCCGTCTCTGCCTTCCCCTCCCTCACCCAGCCCCCCGACGTCTTCACCGTGACCACCGGCGCCCGAGTCCAGATCTACTCCATCCGCACTCGCAAACTCCTCCGCACAATCACCCGCTTCGATGATACAGTCCGAGGCACTGATGTCCGTCCCGACGGCCGAGTCATCGCCGTCGGTGACGACTCCGGTACCGTCCAGGTATTCGACGTGAGCTCCCGTGCCATCTTGAAGACTTGGAAGGATCACAAGCAGCCCGTCTGGGTCACCAAATTCTCGCCCAGCGACCCCACATCCGTCCTGACTGCCAGTGACGACCGGACAGTGCGGCTGTGGGATCTCCCCAGCGAGTCCAGCGCCAAGGTCTTCGTCGGACACACTGATTACGTGCGCAGCGGTGCCTTCATGCCCGGATCCCTGGCCTCCTCCGGCCTAGTCGTCTCCGGTAGTTACGATCGGACCGTGCGACTATGGGATCCCCGCGTCGAGAACCGCTCCGCAATGACCTTCAAGATGGGCGCCCCGATCGAGACCGTCCTCCCCATGCCCACCGGCACGACGGTGCTCGCCGCAGCCGACAACAAGATCGCCGTGTTGGACATCGTGGCCGGAAAGCCCCTGCACATGATCCAAAGCCACCAGAAAACGGTCACATCCCTGGCACTCGCATCAAACGGCGAGCGCCTGCTCTCCGGTGCTCTGGACGGCCACATGAAGGTATTCGAAACCACCGGCTGGAACATGGTCTCTGGCTCCAAGTACCCATCCCCCATTCTCTCCCTGAACGCCATCACATCCGGCATCGCCCAAGAAGACAAGCACATCGCAGTGGGTATGCAATCCGGCCTCCTCTCCATCAAGACCCGACTCTCCGGCCAGCAGAAGATCCGTGAACGCGAACGCCGCAAGGAAATGCGGGCCCTGCTCGAGGGCAAACTGGAGGAACACGACCGCAAGGTAGCCAAGCAGAAGAAGGTCCGCGGCTCCGGATGGGAGAAGCGACTGCGCGGGCGCGATTTCGTCGGCGAAGGCGTGGACATTGTGATCGAGGGCCGGGACCGCAAGAAGCGGAAGAAGGAGCAAAGCTGGGAGCATGATCTGCGCAAGGCGCGGTATTCTGCAGCGCTGGACCAGGTCCTGGGGACAAGCGACAAGACGGCGCAGCTGACGCTGTTGACGGCGTTGCGACACCGGTCGGCGCTGCGGGCGTCGCTGCAGAACCGCGACGAGGTCACCCTGCAGCCGGTGCTGCAGTGGGTGCATAAGAGCATTACGGAGCCGCGGCTGGTGCATCTGAGCGTGGAGGTGGCGATGAATGTGTTGGACATTTACTCGGGCAATCTGGGACAGTCGGCTCAGATCGATAAGATGGTGGAGCGGCTGCACCGGCGGGTGCGCGACGAGGTGGAGATGGCGCATCAAGCGTGCCAGACAAAGGGCATGTTGGAGATGTTGCAGGCCGCGGCGTAGCTGGGCAGCATTGCAGTGAGGCGGTTTTTCTAGACAAAAGCAGCAACTGTTACAACATTTTGGATACCTGGGATGGAGTTTGGGTTTGGCGGCTAAGCACAGTATAGCAATGACAACATACACATTCATACATTCATTCTTCTACCTCAACACCCCTAAACACAGGCCTCTACTGAAACAACCTCGAAAACCCCTCCCCAGTAGGCTGCAACCAATTCCTCTCATCATACTTCCAACCCTCGGCCCCCTCAATAACATGAAACGTATAGGCAAAGCGACTCCTATCCCCGGTATTCCTCTCACTCTTATGCAAGACATTCCCATGAATCAAAACCAACGAACCAGCCTTAACATCCAAGATCTCCAAATCCTCCTCCTTCCCCTGATTCTCCCCCACCTCCTCACTCTCCTCCACCCCAACAGGCACCCTCGCCCCCTCATTCCCCTCAAACCCAGTCCCATTTCCACCCCCCACCCTCACAAACCTCCTCTTAATCCCCTCCCTCTGACTCCCCTTATACATCCCCAACGACGCATTCCCACTGCCCGCATCCTGCAACGCAAACCACCACCCCACCGCGCTCGGCGGATTCGTGTACAAAAACTCGCTGTCTCGATGCGACGGCACCGCGCCCCCAATCCCCGGCTGCTTGCAAATGACCATACTCTGCAGGACGCGCGGGTCTTTGAAGCCGAGGGATCTCGCGATGTCTGCGTTTTTCTGGGAGAGGCTGATGGCGCGGAATGGCGCGGAGAGGCTGTGGAGTGAATGCCCGATTTTGTTGACGGCTAGGTGCTTGGGTTTGGTGAGGGTGGGGGGGTTGGTGGGATCGGAGGGTGCGAAGGCGTCGGGTTCGAAGAAGAAACGTACTTTGTCGCCGGAGGTGAGGAAGTAGTCGTCGCCGACGTGTTTGCTGGTCGTGGAGGGGTCGTCGCCGGTGGTGAATTGGGTGAGGGGGTGGGTGTCGAGGGGGAAGGTGTCGAGGAGGTGGTGGGTTTCGGTTAGGCAGGCGGTGATTTCGGTTGGGGTGAGGTAGTTGGGGAGGACGAGGTAGCCGTTTTGGTTGAAGGAGGTTAGTTGCTCCGGGGTGAGGCCTGGCATGGTGGTGGTGGTTGTGGTGGTGGTGGGGTTTGGTTTTGTTGGAGGAGGGGGAGGAAGTGGTGACTGTAGTAGATAGTGGGAGGATAGAGATGAGTGAGTGGTAACTGGTAAGATGAGAGCGGGGCTTTATATGCGGGTGGCTTATCGGCTGGCGGAGGAGCTTCCTATCAGTTGAGGGGATCAGGGTCCAGTCAGGTAAGCGTTATTGCAAATGCGTTACCTGGCCACTTTTCGAAGGATCGGTTTCTGTCTTGGACACATATCTAATTGGTATGAGTCATTGGTTGTTCCAATGCTGGTGTCATTCAATGGCTACCTTTTGGTAACGCCATCGATCAGCTGCGGAGTCACCTGGTATCCTGGTAGGGTCCAACAGTGCAGTGCAGTTTGTAGAAGTACGAGGTAGAGAGGACATTATGGTATGATGAAGGAGGAGCCCGAGAGTGAATCTTTACTAGTATACTAGGATTCTGGTTACTAGTCGGGGAGGGTCGAAAAACGCAAGGCACCATCGTGCTGCCTACACACATAATACAGAGGCAATGGAAGGGGACTTGTATAGTGAAAGCTGTTCAATCCACCTTCTCTAAGTGCCAAACAACAGATAAGTGCTTGTGTCACCAGGTAATCAATATTAAGTGAATCAAAAGGTTCTAGGCTATCATCAGTGAAAACAATATAGTCACGCTGGATATTTGTTGTAACTAGTGAATACTTTTGTCTCTTCGATACACAGCTATTCTATATAGTAGATTTCTCGTCATCCACCTCATATAAACAAAGTCCACCTTCACTGCCTATGTCTCCCTCTAATATAAAAACCACCTCAAGTCATCCACACAAACATCCATCATCCACTCACCCATCTCCACGAGAGCAGAAAGCATCAGCACACTAACTGAACACCTCTCAGCCAAGAGCAAGCATGAACATCCCAACCCCCCCTCCATCGCCTGCCACTCCAAAAAACAAAACCACCACGAGTATCATCTGCGAATACCAGGCATCCTGCACCCTACCCACCAGCCCTGACAACCCCAAGCACCGAAAAGTCATCTCACACATCTTCGGGCGCAACAAGGGCTCCACCAAGCGCATCCCCCACCAGGCATGGATCCACTATTGCCGGAAGCATTACCAACGCGTGCGGTACCGAACATCCGACTGGGCCTTGCTGCAGTGTAACCTGGTCCTGGAAAGTCTGGAGAGGATGGAGCAGTGGGGAGAGATCCGGGGGTTCGAGGTGAAGGCGAGGAAGAGGGAGGTCGAGAGAAGGCTAGGGAGGAAGGTTAAGGGGCAGTGTCCGGTGCCGCGGTGGCTGGCTGATGAGTTGGGGAAGAAGTCGTTTGCGGAGGTGAGGGAGTTGGTGCAGAGGATCCGAGGCGGCATCGAGGCGCTTACTAGAAGTAAAAAGGGGAGCTTTTTTCCGGATATCGAGATTCTGCCAGTCTTTGCATCTGATGATGAACAAGTGTATAAGTGATAGTTAGGGGAAACCAAAGCCTTCGTCGCTCATAGAAGTAACTATATTAATCATCATTATACTGTCGTACTGACTATACCATCTACCTACAATCACCGTTTTCAGCGGAAAAGACCAACTATAACTAACAACATGGCTGGAAAATGTCACATACTGCAATCATCCACCAACGCCTCTCATTATCATATCATCGCATCATCATACCCTCACCGGTTCGATCAAAATGCCTGATCCGGAATCAACTCATAGCCTCCCTCCGAGGGCAATGTATGCGCCGCCAAGATCAACACCCCGGCGCAGAACAAACTCAGGCACCAGCTCACAGTGCAGTAGATCCACGACTCGCTCAGCCGCCAGCCGACGAAGAACCGCTCTTCGTTGTCGAACAGATATGCCTAGCCCCGTCTTAGTACACCACCGACGCAGTAGAGATATCCCACTCACCACCAGCGACATGCTCGCCGCCTGCACCACAGCCGACAGGATAATTAACAGGCTGAGTATCTTCCATCCCGATTCGCGCAGTCGCTTCCCACCCGACAAGACAATCAGATACGCGACCACGCTCATTCCCTCCAAGACGACGGCAAAGGACATCAGAAACCCGACGGAGCGCCACATGGAGCAGAAATAGCGGTCACCGGCGTGGCAGTCTTCGCGGTGGGGGAAAGACTCGCATTCTCCGGTTACGGAGGAGCAGCGACGGTGGAGGCCGTAGGAATAGTGGTGCTGGATTCTGGTTAGTGACTGGTCGCGCACGGGGGGTTTTTTTGAACACTGACATCGACATCATCATAAATGACCCATTTTGGGACGACGATGGAGGACACGGTTAGACCAAAAGCTGTGCGTGAAGATTAGTGGTCGTGTGCGCGACGCAAGGTATGCGACGAAGCATAGCTGCAGCTACCGCTACCGCCACGAGCTAGCTGGTTATCAACTAGCTAGTGGGTAGCGGGTTACTTACACGCGAGAAATACAATCAACGAGGCTGTATAGACAATAGTCTTGGTGAGGAACCCGGTGTAATTGCGATCTTCCCCTCGAGGCACCAGATGGAAATCCATCGCAGCGGGGGAAGGATGCGGCCAGAAGCGATGACGACAGTAGGCAGAAAGCCGTGCAGGCGACGAGGGAGGGAGCGGTGAGGAGGGGAAGGAAATACAGATGATGGGGGAAGGGAAGGATAGTATGCTAAGTAATGAAGTGGTTTATCTAGGTAGATGGATTGGAACACTGGTCGGAACCGAGACAAGGGGGAGGGAGGGAGGAAAATAGAAGAAAAGTGGTGGTGGAAGAGCAAAAGCCGGTTTGTTGTGAGGCAACGGCGAGCAGAGCAGGTCAGATCAGGTGGTTGACTGACAGACAGGAAAGGGTGCCTCGGGAGCTTAACCCCGAAGCATCATCAGTTCGCTCGTCCACACTCACTCCCGTCCCGATAAGACGTTGGTTCGTTCTCTTAGGTCCAGTTCACTTCCTTCCTTCCTTCAAGGTCCGCTCGGGGGACATCAGGACCATGAAATACCTCAGCATCCCAAAAAGGGCCGGGAGGGGGGGTAGCAGGTGGGACAGACAAGCTGACCCGGCCGTGGAGCAAAGCAAAGGGAGGATCAGAGAGGATCGGGGAGGATCTACTGGTATGATATCCCCCGTCCGACGTCCATCGTACCATCCCATCCCCCACCAACACTGCTCCATTAATTCCCTCATCTCCTGCGTGCAGCGTCCGCTGACGAGTCGAACATTCCAACCGCCAAGTGACCGTCGATCCACCGGTCAAAGCGCCCTCCCAGGCTTCTACGGCGGGGATGTCCTGCAAACAGCACCGCCAACCTGTTCCCGAACGTTGCACCGCAGCTGCTGCCCGGCTTCCATCGTGCCATTGTCGGGAGCAAGGGGCGGGCCGCGCACCGGGTCAGCAGAGAGCTTGTTTAAGGCAATTGAGTCTTCAACATCGCCTTCGGGTGACATTGGCCTATGACCTCCCCGACCGGATGGCCCGTCCTCAAGCTGGTGGTGGTCCACCTGCACCTCCCCGGGTTGATGCACGACCTATACTACGCCATACTATAGTCGCCAACTTCCACTCGTGATTGGCTTCGCTACCGCTCCGATATCAAACCAGGATTGGGCCCTATGCGGAAACCCGGCACTCCATTCCACTTCGTCCGCCATCCCCTGCAGTATTAAAAAAACCCTCCCCCGAAGAGTCACCCGTTCAAACCAAGAGAGACAGTTAATCTACATTCAAACTTCAGCCTGGAGCGTGGGGTAAGGCTATGGTAATACACAAAGCGGCAATGCAACGCATCAGCAAGAACATAACAACATCAGCACCGGCCGGAAGAAGTTCAAAATCACATCACGCGAAGTCGAAGTAAAGTCATTAGCAAGCGGAGAGGTAACGCCGTTCCCGCCATGCCATCCAGTGCGCCGCGTCCTCGCTCATCCCGCTCGACTCCGCTGGATCATGGCACGGAAGTCATCGTTGCTCTTTTTCGTGGTCTGCCCCTCGCCCGGGGTTGCGCTGTCGGTCGTCATCGTCGTGGTCGTTGTCGTCGTCGCGTTTCGGCCATTCTGCGAGCTCGTCGCCGCCGAAGGTCCGCCCGTTGCTCGTTTCACGCCCAGGCCGCCGCGTTTACCGCCTCGCGTCCCCGGCTGTGGAGGGCGCTTGATCGGCCCCGCGAGCGGGAAGAGTCCGCCCGGCTTGTCCTTGGACTTGCTGCCGCCTTGGCCGGGCCCGCCGCCCCTTTTCTCCGCCGATTTCTTCAACATCTCCGGCACTGTGCCCACGTGCAGTTTCCGTCCCGGAGTGATCTCCTGCCCCTCCAGCTCTAGGGACGCCTTGCCCGCTTGGTGGACATCTGCAAACTCGACAATCGCGCCTTGGTGATCGGGCCGCAGCACGATCTTGATCAGCTTGCCGTACGGCTCGACGAGGGCCCGGATACGGGCATCGTTGACCGTGTCCGGGACATTCATCAGACCAAGGGTGCGTGCCGTCCGTTCACTGTTCGGTACCTCCTCACTGGCCTCACGCCTGCCGCCGTTGACCTCGACCGACGGGGACCGGGATGATCCCACGCGAGACAAGATGGTCGTCGCGCTCCGTTTGGCCCCTTGCGGGGTAGACAGTTTCACGTGAAGGGGTCGCGACCGGAACTCTTGCTCGTGCATTGCCAGCGCCGCCTCGGCTTCCTCCTGTAGAAAATGGTTAGCGGGACCCTCGCACTCCATTCGGAATACTTACCTTGGAAGAGAAAACCACGTAGCAAAAGCCCTTGCTGCCACCGTCCACCTTGCGTGGGATGCGCACAAGCTCCACAGTTCCGAAGCGTAGGAACAACTCCTCCACGTCCTGCTCACTGGCTTTCCAATCCAGGTTCGACACATGGATCTCGCGTCCCTCGTACATTGGCCCGTGGCGGTCCTGCCTGCGGGTCGGATCCGAGATCTTAGCAACCAGATGCAGGCCATTGCCCACTGTCGCCCCGTCTAACTTCGTAGCGCTGTAAGCTTCTCCGGCCGTCTTGAACTGCACGTAACAGAATCGCCGGTGCGTATTATACTTGAGTGATGGGAAGCGGATATCGATGATCTCGCCGTGCTACTGTCGGTTAGCCAACGTTTGAATCACTGTAATCTCGAGGGGAAGTCACCTCACGGAACAGGTCACGAATGTACTGTTCATCGGCCGTAGCGGGGAAGTTGGTAACAAACAACGTTGACCCCGACCCGAATTGAACCTCAATCGTATGCTCGTCAATGATTTTTTGATCGCGCGTCTGCGCCACAACCGCCTCATCTTTGGAGTTGAACTCAATGATGGCGGTCTCCGACTTGCCGTCCTCGCTGGAAAGCATCTTGACACTATTGATCGTACCGCACTATGACACGGTTAGCTGATGTGATTCAACAGGGGCCGGGGACCAACTCACATGGCGGAAGAACTGTCGAACCTTGTGCTCGGTGATGCCCTGGGGCAGATTCTTGACAACAACCGTCGCATTTTCGCGATCGCGACGAAGCGCGACCGGCTCTGCTGTGTCAGAAATCGATGGTGCAGCTTCCTCTGCACGAGCTCGTTTGGCAGGCAACCCGTTCACACTGGTCTCCTCCTCCCGTTTGCGCTTCTCGGCCTGCGTGCTTTGATCCACTACTGCAGCTTGTTCAGCCTGCCGCGCGTTCGCCTCCCTTGCATCACGCTCGCGGCGGGCGGTCACGGCCCTCATCGCTTTGCGGGTCTCGAGAATCGCCAGCTGCAGCTCATCCGAGTCTTCGTAATCCTCGCAATGTGCAATGTAGGTTTGCATGATCTTCTCGGGCCAGTCGAGGTCCGTCCGCTTAATGGCCTGCTTCAGCACGGCGGTGGCGTAGCTGGGGTTCGGGGTGCGCCGGGCGGCATCAATCGACGTTTCGTTTTGGACGAACTTGCTCCAGGAGATCAGCTCCCACTCGTAATAGGTCAGCCAGAACTCGTAACTGTTACCCCGGCGTCCCACGAGACCCTTGAATGTCTCCCGCGCACTGTCCCAGCTGCCGCTCTCGCTCAGATAACGGATGTAGATGCGTTCCAAACGGAACAATGGGTCGCCCTGGTAGTTTCGGCCGTACTTCTTCTCGCCCAGTTCCTGGACGCTTTCGATCGCAGAGCGGATCCCGACCTCTGCCACGTCGATGTCTTCGTCAGTGGAGTCGGATAGGAAAGCTCGCCGCCGGAGATAGCTACACCAAGCCGTATGCACCTTGAGCACTTCCTCCATCCCACCGACGTCTAACAGGCCCGTACTTGTTGCCTTGTGCTTGATGTCGGCAATCTTGGAAAACGACTGCCCTTCCCGCTCTGAGCTGAGCAGGTACTGTGACCACAGGCTACCAGAACAAGGGCAGTGCCGAGTCGCGCGGTCGAGCGTAGAGATCGTGGTGGTGTTGGTATTGCCGTGCATGGACTCGTCGATGAGAAACATGATGAATTCTTCCCACATATTAGCGTCGGTTGGAAAGCGCAGCACGGCGCGCTGGTAAAGAGCGTTGACCAAGTCAAAATTCGTGTGCCGCTTCCTGCGGTTGCGGCTCAGCTCCCATTCAATGTACTCGGTGAACAAGGTCCATTCTTGGCCCATATCACGCGCCTCAGACACGTCGCGCAACCGAATCTCGAAATCCTCGCGGGCGGAATATGTATCCTTGCTAGCTGTGGCGTATTTTCCGACTGTCTCTGCCATTATGTTTTCATAGTTTGCGTTGTAGTAAGTCGAAATATACCCGGAAAACATCTGGAAGGTCGAGTCCCAGGTGGCGTGAGGGGTCGCAAGGCGGAGGTCAAAAACCCCTCTCACATGGTTGACCTTGTCCTGGGACGGATTGCGGGAAACATCTTGCGTGAGCAGTTCGAGGAAACGGTCCCAAACCAAATGGCTGTCGTGGATCCTCCAGCGCGTCGATTCGGCACCTCGTTGCCACACGTCGATGACGGACTGCCAAGAGAAAACTTCGCGACCGACCAAGCGGTCTTCTTCGGTCCACTGACTCTGACTAGCATCTCCGTTGGCGGAGTTGTAAAGATATAGGAGCCATTCGCCGTAGATGCCCCAAAGCTTAGTGCTGCCGTATTCTTCCTCGATCGATCGCTGACAGAGCTCCATAACCGCAATGCGCTCTTCGACCGATTGTGCCAACATGCTTTCGTCCTGGATCCACTCCGCCCAGAGATCCTCACCCATGGCGAACAACTTGTCCATCTCCTCCCGAGCCGTCCGCATGTCCTTGAGAAGATCATACTTTCGGGGATCGCCGTGGATGTCAGGATTATTCGGGGGGTATACGTGATTGACAAATCCTGCATGCAGAAGGCGAACGAAGCGAACGTGCGCGTCGTACGACTGGGGATTTTCCTGGATCTGAGAAAAGAGCTCCGTGGCCTGTCGCTGAGCAAAAGGGACCAAGGACGTGTCGAGATAACTCCGACGAGCGCTTTCACGCGGACCATCCGACATGGCGATGTCGAATGAGGAGCGCGGGGTAGGGGTGTTGTGAGAAATGGTGTTGACGTGGGGGTACATGGTGGAAGGGGACAGCTGGCTTTCGTACGACTCGGTGCTGCGCAGGATGGGGGCATTGGATCGCTGCGGCTGATGATGCTGCATTGACGCCAGATCTGCCAGTGTATCCATTCCGGGGGTAGAAGGTTGTCTTGGGGGAGGCAGATCAGTTGCCGGGGGGGTCCCATTCCCTCCTCCCACGTTGGGGCCGACCTTGGGACTTATCGCGGGCGGCGAGGGTTCAGGGAGGTGAGAATGGGCGTAGACGTGCTGCGCGAGCGGCGAAGAAGTCATGCCCTGCTTGTTCGAGCCGGGGCGATTCTTTCGCAAGGGCTTCGGAGGGGGAGGAGCAGAGGTCGGAGCAGAGGTCGGTACGGAGGAAGAAGCCGCGGAGGGCGTTGAACGCCCGGACTGTGAATTGGCATCCTGCGGCGAAAGGAGTGAATTGATGTCCATCATCAAGACTGTGGCCGGACTGGCGGGGAAGGACCAGGGAACGCAAATGCCAGAGCTGATCTTTGAGGAAGTCCAAGCGCCAGCGAGAAAGGTGCTGACGTAAGAAGCAGAGCCGAAGGAAAAAGGCAGAGCAAAGGCAAGGGAAGGGAACTAAGGAAAGGAAACCTGAATTAAAGAACCACCGCAAGTCGCCTCATCAACGAGTCCATTCCTGCTCCGGAACACAGCCTGTCCGGACCTGATGACCAGGCGAAGGTTGGCTGTCCAGAGTTTGGGTGTCCTTGTCCTAGGATGTGGATGGATGGCTGGATGGAGTGATTGATGGTGGTGGAAAGGGACAAGTTCCGAGGAAGCAGCCCAGTGGGATGGAAGGATGCGCGGTTGATTGAGGGAAACAAAGACAAGAAAAAAAATCGGGAAGGGGGAAGGAAATAGAAAGGAAAAGGGAAAAAAAACTATTAAACTAAAAAATGAACAATTGACAGATATGATAGATTATTGTTCTTTTTTTTTTCAGTTCTTCTTTTTTTTTCTAACCCTTGATTTCCTTTTTTTTTAATGATGATTTTCTGTTCTGGGCCGTTGGATTTGTCTGCAAGTAGACAGTAGGAGCTTGACGAGTTGGGCGCTTGCGAAACGCTGCTAAAGTGAGGCGCGGACGGAGGGAGAACGAGAACGAGAGCAGCGTGGAGGGACCGACAGGAGGGGACTGACGGGCTCAAGGCTCAAGCTCTCCTGGTCCGAGCGATAGCGATAGCGAACCTGGACGGCCTGGTCAGCGGCGGAGTCCCGGGCGGGAACTGATGGGGTTCTGGCCAGCAGCTGGAGAACATACAGGAAAACGTGGGAACAACGCGCTCGGGAAGTCCCTGGAAAAGATGGGGAGATGGGGGAAGAAACAGAGGGCGAGAGAGTAGTAAGAAGGAAGAAGAAGAAAAGAGCGCAGAGCGAGGAGGAAAGGATGTGAGGCAGATGAGGGCAGTGGATCGACGAGGTGGAGATGGGAGTTGAGCTCGGCATGGGAAAGCTGAGCAGCAGAAGCGCAATAAGACAGTAGTAATAATAATAATAACAGCGGCAGCAGCAGTAGCAGCAACCTCTGCATTCTGCACCCATCTATATCTATCGATTTACTCGACCCTCCACTCCACTTCGGGGGTCAAAAAACGCTCACCACGATCTGAAACCGATGCAGAGCTGCGAGACTACCCAGCTAGCTCGTAGCCACCTATGTAAGTGCCTGGACCATCGTCATTGTGAAAAAGAAAGGTGCACGGGGAGGTGAGGTTCCTGCTTTTTCCCCGCCAACGTCCTCCGTGTCCGCTCCTATACGGGCCCCCAATGGCTAGAACAAAAAGAGCATTGTCCACGACCCTCCAGAGCAGTTAGAGTGGTTGACAGGTTCCCTGTTACCAGTCCACTGCCCCTGCTCACCCCTACGCCAAAAACTTAATGCATGCTCACACTCGGACTCGAACCGAGGATCTCATCATTACTAGTGATGCGCTTTACCACTAAGCCATGCGAGCTGATTGGCTGGAGCGAGGTGAAGGCCTGCAATTATCTAAGTTAATAGACTGAGGCTAGCCAAAAAAGCAAAAATGCTCCCACGCGGATTTGAACCGCGGACCTCATGATTACTAGTCATGCGCTCTACCAACTGAGCCATAGGAGCTGATTGGTTGAAATAGTCCAACTCAATTTGGTTAATATAAACAGGTTCCCTGGAGAGACGAAGAAGACAAAAAATTGCTCCCACGCGGATTTGAACCGCGGACCTCATGATTACTAGTCATGCGCTCTACCAACTGAGCCATAGGAGCTAATTGATGTGATGTGTGCTTATATTAGCCATTATCTTCACATACTTGAATATTCAATTGGTCTGCCAGTATTGCCAACAAATACTTCTATGCGTACACTCCTTCAATAAGCAGAGTGCAGTACACTCCTGGGTAATGCATTCTAACTCCTCCGCTTAATTTTACGCATCTGGATGCCATTTCGTCTTATCTGGCAACCAAATGGCCATCGTCGGGCTCTTTGCCTGCAGACATATATATCCGCTGTTACTACTCGCTATATATAGTGCTTTCAATTCCCGACGGATGTTTCCATCAACCGCCAAGGGACCAGGTCAAAAACAACTATTGGCCGATAAATACCGTGCATTTCCTTCCATATTATCATGTGAAACCAGGGACTTCTGTTGAACAAGTCATACAGCCTACTCGAAAAAATAGCTCTGACTTGGAGGAAGAGATATAGAGGACAAGGCCATGTACACATGTTGCCAATTCGTTTGTTAATCCATCCTACTTGGTTGTACCCTGGATTTAAAATATTTCGACCTTCGGCCCCATGTGTTGCAGACATCCTCTGCCAGACATTCATTAGTACACTACGAAGGTACCATCCAAAGCCGGGATGTAGTTGCGCTTCCCGTAAGACCCCATTCCTCCTTTGGTTCCAACGTCACCCTTGCTACCTTTCCACCCGTGCCATCATCTTCATCCTGTTTTTTGAACGATCCAGAATACCGGATTCATGGAAACTTGGGGTGACGTTCCTTTCACTTATCCCCTCTCAATCATCCCAGAATCCTATCCACGATGAGCTTGATCCCATCCTCTCTACCTCCATCCACCTTGCGCTAATATTCTTTCTTCAAGCCTAGCTCCTCACCCTATATGTTCCACCCATAAAGGTTCCTTGGAAACCCTTTGCTAGTAAGCTTTTGTTGAGGACCGTAACGGAGGACAACAACTATGACCTATCTGGCGATTCATACGGAATAGACTCGTAACAATGTCTTCAACGACCAATTCGAGAAAGTCATCAGGTGTTTGCCACTACCCTGAGAGCTTTACCGTGAACCGGATAACACTGCTCCGTGGTACAAACATCTAATACAAATAGTTCTGGTGTATTTCTCAAACCCGAATACTACTCCACTCTGCAGAGGCCATCAGGAATGAGAAATGCAGCCATATGGCAGAAATATCTACGAACCCTGCCTTCCGAGCAGCTGTGTTGACTCGTCCACTTCATATAATTTCAAAGCAGTGTCTAGGATGGATGACTCCGAAGCCCACCCAGCCAACAATTCTACAGGCCCTGGGTCTTGCTTATCTTATAGTAGGGCGCTCTGCATCAAAACTGTTCGACCTCTACCCCACAGACGAACACAAACCAATACTACCGACGTCCACGAGGTTCAAACCGACGGTATCGATCACCCCATCGAGACGTACACAGATTCGAGAGAATACGTCAGCGGAGATTTACTTGGCAATGGTGCCTGGAACAAAACAGAGAAACTCGGGTACGATCAGACCACCCGCTTCCCTTGGCAGGATAATTTCAAGGATATTGGGTTTTGGCTCTAACTCAATGGCTGTTATCTAGACAGGCTCGTCATATCTCCCGCTTACTGCAAGACCTGTCAACCCTCGTTACTAATGCTCCGCTTGAAATATAAACACATTGACCGTCGAGATGTATATTGAAATTCCGTCTACAAGAAAAAAGCGATCGAAACCTGCTACCTTCAAGTGGGAGAGTCAGACTTGGATAGAACGTGGCTGAGTTTCCTACTCAAAGAATCATCATTTCAGGAGAACAACCAACTCTAACTAGGATTCGAGAGTCCCAGGGGATTCAAGGAACGAACATGGAAGGAGAGAACAGAATTCAACAGACATCACGGCTGGCGCGGAGCCTTGTTGTCTACGCAGCAGAGAAATTACCTTCATAGGGCAGGCAACGACAAGTTTTATTTTCTTGCTTTCTTCCAGCCGACGGAGTATGTATCCCCATCCTCCAGGATCCCGTGCGTATGTACACCTAGTAGTGAGCAAGACGTGGAATCAAAACAGGAACAGAGAGTAAAGCCAAGAAGTAACAAATAAAGTCGTAATATTATGACAACTGTGTACCTAACACACCAGCCATAATTTAGACAAGTAGTGGAAAAAAAGAGGAAAAAGAAATGCTCCCACGCGGATTTGAACCGCGGACCTCATGATTACTAGTCATGCGCTCTACCAACTGAGCCATAGGAGCGACTTGATATGATTGGCTCTTTGCAGTTTAAACTATGATCTAACATATAAATCTACATTACCATCTCACAAAGAACAACACGCAGTCCAATAGTAAAAATACCTCATGAATCTCACCTCAAGGTTCAGGTAAAACACTAAAAATAGCCTAAGCGAGAGCAACATGCACGATTAAGTTGCTTCGCAGCCCAGACTTCGTCACTGCACCAGCAGGGAATCTGGACTGGGATCGATCGTCCGGCAGTGCAATGCCAGGGGGGAGCAGCATCTTTGGAATATCATCCCACATACACTAATGGTCGAGGATCGCGACGGCGCCAGACACCCCAGTACACTCTAAGCCCCTAACGATACATCGTCACTTCTGATCCTTGTCCTCGAACATGGATAAATGCATGTACAAGTCCCAAGCACAGTAGCCGGCCTAAACAGGCAAAGCGGGATGCCCCGAGGCCACCACACCTTGTCAGCCTATGAGGTAATCGTACAGCAACGACCACCCCATGATTGGCGCGCCCCGAACACCCAAGCACATGACTGCGGCCCGGCTGACGCTACCCGATTAGGACTGACTCAGTGACCCGTGACCCTGAGGCTCGAGGCTCGAATCTCGACCCCAGAATTCTCAGGTGTCGACCGACGACTACAGGCCCATCCCTCCGGCGACCGAGACAAACCAAAACCGCACCGCGCCAAGGCGAGTCTTCGTCCCGACACTTTTTTCCCTTCTGATCTCCGGGATCCGAGCCATCAAACCACCAGATCCATCGTCCGTCATGGCCACAATGGGTGCTGTCCCCCAGTATGGGCAGCTAATCCGGTCCAGTAAGCCAATCCCCGAACATCCAATCCCACTTTCACCCCCCCAATTCTCACCTCTTCTCGCACAGTCTCTGCAGCCCGGCCGGGCCTCACCTACGTCCCTCGCCGCACTCTCGCCTACACTGTCCCTCGTCGAGCCACCGAAGACGGCCCCAACGGTCCCAATGACAAGACCGACCCCGAGTCCAAGCCCTCCACCTTGTCCTCCATCAAGAACTTCTTCTTCGGAGGCAAACCCACCGCCGCGAAACCCAAAGCCCGCAGAGCCGCCGCTCCCCACAAACGCGAGGGTTCCCTGAGCGCCGACTCCATCTTCGCTGAGGATGAAACCAGCCCTAAGCTCTCCCCCTCGGGCCGTACCCCGGCCGCTCGCAAACAAGCAGGGCAGACCGAGGAGGGAGACCAAGAGGTCAACTATTCGGTTGATGTTCGGAACCGGGATACCTTGCAGACGGTGCTGGATCCGAACCCGAAGGCGCGGATGCGCTGGGAACGCAAGATGGTGGCTCGTGAGATCCGTCGTCGGGGTCGTATTTCCCCGACCGAGTTGATTATGCGGACGGAGCGCGAGTCCCTGTCCAAGTCGCATTGGTTTAAGACTTCCGTGAAGAAGTTGGGGCCCCTGGCTCGGCAGATTGCTGGCAAGAATATCGATGATGCGATGTTGCAGATGCGTTTGAGTAAGAAGAAGGCTGCTAAGGAGGTGTTGCAGCATCTGGAGCATGCTAAGAATGTGGCTGTTGTTCGCTCCGGTATGGGATTGGGTGCTGTTGAGGGTCAGGCGGTTCAGAAGCCCGTTACGATTACCCTCAAGACTGGTGAGCGCAAGACCATCTCCGACCCGACTTCCATCTACATTGCACAGGCGTGGGTGAACCGTGGACCGTACGGATATGATTATGATCACCGCGCGCGTGGTGTCATCAACATCATGCGTCCGCCGTACACCTCGCTGTCGGTTGTGCTGAAGGAGGAGAAGACTCGTATCCGGGAATGGCAGAACCGGGAGGCCGAGGAGTTGCGTAAGCGTAAGGCCCAGCTCTGGACCCAGTTGCCGGATCGCAAAATCACGGCCCAGCAGCAGTACTACAGCTGGTGATTTGATTATCGAGTGTACGGGCACCGGGTGACATGTTTGATTATTTTCTTTTGGCGTTGTTTTGTGTTAAATATCTAGACCTAAGAAGCCTCTCGATCTGTGATTCATTCAGCATGTGTTTTATACTAAATCGCCACTCTGTTTCGGCAATCAGAGTGGTCGGTCAAGAATTCAATGTGTACAATACTATATACTCTTCCTCTCCATCCTCCTATCTATCATCTATCCAACAACAAAAAAACAAAGATTCCCTAATTAGGAACCCCAAACCACATCTCCACCTCCATAACCGGCAACTCCCCCTCCACCCTCTCCCCCCTAACAAGCACTGGAATAACGCCCCCCGTCTCCAACTCAAACCTCCGATGTCCCAGCACATTCAACAAACTCGTAATGGCGCCCGAATGCGCCGTCAACGACAAAAACACCACCTCATCATTCGTAAATATATCCTGCATCAAATCTCTGAAGCGTTTGTCCCGCGCCGAGTTCGATTCCCGGAGCACCGGGTCATACATTTCGTCAGTTTCCGTGAATCCTGCCTCGATGCGATAGAATGGGTATTCGGCCATTATGGCCGATTTGCTGGATCGGCCGTCGCAGGTGTGTTGGCCGATGGTTTCGCGGAGGAGCTGGCCAGCCACCACCATATATCAGATTTCCGGCTGTAATGGGTATTGTTGGGGGGTATAGGGGAGAGAAAGGATATGGGTAAGTACTTACTTCCTTAACAACAGGCCTAAACGGCTCTGTACCCTGCACCCCCAACCCCGAGAAAGTAATATACGCTGTCTCAAGACATCTATTCAATGGACTCACGTAGAAGGATTCCGGAACTGGAATGCCCTTCTTGAGTTGGGTGGCCCAGGTAGAGTGTGCGGTGCGGGCTTGCGATCTCCCGGTTTCTGTTAATCGGGCGTCGGTGTAGGTTGGGAGGAGGGAGTAATGTTTCTGTTTTCAAAGATTAATTATTCGTTGTTCGATATTTAATATGTATGGATTTGGTTGGGGGTTTCTTTGAGTATGGTATGGGAAAAAGGGGCGACATACATCCCATTCCACAGTCCCATATTCCCGTTCCGCGACATTATGATATCCCTCGCCGTGACGACCAAGAAAGAGGACCTTGTAGCAGGTATTTTCGTCGGAAGTGTCGTTAAGGGAGCGGATGTGGTGGGCGAAGCGCTCCCAGGGGGATTTTGTCTTTGTTTCTGGAGTGGTGGTGGTGTCTGTGGGGTAAGAGCGGGGGATGAGGCCGAAGTTGGAGGATGCCTGGGTTCCTAGTGGGTTAGTTTAGGGGGGAATTGGGGATGGATGGATGGACGGACGTAGTCAAAGGTGCTGGCGTTGGTGGAGGGTTCGCTTTGGTAGAAGAAGCCGGGGACGGTGGAGAATCGCCAATGCGATTTGGAGGGGGTGGAGGAGGCCATGGGGATTCTATGGGGGGTGGAAGGAATGGATAATTGGAAATTGGAATGAGAGATGATCGGGGATGGATGGATGGGTCTGAGGCCCGCGGAGGTCGGGACGGGGAGGGATGGTGATTGGTGGAAGCGGTTGTATAGCTGTGGGGACGGTTGATCAGGTACTCTCATTTACATCGATCTACTGGTTTGTGATTTCTTGATTAAAAAGGGTTAGGGTTGGATGAGGCACAAGTACCAGCATAGTCAGAATGAATTAAGTGCTAACTTTTCTCTGGTCTAGCAACACATGGTATCAAGGAAAAAGAAAAGAAACGCTAAATAGCTCGACAGAAAGCAAAGTGTATCTCAATCGAACACGCTAAACGTGTATCATCAGCACCAGCTCATTCCTTTCCCCATCAGCCAATGCTTATTGAAAGAGATCATGACGGATTTGCCAAATCTGGAGAAACCTCCAGATCTGCCAAAACATGAACTCAGCCGAGAAGCGAAGAAAATTGACAATTCCAGGAAGCGAGAAACCGGAAACACGCTTTGAAGTACCCGCCAGACAATAGTCCTTGACACAGATTGGTCGTGGACATCGTTGGCTGGTACATCCAAGAAACGGTGGGTTGCAACATGCCGTGTGGACATGGCTTGGTCTCCTGGTTGGGGAGACCAAAGTTGCTTGAATGTTTCGTATACCGTCCGGTTTCCCCTTTCGGCATGGTTGTCGTTGGGCCTGGATCTGATCGTAGATGCGTGGACCAACGAGCTGGACCTGGGTATGGCAATTGCATCGACAGATGCGTTGGGGGTGGATAGGACTGACGTCTCCACTGACGCGCGCCAGCGAGTGGAAACAGCCTGGACTGTCCGTAGACGGCCGGGTGCTTGAACGTGGCGTCGGCCATGGGTTGCAGCGTGCGACTTCTGGTCCGGTTGACTGGATGTCGAAGAGGTTTGCAGTCTCCCCGGCGTGGAGTTGACCAGATCGGCGCTGCGCCAGGACACCGGCGACCTTGGAGTTGGCTGGCCCGTGTTCGGACAGCCAACAGTGCTTTGACAGCTTGCGATTGGCCGGACCGAGCGTGGCGAGTGGTGTCCATATCGAGGATCCATCGAGGAACTGGTGCATGACACGCGGGTGGGATGCCGAAGCTGGACGGATTGATCTTCCCTTGGTCCCAAGCCCCCTGTCGGCTGCGAGACAGGTGACTTGTTAGCGGACGCTGGTATCGTCCTCAAGAGCAGTTGTTCATTGCCAGGGCGATGGATATGCAGTTGAGCGTTGACGGTCGACTTGACTGCCATGTCGGCAGTAGAAACAGCCTGTTGGCTGAGAATGGCATGAGAAGCGGCCTTCTCAAGGCAGTTGCACTGTAAACAGATTAGCATATAAATCATTATTCTGGCATGCCGGCTTCACCCACTCGCTTGTGTTGCTTCCTGTGCTTCTCACAAGCCCCGTACTTTCTGGCCTTGATGTAGTTCTCTTTCTGGGCCTGTGACCGAGGCTTCTGCTTTCTTGGGAGGTTGGTGGTTGTGTTCATATTCAAGTCGAGCACCAGTTCCATCCCTCCAACTGCAGGTTCAGGGTTCGAGGCAGGCGTCCGGGCTGTCTCGGATGGGGGAGAAGTCACCGGGGTTGCACAAGTACCACCCTGCGAAACACTTCCCGCCGATTCAGACCACCGGGGTGACGGGAATGTCGTGCTCGAGTTTGACGACATCTCCAGGTCCTGCAGCGCTGCTTCTTGTAGACGCTGCAAATGAATAGCGATTGATGCTTCCATGCGCTTCTCTTTGATGGACAAGGCGCCTGGATCAGCGGCGGCTTGTAGCTCCACCATTTGTCGGACGCTGGCATAGAATTGATCGTCAGCACTGCCCATGTCTTGTAGCCACGAGTCACCAAGTCCTGACCCGATCAGCCCTTGGCTTGGTGCTGGCGGCAGTGTGAGGAAGGACCCGGTGGGATCTAGCATAGGTTGCGAGGCATCCAATGCATGCCCCACATATCCTTCACAGGGCGCGTCGTAGTTGACGATATCGGCGAAGAGATCCTGGCCGCAGACTCCAGGATTCGGGCCCCAGTTGCAGTCATCAAAGTCCGCAAAGGTTAGATCCAGGTCCTTGGGAGAGACCGAATCAACCGAAGTGGGATGGCTTCCCAGGCCTCCATAAGGGACATCAAAAGAGTTGTCAAAGTCAAACCACTCTTCGCTAGGAGTCGAGTGACCGATGGACTGAAGCAACTGGTCGGCAGCCATGATCGAAGGAGGGACAAGGCCTTGAGGGGGTTTGACAGCCTGGGGATTCAGGGTGACTGAAGGACGTGCGCCTGATAAGGAAAGACGATAAACGAGAAATCTTTCCTACAGTTGACTCACGTCGAGCCCGATGCTTGGCAGTCCCTGGGGATGGCGACGAGGCACACAACAAAGGAAGGGAGATCAGGAAGTCCTTGAAGAGGGAATGAATCAGGCAGAAAGGAAGACGGAATGCGAAGGATGAGGGGACCGGCGGTGGTACAGTCTTACATACAACCGGCTGGGCGAGGCTCATCTCCTCGGGTCGGCCGCTAGGCCTCTTTCGAGACCCCGACGGTCTGCCGCTAAACCAGATTGGGACCCCGACACGCTCGCTCCGTGACGGGATCATCAATCTTCCGGGCTTGGATGATTGCTGCACTGCCACCCTTCATCTATTTTTGATTGATTCTGATGACCCTGTAGCATATTAGAATGTCCAGAATAGACACGGAGAAGCAGCAGGGTTGCATCATAGCTCACTAGCTGCATAGTTGATCAGGCTATGCTACACACCGCTCACATTTCTCGTCCATTCATTCTGCAATCCCAATCAAGGCTAGCTTCTTAGATCTCTTTCGAGTTAGACCATTCTAACTAAGTTGCTCGACAATGAACAGGCGTTCGTCCATACCGATATCGACGCTTCTGATATCCGGGGAAGCAGTCGTACCCCAACCATGGACCCATGGTCATGTGACTACTCGACTTATGGCCTTGATGCCTGAGTTGATGCCTCAGAAGGCTTTCCAATAGAACTTGGGATTCTTCGAGCATGCAGCATCCCGCAAAATAAAAAGCCCCCAGTCCAAGATGTATTGTATAGTCAGTTGTAATATCAAGGCACATCTTTCTAGCACGAGAAGATCTCTATTTTAGCCCAATCAATGTTATCCAGACTTGACCACCTCTCAAAATACAATACGCCAAACAAAGATCATATCACTCTCTCCATGCATTCATGGTTGACCCACTCAGTGATAAGCATCTTGATTATGGGGCTGATAAGGGGACATAAAAATGGATTAGCGGAGACCTACCTAGATCCTCTATTTAGATACTATGGCTTGACATCGAGCCTATTATAGGAACATCTACAGGACAATATAATCAGAACGATTTATAAAATATCATAGTATCTGCCCCGGATCTATATATGTAGCGACTGATAAATACCAAGGACCCATCATACAATATACAATGCAAATCAATGATGGCTTTCATGATTTGCTTGGATCGTTCTGGAATGGGCCTGATGCAGAGGCAGGTGATGATGGCTATATTAAGATCGTAAGATTCTCCATAAATACCATAGCCATTAAATAACAAGGGAAACGATTGATAAGGAACGCCATAATAACCCGAAACTTTCAAGATAAAGAAACAAAGCCTTGTTTCATATGCGTTGTTCCATGAAGGCTTCGATCTCATAGCGTCTTTATGCGTTTCATATTCATCTCTGCTTTTAGACTTCATTTCATGGCTTTGTCTCGGTCCTTGTCTGCTTGATTCACCGGACAAGCGTGGTCCAGAGATTTATCAGTTCGACCAAAACATGTCTATGTACCTAAGCCAAAAATGTGCAACGAATAAAGCAACTCGCAACAGTCGCTTTGTCTGGTCATCGTTTCATGCGTCTATTCTATAGGCTGCCCTTCATAATAAGTAATCAATAGGAAGGTCATTCGCTAGGGCCCTACTACTTAAGCCTCCGACTATGACCCAAGATAGAGATCGTCGTCACCGCAAAGCAAGACAGACATCTTGAGTGTGAACAAAACGTTATCATCATCATCACCATGGCCGATTCAGATCCCACCACTCCACCCGTGGTCGCCGTACCCGCCATTTCAAAAATCAAGTCCCAATCCAAGAAGACCTCGAAGCGAGATCGAAGCGAATCCGAGACTTCTCCTAGAAAGCGTCCCAAACTCCAACGCCAGGATGCACCTCCTGGGAAGCGTCCCAAACTTCAACACCAAAATGCATCTCTTGGAAAGAGTCCCAGAATCGAAAGCCGAACTACATCTTTACCTAAAATGCGCAGTGAAATTGCCCCTTCCATCTCCGAGCAAGATATACGACAGAGGGACAAAATCCTGAGCGCACTTATCTTCGACCTGAACCACGCGGCGGCGGCCTCGAAACTCTGCCGAGAGGGGAGACCGGCCAAAGTTACCAAATTATTTCATGCCTCGCAGAAGCTCTACGCATCTTGGATCGTGGAAAGAGCTGTTTCTCGTTTGTTGGGGCGTGAGAATCCACAGAGTCCATATTACCGACAGCGAGAAGCCGACCGCCTGGAAATGTTTGTTAAACATTTCGGCTGGAAAATGCTTGCGATCTGTGCGTATGCGGAATCTTTTCGAATGGTAATTCGAGAAGAGGAAAATTCGCAGCTGTGGCAGCTCGTCTATGTCAGAATCAAGAACTTCTCATACAATATTGAGGTCCAGGCATTCCTGCGCGGTCTGGATTGGTATTGCTTGTTGCGTCCGTACTTGGAGCATGATATCAGTGTGCCCGAACTCCACAAAGAAGATCTGGAGCGCGACAGGAAGAAGCTCGCCCAACTCGCACGACTCCGTCCCCACGACATTGTCGTTTATTCCAAGCAAAAGAAATATCGACAACCAAGGCACGAGGGGCGTGTCCAGAGAGACACAGATACCAGTATCTTCGATCCCAAGGACTGGCCTGCTGATCAGACCCAGGACCCGACATTGCGGGAGAACGATCCCGATGGCCTTTGGTATGGGTCATGCGATATGTGCGGTTCGCAAGATGTGTGCAGCTGCCGGATGAAATGGAACTTCTCCGACTATACCCAGCTGGTGGATACCGGCCTCAAAGGGATCGGGGTGTGCGCTCTTGCAAACTTCAAGAAAGGGGATATTCTGGGCGCATTTGTCGGGAAGATCATGCCCCCGGGTTACGAGGGAGACGCTACGTATGCGCTTCAAGTACATTCCAAGTCTTCATCTACTAGTGAAACAAGGATTGCTCTACTTTCTCCCAAGGACTACGGCAACTGGACTCGGTTTATCAATCACTCATGTGAGGCCTCCACGACGTTCGGGTCGAGGACGGTTGGGGACCGAATATTCATGACGATCGAGGCCGTGAGGGACATTGCTATTTTCGAGGAGATCACGATCCACTATGGGAAAGGTTATTGGAGTCAAGATAAGTGTATGTGCGGGGCGAAGAATTGTTTAGAGAGACAGAAGAGAACCTGAATAGAATAGATAAAATGAACGTTACCTCGGCTATTACCTCTGCCCTCTGCCCTGTGCCCTGTGCCCTGTACCCTCTGCCCAGGTCGTAGAATGTCTTCCATTTGGCCCCAAAGAAATGGCCATATTCTTGCAGAACTATCGAGAGTTGAGTTGAGTTGAGTTGAGTTGAGTTGAGCTGCAGGAAGTATCTACTAGGTACTAGCTTGCATGAACCCCGCACGCCGCCACCACCATGTGAGGGGTCACTTCCATTCCACCTCCCATCGGCCTCCTGCAAACTGGCCCAACCGCTACAACTTCTACTCATTTCTACCGAATCTTCTTTCTTCAATTGACCATTGACCATTGACCCTTGACCCTTGACCCTTGACAGACCAACCTTAAGACCTCGTGGCGCCATCCGTTAACCATCCGAGTGCAATCCCTGGTTAAGCCAATCCCGACCCAGCCTGTGGGAAGCCCGAAGCAAGGGGGGGCGAGTACTACCTCCGATCTTAGGCTCCTTCGCACCTGCAACGTGCTATGAAGATACTTTTGGCATAGGTCCAGATGCGCGTTTCGTCTGTCAACTGTCGGGGGCTCCTTCGGGGACCGTTCCTAAGGAGCGGATGCCTGGTGAGGAGGCCCTTGCAATCGGTGGCATTGTCTGGAAAACGGGACCTGCTAACAGAAAGCTATGCTCGGGGGCCTTTGGAGGTAGGCACGCACCATATCATTGCCAATGGATTCAGACCTTGCTAATCTGCTGGCATGATTCAAGCCTCCATTGCTGGAGACTACTGTCGGGGAGCACTTTGCGAAGATTGTCGACCAGTACGGCGATAGACCAGCGTATGTTCTCTAACTTGCTTCAGAACTGGGATCTCCAGAATCGGCATGCTGACCTGGCCAGTGTCATTTGCAAACATCAACATGATCGAGTGTCTTACACTGCCCTCGATGCCAAAAGCAATGCTCTTGCGCGTGGTCTCGAGTCCATCGGCGTACGGACGGGAGACCGAGTGGGTGTCATGCTAGGAAACTCCATGGAACACGCCATTGTATGCTGTCACCAACATTTACATTGGGTCTATCATACTTACCACCTACCGACAGGCAACCTATGCGCTGTTCAAGCTTGGCGCTATCCTGGTATGTAGAGCCTTGATTATCACCAGGGCGATATTCTGATCCAGCATAGGTCCCTATCAACCCATCGTTCAACGCAACCCAGGTGGTCTCTGCGCTGGCGCATCTGGAAGCCAGCCATCTCATCCTCAGCTCCGAATCCAATCTGCCGCGGAAAGATCCAAGGAGCAACATCCCACTCCTGAAGTACCTTGTTAAAGACCTCTCCAAGCCGAGCATCGAGTCAGAAGTGGTTCCCACACTAAAGGGCATCGTTCTCGTCGATAACTCATCTGGCCGCGTCAATACCTCCGACTTCAGAGGCCTTGCAGCCTACACATCGCTCGTTTCCGACGCCCCGTCTGACCGAATCTCCCTGCCACCTCGCAACTTCTCTCCCACCGACATTGTCAACATCCAATTCACCTCCGGAACGACAGCAATGCCAAAAGCAGCATGCTTAAGCCATCGTTCTATTCTAAACAACGGGTCCCAAATCGGTGACAGGATGCGTCTCACCCCAGAGGACATTGTGTGCTGTCCTCCCCCACTCTTCCACTGTTTCGGATCTGTCCTGGGATACATGGCTACCGCCACCCACGGCGCAGCCATCGTATTCCCAGAAGAATCTTTCAATGCCCGAGCATCTCTGCAAGCCGTTCAAGAGGAAAAGTGCACTGCACTATACGGCGTTCCGACCATGTTCCTCGAAGAGCTTAGCCTTCTCGATGAAGGCGAGATCCCGAACGAGGGGTTCCAGTACCTCAGAACCGGCATTGCAGCCGGAAGTAGCATACCGGCGGAGATGATGAAACGACTGCACAAGGTACTGAATCTCACGGAGCTCACAATCTGTTACGGAATGACCGAGACCAGCCCCGTTTCTGCAATGACCACCACGGACGACCCCGTCGACAAAAGAATCAGTTCCGTCGGCAGACTACTCCCGCACGTCGAGGCAAAGGTCGTGAACCTGGAAGATCGCAGCCAAATCGTGCCCATCAATGTTCGCGGAGAGCTAGCAGTGAGCGGGTATCTTCTGATGAAAGAGTATTGGAAAGACCCCGTCAAAACCGCCGAGGTCATGATTCCCGACGAGAATGGGAAAGTATGGATGCACGTAAGTACTACACTCCACTCCCAACACGATCGCCATCGCAACTCCTCCCTGACTTCCCAATTCAGACAGGCGACGAAGCCTCCATGTCCCCAGACGGCTACGTCAGCATCACCGGCCGCGTTAAGGACCTCATCATCCGCGGCGGCGAGAACATTCACCCCCTGGAGATCGAAAACTGTCTCTTATCATATCCCGGCGTAATCAACGTCTCTGTTGTGGGCGTTCCAGATGAACGATACGGAGAGGTTGTAGCCGCGTTCATTGTCCACCGTGAGCCCGAAGGAGAGCTAGCAACGGAGGAGAAGATCCGGCAATGGGTTGGTCAGAAATTGAGTAACCATCTAGGTATGTCTCTTTCATACTGTAAGCTTAAGCCAAACTAACCGACCTAGTTCCAAAATACGTATTCTTCCTCCAATCAACGGACGCATTCCCCAAGACTGCAAGCGGCAAAGTCCAAAAGTTCAAGCTTCGAGACATTGCCCTTGATATTCTGAAAAGGAGGGGTGACTCAGTATGATATCTTGACTGCTCACGGAATGGCAAGCTATATAGACATATGCAGGCTAGGGGGAGTGTAGGATATGACTACTCAGGCCATAGGAACATTCTGGACAGGGGAAATGTGACTAGTAATTCAATGGATACAAAGTACTGAATATGGATTCTCTGAACCTCACACTCCATCATACATAGTAACAAGTAACTGGAATGTTCCTCGCAACACTCCAAAGCTTCGTAAAAGCAAATATACCTATACCCAAAACACCAAACAAATAAAACCAACCACAACGATGAAAAAAAATCCTCATTGAACCCATTCCACAATAAACCAACAAGACTTAACCCCCAACCCAAATTCCAATACCAAAGCAAGACCAAGATACTCCAACCAAGAACCCATGATCAAGGCCCTTAATGGAAATATCCATCCCGAATCCACTCATAACATGAGTAAATCTCAACACAACAGATACATCCATACATCCAATCCATTCTTCGGTATATGTTGATAACCAAGGTAAATCGATATTAGGGCATTCTGCTCCCCAAAGAGGATGATTCGAGATAATATTCCAACGTGGTTGGTTATGGTGCTTGCTTCTTCGCTGATTGTCCAGTATGATAATCTGGATGTGGTTGGAGGTGAGATACTCGTCTGATTATATGAGGGTTTGTTGTGTGATTGTTGTTATGATTGTTGATGTATTGATAAAGATTGGTTTTTGGTGATGGTCCGCCCGCCCGCCCGCCCATCTGGTGGTCTCCCTGCTGAGGAATTATTTGGTTTGGTTTGATTTGGGGTGTAGTTATGCAGAGAGTACCGAGTGAGGTATGTAGTCGTGGTAATGGTTGTTGTTATAGTCGTAATCATGATGGTGGTGATGATGATGATGATGATGATGGTGATGATGATGATGGTGATGATAAAGGTTGGTTTTGTGGTAATGGTCCGCCCGCCCGCCCATCTGGAAGGCTCCCTGTTGAGGAATGGTTTGGTTTGTTGGTTTGTTTGGTGATGCAGGGAGGTCCAAAGTGAGGTATATCGTTGTCGTGAATGTGAGAGTCGTGATGATGGTGATAATGATGGTGATAATGATGGTGACAATGATAATGGTGATGATAGTGTTATTATCGTAGTCGAGTCGTAGTCGACAAATGGAGACACTCGAACAAATTAAAACGAGTTGTCTGTTGAAGTTGGGTGTATGTCGTAGGCATAATCTATCTGCCTAGAGAAGGAGGTTGACAAGGTCGAACAAAGGTATAAACTGAGAACACTAGTCGTCTCAGCTTGGACGCTCATCTCCACACCATCTCGGATATGGTGTGATGAGCGTCCTATAGTGGTCCATGACCATTTAGGTACGACCCCGACGCCCCATTATGGAGCGAGGAGGAGCAGGAAGAGCAGGACAAGCTCGATGGTCGTGTTTGATAGTCGGGGGATGAAGGGGAGGAGCGTTCCGAATGTATGCCGGAGAGCAGCACTCGATGTTTCTGACGAAAGGGTCTCTCAAGGCTTTATGGATGCTGATGCGGTGACCGGGATGAGGGTTCAACATCTTGAGAATGAGCACCATCAGCTGGATGTTTGGATAATGTCGGGGGTCGGAGATCGGGCCACAACGGGGGTAGCAGTGCTCAGTGATGACGCCGTTCGGATTGGCCCTCATGAACTCTCGCCAGCCTTTCACAAAGGCCAGATAGTCCTGGTCGGTTTCGACGGGCATCTCCCAGGGGAATGGCACGCGGCGGGTTATTTCCAGAGCCACCATGGCACAGCTCCAGACATCGACCTTGAACGGGTCGTAGTCTGCATGGCGGAAGACTTCAGGCGGCGCGTAGCCCGCGGTTCCGGGGCCACTATTATCTGGAGGGCACAGTAAGACCTGATGGGTCTTGGGGTCTCTGAAGATGTCGCTGAAGCCAAAATCGGTGAGTCGGAGAACGCTGTCGTTACCGAGGAGGAGGTTGCCCGGTTTGATGTCGAGATGGGCGATTCCCTGGCTGTGCAGGTTGGCAACGCCACGCAGGAGCTGCTTGAAGAGGCATAACTGATCCTTGACAGGATATCTCCTTTTCTCGAGGATGTCCCAGAGGTCGCCCTGGTTACAGTACTCCATGACATAGCTCAAGTTGTCCTTTCTGATGCAAAGGTCGATAACGTTGATGACGTTTGGATGGCGAGCACATCGGGTGAGGGTGTATTCTTTGTCGATTATCTCATTCCGCTTCTTCTTGCTAATGCCGGCATGCTTGAAGAACTCCTTGACAACATAAGGGTTCTTGTCGTCGCTTTGGCGTTTGTAGACGATGCGCGTTCGTCCATAGCTGCCTTTGCCGAGGACTTTTCCTCGGCACCTGAAGATGCACTTGCGGCTTTTGTAGTTCTTTTTGAAGTCCTTCACTTCTGGTGCCGGCAGTTCGCTGGTCGGTTGGTCCTCCATAAGGTTGAGGGCCTCGTAGTGGCGGCTTTGGGAAGAGTTGGATTCGGAGGAAGGCAGGTTCAACCCCTGGAGGCGATCCTCAAGCTGGTTGGTGCTGTTGTTGAGGAACAAGGAGGAGGGGTGATCGGAGGGCATCTCGGCGGTTTGTTTGCGTATCGAATCGATACGCTTTGGATAGGGATGGGTGGATCTTCTTTCGATCTACGGAGGTATGATATACCTGGAAAGGAGGTGGGTGTAGCGAAGGACTGTCGTCTATATGACAACGAGGGAGATAGCAAAGAAGAGGGAAATGCGAATATCGTAGTCAATAAAGCAAGAAATCGACTGGCAAGGCAAAACAAGCTTGTACTGTAGCTTGGGCTGGCAGCTATCTTGTAGAGCAAGTGTCGAACGATGGAATGCAAAGTGGAGGAGGGAGAGACGTCGAGAAAAGGGAGGGGCTCTAAAGTCAAGAGTCCCAGCAGGGCTATGACGACGGCCATAACGACATAATGAGATGATGAGGCAGGAGAACTATTAGACGACAGCAATTTGGTTAGCCCTCTGGAGGAGTCATTGCTCCCAAGCCCAGAGAGGTCCTTCATCCTACGTAGGTTGGACGGAACTGGTTTCCAGGAAAGGAATAAGATGCACGCCTCAAGGGTCGAGCACGTACAACTATCAATTGTATAGATAGATCACTATTCACAGCGTGAGAAGTGGTGGCAATGAATGGACTTTTGAAGAATCCGACATCATATTGACTATTGAATGGCAAGGCAGGTTGGTGACTCAACCGGACTTGAATGTGCGCAAGATATAGGTAATGGAAGCTGCCAGTATACTCTATAGATGTGAGTCAACATGCTATCCAAGGGATTGCCTCATGGTGTATACTCCCAACCTCCCAGCCCTTATGAACTATAGATAAAACATCTGTATAGTCCGCTACCATACCATCTCTCACGGTGACGGACAACCGACGTCAACCCGAAGCTTCTATATGAGTCAACTGACCCAATGTGGACAATGATTGGGGAAGCGATGAAGACAACCAGTGTATGAGACACGTGACGTAGCCGAGCCATATCCTGGGGACGAATATACTCGCCTCATAGTTTGCGTCTAGACTGCCAGATGCATTCCTGTCAAGGCCACTGTTTGACAAACCATTCTAGCATGAAGGCGAAAGCTCCTGTCCAAGCGAGACGACGAGTTCTCGGCGTTGCAGATACAGACGTCATTGGTTGAGTATTCCCTAGGGGTAATATGGACATGGTCCGTAAGCCCTGCACCTCCAGCGTAGCAGCAATTGCCCGCAACACATCAAAGAGCTGCAAAGCAGACATGATCAAAGACCTGCAGGTAAGTGCGCATTCTCAAGGAAAATGATGGCATATAGCTAGACAAGCAAGCCCTTGGAATGCTCTCGAGCCCATGGCAAGCACGAGAAAACCAAAGCACCTTGACCTGACAGCTCAAAAGTCCTGTACACCGGTCTCGCCCTGTAAATGGGATTTGATGTCTCCATCGTCCGCTCCATCCACAAGCCACTCCGGTTCTTCATCGTCAAAATATTTGTCTTGCTCGACGTTCCAATCATCGTATTCATCATTATTGTCGACCGTGGCATAATCAAAGTCGCTGTCCTCACCCCTCAGAAACCGCAGGGTCATCTCCCACCGCCATGCCTTCTCCCCTTCTTCCTTGTTGGGCGGAATTTCGTCGCGGTCCTCCGCGAGGATCTCTCCGTTCGGGCCCCGCGTATAGCTGAATATCGAGTGAGGATCGGGATGGGAAAGCGCCTCGAATTTGGCCTCAGATCTACACAGGTCCGCTTGCAGCACACCCGAGAAGCCTTTGGCACGTCCTTCCGCCTCCCTCTCGGCTGGGGTCTGGAACCGGCGGATTAAGCGATCATACAGTAACGGGTCTGCACGGCTGGAGTGTTAGCTTGGCTTGAACACCCCCTGTCTGCGACAGGGCGACTGTATATGGAATCAATCAGTCTGAGAAGAGGAAGACAGAGCGAGCGGACCGGCAAGCTCGAGATCAGCAGAGAAATACTCCGGGTGCATGTCCAGGTAGCGCTTGCGACGGTTCTTGACTTTGGTTGCCGCCGACGGGGACCGGGCTCTTTTAGCGGTGGTGGGCTCCATCTGGGGAGAGTCTGCGTCGGGATTGACGCCTGTACCCGTGGGGAAGTGAGGCATAATTGGTGGGGGATTGCAAAGCAGGCTGAAGAAGCCACCAGGATTCAAGGTATTCCAGGATTCCAGGTGGGACGTCGAACTCCGAATGTCGCGGGGGACTAAACCCCTTCGGGCCGGAAGGGCGCGGGCGGCAATTTATGAAGATGATCATCTTATTATTCATTGCCCAGACTTCATCCAACGAATGACAGTCCCCAGACCAGTCGACTTTCTATCTGAGAAGATTCGGTAAGTCTAGTCTCGTTCCACTTGTTTCAGACTGTGTGCTGCGGTGCTCAGGGTTGATTGTTTGTCTGGGTGCGTGGTTGTGCTGGCGTCTGTCTGTTAAATAGGAGCCAACTATTCAACATCTAACTATCGCGATGGACCTATACTGACTAGCTCTTCAGAACACTCTAATTGATCGGTCTCTCTGGATCCCATCCAGTGCCAGAGACCTGACACCATGTCTCTTGCTGGTCTCCTGCAGCAGCCCACCACCCGGCAGCTGCTGGTGGGCACGGCTCTGCTGTTTCTGACGGCCTTCTACTCGCCATTGACGGTGTTGATGCTGACTCCCGTCTATGGATCGGCTCCGGCGCATATTTTCCATGCCTATGGATTGGCGCTAATTGGTGCTGCTGGATGGTTTTTGAAGGATCACATCCAGCGACTGACCGGCCGCCAGGCCCTCTACCTGGTCCCAGTCGTGGCATTCTGGGTTCCTACTGTCCAGACCTTCCTGTTCGCCTCAAGCTCTGTCGTGGGCAACCCATTCGGAGCTGTAGTAACCGAGGTCATCTCCTACTACCCTCTGGTTCTGCTTTCTGTGGCCTCCGCTAGTAAGCTGGTCCAGGCGGGCTTGGATCTGGGCCGGCACGGTGAGGCAGTCGTTGAACATGTTCCTCTCGTGGTCACCTATGTCATCTACAAGACGGGCGAGAAGTTTGCCAAATTGTTCCTGGCTAAGTTTATTGGCACGACCTTCCTCTTTTCTCGTGTTGGTCTCCAACTTTTGCTGCCAGCCCTGTACTCTGCCATTGCCCCTTCCAAGCTCTTGCTCCTCGCTATTCCGTCCTTGCTCTTCTCCATGACGTCCAACGTGCACATGCACACCGGAGCATTGAACTCTTTCCTCAACGACGAGGGCTTCGACCTCCTGGCTCGTCAGGACTCCTCCACCGGCTATATCTCCGTCCTGGATAACCTATCAGATGGGTTCCGTGTCATGCGTTGCGACCACAGCCTGCTCGGAGGACAGTGGACCAAGATGCCGCAAAACTACAACCCGGCCGTTATGGACCCTATTTACTCGGTGTTCGCCATGCTCGAGGCCATACGTCTGATTGAAACCGATCATGGTGAGCCTCGCGTGGATGCCAACAGCAAGGCACTTGTCATGTAAGCCCACTTGCAACTACCACTACTCACCCAGAAGAACCCATCTAACACACGACCAGCGGCCTCGGCGTCGGCACCACCCCGTCTGCCTTGATTCATCATGGCATCGAGACCACCATCGTGGAAATCGACCCTGTCGTGCACAAGTTCGCCACCGAGTACTTCCACCTCCCCTCGAACCACATCGCCGTCATCGAAGACGCCACCGCCTTCGTGCAGCGCACTCCCCCAGCCCAATACGACTACATCGTCCACGACGTCTTCACCGGCGGCGCCGAGCCCCTCGAGCTCTTCACCCTCGAGTTCCTCGAGAACCTCGGCTCCCTCCTCAAGGACGACGGAGTCATCGCCATCGTAAGTTCCCATCTCCCCCTCCACACCCCCAAACTAACCCACAACAGAACTACGCCGGCGACATCTCCCTCTACCCCGCCGCCCTAACCGTCCGCACCATCCAACGCGTCTTCCCCACCTGCCGCATCTTCCGCGAGACCTCCGACTCCGACCTCACCACCGACTTCACCAACATGGTAATCTTCTGCAAGAAGAGCGCCGCCACCCCGCTCACTTTCCGCGCCCCCGTCACCTCCGACTACATGGGCAGCAAGTTCCGTCAGACCTACCTGGTCCCGAAGCAGGAGATCGATATCAACCGATTCGAGGCCATCGAAAAGGGCGGTCGTCGGTTCCTCCTCTCCAAGGAAACTCATCTGCTAGGTAAGTACCAGGATCGGGCTGCCTTGGAGCATTGGAATATTATGCGTCATGTGCTTCCGGACTTGGTTTGGGAGAATTGGTGATGGTACTTAGGTTGCTTATCTATCTACCCGTTTTCCGTGAAGGGGAAGTTTTGGATTCAAATAGTTGTATTTCTAGGTCATGTTTTTAGAAACAAAATCAATACATGTATAATTCTCGTTTATGATTATTTGATATATGGTTATGATAGCTTTGTCACTATCTCATGACTCTAGCTCTGGCTACGTCTACTAGAAGACGAACTAAAGCACATAACTTGTATAACTTGTTTCTATGATATGAGAAATACATACAAATAGGTAAGGAAAGAACATTCTGACTCCAGAACCCGCGCTAATGAAAATACCTCCCAACCATACACCCCATACACCCACCCACCTATTCATCAAACAACTAAACAACCAAAGCAAACATGATTAAAAAAAGAGGAAAAGGAAGAAAAGGAAGAAGAGAACGATATTATTCAAGAAAAAGGGAAAAAAAAAGAAATATGTGATTCATCTCATCTCCGACTCCTATAAAATCCAGCCTAAGCCATTCTGGTATCACAAACGAACGAGAAAGCGAAAACGAGATGTCACCAAGCTAGAGTTCCCCTCCTCCCCCAAAGCCCCCGCACCCTCATTCTTCATCCAATAGGTATGTGTATGTATGTACTGCATGCAAGGTGGAATAAAATTACAATCCAACAACATCGACAAGCTTCCCCCCCACAATTCGACGTCTAGTGAATTGGTGATGATGAAGGAGTTCATGCGGATGGGCTGCCGCGGGGACTGGCCCCGGGTTTCTTGACGAGACCGGCGAAGAAATTCGCCAGGGCTTGGTTGTGGGCTTTTTCGTCGCCGGCGGAGGTGGTGATGGTTTCTTTTCTTTGGGCGCGACTGGCTTCTCGTTCCTGGTTTCAAGGTGGTTAGGTGGGTTTGTTCGGGGTTCTGGTGGGCTGGAGGTATGCTTACTTTGAGCTTCCGGAGCATGTCGTCGGCGTCGACTTGGATTCCGCCCATGTTGAACTGCACCGGGCCAATGTGCTCGTTGACTCTGCCGTTGTCGTCTAGTGGGGACATCTCGAGCTGAGGGACCTTCTTCGCGGCGCGGTCTTTCTCGTCGTCCGCCTTCAATTGCTCGAGGACCTCGAGTTGCTTGGTCAGGAAACTTTGCATGTCGGATGTGTCCACCTCGACCTTGTTGCCGTTTCGCTGGCTCCCTGGATGTGCCATCGATGTGTCCCGCTTGGGGTCTGTGATGGTCTGCTCGAAGATAGTGACGGCGCTCGTTCCATCGTCCATTGGGTTCGTGCTTGGGTCTTCGGGCTTGCTGTCGTCGGCTCCGTTGGTGAGTGGCTCGGGAGGATCCTGGATCTCGATCGACCACGCTGTCGATACACCTTCCATGTCGAAGCCTTCGCGAATAATCCGGATTTTGCCCCAAGAATCCCAATTTGAAGGGACCAGGATCTTGTCCCGATCAATCACGTTATGTTTGAGCGACTGTCTTTTTAGTAAGGAGTGTATGCCAAGTGAGGAGTGTATTAGGCTCTGCAGGGAGTTGGCAAGAAAGGGGGTGGTGTAAATCAACGACGCGCCGTCTGTTCTCCGTTAGAATCGAGCTCGACCGGTGGACTGCTGTCCTTACGCTTTAGTAGTAGTGTTCTCATGAACTGGAGGATGAAGTCGAACTGCTCTTCGTGCCATCCATGGTCCTTCTCCAGCTTCTCAATCTTGTCCGCCTGTGTGATGGGAATAACCCGTTAATACGAGTGCTTCCCGAATGTCTTCAACGGACCAACGTACCCCTTGGCAGACCACACACATGGGGATCCCGAGCCCCTCGTCCCACTCGCCAGGTCCCAGCGGTATCGTCACAGGCCCGCCCGAGCTGGTAAACCCTTGTGCGCCCCCGAACTCGGATCCATGCCTCGTTTCCGATCCCTCCACTCCGTGAGATTATCTTCCATAACGATCTTCGTCTCGTCGTCGAGCGATATGAGCACGTGTCGGAGAAGGCGCACCCATTCCCGGAGTCGCCGAATCCATGTCCACGGGTCTGACCAGTCCAGCAGGATCACGACGAGAGTTTCCGGAATCGACTGAGGGGTCAGGAGAGGTTTAAGAAGGGGGGCGAACGACAGAGACGGCTCAGAGAGTAAGTATGCGGAGACGCGCGCCAGGGTATCTATTTGCCGAGCATCATTCATTCAGCATCCATCCAACACAGAAAGCTATTCTCATCGAACCAGGAGCAATCAATTACCTTCGTGGTCCGCATCGAGCACATCCTGATATGTATATCCCAAGGCGAACTGGTTGGCGACCGGCGGAACCCTCCCTTTTCGCTTTTCGTTCGACAAGCTGGGATCCGACGAATCCGCGGCGAGTGTGTCCAAAAACTCTCTTTGACTCTCAGGCGTGCCTCCTGGAAACAGCCAGCTATTAGCGACCCAGAACGTAAAATGTCGAGAACACCGTGGGTGACGGAAACCAGGGCTTCGCACCTAGGATAAGCAGATTCTTCTCAGGTAGACGCTTTCCATTCGCGACACTATCTAGCATAGAAGACCAGATGTTCTTCTTGGGGCCATCCTTGCTCGACGGCCGGCTATTGTTTCCGGTACCGAACCTGGACCCGGGTATTTGGTTTGATGCAGACATCGTCTGTTCGAATTCGACCGGGGTCAGTTGGCGCAGACCATGCCAAGTAATGTCCAAGCGGAGGTGAGACTATCCCGACGGCTTCGACGCGTGAGCCGCGGAGTTTGGAGGGATGGTGGATATCGGTGCAGCAAGCGGATTGGGGTCAGGGGAATCTGGCGTAGGGGTCGATCTGGAGCGATCAAGGCGAGACCGCGACCAAATTTCCCACCCGAATGAGCGGGACCGTAGATAAACTTGCCGTTGCGTGTGAATCACACCGACGGTGGGGTGTCGGTTCAGGAAAGGCGGTTCTATCGAGAAGAACGCAAGTCGGACTCCAGTAAACAACAATCCAAGTCGGCGTCCTTGCGGGTGGGACCCTCCCGCGGAGCCAGCCCGTGATGAGCTGAACCCGCCAGCTTTTCTGCGGCATGCGGCTTCCATCCTACCTCTCTCACACCTCTCCCCGCTCTCGCCACTGCTGTCCTTGGCCCGAACCTTGATTGCTGGGGTGTACTGGCTCGCTCTTGCGACTTCTTAGTCAATATGAATAACATCCGTCAAGTCCAGGCGCTCAATAAGCGCGAGCTGGAAAATGCCATGTACGTCCGGCACTTCCTCAGCCCAGATCACCGCTTTTGCTAACCTCTTTGGATGGCATTAGATCTCCAGAAGCTTCCTGGCATGCAGATTACAGAGACACCGCTTACATCTACATCGGTGGACTGCCGTTCGACCTTTCCGAGGGTGACATTGTAACCATCTTTTCGCAATACGGCGAGCCGGTCCACATCAACCTGATGCGCGACAAAGAGACTGGCAAGAGTAGAGGATTCGCCTTCTTAAAGTACGAAGATCAGCGCAGTACGGATCTTGCTGTCGACAATCTTGGCGGGGCAACAGTCCTGGGGAGGGTGCTACGCGTGGACCACACGAGATACAAGCGCCGCGACGAGGAAGAGGAAACGGACAATGTCGCAAGGCTTATGGGTGACACGACCGGCAAGGACCATGATGACAGGGACACGGATGATGAGCGAAGAAAACGGAGGAAGAGAAGGACAAGTGAGGGCGAGCCCCCAAGGCGGCCTTTGCTCAAGGAGGAGATCGAGCTTGAGAAGCTGATCAAGAACCACGACGAGGAAGATCCCATGAAGGAGTTTCTCATCGAGGAGAAGAAAGAGGAGGTAGCGCGGGCCTTGGAGAAGGTGCGCAGCAGCGAAAAGTCCTCACGGAGACGAGACAGCCGCGAGAGATCAAGCCGCCATCACCGGTCTCACCGTCGACGACACGACGATGACCGCGATTCGGAGAGAAGACGCCGGGATCACCGCTCGCCTAGGAGAGAAGACCGATCATCTAGAGCTAGGTCTCCATCTAGAAGGGAAAGGTCCAGCAGAGACAGGACGCCGGTCGCATCGCGATCCCCCGAATCACGAAGACACCGCGATAGACACGATCGGCAACGTTAAATTTCTGCAAAACAGCTATCTAACTATTAAATATGCTAATAATGGTTGAATCCCTAAACTAATCTTGGCAGAGAGCCACCAAAAAAAAACGATCTCCAGGACCTTCGGGGCGAAAGGGTCAGCCAATGCCTAAATTGGAAATGCAAGCTGGGAAATTGGGCTCCTGCTTGCCCATACGATCTTGGGCTCACATCTGGATCCGTGCTCATCAGCATACGCATTCTTGCCTGTGCTGGAATGACTGTTAGCCTGGCATAAACCGTATAGGTAGTGCTGTGAACATCAACTTTTGAATCCGTGGGAGCCAACGGAATCATCAGCTGCCTCCCAGATACCTCTTCCAGCCTTCTCTCAAACAGTACCGCTTGCCATCGTCCCCTTCGCGAAGAACAAACTTCTCCCAACGGCCATCCCTACCGGAACCGATAACAAGAATGGTTCTTTCATCAGGCCAACCGATCACACCCTTTGACGGTCCCCCGAATGAGGTACCCAGCGGCGGAACATAAAGTGAACCGGGCGGCGCTTCGTCGCCGATTTCAAAATGGGCGCTTGCGAACGAATACACATCCGAGAATACCCTTGGCAACAATGGGATCTTCCCAAGGATACCCCATTTCTGGTTTGTTGATTCTTCGGTCGGAGAAGCTGTAGATTGAGATCGGTGCATGGGGATCCGAGGATGCGGAAGGTCAAATACGTGCAGGGTCGATTTATCAGATGTCACAGCTAAGAGAAGATTCGAGGGCGAAATGGCAAGCGAGAATATCACTGCATGATCGACACCCCGTCGTAACTCAGCCATCTTGGTGCAGTTAGCCGTAGAAAACACCCGTACTAAAGTCCCCTAGATTGCATTTTGTCAATAGTCCGCGCCGCGTCCATAACCGTAGGAGTAGGTCCCTACCGCTTCACTCGCCGTTGCCAACACCTGACCGTCCGGACTCAAAGTCATCGCGCGCAACGGCGTACTGTGCGCAGGGATGATACTAACATTCCCCGTTTCGAGCTCCACCAGTTGAACCTGGCCAGGTGACCGACCCGGGAAAGCGAGCAACTTCTGCCCCAAACAAGCCAGCCCCAGTGGGTTATCTGTCGTCTCAAAAACAGACAGCTTCTGCGGAGGATTGGAAAAAGCGAAGATATGTATGCTATTTAAGAGAGCGACAACAATCCGTGACTTCGACAACCGTACACCTAGAACCGAGGTGCGGAATTCCAGTGTGATCACTGCTTTCTGCTTCGCATCGTCCCATATAACCAGCTGCGTGGATATGTGAGTATAAGCGGCTTCTCGCAAGCCAGATAGCTGCAGATTCTCGCGCACCTTATTCTGAGGGAACTTCGGCTGTCTTCCTCCGCCCACGATAGCTAGGTAGTTGGACTGGTTTAGCATCGTCACCACACCGATGCCGGCATTGAAATCTGGAAGGCGTCGATGGCCTTAGTTATCCGGAGCTTCAGGAGGCTGGGGATGAAACTGTCATATACCTCTTGATACTTTGAGTTCGCATGGTTGGGTATTGAAGACTGTCCATAGAGATCAATCTGTTCTCAGCTTGTTATCCTGGTAGGGAATCTAGTTGCAGGAGGCGCATGGCCCAGGACTCACCACAGAAGCCGGTGTCCAAGCCAACGGCAAAGCAAGAATTATCATTATTGAAGGTAGCGGAGAGTGAGAACGGCCCCACAGACTCATCGATCACTTGTCGGGTATTCATCCTGCAAGCCAGGAACAGAGGCCATGAGAGCTCTCGATGTTGAAAGTACAGGGTAGGCAGGAAACTAGAAGATCGACAGCGGTCGCTGACCTCACCCGGACATCAGTAGATAAGGTCCGGGGGTCCGCTTTTGGCTGGGGATGCCGGGACTGCAGCGGATTCCGGAGCCAATGAACTGCTGGCGCGGAATGGTGACCTGGCCAACGGAGCAATCAATGCACATCATGTTCACCCGAAGGAAGGAGATTCTCGATGAAGTCCAAGGAGAAAAAATAGGAGCCCTTCTCTGACAAGGGCGTATATTCACCACCTGTGTGTGATAAGGAAGGCCTGAATCTGATAGCATCTTATTTTATGCCTGAGGCACCTATTCCAGGCGGTATTGTATTCTTACCGCTACGGCGGCCCGCAGCGACCCACGGCGGCGGTGGAAACGCCTTCTGCTGCCCCCGACCCCTGAGAAGAACTGGGGGAGGCCACAGAAGCTAGCCAGACAATGCAGCAACCGCCCATGCTTTAAACCTCTTGGGTCGTCGCTCTGGACTCTGGCGAACGGGTTGGTGGAGAGTATGTGACTCGACTCAAAGTAACTAATCACATGTTGAGTCCAAGCACATTCGACGGTGTGGAGACCTGGAAGATGTGGTCTCCGTCGAAAGACAATAATTGATGATCACGGCGTCCCCAGATTGGACAGGTACCATTGTGGTGATGGAGATACCCAATTACCCAAATACAGGGCCTGGATTACCTGCCAACAGGTGTATTGAAGGGCCATTACTCCGTACAGTAACCGTGCCTGGAGCCCATCCATGGGTGGTCGTAAGTGGTACGACCAGTAAGTATCAGGTACTGTTCTGAGTTACGGGTGGTACCAATATTACCAGCTACCGAACAATCTGGAGAAGGAGCGACGGTGGTGATTGGACCAAGGGGGACTGCAGGGTGAAAGGGGGCAGCCGTGACCGTAAGAGGCGGAACGGGAGTGAAATCAAATCCCCCCCCCCTAACTCCCCTAACTGCCAGATCAGTAGCAAGTGCCAGCCAAACGGCTCTTGGTCACTCCAGCTTGCCAGAGTCCGTCCCGTCGAACCTCAGGGGAGCAACGCCGCCATCCATCTCATCCCATCCCCATCCCATTCATCCAACCTTCATTCCACCCTCTCCCTCCTCCTCCTCCTCCATTCCTTTCCTTTGGCTCAACAACACCTTCATCCTGGTCCCTGCCACTCGCTTTCTCTCATCCTTTTTCTTCAATTCCCTCTTCTCTCTTCTTTAGTTTCTTCCCAAGCCTCCCCTTTTTAATCCACCATGTCTTTCAACGCGGTATGTTGCTTCCTTCCCCTTTCTGGCCTTGTTGCTCTGAAGCCTATCCACGACCACCCCCTCTTTCCCCCCCCAAACCCACCCCTCCAATTGTCCCTAGGACCATTTCATTCTTTTCCTTCATGTCTTCAGGCTCTTGGCCAGAGGGTGTCCATGGTTAATTTCCTGCTCTAATCCCCAGATGAAGCTCCGTCGCAAGAAAAATGTCAAGAAGGGTATCCAGTTCTGTCTGATGGTCTGTGGTGCCAGCGGAACCGGTATGTGTTGGATTGTACAGTTCGCTTTTATTGCAGGATTGACCGGGTTTCTCTTTCGACAGGACGTACCACCTTCGTCAACACTCTTTGTGGAAAGAAGGTCCTAGAAGGCAAGGACTCCGACGACCCTGCCAACGCTCACATCGAGGAGGGTGTCCGCATCAAGCCTGTCACAGTTGGTAAGTCACCGACAAAGGGACTGGGGGGATACATGGCGCTAATAATATCCGAAAGAGCTGGAATTGGACGACGAAGGCACCCGCATCTCCCTCACCATCGTTGATACCCCCGGGTTCGGAGACCAGATTGACAACGAAGCAAGGCACGTGGACCTGGTCGCCTTTTCAACGCCCCTTTTCAAAACTGACCGTCCCACAGCTTCGGTGAGATTGTCGGATACCTGGAGCGCCAATACGATGACATCCTTGCGGAGGAATCACGAATCAAGCGTAACCCCCGCTTCAGGGACAACCGTGTTCACGTGCTCCTCTACTTCATCACACCGACCGGCCACGGACTGCGTGAGCTGGACATCGAATTGATGAAGCGCCTTTCTCCCCGTGTCAACGTCATTCCCGTTATCGGCAAGGCCGACTCTCTCACCCCCGCCGAATTGGCCGAATCCAAGAAGCTGATCATGGAGGATATCGAGCACTACCGCATTCCCGTTTACAACTTCCCTTACGATATCGAGGAGGACGATGAGGATACCGTTGAGGAGAATGCTGAACTGCGTGGTCTGATGCCATTTGCCATTGTTGGCTCGGAAGACTTCGTCGAGATTGACGGCAAGAAAGTACGAGCCAGGCAATATCCTTGGGGTGTCGTGGATGTTGAAAACCCCCGTCACTCGGATTTCTTGGCTATCCGCAGCGCTCTCCTCCATAGCCATCTGGCAGATCTTAAGGAAATTACTCACGATTTCCTTTACGAAAACTACCGTACCGAGAAGCTCAGCAAGAGCGTCGACGGTGCTACTCCGTACGTATTCTGGAGTGTTATCGTGATGATCAGTGAGGTCAAAGCTAACCCATAGCCACAGTACACAAGACTCTTCGATGAACCCAGAAGACCTAGCATCTCAGTCTGTTAGACTGAAGGAGGAACAGCTTCGCCGCGAGGAGGAGAAACTCCGCGAGATCGAACTGAAGGTGCAGCGCGAGATCGCCGAGAAACGCCAGGAACTGCTGGCTCGTGAGAGTCAGCTGAGGGAGATCGAGGCTCGCATGGCGCGTGAGGCAAGCCAGAGCCAGGTTGATAGCACCAACGGCGATGCCTGAACTCCCCCCGACCCTGTCCCCTGGGGGGAGACGGATCTTGCATGTTGACCCCAGACGCCGGTTGTGCCTATGTAATGAGATTCGTGGCACGGCAGTTGTGACTGTCGACGGGGATAATATTAGTCGACCGTTTATTCACGTTAATAGCTTTTATCTGAAAGGGGAGGGGAAATGCAACGTTCCGTTTATCTTGACGACTGGCAGCGTTCCCCTTTGTGACACAGAGGGATGCGGACAAGAGGTGATGGAATCCTGCTGCTGCTCTGTTCTTTCCCTCTCCCAATTTTGGCTTCTCTCATGTCTTCTTTAATCTGGTCGAAGGATCTCCGACTGTTTCCGTGCCCGTGTTGCGATGTTTGGGGTCAGAGATAGCATCTTTTTAATTGCTGACAGTTGTCGCTGGACCTGCATTAACTCCTTCTCATTGCCATCCCTTCTATTTCCATTTCTGCTTTTGTCGATGAAACCTGTCCCAATCTCAGCAGCGCAGCAAGATTCCCTCTTTTGTCGTTTCATATTCCTTGTGCTCGTGGTTTATGTCTTAATCTTATCATCATATGTCTTAGTTGAATAGTAGTATATGAAGAAAGGTCTAATTATTCTGGTAAGATGCAGTACTTGGAGCTTTGCCGTGTGCTCCCTACCATCTTTTAACAAGAGGGTACTAAGAATCATCACCAAACTTCATCGAACTTGTGAAAACCAAGTTCTTAGATCTCTGAGCACCAATGCAGCTGATCGATGATTGGTGGCGTTCTTTACTTGACTCCAAAGATAGTAGTCGAAATATATAACGAGCCGCGCCGTGAACCTGACATGATCAGCTACTTCAACAATCTTGACTATCTTATAATACCATTGATGTCTTCTTCTATTCTAAGATCTACATACTAGCTGATTGTCTTAGAATAACATCTAGATAGTAATACCATATAGTTATATGCCGCCCATGGAAATAAGCGATTCTTTCCGTCTTGGCATTGAAGATAAGAGATAAGTAGAAATATACAGGAGATCGAGTTGTCTAAACACTCATCTTTGGCTTAGTCTTTAACCCATGGTTTCGAGCATTGGTCTGGGTTCTGGGGTATAGGCTATTGTTGGGGTGATAATTGGGGGTTTGTCTATATTCGTGGTTTGGTTTGGGGTGTGCTGTGCGGGGATTGCTGGAGAAGGGAGTCTGGTTGGGGATTGATGGATGGAAAAGTTTATCTGGTTTATCTTGTTTGATGGTAGGGGATGGTGGAGTGGGATTTGGAGTAGGTAGGTAGAAAGGGGGATTTGCGTAGCGAAAGGGCAGGCAGGGCTTCTGGTGCGGTGCGTGTTGAATGGGTTGCTAGATCTTTCATTTATTCTATCCAAAACAGGGGAGGGGATAAAAGAAATGGAAAAAAATGAAAAGAAAAAGGAAAATGGGGAAAAAAAAAGGAATGAGAGTCATAGAAATCAAGGCACTAGTCCTGAGACTGCTTGTCATCTTCCCTTCCGAGCAAAGCCGATAAGGTCTCCAAAGGCCCGAGCCATGATGTTCGGCCACGGGTTTTAGAGAGTTCATGAGGGCGATATTCTTGGGAGCCTAGAACAATGGCTCCCTCTTTTGGAAGATCAAAATCATCACTGGGACGGCTTTTCGTGAGTTTGAGGACCCGGTTACAGGTCCCCCCAGTACCAGCATCGCAGGGTCCAAATGGATCAGACTTTCCCGTTTTTTCAATAAACAACTGATTTCCCAGCCTTGGCCTGTGATGATTTCCTCCGTGCATATCTGTCAAGTCGCGGATGCATGGCGTACTAGCTAAGAGATAGTTCTCACGCTGTGGCAAAGGAACCCATGCTCCACATACGCTTCCAGGCTCGGGCTGGATCGCATTTGCCATCCCCTGAGAAAACAGCACGAGCATGTCCTGATTCTCACGCACGACGTCACGCCAGCAACTTGCTCTTCCCAGCGGGAGGCGGACTTGTTTCTCCCAAGACGATCTGCAGGCAGCGATATCATATAACTCCCAGCCACGAATGCAATGGCTTTCCAGCATGCGGAAGGAAGAGTTGTAAACGCGCTGAAGTTCTCGTCGCTGCTCTACATAACGGAATATTTCCTTGAGCTTGGTCATGAACATATATGGCTTTTCGTCGCCCTCCGCTTCCCGGAGGACTAAGTTTCGGTTCGCGACGATTGCATTGTACGCTGCTTGTCCGCCATCATGTGACGCCTCTGCAAAAGGAATCACGGAGAGAAGAGTATCTCTATCTGCCTGTCGGGATGCCCACGCGTGGGCAATTTCCAGCACAGCACAGAGCTCGGGAATCAGAAATCCGACTTGGTTGGGAACATCGTAAAGAAGTAAAGGATTCCTCTGAGAGTTCAGTAGTCGATCTTCCAATAAGATATCCTCGTTCTCTACCGATGCAATTAATCCTCTAGGAAAGGTCACTCGGGACCCAATCCCTGCCCCAAACGAGCCTAGGCCGGAGAGGCTTATTGTGGGGGCAATCTCACGCTCGAGACGGACAGTAGTACGGGCCTTTTGAGCTTCGGACGAACAGATTTGGTCAAATTGAGAGTGCTTTGTCCCTGCATGCACACGAGCCCGCGTGCAGTATCCAACAAAAGCCCGGTAGCTTTTCAGCGTATCCACGTCCAATCCCACCATGTTTCCCCGAAGATCATCTGGAATTCTGTCCACCCCAATATAATTTTCGGGAGTTTCGGAGGCGATAAAATGCCACTGGACGCAGTTAGGACTTGACGCTAGTGTTGGAACCAACATCGTTGAATGCCCTTTCAAGATTATGCCATCCGGTAGTTCAAGAGGGTAAAGAATCCGTCCTAAGGTGACCATGACATCAAACGAAAGCTCAAGTCCGACCTCCGCCGTTCGGAGAGGAACGGGATAACCATGAGCTAGACTGCAGTTTCGAAACATAGGAAGCCAACATGAGCCTGTTTCGGCGTCGCTGATCGTGTAAGCCTCTCTCGCAATAGAATAACGACGACGCGGCGATGAGCCTTCGTTCCTCAGAACCCCTCGATATGCCGTAAGCGGGCTAATCTGGGATACTTGGAAGGTACACACTAGCCAGGAAAGTAGCTGGAAAAAGTTGAAAAGTTTCTCAGGGGTGCCTCGAACGTCTATGTCCTGGCCATTATCATTGGCCTCGATTGTATAACGAACCCCGAGATGCTTCAGTTGACCGCTGGATGTTTCTGTCACAAGTTAGATCATGCTGCAGAGAGAAGAAAACAATGTGTCTGATGTTGCCAACAGTCTACTTGAGTGTGGGAAACCTGCTTGTTGCTGTCACGAAACTGTCTCCTATGAGTTTCGCAGCGGACATAGGATCCGACATAGGGGTATGACCTGCATATTCCATAGATAGGGAAGAGACAAGGTCATCTCACCATGATTTATGACCTGGTTCTTGATTGCCTCAAGCACAGCTAGCCCATCAGGACCCCAGAAGCGACGGATATAGTCCTCGCAGGTGGTGGCATAGGCGTTATCAACGGTGCCACTTAATGTGAGAAGAACACCCAAATCCCAACAATCATTGAGCTCAATTCTGACGAACTTTTGCAGATGCCATTCAAGATGTACAGCACATTGAGTCAGTCCAGACGTATCCGTCAGTCCGAAAATATCATTCATGGATTCCTTGATATTGTTGAACGCCGGCCAGAGTCTGGGCGTGTGAAGTTGGGTGTTTGTCGCATCCTGGTTATTTGTCGGACCGGAAGGACGGGACGGTGCCCAACCTCCTTTGGTCTTTCCGAATGTCGTCAGAAGAGAGGATATGTATATATTCTACCAATTCTTCCCGAGGACGTACTTACCGCAGGTTTGCAGGAAGAGCAGGCTACATGCTGGCATATAACACAGTGGGGTTGATTTTCGAACAGCTTGGGCCCGTCTCCGCATTGGCAGCAAATATATAAGAAAGGCATGGGGGTAGATATGCAGGCAGAGGGTGCGTTCAAGGGACCAAGATCCAAGAGGATAAAGCAAGCGCGCAAGAAATGAAAGAGGCAATGGAAGATTCGGTCCAAGGCTGAACGGTCTGGCCTTTTATACGCTGACCGGGCTACGGCGCTAGAGAGCTGCGGGAGGCTGATTGGATGCTCATGCACGAGGCCGCGTGGTTTCAAGGCAAACATGCGTCGGATTCCATCTTATCTACAGACCGGAGTGCCAGCACCACCTGTTCTGGCCTTGTTGGCGAGATATTCTCCAAGCGAAGAGATAAAGTATACGAGTCAGTGATAGAAGCCCAGGAAGAGAGGATAAGATGGTCGCATGACAAGACAACAGGCGCAGCAGCGAAGGCAACTGGGTAATAGGAGGGTGGAATAAACATGTGGTATTTGCGCTTCATTGTACACAGAGATAATGATCAACCTGACCTGATACACACAGATCGAATCAACAACATGGGAGGTATTATAAAAAGGAGATCCTCGGAACAGCTCAAGAAAGTAGAGGCCGCAAATGGGAGCGAAATAGAGCGTAAACAGGACGCAGTGGACATATACCCTTGGTGACGAAAGGGCCATTCTAAGTGCAGTCAAGTAATCATGGAACATGTGCTGTCTCTTCTTCTCTCTCTTCCTACCTCCGTGGGCCTACTGTTGCGGCTTGTTCCAGAAATCCAAACTGGCTACCACGTCTTCACCCGATTCATCTTCATAGGCATACAGAATCTACTCCTCAGTTAGACATGTATAAAGAGACTCTCGTGAACAGGGAGCGACTGACCTCTCGGGTGGAAGAATGTAGCATGCGGATGTTCTTTCCGGTCATAATATGAACGAGTTCACTCGTTTCGATGTGCCGGATTTCAATGAAATTCGACTCAAACGCAAGAATATAAGGGTAGGAGAGAGCAAAGGCGTTGGGGTTACCCTCCCATGAAATCTTCCAGTCGGGCCGTGCGCGCCAGCCATTGCGGTTGACAAAGAAAGAAAAGTCACTGTAGTTCAAAAGGAACTCCCCGTTCATGCGTTCGATATGGATCGGTTTCACGTTCTCCTTGCGCGCAACGAAGTCGAGCGAGGTGTCAGCCTGATCCAAAAGGGACTGTGTCTCGGTGGTCTCGAGACTGACAACCTCGAAACCACGTGCACAGCCGACACAAAGAGTCGAACGAAGAAAGTGAATCGACGACGATTCGGCAGGAATGTAGAATTCCTGTTGTGGCTGTTAGTATGCTGGGTTCGAGAACGGATAGAAGACGTATACGCACCTTGAAGAGCTTCAGACTATCCTGGCCACTCTGGAACATCTTGCTAACAGCGGACTTCTTCTTGCCTTTCGCCAGGTTATCCATGGGCTCGTAGACCTTGATAGTCGTCGATAAAGCCGATGTCTTGACGGAGCACACCAGGTGGCGTCCAAGTCCGATCCCTGCCTTGAAGAAGTTTGCATGTCCTTGGATCTTCTTGGGTCGCTTTGCTACCGTATTCTGGTTTTCACTTATCTCGAGAGCATCCATAGGGTAAGACGATAACGTCTTATTCGAGAGGACCAGGAGTAGTTGATACTCCTCCAAAGTGTCCATCTGTGTAACCTGGCTAACGTCGAGAACTCGTCTGGGCTTAGCCGACTTATCCTTTGGCCAACGTTCAGAAAGGTAAATGCCGCTATCTGTACCATACACGAGCTTCCTGCCACCGTCTACGAAAAAAGTCATTAGCAAACCGACAGCTGACTGTCGAAGAGGTGCGACAACATACCCACTGGAACAAGGCAGTTCACCCGGTTGACGGACGTGAAGAACTTCTCGCAAAGAACAGTCTTGTTGTAGAAATTACTGTTCCGCTCCCTGAGCTTTCTTTGCTGCTCTTCCACCATCTCAATGAATTTCCTCCTCTGCGTAGGAGAAGTGGCGTACAAAGTCTGCTCGTACCCGCCCTTGCCGAGATGCCTAAAGGTGATGGGAAGGCCATCTTTGGTTGTAGGAGGGTTGGCAGCAGTCTTGTTGGGAAGTAAACTCGAGGATGGCCTCTTAGCGACGCCAACCCTGGGGATCACTTCATCCATTTGAGCGATGACCAGAAGTTCCAGAGGGATGGGTTTCCTGTATACTCGGTACTCTTCTCGCTTGTTCACGATTTTGATTCTCACCAGGAGAACTGCATGATCGAAAAGGTAGGCAGTGACCTCAGAACTGTCTGTGGGCGTCTTTTTGAACGCCATTTTTGTCAGCATTTGGCGGTTTTCTTCGGTCAGCTTGAGATCAACGTATTCGCCTGGGGGAAACTTCAAGGCTGAGTTGAGCTGCACGAGGTTGAAATGGTTTTCAGCCCTTCCACTCTCGGCATTGACGCGTGACAAAAAGTCCTTGATAAGCTTAATGGCATTAGGGATGTCTTGCTTGTCAGGGTTGTCGTCCGCGGTGTTTTTAGCCACCTGCTCGAGAAGCAAGGGGTATCTTGCTAGACGAGTGGTAGGCTTGGTGAGATATCCATTCAATTCCAATTTTCGTGATTCTTTAAGCCGTTCCGTCTCCTCAACGAATCTCGCAAAAGCCGGGTTCGATGCCTTTTCCTTCTCAAACTCGTACTTTCCGTATAGCTGATTGGCACCGTATTTGATGAACGGATCGAAGCGAGGCACATGCTGCAGGAATATGTCACCGACTGTCTTGACGACATGATTCTCTTTCTGTCGAGCGTTAAGAGCCTCGCACAATCCGCCGTTGACCTTCAAAACCTCCAAGCAGTTTCCGAATACGGTGCGAATGAACTTCTCTCGTCGATGTTCTGGGATTGGTGAGAGAGTAGCGTTGGCTGCAGACCGCAATGGCCTCATCCAGAAGTCCCGCAAGTACTCGAGATCCTTAACGAAGTCGCGTTCCGTGTACATGATCTCAAAGATGATTTCTTGACGTTTTTTCTCGCGATCGTCAATACTATCAGAGATCTCCTTAGGAACCATGTTGATCCACAGCTTTTGATTGTCGTTATCATCATCATCTCCGTGCAGACTGCCCTTGGAGGCGGACGAACGGAGTCCCGGCTGCGGTTTCAGGTTGAGTCTAGCTTGTTGTTCCAGCCTTCTGGGGCAAGCAATTGAGTAGCATAAGCTGTCACGGGTACATGTCGGCGAGTAGCATTCGGTCAATAGGGTGAAAACTCCATTTACATCCGAACTGGGTGCTTCCTCCCCCATGGTTTCTTTGAATTGGTAAATCTCACCGGGAGCATCTCGGAGCCGGTGATCGTATGTCACATCGTGGAAGAACTTCTGCGCATCCAAAGCGCGCCCCAGCAGAAGAGCCAAGTTGCGATCAAGAGTCTTGATGATGAAGCCAATCAAATCCACCGCCTCCGCACCACTGAAGGCATTCTGATATGACAGTCCGTTCTTCTGCCGTTCACCGAGCGCAATCCTCTCACGGAAGACGTCTGCCACTCGCGACAGCAAGGCTGGGTAAACTAGCGGCACTTTATTCCGACGAGAATTGCTTTGGACAAGAGTCGACTGGTTGCTTGGTTTCTGAGCAATCTGACTTTGCATGCTCATAGTACGATCCGGTACAACAGTGGATGCCATAGACATGGTACGTGAATTCATGGAACCATCGCTTGGGGGCCGAGGCTTTCCGCCGACATCGTAGGCGCTCGTCGCATCCGCCGGATATGGGTTTTCTGGGGGCTCGCTAGGACCAGAAGGCTGTCGTCTGGGCGGAATCACCCGCCCAGTCTGTGTCGTATGGGCATGGTCGCGATCAGTGGCATACGTGGTCAATGACATGGAGCGCTCATTGTGATGTCTCTCCGGGACTGGTCGTCCTTGGGGTGTCATAGGGGCTGCTGCGTTATAAGGCTTCTGGCGGGAATATTCTGCAGAAGTATGATTGAAGCCACTGGATGGTGGCTGATACATCGGTGGCCCTCCTAACCTTGCCATTGACCTTGATCTGTAGCTGTCTGAGTTCAGGGCCGGGTGGGGCGGCGGTCGAGCATAACCCTTTGGATCCGGGTATTGTGGCCCGGGGTTCGGTCTCGAATCCAGCCTTTGCGGTTGAGGGTAAGCAGAGCGTCCGGGATAGGGTCGCGGGGGTTTTGTGAAGGGTGCTGGGAAGTCATCGTAGCTGCGCCTCCGCCGTACGTTTGGTAGCGACCGTTCGGAGTTCCCGGGGCGTATCCATTCTGCATCTGGCGCGCGGGTGGTGGCGGACCCCTCTGCATTTGCGGGTGCGGCACGTGTGATGACATTGTATGGGCCCGATCCTGGGAGAACTGGGGAGTCTGGGAGGTCATAGTTTGAGAGCGTCCAGGTGCTCCGCCGAAAATCTCGGAAAATGCTGCATCACGCTGGAAAGCGGAGGGATGTCCGTAAGGCCGGTAGTTCCGGCCTTGCTGACCCCCTAAATCGGCCATGGTGTAGGATGCCCCCTCTTTGCTCCTCGCTCGGGGTTATTTCGTCTTGGAAGTGGCAAGGACGTGGGTGACACGACGAGGGAAAATGGTAAGGATAGAGAGTCAAGGAAGGGTATCGAGTCCGGTCGTAGAGAGCGTGCAGAGCGTCGCGAGATGATCGTTCGAACCGTGGAGTAAGGAGAAGGAGAGCGCGGGTGGAAAAAAAGAAAAGAGGTACTCCACGGGGCGACAATTTATAAGCAGGTGAAAAGAGAAATAAGACAAGAATAAAATCCAATAGGAGAAGAAAAGCCTCTACATGCAAAAGCCCCCTCGGTGTATCATGCCTTTAGGTGTCCAGGTGTTGGTGCGGTTTGGAAGCCTGGAGAAGGCGTCGAGACCGCGTGGTGTGTTAACGAACCAAGTGCGCTAGGAGCCTTGAGCGCAACGGCAAACCAGGGCCCCTGCAAGTTCATAACCTCAGCATGCTCCCTCGGGCGGGACCGATCGATCGAGACTGGGGCGTGCCTGAGGTTTGAGGGAAAAGGCCAGGCAAGACGGGGGGGTGGGAGGGGGAGGGGGTATCGAAAGAGGGAGGGGTGGAGGAGGAGGAGTGGTGAAGAGGGAGGAGTGGGGAGAGAGAGGGTAGGCAAGTAGTATTATTGTATGGGAAGATGGTGAAGAATGGACCGGCGGGCGTGTAGAAGAGAAGGAAGAGCACGGGGGGGTTGTTGGGTCGAACAGGCACATGTCAGTCCTAACCCGGATAGGCCATACCATACCTGGGTCGTTGTACGGTGGCCCGGGCGAACAACTTCGGTCAACCTCTCTCTCCGCCGCCGACCTGCGAAGCTAGATAGCTGGCTGTTCCGACTGACGTCTGGAGACGACCGTTAGGATTCTTCACCTGGCCACGGATTCGTCTCACTCCTCGCGTCACTTCTTTGTCCCTTCATTACTTCCTCCCTTTCCCTTCTCTTTCATCATCTCCCTTTCCTCTCTCCTCCCGTCCTCCCTCGGCGGACTCGGTCATCATGGCGGACAGCGAATACACCCCAAAGTTCGCCCCGTTCTTTTCCTTCGTAAGCTTCCCATCCAGATGTCTTCATTTTGTTGATTTCCCTGCATTGATATGATACTAATTTCCCCCAAAGGCAGGAATTGCGGCAGCTGTGAGTATCCAATGCCCGCCACCCGTTCCAATCACCGCACGCTAACCACCTCTCCAAAGATGATCTTCGGATGTATGTCGAATCACAGAGCGGGTGATATCGTTTGATCGATGAGGGACACACTGGCTTACTTCATTCTAGCAATGGGAGCCGCATATGGAACGGCAAAGTCAGGAATCGGTATCGCCGGTGTCGGAACCTTCAGGCCGGACCTGATCATGAAGGTATGGTGGTGCCTATCTCGGCATTCTATCGCATCCATCGCCGTTGTTTACCTCGCTAACTAGTCTAGTCCTTGATTCCCGTCGTCATGTCGGGTATTATCGCCGTTTATGGCCTTGTCATCTCGGTCCTCATTGCCGGTGATATGGTTCCTCCCCCGGACAAGTACATGAGTCTCTACACGTACGCCCCCTACAATTGTCATCCTACCATCGAACACGGCAATAGCTGATAAGAATTACTGGGAAGCGGTTTCATGCACCTGGCTGCAGGAATGTCGGTTGGCCTCGCAGGCGTGGCGGCCGGATATACTATTGGTATCGTCGGAGATGCGGTAAGCGACCGTTCCAGGGTCTGTCCCGCTTGCACGCCGTTGCTGATAACGAGATTAGGGTGTCCGTGCGTACATGCAGCAGTCCCGAGTCTATGTCGGAATGATTCTCATCTTGATTTTTGGCGAGGTTCTTGGTCTCTATGGGTATGTCCATTACCTCGAGGGCAACACCATGCTAACTGGGATAGATTGATTGTTGGCTTGATTCTCAACTCCAAAAGCTCTGGCTGAGCAGGTTCTGCATATTGCGTTTGGTGTTCCCGGCCGTTGGCCGCCTACGTCCATCGTGGACTCCTTTGGCTCCTATAGAGGTTCTATAACTATTGAAATGAGCGCAGACAGGTTGTGGGGAAAGAGCGGCAGTTCTGCTTATTGCTCAGGGATCAGTAAGTCATTGGGGCTGACTCTGGTATTGATGCCTTTCATCCGGGGGGTGTCTGGTGTCCTGTACTAGTACATTGCTTGAGTTACGAATAGCATATTACTTTTTTAGTTGCATCTCCGCGCCCCGCCATTTAGACCGTGTTTAGATAGATAGCTATCACATGGCTGGGGACTGGCTGGGGACTGGCCAGGGACTGGAACGAACAGGCAGCGGCGTGGGTGCCCCGCCGGCCGGTAACGTCAGAGTCTCCCGTAGCGCCGCCGGCTGGATGAGCCAGACCGGCCTCACCAAAGCTCTTCATCCCGCAAAATCCTCTTGCGATCCCCCGCGCCGTTGCCGCTCTCCTGATTAGGCTCTATGTGCGATAATACACTGTTTGAATTTCTCTGTCAGCTATAAGGGACCCGGTACTCACTCAATTGCTACCCCAGCGCCCCCCTGATTTTCTCCCCACACCTTCTTCCCCTCCCCGCGGTCCTCCGCGACATGATCCTTTGCCATTCCCCTGGCCACGAGAACGGTCGAGCCCGCTAACGACATGCAAAGCTCCTCTGTCCCGACGAGTCTATTCAAGATGGGGTCGGACGATCTGCATGAAAAGGAGAAGGACATAGTGTCTTCAGTCCGACCGCCTCATCAGCGACGTTTGAGCCCGTTCGTCATCGCAGGCCGTCCGGAGGAGAAGCAGCTGGGGATCTCGACCCGCCGGCTGAATGTCAAAGACTTCACACTGTTGAAGACACTGGGTACAGGTAAGCTTCGCTTCGTCGCTTGCGCAGCCTAGCCAGTGTCTGACGGTGGCGATCCTCGTGCCTAGGCACCTTCGCTCGAGTGTGGTTAGTGAAGTTGAATGAAGAAAGACAGCGAAGGAACCGGGTGTACGCACTGAAGATGCTCCGGAAGGCCGATGGTATGCTAGATCTCTGTTGAATGTCTTGTCGTTGCTCTTGACTAACAATTATTCTTTCATTGCAACGCGGCAGTTATCAAGTTGAAGCAAGTCGAACACGTCCGTAATGAGCGGAAGACACTTGCGGATGTTTCCGGCCATCCGTTCATCACAACTCTAATCGCATCATTCTCCGATGACCAGAATCTCTATATGCTGGTATGAAATCCCAGACTTTCTGTGTTCCACCACACGCAACCGCCCCGCCGACCCGATCGTTTGAGCTACATGGCATATCTGGTGTTTGGAACTAATGTCGTCATAGTTGGATTATTGTCCTGGCGGCGAGATCTTTAGCTATCTGAGACGTGCGCGACGCTTCAACGAAAACACCTCCAAGTTCTACGCCGCTGAGATCGCCCTGACAATCGAGTTCCTCCATGACGTGGAGGGCGTTGTTTACCGGGACCTCAAGCCGGAGAACATCCTGCTGGATGCCGAGGGGCATATTAAACTTGTCGACTTTGGTTTCGCTAAACAGGTTGGCGACCACGAAACTTATACTCTCTGTGGCACCCCCGAGTATCTTGCTCCGGAGGTCATCCATAACAGTGGCCATGGCCTTGCCGTTGACTGGTGGGCTCTGGGAATCCTGATCTACGAGTTCCTCGTGGGACAGCCGCCGTTCTGGGATCAGAATCCGATGCGTATATACGAACAAATCGTGGAAGGCCACATACGTTTCCCCCAGAATATGTCGCCTGCCGCACAAAATATCATATCGTTACTCTGCAAGACCAGCCCGACCGAGCGGTTGGGCTACATCTCCGGAGGCTCCGCCCGAGTCAAGACGCACCCATTTTTCGAAGATATAAACTGGGACGACTTGTTTTATCGTCGCATCAAGGGGCCTATCATCCCTCGGGTCGATCATCCCGCAGATACCGGGAATTTTGAAGAATACCCGGATCCGGATGTGAGGAACCAGAGTCCCTACACTGAGGACTTGAGAAACAAGTATGAGGCGCTCTTCGCCGATTTTTGATCGACTCGTCGAGTCGATTGCTCCCCCACCTGGATATTAGTTGTCGTTCCGGCGATGACCTGCTAAATGCGTTCTGATGCGCACCTGGCCCATGACTTCCACTCAGAGTTGTTCATCCTCACTATAATTTGGAGGCATGTGTGGTATGAAAAGTCTTGTACCGGGCCATGGCATACCCCACGAAGTCCTTGCTGTTTTGACAAGCATTTGTCTTGGTTTCCAGAAGGGCCTCCGACACCCGCCCTGTTTCACATCCTCGCGTGCTTCGATACTTTGGTACTATCTAGGGGTTTGCTCCAACCAAGTCCGATATTTCTTGATCGGGCTACAGGCGGAGACCGATCGGACACGCTACTAGCAAGCTACACAGACGAGTCCCAGTGACTTCATCCTCGTCTTGAACCCAGTTATAGCCTTGCTATTGTTGATTTCTGTGCGGTGTCTTTGACTACGAGTTTACGTGCTTTATCTTCTTTCTTTCTCTTTCTTCTATTTTTCGGGTTATAATTCTTGAGCGTTCTAAACTGCCAACGTCGACTTTCTTACACCTACAGTTCCGTGGATACATAGAACATGATGTCCGCCTCTAACTCAACAGTCAGTCAGAAAGACCCTCGGGGAGATGATAACTTATCCCGCCAAGTCCCGTTCATCCTGGGATAGTCGACCTTTCAACCATGATAATGACGTGACGGACCATGAGGTAATGAGTGTTCGATTTATTGCACATGTCTGTTTTCCTCTTTTGGGTATTTGGGTACTTTGGATTCCGCAATTGATCGATAAAACAATGGGCCCAGAAGGCCACGACAATCTAATGAGGTAGATCTAACGTTTGCTTCCTTCCACCTTGGATACGTTTATGGTTTAGAAATACACAAAAACACATATCAATACCTATAACTCCATTCATCCACCTCCTACCTAGTCCCATTAATCAACCTCCCCCCGCTCCCCATCTCCCCCGCAACAGTCACCCCCTCCCTAACCGCCCTCCCAACCACCCCCCTAAACCCCCCTCCTCAAGCACCATCAGTCCCCCCATCGTACACCCCCCCGGCGATGTCCCCCTCTCCTTCAACAACGCCGGATGCTCCCCGCCCAAAACCGCCTCCCCCACCCCCCTCACCACCTGCGCAACCACCATCCTCGCCTCCTCCCTCCCAAACCCCACCGCCACGGCCCCATCCACCAACGCCTCCACGAAAACCCCCACAAACGCGGGCGTTGACCCCCCCAACACAGTAAACGTATCCATCTGCTCGGGTCTCACGCGCACCGTACGTCCGATCCTCTGGAATATATTCTCCGTTAGATCAATATACTCGGTTGGGATTGGCGTGTTCGCGGACGGGAGTTCGATTGCCGTTATGGATTGGGAGATTGAAGAGAGGATGTTGGGGAGGGCGCGGATGGTGTGTATAGGGGTGGCTTTGGGGAGGAGGGAGAGAAGGGAGGTGGTTGTCCAGCCGGCGGCGATGCTGAGGAGGAGTTTGGGTTTTGGGGTGGGGGAGGGGGCTGTGGTGAGGGAGGATTGGATGTCTGGGTCGGTGAGGAGGGAGGGGATGTCGGTTGGATCACACGCGAGGAGGATTATATCTGCGGAGTGGATTGCGGTTGGGTTGGAGGTGGAGGGGAGGATGGTTAGTTGCGTTGGTGAGGTAGAGGTGGATTCTTGGAAGTGGGATTTCAGGCGTTGGAGGGAGGTTGGGCTGCGGGTGGTGGCGATGAAGGTGCGTGGGAGGGGGATTGCGAGGGGATTGTTGGTTGTGGGTTGGGCGTGGAGGAGGCCGTTGAGGATGGCGGTGCCCATTTTGCCTGTGCTTGTTAGATTTGGGGGTTTGATGGGAGGGGGAGGGATGTACCGCAGCCGATGATGGCGAGGGTTGGGGATTGAGATTGGGATTGGGGTTGGTCTGGGGTGGACATGGTTGTCTGTAGTGGTTGTTGGATTGTTTGGTTATGATTGATGGTGAGTGGTGTTGATGGAAGGGAGGGAAAGGAATGAGAAAGAAAAGGTGATGGGTGTAGTAGACGAAAAGGGAGCATGCAAGACCCCTCATTACCCCTCAAAAGGTCGATAACGGTAGCATTCCGATGTCTCCAAGTGAGTATACCAGCCATCAGCATCGGTGGGTCACCCTGCAGCCCGGCGGCTGTGCTAACTGCTCTTCCCCGTATGCCCTAGTAAAACCTACTCGCCGATACCAACTAGCTTTATCGCCTGCAGGGATCATCTCGTCGTCCAGACTTTGATGGCACAGGTCATGGTGTAGGTATCGGCTACACATGCCGTGGAAGGTAAACGGATCCAGAACTGCAGTACTAGGAGGAGATCCTTGACACAATCATGCATTCCTAGATAACAGCTACCAGAACAAAGCCCTAATTCGCCTCCTCATCTCCGCCTTGAGCGCCAAATGCTCCGTCTTCGTCCTCGACACTGCATCCCGATTCTCCGCTGCTCTCCGCACCAGATAACCCAGACACTCTCCCATACTGCCCCATGTCAAGCACTTGTACACACCCGGCGCCACATCATTCTGATCCTTCAACTGCAATAACCCGAAACTCACCCCGTCCGCCATTCCCATCAACTGCCCAAACTCCACTCTACCAGTCGGAAGCCCCGCATGCACACGAGTCTGGTGCAGTTCATGCGCAGCCACAGCACTCTCGATATTGTGCGTGGCCAGAAACAAGTCCGTTGTCGGAAACCTGCGTCCATTCTCGCCAAAGCCCTGATAACGCTGCTGCAGGATGCCCCGCACTATGGAGTCGTACGCGTTATCCGTATCTTGCTTCGTATCGTGGATGAGATGTCTCGGGTCAGAGCTCATGTATGCTCCCCGCACGAGTTTCAAGCCAAAGGTGAATCCTTCCTGCTCTGCTATCTGCATATGCGAGGCTATTGTGTTCGGGGTCCCCTTGAGATAAGCCTGGTATGTGTTGTACACCACGGCCTTCCCGTTTCGGTTGTACTTGCGCATCATGTCCAGGGTGAGGTTGTGGATCCCGCCGAGGAAGGAATGCTGTTCGGCGTCCATGAGGAGGCGGGCGTTTTTCTCGACAACCCGTTGGCATATCTCGTCCAGGGCTTCGAACATTTGTGCGGGGACGGACTCGCCGGAGGAAAAAGCCTGGGTGACTTTTGAACCAGCTCCGGTGAGCCTGATAACAGGGATTAGTGACCATTTAGAAATCGTATCAAGGAGTGACCTACTTTGGGGCCAGAAAGTCTCCTTCGCCAAGCATGTCCACTGTCTTCAGTACGCCTTCACGCCAGGCCTGAATGTATTCACATGAATGGGTACTAGCATCCCTTTGAGAGGTCTGGTTATTGGCGAATTTGATTTGATTTGTGCTCGAATCCTGTACAGTCTCTCGAGCGTAGGTCAAGATGACGCCTCGGAGTCCAGTGCTTTTGATCTGGCCAATCGTGTCTCGGACTTGGCTCTCACGTTCTCCTGCACAGAAGTGATCATAGAAAGTCTTCTTGAGGAACCAATGGATGAGAGGGTTTCGATCCACATCGAGTAAGACACCCCTTGGTTTGGTAAGGAAAGATAGAATGGATAAGCAAGGCACAAGAAGGGCCCGATGGGAGGAGACGGTTGTCACGAGGAGAGACCGCAGGAGGGTCTTGGTGGGGAGAACGGAGTGGGCAGGTGCAGTCGATGCCTGCGGTGTAGCCCGAGGCTGGGCTATGGACGAGGAGATACTGGGGGCTTTCTCAATGGTAGTCCCAGTAGAGGCATATCGAACAGAGTCGAGGACTAAAAGCGTCCTTGGTATGACACTGGATCTTGCCCTTTGGCTAACTGATGTCCTACACAGCAGGTTGGACATGGCTAATAGAGATGAGAGAGAGGAATGTGTTTGAGAAGATGGAGGAATTGTTGGCATAGGATGAGCATCTTTATACCTTGAGCTACCGGTGCGGGGTGTATTATCTCCATGTCCATGATAGGGATAAGCATATCATGAATTGATAAGATGACCAGTTGAAATAAATGGGTATCACTTATTGGTGCCCCAGCGGTATTGCCCCTATCAGTCGTTTTGTTACCTATGTATCACGCTGAAATAGATCCAGTTGGCGTGCATGGTGACCTTTCCAAGGAGGGACTGGGGCTGCCTGGTGAGGGGTAGCCTTCATTCAAAGATATGCAATGGTGTTCACCAAGACCTGTGCTTTTTCCCGAGTTACCAGTTTTGAACGCAAAGGCGATGTTCAACATTTCGTCTAGTGCAGGCTGAATCAAAGCCTATATAAATTCAACTTTGACACTGAGCATGATCATTTGTATTGTGAAGAGAAATTATATCTATATAGTCATGGTGTAACAAGGGCCTACCGTCCTGTTATGAGATGCCTGCGAAGGTCATTTAGGCATCATCCATCATCTCGGAAAACATTTCCAGCTCACTGAATCCGTGGCCGGGTATGCTAGGTACCATATTCTCGTTTACATCTGGATGATCAGCATGTCCCATTGCAACGGACATGGACAAACCTACCTCGCCCTGCTGAATGTAACATCATGACTAGCACTCTCTGGGCTGTATCAGACAAGGGTTAGTAAATTCGAGCAAAACCAGACCAGGCGGTAGCACACTTTCTTGATCGGCGCAGGTCAGAGTTGCGGCCGAATTATGCTGATGTATGTTGGCTCTATTCCGGGCTGTTTCTGCAACCAGGCATGGCCCTCCGATCTGGATATAGGCGTCATTTTGCCTATCCATATTTTTCAATGATTCAGCAGACACTGCCACCAACGTTAGCAGTGGGATTCTTGCTGGGTTTCAACACACCAACCGTCAATACTGAGACATGTCGACCTGGATGTGTTCGAAATAAGAAGGCGATATGCATTCCGTTCGAGATTGGAAACAAGCTTCAGGGTTGCATCAGATATGTGGTAGTTGTATACCATCAAATGACCCAACGCCCTATGAAAGCAAGGGTCCGTCAGGCTGACCACATCATTCTGTAAGGGAGGAATTCCACGTACAGTTCGAATAGTAGTGTTTCGCTTCTCTGAATTTGCTGTATCTTGAACAAAACCACACCTTCTTGCAACTTTCGTAGTTGCCCATGTAGATAGCTTGCAGCTTCGCGGGCTAGTAGCTATACTTCCCGAAGAAAGCCTAACGTACAATCTCTATCAAGGAGCATCATCTGAACATCCACCGCCTCTACAAGCTCTTCTTGCCCACTCTCATTTGCCAAGTTGCAAGATGTCTTAGCGATAGTCAAAGTTGTACTGTCTTCTGCAATACTAATATCGGTATCCTGATCCACTAAGTGATAGTATGTCAAATGTACGCTCAAAAGCCAGTGGGAGATGTCTCACCTGTTACAGTTAACTCTGTAGCTCTATCGTCCCGGGCGCCAAGGTTTTCATCTTTGGACATGAGTTGGAGAATCATTTCAGCAGATTCCTGATATAACCATGTACCTTTCGACGTAAGATGCCTGTAGTGAATTAACTGAATCGCTTCAACAAAGCCAGGTGAATATCGGTGACGATTGGCTATCAACTCCACATGTCTGACTTTACCATATATTCGGCGTGCCTCACTTGTCTCGTAAGCAACGCGTGACAGATCTAGCTTCTGTTACTTACCAGATCATGTTCACCACCGACTTTACCGGATGACCAGTGTATGGGTTCATAGATGGAAAGACCGCCAGAGATTCGATTTTGCGTTCCACAGATCGTCTAGCGATCATGGTAGCCAGCTGATCGATTTCACACTCAAATATAGACAAACCTGATATCTATCAGCAGTTTTCGCAGCGGCATACAATATAGTGAGACGTACAGGATGGCGAGACGTTGCTCAGCAACAGGGAGACCAACGTCGACGATTCTCGTGAGGACAACCATAGTTTCCACACCGTCGGCAGCCCATCTAACCGCACGATCATACTCATCGGTGACACTGTGTAAAGTATCAGCAGACTTCAAGAACCCAATGACTAGGTTGCGCACAGAAAAAGTGTGATAACTGAGTGCTGTGTACACCTCCACATTGGCACATGAAGATTTGAGTGGCTGGTTGGCCCCAAGGATCCTGGAGCCAGTCGGAAGCAAAACAAGCAGTTTCGCAGATTAAAACAGCCCCTTTTCGCTCATTGCCTTCCAAGAGTAATGAAAACGTTAGATCCGAGCATCATACATTCTCTTCTGACACTCTGGGTGACGATTGATTGGATCTCATTGTTCGCCCTTTCAATTCTTTTGTGAACCACTCATGGATTTCGCATAGCATTCCCCGAACATCGTCGACTTGATGGCCGAGGTTTTGATTTGACTCACTAGAACCATTAGCCAAAAACGCCAATATGAGATGCCTAATACAGTATGAGAGAGAAGAAGCATGGAAAGATCACCTATTCATCACCGCCACTGCCAAATTCAGGCTATTGACATGAACCCCGAGATTATGCTGAAGCCTGGCCAAGTCGCCGCCTTCTCTGGTCCAGCGTATCTTTTTCCAGTTTCTCCATATCTCTGCTCGCCACTCCTTTCGGTGCGATTGAGGTTGCCCCTCTTGAATGACCATATACTTGTCAACCAGGTGTTGTAGGTGTTCCAAGGTAAACCGGCAGTTTCCAATAATTTCTAAAATCCCTTCTACCTGGTCGCTCTGTTGCTGCGTGTCCGGTGCCAATGACTTGAATGAGTCTAAGGCTTTGCCAAGGGAGTAAAGCTGGTTCTGGACTTCATGGAATTCGGCTGGTGCGGCCTTCCGCCCGGATGTGAAGGCCTGCGCAATGTCGAAGGCCATCTTAGAGAGCGTCAGGATGTCCACAATCGAGGGCTGAAGAAACGCCATGACGACCGTGGGTGATGCTCGTTGCAATTCATAGACAAATCGAGAGCTTAGGAAGGATAGAGGGGACTCAGGTGAGCCCATCATTGGGGCCCGAGGAAGGCAACTAGAGGCTGAAGAAGCAAACATGGCCCCCCTCATTGGTTGGATAAGACAAACGTTTAATGGCAGAAGACATCCATGATAATAAATACCGCCCCCATCCGAGGAACCCCTCATCTTGCAGCCACCCCCCAAGGCCTTTCTAACCGCTCCGCCGCCATGGACGCGATCGATCGATTTCAGTCCGGCCTCTTCGTCCAGTCCCTGCAGCCGCAAAGTAACATCGGGGTTCGCCCAACCGCGTATCGTGATGCCACACTAGAATTCTAGGCGAGATCTGTACGCCACCCACTAGAGCAGCCACTTCCTAATCAGGGGCCAGAGCATGGCAATCTGAAGGAAGTTCCGCTTCCGTTGCTCGGCGTCTCGGTCGATGTCGACATCCAAGGCCGATTCTCCACCACCAAGATCACGCAGTGCTTTACCAATGCTTCGTCTTCAGCTGCACGAGATGCTCATTATCTGTTTCCGCTATACGATGGCTCGGTCATCACATCCTTTCGCTGCTGGCTAGGTGACCGACTTCTCGAAGGTTCCGTCAAGCCCAGGGAGGTGGCACAGGAGAACTATAAAGAAGCAGTCTCGCAGCATAAGGCTGCAGTCTTGATTGGAGAGGCCACGCCGGAGATCTTTGAATTGAATGTTGGGAATATCCCCGCCAAAACGACGGTGCGGGTAGAAATAGTGTACACAAATGTTCTAAAGCTAGACAACAGCACAGGTGGGTTGGTGCTAACCATCCCAACCTCTGTCGCTCCACGCTACGGGCACTCGCCAGTGACGTACTATCACTCAGATGGCACAAACCGGACGCTGTCTACGGATGGTCTTAAAATCAATATCCAGGCATTATTCCCGGCGCCAATTCGCAGAATGGAGTCTCGTACACATCCAATATCGGTCGAGCTTGGAGCGGTCACTCACCAAAGCTTCCAAGAGTTTGCAAAGAGTTCCACATCAAATGAATATAACCTATGTAGCGCACGAGCTAGTTTGGCAGACAGGTCCGCGGCTATGGACAGGGATTTTGTGGTTTTGATCTTGTCTGTCTCCCCGGAACTGACGCGATCCCAAGCAATAGCGGAAGCCCAGCCTGACAGCCCTCACCATACTACGGTGGCCGTTACACTTATACCCGGTACCATGTTTATGGATGACCTGAGTCCGACCGATTCAGCTGCCGAGATTATTTTCATAACGGATCAATCAGGCTCAATGGATTCGAAGGTCTCCGCATTGCGTGACGTTATGGATACATTTTTGCGAAGTTTACCGCAGAACTGCTCTTTCAACCTCTGCTCATTTGGTTCATCCTATAGCTGGCTCTGGCCTGTCTCTAAAGATTACAGTCAGGATACCCTGGATTCTGCTCTGCAGCACATCGAATCTTTTGGTGCCGACATGGGAGGAACGGAGATTCTTGAGACGCTGAAGAGTGTGCTTGATCATACCGATACTGGCAAGCATGTTCCAACAAACGTTATACTCCTTACAGACGGAGAAGTCTGGAACGTTGATGAAGTAGTAAAGTTTGTCAGAACTACGTCGTTGCTGCCAGACCGAAATATTCGATTCTTTTCGCTTGGTATTGGTGATAGGGTATCACACCAATTGATAGAGGGAATTGGGATACAAGGAGGTGGGTATGCTGGAGTAGTCGCTCAGTCTCTGGGTAATAACTGGCAAGGAAGAGTCATTCAGATGCTGAAGGCAGCATTGGTCCCATCACGCCTTCGATGTGAAGTTGACCTCGGCCCTCAATTTACCGGCCGAATACCCGGGAGTGACCAGCATAATCAGGACCGAAGAATTCCCTATGTTAGGGCACCATATCATATTCCACCATTAAGCATTTTTGCTCAGTTTTCAGTCTACTTTATGATAGAAACCAACGTCACACATCTGCCTGAGATGATCACCGTCAGTGCAACAACCGATGAAGGAAAAAGGTTCAGTAGACAGTTGCCGCTGCAGCACTGTTTGGGGATGACAGGAAAACATCATTTGGCTGCACGGGCTCTGATGAATGACTATGAGAGTTGCCAGAGCTGGTTGCATCTTGCTAATGTGAACTCCATACCAAATGCTGCTCATGCTGTCGAGGCCATGGTAAAACAGGAAGCACAACAACTAGGCCAGCATTGGTCCCTTATTAGCAAATGGACAAGCTATGTTGCTATAGAGCGGAAAGGTGCAGAAATGCAGCAGATCTTCATTCGCAGGGCTGGCATAATGGAAGCTTCAGACCTGGTGAGACCAAGACCAAGGGTGTGGGCATCTAGACCATTGCGACACATGCTTCCACCTGCCTGGGCAAGAGACTCTTACCGACCAAGGTGTCAAGCGCGTCTAGGAACCGGTCCGAACAGGTCGATAAAAAACCCCAATGTATCACAGAGAGTATCCCATAGATCTGATCCATCATACGCCCCGCCTATCCCTGCTAAACTGTAAGTCATAGCTTCATCAATCATGTACAGCTGACAAAATCTAACTCTTGAACAGGGAAAGCGAGGAGATAGATCGACCGGAAACTCACTGTGAGGGAATGCCTTCTCCAATCGATATCCTGACAAACGAAACAGTGTCTGTGCAACTTAAATCAAATTGTCTTTTCCATATTCTCTTACGCGGGCAGAAGGCTGATGGTGATTTTTCGATTGACTTCCGTTCTATAGGACGTCACTTGCACGCATGGTTCTTTGGGATAGTCGTGCAAGACTTGATGGATAACCTGCCATCATCGAGCCAACCCAAAAGCTTTCAGGAGCGTGAAAAGAGACCCATCGCTCTGATGCAGGATGTACTCGCGATTGTGTATATTACAGAGCATCATTCATCAGAAAAGAACCTGTGGGAGCTCCAGATCGAGAAGGCACGACGTTGGCTCATCAAAGTATTGGCAGAACTCATTGCACTAGAGAGGCCTGTACCAGCCGACGAAGATTCAGGAGATTTAGCCACGGAGGATTTACTTGCAAAGCTCGAAAACTTGGCTCGCTCACAGTTGAGGGAAATGCCTGTTTATAGGTAGTCCGCTGGCGATAGGATCGTGATAAATTTGCACACCCTTTTTGCTTGTCTTTCTGGAAAAATACTCCTACAGATTGCAGTTCGTTAAAAGCTTTTCAGCACAACAAACAATCGGAAGTTGGCTCTGTGGCATGTGTCTCAGAAACAACTAGAGTCCGAAATCTCAGTATAAACTGTTCCTATAAATCACTTATCACCAAAAGGAAATGTGGAAAATACTATATTGGGTGAGCTCCGCAACATCTACATCCTAGGTGGCCTATGTTACTCCACATTACATGAGACCGAACATGTTATCATACCACAATAGTAGATATTGTAAGATAGTAAGCTAACTCCAAGAAGCTAAGCCTCATACAAGGGGTTCACAGCAAATGCTACTATTTGGATTACTGTGTAGAGAGACACCTAGAAGGCGGTGAGGCACATCATTTTGCTGGACGGAGAACTTTCTGGGATCGAACTTGTCCGATCAACCCATCAAAATGAGTTCCTCTAGATGCCCCATCGGGTCTCCCTCTATTTTGAATGAAAGTACCTTCTCAAAATGATGAAAGCTGAGATTCCATCCTGCTTCCTAAATCAACATCCCGTTCTGCATATTCCTTCGCTTCCCCGCCGGAACCACAGGCGAGAGGTATCGCCCGACTGGCCGCCAAGAGGTGCCAGGCGTCCTGCTTGACTCGACAGAGTAAGTATCGACAGTCCGTACGCGCTGCTTCGGCCAAAGAAATCCCCATGTATGTCGCGTGGCTGTGATGAGCCACGTCATGCGACGAAATGGCAGCCTGAGAGCCGCAGACGTCGGCCTTGAAGCACAGGATTTAGTTTAGTGGCCGCCGAGATATCCGAACCGATAACGAATGGGCTCCACCATCGCCTCCTCGGCCACACCAATCCACAATTTCTGGCCATGTCGACGACTGCCTTTGAGTCGGAGGTTCGGATCCGGCCTATCATTGCGACATGTCGATCGGAAGTACGAACTCTTGTTTTGGACTGTCTATTCTGAGGCCTCAAGTCACATCGCAGAGTCCTCTGGAGATTTCATCGTGACTGATCCGATCCACATTCATTGTTGACTGTTCCCAAATAAGCCTAAGCAGCTTATAGTGTTCGGTTCCTGCCCGTGGATCGCTGTCCCACAATTCCGGCAACCCCTGGGTGGGAGTCGTGGCCATGAGAACAGGCCATGACGAGTCGACGCGTACGCAAGCTACAGAGTACATTCGCGGCAAATCTTTTCGTGAACCCGCTATTGGACATGTGTACCCCTCCAAAGGTCGGTCTCCCTCTATGCATTAGCCGCCCTCTAGAAATACATTTGAGACGAGCCGGGCTCAAATTTTCCTGCTGGAACTGTCGTTAGAGGTGACCCCAGGCCGGTGATATCTCGTGTCGCGGTAATAATGGTTCTCCCCCGTATCTGGGTGTGCTTTGCCGCGCTGGCTTGGGTAGCCAGCGGAGATTTTGTGTCTACCAACTACGAAAAGTACAACGAGGGAGCGCTCGGCCATCGTCCCCATCTGGAATTTCACTCCAGCAGCGAATATTCACCTCTCCTGCAGGTCAACATATGGGACCAGGACGCCATTTCCGAGACGGGATCTCATATATTTCTTCGACATGACGGTAACGACTCCTCGCCGCTGTCGTCACCGCTGATTCTGGACTCTAACGACTTGAGCGCCGTCTTCATGAACCGATCCTTCAAAAATGTTTTCGGAACTCGTGTCCAGGAGAATCTCGGCAAGAAGTATTTGACGTTCTGGGCCGGGGATAAGGGCGACGGGATTGGGGACGGTTATGGACTCGCATACGACGATACCTACCGCCTAATCTACAAGATATCTGCACAGAATATCCAAGTGCACAGTGACCTCCATGAGTTTGCGTTCACAGGTAACGGAACGGCCCTGGTCACGGGTGTTGACAGGCTTCAACGGCGTGCGTCAGACTTTCCCCAATGGTTGGTACCCTCCAGATTCGAGGTCCTGGACGCCATTTTCCAGGAGATTGACCTCGAGACGAACGAGGTACTGTTCAATTGGCGAGCTCTGGATCACATCAACCCCATGGACTCTTATGAGCCGAGAGGCCCAGGCTGGGATGCCTATCACTTAAACAGTATTGAAAAGGTAAGAGGATTGACTCCCAGCGGCAACAAACATGCTCTGACATGCCAATGTGTCTAGACTCAGGCAGGCAACTATCTCATCTCAATCCGTCATCTGTTTACCATATTCCTCATTGACGGGAAGACGGGTGATATCATCTGGAGACTGGGCGGCAAACGCAACGACTTTGTTGAGCTGCCTCCCGCTGAAGACGCCGAGTCTGCCCAACCCGTGCTGACAATGAGTTGGCAACACCACGCTCGCTTCGTCCCCGGAACCAATGAGACCCAGATGACCTTGTTCGACAACCACTCCAAGCTCACTACGCACGGCAAATGCGAGTCTGACTGCTCGCGCGGCCTGCATATCGCCATTGACGACACCTCCTCACCCCCGACCGTCCAGCTCCTGCGCGAGTTCCGTCACCCATCGCAGCTTCAGGCTCAGAGCCAGGGTAGTATGCAGCCCCTCTCGCCCTCCCCCGATGATCTCGGCAACGTGTTTATCGGCTGGGGGCGGTGTCCGACGTTCACGGAGCACAACTCGTCGGGCAAGACAGTCATGGACGTGCAGTTCTCACCGTGGCACAGCGACGAGATCCCCGACGCGCTCGACAACTACCGTGCGTACAAAATGGACTGGTCGGCCACGCCTTGGTGGGGTCCTGCCATTGCCCCGAGGAAGAACCAGGAGGGGGAGCTGGTTGTCTACGTCAGCTGGAACGGAGCGACAGAGGTAGCAAGTTGGGTTGTTCGAGGAGCGGCCAGTGATCTACTGGGCCAGAAAGACGAAGTGCTGTCGATGTCACGGCGGACTGGCTTCGAGACCAAGTTGACGATTGGGCAGACGGATTGGCGATACTTGTGGGCTGAAGCCGTGGATGGCAAAGGTCGCGTACTTCGGTTGACTGATGTTGTGGATCTGAAAACCACGAATCTATCGGTCGCCTCTGACACATACGACGATACTGATTGCTCGTTTCCTCCCTCGAAGGCGGAGAATCCTGCTCGGTCCCCAACAACTTTCCTGATATTCATGGGCACCGGTTTGGGGGTCTTCATCTTGGCGTCTATAGTGGCGGGAGTCTTCCTGTGGCGCCGGCGCAGGGACTACAACCACCTGAAGGCCGAAGATTTTGATCTCGACTTGGAGGAGGATTTCGATGATGTGCATAACGACGGCGATGATGTCGATGTCAAGGACGTTGACATTGACCCGCAACTAGGCGTGGACGAAGACCGTCGTGCTCTTATTCCAAAGGCGGAACCGGGGAAGTAGATACCGTTAGGCCAATATTTTCCTAGCAATGAAGTTATGAACAGGTTGAGGGTTTGACGGGTATGACAAGAGACGATGATCGAACACCGACTGGCTGAGGTGGCGGGGATCAAACTAGTGCCTCACTAGTAGCTGTGGCAAGGCACCCAAATTAACTCCTCAGACCTCGTCTTACTCTTAGGACTTGACCTCCTCCAGAGATTCGCCAACCCAACGCTGCAAATAAAATGGCCACTGATCTAATTGACACGCTCGAGGTGAGCTTGGAGGCTCTAGCCGACCTTCAAATTCCTCGGGATCTTTCCATCTCTCCCGATGATACGAAGATTGCCTATACACTCCAAGCTCTCAGCAAGACAGGCGATCATGCCACCTCCTCAATATGGATTGCGAAAGTTGGCGAAGAAAACAGCAGTCGCCGGTTCACTTCGGGCTTATTCAACGATGAACAGCCACAATGGTCTCCAGCTGGAACATTCATTGCGTTCAAATCAGATCGGCACCGGCCGGGGAAAAGCACCGCCATCTATGTGTTGCCAGTCGATGGCGGCGAAGCATACCCCATCACGCCAGTGGACTGCGAGAAGCCAATTGCGGCTTTTGAATGGGATTCCACCGGCACAAGTATCGCATTTACCAGCGCGGATGAGAAGACCGACGAACAGGTTGCAAAGGAGAAAGCGAAAGACGATCCGACGGTTTGGGGGGAAGACTTGGAATATCTCCGCCTGAGAATTGCTCATGTCGCAACAAGGCAAATCGAAACTATCGTCTGTGGCAATAGACATGTGCACGACTTTAGTTGGAGCCCTGACTCCAGGCAGATTTGCTTTACTACGCACAAAGGGCCCGATATCAACTCTGCTGGGTTTTATGGTGCAGAATTCTGGATTACATCGATATCTGGATTGGAGTCGAAGATGATTGTGGAATTCCCCGGACCAATCAACCAGATCGCATGGGGAAACTGTGGCGTCTACTTCATTGCAGGTCATGTCCCAACTCACTGTTTGACATCCCTTTCGCTATACGAACTCGAACTTGAACATGGTTCGTATGCAGAGCGAACAGATGGCAACGAAGAGCACTGTTGCATCACTCTTCGAAAGAATCCATCTTGCTTGTCCTACCGTGTCCAGAGGTACCTTGCCGATGAGTTCTTCTCAATCAGTGATGGCACTCGTACAAAGATCTATAGCGAAGAGTGTGAGATGAGCTCATTTGACGTTCTCAACACTCCGGATAGTACTGTCATTGTGATCACAAAAGGTGATGGGTCCAATCCCGAGGAGGTCTTTTCCGTCTCGGAGTGTGCAGGAACAGTCAAATTGTCCGCTCACAACCCCTCCATCGCCGCTCTCAAAATATCCAAGTCGTGGCCAATCTCCACTCACGCGGCAGATGGATACTATACTACCTTGACGGAATGATCTATGTTCCCTCCAAATACAAACCCGAGGATGGGCCACTCGCCACTATTGTCATCCCGCACGGGGGGCCATACTGGCGGGTAACTGCCGGTTGGTCACAAGGAGGCTTTCTATCCTATTTTGCAGTCACCCGCGAGGATTTCCACTTCCGAGGAGCCATCTGTGGGGCCGGTGTAGCCGAATGGACCTCCATGACGATGACGAGCGATGCATACTGGTTCCAGGGTGAAATGGCAGGTGGTGCTCCCTGGGATGTGGATGCGAGCACAAATACAAATACCAGTCACGACCCGACAACTAGCCCCACGGAGAAAAAATGGATCAGCGACACCAATGGCCGGAGAGGAAGCGCCTTATGGCACATGCGTAACGTGAAGACTCCCATCTTGATTCTTCATGGCGAGAACGACGTGCGGGTGCCTATAGAACAAGCCATAGCTTTCTATCGCGCATGCATCCACAACAATGTCCCTGTTGAAATGGTGACGTATCCTCGAGAAGGACACTTTATTGTCGAAAGGAGACATCTCCTTGATATGTGGGACCGGATGAGGAAGTTTTGCTATCGGAATTTACAGTGACGTGACCCGGTCCTGTTCTAAGAAACCTGCCGGGTAATACACAACTTGCAGCATCATCTGGAATCTTATATCCAAAATGCACTCCGTAATATTTGTAATTAATTACCTCCTTCCGAATATTGGCAAAACCACGTCGCTCGTCTCTTTCCATACGAAGCAAACGAACAAACAACCCCCTGAGTACGTCCATTTATCTACCTAGATCCTTTATCTCTATACATATCTATTTAAACGTCCCATTTAAATAGAATATACATTCTCTACATAATGTTCTTGAATGGTGAGGTTTATATTAGCTTCAGGTAATCTTAATCTAATTTAGTGTATACTGTATCGAGTGGAGATAAGATAAGAAACATTATAGTGATCACGCAATACGCAGGGTCTATGGGGTCATTACCTACTAGTTTCCTAACTAGCTATATATGATGCCATGGGACTACTTAGTAGATGGGTTTGAGAGGAGCTAGTAGAGAAAGTAGATACTAGGTAGTGTGTATTATTTGATGGCTTACGATCTGGGGCTGGGTTCTTTCATACGACTCAGTTGGTGTCGGGGTTAGATTGAGATTGTTAGAGACCGGAGTAGTGACGGATGGCAGAGTTAGCCGGTAGGAAAAGGTCTTTTAGTAAGTTGTTGAGTTGTGCGTGGATTAGATGGTTTGTTTGGTGTATGTTATGAATGTCGACTAGCCAAGGTTATAGTAATGAAAGTCTGTTTCTTCTTTGCTAGGTCGTAATCTGACCTACTGTAGAAAGGTAAGTAGTCTATGTGAAGGAGTTAAGAATCAACGAAGCTACCCCATCTTAACCTACCACGCTTCGCAAAACTTCCACAAACTCCTCTCTCCCCATCCCAAACCTAGCCTCCACCCTATCACTAAAATCCGCCCCGTACTGATTCTCCTCATCAAAGAGCCCGTATGTGCCTAACATCCGATACGCAGTACTATTCAGCCGATCCTCGACTCCATCGGCCGTATCTTTCTCCCAGAGCTGTGTGGCTGTTTTGAGCCATCCGTCTAGTGCAATGGCGTTAACTGTCCAGGGTTGCCCGTCAACATGGGTTTCATTTAACATGCTCAGTACCTCGTTTGAGCTGATTGTGTAGTCTGCGAAGTAGGCTGGTCTGTCTAGGTAGTTTTCTGGGGTAGTTAAGACTGCTAGTGTCGCTCGTCCGACCATATCGAGTTTGGACATGCTGATGCGTTGGTTTCCGGATCCGAAGATGGTGACTTTGTGGGTGGTGGGGGATATCCAGAAGAGGTTCTTGGGTATTGCTGTATGCGTATTTAGTCAGTATTGTGTGTAGAATGTTAGATAGGTAGGGGGCAGCTCGGGATATGCACGCACCCCAATCAAAGAACGGGCCCGTGATGATCGCCGTCCAGTGCAGGTCATCTCTTTGACCTATTAGTCCCTCAAGGATACGCTGAGCTCTTATCTTCGGCTCGAATATGAGCAGCTCCTCGGCGTTCTGGTGAAATGTATCGCTACTGAAATCTGGAGTGATGATGTGTTTGATTGTGGGCGTTTTGATCGCAGCCTGGATGATCCGCTCTTGATGAATTGTGGTACTGGGGTTAAATGCTTCGATAATGGCGTGCTGGTCAAGGAAGGCTTGTTTGAGAGATGTCGTGGAGGTATAATCCACCGTTATCTCCTGGAGGTGAGGGTTGGGTGGAAATGGCCATGGGGTGGAGGCATTCACCCGTCGGACGGCGGTTATCTCGAAGGGGGAGCCGGCGACTAAGAGGGCTTTGGTGATCTCGATACCGATGGGGCCGGTTGCCTGGATGGTGAATTAGCATTATTTGGTAGTTGTATCTTGAGGAAGGGCATGTGGGCGTGCGCTTACCCCCAGGATGACGATGTTGCGGATATCGTTGTTGGACATGCTGGAAATCTCGGTATGCAATATAAGATGGAGGAACAGATGGAGGAACAGACATGCATATTGAGCCTGATTTCATCTCCAGGTCCAGGATAATGGGTGCCTGTCTCATTTCTTCCTGGATGATGGTGCCCGCAAGACGAATTAGGGTTGGCGTCCGCACCCGCACCCGCACCCGCACTTGCATATTCTGAGGATATTGTCCAACCAATCAGATACCGCTATAAAGAGGTTGGAAATGCTCTTGAGGATTGGCGTCGAGTTTCCAGGCATCATCCACGCCACTCTAGCCTTGGTCCAACGGACGATTGTTTGGCCGATGAGTCCTTGACCAGATTGCGCAGAACCATATGACCTATTGAAATAGGAAGCTTTGATCCATCAAATCAGCCCCTCCGTATTTGTTTCCCGACCGGGCTACCATATACGGTCGCAGCGGATCGTATTGCGAATGAAAATCCAGTCAGATGACTGAACGTTTGAATGATGACCATATATAACGTCATGCTCACGGGGATAACGGCTTTAGTTTATCGTTACCTCGGAGCTAAGCGTGTATATAAGATAGGTTGTAGTCGTCATACAACCATATTCATAAACATACAAGTCACAATCACCATGGCGACTCACAAAGCTCTCGTTCTCCATTCCCATGACAAGCCCCTCGTTCTTGAAACCAGATCTCGTCCAGTCGCTGGCACAGGTGAGGCCGTGGTGCGTATCCTGGCAGCGGATATTGTGCCCTACATGGCTGAGGTGTTGAACGGCTCGCGCCCATATCCCCTTTCCTTTCCGATGACACCAGGCAATACAGCAATCGGAAGAGTCCTTGAAGTAGGCCCGGATGCCGTCGAGCTGACTCCGGGTCAGCTAGTCCTCTGCGACATCACCATTCGTGCCCGAGACAATCCCTCCGTTTCTATTCTGTTCGGAGTACACGGTGGTGGTTATCCAGCTGCACAAAAGCTTATGGATGGACCATGGCGCAATGCGACCTACGCCGAGCTCACGCGTTTCCCCTTGGAAAACCTATTCTCGCTCAACGAGGACTTACTATTCCGGAGAATGGGATACACACTGTCTGATCTTTGCTTTATGCCCGTCTGCCTTGTTCCGTTCGGTGGGTTGTCAGAGGTCAATGTGAAGCCGGGCGAGGTGGTCATTATTGCTCCCGCAACGGGTCGATATGGAGGTGCTGCAGTGGCAGTATCTCTCGCCCTTGGGGCTACAGTGGTTGCAGCAGGTCGGAATGAGAGCAATTTGAATAGCATGGCAGACCTATACTCTTCAACCGGAAGACTGAGAACGGTTGTCCTCAAAGAGGACGTCTCACAAAACACCGAAGCTTTCAAAGCAGCCGCAGGCAATCCACATGGGGCTGATGTGTTCATTGACTTTTCACCACCGGTAGCCGAGGGCAGCACCTTATTGACCTCCGCTATCGAAGCCTTGCGTCCTTTTGGACGCTGTGTCATCATGGGTGGCAGGCCTGGCAACATCATGGTGCCCTACTTAGCTGTCATGGCTAAGAGTATTCGGATACAGGGTCGCTTCATGTATGAGAGATCACAGATATTGGAACTGATACGAATGGTGGAATCCGGTGTACTTAGGTTGGGAGAGGCTATTGGAGTCAAGCAGGCTGAGGAGTTCGGGCTGGAATCTATTGATGAAGCACTTGAAGCCGCGGGAAGATTGAGAGGTTGGGGCAGCCATGTTGTGTTGAAACCATGAATATCTGTCGTGATGAGGTCATGTGTGATCAATAATGATAATTGTGGCTTCATGGCATTCTTTTGGGATCATGACGGGCTGTGCAAACGAGTATCATCATTACTGTTCATGGTCGGTGTCAAGGAGATAGAAATTTGCTGAGATCTTCAAGATGGCTTGCTGCAAAAGGTTTAGTTACCGATATTTTTCAGGGATTCATATCTTTACCTGCGACACCCCATCTACGTGACTGTAGCCTTAACATTTCCTTCAACGATATTAAGTTAGCCCTGCTCCTTGGAGACTCTTGTTTTGAAAGCAACTCCAATGCGGCCAGGTAGACTGATTGCGTCCCCTGCGGGTGGTGTGACTTAGGCCAACCGGCATAAATTCGGGGGAGAAAGTCATGTACGGTATCCACCATTATAGTGGTCATGGACTCTATGACCATCTGGGACTGATTCGTTGTTTCAAAGGACGGGGATATCCGGGAGCTTTCACGGTGCCATTGATGCAATATCACTAGAGAGCTAAGAAAAGGTAAGATAATAGTCATGGCCTCTGACTTGGGATGCGGACCTTCGATTCATGGCAAGTGCCTCGATGACTGAGTTCAAGCGGCTGGTCTCGGCTCCTAGGTTGATTTCAATGGCTCTCCGTAGCTGAAGATCCAGCACCCTGACCGGGGAATGAATTTCCTCCGGAGCCTGTGGTGGATCATTAATCAATTCTAGTACATGCCGTATCAAAATAGACGCTTGAAATTGGCGATAAAAGTTTGCTTGAGGGGGTGTTTCTTTGATTGTCGCATCCTGTTCACCAGAATCTCCTTCACACAAGTTCAAGTCGGACAAATAAGTTGACTCATTTGGTACTCTGGTAATTGGCATACGACCTGATGTCGGGGACGACAGACAGAATATCCTGGCTTGTCAATCAACTTAAACGGTTGCCCACATTGATCTGCATACCTCTCACTAATCACGACAGCCCACCAGGTACGAAGACCCTCTGTCTGTTGCCTCCAAGCAGGGTCCATCTCTATATCCCGTGGAGGTTCTTGACGGTGTAACCCCAATGTAATACTAGTGGAGACACAAGAGTAGATGGTATTATAAGCAGCGTTGATCATCCCATGACCATACTCGTATGTCGCTAGCAATATTCCGGCCTGGATCAGTCTTATTGACGGGGTATTGACATTGTCCGCGATTTCATGACAGAAGTAATGCTTTACAGCATGATATTGATCGTTAAACATACTTCCTTCCGGAGACTGTTTATCAGGACGCTGAACAATGAGACACATGCTCATTAACAAGAGAAAGTCAGGTGTAAACGGCCGCTCCCGAAACCCTTCCATAAAAGCCTCCTTGTGCAAAATTGGCAGCCATCGGTCAACCGTATCGAAGTAAGTCTCCACGTGTTCCAGATAAGGCGAAGGGTCATTATGAAACGAAGCGTAAGCATTGCCGAGCCACGAGGTCCAGGCTTTGGGATGGACAATTGCTGGCAGGGGTGGTGGGGATGGGTTGGAGGGTAAGTTGTCCGCTAAGACCTCGTAATTGCATTTAACCTCAAGTCTATGGGACTTTTAGCCGAATCTCGAATGCAGCCAGCTTCCAGGCTCCAGATACACTTGAGAAGAGTGGTCGTCTCGTACCTTGCACACCGAGCACATGTGGGTAAGGCCTTGTCACATTTCCTCTTCCCTGCCCTACAGGTTAGGCAGACACGAGAGGAGTATCCTGGAGGGGTCATCATCATAGTGCCGACTTTTATCGGATGCGTTCTATTCCAAGACTCCACCGTCCAGCAGGAATGTGTTGGTGGGAAGGATGGAGCCATGCTTCCGGGATGTGCGGTGGCCCGCCTTTGCGTCCACCACACCGCCTTTCGCCATTACCGTATTGTAGAATAACTCATCTCAAAGGATTGATTCAGTAAACCATCTTAGGTGACGATAACTTGTCACTTGGTCCTTACGTCATCTGATTTGTACTAATATTAGTTTCATTGGAAACACGTTGAGTCGGATGTCGCATAGTTCTGTCTTCCAGGCCCACAGTCCGCACCCGCACCCGCACCCGCACCCGCATCCGCAGCCTGTCAGGCGGCCAGCAACAGCATCGCTTTATATAGCTAAAACTATTAAGTTATGATTGGGTGATTGCAGAAAGTCCGGTATAGTGTGCGGATAATCCGCTCCGCAAATGCATCCGCAGGATTGAACAGAAGGTAGGCAGCAGAGTCAACCAAAATATAAATAGTACTAGACCACGCTTCCAAAATCCAAGAGTAAAACGAAGGCCTCACCCCATCATCTTGAAGTCGCAATACATTCATATCGAGAAATACCAGAATTCAATAACCGAGAATATAGAATTTGAATGGCCATCACCGCGGAATCTTTCATGCCTGATCTGTCTGGCCAAGTAGCCTTAGTCACAGGTGGATGGATATTCAGGGTTGTAGGTCTCCCTTTCATCGAATCTCTAGAATATCCAGAACTATGGACTGACCCTTGAATGCAGAGGCTTCGGTACCAGCATCGAGCTGGCAAGAAAAGGCGCTCGTGTTTATATTGCAGGCCGATCCGAGTCAAAGTACCAAGACACGGTCCAGACTATTATCGCTGAATATCCTGCCGCTGATGTTAGATTTCTTCCTGTGGACCTGATGGATCTCGGTAGTGTCTCGAGAGCAGCGGAGATTGTCATGCAGTAGGTTGTTTCAGCCTATCACAATGCTGAGAGACACATGTTGACGCGTGCCTTGATTGTAGACAGGAAAGCAGATTACACCTTCTTGTCAATAATGCCGGAGTATGATGTTCCTTTTTTTTAACCCTTGAGTCTGTGTCGCCGAGAGGACCTAACATGATCACCAGGTGATGTGCACTCCCTATGAAGAAACAAAAGATGGGTTTGAGATGCATATTGCGGTAAGAGACCCCGGAGCTCACGATCTACTCTGAGTGAGATATTAAGAGTTTGGTACAACAGGTCAATTATATCAGCCATTTCCTACTGACCAAACTCCTGTTACCCTGTCTGCTTTAAGCAGCGGATGATTCTGTAGCTGGAACTGTCCGAATTGTCAATGTATCAAGCGACGGGCATGAAAAGCTTGCGCCGAAACGGGGAATCATCTTTGAAGATGCCAATTTGAAAGGTGACTACTCGGTCTGGACTCGATACGGCCACTCAAAACTAGCCAATGTTCTTTACACAAAGGAGCTGGCCAAAAGATACCCAAACATCTTATCTTTTTCCGTACATCCCGGGACAGTCAAAACGTAAGTTCATGGATCAAAGGACTGAAGACAAGATACTGATTTTTGGAACGTTGGAAGAAATCTTTCACAAGGTCCCCTAGCTTCAATCCCTCTGTATCATTTTGTGAAGCCGTTGGTGGAGCTTGGGGCACCAGGCCCTCGGAAGGGGGCAGCAAATATCCTGTATGCTGCTGTCTCAGGATCCCTAAGTTCCTCAGATAACGGAAGCTATTTTCTTCCTGTTGGAAAAATGATAAATGCAAGTAGGAGCGGAGAGGATTTACAGATGGCACATAAACTCTGGGGATGGACTGAGGAAGAAATGAGAAGTAGGGGTTATTGAAGGCCGTGAATGAGAATAGAGTATCCATGAAGCCACGGTGGGTCCCTGATACATGCTACAGGTTTCAGCATGCAGCATTAGCCCCTGATATCTTTCTCAGGAGCGTGAAATACTTCCATCCCTGTCGCATAAGAGGCAGTTTGTCTGAATTAACTGCCATAAGTGCAAATGCCCTCTGAAGGATAAATAATCCCCGCTCGTTAGCGTCGTTGCATGCAGCCGCACCGGTGAAAACAATCCAGGTCAGCAACTCGGGATGATTGTGAATAAGGAACAATTCATCAATCTTCCCCAAGTATTGTTTAAGCAGATATAACCCCCACCTCGAGGACGCACATTTTCTGGGCGATAAAAATGGCCGGTCCATCAGCAAATGCCGGAATATTGAGGCCGATAGATTGCAGCATGCTCTCAATCTGCTTGGGTTATCGAACGCATCCGAGGGTGCATTAATGGACGTATTTTGGAGCCCTTGGTCGGAGGACACAAAGTGTTCAATATCGCTAGTGATTGTCTCAACATCAGCTTCAAAAAGATGATCCAGTTGCGAAAAAATTTCATAGATGTCTAAAATGGCGGACATCTCAACTTCAGTCAATAATGCCTCCCCTTTCTTGCATGTCGCGCTAGTTATTATGGCTCGGAGGATCGACTTGGGGCGGACGGTTGATGGATACAAACATGACCAAACCGGAATAGTGTCAAAAACACACGAAAAGAAGAGCATAGTCCTGTTGCATGATCAGTAAAGATGCGCTCGACTCGTAGGTTGTTGATCCTACAGTTTTATGACCCCTAATAACGGTCCAAGTTCGGATCTAGCAGCCGGGGTAGCTGACAGGAGCATCCTTATTATGCCCATCTGATGTGAAATAGCTGATTGTTTGTCAAATGTAGCCATCTGCAAGTTTGACCAAGTGTTAGAGATATTAGACATCTCAATAATAGGGTAGGGTTCAGTCGTACACTGTAAAATAACAAAGGAACCACGGTTCCTACAGTAGAGTAGCTTAGGTCAGGAGCCTCTCTGGTTAACCTTTCGTTAAGCAATTGAATCGTACGGGTTTGATGATGCAATGTGATCGTGCTGCTCTTGGTACCAGTCAACATGTCAATCGATGCCGAGGCGCTGAATAATGTAGCATGAAACAGGCAAGGGTCTTTCATGGCCTTAGCCATCCATTCAGTCCCGAGGTGTTGTGCTAGGCTTTGAGGTGCTATACTATTCGACAGGCTTAGCAACCGATGTGCAGACTAACTCTCCACGGAGATTAGTGATCAGCACTTTATAAGTAAAACCAGAATCAGGCGTAATGGTGCGTTAGGCCTCATCACACCCGAGTAGCGGAGTGATTGCAATCGACATTTGAGGGATAGCTCACAGAACTGAAGCAGCTTAGACATATACGGCTGGAACTGGATCGGATAGTCCGCTGAGTTGCCAAGGCTTTGCAAGTACTCCACCTGGCTATCGTAATGTACTGCATGGCTTCTGCCCTCTCCATGGCTTTGATCGGATTTCAACGATGGCTCTCTGCTTACGAGCATGTCATGCGAAGTCTACGTCAGGGTCAGCTGTAAATGAGATCAGCCCTACTCCCGCCACTCAGGAAAAAGTTATGCCTTACCTTGAGCAGCGGGAACAGACGGGAATAACCCTGTCACATTTCCTTTTTTGGGTTTGGCATCACCTGCAAGAGTGTGCATGATGTATGACGTTGTTGGGTTGTGCAGAAGAGGAGATCACCGCCGTACTTGGATGTGGGGACTCATACAAGCAATCTCGATCAGTCCTAAACAATTGTTAGAAGCACTGATCGAGCCCCAAGCGATATATTCGATGATATCGATAGCAGACGAAACCCATACTTACTTCTGACATCGAGTACATATCGGAAGAAGCTTGTCACACCGACGTTTACCTGCTCTACAGGGCAGACAAACAAACGACGCCCATTCAGCCATTTAATCAACCCTGGTAGCGGCTGTGTGGTCAGTATATTAGAGTAGCACTCATACTCCCGACGCGTGAAGAGGGAAAAGCAGTAGGTAGTTGAGGATGTCGAGGATTGGATCGGTCCGTGCTACCGATCAGCAGCGGCGCCATTCCGGATTGGGACGGGACCCATGTCCCTTATCAGGCATTGCCGGGAGGGGCTCCCGGGGGACTTTGTAGGCAGGCACTAACCCCCGCATTTTACCCTGGTCAGTGATAAGGTCTCATCCTTCGATTGCTTTCTCCCTCGCATCCGCCATTCACACCACCATCTTCCACCACCCAATTGACCTACTAGCCACGCATTGGCTTTGACTAGCACACAACCAGTAACCAAAATGAACGTCCGGAGTCGCACTGGTTGTTTAGCCTGCAAAAGTAAGTCCTTCGACTTGATTGACGGCCGCCATGGCCCTCTCCATCTGCGCCTGCTGATAAGACAACTCAGAGCGCAAGCGTCGCTGCGGAGGTAAGATCTACAATCTACTGCACTTGTCCTCTTCGTCTCTTAGCGCGGCAAAGCTTCCGATCTGACCAAATATCTTTTCAGAGGAGAAACCAGCTTGCAGGAATTGTGTTGTGCGCGGGTTCGAATGCCCTTATCTGTCAGAAAACTCTCAATCGATCACCGTTCGGTTCAAGATATCGCTTTGTATGGAGTCTCTTTTCGTCGTTTTGACCAGCATACTAATCAGCTTAGCAAATGGTGCTCGGTTACCCGTTGAGAAGCAAAGTCGGAGGCACTTTCTGACCATTTCCTCCGGAGATGTCTCCCTACTATCATCTGAGCATAATCAAGAAGATACACCCGCGAAGATTGACGATACTCGCACTAAAGCTATCCCCGACTGCTTCAACCCGGTCAGACTGGAAGCATCAATCTTCGCCACCCCTCTAGTTGATTGCACGGGGCTCGAGGAACAACTCTTCCAATACTGTGAGTGGATCGGAGATCAATGAGGTATTCAGCTAACCTAGCTTCCCAGATCTGCAGGTCATATGCCGAGTAAGAGTATTCCGCGATGACCCAAGAAACAAATTCCGATCTCTTGTCGTCCCCTTCTGTCGCGGACGAAGACCATTATTATACGCGGTCCTATCCGTGAGCGCCAACGACCGTCGCACAGAGACCGTAGCGACACACATAAACTACGAACAGCTCGCACTATCGTACAAATACCTCGCACTGAAATCACTCCGGAAATCACTATCCGACGTCAGCAACGCCAGCGAGGCACTCATGACCTGTCTCATCTTATGCACCCTGGAAATAGCTTCAGGCTGTCAGCCAGATTGGGTGCGTCACGTTCAAGGCGCCTTCGCCATTATCAACAGCTGCTCTAGCATGATCGACCCCGAAATCTTATTCTTCGCACGAAGCTACTTCCAATCCCGAGCGATCTTTTTCCGCACAACAGGCTCTCACAACACCTCCGACAAGGATCCCGACCCCCTCGCCAACCTCCAACCAAATATAAACCACTGCATGGACCTCTTCTCGCAAACCCCCTGCCTCAACACCAAGTACACCGACGAGCAAACCAAAATCCAACCCCACATCGGCTGCTCCCTCAGCCTCCTGGACATCATCGCCCGCGCAACAGACCTAGTCAGTCAAAAACAACAACTCCGTCAAACTGGCACCAGCTCCTTCTTCTCCGAAGGTGAAATGCTCCAACGAGTAATTTCACTACGCAGTGAACTCGACTCTCTCCCCAAAGAATACTCCCCTGACAGCGAATACCTCACAACATGCGGACAATGTTTCCGCTTAGCCGCAGACCTATACCTACAACTAGCATGCGACATCCCTTTATCCCAACCAACCCTCCAAACCATGCTAGGAAAGCTCCTCGACTATATCGGTCAGGTCATCCGAGAGGATCAGGAAAGACAGTTATTCCCAATGTGGCCGCTGTTTCTGGCTGGTTGTCTATCCACGTCGGATTATGATCGAGTGCGCGTTTTGAATTATTTCACTTATCTTTCTTATTCGTGGCCCGTTAGCAATGTGGCGATTGTACGAGAGGCAACGGAGACGGTATGGAAGTTTCGGGATTTGAATCCTCATGATTGTGGGAGTGGATGTGGGTTCGATTGGCAGATGATTATCAATCGGATGAATTGGAAGTTGGCGTTGTCGTAGCTGATTCCCAGCTGCAGAAATTATCATTATACGGAATAGAAAACATTGAGTTCATTCGCTATCATCCCGTAGAATACTCCCACTTCAAAGTGTATATCCTACAACTTCGGTCCCGGAATAAGTCTAACCTCCTCAAACTCCCTCGTCTCACCCAACCGCCAACTCACATCCCCATCCCACTTGCCCTTCTTCTGCGCACTCCCCTTCCACCTCCACCGATCAACTCCCTGCTTCCTCTCCCTAAGCAACGTATACACCCAATCACCCACAATAGGAAGCATCTTGAACAAATGTCCCGAATCGCCCGACAAAAGAACCACCGACCCGTCCGTCTCCGGCACAAAATCCACAATAAAGTCCGAATCACTCGTGTCGGCAAACCAGCACAGCTTCTTCTCAACAAAGGGTCTATCAGCTAGCTGTGGTAGCGTCTCACGAAGTAACCGTCTCATGCGCTTCTCATCCTCAGCCGGGAGAACATTCTCGCTTTCCTGCAGCGTGGCAGGCGGGTAAGACACCCCCGACGCGGGATCCGTGTTGATATACCCGCCTCCCATGGGGCAGATCTTCAACAGGTTAGTCTTCGGATCGGGCTCGAAGAAGAATCCCAGATCACGCGCATAAGTCACGGGAATACCGCGGAGCATGGAGGTCTCATCGTCAGTGAGTTTCACATGACCCAGGGACCAGGACTTGGCGACGACTTGGCTCCCAACCTCTGGGATAAGAGTTGCTGCGGCAGCGCCGATGGCCACGACGGCCAGACGGCAGGAGTGGATTTGACCATTACCTGTGCGGACTCCCGTGACTTGCTTCTTGTTTGTGTTGTCGTAGATGAGCTCGGTTACTTTGCCGATTTGGTCACCCAGGAAGAATTTTACGCCCCTTGCTGCGCAGGCTTCGTAGACTGCTCGGAGAGCGTTGGCGGAGTGGGCGTACCCGGCTAGTTGGTTGAAGTAGCCGTTCCAGCCGGGGAGGGGGCCGGTGAGTTGCCAGGCTATGTTGCGGATGTCGGTTGGGGTGGTGATGGTGGAGAGCTTGCCCTTGTAGGTGGGGTGGGTGCGGATGGAAGACAGGAATCGGTTCATGGTTTGGGAGGCTTTCTCGGGGGCGGAGCCGGAGACGAGGTGGAGGAAGCCGGTTTGGTGGTAGTGGGGGGCGTAGAGGGGGGTTTTCCAGCCTTCGATGGCTTGCTTTATTGTGGTGAGGATATGTTAGTTGTGTGGATGGGGAGGAAGGGACCGGGGGACATACGAGGGCCAGCTCGGTGTACCATGGGTCTTCATATTCTGCGCGCACGATCTTGTTGATGTCGTGGCCAGCGGAATAACGGGCGGGGATTTGGGTGTCTTTTTCGAAGACGGAGATGTTGGTGAAGCCGTTGCTGGAGAGGTGGAGGGCCGTGGCGAGGCCGAAGACGCCTGCGCCGATGATGGCGATAGGATCGGATTTGGAGGTTGATACCATGATCGTGCTCAACGATAGATTTGGGTCAGTGATAATGATGGGCAATAGTTAGTAGAAGTATGGAGTTTTGGTCAATGCATTGGCTGTCGAGGTACTATATATAGTGGTTTGTTTGGAATTTGAATCATACCATGTACACTATGTTGTGATCCTGAGAAGGTCGTGTACCTCCATCTCGGCCCACCAAACTGCAGGCGCATATTTTGACCATGAATTCACAGATAGCCAGCTTATCGGTGTGGCTCGAGCTCGGTGCATCCAGGATTGCGGGTTAGTGCAGGCGATACATACCGGTTACACTATCTTACAGATCGACGATCGAGATATATTATGCGGGGCGGTGTTTTGGAGAAGTTGGGACGATCCGAGGCGCAGTGGGGGGCTTAGCGTGGATGAGGATCGCCGGTTAGTTTATGCGACGGCCCTTGTATGTATGTAACGTTTGCCTTATCTACCCCTCAGCGTATTGATGTTTTGGCTGGTCTTTCATGCGGAAAGATCGATAGGAGATGCGGGGTGTCAAGCCTGTATCTTATCAGCTGCACTGCTTTGGAACGTAATTGCTGTTGATAGATGAGCGGTTTTGTGTTGTCCATTATTGATGCGGACCAAGGCTATGGATTCTGTGTCAATACTTCCAAGCATCGTAGGCCGAATTAGAATGCTGCTGGCACAGCATTGTCTCCAAGACTTGATGTACGGATGATGATATTGTCTTGACCTAATATGTGATCCTGACGAGGGGGAGGGGACGTGTAAGGCATGCTATCATCACCTATCCAGGAATTTCACAGCGTAGACTAAGGTGAGTTACGGAGAAGATGCTGCAGGGAAGCCAACACAAAGAGAATCAATCAATTGACACTGCTAATTCTATATGTACACCAACACCAGTCTCCTTTTGAATCATGGCACGCCCATAACCATTACATCCATTACTCATTGCTTGGGTACCGGAAGCCATTCAAGGGGAAGAACTCCTCCTTGATAGTCCTGGGGCTGGTAAAGCGCAGAACAACATTGGCGCTGCCAGCCTTGTCGTTGGTCCCACTAGAGCGACCGCCGCCAAATGACTGTTGTCCGATCAAGGCCGCAGTGGTCTTGCAATCTGTGGCGTAATGGTCAGTAGGAGTAAAGGAAGAGTAGCATAGATCACTTACTAATATAGAAGTTTCCAGCCGAGTACCGCAAGGTATCTTCGGCTTCACGGATAGCACGTCGATCAGCTGCAAATACAGCTCCAGTCAAGGCAAACCCGCCGCCACTCTGGTCGACCTTCTTGAGAGTCGAGGACCACTCCGCATCAGGGTAGACGTAGACTGCCAGCACCGGTCCAAAGATTTCCTTGTCGAACAGATCATGGTTGATGTCCTTGGCTCGGTACACAGTAGGGTGGACGAAATAGCCGGTTGAGCCATCGTATGTACCACCAGCAATCAGCTCCAATGAGCGATCCTTATTGCTGGCGTCAATGATGGACTTGATCTTCTCAAAAGACGCTTTGTGAATGACCGGGCCCATGAAGGCTCCCATATCCTCGGGTGACCCGATTGTGATATCGTTGATCTCAGACTTCAATTTGGTCAGGAACTCTTGTGCCCGGGACTCCGGGAGATACAATCGAGACGTAGCTGAGCACTTCTGTCCTTGATACTCGAATGCACCTCGAAGAGTGTGGAAGACAGCACTATCAATATCGGCAGTGGGGTGGACCAAGTGGAAGTTCTTGCCACTAGTCTCACCAACCAGGCGAGGATAGTCCCGGTAGACCTTCTTGCCGATGTTCTCGCCGACTTGAGCATACAAAGAACGGAAGACATCCGAGGAACCTGTAAAGTTGAGACCCGCAAACTCCCTGTGTCCGAGTACTGTCTGCGTTATCTGCTCTGCGTCGCCAGTAACGAACTGGATTACATTGGGAGGTAAACCAGCTTCGAGGAGAATCTTGTAGACGAGCGAGCTTGCGTATACATTGGAAGGCGAAGGCTTCCAGATCACAACGTTGCCCATAAGGGCTGGACCACTGACCAGGTTTCCACCAATTGCAGTGAAGTTGAAAGGCGACACGGCATAGATGAATCCTTCCATGGGTCTATAATCGACACGCCTGATGGGTCGTCAGCATCTGAACGTAATGGGGCTTTCAACGGTTTGCCTTACGTCCACATCCCATCAGTGCCCCGATCAGGCTGCTTCCCCAGGATATCGGCCGCATAGTTGCAGTTCAGGCGAAAGAAATCGGCCAGTTCTGCAGCGGCGTCAATCTCACCCTGCCAGACATTCTTCCCTTGTCCCAACATTGTAGCAGCGATGAGCTCGTATCGGTATTTACCCGCGACAAGCTCCGCGGCTTTAAGAAAGATAGCGGCCCGATCAACAAAAGGAGTGTTCTGCCATGACTCCTTGGCCGCCAGTGCTGATTCAATTGCTTCGTTAATTTGCGCTGGGGTATTGAGAGGATAGTTGGTGAAGGTAGTGGAATGTTCTGCGGGCAGAGGTTGTTGCAACGAATTCGAGACCGATAGAGCTTTGCCACTGATGAAAGATTGGCTTTCAAGTGGAAGTTGTGACTTCATCTGCTTCAACGCCTTCTCGACCTGCGCTCTTTCGGGGGATCCCCTGGTGTAGTCCAACTAGAGGGAATGGTCAGTAGTTTCTCATGCCACGGGGCTATAACAGACTCACATTGGGCTCATTCCTGGCAGCTGGTAGACGAAAAGGTGAAGTTGCAACACCCCTGGATCTAATGACAGGAATTCTTCCGACACGGCGTCCTAAGGAGCGGACGCTCGGTGATGGTTGAGACATGGAGAGCTTAAAGGCCATATTGAGTATAGGGGGAGGTAATGCGAAAAGAGTGAGTTGGACGCAGATCTGAGGGATACGATCATGGTGAACATCATGCTTCTTATGCTTCAGGCTCGCTATTGTATCCGAACAGGCGACGGGTTTAGAGGCCGAATTTCGGCGCAGGCCAAGCTGGAAGTGAGGAGAGTGAGGAGAGTGAGGAGAAGGCGGGTAGACTAACCGCCCGCTGGAGATCTCCCTAATGCCCGCGGCTCCTCCTTCGGCTTCGCATCCCGACCATCCCGATAAGCCAGGGCGTTATCGCGTCATCACAACTCACCGATAAGCGTCTATCGCGGAGCTGAACGAGTTATCCCAGGCTCAAGGGACCCCAACTGACCCTCTTGGAATAAAACATGTGCAGCCAAAAACGCCGCCAGGCTCTGGAGCCTGTCATTGACCTTGAGCCACGCTTGTCTGGGGCATGTTCAACGGTGGATGGAATGAGAGGTCTTCCCCAAAGCCCATCAGAAGAACTCGGCAGGAGAAGATTATTTCTTGATTGACACGCCCAGAAAGCGCGCTGTATCTATATAAGCGGACGGGCGTCTGAAGCAACCCAGTGTCGCGAAGCCCAAAATGTCACCAGATCGTGTCAAAGCGCAGCCATTACACACCGGTACCTGGAATAATAACTACTCGAGACAGCTAGCTGGAGACTTTGTCGCAGGGTCGCTATCTGCGACTATCATTGCTCCTGTCATTACTGTCATTGATCGGTTAGCCTGTTGAGATGGAAATCACAAAGAGCCATGCGCTGATGATAGTACTAGGAGTGTTGTTGAAAGGCTTTCCTCGAATCAATCGCTTCTGAGTACACTCCGCACACACGCAATTTGTTCCATCCTCGAACCAAGAAAGTTTTATATTTCCAGGCCATTCTTCATTGCCTGGTCTCTTTACGCAGCAACTTATGTCACGGCGAATGCCACCGATACGAGCCTCAGCCATTTCCCCAAAATAGCAGAGAAGTCAACGATTGCCAACATTGCAGCAACATTCAGCTTCCTCCCAACCTACGCTGTTAATGTGTCCATGGGGATTCTGAAGGATATAAGGTTTTCCCAGATCTATGGCGATCCAAAAACCATCCACAAACGACCGCCTTCGATTCCTCGTGCAGCATATATGGCCTTTCTTCTCCGCGATAGCATCACAATCTCCAGCTCGTTTACCTTGGCCCCTCAGGTGGCCTCGTTCATACCAGATTGGATCACTACCGACCTCCATGCCAAGAGGACGATCACCCAGCTCGCATTGCCCGCTCTGGTGCAATATTTGAATACACCACTTCATATGATTGCGTTGGACTTGATCGCCCGTCCGCAAGTGGCCACCATGGCAGAGAGATCGGCTCTGATACGAAGCGGCTGGGTTCAATCATCGTCGGTGAGAGCAGCGAGAACTCTGCCGGCTTTCGGGGTTGGCTGTGTAGTGAATGCAGATCTGAGAGCCCTCTTTCATGAACAGTGGATGATTAGATAGAGAAAATACAAAAATATCATCTGCATCTGCGGGATAACAACAGACAAGGATGCTTCCTCCAGCGACGTATAGGGGCAGCGCCAGCAGAGGATCGTCATCAGCAGACCAACTCACTACCAGAGGCGGCTGCGCTAACCGCTGGTTTTTGATTGCAGTAGCGCAAGGGGTGGAACTGTACCGTAAGGTTTGGTATCTGGTATCGGAGGCGGTCTCCAACTTCGGTCTTGCCATTTCATGCAGCTTTATCTCCTGCGCATACACTAACCGTTTCTCTAAGGGTTTGCTAGACCTGATATGACTTGACTTTCCCCCGTCCAGTGCTCTTCAACTCCACTCTTTCATCACCCAGCGCTATCGGTGGAGCTGTCTGCCCCCTATAACCCGGCTCGTGATGAGATAAGTACGGGATATCTACTGCAGTTACGTTGATTAGACGCCGATTACTCGGCCAATCTATCGTATCTCACTGACATATTTCCCCAGACGCTAGACTATGCTTACCCCCGCACTGTATCTTCCCGTTCGTCCATCTATCCAATCAGACCATGGCCCTGCCATATCTATCCACGAGCTTCCGCTGCGGAACACATTTTCGCCAGGTATCATTATCAGTAGTCTGTCTCGGTATCAAGAGGTCAAGTGAAAAGATAGGAGGTACGTCATGCCAATAGGATGTAGACGGATAGCCAGCAAACGGCAGGTATTGGTCGACTATGTCCGTAAGGAATGCATTATCGCTGATGCCTCAGGCACATGTGTTTCGACTGCCTACTTGGTCAACAGCATTACGAAGTGCTGGTCAATTGGCTCAAATAGACCAGGTATTCTCGGATCTGACCTGAAGGGCTCGTTAATCTTCCTTCTTGATCGAGTTCATCTTATTCCAATCTCTCGATACTCTCATATACTATAGCCAATCTACTTTCCCATCATTCGATTATATCAAGGGCATGAGTGCTACGATGGAATCTAGAGATCTTGCAGCGGTTCATGACACCAACGCCTACGACTATAACCCCAGAGATGTGGAGAAAAAGAAGCATCAAGACGATGCCTTGCCCGAAGAAGACCCTTTCGGAAACGAGGAGTTTGTGGAGGTGAAATATCGTACGTTGGGTTGGTGGTGAGTTTCATCTCTCCTATCCTTCGAGTAAACCGGCTATATCTGACCTTTCTGTCTATACGCAGGCAATGTGGAATACGTGAGATCCTCTCAATCCAAGAAGCCATTAAAGGAAATGGTCTAACCCTTGATATCAACAGTCATGGTCGCAGAAAATGTCTCCATAGGAATCCTGTCCCTTCCATCCGCTTTTGCAACGCTGGGTTTTGTCCCGTAAGTTGCTCGCTGACTTGCGAGGTTGAAAGCTAATGTCTCTAGATCTATCATCTTGCTACTTGGAATATCCGGCATTTCATGGTACACTGCCTACGTTATTTGTCAGTTCAAGCTACGATACCCGCATATTCATAGTATGGGTGATGCCGGTGAGGTGATTATGGGCCGATTCGGACGTGAACTGCTTGGTACTGGCCAACTGCTGTTCCTGATATTTGTCATGGCTAGCCATGTATTGACCTTTACGGTTCTGATGAATACTCTGACCGAACACGGCAGTTGTACAATTGTCTTTGGCGTCATCGCGCTGATGGTTAGTTGCATCGGAGCCCTACCACGCACCATGGGTAATGTATACTGGATGTCAATTGCATGTAAGGAACACCACCTTATACACCTGACGAATCCAAATCTGGCATCTGGCTAACTTACCTCTCTTCAGCATTTCTCAGCATCGTGGCAGCCACCGTGGCCACAATGATCGCAGTGGGTGTAGAGTATAAGGGCTCGGTTCCCCTTGCTGTGACCACCCATCTCAGCTTCAACAAAGAATTCTTGGCCGTTAGCAATCTTTTCTTTGCATACGGTAAGTCATATCAACTAATACTCCCCTTGATAAGGCCTGACTAACACACAATGATATTTAGTGGGACATGCCTCCTTCTTCGGGTTCATCTCCGAAATGGACAAGCCGCGAGACTTCACCAAGTCCCTCTCGGTGCTTCAAATAATCGACACGTCACTGTATCTAGCTAGCGCTATAGTGATCTATCGTTTCGTTGGTCCAGACGTCCAATCCCCCGCCTTGGGCTCCGCAGGACACTTGATGAAGAAAGTGGCCTATGGCCTAGCCATCCCAACTGTATGTCGTGACCCTCTCCAGTAGGACTCCTACTGACTCAAGTCTTTCAGGTTCTCATCGCCGGAATCGTCAATGGCCATGTTGCCAGCAAGTACGTTTACGTGCGCATATTCCGCGGCTCGGACCACATGCACGAGCGAAGTTTGCTGTCCATCGGGTCCTGGGTCGCCATTGGGGTTATCTCGTGGATAGTTGCATGGGTAATTGCCGAGTCAATCCCAGTCTTCAACAACCTTCTGAGCCTGATTGTACGAGGCCTTCACTCCTACCACACGATTAATATACTAACCCTCTCTACAGACCGCCCTATTCGGTTGCTGGTTCGCCTGTAAGTCCACAAAATGCCCTTCCTACCACAAACTCCATAAAATCTAACCACGCTCCACAGACGGATTCCCCGCAATATTCTGGTTCGTCCTAAACAAGGGCTCATGGTTCGCAACAAAGAAGAAGATCCTTCTGAGCCTAGCCAACCTCTTCATCTTGGCTATGGCTATCACAATCGTACGTTTCCATCAGACCTTTGCGTCACCTATACTGACAGCCCGACAGTGCGGACTAGGATTATATGTCTCCGGTGACGCAATCAGTCAGGATAGTAATAGCGCCGTCTGGACCTGTGCTAATAACGCTAACTGAGCTCATGCTCAGCCCTAGCTAAATCGGTTCGCCCCAGTGGTAAAATAATTCCACCACAAGTGTGATGATGAGAAATGTTCTGATTCTGTTTTGATGTCTCAGGTGGCATATGCTCGTTCAATAGTATAAGTTTTGTATTAAACAAATATTTTCCTAGCAAGAAATCCGAAGAAATTCATATACATGATTACTTGAAAGACACACAGTACGTAAACCGATCTCAACAATAAATCTCACTCTTTTTTCACAGCCGGAAAGAACAAAGCAATGCACGCAGGGCAAAACCCGAAGACCCACGATACGTATATACTCCTGTGGCCTTTTCTCCTTTGCTTTGCAATCTGAAAGAAACTAAATTGACCAACTAATTCAGCCCATGTGTCCCCAAAAATACCACGGCAACAAACGAACTACATTTACATTGTTTATACAGAAACTATTTCCTTTTTTTGTACGAAGCTAAAATGGGCAGTTTCTGGAAGTTCCATTGGGGCTTAGTTTACTAGAATAGGAACACGATTCGATATAATTGGTAGAGAATATATCTTATATAATAACGGGATGGATATTATTAGAAGTATGTAGTCTTTTTTTTTTTTTTTTTTTTTTTTTTTTTTTCATTGTAGAGTGTGAGGCGTGAAAGTATGAATGAATGAGTCAGATCGGAATACTGGTTCATCACTATGCTCGTTCTTCATTCCCAGCCGGTGGGTATTAGATTCTCGTCGTCACTTTTGATCCAAACAACTAAAATATAGGATATTTATATAAACACAGAGAAGAAGACTGAAACGCCCCGCAGGACGATACGGCGGTATCAAGTTGAAACGTAAGATAGGTGTAGAGTAAGTATTGGCGTGTGCTTGTCATGAATAGATGGGCAGATCTGAGAGCCGTGATTCGTAAGTCCATGTGCGATAATTCATTCTGACGAAGATCAACGTTGCTGGTGAACGTGGCCAAAGTCACCTCGAGTGAGCGGTGGATGCTGGAACTTTAGGCCGAAATGGCTGACTCAAATGGTTGCCGATGCAGACAGGGTGGTATACGGATGCGGGGTTGCCATGCACGCAGCCATGAGGTAGGTGTCCATGGTCGTATGTTCGTCCGAGGCAAGCTGGAAGAGCCTCGTGGTATACCACCGATGTTAAAGACTTGTGTCTATTATGGAAGGGCGTGTATTGTGTGGTAGAGCGATCCAATGTGTTGCTCGATTCAGGCGTCGGATCAAGTAATTGATCCTTGCGAAAATCGCGGTGTAGGAAAGTAGGAGATTAGGGGCTCATAGAGATGGGTCGTCCTTCCAGGTGCCTGGTAAACACGTCAGCTTCCATACCAGTTTGTGGAGAATCAGGACTGCATACCTCCAAAGTGATGTTTTACAAACGCCATTGGATCATCAATGTCGCCGGCACCCATTTGGTGCACTCCGGGGCTGAAGCTAGTGATGGGCAACACCACCACATCTCCCACCTTCTTATACCCTTGCTGGTTCGTAAAGTCTTCATAGGTGACATTCAAGGTAGAGCCGGGCTCAATGTTGAAGTAGTCCGGGTTGTTGAAGTACCGGAAAACGGCATCTGTCCAAGCGCCCGGGCCAGTGTACTCCATGACAGTCTTGTCCATCTTGCCAGTCTTCAGGATCCCTGCCTTCTTCATCCGCAAAGTCTCCTCGGTAATATATGACACGATATCACGCATGATGGGATGTCCCGGTTTGGCTTGGATGGTCCACTGACAGAATTGAATTCTGCGTGCATACCAGTCATGCCAGTCGGGACGGTCAGGATCAGCCTCGATGCCGACCACTGCCCCGACTGTAGCCAGGTCAAGCTCGGACGGCAGCCAGTCGGAGGCGGGCTTCAATGCTGTCGTATCGATATCGCTGTAAATCCCACCACGCGCCAGGAGGATCAAATAGCGAAAGAAATCGGCCTTCAAAACGGGCAAGGGCATGGAATCATAAGCCTCATACACATCAGGGACAGCGCCGAACAAATACTTGATCAGATGGCGCTGTGTGTCATCCGGAATAACCTCGTGAACGAATCCAGGATGTAACTCGGACCAGCTGGACTCTGGATCACGAAGGCTTTCGCTGAAAAACATGGACGAGGGCGTATACTTCCATGTTTGCCAGATGTATGCAGGGAACTTGGCTTCCAAGTCGTAAGGGAAATGGTAGCGCAAGCGATCGCGCAAGGGGGCGGTCGGTGGGGGCATCAGCGGTAGCTGTTGTACGGTGTCCTTGTCTCCACCCTTTTGATCACTCTTTGGTTGATCCTCATTGTAGATGTTTCCTGCGGAGGCCGAATCTGGAGACGGAAGGGAAGAGGCGGAATGCGAGGATCTCAGGTAGACAATGAAGGTAATCAACAGAACAGCCGCGAAGAGCGACTTCCGGAAGGTGAGCATCGCTGTGAAAGTATCGGGGAATCGCAAGTTAGCTGAATTGTCGCACAAGAACAATGAGCTGGCATGCAGCTGGACGATGTAGGATCGCTACCGGTTTCTCCGCAACCTCGGCCGACGATCAAAGAAGATCAAAGCCAGGCAACAACGTCACCAGATCGAGGTATGATATTTGGGTCCAAGTCCGTGTCGTCGAGGAAGCTGTCAGAAACCACGCATATCTATTGCCTGGTAGAATGCGACTGGGAGGATTGCGGTGTTTCGTAAGAAAAGCGTCAAAGTTTCGGCGGTTGCGCGGTCGCTATGGCCGGAGGGCTCCGTAAACACAAAGACAACAATTGAACAGCCCGGGCGATTTCAGAGCTACCTGGCAGCGAAGGATCGCTTTGAGGAGAGAAGCAAGCCAGGAGCAAGAGCCGCGGAAGAGAAAAGGCCAGATGGTGATGAAGGAAGAGGAGGGCGCAGAAGAAAGAAGATTGAGCTCGGCCTAAGCAGTGGAGCCAAGTGACGACGGCGAGTTGGTGGCGTCAGACGGCGGGCGCATCGGCTGATAAGCATTTGCCCGTCAACCCTCTTTAAGACTTTTTGCTGTGACTGGCAAGAACCGTCAGGGGCTGCCCTCCTGCATTATAAATTAGAAAGTCAACGCGTCCCTAAATAATAATCCATAAATCAATAATCTGGCAGTGCCACGGAAGATGGCCGTGGAGTCCACTGGTTCTGGTTCCTAGGATTGACTTTGCGACGTTGGCAATTGGCATCCACCCTCGTTCCTCTCCGCAACAGGAGATGATCGGCTGGTTGCTGCTTGATGGATGGAAGATTGCTCCGTCTGGAGGCCGGGGGTGCAGTTCCCCTTGGCCCCATGGCTTGTCTCAGTCTCTCAGTCTCACAGGAGTTGGCGGAGCATCTGGCAGTTCCGATAAACTTCCACATCGCATGCGAGGTGGTATAGCACCCCCGCCATCGGCTCTGTCGTGTCGCCGTTTGCGGCCTTGATCGCAACCTTTTCAGGGACGTCCAGGTCCACTGCTTGGTCTAGATCCTACAAGGGCCCTGCTGTGATACCTGATAAGGTTACTTCTACCCATCCAGACGACTTGACCCTACTCTACATCTCTGATACCTACCTAGTACCTACCTGGTCATCGGAAGAGAAGTGGGTTACGTATTCCGGGCAGTGGGTGTGGTGGACACTGCGTCAGCCCCGTGAAGCCGCGTCATACGCTGAGCCGGCCTGCAGGCCCGGCTTGGCTCCGGCGCTTACATTCTTCCACTGGCATGACTCGTGAAGACCATGAAAATGACTCGGATTTATCTCAAGTACAGAGTATCGGAAAATATCATTGCAATGTGTAGAGGGCCCTGCTTGCAAGTCTTTCACTCTGTATTGGTAGCGCCTGTTCGAGAATTGAATACTAGTTCTTTGTTCGGTATTGGTTGTATGTAACACTCGGAACATTCACTTCACTTTCACTTCACCAAGACCATCTCATCTCACGTCCTACCTACACTTCTCTCAACCATCATCTTCACAAATTATCTCCTAACTATCCTTCTCTTCCTGTGGGTCGTTCTCTCGCCATGGATTCTTCTTTTTCTGGCCTGTTCCTGTAGGTGGCTACTAGATTTTGTCGCAGTTATTAAAACCTACAAGAGCAGAGCCACAGGTGTTTCCAATACCATGAACAAAAGCCTCCTTGATGATGTGAGTCCTTCGTCACTATGTGAGCATCGGATTCGGACCTTGACCAGCCGCAACTGCCTTGCCTCATCAACATGACTTGCTCTTTCCTTGGAACTGTGCACCACAAAGGTTGAGCTCCCTTGATTACTATTCTCCGTTGTAGGTCTTCCTAATATGTCCATCTCTCGACAAAACACAGCTGAACAAACCGTGGCTAGAACAGGTCCCGATCGGGGGTAATGCCGCCGCATTCTTGATCAATAAGCAGAAGCAATTCACCATCACCTCTCCTCCAATCTCTCACGGTGTATCAAGTCAGGAGGTCCATTCTTCGTATGCTATGTCCTCGACATCAAGCAATAGTTGTCTGAAGTCTGATGAATTTCCCGAAGCTACGAAAACCGAGGTCAAGCGACTTGCAGACAATTTCTGCTGAAAATGCAAGATAGACGGGACTCAGGTTTGCGATGTCATCGCTAGAGAAGATATAAAAGTAGGTGATACTACAGCTGCAGTCTCGGACACAGAGGAATGACCATATCTGAATAGGTCGACATTCGGATCAGAGTAGGCTTTCTTGACTTCAGCTTGAGTTCATTCGCAAACGCAATAGCGCTATGTGCGACTTGTCACTTCCAATTTGATGAAACCAATGACCCTGGATTCTTCTTCATACCCATCGATCTGCAGTACTTTATAGACTTCGAGCTCAATGATAGACAGAGGAGGTCAACAGAAGATAATCTCGCTCGTCAAGCCCCAACCTCTTCGATGTACAGAGATCACCTAGTGGCTCAAGGGAAGATCGAATAGAGTGCAACATGTGGACTTTACCGACCAATCTTTCTGAAGGATTAGCATTTATACAGAGACTTGATTAAAGATCCCAGATTCACTAAGCCCAAACAGTGGCTTGGGGCACCTATTATACCATTATGTCGAGCTATACTAGCACTCGGGAGCGTCAGGATCGCCCTTGACGAATTGACTGTCAATCAACTGCAAAAGCTCCGAGACCTCTACTTTCGGCCGACAGAAATATCGTTGGATGCCAGGCTAGCGCCATACATTCTACGTCGGAGACGACGAACGGATGACGAGGACGACGATAACAGTAACAACGATGGTAAATTTGAACAACCTGAAAAGAAGTGATTAAAGCAGCTCTCGAACACAGGTGGGTCGGCCCGAGCATGGGAATAACAACGACGTGGATGCCCAGCAATATACCTTCCAGACAGATTGGATGTTCGGACCGAACTACACTACTGAACAAGCTATTCGGCGCTTTCATCCTGTGCCCGCTCATTTTTGAGCAATCATCGGCAATGGACTTTGGATCTATCCTGAAGCAATATACCTGAATGCTTCTCACGACCCAGGTCTGGAAATTTAATTTTCGACTGCTATTCCATGTTTTGATGGAATTCGTGAGCATGGTATTCAACGCGGATCTTACTTTGCTTCTCGAGAGAGTCAGGATGATGAAGATGAGGATTATCAGGACTATCCGGGCATGTATCACTCTCCATTTTTAGACTATTGCTTAGGGGGGCATTACAGCCACACCGGCCAGGCTATAACTGCATTTTTCGCTTACTCTGCCTGTACTATTAGACAGTCTTCTATACGGAGTACCAAAGTCTGCATTATATTCCAACCATTCCTATAGTCACGTGTGACACGTGGAGTGCCCCCGAGTGCTGATTGGTTGCGAGAGGCTGTCGGCCCGTTAGTTCGCCAGAAATAGCTTGGCGCCACTCAACCTTGGATGGGTTCCAGGATGCTACTGTAGTACTTACTCGACGGAGTCTGTATAAACTCTTCCGTGGGATGAAACCTCCAAACCTGCTTTCCGCCCAAGTTATCTACACGGAAGTGGGCTGTTGTGGTATATGATTTTGACCCGACCCAAGGTACTGACTCTGTGAGCTATCAATAGAAGTGCCACAGATCAAGACCGACCGCCGAAATAACGACGGCGTTGTCCAAGACTGACTAGATACCCGTTTTCCATTCTAGCTATCCGGTGGAGTTGCTTCCGTTCCAACCGAAGAAGCGAGCTCTTTGATTCTTCCATACTCGTGACTCAACATGTCTACAACTCCCAGGTCGCCGTTGATAGGCGCCGACTATCGACACGCTTGACGGTGGCTGATCGCCCCGACCATTGACGGCTTAGGAATGGTCAGACCGGCGAGTCTCGGTCGGGCGGTTTCACAATGGCTTGCGTGCTTCCATCCAGATTGTCACCACCAGGTCCTGTCACTTCCCCATGCGTCCGTTATCGCGGGCCTAGATCCCAGTCTTCTCCAATGGCTTCTCCCATTGGCTCAGATAGCTAGCACCTCGTACTCTAACATCCGACGACATACAGCAGATGATACCCTGCTAGGATACATTTCCTGGTTCGCGTGGGCGGATGTCACATTGCGGAAAATAGAGGCGGGTTGATACCATGAAAGGCATACGCTCAATCCTGTACCGCGACAGGAGCCCACACACAACATGGATCCAGTCCGCACAATCCAATGCAGGCGCAGAGGAGTGTATAGAGGGTATATCACCATCGAAGTCGCCTGGTCCAGAGCCGCAAGCAGGCGCCAAAGCCTCCATGATCTGGACGCGGAAGAAGGTGGTATGGCTGGTTATCCTGGTTTCTCTTGGTGTAGCCATTATCGTCGTGGTGATCACTGTGCCGGTAGTCCTCCTGGTCGATAAAAAATCGAACGACGATCCCAGCTACCACAATAAAGCAAATCGCCCAATCCGCGTCGTGGATGATTTTCCCGATCCTGGCCTGGTCCATGTGAACGGCACGTGGTACGCATATGGTACAAACGCCGCAGCCGATAATCCCAACGTCGCCCATGTCCCAGTGGCTACCTCGAAGAACTTCACCACTTGGTCCCTACTGCAGGGATACGACGTCCTACCGACCCTCAGCGGTTGGGAAACCAACATCAACCACTACGCTCCGGATGTGATTCAACGGGTGAGTTCGGGCCGTCATCCGAACCAACTCCCACTATCTAACAGCGAGCATAGGAAGACGGCCGATTCGTCCTCTACTACTCTGGCGAACTGAAAGACTGGCTACGCCACCACTGTGTCGGCGCCGCAGTCTCAAACGGAACAAACCCCCTGGGACCGTACGTGCCGCGCAACCAAACTCTCGCATGTCCCCGAGACCAAGGCGGCGCGCTCGACCCAGCCCCATTTAAAGACGTCGATGGAACACTTTACGTGGTCTACAAAGCGGACGCCAACAGCATCGGACACGGAGGGGACTGCAACAACGGCAAGAAGCCAATCTTATCAACGCCAATCATGCTCCAGCAGCTCCAGAGCGACGGAGTTACTCCCGTTGGTGACCCGGTTGAAATCCTGACCAACGAAAAGGTCGACGGGCCTTTGGTTGAAGCTCCAGATATCATCCGAACCGACCAGGGCGTCTACTATCTGTTCTTCTCGTCCCACTGCTACACCTCGCCCGAGTATGACGTGAAGTATGCCTATTCGACATCTCTCAGTGGTCCATACATACGGGCTGAGCGGGCTTTGTTTAAATCGGGAGACTTTGGACTCAAGTCTCCTGGGGGAGCGACTGCTTCTGTTGATGGAACGAGGATGGTCTTTCATGCTAATTGTGGGGATGAAAGGTGCTTGTATGCGGCTGCCATTGATATTAGCATCAATCATACTATCACCCCGGCTGCGCTTTGATCAGGAACATAGATGTTATAGCTCTCATCTTTAGTAGTATCATAGATCCGGTTCTGTCATGAAATAAAAGTCTTTATCAGTTCAAGAAGTAGATTTTCTCTACTGATCAAAGGATAATCGAAACCTAACACCCCCCCCTGCGGAAAGGATGACAGAGTTGGAGGGGGGAGTGTCTGGATAAGTTCGCGGAGCGGTTGAGAGAAGGGGAGGGTAATTTGAAAAGGGGGGAAATATCTGGGAGTTTTTGAGGGGGGTGATTGATTGTATGTTGGTTCTGAGTTTGTAGAGTGGTCGCTTTTTATGGGTTTGATTTTTAGGGGTGCTCACTTGGTGTAGTAGTTATTTTTAGGGGTTAGAGTAGCTCCTCTGAATGTCTACTCCATTGACAAGAATCGGGAACGTAATATTCATTACTGTAAAAGTTCCAACATCAGTGCCTTGTAATAGTCACTAATAGCAGCTAATAACCCCATTCTCTCATCACAAGGAATAATACTTGTACCCTCATAAGACAGCCCTCAGATTAGCTCTCAGGTTTTCACCGGTTTCCAGGCTATGAAGTGTGCAGAATGCACGTAGAGGCCGGATACCATGCAAATTTGGCTTTTGATTCGGATTCGTCACTGGGCTGTCTTGTCTCCTTTCCTCGCTTTCGTTCCCTCTCTTGTAGATGTCTCGCTTTCATATATCATACATAAGTCCAACTGTGTATACAGAACAAAACATCATCCACATCATGATGATGTTGTGCAAAGCAAGGTGTTGTAAGTGAACATCATATGACTGTTGTATACAGATCGTGAGCAATGCTAGTACAAGGTACTGAGCTAGGTATTATATTAGTCGACACAGGTGTAAGAGAGGGAAGTTGGGGGGAGAGGCGCCATCAGATTGAAAACTACCGTTTATTATCACTCTTCATCGACTTTGCTCGACATCGTTACCTTTGATGAGGCGAAACAGATGGAGCAGTGGGGGTCTCGGAGTAAGTGCTAGGAATTGAGATGTCATCATTGGCAGTCTGGGATGAGAGGGAGAGATATGCTTGGGATGTGATGAGAGGGGCTGATTAGTGTGTAGTGATAATAGAATGAGTATCAAACACTATATCAGGATGCTTCGTTAATGAAAGAGTGGGGGAAAATGAGCAAACCAAGGCTTATCCACAACATAAGAGGATAAGACCCTTGATGGGGGTAGGATGGTAATCGTAGTTGAGGCAACATGCAACAGAAATATAAAAGGATCTTCACTAATCTCTTAGATCTCTGTTCAGTCTCAATCACCCACACTTGGCCAAATGTCTCCTTCCATTCGAATGACTCGAAGGATGAAGTCCACCTGCCTGAAATGTATTCATTAAGTGTGTCTTGAGAAAGCTCTTGTGTGGTGTTATCATCATTGAGATTAGGAAAGCTGCTCTTCGCATCCGATCTCCTCGCATTAGAGAGATGGCTGTGAGAGACGATGATACCAGAGTTGCTGGTAATGATGCATTTGGCGGCGCGGTTCGGCGCGCATGCGATTTTGTAGCAGGCGCGGGACGCACGTGACTCCTGGGCGAGGTCGGTCCCACTGCCTCTGGAAATACGTAACGCCTCGATCGATGCTGCCTTGCACGGCTTTATTGCCTCGGATTATGGTATGTTCTTCTCCTGGCAGACTCTACTCTAAAGGGTTTGATACGGGTTCCCTCAATTGATGTGAAACCATCTCTAACTACAATAGATCCCTGCGACTATCTAATTCGAGTCGCCACCGTCAATTTCAGTCCGCATATAGAGAAGGAGGGGTAGGTCAAGGATGGCGTCCTGGATCCAGCGTCACGGTAGCTCGCACCAGTCTCAGCTGGCTGCTACCGCGGTGATTTCCGGGGCTGCGGTTGCGGGTGCGATCTTTGGCTACCAGGCGTTCAAGAGAAAGGAAGCGGTTCAGCGACTCAAGGCGTCCATTCCGGACGTTAACGATCAACATTATGCGGAGAAGGTATTTCTGCCCTTACCGGGGTCGATGGCGGTCTTGACTAATTGAGGAGTCAGCTTACAGAGTATGGCGTCGCAGCTGCAGCACAGCTGAGCAAGGAAGATGAGCGCAGTGCGGCTCTTGCTCGGAGGGCCCAGGAAGGAGACTACGATGATGGTACTTGGATACTTGCACAATTGCTATTGATTGTTCTGGGCTGACGAAACGCTATTTAGAGCTCATCCTCGAACAACTCGCCCGAAACCGTGTCTTCCTATCCGATGGGGGTCTCGCGAAACTCCGATCGTCATACATAATCGTGGTCGGGTGTGGAGGAGTCGGATCGCATGCCGTGGCATCTCTTGCTCGCTCAGGCGTGTCCAAGATCCGTCTGATTGATTTCGATCAAGTCACATTGTCGTCCTTGAACCGTCACGCTCTCGCGACGCTCGCTGACGTCGGAACGCCAAAGGTGCACTGCATTCGCAAGAGACTGGAGCAGATCACACCATGGGTCAAGTTCGACTGCCGGAACGAACTGTTCGGAGGCTCGGTCGCCGATGAACTCCTTGCGCCTTGGTCGTGGGATGACAACGACAAAGGACGCAAACCCGACTATGTGCTTGACTGCATCGATAATATCACCTCCAAGGTGGAGCTTCTTCACTACTGCCACTCGCACTCGATTCCCGTGATCTCGGCCATGGGGGCGGGGTGCAAGTCAGACCCTACGCGTGTTACGGTCGGGGATATCTCACTCAGCACAGATGATCCACTGTCGCGGAGTACTCGTCGGCGCCTGAAGCTGTTGGGTGTGAACACAGGAATCCCTGTCGTGTTCTCCACTGAGAAGCCTGGGCCCGGCAAGGCTACGCTCCTTCCCTTGGCTGACGCAGAGTTCAGTAAAGGACAGGTCGGTGAACTGAGCGTATTACCCGACTTCCGGGCGCGGATCCTCCCTGTGCTGGGCACAATGCCGGCGGTGTTTGGCTACACCGTGGCCAATCACGTCATTTGCGATATTGCCGCCTATCCGATGGACTACAGCGTCGGCGGAAAGGGCCGCGACAAGTTGTATGATGGAGTCTTGGCGGCCCTCCAGGGAACGCTAGAGCGCTTGGCCAGAGCGGAGTACGGCCCCAGCCTTGTCGGGCTGCGTCTGCCCATCAGCAAGGATGATGTTGGATATCTGCTCGATGAAATCTGGCGCGGCAAGAGTGTGGTCAGTGGCCTTCCCAGTCGAGTTAGTCTCGTGCCTTGGGAGCGCCCTGAGAGAGGCTTCAGTCCTGATCCGGAGTGGATGAAGGAGGGCCAAACGTTTGTTCCGCTGCAGTTGAAGGATCTAGTCTGCATGACCAAGGATGAGGCCACCCGCCATGAAAAGGAAGTTCTTCTTGGCGGCAAGAAGCTGGAAGAGGTATACGATGCGAAGACGATTGAACTGGTGCAGAAGCGCCAACAAGAGATGGAGTTTCACGAGCAATATCGGTAACGAGAGGAGATGCTAACGCGATGATGTATGCCAATCCAACATGTACAATATACTAGACGGCTGTGCACTTTCATTTGGGATAGATAAAATAAATGAGTCGAGTATATATAGCAACACATGAACCCCATGAGAGTCGAGTAGCCCACTCCAATCTCGGCTGGGACCCTGACGATTACGCGCCCACTCATAATAGCACAGCCTAGCCTGCCTGGGCCTAGTGGTGCATGGGCCGAGAGGGACGGGATCCCATTCTAACCCAAGGAGGCTAGCGTGGATCAAGGTGGCACGGGGGAGTGAGACCTGTTTCGAGTAAGGCGTCACAAGACGGACGGCAAGTTCTCCGTCGACATTCCACAGGCTGGCGGCTTTCTCTTTCGCGCTCGCTGATGGGCCCGGACGGCGTCTGTCCTGCCACCTTGAAGCCGTGTCGACGATCCATACCGATCGTCGCTATTTTCCTTTCTTCTTTTCCTTCTCGGTTGTTTACCCTTTCATACCCCCATTCCATTTACAGCGTCCCCCCCTCCCTTGATACCACCACTCACTGAACAACACATCATGGCCACCTACCACGACACCGAAAGCCTCGAATACTCCTCCGACACCTCCGACGATGGCCGTTTCTCGCCTCACCCCTCCAGCCGAGTCAAACGCTACGCCCGGCCCTTAATCGACTATGTTCGCAATGACTGGCAATTCAGCAACAAATACACCCATGCCCCCGCCGACGAACCCTCCGACCCCGCCAAATGCCTGCAGCTGGTCATGTCCATCATCACGGCCCCGCGCTTCCGCCGCTATGTCGTCGTGTACCTGATGCTCGTGATTACATGTACGGTGGGGTGGGTGTATTTCCTCTCTCCGCGGCTGGAGGAACATGCGGAGTTGCTGCGGGCCCTGGACCCTGAGGTGAAGGAGGAGGTTGGTGGGTGGTTCGGAACGAATGCGTTACCGAGTTTTGATAATATCGTTCAATTGGGGAGATTAGACGAGGGGTTGATCCCCACGGGAGAGAAGCGCTTGATTGTCATGGGAGATGTGCAGGGGTGTAAGACTGAGTGTATGCTTCCTTTCCCTCATCGTTATGTTAAGATAATAACACAAGGGATGATGAACAACTCACTAACATATATGATGAATAGTGGACCGCCTCCTCGAAGAACTTACCTTCAATCCAACCCACGACCACCTCATCTTCACCGGAAACATGATCAGTCGAGGACCTGAGAGCACTGACGTCGTCGATCTCGCCCGCAAGTACTCCGCCTCTTGTGTTCGCGGAAACGACGAAGACCGCGTCCTGGTTCTCCGTCATGACATGGTCGAAGCTGGGACGCTAACCGACACCTCCACCGACGAGTATCTCGATGGCCAGTCCTCGGAACAAGCGAAGCGGGAGCGCGATCTGGCGCGTGCATTGACAGACGACCAGGCAGAGTGGCTGGACGCATGCCCGGTGATTCTGGATTTAGGCCAGGTTCCTAATCTGGGCCGGGTTGCAGTGGTACACGGCGGACTGGTTCCGGGCGTGGAGCTGGAGAAGCAGGATCCGTATGGCGTGATGAATATGCTGAGTATTGATTTGGAGACCCATTTGCCTAGTTCAGAGCGCGATGGGATTAGATGGACTAAAGTCAGTCACCTCTCTTCCCCCTAGCCACTTTATGACACCTTGGAATAATACTAACGATGACTCAGCTCTTCAACAAACACCAATCAACCACCTACACGACCTACTCAGGTCTAAAGAACGCCGATATCGACGAAGCCAAATCCCGCACCACGACCGTCATCTACGGTCACGACTCGGAAAAATCCCTCGATATCACTACCTACACCAAAGGTATCGATACCGGGTGCGTCCGGGGCGGCGAATTGACCGCCCTGGTTCTGAGCGATAACGGGAAGGAGAATCTCATCCAGGTCAGGTGTAATAACTACCTTGGGTGATCTTCCTCTCTCCTCCGTATTTGTTTATTACCTGGTATATACTAGACTTGCGATACATTACTTTTTCGGTCTATCGCTACGCTACCTTGCATCTCCGTCCCCGTCTCTCTGCTGGTTTGAAGAGACGGGACAGGACTGTATCATTGTTCGTTTTGCTGGATTTCGGGGATCTTTTTTATTTATCTTGCATTTGGGAAATGGAGTTGGGACTGGAGTTCGGTTGGGTTTGTTTTCACATTGGACTGGACTGGACTGGACTGGACTGAATGGGTTGTTGAAAATGTGATCATGTGTCTCATCTAGATAGGTGAGTATTTCTGCCTGAGGTATACTATATCTATATCGGTTTTACCGAGGTTGGAAGTAGTGGTCCAGGTTCAGTATTCTCGGTTGTTGTGTACGATAGATAAAGAATGGGTATATTAACGGTTCCATCCAATGCTAGTAATATGGTATAGTATAGTATGTGTGATATAGTCAATAGATCCAACATATAATGTCCAAAAAAAAACCTTTTACTCGGGTGGAGATGAAGGCGGTTTCGGATTCCACTCCCCACCCGCTTCCCAAGTAGCTGGGGTCGTGAAATCCTCGTACCAGATACCCCCTAGGGCATTTACCTTGATATACCCAAAACGGAAGTATTCCGGTTCGTTGGCCATATGGCGGGTCCAGTTGAATGAGTCCAATGTCCCGTCATCTGACTTGAAGGTGCGGAATCGTTCGACATCGTTGACGAGAACGCTGATCCCGTCTGCGTCTGCGTCTGGTTCGGGGAAGTTGAAGATGATGTTCTGAGATGATAGGATGCTCGGGGCGCTGAGGATGGGCAGAACGCTTCCTAGCTGGGCGCCGTCGAGAAGAGCGGCGGAGGTCTGGAGGATGCTGTCGAAGCCCCAGCGGGCGATGCCGTTGATGAACAGTCCCACGAGGAGACCTTGGTATAGCAGGCTGGGGCGCGTTTGGAGTGTGGTCCCTGGGAGGAAGAGGAGACTGAGGACGTAGTGATGGATCCGGAGGTTCATGTGTGGGACGATCATTAGGGCGAGCACGCCGCAGCATAGGATTCCGTAGAGGAGAAGCATCTTGGGCATTCTGCCCTCTCTGCGGAAGGCGATGGCCTGGGTGAGGATGATGGTGCAGAGGAAACCGACGATGATGATGAGGGCCGGGATGGCGCCGGGTTGTTGTTGAATGTCGTGAGGGGTGAGACGAGAGATTGGGATTTTGTCGAATGTGTCCGTGTTGAGGGCGCCCACCCAGCAGCTACCTAGCCAGAGGACTGTCTTGTCCCAGTGTGCTTCTAGGTCTGTTAATGTCTTCCGGACACAGAAGTAGTACATTGCGAAGCCGACGAAAGCGCAAGGGAGGAACCGGCCCAGTGCGGTGGACACGACCTCGTAGTAGTCGGGAGAGTAGGGTGGATCCGAGGAGAGTGCAACCTGGAAATAGACGATGAAGTAGATGGAAGCGTAGAAGGCTGCGGGAGATGTTATGAACAGAGAGAGTAAAGTCGTGACAATGACAGAGAAAGTGAATAGCGGCCAGCGCAGGTCCTGGCAGCTTGCGTCTGAAGACTCTCCACCAAAGGTAAAGGAAAGGGGAAAGTAAGAGGAATACCCAATGCTGGATATTCCGTTGCGTTCTACTGATGAGAAATTAGTTCTTTCTCCTGTCCGAGACAGGACGCCGCAGCCGCCTTTCTGATGGTCAATTAGACCAGCATGTAACGCTGCAGGACAAATGGCGGAGTCTCCACGGTAGATAGCATCATTACCATCGCCGTCTGAGCTACCCCCGACAACGAGAGGACGATAATTGTACTCCTCGGCGCCTACGATATACGGCTCCAGCAAGATCGCATCTGCGCAGCCAGCGAGGCAGCGAAATGCAAACGCTCCCTTATCAAAGGGGCGACAGGAATCGCCATTGAGGCCACAATCAGTCGAGTTCGGCCTGTATAGAAATGATGAGATAGAGAACGGTACTAAAACCAAAGTAAAGGGGTCTGGGCCACATACCAGAGTCTAGCGTGACATGAAAGCTTGACAGGGACCCCATAGCCCGAGACATCCTGACCAGCTACGGAGGAATGCAGGATGGAGAGGAAGATGACCCCCCAGATGCATATGCAGGTTAAAAGTAGCCCGATTTTGGCGCGGGGGCTCGGGAAATAACGCTCCACGAGGCGGCCCGGCGCGGTTTGCCAACGGCGCAACCACGGGGTGATCTGATAGCGGTGTGGGTGGGATGGGCCTTGGATCCACGTGCGGATCCCTGAAAATGTGCAGGAAAATGGCTCCGGGGCTGGTCTGCGAGGGAGATGATGGGGGGTTGAGGTTGGCAGCAACGGGTCACTGGTGCTCTCCCCCTGGTCGGCCCGGGCGGAGTCGGAGCTTCCCCGCTCGACCCTCGCGAACTGACTGCTTCCCGAGTCGTTCTCATGGTCAAAGTCTGCCAAGGGATAGTCCTGGGATGCTTTCTCGAAGGAAGATGATGGAGATCTTAGGCGTTCCGATGGCATCGTTGCTCCGTGGATACAAGTGGGAAAGAACCGCGGGAGAAGATTCAAAGAAGACCGGATGGCCCGAGTCGCCAGTTAGTCATCAACCGATGAACAACGTTAACTATCCTCATGATCGATTAAAGATGCAACTGGCTATTCCTGCCCTAGAATACAAGAACTCACGAGAGCCCATGTCTCTGCACCACCATTTTCAAATCTCCCAAGGCGGTAATAAAGTAGTCGCCAACATCTACCGAGTTGCAAATCCGAGGCAGCTTGTAATGGGAACAGAAATCCCGGTCCGCAACGATGTCAGTCATGTCAATATAATGGTCAACGATAAACATCCACATTATCCGAGAAATCACAGCAGTACACATGGTTGGAAGGACACGCATCGAGCAGGTCAAGGAACTGAGGATTTAGACAGATCATGCTGCAAACTCTGTCAGTTCTCGAGCGCGCTAGATCCCTGTGCCTCGAACCATGTCTACTGCTGTGAATTTTTTAACAATGTAAGCTTCCTGGAATACTTTGCCAAGGAGCGGGGGTTAATCAAATCTGCTTTTTGTAGAGCGGGATCTTCATCCCAGTTGCAAGCTGCTTGCAGTTAATATTGACCTTTAATCTTTTTATATAGAGCCTCTTCTGTTTATACTTTTGCTTTCATCCGTCTGGTTTCGTATTCAAATCCAGGGATTTCCTATATTTGCTTTTATCACGGCTGGGGTGATGACATGTAGCTATCATCTCCGCAGTCAGGTGTCCAGCTGATCGGGGAATAAGCACAGCCCAGTCTCGCAGCCTCGCGGCCGTGGGAAGAGTGCTCTGCCACTGTCTTGATCGAACAGAGATATATATCCTTCACCATAATTTCGTAGGAGGCTTTCGGAATATTCATCTCAGTGAAATTAAGTACGGTGCCATTGATTCAGATATGGCTTCGTTGCTACCCAGTGACGAACCGACCGCATCTTCTCCGAAGACGGTATTTCTCACTTCTCAACAATGTATTGTTCATCTCAAACTTCTGGCCGCTTTTTCCGACTTGCGATGCACCATAAGCAATCACGATGGCCTCTTCGGGCTCCATGATGCAGACGCAGATCGAGTTCCCGCTCAAGACAAACTCGGGACCTTGATCCAGGAGAAGCGCTGGGCTGTGTACATTACACGCGCTGTAAAACGATATACAGCTTGGTGGCTGGACTGTCTCCTTGATCAGGAGCGCATCCCGACAATAGCAGACATTCGAAATGATAGATATGCGACAATTGTTAAACCCGAGAAAAGGCTGGAGTGGCAGGAGAGTATTCTCCCTCCCCTGGGTATGTAGAAACCTAGGGCAGAGCAAAAGTAACTGTATGCGCTAACCAGTGGCGACGGGTCAGATGTGCTTATGGTGTGGCATTCGCATATGCTGAATCCACAGAAGTATCTCGAGGACTGCATCAGGCATGGCAAGATGTATGTCTGGGGGGCTGACTTCCCGTGGGAGCTCGTTGATCGTCACATAGATGGCGAAAACTTCGAGTACGTACCAAGTGAAGAAGCGCGCAAGTTCTTCGAAACCCAGCTAGGCATCAACTGGGATAACTTACTTGATCCATCTACCACTACCGTCGAATGCCCTAAATGCAACAGCATAGTCATCGTCGACTGGACCAAAGGCCAAGTTTGGCCATGCACCGAGCATCTATTTAGCGATCTTACAGGATTTGCGGACAAAGGCTTCCGTGTTACCTGCCACGAGTGTCAGTTCTCAATTGACCATGATCATCTCAAGGTGGCCAAGTGGCGTCAGGATGTGCGTTCACTGCTGGAGCAGGACAGGCCTATGCCGGGATGCTTCTACAACATCCGTGGTGTTCCCTTCCCGGCGCCAGAGAGCTGGAAAAAGACATCATTCCTATACCCAAGCCAGCTCGTTCATGTTATCGGCGATGATATGTTGGAGTTCACTGACCCGACGGCCGACATATGCCACAATATTTCGGATCTGCGCGACTATATCGAAGAGAAGGCCAAAGAGCGCAAGACCCTTCAAATGGCTCATGATACACATCTGTTCACGAGCCAACCTGTTCGCGCCGAGAAACTCTGCATCCGCCGGATGATGTCCCGATACTGGGACAACTCTGGCCCATTTGCTCTCAACTTGACAGGCGCCGTGATCAGACAAGGAAAGTTCGTCCAACAGATGGACCGTATAGACTGGATTAGGTCTCCGACGCTTCACTCTACTATCGAACGACTGATGGCCAAATACCAAATTTTCTTCAAGATCATGATAGACCACCCAAGGCATATGGCCGTACCCACACTTGATGTGGATTTGGCATGGCACACGCACCAGCTCTCCCCGGCAAGATATTATAACTATAGTGTCGAATCAACCATTCGCCCAGTGCAATTCATTGACCATGATGATAAGGTCGATGAGCTGAAGTTGAGCAACGGGTTTGAGTGGACCTGTAAGACCTATCGTGAAGTCACCAATGGGGGCATTTATAGCGAATGTGTCTGCTGGTACTGCGAGGCGATCCGTTATCCGGATATATATGGGCGTTTTCGCGCCTCCGCGGCCATATCCAATGCTCGTAGAGCCGCTGATGAGCTTCACAGTCAGCCAAACATTGCCTCTAAGCCCAAGTTTGGCCCTCACATCTCTGCTCATAATGCAGTGCGCCTCCATCAATTATCCAAGTCCGAGTCAACAAAAAGAGAGGTCCGGGCCTTGCGTCTGTTCGAAGCTCACAAGAAGTCTCTCAGGCGAGCTGAAAAGCGCGCAAATTCTCTCGGCCATGCAGAAAGCCCGACGGCGTTCGCATCTGCCATCGCGGCCGTCAATTTTCTCATCTTACCAAATACCACGGCCGACTCTGCTTCCCAGGATGAGATAAGTATCTCATCTGAGGAGGACTCCGGGCTCGAAAAAATGGAGCACATCGGGAACGCTATTGAGAACTTTTTCGATAGCTTGGAGGGCCTCGTAGATGGACTTGGTGATCTATTCCCCGATCAGCCGAACTCAATGGACGCATCGCATCATGGAATTGGGAATTGTATTTCGGGAACTTGTAGTGTTTCCATCGCGGGTGGAAGCTGCGCGGCGTGTGGCAATACGGCTTCATGTGGTGCTTGTGGAGGATGTGGCGGTGGAGGAGGATGCGGTGGAGGCTCTGGAGGGTGTGGTGGTGGTGGCGGTGGGGGATCCTGCGGTAGTGGTAAGTTCTTTGTCCTGGTGTATAGCTCCGGGCTGAGCTGACATGTGCAGGAGGGTCATGATCTCAGAATTACGGTTCATAATACTAAGCCTGATCAAGTGAAATAGAAGAGACAGAGGAGTAGGGAAGAAGTAAACAACGGATGCTGGCTCAATCACCTGATCTACACAAGTCAGTATAGTGCCAACAATGGGATGTATTGTCATTGACGGAAAAGAGCCTGCGGCTTAGTTATTATATGTTGATGGAGAAGTGGTAGCGAGCAGGCATAGTTCTTCGATCCAGAGACCTGAAATTCAATATCAACTGCGCGTTGGTAATATAATGATATAAGTAAGTCAATTATCCAAGTCTTCTTTATCACAGGCTCACACCAGAACCTGGAAGATATAACCCGGGGTAGTAAAGAACGGATGCTTCACTAAGTCTAAAGAACAACCAGCTCCAACAATTGGTGGGTATAAGCAAAGAAACTCATGATATCATCTCCATATTCATAGTCGTGTTTCCCCAGAATATAAAACCATCTCCAGCAAAATTAGTAATGTTGGCAGTCATATTAGAAGCATTTAAAACGTGTCGCATGGAATGAGCGTTAGAGCCGAGGAGCAACGTGCCGTGTGGCATGCAAGCAACACCTCGAGACTCCGTAAATGGAAGTGTAGATAGCACTTGGTGCAATGGGCTGTGTGGCACGAGACGTCCCACACTTACACGGCAGAGCGGCCGAAGCGACGACGACCACTGGTATGAGATTAGCTTCATGACGCCGATATCAGTGACGGGAACTTACTAGGTAGGAGGAGTGGACTCCTTCCGGACCCGGAACGTAAACCAGATACCCTGTATCACAACTGTCAGTATGCAAATAGAGTCAGCACATCCCCAAGAGCAAAACATACCACCAGCGCCGACGCAAGCCAGACAATGGCAGAGATAAAGCTGAACGCCTCAGCTGCCTTCCATCGACTGCAGCTATCGTTATGATAGAGTCCGCCCCAGTGCCAGATGCTACCGCAGTTCAACTTGTGGATGGCGTCGACGAGGATACCAAAAGCCGCAAACCATGCGAAAGAGATGATGACGTCAACTGCGGGAAGGGTTAGCAACTGCGATAGGTACCACGTGTACGGGCGCGACAACATACATCCCCAGGAGAAGAAACCGGAGGAAAATGGTATGAGCCATATCAGTCCGAGAAGTATGGATAAACCAGCGACGACTTCGGTGTAGATCCAACGGGCTTGGGGCCATGAGCTACCGCTGTAGTGGGCGAGGTAGTGGCCGATGATACCGGCAACCACCTATACATTGACGTGGGGTCAGTATTGCTTTTTCGCAGTCTTCTGAAAGAATAAAGATCAATATGATGGATCATGTCGAATACATACCGCAGCGCAAACAATTTCCGCTACGCGGAAGACAATTGACACTAAACGTGAGATAACAGGCATGTTGACCGAAGTGGAGTCGATGCAAATGCAGGGTCGTCAATAATAGACAGATAGTACTAGCTTGGTTGGAGAAAGTAGGGGTGTTCCAATGAGATTGTAAAACTGCAGGATAACCAGCAAGAGTCACAAGAGAGGGAGACGAGATGGAGGTGGGATTTAAATAATAAGAAGCCAGACGACCAAGCTTCTGATCAGAGCCGATGATCCGCGACGAATTTTCACAGGAGGGGGAAAACTTCGAGTTCCCTTGCTCAGCGAAGTTCGTTTGTTCTGATCACCGGGTCTGCCAGTGACATGACATCGTTTTCTGGCCCATGATTGGCCCGCCGGGAATCTTGCGTCCTGCCCAACGTCTAGGCGCAACATTCTCCTCAACCGCGCTGGGTAACTGATCGACCCGCTGGAAGGGTGGATGCGTGGATGCGATGCAATGGAAGGTTTTCATTCGGTGACGACCATTGATCGGGTGAGGACCACTATGGCTGTGTTGCAGGTATCCTTCATCCATATCTTCTCAGCTATCAATGCTGACTCTACAAAGTACGCATAGGCAACCACAATTCTACTTGGAGACTTCCCCCTCCGCCTCACCTTACACAGCCACATCTCTAGGTAAACACGCATAATCTGCAGCCCGAAGATCCAGGATATCCCTTCCCTACCTACCTACCGGGCCTTCCGACTAAGGCTGGAGCTACTACGGTGCTATTGACTGTCCCTTTCTGTTTTAGGTCCAACTTGGCGCCGCTTTTTGCTCACTGAGCGGCCCGGAGTGTGGGGGGGAGTACAAAAGTACGTGTCGGCTGAGGTCTACCCTGAGTTCCCGATCGCTGTACGGTCGGGATATGCAGTACTTAGTAGTCTACTACTACAGTCTACTAAGTGCCTGCAGGTACCTTTTAGCCCAGTGGTCAGACTTCCGTTAGTACGTGTTCTGAGTGATTACTGAGCGATCTCAGATTGCTTCGGGAGTAAATATTAGAGGATGTGATTGTTACTTGTATTCCTGTAACAATTACTAACAAGCTGCATGAGCGTCTACTTCAGGAAAAGAGCACCTAATTCCTGTCTGGTGACTACAAAAATAGTAAGCCAGGCAAATGAAGTATGGTCGAAGTTGCGAATATGGTGACACCTATAAAGAGCATGGCTTGATTGAGGTAGTGCAAGTTGAAGGCAGATTTCTAAAAACATCGTCTTGCGTCTTGGGGTTTTCCGGCAGAAACAGTAGAGCCTTACGTCATAGATCATGACGGCAGAAAGCCACTTTGCGTTCAAAGTTCTGCCGGCAGAAAAACAACACCAGTTCCCACTCCATGCTTTTACGGTACGGAAGTTTACAGATTTTACGTCTTCTTTCTGTCCATATGTAAGCTTACATCGCTACAACCCTCTCTGTTACACGGCTCTGTAATGCTTCTTTCCGTTGCTTCTTGGTCTGATCAAGTTACCTTAGTTCCGCCGCTTGTGTTGCAGGCTCACTCGCTATCTACTATGCGCATCAATGCACTTGATTATTACTCAGAGTTTGCCCACAGTCCTGACTACTTTTACAACCGTCGAGTCAAAATAGTAGGACCCAATGAATATGATTATCCACATTTCACGCACCAGATCGAATATGATAATATAATCAATTAAGAGATTACAGTAGCAGATGGAAAAGGCAGCTACCTGTAGTTCAGTCGTGGCCTATTCCTTCTATTTCTCCTATTCCTCCTACGAGGATGACTATTTCTTAGGCTGGATTTATGATTGGCTGTGTGAGCAAGTAAAGTTGATTTAGTATAGAATCCCTCGCAGTTAGTTCACGACTATTAGGATTATGTTGTTTTCGGACCCTGATGCCAACCTACACTAGCCTGCACAGTACATGGATTATACACTATTCGTATAGTGTGGAGTGGTTGCCACTGAGCTTGATAGCTGGAAGTATATACGGCTAGGTGAACACACTAAACACGCTAACATATGATAAATAGCCATATAGGCCCCAAAATCTTTCTCATAATCTCTTCTACACATTTGTCGTCATTTATATTGCCTTTTTCGAACTCAAACCTGCAGTATTCTGTGCCGACATGAATCACGGAGCAATTGCCCGAGGGCTAATCACATATGCCAATCTTCCCTTGTACAACAGAGCTCGCGTGAACTTCCCTCCTCCTGCTGACTATTCACCGCCAAAAGAGTCCGTTGCTGTGCAAGTTCTTGAGAATGTTCTTAACAAGGTGGTGTTCACTGGTGACAAGTACAGCACTGTCTTTGTGAACTCTTAAATTCTTCCACACAATAATTCGGACTTGGCTTGCGATCTTGTTATACAGTATATGACCGATCACCAAGAAATCCAATTTTGTGCTTCATTGAGGCCAAGCGCACGATCAATAGGACTTCTTATATCACTACAACTGTCGAGACCGAAGCCCTTGATTATTGCAAAGAGTTCTTCCACAGCAACAGATCTAACAAGACCAAGTTTGTCTATGCTGGAACGCTCGTTGGGACGCATTTGAGACTCTGGAAAGCCCACCGTGGGAGAACAGAAGAAGAGACAAAGCTGGAAGCACTGTGGGGTAGTGACGACTTTGGAAGCAACGAGGACTACAAGGATTTAGGCAAGGATGATGATGGGGCAGTGATCAACAAAACCTTTCATGACATGATCGATATACCACCGGTGCCATGGATCAATGAGGAACCTGATGCAATCAGACCGACATCGCAGTCAGGAGCGTATCAACTCCCTGTCCTCAATCGGACAAGAGCCATGCCGCGGACCACTCCAAATCTACCATCACCTGGTCAAGTCCCTGAAGGGTTTGGAAAAGTGGTCAAATTTTTATCAAAAAGTCAACTTTCTTATTCATGGATGGAGGCTACCGGGAAGGTAGGACTGGGATCCCCCAGTGAGTGGATAGTTGCGAAACCATTTTACATTAATAGTGCCAAAAAGATTTACGCTGATAGGAACACGGAGAATCTTCCAGTTCAACTGTGAAAGGACATTGCTCACTCTTACGCATTCAACATGCTCCTCACAGGCCATATTCTTGTTTATTGTCTGTTTGTATGTATGATAGTACAGATTTGTCGCTACTCAACTTAGCAAAGTCTTCCTATCATGACTACTATCCGGATTTGTCGCAATTCAACGCTATATATTTTGTTGATACGTAGTGCTGTGTGTTCTTTCCTTTCTGTGCAGCCCCATGAATGACGGCAATTACCGACTGTTCTCTCATATCAGTAACATTCGATTACTCCTTCTACCTTTCGGCCGAAATATACTTTTGGAGATTCGACATCATGTAAAAGACAATGCCAAGGGGATTTTTCTGGATCTGCGATCTTGGTAGATAGTCATCTGACTTTCTCAGAAGCAAGGTATCATATTCTAAACTCGGATAAAGGCGGTAAGTAGCACACCGTGCTGCAGCTTTTTACTATTCACTGTGCACATTTGCAGACCGCTCCCGGAAAGTATAAATCACTGACAATGCTGCTTCATGCTATTGTTACATTTTCTCAGGCTTAACATCCCGCACTTCACATAATGGGACCCCCTATGCAAGTGCCTTGCCAGTACGTTAGGCTGCCCCATTGTGTACTCTGCGGACAGAAATTCAGTGAAAACAGTTTCTTCTGTTTAGGTATGTGACGTCCAAAAATAATCGAACTATATACTGATCCATAAAGTCTTACTGCTTTCTACATGCAAGGATCCAGTTGTGACTCAAGCTATAAGCTTCCAAGGTACTGAAGTAATTTACTTGAAGGAATTGTCCATTCATGTCTACAGTCATCCGCGACGAAGAGCAGTCTTAACTCCTGCTATGCACGTTATCTGCAAAGCAGCTGTAGTCAATCTTCCAAGTCGTCGCACTCTCTCAGATCTTATCCTTGCAACAACACCAATCGTCTGGATTGGGCTCCCAAAAGAGATCTATAGAACCTATGCACTCTCTTTTGATGCAATAGTCGCATTATTTGAAGATTCTCGCCTCAAAAAAACACGATGGCATACTTTTGGGATTATTGAGGGGATGCGGAAAGCTGCCAGTCGAGCTGAGTGCGATGATATGGGATTTCCTCGATCCTGGTGCCACCCGGTGTTTACTTGCACTTAATGCCACAAAGAGTATCTGGTCATACATTCCCCGTTCAGCTGGGTGTGCAACTATCTCTTTACACGGAGAGCTGATGGTATACTTCACCAATATCATCAAGGGAATCTATGTATGCGGCATTCGTCAAGGGCGCGCGCTTTTGGTCAGACAGGCAGTTTTTCAACCTCAATTTCGGTCCCATCTTCTTGTACCGCCTGTGTCTTCGGTTTTGGCATTTACGGACTCCAGAAGCTGAAGTTCTTGACCGGGACTGAAGCTAGTTCGAAGAACGTGGACGAACTAGAGAGCAGCAAGCTTCTTCGTGTTGTTTCGTGTCGAGGAGCAGGGCCAGTCTCCATTGAAATTTCCTGGGATGTATGAAACCTTTGATGTAAGACTAGTGCTCGATGCTGATGTCAATCTAGGTCTGGAAAATTTCTATGACCAGCTCTCACGATAAGTCGACATTCGGACATGATTTTCTTTGGCTATCTCCGGTACCTTACGGCCAGCTGCGTTGGCTCTCTCCGAAGCTTTTTTACGACTGGCCGCGCCATTTCCATTTTGCAACACAGTCTCAGCGATATATGAGATACGTATCTCTACAAAAGAATCAGGTGCTGTGCGGATTAACCGCATTCTGCTCCGATGAAGGACTTGTTGGTTTAGGAACCCACCATTACTCTACACAATCTAGAGAGCAGCTAATGGTATCATGGTACGGCAAACAACACGGTTGTCCAATCCATATTCAATTTGACTACTCAGACACGATAGTTTCTATCCATGTTTACTGGCATCAGAATGATTCACTGTCCAATCGTTACCTTGCTGTATGAATAGCCAAATCCGAGAAAGACGTCTGCTAACTTCATATAGATCACAACCAGCAGATATAGAGAGTACCTTCTTGGACCTTCTTTTCCGCCATCAGTGACCAGGATGAAGAGAATATATGGTCCAGGGGATGGAGAAATATTGGGCCTCTACTACGATATGTCTCCTGGTCTACCTAGCTTCACGAGCTTGGGAACAATCTGTCAGCCACTTAAGTACCCTCTAGAATTGAAGCTCCAGGATTCTATACCACAGATGAGACCGCATAATCCGGTGGTTAATCAGTTGCAGACTCCTGTATTCCTTCGTTTCTCCTCACAAGCCTCGTTTAGAAACATTCGAACAATCAAAGCGTGCTATGTGAACTCTCGCAGCACAGGACTACTTCTTAATTACAATGATGATACAATACGCATCCTAGGTCGATGGTACGAAAGTACACAGGTCCAGCCGGATATAGAAGAGATATTCCTACAGAATGATGATATATTACGATTCTACTTGACTTACTTTGACAACCGGTTGAGTCTTATTCGGATTAAAGCTGTGTCACGCACTGCTCCTCCTGAAAGGGACATAATGTTCGTTGATATAGTGTATGGTGTGAGTATAAATATTCACAATGTCTGACTCTGGCTAACAATCTGCAGGATGAAATTGTATGGGTGTTTTCGGACGTTTCTGACATCATCTTTTGTGATCGTGATTGAATGTTGAATGGACTAGAAATCGTGCCCAGACCTAACTCTTTCATCAAGATCTCCTCGGTGCTGGATATGTTCGGCTTGACGTATTTCAAATTATGACATGCTGGTATCGACCTAAATCCAAATTATTCCATAAAGCTCGAAACTAAGCATAGCTTTTGTTGTAGCAGCTGTCAGTATGTGCCGAACGGGAACTAATACAGCCCCTATCGCGATCCCGCCCGCAGGGTTTACCGAGCCCCATCCCATGAACTTGCAGGAAACAGCCAAAAGTTTCAGCCAACATAACTTTCGCTCAGAGATCGCAGGAACAAGAAACACCGCAGAGGAGATGTCAGCACAGAAGAGAGAGCCGATCACAAATACTAAATTGCGACCTGCAGAGAAAACAACAGATATTTTATAGAGCTTCTATATTCAAATAGCACGATTGGATTGTTTTTGTCCGTGTTGGGGAGGGGAGAAACACCTGAGCGTATTCGATGACATCAGCTGACTGTTCGGTCTCGGAAAAGGTGGTCTTCCGTACCAGAGTCTTTTCTTAGTTCCGACCCATCAATCCAGGAATAAGCAGCCGAGCGTGTAAGAGGATACAAAACAATTTATTCACGTGCTCTATTCCTCCTATTCCTCCTATTCCTGCTATTCCTTTTGCGCGCGCCTGCTGTGCGCTAACCAGTAGAGCTCAATAAGAGTATCAACTGTTTGTTTTTCGTGAGGACCGGTTGACTTTTTGACAATGTGATACTGTTCTGTTTTGCCTGGTACGCACTGTTATCGTTTGTTATCAAGGTGGCAATGTGAGGGTGATAGTTGAGCCACACTGTGGTGTGGTAAAAAACCAAGCTGGGACACTACAATACATACCATAGAAACTGTATCACTTTCATCAATGAACGAAAGTTACCGAGCGGTGAGCCTCATATCTTACCAACTTGAGAAGTCATCCATCAGGCGGTGAATTTGATCCAGGCGGTAGACTCAATCCAGGTGTTGTGTGCGTGCTCTGTGAGTGTCCCGTTCACGTGCTGCCCTCATAAAAGCGGCGGTACCCCAATCGGGTAAGCAAACGGGAGTTGCAGCAAAACAGTTAGTTCACTTATGCACTACTATTCTCCACTGTACCCAGCACTAGGCTATTGCTCCCTCGGCTTCAATCCACCGCACACCCACCCGCTAACTTCAATAGCTCACCAGCTTTACCCCGTCCGGTTTAGGGGATCGTTGCAGTCCCTTTTTACCTAATGGATGACCCGTGGTTAATATCCCGCCCTGCGGATGGAGTCATCAAGCCATTCGACCGACCGAGAATTAATTAAGGGGAAAAGCCCAAAAATCGACACACACAAACGAACTTACACCCAAGCAGCAGTGGCTGTGACGTCAGGGGAGTTGCGTGGCAGCCTAGAACACGGATGGACCGGTAGTTTGTACTTATGTGGCACTGCAGTCAACGTTGTACAGGGACTTGGCCCGGCAAGTACAACGTGAAGGAGTGCAGTAATAGGTAAGGGGTGCTTTCTGTATACCATGCCTGCTGAACTAACTTACACCTACGTCACTTTTTGCATTCCGATCATCTATACACGACGGGAGCTGACAGCAGCCCGGATTTCGGGGCCTAGCCGGTGTTCAGGCCTTTCCTGCCATTGGTGGACGTTGCATGATTGATGTATTCAGTGTCTGCGCAGCAGCAGGGTGGTGGCGGAGACATCCGCAAGACTGTCGGCAATTGTTACTGGGCCACATTCCAGGAATTGCTACATTGGTGTTCTACACAATAGCTGCTCATTTAGCATCTGCTTTCGACGACTCCAGATTAGCCTGCGCAATCCTTGGGGCGGAGAGACCCCGAGACTTCACGTCGTAACTAATACACAGTAGCGTTCGACGTGTGGAAACCTTAAGCTTACGGCAATCAAGGGGTGTGGAACACCGGAGAATCTTGCCAGTTCCCACGGGCCTTGGCTTTTCATCACCCTGGCCCCTACGTAAGGGTGCTACGGAGTATAGGGAGGATCCATAAGACTGTCTGGTATTTATGAGTGACATAACGCACCTGGTTCTCATTAACGATTTCGTATCATACTATTAGTACATCGAAAGCATAGCCGGCAAAAGCACCATGCTGTCGTCTCCAGGATGATTCGACTCCTGCGCACTGGAAGAGAAGAAAGAACAGGACTCTGGCAGGTAAGGGAATCAAGGAGGTAAAACATTAACGAAGAAGAATAGTGGGCCATCCACCGTCCTAGACCTGCTTGCGATCGGCTAGAAACCACTCCATGACCGTGCGGAAAACTCCCTTCGCACCGCTCTCAATAACATCCCCATGGCAGGGAATCAAGCGATTAAAATCCCACTTGTCAATTCGGCGTATCGACTCTGCGAATGCTTGGCGATCTCCACTAGACAGAACATACCACACGAACCTCTTCTGCCAAGTCGCAGGTGAACTAGCAGTCATCAAAGGAGAAACCATCTTAGTAAAAACCCCAGACGTGGCGCTCTCCTTGGTCTTCGAGTACTGCTCCCTCGCAGGCAGGTTGAACAAGAGGTCCGCCTCAATAAGCGTGCGAGAGGGCCGATGGTAAAAGACCAATTCGCGCGAAGGATGGCTATGCACATATTCTGTCTCAAATTCCGTATCAAATTCCCCCGAGATCTTTTGTTGTCCATTGGACTCCTTTCGGAAGACATGTTCGAAGGGCGCAGCATCTTTGACTTTGGGATTGGACTGGCGTTTTTCCCAGAGTCCTTCGGGAGCGATAATTGCAGCATCAGGGAATGCCTCTTTCCACGCGGTCAAGTGGATGTGATGTTCCAGATCCAAAGCCGCGATATACTTGACACTACCGCCTAGTCCGGCGATGGTGTCGCGTACTTCTTGGGTCAGGTTGACGGGAGAAAAAACTGCGAGGGAGCCTGTTTCCATTTTGACTATTTTCGCCAACGGATACTATTAGCACTAAGATAAACATGTTCCCGTAAGGTAGCCAGGATAGAAACATAGAGAAATGAGCTTGTAGCATAGCAAGGAAAATAGAATTGCGAACCCAGTGTACCACGTCCACCAAACTTCAGCCGACCGAAACGTGCGAATGGCAAACTCATGGTGACAACGTTAGAAGTTACATTGCGGATCACCATGACATCCGAAGGATTCGCAGGGAAAAGGCGGGGCGACATGATGATTGTTGTGCTGCAAAGCAGCGAGTTGGTGACACCAGATATTTGCTGCTTGGTGAGCTGCGATGCCTCCAGGTTGATGAAAATCAAGTGGTGTGACAGCTTGCACGAGGGAAGATAAGGCTAGTAGATCGATTGGGGGAGCTGCGCCTGGAGGCAACCACGGGCTTGATGCCTATGACGTAAGGCACCGTGGGCCCATTCTGTGTCCGCAACCAGCAGGAGCGATCGTGGCTGCGTGCCTGGGAGCTATTTCCGGAAGGCGCAACCTCAGGCCCTCGAAGGCTGGAAGGCTGGAACTAAGTACTCCATAACATCTCCACCAAGCTGTCAACCACATGCCGGTTGTCAGGGTCCTGTCAGCAGGGTGGGGGATGCGACTTAAGATAAAGTTGGTTGAGTGGCTGTTCTGGAGCCAATTACAGCTTGGCCAACCCAACAGTTTGCCCACCAGGGACCATTGTTTATCCCTCTGCACCAGTGCACACCAGGTGGTGGCTACCTACTGGTGTGTGCGTGAAGGATTTGGGGTAGGCTCTGCTTTTCTTTGATTGTGGATTGCACCTTAAATCTAACTCATCCAGAACACCCTTACACCAGTTATTTAACTCTTTATCATAAAATGCACACCAACACCTTCCACAACAAATGGGTATCACGCTATCCACTGGCACAAAAACAAAGCACTCCAGCAGTAAAAAGACACATCACTCCTCTCCTATGGAATTCATCTGGGTCATTCTCTATTAGCCTTGCCAGGATTGGGCCGTATCCTGGGTCTCCTCTTGACGATGAGGGATGATGGGGTCCTTGATATCATAGGCTTCAATCAAGTCTTGCCATACTTCAAAGTCGAGGCTGCAAATGGCTTGGTGCTTCTGGACCCCCTTTTTCTGGGCTTCGCTGGGCGCATGAGGCTTCGAGGCATCTGTCCGTGAACGATTAACTAGACGCTCAAATTATCGAGGGTACTGAGCAGGACTTACGTAAAGTGGCCAACCCACGGCTGTCCACTGACACTCCGACCATACCGTCTCTGACCAAGAAGCTAACGTAGAATAGGTTCTCAACGCTCTGTCCAAATGACTTCGGGTTAAGGCAAAACTGGAACAGAGGTATGCCTCCATCATCGGCAACATTGTTCTTAGCCATCACCTCCTGCACCAACTCATCGGTTGGTGGCTCGGATAATTGTGACAGTTGCCTATTTACAGCATCCTGGCCCTGGTTCTGTGTTCTCGCCAAGAGCCGATTTATTTCGGCACACATGGTCGTGAGGTTCGAGGTCTCTTGTCTGTCAAGGTCCTTTTCTTCAAGCGTTTGCGGCGCAACAGCCCGTGTTGGGTCAATCCGTTCTCGTGCTCTTCGTGTAGGTTGCTGCCGGATGCGTTTTTGTACCGACAGGGGTCCTAGAAGGAAACCAGGTACCGACGGTCGCGAATTACTACAAAAACAAGCAGCGCGTCCGAGCCAGTCCCAGTTCATTGCATCGCCTTGATCCTCATCACTGTCATTAGGGTCAACCTGGCTCCTTCCAATGCCCGTGCGCCGACGCTGTGTGCTGCTAGGAATTGAGGCTTGAGACTCCGTCGGGGCCCGCCGCATGAAAGAAATGCATTTCGAGACGAATTCGTCAACGTCTATTCCAGCGCTGGCATCCCCCAATACCAACTGTGCGGTCTTCTTGTACGACAAATCTGCCGCTTGAACAAGCAACCGAGAATCAATAGTTGCATCAGAGGTTTGCTTGACATTTTCAAATATCTCATTTGCTTTCTTTATGGTATCCCGAAGTCCGTGGTTTCCCGCTTGTAGGTATTCACTTCTGGAATCTACAAAGCCCAGTCAGATAACAAAATGAGCAGCGGGTCTAGTGATAGCCTTACCATTGAGGTCCCGCGTCAGATCTCTGAGGCCCTTACGAATCTGTCGTCGTTCTCCCTCGTCCTGATCTGGATCGTAAAACTGATTGGCATCGGTCCGGTTTGCCTGCGACGCTGCTAGACGCTGGCTACCCTGGATGTTCGAGTCCCTGGCTGAAAGTCGGGCGCGTTTGGCGGAGCGGGGTGCCATCTTTTGAGTTTGGTTTCTTTTGGTGATACCTGTCGATCTGGGGCGATTCTCCTTATCTGAGGGCGGTCCTTGTGCTAGTGACTGACTAGGAGATCCAAGAGAGGTGGAAGATGCCATGTCTCGAGGGGCAGAGATCCTGCGACAACAAACAACACGCGGAGGGGAGGGGACGGACAAAGAACGCGATCGATTGCGACCGCCTGATGTCAACTGGTCGGAGAGTAGAGACAAAGAGAGGGTACAAAGCGGACCAGCTAGTTACCCAGATAATAAGAAGAAAATGCGAATGCGACACGAGACTGCATGGACTATGGGTTCATCATATCCCCAAATAGCAACCAACCTGCGATGTTCGAACTTCAAGGGCCATCCGGGCATTTCTTTTTTGGTAACACGTCCCGGCCGAGGCGCGCCGAGCGCGTAGCGGCACGTGACCGGCCATCACCCCGCGTCATCGGGGCGGCTGGCCCCAGGCAACCGGCCAATCAACAGCCGCGGCTCCGTCGTCTCCGGCCGGAGCTCTCTATCCATGTCACTTCACTTCCCTTCCCCGGCAATCCAGTCCAGTCCTTCGCTTCGTGTTTGCAATGAAGGGCGTGGGGTCCGATTGCGGTGGATACGAACGGCCCTGAGCTAAGCATGGAGGCCTTTACCTTTACTGTTTCCACTCAGGTGGATTTCCCAATCCATGTAAAGATGTACGTGCACCTTGGTTTCTCAACAGCCGACTATTTCTGTCGTTCTGATTGCAAGCAATGATTCGCTGACACAGGATAAAGTGGCTCGTTAGAAGGAAAGCAGAAACAACTGCCTTTTTCCGTGCTTTTGAAGCGACCTGAATTGCGACACATCGGTTCCGCGCAGAACCCTGTCTCTGACCTTTTCGTGACGGTCCAACTGTGGTCAGATTCCAAAGCGCTAGGAGTTCCTCTACAGACCTCATACAAGGCCTTCAAGTCCGCTCGATCATGGAACGAATGGCTGCAGATGCCAGTCTCGATAAAGGATGCTCCTCTCAAAAGTCAACTGGCTATCACTGTCTGGGATCTCTCGCCGTTTGGCGGCGAAGGGGCACGGGGGCATTACGTACCTTTTGGCGGAACCACTATACCATTGTTTGACGAGGACGGAAAACTAAAGATGGGCAGGCAGAAATGCAAGGTTTATCGCCACAGAGCTGCGGACGGTTTCTCGTCGACAACTACGCCGTCAACCCCGCCACCGAAACGTCGAAAGACTAACGCCCCGGATCCGTTAGGTCCGTCATCGGAAGAGATGGAGCTGGAGCGCGTCGAAGTGCTGATCAAGAAGCATGAGATGGGAGAAATACCGCGCATTGACTGGATGGATCAAATGGTATTTCGTCAGCTAGAAAGGTTAAAGCTCAGTGCGGAGGAAGCTGCGAGGAAACGAGCCATACGTCTGAAAGCCACGAAACAGAAGCGCTCAGAGGATAGAGGTGGGGATGGAGATGACTCAGATGATGATAATGTTGACGACGAGAATTTCATTCTCTATGTCGACTTTCCGCGCTTTGATCATCCCATCGTCTGGTCGGATCATGAATACCCACCGCCTCCCGTTTCATCCTATCCGCAAAGTGCCCCTGCAAATGCAAATCCGGCCCTAAAGCCAGCTCCGGAAGTTCGATTCGGTCCGGGGATAGAGGGTGCGGATGGTGGTGGTGTGATCAGAATCTACGACCCTGAAGTCGGCCAGACCGGCAACCCATGTGAGGATAAGCACCGGAGACTGATTCGTAGCCATCGGACTGGCATTATGGATCGTGATTTGAAGCCAAACCCCAAGATCCGTGATGAACTCAACGTGATTTTATCGTATGAGCCAACGCAAGACCTATCCGCCGAAGAGAAAGATCTTGTCTGGCGATTCCGATATTACTTAACCCGCGAGAAGAGAGCTCTCACCAAGTTCGTCAAGTCGGTCAACTGGAGGGATGTTGGTGAAGCGCATCAGGCCGTTGAAATACTGCCCAAATGGACCGAAATTGACGTCGATGATGCCCTTGAGCTTCTTGGACCGACTTTCGATAATCCTGCAGTTCGTTCTTATGCTGTTGAAAGGCTTCGCAAGGCTGACGATGAAGAACTACTTCTCTATCTTCTACAGCTTGTGCAGGCGCTGAAATATGAGGACACTTCTAGTAATGAAGCTGAAGATGCCGCACACGATTCGTCTTTGGCCAACTTCCTTATCGCACGTGCTGCTAACAACTTCAAACTTGGAAACTATTTGCATTGGTACCTCATGGTTGAATGTGACGATGCCGGGCCGGGGACATTATCGGCGCAACGGAGGCTTTTCGCTCGCGTTGAATATTACTTCATGACCGAGCTAGAGAAAGTCCATCCAGAACATCGAAAGACCCTCTTGCGGCAAGGTGAACTGGTTACTGTTCTTACGAAAATTTCCAAAGACGTTCGGTTTTCCCGTGAGAATCGGGTCCTCAAGATCGAGCGGCTAAAGAAGTTCCTGAAGGATCCCAAGCACGACATGCTCCACATCGACCCCCCGCTACCGTTGCCACTGGACCCAGAAGTATTGGTCACAGGATGCTACCCCGACGAAGCCAACGTCTTTAAATCCTCTCTCTCCCCGCTGCAGGTCATGTTCAAGACCTCGGACGGGCGGAAATACCCTATCCTCTTCAAGATCGGCGACGACCTCCGCCAAGATCAACTCGTCATCCAAATTATCATACTGATGGATCGCCTCCTCCAAAAGGAGAACCTTGACCTCAAACTAACCCCATACCGCATCCTAGCGACGAATGCTACTGCCGGAGCAGTCCAATTTATCCCATCAGCCTCCCTCTCCGCAATCTCGGCAAAATACAAATCCGTCCTGGCGTATCTTAAAGACAACAACCCCGACGACAGCGAACCCCTCGGTGTCCGCAAAGAAACCATGGACACATACATCAAATCTTGCGCGGGGTATTGTGTGATCACCTATCTCCTTGGAGTCGGCGACAGACACCTGGAGAACCTCCTTCTCGCCCCCGACGGCCATTTCTTCCACGCTGATTTCGGCTTCATCCTCGGCCGAGACCCTAAGCCGTTTGCGCCCATGATGAAGTTATGTAAAGAAATGGTCGAGGGCATGGGCGGAACCACATCCCCACTCTATCTCCAGTTCAAACAGTACTGCTTCACGGCGTACACCACCCTACGCAAATCAGCCAATCTCATCCTCAATTTGTTCAGTCTAATGGTCGATGCTAATATCCCTGACATCCGAGTTGAACCAGACAAAGCCGTCCTCAAGGTCAAAGAGCGTTTCCATCTAGAAATGACCGAAGAAGAAGCGATTCGTCACTTTGAACAGCTGATCAGCGATAGCGTGAACGCCATTTTCGGTGTCGTCATTGATCGCTTACACGAGTTTGTGCAAGGGTGGAGGGCCTAGTCGTCAAATTTGTTCGGGTTTACATCCATGATATCAACCAATCTTATGGGACCATGGAGCAGGTACTGACAGGAGTTTCGTGGCGCAGAATCAAGTGTATGGTTGATACCCTACTTCAAAGTTGATACTCGTCTATGTTAATAACAAGGAATAGATCTATAGACATGTTTCGTTCCTCGTGTAAGGTATGATCGTTATAGCGTCGATGTCGTAAAATTGCCCTTTCCCTCAAACCATTTCCGCAAGACAAGCTGTAGCGATTACTTGTCGGTGTGGTGCAATCGACCTCCCGACTCTTCATCGGCACGACCTCAGACTCCCAACTCGACCCACTCATTACCTGTTTCATCAACGCGATTCCTATCAGCAAGACCTAGGTCAATCCCTTCGCTGTTCCTCATGTCCTCTGTCACGGCAGTATCAGAACCAGAGGGGTCCTGCGGAGTAAGAACTCCACCTCCTTGTTCACTGCGCATCTTCGCCTCAGCGTCTTCGTCGTCCTCCGGTGTCCCCTCCCTACATGCCCACGCGTCTACGAACCGCAACACTTCGCGCGGCCACCAGCGCTTCATGATCAAGAGACGGAATGGGACTAACGCGACAATGAGGACTGGGAATGCGGGCGCGCCGCGGGTGAGCGTGAGGATGAAGATGGCTACTGTGATGATTATTTGGAGGATTGTGTAGAGGTGGATGGGGATGTAAGAAGGTGTTGGGGTCTCTTCTTCGGGGGTGCTATGTTGTTTTGCAAGAGATGGGGGGAGAGGAGGAAGTTCGGAGGGCGGGGTGAGGAGGTAGAAGGTTCGGTAGAGGATTGGGCTGATATTGTTAGTTGGCTTTTGGCTTTATTTTGTTGCGGGGGGGTCATTGTAGCTTACTTGACGGATAAGCTCTGCTCGCCCATGAACATGAATAAGCCTGCTAGGACGCTTGTCGGAGTCAACCCGAGGACTATCATAAATGGCGGGCTGATAAAGAGGAGAATAACGGCTGAGTGGAGAAATGAGGACCAGCGCTGTTCGTAAACTCGTTTTACCTCGTACGTTTCGAGCTTTTCTTCTCCGTCGACAGTGATCGTGCGCTGTTCTTTCTCGGTATGCATTAGGGACTCTGAGTGAAGGGGAGCTTGAGGTAGAAGCCCATTGGCAGGTGGTATTCCAAGAATGCCGCATAGGGCTGTTGTAGTCCCTAGAAGAACGATATCCCAAGCAAAGCCGCCCGGCTTTTTGGTTCCATATCGATCGATTGTGCATATTATTGAGCTGACTTCGTGGTCGAAGAAGAAGAGAATGGTGATGATGATCCCTGGGACTATAGCGGCGAAAACCCAACCTACGGGTAGGTGCCAGAATTCGACGAGGAATCTGTCACGAGTAGGAGATGTAGGTGTGAAAGAGGTACTGACAGGGAGGGTCATCTTATCTAGATGGGCTAGTTCCCCGACGTGAGGCAATCCAATGAAGATGATGATGGAGATTGCAGCAGCGTATTCTGCTAGGCCCATTCGTATATATCGATGGAACAAGGGGCGCCAGCTTTCTGCTGTGGATAGGAATATCGCGAGGAGCATCGTTCCCACTGCACCTATGACAGCGTACAGAAATGCTGCAAAAGAAAGGCTCTCGTGGGCTCTTTCAAGCTCTTGAATAGCTTTGTGGAAGTAGATAATGCTATTGAGGAGAGAAAAGATCTCCGTTGCAAAGGTGGTGACATAGCGCATTGTCCAGTCATGGGCGTTGATAATGGCTAGGAGATAGTGAAGCCATGCAGCATGGATCAGGGACCAGGCCATGAACGGCAGGAATGATACCTGTGGAGATAAGCTATTGTTTATTGAAAGAATTTTGTTCATGTCATCTCACATTGAAGACTTCTTCGCACAATGCATAGATATTCTCAGCCAATACTGAGAATGGTCCAGTAACCCCAAGGATCGTCAGCGGTTGGATGGAGAGCCTGAGTGTCGTTGTAAGTCTTATGTCATACTATAGTAGATTATGCTGCAGGGAGCATGTCTTACAGTGAAAAAATAACTCCGCATAGGCCTGTACTGAATACGACTTCAATAGTCCCCCAGTTCTTGCCAGTAAGAACATAGAGATCACTCGCAAAAGTAATCCCCGGAAGGAGATTCGTGAAGAAAACGTAGACAGCACTCGCGAAGACTAGCTGATTGAACACTGTCCAATCGGATATATATCGGCGTCGCAAGTTCATGATATCCTGCTTTATCAGACGAAATGGCCGTAAGGGACCACCTGATGACACGGAGCCCCGTAGCATCCGAATCGCCTTGGGGGTATGTTTGGAGGGTGTAATGATGGAGTGCGCATCATCATCCTCATCATCGTTGTCTTGATCCTGATCAACTTCGCGATTGTGTTGGATATCATTGCGTTTCGGAGACCTCCGTTGCCTCCGGGGTCTATGCCGGAGAGATGAGGTCCGTGTAGACCGAGGACGAAAAGCAGATATCAACGGCATTGTTCAATCTTTGTAGAGAGCAATTTGATGATGATCTGGAGGGGTCAAAGTCGGTCTGGCGGGAAACCAGCGATGCCCGCCTTGGCCCTCATGACGTATCACATCCCCGATAAGAAACTCGCTGCACCATCTCCGAACCGAACGGATGAAGCCGCCTAAAAGCATATCAATTGACTTTAACCAGACTAATTATTAGTTTATCACGACTGCATCATAAATAGCATGTATCGCATGCTAAGCCACCTTGTCGACCTTGAGTAGAACACCATGTCTTAAAAGGGTAGGCTCTGTCTTGCCTATGTGCTGCCCTCACAGCCAGGACATTCGAGCTGAGTCGCTTTGTAAATGATTATCTTCAAGACTGCATCATTTTGCCCATACAGCACCTAGACTTCCGGCAGTTAAACATGCTCTGCCCTCAATGTTGTCATTCAGAGGTGCACCGGAGAGGGAAGGCAGTCCAAGAGGCACCGACAGCTCGAATGCGAACCGCCTTTCTTACCGCCTTCAAAGGCCGACAAAATCTCTCCCGCGGAGGAATTTCCTCAGCGTCACAATTCCAAAACGATGTCCTCCAGACCGCAACCACTCTGCACTGCTCCTGGATGATGCCAGCTGGATAGGATTTTCGAGGTCGCCGGAGACAAAATTACCCCACCATATCTTTATGGACTGATCATAATGGCAGCCAAGTTCATTCCGCGCCAGGCTTTCCCCAGTCATGGGGCTATCCCGAGGTCCTATTTCCTGGGCCATCATGCGGCGGGTCTGAAGAAGATGCAGAACATGCTGTCTTCGATCGACTATGTAGTCGAGTGTCGCGATTACAGGGTGCCTGTTACATCTATCAACCCCATGTTTGAGGAAGCACTAGGAAAGACACGACGATTAACCGTTTATACCAAGAGAGACCTGGGTGCTGAAACTGGGTCAAAAGCACAGAAGTTGGTGAGGAAATGCTCCAGAGACATATTATGGGCGTGGGATTGCTAATACTTCTTTTCCACGTGCAGGCAGAGAAAACCATTCGAACCTTCAATAAAAACGGCGCCACATTCTTCGTGAGCTCGTCTTCTCGTTCCGATATGGGCACCATCATTAGACACTTGCGTGACGATGCAGAAGGACCAGACAAGCTTGTTGGATGTCGGGTGATGATAGTTGGTATGCCCAACGTGGGAAAATCCACGCTGATCAACCACCTGCGTAACTATGGTGTGGGACGGGGCAAGGCTGTGCGGACCGGAGGCCAGCCTGGTATCACAAGGAAGATCGGGTCACCTGTGAAGGTTATCGAGAGAGAAAGTGGCTCCCATGTCTATGTATTAGACACCCCGGGTGTGTTCATGCCATACGTGCCCGACGCGGAGAACATGCTAAAACTAGCACTCTGTGGTTGTGTCAAAGATTCGGTCATCTCCCCGGTCACATTGGCCGATTATTTATTATATCACATCAACCTGAATAGCGCCGAGGTATATAAGCGATGGGCGGAGCCAACGAACGAGATCGTGCCTCTATTGAACAAGTTCGCCCAACAGACTGGTCTCCTGAGCAAAGGCGGCATCCCAAATACTGATCTTGCAGCACTGCACTTTATCCAGAAATGGCGTGCCGGCGACCTGGGCAAGTTCATGCTTGACGACTTGCAGGAGGAAGAACGTCGCCAACAAGCTGGCGAAGAGCGAGAACTACCCCTCAGTATCACCCAGGCCTTGAAGGCCGAAAAGCTGGCAAGAAAGCAACCCAAACAGTGAATAAACAACCATATAGAATAGATAATCCTCTCATCCATTGTACAAAAGAACGAATCATGTTGGTATCATCAATGAGCTTTTGCCTCCCCTCAGATGCATAGTAGACTGGTAGAACCGCAGAACGACGTAGGAGAGACAAGATGAGACGAAATCACACCAGATAAAGAACCATAACGCCTATGACAAGAGAAAAGAGACCCCGTAGAAAACACAGGACGACGGAAGAGACAGACGCCCAACGCAGTACCCCAAGCCCGCACAGCCTCACGAGATCTTATCCAACAATCTCCTCCTCCGTCGATCGACCAACTCCTCCTGAACCTCGTCCAGACTCGGCAACCTCCACTCAACGCCATCACCAGCATCTCCAGGCAACGGCTCCCAACCATCCTCAGCATCATCCCCCTTCCTGCGCAATCTCTCAACCGCCTCCTTCTCCTTCTGCTTCTCATACGCCAACAACGTCCCATCCTCCTCATCCAATCCATACCCAAAATAATTCGCATCGACCTTCTTAGTCGCAATCTCTCCTCCCCGTCCCTTCATCCCCTCTTCATCATCCTCCTCAGCCGGCCTCCCCCGTCTCGCCGCCGCCTCAAACATCTCCTTCACGCCAGGCAACTCCCTCGCACGTCCAAAATACCGATACCCCTTCCCACCGCCAGGTATCTCCCTCCCATCATCATCAAACACGCGTCCCGAGCCACGCATATAGTTGGGCCCGCCCAAGTTCCGAATCTGCATTTCCCACGTCCACTTCTCCTTCATCAACTTGTTGATCTCATCATTCAGATCCCGGATCTGATAATCGCTTAAACTGAGCTCCTGGATCCGAGACACCTTGCGCGAGATTTCCTTCAGCACCTGGCCGCGCCATTTCTCGCACATCGGGATCGAGTCAACGGATGTGATGGCTTTCGGGCGGCGCGTGCGCCCGATGTCGATGATTCCGAGGTCCGCGGCTTGTTGGGCCCGGAAACGGAAGAGCATCGACTGGGCTTTTTCGCTGTTACGCGCCTGTTCATTTGCAAGAGGGGGTTTGGTTAGCTTGGGGTTTTGGAAGGAGGGAAGGAGGGGGAAGATTTTTGGGCAGTCGGGTGGGCAGGATTCGAGGGGCGATTGCTTATATCGGGAGGGCAGTCTGTTCGAAATTGATAGTTTTTAGGGGCTGCTTACCATTGTGAAGAGCGGCGCGGGGAATCCCCGTTGCAGATGGAGCTTGTGGTAGAGAGGATGAGGTGAAGAATGAGAGACGCTCGTCTTGATCCAAGCTCGGGTGGGTTCATCCGCCCGTTGGCAAGCGAGCGCTAACAGATTCAGCCGCGCGGCTACCGGACCGGTGGTTCTTGGCTGCCAACCCGCTCAGGTTGTCTTTTCCTGTCCCCCTTGCTGGCAAGCCTGTGCATGCGTGCGTGTCGATTTAAGTTGTGGTGGCTAATTATAGCGTGGGAGATCTTAATTTACGGGCGCTAGAAATACTAGGCATTGCGGATACTGAAAAGGTCATGTCCCAATGGCAAATATACCGTAGGCACGAGAGTGCCCATTGAAATATATACTTGTGATCTTGTGCAGGTTCAAACATTATCATAAAATCATCAAAATGAAGGTATAATTCGTGAACAATAACATAAAACAAAACCGGAGACTGGGAAGAAAAAAGTCGTCCGTCGCAGATCACCAAGATGCATCATGAAGCGTTAAAGCAAATCATATAGCATACACGTCAAAATCATTCAAAAGCAAATCCAAGCGCCGCTTCCCTTCAACACTCCGTAGCCATGCAGGGCTGCCATCAGGTCATAGTCGTAATTGGTCGCTCAGGCCCTGGATGAATGTTTAGCGCCTGGGTTTAAATCGAGCCATGTGCTCAGCAGGGTCAACCTGCTAGGTCGTTATAATTCTTACAAGAAGCCTTTGGTGTTGCTAGGCATCCGCTGTGGTACCTCGCCTGAACCATACACGCTGCTCCCCCTCCTGCTCCCGGCGTCGCTGAAAGCTCCAACGTGGCCTCGTCCGAGAACGCTGCCCCTTTCAACACGGAGCGCCCGCCATCCGTCCAGTTCACGCTCCATCCTGAGCGACTTCTCCCGCTCTTCCCGGAGATCCCGCTCCACTCGACGAACCTGCAGCTGCGTTTCAGAGTCGCTGTGCTGGAGCTCCTCAATGTTTCGGAGAAGGCGCTCAATTTTTTCGCGGGCTTTGTTGACCTCGTCATTTAGCTGAGAATTCATCTTATCGCGACGATCAATCTGGGACTGCATGTCTTTGACTGTGCGGTCAACGTTCCGCAACGAACGCTGCTTAGAACTGTGCTTGGCTTCTTGCTCCTCAAGATGGGTTTCTAGCTATTACCAAATGGTTAGCATTCTTTGGGCTGGGGGCTAAAAATTTCCAGGGAACAACTCACTTCCTTGACTCTCTTGTGCAGGAATCGGACATCCTGGCTGCCTGATGAGTAGCTCTTGGTTTCGAGATCAACGCACCGCAGTTGAGATTCCTTCAGCTGCTTCTCTAGGGCGGCCTTGTCCTTGAAAAGTTGGGCGTTCGTTTCTCTTTCGGCAGTGACTTCCTTCTGCATCTCCATAGCCAGTGCCTCTGCCCGCCTCATCTTGCCCACCGCAGCCGCGGAAACATCCTCTTGCTGGGCAAGCTTGGACTTGAGTTCTAACAGCGCGCGGTCCATACTTGCAGCGTTGCGCATGGATGGACTCTCTCCCTTGGCGAGATCCTCAAGTCTCTCGCCCGCTTCAGCCAGACGCGTCTCCAGCATCTTCTTCTCCTTGAGCAACATGTCTCGCTCCGAGGTCACGTCGTCGACGGAGGTGCGAAGGGTTCTCACTTGCGACAGAAGGGAGACAACCCTGCTCTGAGCTTCATTGTGAGCATTCACGGCCTCATCGCGAGACGTCGTCACATCTTGAAGCATTATGTCCATTCGGGCCTTCTCCTTAGCCCAAGTCGAGCTGTTCAGGACTTCGTCGTCCCACTTGCTCCGCAAGGCTTCAAGCTCTTCACGGAGACGCGAGCTCTCTCCACGGACATTCAGGACCTTCTCGCGTTCCATTTCAAGTTCGTTATTGAGCGTCGTGAATTCGCGCTGATACTTTTGCCTGGTCTGCTCCATCGATGTTTCTTTGTCTTCAATATCGATGGCACGTTGGTTCCTATAGTCCTCAAGCTCATTCTGAAGACGCTGCTTGGCCTGGAGCGCACCCTGCAGCTCAGCAGCTTGATCTTCCATTCTAGCTTCGAGGGACTGAGTCTGACGTTGCAAGTCTTCAACAAGAGCATCCATCTGTTTGCGCTCGGACATGATCTGGGCGCATGTGTCCTCAGCCTCTTGGGCTTGGGATTTGGCGAATTGTTCCGCTCGGGTAGCCTTCAAGACTGCAATCTCGGCCTGTTCAAGCTTACTGAAATACTCATCGGCACGGGTCTTGTACAGGCTCATACTCGAGGCCAGATCTGCCGACTTGGATGTCTCCGCGTCAAGGCGGATCTGCAGGTCTGAAAATTCTTGTAGCAGTTGATTCCGACTGATAGCGTCCTGATCTCTTGCAACCTGCAGCTCCTGGAATTCAGAGCGAGAGTCACGAAGCTCGACTTCCAACGTAGCCTTGGCTCGCTTGAGCTTTTCAAATTGAGCCTTGGCGTCGCTGAACTCTGCAATGGCTTCGTTGTGTACCTTGAGTAAAGAACGCCGGGACTGCTCCTGGGAATTAATCAAGTCATACAGTTCCTCGTGCGACTTGGCTTGGACGTCCCGTAGAGAAAGGTCTCCTGAGCGAATGCTCTTCTCCAGGGCAGAAACCTTCTTAGAAGAGTCGTCGAGTTGGTCATGTAAGCGTCCGTTCTCGCGCTCTAGGAGCTGCATGCGTCGAAGAGAGGGGCTTTCTTCCTGCCACATATCACGGCCAGGCTTCGCTTGGACGAGTTGATTCTGAAGATGCTTGTTCTGCATCTCGCTCATTTGGAGTTTGTTTTGGAGCTCCTCGATCTCGGTAGCCATGTCCATGCGTTTCTGGTAGCCCACGGTATCCACCGTTCTGTCAGACCGGCCAGAGTCATTGGCTGTTTCGTTAAAGTTGAGCCTCCGGTTGGGTGTTGTGGGAGTGCCAAACTTCTTCACCATGACATTCTCGGAGTTCTTTCTGAGATGAGTAGGTGTCCGCGGGCTAGAAACCTGGTTCTGATCGATTTCCTCCAACAAGGCGCGCTTAGATGAGGCATAACGTGCATCGAGCTCCTTCATTTCATCCCCATGCCGACGTCGCATCTCAGCCAACTGGGCCTCCGCTCGACTATACTTCTCTTCAGTCACTTGCAACTTGCTCTGTGTTGTCTCCAGCAACTGCGCCAAATCAATTTTCTTTGCGAGATTAGGCTGGATCTTCTCCCAGGTTTCAGAAGAGTGATCAGACTCAGGCTCCACTATCTTGTGCAGTAGCATCAATTGGCGATGTAGATCTTCGATCTCCTTGTTAGCTGTGTCTAGAGAGCCTTGGAGTTTCCGCGTATTCGATTGTGCCTGGGTCCGGAGCTGTCTCTCGGTCTCGAGATTCCTGTTTGCCTCTGCCAACTGGATATTAGCAGTGGAAGCAGACTTCTCCGCATTGCGACTAGCTTTGTGTTCTCTGTTGACTTCGTGGTTCAGATCCTCCAGACTCAAGGAAAGCTTCTCTTTCTGTTTCTCCAAAGACGTGATGGTAACTTGCAGATCCCCAAGCTGGCGGGCCAGTTTCTTGTTGTCTTCTTCAAGCTTAGTCTTTTCCTTCTGAAGCGTGGTGACGCGGAGACGTTGGTTGTCACTAGCCCTGGAGGTCGACCTGGCGATGTCAAGATTTTTTTGTTGGATCTTTGTTAGAAGAGCGCGGTTGTCATTCTCCGATGCGGTGAGCCTGCCCTTGAGCGTCACTAGTTCTCTTTCTAGGCGCTCCTTGTGCTGGTCATGGCGAATGCGGAAATTGTCAGACTCAGCAATGGCGTGATTCAACTCTTGTATTCTGACCGACAAGCGTGATCTTTCAGCTTCCACCTCTTCCAACTGACGCGATTTATCTTCCAGGTCTTTTCGCACGCTCTCGAGGCGTTCGTTAGACTGCTTCATGATGTTGCGTTCAATATCAGCTTCTGCGTTTAATCGTGCATCCTCCACCCTAGTGAAGCGATCTCGGAGTTGAATCAATTCCGTTTGCAGTTCCTTGCGTGACTGCTCTGCAGCAACTCGGGCTTCTGTTGCCCGACGAAGGGTATCCTGCTGAAGGTACATCTCCTTTTCGATGATGATTTTTGATTCGTTCAGATCAGTATACTTGTCCTTGAGGTCGGCCAAAGTATGCTCGGCAAGCATTTGCACATCATCCCTTGACTGACGCTCCCGGCTTAGGTCTGCCTGGGCTTTGAACAGTTGGGCCTTCAATTCCTGAATTTGCTGCTCGAGAAGCTTCCGGCTTTCACCGGCTTCCGCGTCCTCGGAAATCTTTGCCTCCAGCAGGTTTTTGACATCGGCGGCCTCTCGCTCGAGCTGAACTTTCTCTGATTTCATGGCGTCCGCCTCAGCTTGGAGCTCTCTAAGACGCTTCTGCATGTCGTCATGGCGCGTGGTAAGGGAGACTCTTTCTGACTCTATGTGTCTCTTCTCTTCCTCGTACTTCTTGGCGTCATTTCGTAGAACAGCCATCTCGCTTTCCTTCCGCCTAAGCATCTCTTCGTAGCCCGTGGATGTTGCGGAGAGATCGGAGATCTGCTGTCTTATTGTTCGGTTTTCTTCGATCAGCTCTTTGATGTGTTTCTTCGACTGGTCTAGATCTTTTGAAGTCCTGGCAAGTTTGACTTCGAGATCTTGGTCTGTCTTCAAAAGCTTTGCTTCTAAGTCTTGCAGTTTGCGCTCCTTCAAGCTGAGGTGACTCTGAAGCATCTTAATTTCTTGGCCGAGGTCCTTGATTTTGGTATCTTTATCCGAAGAGGAGCTTTCCGTTTCAGCCAGCTTCTTTTCAATCTCTTCCAGGCGAGCTTGCATTTCTTGCTTCTCGTTCTCAAAGCGTTGGATAATCTCCCCTGCTTGTTCGAGTTGGGTTATACGAAGCTCGAGCTCATCGTCAGTTCTTTTCTTGACTGCAATCAGATCGTCAAGTTGATCTTCGAGGTTTTCTTGATCTGCGATAGCCCCAGCTAGCTTTTCGCTGAGTTCAACCTCTCGAACTTGTAATCTCTTGAAGATCTCCTCCTTGTCTAGGGCCAAAGCCCGTTCGCTCTCCAAGGTTTGTTGGATCTTCTGTATCTCGATTTCGGTACGGCGCCTCTCCTCCTCCAACTTCTGTCGATCCGACAAATCCTGGTCCATCTTAGCTTCTAGTTGTTTGATCTTCTCGTCCCGTCTCTTGACCTCATTGGCAGTGCGTGTTTCTCCCAGAAGAGGCTTCATTCTCGAGAACAATCTCCACCATGGGTTAGCCTTCAATTGGAGGTAGGTCCTAAAATTGTCCTGGATGATTCGAGTTGCCTCTGCCCGATACAAGCGCTTATTTGAGATTCGCCGCTGGACAAAACCCCGGGCAAGAGACTGAAAACGGGTCATTATGGTTCGAATGAGCTGGTCTCGCTTTTCTTCCAATTCAGCCAAGACACCGGCTCTGAAAAAGACCTTTGTACGGCCGACTCGATACCAAGCAGGGTCCAGCCCAAGCTTTTGCAGCATCACATGAGCAGCGTTTCGCCCATCCAGGTATCCCTTCGGCATAGCAGGACACAGCACTTCATAACGTTGACGGAACTCGGCGAAGGATAGCCGATTAGGGAATCCAGTGCGCGCAATTCGAATGCCTTCGAGTACACCATTGCAGCGTAATTGATCTAAGACGAGGGGTGCATTGAGCATCTTCGGACGCTTCTTATGGTTCGGTATGATGCAGCGAACAAAATGAGGATGTGTCGAGTGCAGCTGGTTCATGAGGCTGGATAGCTGTTCCTTGTGTCTTTGGGCAACTGTGCGGAAGAGACCTTTCTTCACACGACTCTTGGGGTAGTCGCTGTCATCGTCACCGTCCCTGCAGTCGGAGAACAAATTGGCCACATGTTTTTCACCTGACCTCGCCAGAAGCCGTGTTATATTGTCGTTCAATGGATCCTTGTTTTTCTCGAGCCAGCCATCTGTGCCATACTCGACTTCAGCAGCGTAATGCGTAAGCACAAATCCCTGGCTTAGGCGAGCAGCACGATACTTTGGTGATTTTCGATCCCAGAGCGAGTGCAGCTTTTCGGTGAAAGACTTGTCTGTGGCTTTCGGCATGACACAGTCCTCGTCTAGACACGAGAAGATACCAATGGGGTTGGTCAACTCAATGAGGTCAATCGTTGGCTGCAAGTCCTTTCCGAAGTCAATGAACTGCCATTCGATTTGCTCACGTGCATATTCCTCCTGCTCCAAGACAAACATGTGGTGATTAAAGAACTGCTGAAGCTTCTCATTGGTGTAGTTGATGCAGAGCTGCTCGAAGCTATTGTTCTTGAAGATTTCGAAACCAGCGATATCGAGAACACCGATAAAAAAGCTGTCGTCACCAGCCACTGTGCTCCGGTCTAGCTGGTTGTTGATTCGATCGACAAGGTTCCCAAACCCGCGCTCATATATACCCTTGGCGAGCGCATCGAGTGCTAGCCGAACTTGTTCCGGTGTTTGGACCTTCTCCACCCACTCGCGGCCTGCTTTGACCTTGGGATGCAGCAATCCCTTGACAAAGAGTTCTGGTGCTATACCAAGTAGCCGGCAAGCCCTTTCAACACTGTTTAGAGAGTCGGGTCCTAGTGCAGCTTGGTCAGCCCTGAGGCTTTCCTTGACGATGGTGACATTTCCCAGGTGAAGGACGGCCGCGATAGTGCGCAGAATGCACATCTGGTCTTCCTCCGAAAGGTTCATGACATGGAACGCCTCGATTAACAACTTCCATTCGTCCTCATCGGATACCCCGGCGATGGTGTCGTTGCCGTCTCGAGTATACGCGAAATCTTCGATCTGCAAGTCCGATAAGAGCAGCGCCTCCCTCAGCTTCCGGTCCGCACCCCGTAATAGCTGATAGAAGATATGATAGTTTCTTTCATGTGCGTTAGGTTTCACAACTCGGGACTTTTCCAATAAATACCAGTCTATCGAAGCACCCGATATCTGGCCAGCCCGGGTGAACTCAATCCGGATGAATTTCCCGAACCGAGAAGAGTTATTGTTTCTGACTGTCTGGGCATTTCCGAATGCCTCCAGAATGGGGTTTGCCCTTAGAATCTGCTGTGAAAGCGCAGACATCTGCTTGGTACCAGATCGAGCATAAGGGGTATCGGTCGTCGCGACGGCTGCCAGGTACTGTATAACCTTCTTAGTGTTCTCTGTTTTACCTGCACCTGACTCTCCTCTTCACGGCCAAGTTAGTATCTGAGGTCCATAGAAGCTCTGTGATTGAGTAGACTTACGTCACGAGAATGCTTTGATTCTCTCCTTCCTCGACAAGGTTACGAAACGCCTCATCTGCCATGGCGAAAATGTGAGGGCGGTTTTCGTCGCGGTTGCGACCCTTGTACATCTTCACATACTCGTTTGAGTAGATGGGCAACGGACAATACGGATTTACCGTAACAAGGAACAACCCCGAGTACGTCTATATCCAAACTTGTTAGCCTTCCGCATGATAAACCAGGCAAGGTACCAGGGAAACTCACGTAGATAAGGTCTGCTTGATACCGAGTGTGCAGGTTGTGCACTACTGAAGCCTCATTCAAGTGCGTGAGCTCGGCCATATCATCCGCTTTATCGAACTTCGCCGGGTTGACCTTGTCGACTTGGTCCGCATCGACCTCCCTCTGCTGTCGTGCCGTAAGCATTTCTAGTCTGACCGTCTGGGGATGCCGGGCAGTCATACCTCTCCATCGTCTGTCTGGACAAGCAATCGACCCCCTTCTTGCTCTTCCAATACAAGCCCGCGGACGAAGGCTTTCTCAGGATCGCGTAGCCAGACATATTTGTTCCCGGAGAAGTCATTATCTCCCTCTTGACCACGGATCTGATCTGCACCTCGGCGGAGCTCCTCTGACTTGATGAAGTCTGGCGCAAAGGTGCCTGACGCAACATCATTCCTTATCGAACCCGATCTCTGCCGATTTGTTGTCCGCACTACTAATGAAGACGGTGACTGTGAAATAGAGTTTCGAAATTGGCCCCGGGCCTCTTCGAATTTATGGGATGACGTGACCACAGCCGACTTGGGTCGTACGGTTCTTGTCTGCGGTGATGGAGTTGGGGACGGGGATGCGCGGCTGAATGGATTGGCCCGTTTCGGGGAGCCATTTAACTGTGAGGGAAGCATATCTTCGTTAAGCTCAGTGGAACATCATTCAATGAGAAGGTCGTGATCGTAACAATTAGGTATGAAAGTAATAGAGACTCAAACAATGAGCCGTCGGGTTGTGTCGCTAGGAAGCATCCAGGCCAATGGAAGGGCCACGGCGAGAGAAGGACGTCAAAGACGAAAACAAAGAAGGTAGAAGAAAGGTGGGCAGGCGTGTATGAAATGAAGCTGCAGCATACCTAGCAGCGGGAGGTGCAGGTTGACAGTCGCCCACTGACCACCTGCTCGCTCTGGGGCCCCTTCGGGTCCGCTGTTTGTTTACATCCGCCGTTCCTCAGGCTGCGGGCGCCGATCATGCGCTAGGCCCGATCAGTCGTGCACCCATCACGTGGGGACCCGCGGCACGAAACTCGATCTTTTCCGGGTTGGTCGGGTGTCCCGTCGCTCGTCGCTTCACGTTCTGTGCTTCCGCGGTCCCTTCGCTCTCAGCTGCTCCGATTATCCATCCTCTCGTCGCGTCCCTGTTTTTGTGTCTCCTTACTTCCTCCCACGGCAGGGGCAGAACTCATCCATCGGGATTGCTACGCGCGACCTCATGTATAGCCGAGTGTGGTCGCTACCGATTCAAACTTTCTCCCCGTCCTAGTCTCTTAGACTTGGATCCGATCGCTATCACTGATTCTGGCTTGAACGATGTGGGACGCCTGAGCACTCGCTTTAGCTGTGACGAGCTATTTTTTTTTTTGCTTACCGGACGCAGACATCACTCACATTGAAAGCGCGCACGCGGTCGCTCTTCCCCAACCATGTCTAATTATCCCCCGACACCGTCATTTGTGGGCCCGAATTATACACCTCAGTGGCCTCCCTCTAATCCGCCCCCGTCGACAGCCATGCCATCGTTATACCCACACAATCTTGGCTTTAGCCAAAACCCTTCGCCCGTTCCTCAACACCCGCAGGATGGTCTCAGTCACCCGTTTGATTATAATACCGACAATTTCAATGGAAATTCACATCTACCGGGATTAGGGGGCCCGGGCGCAGTTGGTCCATTACCGCCGCCCCCATTCGCCTTCATGGGCCCCTTTGCTTCTACTCAGTTCCCGCCTCCTCCGTTTCCTCCCCTCCAGATGCCACCACTGAGATACCCATCGATTCCAGTACCTTCGGCGCCCATCTATGATCCTACTCGCCCTGCAGTGGGCGATTACCAGATGGACCACTCTGCCCCCACCCCGCCGGTCCCTCAGCTGGCAACCGCTGGGAACTCAGAATCCGATCCTGACCGAGAAGAAGGTGAACTAACTGACCGAGAAGCGCCTTCGACATCACAGCCAAGGCAACGCGGCCCCGGCACTCAAATCCATCGAGTTATCAACGGTGACAGTGGCTCGATAAGGCGTGGCCAGGCAATGAAGTCGAATGGCCGAGGTTCATATGGTTCAGATGTCTCTCACTTGTCAGCGATGGCTATATCCGAAGGTTCAGCGCAAGGAAATCCGGATCTGGAGAAAGGCGAGGTTTCACCAGAGTCTCGCCCATCGTCCAGAAGCAGTGGATCTCGTATTATACCCTCTTTCACTGTCAACGGTTTACCTTGCTGATGTTTTTGCAGCGTATAACCCCGCACCTCCCAGCTCTACGGAACCACCTGTAGGCAGTATCAGACCGGAAGCCCCAGCTCTGTCAAAGCCGCAACACGAAGCCATCCCCGAGAACGGAACGAACAACGCAGCTTCGTGCGAGTCGCAGTCTTTGCCCAGCGGGGGAAGATCACCAGCACAGCTTCGCGTACAGGCACAAGGAGCCCTTTTGAGCTTGGCGCCTCACAACATCCGATATGGCGAGTTTGTTGGAGAGGGAATCAACCCGGTCATTCTTCGTCAACTCTACGAGGAAGTCGGAATCAAGATCACCACCCCGCAGCCGGAGCTTTCGGTGGCCTCCCCGCCTAGTGACATGTCCGTGGGATCTGAGCATTCGACGACTAGTCAGTCTGGAGAACCCGAGCCAGTAAACCGTCCACTCGGTAATTCGAGTGCGGATGGAAGCTCAGCACAGCAGTCCACCCCTACAGAGATCGTTACAGCTGTTTCACCTTCCTTACCATCGGACACGGCTAAGCCTATGGAGCGAAAAGAGGTTATTGCTCGTATGCTTGCTGCCAAGGCTGCAAAGAACTCCGGCGCGTCCGTGCAGGTTCAGGCGGAAGAGACCAATGAAGCTAGCGTACCTGACGGTTCAGGTCTGCCAGATGCTGACAACATGTCGGTAATCACCTCGCAAGATGGTCAAGCCAAGGAAAAGGAGGTCCGTGTCAAAGAGAAGAACAAAGCACAGACTGAACTTGCTAGACAGCGGATAGAACTGCTCAAGAAGCAAGGTTTGGTGAGGAATGGACAAAAGCCCCAGTCGGAGTCTGTGCCCCCCGAGAAAGGCCAACCACCCAATGCCCCTGCTCAGGATGTGGCTGCGACTTCTACTCCGATACCGATTCAACATCCATTACCTGAGCGCCCCCCAGATCCTGAGTCCAATGCTCCGGCTCGCATACCTGGGCTTTTCATGACGGAAGAACCCAATGATGAGAATACTCCTGCTTCAACCACTCAAAGCCTTGCTGATACGACACCACAAGCTCGTGTCAACCAACGCAAAAGGCCCCGAGCATCCGATTTTGACGAACCCGTTCCCATCCCCAAGAAATCTTTCAATAACGGCGTGAATCATGCAATCCCAGACACGCAAAGACTCATAATAGATATCAGCGATGATGAGTTCTATGGTGATGATGAATCCGACAGCATGGATGTGGACAGCCCTGCAGGAAAGGATTCGCAAGATGCGGATAGCTTGCTTCAGACATTTACAACCTCTGTCGACGCGATGCCCCTACGTCCGGCAACCGCTTCAAGTCAGGGGTTCTCTACCTCGGCTACCCCGCAGAGCTTGAGGAATAATGATCAGGAACACCAGGAACATCTTCGAAGGAAAGATTTGGAAATTAAAGCCATGCACAAGCGGATCGCCGAGCTTGAAGAGCGGAAAAAGGCCAAGCTGGCAGCCAGCCGTACACAGTCGCCTCGGGCTTCAGATGTGCTGGGACCTTCTCCCCCTGCGAATATTGTCCTAGCCGACGATGTCAGTCATGCATCGAGACCCTCCACTGATGCTGAGGACGGTAACAACCCTACTAGCACTAAAAATATACTCTCTGTCAGCGTGGATATTGCCCATATGGAGAGAATGAGGGACAAGCTGTTGCGCAAGCAAGAAATCGAGGTCGGAATTCCTGCACTCGAGAACGAGATTCACAAGTCGGAGGCAAGATTAGCCGAAGTCAAGCATGAAGAAGACCAGCTGTTATTGGAGATCACCAAAGGGAGGGAAGGCCGACAGCAACTCCTGGATGAACTGATGAATATCAATCTAGAACTGAACGGGCTGACCTTTGAGGATGTGGACGCTGCGATGCAACGCTCACAGACCGAAGAACAACCGTGCGAAGTTGAAGGTATGTCATATGCCTCCATATCGATTGACTAGGCTTGAGCATGTATAATTGATTCGTCTATGCTTATAGACCCAGTCCTCCAGGAGACAATTGAGAACGGGGATATGACGCCTGAGAATGCCCATCCCCCACAATCTGTTCAAGAAGAGAGAGAAGAAGAATCGACTCGTGTATCCGTCCAAGGTGCTCAAGCTGTACTACCAGTTTCCGCCAGTGGGTCGAGTATTGTGTCCAATGACAAATTGATGCATGATGTTAGCGATTCGTCTGGAGAGGTATCGAGCTCTGATTCCACTGGCTCAGCAATGGATGAGTCTAGCGATAGTTCTAGCGAAGAATCCGACCAAGATGAGCACCAAGCTCACAATCCCGTCCCCAAGACGACAGACGAGCCTGCAGAACCTGAGCCCCAGAAATCAGTGGAGGCAGGGGCAGGCCTTCACCATAACCTACCCGAGCGCCCGCTGCCTATGGATGTGGAGCCTCAGGTTGAGCTGGCCATCGATGAACAGGCTACTGAGAACCAGGACCAGGCTTCCCGAGAATCTTCCGTCTCGGATGGATATGAGCCTCCTGAGCCGGAAGTGACTGCAAGCCCCGCAGAATCTTCCTATTCCCCCCCTTTCAGTCCTGCATCTCCTGGTCCCGTCGAACCAATCGAGACCTCCACGACGGACAGCATGAAACAGGCCAATGAGCCGCTAACGGAAACTGTCCAGGCTTTGGATACTCAGCAACCAAGTACTTCTACTCAGGTTGGCATTCTGGATGTGCGGTGCACCTCGATCCAACCTAGGATGTGATGCTGACACTCAATTTAGAATCCACGGGAACCAGAGGAGTCTGAGCATAAATTCTCCCCTTACGTTAGTCCGCTGAAGTATTTCAAGGCGTATCGATACCACCCAAGCTTCACTGAAAACGTCTCGGACGGCTACCGTTCTCTAACATATAGCCACAACATTGATCCTATGAAAATCCTCTGCCCATTCGAGGCTTCCGGGGGGGTCTGCAACGACCGGTCGTGTGAATATCAGCATTTTCGTGATATGACTCTCAGCGGTGCGTCGACGGATCTGAACCATCACTTGCAACATCTGCCCACATGAATCTTGGCCATTGGCTTTCCTGGGGCCTTTTCTCATTTGCCTCACATTCCTTTTCTTGACCCCACCACTATCTACCTCTACTTTTCTTTGGTCTTGTTTGTGATCTTTTGTGTTGTGCGGATGCTGACACACAGGCTCGTTAACTGCGATAGATGACAAGATCCTTGTCCAGATGGGATCTCTCCGAGAAGGCAAGACGCCCGAGGAAAAGGACGAATACATCGCGGGGCTGAAGCAGATCATTAACGACATGCGACGCGACAAGGTGAAAGATTTTAACACCGTGGCCACAGAAATAGCCGCATACCGTAGACGCTTTCTCAAAGACCCTTCGCGGGTTCTGCCGTTGTAACAACATGAAGGCTCAGATGGTCGCTCTTCCTTGAAGAGTGAGCCTGTTTACTTTGACACAAGGTGAGCTGCCGACGTCGCGCACTTGTCGGTGCGGACGCCCAATCCAACTAGGAGCGGCTGCCTCTGGCTCCATCCCAGCAATGGCAGCGACACCTTTTAGATGGTGCCAGCTCTCCCTCCTGAGCCGGAAACATCATTCTCTCCCCCATACCTTCATTGCATTCCTTAGCACGCCCCGCGTTCTCCCTTTCTTACCCAATGAGATCTGGCATCTCGTTTTGAACGACACCAGTGGGCATTTCCCCGTTATCTTGTTTATCTATTGCTACTTGGCGTACAAAAGCGAGCCTGGAGTTGGAGGATCCGTTCTTTCTTTCCCCTAGGAAGTGGGCGTAAGTGCTTCTTCCCCAGGCCCGGTCCGACGAAGGGCGAAAAATAGGGCATGTGCCAGTTCTGGCTCTCCTTTTCCTTTGGCCAGATCTTCAAGGTATGGGATGAAACACATTGACAGCGAAGGACCCTTTGGACAGGATGGGATTGTACAGCAGGGCGTTTGGGGCATAGGAAGTCCATAGCGATAGCGAACTATTGATTCTTGATTCCAAGCCTCGTTTGCGTGGCTTTTGTGAGTAAATTAAAATAAAATCCCTCAAGCCGGAAAACAAGGCAGTGGACCACGAAAAATGCCTCTCCGCCAGCCAGGCGCAACTAGAAGCAACCAACCCACCCCACTCGAGGCTCTTAGTGTAAATAGTAGCAACCGGGCGTCTAGCGCCTAAACCGGGGCACTAGTCAATAAGTGAACTGTCTTGTTGCATATCCTGTTTAGTTGGCTGATTGCGGTGCTGTTGATTTTATAAGAGCAGTATGTACGGAGTCAGCAATCTGTATATCGGCGCTGCACCGCCCCGATCCGAAAGGGTGGGGCGGTGCAGAGTATAGATTGTTTTTAAACTGCTTACGACAAAATTACACTAACTTACTTAACTAATAATCATTAAACACTTTCTTCTAACTTATTATCATCATAACAACAAATATACGCCGGTTCGCATCGTACACCCTGAATAATTTGAGGGATCAGGCATCGATGGAAAAGGCCATATGCGAGCGTGAAGACTACCAACACCATGGCCCTCTGCAATCTTGAATACTACTTCGACCCGTCAAAAGCGGGTTCTCAACCTGGTCATTTAGAATGAAGCACTCTTCATACCCAACAGTTCTCATGCAGGATTTGGCCGAAATGAACTTCTCCTCGTCGAGGGCCACAACTTCCTTGTAATATGGGTCGTCGAGAGCGTTGGTGAAGCATTCCAGGGATGGCACGTAGAGTTGTAGATGGTGTAGGAGCTGCTGCATACCTGAGAATATTTAATAATTAATTCCATGGCGACGTAGCCAGTCACTGACTAGTGGTCCAGTGATGGTGGAATTGCTCATGTGTTATGTCTTCGCGCTTTTTGAGGAAGAGTGTTGGGCGGATAATCTGATCCGGGGATTGGGACATCTTTATATAGACAGTAGACAGGGGAATGAAATGACTGTGATATGATACACGGCAGTTCGAGTGACCAAGTAGCTATCTCTGCCTTGGGTTTCAGTCATGATATTATTCCGGTTTCCAACTCGGTTCTATGTATGTATGCTTTATTGTGATTGGTTTAATGTGGGACCTCTCGAAGTCAATCCCCAATATCCTTCCCCAAATTTGGAGAAAGATCATCCCCGGATACATTATTGAATGGCACCTAATGTATTTTCACCGTGGAAGCACTTTGGCAGGTACTCGCAGCTGTATCCCCTGACAGGTATAGGGATAGATATTATCTTCTTGACAATCCTCCTGTAGACTTCTTCCGTCTGTGGACGGGACTGATAGGATACTGTTAAACGTGTTGGAGAAGTGGTGGCCCGTTGGGATATTTGGGGAATCACTGAACTCCATCTCCTCTTATCTTGCTTAGGGTACTCACATCGGCAAGGTCTACATCAAGGTAGCTGATTCACAATAAGAAGTGGGGTAGTCAACAGTAGCTTAAAAGCACGGCTCCATCCTCAACAGGTATAGATACATGTGAATACCTTACTCTGAACATAGAATTATGTTGGTCTATCTGCAAATTTTGCATCCTTCTCGGTATCCTGTATCCTCATACACCATTCACTCGTGGCTGGCAACGCCATGGAACAGGGCCAAACGATAAATCCTCAGCGTTAAGATGGAATGAAATGCTCCCACTGCCCGATCTGGGCCCAACAGACGTTCTTGTGATATACCACGCACGTTCAATGAACTACCCCAAAGTCTCGACTATGTAAACCTTGTGCCATCATCCATTTTCGAGGTGGGGGTTACGATTGACCGAGTGAGTATAGTCGCGAATGAAACATTCCCCTGGAAATGTCCTGACCGCGTGGTGGTTCCTGGCTCAGATGGAGCCAGCGAAATGATCGGAACCGGCTGTCGCGGATCACGCTTCACCGTGGGAGACCGAGTGATGCTCCAGCACTACCCCGGGTTTCACGATGGGCCCGCTCCGCCAGCCGATCAAAAGGTTCCGGGCACACATATGGACGGAACGTTTCGCGAGCATGGGGTGTGGGAGGAGAGCGCTCTGCATCCAATGCCCGAGTACCTGAGCTACGAGGAGGCTGCCACCTTGCCTTGCTCTGCGCTGACTGCGTGGAATTGCCTCCGCGGACCCGTGCCCCTGAAGGCAGGGGATCTGTTCTGACCCAAGGCACTGGTGGAGTGCCGCTCTTCGCGATTCAATTGGCGTTGAAAATGGGCGCTACCGTGATTGCCACCACTTCTTCGGAGGAGGGAGCAGCCAGATTACGGGCCCTGGGTGCGCACCATGTCATCAACTACAAGATGACCTCGGACTGGGGTGATCAGGCCCGGCAGCTAGCAAGCAGCAGGGGATGTTGTTAGAAGGTTTTTGAGATTGGTGGTCCCGGCACAAGTGAGCAAAGCTTCAAGTGTGTGTCCTGTGGAGGAAAAATTGACATCGTGGGATTCGTGACTGGGCGTTGTTACAAAGAGGGTCTCAATCTACTCTCGCCTCTGCTTTATGTGTACACAGTGCGTGGAATTGAAGTCGGCACCCAGCTGGAATTCAAAGACATGGTTCGATATATGGAGGCGTGGAAGATTCGCCCAGTCTTAGATGAACGGCGGTTTGCACTGCAGGATATGAAACAAGCTTATAGGTACTTCTGGGAGGGAAAACACTTTGGCAAGATGGTCATCACATATAACCAGGAGCTGGATTCTGTCTATCGGTCTCAGGCGGCCACCTCGCGGGATCATCAACTTATATAGACTTTTTGAGCTCATTTTCTTCTCTTTCCTCGAATTCCTCATTCTTGTCTGGGTATGAGTGCACTTTCTCCTCAACAAGCTAATATAAAACCCGTTGAGTCTTTCCGGTGACACTCAGGGCAAAATGAAGGTCCCAAACGAGACGGTCCCCAATCTCGGAGAAACTGACTAACAATGTTCTCTGGCAAGCCCTTGACTACGATTCTCCAAAGTCCGACCCTGCATTTCTTCATCGTTTGGAGATCCCCGATCCTGTCAACGCCAGGCCTTCAACCCTTCTTGTAGAACTCTCGTGGTAAATGTCCTTCAGTGAAACGGACTGCATCATGAAAAGGTCCACCCAAGGAAGGAATTTCTTAGATGTAACGTCTGCCAACTAGACCAAAAACCACAGCTGGGTGCTGGTGCTGGTGCTGGTCAGTCCTCAATATTTAATCCCATGTTTCCAAGCCGCTGTGGGAGTAGATAGGTACTAGGTAGGGTAAAAAGCAGCACCAAGACGGGTCTAAAGTGGAGTGTGGTTTCTCCACCACAGCTAGTATTCAAACTAATTAGCTCTAGCACTGCCGCACGCCTAGTTCACTACTATCTCCTTCTCCTTCTCCTTCTCCTTCTCCTTACTATACACAATCCACTACCAAGTACTCCATAGATTAATTCTAGTAGGATGGATATCTACCCGGCTATCCGAGCCCCCCCTAGGCTCTCCTCCGTAGCAAATCCCAAGAACCTACCCTACCCCGTCCCACCCCCTAAGTAACTTAATCAAACCATTAGATAAAACTAATTAATAATGATTAAGTGAAACAAGATTAACTAAAGCTAGTAAATAGAAGTCAACCTTACCCATCCAACCCAAATTAGTTGATTCTCAAGTGGCAGTGTAAATTGGTCTTTGTTCTTGAGGGAATAATGGATAAAGGAATGAATGGGAGCCTGAGTCAAATATCCGGAAAGGGTTTAGTCTCGGGCGGTAGGTTTATGCAAGGCATGAGTTGGTTGGGGAGTCATTGGGTCACGGGTCGGGTCGGGTCGGGTCTTGTGACTGGGTGGTGACTCAGGCAGATAACTACTAGTATGTAGGTAGGTGAGATTGGAGGTACGTCAGTGTGGATGAGTATAGTGGTGGTGATGGTGGTGGTCCCGAGATACTCCGCGACTGTGTGCCCGGTTCATGCGGGTTGTTGTCATGGTGGTGGTTGTGGGTTTGGGATTTGGTCTGGGATTGAGAATTGGGGATCGGGGAGTGGTGGTTGGTGATTGCGGGTTGGATTTGGGATTAGTATGGGATTACTATTGATAGAATCGGGTAGGTGCTGTAGGTGATGTATGCGTATGTGATGCAATGCGATGCGATGCATAAACTGATGAAACGGGAATGTTGTAGTTCGTTGATTAGGTAGTAGTGGACTTAGAAGATAAGAAAACTGTTCTGGAAATTGTAGAGATTGCTGTCTGTTTGTGGTAAATAGTATGGTTGGTTGTATGTGAGGGGAAAGAGGAGAGGGACAATATAGCATTGTCTGTTTATGGCAAACAGTATGATTGTATGTGAGGGGAAAGAGGGATGGGGGAATAAGATAGAACGCAATCAGTGACGATGATGATGATGATGATGTCTTATCCTGCAGTGGACATATTCGGTTAAAGCGAGGACATCTGTAGGTACGGCGCAGTGCAGCGCCCAGGTGTCTCGGTACCTTGAGCGCCAGTAAGGTATAGTCAGGATCTGACGGGACGCTATGCAGGCGCAGGGGGGTAACCGTGCAAGGCGGTATGGACCGGTAATGTAGGTGAGGGCGCATGTACCAAGTACCTGTCTAGGTACTATCTCTATCTATCTATCTCTATCGATGGGCCTCGGCAAAGGGCAGCTGAGACATACCGCGCAGGAAGACTGCAGTGGGGAGGCCCCCAAGCTAAGCGTCGGTTGGTGGGGAGGTGCCACACTTGGTAAGGCTGTGCCAGCGAACTAGTCGTCCGCTGGCGAGGATTACCTCAGTAACATATACTATCTTAAGTCTCCAGGATGTTGCTTACCGGTGGATCATGGATTCACGTAGTGCTTACGGGAGTGCCTTGTTGAAGCCATGGAACGTGGTCGTCAGGGTATTGGTTGCTTGGCGGGGTAGCGGCGGCTTGGCCGGGCGGCTAGATATATATCTTGCTCTCGCGAGTCACCACGGGCAATCAAGATTAATCAGCCTTGGAGAAGGATGAGGATTCGATGTGGAGTGGCCTGGGGAGGTGAAGGATGGTGGGACAGCAGGCCAAGTCCAGGACGGAGAGTTGCAGTAAACCCAGCCCTCTGGAGTAAGAATAGAACTCGAGTTCGATGCTCAGTCACTGTAGGAGGGCACCTCCTACCGGATCGGGCGATGTGAGGTTGTACAGAACGGCGGAGCAAAGCAGATGGGACAAAGAAGTCTAAGACAACTTAAAAATAGCCCTCGGGAAAAAGCAATTCGGCCAGGATTCAATAGATCGCAAAAAGGCCGGGAGCGAAAAGGAACGTTAAGCGTAATCCGACCAAGGTCATGCCATGTGGCCGCTGGCATACGGGGGAGGGGGAGGGAATGTGGCCGTTTCACCATCGCGGTCGCACAGTTTAGTGTGGCAGGTCAGATCAACGGCCATCCATGTGTGGCCCCAGTTTCACAGCTGCCAGGGAGCTGAACGGCGGGGTTCGCGGTTGGGGAGCGCCAATAAGCCACGCATCGTGAGCAACGGTCGGCAGGTGTCGAGGCACTATCTTCGCATTTCGAATCCTGCCGAGCAGGTGTCGAGCTGAAAGATCGGAGTCACTTTCCTGGCCGGTGGGGATTGGGGGGGAACCACAACCGTTGCACTGCCCTTCTGGAAGGAAATCAGCATGTCCCTGACGCCCGTATCCGAAGTCTATCGTCGCAGCCAGTCATCCGAGCTGAGCAGCCCGGTTTCAAAAACAAAGTCGGGCAAGTCGGCGACCGCCAGTTTTCCCCCCATACATAGGGTTAGGTGCAGACAGCGACCCAGCGAAAGGGCGGTGGATTCCATCCCAGTTGCCAGGTGTGGCTGCATGATCTGCATGACACTGGCTGACATCTGGGCCAGTCAGTGCAGGCCCAATGTCAACCAAGACTTTGCGGCTCGGAGGGAAATGGGCCGCTCGTCGCCAGGCTGGATGGTGGTTGGCAGTTGGCATGGGCGTTCGAAGGGCCGTGGAAGGGGCGCAATACGGGGTTCGCCATGGACACGTGTGGTGGGCTGTCCGTGTTCCCCTTTCCTGGCTCCCCACCCATCGCTATACTATCGCTACTATTGCATTCCGAGACGCCGTAGATTCCGGGCTTGAGCGAGACGACCGTAGTCATGGTATTGATCTCGAGTACGAGATGCAATCCATCAATCGATGGGGATTTTCCGATCATGCCGTCATGAAGGATCGGCCCCGGTACTACTAGGTTGTTGTTCCTTTCTGTTCCTTTCACAATCCTCGATTACGGCTGTCAGGACCGAGTGGTAATTTACGGGGGGAATCTTGGTCAGAATAGTAGAATACTAGTAGATAGTGAAGATGCTTGTACATTATTGATGAACCCAACCGAAATCTAGTCTAACAGATCGTTCAACAAACAGTTCGCAATCATAAAACCACAGTGGAAACGACCGCGCGGAAAACAAGCGATTCTATCAGTCCAGAAATGTGCCCCACGGCCCACCAACCAACTCCAAGGCTTTCTTCGCGGCTGCTCCCCCGTCGAGTCCGGCTCGCGAGGGGCAGCCGCCCCAACTCTAAGTCGTATCTTTAGTACAGGTATCCCGGAACAATAACAAAACTAAAACAATAAGCCGGACAGCTGACAATGTATCGCGAAACAATATGCAACCGCTCATGCAGAATCATCTGGAAAAAAGAGGAGACTAGTAAAAGGAAAAGAAAAACAGAAAAACAAAATCAAGACTCCTGGTCATGTCTGTTTCATGTTCCATGCTGCTCATAACGTAAACGCTCAAATATACCCGCAGGTGAGAACTAAGGTGATCGTAGATTAAACAAGGCTTCGTCAGAGACTCGATGTCTGGCAGGAAACTGTTAGCCTGGACACCAACCAACCAATTGCTGTAATCCATACCTCAATACCATCATTCCCATAAATCATTTCGCCGCCTTGCAGCTGGAGCAGGCAATGTGCTGGCAAATCACACACTGCGGTTGGTTCTGGAATAGTTTCGGCCCATCTCCACACTGGCAGCAGAAGTATAGGTTGGAATGGCCGACGGTGCCCTGGAGTTGCTGATTGTTGATACCAGGCATGCAGTGTTTCCGTACATCAGCGTGGTACAATGTCGGCCGCTGGATTGTGTTACATCCCATGATAGAGGGCATGTTTGCGACAACGTTCAACGAGGGTGCACAGTGTCGGGAAACCGGAGCTTGAGGATACGGCGATACCTCGTGGCAGTGGTGTAGCGAAATCCCCGAGTTTTGAGTGTCCATTGAGCAGTCTTCGCAGCGTGGTTCACCGCACTGGGTGCAGGCAGTATCAAGGTCAATTTGGTGAGGCCCGTGGGAGCACTCGCAGCAGTACCAAAGACCAGACATGATGATAGGCGAGGTTGGATATATGGTTGACAATATTGGTAGAGAAGGTATAGTTGGGGTTTATAGAGTAGCAGGCTAGAAGCAATGGACAATGGAAGACTGTGTGCTTTGGATGGATGTGTTTGGAGCGGATGAGAGTGAGTGAGCCCATTGTGAAGGCTGGGTCTCGTAGGATATTTAAGCATCGAGATGCAGAGTAAGAGAGGGAGAGAGACATAGTAACGAAGCCACTAGCGATGATTCAGAGCCAGGCCACAAGGCGCCCTTCGCAATGGATTGTGGCTGATCTTACAGACAGCGCCCATGGTCTTCATCTCAGTCATCCACCAGGTGCAATACCTGATCAACGCCGGAGCCATTTAGGGTCGATCACCCAAAGGTGGCTTGGCAACCCCATTGCATTTTGGGACCCCGAAGCTCGTACCTGAGCAATCAGCAGTCCAAATCCGGATTGAATCATATTTGGACCTGTCTTACTAACGGACATCGTAAGATATGCTTGACTCAAAACATTGCTAGGGTCCACCGAATACCTTCGCGAAAGGCGGAATCCGCGAGGCTTGGAGGCTCTCGTCTTTGCCCAGGAGCCCGCCCACTCCGCCCAGGTCTCTCTCCCCCCTATGGCTGGTACTTAATTGCTCGCGCGACAAATTTAAATTGTTATTATCACCATTATGATCATTTTTTATTATTATTATAATTATTATTTTTTCGCACAATTTCCCTCTTCTGCTGATGATTATTCCCTTCCTTCATGCTTCTGGCCTTCGAGTATGACACTGCGGGACTGCTGGACAGTCTGCACGATGTTGCCTGGTTGCGGCCTTGGGCGGGCTCCACTTGGTCAGGAGCGCGTGCAATTCAGGCAACATCGCCCAGTGCCTCAAACATTCTAGATGCACACTCGAGACTCTGACTGTGACTCCGACTTTGACCGTTCATTTCCCCTAGTTGACGGGGGCCCGATAAGCCCGTTCGTGATGGTCCTGTCGGTCAAGCGTTCGCGAGCCGCGACCCCTGCTGCTTCAGGGTAAGCAGGCACCCATGCTAGTTCTGCCTAAGCCATCAAGCCCATGGATCACCCGGGCACATGCCCTCCAAAATGACGTCTTGTCGACTTGGTTGATGACTCGAGATTTAGGTTTTGTCATCGTTCTCTCTGTATCTCTCTGTCTCTTGCCCATTCTCTCATTCTCTCATTCTCTCTTGCTCTCTTGCTCTGTTGCCCTGCCTCCACTTTTTCTCTCCCCTTCTGTAGTTGAGGTATCTATTTTCGGATAATCCGATCTTCCGCGTGAGGCTCATGTCAGGTGCGGCCGCAGCGGCCGATGCTGACTTCCTTTCTTCATCGCAACCCACTAACATCATCCATCACTACTAGTGACCGACACTAGCTTGGTCTCGTCTGTCTATTCTGAGCTGAATCCTGCTGTGACCTAGGAGGCCTTATCTGAAGTTCAGCTCGACTGTGTACCTACTACGGTCCTGTCACCCACAATGGCACAGCGATGTTGCAGCATGTGCAGGGAAACTAGCCATGGCCCGTTCTAGCTCTTCGTGACATGGCCTAGCCAAATGCCTCATCCAGCAAAGTGCCCGTTGGGCGTTTGAACCGCAGTCATCTTCCCGATCACCCCCAGCTGTACTGCGTAGATGAAACCGTTTTGATGTCACCGCGCATCAAACCATCCCGGAGACTCATGGACGCCTTGAGCTCGGCGATGATCTACAGGCTACAAGATTGATGCATCTTTCAAACAGACACGAATATGGATCCGCCCAGACACCAGTCTCGAAGTTGTACCACACACATGTTGATGCCTACATCGGTGACTGTCTCGAAATCATTCCGATCGATCGAGTTCGTCACACGTTGATGAAGATGAGCAATATCAAGGTTAAGGTTCTAGGTAGACACATAATGACCAATGTCAGACGCGGTACAGCCTATGGCAATATGGACCGGTTGATTCATGAGATGGTCTGGCGGATAAAAGGGGTTGCCTTTTGGGATGGGCGGTTTTGAGGGAAATCAGGAATGTCCCGCATCTTCGGGAGGGCCGTAGGCATCATAAACGATAACTGGCGCCTTATCATCACGTGAGACAGCACATGACATCATGACGGAGGTTTGCCCTGTTTGCAACCCCCGTGCCTGTCACGTTCCTGGAAGCCTAACACTTCCATCAACCTCTGCCAACTCCAGTCGATTCTCCATCGTCAAACCTCGCTTTCCCCCCGGGCACTTGTCCCGTCCTTATTCTCTTTTGTTGGAATCTGTATATATTTTACGTTAATATGGATACACATGCGGGTTGCCCTCTCTGAAACTGGCTAGCTTACTATTCTCCCATGCGGAGGCGTTTGTAAGCCTTCCACGTTCCGTTTCAAATGGCGCGCCCCGACAAGCGCATCAATGTTGCGGTTGCCAGGGCCATTCCGCCTTTTTTACTGTGTGTATCGGTCTATGCAAGCTATATCGTCACCAAGCCGTTATGCAGTAAGTAAGTCCAGAATCCATGGTTTGCTCCTCGCTAATCGACCCGAATCAGTTGACTATCTAATCCGCCCCCTCCCGAAATATCATCGCAGCAGTCGAGTTGGCGCTGGTGCAGCCATCCTCGCCATTTTCTACATTCTCATTATCGTCGTTATCACCACTTATCTCCGGCTATTGTATAATGTCGTCCGCAACCCTGGCTACTTGCCCCGCGCCCCTCCGCCGATAAAGGGACAAGATACGGAACCATCGGATCCTCAACATCGCAAGAAGAAAAGGCACCGAAATGGAAGGACCCCCGAGAAGCCAGATAAATCAGAGGTAGATATTGAAAGGGGTGTTGATTGCAACGCTGATGGAGGCCCAATTCCATTGGACACGACCGCGTTAGAAAACTTTTATACAAAAGATGTTTTTGTTTGCCAAGAGGATGGAAGACCTCTATATTGCTCAACATGCTGTCACTACAAGACTGATCGAGCACACCACTGTCGGGAGGTAGACCGATGCGTGCTCAAGATGGACCATTTTTGCCCTTGGTGAGTACTGTCCCTTCTCGGTCCCTGATTGAGGCTGACAGTAGAGCAGGGTAGGAGGCGTGGTCTCTGAGACATCATTCAAGTTCTTCATTCAATTCGTGTTTTATACGATGCTATTCTGCACATTTAGTTTAATAGTCTGCGCGACCTTTACGGCCGAAATGAAGCGACAGGTGAGCAGAAACCTCCACCATCCAGTTTCTTACTAACCGTCATCTGTCGCAAAGACTGGTGGAGCCAATGTTCACCTTGCAATTGGTATTGGATTGTGCGTATTCCGCTCCCACAAATCTTTTTGGTTATTTTGTTTGACAATCAACAGGAGCTCTCTTTTTGGCCTTTTCACTTTTGGGATGACACTAAGTTCCTTACAACTTGCGATGTTGAACATGTCAACGATCGAGAATCTCAATCGTCGGTCCGCAGTATGGACCTTGGCTATACGCGTGCCAAACAAGATGTTGGCCAAGCTCAACCCGGAGTCGCGATGGGCTCCAACATTCCGCACCATAACTTATCCCCTCCCACCCGCGTCTCTTGACCCTGAGGCGGCGAGGGAATATCAACCAGCAGGGGAAAAACATGTCTTTGCCATTCTACAGACCCTCCCTGGCGAAAACCCCTTCGACCTTGGCAGCCCTTTTAGAAACCTCCAGCAGGTCCTGGGCTATTCCATCATCGACTGGTTGCTCCCTTTTAAGCAAAGCCCATGCGCAGACCGCACCACAGGGGGAAGCTTCTACGAACTCGGGCCAGTAGTGTCCCGACTTAAAAAGGAGGCTGGACTGGAACCTCCACGTGAGCCGCAGTCCACCCAAACCGATACACACAAAAGACATAAACGAAGACACAGCACACATAGACAGTCGCAGGAGTGACCTTGGTTGATCCATAGACTCACTCCCATTATATACACGGAAGTCATTAATCATTACAGTCTGGTCATTCAGGAGTTTTCCTACTTCTTGGTTCTTGTTTTGTTCCCAACCCAAACCAACTTCTTGGCTCTATCAAGTCCTATGCCATTGCAGAAGGCACCAATAAATCATATTTTAGCGGAGTATTCATACTAATTCGGAATAACTATTCCACCATACCGACCCAGGCTCCATACCGGTGTTTCATATAGACCACTCCGATTAGCCCGGAGAATACACCCGCACGTGGCAATAGCCTCATTTCGTGGCGTAGCCAATCCAGGGGACCAACTACCAATAATGTGTTCCGAGATACAATCTCCGAACTTTGTCTGGACAACGACTTGAGATGACATTCTTGATCGTCACTGTACATCTAGATCGTTTCATTCCATGCCCTAATGAGGACATGCATATCTAGTAGTGAAACTTACGCTACCGGGTAAGGTGAGTACGTACATATAGTCCCACTTCCACACCCACATCGGTAAGAAAACCCCCACGCGTAGTAATAATGAGACAGTTAATGTACAGATCCACAAATAGGCACTGCTGTAGTGTATTCTACCCATCGATTCAATACGTCATACTCGATACTCTTCATTCTTTCCGTACCGAATGATACTACAAAGAAGGAAATATATGTTACCTAGACTATTAGGCAGCAACAGGGTCTAGGCAGCACTGCCATCACTCATGAAGAAAAGGAAAAAGTCAATTGAGATAGGTATAGTCGTAAAAGTCACTCCAATACAGAATCTAGTATACACATAGTAGTAAGAAAGTCAACTCTAGAAACATAAACCCGAAAGTCTACTTGTACATAAAACAAAACATCAAAGCCCGGAATCGAAAGGTTCATCATGCTGTAATGTTGGAGGTCATCACACATTAGATGGAAATCGAAGGGGTAATCACTGTAGGAGAAAGAAAATATCACGAGAAGGAGAATATTAAGGGACAGCGAAAGAGAGATAAAGGAAGAAAGAGGTTAAGAAAGTTGTTGACAGGGAGTATACAGTGCCGATGGTAGTGGCTCATGGGGTGCGAGACATGTGCGGATATCATGTCTATGCAGCCTTGCAGTCATGGCAATTGGGGTGACTGCAAACGGTGCAACGACCAGAACTGAGAGCCGGGTTGTTCATTTGGTCACATCTACAGCATGTCCACCAGCCGGTCATGGAGAGGGCACTATCGATGATGGAGATGATGGTGGAGGTGGCGCTGGTTTCGTGGATGTGGTAGGTCATCGCTGAAGAGGTGTAATGTGATGAGTGGGATCTTTAAGGTTGAGACTAGCTGGAAGTGAAAGGGGTTGTTGGGATGGCGTGGGGAGTTCTGGCGGACTGGCGCAGTGATTATTTGGAGTAAAGAGGGTCCTTAAAGATAGGAAGATTGAAGTCTATCTATCGATGGCACACACAATTGCAATGTGATTGAATCCTTTGTAGAGAGGTTGATGTGGACAGTGGGTATTTGGCTTGTGGAAGACAATGGAATAGAAGAAGCCGTCGTAAATGCTAGGTACGCTGTTTATATGTGATGCCTACCAGTCCCAAGAACAGACGCGTGGAATGACGTTCAGTCTTCGGACATCGTTGATGAGTTGTGCAGGCACCACGGGCGATTCACCGGGGCGGACAATACCCTGCAGTTAAGGTGCCCTGGCCTGCAGAACCAGAATGAAGCCAGCACTGTAGGGCTTGAGAGAAAAGCTCAAATCCGAGCCCTCCGAATGGACTCGTCATGGGAAGTTACCCAGAGAATCGGGTTGGCCTAGGCACCTGCAGGCAGAACCTAATCAACATAGGTCAAACGGGTGGCCCGTTCATAGCAACGTTGTCTCTGTAGATGGGTCCAGGGCTGTGCGTGACCAGCAGGTGCTTATACCCGGTAGTACTGACCCGAAGGATTGAGTTCAGGTATCTGGGCAACGAGCCCTCAGGGCAAGGGGTGGCTTAGCTGGGTGGCTAGTGGCTTCAAGAGTCCCCGTCGAGTATGACCCTCATGCGGGGAAGTCCGGAGCAAAGGACCTGGAAAAATTGAGTCATAAGCATATACTCAGATCAGGAATGGACCAGAACAAGAGAACTATGCGATGGACTACGAGGGTGAGACGTACAGAAGAGTATAGGTCAATCAGCGTACTATGGCATTGTCGATGGTTATTGATCGTTCTATAGAAGGACGAGCGCAGTGAGGACACTTAGATGCTCAGCTGTCTAGAAAGGTTCATTAGACCCTGTGCGTGTCAGAGTGTTATGGATTGATCCCAGCAGTGTACTGGAGAGCCCACAGGGAGGACCAGGTCCTATAGCCCCCCGATTATTGTAGGACATTGCCAGGGTACTGAAGGGGTTCAAATAAAATCGCGCACTTCATTTCTCTTGCCCGGTGAAGCAAGTCATGAAGCACTGGAGTGGATAACCATGGCCGCAAGGACCTGCAACCGACCAGAGCACGCCCCATTGTTTCAAGGAGTCTAATTGATGCCCGAAATTATCGCATCCCCTGGCTTGGGATAGCGGGAGAAGGAGCCCTAATTATTGCTCCGCGAGAGTATAAGACGGCCTGATGGCGACGGGGCACAGTGTATCCGGATTCCGCGGGCGACTAAGGCTGCAATTGCCCGGGGCGCTACGTGGCCCTCAGCGGCGGAGTGGCAGATGTCACTCTCTCCTGAGAGATGCGTGCCGGACTCCCGTATACAGCTTCATCGGAAGGCTAGCACCGCCCGTTAGATCGACAGTGACCGGTGGTGGGCGTGACCATTCTTCTAGAAATTCCGCCCGACTCCACTGGCATGACCATTCACGGCCCTTAATCTTACTCGGGGAGCCACCAGAGGAGTGCCGAGTGCCTCAGAGTCGTCCGGGATGACATCATCCGCTCCAGCTTGGCGAGGCGTAACTGAAAAGGGTGGATACGAGGCCACGGATGATTTGCCCGGGCGTCCGGGCAAGTGGAGGGCTCCGGTACTGGGCGCGCCTGAGAGGGCGAGACAGTCATTCTGTGTCGGCTGTTGAGACTGGACTACTAGCGAGAAGACCTTCCGGCCAGGAATATTAGTACAACATCGATACTCCGCATCGAGGCACATTCGACAATTAGAACAGCAGACGGAAGAAAGAGGGGCAGTGGAGACGGACAATGTTTTGGGTTTGTTTCCGTGACTGCCGTCATCTCAGCTGTGAGAGAAACCTTGAATCTGTCTGGCAGGATGGAATCGGCCGAAATGAGAACCCGTGATGTGACGGAGAGACAAAGAGATGGCCAGCCAGTGGATAGAAAGAGGGGATGATGATGATGAAGCAAGGGAAAGAGAAAAGGAACCTGGTGAAGGTGCCGATACACAAAGTCACAAAGCAACACGGAAAGGCAAGAGTGGATGAGATAATCGCGGGTGGCAGCCAATCCGAAGTGGTGACGGAGGGGGTGCGGCTCCCACCCGCCCAATCCAGCAATTCCAGATCCGTGGTTGGACATGCATTCATTCTTTCTCCGGTTCCAATTCCACCTTCTTCATGCTCCATACTTACTACTACTCCTCCTCTGCTTGCTAATCTACCCACATCTGTTCAGCGCCTATCTCCATCTCCATCTCCATCTGATCAGACAATCCTGTAGATAGGTCTCTAGGAGATCACTGCTCCGAACGCACGGTGGAGATTTTCTGTGAATAATCATTCCTCGGGAGTGTTTCGGGCCCAGTTGATTGGGATCTTGCCGACTCTGATTTGTGTCGGCTGCTTCCCCTCGCGCATCTTGCGTCACACCTCTCTCCCTCCACCTCAAAATTATTGAAGATCGCTTCAAGCCTCTGCTTCATCTTCACCCCAATCTCATTCTGCCTTCCGACTAGCACGACTCCGTACTCTCTTGCACTTGCTCCTGCTAATCTACCCCTTCTCCTTGATCCACTCTCCATTTCTTGGTTCCATCAATCAGTGCGTGTCATCCTTCAAATATCACCGTCTGTTCCTCTCCGGTTGGCTTGTCACTTTGGGCATCGTCCTGTCAATTGCTGTCAAAAATTTCTTTTTCTCCATCTTCCCCTCCCCTTGTCTATCACGGGTCCAATCTTTGCCCCTCAGGCATTATCCTTATCGTCTACTCCTTTTTCTGGCCTGGTGCCTGAACGGCTTTTCTCCCCATCCACCCTGTTCGATTTTCTGTTCTCTTGGTTTCAGGATTTATTCTTTGAAGATCTACTTATCTAAACATTTTCTTACTTTTTACCTCGAGCTTGGCCTCAATACCTTCCACAGCGCTTCTTCGAAGGTCTTGCGTGGTCTGCACCCCACATTTCCTCGGTCGGAAATAGTGCTTTGCAGCTCATCTGTCTGCAAGGGTGCAAGATGGGTCCCGCTGCGCGTTACCGACCCATATCTCCCAGCGGCTCGCGTATGATCGATCCCATGCGGGCCTCCACTGGCACTGTGCAGCTCAGTGCCTCCTACGACCCCTACAACCTGTCCACCAGTCGTCCGGCATATGCCAGTTACCATCCCGATGTTAACTATGCCTCCTCCTACGATCCACGGCTGGTCCGGGAACCACGATTGGAAGCCCAGCAAATTTCTTCCACGACCTATAGAGATCCTGGTCAATCTACCAAGCTGAGGACTGAGTACGCCATCCGCCCACGAGTGCGGAGCAGCACCATGTCTGCTGTGGATCCTCGTTATGCCTCCGGCCGTTATGACACACCCGCATCGCCCTTGTCCAGAGCTTCGCCCGTGATTGTCTCCGGCCACCAGCGATCACCTAGTCCGCGTCGGGACCACGAGCACTATGTTATACCCGCATCATCATCGCACCGGCACCACCGGCGACACCACCTCTCTCACACTGATTACGCCAGTGATACCGGGCGGCTAGACCCTAATGACCGAGCGTCGCGGGCAAGGATTCCGCATGGTGGATACCCGGCCTATGAACACAGCCCTCGTTTGCGGTATCCCCCTACTGGGGGTCTCCGAAAGGGCGAGGATATCGACGACTATGATGCGTATTCCTATACCAATGCGTCAGAGCAGTTTGAGAAGGATTCCGTGGCCAGACTGCGATATGGACGGGGCGGCGCCTACCCCAGGGACAGACCACTCAGTTTAACCGGCCTTGATGACCCGCAATTGCTGCCGCGAAAGGAGTCCCGGGCCTTAGGGCCTCCGCCGTCTCAGAGGGGTTTTGACAAACTGGACCAAGGGGGGCGCGTGCGGCACTCGACACACGGCTCTGCTGACGGCGACCTAGACCTTGCGGGTGCCCGGCGACGGTCATGGCAGAGAGCTCCGGTGTCTCTACATCAGGACATCGATGAAGGCTATTCTTCCTATAGGGATGAGCATGATCATGGTCACCATCGCCAGCACCGCCACCGGCGGCACGATGACGAAGGGAGTAGCCGATACTCCTACGATGATCGTGCCTCAAGGAGATCCCCTACCACTCATCGTGCCGTAGCTTCGCCAAGCACCGGGCTGGGGACCGCAGGGCTGGCCAGCGGTTACTCTGATAACCTTGACTATGACCTCTCCTCCCACCGAACTGACCGCCATCGCTCCCGGGATCGGGGGACTCGTGACCATGAGTATCGAAAGCACCGCAGTCGGTCACGGAGACACTCCAGACGGCGCACAGGAAGCGAATCAGATGAGTATACATCGGACGAAGATTTGAAGAAATACCGCCGTGAACCGTCAGCGCACCGGAAGCCTGCTGGCTCAGATGGATCAGCCAGCGGCAGTGACCGGCCATCTCGATACCTGACCATCGACCACGCCCATCGTCAGCGGTCTCGCTCCCGGCATCCAACGGAGGATGCAACTCGTCCCAGGGAGGCGAGTAAACCTGAGGTCGGTCGCCAGGATGAGACGAAGAAGCTCGAGTCGGCCACGTCAAAAGAGCAGGACCCGCCTGCGCCTAAAGGAATCCTGAAGCCTCCTCGCGAGAAGTTTCCCGAGGAGCCCAATCCGGTTCGAGAAGGCGTGGCCCCATTGAAGGACGCGCACAAGAAAGGGATCCCTCCTGGGGCGAGATGGACCAAGATTGACCGACGGCTGGTGAACCCCGCGGCCTTGGATCTTGGCCGTGAGCGATTTGAGGAGCGAGCGGACTACGTGATCGTTTTGCGGGTCTTGACCAAGGAGGAAATCCAAGCGTATGCGGTCAAGACCCAAGAGATCAGAGGTATGTATCCAGGGCTCCACGGATCGACGGATCACGAGCATACTAACGAGTGTATAGACGCCCGCTATCATGAACTCGTCAAGGAACGCCGTCAACGTCGGGCTGAGGATCGTCGCCGCGGACGTGCGGTGGACACCTCGAGCGATGATGAAGACGATGACGATGAGGACCGGTCTCCCCTCGCCATCGAGGGGCCACCGGACGCGAAATCGGCGCCCAAGCCCTCCGGCGAGGCTGGTAAACCGTCTGTGTGATCTACAGTGCTTGGAGTGATTTGTTTCTTTGATTATTTCTCTTTGTTTTGCGCTTCCCAAATTGAGATGCCCCCTATTGTTCACGTGATGTCATGCTGGTCCAGATCACGAGCCGAAAGGCATAGAATGAGTGTACAACAGCGGACCGGCGTTGGTCGGGGAGGAAGGGATGGGTGTATGGTTAATGAAGTGCCTATTAGATGCAAAGACCTGAATGCAGGCGCAATCAAACAATTCAAGCAATTGGGAGTCTTGGAATCTCAGCTGGTTCTACGGCAGCTGGAGTATGTGCTACTCGGGCGTGTTGGAAAGGCTCACGAGGGTCGCGTTGGCAATGCGACGTCCCAAACCGGCGAAAAAGTAAAGAAGCCAACGGTCTTCTGACTCTGTCCAAGCCGCGGTTACACCGTCCCACCCGAGCCTCCTCTTTAGTGGCTGATCTCCTGCGCGTGTTGAAGGAGACAAACTTCAGCAGTTGTCCGTGTCCAAAGCCTTGTGTGACCTCGGACCGGATTGGGTATGCCTATTCCCTAGGTGCCCAGCTGGTTTTCTTTTTCGCTTCGAGTCAGCAGTCCCGCCACCGCATCCTCGGCCATATTCTAATAAGCCTCTCTGCTGATGACGAGATGGGATTCTGCATCGTGGCAATGTGCACGGGAAATACTAGGTTGGGTTGACTGGTTAACTGGCACGATGACGAGACGCCACCTGTCAGATGCCGAAACCAAATTCTTTATGGTTTCTTCAAACTTCCCTTCTTTATACTGTATGTAATCCGGGGGATTGCCACTGGGATTGGATGCTTCCTGTTCTGTCGATGTCGATGTATATCTACATAGATAGACAGATAGATGATAATGCGTCAGTAACGAACAATATATCCTTTACTCGATTCCCTAACACACACCAATAGATAGAGGATAAAGACAGTACAGTAAAAAAGGGAGTAAGTATACATACATACATACATACCTCCCTCCCTCCCACCCAAGAACCCATCCATCCATCCAGAACCAAGACCCAACCCCCATCAAACAAACAATATGATCTCAGTGGCGTCGCGTCGCATCGCATTACGCCGAATAACTCCAAGGGAACTATCGCCGCCGTCGCCGCCGTCGCCGCCGCCCAGCACTTCCTTCCTTACCTAACCCGACAATCTGTCGAATTAGATTCAAATCAAGTCCCATGATCAAACGGGACAAGCAATCAGACGGTCAGTCAATCAATTAACGAAAGGAGAAAATGCTCGGTCGTTTGGAAAGAAAGGTGAAGCAAACATGTTTGATTGATTAATGGGGGTGAGGGGGCCTATAGGTAGGTAGGAAGGAGAAGTGTGGCTTTCTTCGCGTGGGACGATGGGAGTGGTAGTCCGTAGGTACTGTGTAGATAGGGGGTTAGGTAGGTACGTGACTGGGTGGTCAGTTGAGGAGAGGAGGTTCATCCTATCATAGTCTGAGATGGTGTTGGTTGAGAATGGAATGTTATAGGCCGGTTGGTTGGTTATTTGGTTACCCTGTCGTTGTCATTATTATTGCCGTATGGAGTACTTGGGAGATTATTACTCCTTACCATACACATGTACCTAAGTAGACACCTAAGTAGGTACCTAAGTACTATAAGTTCATCTTCTCTCTACATACGAAGTACATGGGTATATACAAACAGCTAAGATTAGAATGTGATTGCACCGACAAATGTGCGTAGGGCTGGCCTGGCTGCCTTTTTCTGGTACTAATTTTCCGGTTGGAGGGAGTAATATATCCTAGTATTTCATGGGATAAGCGGTAATATAGGAAGGGATCCATGGGATAATCACCTCCTCTGTATGGGGTACCGAGTATTGATACTCCCCCTAGGTAGGTACCTAGGGATTAGGGATTGTATACTGGGATACCCAGGTAAATCCTCAAAGTTTCTGCATTATTGTTCAGAGCAGTTGCCGACTACCTACCTGGTACTTACTTCGAAGTTAAAGTTTGGCTGCGCTAGATTGAGTTTTCTTGAAGGTTCGGGCTCAGGTTCGTTTTCCTTGTTTTTGTTGTTGTAGATATATACTTTTGCTTGGATAGAAATGGAATGAGGATGTCAGGTACTCCCGGATGAAGTACGTACGTATCTATCTACCAACTGCTTAGTATTAATCATTATGCCAATGGACAAGTAGCTATCTAGGTAGGTAAATAGGTAAACCCCTATGTATGACCACCAATAAACCAGCCAAACAAAACAGCCAGAAAAAGTAAAAGGCTCGCTCGGGAAAATCCATCCTGAGATAGGTAGCCGAAAATCACCCGTTATTAGCTGCTGGCGTCCGAGCAAAAAGTAAGAATTATTATTATTATTTTTTTTTTTGGATTTAAAGGAGAAATTAGAATAAAAACCATCAAACAAAGAAACTAAAAGCTACTAGATACCAACCCCCCTCTCTCGCTCTCCGAAAAAAAAAAAGAGGGATGGCTAACCAATCACACCGAGTCAGTTAAATTAAGACCTACAACGCCTTATGTACCTAGTTATGCGGGCGCTGCTGTCATCTACCTATCTAGTATCTATCTACCTTTGCTGTATTGGGGTAGTCTTATTGTCTAGGTTAGCTTACTTGGTTATATTTCTGGATAGGTAGTTGTGGTTCGCAATTCAACTAATAATACTATCGTTAGTTAACCACTACTTTGCCTACCCACTATCTAAGCTGTAAGTAGGTAGGTAGTTAGTAAGTAGTAAGTAGTACTAAAAACCACCCACCCAAGAAATAATCTCGGCGGATGGTGGGGCCGGCGCTCCCGGTTGCTCTTTTAGCGGGTTGTTGTTACTGTTAGGTGTTGGGCCACTGCTGCTGCTGCCCTTAGGGCTCAGATCACATGTTCTGATTTGTTTTACGGGACTAAAATCTGACGGGTATGGACAGTACATATCTACGTATTAGTTTCACGGAGGTATTTACGTAGGTAGGTTATTGTTATAGGTACTTCGTTCTTAGGTGCGAGGTACTAGTCTAGTCTTAATAGGTAATTAGATAGAGAGTACGGAATAGTACTATATATGATCAAATAAGTGTGATAGATAGGATGAATGGATGGAAGGAATACCCTACATACGTAGTTTCATTTATGTGGAGATTTGGATCAACCACCAGTCATTATTATTATTAGTATTACTCTGAAGGTGGAATAGTACATAGGTCTAGATTTGGGGATGGAATTCGGAAGCCTAGTTGGAAGCAAACAAACTGTGGACATCTTTTCAGCCTTCCCGGTGTAGATACCTAGACGATATGGAGTACGTATCTAGCAAACACATAACTACCAAGCTACAGAACTATACTCCGTATAGGTAGGTCCAATAATAGATAGAAACACGGACAAACCTTTACCCTCGCCCTCTTCTTCTTCCCTTTGCTTTTCAAGTCTCAATTGTAATGTAGGTTGACTCCGTACCGTAAGCGGCTCTTTGGCCCGGGCGGTGCGGAGAAAATACTACCCAAAGAGGGGGTGTGTTGTGTGGTTGGCTTAGGATAGTTTTATCGGTGCGTTTTCCCGCCCGTGGATTCGTTATATAAGTAAGCTGTGAGTGGTGGTGTCTGGCCGGTGGGTGGTACATGTGGTAGGGATCGGCGGTGGTTTGGTTGTTTTGTTGTGAGGGGGATTTGCTTGGGATTGGATGGTGATTGATTGTTTGGATGTTTGTATTTATGGGTGTATGGGGATGGTTTTGGTATGGGTGTTACTGTATAATTCGATACTATCTGTAATTAGTATGTACTTGGGAGCATGTTGCGAGTTGTTAGATGGGATACTTCGATCGAGAGTATCATATTAAGATACTTCGTGCCATGTTGAATTGTTCAATAACTTATGGTATGAGTAGCACTATCATGTGTTCTATAATTTGTATGAGCATGTTCAAGTACCCGTACGCAAGCCGATCGGCCGAAGACTATACTGTGCAGGACATGCAATGTATAACTCTGCGTAAACATGTACTAAGATGTACTCAGCCTAGCTACCATGTACGTACGGTCGAATATCGGACAATTAAGCTTCGACGCTCCTGAACTCAAACAAAGGATAAGTATAGAACCGTCCGATCCATGGTTGTTCTTCACCTTGATTTCAAATCAGCGTTCCGTGGGCGGAATGAAGGTTTCTTTGTTCGTGGGCTAATAATTAGTGACGCAGGGTTTCGTTGCATCTCCTGCCAAGAAGGCCAAGCTGATTGATCAGATGGGTTTCTTCTCCATGGGGTGGGCATGTCTCTGGGCCCCTGGGGATGAAGTTCGTCGGGATGTATCATGTGCTAGGTATGTGCTATGTAAGCATGTTGATGGCTGTATCGTGATACTGCGGAGACAATTCGAGGAATCAGGTACAGTCTAGGTCGCAATCGATACATCCCACGCCCCCCCCCATCCTCACCCACACTAGAGTCTAGACAGGTGCTTAGTGTCAATCAAATGCCCTACGTATCCAGAGACCCACCCGCACAGAATAAAATGACTCCAAGCCAGTCAGTAGTCAGTACCTACCTAACGGCCAAAGAACATCGTAAGTTCGTCTAGCTCGCTGCGTCGAGCTAAGCCAGCCTGTTCGCGACGTTGCAGGATGATGTTATGATTACTTTTGCGACTTTGCCATAACCTAGGGTGCTGGTCCTGGTAGGCTGTCATGGGTGGAGTCGCACTGCGGGGCAAACATACTGATTGCTGGCCCGGCGAGGCACCGTCGGGTCGGAGATCTCAGCTGCGACATTATTCGGGCCTGCTATGGCTATAACATGGCCTGATATTGTTTGTGGGATCGGGATGATGAGGCCATGACATCGTCATTACATAAGGGTTCGATTGGCAGTTGGTCATGAGGAGCCGAAAGGCAAACCCGAACCTGATCGAATGGACATACCGACACAGCATTCGGAGTTTTTAATTTGGTTCATCAGATGCTGCAACGGCAAGCTTTTGACCATGCTCCGTACATAAGGCGGAGGGTCGTGACGGCACACAGGCACTTATGCATGCTAGATGACATCCTTGTAACAGCTACTTTGACAAGCTCGCTATCCGTAGATAGTTGATCGGTCGGACAAGGATTGTCCTTAGTACGGTCGTTAAGAGCAGCGGCCAAACTGATGTGCATCTGCCCCCAGCTGCCGATCACCACCTGAAGCATGCTAGCCAGGATGATTACTCAAAGGGAGGGAAACGAGACAGTCCCACCCCAGCAGGATGCGTCTTTTTTTTGCGGATGTCGTAGATTCTGGCGATCGGATGGATGGCACGCTGTGACGCTAGACTTTGAATTCGAGGTTCGAGAACGCCGGCGACTCACGTAGGGTGGTAGACGACAGGTAGGCTTCGCATAACCTGCCTGGAAACTGGCCACGGGATTTGGTGGGCTGTCGTGTCGTGTCGCTCCACGTCCGATGCCATTGGCAGGCCGTAAGTACTTGCGGTAGCGCAAGCGCCGGAGTTGTCCTCCGTCTCAAGCGAGCTCAGCTCGACGGCTCCAACCACTGGCTGGATGCTGTAGAACCAGAAATCAGAACCAGAACCAGCCTGGTTACTGTCATTGTTTCTCATTCCATTCCAAAATAAGCTGGCCTCCCCAGTCGATCCGATGATATCAAAGGGACTGGTTGATCCACCCAGGGGTGGGTGTTAGACAAGTCCTGGCCGGAGTCGGAAACGGAGCCCCCCGTGAATCGGCCTGAGAGTGGCTCAGTGACTACCTACTAGTACCATAGTACTGTAGTAGTCTGCTCCTCTGGCTAGTTCCTGTTTTGCGATCGGGGGCTCCGCTTTTTCCCTGGCACCAGCTTGCCTGGACTTCCTTGGTTCGCTATCGGTTTCAGCTGGAAATGCCATAGGATGAAGCATCGGGGCCGACACCTGGTCCGAAGGCCAGCCATGCGCGACCGAGGCTTCTAGATTTCCTCGATGTGTCGACGGCGGGAAGACGGCGAGTTCACCGCCTTGCCTGTCAACTGCTAACTCTCCCTCAGCAGCAATCATCTGCTATCTATCTCACTGCACTGACTGCATTGACTGCACTGGCACCATCCCCACTCGAGTACCTGCCTGCCTTTCCCCCGACTATCAAGTTAGCCCGCGCACTGGGCCTGCCTACCGCACCTAATCTATCAGAGTTCCCACAATCTAATCGACACGCCTGAATTTTCCGAGCACGGCCTCCCGACAGACCCATCCAGGGACGTCGCGGATGATGGCGGTCGCGAGTCTGGTGACGGCAAGGCCACCGTTGTAGATCAGTCCATTGCTTGACGAGTGAATAAAGTGTGAAAGCCATCAGAAGATATGAAGATCAACGGCCATCGCCGTCGACCAGACGGAGCATCATCCCCGGTTAGGTCTGGATTCGTAACCCTCCGGTCCATACTAGGTAGTCCGGCTCCGGCCCCAAATCGTTCGCCAAAGCTTCGCCCGTCCTTCCCCTCTTTTGTACAGTGTACCAGCCTAGGTTCCATCGCAAGCTCGGTGCTACTTACTTTGAATTAGGACTCTAGTCGCGAGGGTATCTAGTCGCTCGGATGGATCGAACGTCGCAGGTCTCCTTCGTTCTGGAACTGGCTGTCCAGGACAACTAGTAGTTCGGGGACGAAGATGGGGGCCAATCAAACAATGCGCCAGGTCTTCAAGAGAGAAATGGAGCCTGGAGGAGGGGTTCAGGACCCAAAAGAATACAAAAGAAAATAAAACAAAATAATAGGAAAGGCAGCACGAAATAAACCAGAGCCAGAGGAGGAAGGCCGGTGGGCGGCAAGCGACCGGCGGCACACGGAACTATGGGCGGACTTTAGCACCCTGCATCGATCACAATGTCAATGCCAATGGCAGCAGAGGCAGGTCTGACACCGTTGCTTGCGTTCAGCCCAAGAGCTCCACCAGCCCGACGCTAAAGGCAGCTAAGGTGGTGAGCATGCCACACACATGGCCTTTTGGAGGGTGAGATGGGCGGCGCAGCCCTCCAAACTGGTGCGAACTGGCTCGAAGGAGAGCTTCGATTACGACGACCCCCGCTAGCCCGGTTCGGGCAAGTCGTGAGTGCCTTCTTCCGGTATTATTCCCAATCCCACAACAATTTGGAGTCGATGACGGGGCATGATGACTGATGCTGATGCTGATGCTGATGCTGATGATGTTGAGGTTGGAGACCAGGCCTAAGTCTGGAGCTCCCCACAACACCACACCCCCTCCTCGGTTGGTCTCGGCCTCGACCTCGACAGCTACCTAGTACTAGATACCACGCCGCACAGAGGTAGCAGTTCGCGACTGTAGCCATCGGACAAAAGGCGTTCCAAGTTCCCAACAGTTGCAGTCTGCCCGCAGCAAAGTACACGGCATGCCTACTTAGCTCCTGCATGGTCGAGGAGGAGGGAAGCCTTCCCATTGTTGGTGCGCTGGACACAGCATCGGCCGGTCCCCCTTTTAACATATCATCCGAGACAATCCAGACGGCCTCATCGGGTGCCGTCCGATCCAACTTCACATGGGAGTGGTACACGAGGCCATTCTTATGCTTTTCTCGAACGGGAAAAGAACAGCGGAACAGCAATCGGGCCATGGCTCAGCAGCATTGCTGTAACAGTGTGGCTGGAAGTATCTTATCACGGGCGCCTATGAATCCTGTCCACTGTTCAGTTTGCTTGCTTCCGGAGGCTAGAATCGTCCAAACACCCGCTTTCTTTTTCTTTTGATTTCCCCCCCAATTCCAAGTGCCAAGATCCACCATCACCACCTCCACCACCACTTATGGAGCCCCGGTCTGATTGCACGGAAGCCTCGGTGGAGCCGACCCGTGACTTCTGACAGGCTAGGCTGACTGAGGGAGCGTCCGGGTTGAGAGGCCTCTGAGGACTCGACTGTCGACACCAGCAATCATCATTAAGTAGGGTAATTAGAGTGCTGTTGTGTCCACGGCCCCGTCGGCCCATCCGCGGCGCACCGGTGCCTCCTGGCCAACGACACTACACTTGGCTGCTAGGGTGACTCGATCGTCCACGGGTAGGTTCATCACGCCTCGAGTTAAGAAAGGTGTTGAAGCATGATGCAGGAAGCTAGTCGCCGGGAAGCGGCAGGATCAGGAGTCCACCAGCCTGCCAATGATGGATCGCCCGCTTTCCAGCCCAAGGGCTGGGGTTACACCGTCATTACTCTCCTTTCAGCAGCAGCAGCATCATTATCATCCGCATGGCGAGGGTGATTGAATCATTCGACCGGCCACCGTTAGGCTGTCTCAAGTTTATTTGAACGGGGCCAAGGAGGGGTGGCTTGGATTGGATGGCAATCGACAGCATCATCGCGCACATCCCTCAAACTCTCACATCGTTGAAAGGGTGAGCAATCCTGAAATCGATGGGGCGTACGGAGTACGGGATACCCCATACGTCGTTGGCTCTTGTGTATGTCTAGTAGCTGATCGTGATCGATGGAGGGCCCGGGAGGGGGTGCAATTCGTCGTGTGGCGTTCTGGGATGTGGGAACAAGGCTGACAGCAGCAAGTCAGATCGGTTGTTCTCATACCGGAGTGTAACCAGATCGAGTCGCGTATTCGGTATTATTGACCGGGTGTTCCGCGAACGAGCAAACCAGGCAGGCAGAGATGGGGCTACATCTAACAGAGAAAGGTCATTTTAGTTTTTTATTTAAAGAAAATGAAATGAGGAGGGGGAAAAAAAAGGCCGCATTCTAGCCGAATAGGAATGCTTGAGAAAAGAGTTATCAAACAAATTGTCTGGAACCATTTAACCCAGATCAGCAAACATCGACAACGTTAACAATGAAAATAACGTCCCCAACGACCCGATCGCCATCACTATCATTAAATGGATGGTTAAAGTAATGGTAACTCCGACGATCCAGGCAGTGTCACAGGCCATGTCCACCAAGTGGAGGCGGCCTGTCAGGGCATCGCTGTTTTGGTTTGTCAACCAAGCGTGTCATTTCACTCGCCCGCCAGCTATGATCACCATGGTGAGCTTCTACCATGACCCTTTCTCAATGACATGGGTATTTGGGATGTCCCAGCCTGCCGCTCATGTAGGTGGAACAAAGACCCCATCGGTGGTACCTGAAATGGGTCGCTGCGAGATCCAACTCCGATGCTGGACTTGGTCTCAAGGGGATCCCCGATCCAAGATATCGCTCCATTCTTCTCGAAATGAAAAGGTATAGTTCCTTGGTTGAATAAAAAGGTTTGAACTTTGAAGGGTGCCGTTCAATCCGGCGACCTAGATACCCATAAACTAACAACGGCTACTGTACAGTGCCTAATCCTCCCGGCGCCAATCTTCATTATTCCACACCATCCAAATCCTGCCCTCCCTTCCAAACCTAAAAAAAAAATGAGTGGGTATCGGAGCCCAAGATGCCAATGGGGAATTTTTTTTTTCCCTCATCAAGTCCAAACTACTACTCATCTTTATGCTCACTTTTTTTTTTTTTTTTTTTTTTTCTTCCTTACTGTTTTGTCTCCCATTTAATTTTAATTGACACTCTTTGTGAATGAGAGCCTAGAAGAATCATTGGGAGCAGCGTTGACTAAGAGGGGTTAATGCTAAAACAGCAGACAAATCATGATTAATGAGTCTGCCCAGCACGATCTGTCACAGCCATCCATGATAGGGACACTCACCCCTCCACAGGCACACACACCCACACACCCACTTGGTTTTAGGATGGGTGGCAGCTGTTAGTTACCTAGCTGCATGTTCTCCTACAGAGCTCCTGGAAGGTAGACAATAAGTAGTATGATGGTCACAATAATTATTCTAATAATTTCAGGGCTGTTATAATTACTCCCCTGCAGCATGATAGGCGGGGGAGAACTATGATGATTATCAATGACCACCCTCTGTTCATCCAGTACATAGGGCTTGCGATACAAGTGCGCTCTATCTACCATCCAACGACCACTTGATCAATCAACAACGTGCCTCCCTAAAAACACCACCTTCTTCTCCGGCTTCTTTTCACTTGTCCCCTGTCTTTCTTTGGCCTTCACTTTCGTCTCCGAGGAAGCGTTCAAGCACACAACCCCCAGCGAAACAACGGATCCGCATCTGCTCATCATCACCATAAGTTTCTCGACGCTTGGCGGCTTCTTCCGATTCTTTGTCCTTGGTCTTTGTCCGCCTTTCTTTTTTCCTGCTCTTTTGGCTTTTCTCATCGTTCCTCATACTCCGTACTCCCCGTTCAATTACCAGTTTTGCTGGCCTGTTTCCCTAGTTCAAAGGGCCTAAGGTACGCCCTGTTTTCCTTGCCAATGATCCCTAGCACCGGACGTCCTTATCGTCAAACAATTCTCGAATCCGCCCCGATGTCAGTGGTAGGATACAGGTAGACTGTCATCCGCTGCATCGAATATTTCTTTTTGCAGAGAACGTCCCCTACTGTATGCCGTACTCTGCGTTTCTTTCTTAGAATCCTGACTCTTTTTTTCTTTTTTCTTTTTCTTTTTTTTTTTTTTTCTCTTCTGGCATGTTTTCCCCGTCACCGCGTTGTGAGCACCGGCCACTGCACGCTGCAAATCATCTTGTCAGCGGTGCTATTTCCTCAATTGCACAGTGTCTGCTGTCAGGATTCATTCTGATCGAGTCAATCTTCTTCATACCTTCAACTCAAGTGTCGCATTCGGGTTTTGCTCCTGCGTCCTGCATTCATCCTGGTCAATATTACACCACCTTCCCGCTAGTTACAAGCTCATCCTGATATCCCCACTAGTCAGTGCATCCCTCTGACGCTGTCCTGCCCTCCCTCAGAGTCTACTCCTCTGCTTTTTTATTTTCCTCCCTTCCGTTTTAATTCTTATTTTATTTATTTATTTTCTTTTAATCTTTTTTCCCTCCTTTCTCCCTGCTTTAATTTCACCCTTCCAGAGCTCCTCATCTCCCCCATTCCTGTTCAGGAATAGCTACCACTCGGACGACTCATCTGGCTGAAGGATGGGTCGCCGGCGCAGCTAAATAACGACCCTGGACCCTCCACATTACACTTGCACTCGCATTGCACCGTTTAACCAGGCCCATTACCAGCAATTTCCCCTTCCACCCCCCATCCCCCCCTGCCCCAGTCCAGAGCCACACGGACCAACGAGCCACTACCGTTACCATTCAGCCTCTCATTAGCTTTTCTCCTCACAAGCTCCTCTGTTGCTACTAGTCTAGTCCAGATATCCTTCCCGCAGCCGTTTCTGCCCCCCCCCGCCCCCCTCTATCCCCTTCCCCGAACTATCTTCTCACGCGCATCCTTTCTTCCTTCCGGACCAAAGCTGAACTTTGTTTTATCCCTTCTCCCAGATCATTTATATGAGCTCAAGCCATTGAAGGAGAAAGCACTGCCAAACAGAAAAAGCTATACCATCCCCCGCCATTCGAGGTCAGTCATGACTGGCATGGTTCAGACTGACCTAGCTCATCCATCTGCACCCAAGTACAAGGACGAGCCCGTTGACGATCCTGTGAGTGACTTCTCGCTTGCTGAATGCTTGACCTCTGTTTTCTGCTTGTCATGCTGTTTTCTTTTTCAGTTTTTTCTTTCCCCCCCCCTGGTTTTCCTATCTTTGTCTTTCTTTCTTTGCCTGCATCCCCCCATGCCTTTTCCTTCATCCAAGGACAACCTAGTCTACTCCGCATCAGCGCTACCGGGAGAAACCCGGGAGTAGGTGAACATATGGGTAGAGTCCCCGCTCAATGAAACCGTATACGAAAGCCTTGCCGTCTCACGTCCCTATTGCCATGACGTTTCCCGCAGTGGGCCAACGAGCGATGCACGGACTCCTCGTCTTCCGCTGCGTGGCGAGTCTCCGCGGTGCCATACTCCAAGATCGGATAATCTCCATCATCTTATGACATGAGAGCTGCCAATGAGGCTGGGAGCTATTTCCGGGTCTTAGCCAAACTTTATCGTGGTCTCTGAAACGCGTCTGAAGAAAGTCATCGCTGACTCGGCCTTGACTGCTTCGCCAATTCGGGCACTTTATCCACACCTCACTTGTTCTTTTTTCTCGCGCATTTCATTTCCCTTGAAGGGGAGAGTAACCTTGGGTTACTTGCCAATGCCTCAAATCTACAATGGGTTGGAGACAAATCAGCCGGGTTTGCGTGACCCACATTTGGGTCTACATTTGCCAACTCCTGCCAACAATGCTTCCAGGTCGCAATGGTTTCCATTGTTGCTCGTGTGCATTCCCAAGAGCAGCGGACTCCTTCATCTAGATTACATTTAACTATCTACGTTACTTTGGTCGACGATTGCAATTTCTTTGGGACTACTGAATAAGCTTCCCCCAGTCTTGGATTCTCGCGGGCATTTGGATCTGATTACGTGATTTTTGTTGCCATTTCTTATACTTTCCCCTGCAACTTGCTTGAAAATAAACTAGCCTACTATTCATTGAGCATTGAAGTCTCAAGAGTCTCGCTTTTGGGTTGACTACCGATGACTGCGCTAACACAGTGGTTTGATCTCAGCATCGGCATCCAGGCCCGCAGCCGCCTCATCTTCAGCATCCCAGACCAACAGCGCTTGTCCAACCACAGAAACAACCAGGCTCACCACACCAGCCACCAACCACATTACCCCCCGGTTCATACGCACCTCACACGCTAGGTAACGGAGTCTTACATCACCAGCATCCCTACGGCCCGCCATCTGAGCCACCGTATTATCCACCCCACCCTTCTTACACTACGGCTACTGCACCAAGCCAGTATTCGTCTAGTGGTAAGTGCGAAGCAACGCTTATGTAGCGGTCGTTTGATAGTGTCACATTTGTCCCTTATCGAGAATGACCTTGGTCATGAGTCTTTACTTCAATTTCTTCCACCCTGGTCGACTAATTCAATGTGCAGGACCACCTGAGATGATGGCTACAGCTACGCAAATGCAGCGGCCATACCCTCCGATCTATCACACCCCTCAGTCCAGCTCTCCTGCTTCGGTAGCTTCACAAACGCACGAACAGCACAATCGCAGTCTTTATACCCAGTCCCCTCAGATGACATCCCAGATGTATACCTATCAGCCATACTCGCCAATAAACCCGGTGCAGCCACCACCCTACGGGCCGAATACATCTCCCCAAAATCACAGTCTCACATCCCAGTCGTTGATGATGCCCCATTCAACGAGCAGTGCGCAGTTGCCACATCATCCTCCACAAGCTTCAAGCGGGAATATATCGAGCAGCCCGAACACATCCACGGCGCAACAGCCAACTCCTCCTCAGAGGACAATGCTGAACCCACCGCACCCCACAACTACTGGTGCACCTATATCGGCTAGTACTGTTCACCATCAAAGCTCCAACGTCGGGGCAAGTTCTAGCGCGGCACCAGGTCCAATTCCCGCTACAACACCCCTGGTAGTACGACAGGATAGCAATGGCGTTCAGTGGATTGCTTTTGAATACTCCCGGGACCGTGTGAAAATGGAGTATACTATCCGGTGCGACGTTGAATCGGTTAATGTGGATAATCTTAGCCAGGAGTTCAAGACCGAGAACTGTGTTTATCCTCGAGCCTGCTGCAGCAAGGACCAATACCGAGGCAATCGGCTGGTATACGAGACGGAGTGCAATGCTGTCGGATGGGCTTTGGCGGAGCTCAACCCTGCCTTAAGAGGCAAGCGGGGTCTAATTCAACGGGCAGTCGATAGTTGGAGGAACAGCAACCAAGACCCTCGACTTCGCAGCCGGCGCGTGCGAAGAATGGCCAAGATGAACAAGCGACAGGGGATCCCCGTGCAACCACCGCATATGGCCCCTTCCACACCCGTTGCCCCCGGGGTTCCAAGTGCCAGCAGCATGCCCGCTCCCGCTCCCCGCCCCAGTTTGGGTCCATTGCCCATGGGTCCCCCCCAGCTCCATCACCACCACGCTCAGCCCGAAGGAAGTGCAGGCCATGAAGAAGTTAGCGGTATGTTCCACCACGCATGATGTGCTTGTTTCTGACACTGCTCTCCAACACCAACGGTGCTCATATTAACCCACCCTGTATCATTCAATTTGTTTCTCAAGTCCACGTCGGCGGATCGCCCCCGATGGACATGGACTCGATGCGTTTTCTTGTGAGAGATGGATGCTGTATCCCCTGTATTTCTATTTGGTCTGGAGAGGTTCTCGTCGCTTTTCGTCCGTTTCACTCATACCCGGTTCATGTTTCCCGTGCTATGCTACATTGACGCTGTACCCCGTTGTGCTTTCAAACATGACGTGCCACTTGCAGATTTGCGTAGGCTAATTTATATATTGTCCTATCATACATAATAGGTACCACTGACTTTACGAACGGTACCAGTCGCCCGCCGGCCCCGGATGGACTTCCTCAGCCGGGCCCGTCACCAACGGACATCCGCACGGCGCAGGTGTTCCACGGCTATTCCTCCTATCCGACTCCCGCGACTGCCTCCGGGGGACCACGTGGACCATCGATACCGCCCCTTCTTCGAGATAGTGGGATCGGGTCCATAGGGCGCCACCCGACCATTGCAACGTCCTCGAGCCGAATCGAGGAAGTGGACGATGACGACGATGAGCACAATCCGAGTAACGACGCGCTATTCGGGACCCTTCCCGAGGGCAAACGCCGCAAGTTCATCCTCGTGGACGATAATCAGCGCGGGTGTCGCGTCCGCGTCAAGGTGATGTTGGACCAGGTCGATATGGACGAAATTCCCGACTCCTACCGACTATCCAACTCGGTGTACCCTCGGACTTACTTCCCTGTTCAAATGAGAGACCCCCCTGGACGAGTCTTACCCGGCAACCGGTACATTAAGGACCACGTAGGGATCGATGACGGCGATGATGATGATGAGAGCTCAACAGTTGGGAGGATTATGGTCCCGGCACCCCAGATCGACGGGGATGGTGAAATTGCGGTTCCCAGACTGTCCCGGGGACGACGGAGGAGGGAAGTACTCCTGAACGATCTGGGATACCGAATGAGCTGGAGCCAAAGTCGAGTATTCGCGGGGCGGATGTTGTTCCTGCAGCGATCTCGTGCGTGATCTCCCCAACCCTATCCCCCTTGCGTCGCCTGCATGTCAGTGGCCACTTGATGGCGTCGATGCAGTCCCCACCTCGGAGACGGAATACCATGACTAACCGTTGTGCCTGTTTCGGGAATGCAGTTGACGCGTACCGGAACAAAATGCGCAGTACGATGCTGGCCGCGGGCCAGGAGCCGGTCTCCATTCCCCGGCATTTCGAGACTCGCGCGGGAAAGCGACGTTTCCTCGAGCGCAAGCGAAGAACGGCGGGTGCCCCGGTTCGGGGTGCCGGGCTGTCTGCCTCCCAGCGCAGTGCTGAAGAGGTCGAGGCGTAGATACACGATCCGGATGCCCGTGGCTGCCCTGGGTTTGGCGCTCGCGGATTTTCCTTGGACCTAGTCTCGTTACCCTTCCCTGTGCCTGATTCTTCTACCGGGCTGTCTCGGGTTAATTGAAGATGGGATGACAGCGACCATGGGCCGCTATGTAAAGTAATAGAGATTGTGGGGGACACCAGGAGGATCGGATATGGCGGTCTGATGGATCGGGCGTTGGATGTGTGATTTTCCTATGTGGTTGACATGATTGTGATGATTTAACGGCAGCTTCCACCTTGAAAATAAGATGAGCTATGACTTATGATATGATTTTGTGGCTAAACACAAAGTCGCCAATCATCTGCGGAATGCGAACAACGCCGATGCCTTTTCTTCGCCCACCCGGACGCCACTTGCGTGGCGGAGACGAGCCAACCTGATCGTGATTGCGGCCGAGCGCAGGCTAAAGACCGTGTCATCCTCAGGCCGTCTGGTATGTGGCATGGCTGTCTTACGTACTCCGTACTGTATCAGAATAATACGTCGACCTGCCGCATCCAGAATGCTCGGGACGTTTTTCCACTCCGAGGGTCTCTGGGCCCCTGGGGTGATCGAGAAGGGCACGTGCAGCCCCCGATTCCGATTAGCCCGACCGCCAGTGGACCGAGTCGGGGAAAGCCACTAAGCCGGGGCGGGGCTAGTGGCAGCTGGACCCTGGGTTTAGTACGACGCTGCGACAGGGCAGAGTTACATACACCGTACGGAGTGCAGCTACTACATACTAGTCCCAATGGTTGTCGGGGCCACTGCCGCCCACGAGGGAAAAGTAACTCGCTATCCTTTTAACCTCCCCTCATTCTCTTCACCACCGCATGCAGTCACTTAGTTCTCTGTTGACTTTGTCTCTCCATCCTTTAATTCCCGGTGGGACCTGTCTCTCCTATCCCGATCTTCATCCACCCGCCATTTCTTCCCCCTCTCCCTCCCCCTCACGTCCTGGATCCAAGACATCGCCGAAACCTAGTTTGCGTCCAGTCTGGGTGAGTTCTCGCCCTTCCCTTGTACTGCTGGTATGCTGACACTGCCGCTGAGTCGCAGTTGCCTTTGCAAGATCCGGCCGTCCGTCCGTCCGTCCGGCTCCAGTCCCTTGGGTGACTTCCGCGGGATCACGTACCAACAAGGAACCGTGGTTCCGCCTGGCTGTCAGACTGTTCTTGATTTAGTAACACCTAGCCCACTGGGCAGGTTCCGGCCATCAACCACTGCTAAGTACTACTTACGGCGGCGGCTGCTATTCCTGCTGCTGCTGCTACCTTCCCAGCGACCGCTTTTCTGCCCTTGCCTCGTTCTACGTGCTGTCTTAGTTAGGTCTTTTGCCATCTTCTTCTCCCTCTTGCCCTCCTTCATCTCCCCTTTTCAGCCACCAGGTTTTGACCGATCTTATTCTTATTTACTCTTCCCTACTGTCACGAATCTCTTCCCTAAGTCATCTAGGATATCTCGGTATCTCCCGTTCGTTACAATCTTTCAGCATGGCCGGTGCCAACCGGTCTTTTAGTTACAGTCGCGGCGACGATGGGTTGGTGAGGGAAGAGACGAGGGAGATTCCGCCCGTTCGTTCGGCACAGGATGGTCTCTACAGTACGTCGTATGGTGAGATGTCGCCGATTTCCGCTCGCGATCAAGCGCAGAGACGGCTGTTCGATCGCGGTTTGGCGTCAGTACCCGAGGGTCAGCGTCTAGAGAGACACTTTACTTCCACCCCGGGTATGGATAATCTAGGCCCTGCTGCTGTGGGCGGCGGAATCAGTGGTATCGCTCTTGGCGTGGCCAATTCTCATAATCGCCAGAGTGGAGTTGACGCTTTCAGGGAAACAGATGGTCCGGTTCACAATCTCCCCGCGGAACGGGATTTCAATACTACAGGCTCCGATAATCCCTACGTGCCTACGCCAGTGGAGGGAGGATTGTATTCCAGTTCGGAGACGTCGCGGCTTCGTGATTCCTACGGTTCTTACGTCGGAGCTGGGACTGGGGCGACTTCGACGGAACATGGAACGCCGGGGACTACCCCGTCTCAACGTAGCTTCTTTGATAGTCCGTACCAAGGTGTCGATGCGGGGCCATACCAACGGCACTCGGCCTACAGTTCTCATGACTATCCGCTTGTGATAAATCCGGACGACATTGCTGACGACGGCGACGACGGTTTCGCTGTCATCCCAAAGGGGGCTGCAGACTACAGGGCTAATGGCGGAGTGCCTGTTGAAGGGATTGGTGGCGCCGCAGCTGCTGGTGGGTTCTTTGGAGGGCTACGAGCACTTTTCAAAGGGAAAAAGGACCCCAATCTCCCCTACGGTGCTGTCTCCGGAGATGGCTTGGAGATAGTCGAGAAGGGCCAAGGGGGCACGCATATCATCGGAGGAGGTAGCCGAAAGCGCGGTTGGATTGTTGGGCTCGTTCTGGCGTCTTTGATCATCGGAGCTATTGTTGGAGGTGCTGTCGGGGGTACACTGGGCCATCAGGAACATGACGGTGACAAATCATCGGCGGGGGCAGTATCCAGTGGTTCGAACGATAGCGACGGATTGCTCGACAAGAATTCCGATGAGATCAAGGCCCTCATGAACAACCCAAACCTCCACAAGGTGTTTCCAGGTATCGACTATACCCCCTGGGGTGTGCAATATCCGCTGTGCCTTCAATACCCTCCGTCGCAGAATAATGTTACTCGCGACCTGGCGGTTCTGACGCAGTTGACAAACACCATCCGGCTGTACGGCACCGACTGCAATCAAACCGAGATGGTCCTCCACGCGATTGACCGATTGCAGTTGACAAACATGAAAGTCTGGCTGGGTGTGTGGATTGACACTAATCAGACGACGACAGATCGACAAATCAGCCAACTGTATAAGATCGTGGAAGACGCGAACAACACCTCTATCTTCAAAGGAGCCATTGTCGGCAATGAGGCTCTATATCGAGCAGGCTCCGACGTGGCGAGCGCAGAAACGAACCTGATCGGCTATATCAACAATGTGAAGGACCACTTTAAGCAGAAGAATATCGATCTCCCAGTTGGCACCTCGGACCTGGGCGACAATTGGAATCAAGAATTGGTCAGCACCACCGACTTTGTCATGTCGAACATCCATCCGTTCTTCGGAGGCGTAGAAATTGACAACGCTGCCAGCTGGACGTGGACGTTCTGGCAGACGCACGACGCCCCGCTCACTACAGGGACAAATAAACAGCAGATCATCTCCGAGGTGGGATGGCCGAGTGGCGGAGGCAATGACTGCGGAGCCGACAACAAATGCCAGAATGACAAGCAGGGCGCCGTGGCTGGCATTGACGAGATGAACCAGTTCCTATCGGAATGGGTGTGTCAGGCATTGGACAATGGCACAGAGTATTTCTGGTAAGCATAGCTCGCAGTCCGCGGTGGCCAGGCCTTTCTAATGATATGCAGGTTCGAGGCATTCGATGAGCCGTGGAAAGTTCAATACAACACGGAGGGCCAGGAGTGGGAAGACAAATGGGGCCTGATGGATTCCGCTCGCAAGCTGAAGCCGGGGCTCAAGATTCCCGACTGCGGCGGCAAAACCGTTACGTGAACGTACCTTGCGTGGTTCACGACCGTTCTTTACGTCCTCTACCTCCTGCTAACGACCTGTGTGATGGAATCGATGTATACAAGATATCCGAGATACACCATGTGTTATGATGCATTACGGCTTGATCAATTTAGCTCTGTGGGATCGGTGTTTGCGCTTCTGTCCTGAGACATGTATTCTATTGGGCTGGTGCATGGGTCGGCTGCACTCATTCTTTGCAGGGCATGCCGACGGCTGTATCACGCCGCGCGTTCTACGCGAGCTGGTTATTTGATGGCGTGCCTGTATATAGCGTGTTGAGCGTTTGATGTCGATGGGTCTGTTCCATCTAGGGCTGACGAAATACCATACCTACTTTGGTTGCAGCATGGTGGCGGGTAGACCGTCCGACGCTTGCGTAGGTTTGTTCGTAGATGGTAAATGGGGATGGCGGTATGTCATCGCCCGGTCATCCACCATCCCGGGCATAGTGATAGGCGCAAGGCGCCGCCTGTACGTATCGCACTCACTCGCGCTCGTCCCGGGGATAGTAGACGCGCATATTCCAAAAGGCATGTTCCTGCTCCTCAAACTGCGGCAACCGCACCGACCCTCTGCTTGCCACAAAGCGACTCACCACCTCAGACTCGACATCCTCCAATGGTCCTCCAAACATGAAAGCCGGATTCGACGGCAGCACCTGCTCCAGATGCGCGCGCTCCGCTCCGGGGCAGAACAGGAATGTCCGCGACGAGATCTGTTCGAATGCAAGCGGGGTCTCTAGAACGGTGATGTCGAGCGAGGCCAGAAGGGATTTATCTAATTCGTTGAAGACGGGGTCTTGTGCGTAGATGTGGATGGAGTGGGTTTGTTTAATAGTTTCTGTTGGGAACGAGATCTGCATTAGTAGATGCTAAGGAGGAAAAGCCCGGGAAACGAGGCACGAAGTACGGATACCTCTAGGTAGAAAGGAAACAAGATAAGAAAAGACAGGGAAGGAAATGCAATCCACTCACTCAACCAATCCACCACACTCACCAACGCAGCCAATTGGTACAAGGAGACAGTTCTCCGATCGACCCAACCGCCGCGCAGGAACCCGCTCAGACTTCCGAGCCCAATGCAGATGATGGAATCAACATCATTTTCCTCGGACTGTGTGTGTTGGAGTAAAGTCTTTTCCACGACGGACCAGGTGGATGAATCTTTCCAGGTGCGAAGGGAGGTTTGGAATTGGCGGTTCAGATCGTCCAGGGTGAGTTTGGAAGGGGCTTCGGCGGGGGTGAGAAGCGATGGGGATTCTTGTTGGTGGGTGGTGCTGGTGCTGGTGCTGGTGCTGGTGCTGGTGCTGGTGCTGGTGCTGGTGCTGGTGCGCACACAGCGGCGGGCATTGCCGCTGGTGGTGACATGCGTCCAGCCGGCGGCATCGGTGATTTCGAGGCGTTTTTGGGAGGTGGCCTGGGAGGACTTTTTGCGAGAGCTGTGGGGCATTTTTTTTTTTTTTTGGTTTGGCTTGGTTTGGGTTAGGTGGTGTTGGATTGGGAATTCAATGGGATGGAGGGACTAGGGAGGGAGTCAGTGGTGTTGGGTTGGAGGAAAGATGCATGAATGAATGGAGAGGAGGAACGGGAACGTGACGGAGAAGATCGAGTGGGCGGTAAGTGCGGGGATCTGATTGGTTGCAGGGGCCATCCGAGGAGGGCAGGCCGGATAAAGCCTGGAGAGAGGCGGATTGCTGGATGCTGGCTGGAGGAAGACGATGCATGAGGATCGTCCCATCACACTGCGATCACCTCCCCCTCCGGCCCCTCTCAGTCGATCTCTAAGCGCCGTGCCCGGATAGCGCCCGTCGTCCCCCTCTTTCGACTTTTCGACTTTTCTACTTTAGGGCCCGGCGCTACCACCAGCCTGGCCTCGACGAATGACCGGCCAGAACGGCCTTCTTTGGACGTGATGGCTCTTGCAGCCCGCGTCCTGGTCTGTCCTGCTGGCCAATCTGCGGCGGGGAATCCGTCTCGCTCGCCTCCTCACGGGTGCACCCCTATCACCATCTGCGGTTGAACGGTCGTCCCTCAACACTGTCCCTGCGGGAGTTGTCACATCGCGCTTTGCTCTGTGACTCGTCCAGACGGCCTGCTTTCCCCGCTGCATGGCGGTCGTGAGCGCCATTGCAGGAACCGGTCATGCCTCTGTCTCGACTCAAAAAGTCCTGTCAGCCCTCCTGGCGCTGGAGGCTTGCTTTCATGATGATCATTCCTGCAGTGCTGGATCGCTCGCCGTGATTGTGAACCTCTTGATGAGATTCTAGTCGAGGTTACTCAATCTCTCTTACCTGTGGCACACCTTTGTTCGATCCTTCTGCTCCTCTTCTCCTGCTCCCCTCCACCTCACCTTCACAATGAGAACCTTCACAGACTCGATATCCCAGTGGACGGCAGTCCTCATGCTGCTCTATCTGAGCCTGGTCAATGCTCACTCCATCATTACCTACCCCGGATATCGAGGCAATAATCTACATACCAACGGCACGGTCGAGGAGACGAACGGTCTGGGAGTCGGATATGAGAATGGCTCCTACGTCTACCCCTATGGAATGCAATGGATCTACCCTTGTACGCTCCATCCTTGACTCCCCGATTGAATCCCTATGCTAACGGTCCCAGGCGGTGGTATGCCCACCTCCCGCAATCGCACCAAATGGCCCGTCACCGGCGGTGCCGTCGCCTTGCAACCGGGGTGGTTCCAGGGCCACTCGACGGCCTTCATCTACATCAACATCGGCTGGGGCACCATCCCTCCCAACATGAGCAATCCCATGGTCTCTGTCTTCGAAATCACTGGCCCCACCAACAACCCTTATCCCGGCACCATCTGTCTGCCGCAAGTGCCCCTGCCTGCCAACATGACCGTCAGCCCCGGTGACAATGCCACCATCCAGATTGTTGAGGCTGCCAAGCATGGTGCTGCTCTGTTCGATGTACGCTTGCCTCGTTCTCCATGACAAGTTTGCTCTTGTACTGACCTGCCTGCAGTGTGTGGACATCACTTTCGCCGAGCCCGAAGACGTCGAGGAGGTCACGAAAGATAACTGCTTCAACTCCACGGACATTGGCTTCCGATACGTCTTCGCCTCGCAGTCGCTGACCTCTGGGGCAGTGTCCCGGATGACCAGTCCGGGCCTGACGGCCGTAGTGCCGATTCTGTTGATTGTGGTGCTGGGATCCCTTATGATGTAGATGCATGTCTTTTTTGTTCCGTCCATAACAAATACCCCTTGTCTCTGTCTCTCCTTAGTTATCATACCCCCATGGCTGAGAGTCCGGCCGATAGTGACTTATTATTCCCGGCATTTTGATGCTGAATGAACTTATGCTTGTTTGATGATGACATCTTGGTAATAATGGTTAATGGTTTACGTATATAACTGAATATTATTCCTACTACCTATCTACCTTGTTCACATCTACGAGAATATGTACAAGATACCTACTCTACAACCCCTTCACCAATCCCAATACCACCTCAACCACCACCTCCGGACTCTCCTGCGGCGCCCAATGCCCCACGCCATCCACCAACTTCAACTCCCGAAAATCCGAACACACCGTCCCATCCCGCATTTTCTCCAACGCCCCGGGCTCCTGATAAATGCCCCAATCCTGCTTCCCCGACACAAACGAACAAGGAATATCGATCTTCCTCCCCGCATACACCTCCCAATCCCAGATATACTTCCCCCCCTGAGCCGTGCGCACACGATACCAATTCAACGAGCCCTGGAACCCAGTCCGCTCATACTCCCGCACATACACCCCCAGTTCCTCCTCACTCAACCACTCCCGACACCTCTTTACCCCCTCCTCTTTCGCCTCCCGCATCAACACCTCCACCGCCTCAGGCATACTCGCTTCCGCCGGCATGACATAATAATACGGCATCCGCGCCAACTCCCCCGCCGTCCACCCGCTCAACATCTCCGGCCGATTCCCCTCCCACGCCCCGCTCTTCACATGGAAATACCCGCGCAGGAACGCATGCATCCCTCCCGCCGGATTCTCCATCTCCCTGCTAGCGTGCTCGGTGGAGTAATACCATTTATAGTGTTTTCGACCTAGAGCGAGAAGATCATCGTGCACGGAAGGCCCGCTCCCTCCATCCTCATTTTCCGCAGCTGGGGATGAAGCTGGAAACGGGGCAGTGTTAAGCGGCACCACCGGCGTGCCATTAAACGGATGACTTAGTAGCACCACACTTTTGAACAAATCCGGTCGAGTAACGGCGCATAATGCGGCCGTGACTGCGCCCGCGTCGTGCCCGACCACGCACTCCACGGAGGTATATCCTAGGGCGTGTACGAGGAGCACAACGTCTCGGACAAGAGAGGTGCCCGTGAAGGTCGTTAGGTCGACGGTGTCGAACGGGCGCGTGTCCCAGCCGGTTGTGCGGCCGAAACCTCGTGCGTCTGGGGCGACGACGTGGTAGCCGGCGGAGGCGAGAGCGGGGAGGACTTTGCGCCACGAGAAGGCCAGTTCGGGGAAGCCGTGAAGGAGGAGGATTAGGGGTTTGCGCGGGGAGGTGGAACTGGGGGAGGGGGATGGGGCGCCGGATTCGAGGATGTGGGTTGTTAGGGATGGAGTCGGGATGAGGCGGGTGGTGATGGTGGGGGGAGGGGGAGGGGGAGGGGGAGGAGAGGTGGTTGGGAGGTCATGATGTAAGTATTGGAGTGATTGGATATACTTTAAGGGTATGTGGATGGGAAGTGGACGGGATTTGATGAGATAAGATGGAGGAGGTTTGTGTGGGTTGAGGGAGGGAGATGGGGGTTATGTATAGGGGAGTGGGAGGCATATGATGCGGCGGGGTGATGGCTGACCCGAGGTAGAATGATTTTATCGTTCTACATACTCCAAGGTACACACATACATACTGTGTAGTACCTAGTCTACATCGTGGGAGAAGATCGATCAATAATGATGTGCCGAAGAAAAGATGACGATCCCGCGTGGTGCCCGTCCGGGACTAGTCTAGGCTTTGTTGGTGGCCCGGCTTGGCTCATGACGCAAGAGCCCAACCGGGAAACCGCGCTGCTGAACTTTGATCTCATCCCGGCATCCTTTTTCTCCTGTTCGTCCCTCTCGTCACTCGCTTTCCCCGTTTGCTTCATCTCCTGCTTCTCGCTGCATCCTTATTTCCCTGTCTGCATCTTCCACCCTCCTTACGCTCCCTCCCTCTCCTTCGCTCCGCCCTCCTTTCTTTCCCCCCCACCTCTCTCTCGTTCTCCGTCTGTTTACTTGCCTGCTTCTTCCTATCCCTCCGTTCTCCGTCAACAAACATCGACCCCCGATACCGCACCAACTACCCATTCTTTGCACCTCCCCATTTCTATCTATCTATATCTAACGCCTTTCACGACCTAAAACAAAAACGCAATCGCATACCTTCACTTACTCCCCTCTCGGGCACACCGCCTGAGCCATGTTCCGCAGAAAGAGAAGCTCCTCGCAACATCAGGTGAGTCTCTCATCCAATCACGCCCCAATGTCTATCTCCTCCGGCTGACGCATACAGCATCCACTCTCTGCCTCCTCGTCGCAATCTGCTCAATCCGCCGCCAGCCATGCCTTTCTCAAATCTCAACCCTCCTCCAGCAGCCTGTCCTCCGCCGCCGCAGCCGCCGCCCTGCGCAGTCTCACTCCGACCCCGACCTCCGTCGAAAATGTCCAGACAAAGCGCATGATGCAGCGCAGGGCCTCCGTCTCGTCCCAGGCGAGTGGTGTGCCCAGTTTGCGTCCGACAAGCCGGAATGGCCTGCGTCGCGCCAGCAGCTCCGCCTCCATGTCCAACCGCACCTTCCGGGATCAGTCGCCGCGACGGCCGGCCTCGAGTTCCGGCCCAGTCGATACCGCCCCACCACTCCCTTCCATCCCCCGAGAATATACCGCGCGGAACAATAAGGTTCAGCGTTCAACCAGCGTCGGACCGTCCCAGCGACCTAGTCCCCGCGCGAAGCCGTCAGCGGGGCGAGGAATGAGCGTCGACCGCGGCTCTGCCACCCGGCCTGCCACCCGCGCACCAGGGTCCACGCCGTCGCCGGACCTTCGACGACCAGGGAGCCGGAATTCCGTCAATTTCTCGTATCCGATGAATTCACGGCCAAATTCCCCCGATGGGCCCGCTGACGCGCTGGATAGACGTGATGCTTCCACGGCTGTATCGCTAGCGGGTCAGCTGTCCTCCCCAGATTCTCCGAAGTCCATCAATGCTAGCCCTCGATCGGCCAGGATGCCAAAGTCTATGGGCGTGTCCCCGGGAAGTCCTGGGCGGGGCGCACAGTCGGTGGGCACCGCAGTCGCCGCTGCGCAGGCTGCCATTGTCCCCCGGATGCAAGACATCACCCAGGTCCATCCTCCGTCTGCGCCCCCTCGCATCTCTGTCCCCCGTGAACAGACGATCCCCGACCAAGCCCCCAGTCAACCAGCCGCACCACCGGAACAAAAACAGCCTCCTCGCCCGCATCTAGTGAAACGACCTTCCACAGTCCCTGAAGACGCGAAGGGCGAGGAACGCGCGGAGTCAGATGTCCCTGGACAGCGGACTGTTCCACCTCGGGTTGGCAGTGTGACACCGGATGCTCCAGTAACGGTCAAGTTCCCACCAACTCCGGACGGAGGCAAGGCTCAGTTGCTGAGTCCACCCGTGAGTCCCCCGGAGCCGACTCCACCCGCTGATGTTGGCCGGGACAACAAGCCATCGGATGTTCGTCAGACGGGTAGTCCGGGGCGGTCCGCTCATTTCTCTCGTCACTTGTTGGTGGCGGCCTTTGCAGGTGAGCAGCTGCACCAACCTCCCCCCCGGTCTCTGTCGCCAGCCAAGTCAGCAATGAAGAACACTCGGAAGAGCTCCCTGTCCCCGGAGGGTCGAACCGAATCCGTTCTGCGGCCGGGACCGCCATTGAGCGAACTCTCCGATGGTACCTCTGTTGCCTCCGATGAAGGGTCCAAGCAAGGGATCCGGAAGAAGCCCATCAAGGTCAGTTTCGATGACGAGGCGGAAGTGGTTGGGGTTGCTGCGAGTCCGCCAACATCGCCAGATGAAGCAATTCCTGAGTCGCTTCCGGAGAAGCCCAAGTCCAAGAGCAACTGGTTTAGTGGGAAGAGGAAACCCACTCCGCTGAACACCGAATTTGACGAAGTGCTGAAACCCCGCCGGGCTCTCCCGTCGTTTGGTAGCATTCGAGCCGGCAGGGATGGTGACGCCCAGGAGAAAACTGTCCCCGAACTGAGCGACAACGAGTCGACAACATCGTCCGACTCGCCTGCGGAAGCATTCCGGTGGTCATTCTCCAATGACCACGCAGTCGGAGGCCTCATCGCTGATAATCAATCAAAGGACGCCGAGAAGCGCCTGCCACCGATGATGCTTGCCAACGCAGCCGAAAGCGAGTCTGAGGCCGAGAAGTCGCCGCAGCAAAGTCATTGCACTGGTCAACCGGATCTGCAAGAAACGTCAGTTGGACCGGCTGCTATCTCGGATGTTCCCTCCCATCCGAGTCAGGGGCGCACACCTGAGGCGACTTTGGCAGTGCCCAATATCATGGTCCAGCCGGCATCCCCGGACCCGTCAAAGGCACGCTCGAGCCTCGAGTGGTGTGAAGTTCCCGGCCGCTTCCCACGATCGTCGCTGGAATTTGACCCCAAGGCTAATGGTAAGGGGAAGGCAAAGGACAAACCCACCAGACACGTGGCCGGCGATGGCGCCTCGGGTATTGTCGATGATGAGGAGAGTGGCGATGACTCGGGCGACAGTGTCTACAGTGATGCTGAAGAGGGATTGGAAGGGAACGGTTACGGCTCTATCAATGCTATCGTCGACGATGAAACCGCAGCCGCCCCGGCAGCTCTCACAAGCGCAGTCCCGACACTCCCTGCAGAGACCGATGCCATCGAAGGGAAAATCTCGCCGCCACCTACTGACTGGCCGAACATCCCTGACACCTGCCAGATTGCCCGCACAGGAAGTACCTTACCAGATAAAGGTATGGCGCCCATACCTGAGTCCCCTGGGTCTTCCCATGAGCCTCTTGCGTTCTCTTCGCCTTATCCCCCTTTTCCCACCCAGTCACAGAGCCGAAGGAGCTCTTCTCAAGGAGACCTCTCCCGCTCCTCGTCAGTCACCGTGAGGCCAGCTAGACACTCCATGCTGGTTGGGGCCAATAACGACTCCAGCCTGGGCGACCAGACCCTGCGTGGTGTGAATGGGTCGGTGTCGTCACAGCGCGAGGCATCTCATCTACGTCAACGGTTTCCTCAGGATAATATCCCAAAGAGGCCAGTCTCATGGAGCCCAGCCCTTGCAAAGGGGGCTTCTCCTGACCTGGATCGAGCATCATATGTCAACGGCCAGAGCTCCCCAGCTTCCCCGAGGCCCCTATCCAGCGGCAGTGACTCCTCCAGCAGCTTCAAACGGGCTAGCCGCCATGCTCGAGTGGACTCGACCTATACCATGCGACGAACCATGCGGGGGAACACCCCAGGCCGCCCGGTCCCTAACAGAGCGACGTCTCCGCCGGTTGAGACTCGCCCGGTGTCTTCAGAAGCAGGGCTCGGTACCATGCGCACAACGCTCCGAGGGAATAGTTCAAAGCGGGAGAAGCCCTCGTTCTTCTCTAATAGTAAAGCACCCAAATCAAAGCTGACGAAGGCGTCCGGCGGGGTCTTCGCATCACGATTCCCGGACTCCGACTCGGATGATGAGGGATACGAGGCCTGGAGGTCACGGCATCGCTACGAGGATTCGAGCGATGAAGACACACGAAGCCCGAACGCCATGCGACCTGTCCGGGGCATTCCCCGTCGACAGGGGGCGCGCGACGGGGACTCGACCGAGCTGGAAGACAGTTCCGACGACGAGCACCGTGCACCTCCACGAGCCATCCCGCAATCCCCTGGCAAGTCGAACCCATCTCGGGACCCTGCACTAGCGGCCGTCGCTAAAAGCCGCGGCATGACGGAGGACGAGCTCGACGAATTCCTCCGCCAGCCTAACCGCGGCCGAAAGCCTGGACTGTTCCATCGCTTCAGTCTTCGAAAGTCAAGGTCTCCCGTCAATCGTGTTCAAGTCAAACCCAGCGTTGATAGCTTCGCACGAAGCGGACCCCTCTCGGAGCGTACACGACTAGATCAAGAACCGGCACGAGGAGACCCTCCGTTGCCGGGTCCTCAATCGAATATTGTCACCACCATCACAGCAACAAATCCGCCCCCGCCCCCCTCTAAGCTCCTGCGAAGGCCTTCTCAGAGGTCTGCCCGAGGCGACAGCTGGCCGCTGCGCTCTGATCGCAAGGAGTCTCGGACCGAGTCGCCCGCCCCCGCGAGTGGGCCATCTGAACGACTGGCCACGGTAGACGAAGCCAGTCTGAACGGTAGTACTGTCGTCCCTCCTACGCCGGGACCCGTCGCCAAAGAGAACGAGAACCCTTCGACTGGAGTGTCAGGGGTGAAGTTTGAGGGGCGATCGGCGAACATGGCAGATGTGACGATATCCTCATCCGGACGCAAGAAACGATTTCCCCGACTACGCAAGGCCTTGGGTCTGCGTAGTTGAACGGGGCTATTTGTCTTCTCATATATATACGATTTAGTGCTTGTGATCTTTTGTTTCTTTTCTCTTCTATGTCCGTTTTGATAATAATTGTTGTAATATTTTTTTTTTCTTCTGTTTTGGAATTGTTACGAGTTGCGACTAATCATAATCATAGTGGCAGCTGCCCCTGGGGGTGGGTTTCCCGTGGTGGACGGGTGATGGGGTGAAAGAGGAGGAACAAAAGTCAGAGAGCAGAGGGCGAAAAGCGGCCTTACGAGATACGGACAACAAGGTGGTTTGGAGGAGCGACTGGCGCTGGGATACACTATCATTTAACATTTGGGATTTCATTTTGGACTTGGATCGATACCCTCGTTTGGTTGCTATTCTGGCCGGGCTGCGACCCCCAATGAGCTAGGGCCGTCTTATTATTTATTCATTGGATATGATGCTATAATTACTATTTACTTGGCAATCTTGATTGACTGCCGTTTTTATACCTATGCCCTCCCATGTCCTCAATTCTGTAGATTCGCAATGCGTCTTGTCTGGGTTGGACCTGGGTTGTGCGGGGGCCGTTGCATGGACGTGCTGGTGGAGTCAGCATGTGAGAGGTCTCTTCTGGGGTTTATTGTCCGGCTGCAGCGATTGGGATTCATGTGCTGCCTGATCTGCGGACGTTGATGAGGGATTGCGACGGCTGGGAAACGGCCCCGACCCCGGGAACCGACCGAGGCGAGCAGTTGAGCAGTCGAGCAGTCGAGCAGCAGGCAGCAATGGCGTCCCGGCCACCGGAGATTAGTTTCCTGCTGGGGGCGTCTAGACCTCTGACACGAGCCGAGGGAGCTCTGGAGCTCTGGACACTGGGCAAGCAGGGACAGGAAAACCGGCGGGTTGGGGAAAGACCAAGCGCGACCAGCAGCGAGGCTGGTCAGCCGCGAAGAATGGCTGGCAAGTGGCAAGAATCGAGGGCCAGTGGAGAGAAGCTGGCCGGGCGCGGATGAGACCGGCTGGGGGCCAGGCAGCTTGATTCGCCAATGGCGGGACAACACGAAGGCGCACGGCGCACCAGCTGCAGCGATCCGGGCTGGGCGCGAGGAGAGCTGGAGCTGGCTGGCCGATGGGGAAGCTCAGGGCGAGTCAGCGCCACGGATCGGATCAGTCCATTGGGGCAAGCGATTGAGACCCTGGTGGATCAGGACGGACGGGGTGGTTTCTCTGGGAAACACGCCAGATGGTTATGAACGGGTGACTAGGTAGGTAGATAGGTACGGCGATAAATCCCAAACATCGGCAAGGAAGGTGGACGACGCATTGGGCGACGATCGGTTGGAGCTTGCGGGATCCAGATCCATTGGGATCCAGATTTCCCGATGTGACCCGGGGGGATCAAGGGCAGTTGCCATGGGGACCCGGGAGGGGAAGGGGGGGAAGGGGGGCTGGCCAGCCTCGTGGTGATGAGTGGTGACTCTGGTGAGATGGCTACCTATGCTGCATGTGATGATGTGAATTGAGTGAAGTGTGAAGAAGTGGAGCATGCGCCGATGCGTTGGAGACGGAGCTATCAAGGCGATGGCGTCAGGGAGGAGATGCCTTCGGGTATCTACAAATAGCGGGCGTCGTGCAATGGGATCCAAGGGCCGGGAACCGTGGATGGGACGAGGGCCGACCGTGGAAGCCAGCAGGAACCTCGGGCCAAAACTACTATGTATGGTGCATCCCGCAGGAGCAGAGGAGGTTGGCCGGGTGGTTGATTGTTAATTGTTATCTGTCTCCTCCATAGAGTTCAATTAGTGTGCAAGAACTCCGGATTATTGTATTGTGTATCTACTATCTAGGTAGACGCTGATAGCCAGAGCTGCTGAAGAGCGCCCGTCAACCCGCCCGATTGGGCAAGGGCAGGTAAACAAACGTACGCGTGGGTGAAACCGAACGGTGTTATTTTCACTGGGTGCAGCAACTCAGCCGGGCTACTTCAACTCCCTCCTCTCCATTCATCCATCCTCCTCTCTTCTTCTCCATCCCCATCCTATCCTATCCTATCCTATCCTATCCTAATCCTATCCCCTCTCCCACTTCTTCCTTTACATTCCACCCCCCCCCCCCCCCAATTCTCCCCCCTCTTAAGCTTAAGCTTATCTCACATTCCTATCCCCCCCCAGGAATTCTCCGCTGATTGAGATTGATCCATCTCGCCAGCCTCACTTCTTCCTCCATATCATTCTCCCCCGAGAAAGACTTCTCCTCCCCCCGTAACAAGTCTTTTCTTGTCTCGCCTTTCGAGTTGTTGCCCAACAGTTCGAAAGGGATTCGAGAAGAGACGCCCACAGGACAGCCAATCTGGACTTTGACGCCCGCGTCCCCATCCCCTTCAGTGTCTTCCCGTCGTCGTACCGGAGTGACGCTGTTCCTGGACCTACTCTTGCCACTGCTCGAGTAGAGGAAGAAGTCAATCTCGATCGCACTTCGCACGTCGAACGGGAAGATACTCGAACCTCTGCTCCTCTCCCCGACCCTCGTGTCTACGGAAAGGAAGAAGTCGACCTTCGCTTCGAGCAGGATCGTTATTCGTCCCCTGGCCGTGGTTCTCATCAAGACGTGAACGTCACTTTTGACGAGCGTGTGCACACCACCACCACTACCACTGCTCCTGGTCCTGGTCCCGTCCTGGTCCTGTTCCTACCTTTGGTCCTAGTGCCGGTGCTGGTTCTGCCTTTGTTTCCTCTGCAGCGCCACCTCCCCGGTATCCCGAAGTTGAGCTAGCGCGTGAACGGTGAGTCGGACTATTTCTTTTTCTTTTCTTTTTTTTTTTTTTTTGTGTCTTGGACTTGTTATTTGTTTTTGTTTTGATTACGGAGGACTATCATTACATTGAGCCGGTGGCTGCCTGGGATTGGCACGGGCACCTCCGCCGGCGCCAATCTGCGCCCAAGTGGAGAGACAAGAAGCGGTGTCACGGCCGGCCTTCAGCTAGTCGCGTCCTCCACTAAATTACGTGGCACCAAAACAAACAACCCGCCCGGCTTTTCTATTCGCATTTCCTCTTCATTGCCCGCTTTTCCCTTCCCTCTTTTCCCTTCGATCTCTCTCTCCATCATTCCCACTTCCCCCAACTTGGTCCCAGCTTAGCTACTTACCTCCCCTCCCCTCCTCCCACCCACTCACCCACCCTCCCCAAAACAAAAAACAAAAAGTATTAAGTCCTGTCCACCCAATCACACCATCCACCACCCCCCAACCCCCAACCTTGCCTCACCTTGCTGTCCCTTGCCTTGCTTCCCCTACCTTCTCGGACCTCCACCGGCTCCAATTATCATTCTCATTACCTTTACCTTTCCTTCTTCTGACTCGCCTGCAGGTTCCGTGAGCCCAAGGTCCGCTTCCAAGACCAACAGCCCACCTACGATCAAGCTCTCCAGAACCAGCTTGATCTCACTGAGCGCGAGTATCGTCGTCGGGTTAACCCTACCTACGACGTCACTTCCTCGTACGATCGCCGCTCCCAGGCTCCTGTAGACTCTTTCGCCGGCTCTCGCCAGCAGTCCCGGGACGTCTCGTACGACCGCACTCTTGAGACCAACATCGACGTCTCGTACGACCGTGCTTACCAGTCTAAGCCCGTCGACTCGTACCGTCGTGACCCCTACAACCGCCGTCAACAAAGTGTTGAGCCGGTTCCCCCGCCTACCAGCAACGAGACCTCTGTTAAGGTCCTGAAGACCAAGACTGTGATTGATTCCCCTCCTTCTCGCAAGATGGGCTATTACGACGACGACGGTAACTATCACTCCTTCCGTCGTGGTGTGGAGCGCGCTGCCGACCGCATCATGCACCCTTTCCACCACAATAATGGTCAGCAGAGCCGCCAGGAACTTGTCGTCGCTGACGAAGGCGGTCCAGTTCGTTTCCGTGAAGGTGTCCGTGAGGATGTCCGCATCGTTGAACCCCGTGCCGGTGGCAGCTCCACCACGGAGAGCGTGCCGATCCCCTGCCACTTCATCCGCATCGGCGACATCCTGATCCTTCAGGGTCGTCCCTGCCAGGTGATCCGCATCTCCGTCTCCCCCCAGACCGGCCAGCATCGCTACCTGGGTGTCGACCTTTTCACCCGTGAGCTACAGGAGGAGTCCAGCTTTGTCTCCAACCCCTCCCCCTCCGTCGTGGTCCAGACCATGCTCGGCCCTGTCTACAAGACCTACCGCATCCTGGACCTCCGCGATGACGGCAGCCTTGTCGCCATGACCGAGACTGGTGATGTCAAGCAGGGCCTGCCCGTTGTGACCCAGGGCCACCTGTTCCGCCGCATCCGCGAAGCTTTCGAGGATGGTCGGGGCAGCGTGCGCGCTCTGGTCATCAACGACGGCGGTCGCGAGCTGGTCGTCGACTACAAGGTGGTCCACGCTTCCCGCCTGTAAGCCCACCCGCCTTCCGGGTTGGGTTTAGCCCCCGTGGGTGACCCGCTGGCGTTGTGCCGTGGCACCCACCCGTGCTGCACGAACCACGGGTGCGCCCTGGGGTTACCGAGCAACTTCCGTGTGTTTTCTTTTCTGCGCCAGTGTGAACGATCCTTATGACCTGACCTGACCTTTTTGTATCTGATGGATTATGCAACGATGGGAATGGCCCCTTGAAAATGATGTATCTGGCATGGCCTTCTTGTATTTAGGATAATGGAAATGTAGATTTACTACACTACCCCTGTACTCTGTAGTCTCTAATGTGTAGAGCTCATTTCTACTTGTTGACGTTGCCGTAAAATATATCCTCCCACGTTCCATATTCCATGGATCGCGATCCGCCCTCCACCCACATTCCAACGATAACCTTAACATCCAAACTCAACAAAGTCAAATCAACATTCCAATCAACCTAAATCAACTACGTATCATCCACCTACATAAGTACTGTCCAAAAATCAAACGAACCACACCTACACCCATTCCTCCCCACCTTCCCCCCAGACTATCCTTCACCAACCCCCCACAACCCTCTCCACCATCTCCTCCCTCCATCCCCATCCTAATGCAAACGCTGCCCCGGGACCTAAGACCACTGTACTCAGCACCAACCCCCCGATCACTCTCCACCAGCATACCGGGGCCCCGAGCACTTTGAGTTCGCGGAATCGGAGTATCAGCCAGATGAGACCGCTTGCGTGGCCGACGACATGGTTGTAGTGCAGGAAGTGTGTCGTGATGGATGAGAAGGATGGTGCGGGTGTGGTTATAGGGAGGATACGTATGAGGGGCATTTCGCTGTGGAGGGACATTCGAGTGTAGGCAGATGTCAGGGTTGAGATTAGGGCGAAGGTTATGTAGCAGGTGCGGAGGGAGGCGAGGTGGGTTGGTGTTTTTGTTGAGTTTGGATGGTGGTGGGTGGGTTTGTCTGGACTAGAGCTGGATGGGGAGGTTCGAGATATGGGCTTCCGGTTTGTTACGAATCGGCAGAAGGTGTGGAGTAGCGGGATGAGTATGGGGAAAGGTTGCCATATTGCGTTGTAAAACCGTCGGGATGATATGCTGGATGCGAAGAAACTGGCGATGATTAGGAAGTAGTAGCCGAGCATCATGACGGGGAGGAGGGTGAGGGATGTGGATGGGTCTATCCTGCGGTTGGATCCTAATAAGAGGCGGGAGAGTGGTGTCCGGATTGAGGCATAGAGATAATACCAGGGTGCGATTCGGGCGAGGCCTTCTAACTGGGAAGATGTGGCAAAGGCTGCAGTGCTGTGTATTGGTCAATTTCATGTCCTTATCCATCATGAGGACCATAATACTCACATTGTCATGTCAATATACGACTGCGTGCGGCGATTACTCTCCAACAGCCAGATTCCATACATTGAGCCCATGTCCATGAGGAAAGCGAGTGCTTGGGCGTGGGACACGGGATCACTACCGCTGATAGCTGGCAACACACAGGTGACCAAAGGGTTGACGATCTTGTCGAGGAAAGGGATATGATAAAGAGGCGCTCTCAAGTCAACGATTTCTCCGTTACCGGTAATCCATGTTCCTTGTCCTAGGATATGGCGAAGCATGGGACGCAAAGCTTCGGCAATCGTGTCAATATTAAGCCTGCTCAAACTATAGCATCCAACAAGAGGGCCGATGCTCAGGAGAATGTACTTCCACATTGGTTCCAGCCTGATACGGTCAAAGTTAGGGACGAATGGTATGGCGCCTCCGTCTCCGCGTGGCCGAACCGGTACCGAGTCCAGTTTCTCCGCTCCAACGAGCGCCATCGTTGCCATTTCCACAGTAAAGTCTTTCAATATAGGCAGGAGATAGATTACTGCAAGCCTGTGCTTCCATGTTTTGATAGCATCGATTCTTGTCAGGTGAGCTGATGCTGCAACCATGTCTGCCGCGCGAGGCCACCGCAGATCCTGCCATTCTTGGAGACAATCCTCCAGCTGCTGTAGGGAGACATGTGCCTCGCATGACTTTATCAAATCCGTCAGATGGTTTGCGAGAAATGCGGCGCTTTCCATGGCACTATTACTGCCCTGGCCCATGTTCGGCGTCATCTGTTACCGGTCAGCATGGATTTGGAGAAGCAGCCCACCACCATTCGTACTTTATGAACTGAGTCTCCAATGCAGACAAACCTGCCCTTTGACCAATGCTTGAAGCAAGCCTCCTCCAATGGCAGATACGACTTGTGTTCTGCTCTTTCGTATATAGCAGAGAATGGGACCTTTCCTGCAGCAGGCTTATCCAGATACCGAGCGGCATGGGCCTCCATGTCTTCTGGGGTGAATTGAACTCGCTCTGGTCCTGAATACCGCTTGTCCATTTTGGCGAATAGGAACCAATACAGACGACCCTTTTTACCAGACATGATCACGAAAGCATAGTCCTTAGCCATGGTTCGATGGCCTTGTCCAACTTCGATACCGGGAGGTGTGGTGGAGATACCAAATACACAGGAATATTCCTTGATCATGGCTGTTTTGAGACCATATCAGTTTTGACCCTAGCGATGGGTTCAGTTCCTAGTCAAAAAGGGTTACATAGAACGTACTGCTTCGATCCCGAGAAACCTCGTTCTGCAGCGAGAGAGTTTCCAAGTAGCGCCATAACTCTTGTCGAACCTTGCTATGCACCCCATCAGCACCAACGACAACATCTCCTTCATATAATGAACCGTCTGTACAATGGACGGAGACATGTGTGGGGTGATGATCGACGCGGACAGCTTTCTTGTTGAGATGTACAAGGCTCTGATGAGGTCCTAGGTGTTTGTATAGCGTCTGAAGTAAGACCTGTCGATCCAAGAAGACAACAGGATAGCCGTGTCTACTCCAGGTTACTCACATCTGATCAATGGCCTAAATGAGCCATGCGTACCTTTTTTCGATTGTTTCGAGAGAGTCATCCTCGAAAATGGGCGCCCCGCTTTCGGACCAGATAAAAGAGCGCTTCAGAGGAGCAGTCGATGCTATACAGTCGTCCAACATGCCCAGTTGATCTAGGATGCGAGACCCATTTGGCAGGATACCGATGGAAGCGCCTTCCTGCGGTGCGATGTCATCGCGAGCCTCGAGAACCAGGAATTCAATGTTGTTCCTGATTAAGCAGTGCGCCAGTGTCAAGCCGGCGATCGAGCCACCAACAATAATAACACGGAATGGCTGCTTCCCGTTTGCGGCCATTTCTCGTTAGTCAATGAGTTGGAGCGTCACTAGATAGATCTGTCCAGCCCCTGGCTAGACCCGAGTCGGTGGGAGTGGCATGTTTATAAGAACGCTGGTCCCGATTTAAAGGCCGTCAAAAACATTTCTGCACGTTGAACAGGACCAAAAGAGCAAGGTTCATTGTTAAGGAAGGATAGGCCGTCATCAATCTTACACAGAGCTCGGCATCAGTGCCCCTGGTCCAAGACCGAACATTTGGACGATCACAACCATAAGTCCCGAGAACGAGAACACCAAGCAGATGCGGGTGCCCACTGAGTCAGGTGGGTTTCTCTAGTGCTTGGAGATCGTTATAGAATATGGCTAGACCTTGGTGATGCCAATCAATAGCACGTCTGTTCTTGAACGGGAAGAGAACAGGTGTCCCAGGGGCCTAAATGGGCAGCGGAAAGCTAAGTTGTAGGCACACCCACACATAGCCTCGATAACAGACAATAAGGGGTCATGGTATTGTGTTTCACATCTAAGGGGTATAATGGCCTAGCGCTTGGGGCGCCTCATGTGCGCCACTCGGTGGGTATCACATCATGCCAAAAAAGCAATGCCGCAAATGGCACCTGTTAAGAACTCGCCGAACTCGCCGGCATCGAGCTCGTATTTTCAACTTACTCAAAAGACCCTGTCTCATTGGAAGCAGCTCTCGAAGCAAAACGACGAGAAAGGCCTTCGTATAGAGGAGTTAAGAAGGTTATCTCCTTTTCCCCGACAAAGCGGGCCAACGCCATCGTATCGCGGCATTCGATAGCTCAGAGCACTACATTGCCACTAGAGTTATGATTACAGTTAGCTTTGGGTCCTTGGCTAGTTTTACAGAGATTATTCATAAGTATTGGCTGGAATAAAGTAGGGGTTTCACGCGTGAGGTGTGATCGGTGTGGTGGATTGGTAAAATAACCAGTTGTCGATTTGAACAGATACTTTGGCGATGATAACTGACCAAGATGACTTCGAGGTTACATCCGCCATTGACCTAGATCCAGACCTATTAGTACTCAGAGTTACAAGTAGCCAGGCCCAGAATAAAATCATCAGGGGTCAGTTACTTGGGAAGCTCACTCACCTCTTGAAAAAACCACGCTGCGTAGCTGAAATCCAGTCAACTGAATGGTCGGTGCCATTGTAAAATTGAGTCAATGTGGAATGAAAACTTGCTTGAAAACAGGTGGTTGGGCGCTTTGACTAACTGTGGAGTAGAGTCATTACGGAGATGTGATCAAGGGAAGGAGGGGGGTCTAGGATGGTTGGGCGTGTCGGTACGGAGGGAAGGGAGGGGGGCTGTCCCTCAGCGCACAGACTGAGAGCAGCCATCATATTCATAGTCCGTCTACCCGCAATGATAAGGCATACACCAAAAGAGTGGCTAAGTTAAGTTTCCTCCTACTTGTCTTTTGACTCCTTTATGTATTGTCCCACCCGTATTCACCCAACTGACTCTATACAGACTATCACCCACAAAATCCTTCATAGACATGCCTCCTAAGCCACCACTCTCTCAATCTACACCTTATAGGGCCTAATCGCCTGTGGCGGTTGAACGTAATCAAAGTGGCCCATTCCCGCCGAGAATCCAACATCCTGCGGTCCCCCGGCCACATGCCCACGCGGGCAGAGGAAGCTGTGCGGGAAGCCCAAGTCAAATTCATATCCGCTCTCGATTTCCTTTACATCTTCCGGGGTGAGCTCCAAGCTGAGGGCCTCAACATTCGCCTTGAGATGCTCAACCTTGCGCCCACCAACAACAGGAAAGAAGTACGGCGCCTTATGCATGGCATAAGCGAGGGCCACGCTCGTGATAGGTACACCGTGACGTTTTGCAACGTTGTCTAAAACAGCGGAGACGTTCCCTTCTCGTCCGGAGAGGAGGTGTGGTGAGTTGCGGACGCGGTCGCTGGCGTCGGAGGTAGGTGAGCGGATGTAGCCTGTTTTCAATGGCCTCTATTAACAACAATCCTTGATCTCGGCTTACTGTTGGGAGTGAACATACCATTACCAAGCACACCCCACGCATGAATCGCCATGCCCTCCTCACGACACATGGGGATCACATCCCGCTCCAGATCCCGGCACACCGCAGAGTACCTGCCCTGGTAGATGGAAAAGGGTCGCAGGCCATGTGCCCGGGCGTACGTATTGGCCTTGGACACGACCCAGGCTGGCGCGTCACTGATACCCAGATAGAGGACCTTGCCCTGGGCGACAAGGTGGTTGAGGGACTGCATTAGCTCCGGAATGTCCGTGGAGTAGTCCCATGCATGGACGAAGTAGATGTCGACGTAGTCAGAGCGGAGGCTTTTGAGACTGTTATTGATAGAAACGTGCATACTTTTCGTCCCGTTTCCGCCGTAGTTGCTTTCCTGGAGGGGCTGGCCGGTCATCGGGGAGAGGGTGTATTTGGTTGCGATGACCATCTCGGAGCGACGACCCCTTTGTTCCACCCATTCACCGATCCACTCCTCAGACTGCCCACCTTGGTAGGCGTTTGCGGTGTCGATGAAATTCCCTCCCAGCTCGTAGAAGGTGTCTAGGAGCTCGAAGGCAGTTTCTTTGGTGACGAGGCCGAGTCGGCCAGCCCATTTCTCGCCTAGGCTCATGCCCCCGAGGGAAAGAGGACTCACACGCACGGCGGCGGTGGGAGAAAGAAGGCGATGACGCCCGAGGAGGCTTTTGGGTCCAGGAGCGGAGGTTGCGGCCATTGTCAATATGATCTGTGGATATAGTTCTGAGTGATGCTGTAGCTGGTAGTCTGTGGATGAAGAGAGGATGAGTACACAAAGGACACCATCATGCTTCTCTCGCGGCCTTTTATAGCCTGGTCGTGGATGGTTCGATGGATGCGCTTAACAATGTGACTATCTTGTGTTGGTTGATGTAGTTCGGTGATAACCGATACTCGTGCCAGAGCTAGAAGCCGAGTCGGATTTAGGGTTTTGGAAGCCGCACTTTAAAGCCTTAACTCCATTATTGTTGAACAATCCACCGTAGGACCCACCGATGTTAATGCACAGTGCCATTTTGTATAATTGATAAGTGAAATGGGTTCTCCAGCTCTAGGTCCAGGATATGATCTAAGAGATGAGCGGAAGAGCCCTTGTCGCAGCGAAAATATGCTCCCTGCAAAGACGCATCTAAGCTAGGATCGCCTTTCCAGCACCGTCCGGCAACTCAACTCGGAACAGAGCAAACGGCCTCTCCTGATCTTGTCTCCAGAGCTGATTCTCTGTGAAATAGAGATAGCCCTTCTCAATCCCGGTTGAATTATCCTTCAAGGTAACCACGCTCATCGTATCCGTCCACCCCATTCTTGGATCTCGCACAAAGGTCTCCACGCTCACGTTCCCCGGGTAGAACACGTTAATCGCATTCGACTCAAAGCTCCCCATATAGATCCTTCCATCGGAGTCAACCTCGTACCCATCACTCATCCCCTTCTGGGTCAGCTTGGTCACGCTCTTCTTCGCAAGTGCCTGTCCTGCCGAGGATGAATCCCGCAGGAGGACAGTAGGGATGGAGTAAATGTCGCGGCCACTCACGACACCAAAGTAGAGCGTCTCGCCGTCAGCCGATAGAGAGATTCCATCGGTTCCTGTTGAAACGTTTACAGTGTCGCCCCAGATGAACGCCCGGAAATCGGGTTCTGCTTTGGTCAGCGCAAGGCCGTCAAGTTGACGCCAGGATTTTCCTGTTCCAAGATCAACCACCACAAGGCCGTTGCGACCTTCTGGGCTGGAATCAGTAAGGTAGGCGACGCCCTCTCCAGAGGTGCCGTTAAGGTCGGGTCGCAGATCAAATCGGACGTCGTTGGGGTACTGAATGTTCTATGTTAGAGTTCTACAGGGCTGGTGTAAGGAAGAATTGGCATACAGAGTCCGCATAAACAACATCCCGTGGGAACAGGATTGTCTTGAAGACTTGATTTGTGGTCAAGTCTACTCCGACTAACTTCGAGCCACCGTAGGAGGACAGGAGAAGAGTTCTGTTGACTGTGTTTGCACGGCCAGTGTCAAGAATCCACAGACGGTCTTTGGAGTCAACAACGACACTTTGAACACTGATCAGATGGTTAGGATAGTTGACTGTGGTCTGTATAGAGATAACGGCGGTTAGGCATCTGAGTGTTGGGAATCGCCGGTATGGTCTAAGTACTGACTGCTGGACTAGTAGAGTCGTTGACGGCTCCGCCTGGGGGGTAATTAAACTCTGCAGAAGGATACGGAACTTCAGTCGTTGGGTTAGTTAGTTCGGCCACTTGGTAACGCGTGTTGTTGGCATCCAGCCCGAGTGGATAGCACGAGAACATGCGGCCGGTTGAGGACACGGCAACGCCTGCGATACATTAGACTATCATAATTATCAGATACTTTAGGAGTGTACCTGTGGGGAACTGGTCATAGTATCTGTGAACGAGCTCCAACGAGGGCCCGTATACCCCCGAGTCATGGGCCAGAGAGCGGACACGCCCCGCAAGGAGGAGAGGCAGCAGCTGGGGGATGGAGACACGCATTTCAACGTTGACTTGAGTTGACTGACTTTTGTAGTGACTGCTGGAGTGAAATGGGTTCAATAAATACATCGCAGAAGAGGCTAAATCACTGGGGACGGATATGACGATATGTTAACCCAGACAGGTTTAAGTTCCGCACGGGTGGTTGCAGATGCCATGGAATAGCTAATCAAGATTGAAATTGTTCAGAAACGAAGGATCTTGGCTATCCAATGCTGCCCTGTGTCCCCACGGAGTCGGATGATAGTTGCATCGTGTTTCTTAAATGGGGCAACCTAGTCCTGTCCACAATCCATCATGAGCAGGCTGAGCACGCCATCTGGTAGTTCCTGTGTAGGTTCGCCACTTTGTCGAATATCAATAACGGAGAGGCCAAGATAGGTGGGATGAAGAGAGCCTGTTTCTGACGACTATACTAGAGAAGCTGGATTGGGTAAATTGCATGATCAGGTCAGAAATTCATATGTTGAATGCCTGCGCATAAATGTATCGGGGTTCGAAAGAGAGGCGGGTAATTATATATAGTATATTGCCTCGCCTTGCTGCCATCAGAGTACTGTATTCTCGGACTTTCCCGCCGTATCCCGATCAATCAAGTTATCTCCGACCTAGTAAACATGCCACCTATGTGCAAGCGCGTTTGGATAGACTTTACTGAGTCAACGCACCTTACTCCGTAACGCCGCTCGATCTCCGCTCGATCTCCGGCTTTGTCCGCGAGCCAGATCTGTCTATATAAAGGCGCCGACTGCCACCAACAGTAACAATCAACCAGCAATAACTTAGTTCGATCTTAAAATATGTCTCTTTCAGATCGCATCATTCTCATCACTGGAGCTTCCAAGGGCATAGGGAAAGCCATCGCCCAACGTCTCGCCGCCGCCGGTGCGACTATCATAATCAACTATCTCAGTGATTGCAACGGCGCCAACGAACTCGTAAACGAGATCGGACCATCTCGCGCCCTCGCCGTTCAAGCCGACGTCTCGAAGCCCAGCGAAATCCGCCGCTTAGTGGAAACAGCTGTCTCCCGATTCGGCCGCATCGACACCATAATTCCAAATGCGGGGATATTACCAATGAAAGATCTGGCAGCTACCACAGAGAGTGACTTCGACACTGCCTTCGCACTGAATGTCAAGGGTCCATATTTCCTTGCCCAAGAAGCCGTGAAACATATGCCGCCGGGTGGGAGGGTGGTCTTCATTTCGTCGACAGTCGCGGCTTTCTCGGGGGTGGCGCCGGCATACTTGCTTTATGCGTCGACCAAGGGCGCCATTGAACAGATGACAAGATTGATGGCAAAGGATCTGGCGAAGAAGAACATCACGGTCAATGCGGTTGCGCCAGGACCAACGAAGACGGAGATGTTTATGAAGGGAAAGTCAGAGGAGCTGGTGAAGGGGATTGCTGCCTCGAATCCGTTTGGTAGAATAGCAGAGCCCGAGGAGATAACTGGGATTATTGCGTTTCTGTGTGGCGGGGAAAGTGGATGGATGACGGGGCAGGTGGTCAGAGTCAATGGAGGGATGCAAGTATAAAGGAGCCAGTGTGGAAGAAATCCGCATATACCCCTGGCGGTCATCCGGCTGGAAGGGAAGGAACCCCACAAGCAAATCCTGTATATATGAGTAGAGGACCAAAATGGAATGACCAAACTACACAGAAAGTCGTGGTCCGTTGAAGAGTGTAGTAACACTCCTCCATGATCAGGTGATCTAGTCACGCTTCTTTCCCTCTATCATGGATGGATGACTGTAGCCTGCTTGCTTCACCCATCATAACAAATCCAATCCCATCAAGTCATCATGTCCCATCAAATTTCATCGAATTCCCTATCCGAGCGGGCATGTAATTCTTATCACATCCACTGATTAAGTTATCGCACTTTAGGAGAATCATTGATATTATACTATCCACAGGAAGTCACATACTAGTCTTCACACCCCATCCCAGGAGATACAGGGATGGAAAGCCGAGGAAGAAGGAAGCCACCATGCCAGGACCATGCCAGGACCACTTGGAGCCAATCCGGTAGCGAAGGGACCCTCAGCCCGACCCTGCCATAACGCACAGATCGAAGTGGAGAGCCCCCATCGTGTGCTGGTGATACAAATCCTGAACTTGAACGAACAAAGCCACATAGAGGTACAGCACCACGCCAGGAAACTCCCCAAAGTTAGTATACCGATAAACAATCGAAGCACTATCCAATTCGCGCCTGAACAACCAAGCAAATCATACTATATGAGCAGGGTACCTATCCCGCAAGACACGTAACGCCGACTTTATCCGTCAAGATGCTCCAGAAGCCATATTATACATGCCCACACATTGAGAAGAGACGAACCGGGTATCGAGCGCATCAAAAACTCCCTGACGAGGGGATTGCCGAAGAAGAAATGGGGCTTGGAGGAGTAGGTCGGCTACCTTTCGCCGAACTTGCCGTATTCCTGTTGCCACTTGAGGAGATGACGGGTCAACACATCCATCATCTCCACGCTGCTAAGGTCCTTGAAGTCTTTCTCCGCAGATACTTGCCCGGCAGAAGCACCCTCCAGGCCTACACTCTCGATGGCAGCGGAGAGGAGGGGGTGCTCGCTCATGAACCTAGCTGAGATACCGTTCGCCCGGTCACCATTGCTGGGTGGGGTAGTGCTCTCTCCTGCCACAGCCATTTCGACCTGCATGCGTGAAATAAACTCCAATATCGCGGTCACCCGTCGCTTCATCTCATTCATTGTGGTTCGTTGGTTCACATAGCGGGGCCGACTGGGCTTGCCCGACTCGGTACTGTTGATGTGTGTCCCATTAAAACCCACTCGGGGTGAATCCCCACCAATCTCATGCGACTGCCCACGCCGGGGAGATCTCGTCGTGGAGTCGGTGCCATTGGCGTCACGGTCCCGAGTATACTGATTCCGCCCGATGCGACCGCCACGGCGTGCAGGCGGACGGCCCGATTTGCGAGTGGACGGCCGCGAAGGCGCAGGCTCTTGGGCGGGGGCAGGTGTTTCCTCAGGACTTGGTTGTTTCGGTTCAGGTTCGTTTGCGGCGGGTTTGATAGGCGATCCTGCTTCATGGTCGGATTCGACGTCTTCCAAAATTAGTTCTCACGGTGAACAAACATCAAGTCAAGAAGAGCATCATGGCGACTCACCGTCACCCTTCTGCCGTTCAGATCTTCCTTTCCGACGACTTGCAGCCTCCGGTAGCTCAACCTCAGGTTCTTCCGGCTCTTTTGTTTCTTTATCACGCTGGCCGCGCGAAGCAGCTCGCTGTCGTCTGATCCCATTGGTGGCTGGCTTTGGTTTCGACTCATCTTCCGAGACAGGTTGGGATGCAGGGTTACTCTTCGAAACGGCACCTGGCGAGGGAGAGCTCGTGCGCTGTCGTTTGGTTGCTTGTTTATGCCTAAGGCCAATCGTATTAGCTTGACATCCGCATCATTAAATAAGACAGATAAAGATTTCAACTCACGCTTCACTATCGCTTCGACTTCTTTTGGGCCTCCGGGCTACGACATCATCTGCAGCTGGCTTCGTCTCTTCTTTGCTCTCTTCGATCGCCCGCCGAAGTTGTTCTTCTTCGTCATAAGCCGCATCGCGGCTATTCATTGTCGACCGGCGCTTGGGGTTGGCTGAGTCATTCTGTCGTCCTTTGGGATCCTTTGCGCGCCTCGAAGTTTCCCGCGACGATTCTCGCGAGGATGCTGCGGTGGACGGGGGAGGAGCGACAGGAAGATACTGGGACGAGTATTGTCTGCGAGACCGTAAGCGAACGTGCCACATGCCGACGAGAGAGATTATCCACAAGTGGGGATGGGTTGTTGAAATGTCCTTGCAAGTAAGCGCCCCGGGGGCTGTTGCGAATGACAAAAGATCGACGGTAGTAGCGAGACGCGGGAGGGCTGCTTGAGAAGCACGAAATCCGACCCATGGGAAAAGGCGATTGAATGAAGAAAAATCCAGTCATGCTTACCCGTTTGTTTCGCTGGTGATCTTATGGAGGTCCTTGCGACACTCTTCGCAAAAGTACTCGTCGGGGCTCATAGCCTCGTCCATAATGCCAACACAGCCACCGTGCTGCCAGACTTTGCACGAATCACATTGGATAAACATGCTCCCAATCTCGTCTGACATCAGGTCTGCTGCATCTGCGGAGAGATTAAAAGGCTCATCTTTGATACTAATACGCAGACCATCGCGACCACCTAGGTCACGACGTGAAAGAGGCAGACCCGGGTACTCCTGCTGTCCACAGAGACACCGGGTGATCTCCTCCTCCTCGTCTTCCTCTTCTTCGCCGTCTTCGTCATCGCCATCACCGAGTCTAAGATGATGGTCGTTGTCCTCCTCCCCTCGAGCACGCTGGCGCTGCCGTGTCTCTCGAAACTCATTTTTCGAGGCTGCGTCGGCGTCGTCGATAGACTGGGACCGATTGGTGGAGGATCGCTGAGGGGAGATCTTGTGGTTCGACCGGGTGCTTCGTTCTCGAGTCATTGAGTTGGAGGAACTGGAGGAGTTTGTATGCTGAAGGATGGCTGGTGAGGGCTGGGAGTTGCGGGCACGAGAGGAGCGACGAGGCGTCATGTTGGAGGGAGGTTATCAGCGGGGGGATGGGAAGAGCGACGAACTCTGACAAGACCACGGCTGTAAGAAGGAAGGTATCCGGTGGGGAATATAATTATAATGGGACTCCAGCACGACGTCGAGGAGAAGCAGCCTGCCCGTGAGCGAGCTGTCGCACACGGGTAGAGAGCTGGGAATCGACAGCGACTCGTACAGTAGTTAAGGATGACAGAGACGCAGAGAAGGGAAAAAAGCCGACAAGTCAAGGACTGACAAATGGCAATTGAGACCAAAGGGAGGAAAACATCCAAGAACAGCGCCTGCGAGCTTCAACGAAGACCGAGGACTACATAGTCTGTGGATTTGCACGAAAGGTTGGTGGGGAGGAGAAAAAAGGAAGAGGAGGAGCGAGAAAGAGGGAAACGGACCCAGAATGAGAGCGTGAGTGACGGCCGGCCGCCGGAACGGGTTTGAGCTGCGCGCCTTTGCGGTCAACGCGCATTGGGCCTTTCCCCGCTCCTCGCTCTCTTCTCTCCTCTCCCTCTGCTCTGCGCGCCATCCCTCCCCCTCGCAAGCCGGTCTCATCGCCAGAGGTTTGATACATTTGCGAGAAATGCGTGCTGCTCACCAACTGAGGTTCTAGGGGAAGCTTCCGCTTCCACCCAGTCGTCGAAGCCGGTCGCCCGGTGATAAGGGCTGAAGGAATGCTATGATGCCATCCATGCCACCGTCCTCCAAACCCCGCTTAGCTCTCAGCGCTGGCTAGCAACTACTCGGGATCGCCCTCAGACGTCCTCGGGAAAAGCAGCGATATTCTGCCCCTCTTTTCTTCTGCTACATGCCTTGGCCCTATCTCTACTGGATGATAACCCATGCGATCGCTACCGGCAATCTACGCAGACCCCTTGAGGTACTACCAGAAATTTGAGACTGTGCTGACTAACCCACATCGCCGTGACTCTACCATAGCACCCAGAGTATTGTTCATATTCGCTTTAGCTACGAAAGTGTGTCAGTTGTGTCAGTTGATCCTGTCTAGCGGCCAGCAGTTTCTTTGTTCTACCCCACTATCGTCCCGAGCTTCGCAACACGGCCTGTCGGATGGCCTCGGCTTGTCGAATGTCAAGATCGAAAAATAACAGAAGGAAGTTCTAATACGGGATCTTCATAGCTGTTGGGTTATACGGCAATATGATATTTGATCTGTTGGGTACAATCGATTTCGAGGGGGTCGGCTCAGCTTCGGACAATGAGAGCGACAAGCAAAAGCACGTGTGGCTTACACAATGGGTGATGGAATGAGCGTGGGAGAATGGGCATGGGTGATGCAAGGTATACCGGAGCAATGGTTTTGATGGGATTTTTGCAGGGTGCCTGGTATTTAACTAGCCAGACAATATGTAGCTTGGGTGGGGGATTCCAGGTCCTTGCAGGGAGGGAAGAAAGGATGGGGAGACGATGCAGGATACGCTATGATGGGCCGGAGACCTTATCCGGGAAGGCATTGATTGTGCATGGAAGAGGAGGAGTTGAAGCATACGCGGGAACTCTCCCCGAGCGTAAGCCGCGGTCATTGTCGCGCCGATGCGCGCGTGGATGGCGATTGGGGAGGACGACCATAATCAGCACTACTCCGTAGCCGTAGATAGGTAGTTGAGGCTTTGGGGCGCCCCCGGTCCGAAAGGGGCTAGCGGCATACGCAGCCTCAGGCACCCGCAGGTATCAGGCGGGTCAGAGAGGAAAGCGGATTAGTTATGGCAGTGACTTATTCATCATAATAATTATCGACGAGCGATTCGATTCCCAATCCTCCGCCATCTTCGTCCCCTATTCCTTTTCCCCTCCCCGGATTGTTTGTTGCTTGTTATATGCCACGGGCTCCGCTCTCGCCGGTCGTCTATCTTTCCCTCCTCTCTGCCCTCCCTCCCCTGTCCCTCTTTTACGTGGTCCGGGGTTGAACTGGTGTCATTTCTCGGTCCTTCCCTACCGACACCTCGGGTTGAATCGTCAAAAAGCCTGTGTGGGCGGTCTCGGTGCATGGTCTACTGCGTAAGTGCCTTACTCTATCCCAGGATGGCTGGGGGGCCTCTTGGGGGAAGCTTGGATGCCCGCGTGGGCAGGGCTCTCTCCAAACTCTGTGTGGTTGCGGGTGCCAGCGTTGTGAACATGACAACTGACTGTGGGTGCCAATCCAGTGCGGTCAAGGGTCATCTCTGTATTGCTCCCTCCCCCTCCCCTCCATATCCACGCCGACCAGCGTTAGAGTACCGTGTGGGGGACAGGTGGTCGTCGATAAATTAAAATAATCGGGGGGAGTGTTTTGAATTAAACAAGGAACAATCCCCGTCCAGGGACGTCGGCGTGGGCTGGGCTACAAGGAGGCATACCGCCGCTCGGCTGTGGTTCTGGTTGTGGAGGTCGAGCAAGCCGAGAATCTGGCATCATGACTGCTACTCTGAGTATGTCTTTTACCAAGGATGTCTGTTCCTCCGGGGAAGTAGCGTCTGGCCTTGTTGGTGCGTACAATTGACGGGTTGTCCCCCGATGCCGTGGGCGGATCGAAAATCAGGGTCTGCTGGCTGCTCAGTTGCTGATACTGCTCAACCGCAGATGGGATGTTTAACTCGGCCCCAGATACTCCGTCTCCTGTCTACCCGGATCGGCTGATCCGTCCTCTGCCAAAGCGTACCCTCCGCTCTCGCCTGTCCTCTGAAGCGGCCGAGTCTATCCTCTTCCCGCCGGCTCCTCCTGCCACCCAGCTATTTTACGGCACCTCTGTGGAGAGCGCAGACCTTGTAAACGACGCCAAAGTGTATGTGCAACAGAGCGACGGTCGCGACCCAAGCCCTGAGCGGGACCATCTGCCGTATGAGAACGGGGTCGAGTTGGAGAGCGGTGATGAGGACGGGCCCGTAGTTGTTCGTCGGAGTGCGGGTTTTCGCGGGTCGTCCTTGTCACCGTCAACCCCCAGCGCTGCCCCTCAGGCACTCCCCTGCAACAGTGAAGGGCCCCCAGTGAAGTCCTCTGCGGCAGGCCCCGATGGGTACGATGCGTTTGAAAACACTAACAACAAAAAGAAACGCAAAATCCCCACGCCAGGCAGCCTAAGTACCCACCACTCCACCCTCTCCCCCGAATTCTCCAGCATGGGTTTGGCCTCCTCCGTTCAGTCGTCTTCGACCACCGGCGAAGGCAGCCATGTGAGCACCTTCTACGGCACTGGCAGCCCTGCGTCTCCGATCTCCAGTGGCATGTCCGGTGCGGGCAGAGGTCGGCTTGGGCGCCATCCCCACCGCAGCAGCACAGGCAGGAACTCCTTGTCGCTTCATTCTCCGATCAGTTGGCCGCAGACCCCTACCCGGCGCGATGGCCTGTTGTCATCTCCCACAGGACCAACCAGTACGTGTCTGTCCAGCCCGCGTGGATTCGGGCTTCACTGACTAGGCGTTTAGGTGACTCCGCCGCGAAACCAGACCAGGGTATAATCTCTGCTGCCATCGCCAACGCCGCTGCGTCAGCTTTCTCATCGCCCCCGCCGGGCCCGGGCATCGTTAGTATGCTCGAACGACAAACGCAGACATCGACCAATACCCAATTCACCTTCACATGCGAATCCGACTCTTCGAAGGGCATGGCGCTGCAGACCCAGACACAGAACATGTACCCCGCACATCACCGGTCGGCCAGTACGCTCACTGCGGCTGTCCAGGGTCAACGGGGTTACTCACAGGGGACCCAGACAAGCCCCAACATTGCCTCGCAAGCGAACCAGTCTGGACCATATCCAAATCCCCAACAACCGCCGCAGCAGCAACCGCCAAATGCGGGGACGGAGACACCCACCACAGGGAGGAAGAAGAAGAAGCGGTCTCCGAGTAGCATTTACGCCCTTGCCGCGCGCCAACGCAAAATCCAGCAGCAGTATGCCAACCTGCACCACCCGCCCAGCATCGAAGACATCTGGATCTGTGAGTTCTGCGAATACGAGAGCATCTTTGGCCACCCGCCCGAGGCGCTCATTCGCCAGTATGAGATCAAGGACCGCAAGGAGCGGAAGCGGTTGGCGGAGAAGAAGCGATTGCTGGAGAAGGCCAAGATGAAGGGCCGGAAGGGCAAGAAAGCGACCAAGAACGCCAGCAAGCAGGCGGCAGCTCAGCAGGCCGCGTATGACCAGGGATACGACCGGGCGTCGGCGGACCAGTCTTCGGTGGGAGGAGGGCCGGGGGTGCACGATGACGAGTCTTTAGGCAACGAGTATGAGGACGAAGGGATTCCAACCCCACCTTCTGGACCTCCAAGTTCCGTCAAGGCCGCACCACCGCCGGGCCATCCGCCCAAGCCGGGCACTGCAGCGTCAGGCGCTAAGAGTACCGCCGACGGAGGGACGAGGCCGCCCTGACAATGGAGCAACGGCTATCGGGCGAGTGAGCGGTGATAGGCCGTTGCATCCTTTGGGTTTCACTTCTTTGTCTGTTTTTTTAGTGCGTATTGTTTCTTCCAATCCGTTGCATGGAGTTAGCCTTGTTCTGTTTTACTCTTGCCAATCATTTGCATGGATGAATCCCCGCTCCGGTTGATGAATGTCACGTCAGCGTCACACATGATTTCTGGTCTGGTTGGAACTATCATTGAGGAGCATCTATGCATATTGGGAATTGTCATTGGGGGGTAAGGGGGGAGGACCCGGGGAGATGGGATATTCTGGGATGCAGAGCGAGCATGGGTCGGGTCCTATTCTAGGTAGTGGTTATCCTAGTAGCGCTAAGGTAGATCTTGGGATGAGAAACCATTGATGTGCTGTGCCAAGGGAGTTTACTGTCCACCCGCCAATATCCCCCCCCCATCCCGCCCGGCGCTTCGCCGCGCAACAACCCACCAACCACAACCCCGTCACCACCCCCGCTGCTGTTCCTGTCCGCCATCCTGCAGCCCTGAAACCCTCATTGCACGATTTCGCGCGCGCAAGTCGATCACCACCACGATCTAGTTTCAGCCCAGCCCAGCAGCTCAGCACCTAGATCATCGATTGGATGATTGTGATTTCTGAAGATGATAAAAATAGCTTACGCGACATGCCAAACCTATTTGCAAAGGACAGACGGCGTTGAAGTACATTGTCCGGAGCATATAAAGAGGTAGATGAATAGTACTTTGTCTGGGTGTACTTCAGCAGCAGCAGCAACAACAACAGTCTTTGTTCCATTCTCTCTCTCTCTCTCTCTATCATCTATTCCTTGGTATCTATCTATCTCTCTTTGCTCGTCTTCTTTGTTCACTTTGGTCTGTTATACCATATACCTTTCACATTGTGTCTGAAGGACATTCTTTCCATCTTTCATTTTGATAGTGAAGGACAGACACCTCTCGACTACTCACTTTACTTATCTATGGGATTTTGCGCTGGCGCATCACCACACACACGTACAACCACAGACTCCCATCATCTTTTTCATCTGTGAACGATACATACAACACACACACACACACATCATCCATCACAATCAAACCAAACCAAACCCAACCCCCCAAAAAACCCCACCAAAGAAAAAAAAAACCCCCATCATCCAACCAAAATGTCCATCTTCCTCGCCCTCCGCCTCTTGAAACGCATCTTCCTAAAATCCAAATCCCAGGACACCAACAACAACCCCGAAACCATCAACCTAAGCTACCCCCCACCACCCAATCAACCCCCTCAACGCCCACGCCTAAAGCACTACACGGAACTCACCCTCCACTTCACCCAGCTCATCTTCGGTCTAACAACCCTAATCCTCTACGGGAAGGACGTGCACGCCTCCCACAAGGATAACAAACATGCCGATCCACGATGGGTCTACGCCATCGTGACGGGGATGATGGGGTGCGGGACAGCGCTGTTCTATCTTGTGTTGATGCACTGGGTGTTGAAGAAGCGGACGCCGTTGGCGGCGAGGATGAGGTGGAATTTGCCGTTGTTTGTGTGGGAGGCGGTGCTGTGTGTGTTTTGGTTGACGCTGTTTGGGATCTTTGGGGAGATGTATATTGGGGATTATGAGGATAGTAGTAAGGTGACGAGGATGAGGCATGCCGTGTGGGTGGATTTGGTTAATTTGGGGTTGTGGGTGGGAAGTGCCCTGTGGAAGGGGGTGAGGTGGTGGAGGGGGCAGAGGGCCGTGGTGGGGGTGGATGCAGTGGAGAAGGGAGAGGGAGAGGGGGTTTAGGTGGTGCATGTTAATGGGTACGGGAGGGTATGATGGGATGGGTTATGATGAATGGAATGGGTGGGGTGGAGTGGGATGGAATGGGGGAGAAGAGGAAGATACGGATGATATTGTTTTATTATGCCTGCAGTACATGTATGGATGCATGATTAATGTCTTGATATTGAACCATTGTTGCTTTGCTTATGCATGCTGTTCACTCAGCGGAGCTCGTCCTACTCTCTGATCTCCTCAATCTCTTCAATCTCTGCAATTTCTGTCTTGCTCTGTGCGGGCTGACGCCGGACTTGCTCATTCTCTTCAGTCCCTGGCTGTCGACTCCGCTCGATCATTAGACTGAGCTGACTTCGGCTGGGCGGCATGGAGAATGGCGTCAGCAGAGACGGTACATCCTCGTCCGTGCTGTCTTGATCAGTAGAAAACGCAGAGCTATCATCGTGGGATGGTGTTCGGAAAGGTACGGTGGAGCTCGGCGCCGTGGATGCATTCCCGTGCGAGTCTCCGAACCGGGAGGGGGAAAGAGTGGCATTGGTGATGGTGCTACTGGATTCGGCCCGGATCGGTTTGGGGGGTGCTGCCTTTGGCTCTACCTCGGGTTCGGGCGCTCCTATGGAAGAAACCAGAACCTGCTCCTGGCGCACTCGATCTGAGAACCGCTGTCGGAAGTTCTTATCCACAAGTTTCATGGAAGACGGTTGTTCGTAGTTCTCCGTCGACAGATATCGTGCATCGTAGCGGCGACATGCACTGGATGAGAAAAAGTTTGGTTTAGGGGGGGAGGACTTGATTGAATAGAACCCTCTTCGACGTGGTGGCGGGGGTTTGACATACACTTCTGCTGGACGGTCTGTGTCGAGAAGTTCCCTCAGATCAGACAAAAACAAGGCCGGGAGATCGGGTAGTTGCTCCTCCTGGGGTTTATCTTCGCTGACTGCTTTTTCCAACACGTCTTCTGCAAAAAGACCTTTGCTGGGTGGTCCAGTCGTGTTGTCTTCCGGAGACACAATAAGGTCTGGAAAAGGACATTTGAAATCCTCGCAGTGCTTACCGGCCACAGCGTCAGATACACTGCTGCTTTCCTGCGTAGGAGGGTTTTCATGATAACCCAAGGTCAGTTGTGGGGGGCTTGCTTGTGGGCTTTCTTGTGGGCTTTGGGCACGGGCAGAACTAGTACCAGACGACTGCTGTAAGGACTTGCGTCGCATGATGACAGGCCGACGCTTCATGTTCTTTGCCTTGCTCGCCACAACAAACGCTTTCTTCTGCGTCTGCCGGGGCGCAGTGTCGCCCATCGTGGGCGCGGATGGGGGAACTGGAGTAGGGGGATTCGATGGTTTGCGAGTGGTGCTTTGACCGTCAATGTCCGTGAGAAGCAGACGAGTTGTCTTGTGTGGTTCACCGCTGGAACTTCCGTTTCTAGGCTTCTTCAAGATGGGATGAAGTGGCACCTTGCTGCTACTACCGCTTGGCTTTTCCGAAATCTTTCTCTCGTTTTGTTCCGTGGATGATCGAGCTGCTTTCGCCGCCTATTGAGATTAGAAAAGTCCCTTGACATGTATGCGGACCGTGTGCTAGCTCTGCAGCATCCTTACCCTGCTCAACTGCACTAAACTGAACGGATTGGGATCGGAGATACGCAAAAACAGGTTGGCTAGCGTAGATCCCCGGAGACTCTGACTCAGGCACTGGCTACCCCATATCCTCCAGAAGAAGTTTTCGAGTCGGTATCCCACATCGTCATCGTGCGCTGAGGGATTGGCACTGTAGACTGCGGCACAATGAGACATGTTACGTTCACGACAAGGAAGGCGCGGACGAGCCCACCTCTCCATAGCTGCACAACATCTCCAACATCCACCGGGCCCATGCCATCCAGCTCCGTCGATACCTTGGTCGCCGTGGTCAGCAAGCCTTTGGGGAGACTCTCCATGATGAGAAGTGCCAAGGCTGTGGTCTAGCTCAGAAGTAAGTAGGAGCTTGAACTCAAATCTCGTCCCAGCCAGCTACATGGTCAACAAAAGGAAGAGGCCGGGGGATTGCATGTGAGTGAAAGTGAGGTCAATGTCAGCACTGGCCGGGCGATGCTGTCAGTGTTGCGTCTGGCGGTGAATTGAGGGGCAGGGTTTGCCCGCCAAACGCAGGGGGGAGGGAGGAGGGGGGAAAGGGGTCCTGAGGGAATCGATCGCGATAAATGGCGGGAAGACGAGGCCGGGGCGAGCCAGGGGAAATTCTTTGTATTTGAAGACGGCGGTGGTTGGTGGGCGGGCCTGGGGGAGGGATCAGCTGCAAGGGCAGGAACGAAGACAGGCCGGAGATCTCCAGCCTGCAGCCTTAATGGTCGATGAGGCAAAAGCTGCCCGCGTCCAGGTGACCCGGCTGGGTCGGTCCATCCACTCTTCCCTCTTCCTGCAATTCACTCCCAGCCTGCACGCTGACTGCAGCCTGCACCTCTGCATTCCCCAGAAGAGGTCAAGTTGACCTGTCCATTTTGCTGCCTTACCCCGGGGCTTGCCGGTGCTGCCCAGTGAAAGGGGACAAACGAAACCATCCGAGCAGCACACCCCAAGCACAGGCCATGGTTTCTTCCTATAGTGCCCAAACCAGGTGGAGCCCACCCACTCTTCAAATCCAGACAACAAGCAGCGGTAGTACTGACCCAGAGCAGAGTGAGTCGTCAAAAAAAAGGGATGGATCACACTGTCGTTAACCATGGTCACCAGCAGCAGGCAACCAAGAGGGATAACCCAGTGCCTCCGTCAACGTCGTCGGCTTCCCAGCAGCGATCACAACACCCGCTGTTAGCGCCCCCCGTGACCACCGGCACTCAGAAGAACCTCCAATCCTCCACCCCTGATAGGTCCCGGTCCCGATCCTCCCTTTCATACTCCGATTCCCATCGTCCAGGGGCTGACAGGACAGGGATCCAGGAACACAAGAAGATACCAGAGGCCTGTCAATTTGTTTGACCCCTATATATGACTAAGCTATGGGCATGGAGGACAATCATTGCAGGGGGGCACGGTGGCCAACTCGAGGACACCGCGTGGCCCGATTTCCTGCAGACACTCGCTTGCTGTTTTACGACGCCCGTTCCTACACGAGGTGAGGTCAGCTTACCTCGCACCTTTTGGGACGTCCCACCACCAGCTAACTCCCTCGCACTGGGCCGCGTCACTTGCCCTCCGGCGAGGTACCGCCCCTGCCAATTCAAGGAATATGGGGCCGTTCCCGAAGGAGTGGAACGATTCTTCCCTCGCTGTACGCTGACATTGACCTGGTATAGATCTGCAGAATGATTCACATTTATTCTCCGCTTACGATATTTCCAGGAAATGCATACCATCCCTGGCTCTCATTGGCTTGAGAAATCCATGGTGGTTGGACACTATTCTCCTTGATATGTCCGCGGATCGACAAATTGCTCCGAACCTTGTGGCAACGATGTTCATCCCTTGTACATATACCCAGATTGAGCTCTATGGTGTCCAGCAAGGCTTCGTGGGATTTGATCGTTCACCTGGTATATCCGACACCGTCGGTCCAGCTTGGATCTCAACCCGATAACCATCTCCACAAGGGAGATTGACAGATTCCCGGTTTTGCACATGTTATATTAGCATATCACCAATGACAAACCCTTAGCACGGCACAAGATACATGCTGCATGGTCTGATATAATGTATAATTATAATCCCTATCTGTGTAATTTTACCCCCTTTACATTAATATATCACAGCTTCCCAACGCACACAAATAGATTCTCGTTGGCATACATCACTACGTCACGGAGAAGGATGCACCGTCCCGGTGTCAACCCCAGATTGTGGGGAACTGGTCCTTATTTGCATAAGGCTCGGGCCGTACGAATTTAATTCCCAGAGCTTGACGGATACCATCTCCGCAATCAGTCCGATGATCTTCAGTCTCATGTTTCAGTATTATCTCGATACTATAACTCCTGATATACTCTCATTCACTGAACAGGATAGTGCAAGCTTGAGGTGCTAAACGAATGGGTTAATCCAAACCCCGACCCCTGTGTCGAAGACTGGGAAAGACTGGTCTTGGCCTGCTTCCAGTGATGATACGATTGCAGGACCAAGACAAGTAAGCAGGACGTGACCTGATCACCTGATCAGTATTAGTCCTGGGGACTCGCAGTACTTTAAAGGGCTGTATTAGTTCAGCTTACTTGGGTTTCATGTCATTTGTTTCGATACGTAACTTGGAATAGCCATAGAGTGGAAGATTATTGATTCCCCGACGCCCCTTCTTCAGTACAGATACTTCGTTCAGGTGGACAAGATAGATTCCATCATGGTACCTTGCACTGCTACCTGATTCAACTCTTCAGATAAACATACCTCAATCCCACGCGGATCGCTCCATTTAAAGAAAATCCATTCGGGCGAGGTGATCCACATGGCCAGCTGCCAGTGAAACATACTGCCACATATCAGGATACATTTCCACCCTGTCGGAGATTTGCAGACTCTGATTCGCAAAAGTAAACAAGACTTTCATCCGCAGTGAATCGGCCTCGTTCAATTCCCGAATGAGTCGCTGAAACAAGGCGGCTACGTAGTCGATCTGTTCCCCCCATGTTGGCTCCAGTTCATATACCGCAATTCCGTCGAGGATACACAGTATTTGCACATCATGAGGCACTTGCAAGGCCAGACGTCTGAATAAATCGCAAAGTGCTTTTATATTGTTAGCCTCGCAGGCGTTGAGGAAACCTTTATTGAGAAATTGTAAGTTTAGGGAGGTAAGCTTGTCACTGAAAAGAAGCTGCGTGATGAGGCTTCGCATCAGTCCGGTGGGACCGCTGAGTTCATCGTCTCCATTCTTGTCATCATGTAGCGATGCAAAGAAGAATAGAGGTAGGCAGTCGGGGCTGTTGATCAGGCTGGATATGAACGTCGAGACAAATACGGACATCGGGCTGACCATCGTTGCTGGGCTGGTGTCCAGACGACCATCCACTAATAGAAGGGATGACTGTGGGGCACGAAGCCACTCAGCAAATTCATCAGTCCTAGCAAGCCATCCCACTCGCCCGAGAGACCGCGATTTATATTTGCTGGCTTCTTGGAGGACAATATCAAGGTCTTGAGGCGCAATGTGCGGCGAGATGCCAAGTATTCCAAGCAGTTCAATTGGTGTTACCGTTGCTGTGGATTCGGTATCCCGAGAACTCGTGCTGTAGAGTGAAATGGATGAGCGAAGAGCCTCGTTCTCATGAGTCAGATCTGAGTACGCTGGTAGACGTCAGTTGGTTAGGTTGTTGTCCAAAGCATCCCAAAGAGAAAGCTTACCACGCTCCAAGCGAAATATCTGGCTTTGTTGGGTCTCATACTCTTCTCGAGACTCCTTCCACAGGGCCCTGAACTCGTATAAGAGCCCGGTCATCGCTTGCGCGCCAGATTGCTCCTTGTGAAAGGCAAAAATCTCCCTGTACTCAGCTCCAAGTTGCTTCTTTACCTCAGCGACTAGGACTTTTATGTCGCTGCGTGCTCCATGAAGCTCATCATGAAGGACCTTTATGTTCTCATTTGCTTCCAAACCCAATCGGTGAGACTCCGTGCTGTGATAGGCCGTGGTCGCTGAATTCTTTAGCTTCATGCGCTCCAATCGCTCCTTGATGGTCGCGAAGTAACGGTTCCAGTCGGATAGAACTTGATCGACCGTAAGCGTCTCCCGAATTCTTAAAGTTAGGACTTCCTTGACCTTTCGGTACCCTGATGATCGAGATTACTCATTGTTCAGGGAATGCGGATAACAACAGGGACATACATGGCTGCCTCTTTAGCAAGACATCAAGCAACCCTGGCAACGTCCTGACAAGGGTCCTGCAAAAATCCTTACAGAGCGCCTCGTCATCTTCGGTAGGATCTAAGTAGTTGTAGGCCGTCTGGATCGTCAAAATAGTCTCGGGAACGGTCTCGAAGGCTTCCAAGATTTTGCCTCTATTTTCGATTCCTCGCTTCGTCGTCTGAGCTTTATTTGTCAGTGAAATGTAGCATTTCAACCCAATGACAGATCGCATCACCTCGAAAACCAGGCCCAACACCCCTTTTACAACATTCAGCCCGTATTCGTCTGGTATGACATCCTTGAGCGGCGACAACAGCTCCAGACCCTGGATAGTAGCGGACGCAAAACCGTGGCGAGATGAGCCTGCTTCCCTCGCTTCATCTAGTGTTTTCAGAACCATCTGCCATGAGTATTGATAAAATTTCGGCTCGTCGGGTGACGCGGTGGTGTCATGTTGTTTTAGAAGATTTTCCAGATCTCTGTGAGCGCATTAGATCGTGGAAAGATCAACGGACAGCGAGTCGTACCTGATAGTGGCCAGCTCGGCGGGGACGTATCTCTCCTGGAGCTCGTCATATTTGCTCTCGACGGCGAAGGCGGGGTGAAAGTCGCGGCCCCGCTGCTCGATCCACGCCCGGCTTTTCGTATTCCCAGCCTCGTCAGCCGCGCCTGCCTTTGGCTTCCGCAGCCCATGGAAGAAATGTGCCATCTGGCAGTTAGGAACTCAATCCAGGGATCCTTATCTGCTTGTTGCTGCTATATGCAGGGGGTCATTGCTGATTCTGTACTCAACGCTCCGTCCCACTCTCCGAGTAAATAGTGAGTTGCTATCTATACTTAGCTCTCGGCTTGCTTTTTTCTGATACGAGTTTCATAAGCGCTAGTGAGACTGATCTTCTGTTCTCCCCCAATAACAGGCCGGCCGCTGTATGCACTTGACCAGCAGTGTTTTCGACCTTGCTTTTTGCAGACCATGCCGTTTATTTATTCGTGAGTTGGGTGGCTAGTATCGCTTGGCCCCTGACAGTTCACTATGGCAGTGAGCACTAGTCTGGATCCCGAGTCCGGTGACACGCCACATTACGAGGCACCGGACCATGCTGCAAAGCTGCGAGAGACTTATCTCAATTGTCGCCAGCCGAGGTGGGGAATTGGCCCCCACTCCCCTGTCCCGACTCGAGGACTTGAAGATGTCTGATAACAAGTTTATATATCTGCAGGACGGCTGCACACGGAGCACCGCGAGGGATATCCTCTACTCAGAAGTGACATTTCTAGCAGACTAAATTGAGCGCAGACCCGCCGCAGGGTCTTAATTGCAACCGCCATGGAGGCCACAAATCGGCCAGAAAGCCCTGGACACTCTTCCACGAAACAATTAGACGACTCGGATGCATTGCATGAGGTCAACACAGCGGAAGATCCGAGCCCCCAACAGGAAGCCAGGTCACAGAGTGCCCACCAAGATGCTGAGCAGCTGGAAACTCATCGTGATGATACGGATGATGCAGATGACACGGATGACGACAGCCAGACAGACGGCGAAGAGGAGCACGGTGTGGACGAAGAAAGCTGGAATGCAGAAGATGCATTCAGAGATCGAAACATTAATGTGGGAGTTAAATATTATGATTACCAAGGATTCATGAACCGGATGGCGGACGACAACGGCGACTACACGATTGAAGCTTTGGTCAGTATCTCTGCCTGGTGGAAGGACTTGGAACGGGAGAAAAAAAGGCGCTTAGCGTATCCTGGACCTCCCACCGAGTTTCACGAGATGGCAGCGCCGTCAGAAGGAGTCGCCGAGACCTTGCAGCTCCAGAGAGTGCGGATTCGCTCCCCGGAAATCCTTCGACGGCTTGCCGAACTCGGGGAGTGGAATGAAAGTAGCATGGCCCCTCCAAAGTCAGTTTGTGTGTTTTGCCGCCCATTTCATGCTTTGGCCTACTTTCACAGAGGGATGAAGCAAAAGCTGGAGAAACTGGTGTCTGACCAGCAAGAATCGGATGCGGCGTCTGACTCGACCGCCATCGACGAAATGCGATGCTATGTCACCTTTGTGGAAGAAAGGATACTGCCTTTATGGAAGAGATTCGAGCATGTGACTAGGAGTACCCCGAACAAGATCCGATACGACGAACTCTCCTTCCTCTTCCGCCCGGGGGACTTGGTCTATGTCCCATCTGTGGCTACTAGTACCAAGGCACGCCATCAGTCTGCTATTCAGAATGTGTTCCGCCTGGCATCTCTCCGGCCGGAAGACCACATGTGGCAAACGGACCCCGGGGGCTGGTTTGTCCCAAACTCTTTAGCGAGGTGGAGTATATATTGCTTTGATCATGACGGGGAGGAACTAAGAGTGATATGGCAGTCGCTGGAAATCCCTCACTTCTCCGGCGAGCAAGATGTCACTGCCTTGCCATGTTACCCTCTGAGATTTCACCCCGACCATGCAACAATTCTCAAAGCGCAGGCCGAGACCGGGAAGCTCTTCAAGGAGTTGGTCAAAGCGCAGAACAAGCATCAGTACTATTCCGGGTGGAGCCTATCAACAGGTATTTTCAAGGAGAGTGTTGAGACCGATGAGCCCGAGCATATAGAGAGTGAGGTAATCATTGACATCAAAGAGGCATCGAGACACGTCCCAGAGACCTATCCCGTCGACACTAAACGGTATGAAGAAACGTTCCACGATTCTTGGGCCACGGTTGTTGATGAAAACGTCTCTTTCCGACTATGGGGGAAAGATCAATACCCCCGGTTCCATGAAAAGAACGAGGATTTGCTGGTTCGAGAAGACTATACATATGCGAAGGAAGCACAAGCCTACAAGAACAAAAACCCCTACATAGACAACAACGACACATTCTCGAAGCAAACATGGTCCGATGAGGACTTTGCTCTTCTTCCAAGAAGAGTCCTCGGATACGTTCTACGCGAGAGGAGATTTACGCGGCTGGATGTTCACAGTTTCGACTTACGTCGAGTACTCGACGAGAAGATTACGCTGGACCATGTGCAGATAAAGCCTGGACACAGGAGAATTATCCGATCAACGGTGTCATCACACTTTGCCAAGGTCCAGCGCGAGCGAATTCGTGATACCATCTTATATACTCCCGATATGATCCGAGGGAAGGGACGAGGACTAGTGATCCTCTTGCACGGAGCACCTGGAGTAGGTAAGACAGCAACTGCTGAGGCAGTGGCGCTGGAGTTTGAGAAGCCTCTATTTCCTATCACGTGCGGCGACCTAGGAACAACTCCGGAGGCTGTCGAGAAGTCGCTGAAGGATATCTTTCGCTTTGCTCATCTCTGGGATTGTATTCTGCTCCTGGATGAGGCCGATGTTTTTCTCACACAGAGAGATCGAACTGATGTTGAACGAAATGCTTTGGTTTCAGGTATTTACCAACATCCACCTCCAACTAAATCCAGCTAACCCTGTGCAGTGTTTCTAAGGGTGTTGGAGTACTACAGTGGTATTCTCTTCCTTACTACGAATCGGGTGGGGGCCCTCGACGAAGCATTCCGTTCACGAGTGCATCTCAGTCTCTATTACCCTCACCTGAACTGTGACGATACTATCTCCATCCTATCCAGCAATCTGGCGCGGCTTCCTCGGACGGACAAGGTTCCAAAAGGAACTACTATTGGAAATGGACATATCCACGTGATGGATAAGGAAATTATCGAGTTTGTTAAGACGGAATACGAGAAAACCTACAGGACTCATCGACGAGGCCCATGGAATGGGCGGCAGATCCGCAACGCCGTGCAAATAGCATCTTGTCTCGCCCTCTTCGACCAACGGGACAAATCGACCGACAATGACCTACCGGTAGTCCTCACCGCAGAGCACTTCCGGACAGTCAACGATACAATCGAGGAATTCGACCGATATCTGGTCAAGGCCCGACGCGCCGACGATCGTAAACTAGCCCACATGGAAGGCCTTCGATACGATGCGTACGAGCCCGGCCTCCCACGGGAACCCGCTGCATACGATAGCTTCAGTGGATACGACTCCGACAACCACCCAGTGGAACAACCTCCTCGACGTAACGTGGTAGCCCGAACACCCCAAAGACAGACTCCATATGCAAGCTCAGCAGGTGGACGTGTCACAGCTGGAAGATACTCCTCCGGGCGCAAACGAGGACCGATGTACGAAACCCAGCGATATCCAGAGGACGAATTCCTCGATGACGACATGTATGCCCCGAGTCCCGCTCCCGGACGTAGATTCGAAGGCGGCCCTGGCTCCCACGTGAGCGCCTCTGAGCCGCCTCGCTCGAGGGCTCCGCCGAGATCATTGCCAAGAAAAGAAGAGATGTATGACGAGGACATCTACCCAGAAGTCGAAGATCATCTCGAAGAGGGCTACCATTTAGCGACGGAAGCAGAGGGACCGCGATCGACCCCTCGCAGTGTGGCAAGGAATGCCAGATATGTTGGAGATTATTCTCCTGCGCCAGGTCGCAGGACAAGGGCGTCATACCTGGAAGAGACTGGTGCTCCGCCTAGGCCTCCGCATCTGGAGGTGGATTAAGAGCTGGAGGGGTTTAAAGAATAATGATTCAATGCATTTTGGGACTGCATAACCTATATCTTACGTCCCAAAGTCTGCATATCCCGATGAGTGCTTTTGCTTCTACGCGAATGTACAAGCCCATAACCAATAATTCTAACGGTTCCCAGTTGATGAAGGTGAGTCTAGGTGGGGTTTATACCTTACAGTTATATTCTCAGACACTGCAAGGAAACATATCTTTATCATTCTAGAGAATTAAAGACCAGAACAAAAGTCATCAATCCTCCCCGACTCAACAAGCTGCATGAGCTTATTTTCCTCAGCAAAAAGCAACATATTCGATGATCCTTGCTCAAATGCAGGCCAGGAGAAGTAACTACTGTTATTGGGATTGGCTGCAGCATCTCCGATGGAAAGCCGGACTGGACCGCGCGAAGGGTCCTCCGCAAACGAGAGCCACAGTGCTTCCATGGCATAGCTGACGTCCCACTCATATTGGGTGGACGGACCACCGTACTCGTAGTGTGTGCCGAATAAAAGGGGTAGTTCTGAGCTATGGTAGGCTCCGAACCAAGGTAATGGTGAGATGTTGGAGAAGTTTCCTGCGTACTGGTACCGGTATGTGGTGAGACCTCCAAGATTGCGGTTTTTGACTTCCTCCGCGACGGGACAGGCGATTATGGACTCGGTTAGGTTGAAGAGAGTGGCTTCGCTGGGTCCGCTGGGGGTTAATGATACGAACCCGGCGCCTTCATTTGTATTGCTCCCCGTTAACAGAGGCTGGGCCGGTCAGTAGGGCTGCTATGGTAGGGAGTTGGGGAAGGTTGGCTTACAATTTTGGCGACCTTTCCTTCAACTGCACGCTCGGTCCAATTTGCAAAGACGGTCTTATTATCGACAGATGGCATGAATGAGATTGAGGGTGAGCCTGAGTAAGTTGAGAGAGCAGTCTGCAGTGTTCGTGCAGACACATTCTGCATACAGCTGATCTCTTCTGTAGAGAGTCCACCGCAGCCGACAAGATCGGCCAAGAAAGTGAAGTTCGTATGGGCGTAGTCTTTGTTGTCAATGATACCCGGAGCACCCGAGTCAGCTATAAGAGCAGCGACAATAGGGTTGTCGGGATATCCGTAGGAGTAAGCTGTGACACTGCCTGCTCCAGCGGACTGGCCCCAAAGGGCGATTCGCGCGGGATCACCGCCGAAATTCGCAATGTTGGCCTCTACCCATTCGATACTTCATGACATGTCTGTTAGCATGTAGTCCCCTCTATTATCTCGTAGGTACTTACGCCATTCTTTGGTCCAGAAAACCAACATTCTGATCAACTAGTCCTGCAGCGTTTGGGAAGCCAAAAACATTCACCCGATAGCTGGAACACTGTCAGAAAAGCGTATGGTCTGTGTAGGCACTCCAGTCGCTTACTTCATCACTACTACAATATGGGACTGTGTCCTCTGTACCCATTTGTCGGGGATCTTGTACAACGAAGCTTCACCTCCACTCGTGAAACCCCCTCCAGGGATGTAGAGCAACACTGGAAGTGGGCGTTGTTGCGATTGGATTTTCTCAATGCGAGGTGTCCAAATCGACAGGTAAAGACAATCCTCCGAGTCCCCTCCAGCAATTCGAAACCCCTTCTCATAGGTTGTGTAGATTGTGGAGGTATTGCTGGTCTGCTGGATACAGGACGAAGGTAGTGCAAACGCATTAACCGTCCCGTTGGACTGTTTCCTTACCGGACTACTAAAACGAAGGTCACCCACTGGAGGCTCTGCGAAGGGGACACCAAGGAATTGTCGAACATCAGGGGCTGTCTGGTTGAAGAAGCCTTGTATAGGGCCGCTAGAAGTTTGAACGAGGAGTCCTTCCCCATTCGTGTCCCTTATGGCTGGGGAGATGGGGGAGGCCAAGCCCCTGGATATTAAAGAAGCCGTGAGTGCACAAACACGTAAGAATAGCATATTGATTATGCGTTTGTATGAGGATTAATCTGGAAAGTTGGGCAGAAGGAAAGCTGATTATATACCTTTTCACAGCAGCGCAGTAGGCCCCCCCCCCCACCTTGCGAGAATGCTAGGCAGCGGACTTCCAGAATAGTTCAACTGCCCATGAAGGGGGTAAAGGTTATAAAGCTCCCCTCTTTCAGGAAAAGATATCAGCCGTCAAACTCTTCCATTTCCCCAGATGATGCCATGCCTGAGTCCGAGGTGCCGAACCTGGTCCACTTTGTCAGGCAGGCTTCCGTCAATCCCTCAGTGAGTCAGAATATCACAATATTTGCTACTTCAGTATGACGATAGTTAAGTCCTGTCTTTCATAGTGTTGTGTGTCGCTCATAAAGCCATGGAAGTCGATGCTGGGTATTGGGGATGTGGTATCCATAGCTCATCAACAATTCGCTTCGAGCTCCGCAATCGACCCATCTTTCCGTTGACAGAAGCCGAAGACTGGCCAAAGTTGGAGTATAGTCAGCGTCATTGGCGACAATTCCTTCAGACCACTTGCAGGGATTCATGACCGGACCCTGACGCTCGGATCTAGAGAAAGCATGAGGAACAGAGATGCAGGGTCATGGTTGCGGGGTAAAGCTGGGGTAAATCCTCCCCCAACCGAGGCGGGGAATAATTTCGGCTGAGCCTTTTCCCTCCGGACAAATCACACCAGCTCGTCAAACTCCCACCAGCAACCTACAGCGGATTAATATAAATTGAGCTCTGTCGGTCAGCCGTACTAGTCCATGTTTTTCATTCATCAGGCAATGCGCAACCTACGCAACCTGCCCAAAGGAACGTATACCCGCATCTTCCCTCTTGACCAACATACAGCCTTGCCTATCAGGCATGGAGATGGTTGCACCTTCACTTGTGAGATACTATATTGTGCATGTAATTGCCAACACAGCGGTCCTGGCCGGATGTCAATTCGGGAATGAACCGGGACTGTGTCTCAATATGAAGACATTGTGACGAAGGAATGCGATTGTTAGCATTGTGAGAGAAATTCCCAAAGATCAGAGACAACATTTTCGTATTTCCAGTCGACCAACACTGCAGATAATTTGAAAGGGTACTGGGGATGGCGAGAGAGTCCAACCGAGGCAGCCTCGTAGGGCGGGTGTAAACCTTCCCGATCCGGTTAAGCCACGCTTGACTGGTTCTGGACATTCCCCGCTGAGCGTCATCCGGGTTGCCTAATCTGGAAGACCGGACTTTGTTCCGTACCTACCAGGATCCTCTAGTATCCCCCAGCATCCCGCAGTCTCCTGAGAGTGTTCGGCACTTTGGCCTTACTTGCCGTGCAAGGCAAGATTCCATGTATGCATCTCGCACCAAGATCCTAGTCTAACCCCTCTGACCCGGCCATTTCTGAGTCTAAACCCTGCTGCAGCCCCTGAGGTCCTCTTCAAACAATGTGCGACACCCATCAACGCAAAAACTGGCATTTTCATTCTGAAATTGGTCCTTGTGGGTGCAAGTAGTATGGTGGGATTCTATACTTTCATCTTGGAATCACCTAAAGTTAAGTCGATACTCCATGAGAACCAGTACATCCTGACACCTTAGTGGTTCCAGATATGTTCTTCGAGAACATACATTCACCATTGGACGCTGTAATGATTGATACAAAGTGCTTCATGTAGTGAGCTCGTTGTGTAGTGCTCGGTCAAGCAGAGCAATCGATATGCATGCCTCCCATGGCCTGCTTGATACAATCCAGGAGGTTGACGGCGTGTTACTCAGTGTTTTGGCTGATTGAGATGGATCGTATCATAATCTCACTCCTAACCAGCAGTATCTAATAAGGAATCAAGACACATTCACATGTTGCTCTGATACTATACGATACAGGTGCTTGTGGCAATCTTTCAGTGGATTACCAGCTCCCCTGGGCCAGTTGTAGAATGATAGGACTGTATTTACTTGTTTCATGCGACCGGAAGGCAGGATACCACAAGACAAAATTAGGCTTTGACTAATGTGTTGGATAAGGAGAAAGGCGTTAAGCATAAAGGTTTCCCGGGAGGTAATACTAACAGGAAGAGAGGTTACTGGGAAAAAAAGGAAGTACCAGAAGCGGGCACCCGACTCTCAGACCGTGCTGTCCGCCTGAGTCGGCGCTAAGTGTTCTCCTCGCAAGGATTGCCAGTGTCAGACACAGTTTCCTCCATACAGATGGATCGTACAGGGCTGCGCCAAGTCTGGCATCCTACGGTAGGCAGTGGGACTTGGAGTGTCCAACATCAGTTGGAGATTGGCCAATACCGGAGATGGTATTGGATGCCTGAGTTGGGCATGGGCTGATATTTGCAGCCTTAGACAGAGGGTGAGAGTAATTCTTTATCCGTGGAAGGCGTTGCAAACGCAGCTTTTCGCTATCCACATCAATCCGGTTTAAAACATAGCACCTTATCCTGAGCTGTGTTTCCATAACCTGACACAAGTAGGGATGTGGACTTGCAATGCACCCTACAGTCTTTTTTGTAATTTTTGGCCCCTTTGTCTGGAGGGGTTCAGATCCAGTGAATACCTGGGTTGACTGGGGGAACTGAAAAGCATAAAATACCGCCATCCCACGCATAAGCCTCAATATTAAGCTTAGTGGGTATTGGTGAGACCGGGTAAACGGCCTCGGTAGTGGATGCACCTGCGCTGACTCTTCAGTCCAGCTGACTGGTCCCTCCTACCTTTCCTCGGGGAATAGGCAGAATCAAAGACAGCACACAGCTGAGCCTGGGTTACACAAGAGTGCATGCTGCTTATAAAGAATAACAGGGCGTACAGCACACCGGAATAAGTAAGCAGTTCCATCTCTAATAGACTTGGGTAGGTAGGTCGCCCTGTGGGATAAGCAATATTAATAAATGCCTCAGTGGCGTTGGACCATTGAGCGGCTGGAGACCGCCATGGCGACACAAGCAGGCTAAGCATTTGGACTCCATGGGAAAAACTCCGAGACAGCGAGAGGATCAGAATCTGACCCCCCGATCGGACCACTCAAATCCGCCTGCGATCCAGTTGCCCCGGCTTGGCCAGATCCAGCCATGGTGGGGAAATCCCGTGGTGTCAACAGTCACGCGGCCCTCCCAACATTGGCGCGCCATGACATCGTCCTTCCCATGGCCTGACCGCTCAGGCGCATTCCCACCTCAGCTCCGTCTCTCTGCTTTTTCCCGGCCTCCCTCCTCTCCCGGGCATCCTGGAATGCACTGATGACCTGTTCTGTGTACTGACTCGGTGAGCCGCTATCACATTCCCATTATGACTTCATCTCGCGTATGATGTACTAACCTTACTATAGCCACCTCCCAATCAGTCCCTCAGGTTGAGGTCCGATCCAAGACTGCCGGCCGGACGGTGGACCTGAGTATCGGACAACATCCGTTGCTCACGCCCTCGGATAAAGGATTTCGGTTTTCAAGACACGATACCGCCCGTAACGTGGGTCTGGCCTGTACTGTGTATCGGTCTATCGGAGTGCCTGGACGCGGGGCTAAAGCCCGGGGTGCTTTAGTATTGCGGAGATAGAGGGAACCACGGTTGGGATGCCCCAGAGGATCCCAGGCCTTCGATTGGTGGAATGCGGCAACTGGAGCCGAACTAACCAGGCCCCCGGCCGTCGGAGAGTCGCCGCTAGTTCAACAACAGTTAACCAGTGCTATGCATAAGATCCAACCATGTGGCGTCTGGTGGAATATCAGACACATTACGGAGGCCGTACGCCGTTCGGTTGAGACCCAAGGATCCCCCCCCGGTGAGAAGGTGAGGTATCGCTTCCATTCTACCCCGTACAGAGGTCTCCATCCTGGACTCCTGGTTGCACATCGGTATCCATCTCTCCCTTGCATGCGGGGCCATGGCAAGCTGATGAACGTCATCCCGGCCAGATCGTTCGGCAACAGTCCGGTGTTTGGAGGGGGTGGACGATTCATCAGCCCACGTACAGAGACCCCCACGGTTGATTGCTTCTAGGACTAGTGCTCTGTCTCTTGACTTTTCTACGAGCCGGCCCCCAGGAGTAACAATGGCTGCTCTCTCTTTTCCTTTCTATCTTCTGCCTTTCCCCCCTTTCCGGAGCCCTCCCTGCAACACCTGAGATCCCCCTTCTTACGGAACTTAGGCACAATGCAAGGTCAAGCGCTCCGTTACGCGCAAATTCTCTTGGTTGCTTGCCCCTCCTTTATCTTATTCGGTTACAACCAGTCGGGCGTCGGAGGTCTCGATGATTTCCCCTCCTGGGTCAAAGTGTTTCCAGAAATCGATACTATCCATACAACAGGGGCCCAGAAATCCCACAATGCCACTGTCCAAGGTGCTGTGGTCGCGTCGTACACAATTGGGGCGCTTTTTGGATCTTTAATTTGCATGATCGTTGGAGACATGCTTGGTCGTCGCCGTACGATCTTCTGTGGCGCAGTGATTGCATTGATCGGCCAGGCGTTGGAGTGCACCGCGTACTCCCTCGCTCAATTCGTGGTCGGCAGAGTGGTTCTGGGATGGGGTGTCGGCATGCTGAGTGCAACTGTACCGGTCTGGCAATCGGAGTGCGCGCCTGCCGCTCAGCGAGGACGAAACGTGGTGTTGACCGGCATGTTCATCGCCTTTGGTTTTGCCTTGACGCAGTGGGTCAACTTCGGTTTCTATCAGATCGAGAATTCTCCTGCTTCGTGGAGAGGCTCTCTTGCTATCCCAGCATTGTTTTCTTTTATCATCATGGGCAGCATCTTCTTCCTTCCCGAGTCCCCTCGCTGGCTCGTCATGAAGAATAGATCGGACTTGGCGCAATCCACTCTGGCGTCTCTGAGAGGCCAAGGGATGGACTCGTTGGAGGTTGTTGGGGAACTTCGTGCTTACGAGATTTCTCTGGAAGAATCATCGAACCACACACTTAGACTCGCAGACATCTTCACAATGGGAGAGGAGAAGCTCTTGTATCGGTTTATTTTGTGTATCACCCTCCAGTTCTTCCAGCAAATGACCGGTGGGACCCTCATTTCAGTCTACATCCCTCTCATCTTCCAGACCGATCTTGGACTCGGTGCCAGTCTGTCCAAGATCCTGGCTGCATGCGCGTTGACGTGGAAATTCCTCTGCTGCTTTGTGGGCTTTGCCATCATTGACCGCATGGGACGGCGGACGGCGTTCATGGTCAGTGGCGGCGGCATGGCCATGTGCATGCTGGCGTTGGCGGTCTCGAACTCCTTCACCAACAACCATACGGCTTCCATTATCTCCGCCCTGTTCATCTTCATTTACAACTTCTTCCTTCCGATCGGCTTTTTGGGCGCTAACTTCCTTTACCCCGCCGAGGTTGCCCCTGCTCGTCTTCGAGTCGCCATGCAGGCTATCTCGATTGCCAATCAATGGCTATGGTATGGAGCTTTTCCTCCCTCCTCCAATCTCAGCTAACCCTTTCTCTTCTAGGATGTTTGTCGTCGCAATGATTACCCCGGTCGCCATTGACGATATCGGATACCGCTACTATATTGTGTACGCCGTCATCGGTGGCATCATCCCTCCTATAATCTATCTATTCTACCCCGAGACCAAGGGCCGGTCCCTTGAAGAGGTGGACGAGATCTTCCGTGATGCTCCCTCCATCTTCGCCGCCGTGTCGATGTCGAAACACCTGCCGGTCGGAGACAGGATTCTGGAGCGTGTCATGGAAGAGAAGGCAACGGTTGAAGAAATAGAGTGAAGGAACACAAGACGAGTTTAGACGAAACTTACGATATTATCATGTGTGCCGATAGACATAGATCTGCACTTTCCAATGCTACAGACATCTGCGATGCCATGTATTGATGTGAAAAATTACTCGCTCTTGAAGGGTAGATGTATGGCTAGACATAAGGAAAGCGCCCAGTAATGGGACGACAGGATTATCCACCCATCGCGATGTCCCAATTTTGTGAATATCTCCTTTCCCGCCCAGTATTTTCCACCTGCTCCATTTTATCTCCCCTTCATCATCAATCACTCTTTTCTAGGGCGTATCTTCCGGGACGAGTAAATTTTCAGCTCAAACACAGTGGCTAGATTCTCTGTATCTCGCCAGATCCACCACGGATGTGATCCCCCAACTTTAGCTAAATCCACTTTTCCAACCTAGCCATGCAATATTCATCGCGAACAATGGACACCAGGCCACCGAGATTGAACATGTCTGATGTGCGACCTGGCCTCGCAGGATGAAATAATCCAGAGCGGGTACTTTGCCGACAACTGATATCATAAGCAATCTTTCTGCAATCTCTTATGCAATCTTTTGTGCATACATTGTTGATCATTTATGTAGGAAGCCGGGTCTAGACCATGCAGTATCTTTGAGTGGTTTTCTAGATAGTTTGTTGCTACCAACTGGCTTCTCATACTGGCTATACTAGTTCAATCCTCCACAATTTACCACAATGGTCTACGTCTACTCAGGATGTGAAAGCCTACTACTCTCATCATACGTGCCAATGTGTCTCTTCGTTGAACTGGCCGATTTCCCGGACCGACTCAAATCGATGGACGGAATCAAAAGCCAAATCACAACAATACGTAGTCAAAAAAACCCACAAGCTCTCAGCAAATCCACGTCGTAGCTTGGACTAGTACCATCCTCTCCCTCTCTCAAACCCCCCAAACATATGCCTTCATAATTGAATCAGCACGGCGATTGCCCTTCGCCAGAATCTCATAATTCTCACAAACATCCAAAACCTCATAATTCTCCACCTCCTCCCCCCTCGCCTGCTCACAGCACGCACAGGCAAAGGTACAATGACCCACCACCCCAGGCCTCAACTCACTCCTCTGCTTCTCGCAGCACCCACAACCTCTAGCACAACACCCACCCCGTTTCGCACAATCATCTCGCAACCGCTTCGACAGCTGCCAATTCTTCCTCTTCCAGTGCGCCTTGATCGCCCTACCAAAAGGCTTATCACCTTCCTCCTTGAGCATGGACTGATACGTCTTCTCGACCGCCCCAATGTATCTCTCCAGCTCCTTCAAGTTCAGTTCGACCGCAATGAGCTCTTTCTCGAGATTGTCTGCCACGTTTCCCCCAACGATGTGGTCCAGCTGTTTCAGGATCGTCGCTCGCCTTTCCATAAACATGCCCTCGTATTGAGCGTTCATGCGTCGGCTGAAATCGTTGGTCAGAAGAATGGTGATCGCCTCGATCTCTTTGGCCGTCAGCAGGCCTTGTCGGTTTTGCTGGATCCGACGGATTCGTTGGGCTAGTTTCCATGCTCCGGTGGTGTCGAGACCGGTCTCGAGGAGATTGAGGATACGATCGAAGAGGGGGGACTTGGGAGCCATGGCTTTGAGATGAGGGTTTCCTTGACTGGAGTGAGTGATAGGGAAGAGGGCTTGAGGAGTGGGGATAATGAAAAGAGGGGACTGGAGGTCATTTAAAAACCGATGCACGCTCGTTGGGGGTTACCTCCATGCTTGATGTCATGCTCGCTAAGGGCCGGAAATTCATTTCGCTCAACTCAACTTGTCATTTGCGTCCATGGAATGTCCCGCTGTTGTCAAAAGCGAGAGATTTCATTTGACAGGAACACATGGGTTTAACTCAAACTAATACCATTTGGTCGGTATTACCCAGAGATGATGTAGTAGTATGACTGATATTCCGATAAATCAATACGTATGGAGAGGATCACCAGGGAAGATACCACCCGTTCCATGTAACATTAAGCAATCCGTTAATTGAAGCGTAGAAGGCAGAATCATCACTTCTCCTTAAATCCCATCCAACCCCAATATAACGAGATACGAGATACCACAAACGACCAATCCATAAGAACGTCCACTGCCCCCTCCCCACAACCATCATCCTCAACCAACGCCACCTCAATCCAATCCAACCCATCCATCTACTCCCTCCTCAACTCGTTACGCATATCTTCCCACCAAACCACCAATCAGTCAGCCATCAACCCCAATCCAATCCATTCCACATCAAAACAAGGCAAGCGAAAACCCCCACCCAAACTCACCAAACAAAAACGTGAAATCAAGTCCCATCATAAGCCCCCAGCCATCCACATCAAAGTAATCTTTGATATTCGCATCATCTTCGAACGCAGCCTCCGGAAGCATATCGATTGTTTCGATGGCCGCGGACAAGAAATTCATTGCCAGGGTGGCGGACCATCCGTTACCGGGTGTCAGGTGGATGAATCGCATGAAGGGCTCCCAACCGCCCAGAGCATCGACGATTTTTTGTTCGTGGGGGGAAAGAGGACGGGGTGCTGGGGGGGGGGGGGGGATTGAGATGAGGTTAGGTTTGGGATGGTGAGTGGGAGGGGGGTGGAACTTACGGGTGGTTGGGCATGTTGATTGTGATGATAATTGTGTTTTGTTAGATGGAGTGTGGTTTGGAGGGAGGTTAAGGGGTGGGATACTTTGGGTAGAGGGAAAATGAGGGAGGGAGGGGGGGGGGAGGAATAGAAGGCTTGGGGTGGGGTTATATAGTACTACTACTGGTATAACACAATGCTTGGGCGGTAGTGAATGAAGGGTATAGAGCATAGGGATGGATGGATGGAGTGGAAGTGAATAGTAGCTTCAGGGCGTGATTGATTTGCTTTAGTATACATTAGAGTGTAGTAGTTTGTTGTCATGGAACTCTTGGGTTCACCTGGAGTCGGTTGTAGGGATTGTTAGAGGTTTGTGAATAGATTCATGTTGGGTTGTGTGTTGTGTTCTTATGATATAGCCCCTGTGCACTTACTACAAGACTTCTGCTAAATGCTAGCTAGTAATTCTCTTACTACTTTCTCCCCCTTCCATTCTCTGGCCTTCCATCCCAATCAAAAGTCTCAAACAATTCCATTTCAAGCGGTGAAAATTCTGCTACAACACTCAAGGCGGGGCAGGTGGTACAAGTGAAAAAGTATAAACTGGTTGTAGCCTGGCCGGTATGCCTTGTAGTGCGTCCCTCATTCTTCCTCTCTTCCTCCTCAAAAGGTCCCTCTGTGGTTATTGTGGAGAGTATCAAAACCCATTTGTTGTCTTCACCTTCAGACTCGCTAACCAAGCGACATCCTTTCTACATCCGTCCCCGACCTGCATTTGCGGCGTTTTCCACAAGAATCATTCTCCTTCCAACCCGTACAATGGCCGAATCGGAGAATTGTTGCTGCTTCCCAAGACCTCTAGGCGAGGACACCTATGTCCATTGGTCTCGAATGGACTTTGGTTGGGAAAACGGATGCCATATCGCCGTGATAGGAGCATCAGGGACCGGCAAAACCTCCTTGGTGAATGCCCTGAGGGGATATCGAAACGGAGAGCATGGTGCGGCTCCAGTGGGCAGATCATCTGGGACGACTCGCGAGATACACAAGTCTCTTTTGAGTGATCGAACCCCTGTTTGGGTCCATGATATCCCTAGTGTTGATATGGACACGGTTGGGAAAGTGGGCTTTTTCAAGCAATACCTACTCGGCTTATATGATTGCGTTGTGGTGGTTTATTCGGGGTGGCTTCAACCGGTATGTTATGGAACCATGGATGTCTACTTGGGGGTTTCTTATATGGCTGATGCTGCTGTGAAAGGTTGATTTGAGAATCATCGAGGCCTGTGATTATCGCCGTGTGTCGGTTTGTCTTGTTCGGACCCAGTCCGACCGGTACATGCGCAAGATTATGGAAGATTGGGTGGCCTGGTCAGTTGATATGGCCAAAGATAGTCTTTCCAGGGACGCCCGTAACGATGTCGATGAAGCTTTTAAGAAAGCTGATCTTCCTGACAAATTGAAGCGAGATGTGTATCACATTAATAAGAATGGTTTGTATGGATACGTAACGCTTGGTCAGTCTGGACAATTTGGCGTCCATGAAGATTGTTTTGTTGAGAGACTGCATTCGTTTAAGAGACCTTATGAGTTTTGAGTATCCATATTGGTATTATTACGAGGTCTTTCAGCGGTGCCATTTGCATCACTACAAGAGTGGTTATTATTGTTTGGCTCTGTGTGGTCGGTCTTCTCTTTCAGATTGTTTTTCTCATGGCGGTATCTCTTTCGGCTCTTTGAGATTGTATGCTGTTTTTCGAGCCAGAAACGCTGTCATTGGTTTATCTTGATAGTGGCTTTATTGAAATGTGCTTCATATCACCAAACCAAATGTACTTGAAACAATATTGGCTAAATAACGCCATTCGGGTATAATGCATGACTCAACACAACTCCGCAATAGAAAGTCATGCTCACAAGAAAAACAATCTATTTCCCCTCCACCACTCACACCAACACATCACCACTGAAATCCTGAACATGCAACCCCGATGTAAGAAAGACAGAATGCCGGTAAAACTAATCTCCACCAGAAGGTCCACCGGCACCAACTTCTCAACTTGCTTGGAAGAATAACCTAGAGCATGCAGAAGCGTCTGCTTTCTTATCGTGGCTTCCTTCTCTTCAACCATCTGCTTTCGTCACTCCTCTTTGTTCATGTGACACTCCTTCAAGAAAGAATTCGCCTTCTTGATCATATCCTCCTGGTCCTAGGTTAGGCCGTTGAACGTGCCAAGCGCTGAGTCAACCTCCTGTCAGTCCGGTTGATACCAAACACCAACAGCTAATTTCTGGGTGAGCTCAAGTCAGGATACAGAGCAGTTTGACGCGCGCGAATGCCTCGTGTCTTTTCTTCATGATAAATTAGTGGATTATCGCTCTTGTGGATAGCTGAAGCTAGTCCCCACTCGTAGTTGGATCAGCTTGTCATGGCAATGAGGAGAATAATCAGTATTCTCACGAGCATAGTCACATTGGTACGTGATGCTCATCGTTCACATGCTCCTGCTCACCCTGTGTGGTGGTATCCGTGGTTTTGCTTCCACACTGGCGAGCAGTACTATACCAATGTCTGCCTCTGGAATAGACATGTCACTTATACAGATGATATCAGGGTTATTCTCATGAAGTTGGACAACCGAACAGACCAAAACATGGAATGTAAAATGTAGGTCGACGCCTTTCAACAAGGATGAACATGTCTTTCATGATTTGTCAATAATATCGGTGCCCCGTAGATAGACATACGTAAAGCTTTGATCGTGATGTTGCACGTTTCGTTCACTTGGTAATGGGTTATCTGTAGGATAGTTAGAAACTCTGATCATCGGGGTGGTGATCTAATCTGGGAGTATACTACACCATGTTATCGTCCGAGGATAGACCACAGAGTTTCATGCTCAGGGTGTGTCAAATGAGGACGGCCAATAACCAGCCACATTATATACCTGCATGGACTTGTCGACTGTATCTTTTGGGACTGTCCAGATCTTTGCCATGGTCCCTGACAGCACCCACAACATGTAATGTCCGACAAAGTTTGGTGGGGCTGAATCTGGATTAACTACATAGTTAATCAAGGTTCATTCCCCGGTCTTCCTGGGTGAGATTTTGTAGTGGAAGTATATATGTGGCTCGGAAAATTAGCACATTGATGAATTATCTGAGGGTCTGTATATTTGGATTAGATGAGGGATGGTGAAGAATATGAAGCAAGTAAGAGCAGGGATTATGGGCCCTTATGTAGGGGACGAAATGGCGGGTAACGTGATGAAGAAAAAGTCATATTCCATCTGTAGGTGGGAAGATCTCGAAGTGCTTTCTATCAGTGTCTGCTCTTTGCGTGTTTCTGGCGCTAGTTGCCTACTAACTCGATTTGGATTATGGGAGTGGGTATCAAGGTGCCGTGCTTTTGGTAATGTGGGAGTTCAGTCAAGCTGCGGGTCATCTCTTATGCTGGATAGGATGCATGCGCCACAAAGTATGGAATAATTCGTAGGGCTGAATATTTAACATTACTCTGGAACGCATATTGCGGCTGTAGTGGTGGTATGGTCTTCTTAGTCTGCACCTGTTTGTTTCTTCCAGGCTGTATGGGGTAGCCATGTGCAATGAGTGCACTGAAGGAATATTGTGAATGCCATGTTTTTTGTGATTGGATAAAGTTTCAAAAGATCTTCCTCAATATAATACTGTCAATTGAAAGGTACATAGTATGTGAGGAATGACAACAAACGCAAAGAAATCGCATCATGCGTATTGGTGACCTTTCTATCGTTTCAATTAATTGGTGTTCCACAGCAACAAAACCATCCGTACTTTAAAGTATCCTGGTATGCTCCGAGAACGGCCCAAATCAGAAATTTCTTCATAACAAATGCAACACATAGATCATCCCAGAGCTCAAGTATTAATTAAACACACCGCTAGAAATCAAACCCGTCTCCGAACCCAGTCCCGAAGTAATTTCGTACACCATGTCACGTAGAAAGAAAAGAACCCCAATGCTTTTAGGTCAGGGTGTAGCCACCGTCGACGCGAAGGTCAGCGCCCGTAACGTAGCGGGACGCATCACTGAGCAGGAATGTCACGGCGCCCATCAGGTCCTCCGGTGCACCCATCTTCCCGGTGGGAATCAGGGAAATCCACTTGTCGCGGAGCTCGGGGTTTTCGTCCAAGATCTTGCGAGTACTAGGCCATGTTAGTATCTGTCACATTTGCAGCTAGCGCGGAGACTTACAGTGCAGTCAGCATGTATCCAGGGCTGATGCAGTTGACGCGAATGTCGTGGCCGGCCCACTCAACGGCAAGGGAGGAGGCAAGGTGACGGACGGCTGCCTTGGCCGCGTTGTAAGGAGCCTGGGGCTGGGGGACGTTGACAATCGCACCAGACATGCTACCGATCATGACCATGCTACCAGAGGCCTTACGATCCATTAGGTGCTTGGCAACACCAGTAGCGAACAGGTAGGTTCCATCCACGACGACACCCCACAGCTTCTGCATCCGGTCGTGGGGGTATGAAATTGCATCAAAGTTCTCAGTAAAACCGGCGGAGGTAACGAGGTGATCAATCTTTTTGTGTTTCTCGAGTACTTCTGCGATGGCAGCGTTCACAGAGTCGGGCTTAGACACGTCTGCATAATGAGCGGTAACAGTCGGCATCCTGTCATTTCCATCAGTGTCTAACTTCTTCAGCTAAAGGTTGTCTAACGTACTGGTCAGCTTCTAATCCCGGATTTTCTTTCTGGAACTGCTCCACGAGCTTCTTAGCCTGGTCCTCGGCTTCCTCCTCTAGGGTGCGTTAGCAATTGCAAGTTTGCCCTAATGTACAAACACGTACTGTTCAAGTCGACAATGGCCAGGTCAGATCCCGAAGCCACAATAGCCTGAGACATGGTCAGTCCCAGGCCACGAGCACCTCCAGTCACGAGGGTGACTCTGTTCTCGAGGGAGAACTGGGCCAGGGTACGCTTGAAGTGCATTCCACCACGGCCCTGAACGATCGGAGACCGGGGCATGTTCTCATCATCGGGATACTCAATCTTGACATTCTCGTCGGTACGGGCAAAACGGCCTTCCTTCTCGCCTAATGTGCCCTCAGGAGCCTTGGTAGTTGCTGTTAATAAGGGATCCTTCTTAATCTTGTCATCATCTGTGTTGAAACGAGAGGCGGTCGAGGAGAGGGGCCGGACGAATGTGTTCAGCGATGGCCGTGCCAATACAGCTGGGCGTGAGGATTGGAAAACTGCCTTCGCGGCTTGACAAGCGACCGGGGGTTTGAACATTGTGTATAGCGACAAAGAGACTGAGAAACAACTATGTGATTGACGTCAGTGTTGGACAACGGCGACCACGTGGCAAAGGGATGGACCGATGTAAAGCGATCAGAAATCATAAAGCTGGGGGTCAAGGAGAACATGCACGGCGACTTACCTTCTTATATGCGGTAGACAGGTGGATGGGAACAGTGTGATGAAATTCGCTTCTACTTTGAGAAAGGAGAGTCGCGAAGCTCAAGGCAAAACACTTGGATCGATCGGGACGTGTGTCCACAAGGCGGCAACCCAATGGAACAGAAAAGAAATTGCGGAGAGCTCCCAAGGAGGTGAGTGGGCACAAGAGATTAATCCCAGTAAATAAAAGAGCTGGGAAATGTGAGAGGTAGCTAGGGGAGCATCGTGGAGCACCGCCAGTTGCGGTGAAACAGGGGCATTGCCAAGGGCAGCGAGGACGAGTCAGACCAGCACGACTGCCGGCATGATCCAGCTGACTGGCTGGCAGAGTGAGAATGGTCGATAGAATTCTTCCATTTTCGTTTTGGTGGTTTGTTTTTCTGTTGTCTCCGGATCCAAGGTGATGTCAGGCGGCGATGGAACCGTGGGCCAGGCCCCAACCGCCATGCAGCGATCGGACCGGGATCTGCAGTGGAGCGCCTTCCTCTTTCTTCGCCCCCGTGTGACTCGGCCACGCCTCCCCAGATTAGAAGCAGATACAGGAATTCCCTTCGGCCCTTCTTTTTCTTCTACCAAGTTCCTTATCCATGTTGGTATACACTATAACACCATCTGCTGACCGATCACCCCTCGGACACCCCAGAGTCCCGGTCTCGGGCCTTGATTATTCAGGATGCCGTGACTGCCAGCCCGAATGCAATACCAAAATGCATCGGATCCCCGAACTAAGTACCGGTATGAATGTTGCTTCTTAGCACTTGTCTTGACTTCAATGGTTCCCCATCCCCTCTGTCCACCTGACCAATATCCCTTAAAGCATAAGCAAGCATCTAAATATATCTCCTATCACATTGGTGACACCTCGCTTGAATCTTACCTAATGCAATTGGAACAAACCGTTCCTTATCAACCACACCAGAACTCTACCCCGGCCTGGAACCATGGTTAGCTGTCATGCCTGCACGCAACACGGCCTACACGTACTTTCTGGCCGCAGATGGCCATTGCCGCACACGCATGGGATCTTCCTCCTGAGCGGCAAAAATAAACATCCTGACCAGCAACATATCCATAACAACAATGGAGAAGGGCTAATTCGCCACCTCCTGGGCAAGGAGATGAGCAGGCAGGCAACATTGAACTTTGCCCTACCCCGGACCTTGGCTCCAATTTTCTCCTCCCCCAAGTCAACAATTAAACGTAATCCTACCGTGTTTCTGGACGGGGCCCCATATATTGATGGGTCCTGGTGTGGAGGCTGGTGACTCGGGCATCCCGTGCGCTAACCGGTGTCTCAGAAGTGGGGACGCGGATGGTTCGCGGACTATAGCTAGCTTCGTCTAGATCCATCCAAAATACTTGGTGCAACAGCTGTAAAAGCTGTTGTTTTGTGATGCTACTCTGATGTTAAGAGTGAACATACCATACACAATACAAGTCCGAAATTAGATGAATGGCTGCGTGGGCGAAAGAGTTTGCCCCAGTGGGTTTGTGCAGACTGCAGTGCCGTGCCGGGGATGAAGATAGTCAGATTGCTACACGGGTCATATCGTTATGCCGAAAAGGCTGGACTGGGGTATTGCGTCTTAGGTGTCCCCATGACATTCAGGCCCGGGACCTAGCTTCCGCGCCTACCCTATCTGGACACGGCGACGGGTCTTCCGTTGCAATGATTCGTGTCCATTTATCATTGTCACCGGAGATAAGTCGTCTACACTATACTCTGCAGTAACTCCATACATGCATCCAAGCCATTATTCCATAAGCCCCAGATTTTGTTTCCACCACAAATGACCACTTCTCATCGTCGCTGTCGATGCAGCCTCGTGACTGCGCATTCCTTACTCACCGCTCTCTTCTTCAAATTCAACCAGCGGTGTTCCGCTCTTGCATTGGTCCTGCAAGGTACCTGTTAGTCATCGCCAGTAATGGGTTGGGACGGTGGAGATTTTTGAGGTCCAAAGATAATCTCGTGGAAGATTGATGACAGGGTCTGTGCACTGCCCGTGGCGCGAGGAGGTAAACCAGCTGTCTCCTGGCAAGCCTTACCAAGGTCTGGCAGTTCCAGACTTCCAAGTCCTGGTCGTCCCCGGGCTGCGGACAGGCAGTAATCCCATGCGACAAAGCTCATATGGAGGACACCAATCTGGTGGCTGGGCAATAATAGAGCAGGGGAGGGGCTGTGTGACTTACTCCTTGTTGGTGTACCACTTTACAGATGGTTCCCCTCTGCGGACTGCGGATGACCGTTTCCATCTTCATACTCTCGATCACGACCAGGGGCTGATCCTTTTCAACCACATCGCCCGCCTGGACTTCGACTCGCAGTACCTTGCACGGCATTGGTGCGAGAACGCTGTTCGTCACGTCCTTCATTCCCAATGCCTTCTCCATCCACTTGGCCCGGGGTATAGCCAACCGATACTGCGTCCCTCGTTGGAAAGCGATGATTGTGTCCTCGTCGCGGATCACCGTAGTGTCCAGGCGGGTGTGTGGGAAGAAGGAGGTGACAACCCGGGAGGTCGGATCTCTATGGCTCACAACTTGTTCAAATGAGTGTCTTCCAACGTCGATATTGAACGTGTTGGACCCCGTTTGTTGGACCCGAACATCAAACTTCGAGTCGTTCTTTGTCCCGGGACTTAGCTCGGCCAATGAGATCTGACGTGCCTGGTACCCCGGGCCAAAGCCTACAGCAGAACCCTCAAATTCGGCTTGCGTTCCCGTTCCAGGTTCGGAATCATGGTGGAGACAGGCCAGGGCCACTTGAGCCAACACCTCGGGCGCAATGGCCTCCCTTGTGAATAACTCTTCGCGATGTTTCTCGATATACCCGGTTTCCACATCTCCGCTGATGAAACCAGGGCTCCGGCAGATGGTCTTCAGGAATTCTATGTTCGTGATTGGACCTGCGATTTCATACTCCTCCAGCGCAGCTGCAAGCTTGCGGATCGCCTCTTCCCGCGTGCTGCCTCTCACAATCAATTTCGCAATCATTGGATCATAATGCGCCGAGACATCGTCGCCCGCGACGAACCCCGCGTCAATCCTAACATCATCGGTGGTGGCGGGAGTACGGACATGGAGCAGGGTGCCAGAGTCCGGGATAAACCCCTGGTCAGGGTTCTCCGCGTAGATTCTAGCTTCGATGGCATGTCCGCGGCTTGCCATGAATGCCTCCACATCTTCCTGACTCAACGGAAGTGGAGCGCCTTCTGCTACCTTGAGCTGCCAGTGCACAAGATCCTGTCCGGTAACCATTTCGGTGACCGGGTGCTCCACCTGGAGTCTAGTGTTCATCTCCATGAAGAAGAATTCGCCGGTGTCGTTGTCAAAGATGAACTCAACGGTGCCGGCACCTTCGTAGCCGACAGCCAATGCGGCCGATCGGGCTTTAGCCCAGATGTCCTTCCTCGTTGCATCAGGTAGATGAGGAGCCGGAGATTCCTCGAGAATCTTCTGGTGTCTTCGTTGTATGCTGCAATCCCGTTCGCCCAGAGCAACAGAGTTCCCGTGCTTATCAGCGAACACTTGGACTTCGATGTGACGGGGGGTGGTGATGTATTTCTCCACCAGCACCTGATCGTCCCCAAATGAATTGAGTGCTTCTGATTTTGCGGACTGCAGCTGGGCTTGGAATTCGGCTTTGGTGTGAGCGATACGCATTCCCTTGCCGCCGCCTCCCTTGATCGCTTTAATCAGCACGGGGTATTTGATCTTGTCGGCCTCGGTTTCGAGAAAGTTGACATCCTGGTTATCACCATGATATCCCGGTACACACGGCACACCAGCCGCGGTCATGATCTTCTTGGATTGGCTGCACAGCCGTCAGTACTGCTCACAAGTATACGCCAGATCATGTTACCTCTTATCTCCCATGTCTTCGATGGCCTTCCACGGAGGGCCAATGAAGACCATCCCAGCCTCCGTGCATTTTCGCGCAAAGGCCGCGTTCTCACTCAGCTGGAATGGTCCGAGCGATTAGTATCATCGCTCCCTATGTGTAACGGACACCACTCACAAAGCCGTAACCTGGGTGTATCCCTTGGCAGCCTTCCTTCTTGGCAATCTCAATAATTCGATCTCCGTCGAGGTAAGCGGAGACAGATCCCAGGTTAAAGGCAAAGGGCGAGCTCAGCGCGTGTTGCGCCTTGCTATCCGGATCAGTGTAGAGCGTCGTTACTCGGATTCCGTGTTCAGCAGCGGTCCGTCCAACACGTCTGTAACAGGTAACGCAATGTTAGCACCAACAAACCACCATGATTGGCAGACGCACAATGCAATTTCTCCTCTATTCGCAATAAGAATCGAGTCCAAGGATTTTTGGGACTTGGGGGCCGTGGAGGACACGGTGGAGGCCGCTCTTCTGAACCTCCGAGCCACTGGCGGCCCCAGGCGGGACGAAGTGCGGAGAAGAGACGAGAGCGGCATGGTAGTGTAATGAATGATAAGAGACGCCGCTGGTCAGTGCCACAAGAAGAAGTCAACACCGCAGGCAGAGCGTGTTCATAAAACCACTGGCATATTCGAAAGTGTAGGCCACCAGGTTCTGAGGAATACCAAATCCAATGCGACCGCAGCCGAGCTTCTTGTACGGCCTGCAGTGCACCCCTTGAGCCGACGCAAAGCGCGGCTGCGGGGAAACCCGGCACGTGATGGGCGCGATCCACCCGCCGGTTTTTTCAAGACTCCAACCAGCCCATTGCATCACTCCTAGAGTCCCAGGCCACGCCCGTCGCATAGATCTGCGCTTTCTGTGTTTACACCACTCTGGCCGAGACAGAATTGGTCGCTTGCTTACTCCGTCAGGCGCTTATACATCTTCTATTCTGAGTTTGTTCTTGCGCATTGTGTTAACCGTCCTATCCTGCCCATTCATCAGTCGACTACCGACAACCCCCGATTCCTTTCTGCTTACCACCTTCACTTCCACCACCACGCATACTCATACACCTCGCAACCATGTCCGACGATGAAGACTTCTACGACGAATACGACGAAGACATCTTCTGGGTTGAAGAACCCGACCCGACCGTCGCCGTATGTCCCCGTAACAGATTCTTCCCCCCCTAAACACATACTAACACTGCCCATCCACAGGACGACCTCGCTGCAACAGCCACCGCCACAAACGACTTCATCTTCTACGACGACCCAGCCCTCGAAGCCGAAGATTTCTTTAGCGACTGGGACGATCTTTCCGACGACTACTACGACCAAGACCCCACCGTAGTCCGCCGCCAGCGCGCCCTCAACGCCTTATCCCAAATCCCAGCAGCGGGTATTCCGCCCACGAAACGCAGCCACAAATCTACTACCAAGACCCCGCAGTTCGACATCGCAGCGTTCCAGGGTGTTGTGTGGAGAAGTCCTAGCGATGAGGTCAAAATCGCGCTGCATGAGCCAGGCGAGGGAGAAAAGGTGGCCCTGTTGAAGAATTGGAGGGAGGTTTTTCGGAATTCGCATCCCGCGATTGGGCGCGTCAGGGTACGAAAGGATGGGAAGGAGTGGATGGGTGGGGCTGGGGTGGTGGCTGCAGAGGATTTGTATGGGGATGGGGATGAGGATGAGGCGGATGCAGACGTGGAGGATGAGGATGAGGTTGAGGTTGGGGTTGAGGATGAGGATGAGGATGAGGTTGAGGTTGAGGATGAGGTGGAAGTAGAGGTGACAAATGGGCTAAGTAATGGGGCAGTTGTCGAAACGCCTGCTGATTCGGAGATTGTTGAGCTGGAGAAAGAGGCTGAAACCAATGGGGCCCATCCCGATGCGGTCGAGCCAGCTGATTCTCTCCAGGTGAAGAATTCCAAGCCAAATGGTGTCACCGCTGCGGCGGATAAACCGGCGACAAGAGGTCGGAAGCGCAAGGCTGAAGAAGCCGACCCCGTTCCGGAAGTGGAACCTACCAGCAGGCCAAGATCTAAACGCATTGCAACCCAGAAAGTCGGGGAGACGAAAGAGACTCACTCAGCACCGTCGGGTCCGGTGCGGCGGTCGGCCAGAAATAAAAAGTAATTTGAACTCTGTATAGAAATGAGATTATGAGAACATGAACATACAATTTGACAATGGTATGAACCCTAGACAATCCGCTCATGTAAGTCTGGTGGTATATATGACACGAGATAAGAACGAGTAGGGCAGGACATGGGAATCAATGACAGGAATGAATAGATGTCTATGCAAACTCCTTGTTAAATGCACGTCCGATCACCATCCGTCGGATCTCGCTCGTCCCAGCCCCGATCTCATACAGCTTCGCATCCCGCAGTAACCGTCCCGCGGGGATCTCGTTGATGTAACCGTTGCCTCCCATCAGCTGGATTGCATCCAGAGCACACTCTGTCGCTCTCTCCGCGGCATAGAGGATAGCACCGGCGCAGTCTTGCGTGCGGATCAAAGTACCAGATGACTCCGCGGCCGAGTTATCGATCTGTCGCGCAGTAGCGTACGTGTAGGCGCGAGAAGCTGCAAGCTTTGTGTACATGTCTGCCAGCTTACCCTGGATCAGCTGGTTGTGGGCGATGGGCATACCGAACTGCTTGCGGACGTGAGTGTAGGGGAGGACGAGGTCGAGAGCGGCTTGCATGATACTGTGGGATCTTAATTTAGTATCGCTGCGACCGAGGGATGGGAGAAATGATGGAACGTACCCCAACGGACCAGCGCTAAGAACAAGACGCTCCAGATCCAGGCCCTCCATTAGAACCTTCACGCCGCGGTTCACCTCCCCAAGAACGTTCTCCTTCGGGACGAAGACGTCCTCGAAGATGAGCTCACCGGTGTTAGAGCCGCGCATGCCTAGCTTATCCAGCTTGCGGGCGCAAGAGAATCCTTTAAAGGTCTTTTCCACGACGAAGGCCGTGATGCCCTTAGAGGCTTTTTCGGGTTCCGTCTTTGCGTAGACAACGATGTAGTCTGCGTCGGGGCCCTGTAAGTTGTACACATCGCCTGGTTAGCCATTGAATTCTCATCTGGGGAATGAGGAATGGGAAGCTCACATTGGTAATCCACATCTTCGTCCCGTTCAATAGCCACCCGCCGTCGACGGCCTTGGCCGTTGTCTTCATGCTAACAACATCTGATCCAGCAGAGTGCTCAGACATTGCAAGAGCACCGACTTTATCGCCTGATAGGAGTCCAGGAAGGAAACGTTCCTTTTGGTCGGTTGTCCCGTTCAAGGAGAGCTGGTTGACGCAGAGCTGAGAGTGTGCGGCGTAGGAAAGGGCAATGCTTCCTGGTTCTAACGGTGAGAGACTTATCAATGACAAACGCATCAGGAATCTTTACCGGATGCGCGACTAATCTCCTCCATGACGATACAGTGAGCCTGGTATCCCATTCCCAGTCCACCGTATTCTTCATTGGCCGTGATGCCGAGGAACCTGGGGATGATGTTAGATTGACTGGTCCTGAGTTACACGCATAGTTATCTTATATTATTGGAGGCACCCACCCAGCATCACCAAGCTTCTTCCACATCTCCGCCGGAAACTCATTCTGGGCGTCGGTCTTCGCGGCAACCTCTTCGGGAATTTCGCGCCCTTGATTCGCAAACAACGATCAATATAGCCGAGCAAAACATGTTGAGGGGTGATACACACGGGTGAATTCTTGTACGCGCTCACGAAGCTCCACCAGGTCCTCTTCTGTAGGAGGGACAAAGTCCTTGGGGTGTTTGGTGACAAGGGTGCGTAGTGCGGGGGGCTGGATGAAGGGTTTCCTCCACCGGGCCAGTGTCCGGGACGAATTGCGGACGAAGAAAGGGAGTTTGGGGCGAGCGGCCATGACGCTAGGTATACAATAGAAGACAAATGCTGGATCTTTGAGATTGATTCAAGACGAGAAGAGAAAAAATGGCTAGGAAGGGAGGGAATTATGCAGCTCGGATGACGGCGTGGAGGATAGTTGATAAACCCGGGGGTGAGCACGGTTACCCGCGGCAATCATCGCCGCCCTTCTCCGCAATTGTCACCTGCCTGTCCGCCGGCGTCGATTCGGCCTCTGCACCATCTTCCTCCATTGCCAACTACAAAAGTCCCTCGTGTGGCTCCTCCGGCTTGGGTACGCTATGCTATAGTCTGCACGCAAGAACCTTTCTCAAATACCCTCTTGTCGGCTCCCGAGCATCGTCAGCTCATCCCCGTCCAGCATCCCCGCAATGCGCGCTCCGTCTCCGCTTCTGCGGAGCCTGCGATCCAAACCACCCGCCCTTCCCTCACGCTGTCTTCTCGCGCGACAACGCCCAACAAGATCACCCTTCCTCTCAACCACCAGATGTGTTGCTAGCTACACACATCCTCATCATGCATCTGCTATCTCGGTTCTTCCCACGGCAGTGGACACCTCGTCCTCCGATTTCAAGGACAACGCCCAGCAAATGCAGGAGCTCCTCGATCGAATGACCAATCTCCACAGCACCATATCCCAAGGAGGCCCGCAAAAGGCAAAGGACAAACACCTCGCTAGAGGGAAGATGCTTCCCCGCGATCGAGTCACCGCCCTCATCGACCCAGGCACCTCGTTCCTGGAACTCTCTCCCCTCGCAGGCCACGAAGTCTACTGCGACGACGTCCCCGCAGGAGGTATCATCACAGGGATCGGAACAGTCGAAGGGGTCACCTGTATGATTGTGGCCAATGACAGCACTGTCAAAGGAGGCACATACTACCCAATCACGGTCAAAAAGCATCTCCGCGCACAGGCAATTGCGCAGGAGAACAAACTCCCCTGCCTCTACCTCGTCGATTCTGGCGGCGCCAATCTCCCTCACCAAGCAGACGTCTTTCCAGACAAAGAACACTTTGGCCGCATCTTTTTCAACCAAGCTCGCATGAGTTCCCTGGGCATCCCCCAAATTTCCGTTGTTATGGGTCCCTGCACAGCCGGGGGAGCGTATGTTCCCGCTATGAGCGACGAGACCATCATCGTCGAGAACCAAGGCACCATCTTCCTGGCCGGACCTCCTCTCGTCAAAGCTGCCACGGGCGAGGAAGTCTCCGCCGAAGACCTAGGTGGTGGCCACCTCCACAGCACAATCTCAGGTGTGACAGACTACCTCGCCGTCGACGACGCCCACGCCATCATCCTCGCCCGCAGATCCATCTCCAACCTCAACTACCCCAAGACCAGTCTTCCACTCCAGAACCTTCCTAGCGATGCCATCAAAGAGCCCCTCTATGACCCAACAGAGCTAAACGGCATCGTGGGTACTAACCTTCGTCGCCAAATCCCCGTCCACGAAGTGATCGCCCGCATCGTGGACGGCAGTGAATTTGCCGAATTCAAGCGCGACTACGGCATCACTCTCGTCACTGGTTTCGCCCGGATCTTCGGGCACCAGGTCGGCATTGTCGCCAACAACGGTATTCTTTTCTCCGAATCCTCTCTAAAAGGCGCACACTTCATTGAGCTCTGCGCACAACGCAAAATTCCCCTGATCTTCCTCCAAAACATCTCCGGCTTCATGGTCGGTGCAGATGCGGAGAAGGGTGGAATTGCAAAGAATGGTGCAAAGCTTGTCACGGCCGTGGCGTGCGCAGACGTCCCTAAGTTCACAGTCGTATTCGGTTCCAGCGCCGGCGCGGGAAATTATGGAATGTGGTAAGTCCATATGCATTGATCTATTGTATCCCTCCATGCTGATTCCATTGATTCCCAGTGGCCGCGCCTACTCCCCTCGGTTCTTATTCATGTGGCCCAACGCCAAAATCGGCGTCATGGGCTCGGAGCAACTCTCCGCCGTCATGGAAGCTGTTGGCCGGACGGCGGATCCGGACTTGAAGGCTCGGATTGATCGCGAGTCGGAGGCAGTCTTTTCGTCGGCCAGACTGTGGGATGATGGTGTCATTCCTCCGGCGCAGACGAGACGCTTCCTGGGCCTGGGGCTGGCGGCTGCCGTGGGTGGGAAGGTGGATGATGTCCAGACTCGGTTTGGGGTGTTCCGGATGTGAGGTACATTTAGTATAGGCCATGGTACTACCACAGGGAATCTTTCTATTGATTTACGTCCTGTGCATCGTTTAAGATTTATATTATCTACCATTAACTTGTTGGCACTTACCGGTCCCTCAGATGAGTGGTTCTTTTGCAGTGTGAGTAGCTCTAGCAATCATCTGCATTCTGAGCCATGTCGACTGAAACAGAATTCTTTTTCAAGGTTCAACTTGAATACTGATAGCGTTGTCTATTGTCAGAAATATTCTTAAATGACAATGCTAAATACAAACGGCATATTTTGACATAGATGTCTGCACCCCTTTTTTCAACCTGAAAGGAAAGGGGGAACTAGGCCTGTTATTCTCCAGTCCAGATAATTTACAAATGCGATTGACTAGTATGATTGGCCTCCCTGAGAAGTAGGTCATGGGACCTAGGCTGTTCTGTGGGGTATCTGGTGCTGTCTGTGGTGGGAAGTCCCAGTCACGCCGGGGATGGCGACGCATTCAATGAATGATGCCGCAACAGGAAGTTCCTTTCATCTCATCTCACAAGGACTAAAAGACGCTGGGTCCTTAGGTGATGGGATCTACTAAGAGATCCACCCCTTTATGGCCCCAGTTATCCTCGTAAAGGATCGCAGGCTGAAGCCATCCAGGATCTGATATACGCCGTACTCTCCATCCTATGCTCTACACACTAGCTCTAAACCACAGCTCTCGCACCCCACGCATGATCTCACAATCGATCCAACTCCTTCTTAGTGGTCTGATCGGCTGCTGCTTGCTTGTCCCGGGCGCCTGCGGTCCTGCCAGTCCGACACTAGGAGGACTTGCCAACTCACAGCCACTTTTCCCACTCATCCTGATTCTCAACTCATATCGAACGCAGATTAGGCAGCAGTGGTATTGAACTATAAATTGAAGAGATCTGTCGGGTTCAGCTCAGATCCTCAGTCTTCAAGACACTCCTACACCCTCATTTGTTCAACTATTGACTTGAGATATCACTTGCACAATGGCACGCTACCCCGAGCATGTTGGCATCAAGGCCATGGAGATCTATGTTCCGGCACAGGTATCATCTTTTCTGACAGCTTGCATCAAAGCCAGTCTCTGATCAAAGCAGTGCCTGAATCAAACGCTCTTCGAGAAGCACCAAGGCGTTTCGGCCGGCAAATACACCATCGGACTAGGTCTCCAGTACATGAACTTCTGCACCGATAGAGAAGGTAAACCCACCATGTCCTCATCATAACTCTTCTGGGATCAATTAAGCTAAACCATTTATGCAGACGTCTGCACTCTAGCCCTAACAGCCGTCTCCTCCCTCCTTCACAAATACAATATCGACCCCAACTCCATCGGCCGTCTCGAAGTAGGCACCGAGTCCCTCATCGACAAAGCCAAATCGATCAAATCCGTCCTCACAACCCTCTTCGAGCCCTCAGGCAACACAAGTATCGAGGGCATCGACACCATCCACGCCTGCTACGGCGGTACCAACGCCCTTTTCAACGCCGTGAACTGGGTCGAGTCCCGTTCCTGGGACGGTCGAGACGCCATCGTCGTGGCCTCGGACATTGCCCTCTACAACGAGCCCTCCACCCGTCCCACCGGAGGTGCAGGCTGCGTCGCCATGCTTATCGGTCCAAACGCAGCCCTCTCCCTCGACCCCAGCATCCGCGGCGTCTACATGTCTCACACCTACGATTTCTACAAGCCAGACCTCAAAGCCGAATTCCCTCTCGTTAACGGCCACGAATCCATCACCTGCTACCTCCGCGCCATTGATGAATGCCATAAGGACCTCCTCCGTCGCAGATCCAGCAAGGAACCCGTCCTCGACCTCTTCGACTACATGGCCTTTCACACCCCCAACTGCAAACTCGTCAGCAAATCCTACGGTCGACTCAAATACAACGACATCCTCACATCCAACACAGATACAGCCATACCCTTCATCCCCTCAGACCTCCTAACCCTTCCCTATGAGTCCTCTCTCAAAGACAAACCCCTCGAAAAAGCCCTCATCTCGCTAACAAAAGACGACTTCAAATCCCGCGTCGAACCATGTATCCTCGCCCCTTCGCTCTGCGGAAACATGTACACAGCCAGTCTCTACTGCTCCCTCATCAGTCTCATAAGCAGCATTGACCTTACCACCGCCCAGGGAAAAACCATCGGCATGTTCAGCGTACGCTCCCCTCCCCTCCCCCAACAAACACCCCATCTACAAACCTCACTAACCCAACCCCTCTCCTTTGATACATAAAAAGTACGGCAGCGGCCTCTCCAGCACCCTCTTCGCCCTAAAAATCACCGGCGACTTGACCCCCATCGTCCAGAAAATCAATTTCATGCAGCGTTTGAAAGAGAGATATATTGCCACTCCGGAGGAATATGAAGCTGTGAGTTGAACTCCGACTCAATAAAACAACTGATTAAGCAAATAAGCTATATACTAACTCTATTGATTGTGGTAGGCCTGCGCCCTCCGACTCCAAGCCTACGGAAGCAAGAACTATACCCCTGTTGGGGATGTGGATTCCCTTGCACCGGGGACTTATTATCTGGAGGGGATTGATGAGGTGTTCAGGAGGAAGTATGCTGTTAAGAATTAGGGAATAGTTAGTTGTGGAGGTTGACTGGACTTTGTCTGGGGAAGATGTGCAGCGGTGGGTTTGGAGTTTGAGTCAGGCATGAATTAATTGTGGAGAGGAAAGGGGATATCGAAAGTATGACATCAGCAGAGTAGAAGAAAAAAAAAGCTTTATGCAACTATGTGACTGTGGCTGCGATGGATGGTTCTTTGAGGGGGTTGGGTAGTCACTACCTATAGTATGTTCGGGGGGAAATTGGGATGGGATTAGATTATCATATCCAAGAAGAGGTGCGAATTCTATGGTAGCCTACAGAACTTATACAATACGAATCAACACCATCAACACCTAATGAAATCAATCAGTCCTGCGACGTATTTCTATCTGGCGCTCTGAAGGGCACATGCAAGCATGCAGCACAAGCACAAGGACAAGGCATGTAACATAAGTACTCGAAGAAACATCACTAATAATGAAGAGGTCAGAAGAAAGGAAGAATGGCGCAATCGAAGGATACACATCTATAACTGTTAGGTTTGCGCCGCAATCCATCCGATTTCTTCTGCTCTCCAGCGATATCCAGAATGATAGGAAGAAAGGAAGAATGAAGAAAAAAGAGGGCAAGCCTCGCTGTTCGCAAAACAAGACAAAAACTCGCAGAGAAAGATTTACACTTTTTCCATTCCTCCAGCATAAAATCACAAATGCATGCAAATTTCAAGTATGAAGTAGAGATAGAAGAAAAGTAGAGTAATAGGAGACAAAGTTTCGGCTATAAATCACATCTATCGTTGGAGCACGTTGACAGGCGTATGATGAAAACTGACATAGAGTAGTAGGTGGTTCGACATTAGACAGGCTTTGTAGACGGGGTATGTGCATTGTGCAGTGCAGCAGGTAAGTCATATGCGTAGTATTGAGCGATGGGAGTAAGAGTTGGCCCACGCTTGCTTCGTTCGTTTATGGGGTGCTTTCGTCGTCTCCGTGGTCGCGGTTTTGGGTCATTATAGGATCACGCAAGGACCCTTGCGCCGGTTCTGGCGCTTCTTATCCTTACGTCGGTCCTGCCCTTTGCCGCCCTCCCGTTTGCGGTCCGAGTCGGAGCTCTTCGAGTTGCCTTGCAGGTCCTTTCGGATGATCTGTCGGCAGAGATCAATGAAGACCTCGTTGACATTGGCGCGTCGACGGGCTGAGGTTTCGTAATAGGGGGCGTTGCCCCAGCTCTGCGATAGGGCGAAGGCGCGAGCGCGTTGCACGGCGCGGTCCTCTTCCAAATCGGACTTGTTGCCCACAATAACAATGGGTACTTTTTCATCCTCCTTGATACGGATGATCTGTTCGCGTAGTTCGGATAGCTCGTTGAGTGAGGACATGCTCGTAATCGAGAATACGAGCAGGAACCCTTGACCTTGTTTCATGTACAACTCTCTAAAAACAAAGAGGTCCAACGTCAGCATGGGGTCGGAAGGACAACGGTTGAAAACGTCCCGTGTAGCTGGGCGGGCGAGGGGAACCAGGATGGGCTCGGTGTTTACCTCATGGCCGCTGGTGAGATGTCAGTACCAAAACAGTGATGCGATCGAGTTAGCGGGCAGACTTACTGAACTGTTCGGTTCCTGCGGTGTCCAAACTGGATTCAAGGTCGGTCAGCAATCTTCATCGACACGGTGACGCTTTGAGGTAGTCCGGAAGTCATTTCGCTTCGCGCAGGACATACATTTCCAGAATACATTGCCGGCCCTTAAATCGTGAGCAATTATCTTCAGCCCCGGGTTGAAGTCCAACTTACATCTACCTCAATCTGCTTCCGGTAGGAATCCTCAATTGTCGGATCGTAGCTCTCAATCCAGACATTCTGCACGAATTGAGCTACCCAGCGTCAGCAATGGTTGTGGAAACCTCTGCGCCCATAGCGGAGGTACGCGACCAGGAGCATACCGGTAAGACAGCTCTTTCCCACACCTCCTGTTGCGCCGACGAGGACCCATCGTCAGTGGTGAACCTTTCTTGATCTCCATGACGGAAGTATGTACCCACCAGCGCCTAAGACAACGATATGATATTCCCGCCTGCCACAAAAAGATCCAGAGATTAGCGAACCGATCCATCGGGAATTGTGATATAAGCCCGGAGTGGGACTTACTGGGGCCTCATTGAGACGATGTCCGTATATCCGGCGATTGAAATTGTAGGGTTTGAGGCGAAGGTGAACGGGTCGAGTCCGATAAGCTTTCGGTGACTTCAGAGGCCAACAATTATATCGTCTGATCCTGGGGCGGAATCAGTGGTCAACTGGAAGGTAGACTAGACCCAATCCGAATGCTGGGATAGATAAGGCTTGTTCCTCGGGCAGGTTATCGGGGGAGGACGATGGATTCGGACCCAATGCGCGCCGAGGGATCAAACTGAACGGGTAAATTGGGGATGGGGTGGACTGGGCTCCCTTTGAGGGGGGGCGGGGAGGTGTGCTGGGAGAGCAAGGGCAGCAACACGCGATCCGTTACATCGGTCTCAATGCCAATCAATTCCCGACCAATTCCCCGGGAGCTGGCAGGATGGGAGCGCCAGGTGTAGGGAAGTGTAGAGCAAGGCCGCGGCGAGGTGGACAGGAGGGTAGGGAGGGTCGCTAGCTGGAAGTCGACAGATCGGTCGGTGACTTTCGGGGGAGACTAAGAGAGAGGAGGATGAGTGAGTGAGTGCGCCAGAGGCCAGCCAGACAGGGTAAGTCAGCGAACGGAGTGGTTCGGTTTGTGGGGAGCAAAGAAAGGATTGGTAAGTCCAAGAGAAAGGGTAAGAGACAGAGACAGAGAGAGGGAGTGAGAGTGAGAGAGACAGAGAGCAGGAGAGAAGAGTGTCGAAGGGCTTACCGACGGGAGGAAAGATATGATGCAATAACGGCCTAGCGGAGGACGATCGAAAGTGCTTTTCTTTTCCCTTTTTTTTTTCTTCTTTTGATGATGATTATTTCTTCTGTCGAATCCCTTATCCCCGTTGCAGGCCTGCACGAGAGGAAAAGCAAAAAGGCACGGCAGGGTCTCCAATCGCGGCGGTGAGACTCGAATCCAACGGCGATTTGTTGTGCGGCCGCTCTAAAACCTTAAGCCCCTAGTGCACTCGAGGTTAGCATCACGCTGCTGGCCTTCCTCTGGCCATGAGGTTCTTCGGCCCCCGATCATCCAAGACGGCCGCAGATGTATACTAGGCGCTGCTATAGCCCTGGGGGGGGGGAAACCAATGTCGCGGATCCATGGGGGCAGAAGTCACATCAGCCTCCCTTGTCGAGTCTGAGATCAGATCCTCATCCCCTGCTCTCGCCCCATCGGATTCGATACGAGGCAGCAAACCGTAGAGCGTAGCATCAGGCGGATGGGGGCAGAAAGTCCAGCGCATCCCCAAGAAGGGGGGCGGCATGGCTTGGCCAATTATTGAATTTATTGATCTTGCTCGAGAGGTTGCGACTCATTCTTGCCCCCAGGATCTGCGGCCCTGACCAGCCCAGGAGAGCCTGACAGAGAGGAGGGGGGTAAGAGGGGAATGTGATGCTGAAGGGACAAGGCGTGGATCATGATGAATGGGGAGAGTGAAGGAGAGAGATGGAGGCAGCGACAAACATAAGGGAATTATTCCCTTCACCTTACCTCAATCTTCAGCATCAACAGCTTCACATGTGCCAACAAAAACCAGGAAACCCCAAGGATCACTTGCTGCAAGGAAGAAGTCAAGAAACAACCAGAACAAGTAAATAAATGGGCGCTGAGCGTGCCATGGCGACCTCCGATCAATATATACTACAACTATCTAACTACGGAGTATTGACCGGCCATCTCCTAGCTAATAGCCACTACTATAAGTACACTAACCCAACTGCTATCTCTTTCTTACACAAAAGTCCCAAATCAAACCCACCTCCGCCTCGCCCCGAACAAATCCAAACCCCCTTCGTCCTGCTATCTACTCATCTCTATCTAAGACTACTATCCCGGTCATCACCACCACAAAAGAACCTCCCTTCATACCTCCCCCCAATGCAAGTCTCCTTCCTTCAAACACATCCAATCCAATCCCAAATCCCAAAGTTACCTGTCAGCAGCACCTCCATCTCCACCTCCAGCACCAAAATCAAAAATCAAAACAAAAGAACGATAATAATAATAATAAACTCAAACACTTTTCCGATTCCAGAAACCGGAAGCTGATTCCGGGCCAGCTCATCTCTCATCTGTCAGGGACGGACGGACCAAATCCGACCCTACGTATCTCATCAGCCGTACTTTTCGGCGGTCATCTAAAATCAGCACTAGAGAGATAACCCCAGCTAGCCTATTGGCCTCCCCCCCAAAAGTACGGAGCACCGCGCGGACTTCCGTCGATGGGTTCCGGGCTAGGCCTTCCGATGTTATATTGAATAGAAACCACGCGCATTGCGCGCTAGGGTCAGACCACCTGACGGGAGTTGTGTGTCAGGATGGAAAGGGATGTGTCACATCGGGATGGTGATGGATGCAGAGGAAAGCAAACATTGGCTTGAGATGAAATTACATGCCGGGGAGGGAAGGGACAAGGTCTATGCATCACATGTAGGTGAGGCGTCCGGGCCGGGACTTGAGCACACACTGGCCACCTCCCTGCATATGGGATCTGAAGTGCTGCGGCGTCGGTACATATGACGTATGTCACTGAACGGGTCATCAGCTCATCTAGGCAACGATGGTGAAGGCTGGCTGCCCCGAGGCACCTGGGTGCCGTAAGACTGGTGATGTCGGTTAAGTAGGGGCTATATTAGACCATGATATAGTGTGCTGTACAGAAAACAATCAAGGCAAGACAATAGACAAACATCTCATGGCAAACAAATATACAGGATAAGGCGAGCAGAACAATACACTTGTCTCGCACCGGGACGGGGTCATTAAGATCTTCAAGCCGAAACACGCAAGCCACCATCATTAGCTTTGCTAACAATGCCGGAACACCTTAGGGAATGCGCTCTAATCATGCATGTCGCAATCGGTGCAGTCCCGGGAACCTCAAGCCGGTGCATGTGCTCTCACACCATTGACCTTGTCCATTAATGTCTCATCTTGAGTCCAGGAGCTGTACTGCTCTAGCGCGTCAAAGACGTCACTGAACACCAATTGGTCCACATCGTGCGCCCACAGGAAATCGAGATGTTCGTACTGGGGGACCTTTTTTGCCACGGTCCCGCGCGGGAGCTCGGACAGCATCACATCAATATCGACGAGACTATCGCTACCACCATACAACATGACAATAGGTGTCTTGATGTTCTTAGTTGGGTATTTGACCGGCTTGTAGAATCGCTCGCTCGCCACAATGCTGAGCGGGGCATGAATCTCATCATCGTAGAACTGGAAGTTCCGGTGTCGGATGATCTGGAACCAGTGGACAACTGACTTAGTGCTAGTGAAGGAAAAAAGATGCAGGTACCCTGCCAGCTTCTGCCAGCGGCTGATATTCTTGCACCTCCAATTGAACAACCCCCGAAGTGACGTGTCAATAATCCAGACAAAGATCGGTGGATAGAGAATCGTCTGCCACATCGTTGTTGAGCTAAGGATGCTGCGTCTGCCGAAAAGCAGAAACAAAAAGTTTGGCGAAGCCTTCATGAGCGAATCCACCAGGTGGTTCGGTAAGCCTGTTGGGGCCATGGCCGGAGCGAGGGCCACAAACACATCGATCTTCTGATTCAAAAGAGGATGGATAGAAAGCGTCGCAAATGCCTGCGCTGTTCCCTGCGAGAACCCGACGTATGACAGGGAGGGCTGCCCTGTCACTTCGAGGATGTACTTGATACTGTCTGGAATATCGTGGAACGAGAATTGATCTATCGAAAAGTCCCAAAACTCATTCGACAAGGGGGAATGCTTGACGGACTTCTTCGAGTACTTGTTCCCTCGATTGTTTCCCAGCCACACGTCATAGCCCCTTTCTACCAATTGGAACGGAAGGCACCGCTGCTCCTCCGACAGACAGACCCAGACTTCACTGCACATCATGAGGCCATGGTGGAGATAGACCACCTTCTTCCTGATGCTCCCCTCACCCTGATTAACACGCTTGACCTCCTCCCCTTTCCGATAGGGCAAGCGGTGCAATCCAAGCAGGTATCCATCCCCTGTCTGGACAATATGTTCCTCGGCCTGGTACCCGAATAGCGCGCATATATCGGTGAAGTCGGACGCCTGCGCAACGGCCGCAGCAACCTTCTCTTCTTTACCGCGTTTGCCTGGGTCCTCCGGGGAGATCAGAAGGTTGAAGACGGTCTTGGAGCGATCGTAACAGAACCTAATGATAGGTTCGGCTGCTCTGGTTAGCCTTCCGAACGTAGAACATATCACCAACACGACCACCAGGGGGGTCACTTACGGAGACAGAACGTTATGATGTGTATGATCCATTCCAGGAGCACCAAGACCAACGAGCCAAAGAGAGCCAAGTACTCGAACCAAAACAACCGTCCAATAAACGGGACGCGGGCCATGGTGATAAGACCAAGGTCTGCAGCGCAGTATCAGGATAAGAGCAGAGAAATGGATTAGTGATCACCGACAGGTATGAGGCATAGTGCGTAGAAGCGGTGCTTCAATGGGCCTGGGCTGCATGGCTGTGGTGGATGGAGCAGGAGGACGAGCAGGTCAGGCTCCCCCAGACGTCATGGGGGCCTTCTTTCATGTGATGCTTACCTAATCCGGGGCAGCCGTTGAGTTTGCCGGCCTCCATTTCTCCAGGCGTTGCTGTTGCTGTTGTTGCTGTTGTTGCTGTTGCCCTTGCCCGAGCAATCGGCTCCTGCAATTCCAAAATGCCGAGTTCCTGCCAAGAGATAAGTATGTTGTAAACCTTGATCCCATTGATTACTTGCCTTGGATGCCATTGGATCTTCACCCCGGCTTCCGAGAACGCGATCCCCTGGGTCACTCAGTACTCCAGCACCATGGACATGCTAACCAGGATTGCTTAAATGAACAGGAAATGCTCTGGCGCAATGCCTCCAAGAGTCCGACTGCATCATGGTCCAACGGCGCTCGCCGCGGGAATGCCTGAGTGAGCCATACGTCGACGAACTCCCCATGCGATGCCAGCAGCTGCGGAAAGGTTTCGGCGAGTGCAAGTAAGTCATCTGCTTGGCAACGACGGTCAAGCATCCTCTTAACATTTCTCCCTGTCAGGCGCGGGTTGATCGATATGCGTAAACGGTTCCGCGGAAACCAGCCCATTTCGGTATCGAAGACGGAGAGCGCAAACTCTGGCCCATCCCAGCAACTATATGCAGGCAAACCGGCGTTCGAGACGGTCAAGGAGATCAGTGGTGACGAGGTGCAGATGGATCCGGAGAAGACCCGCGGTCTGTGAGGGGGACACGGGAGGCTTCTTGATTTGAAGGTCTGTCGTGGAGGTGACACAGCCGATTCCTTTCGCACTGTAACATCATTGTTTCTACTTGTTTTCTTTTGTTGGCATGGCTTGGAGTTTGGACGATTGTGGGACCACCCTGATATGATTGTCGGTTTATACTAGAGTGTACATATGCAATAGGTCTTCTGCACTGGCCGACCTACTAGAACTGACTTGGGCATCTACGATTGGGCATCGTTAATGCGTCATGGACGCAATGTGCATATTTCATTTACTAATCTTTCAAATGATACATTACTGCGTCTTCTTGACCTTCGCCGAGGTGGGCTCCGAGTAGAGCCACACGAACACGAAGGCCAGGAAGCCGCCGATCACAGACCAGAGGCCGGCGATCCAGACCCAACCTCCGCTGATCTTCCAGCTGCGGGGGTACTCGTTGTGAGCAAAGTGACGGACCGTCACCTCGTGCTTTTCCTCGATGTTGGTGAGGAACGGGCGCTTGTAGTTGACCCGGAAGGAGAAGATACCGTGCTGGTCAGGAACGGTAAATTGCGCGCTATAGATAGTGCTGTTCTCGGTGCGGGAAGAAGGCTCCAGCTTCAGGCGGTGGAAGGGAGAAAGCATGGTGAACTCGAGCTGGAGGGCATCGTTGGCGGGGACCTCGAAAGGCACGAACTTGTCGTAGCTGTACTCGGAGATCTCAATGTTGAAGACCTATAGGACACGTCAGCAGGTGGGCCGCTATGTTGCAGATGGTAGCCACATACGGTCTCGTTCTTAATGCGGTAGATCGTGGGGTTCAGGTCCTCGGAGGTAAGGTCGTCCTTAGCCAGGTGGTGCTCGATCTTACCAACCTTCAGGACACCGGTCTCCTTGAACGTCCAAGCAGTCAGCTGCTTGGCGAACTCCTGGTTGGCGGTGCCCGTTTCCTTTCCGTTGCCGGGAGCCTTCACAGTCGCGGAGAACCACTTGTCCTGGAGAGACTCCACAGAGCCAAGTAGGGTGAAGCGAGAGGAACCCCTGGTCTGCATGGCCGAGACAAGAGCCAGCTGGGACCCAGTGGCCCAAACATCCTCCACGGCACCCAAGTCTTCCTTGGGGTTGTAGCTGTAGGCAGTCGCGGGAGCGCGCAGGATAGGCGCAACCAGAGAATTGTCACCCAGCGTGTGAGGAGCAGCCCTGGGCAAAGCCAGGACACCCTCTCCGTCGAAGTAAGCCTTGGTATCAGGCCTCAACTGGCCGGGGCGCTGGAGAAGCAGAACATCGTGCTTATCGGTAGCAGAAAGGGTATCGTAGTTGAAGTGGTCGACAACAACGGACGAACGGTCGGTAGCCAGGTGAAGATCGAGTTCCAGGAGCAACGAGCTGATGGCGCTAGGGGTGGTGGACTTGCCCGAGAGGGCGAGGAGGACGTTACCGTCCTTGTTCAGGAAGTCGACGATGTTCTTGGGGCTCAAAGAAGGTCCAAATCCTAAGCAACACAGTCAATTGCTTGTCCATACCCTTCCAACCATTGAGGCTCAAAGACAGCACTAACCTTTGGACCTGGGAGGGAGCAGAAGAAGGTGGTCGTAAGCTCTCTCTCCAAGATCGAAGAGGGAGAGCTTGTCGCTCTTGGGCGATTCGAAAACCAGCTCATATCCTCGAGCTAATTGCGAACATCAGCACCAATCGCCTTGCAGAATACAAAGCAACAACCTACCTTCTAGATCACTCCAAAACGTGGAGTAAAGGTCCTTCTCGGCAGCATCCTCCAAGACGACCAGCAGACGGTTCCCCGAACTACTGAGCGCATGTACAACAGCCAAGAAGCAGAACAGAAGGAAGGAAAGGCTCCACCGCATGATGGAAGGGTTTCCGCACAGCGGAGCAGGCGAGCAATTGAAAACAGGTTAGAAAAACCAGCAAGAACAGCAACTACAACTCCGCAGCGATGGGTGTCGAGGAGGAGATGTTCCTGACTTTCACAGCTGGGCCGAAGCGGACGGAACAAACGGGCGACGTGTTTGGACCGTGTGCCAAGACCGCCTCGCCGCATCCACTTCGTTCGGCTTTCGTCACCTTCAATCAACCTCCATCGTTCCCCTCTCCGTCGCATCCTCTGCCTGGCCTCCCCTGCCGCCCTTCCCCCCCATACGTGCCCTCCGCGTCTGCCAGATCTCCGGCACTCGTCCACAGCTTCGGTTCATCCAATTGGTCTTCCTCCCGGTTGATCCGCCCTCGCGCCCTTCCTCCACCGACCTCCGCAGAAAAACTTCTCTCCCATCTCCGACCTCATATCGCAACCATGTCTACCCCTCAGTTCTGGTCGACTCCCCTCCGCTACCTCCGTTGGGCCTCTCACGAACGCCCCGCCATCTTCTACTCCCTCATCATCGGTTCCATGGGTCCCGTCTCCCTGGTCGCCCTGCCCCCGATCAGACACGCCCTGGGCGACATTGACCCCGAGCCTATCCCTATGTCCTACCCCAGTAAGCTAATCTCTCCTCTCCTATCCTACCGGCGGATTCAATAAGGCCCTACATGTCCGGCCTCTATATACCCCTCCACTAACATTATCTCCCCGCTTATAGTTCCCCCGGGCCCCCGGACGATCCCCCAGGGCTTCGATGACGAGTAAACCCGCGATGCTAGCATTCTGATTTCACATTTGGTTTGATTGGTCTGCTCGACTGGGAAAGAAAGTTTTTTTCAAGGCGGAACCAAGGATCGTGTCGTTGGGTGGTGCAACCTAACGTAGTAGGGCTGATAGAAGGGATAACCGCGGGTCATCATCATCATCGTCGTTGCTCTCCGGACGAGCCTTGTCTGAATCTATCTTTCTCAACCCTATCTACTGATTCCTTACGGGTGTCTTTTATACCCTTGTGGCCTGTTGGGTTGGGTAGTGTTGTGAGCATGACTGGTGTATTGTATATGAAAATGACTACAGAGCGGAGTTAATGTTATCTCATCTTTTTTTTTTTCAAAGTTTTTGTTCCTATGTAACAGCTTTTGGTCCCTTTCCTCTGGGATTATTTTTGGGGTGTACACACTGGATATCAGACATGTTTTTTAAGAGAGTAGAGAGTTATGTGACCGTGGAAGGCGAGCTTGATAGCAATCGCGATACTGGGGCAGATTATGAAGATCAAGGTTCGCTGGGCCGATAAGGTCCCATAATATGTGGAACACTAGGCGTTCAACCTATGTTTGACAAGGAAAGAAACAGAACAGAGGAAAGGGCGTGGACAAGATAGACACGAAGTAGAGAGGTTAGATAAGACAAGATCTGCACATCAAGTGAGGTTCAAAGTAGGATTCTGCTGCTGCGGGGAACAAGTCGTGGCTTCGAGATCCACCGGCAAAGGGAGAAGAGTGTTATCGAAGACATTGAGCAGGCCGAGCCCATAAAGTTGGTTTTGGTAGAGGGCATCAGTGACAACGTCGAAGGGGGTGAAGAGTGGCCGGGATGGAAGTATCGGGACAAAATCTGGGTCCATGTCCCAGGTCGTGTCTGAACTCAAGAAGCTGTTCATCGAGTCGAGGGTACTGGTGAAACTGATATCGGCTAGGAGCTGGCTGGGGCTGGAGCTGACCATCACGTCTCCGTATGTTGGGACGGTACTTCCAGTATCTGGCTGGCAGGGCGGGATAGGCGGCAAGGACATGACATCGTCCTCGGTCTGATAATGATCAGCGTTTTCCAAAGTATCCACCTTCCAGGGAAAGTCTTGATTGTAGAGCTTGCAGCATGTGAGATAAGGGAGTTCGCCCCAGGCCTTAGGGTCATAACGGCTTCGATTAACCAGCAAACTTGCAGCTAGATTCTTCACTTGATCCTTCAACTTTGTGAGCCTTTCCTCAATGATCTTTACCTCGCCATGGTCGATCGGGAATAGTAGGACGAGGCTGCTCTGATCTATTACCTCGAGGTAAGCACGGCCCCCGGAGCCAATGGCACGGTAGAAGGTAGCTCCGCCATCCAGGGCACGATGATTTTGACTGTCAGCAATGGTTTGGCATAGCCACTGCCTGAAGAAGGCTATTGCCATCCACATGTAAACATCTCTGCATTTGGAATCGGCCGGGTTGGCGTGGCGGATGGCACCTGGCTGATGATTCAAGATTCTCTGTTCGACGATCTGTTTTAACATGAGAACCTCATCATGCTTTTTCGAGCACAGCTGGAGAGCAGATTCAGACAGCGACTTGAAGCCGTCATCGGTAAGGGAATTCCATCTCCCTACCAAATGGATGACCGATTCTTGGAAGATTAAGGTCGACTGGATTTTCATGCCGAGCTTGTTCCAATTGATCGGGTCGTTGGCAATGCAATGGTATAGCTCCTGGTCATACACTTCGAGAGCCGTACCAATAGCGGGGAAGACGACATGGGTTGCTTCGATATCTTCTCCTAGCTCAACCAATTCTAGACTGTTCTTCAGTAAGTTGCTGGGGGTCCCACCATCATGCAGCGTAGGATTGATCTTGTAAAACATCTTGAACATGTTCTCCCAGCACCGGCGAGTCTTCTCCGGCCAGACAGGGAAAGAACTCAGATCAGCGAACCCGATGACTTCATTGTTAAAATAATGCGGTTCCTAGGCGTGTATCCGTCAGGCTGTAGTCCATGGATATCTCAATGATGACGGCTTACCTGGATTTGAAAGACACCTAATTTATGAGCAGCGTCGCCGACTAGATTGATCTCACGGATACCTAGATGGTTCATTCCCTGTATGTATGGCAGTGGACCTATTTCATGGTAAGGGGAAACCAGGTTTCCAAGAACCTTCGAGGCGGCCGCAAGCACTTGAGAGTGAAGTCTGTAGACATCTGGTTGGACTGTGAGTTTGATGTCGCCATCAATGAACTTTGGAAAGGAACTGTGCTCCATCTTGGGACAGCCAGCCAGCGCTGAACGGCCAGTGCACAACGAAAACTGGCGGCGACAACTCTCGGCAACAAGTCTCGGCGATGCCAAATGCTGAAAGGTGAACGATGACATCGCCATTTAGTTTGTAGAAACCACTTTAGGACACTGTGTCCAGCTAATCCTAAGCGAGTATGGAACTCCCCAGTGAATGAGGGTGAAAAGGGCCAGGCCAATGCTTGTGTTACGGATACTACTTACCCACAGCAGCTGTTGCGCAACCCTCATGGATCCAGCCCATTCACGGTCACTTCTAGTCGGGCATGAACAACCGCACCGATCAGTGTTTGAATAGTGAATTTGAGCAGGTGGAGGCTGTGGGTCTAATCGAATTGGAGTGAAGGCACCCTTATAGGCAAATTCTGAAAGACTTAAGCAAGTGATATTCTATGATCCCAAAGTCAGCCCAGCATGGTCACCGCAACGCCGTCCAGCCAAATCCCACTTGCGGTTGGCATGCAGGGGGGCAAATACAAGATAACACATTTCAGTGGACGGTGGATCAATTATTAAACCCTTAGGACCAATGCAATAGCCAAAGAACCAGCGAAGAACAAGGAATAACGCCGTATATGCTCATATCTACATATAGCTCGTGGACAGCATCACTGTATGTCATCGAAGCCCCTAGCTGGTATTTTCCAGAAATCAGTGGGTGCTCCATCAGACTCAACATGTAGGAGATGGTTGAAAAACACCGATCAAGAAATAAAACTGTGGCACAAACGCAATCAGAATACCACGACCAGTACACCCCAAAGAAACCAGACATTGGAACCACAATCCAGCAAGGCAAGAAGAAAGAGACCAAGCACAGCGACGGCTGGCATTACAACACACAAATCCAAAATGCCTCCTCGTAATCCATCACGTAAAAGTTTGGGTCGACCAAACTTGACACCAGAAACTGCCGTCGGACCTCGCGCGCCAGAGCGATAACCAGGCCAACTCGGGCGCAAGGTAACGTCGGTAGAGACGTTGAGCGGAACTCAAGAGTAAATCAGGGAGAAGATGAATGGCGTCCAGGTGAAATGATATCCAGCGATCCTAGCATGTGGCTCCGGTAATTGCAAATTGCTTCCCACAAAAGATTATGCACGCTTTTTCTTCCGGTCTCATATTCCCATAGGCTAAAAAAAGGAAGAATGGTCCATAAAAGGTTCTGGAGACAAGCAGAAAGGTGGAGTGCCTGCGAATTCCAGGGATGATGCGGCCTTCTAGGGACAGAAAGTGGATTGAAGTATACGCCTAGGCTAGCAGGTAGAAAGCGGACATTGACTTTCTTTACCTAGTACGGCGTGGGGCTTCCCCGCCTCTGGCTGGTTGTGGCCTATTGCGGTCTGCAGGTGGGTATGTCGACTCAGGAGTGTATCTGGGATCCATTCCTATCCGAGGGTCCGGGGCTGTGGTAGCAGGATAAGGAATTCCAGAGGTAACGGGAGAGTAGTCCGGTTCGGGTTCATAGCCTGGCCCGGGATACCTAGGGGCATTGTTTCGTCCGTTTTCATAGCCATAGCCAGTGCCATATGTGTATGACGATGGGTGCATCTCAGCAGTCACCGCAGGCTGGCTGGAAGTAGTGTATGGAATTTGCGGGGGAGGGTACGGGTTTGGGGCCGTTCCATAGGGTGAGTGGTTTGCAGGGTAAGATGACGCAGGGGGGTACGGGGGACTCTGAGTCGCCGCGTACGGAGGTTGGCCATATGGGTCCACCACAAATTGCTGAGGAGCTGGGGGAGGTGCCGAGTAGGCAGGTGGGGGGGATGGGCCCCCCTGCTGACGCCCTTCATGGACGGCAGATACTGGGTAGCTCGCTGAACCCATGTTAGGTGCCTGGGAATAACTGTAGTCTTGATTGTAACTACCTCTGGGATAGCCTTGGTCAGCCCGGCGTAGAACGTCCGCCTCCCACCGAGCAGAATCGGCTTTGAGGTCAGCAATCATCTCCTGCATCACCAGCCATCGTTAGTTGTGCATGTCCTTCCAGCTGCCAGGATTTTCACGGGAAATAAACGTACAGAGGTGAGGTTCCGGTAGGCACGAATGAAAAAACCCTGACGACCCTATTTTTCATTCAGTCAGTTACTGCTTCAGCCAAAATATATATCCCGCCAATAAGACCGCGGTGTGTTTCGGCATTCAGAATCTTCATAGAAAAGCATCGGGGCACAGACATTATGGTTTCCGGGTCTTACGAGCGCATCATTTCCAAGGTAACGGCATATGTCTGCTTGGATGACTTCGCGGCTGATACCATCGCCAGGAATGAAATATTCGTTTTGACGCTCCGGGCGCCCTTCAAATCCAAGACGGCCAGTCATTTTTTTGTCCAGGGAGATGGTTTCCAGTATTAATGTATTATAGCAACGGGTCCAAGTGGCCAAAATGTAGTCCGGGATATCAGGAAGAGCCGACGGGTCCAGAGGAAGATGACGGTAGATGGTCTCTTGGGTTGATTGGAAGAAGAAACAGCACCAAGTACAGTTCTATGAGGCAGCGTCCGGGAACTCCAAGGCTGATAACTAAGGCTAATCCGACTTTTGGTTGACACAAGCACACATGCAGAACACGAAGGCGAGGTAAAGAGCTGGAATCCAAGGGTGGGTTATATGGCTCTTTCTCCGACAGAATAAAAGAAACAAATCCCGGTGAGAGCGTTTCTTGTCCACGGTAGATGTCAAGGATTGAGTCAAGTCAAGGTATATGGGTCACTTCCAGCATTAAGCAAGTCGCAAACGAAAGAGACAGGACTGTCCTTCTAAAGGGCCGGCAGGCGCGGTAGAGATGAGAGCTCAAGGCGTGAGATTGAATTGAACGATGAGGATCTCAGGGGAAGGTGAGAGAGATTGGGAGAGGGAGAGGGAGATGGATGGTCCTTTTCCTCCTGCGTGGGATCTCCGACTCTTTCGATAGTAAGTTTCTTCAATTGGGACACTCCCGGTCACAGACTCGATTACCTTTTGAGCTGGTGGAGAATTACCAGGCTAGAAAGGAAAAAGAGAAAGAGAGTGAGGGAGAAGGGTGAGGAAAAGGAAGAAATGGAAAAGTAGGAAAGAGGAGATCGGAGACCGGGGGGTTGGAAGAGAGGAAGGGAAGAGGGAGAGGGAGAGGAGGAGGGGGTGTGTGGTTGGATGGGGTGGATTGGGAGGATTGCGGCGACGAAAGAGAAGGAAAAGGGAAAATTGAGACAGCCGGGGAGATAAGAGAGAGCGACGGAGCGAGCGAGAAACGAAACCTAACCTGCAGGGCGCGGCGGCGAAGGAAGGAGGGGAGGAAAGGCGACTCAGAGAGGGCGAGGGAGGGGGGGGCAGGCAGCCAGTGGGTTCTCGGTGGTGGTGTCTTTGCCAGGATTGATTGGGCTGTTGGGCCGGCTTTGGGCTGCCCGGTCATGTCTGGTGCCACGACTTGACTCCACCCGAGCGACGATTAGACCCTCTCCGGCAGCACGATGAGCGCGCGATGACTGCCACTAGAAACTTGCGTCGACTAATGGGGCGTAGCCGCCGGGGTCATGGAAGGCGACGGTGCAGACGATTTTCCTGCCCCTACCCGTGCGGCTTGATTGTGAATCTCGCGGAGGATGATGCGGTTGCTGACGACGGGCAACCACAATAAAGCGGATGGCGACGAAGATCCTATTAGGGCGGCAAGCTTTTCTTCTTTCCTCTTTTATGAAGGACGATTAATCGTCATCGTTATTACTATAGTACTAGTTAGTACGGAACACTCATCAGAGTCCTTACTAAAGATGGCCCATCGTATCAAATCAAATAATGGGTAACATATTATCAATATAAATTAGGATTATGTTTATTATTGCTGTGTCCCATAGTTGGGTACTCTGGGTACATATCCCCGAAAACAATAATCACGAGCCACGGTTGAACCGCGGAGAAATACGGCCAGTTTGGGTGTCCGTCTATGGATCCATGGAAGGGCATTGAACTGTAAGGATTCACTCTCCGATCCAGGGATCATGGGCATCGATATACTGTTACTGGATAGCCTCATTATTGTCCTGTCCATTCGGCAGTAAAGCAATAGTCGCCTGCCTGCGGAACTGCGTACGCCAGTTCGATTGCCCCGTTCACCAACCAGATGCACGATGTGCACGACTTATGCGACCGATCTCGTCTGACCAGAGTGTTGGATGACTCAGCCCCGAATTGGAGTACCGGCACCGAAACTATACATTCATACTCAGCTGCAGTGACAGTCATGGCAGAAAGCTACAGTTGGAACCATTTGCTGCTAGACATCAATAATCTAACGGGAAGGGAGTCTATCGGCACCCTTCAAGTATCTGGTTGGCTATTACATACTTTGTAAACAGGCCCAAGGCTACTCCGTACCTCTCTTCATATTACTCCGTACCTATCTAGTACGGAGTACTGCAGATATGGAGTAGGTAGCCGCCCTATGGAACTACTAACTTGACAGTGCTGACCTTGATGGGGGCTGGCAAACCAAGATGGAAGTACCTACGGAGCACTTACGGAGTCCTCCGTTGCTAGACGCGGCTACTTGAATTGATCATGTGTGTGCGGTACCTGGACTCCTGGAGAGTTGTATCTATCTGTTTGGTGGTACTTTGTGCTCCGGCTCATCTGCAGCTAAAGAACCCATGGATCTGTCGCTGCCGAAACCTCCTCTGGTTACAGCCAGTCAGATTGGGGCGCGGGGTGGGCACTGCAGTTGGGCAGGAATGTGTGGCGGCTTGGGCACTCATCCGCCCGTTGTGTCCCTGCCACTAGTAATTATCCATCTCCACTCGCGGTCCGGCAAGGTTACTCTCCAGAGTCCAGTCTCCTTCAGGATAATAGGATCATCCTCGACCCTCATTCAAGGCAGCCCATGAAAGATTCCAACCCGCCCGGTCCGCTGAATCGGGGTTCACTGATGCTCGGCTTTGTCCATAGTGGGAACGACAGGCGTTATGACTCTTTGACTCTTGAGTCTATCTTTTTGACAGGGATCCATTATGAAAGAAGCGGAGAAAAGAAAAATCATGATGGAGAACATATGGTGGGACTTGGGAGACACAGTAAAATAAATTTGATAAATAAATAATAAAATAAATAAGCGCTTCAGGAAACCTGAGGCGTTAATATACTGTACATATTCCGTATAGGAACCGTAAAAATCCTCCCACAGCTTCGTATCCCCTCCTGGTACAGTAAGGCCAGGAGTACGTCTTCATCCACAGCCTCCATGCAGCAATATGGCAAGAGCACTTGACCATACTCGGCCAGCTGCATGATCGACCATCTCGGTTTCCTTACAGCAACTGGTCGGATGTTCCTTGATTCGCAAACCCCAAAAAACAGCCACCGACTGACCTAACCGGTCTTTGCGGTCTCGAAGCATGTTTTTGTAGCACCACCAGGCTCTTCTGTGCCTCCTTCGGGGTTTAACTTTGCTTCGCGCGGCTGTCACCCTCCTTCAACAAGAGCATCAGGCCAACAGTGTCCGACATGGAGTGTCACACACCTTCTACCCCCTTCCAGAGACCGACAAGGCATTTCCCGCCGGTGCCCGTTCCAATATTTGCATAGCGGTGAGACCATGTACCAGGATTGGGACCCATCCATCGCTCGAATGACATCCGTCCAGGTGTCTCCTTTGCCGCATGGTCTCCATAGTGGCTGCATCAACCCTATCGAGTTCGCAGGTGAAGAAGGGGCCATGAACTGATTAGAATCCATAACAGCAGTGGTGCATATGCCGGTTTCTCGAATCAGATCACATTTTACCACGCCGACGAGCATACATTCATTAGCCTGAAGGCGAGAAGAGCCATGCGAACATTGCATTCTCAGTCTGAGCTTCAAACCGCGGTCTGCGGTCGGGAAGCTTAGGGCCACCAAGTAATCTTGGTGTTAAATCGACACCGACTCGATGATTCCCTTCGTCGGACATCTTCAGAAGGAGGCAAAAATAGCTGCCCGATGCTATGTTTGCGATGAAAATATCATGCAAACGACACTTGGGAGCACAGTGTAGCCACCGAACGTGGGATATGTTTAGAACTCGCGCGCAATGATATCATTCCTTCATCTGATCAGATCGGTAATGCGCCTCATGACCAACACTCGTAGCTAGTAGCAGAAAAACAGGCTCCAATCGGTATTGTATGCACCCTTTGCGTTACCTAAATGATCCTTCATTTCATGGTCAGGAGCGCGCATATATCCGCTCCTTATACGGAGTAGGTATACATCTGCTTCATCAGCTGATGCCCTTTTAGAGTTCGTATATATATAATGAGGTGGGATGATATTCCAGCAAGTTCGGGTCTTGGTGAAAAGCAATATCTAGTGCCATCAGACATGTGCCAATCAAGATGTGCGCTAGCTACTAGATGATGAAGTAGCAAAGTACACCAGGATGTAAAGAAAGCATATTGAAGTGCGAAAGACACGCATCGAACACTTTCAGGTGTCGATTAGATAGACTCGATCTTGATGCACTTGAGGCGTTCATTCATGTTCGACGCCGCCCAAGCAGCGCTAACCCCCTTTGGGCAAGAACCTTCCGAGTCCACAACGTTTCCGACTCAACTTTCAACCCCGGATGACGATTCTCAATTTCTCAGCCCGACTTCTTCACAGAAGCAGGTGTCACATCCGGTATACGACGAAACCACCTCCTAGTTCGCCTTTGCTCGTCATCCTACATTCCGCAATGACTATAGCATTGTCGTTATCGATATGTCACGCTCTTCCCCGGAACCCCTCCTGTCGACCTTTTCGTCCGGCGATTCCTTGAAGTCCGCGTCTCGCTACACCTACCGTCACCTACAGCTTCTCCGTCAAGGTAACACTGCGACACCTCTCCGAGTCATTGCACATGTCGACCTTGATGCTTTCTATGCACAATGTGAAATGGTACGGCTGGAGACGCCCCGTACAGTGCCCCTCGCTGTGCAACAATGGGATTCCCTCATTGCGATCAATTACCCAGCCCGATCCTTCGGAATAACGAGAATGATATCGGCAGGAGAGGCCAAGAAGCTTTGTCCCGAGATTATCTTACAACACGTTGCGACGTTCCGAGAAGGTGAGGGTGGGACATGGGCATACAGAGACGACGCGTTCAAGAGGATAAATACCGACAAAGTGTGTCTGGATCCGTACCGAGCCGAATCGCGCAAGATTTTGAAGGTGATGAAGGAAGAGCTATCGAGATGGCATCAGGAGCTAGCTGGTGATAGACAGGGAACCGGCTCTCTGTCTCCCATACAGCAGGCTGGACTTGAGAAAGCTAGCGTTGACGAAGTCTTCATTGACCTGTCACCTCTTGTGCACGCCGTACTTCTTCAACGATTTCCTGAATTGCGCGCCAATCCACCAGGCGATGATCGGATCACACCATTGCCTATCCCACCCACGACTGCATTGGAATGGAACGCGGAAGATTGCTTGATCGACCTGGATGAGAATGAAACGGAAGTCGACGATCCGGACTGGGATGACATCGCTATGCTCATAGGGTCTGAAATTGTCCGATCGGTCCGAACAGCTGTCTGGGAACAGCTCAGCTACACGTGCTCTGCGGGCGTTGCCAGAAACAAAATGGTGGCAAAGTTAGGGAGTGCATGCAACAAGCCAAATAAGCAAACTATCGTACGGAATCCTGCCGTGCAGAACTTCCTCGGTGGTTATAAGTTTACGAAGATTAGGATGCTGGGGGGTAAGCTTGGAGATCAGGTCACTGCTATGTTTGGAACAGAGCAAGTGAGTGACCTTTTGAAGGTGTCCCTTGAGCAATTTCGCGCCAAGTTGGACGACGATACCGCTACTTGGCTTTATGGGATTATTCGAGGGGAAGACAAAAGTGAAGTCAATTCGAGGACGCAAATCAAGTCGATGCTTTCAGCAAAGTCATTCAGACCGAGCATCAACTCTGTTGATCAGGCTGATAAATGGCTAAGGATCTTTGCGGCTGATATCTATGGCCGCCTTGTTGAGGATGGTGTTCTTGAGCACAAGCGCCGCCCTAAAACAGTTGCCTTGCATCATCGGCAAGGAGCACAGGTTCGCTCCCGCCAGGTTCCCATTCCGGGTTCATCACCGATCGATGAAACGTTACTCTTTGAACTTGGAAAGACGCTGTTCCGACAAGTCATAACAGATGGACGTGCATGGCCCTGTGCAAATCTGTCTTTGAGTGTGGGTGGATTCGAGGACGGCATTTCAAAGAACCGGGCAATAGACGCCTTCCTACTTCGAGGAGAGCAGGCGAAGAATATAGGACAATCTAAGAGGGATTGGACGACCGAAGAGCCACCACGGGATGAGCAACCCAGTGAAAAACGCAGGAAACTCGAGGACAATGTCATCAAGCGGTTCTTCCCCGGGCCTCCCCAGACTAACCTTCAGCGCGATCTGCACCATATCAATGCAGATGACATGGGAGAGAAACTTGAAGATTATTTGGAGCCGGCGATCCAACCAGTGGAGCCGTCACCCGGGCTCTACACCTGCAGTCGCTGCGGAAGTGTGTTCCCAGAACACGAGAAGGGAGAACATGATGACTGGCACTTTGCCAAAGACCTGGCGGATGAAGAACGACAAGTGGCCAGCACTCCGCGGGCCCAAGAAGCTTCACATACTTTGGGGGCATCCAGCCCACGTAAAAAGACCAATCGTAGCAATCGGGGCAGGCCGGGAAAGGGTCAGACTCGCCTTAGTTTTGGATAGACTCTGTATAGCGAGGTTGAATACTTGAAAAATACCAAGCGCAGTCAGACCTGCGTGACCCACGAGGTGACACAGTAACATTCACATATCCAGAACCCAACCATGTTTTGACAGAATTTCTCCGAACCTTGCAAAATTTCCAAATGATTGGACAACCGTGCTGCCACTTTTCAGCCAGACTGGGTCTTCTATAGCTGGGCCAGATATACTCCGCAGTAGCCAAACATATACAACTTTCCGGGCCATGCCGTCACTGAACCACGGTTTCAGGAGATTCCTGATCTTCATATCAAATATACTACATCATTTCCCCGTTGGCAATATCAATCAAGCCATTGAGATGAACCCATCAAGACTGAGAAGAAATCGGCTCGTATCCAGCGAGCCTTGGGGGAGAATTCGGGCAGAGGACCCGGGCTGCAGCATGACATCAGCCGACTCAGCCGCGGGGTCGCTTCCAGCCTGGACTGCCTCTGATGCCAATCTCCCTGCAAATCAATCCTTTCTGTCGTTGACACAAGGCTCCCGTTATTCTCAGAAGACTATTTTACGGTAAAATGTCTTGATGATTTCTTGTTATAGCTGATCTTCTGTCACTTAGCAGGTGGTTCGAACACCCCGCTTCGTTGCTGCTCGTATAGCAGCCGCCCAGGAACTCGCACGACAGCCTCGTGTGAAGATATTCCAACAATCGCGCCTTGTCTCGGGGACCTATACATATTTATCCCTATTACTCCTATTCTTAGCGACACAGCATGCCTCGACGCTCCCGTGCCCGTGAATACGATGAGGAGGATATGTACGAGGCTGAGCGTGATGTGTATCCACGGCGGGGTAGAGACGACCGATTCTTCGAGGAGGATATCAGATACAAGCGTCGAGGACCCGATGCACCCCCTACTGAGAAGCTCGAGCGCTTGCATCTTCAAGCACAACGAGGACCTGAGATTCTTCGTGAATTTCAAGACTATCCCCCAGAATTGGCACCACCGAGCATGAGGCGCGAACCCGAGTTCCTTGACCCACTTCCACGAGAGAGACCGCGCGGCTATGAAAGAAATAGAGATGAAGTTATTAGTCGTCGGGGAAGACCCCGTTCGAGGGAGTTAGATATGGAGGAAGAGGTCGTCTTTCGCGACGAAACAGACAGGAGGTACACTGACAGTGAGTCGGATAAGGATATTGTCGTCGTACCAAAGAAAGACCGATCGGTATATCGACGCAAATACGAGATTCCCAAGGAGCCCAAGCCTCGCAGTAGAAGTCTCTTGGAGGAAAAAATGGTGCGAGAATCAGACTATGAGCAAGACAGCTTATTACTTCCAAAAGACCCGGCGAAGGCAGATCATCGAAGGCACCGAAGTGGCCCATTCTATGAAACGTCTTCACGGTCACGACACAAGCACCGGTCACACCGGCACAGAAGCATCGATGAAGCTGACGACGAACTCGATGAGGAAGTAGATAAAGAGAAGCTTCTCACCCGGGAAGCTAGGAAGAGAAGACCAGCCAGAATTGTTGAAGAAGACATCTTCGAACGTCGAGAAAGATCGTCGTCTCCTGAGGTCGCGATCCCTAGGGTTCCATCGCCGGTCCAGGTGCTGCCGGTGCATGAAAGACATGTCCACGAGAGTGAGTTGCCATTGTCTCTACTGTTATCTATTATTGCATGTACTTACTCATTAGTAGGTCGTCGAAAGGTCTACCCACCCCGAGCTCCCAGCCCCGAGATTGTGTTGACGGAGGCAGAGATTCGCCAACGGTATGTATAATCATGCTATATCCTAACCTATGCACTGCTCACCCTTTACTAGTGAGAGAGGCCGGAAGGGGAGATCGGACAACGAAGAGATTCTCATTGTCAAACGAGAAGACGAGGAAGACTTTCCACCATCTCGACGCCCTTCAGCAGATCCTTACCGACGAGAGAAGCCTGTGCCCATTGACCCTCCCAGGCCAAGGCCACTGGAGCGCGAAAAAGACAAGCTTACTATAATACGCCGCGATGGTAGTCGGGAGTCGCTGGTGGAGGAAGAGTTTGATGAAGAGGAAGTTTACAGGTCTCGCGGTCATGACTTTCCACCAAGGAAAGAAATGAAAGCGACGGAAGAGCTGAAAATAGTCACGACTCCGCCCAGAGACAAGTCCTCAACAAGAACCGAGATAGTGACTCAAGAAATCAAACCATCACGATACACAGATCGTGAGTCCAAGCTGGTAACTAAAGACGTGAAGGAGTCTGACGATATCCCGGATCGACAACCTGGGAGAATAGGGCGACGATATGTAGGCATCAAAGACCGCCGAGAAAGCCTGTGGACGGAAATTACGAAGGACCTGGTGGTGAAGGAAGCGCTGGAGCGGTCTGGCTATGAGTATGAGGAGACGGGGTCTTTCTATTACATATTCTCCTACCTTGAACAGGTGTGTTTCACTCGTCCTCTGTACTACCTACCTGCCGCGTATCCCCTACTGACGACCCTGCATAGGAGGACGTGGATGCACTGATTGAGCTTTCGGAGGACATTCGGCGTGCACGCCGGCGTCGGATCCAAGAGATCCACCGCGAGCGAGCATCGATGCCTCTTGGGCCTCCTCCGCTAATGGCTACAGCGGACAAAACAGGCCCCCTGCTTCTGGATCATCCAGCAGGTCCTCCCCGCTTTGTTCGGGATGAGCGGAGAAAGAAAGAGCGGGATGTAGTCGTCGAGGGCAACCGCTGGCGGCCACCTCCACGCTCGGAGCGGTGGTGAAACCGCGGACTTTTGTTGGGCTTATGCTCTGTTATATTGGTTGCATACCCGAATGTTTACAGATACCCGTGTTGTTGTCATGTTTGATGCATCTGTCCACCCAGCCGATATAACATGGCTATGGAACACAATCTACTACATAGCTATACAGAATGAATGACTATAATCCAGCTCCTTGTTCTAGGTGTACCTACTATTTCTAACAATTGTTGGAATAACCTAACTACAACTCCATATCCCATAAATCAACAACAACAACAACAACAACAACAACAACCGAGCCAACCAACCAAACTGCGCCCCCCTCCCAATCCCATAACAGCCAAGCCACACACTTCCTTCCTCCCACCCCCATTGCAAATTTCCTTCCACAACCACAACCACTACAAAACCAATACCGCACTACGTACCGGGAAAGATGGAATTGAATAGAAGACAAACGAGACGAGGCGAGCAAATACCCAAATCAGCCTCGCTCGCTCGCTCGCTCGCCCCTCCCCGCCCCGTCGTCCATGCAGCTCCCGTGCATACTGTACCTCTCTAAGTACGTACCTACTTACCTAGTTACTAGGTACTTGCTTACGTTTCAGGTTTTTTTTTTGCCCCTCAGGCAGGCCCGTCCCGGTTGGTTCGGGTGGGGGGATATGACTGGTCATATACACACTACTTACATACTAGTAGTTAGTACTCTGTATACCTACTCGTATATACATGTTTATGTTTAGAAGGCGAGTGTGTAGGTCTCTACTATGGAGTGCTATGGGGGATGAGGTGTAGTTGATTCTGTTCGGGGTGTAAATAGAATAGTTTGGTATAGGGTATGGTATGGTAGAGTAGGTGGGTAGATAGGTGGTCAGGTGAGGAAGAGAAGGAGGGATAGATGGAGGGAGGGAGTATTGGGTCTGGCTCATATGACCTGTTGAATGGGACTAGATTGGGTGCCGGGGATCCGTGTGTATGTGTGCTATTTCAGGATGTGAGGATGGAAGTCCGAGGTCCTACCTATCCATTTACTTGCCTACCTCTGGATGATTGTGTACATAATTTGTGAGTGTCTTATTAGTATAAGATTGTGTATATGAATGATCCTGGCGAGGATGTATATGGTTTGAAAAGGGAAGTAAATAAACATTATTATCTATAAATAAACCAATCATTGTTGGGTTATGAAGGTAGAGTAAGTAGTAAACAATAACAATAGTATCCATGCAATTAATGCCAATGGCAACGGTAATGGCAACAAGAATAGCTCATACTATCATATAAACAGTAGTTTTTAGATAGTACCTAAGTGGATTGTGATGATGGGGATGAGGATAATATCAAGTGACAGCTATGCATCCACCTTCCTGCTAGGTAGGTAGGTACCGCAGGATCGCAATTGAGGAATGATTGTGACTGGTCCAGCAGCGGGGCCTGCTATTGTTTACCGTTTACCAAAATTAGGACAGGAGGGAAATTGCCAGGACATGGTGATTGAAAATTACGCCGCTAGAGTAAATTAACTGTCCCACCAGGGGGATGGGATGCACACTGCACTGCTGCTATTTTTGTGTGGGTGGATTGATTTAATTCGATTTATCATGATTAGTATTATTGTGATTAGTGATTACTTGCTTGTGATTCAATGGTTGTGGTTGTTGGTTTTGGGGGTTGTTTTTGTTTGGCTTAGATGGAGAATTGTTGGTTCTTCTGTAGGAGAGAAGCTTGTTCTTCCAATATTATTCCGTAGATAGGAGTAAAAGTGCGAGAGAGAAGTGAACGATGCTTACGAATCGCTAGGAGATCGGCATGTGACTAATCGGCATGCTCATTCCTTGGATTCCACTTTCATTCCCCTTGTCAAGCCACATTATTGCTTTGGCGGGAGACAGGAGACGGAAGACGGAGAGATCACAGCGATGGATGGAGCCCTCCACATGGAGTAGTCCAGATCAAATGCCGATATTATGGATAGTGTCGTGTCCTGGCGGGCGACATCCGGCAATTTTGTTTGTGTGCCTGAGCCTTGCTGGTATGATTGGCAAAGTCTAATCGCGGGTTGAGATGCACCAGCCACACGCGGTTTCCATGGTTCGCCTGCACACTATGGCCCTTGAGAGTTGAGCAATCATGCTGATGGCTGCTATCTATCTATCTATCAGTCCATCCCCCTTGCGGATGGTTTCACAGATAAGGCTAGCGATCGGGCAGTCATTCGGTCGGCAGTGCCGTAGTTCCCGTGAGTGACCCCTTCATATCTCGGTCTTAGCATTCTTTCTTCATTTTGAATTCAGCTGCCATTCAGATTGCCATCTGAGAAAGGGATAGTCGGGGTTCCGATCGACCAAATACTTTATAGCGAGTGACTCAGTGAGGGGAAATTTAGACGAGTCCCGCCAAGCACCCCAAGTGACAGACAGTAGTCCAGCTGCAAACCATATGACCCAAAGTTGGACTCGGTCAACCATCCTCAAGCCCTGATAGCATGATATGATGGCAGCAGCTGAAAGGCGGGGTTTCAGATATTTAAGTTACTGGCGTCATCCTCGCACGCGCTGGCCTGGGCAGATGGGCTTCGCACGTCCCATTGGCCAGGCGATAGCATGCTCGGAGCTTAGCACCTTGACGGCACAGTAGCATCGCGCATCTCCAGGGATGTTGATGCATGCACGCAGTAGTGCTCCCATCGTGGAGGATGCTTTGTGCCGTCCGCAGGCTTCTATACTGCCAGCCTCCGGTGCTAGGGCAACAGTGCGATATAGCCTCGGGAATATGTTCCCAACGAGCAGGGAATTTCACCTCAATCGCCCCGCTGGTCCTGTTCGGGCAAGGTACTATTAGCTTCATGGTTGGTTTCCAGGTTTGCATACTTGGCGATGAGGCTTGCTGACAGGGATGATGAAAGTTCACAAAAGTAGGACAGATGAGGTCCTTCATCACCGGGGGCCGAACACACGAAAATGTCGCAATAGGGGCCGGTGATGATCGGAAAGCTTATATGCTTTGATAACGAGAGGGATGGCCGATCCCATTTCTCCCTTTCTGGTCGATGGGGGAAGCGACAAGATATATTCAAGAGATTTTTGCGAGCGATGCGACTGCGCAAGATCCTGGCGATGACGCCGCAGGTTGCACCGCAGCTAATCCCCCGTGCCACTTGTCGGAGGAGACTGAATATTCTTTGATTGTCCACTGGTACACCTTACCGAAAAGTATACCTTGCTGCCTAGATCCATTGGCCCCATGCCACCAACATCGTTCCTAGTATCTACCCATCTACCCATCTACTCCGTACTACCAGGCTCTCAGCAATCAGTATCACCCCACCGCACTTCATATGTAATCATGATGTCGGAGCACGGCAGCAACCCCCAAGCACCATGGTTTGGCGATAGTGCAAAGCTTGTATTGGACGCGGTGCCTGAGCCCTGACACGAGGGTTGGCAACCGTGGACGGGCGCTGGCGATGAGACCGCATGATTTGTCACTGCCTACTTTCCACCGACGGCCGTGGATCCCTGGAGTGGACATCCTTGGGAAAGCAGACGGGATAGGCCGGCTGAAACCGTCGGTCCACTGTTATCTCCTTTCAGTTTCTGTTCGCCAGAGTTGAGGGACTGGAAAGTGGGAAAGTTGCGAGCAACACTCTGTCCAGCACTCCAGCATCCTTACCTACGGTTTGGCACCGATCCAGCCACGGCCAGACCAAAAGCCAAGCCTGAGCAGCACCGGGATAATTTACATCATACGCGGGAATCGAGAGTGCGCACCACCGATCCCTTCTAGACCACTCCTGCTTGCCGGGCTGCAACTCCACTGCTGCGGATTCTAAGACCAGGAGTTGTCCTGTGCGGTGGCGAGTGCCGTATGATCGTTACCTTACCTCGCGTCGTGGTTGAGTACCAGTAGTCCTGCCTAGACTGGGTTAGTTGGTCTGGTACTAGTGGCCTCGGAGGAGTCTTACTCCTATTATGTATGTATCTTATGTATCTCCGACTGGTATATGATGGTACTCCCCACCTAGTAATTCTTCTGGTTAACAGGCAGCAGTCTCAAGAAAAAAAAAATTTCATCCCGTAAGAGTAGATATCTACCTACTGGAACTTATAATATCTCAAGTACCCGACAAGTTCCCAAAGGTTCTATCCGGTCGGATGCTTTCTGTGACGGACTACGTATCAAGTACGACGACAGGGACATTGGCCACGCAGTGCTGACCCAGCCACAACCAATCACCGGGTCAGGATCTGCATCCGTGGCCCTGTCTCAAACGCTGAATACCTGGCTCGGCTACAAAGTGGCTGAACCGGTAGATCCCTTTTCCTTGGGTAATATCCAGCAGCATCCAGCATCTCCAGCATCGATGCCCACTTGGGGCTCCATACGGTCGGGGCGTCCCAAGGTTAGCCAGTCCAGCCAGTCCATCCAGTCCAAGTGTCCAACAGCCCAGCAGTCCGTCGTGCATCCTCCGAAGTGCCCGTCCGCCGTGTCAGACAGAGTGACGCAGGCAATAAATAGGCAGCTAATCCACACCGGGTTGGTTTCGTACCGACCCGATTCACCAGAGAGGCAAGGAAAAGTGAAAAAAAAGGCAGAAATCGCTGGGAGGGGAGGATCGCGGCCCCATGCGAAGGATGGATGTTTCAGGACCGGGATCTCGTTTGTCATGAGCTTAGAAGGTTACATGCCAGTGACCACAAAGATAGAGTTTGTCGCTTTTAATTGTTCCTTTGACCAGGTTACTTTGAATGTGCCCAGTGCCTCTGGATTCTATCATTCTTTTGTTTGTTTGTTGTTCTCTCGCTCGCTTTTTCTCTCTTCCCCCTGATCACAGTGGATTTCTACACTGCAAATATTTTCTCTTCCTTTTAACGTGGTGGCGCCATACTGTAAGCATACTGTAGGACTCCTAGCAGATCGGAATTTGTATTTTGTCCACGTACGAGCGTAGACCGATTCTTACCAAATACGTGACCTCCGGGACAGGAGCGTCAGCTTGCCCACTTGGGGATTACATTGACTGGGGGCGGGAGGGTACTATGAGCTGCCGCGACCGGGCATCTCCTGCGAGAGGACGAACGGAGACCCAGGCTCCGTTTCTATGTCGTGTGTGAGTTCCTCACGTTGGCGGCTGCTCTGGTGTTGGTGCTGGAAAGCCCTCAGAACAGGCATGTCTTCAGCCCCTCCAAACTTCCAGTAGTAGTGAGTAGCCAGGTACCATACTCCTCCATACATCCATACCATCTGCAGGTAACAGGTAAAAGCGACGGGATTAATACTCCGTACGGCGACGCGTATGGACCCGACGGTTGGTCAGCCCGCTAGGCCCGAAACGGGCAGGGGCCCACTGCAAAGCGGGTAAGCCGGATTTTTATTTTTATTCTTTTTTCTCTTGTTTTCTTTTTCCCCATACTTCATACATAATTAGTACGGTACCTTCCTTTCCATTTCGCCATGATAGACTCCTCTTCCTCTTGCTCTTACTCTTGCTCTGCTGCTCGCACCGACAGAGTACGTACTTCGACTAGTATACTTACCTGACTCGATAATTTAAAAATTTCCAGCTCCCGGTTTCTAGAACGGTGACTGGCCGCACTGGTGGAACATCGGGATTGGGCCAGCCTGGTTCCGTTTTGGTACTTACTTACTTTACTCACGCTTACTTACCACTACGACGGCTCCCACTCGCAGGCTTCCCGTTGTCGTCGTCGTAGTCGAACTCTCCTCATCCATTCCATCCTGAGGTGACCCGACTGACTGTCTTTCTCCAACCTCAATCCTCTCTTTCCTCCCATCTATCTACCTCTTTTCCTCATCTTTCGTTCACCCGCGCCTGCAAACTCCAACACCACCCCTCGTTCTCGCCATTCGCTTGCCTCCCCTGATCGGAGGGGACGATGCCGATTACCTTCTGAACCTACCGGCGCCGTGTTGATCCCGTCCCTCCTCCAATGTCTGGTTCGGCTTTCCCTCGCAGTTGAAAACGCCCCTTTATTGAACCGGTTCTTTTTTTTTTTTTCGGTCCCCAATTCGACAGCAAATCTGTCCATCTAATCTTCTCTCTGGTATGTACCGATTTGGAGTCGAGTTGCGATGTTATCGTTGGGGGTCCGTGGCTGATCGGCATCAGCTACCTTCGGTCTGAGTTCATCTGCGGGACGTCTACCCGAAGTTCAGTCGTTATAGTACTACTCACCTTTCCTGGGCACGGGCCTGACGGATGATTCATTCGACTTGGAGGTTATAGCAGCTCTCTCGAGGCTTCCATACTTTGATACTGTCGACAAGGCTTTTATTGTCTGTCGGTGGGGGTTCGACCATATTCGAAGACAGCTCTTATCAAGTGGGAGCGTGACACATCGTCGTAATCGGCATCCAGCAACTTTCGATCCGCTTTCACTTGGGCACGATCTTGCCCACCAATCGACTGAGTTTGAAACGCCTGGAGCTAGTTCGACGAGTGCAGCGGATTCGTCGTTATGCGGGCCGACTTTCTTCTTCCACCGTTGCTGGGTGTAATTGCCTTGCTTTCTTGGCCTGTCTCGGTCGCATCCTCTCTTTCCTATTGCTCTTCGACAAACACGGGGTCTTCTCAAGCCGCTAGTATGTGATATCGGTGTGTTTAAAGTGCTGTTATTGACTCCATGCAGATGAGAGTACCTACCAATCCAACGGTCTGTGCGAAGACCATTGTAGCGACTATGCATTCGGAATCCTGCAAGGATACGACTGCTGGTGCTCGAACATTGTTCCCAATTCAGCGACCAATGTGAACACTACGGAATGCAGTCAGGACTGCCCCGGCTATCCCGATGATCGCTGTGGGAGTACCTCAAAGGGCCTTTACGGCTATGTCGAAATCGTCGGTCATCAGCCGTCAGGAACAGCGACCGTATCATCGACATCAACATCAACATCTTCAACCTCTGTCAGTGCCCTTTCCTACCAGTCATTTTTCTTCGGTTCGTGATTAGCGCACAGTCGATATCTCGAGTTGCCCCGCATGATGGCTAGACGATGTTCCTCGCATGGACAGTTTTCTTGCACGGCGCGTGGGATTGTTGGCGGTGCTGCTATCATGGGTTGCGTCATGGCTGCTTCAACTTCAGAAGTGTGCATAGACCTGTCCAGCCCCAGTATATGTATTTGTACGCTACCAGATCTGACTATTTTTAGACATCCTCCTCGACATCCGAAACTACGACTGCTGCGACGACGACGACCGGACCAACAGTTGCGGTCACAACGGACTCCGGAGTGGTGAAGACGGTCACAGTTCCCGGCGGCTCCACCAAGGCCACTTCCACGTCTGCGGCCGACAATGTTTCATCCGAAAAGAGCACAGGTGGTAGCTCGGGTATGAGTTCGGGAACAATCGCTGGTGTTGTGGTAGGCTCCGTTGGTGGCGCCCTCGCCATCCTGGCTCTGATATTCGTGTTGTTCTTCGCGAAACGCAAATCGCGCTCGAACAGCCCAGATCCAAGTGTACAGTCCATCCTGCTGGATGGAAGACAAAGCAAAGGCTCACAGATGAGTTTTATGAAGGGCATGTTTTCCGACAACCATAGTCATACCTTGTCTGCTGGATCCGCCGCCAGCCGGATGCCGACGTTTACGGACAACCGCATGAAAACCGATACCGTCCTCTATCAAAATGGCCGCCGAGACAGCGATGTATCGCTTCAAGACAACGAGGATTATTCTCGGCCTGTCTTGCGGGTCAGTCCTCTGTTCCCTGTGTAAATGGTTGTGGTTCGATGCTAACACGTGACGTAGCTCACAAACCCCGATTAAGGGGCAAAAACCAATCTCTTCGCATTTTGCATTTGCATCTCCTCGCATTTTGCATTTGCATCTCCTCGCATTTTGCATTTGCATCTCCTATGTCTTCTCGATTTGCGTGTTTCGGCGAAAACAGCGGTGTTATGATACCCATTTGTCACATAATCCTTGACTTCATTTTCATTCGACTACAGGAGAGACGATGGCCTCGACAGCCCCACCCCGCCCACCCCCACCGCCGGTGTCTCGACCCTGGCAATGTCTACGCGTCATGCATGCTCACGACGGTGCATTGGGCTTGGGGCGGGGGAGGCTAAAAGCGTTGAACAACTGCCATTCGCCCTTCGGCGGTGGAAAAATACTGCCGCTCGGCGGCTATAACCAACTTCCCAATCACACCACGTCATCGGCTTGGGCGTGGCTTTTCTTCGATTCCATCGACTTGTCCTGATTGTCGACCTTCGTGTATATCGAAGCACAGGGACCTGTGCTACAAGCTGAAGTACATACTCTAATGGATTACCAGAATCCTTCCCCTCGCTCTTGTTTTCTATTCCATTGTCTTCTCATCTGGCCCCTGTTTTTCTTCCTTGTCTGTGTTTCTATAAGTGCCAGGTTCCATGAGCGTCATTTGAAATTGCATGAATGCATTGAAAGATTGGTCGGTGGTATGCTGCTATCGCTGGGTTCAGCATGTAATCTTATAATGATGGAGCGACTTGTTCTGATAGTTAGATGCATCGGCTGTGCTGCGATGGGCTTAATACCGGAGAATACTAGGCATCGATCTGCTTCCACCATCTATGTCCATTCCTGGTCCATCTGCTTAGCGTACCGAACCCACCCGATCGAGCAGCGTAACCTGTTCTTCTAGGATCGACCGGCCTGGCCCAAATGGCACCTAATCTACGCATGGATAGCCGCTCCCGCGTGTCCCCAGAGGCATCATAGTTTGCCACTCCACGACCCAACCCAACCCCAACCCACTGTGGAATGTATGGACCTGCGCCTGGAACAATGCCATCCGGGTACCTGCATTGTCATGTTGGTTGCCTTGCCACCCACTGTTTTAGGTTTATGGACCGGCCACTTGACCCCGTCATACTGTGTAGACTGTAGTATCGTGTGGTGGGCTGGTGTGTTTCTTAGGTTGGAAGGTGCTGTACTGTGTATTGTAGCTAGTGACGTGTGTAGGTGGGTTCTGTCTTGTGAGAGTTCGGTCGTAATTTAAAGATAGAAGGTAAGTAGGTATTGATGTTTCTTTCGTCAAAGGTGTGTCCGATGGAGGGATGTAGGTATCTGGTACTCTGTAGAGTTAGCTTGTCGTAATACTGTGATTGTATTCTTATTAACTTAGAGGCATGGTTGGTTTTCGTATAATGAGTAGTACGTGCTCTGATTTGACAATTGCTGAAAGTTTGATTGCTCATCATGTCTGAAGGTATGCTTCCTGATGGGAAGGGAAGTATAGCGGCTAAGCTGTGAGAGGTATAGGTATGGCTCTTGCTGAACAACAACCCGCGGCTGAGCCAATGTGCAAGACATACACTGTTTTCAAGTAAGTCAAGTAATCCCTCTCCATTTCAAATAATAATATGGACGATGGAGTAGTATTCAAAAAGCGGTCAATCCACCAGGCGAAAGCGCGGCACATGACCGCGCGGGATAGTTTTGCCCTTCCGGGAAAAGCAGTTGCACGCCGGTTCTTTTCCGCTTCAGTCGCGTCGGTCCAGGATCTCGCGTGTCCTCGCCATGATTGTTTTGCCTGCCGTGGGCCTATCTCTTTCCTGCCGTGAGCTCCTCCCACCCCCTCACTTGTTGCAGGACTCTCCGCATCTCGTGCGTGCTTGTATAACTGACGAGTGCAACAGCCTGGTCGGTGGTAGTACAATGAATAACCTGGTTCCTTGTTACATTGCAGCGGATGTACTCGTCCTGTTAGGCTGGAGGGGGATTCCTCTTTGTGTTCGAACGTCATCGACTCAAGTATGGTCCGGGGGGGGCAAGGCGATTAAGATGGTGGGACATGGCACTGCTATAGGCAGGGTCTTTAACCCAGCCTATCGCCCAGTGGCATGAGCGAATCAATCCCCCTTCAGCATAAGGTTGCGCCGATCGCCATGACCGTGAGCCGGTAATCGCATCCATTGACGGCCGTCCACGAAAAGACCGGTTATCAACAGTCAGATTGGCCTTATCTATTATCTGCATCGCCGCACCAAACAGAGTAAAAGCTGTCGAGGTATGCCACCTCTCCGAAGCATGACATCCGCCCTAGCAGCTCGGATTTCCCGAATTCCATGGCAGACTGAGCTGCCCAGGATGGCCTGTCGCTATCCGAAGTGATGGCCTGCGCGCTCGAGATCTATTAATGTAACGCCCTCTCCCTGTCAGGTCCGATATATTTGCCCCGGTTTTTCCTTTGTTGCTTCATCGGGTCCACACCGGTCGCGTTTGTTCTTGTTGTTTTTTCAATGTGGTACAACAAGTGATCAATATGGATGTTTTGATTCATCAGGGTAACCTGTGGCTGGTCGGCCTTGCCATGGTCGCACTCGGCGGATTCTACTTCGTCACGGGGAAATTGCAAGGTAGCGCCATTTTGAGCCGGGTTTGCAGCCACTGGGGGTCAAAAGGCGGGTGGCAGTCATGGACTGCTGAAAAGAAGTCCTCCCCTGGTCCTTCTTCGCCAGCAACTTATGTCGATATCCTCCCGCCACAACGCCGCCATGTTCTTGCCTCGTTTAAGATCGGGGTTCCGTATGAAGAGGTTGACGAGAAAGACGTGGTGGAGTACGCCCTGCCCATGACATCGAACTACCAGACATGCACGGACAAGAGATACACCCCGACAGGGTTCTCGGCGGCAGAAGTCAGAGCATTGGGTGATTTTCCCGACTATGCAGAGCTTAGCGGCGTGCCCTTGCCTGAGCCGTATCACGAGTTTGACATTGGCAAGGCGCTGGCCCGTCCCTATCGCCCCTTCAGATGGTCCTACCATCAAACAATGTGTACGTTTCTCTTCCTGTAACCGATCGCCCCGAGCGAAAATTGACATCGCAACTCGATAGCTCTTACAAAGTTGGAAACCGATTGGTGGATTGAACTCGAAAATACTTACCGAGAGAGAATTGCACAGCGCAAAGAGCTGTATGCAAAGCATGGCAGCTCAGTGCTAGGGTATCTTCCTGGCTCGGAGCTGGCTTGCAAGGAGCTCATGGAAATGGTGCTGCAGTTCATCTGTGCTCGGTATCCGCAGTACTTTGTCATCGAGGACAATCGCATCCTCCACAACAAGATCTTGGGCACCAAGCAGGATCTTAAGTCAAAGCACCCTCTCGACATACTTATTGATAATGTGCCGGAAGACTTTGGAATTATGTTGCGCGACGAGAAGACAGGCTTCTACTTCCTTCGCGCAGGTGTCATCTGTTCGTCTCTGGGGTGGAATGTCGGGACCAAAATTGGCCTCCAGCTGCATGAAATTCACGAGACCATCCCCGACTACAAAGAGAAGATGCAGTTCTCCATGGATCGGTAGGTTCCTTTCACACCAAATTTGGACCGATAACTGATTGAGATGTTTAGCTTCTTCACCAAGATGCCGGTCGACAAGCCCATCCAGAGAGGATCCTGGGGCCTGGAGGTAGGCCAGCCTCTATACATGCCCAAAGGGGATCCTCACGAGACACTTCGCCTGTCTCAGGACCCTAACCTACAACTGGAGGACTGCAACCTTCGAGTCGACTGGCAGACGCTCCGCCGTCTTCCCCTTTCTGCGGCCGTTGTCTTCAACTTCAAGGCCCTCTTCACGCCGGTGACGGAGTTCCGGGACGAACCGGGGGTGCCTGCGTTGACGGCTAAGGTTCTGAAGGAGGGCAAAAAGAATCTCATGGACTACAAGGGCACGTGGCACGTGGAACATGTTGTCATCCCGAATCTCGAGAAGTGGGCCGCGGAGCAGGAGGAAAGCGGACTCGTTCCGAAGGACTGGCAGGTGGCTACGTTGGATGACAGCCCATGGTTCAAGGGCTGGCAGGAGAAATGGCATCGCCAGCAGGGATTCTAATCCCTTTTTATAGATTGCCCGACGGGCATGGACTTGCATATATTGGAGGCTGTATGAATCCTTCTTCTATGCCATTTGCTATGCATGGCGTTGTGATATTTCAAGTATCTCCAATCTTATCCAAAGCGCAATATCCTCGTTATAGCGTGAGAACCGCAAATATATGGCGCGCACATCTCGTTGATGCGTGGTATGTCCCGTCTGTCTTGTACCGTGTCCACCGGGCATTAGACGGCGGTAGTCTGCCCAGGATAGTTCGGAGAGCCCCATATCAGCGAGGCGTCCGCGCGGCTCAAACAGCGCAGTCCGTAGACCGGCACGGCATGATCGTCACCGCAGCAGCAGCAGGGATCCATCATCCCTGCTGTACCTATTGGTCATGGTCCTGCAATTGGCCCAACCAAACCCGACCAGACCAGCAGTATGCTTCTTCAAAAGTAACACACGAGACCGCAACCTCAATCATCCCCCTGCCTCTCCCCCTCCTCACTTCCCTCCCCTTCCCCTCCTCCTCCTCCCGATCACTCCTCTCCATCTCCTCCAACTCCTCCTGCAACGGACTAACCCTCACCTCCAACAAATCCAAATCCTCCAACTGCTGCCTCCCGGGCAACTTCCACAAACTCGTTCCACACACTCTCTCCTTGGTCAACAACTCATCCACAAACTGATCCATATACGTCAACGTAAACGAATCACGAACGCGTCTTTTCAACTTCCGATAATCCAACAACAGCGGTTCCAACGTCTTATACACCTCCACCGGCTCGAACGTCAACCGCACATAGAACGCCGCCAACGCACGCAGATACTTAAACGACCCGGTGGACTTCACAACCCCATCATCAATATCGCCCCCATCCCCTTCTTCCCTATCCTGCTCCTCATCCGCGTCCGTGAAATTCAAATACTCGAGCACAATATCCCTCGACGGATTAAGTTGGAGTAATTTGAAGGCGAGACATAAAAATGGGGACGGCTTTTCGGCTACTCCGTACACACCTCCGATGCAGGTGAGTTCCACGGCCCGGTCGCAGAGCGTCGCGGCGTTGAGTCCGAAACATTGCTCTTTCCAGTAGTAGGAGTCTGTGATGCGGTCGCGAACGGCTTTTTCGAATAGAGTCGCGGGGTTCACGCCTCGGACGAGAGGGCCCGTGTAGCCTCGGTTGTCGAGGAAGGTGCTGGCGTCGGCGCGGTGGGTTGTCATTTTTTTGAGTCTTTCGGGTTGATTTTTGGGGGGTGGGGAGAGATTGGGGGTGAAGTGGATGGGATGGGTTGGAGAAGGATGGAGATGGAGCGAGCTGGAGCTGTATGGCGTGGATTGTTTTTCTGCCGGGGTTGGGGGCGGTGAGTGGATACAGGTAGTGTCGGGCGGTGTGGGGGTATACTGCATCATCATGTCTCTCATGACACTCCTATAAGTGAAAATAGCTGTGCTTATAGTTTCGATTTGAATTCTCTACCACCTCTTAGGGATGAATCATAGCAAGGATGTGAAGAAGCAAGCCAACAGGATCAATTCATTCTAATTTAAGCAAAGGAATGGGGAAACCCAGGGGTTCAAACCTGGCATAGTTGCTTGCGTATATGGCTAAGAAACATGCCTGCTTATTATTTTATAATGTCAATTATCATTTCTAATTCGCTCTGCTATTTGTTAGAGCATTCTTCGCTCTAAGTGACTAGATGCAACGAAGCTTCGTTGTACGCTGTCGTGGCCGATAGTTATTGCTTCAAATTTGTTATACTGAAGCCCGACGGTAGGGTCTGTATAACTGTGTGACCTCCCTTTGAGTTATTGATTTTTAACTTGATAGCAGTATAGACAGAGGGCTTTATATCGAGACCAGGGAGAGAAAGAAGCCTAGATGGTTATCCACGGGATGATGTATTCCATCAGACAAGGAGGGATGGCCTCCTCACAAGGATCCGATGCAATGGACATTTCAACTGGGTCATGACCTGCGGGAAGGCCCCAGAGTCATTGACAAGGATTATCAATAGTTTCTTGTATATCAAGTCGAAGTCCAAAGGATCCCTAAGCAAGCAATAAACTAGACAAAGACTTCACTCAAACAGACCGCGTGGAGAGCGGTATTGGACAATCCCATGATGATCCTCAAATAACGGTAACGGCTCGTACCCACGACCCCTGTGCATATCCGCCAACCTCTCCGCCAGTCTCGTATCTTCCGGTTGGAACCGGAAAATTCTTGGTCGTCGAGACAGACGGAGGACATATACAGGGATGGGAGTCAAATCCGTATGAGCGGTTTTGTAGTCGTAGTGGGTATTGTTGAGGTCTAGGACAAAGTAAGAATGTCGTTCGTAGATGGCGGCGGCGAGAAAGCGGGTTTGAGTATCTGGATGGGAATGATGCACTGATTTTGTGACGTTCCTGACGATTGCAGTTATGGAGCTTAAGTAGTCCTCTGAGTCTAGGGCGTTGGTTGGGGTGTCGCCAACGATTCGGAGGGGTGTTGAGTCAGTGGCATGAAGGAAGTTGTTCATGATATTGGGGATTTGGTTTAGAGCCTGCTCGTAAGTTTGGAAGGGCATGTTGTTTTTAGGTGGTAAGTGATGTCAAGCATGACCAAGGAAGCGTTGGATAGAGCAATTATATAGAATGGTCTGTATCTTGCGATGTCTATCTTAATATAGCTGGCTAAATACCGGTTCGAGGAATGCAGGGGCTCTCTGGTTTAGGCAGTGAACCCGTATTCGAATAGCTTGTTGCCTTGAGATGGCTTGCTGCCTGAATCATGGAGCTCGCGGCACATACTGGATCAAGACAATGATAATTCGGATGATAGTGCTGGAAAGGGGTACTAAAGTGCCTAGAGCAACTAAATGATAAGCAACTAGATTTCCAACATGTCCAGTACTGGCCTCATTACTGATTGATCTATTCAACGATGATATTCGTGGGATGACATCGCTCATCCAAATTATCCTATGCGTAGCCTGTTCAATCAATACAGAAAACTTTCTCATCACCTGCAGGTTCGAAGACTCCGCGAGTACCAGTGAATAATATCACTCCAAATGCTGAAGAATATATGTGACCATCTGGCATCACCGCAACAAAGGCGTCACCGAGGATGTTGCTCGCATCGAATCGAAGTCAAGGACAGAGGGAAGAGCCAATGATGATTTCAATTGCCTGAAATAGCAGAGGACTGTACGTGATAGCGAGGTCTTTGCAGGGTAGCAGACGCGATCAAGCTAGACTCCATCGACGAGCTACTCATAGCTATGGACGTGAGTTCGTGAATAAGATATTAATCCATGTCTTCCACTGCGATGTCGGGAGATCTGGAAGCGGAAGCATTGTGAGGACACAATAAGCTTGCTAACCAACTACAGCAACCAGAGTCTGTAGTCATTAGGTAGTAATTTGTTTGATAGCTCAGGAAATAATACTGTGTAGATAGATAGTTGATGAGGGGCCGCGGGTGCTTATCGATAGTCGCACCGACAACGGCGCCGTCAGCGTTGCAGGCTGAGACATTGGGTCTTGGCGCATCCAGCCTGGTTGTTTACGATGATCGGCTGCTGTTGGCTCATGCTGCTACTTGCTATCATCTGCTATTCTGATGAGATTCAAATCTGGTCATTTGAAAAAATACTCCTCGTATCGAACTGCATAGCCCGGACCTATAGCAGTACTAGTGCAGATCGAAACAGTGCTGCCTGCAATCCAGTCTCCACAGGCCTACGTACCACGGGTATACACATACGCGAACTAAGCATTTGGGGCAGTCATGGTGCTCCTCACCTCTTCGACCGTCTCAGTCATCATATCCACCGGCGTCATCTGTACCTTTACCTTTCTACTTTTCCTATCGGGTTACGTCCTGCAGCAGCAGTCCGTCCGGAGCATCCAGCATGCCATTCGACCGCCGCCACCTCCGGACCCTGTGGCAGGGCACGGATTAGAAGGATCGCCATACCAAGGGGCCGGACAGGAGCTTCTGTCAGATAGGGTTGTCGATAAGCACAAGAGGGATGCCAGTTCCCCACAAGCAACGACAGGCAACCTTGCATACCTCCAGCTCCTCTCCACTCCCGACCCCTCCAACATCTGCTCCGCCATCCTTTTCTTCAAGCACCTAGCGACCAATGGCACGGCAGTCCCGGACCGTCTTTTCATGTATCCGCGAGAGTGGGACTTGATGCCCACAAAGGAGCTCACAGAGCCGGTCTCCACGGCTCTCTCCCTCTTGCGCACGGCCAGTCTTGAATATGGCATCTGGCTTCTGCCCATCGACATGACGCTAGCCACTTCGGAAGGCTACACGCCTACGGATACAAAGCTGCTGCGGCTGGGCCAGATCCAGTTTATGCAGTATGACAGCGTACTGTATGTCCAAACCCCTGGTTTGCTGCTCGACACCGGCAAGCTGGATGCCATGCTTCTCTCCCGTCCGCTGCCGCTGCGGCACGATAAGAGCAGACCCGAGTCATTCAACAACGAGGCTTGGGTCCCTATGCCCTTGAGAGCAGACCGAGACGCAGATCTACCTCCTGTTTACCTAATCACAGTAAACAGCGTCGAAAATGGCCATATTGAAGCTCGTGGCCACATTCCGAACACAGCTGTTCCGGGATTTGGTAGCCTGGTTACGGGACCTGGGGACGTCCTATCCCCAGAAGAAGATGGCTTCAATCCTGATGAACAACCGGGATATGTATATTTTGAGCAGGACCATGATGGTCACGTTAAGTGGGCCCAAAATCCACTATTTGGATCTTGGCGTGTTGGCCAAAATGCAGTATGCGAGGGTCTCGACTTTGATGATGATTCACTTCATGATGGATATGACTTGTGATTTGTTTGTACTTCTTTTGATCTCTGTAGCGTTTTGTGGGTTTTATGTCACGCACTTGTATTGATGGCTCAGAATGAACTAACTGGTCAGTGACAGTTCTGAGTCCTGGTTGGAGTTAAGGTACAGGTTACGACGGTGTATTCTTGTCAATATTTACCTTTGCTGTGTCTCTTGGGACTTATGATAACTATGTATGCAGTCATGTGTATATGAAAGATGATGTATGGCAGATGAACATCATCAGATGTGAAGACGTGTTGCTGTTAATAGTCATTCAACTAATGATCCATAATTCAAGCTTGCCTCACGGGGTTTTCTTGGAAAAGGCAATGCCTCAAGTCATCATTGTTCGTATCCTCATTCACAACCCTCTTAGACTACTGTTCGTTAAGAACAGCCAGTTTCCTAGCTAATATGCAAGCCACCGGTATTCGCATGCTTATAAAGTGGTAGGCTTCACCAGCGACCGTGTGGTAAAAATGGAGGTTACCTATAAAGGCGCAACAGTCTTACTGAGTGGCCGGCGGGCTCAAAGTCTGGGTATAAGCTGGAACTTCGTACACTATAACCACTGAGATCTAGCATGTTCGAAAACTGATCTCAATAAAAGGAATTATATGTGTGAAGTAATGTAGGACGGTTTGGTTGGTATTTGCCCGATGGCCGCTATGGCCCGGTTCGTACGAATTGACGCCTGAGGCAAAAGTGTGTAGTGCATATGGGATAGTATTCATTATGTTCATATTCACTACATAATAGAGGAATAAGCCGTAAATGAAGCGACTATCAAGGGCAAGTTTCTTGGAAATTCCTCTCATCCACGTGCAGTAGCGGAGAAGGAACCTAGGAACTGTCTCCGTCGTGAAGATGCCATCTTGAATGCATGATACATTTGACTTTCAAGCTGGCATTGTAGTGAGTGGCTATACAAAATAGAAATGAAAAACCACAGCTTGTATCGTATTGTTCTGGGTAAGGTTTCTGCTTGATAGAGTTGAGTAGCGGGGGTTTCAAAGTTCGTTTTAGCAGCTCATGCTGGAAATGACGGATAGTTACCATCTGGGGGAAATAGAACAAGAAGGAATCGAGGAGAATAGGTAGATGAAACAAAACTAGGGCAGCCACAAATCTCCAGTGCCATGGATCTTGACTTCTCAGGTGACAGTGGCTGAATCCATAGCCACTGCCCAGCCCGTGGTGCAAACAGACCAGGTGTTTGACGTTACACTACTAGGCCACAAGCCAGGTTCACGCTGTAGTACTGCAATCGGAGGATGCTTCAGGCTGTCTCAAATGGTCACAGTCTATAGGCTGAGCATTCAATAGCCAAGGGAAAGTGATGGCTCGGTTGGGCAAGAACAAATGAGAGAGGAGAAATTGATGCAGATGAATCCATACAAATGGGAATTGACCTTGAACCAGTGAAGTGGATGGCCATTAAGAGCCCAAGGTGACTATTCGGTATCTCTTGTCCCACAGGAGGAACCTTATTCATCCTCCTGAGTGAATTCCATTGATGAACCTGAGCTTTCCGGTGATCTTTTCATCCCCCCGCCAAGTTCCTTCCAAAATCTCATTCTTTCCCATGGTGCCAATTTTATCAAGCTTGCTTACAATAACTACTGGGCTGTTTCCGTTTCTCTTTCCCTCCCTTCATCGAACAATCATTGATGCCACTTCTTCTACAATCTTCACATTGACCCTCGCTCCCTGAAACCTTATTGACAGGTAAATTCTGCTAATATGGAGGACAATTTCGACCCTTCGCTTTCCAGCTTGTCTTCTGTGCTAGGAAAACTCATCGTCGACCCCTTTTACTTTGTCAACAAAGATATCAAAGAATACTTTGTTCGGGCTGATTCTGATAATACCGAGGAATGGCTGAAGAAGCCAGATATCCCATCGCCGGAAGAGATCATGGGTAATCTCGACTCTGTCGGTGATGAGTACGTTGAATTAGCACCAAACAAAGCCGTCGGCCCCTGGCAGTCGAAGGCCGCGTATCTCAAAACTCACTACGAGCTTCTAAGAGAAGACGCTATCGCTCCTCTGAGGGATGCTGTAGCATACGTTAGGGAAGACCCCAAGATGATGGATTCCAAAGCAGTGTCTATTTACGACAAGGTATGCTCCCTAGTCTGTGCTCTCTTCGCTTCGCTAACGTTTCATCTCATTCCTTCAGGTTTACTTCATCGGTATCACATTCGCACACAGAGGTCTGGGTCTTCGAATTCAATTTTCAACCAGTCGATCGGGCAAGAATATAGCATGGGAATACACCAAGCGTCTTGTCAGTGGCTCTATTGTTGCGCTGAGCCCAGCAGATGATGCATTCCACGAGAAATGCGTGATCGCAACCGTTGCTGCCAGGCCGCTCGAAGGCGTCCAGCAGCATCCGCCAGAGATTGATCTCTTTCTAGCTAGACCGGAGGATTTTGACCTTGACCCTCACAAGGAATGGATTATGGTGGAAGCTAAGGATGGTTACTATGAATCCACGAGACATACCATGACCGCGCTACAAAAGTTAAGCCAAGAAACGTGAGTAGAACCCTGGGCTCTGGATTCCTTTTTCAAGCCCAAGACTAACTGGCCTCATAGGTTTCCTCTTTCTGAACATATTTGCTTGCTTGATTTCAGCATCAAAGCCCCAGACTATGTGAAGAAAGACCCAATGGTTGACATACGATGCGCAGTCGGCGAGACCAGTGAGGGAGAGAAAGTTGATATCATTAAAGGCTGGCCTCAAGCACCAAGTGGAATCATGGATCCTACACAATGGAAAGCCTTGAAGAAGATGCTCACCAAACGGCTGGCTGTTATACAAGGACCTCCGGGCACTGGGAAAACATTTGTGTCTGTCATGGCGTTGAAAATCCTACTTTCAAACATGAAACAGAGTGACCCTCCTATTATTGTTGCCTCTCAGACGAACCATGCACTGGATCAACTTTTGAGACTTGTCGCCACTTTTGAGACAGAGTATATCCGGCTCGGCTCACGGAGCAGCGATCCCGACATCAAAAAGCGCACTCTCTATTCTGTGAGACAAGGTGCACCTACCATCACTGTCCATGGGAGTGTATTAGCAGGGGCCAAGAAGGACCACAAGCGCTTGACCCAAGCCATTATGGACCTTTTACAACCTTTCATGGCCGAAAGTATCCAGGCACCTCTTCCTGCTTCGCTTTTTGCCGAATATGGGTTGTTGACGGAGACGCAGCTGAATTATTTGATAAAAGGTGCCAAAGGTTGGGTTCGTCCCGGGAATGTTCAAACTACCGACCCTCTGGTAGCCTGGCTGGGAGACGAGGTGACACCGTTCGAAGTGAAATATACGACAGAGAACTTTGGGTTTGCTGAAGATGAGGTGGACCTAGAGTATGAGCAGCTAAAGGAGCTGGAGGCCGAACAAGGTCTCGAGGAAGACGACTATGACAGCCTGAAAGGACATTTTGTCACTGTTCGGGAGGGCTTCTGCAGCCACAATTTTTCCTGCTCTGAGAAATCGGCATTGGATCATCTCAAACAGCCGGACTTGTGGAAGGTAAAAGCAGAGGTGCGCGGGGCCATTTACGACGTGCTCCGAAAGCGACTAAAGCTGAAGATAAAAGAGAAACTTCTTCCGCTGGTGTCTCGTTATTCAAAGAACTGCGAGAATCTTCAGATAGGCAAGTGGGAACGAGACTTTCACATTCTCGATGGTGTCAAGGTGATTGGAATGACAGCTACAGGATTGAGCAAGTATCGGGGACTGATCTCAAGTCTCAGACCGAGAGTTGTCCTTATCGAAGAAGCAGCTGAGGTTATTGAAGCCCCAATATCTGCGGCATGCTTTAATTCGCTTCAGCAAATGATACTCGTGGGTGATCACCGGCAGCTAAAGGGGCACTGTACTGTGCAAGAGCTTGAGGGCGAACCCTTTAATCTTGGGCTCTCAATGTTTGAGCGACTGGTTAAAAATGGAATCAAATATGTCACGTTGAGGAGGCAGAGACGAATGGCTCCAGAGATCCGTCAGCTTCTAGAACCTATTTACGGCGAACTGCAGGACCATCAGTCAGTATGCAAGCGCCCTGGGGTGATGGGCATGGGAGCTGTCCGCTCCCACTTTTTTACTCATAGCTGGCCAGAGAGCAAGGACAGCCTCGCGTCAAAATCCAACGAGATGGAGGCACATATGATCGCAGGATTCTTAGTATATTTGATGCAGAACGGCAACTCTTTGAAAGATATAACGATACTGACATTCTACAACGGCCAGAGGAAGAAGATACTATCCCTTTTGAGGCGCCATCCTTATCTCCAGGGTCAGTACGTGAAGGTTGTGACTGTGGACTCATACCAGGGAGAGGAAAATGAAATTGTCATCCTCTCACTGGTTCGGAGCGGCGTAAAGAATATCGGGTTCCTCTCAATTGAGAATAGGGTCTGTGTTGCACTGTCGCGTGCCAGACGTGGGTTTTATATGTTTGGAAACCCCAAGTCATTGACAAGCGACAGCGAGCTCTGGCGTAAAGTTCTCACCATAATGGTCAACAGCAAACCGCGACCGCGCCTGGGAGCTCAGTTGCCGGTGACATGTGCGAAGCACAGGCGAAAGATTTATATCAAAGGTTTGCCGTTCTTTTCCTGCTGAAACCCCATTGTTGGATATCCTACTGATGTAAGGAATCCAGGTCCTGCTGACTGGAGCAAGATAAATGGAGGATGTGATACTCCCTGCGGTGAAGCGCTAGATTGCGGTCACCCCTGTCCTATAAAATGTCATAGGTACGCAAGATGAGCCTAAATACTTGGGTGAGATGATATGTTAATGGTTAAACAGCTTTACGCATAAGCAAGTAAAGTGTGATAAGATCTGCAGCACTCAGATGGCGTGTAAGCATATCTGCGATGTCCCTTGCGCCAGAACCCATATCTGCTCGTGCAAATGTGGGGTAAGCCCACAACTGGATCATGAGTCTCAACCCTCAGCTGCCCCGTCGGAAGAGGATAATCCCTATCGCGAAGCGATTGCACGCTACCAAGAGTATGCGAGTGGGGGATCAAAAGAGCACGACGCGCTCTTGCTGAAGAAGGCCACCATGATGAACACGCCCGTCCAGATCACACCGGCAAAGCAAGTAGGGGATGATCTTCTACTTAGCTATTTGTCAGATGAAGATGGGGCGGGCTCCAGCCCTCGAGTACACAAAATCGGAGAGTGTGTGCCGCAAGGAAATTTACTGGAGATGTGATAAATGAAGAGAGCCTGGGGAACTGAGGGAAGCGGAGGCATGTTTCTAGACTGGAAAGTTTGTTTTAGCACCAAAAATAGGTCGATAGGGCTGGTACTACTCCGTACCAGTTAAGAAGAAAATGGCGATGATGTCAATGCACGCGTTCCCGTCCCGATTGGCCCGGGAGGCATGGCAATACTACGTAGACAGCACGAAGTGTACCCCTTTAGCATGTGGCTGATTTCCCCGCATTCATAGTCACTCGATTCTCCGGCTTTCTCGACTCTTCTCTGACCTTCCGTTCCCGAGCAATCCAGATGGTCCGGGAGAGTTCCACCGGTGGATGATGGGACTGGAACGCACATGCGACGCGGCGGGGTCACCCGTGTAACTCGAATGTCGGACACAGTCTGTGCATCGTGCTGGGCAAGAGGACGGGGCACCACCCGAAATAATGTGGGAAATGAGAATTCCTTGGAGAGGTGAGGATAAGCTCGGAGACGGCCGGAAGGTGGGGAGAGAGCCCTGGAAAATACTACAGAGGAAGTAGATAGTGGACACTGGCAGATGGAGCGAGGACCCGCGGTGGATATCTCACTAGTATCATAGTACTCCGTAGGTACCTTGGAAAGACCCGGTGCTGGTGGCTGGTCCAACAACCCGCCAATCGTAGGCCGCAGCCTCATCCAGGCACTGCCCAGGCACCACCGCCGTGGGACTCTTCCGGCTTCCTGCCTCTTCCCTGACCCCGACAGGATTTCCTCCGATCATTCACTCCCTTAACACTAGCGGCCGTTCATGATGCAACTCCCCTCTCTTGGGCCAGCTGTCATACCACGACTGCAATTCATATATCTTCTCTGCACGCGCCACTGATTCCCCCGCCGACTGACGATATCCTCTGTTCATTCATCCTCTGCTCCACCTCCTTCTCCCTCAGCCAACCACCATGGCAGAATTCGTTCGCTCGCAGATCCTGGGGACCACCTTCGAGACCACCAACAGGCAAGTCATGGCTTCGATCTTTTATGTGACCCTGTAGCTAAGACTTGGTCAGATATGCCGATATCCAGCCTGTTGGACTTGGGGCCTTTGGGCTTGTTTGGTATGACCCCTCTCTTTCTGATAGTTGCTGACCTGGGGAATTTTGGCTGACGGACCAATCTGGGAACACCAGCTCTGCCTATGACATGATCACACGCCAGCCAGTAGCAATCAAGAAGATGATGAAGCCGTTTTCCAACTCCACGATCGCCAAGCGCACTTACCGAGAAGTCAAGCTGTTGAAGCATCTGCGTCATGAGAATGTCCGTCTACGCATGCCACGTGTCGCGATTGCATTGCTAATGTGTAACAGCTAATCGGTCTCAGTGACATTTTCATCTCTCCACTAGAGGACGTGTATGTACGACACCAATCGCCGGATACCGTGGGCTTGCCGCAGAATACTAATACTCGGACTCAGATATATGGTGACGGACCTTTTGGGGACGGATTTGAACCGCCTCCTCACTGCAACTCCTCTGGATGGCAAATTTGTTCAGTATTTCACGTACCAGCTTCTGGTAAGCCCGTTAAAATCAATTTTCGCTCCGACTCTAACGGTCGCAGCGAGGTTTGAAATATATCCACTCGGCAGGCGTCATCCACCGTGATCTCAAGCCGAGCAATATTTTGGTTAACGAAAACTGTGACCTGAAGATCTGTGATTTTGGTCTCGCTCGACTGCAGGAGCCCCAGATGACGGGATACGTCTCCACCAGGTACTACCGAGCACCGGAGATTATGCTAACCTGGCAAAAATACGGAATGGAGGTGGATATCTGGAGTGCGGGTTGTATCGCTGCAGAGATGCTCCGCGGAAAGCCTTTGTTCCCTGGAAAAGATCACATCCATCAGTTCTTTTTGATCACCGAAGCCCTCGGGAATCCACCCGATGAAGTTGTTGAGAGAATTTGCACCAAGACGGTAAGAGTTGAAGCTCTACGTGCTTTCCCTTAAGCTCATTGATTCTCTAGACTCTGGATCTTGTCAAGTCACTGCCGAGCCGCCAGCCACCTCCTTGGAAATCTCTGTTCCCGGGCTCTGATAGCGATGGTAACTAGAATCTTTTGACAAACCAATGCGAATGCTGAGATAGAACACTAATCAATCTACCTCTACAGCCATCGATCTTCTCGGAAAGATGCTCATTTTTGATCCAGAGAAGCGACTTTCTGCTGCGCAAGCACTGGAGCACCCGTACCTGGGAGTGTATCACGATCCAACTGATGAACCAGTGGCGGAGCATCAGTTCGATTGGACATTCAGTGAAGTGGCACATTCGATCGATGAGTGGAAAATCATGATGTGGGTGCCTTTATAGTCATCGCTCTGGTTCTCGATTGACTTTCATACTAGATACTCCGAAGTTGTGGATTTCCATAATCTTGGACCTACCGGGCAACTAGCCATTACAGAAGCTTTCTTGTCTCCTGACGTGAGCCTCAGTCCAGAGGTGCTTGACCCGCTTAACTCACCGGAGAATCAAAGCATGATCGTCAAAACGATGGACAATCTGGATCAGGATATCATGCAGTATCTCCAGATCTAGCCTCGGACGGTTAGCAGAGCTTGCTTAGCGAGAGACAAGCTGATGAGATATTTCCTTTTTCGTATCACCCACGAGAGTCGCGATGGATCTGACATCATGGCACATGCATTTTGTCAGTCCCTTCATCAGATGAGGTTCCAGAGACTGGTCAGTCGACAACCGGGGAACTCCCTTGCTTAAGGTTTGTCACAGGCACCATCTAAATCGCGCAAGTTAGTAATTTACTCCCACCATGATTCAACCAGCTACATTTGCCATCGCTCTTTCCCTATCAACACTTCCCATTCTCCTCACGCCGTCTTTGCACCGAGCCCATAACAACGGATCTACTCACTCACACTGAAGACTAGAAATACAGACATACGATTCCATTTTGTCCATTTACCAACCATTCTCAAACAGCAACAACCCAGCTCCATCAAACAACTCATCTACACAATGAAACTACTACTCCTCCCCACCTTAACAACCATCTCCGGCCTCCTCCACCCTGTCCCCATCCACGCCCGTCCTCACCCCCAAGCACAACAAACTTCCCCAACCACCACCACCCGCTGGCAAATCTCTCTCTACCAAAACCAACAATGCACGGGCGAAACAACATCTTTTTCCGGCAACGGGTCTGTTATATGCCACGATACGATTCTCAACGGCGGTGCCTTGGGCTACATTGTCACGATGGGCGCGTGGTCAAATTGCTCTGTGCGGGTCTTTGATGATACGGCCTGCAGGCGACTTATTGACGTCGTGGATGGTGAGAACAACGGGAGCTGTCAAGTTCCGGATGTGCAGGAGGAGGAGATTCGGGGGGTGGAGGTTTCTTGCTGATAAATGAATTTCATGATGAGTGAGTGTGGAAGGAAGGGAGGTTTTGTGTTGGTTTCTTTGTTTCTACATCTCTTTCTTTTTTTCTTTCTCTCTTAGGTTGCGCTTACCTTCGAATTATGTTTATTATTGCTATCTTGCTTTTGGAGATGCGTTTTCAGTACAAGTATGACGACGCTTCTTTTCTATCTCCGAATCTGTGATTAATGACCTTTAGTCATAGCATTGAGATATGGTTCTATGTCATTTATCCACATTCACATTCACATCTATATCAAAGAAAAGACGTAAACCAACATACCCAGCCAATTTTACCTAATCCCAACAAATATTAAAAACAAGCTATGGAAACAAACAAGCTAACCTCAGGTCGAACCACTATTATCTGCACATGAAAACACCCCATCAATCTCCCCACTCTTATACGCATCCATAATCTGTACAATGACTCCATAAGTTCCCCCCACCGTCAGGAACACTCCCAACACAATCAACCCAACATGCAGCAGATACACCACCTGCTTGACCAACCCCCCTCTCCAATAATGTCCATGACTATACACCCACAAACAACCAGGCAGACATAACGCCAACGGTGCGAATCCCAAACTACCTACCAGGGCTAGCACATATGTGAAGATCGGGATCGCACATGCCAAGATAAACGAGATCGCGGCTAATCCGATCGTACATCCCAGCCATGTACCCCAGTGAATGAAGGTGTTGGCTTGGAGGTGTTGAGAGTGGCGGAGAATTCGGACGAAGAGGTATTTTGCGGCAACGTGCACGTAGAGAGAGCCGCTGACGATCAGACCGGGGAGGGCAATGCCGTAGGCCACCCGTTTGAGGGTTGGGCCGGCGCTGCCGAGTGCCGGGGACGCGATCCATTGTCCGCACCACCGGTAGATGACTAGGGAGAAGGCGAGGTAGGAAGCTGTTACGAAGGTCATGCAGAGATAGACGGCTTTCGGGTAGTCTTTTGGTTTGCGCATTTCGGAGATTACGGGGAGGAAGGCTGAGGTGGCGGCGCTGGAGACGAAGATTGTTGCTGAGGCGGTTATCCCTGCTGCGAAGGTTGGGTTGCCGATTGCCCGGTAGCCGAGGTCGTAGGGCCCCGTTTGGGGGGCTATTGATGGGCGAGAGCGAGTTGTTACGCCGATTCTGGGGTTGTTAGTCTGGATGGTGGTGGAGGGGGGAAGGGGACATACACGACGATGAGCACGGCGGCTAGGATGCTGGCAAAGCCGACCCAAGTGAGCCAGCCGATGTGGGAGAATTTGCGTACGCTAGCAAATCCCGCGATGATGATGGTCGAGATGAATGCAAACCACACTGTGCATAGGGGGTGGAGGGATAGGGCGTTGAATGCGGCCGAAACGCCAATGATCCCTGATGCGGCGGTGATCACATATGTCACGATGAACATGAAGCCGACCAGCTCCCGGAGAATGGGGCCTCCTGTGAGTTGGGCCATGTCGGCCACGGAGTGGCATTGTGGGTAGAGAGTACGGAATCGGCCAAGGATGATGGCCCCGTAGGCGTTGATCACGCACCACCCTACCAGATTGACTGCTCCAGGAAAGGCCCCCAGATCATACATGACCGATGGGATGGAGAGAATTCCAGTTGCGAATAGCACTGGAAGACAATCGTTAGTGGATTGTATATCTGAGGAGTTTGGTGTGGCCTACTCTTCAGAAAGATCGCTGAGGCACGGATCCAGCTGACGGTGCGGAAGTCGACTTGACCGTCACCTCGTTTGAAGACTTCATGGCTTTCATCGCTCGTCTTCAGCTCCGAAGAGTTGGCTATTCCGATGTCTTCACTGGGGTCCTGGACTGGGGCGACCTTGATGTCTTTGGACTCGTCGAAGTACGACATGATGGACGCGATGGTTGTGGGAGAATGGGACACCCTCCCGAGCGGGGTCCCTTACATTTTTATCATGCGATCCCTGTGCGTTGAAATTCTGCAAGGAGTCAATATCAATAGTGATAAGATGTGCGTCTGCATGCGAGTCATCCCTGTCCCTACAGTGACAGGCCCGGTAAGGTTGAAGGAAGGAGCTGATAAGAAGGCGGAGAATTATCTCCGATGGAGGGCCAAGTTGGAGTATATCAGTTGGAGTCGAACGGCATCGTGCATTATCGATTGTGCGATTAGACAGTATTTGGAGTAAGTGAGTAATGTGATAAGGCCAGTGATTCAAGGAATCTCGTTAGTTATCAATGCATTTGAATTGAAAGTGGAGGAGTCTAACAGCAAGAAAGCCCAATGGCGGCCGAGCAGTCGGAACCGGCGGCCAGTGATAAGCTTTTGCACCCCTTAACCAGTTGGAGTCGAGCGAGAGACTCCAACTGCTGGAGATAAGGCTTGGCGTCGCCGACATGGCCGGCCTTTTCTTCACAGAGGACAAGGCATTTGTCCTTTTTCATGTTCTCGGGAATCGCTGCTCGGTCGGACTGCTGAGCTCTATCCAACTCACACTTCTACCTGATCATCATGTCGGTTTTGTTCACTTCGATCTCCCCGTATGTGTTAACTACCATCGTCCGTTTAAACCCCGCCTTGCTCCGTGCATTGCAGCCTGACAGATCATCTGCAGGGACAACCCGGTCACGAGGGAGGATGCTGGATCTCTTCTGCATAATCTGGGACTCTCTGTCGACCCGGAAGACGAAGAAGACTACCATACCCTTCTAGCCGCCGTCCATGACTGCGCGGAAACTGTTGCGAATCTCCCCGACTACCAACCCGTCCCCGATCTAGATCGATACCCCCGACAAGATGTCCGTCGTCCATCATCGGAAGATCAGGTCTTCGGACAAGCCTGGGCTCATAAATTCCTTATCAAGGGAAACCCGGAGGGGGGACTGTTGGCGGGGAAAACAATCAGCGTGAAGGACTGCATTGCTGTCGCAGGTGTGCCACAATTGCTTGGAAGCGATATCATTCCCTCCTGGACACCAATCACAGATGCAACGGTTGTCACTCGTGTTCTCGATGCTGGGGCTGATATTCACGGTACTTCGACTTGCGAGAACTACTGCCATTCCACCGCGTCTTTCACAAGTGCGCAGGGTACGGTAGAGAACCCTTTCTCAACTGGGTACTCGGCCGGAGGAAGCACCTCAGGAGGCGCTGCCTTGGTCGCGGCGGGTCTGGTTGACATCACACTTGGTGGAGATCAGGGTGGGAGTATCCGGGTGCCTTCTGCATTATGTGGCTGTATGTGGCATCGCTGATAGCTGTTTTTGAAAACATGGCTAATCATATTTGCTCTTAGGTGTCGGGCTAAAGCCCACTTATGGCTTGGTGCCCTTCACTGGTATTGCCAGCGGAGATGCTATTGATGACCACACGGGGCCGCTTGCTCGAAAAGTTATCGATATTGCGTCCTGCTTGGACGCTATCGCCGGCTACGACGGGATAGACGATAGATGCCTAGGCAGTCCCAAACACGGGTCTACCTCCTTTGCCAAATCGCTCCAAACATCTTCCACAAGACTTGATGGCTTCAGAGTAGCAGTCCTTAAAGAAGGTTTCGAGCATACCTCTGTGGACCCGGCAGTTAAAGACTCAGTCATGGCAGCTGCGCAAAAGTTCGCCGAGCTTGGTGCAACAGTCGAGGAGATATCACTCCCAGATCATTACCACGGGCCTGCCATCTGGACCATCCAGTCGCGCGTTTCAGGTTCATTAACACTACTTGGACAAGCCCATGGGAGACGAGGGCTCTACATGACCGAAATGGAGCGCGAGAGACTCCCATGGACAAAAGAGGGCTTCCAACGAGCCTTCCCATCCACCAAAAACGTCATCATCAACGGTCTCTATCTTACCTCACGCTTCCCGGACTTGTACGGTAAAACCGTTAATATCGGTCGGAGGCTCCGAGACCTGTACGAGGAGATCTTCCAGAAGTGCGACGTTGTTGTTATGCCGACCACTCCTGTTGTTGCACCCAAACATGGCGCGCGAGGCCTACCCATTGAATCTCTGAAGCCTAGCATGGGTCTTACAATCAACACAGCCATCTTTGATGTTACGGGGCATCCGGCGATGTCCATTCCGGTTGGCTTTGCACCGGCTAAGGACAATGTTGAGGTTAAACTCCCGGTCGGTATGCAGATCGTTGGTGGGTTGTGGCAAGAGTCGAAAGTGCTTAAAGCCGGATATGCGTGGGAGGCGAACTATGATTGGAAAGACGGAGCGGGTCGGTTATAGAACACATTCTAGAGATAGATTCAATAGTACTGATTATAGAAGACGCTGTGTCTTGTGGGGGGGCTTCCTGGTCGTAAGAATTCTGTACACATTCCATGGACATCTGTTTGCCTAACTTTTGTGTCCACTGCCTTGATCTGTATCTGTCACGTGTTTTACATCTCGAAGTATCAAAGATCGCATCTTGTAGTCCTAATTTCTACTAAGCCCCTGGTAGACACCCGTGTTATCTTATATTCGGCCTCAATTGTGGAAATGACTTATGTGATTATCGTCTCTTTATCATCATCATCATCATAATTATTATCTTCTGCAGTTTAATTGATAACATACCCTCCATCCACAACAAGCGCATGACCCTGCACAAATGATGCAAAAGTCGAGCACAAGAAGAGGATGGTATCGGCCACCTCTTCCGGCTTCCCCATTCTCTTCATGGGGGCAATTTCTACCGCGGGTCGAAGACGCTCGCGGACTTCCTCGCTGTGCGTTGTCATTGGCGTCTCAATAACCCCAGGGCAGACACAGTTCACTCTGATGCCATCTGCTGAGTAGTCAATTGCGTCGGAGCGAGTCATTGCAATCACAGCAGCCTTGGAGCCACAATACGCAGCTAGAAATAGTACCCAGTTAGCTCGATTGCAGAGAGCGTTGGCCCAAGAAGTAGGTAGAGCGCAAAACACAAACTTACGAGCTCTAGGTTGTCCGACGATTCCGAGCTGACTCGCAACGTTGACTATAGCTCCTCGCTGCGGAGCACGATTCGAATCATGACCCGGTAACGGATCTTGCTTCAGCATTTGTCTGAGCTCTGCTCTAGAGCAGAGCCAAGAACCCCGATAATTAACATTGTTAATATGGTCAAAAATCGCGGTCGACGTCTCAGTCGTTCGCAATTTGTCCCCTAGGATTCCGGCACAATTGACTGCATAATCTAGTCGTCCAAACGCACCAGTCACCTCATTAATAAAGGATTCGACGAAGCTTTCATCAGATATATCGCCCGCCTTGACGATCAAGCGAGCTTGAGGATGGGAAGCAAGGATGGCGTCCCGTGTTTGATCTAAGGAGGAAAGGTTGAGGTCTGTAATGGCGATTCTCTCACATCCTGCGGAAGCAAAGCCTTTGGCGGTCGCTGCACCGATGCCTGGGACGTGGTCAGATTTTGGTGTTTCAGTTCGCCTCGTGGTGGAATGGCTATCTAGTATCTACCTGTGCCACCGGCACCCGTGACGACGGCAACTCCCGGAAAGGTATAATTGTGCGTCATATCCGCGGGGCAAAAGGGAGCGGGATCGGAACGAACTCAATCAATCGCGGGTAAAGAAGGGAACCACGATAGCTGGGCCGGGAGTATCACGATGATGCCATACTATATAATAGTACCCTCGTGCTATACTCCGTAGGTCGTGCTAACGAAAGCGATGGGGGTTGGAGACAGGGTCCTTATCGCCAAGTGGGGTTCCTTCCCAAAGTGGCGTTGGGGCACACGGTTCGGCAACGACGGTTAGTTTGCAAGTTGGAGTCGCTCGTTTCCTTTTCGTTGGCGGCCTTCCTCGCCATCCTCCAAAAAAGCCCAATCGCTACGACTAGTCCCCTCTGCACTGCCTGGCTTCTCCAATTGGAGAGATCGCGACTTCCTTATCACCCTATTGTCATTGATTGGCCTCCAAATGTCTTGATGCTGCCACAGCCTTCCTCTCAGCCTGCCCGGGGCTCTCGTCGCTCAAACGCTGGAGCAAAAACTCGGGTCTGCGTTCATTGCGGGCGAAGTTTCAGAAGAACAGAACACTTGGAGCGTCATGTCCGCACACGTAAGTCCACCATCTGTGTCATTTCAAGCTCTTTAAGCTCTCTTTGCTGCAGGACGTCCATGCTAAAGCCTCTTGCACCTCAGACACAAAGGAAAAACCATATATCTGCTTCTGTGGGTCGGCATTCACACGACGCGATCTGCTGAAGCGACACACAACCATTGCGCACCAGAGCAGTGGTTTAGTTTCGCCCAACTCCCAGCCAGATAACGAAGCCCTAGATCATGCCAATCGACCCAGAGCCTCAGAGCCTGCTACAGTCCAACCCCATTATAACAACCAGCCGACGTCACGGCCAGATGTGTCTCTCTCGGTGCCTCCAAATGTGGAACAATGGACAGGGCCACAGCGTGGGCCATACATAGAGCAGGACCGGAATCATGTTTTGGACACGGGAGGTAGTAGCACGGGTGGCTTGGGTGCCCATAATAGCGCAGTTGGCCATGATGCAGAGATTTTGGAGGCCGCTCAGCTGCTTCTTCCGGGGAATTATCGGCATGCCCAAGCAGCACCAGGTAAAAAGCTATTCATCCATCCCAGAGGAGCCATGGCTAACCAATCATTAGCCCAGCCAATGCCATATCTACACGAGGAGCTGAATCATTTCCAGGATTTCACGCATTTTCTGGACTCAATTGGTCTCCCATCGGAGTGGGTTCCAGCCTTTGGGGATATCCCTCAGATTCACAACCCTGTCTCAACCGAACCCCCTGAATTCAGCAGAAATGCCGGGGAGCAGCATGAATCATCGTCACGTCCCCGTCAGACGGACAGGTCACGGGCTGACTCACCCTTCCGGTCGTGGCTCCCGTCCGTGCCTCCTGGAGACCAGAGTTTTGCATCTGTTTCCGATTATGGTATGCTTATAGGACAAAGGCTCGTGGTCGGACGGTTGTTCTAACACATTTCCAGAACCCCCTCAGCTTGCTAAAAGCCAGTCGCCGTTGAAAGTTACTGAAGAGCACAGGCAGCGTCTTGCGGCCTCCCTGGATGAATTTCGTTATCTTATCCCGGATTTTGTCCTACCTTCGCGGCACACGCTGACGAGATATCTGACCTCCTACTTTTCTGGCTTCCATACTCACCTCCCTTTCATACATGTGCCGACTTTGCGGATTAATGAACGAGCTCCGGAGCTCATTCTAGCCTTCATGACAATAGGCGCCCAGTATCGGTTCGAGCATCGCAATGCGGAAAGGCTCTTTTATGCAGCCAAAGCGATTGTATTATACAGGCTCTCGAAAGAGTCGAGCCCCCCACCCTACAATGCCATCATCCAAATACCACTGAATAGCATTCGGGACTCATCTCAACGCTCTAACCAAGACCCGTCGCTTTCACCTTCAGAATTTGCTGCGGGGATGGATGCATGGAGACGGATTGAGAACATCCGTACACTACTAGTCTTGATGGGATACTCAACGTGGGAAAAGGCTGAACTTGTTCAAGAAGCATTCGGGCTGCAGACATTGCTTGTGCGGTGTTTACGAGAATTCGGATTGTTGGAAAATATTACTGTTGCCCCGCGACATGCTCCCCTGCAGTGGCACGAATGGGCTGAAGAGGAATCTATAAGACGCACCCGCTTCATCTCCTTTTGCTTTGTTCACGTTCATAGCATATCATACAACATTTACCCGGTGCTCCGAAGCAGTGAAGTCCATCTACGCCTCCCATGCTCCACAAAGGAATGGAAAGCTGCCACAGCCCACGACTGGGAGATAGCCCAAAAGGAGGTAGGTTCTCAGCAACTATTTTTCCAGGATGCCTTGGCACTATTGTTGCAACCCTCACGGGCTCCAGTTCTTTTGGACCCAATTCCTGCACCGCTGGGGAACTATATCTTACTTCATGGCCTCCTTCAACGAATCCATCTGGTGAGCGAACTCTCCATACCGAATGGGGACCAGTCATTTTCCCTCCCGACAGAGGAGCTGAACAAACTGGAGTAAGTAATTTCTTGGAGTAAAGTGTTCATTGAAAGCAATTACCTTGAACTCGGGATCATTAGTCGCTAATTCATTCTACCAGGAGGGCTCTCAGGTCCTGGACTTCTGTGTGGCAACAAGCCCCAGAATCAAGTCTTGACCCGCATAATGAAAACGGTCCCATCCCGTTCACATCCAGCTCGCTTTTAGGATTGGCCTATGTCCGCTTGTCTCTCAATCTTGGCCCGCATCGTCAGCTGGAGACGCGAGACCCATACCGCATTGCTACCGCGATGCACAGATCACCGCGACCAGGGAGAAGCTATAGACTGACTCCTGCCCTGATATATTCAGCACACGCATTGAGCATACCCGTACGTTTGGGTATCGACCATGTTGCACGCAGTCAAGCATTTTTCTGGAGCGTCCGCCATTCTCTTGCCAGTCTAGAGTGTGCGGTTCTTCTTAGTAAATGGCTTATGTCTCTGGCTGAAACCGGCAGCAACCAAGCTTTGAGTGGTACGGACTATTCCCTCTATAGTACAACTCGACCAACAACAAAAGCACTCATGCTAATCATAATGTCTTTTAGAAAATGAAAGTCGGATTTTGCATTGGACGCGCTGTATTGTGCAAGAAGCATATGAATCGATGGATCTGGATGAAGGAGAAGCGTTCCCTAGTCAGGATCCCTCCAGCCTCGGGCTCGCTGTTATTAAGCTTTGGGCTCGCCTCTTTCGGAAGAACACTCAGTGGCCGTTCATCAATGTACTTGGAGAAAGCTTAGAAAGGTATCTTGCCCTGATTCGGCCAGGCTAAACCGCAAAGCCTCCCTTGAATAGATTTCAAACGTCCTTGGCAAGCTCGATTCTGCCCCATTCAGCGGTGCAAGAGATTAAAATCGTTGCTGGAAGCAAACCTACCGCAGATGGCGGTCTGTCTCTTACTTAGATTTCTGGTCTACTTGGAGTTATCAGTGCCGGACAACATCTTGGAGATTTCCACCTCCTGAAGTTAGTGGGACCGGAAGCATAAACGACAACCACCCATCTGCCGGGTATAACCTTTTGATGCGGTCCGACAAGACTACGTCATGAAGAATTTGCACGAGCAGCTACTCAGCGCCACCTAGTTGTCGGTAGGCATTGTGGCCAGGCCCTAGCTTTTAAAGCTTCCAAAGCGTTCATTGGAAGTGAAAGATTGTGTGATGTTTTAATCCTACACCAATGCGTGAGATTGTCACAACCCCATTTCTGCACCTCGAGATAATATGCACGGCAATATTTTACGCCCGGTCACACATTGCGCGTTATTAGATTGTCAAATTACATTAGTCCACAATCGGATATGAAGGAATTATTACAGAATTCATCTCAAGCATCGCCGTTCCCCCTAACTTGATACCGGAAGTCATTTCAACAACAGCTGTGGGTCACCATTTGCCCATCACAAATATGACCTCATTATCCAAAGCCCTATATCACGGCACACAGCCTTACCAGGCTCTCTTCGCCCAGCTCGGCGACGGAGTTGCGGAGGCAGACAGAGAGGCAGAGCTTGAAGCAGCTGCGCTTGCCGATACGTTCGCACCGAGGGTGGCAGTAAGAGGACCAATGAACAGGGTCTGGCCGCACGGAGTCGAAGGCACAGTAATGCAACCTTGGAAGTACTGACCAAGGCGTCCGTGTCCAGTTCCGTTGGACAGAACGTAGCCGGGGCTGAAGGCAGGGACCAGTGAAGAGCTGTTCGAAGGGAAAAGGACAGAGGCTTGGTGGCCGGCAATATAGTAGGCGTGTGCAGTATGCTCAGCAGCCAGACGGGCCCAGAGGAATGAGGCCTCAGGAGCCTGTGTGTAACCAGCCAAAGCAATGTACGCCCCGGCGACTGTGCTCTCCAACTCGAGGGCGTTGCTCACGAAGGACTCGCCGTCAGTAGCATTCGGGAAGGTGAAGCTGCAGTTCTGAGGGGTCCAGCCAGAAATCTTTGCGCCGAGTTGTTGCACAGCACGCACGCCCAGACGGTTCTGTCTCAGGATGCCTTGGAAATTGGCATAGTATTCGGAGGTAGAGCTGTTCAGGGCACTGTTCAGGAATGTTTGATTGACAGGGACTGACGAATAGAACCGGTCGAGGAAGTACGAAAGCGCATAGCCGTATTCAACGACCTGGGAATCGGAAGACTGAAGCGAGCAGCTTGATGACGAGTTCTGAGCCAAAGCAGCTCCCGCAAGGAGCAGGCCGTTCAAGGCTGAGAAAATGCGCATGGTCTCGAGTATTGTGGGAGGACGCAAAGTAAGTGTGTGATGTACAATGCGTACAGATCGATTGCTGAGAGTTTTGCGGATACTCAGTCTGACATGACTTACCAGGAGCTATTCTTATAGCCTCCCTCAGGTCGGCACTCGGCATACCCTTCCAGATCTGCTGGGTGCAACGATATGATGAAATCCAGCCCTGCCGACGCGCGGCCTGTCAAAATCTCCTTGGTACAGAGCCTCGACTCCATCATTTGCATCATGACATGGCCGGATGGAGCCTATTTGAGAATTCTGTCTCACATCAGAAGGGAGGAAAGTACGGATTTGCCTCTGGACAATGCGCCTTTCTCTCATTCAATAGGTCGGTTCACAGGCGCGGAATTCCCATCCATTAGCTTCGAACTTGGTGTTCGCGCGATCCATGGACCCTTGTGCGTTAATCCCGGCCACGGTGATATCATGAAGTCTATATCTGCCGTATGACGATGATATCATCCTCGACTCGCATCGAGGACCGGAGATGAGCGGTAAGCCATCCTTGCAACTCTGGATAAGGGTCACATGGATGGCTGGAAATGTGGCTCTAGCAAGAAATATCACACCCGTTCAATTGTTTTCGGAGCCAAATGATCTGAAGATGAGATAAGTACCACAATCGCGCCCTCGAAGGATGGATGATCTGCGTCTGTTGTCATCCACTCCCGGATCTCGCCGGCAAATAAACTCGGCAGCGCTAGACCCGGTCCGGTTAGACTATACATGCCAAGACCGCCTTCTTCCGCTGATCAAAACCAGGCAGCAGCCGTTGACTCTCGGTTGCTTTGTCGGTGGCCAGAACCAGTGAGTTAAATCGATTATGTCTTCCATACATGAATCATTGTGAACTAAGGAGCAGTCACAATGCTAGTTGTGCAGCCGACTGTCCCTTTATTTGCCGAATCGGGAAAGTATCCATTCATGCCTTGTCAGTCATAGTAGTTATGGGGCTTGCGGCAATCTATCTAGGTCTGCCGTTGTGAACTTAATAGTAGATGAACAAAGCGACAACTTCTGAACAATGTATAATATTCCTTTATATTGTCGTATTCACTAAATTTTAGAAAGCACGACACAAAATAAGAAAAGAAAAGAAAGCCAACTGAGCCTGCAAATTCATGCACAGCAAATGTAAGAAAAGAAGAGAAAGAAAATAGGAAGTCCCATGCGCCAGCTTCACAATAAGAATGACAAGAAGAATAAATAATATGTAACAATGCCTTCAATATGTACGACTTTTGAGCCCCCATCCAGAAAAAAACAAATTCACAAAGACATGGGGTGGGGGGGGGGGGGCGCGTAAAGACGGGAAGAAGGAATGGTCTATGAGTCATTACCACTATTTTTATGATCCCAGGCTTTCTTGGCTCCTTCCAGAAGACCGTCCATATTACCACTGTTCTCACACATGCTTCGGAAGAGGCCGTCACCCTTGTTGATCAGGGTCCAGGGGTGATCATATTCAATGACGCGGCCGTGGTCGAGGACCAGGACCTTGTCGTAGTCGATGATTGTCTGGAGACGATGCGCAATGGTGATGATAGTGCTCTCCCGGAGTTCCCGGAGTGTCTCCTGGATCTTGGAGTCCGTGTTGTAGTCAATGGAGGCGGTGGCTTCGTCCATCATCAAGACCTTGGGGTTCTTGAGTAGGGCACGGGCAAGACACAAGAGCTGTCGCTGGCCCTGGGACAGGTTAGAGCCGGATTCGGAGACCGCAGTGTCCAGGTTCAGGAAGATGTTCTTGTTGTCGAGGATACCACTGCTGTTGACGCCGTTTGCAGTTGCGGAAGGCTCCGCAATGGTGCTGGTTGTCATGGGAGTCGCTGTGCCAGAGGTGCCGGGGCCGATCAAGTGTACACGTCGGAGAGCGTTGAAGATTTGCTCGTCCGTGAAAATGTTGAAAGGGTCAAGGTTGCTGCGGAGAGTTCCCGTGAATAGAGTAGGGTCTTGGGGGACGATGGTGATCGACTCGCGCAAGTCACGAAGACCGATACTGCTAATATCCACGTCGTCAATGACGATGCTGCCCTTTTCAGCTTCGAGGCCACGGAAAAGAGCGAGAGCAAGGGAACTCTTTCCAGCACCGGTACGGCCGACGATACCCACCTTCTCCCCAGGTTGTACAGTGAATGACACATTCCGGAGAACGGGGTCAAGATCCGGTCGGTACCGAGTGGTATATCCAACAAAGTCAACTGCACCACCACTGGGCCAGTTGGCCGGCGGTCTTGAGTCGGGAATGACTGCATCTGCCTCTTGCTCGACTTCAAGGTACTCTCTGACACGTTCAACGGAGTTCATGTTCTGTTGGACCTCAGAGTATAACCGGACTAGCCAGAGTACGTTCTCTGTGAACGTGACTGCGTATGTAAGGGAAAGTCCAGCAGCACCGGCATCAATCTTTCCGATGTTCGCTAGGACGAAAACAGCGGTGAAGAATGAGACCAGAGCTCCTGTGACATCAACTCGAAGCGCAAGCCAGCGGTTGCTTGCCCAAAGGTAGATATGGGGCCGGTTGTAGGCATTTATGCGACGGTGGTTGTCGACGATAAATCTCGGCCCATCACCGTAGGCACGGATAGTAACAATACCGTTCAGCGTCTCGCCAAATTGCTGATACAGCGGACTCCGCTGCACAGACTCAAGTCTCTTAAGATCACGAGAAGAGTTCAAGTAGATAGCGCCGAGGGCGACATACACCAACGTGATGAAGATACCGGCAATCAGGAAACCAGGAGTGATGATGGAAATCAAAATCACAATCATGATGACAGATGCCAGACTATGAAGCATGCCGATCGCCACGGGAGCAACTTCTTGATCAACCGATTCCACATCCTTGGAAAACCGGTTCATCAATTGGCCGAGAGGTGTCGAATCGAAAAACTTGAATTTGGCATGCATCACTGCTTTCAACAGGCGCTGGTGGATAGAGTGCGACGCCTGCAGGGAGCCCCAGAACAGGACGGCTTCTCTGACCAGCGAAATGGCAACAAACCCAATTCCTAGAAGTGCGTAGACTCCAAGATAGTACGACACATCCACATTGCCATTGGCAGCAGCGGTTCGTGTGCCAAACTGGGGTGCATTGAGAGTGGAGGTCCTAGGCACACCACCGACATTGAACGACGGGATCTTCAGGTTCGTCATTGCTGCGTAGTCGCCAGCATCATCTGCGCCAACATCCTCGGTCTGATAAGCGTTCGCCCACTGTCTGATCCAGATATTAGTCGACACAGAACCGAGCTGCTGCATGCAAAAGACTAGCACAGCCACAATCCAGTAACGCCAGGATCCCATCGATCTAAGGTACATCTTGACCGTAGACATTTTGATACTGCCAACAGCCTTTGACTCCTGCAATTTGGGTTCGGCACTCTTTCCCTCTTGAGCTTTTCCATTCGGTGCACTGGTAGTGTGGCCGTTCGTCTGAGATTCTTCCTCCTGTTCCCCATGGTCCGATGGTCTGCGAGAGGGTCGTGGAGTAGTGGTCCTGGAAGTGGGCCGGGATTTAAGGAGTTCGTCGCCCAATGCACCTGATGCTGCCACCTCGTCTGGGGGACCTTGGGCAGTGATCTTACCGTTGTCAAGGACAACAACATGCGCTGCTTCAAGGACTGTCAAGGCAACGTTGTGCGTCACAAGTACACAAGATCGGTTCATCATCAAGGGCCCGGTCAAGGCCTGGCGGAAGATGTGCTTAGCCGTATGCGAATCAACAGCGCTCAGGCAGTCATCCAAAAGCAAGTGTCGAGCTCTACTGTACACGGCGCGTGCAAGTGATATTCTTTGTTTCTGACCTCCGGAAAGACTGATGCCCTTTTCTCCCACGAGAGTCTGGTCACCCGCATCGAGGATCGCCAAATCCCGTTCCAAGGCACACGCTTTGATCACGGCATTATACCGACGTTCATCGTAGGGAGATGCAAACACAATGTTTTCCTTGACAGTCGCGTTAACGAGCCATGCTTCTTGCGCGCAATACGCGACGCTTTCGATAAGTCCTGAATGGGGATCAACGGGGAGTTCAGAGCGGTTGACGGTCCCACCAGGCAAATAAACTCTTCCTTGGACAAGCTTCATTTCTCCCAGAAGTGCCATTAGAAGCGACGTCTTTCCAGAGCCTGTCGGACCAGTAATAAGATTGAGCTTTCCAACATGGAAGTCGACATTCATGTTGATGAGACGGAAACCATCGGTGGTATCTTGTGCCGGATCATCCTTGTATTGTCCTTGAGAGGATCCCCAGGTGAGTGTAGCGTTTTCCAGCGCGACCTTAGGCGGCTGTCCGGCAGTATCATCCTTTTCGAGCTGACGGTACTTTTGAGTCTCCTCCTCGTTGAGATAAGTATCCACACGGTCGAGAGAGACCTTGGACTCTTGGACGTGCGCCACCATATCGGCCAACTGATCTAGGGGAACTCGGAGCAAGGAGAACATCGACAAGGCCGGGAATGCGATCGAGGGGGTCAGTTTCTTCCCCTCTACTACTGTGTACAGGAAGAATGAAGCGAATGTAATGAGGATAGGCGTGCCATACCAGACAGTTGCCGCCGTTGACCAGATGATGTAACGGAAGCGCAAAGCTTTCAGCTCCGCCTTTCTCTTCTCGTTCACAATATCTTGGAACCGCTGCTCCCAGGCGAAATACTTGATAATCCGAATATTCTGAAGAATCTCATTGGTGCTGTGGATGCGAGCATCGGTGCCCTTCAGAATCTGGTTTTGCACCTTCGTGAACTGTTTCGCAATGGTAAGGTTGATGGGCAACATGAAAACCATGATGACAATTCCAGCAAACGAGCTGAACCCCAGCAACCGGTACAGAAGTGTTACGGCGATGATGATCTGCACAGGGACGCTGGCCCACAAAAAGTGCAGGTAGGCACCGACTTCGCTAACCTTGAAAGAGTCAATAGCCATCAGGTTGATGATGGTACCGATGTTGGCCATGTGTTCTTTGTCTTCTTCTTGGGCCTCCTTCGCATTTGCAGTATTTGTCTCAGGGTCGCTTGTTGTCTTCTTTTTCTTGCGGCCAAAGGAGAAGAGCCCTCCTTTCTTCTGATCCTTGGCCGGTTCTTCCGGCTGCTTTTTAGCGGCTTCTACAGAAGCGCCAGCCTTCCGCCTGAGAGCCTTCGCGTAGATCTCACCGATAATGATGGCCCGAAGCTTCACTCCCAGCTTGCGTCCGATCCAGAGAGCTTGTCCGTCGGCGACACCTTGGATAGCTCCAGAGCAAAACAGCAATATGGCATAAAGCCAGGCGGCGTTTGATGTGGAAGACCTTGGATCCTCAACATACTGCAGGATAGCTCGAAGTAGGATCGTGGGCAAATAGGTAAAAAGGTTCGAAAATATGGTCCAGGCACCCTGCAGAAGGAGGGTGCCGTAGAAGTATCGACAAAGCTTCCACACCAGTGAGCCTTGATAATGCCTGCGGCGGAAATCCTCCAAGACCGTGGCAGCTTTCTGGGATGCTGTGAGATCCCAGACATCATCGAGCTCCAGCGGCTGTCGATAGCCTTTAAGGATGAGGGGGTCCAGCCAAGAAAAGGTAGCCAGTGCGAGCAAGCTAGCAACGGGGTGTCTTGCAGGCTCCAGACCCTCATCATGCGAAACCAGGACCGTCTTGTTTCCTCTCCGGGTAGTCACTGCAATGAGCAAAAGTAGACTGGACAAGGCAAATTCGATAGAGCTAAAGACCATGGCGCGTTTCGATAATGGGTGGATAACTGCGGACCGAAAAACGAACACCGTGAATACCCATTGCAGGCCGTATAAAAACGCAGTATGGTTCCAAAGCCTGGGAGACGAGTGGAGGTCCAGAGTCGAAAGAAGCAAGCGCACCAACGCCAGGAATAAGATATATCCCCACGACACGAGCTTGGCGATAGCGGGGAGGGTGCCCTGCCGACCCCAAGTGTCGGTGGAGATGATAGTCACGAAGATGGCTACTTCTCCCGCAAGCGCGAGAATTTCCAGTGCCAAAGTAGCAATTTCACCACGGGGACGATCGACTTCGAATGTTGGCAGTTCGGATTGCGCTGCTTTGTTCAACATTGGGTCGGTTTCCTCCCCTTCATCATCCAAAGTTGCAACCTGCGAGTCGCCTTCAGCTGCATTGTGGTCCAATAACTTGTATGAAGCTCTTTTTCGAGAAACGGCACAACCGTATGCGATGCGAAGGGCGATGAGGAGTAGGGAGAGTCCGCAAGCTATGAGCGGAAATATAACTTGAAGATAGCTACAATTGGTAAACCATTAGTAGGATATTCCAGAAGGCAGATAACAGCGGCGATATATTCGACATACTTGCGTTGAAAACAGCGGGAAAGATCATCGACAGCCCAGATGGGCCCGTGGCATTCGACCGCCATAGCTGACGGGCGGGGGATGAGAGGTGAAGGAGCGGTAGCTTTGGAAAACCATGCGCTCCGGGCTCAGCACCAGTCGAAAGACTGGTAAAGGTGAGGTAGGGCCTAAACAAGCTCTGATTAAGAATCAGATGCTCTGGTGGTAGCTTCCCGGCGTATAGATGCAGGACAAGCCTAGCATCGCCGAGGTGATAGGCGGGAAGAAAATGAAAACGAGGTCGAACCAAGGCCCGACGGGACGGGGCTGGCACGAACTCTAAAAAGCCGGATGATGCCTTGGAGGGAGAAGTTGGCAAACACCACGGGCACACCGGGGGGAGCACAGTAGGTGGAGGGAGAAAAACAAGTCGAAAAGAAAAGAAGGGAGGGGAGAGGGAGCTAGGACTAAGTAGATAGAAGAAGGAAGAAGAAGCAGAAGCAGATGCGAACGAACGAACGATGACGAGTGGGTAGCGAGCGGAGGTTAGTCGGTGGAACTTGTTCGCATTTCGCATCCACCGCCCGCAGCCAGAAGGATTCCAGACCTCCCGGCGGCTCTCGACTGGTTCCCTCCCTTCGCAAATGGGGCCTGCTAGTTAGCCACATCTTGCTCTGGCGCAGTTACGATGACTCGGCTTATCCGTCCCTGATCATTCTGAATCATCTTCATTATCCTATCCCGGGGTCCTCCTCCTGCACTAACCGTCCGGCTAATTTCTGACGCTTTTCCCCCCCTCCCTCTCCCCATGACGGTCGATTGTGCTGCCTACCTACTTGGATTTTCTTCACCTAGGTATACTGCCGAGGGGAACTAGAACTATCAGATGCTCACAATGCCGATAGCTCTTTGGCAGACAGAGGGTGGCACAGTTCAGGGCCTGTTTCCCTCGGTTGGACCTCCGTACCACCCCAAACCCACGTTGCGGAGACCGCATCGGGATTGCTTCCCATATGCTGCTCCTCGAGGTGGAAAGTGACATGACGTGCCAGGGTATTTCTTCGCGACTGTCCGAATCCAATCAGCTCTGTACACCCGGCTGCAAGAAATGGCTTGCCCGCATGACCGGCGCAGTCCAGGTCTTCCACCGTCCGTTCAATTCCTGTCAGTGACTCAATGAGCGCGGGATGGGGGATCAGAATAGACCCAAACGGACATTCTGGGACGTCTTGGAGGTGTCCGTGCCTCCTGCAAGCCCCTTGCCCGTCACACCGACTCGGCTGCACGTAAATCAGCCCTTTGTTGCCATTTGAGGGACTGATTCGTCATCCGCTAGCCTATGGTCGTCCAGATTTGGATGAGTCATTTGTCCACCTGTCGGAGCAAGAGGCGGTCGCAATCCTGATCACTTGACAGGCCCTAGTTTTTCTTTAATATGGAGTGAGTCAATAATTTAGTCGACCAGGGTGCGATAACGTCCGCTATACTGAGTCTGGCCGGCCGGGCGGTGATATGTGGATAACCCCCGAGATAAGCACGCAAGGCGGCTAACCGCGTAGATAATGAATGAGCAACGACCAACTATCTACCTAGCAAGGCCAGCAAAGGGATGGTCGGTGCGGAGGATTCCTTGGTTGATGCTTGCCGTGACCCTCTTTGGAGTTCTGGTCCTATCGCATGGACGGCATTATCATTATTATCGTCACAACGGGAGCCGACAAAGACCTGTCTATTATTATTGTTCAATCAAGGGCACGAACTAGTCATTGTCGACTATCCATTATTAACCCAGGGGAATTCCCCACCTGTTGGGTTCTTTCCCCCCCCACCGTCGTTGGTCCCTCCTCCCTCTTTGGTGAACGACCCGGGCAGCTGGATTAATAATAACAAACACCGCCATTGATATTGATAACAATAGCACAATGGGCGCATTCACCTTGGTTCCTGAGTGCAGCTACCGCGGTTTAGGCTTAAATCTCCGTGCGATGAAAGACAATACAATAGCTCAATAGCGACATTTGCCTGTCTCCGGACCCCCAACACCGAAAGACTCTGCTGCAAAATGCGTTGTTTCGGAACGCCACCCCGGGCCCTTCCGCCGCGCGTGGATGCCATGGATTGCCACAGCGGGACTAGTGTGTGATCTTCAAGCACTTTTAAACCGTTGAAACGCATTCTGATCCAGTGTCTATCCAGTATCCAGCCTGGTGCACTTCAACCTGACGACTGGAAAACCCACCCACCTACGTCCGCTATCTCGACTGCCTAGCCAACTCCCAAGCCTTGGGATCCAGTCTCGCCACTATCGTCGCTTAACTTCGGCACGCGATCCTTCGCCCCTGTTAGACTGGACTGTCACAATGGCGGAACGCATCTTGATGAACGAATACAAGGCACTATCACAAGAGCCCTGGGTGAACATTGAAGTACGTTTTCTTCCCGAATACTACTTGATTCTGGTCATATGCCGAACACCGCATCATGTGTCCATCACAGACCATATTCATGTCGTACCGAGAATGCTAACCGGTATCCCGTTTAGATCAATGAGCAGAACATCCTACACTGGACGATCGGGCTTATCGTCCTAAACCCGGATTCCCTCTACTATGGCGGCTACTTCAAGGCGATCATGAAATTCCCGAGTAACTACCCTTACTCTCCTCCAGGTGAGTTCGAGCGCCCATGACTATCATCACACCACCCACCCCTTTTTCCCGCCGAAATTGTGGCGGCATGACTGACTCGCAATCTCGACCGATAGAATTCCGCTTTGTCCACCCCCTCTTCCACCCGAATATTTACAAAGACGGCAAGCTCTGCATATCCATCCTCCACGCCCCCGGCGAGGATGAAATGTCCGGTGAATTAGCATCGGAACGTTGGTCCCCAGCTCAGCGTGTGGAATCCGTTCTTATCTCGATCCTCTCCTTACTCGACGACGCCGAGATCTCCTCTCCGGCCAACGTCGACGCCTCCGTCATGTTGCGCAAGGACCCCGATCAGTATAAGTCCATCGTGCAACAGCACGTGGAGTCGTCCAAGGATGACATCCCAGAGGGCTTCATCATGCCCACTCATGAGTCCACCACCTCCACATCCAAGCCTGTGGAGAAGGATGATTCAGACTTCTGGGCCGAGAGCGACGTAGACGACGACGTCTTTGGCGGCAGCGACTCAGATGAGGACCTCGACGTCGACGACGATGACGACCAAGACACAGGCAGTGAGGACGAGCACATGTCATCCTGAGATCGAGCATTCATCCGTGTCCGGATGTACATTTTGGCGTTTGGAACCCATCCATCTATCCCCATTGACATTCACATTCACATACTCATTCATCCATTATTATATCACAGCATAGCGCAGGCGCTCCAAGAGAAGGTAACATACATACATACATGGGTACAAGGTCATTTGATTTGATTGTTTGAGCGTGGTGTTCACTTTTCAACTTTTTGTATACCTTACTTCTCTGTCTATTGATTTTTTATCCGTCCACGAAGAGAGGCCTCAGTACTGCCTGCCTGGCTTACCCCCTTTCATCTCTCATATCACAATCTCTACACGTGCATTCTTGCATTATCGTTATCCTTTATCCATATTAAGATAGTCCCGATTCTGTGATTAAGTTCTGTAGGCCTCCAATGTAATGATGTCATTGGTTAATGTCGTCATTAAGGTACTTCGTCGATGTACTCCCCGGGTGACATGGATGGAGTACCCCTCTCAGCTCCGCATGTGTCCGTCTTATCTTTCCCGTAAAGAGTAATTGCGGCACCACCAAGGCGCTAGATAAAGGTCATACTATGTAGGCACCACGGTTACTCCACACCTCGTGATCCATTGCGCAGTGTCTCATTAGATTGCGCTACAAACAAGGATGCTTGTCTACACTGTTCCCAGACACCTGCCGCTGTCCTCCTTACGCTGTAGTCGTATCATACTATCTAGCAAGGACTTCGGATCTCTTAGATAAATCAATGAGATTGCCAGTCTGTTATAGAACCAGAACATTCTAAGTGAAATCGCAAACCCTTCTTTGCAAAGACATGTATACTACCATAAAAATGAACCAATCAAACGAGGCAAACACTGTCGGATTGATACAACTGATGCACTCAATGCATCAGCACCGTCAAGAGACCAAGCATGATAAAAAAGAGACCTGCGCCAAAATATCCGATCAACCATCCCATACCTCAAAAAAGTCTTCCGATCTACGTCTGTGAAACACGAGTTCTGATCTATGCAACGACGGCATCCTGGATCTCGCTGTAAATGGCTCCAAGCTCCTCAGTGAGCAGCTCTTCGGCCTTGTGAACCAGACCCTCGATGCGGTCCTCAATGCGGTTCTTAGCAGAGGAAACCTTGTAGCCACCGCTGGTGACAATGTCGGTGTAGTTCTCGGAACCACCACCGTTCCAGGCGAGGAGCTACAGTCATCAGTTAGCCAATCCCTTTTCTGAGAACAATGGCTGCAAGACTTACGTTGGGTGTGCGGGCAGGAATGTCAGTAAGAGCACCCTCCGTAGCAATGGAGATGATATCCTTCTTCAGCTTGGCAGGGGTAAGCTCCTCAACAGCGAACGCAGAGTCCGCGGCGGGCTGAAGGGAGACAAAGTAGGCGAGCAGGCCAGCAATGTGAGGCGAGGCCATGGATGTACCAGAGATGATGTTGGTAGCGTAGCTGCTGCCAATCCAGGTCGACAGGATGTTGAGACCGGGAGCAAAGATGTCAGTGCACTCTCCGTAGTTGGAGAAGTAAGCACGCTCATCAGCGAGAGTCGAGGCACCAACAGTGATGGCGTTCTCGGCAGCTGCGGGAGAGTAGTTGCAAGCATCGGCGTTATCGTTACCCGCCGCAACGGCGAAGTGAACACCAGCCTCAACACCAGCATTGACAGCATCCTCAAGGGTCTTGGACTTGCCACCACCGAGACTCATGTTGGCAACGCTACCCTTGAAGCCCTTGACCTTACCGTTCTTAGCATCCTTGGCCTTCTTGATGTGAGACAGCACGGCATACTCGACACCCTGAACGACGTCGGACATGGTACCAGAGCCGCTCGATCTCAGGACCTTGACGGCATACAGGTTAGCCTTCTTAGCAACACCATACTTCTTACCAGCCATGGTTCCTGAGCAGTGCGTTCCGTGTCCATTGCCATCGATATCTTCATCGTTGGTAGGGATGGTCTTTCCCCAGATAGCACGACCCTCGAAATCAACGTGGTCAACATTGATACCGGTGTCAATGGTGTAAGCGTCAACGCCCTCGCCACCTTCGGAGGAGTACAGGTACTTGTTGAAGTTACCGAAGGTGAGGCTGTCACGGTGAGAGATACGAGCCAAACCCCAGGGGGCGTTCTTCTCGGTGGCCTCTTCCATGGTGTGAACTTCGGAGTCCCGCTCGATGTATTCGACCTAAGTTGCCAGGTTAGGAAGCTTATCCAGGAAACGGATGACAGGGGGCAGCTTGATAAGGGGACTCACATCAGGGTGTCTGCGGACTTGCTCAATGACATCCTCGTGGAAGTGACCAGTGTAGCCGATCAGGGAACCAGCAATATCAAAAGTGTTCTTCAGGCCAAGGTATGCCTCGTCACCAAGGCCGAAGAGCGACCGCTTCTTCAGCTCGGTCCGCTCGCTCTGAGAGTCATGGATGTCCTGCACCCAGGTGTGATGAGCAGATGCCAGCTCGGAAGTGACATGCTTCTTGAAAACGACGATGTAGGAGTCGGGAACCTCCTTCGCGTTGGAGGCAGACAAGATTGGGGCAGCCTCATTATGGATGGAATCAACGAAGACGGGTGACGCAGCCGTCAGCAACGGAAGGACGGCAAGGCCGAGGATGCCCTTCATGATGGATAGCTAAGATGGAACCCACGGCAACTCGATGGAAAAGAGGGTGAGGAGGGAGTGTACAGGAATGCGAAGGAAGGGGACGATGGAAAGATAGAAATAGGCAAGATAAAGATGGAGGGAGGGAGGAGAGAAGGAGGAAGAGGAGGAGGTTGGAGCTGAAGAGGGAGAGGAGGACGGATGAATGGCGGACGGTATTCAGCAAGAGGCAAGGGCAGCAGGTGATGATGCAACCGGGATACGGTAATTTACGGCCGATGACCGGATGACACAGCAGAATCACTGGTTGTCGATCGTCCCCGATTAGCGCGGTCGGAGAAACTGGGACCTGGGGTAGGCCTCAGGGAGGTCAGGGTAATGGATGGCGGTATGCGCCCATCTTCGGGTCGCTCCCCTTCGCCCCCCTCATCCCCATCAAGGTACGGGTTGCAGACAGGCTTATCCCAAACACTCAGTGTCCCCGAAACCACAGAGGTACCTCTCTAGGTACGGACGAGGCCACCGACCACCGACGTAAGCAGGGCACTACGAAGGTCCCCGCAAGGTGTCAAAGATAAGGAGCAGGAGCAGGATCCTCTGATCCTCTCTGCTCATAATGAGGCGGCGACTGGGGCGCAGCCTGCATTTCCTACTTACTGTCAAGGAAGTTGACTGGACGTATGTACCTTGTAAAGCAGGTGATGGCGGTGACTCGAACCTACCTAGCATTAGTAGGTAGGCCATTTCCTGATGGAGTAGTGCCTAGCCAGACGGTCAGTGCAATGGCTCCCAAGTCCCAACTAGGTTCTAGTAGTAGCTACGTACGGAATATGCTCCATTGCTCCTAGCTACATGGTCATGCTATCTATACCTACTCCGCACCCCAACCGCGACTATCTCGGGAAAACGAACGAGAGCTTCCCGCAAACCCCCCAGGACTTGCATGGGATAGGTAGCTCTTGTAACAATCAAATGACCCTGCATATACCCGTAACAGCTCCTCATTATTGCTGACGGGTACTTCGGGACGCTGTACTGCAGGTACCTGGTATGTTCTCCCGCCACAGAAACAGCGTGTTCGGCTCCCAGGCAACCCCGAGTCGCGTGCTCAAGCCAACCATGGCTTTGCTCGGCTGACTCCTCCTGAACCAGGAAAGATCGGTTGCGTAGGGACGGTAACCAATACCAGCAATTACCACTGTGACAATACGTGACTGCGCCTGTCCTGGTCAGAGCTCCGTGAGATAAGGCGCCCCTTATCAAGGCGACCGGCCGGCCAATCATGTTCGTTCAGGCGACGATCACCTTTGTCGCCTGGTGCTTACCGAGGTCGAGATAGATGCATCCACGGATGCCATGAAGGACGACCGGTTGACTAATGATCTATATGAGTTATCGCACACGCCACTGAGCACGTACGTATGCCACCGCTGTGTGTGTGCCGATCAGGAAACTCTATAACAACCGGCGGTGACGGACCCAGGACTCTCACAAGAGTGTTGGTCTCGGTTGACTTTCTCTTAATCTTGGATATAACGCTTGAGAGAATCTCGGTGCTTGGTAGATATGACTTGGAATTGCAAGTCTGCGATCTCAGCCTTCTCGTTGAACTCTTTTTTGTGCTGATTAAATCACTCTCATACCATATGAGAACTTAAAGAAGGTATGTTGCGCCATCCATAGTTCAGAGAACCAGTGGCATTCTTCGGCCCAAAAAGTCAATGACCTTGGAAGATGATGGGCCTTTCCTGTTCACATGAAGAATCGGCACTTTCTCTACAAAAGTTCGGAGCTGTACGGAATAGTCGATTGCCTGTCGCGTCTCCTACACTACGACGAACCAATGTATATGACTTCACGGGCGACCTCGGCAGTAGCTACTGGGTTCCGTTGCAAAAGTTTACTTATAGTGGCGAGATCTCTCACGGACTCTTCGTGGCGGAGAATCGGTCCAGCGGCCATATTTTATGTGGTAGAATATTCCTGGGATTTGTGATAATGGTCTCGGCGAGGTTTTCTCTCAAAAGTCGGTCATCTACGTTGCCACAGTCTATCATATATCTTAGACGATTTAAACTATCTTCACGGTTGGTTTATGTACGCAATAACCTATTTTAATAAGAACTTAACTTTAATTGAGACTAACATGCATTGGCTGGGGAGCATTCTATTCATAGATGCAATCTGTATGGACATCGGGTATAAGGTTGTCAGGCAACATTGGATTAATGTACTATCATTGGCCTTTGGGGGACCCTTGACTATTATGTAGCTATAATATCACCTGATCAGCACTGGCAGGCATCCCTCCATCCTGTATTCTCTTCGGGTGGGAAAATATGAGCAGGTGACAAACAACTAGGAGTCCGGGGCTTCCCATTTGATACTGGGCATTATATATGGCTGCCAAGCGCCGCCAGTACACCACGGAGTATAATGTCTGAGCCAATAAATGTGTTCTACCTATTATTACTCCCATTTCAACCCGTAAAGCTATATTAAGGCACAATGCGGGCTTTCTCGACATCGCTCTACGTGTCTGAGCAGTTGAGCAGTTGAGCAGTTGAGCAACAATATATTTCATCCACCTACCTTTCCCCCCCCCCAGTCCCTATCGTTATGATAACATCAGCATAATATAGGATCATCTCATTAGTCTAAATTCTCGTACGAATGCTATTTGCAACCCTTCCCCACCAGGATATCTGTCGTCGATATTCACACAAGCTGTACGGGATAGACACCATTATATATATCCTCACTTGGAAGGTAACTTGTTGCATACACTAACATAAGACATTGAACCTGCAAAGACACAGATAACATGTAGGATAGACACAGATACCTGGATCCATACCGAGTAAACCGAGTTTTGTGGGTAGAGAAACAGCTACTTTGCGAGGTGGTTGTCAGACATCGAGATTCCCAATACGGAGTACGTGCTTCACGATCGCAACCAGACATCCAGCTCTTACTCAGTAACTATGAATGAAGCTGAAAAATACAAGCCATAAGGCTTCCCACTTACAGGGTTAAACCTGCCTAGATAGTTAACTATCCAGGCTGACTCTGTTGCATAGGTCAGAGCTTGGCAGGTGAAGATGGAGGTACCTGTTGGGTTCTAAAAGCAGCGGCCGCTACTGATAATGAAAGGCCAATCAAAGCATTAGATCATTGATATGGTGGAGAAGATAAGCCAATGGGCCGGCCCAGGCGAAGGACGACGGCCTAATCAGCCGCCCGCGTTCCGGTCGGGTGACGGTTGACCTCAGGCGGCGAGCTTAGAGCAGCACCGCCTGCCTACCGAGGACAGCAGGCCATTCCGTCACGTAGGTAGAATTTCGCCCGGCAGCAGGTAAAGTACTCCGTAGTACTCGATGCCCCGAAACAATCCCGTCCGTACCCTCCCCCGCTATGGTACTACCGCCGCGAGTGACGTTGGCGTAAGACCGTCTATCGGACTCGACACAGCCATCCCTTAGGTAGGTGCGGAAGGTACTTTGTGCGGCTTAGGACTCCGAGCGCCTGGGAATTTTCTAGTCTCTATGGTGGATCTTGACCGGGATTCTTGCGCTTTGAAACCCTCGCGAACACACAATTGCTGATCCTCTGAGCTGCGTGCGCTGTCCTTGCTTCCCCTCCCTCCCACTCCGGCTGGTCCATGTCAGACAAGTGTGCGTGGATTTATTCGGTCCGCTAAGCTACCAACCACCACATCTACCAATGCAGACCGCCTCCATCATCACGCTAAGTGCAGGTTCATGGTGTCTGATGGTCGCTAGCCGTCAGATAGGTAGCCGGGGATAAGATTCAGCGGCGCGATGAACCAGGCCACCTCCCTTCTCTCGCCATCCCCTTCTTCGTCAATCGAACGGCCGGCCGTCGAGCTGACTCCCGTCATCGAGAAGCTGAAAATCATCTGCAGTGAACATGACATCGATTTTCAACTAGCTGCCACAGCAACCGAGTGCTTACTCCGGCTTCGCCACACATTCATCGACAGTGACCACCCTCGAGAAGCGAAAGAGGATTTTCGACATCTACATGGTTTTCAGACGCTGCTAGAGCTGCTTCGGAAGGTCTCGGAATCATATACCCCTGATCGGTCGTCGAAGGAAGAGAGGAAATGTCTCTTGACCCTTTTTAAGGATGCATTGGCGGTTTTGGCAGAGGCGTTAAAGGAGCATCATGGGAATAAGCGGTACTTTGCAAGTCGGGTCCCTCGGGGAGGGAGAGTGGCTCTAGAGGAAGCTCTTGCACTCCTGGCCCAAAAGGTGGACTGCGTACAGGGGGATATAGAACAGTTCTACAGTGGGATTCTGGCGGCAGTTCTCTGCCAGGAAGCCGTCACCAGTATATTCACAACGTTGGACGCCAAATTCCGAACGGCCCCGGAGCTGCTGCCCAGTGATATCAAGGTGGAGGTGGATCGATGCGTAGGAACCTCGGAGACTATCGAAGTACCGGATATCCTGGGCCCTTTCATTCGAGTGTGGTTGTCTCAAACCTCAGCCTCCTCGTCTGGCCACGGTATCCTGAGGTTGGCTGTGCCTGCATGCCTTTGCCAACTTGCTTCGCATTCCCAGAGAAATATCACAACTCTGCATGCTACTGGCGTGTTATCATGGATTCTCCCGCTTCTAGTCAGCGACGAGCGTCCGGAGCCGGAAAAGCTATTGTATCAGGAGCTCGCGCGGCTGCTCTGTGCACAGGGAATAAGCAACCTGGAGGATGCGGTATTCCTCTATCAGAAAGCCCACAGTTGCCCAAAGGTGTCGCGCTTGCTTGTTGATGTTCTGAAGGCCTCAAAGGAACCTGCATCCATACAGTTTGATCTCTCACTACATGGATATGGGTCATTGGAATTTTCAACTCTCGGGCGCTCATTCCCACCAGCAACTTCCTCGGGGTACACGCTTTCGGTTTGGGCACGCTTTGATCAGTTTGATCCAAACACACATACAACAATATTCGGGGCATTTGATCCCAGCCAGACATGCTTCTTGCTTGCATACCTTGAAAAAGACACCCGAAATTTCATATTGCAGACCTCGATAAGGGGGTCACGCCCCAGTGTTCGATTCAAATCCGTTGTTTTCGAACCTGGGCGATGGTATCACATTTGCGTTGTTCACAAGAAACCCCGACCACCATCGTATTCCCGCGCGTCTTTGTTTATAGATGGTGAATTCGTCGAACAACTCAAGATAGAGTATCCATGTATGCCCGCTACAAGCGCTCCCAGCCGATCGGCTCGGGTTCAAGCGTTCTTTGGCACGCCTCAGGACCTGGCCATGAGGCTGGGTAAGGGGGTTTCCATGTCTCGATGGTCTCTCGCAAGTGCGATTCTTTTTGAAGAAGCCTATAGCGACGATATGGTTGCTGTGTTCTATAACCTTGGCGCCCGTTATTATGGCAACTTCCAAGACTGTCTTGGCTCTTTTCAGACGTACAAGGCTTCTGCCGCTCTGAACTTGCGCAATGAGCATTTGCACCCGGGCAAAGAAGAGCAGTCGGACATCGTTGTTGCCATCCGGCGGAAAGCGAGTACTCTTATCCGTGAGGGGTCCATATTGCTCAATGTCTCGCCACTCTCAGTTTTAGACGATGATGATGATAATACCGTGGATGAGTCTCGGCTGATCAAGTGCCTATCCAGACAAGCCGCCAAAAATCTGCACCAACTAACGAAGTCTGGAGGGAATGCAGTAGCAGTCAACGGAGCCACACCTGCGATAAATGACGCACTGACTCAAGCTCATGGAATTGGTGTCTTGACTGGTCACCCCGTTGTCACGGTACCGCACTCTCTAGACGATGCGAGTTGGCGTATAGGGGGATGTGCGTCGGTTCATCTAAATTTGGTCCACGCGGCTGACACTGCGGAGTCGACCCTGCTGGCAGTTGAGGCACTGTACGAAGCCGTGCAAGATAGCTGGCGGAACAGCGAGGCAATGGAAAAGGAGAATGGCTACGGAATCCTTGGGGCTCTGCTGCGCGAAAAGCTTGGCTTGCCATCGGGAGTTTCTTCCACGACACCGAAGACCCCCAACGTTTGCTCCAGTTACGAGGAGCGATCGGCCTTGGCCTTGGAGCTTCTCCGCTTGACACTGAAGTTTGTTGGGTACGAATTTGAACAGCCGAATCGCTCGATCATCACAAACCCACTAGCGTACCGGGTCTTGCTTGTCGACCTGGAGGTATGGAGGTATGGGGAGGCGGCTCTCCTCGAATTGTACTACTCCCAATTCTGTATATTTGCCAGCGAAAGCCAGTTTCGCCGGTTCAATGCAAAGCGACTGGCTCGCATGCGTGGGTCTCCTGGAAGCACCTAGTGCCTTATCTTACGAGTTGGTTTTACTGACGGTTAATAGGCGTTAACAAGAAGTTCCTTGAAGCCCTCAAAGTAGAGGAACACACGCCTGAAGCATTACGCCTTCATACCGCCGCCTTTGGATCGCTGATGGAGGGTTGCCTATCGGCGGACTTGCTTCGCTCTCTGGCTCTTTATATCACTTACGCCCTTCATAAGCCCAGAGAATCTAGTCGGCTGCAGAAGAAAAAAAGCATGAGATTCAACACGGGCGTGCGGCCAGTGACCCCTGCTGCGAAGGATAAATATGTGTCAAGCACCGTGCTTGCGACTGAGATGCTTCGGATGTACTCTTCCTTGCTCTGCAATGCACATGACCTTGGTCCTATAAAGAAGTTCGCGAGGGCCGTGACGAACAAGGTCTGCTGCATCCTACTTGTTGATGAAAAGTCATTGTTGACTCCCATATAGTGGCTTCTGTACCTTATGTGCGAAGACGAGCCAGAGATTGTTATTCTCGCCACTAAGATCATCGCCCGTCTGTTGGCTATCCATGGCAGCAACTATGACAAGAAGTTCACCGAGAAAACTGGGGGTTATATCATCATGCGGCATTGCCTGAAAAGGTGGTGGAGAATTCCAGCTGTATGGTCCATCTGCTTTGCTATTTTGTTTGGTCTGGACGTCGGTAAGATGATTGTTGACAGGCCCTTCAACCAAACGGGACTTTCGGATACCTTCCTATCCGGCACTCAGCTGCATATAACCTTCCCTGAAATCTTCCCAGTTATCGCTGAGATGATGCAGAGCGCCTTGAAGGAAACAGCCTTGACCAGTGGTAGCCCGCAGTCCGACATGCAAGGTCTTCCAATTCTTCAGAATGTCAATGTTCAACCAACCAAGCGAACCATTTTCTCTCATACAGCCGCGACTACAGTAGCCGAAGAGCAGTTGCTATTTGGCACTGTCATTGATTTCTTTGCAACCCTCCATGTGAAGTCTCAGAGCTTTCGTGTGTTTACAACGCAGCCTGAGTACACTCAGCATCTACTTTCGGTGCTATTCCCAGTTGTTGTCGGCTGCGATGCAACAAACACGGATGCCGAATTAAACCCTCGTGCGGGTAGTCTCGACTTTAGTGATCAGAATCTGGTCCTTCGCCCGCGCTCAAGAGGAGCCGCTGAGCTGCGGACAACAACCGTGGAACAACCCGGACCTCGTGATGATCCTGGTGGATCACTTGGCCGTGGATCTTCTTTCGTCCTAGTCTCGTCTGAAAGGGGGAAACCTTTACCATCCTCTGCACGCATTGTCTATGCATGTAGTCCGAGGAAAATTGAGGAGACTGGTAACCCCGATCATCCTTTTGTGATCAGCATACTCAGTTTGGCTCTCTCTGTCTTTTCGGAGCAGTTATTAGAACGGAAGGATTTTTCCGGTCTTGGTTTATACCTCAAAACACCACCAGGATTGCTGGAACACCGGGCACACTTCAACTCGTGGGTGCTGAAAAACTTTTTGTCAACAGCACAAGAGGTCATATTTTCGAAGCCTCACCTACTGGCAGAACCACGCGTGCTCACCAACTTGGGGCGGTTCACGACTCACCTTGGAGAAGCAGTGTACGAAGGCTGGTTTGTTGATGGGGCAGCGGCAACCCTCGAATTCGCAGGGCCAATCTTGGAGTATCTTCAACGGCCCGATATCTCTTGTCTCAAGAGTATTAGGCTGTGTAGCCAAGCCGTTTCAATCATCCGCTCGACTGTATTTCGTGCCGTTTTGCTTCGGCTATCGGAAGTCGAGGGCACGGAAGCTCTCTTGTTTTTAAAGCGTTTGTCCTACTGGCAAGTGGTTCTTCTTGCTGGAGATGCCCATTCAACCCACCTGCAACTGTTGTGTTACCTCTTATATATCAAATTGGATGACGGGAACGAAGATGTACGCTTGGCTGCGGCAGGACTCTTCAGAATCCTGTTAGTGCAGAAGCCTGCCGACATGGCTACAATTCTTAGCCATGCACCGGCAGCCCTTCAAAAGCGGCTCTCTGCTGGCTTCGAAGCTTTGATGGGTATGGATGATGCCGCATTTTTGCAGTGGTTTAATGATCGAGAAGAAGACCTACATTCTCTATTCTTTGACGTCATATCCAAACACTGGGAAGATTTCGTTCAAGAAGAGAATTCCAAGATCGAGGCTACATCACGGAACCGAGTTTCCAAACGCCAAGAGAAACTGAAGCAATGGAAACAGATAGACGCCTTTGGTGACGAAGTGACGCGCAAGCATGTGGCTACGTTTTCTCACTGGGCATCAAATATATCCGCATCAGAGTTTTTGAAGCTTCAAAGGGCGCTCCAGGACCACCAAGATGACCAAGTATTCATGTGGACTGCTTTCTCCCAGCTGACCATGGACTTGCGGCGATTTGGAGGTCTTCTGGCCGAAAACAAGGAGCGAAAGTGGCGACTTGATCAGACAGAAGGGCGTAGCCGTATGCGTCTTCGCATAGTTCCGGATGAAACCAACGAGAGACAGAACTACCAACCAAAACGGAAGGCATCCGAGCCTCCAGCAATCAAACTGGATACGGAGGTCCGACCTCCCTCCAGTGGTGATGCACTTGGATTGACCCCTATAGCTACTGTCGCCAACAACGAGGCCGCAGAGAGTACCTCTCAAGGCATTGCCCCGGATAGTCGGAGTGTGCTTGAAGACAGCTTTGAAATGATCGAAGATCCAAAGGCGGATCTTGATGACTATGAGGACAAGAATCGGAAAGTTATGCGGACTCTCCACCGCGGCGACCAAGTTGAGGGTGTGTGCAACATGTCGCGTATCATTGGATTAGAAGCATTCGAAGGACTTCTGATCCAAGGGAAGGATCACATTTACATACTGGACAACTTCTTCCAGAGATCAGACGGCGAAATTGTGAATGTATGGCAAGCCCCGGCAGACGAACGCGACCCATACGTTCGCATGATCGCCGGCCGAGAATCAAGCGAACGCAAAGCACAAGAGCATGAAACGAGAAGCTGGAAATGGTCCGATCTGATTAGTATTTCGAAAAGACGCTTTCTATTTCGTGACGTGGCCTTGGAAGTCTTTTTCACAGACGGCAGCAGTTATCTGCTGACACTCATCTCATCACGAGCCCGAGACGGCCTTTGCAGTCAACTCGCGGCCAAAGCTCCCCAAGTGACCGGAAGCGTTGGTCACGCACGCCCTGAGGATGTCTGGAGGTTCGAGACCCTTCGAAGCCAAGAGGATGCACCGCAGTCTCTCGGGTCGAAGTTTGCCAGCGTTTTCGGCCATTCACCGGCCTATCCAGCCACACGCAAATGGGTCAAGGGTGAAATCTCCAACTTCCATTATCTTATGCTGATCAACACACTCGCCGGGAGAACATTCAATGACCTGACGCAGTACCCAGTCTTCCCATGGGTTCTGGCTGATTATACAAGTGATGAACTCGACTTGACCAACCCTCAAACGTTCCGTGATTTGTCCAAGCCCATGGGCTGTCAAACCCCGGAGCGAGAGGCAGACTTCAGAGAGCGATACAAGGCATTCGCGGAGATGGGCGACGACGACGCTCCACCGTTCCACTACGGCACGCACTACTCCTCGGCGATGATCGTTAGCTCATATCTCATCCGTCTGCAGCCCTTTGTCAAGTCCTACCTTCTCCTCCAGGGAGGTACATTTGACCATGCTGACCGTCTCTTCTACTCCGTTGGGAAGGCCTGGGAATCTGCGTCGCGCGGCAATATGTCAGACGTACGAGAGCTAATTCCCGAATTCTTCTACCTCTCTGAGTTCCTGGTCAATTCGAACAAGTACGATTTCGGCCTCCTGCAGAACATGACGACTGTGATTGATTCGGTGGAGTTGCCGCCGTGGGCCAAAGGTGACCCCAAGATCTTTATCGCAAAACACCGCGAGGCCCTCGAAAGTCCCTACGTGACCCAGAACCTACATCACTGGATCGACCTGGTGTTTGGAAGCAAGCAAAAGGGAGAGGCCGCGGTCGAGGCAGTGAACGTCTTCCATCATCTGTCCTACCAAGGTGCCAAAGATGTAGACTCCATTGATGATCCGGTGGAACGACTAGCCACCATCGGCATCATTCACAACTTCGGACAGACCCCGCATCAGATCTTCAACCGACCTCATTCGCAACGAGAGGACCCCAGGCACAAGATGCCACGACTGGATCGTCTTGCCGAGTCACTTACCCAGCAACCACTTGCGCTTCTTGGTGGGTTACCCAGCCTACGATGATACACATGTCTCGGGCGTGCTAATGCGACGATAGATATCGGAGAACGAGTAGCTTCGTTATCAATGAAGCATGATCGTCTACTGTGTGCTGCAGCTCTTCGACTCAATATCCCGCCGAGCTACGATAAGTACATGGAATGGGGCTTCTTCGATGGTAGTGTGAGATTCTATTCTGCAGATAGCCGAAAGGTAGTGAAGTGTTCTGATTGCTCCATGAAAAGGTCGTTGCTAACAGACTTTAGCTACTGGGCCACTTTGAGCACCTCCATATCGGCCAACTATCCTGCGCGATCTTTGCGGACTCCCGGACATTGATAACCGCAGGCACCGATTGTACTGTGGCGATATGGACCTTTACCTCGTCCGTCAAGTCAGTCGACCTCCAGCCAGCAGGGTCGCTGTTCGGACACCGTTCGCCAGTGACGATGCTGGCGGTGTCTCGGTCATTTAGCACCCTTCTGTCAGCATCTACTGACGGTCAGATCATGCTTTGGGATCTCAACCGGCAGTGCTTCGTTCGGGAACTGCCCAACAACGGGCCGGTCGATGTAAGCATGACGGCACAATCAAGGATCTTGAGCTCTTTTCACTAATGCTGATTTAGTGCGCCCGGATTAATGACGTGACGGGAGAGATTATGATCTGTCGACGAGACCGTGTTAGCCTCTACACGCTCAACGGGTCTCTGCTCCTGGAGCAGGTTCTGTGCGACTCGGTGGAAGACTCTATAATGACCTGTGTCTTCTATGAAGGGGTCAACAATGAGTGGCAGGAACGTGAGCTGCTCTTCACCGGTCACCGAAGAGGCGTGGTCAACGTAAGAACCCTAGGATAACGACCAGGAAGTATTGCGGCTGCTAATGCTGATGGGTTGCAGATTTGGAGCAAGATCATCCACCAAGGACGGTTTGAACTGGAGTTAATCCGGCAACTTCATCATGTGGACAGCCTCCGCGATAACGGAGCAAATATCTCAGCGGGGATAAGTTGCATCCTTGCCCAGCCGCACGTTGTATATACCGGCGATGAAGGGGGAAGAGTGGTGAGTGTGGCATCTGAACCTTGGGTGAGTCGTATGCTGACGGAGAGTCTAGTATGAATGGAGCTGTGTCCAGCGCCGCTGAGGGCCGCCTTGCCCCTAAATGTTACAGCGGAGAACTCGACTCCGCGGAGCGCTCCGGATGGAGTGTGTGGAGGTCTGGTGATCTTCGTCAGTTTGCTTTTGCGGCGCCAAGCTCAATGACCGACACGATGGGTAACGGTGCCGAACAAGATTGTATCCCGGAGCACTCCCGTCCTGTATGAAGTCTGTCGCCCGCTCTGCCGTTGTTCAGCCTCTCCCATCCCCGAGGGTGGACCAGCGTGGATGCTGTAGCAACCAGAAACCAGCCATTGTGTTGTGGAGCGGGCAGTGCGGAGGATCCGAGCTACTGTTACATAGTTAGTCGATAGACGGGGATAGGGTGGCGGTTAAGATAGACCGAATGGGAAGCAGCATCGTAGACACGGTTCCTTTGAAGAAAAGACGCAGCTGTATGGTGGATCTCCACCGGAGGGACTGTGGTGCCTCAGGGGAACACCCACGGAAGGGGGGGAAGCTCCGGTGAAGGAAAAAGGGCTCCCTGTGGGTTGTGATTAGCCGGTGGGGTGGACCTCGCCGTCTGGGGCCTTAACCGGAGCACTCTGGGCCGAACACTCGCCGGAGCAACGAGGGGAAAGCACGAGGGCGGGAGAAAGACGATGGAAGCGAGAATGGGGGGGATGGGGGGGGGAGAATCAGGGACCGGCAAGGATTTGCTACCGGGATGTTTTGAGCGTGGTGGTGGTGGTGGTGGTAGCAGCGGTGATGCAGAGGGATGGAGAAGATGGTTGGGGAGGAGGAAGAGAGAGGACCGGCGGCATAGCGTCATCGGCCGTCAAGCTGCCCCACCATCGTCCCCCTCCTTCGTCTGTCCTCCCGATGCTTGCTCACGGCTCCGGCTTCGTCGTCTTCTCTCACTTTCTCCCCCGCCACATCCCTTCCCTTCTTATTTTCTCCTCCTCGTCATCTTTGCATCTCTCCATTCATCTTCTTTTTCTTCCCCCCAATCTACAATCTACAATCTCCCATCTCCCATTTCTATCTACTCTAATTCCATCCCATCTCCTTTCACCATTCCATCCTCTACCTCCACCATGTCTTCTTCTCTCGACCAGCTCAAGTCCACCGGCACCGTAAGTTTCTGCGGCTCATCCGACCCTGCCGCTACATCCTCAATGCTGATCATTCATTGTCAATTTAGGTTGTCGTCTGCGACTCCGGTGACTTCGCCACCATTGGCAAGTACAAGCCTCAGGATGCCACCACCAACCCCTCCCTGATCCTGGCTGCCTCCAAGAAGCCCGAGTACGCCAGCCTCATCGATGCCGCTGTCGCCAAGGGTAAGACCGAGGGCAAGACTGTCGACGAGCAGGTCGATGCCACCCTCGATCGTCTTCTCGTCGAGTTCGGCAAGAAGATCCTCGAGATCATCCCCGGCAAGGTCTCCACCGAGGTCGATGCTCGTTTCTCCTTCGATACCCAGGCTTCCATCGACAAGGCCCTCCACATCATCAAGGTATGCCGCTTCTTTACTTCCTCGATGACTATCTCCCTGCATCAATTGCTGACACAATGATCCCGCAGCTCTACGAGGAGAACGGCATCTCCAAGGACCGCATCCTGATCAAGATCGCCTCCACCTGGGAGGGTATCAAGGCCGCTGAGGTCCTTCAGTCCAAGTACGGCATCAACTGCAACCTGACCCTCATGTTCTCCACCGTCCAGGCCATCGCTGCCGCTGAGGCCGGTGCCTACCTCATCTCTCCCTTCGTCGGCCGTATCCTCGACTGGTACAAGGCCGCCCACAAGCGCGACTTCGCCCCCGAGGAGGACCCCGGTGTCAAGTCCGTCCAGAGCATCTTCAACTACTACAAGAAGCACGGCTACAACACCATTGTCATGGGTGCCTCTTTCCGTAACACCGGTGAAATCACCGAGCTCGCCGGCTGTGACTACCTGACCATCTCCGTAAGTGCTGCCTGAACTCTATTTTACCACGTATGGGAAAGTAACAATTGTGCAGCCCAACCTCCTCGAGGACCTCTACAACTCCACCGCTGCCGTCCCCAAGAAGCTCGACTCCGCCAGCGCCGCCGGTCTCGACATCCCCAAGCGCACCTACATCAACGATGAGGCCCTGTTCCGCTTCGACTTCAACGAGGAGGCCATGGCCGTCGAGAAGCTGCGTGAGGGTATCTCCAAGTTCGCTGCCGACGCCGTTACCCTCAAGGACATCCTGAAGGCGAAGGTCCAGGCATAAGCGGGAGATTGACATTATGCATTTTGTGACGACCATTATTATTCCCATGTGTGTAAAATTGATGACCTGAAAAATTCGTTTGGGTAGATACGAATTATGATTGAGTTTTGTTGATCATATCTAGTGTAGATCGTAGCTATGCAGCTATAGGCGCTTAATATACTACAAATCGACCTATCATGACAAACAAATAGCTTCCACTCTGACCAAATTCCATTTGACCCTTCAACCCGAATTCAGTTCCACAACCCATCCCTTTTTCAAATGAAACTAGCTTCTCTGATCCATGCTTTCCAGAATTCAGCGTGCTGACTGATGAAGCGAGTATGCCACACCCCGCATTCCACCGTTCCCTTTTTCACCCCAGCCATCCATAACCAACCACCAGCCCAACACATCAAGTAAGCCACCACCATTAAGCAACGAGACCTAACGTATGGAGTACTATCCCTCCGCCTTCTAAACCCCATAATTCCTCTCAATGAAACTCCTCCAAATATGTTCCACCCAATCCAACCCAAACACATATCAACACCCGCCCATGCGCCCGACCCAGCATATAGTACTTGTGCATGTAGTACGCATGCATATGCACGACCCCATTTTCTTCATCCTCATTCATGATTTTTTTGCTCGAGGAAGAGACGGTTTCCATTCGAGAATACCCCTGATTCAGCCCATATAGAGCGATTGCTGATCGTTGGAACCCTGTGTACTGGGTTCGCAAGGAGAAGGGATAGAGGAGGAGAAGGATGTAGTAGCTCCGTGATTTAGTAATTGGAGTGGTGTGTTTGAAGTGGTGTGTTAGAATGAAGAGTGGATGGAGTGTATGGATGTGTCAGGATATGTTTCCTGTCTGTCTGTCTGTCTCTTTCTGATATCCAATATAAGAAAGAAAGGATAGGGGTGCGGTTATTTTGGATTAGGTTGTATCATATCGTTTAGACTTTCGATATGGATATGGATATCAGCGATGAATTCGGTCATGGTTGGTTTAGGTTTTGATTCGGCAATGTGTTCGGGTATACAAGGTACTGATTCCCAGCGATGAAGCTAAAGCTGGAGATTGTATTGTATATGTAAAGAACACCGCTTGCGAGGGTTGATCTCAATGATATATTGTGATATCATTCTTCGGTTTGATTGACTATCGGGTCGTAACGTAAGGGTTGTGAGAGTCCCTGGAAGGGCTCGATTAAGATATTGCGTAGGGTGTTGCCCTTTGTCCGGAAGATCCGGTTGATGTTGTTGATAGTAGGTTTTGATTGCTACCGCGGGTCCTTCTCGATATTCTTGCGAGACCAATGTATTCTGTCATGTGGCAAGGAAACTTGAAGGCGATGGATTCGCTGTTGATGCATTGCCGATGTCCTCGCGCAGGGACCATAGGTCTTCTCTCATGATACAAGCGTATCTGGTTGCAACACTGCTGCAGCTCTGCTGTGATGAGGCTGGGAAATGGGTGGATTTACCCTCCGCTGTTTATGTGGAGATGAAGTGAGTGTTTATAACTTGTTCCATCTCGATGTATGTATCCCGTTTGCTAGTTGATGGGTGGATAGGCTGGGAATATGTAGAGTTGGCTTAGACACTAGATGTGCCTAGGCTCTTCTCTCTACTTTATAGAGATTCAAGTATATCGTTAGAAGATGGTAAAACTAGTCTACCGAGTTATGATATCGATGTAGATGTTTCAGGCTCTTTCCGGTGTTAGATGCCGGATGTCGTTTGACTAGATGCCGAGAGCCGAGTCTTGTACAGTGGGTTATTGCTTGCCGTGTAGATGATTGCATAGGGAGTTGTTCTCAGCGTATTCATGCCATCATGGGCACGATATTCTGCAACCCTACCGGCTACTGAGCAGCCCAGCTGCCCACCGAAACCTCAGACTGCCCTTTGGTGCTGATTCATGGCAGTACCAGACGTGAAACAGGCATGCAAGCGTTAGACGCAGTTTCGCTGGTTTGTTTCGCTTGACGACATTGCAGTAAGATGCTGTGACTGATCTGCTGCGACTATTGGGAGGCGCAAGCAAATGTGGAACCTGTTTTGCCGTGAAGTTGAACTTGATGTCGTATGTTTAGACCGTCATAGATGACATCTCACCGGAGGGAGAATGCAATAGCCCATACTCTCGCGCACTCATCCAGAGCATCAAATCTGGGGGCAGAGGCACTGTCGATAAAGTGTTTTAACCGGTCAGCCGCAATAGGGCGTTTTTCTTGTTCCACTTTATCTGCCTCGCTGTTTTCATTTCCACGCAGCAGGTCGAGAATCATTGCGTCGAAGTTGTCGTCCTTGTCCTCGTATTCGCGTTAACACGCCGAGTCAAGATTCATCCTCAGAACGCGCCTTGCCAACCCTGGCCAATCTCCGGCTGACTGCCAGATGGCTCTTGCTTAGATGACGCCTCCCCCTGTTCGGAACCTTCTTCAGGCGTGGTCGTTAGCAGTCATGTATAAAGAGATGTATGACGAGAATGGGTGACGTTATCGGTCATTCTTAGATGCCATTCTGACATTCCATCGGATGACATTGGACCCTTAGCCGCTCGATTATTCCGAGTCTTTGATACTGCTCGCTGCTGATAGAGACTAGAGAAGTCGTCACCGCAGAGGCGAATAGAAATAGACACGAAACGTTCGTGCTTGACCTCTTTCGAATTCGAGCCAGTTCTGTGGCTTTGATTACCTGCTATTGTGCAAGGCAGTCTCCAAACGCGTGTCAATTCCCGCTTGGTACATGCTGTTCCGAGTTATGTTACGACGTGATGGCCGTGTATATGCAAGTCGCACATCGTGACTTTCTTCGCATCAAGACCATAGTTCACGGGACATTTTAAGCAGTCCATAACTTGTTGGAACCTATTCACCTTGGAATTGTCCCACTAGCAAAGAGGTATCTCTCTTGGTCTAGTTGGGAACTTCTATCATAACCGTCTTTGATGTAGCAATATGTGTGCGCATGCCACAAGGCCCCGTCAGATATCGCATTGCCTGCATGGGTGGAGTTCAATCTATACTCAGATCGTGGATTCCCAGAAATCTCAAGTATGCCTGGAGTGCATAAGAGTACCCCCTCTAAATATTATGAAGTAAGTCTTCACAGTCCAAAGTCGGACCTTATCAGTGGATACATTTCCTGACTTCCTTCGACAGGTAACATAATCCATGAGCCGTTTTAAGCCAGCCATGCTTGTTGGACTTTCTGAAAGTGGTCGCGTCTGTACTTTCACGACGCCGAGTCTTTGTACAATAGAAAGGTCGTTGTATGCTGGCTGCTCTATAAATGCGCCGCGAATACATCTTGGAGAACGCTTTTGCGTGTGTAATGCCCCTTCGGCGAGCTATGCAGCGTCAAACGATAGAGAAGAGTCTTTCAGAGTCTGTAAGTAGACGGTGGTGAAATGGCCATTGGAGTAAGTCACGTTCACCGCAGTGTGTTCAGAGGAGCCGAGCTGTCGCTTGCAAGAATTTAAGAGGTGGATTCGGGCCGGTGGACCAAGTAGACGAGTCTGTGAACTCCCACTGAATCAGGCCATCGTTTGCCGAACGAAAGACAAATAGTCTTCCGAATAGTGGTACCGATGTGCAGGCTTTGACAAGGCCTTGTTGAGCTGCATCATACGCCACAGGCCATTGTGCAGGTTCTTCTTGTTCTTCTTGTTCTTCTTGTTCTCCGGATCTACAGCCCGTAGCTCACGGTCCAACAATGACTTGGACTTGAGATAGTGTCAATGTAGTCCATTCGCAAGCGCCAATGCGCTTTTACTTCAGAGGCTGAGTATACGCGCCCAGCGTCTTCAGGATCGAAGGAGCATCTCCATATAATTGTATGGCGAATAAAGCTGCGCATATGCCGTCATCGCTAGGATCGGGAAATGGGCGTGTAGTATCGTATCTGCCATAATCCGCATGCATTTCGTTGACCGAATGCAATCCGGCGTGAATGCCAATTATTGAGCTTTCCTCGTAAATATGAGAATGAACTGCGAGAATCAATCGAACTGCAGCGGCAGTCAATGTCATCGCCTCGTTATCATCCCGATAACGGACAGCAGAAATGACAATCCCGATATAACACATTGAGTATGCGGTATACTGTCGGTCGTTTTCTGTTCAGTTTGGTCAAGACGTATATATTCGAGGTATTCTGCGAGCTTAGCGGCCACGCGAGTGACAAGCGGCGGATGACTGTAGTTGGCTTCGGAGTATATGACTCAGTTATTGACTTGTTGTATGTCGATGCTGCTACCACGTAGACCAAAAGAGATATATTATCAGTGGCGACTAGATGCGGAAAGTAGAAGACGTCCCAACATTGAATTCGGGGAGTGGGGCTGTAACACCGGCAACGCTCAGGCGGAACCCTTTGTCTCTGCCGGACGTGAGAGCGAGGTAATGGCTCAATGAGGCCTACTGTGAGCTGGAAAGTGCTCCGTTGCGGTAGAACGGTCACATCATTTGAGGTGAAGGCTAATAACCAGCTGGTAAAGAGAGCCAGGTGCAAATTCGGCACATATTGTGAAACCAATAATATAACCAAGCAGATGGATATTCGTTGGCCTTTGGACTGATACTTAGAGTCCCTGTCAAATCTGTCATATGCATTGAGCCTATGCGGATCAGACCTGTTTCCTATAAATAATATAGGTCCGATGTATCGAATGGCCGGAAGAGACCAGTGAGGGATTTATTCTTCCGCCATGGATTCGTAGGTCTCGGTATTGTTGCATACTGAGGCCTTTTGGTGCAGTAGCATCGTCACTGACCATTCTGGAGGAATATCCTGAATATCCTGGGAGATGCCGCATACGGGTCGACCTCCACACTAAGCCGACAATTTGAAGCTAATTCGTAAAGTGTCCAGTGTGTTCCGTAGACAGTTGCACTAACAATGTTGAGTGCAGTGTGTAGCAAGAATCCTGCGTCCAACCCTTCTAAATGGCAGGCATACTCCGGATTAAACATAGATAAGAAGATATGACCACAGCGTGAGACTGAAATTGAGATAGCTCACGATGAAGATGTTAAATCATATAAGGCATGAAGGGATTGGGAGGCATGTGTGAGCAAGAACCTGACCGGGGCGCTGTCAAAGAGGTATCAAACTGATGAACAGCAGTGCAATAGACTACAATATATAAAGAAAGATAGTAAGAAACCCCTGGAAATGTATCAGGAGGCCTCTTTGGGTAGCTACTTGGGGAGGTAGAGATGAGAGATGAGGAAGGTTGAATGGCGGCAGAGAAGGGGTATAAATACCCAAGGGCGATTCAAGGCACCAGTCATCTAAGCATTGTGAAAGATTACTATCACAGTCATCTCACGAGAGAAGTAAATGGAGCAGATTACATGGAGTGAACGATGGGCACTGAAGGGGTTAATGGGCCATCATGACGCACTTCGTTGAATTTAGGGTTGCAATACTCGTGCACTGGGGATACATTCAACGACAGCTCTGAATGGAACCGCGGTTGCTCAGGTATTGAAAGTAGTGAACGACACGTGGGGACAGCGACGTAAGACGGTAATGAGACTAAGCTGAACGAGCTCGTCATGAGAGCAAGTACTGGAGAATAATAATTGCCACGCTGACCTGAGAGCTGTGCAGTCAGGTAATCAGGAGTTCAAAAAACGCATAGTATGTTCTGATCATAACTTTAGAAGAAGCATGCCATCATTTAACAGAAGTCACCATGCCGTGATTTCTGCCGTAGCACAAGGGGAAATATCTGCCACGAAGGTGAGTCCAACCTCATGCAATGGCAAGATTCAGAAGACACTGCAAAAGATGACTGCTTGCTGACAGTAGTTCAATCACCAATCACCAAGTCTGGGCCCCCATTAGGAGAAGATGACATTACCATAAAGGGATTGCACCAGTTCGAAATCTCTAATTTGCATTCTGAGGTGCGACATTCCCTGCATGAGTCCGCTCCGCTCCCGCTGTTCTTCAGCTCCGCAATCAATTGGACCAGCAATATCAGGAATACCTGATGCTGTATCAATCATTATAACAACCAGGGAACCATGATCACTGGCTAAAAGATAGGTCCAATGGATAAGCCCAAGATCTCATGGCAGCCGCATCTCATCAATCAGATGGCCTCAGTGGGAAGTGTGCTGAGGCAGTCCTGCTCGGACACAGCTCACTAATAATGCAATGATCGAATGCACCACTGCATGAGTCTAAGGATGTCGAAGCGGTCCTGAACCGCCTTTGACGCGCATGAGCCGAGTTTGCCATTATCTAAAGATCAGAGGCTGTCTTTGAACGTCCAGGCCAAGAGCTCGGTTACTGTCTGTGGTGAAAAGAAAGGTGAGCAAGATAAAGTGTATTTGAGCTGCTATCTTACTGCTGCTTCGTAAAGAGGACCATAAATGCCCCAGAAACCATACACAAGACAGCATTGTATTCTGGTTTCCATAACGGACCCTACTGGGAAGCAGTGCTGCTGTCTCGGAGGCGGGATGAAAAGCCCAAAATGTGCATGCTGCTGGTGTTCAAGACGCGCCGCATGTTGATGTCATCTCGCATGGCATATCGTTATCGCTTCTTGGAGTTGTATGTCGTTCTTCAAGCGGAGCGATAGCCTTCAGCGTAGGAAAAAATTGAGATTCTAGTCCAGACAGTGTTTGTTTACATAGCAGCAATGACGACAAAAATGAGGCTAATGATATGAGAGAACGACGGCGTCGATGAGGTGATGCCGATGGCGCGGTGGTAACGACGATACGGGCGGTAAGATTGAGGGAGGCGCAAGTGGGGGCGATTGATACGGATCGATACTGTCGCGGGATTACCTTACCTTAGCTATCTGCACTTCCAGTTCCTGCTGCAGTTCGCGGCAGCCACTCGACACTGACAGCCACCAGGGTCTTCCGCGGATGGCACAGGCTTTCCTACGGTACAGTTGCTAGCTATCTATCTACTATGGTAGGGTCCCTATTTCTCGGCTTGAGATTACTCGCACCAATGGTTGGGGGAAAGTTCCAGGGAATCAGTCTGGACCCGAGCTGCTTATGAATCGCGGGACGAGAGCTACGACGGAAGGGGTGGAATACACCAGCAAAACGTCATTCCGTTTAACCCCGCCAGGTGGGGGTTGCAGCACCCAAGAGACCACCGACATTGGAAGCCCGTCGAATCCACTGGGGAGAGGGAGGAGCACCAAGTCCGAGGCACTGGCTGGCTGCTGCTGCTCTCTGACTCGCAGCCTGCTTTCGGCGACTCATTATTATTATGTACCCCTCGTTCACTTCCTCCCTTCTTCTTCCCCCATCCTCATCATCCTCAAATCTTGAATTTATCTCTAGATCCAAGGTAGTCAGATCTCATAAACCGCCAAAATGGTCAAGGCTGGTAGGTACCTGCGCTTTTCTTCAGTCTTCTTGGTTTTCTGCTCTTGTTATTGGTCTTTCTCCTCCACGGATCCACGATCGACCGTGGCCGGGGGACCTTGAGTGAGCAGATTTGAGCACCTTGCGATCCCTCCTTCGAAGCTCTCCGACCTATCACGGTCTGAGGTGTCTGGGGACCCTGTTTGCCAGCCAGGCAAGCTCAGGGGCATTTGCCCATCTCTGCAATCTCATTTGTTCCGTCCGGCCAGCTGGTGCTTTTCTGGTATTAATAGTACCACGACTAAGTCCGGTTGGACCGTTGGAGGCTGTTCATTGTTGGACCTCGTGTTCTGGAAGCTTTCCGTCTATGAAGTCATGGGCTGATCCGTCTCTCAGTCGCTGTCATCCGTGGAGACTCCAAGATCTCCGGCACTGTCACTTTCGAGCAGGCCGACGAGAACACCCCCACCACTATCTCGTGGAACATCACCGGCCACGACGCCAACGCTGAGCGTGGCTTCCACGTCCACCAGTTCGGTGACAACACCAACGGCTGCACCTCCGCTGGCCCTCACTTCAACCCCTTCGGCAAGACCCACGGTGCCCCCGAGGATGCCGACCGTCACGTCGGTGACCTGGGCAACTTCAAGACCGATGCCGAGGGTAACGCCGTTGGCTCCAAGCAGGACAAGCTGGTGAAGCTCATCGGTGCTGAGAGCGTCCTGGGCGTACGTTCTACACCCCCGTGTATGTTGTTATCATGATGATACTAATACAGTGAATCCAGCGGACCCTGGTCGTCCACGCCGGTACCGATGACCTCGGCCGTGGTGGCAACGAGGAGTCCAAGAAGACCGGTAACGCTGGTCCTCGTCCCGCCTGCGGTAAGCTTTCCTCTTATGAGATTGGTCTTGGTTGCCTTGCATACTAATCTCATCTTCTGTCACAGGTGTCATTGGCATTGCCGCTTAAGTGTCGAATTAATCTCCAAAGCTGTTGGTCTAGGAGATGAAGGGCTTAGTCAAAATGAAATAGTCTGCCGATATCTAGTCGCCGCTAGGAAATAAAATGAACGCACGAATGACTTGATGCCAGCAATTATGATCTCCGGCGTTTTTGCCAGATTGTACCAGAACTTTAATAGCTCTAATGTGGGTAAACAAGAATGTATCTAACTGTTGGGCTACAGAAGAAATGTCCTTTTCCTACTAACTTATTCTCACATGACATGGGATGCAGGGCACCATCGTCTGGTAGGCAGGTATTCTCTTGGAGCAGCTGGCATTGCTAGCCACTACAGCCGTGGACATTGTGTCGTAGAACATGTCAGGTAACGAGCATAACGAAGAACAAACTCCCAAGGATGGACTGAGGTGCGTAGTGCGAACGTTTGGAACATTACTGCGATGGATTATTGAGGACAATGAAATTCAGTTGCGCCAGTTGGTGAAGCATCATTGGTGAAAGGGGAGCTGTCACTGTTGGCGGTGAAGCTTAAGAAAGCTTGGAGTGCAGCAAGCCTGGCCGCGATGGGATCATTTTATCGTATTAAATAAGAGTACTGCACTGTATGAAAATTCACCCCTTTTGATCATAATCGCCGACGATCCTCAGTTCCATTCCAAAGGAACCAAAGGGCTGATCGTTGAAGGGAGGAAACCCGGCCAGACTTGAACTCCCCCACAAAGTCAGGTGTCCGCCCTGGCGTGATTGGCTACACCGACTGCTGTACCTGGCCTCATGGTTGTCCGACTGTCTTCTTCTCTTCCTCTCCTATCAATAATTCTTGCTTAACAGTGCTGTCCTTCCTTATCCCCTTTTATAATTTTCACTTCCATTCCTACTTCTTTAATTGATTTCTCTGTATCTCTCCTTGTTATTCCTTGGTCTCGCCTGTCGCTTTCCAGCATGCCTCTGGAAGCCCGTGTGAAATCTGTCCTGTCCGGCGACACGGTGGTGCTGTCGCATATCACCAACCCAGGACAGGAACGCATCCTTAGTCTGGCATATGTCTCAGCCCCAAGGCTGCGCAGAGAGGGCGATGAGGTGAGCCGGTTTCTTTCAATCTACATGCAATCTCAATGTGCGGGACAATCTTCCTTTTGCCTGGATAGGTGGCCTCTGCATCGGGGGCCGGTTGGTTGCATTCCATCTGGACTCTCACATTCTCGATTCAGTCGATCCCCTTTTGATATGTATCAGCTATCATACGACCTGCTAACACTGCTCGCTTACCTCTCTACAGCCTTATGGATTCCACTCCCGTGAATTCCTCCGTGAGCTCCTCGTCGGAAAAGTAGTACAATTCCAAGTCCTCTACACCATCCCTACCGGTGCCAAGCGCGATTACGGTACCATCAAGCTGCCGACCTTCGATGTTTCGTTGCCCGACATCAGCGTTCAGGAAGGATGGACCCGCGTCCGCGAAGAAGCCGGCAAGCGCAACGACGAGTCCGAAGAAACAGTGGCGTACCTGGAACGGCTCCGTGCATTGGAGGACCACGCCCAGACGGAGGGCAAGGGAACATGGGCTGGGACAGAGAAGGGTCGCACAGAGACCACCTACGAGTTGTCTGACCCCAAGAGCCTGGTCAACGAATGGAAGGACAAACACCTCGAGGGTATCGTCGAGAGGGTCTTGAACGGCGACCGATTGATCGTTCGTCTGCTCCTCTCTCCAGAGGAACACTTGCAGGTTGTCGCTGCCATGGCGGGCGTCCGTGCGCCATCAGCCAAGCGGGTGACCGCTGATGGAAAAGAGCAGCCTGCCGAGCCTTATGGCGACGAGGCGTTCCAATTCGTTGAGTCTAGAGTCCTGCAGCGGAAGGTTCAGGTATCTCTCTTGGGCGTCACCCCGCAAGGTCAATTGATCGCAAGTGTTCTCCACCCGAACGGTAACGTTGCCAAGTTCCTGCTGGAAGCCGGCCTTGCCCGCTGCCATGATCACCACTCGGCCCTCCTTGGTGCCGAGATGGCAGCCTTCCGCCGTTCAGAAAAAGTGGCCAAGGACGCCAGAGTCGGCCTGTTTACCGGTCTGGTTGCTCCCAAGGGTCCTGCAGGCGGGGCCGAAGATTACATTGTTAGCCGCGTGCTGAATGCGGATACCCTTTTCATCCGCAACAAGGCCGGTCAAGAAAAGAAGATCAGCCTCAGCAGTGTCAGACAACCCAAGCCGTCTGACCCTAAACAAGCCCCATTTGCTGCCGATGCTAAGGAGTTCGTGCGCAAGAAGATCATCGGTAAGCACGTCAAGGTTACCGTTAACGGCAAGAAGCCGGCTACGGAGGGCTACGAGGAGAGAGATGTGGCCACGGTCGTCCAAGGCAACACCAACATTGCTCTGGCCCTTGTTGAGGCGGGTTTCGCTTCCGTCATCCGTCACCGCCAGGATGATGAGGACCGATCCCCCGAATACGACAACCTGATGCTTGCTGAAGCCGAGGCCCAGGCAGAGGGCAAGGGCATGTGGGCTGCTAAGCCCCCCAAGCCCAAACAATACCAGGATTACTCTGAAAGTGTTCAGAAGGCCAAGATGGAGGTCTCCATCCTCCAGCGTCAGAAGCGGGTACCCGCCATTGTGGACTTCGTTAAGTCTGGATCTCGCTTCACTGTCTTGGTTCCCCGCGAAAACGCCAAGTTGACTCTGGTCTTGTCGGGTATCCGTGCTCCCCGTTCTGCCCGCAACCCGGGCGAGGCATCCGAGCCCTTCGGTCAAGAGGCTCATGACCTGGCCAACAAGCGTTGTATGCAGCGTGACGTCGAGATCGATGTGGAGACCATTGATAAGGTTGGTGGATTCATCGGCACCCTGTATGTGAACAAGGAGAACTTCACCAAGGTTCTTCTGGAGGAGGGTTTCGCTACCGTTCACCCTTATTCCGCTGAACAGTCCGGCCACGCGACAGAGTACTTTGCTGCGGAGCAGAGGGCTAAGGAAGCCCGGAAGGGACTCTGGCACGACTGGGACCCTAGCAAGGATGTTGTGGAGGAAGAAGAGGCTCCCGTGAGCAGCAACAGCGCCGAGGACGAGGCTGCCCAGCGCCGCAAGGACTACCGTGATGTGATTGTCACCTACGTCGACCCGACCAACGCACGCGTCAAGGTCCAGCAGATTGGCACCGGCACCTCCGCGCTGACGGAGCTGATGAGTGCCTTCCGTTCTTTCCACCTCAACAAGGCCAATGACACCCCGCTGCCTGGGCCTCCCAAGGCTGGTGACTTTGTTGCGGCCAAGTTCACCGAGGACAACGACTGGTACCGTGCCAAGGTGCGTCGCAATGACCGCGAGAACCAGCAGGCCGAGGTTGTGTACATCGACTTCGGTAACTCGGAAGTCCTGCCCTGGTCCCGCCTTCGACCTCTCAGCCAGCCGCAGTTCTCTGTCCAGAAGCTTCGCGCCCAGGCGGCAGATGCGGTGCTCTCCTTCGTCCAGTTCCCTGGCTCTGAAGACTACCTGCAGGATGCCGTTGCCTTTGTTGAGGAGCAAGTCTACAACCGCGAGCTCGTTGCCAACGTTGACTACGTGTCCCCGGAGGGAACCTTGCACGTCACCTTGCTGGACCCTACCGAGTCCAAAAACCTGGACCACAGCATCAATGCCGACATTGTGCGTGAAGGTCTGGCCATGGTCCCCAGGAAGCTGAAAGGCTGGGAACGGGCTGCCAAGGAGACGCTGTCGCACCTTCGCACCGTGGAGGAGGAGGCGAAGCAGGAGCGTCGGGGTATGTGGGAGTACGGCGACCTGACCGAGGATTAAACCAGGGTTGTGCTCTAGTTGAGTTGTGGAGGGAGATGCCTGTACTATTATCCACACGGTGCTTTATGTTGATTCCCATGGACGATGAAATGAATGGCTTTGGCAGCTCTCATCTGACCTGCTATATTTAGTCTAGGATATTTGAAATATTTCTGAATAAGGATACCAAAAGTTGAGGAATCAATCAATGCGCCCTTTGTGCCTGGCATAAGTGCCCGCATAGATGACGTAAGCGGCCCTTGTGCCCGCGACTGTCCGACGGTCGTTTCCGACTGCGCAGTTGACAGCCCCGTTGGCCTGTCTTTTGTCCCAATTCCCCGCCATCGTCCTCGTGTTTGCGGTTTCGCTCGTTCTTGGGCCCTTTTAATTGCTATCCGACACTACCGGCGCTTCCTGAACCTGAAACAAGCCCCCGTGACGGGTTTGAAACCGACGAACAACGAACGACTGCCGACATCCGCCGACGCCGAACTCAGCTCGTAATTGACCCGCCCAACTTTCGGTGCTTCGCGCCTGCGTGTTTGCTCCTTTTCAAAAACCCCCAATATATATCACCAAGTCAGCACGATGCCTTTCTGGGGATCAAAGTCTTCCCAAACTCCGGCGGAGAGTGACGCCAGCTCTAATGATGCATCCACTCCCCAGAACGATCCCGTGGCGTCAGCCTCGCAGGCGGCGGGCACTGCTTGGCTCGCTGGCCATCTGCACCATTTGACTGACGACCAGGAAAAGAAGCTGGAGGATTTCAAGAAGCTGTGTAAGGAAAGAGGCTACTACAAGCCTGAACGGGACGGAGAGAAGGCGAGCCATGATGATGCGACGATGCTGTATGTTCCATCCTCTAGCGGCTTGCCTTATCAACCCGCATCACTTCGTTCAATCCCATTGAAGGGAAGCTTACTTGTTCTTCTCATAGGCGCTTCCTTCGCGCACGCAAGTTTGATATCGAGGGTGCTTGGGGCCAGTTCAAGGATACAGAGGATTGGCGTCGGGACAATGCCATCGAGTCGCTGTACGAGAACATCGAAGTGGACTCGTACGATGCTGCCAGGCGGATGGTTCGTAAACGAATCCACACCCATACAGTGCCAGCAGCTAACCATGGCTCTATCTAGTACCCGCAATGGACCGGTCGTCGAGACCGCCGCGGTATTCCCGTTTATGTTTTCGAGATCAAGCACCTGAACAGCAAGAACATGGCCGCATACAACTCAACCATGTCCTCTTCCGCCTCGACTGCCGAGACGCACCAGTCCTCTACGGTCCCGCAGCGTCTCCTGCGCCTTTTCGCTCTTTACGAGAACCTCCTCAACTTTGTCATGCCATTGTGTTCGCAGCTCTCTCGCCCGAACCCGGAAACGCCTATTGTCACATCAACCAACATTGTCGATGTTAGCGGGGTTGGGCTCAAGCAGTTCTGGAACCTGAAGGGACACATGCAAGATGCTAGTGTCCTGGCCACTGCCCATTATCCCGAGACATTGGACCGGATCTTCGTAAGTCTACTTCCTCAACTCAACGAGGCTAGCCAGCTAATCGGAGACATTCAAGATCATCGGCGCCCCCTCTTTCTTCCCCACCGTCTGGGGCTGGATCAAGCGCTGGTTCGACCCAGGCACCACCTCGAAGATCTTCATCCTCTCCGCCGCCGAAGTAAAACCCACTCTGACCTCCTTCATGGACCCCTCCAGCATCCCTAAGCAGTACGGCGGCGAGCTGGACTGGCAGTGGGGCGACATGCCCTACCTCGACGAAGAAGCCCGCAAGCTCGTTGGGGTTCTGGAAACCTCTCCTACCGAGGGAGAAACCAAGCCTGGCTTCATCAAGGGCCCAGTTTTGTTCAAGGGCGACCATGTCGAGGTCCTCGGAAAGGTGAACGGTGAGAGCCGAAAATCCAATGTCCCTGTTGGTGCGTCTCCAGCAGAGTCGAGCAACGGCACCGCTCCTGTCCAGGCTGAAAAGCCCACCGAGCAGGAGCAAGCGCTGCCTGAACCTGGCAGTGAAAACGAGAAGGTGGCGTCTTCGGAGACAGAGACGGCAGCCAACGGGGAGAATGCCCCTGCGCAAACAGTGGCTGCTTAATCCACTTCTCTTCACAACATTACTACATATTACACTTTCAGAATCTTCCAATATTCCCATCCACCATCAAGATACTAATCAGAGCGCCATCGCTTACCTCCACCCACCCTAGATTATCTACCTCTCATAACAACACATTGCCGCAGCATTAGAAATCCTTCCTGGGCTAGGTTACTTACTTCATAGGACACTGTCCACTTCACTTCCCTTCCTGTTATCTGTTACATACACACATACACGCATACATCTTCATCCTGTCCAATTCCTTACCTGTGGCTTGAAATATCATCTGTCTGAGCAGCAGCAGAACCATAGAAAGATGCATAATTATTTCGGGGGATCTTATCATTTATTCATTCTGATTAAATTAATATCCGTTCATTGAAACCTTTTTTTCCCCCTACATTGCTTTTTAATCCTCAAAACAACTGAAAAGCTTTTTGGGATGTCATACATACTATACATCTGTCTATACTCACACATTGATTTTACATGTGTTTGGTTTTCTGAGTTGGATCAGATGTATTTTTTTTCGATAGGCATACAGGTAGATAAAAATGGGAAGGAAGTTAGGACAATGTATTTGTATTACGTCTTTACATCGTATATCTAAATAGCTAGGTTTATGCTCTTCTACTATCCCAACTATTGATTCAGTATAATACACACCACTTAACTCATGAAGATGCTTTCCAGATCATGTTGATTTGTTTTCTCCGGACCTGTGGGGAGGAGAATTGGTTAGTTGTTTGTGATTCGATAGGATGCTACCCGGTTAGGGTATGCCTGAATGATGGGGATAGAGGAAAGGAAGGGGACATACCATCGGAGCCAAAACGATAACACCCGCTGTCAAGGCCACAATCGTCATGACCAACTGGAGCTTGGAAAATCCCTTGCCTAGGACATCAAAGGCCTGGCTGGGAGTCGCTCTCGTGGAGAAGATGTCTCCGCCAAAGGCGAAGATCAAGCTGGTACTTTCCAAGAGGGTTGGGGTGGAAAGGACGGATTTGATTCCGGCGACGTCCCGTGAATGTGAGTGGTACCATTTGCCCTCGAACTCGAGGAAGGGGTTGTACTTGAAGAGGCCCTCCTCGGCTTCAGTCGCGGTCGGGTCCCGGTCAATGGGACGGCGCGGGTCAAGGACGGGGCGGGGGATGCCGATGATAGAGTTGGAAGATGGGAGGGTGCAGAGGAGTTGGCGAACCGTGATGCCCTGGCGCGTTTGGGTGACGGCCATGTGGGAGATGGGTTCTGGGATCATGAAAGCTTGCGAGATCACGTGGGGAAGAGGAAGGTCGGTGATGCTGGAGTAGTTGGATGCGGAGTCCAGAGGGCCGCGGTCATTGGGGATGGGGGACTCGTATAGCTCGGAGATTACCAGCTGGTAGCCCTTGGCGGAGGATGAGTCGACAGCATCGGCCCAGAAGGAGTAGGCGAACCAGTTCTCGGAGATGACGGAGGCAATGGGCTGGGTGGGGTCGACCCCTTGGTGGGTACTGGTATGGAGGATCTTCCCGGAGATGGCATCGAGGAGGTAGAAGGTGGCTGAGCTCTCGCCCACGGCAGTGATCAGGGCGAGGTTGGGGCTCAGGTACTTGTAGAGGACCGATCGGTTGCCCAGGACTTTGCCAATCGAAGCAACGGGGTCATGGGAGGGTCGTGCGGTGGCATGGATGATCTTCTGACCCTGGGAAGGCAGAAACTGCCAGGCCGGGTGCTGGTTGTCTCTAGCGGCCCATCCGAGAACACGGCCATCATCACTGAGGGTCACGAAAAATCCCTGGCCATCGACAGACTCCAGGGGCGCACCGTCGTCCTTGATACCGACGGTCACAGAAGCGGTGCCGTCGTGGGCGACAGCAATAGAGCGGATCTTCGTGGTACCTGGGGTGCGCTCCAGAATCTCACCGGACGTGACATCCAGAGTGACTGAGCTGCCGTCATCGGCATAGATTGTAGCAGAGCCAGGGTGAGTCAGGATTGCTTTCACATTCCATGACTTCGTTTCCGCGGCCTTAACCTTCCAGGACACGGCGCCATGCTTGCCAGCATCAAGGGCGTAGACTCTTCCGTTCTCCGTGGCCACAACAACGGGTCTGACGATTCCGAAGCTATCAAGGTTGGACACCTCATCAGTCAAGATACTGGTGAGAATACGCTTGGGGAGCCCCTTCAGCCACTCGGAAAGATGCTGGAGGTCTCTGGCGTGGCGCTTGACGCGGTGCATGTAGGCCCCGTAGAGACTCTCATGACCTTCGACTTGCAGTTGGTGTGCCAGATCCTCTTGGACATCTTCCTCAACCCAAGCAGCGGCCAGGGCACCCGCCAGCGCTTCATATCTGGTCCACTCCATCTGGCCATTGCGAATCAATTCCCAATCACCGGATGCCAAAGCAGCGGCCGATCGGACAGCAACAGTATCACCCTTGGCAACAACTTCCGACACGGAGTGCAGAGCCTGTTCCATTGGGGGTGCCTGGTGGGGCCATCTGCCCAGAACGCCATGGGAGGCCGAGGAGACGACGGTAGTCTCGGACTGGGTGATACGGGTGAAGTAGACATTGGCATCCTTGCTGCTTGTCGAGATAACAGACCATCCCTGCAAGCGAGGAAGTTCGTAGGCCTTGGATACTCGGGCGGATTTTAGGTCGACATGGTAAACCTCAGCCCAGGTGGTGGACTCCGTCTCGTAATGCACGAGGAAATGTGGCAACGATTCGAGTTTCTTGGGAGCATGGATGGTGATCGAGCTGATGCTCTCGCCACTTGTGTTATCGACATCGAACGCGTGTACCTGTTTCGTTCCAATGACGTTGACCTTGAGCGTCTTGTGTGATGGGTCCGCCCAGACAATCAACGGGGAGGCGGTGTTTGCGCCCACGAAGAGAACAGAGTCGGCGCTGGACACGTCGTTTTCCGAGCTCAGGATTTGTTCCTTGGTCTGCCGGCCGGTCAGGGGATCCAACGAAACAACCTTAATTCTGTATCCTTTCCGCGCGGATGGTTGCAGGGAAACGTAGAAGACCTCGGTGGCCGAGGACGACAACTGGAAGGGGATGTCACCACTAATCAAGCACTGTCAGCGGGAGAAGCTCCCATGGAAAACACGACCAAGTAGGTTCACACCTTTCATCCAAGTACTCCCATTTCGTCTTACCCGAATCACCATCCAGTCTTCTGACAACGCCAGCCTTCCCGCCGAAAAGCGCCACTGTGTCTTTGGTCGACGGAGCCGCACTGACATCTTCCAGCTCTAGGAGCTCGAGATCCGCCACGGCTTCACCATCATACCAGTTTTCCCAGATCAATTTGCCATCCAACGCACTCCACGATGACACATAGTCGCCCAGCGCGCTCACCAAAGCATTTGTGCCCTCGGAGGCCCGGAGCAGACCGTTTGCACCGTTGTGGCCCGCGGGCAGGGCAGATCGCGAGAGATTCTGTCTCCAGACAAGCGAGCCATCTTTGGGGTTCACGGCACCGAGAAGCGACTTTTCGGAGAGGGTGTAGAGTAAGGAGGCGTTGGAGGAAGCGGAAGGTTTGAGGAAGAAGGTGGATTGGGAAGCGGGGAGGCCGAGCAGGGCGTGATGGTAGTCGATGTGGTTGACCTCGTCCCGGTAGATGGCCAGCGACGAAGGAACGCACGAGGCGAGCAGAAGCAGCGTCGCCTGGAACCACATGGTTATGCCCGATGTTCTGGGTCGGTCATCGGAGGGCGGATGGAGAAGCAGCTGGAATGGTGGCCGTGACGATAAGCTGCGCTATCGATGGCCCGGGCGGTGATGCCGCAGCTTGAAGGACGGGCAGAATCCATGCCACACCTTTTCACCTTCTTACATCACAATTATTAGCTATCCCCTTCGACACGTATATTCTACTACACACTTGAACAAATCTCTCAATGAACCAGTATCCTGGACATAACACATCACATAGCCAGCTCATCAAGCAAGAAAATTGATATCCAACAGCGGCCCCACAGAACGAGCCCAAGACATGCTAAGCAAGAAGAGAAGAACCCATCCTGCCATCATAAGGCCAAAAGCCTTGCCAACAATTACAAAATAGCGAACGCGACCACTCAAGGCAAAGCTACCCCATGCATCCATTGTATTTGTTCTCCCGTACGGGACCACTCTCCCACCGAACGTACGGTCAAAAGGCACAATCAACTGAGCATCCTTGGGCAGGATGGAAGCAGCCTGTCGGATGAAGATTGCCCGCGCTGGAGCCAACCCCAGGAAAAATATGGTTGCCGAGGCAAATAGAACAGTCCCAATTGTTCATAATCCCATCTCGTTGCTGATTGGGTTTGAGCCATCTGCTTTCCCAAAAACTCTGACCAGAAATATGGGGAAGTAGAAGTTGGCACTGGCCAGAATGCCACAGAAACAGCCATTGGGGCAATTACCTAGCCAGCTGCTTAGAGTGGGGATGTGCTGGTAGAACCGCCGACGAGATGGCTGTGAGATGATGATATGGACGAGAGCTACCTGCAGGATGGAAAGCGAGGATTCGATGGCTGCGTTGTAGAGGAACCATTGAAAGATTGTATCATCCTGGAGAGGAGCAAGAGGGGCCAGGTAGATCAAGGCTGTTTTAGCCAAACGGGCAGCTATGGCCATGCTTTAAGCCGCGGTATCGATGCCAGTGGGCAAGGTGTTGATTAAGACAGGTCTCTGCGGTAAGATCAGTGGAGAGGGGCTTTGAGGCTGCCTCTCTGAGTGTCGAGCGTTTCTCATCAACTGGTTGGTGATGCTTGGAATTTGAGTCTTCATTCAAGGGAGAATGTTGAGCTGCTGGGGGAGTTTCGACTGCTGCCAGAATAGGAGCTACCACATTGTATGTGTATAGAGTCTTGATGACCGCATTAGCCTTGATTGTTATATGGGATAAGGTAGACCTACCGAGGCGAGTGGGACAAGTAAAGAGGCCATGAGGAATTCAGGACCCCCAAGAAGTGATCTCATCATGAATGCTGCTGTGACTGTGACTTGAAGATATAAGTCTGATGGGATTCGAAAAGAGCCAACTAAGGGGATTAGGGACTAAGCAGACAGAAAGCAACACGTTGACAACAGGAGGGGCCTGAAGCTAAAAGGCTAGCTTTAAGCCTAAAGATAATTCATAAACGATGTGTCTGATATCTTGTATGAGTCGACGGCGTTTATCTCGCAGCTCGGGAGGGATTGCCCTATGGAGTTAGTTTCCCAGGCCACTGCATGTACGGTGGATGTTGGAAGACTAAGCATCTCACGCACGACTTACCAAGTCAATTAAAGGCCATAGCAAGGTGCTAGTCAGTCCTTGTATGTCAACATGAATATCTAAGCACCCTACTAACGCATTCTCGCAATTGATCCATGTGGAAGGTAGGGTCTAAATATGACTAGTAGTTTCTATCAACTTCCCGGTTTTTGAGCACCGTATACATTTTCAAGAGAATCCAATTTCATTGGATAAAGAAGCAGGAATGAAATTTACTCCCCTAGCTATAAAAATACATTGCATTGACTTTGAGTGTCATATGCGATGAAAAAGAATTACTATGCTTGACCGAAGCAGGCCTTGTTGGCGGCTTCAATCACCACCTTTTCTCCCTCACTCATATCATCGGTGATCTCCCAAGGCTGATTACCCATCCCCATGGCGCGCAGACCCTCAACGTTAACCGAGTTCCAGTCCAAGGCTCCTTGGAATCCCATCTCGCCGGGACCTCCCGCACCAGGGAAGTCCCAGGGCGGCGAGTAAGCAAGCGCTGCCTGTCGCTGCTTGAGCAGGTATTCAACGTTCATATCGCACATCGGCGTGGCAGGAATGTAGAGGACACTAGAGTCGCCCGTGCCGCGATGTTCCTTGTCGACGGAGTGCAGGGAATCGCAATGCCAGGCGACGAAGTCACCTGGTTCCACCTCGGGGACGGAGACCATTGTGGTTTCGAGTTCCATGTGAGGGTGAGTGATTGGGTTGTATTCTTGGCATGCACCGGGTACGGAGCCCGGGAATGTGTTGTCCAGTGCGGGTTGCAGGGTTTCAGTGTTGAAGAATGGCCGCAGGATGGCGTAAGCTGTGCTGTGGATGAGCATGGGGCAAACATGTAATGAGCCTTCGCCGGGAGCTGTGTTGGACATGGACAGCCACCCTTGAAAGAACCTCAACATAGAACAGGCACCGGCTCCGTTGTACAAGTCCATCTTGGCTGAGACGCGGTGCTTAGCGTCCCATGGATCGTAATTCTCCCAATTACCCTCGAGGATCTTTGTGTAGACCTTGGAATATTCGGGATCTTCCCATCGCTCGAGTGAGCCACCGTCCATGTGAGGGCCAAGGGTGAATTTGGAATCCCCGGGTTGTCTAATGCGAAGTCGGTCTGCGTAGGTCAAGGGGTTTCGGGTGGAGATGGGTGTTTTGGGATCCGACGAATGCCATAGGCGCTGTAGGAAGCGCTGTGTATCGAGCAGGTTCGGATGTGCTCGTGCCTCTGCTTGGGATGGAGTCCAGTACAGCTCGTATACTGCTGGAGAGTCAGGCGGGAAGGCTTTCACGCGCTCTTTGTTGGCAGCAGCGTAGTCCTTGATCCTTTCCTTCAATTCCAGGGCTTTCTCTCGAGACACCACATTTCTGATCACCACGGATCCCCGGTGACGGATCTCGGCAAGGACATGGTCTGGCACAGTGCCATTAATCACATCGGAGTATTTCACTGACGAAATGATCTATAGCTATCAGTATCACTCTTCCGTGCAGAAGAACGCTTTGGGAATGTACATCGCTGCCCTTGGACTTGATCTTGTGTACTTCCTCCTCCATGCTAGGAAGAAGTCTCTTCCAGCTTTGCTTCAATGCCTCTTCATTCTGCTCGAAGTATCGAAGCTTCAGGTCTTTGAACCGCGAGGGTAGTGGCTCCGGCTTATAATCTGGTCTTAGACTAGGAAAGACACTGGAGATATCGCCTGCGGCCTTGGTCATCTGCGAGGCTGAACTCGAGGTGGACGCGGCCCGGATGGCCGTTTTTGAAAGGAATTTGGACATCGAAATGGTATCTGGCTTCTCTAAGATACACGAGGTGTGGACATCTCCTGCGATGCTCCCAGATAGGGTCGGTCTTGTCTGTTTAATATACCTGCCAGTGCCTGTCGGGAGTACCGATTGGGTAAGCGGCCCGATTACCTATTTAAGTAAGCTGCCGCGTTCCCCGCAAAGCCGGGCATCGGCAATTTCACGGGGCCCCAAACAGTCAAACACAGCACAATTGAAGGATTGTTTGCCATCAATATTCGCGCAACGGGGATATGATGATGTAAATATACCTGGTCTGATATAATTCTAGCCATATCTGGAAATTTTGCCGAACTGGCAGAATACGAGTCGGTGTAAATCGTTCAACTGCAGCTGATCGGCACTTTCACCGAGGCGGGCATCGCGGCAGTTGGTTCCGCAGCCCATCTCCGGGGACAACAGATAGAGCTGAACACATCGTCCTGTCCTTGTTCCAATCGAGTTGATTCTATATCCTAGTAAGTGCCAGTGTCACTGAATGCCGAGGAATGCCAGTTTATACCTAGGACATATTAGGATAAGTAGATGCATGGGAACGCGAGTATGAGAGGCACTGGCCAACTTCACAGATGACCTATTCTCGGCCTTCTTCCGCATCTCACTCTCGGCCTAACTATACTGCGATAGCTTGCTGCAGGAGGCCAGCTCCGAGGGTCGCATACCACCACCCCTCCCCACGAGCTATAAGTGACACGGGCTATCCTGCGGGCCTTCAACATTCACAACTCCGAGTAACGACCATCTATTCCACCTCGATATGTCATTCTCTGTACAAGGACGATCTGCTATTGTAACCGGGGCAGGCTCAGGTGTGTATATGCATCATAGCATCCAACAGGCACTAACAGCAAATGCAGGAATTAACCTGTCTTTCGCCAAACTCCTACTCGAGAATGGATGCAACGTCCTGATTGCCGATCTAGCCCTACGTCCAGAGGCACAAGTCATCGTTGATCAGTATTCAACCCGGTCGAAGACTTCACGAGCCCTCTTCCAAAAGACCGATGTCACCGACTGGAAACAACTAGAGCGCATGTTCGAAGTTGCCGAGCAGGAGTTTGGAGAGATTGACATCGTATGCCCCGGTGCTGGTATTTTTGAACCGGTATAGTTTCCATCTCTATGTCCATTGCATATCATGGTATAGCTCACAGCCATCACAAAGCACTGGACGAACTTCTGGCGTCCTCCCGGTACAACTGAGAGCCGTGACCCACGTTATGGAGGTAGATTTGCTCTGCTGGACATCAACCTCACCCATCCGATCCGCACGACCCAGCTAGCAATTGCCCACTTTCTTCGCCATGAAACCAACCAACGACGCAAACACATTATCCATATCTCCAGTATTGCTGGCCAAGGCCCAAACTTCTGTGCCCCGATATACGTCGCCACCAAGCATGGTATCAATGGATTGGTGAGATCACTGGCGAAACTTGATCGCGAATACGGCATCCGTGTCACAGCCGTTGCACCAGGGGTCATCAAGACGCCCCTATGGACAGACCATCCGGAGAAGCTGAAAATCGTGGACGAGAAGGCGGATGAATGGGTGACATCCGACGAAGTCGCTCAGGTGATGCTGGCACTTATTCAACAGGACAAGGTCAGTGGTATTATCGGAGATCAGGAGGGTCAGCATGGACATCAATTCCCGGTAAGGGGCGGAACCATTCTGGAGGTCTCCAAGACAGTGCGTCCAGTGGAGGCTTTCAATGATCCGGGACCTGGCAATCGACCTGGAAATACCGTCTCCGATGATGGTGCATTAATCGAGGAGACTTTTGGTCTGTTGTCACAGCGGGGATGGGGACTCCCGAAGTTGTAGATGAAAGTGCAGTTGTGTTATGATAATATGCTTTATATAGCGTTTCCCGAGCCTTCATCCGAAGGCGGACATATTCAAGTCTGTACTCGGGGTTGATTTCTTGGGAAAATCGGCATGTCTTGCTCATATCTTCTCGGCTGCTGGCAATGAATAAATGTGACATATCTAGTAGTAGTAAGTTGATACTCCATTCGGATGACCCGCAGCGGTAACCCGAAAAGCTGTAATCGTACTACTCCGTAAAAAGGGTATGCCATCCGGGGGACCAATGGCGACAGCGGAAAAAGCTAAAAATACCTGCCTGGCAGGATGACTAAGTCCATAACCGCCTCTACCGCCTCCGTTTCGCCTCGCCTGGCCCCGGTCGGGTTTGCTGGTCATTGATCCATTCTTCTTATCTCCGCATGTCTCTCTCTCCCAACCCCTCTCTTTAATTCTCCTTGCGCTGCTCCCTAGTTGATATCCGATTTGCGTTCCTTACCCGACCGCCGGCTCTTTGTCCGCTGCACCCTGCACCGCTGGTTCGAGTGGTCTCAACCGACTATGGGTGATTGATCACCGCAATCTCTTGTCGTGTGGCCACCTTCAATCCTTATCTACCACTCCCCCAAGAACCTCAAGCACAAGAACTGCATCGTACCGAGTCTACGTTTTCTAAACAGTACCCTCATGATGATGGACGACGAAGCTTCAGTCGGAATTGGCTCTCCTCGAGCCGGATCTCGAAGGTGAGCGATCCTGTCTCCTCTTGTGCTTTTTATCGCTAACGGTGGTCGCTATCCGTCACAGACACGGCGGTAAAGGGAAACGAAGCTCCGGTCATCATGGGGAAGCCAGCTGGGTCAGCTGTGTGATCAATTTGGTCAATACAAGTGAGTTGGGTCAGCAACATACTGCTTTCCGACCATTACTGACTCCAGATCCCTTTCTGCCCTGTTAGTTATCGGTGCGGGTGTCATGGCCATGCCTCTCGCCATCTCCCACATGGGAATCGTCCTCGGAGTCTTCGTGATATTGTGGTCAGGAATGATGGCAGGCTTTGGTCTATACCTCCAGTCGCGGTGTGCCCAATATCTGGAACGAGGCACGGCATCCTTCTTTGCCTTGTCGCAGATCACCTATCCTAATGCGGCTGTCGTGTTCGATGCCGCCATTGCGATCAAATGTTTCGGAGTCGGAATCAGCTACCTTATCATCATTGGCGATCTGATGCCGGGGGTGGTTCAAGGGTTTGTTGGAGGTGCTCCGGACTATGATTTCCTGGTGGACCGGCATTTCTGGGTAACGGCCTTCATGTATGCCCTCATTCACACTGGATACGGTTGTGAACTCTGCTAATGGATTGGTCTCAGGTTGATCGTCATCCCACTCTCATACCTCCGCCGGTTGGACTCGCTTAAGTATACTAGTATCGCAGCTCTGGTCTCAATGGCCTACCTGGTAGTTTTGGTTGTATACCATTTCGTTAAAGGGGACACCATGACGGATCGAGGTCCGATTCGCGTAATTCACTGGGCAGGCCCGGTTCCCACCCTTAGCAGTCTGCCCGTGATTGTTTTTGCGTTTACATGCCACCAGAACGTATGCCTCCAGCTTTCGGTTTGCTCCCTTGTTCTGGTTCATAGTTCTGACATGTCTCACAGATGTTCTCGATCTTGAATGAAATCGGCAACAACAGCCATTTCCGAACCACCGGGGTTGTTCTGACGAGTATCGGCAGTGCCGCGGCCACCTACATCCTTGTGGCTATTACTGGTTACCTCTCTTTTGGAAACAGTGTTGGTGGAAACATCGTGAGCATGTATCCGCCAGGACTCTGGGCCACAATCGGCCGCGCCGCTATCGTCATGCTGGTCATGTTCTCGTATCCACTTCAGTGCCACCCATGTCGGGCGTCCGTTGACGCTGTGTTGCACTGGAGGCCCAAATCCTCATCCGCCAGCGATAGCTCGCCTCATCGACACCCTCTCCTGGGCCAGAGGGGCAACAGAACTCCGGAGCCGATGAGTGACCTCCGGTTTTCTGTCATCACCACCACCATTCTCGTCCTGAGCTACATCGTAGCGATGACTGTCTCGTCCCTTGAAGCTGTGCTTGCCTACGTTGGCAGTACGGGAAGCACCAGTATCAGTTTCATCCTTCCTGGGTTATTCTACTACAAGATCTCTTCTCCCGATTCGCCCCACCATCAGCGTCTGATGAAAGAAGACGACGAGGCAGCCGAGGGCATGCTGTCTGATGATAGCAACGATGATGAAGATGGCGACGAGAGCGCCCCGGCTCGCCCATTGACGGAGAGTGGCATTCTCCGTCGGGGAACGCGCCAGTGGCGCCGGTCGCTACTCCGGAAATTGAGTTTGGCACTCGTAGTATACGGGGTGGTGGTCATGGTTGTATGCCTGATCACGAACTCTCTTTTCATTGCTTCCCACTAGACCGGTTGGTGTGGGGATCTAGATGTGTCTATCTTCCACAAGCTTTTGGCCTCGTGTGATCGCCCATCCATCCTCAAGATATAAACTTTTTCCACCCACACTCCTTGTTCCTATTTCTTTGTCTTACACCCGGTTCTCGATCTAGATCTGAGGTTCCGTTCACGATTACAGTGTCGGTCGTCACTATACCATTGCAACGGCGTTGGGGTCTTATTTGGTCTTAGATATTTGCTGATTTAAATTTGATTTGGAATACATCGTTCCATCTTATGATGCTTTCAACTTCCATTTTAATCAGTCTTGTCCATCCACTTCCTGATTCTTTTATCTACACCCTCTCCATCCCATCTAGCCAGACAGCAACAGCCCAATTCCAAATACCAAGAACTCAGCTACCACTGATTTGCCTTAATCCCCAACCCCTCTTCTACTATATACTAAGTAACCAAACCGACCAGTCCAATATGATGACCATCCTACGTGGTAAGTACCACTATCATCGAGATTGATAAACACCACCAAAACATTCTCATCATCCATGTCTTGCAATATTTGCCAGGTCATCGAACAACAGACAGATATTGCGATCCCAGGTCGAATGAATTACTTTCATTGACCCATTCACTTTGTCATCAGTAGATAGATCACAACGAACGAATTATCGAAATAGCATGCCATTCGGTAATAATTCTTCTTCTTTCTCCTAAGAAGGGATTATTGCTCACGAGGGAGGATACAGGTCAGGTTATCTGTGTAGTATTTGAGAATTGAATGTGGCTAGGTGATGGTGATGTTAGATAGAAGCTTTGGTACTATCCTGCGGATGTTCCCTGTGTTGTAGAAGGTAGGTAGGTAGGTAGGGATTCCGTGTAAGGAAGCGGGGGTGGTTTTGTTGTGGTTTTGGAGAGATCAGGGAGTGTTATGTTCGTTGATGATAGTAAGAGACAATGCTTGGTTAGGGGAGGTAAGGGAAATAGAATTGAAAGAGAATAGTTGAAGCTAAGCTAACTAACTAACTTAATGGGACAATCGGATCATTACGCAATACAAGTGAAGCCAAGCAGTTCAGGTATTTATCGTGCCTAATAGTCATTTCAAACCAGACCACCTTATCAACCTACCGATCAATCTGGCCATGGTCACTGCCACTAGAATCATCACTCTCGGGTCGGTTGATTTAGTTGTTGCTCTGGTTATTCAAGATCCTCAGAATTGCCAAGAACAGATTCAAGATATCCAGGTACAGCGAGATCGAGGCCGCAATCTCCTCCTCGACATGGTAATGTCTCATCACCAACTGCGTATCAACCAAGATGTAGCCCGAGAAGATCAACGCCGCGAGACCGCTGTAGATGAGCTCGACGGTGCTGTTTGCCGGGAAGAACACGGCGACAAACCCAAAGAGGATCAGGAACCACAAGCTCCCGAAGAGGTAGGGCATCCAGCTGGTGAAATCGTACTTGGTCTGGCAGGCGAAGAGGGTCAGGGCGACGAACAGGCCCAGGGTCAAGATTAGGGCTTGGATCACGATGCGGGCGCTGTAGAAGGACGTGACGACGCTAATGGAGTAGGCTTCGAGAAGAGTGAATCCCGAGAGGAAGAGGAGGTTGGCCGGGTAGGACTTGCGCTTCCAGTAGGTGACGAGCATGAAGCCGAGGGCGCCAAAGACGGAGACAAACATGAGCCAGGAGTTGGTTTGGATCCAAAGGCGGTAGTTGGGACTGAAGAAGGAGATGGAGCTCATGATAGTAGTGAGTAGGAGTTGGGCGGTTCTGGCTATTGCGTTAGTTGGGATGCTGGAGGGTAGAGATGTAGAAAATAAAGCTTACAGGATTGCATAGACCTTGCGGATAAACTGCATCCGGATGGGCAGGGTGCCCTCCGCGACGGTGCCACCGAACTGTTTCCTCCATTAGTTCGATACTTCAATCTGAGGGATGAAGCGTACCTTGAAGTCATCGGGGACATTGTCGTCCTCACCGCGTGGCGCTGGCGAGGGGTTGGCCGTTGCCTGATAAGACGGCGGGGGTTGAGAGTAAGCGTGCTCGTCAAAGGAGTCGCGCTGGGGAGCGGGCTCATATCTGGCATTTGCCGCCATTTTGCTATGGAATAGCGACTGTGATGCGAACCGAGTCCGAAGTGAATAAAAGGGATGTTGTTGATGGGGATCTTGCAGTGGAGATGAGGAGGAGAAGGAGGCGGTCGAGAACGCGGCGGCGCAGCGGCTCAACCGCCGCCCGGCAGGTGACGTCGCCGCCATCACCTGATCCCGTAGATCCCCCCGTCCGTGCCCTAGGCAGTAATTAGGCAGGCAGTAAGCAAGTCGCACGGCATTATTTTCTCGTCCTACTCGCCCATTCTTTCACACCTTACTTCAACGTCTACTATGGAATTAATTTGACATCGGTCCAATCATGCCTCTATTATATTTAATATGTATTATATCTATCGTAATATATGCCTGAAAAGATGCCACGACGCTAATCCCGCCCCTCGTGGTATGGGACCTCCTCCACAATCACATCATCCGCATCCATGAACACTCTAGCTTCGTTGTCCTCGTCGTCAGTGGAATCTTCCGGAGTGTCCATCAAGCCAGCCACTGTGTGTCCCCCCTGGGCTGGCTCCGGTCGCTTCTTACGTTGAAAGTCCTGGGCATGTGCCGCAGCCAGCAGGGACCCGACACGAGAGAGGCCGCGGTTACGGACAGACATGCCAGGTGTGGACGGGGTCCCTTGCTCCACGTCGCCGACTGAAGGGGCCGGCTGCGGATGTTGATCTTGTAGCGGCATGCCATCCGCTTGCTGGTCTCCCTGTGGGTGCGGGGCGGCCACCTGGTAGGGCAGAGGCACATCCCTGGACGCCCGGAACAGCAGGACGTTCGTGCAGTGCTCATTCTCCACACGGAAGATCGTCCACACGCCTCTTCGACAAACTTCAGACAGCGCCACGAAGAAGCTGAGGAGCGCCGAGTGCTGGATATCCTTGGTGAAGATGGCATAAAAGATCCAGTTAAACCGGACGACGACGTCGATGACCATCGCTACATAGTATACCCATGCTTGACGGAAGGCCAAAACCTCCCGCAGCAACGGACGCTTGGCATAGGCGTTCCCTAAACTCCAATCCATAGCTAGATCCCACACCGAGCAATAAACGGCATTGAGAAGCGCAAAGGTGATGAACGGGGCCTGGAAGCGTTCCACTTTATCGATGCGGTACATGCTCAAAGTGACGTAGTAAAGGACGGTAAACGTATACTTGCCAAAGTTGAGCAGGTGGGGAAAGACGTTTCTGGTATCGGCGTAACGTCGCAGACACTGCAGAGCTCTCCAGATGCCGGGGAGGCAGGAAAAGAAGCCGAGAAGCCGAGAGTGCGACGAGTTGCATTGGGGAGGATTACCCCAGTGATGAGCATAGAGGCAAAAGAATAATTCGATATTCTAGCAACGATTAGACACGTCATCTCGTATCGGGATCTGGGATCACTCACGCCCATAGCGTATGTTTGGGAGCAATACATGTCTCCCAGGAAGAAATCGCGGAACTCGACAGGATAGAAGCCTGCCAGCAGTAGACGCCACTGTTCCTGTCAGCGGTGATTTCAACTAGAAAGGGGTTACTCACGTTAGAATAGGCCCACCATTGGCGACTGCGGTGGTATAATATCCTCAGAGGCAAGAACAGGATCACCACCGTCAGTCCCACAAGCACAACGGGCCAATAGATATACATGGCATTGATTGTCATGAAGTTGAGCCACATGAAAAGGCCTAATAAGAAGAGGAAAAAGGACGGCAGCTCGGTCAGCTGGCGCCAGTCCAACGCATGTCTCGTATCGTACTCGAACACGAAGACGTAGTTGATCTTGGCTCGAGTCCAGACCATACAGTCGAGGCAGAAGAGCAAAAAGTGGAGCACGACGAGGAAGTAGCCTGCATATATCTGCGCGGATTTAGCTGGCTGACCATATTCACTGAGGGTTCAAGTGACTAACCTGAAGCAAGTAGCTTGTGTGGGTCCGCAGCGTGCCATCGTCACCGTGAAGGTGTTGGACGGCGTACACCAATGACTGAGCAGCAAACAGGACACCGGCCATCAAAAGAAGGCCGGCCCGGAACGTGCTGGGGGAATAGTCCCCCGCCTTGTTGATAGTGTGACGCAACTTCGAAGCGGCAATCTTGCGGTTGCCGCGCTCAAAATAACGGGCGTACAGGTCCTCCGCCGCAGCCAGCAGGTTCTCGGTGACCTCGCTCTGAACAAACCACGACTTGTTGACCTTCTCAGACATATAACGCATGGCAGGACGCGCATTGATAGCCTTGTCGTATTTCTTATTGATCTTTCGGAAGGCGGTTCGGTTGAGGTAGGCGTACGCCTTCAGCAGCTCGACACCCCGGTAGTATTCCTGGAGCGCGTGCTTGAGCTTCCTTTTAGCGGAGCGATAAGAGACATCGGTGTTTGGCGGGTCTTCCGGTCGACGTGTGAAGTCCCGACGAGTCACGGTACGGTTAGGATCCTGTCCTTGCAGGGCTGCCGACGGGGTACCCAACTCCGCTAGGGCTTTGGAATTCTTTCCAAAATGGCGTCCAGCAAGAGCGTCCCGTATGCCGAAGCTAGTGATTCCACCAAATCCACCGAATGTGTGGGACTTTTGCGTCCCTTCCTTCTCAGGCCGGGCGTGTCTGGCTCCCAAGACTTCCTGAGTGCGTTGATCACGCATGATATGGAGTTGATGCCGGAGCACCTTGAGACGTTCTGCGGCCTCCTCTTCCTTCATCTGATAAAAGGACTCGATCTTGGTCAGCTCCTCGTCGAGAAAGCTGAAGAACTCGTCTTGTCGCTTTTCAAACTCGGAGGCGCCGTCTAGGGTTCCACGCTTCTCTGGTGCGTCCCAGTCCGGGTAGGACAGGACCCGCTGGAGAAGCGAGCCTCTCCTAGTCGTCGGGCCGGAGATCGTATTTCTCTTGGGCTCCTTATTCACGGTTAACTGGGGCGTCGAGGGGCTCTGACGGGCCATGCTCTTGGTCGCTGTCCGTGTGCTCGCATGGCGTGACATCACCGGAGACGGGCTTTCAGGCACACTGCTCCGCTCCGTATCTCTCTCGGACGAAAAATCATTCTCCTTGGGGTCAATTGCGGGATCTGGGAGTTGGAGGGAGGCGACGTCCGACGATGCAGCATTCAGCGGTGGGGAGGCGATAATACTTCCATAGCTTCCAACGACCCCAGAAAATCGAGACCCAGGTACCCGCAACGGCTGACGCTCGCTCCGACTAGAACCCGAGCGCGGCGAGCGCGGTGTGGGACCATTGCTTCTAACCGGCGTGGATGGGTTATGGGACGGATCATTGACCTCGAGCCTGCTACTGGTGCGTTGGAACGGGGAAGGGCGATCAGAACCGACGGGTCGCTCGAGCTGATCGCCGTGTACCGAAGTATGTCGCTGGAGGGAGGGATGACTGGGGCTTCGGGTTGCCTTTTGGAGGGATCGGGAAATCGCTTTCACCTTCTTCTTGCCGGTCTATGCAGCGAGATCGCCATTAGCATGGGGACTGCAGCAGGGAAAAGCAAGCATGGCAACGGGCATACTAACCTTATAGTCCAGATATTTGGCCCGCCATTCTGGAACGAGTTGCTGTTCCAGCTCCCTGTTCAGATTGAACGATTGGTTATTCTGGGCCTATTGGTTAAGCTGAGGTGGTTATAGGTAGAACTAACTTGGCGAATTTCATGGTGAGAAGACGGAGGTGTGGACAGGCATGATACTAGACAGAGCAAGCAAGCGACGGCTACCAGGTTATATGCAGGACGAGCGATCATCAGCGGCAAGGACCGGTGAGAGACAGCAGGGCCAGTGTCAATGCATGTGCTGTATGCGACGGCTCAAAAGTTTGCTGGACGGAGGCGTGGAAGGCCCCGAAAATCTCGCTGTTCAGGTCGAATCAAATGGTCCAATAGTCTGGGACCGGGGCGGTCATTCTCGAGATACGAACCGCACGAACCGGAGGGTGAAATGGAGCCAACCAGGACAGGCACAAGGGAAAAGCGAGAAAAAACAAACGAGGCCCCTCCCAACGAGAAAAACCTTGAAGCTTGATAGATCTCGTCATAGTGCGAGAGCTGATTCATGCCATTTGCGCCATCAACCCAATCGCCGGTCGAGGCGCCTGTGAGCCCGGCCGCCTGATAGGCCCGGAGCCTGCACGTGCTGCACGCGATGAGCTCATTTGCACACAGGGCTGCTACTTGGCATGAGGGTCTGCCCCTGCTGATTGGCTCGCCGTCCAGCCGGACTAATTATCCCGTTCGGTATTGGAACGACCGGCGGGCAGTCCGGCGGCCAGACCGCCTCGACGGATGGACATCCCGGGTGCCTTCCCTTTTCACGTCCATGGATGCGCCGTCCAGGTCGGGTAATTGCCCCTGTTGACCTTGGGACGGGAGAGGAAGGCGCTTTCCTGGCACGGCAAACAAGACGGCAAACAACAAAGACGCGAAAGCAGCACATCGGCGCATCTCGCGTTGATGGACGACCCTTGCCTACCGTCCACGCAAGATCCATCCTTGATAATCCGCGAGCCTTCCGGAAACGGGTGGAATCCTGCATATCCGTTCCCGGGGCAAGGCCGCGCGGTGTCGGTATCCATCTCAGATCCTCATAAATCTTCTACTGTTTGTTTGGGAATGATAGATAGGCGGTGCTTTGCTTTGCAAACTTGGTATTCATTTGGATATCAACAATCGTCCCGCAGGCGGGTTATTAAAGTACATGCAGACGAGGCCGTCCCATGGTTACTCGTTTCATTCCAACACTATCGTCATCGTATCAACCCCATCGATGGTCCAACCAGTTGGTCCAATCGCAGAGGTTTAGTGCCAGCCGCGGCCACCGGGACCGAAGCGGTCAGGGGGAGGGAAACGGCCGGGGTCGAACTCGGGGGCACCGTGCTGCTGCTCGTAGTGGTGCTCGTACATCTCCTGAGCGTTCTTCTTGGCATGGTGGTGAGCCTTCATCTTGTCGACCTCGTCCATGCCCTTGGTTTCGGCGAGCTTCTCGATCTCAGCGCCGACGAGGCCGGCAATGGCCTCCTTGGCGAAAGAGTGGCTGACGGTCTTGCCTATAAGTCCGGTGGGTTAGCGTGAGCACTCCACGTGGCGGGTCTCGTGTCGCATGCTTACCCTGCTTGCGCTGGTGGTCCTCGAAGAGCTTCATGGCCTCGAAGGAAGCGGCACCGGCGATAACCTGGTGGGAGAGGTGACCCTCGTGCTTCTGCTGCTCGCCGTACACCTCACGGTGAGCGTCGTCGGATTGTTCTATTGGAGACAATGTCAGTCACGGACCTCGATAGCTGCAGGAGATACGAGTTGAAAGACAGGGGTGCCTGGTCAGGCCAGATGGGAATGAACGTGCAGGATGATGACTTACCCCAGCCCCAGGCCATGGTGATTGATGTAAGTAAGAGAAGGTGAGAGATGTGGGAAGTAGTGGTTGATGATGAGAAGAAAAGATGTCGACAGGAGGGGACTGGGCCTCTTATATACGTGGTGCCTGGACAAGCCGACTCAGCCTCAGCCCTTAACCCTCAGCTTTCCTCGGCTGCTGCCCCTCCATCACCATCACCCGTGCCCCACTGCATCATCTCATGGAAATGGCTCGAAGGTTTGGGGCATAGGCTCCAGCCGGGTGGATCGAGGGAAGATCCCATCCAGTGAGTGGATTGGGGGCCACGCTGGCCGAAACTTCCTAAGGGGGCAGGCGAGACGTAGAATGGGATGTGATTGGAATAGGCCGTCGCTTAGACTCGCTGCAGATGCCGAAAATCGAGGAACGCGACTCGAAGATTGGCTACACCAAGCCACAGCCTCGTGGAGCGATGTGATGGGCGCGGAATTCCACTGGGGGAGGGGGAGGGGGAGGGGTAGCTAGATACTACTAGGTACTAGCGAGGTTGAAACCACGGGTTCCAGCCGGTAAGACGGATGGCGTGTCTCCGGCTGGAGTTGATGGTGAGCATCGATCGTGCCCCTCTTCTCCATCTTGCGGAGGGTGGCAGTGCTGCGCTATCCTAGAGTCCTTGTAGTATTTGCAGATTCACCATATAGATACTATATACAACACTCTTTGGATACTCGTGCATCGAAGAAGGGACAATTGAGACCGAGATCACCGGGATTTTCGCTGGAGCCTGCATACGTACGCGTCCCAGGGTCAGAGCAGAGGGCTGCTGGGCTCACTGGGTCAGAAATGGGGATCTCTCAGCCTTAAGTCTGGGCGAATCCATCTTGGCCGATTTAGCGCCTCAGCCACAGCATGCCCAGCCTTGGCGGGAGTAAAATGAGCCGGTGACCCGAGTTATCCTGGTGAGGTCAGGTCTTGGTGAGCTTGTCTGCTAGAGGTGCCTGGAACATGGCAGTTGACTGTCAGCCTGTCTGACTACTATAGTAGATAGATACTAGATAGATAGATAGATAGATAGGAGAAACTGTCAGACAGGAATATCGGCAGCTAAACCATTCCGGGCGGGGGGTCTTTCATCCCTCCAAGTCACATTAATCTGGAGGCCACCTAGTGTTCGTTCATTGGGTTCTATTTTGGGTCTGTTGACTGGACTGAGTGTTTGGTTGATGGGTTTTGGTTCTCGATGCAACCCCACTTGTGCCCGATCACCAAACCGAAGAAATCCGTCGTCGTAATTAATAGTTTGCCCCTCTTGTGGCGTGGTGGTGGTGGTGGTGGTCAGTGGTCCAGGTGGCGGTGTTTCTTACGTGATACGGATACGGTAGGAAAGGATGCTGACTGTGCTGTATGATGCAGTGCATGTCAGAGATAGATACATAGCATGTCCCGTCTTGCTACTAGATACGTACTTTCTAGGCTATAATACTCATGATATTATCACTCGTATAGATACGTAGTAGATATAGGTTTCATTTAGCGCTGGAGTGCGTAAAAATAGCATAGCGTGGCTTTCAGCTGAATAGTTCAGTTCAGCTGTATGCTATGGTTGATTGTTATCAATTAATTCTGCATCGTTTCTTCACATTGTCGTATACGTGCATGATGTTATGTATGGTCGTAGAGCATAGCATGAGGTATATGCATGTGGTATGCAGTAGACCAGTCCGCGCATAAATCAGAGTATCTACTCGATCGATCTAGGTATTAGATAAGTTTACTCTGTAGCACTCCTCAGATAACCTAGCGATGCCACTAATCCTAAATAGGTAATCAACTCATAGCTGAGCTCAAATCTTCACTTCATTACCATTCACCATATTCACAGAATAATACCTCATAAGGGTTTCTCTATACTTTGTTACCAACCATACACTACGGGATACAATCTTGCTTTCATCTATACTCACACCGTTTACGATCACCCCTACGAATGACCACAACAACAACAACCCAAGCATAACCTCACCACCACACCACAACCACACCACAACCTCCAACCACCACCAAAATGCCCTCCCAAACCCCAACCCCCCAACCCTCACCTCCTTCCCCCCACCTAACCCTAACCATCACCCCTCCCTCCCCCAAACCCCCTCTCCAAATACCACATCAAACCCCTCCCCCAACGTCCTCCTCCTCCTGCACCCCACCGGCGACACATCCACCAACCTCACCCCCCTCGCCGTGGCACTCAACCTCCCCGAAACCACAACCATCACACTCCAAGCACCCACGCCCCTCCCCTTCGACCTGGGGGGATTCCACTGGGGCGACGACATCACCTTTTCCCCGGACGGAGGCCTAGACATGGACGCTGGGTTTTCTCGCTCCGTGAAAGTCATCCACGAGGTGATTCGCGATGTATTGGTAAGGAAATGTGGGTATAAAGTGCGGGATGTGGTGATTTGGGGTTTGGGACAGGGGGGAATGGTGGGGTTGGAGGTTGCGAGGGTGTTGGCTTTGAAGGGGGTGGATGGTGGGGATAAGGATAAGGATGATGGGGAGAGATGTTTGGGGGGAGTGGTTTCGATTGGGGCGCCGGTTGGGTTGGATGGGGGGAGGAGTGGGAGTAGCTCTGGAGGTGGTGTTGGGAAGAGTAAAACGCCGGTGTTGATTGCGGCGGGGAAGGAAGGGGATGGGACGGCGGTTACGGCGGCGGGAGTGAGGAGGACTCAGGAGTGGTTTGAGTTTGTTGAGGTCGTGAGGTATAAAAGAAAGGGGGATGGGATGCCTAGGAATAGGGAGGAGATGACTCCCATCATGGCGTTTTTGGCCAGGAGGTTGAGGAGTTATAAGGGGGTTCCGGAGGGGAGTGTCGAGATTAGTTAGATGGATGATGGGTGGATGGATAGATGGATGGATATTGTAATGTACAGAATACTAGTAGCTACTACCAGGCTACTTACAGCTCCTTCAGAGCTTGTCGTGCCCGCTCGATTGTCTCTCTGGCTTTCTTGTCTGCTGGCACTTCCTCGACATACCCTCCTTCATGCACTGTGTCGCGCAGCTGGGTCTCGGTCTCCAGCAATGCTGTCCGACCCTCCTCGCGCACCTCGTTCTCGAACCAGTCTCGCGCCGACTCCCACTTGCGCTGCTGGCGTCGCAGCGAGTAGATCAATCCGATGGCGGCCATTGTGCATGTCTCGTAGACGCTGGCTGTTGGCAGCGAGATGTATGTCAGTGCGGACAGCGCCGAGGTGAGCGTCGTGGTCGACACACTGAACATCACCAGACGCTGCGCCAATGCCTGCAAGGACGGCACCGTCGACTCCAGCAGCCGGGACCGACTGGTCGGGATCTGAGCCGGCCAGGGCGTCTCATCCTTGGGGGTCTCGGTCAGCCCAGCCTGCTGGAACCGGCCGGCAGTCCAGATCACCTCCCTCTCGGCCTGACGCAGATACTTCCGGTCCAGGATCTCCGACGTGATCATGCCCATATCGTCCACATGCCAGAAGAGCTTCCACCACGCCAGTCCACGCCACGGCTTGCTGGCAAAGCCTTCCTCGAGCGAGCCGCGGAGCTCCGTGTGTGCTCGCTCCGCCCACGCAGACACAGATCGGTCGAGGACATCGCGAGTCTCCCAGCTCACAGCTCCAGCCTCCTGCTCCTGAAGTTTCTTCTTCTCCGCCGCCGTGGCACCCGCATCCGCCGCATCAAGAAGAGACGTGATCAACGTCCGCAAAGACGGATCCAGCATGCCTTCCTCCGCCCGCAGCGACGTCAACCAATCCACCACCGGCTGCACACCGCTACTATTCCAGCCGCGTTCATAGAGTGACGCATTCTGCACAGACTCACGAAACTTGGCCAGCGCGTCATCCGCCTTGTCAATATCCACAAACGCAACCCGGCCATTATACTTCTGCGGCTCCGTGACCGCCAGCTCAATAGCCCCGTAGACCGATCCAGCCTCTTTCTTCAAGTCCGACCGCGCCATCAATCCACTATACGCGAGGAATCCATCCACTCCACTGCCGCACACGATACTCCGATGCACCGGATACCGCACCATATTATGCCGTCCCGAATGCGACGTGCGGATCGTGACCGTAGGCACAAGGAACGTATCTGCCGTGAACTGAGCATCCGAAACCCCCGCCTCAGCTCCAAGGGTCGTAACAAGGATCTCCAAATTGCCTTTCTTCAGAATCGGCGACGGGACCGAAATCGTCGGAAGCAGGTCATTCGGAATAGTATCTGAGACTTCGCCGTACCTGCATCGTAGTCAGCCATCCCTTCCACGTCCACCTCTATCCACCGTATACACCAGATCCTAAACAAAAGATAATATCACCTACCGAATCAACAACCCCCTCTTCGTATCCTCCCCATACGCATCCAGCGCATCCTCCCAACTCTCCCTCTTATTCAACGGATCCGCCAACAACAACCGAACAAGTCTCCTTGCTGCCCTCGCATCATTCAACCCCAGAACTACATTCCAAGCATTAGCCTCATCCTCTACAACAAACCCACACCTCAAGAAATACAAAGGTAAACCCACCAGCAACCCTCACCAACGGCGTCTCCGTCTCCAAGCCTCTCAACGCAAGCTGCAACCGACTAAGATTCACCTGTTCCGTCGCAACATCCTTGACCTGATTCAAGGCCTCATGAAGCTCCTTCAATCTCGGGGGAACATGTCTGGTGTGGACGACGGGGGCGGTCGCGATGGTCCGGTGGGAGGTGGTGGTAGTGGTGGTGGGAAGTCGGCGACGCGTGGAAATGGATCGGCGCCAGAGAGTGCAGGATGGGCAGTAGAAAACCGATGCCGGGTCCTGGATCTGCGACAGGCTCTTTGGGAGCGAGCCGCGGAGTTTGGGAGGCATTGGCGGGTTTGAAGGGATGGGGTGGTCGGGGAAGAGGTGGTGGAGGCTCGCGCAGGGCCCGAGTTGAGCAGCCGGAGATGATTGATGGATTGTGTCGGGCGGGCTTGGCGCGGAGGTTAGGTTAGGAACTTGGGTTATTTTCAGTGGGACAACTACGCTGCTATGAATATTTGTGAGTAGGGCTGGATTGCTATTTTGATATTTAATGCTTAGAGTCAAATTAGGGTACGTTCGCATTATGGTCAATTGCAAGGTGGTCCGTTGGTCAGTTCTGCTGAAGTCTCATGCAAGGCGGATAATTACTCCAGATTAACCTATCAGCAAATTCATGGTGTATCGATTCATCAACTCATTGTCGAACGTCACGGACGTCGATTGCTGTGCAGGAATTACATGAAAGCCTCCTGTCACTCCATTATGCATACAGTATCTCTTCGCGACTGGTATAGAGGCCGCCCGTCGCTCTATACATGGAGCATGGCACCCCGAACTGCAGACCTCTGCAATGCCGTTCGAAGGAAGCTGGATCAATGGAGCTCCTACTTCCTCCACATGCTCAGGCTTCTCGAGAGTCCCGAGCACCGTCCCTTTGTCGCCGGGTCTTGCCCGATCCCGCCGACCTGACTCGTTAGCACAGGTCCTATATGGTTATAGAGTAGCCACTTACATGCTAATCCGTCTAGCCACGGTTGCCAATCCGGCATCGTTCTCCGCTTCATGATGGGCACGCTCCAGGGCAATGCGTCGATCTTCCTCGCTCCGCCGGAACACCTCCTCCTGCGACGGGGGCAGACGTTCGTTCTGCAAATCAACCTTACGGGCATCCTCGAAGTTGGTGATGGCCTGCTTGATACCCTCCGCTCCCAGCATCAGAGTACCCGCCGGGAGACGACCTCCAGCAGCGGTCTTGAGTTCAGTAACTCTCTCGGACTCTTCACGCAACACCTGGAACACACGCGACAGACGTCCAATGGCAAGAATCTTGTTCTTGATTGCCCGCCGCTTGAACTCGCTGGTCTCGACATCCATCTGCGCCGGGGGGGAGGGGGGTGCCGTAGGTGACACCGATGTGGGGGTATCGTCTTCGAGCTCCTCCTTGGAGCAGGTGTTGAGAATGGCAATGAGCATGTCCGTGATCTTCTCACCCACGAAGGGGAGGGACCAGGTGAACACGTCCATGAAGTTCGGGAGCCAGTACGGGTGCGGCGTGCAGTTGAACTGTCGGATGTTCATCACGTTATTCTCGTATTTCAAAACGGCAGCCTTGTTGTTGTAGACATCCAAGTAGTTGGGGGCGCTGAAGATAGTCATCACACTCGGAAATCCGGTCGTACGAGTCTTGCGGTACATGCGGTAACCAGCATCCTGGGCCTCGTGCGCCCGAATGATGGAAAGGAGGTTGTTCTTTTCGAGGAACGCGCACGCCGCGGGATATGAGAAGAAATACGAGCATCCGCGGACGCTGTTGTGAATGAAGTAATCGCCCGTCTTCTCCTGTCCAAACTCCTCCAGAGGATCGGCCCAAAGGATGTCGCACATCAGACCGTGAGTGGGGGGCTCCCTAAAGCGATCAATCTGTCGCACATCAGCCACTGCCACACAGTATAGCCAAGCAATAACCTACCGCCTTGATGTCTTCCAAAGTGTGCAGCTCCGGGCTGAGACCTCCGTGGATACAGAGGAATTGCTTGTTCATGACCGCCGCCAGCGGCAACGAGCAGAAAGATTCGATGCATGCCTCATAGATGCGCTCGCTGTACTTGTGTTTGCACTCCAGCTTAAAGGTGAAGTAATCCGTCAAGTGTCTACATTCGTGGTTACCCCGCAGCAACCAGAGGGTATTCGGATACCAGATCTTCAGAGCCCAGAGATACAGGACACACTGTTCCGAGTCAGTGGGAATCATCAGACAGAAGCGACCGACCAACCTCAATACTGAAATAACCTCTATCCACATAGTCGCCGAGGAACAGATACCGGGTCTCGGAGGGGTCTCCACCGACTTCGAAGAGCTTCATTAGATCGTAATATTGTCCGTGAACATCGCCACACACGGTGATGGGCGCATCCATCTCCAGCAGGTTGGGCTCGGCCCTGAGCAGCTGGGTACCGGCCTGTATGATCCATAGCGCCTGATCTTCGGTGAGGCGGCCTTCGCGGTAGAAGTGCTGCTTGAGGAACTGGAGGTTGGGCTTGGAAGGGTCTTCACGAGACCAGAACAGGTCGTCCGGCGGGGTGTTCAACGCCGGCGCTTGCACCTCTGGAGGATCGCCGGCTATTAGAGAGACCATCTAAAAGGTAAAAATACAGGGGGAGATCGCCGCGGTACCTTTGATCACTCGCTCCTGGGTGGACACCTGAGTGCCATCTTCCATAACATGTAACGTAAAGTCGATCTCCGGGACCGGCTTTTTTTCCGTCACCGCACGCGCGATGGTGCGATCCATGGTGGCTAGAAGTGCGAAGAGGACGCAGGTCTTGGATCTGGGGAAATCGCAAGAACTTTGTGCCCCGGGGGGATACGAGGAGGCGAGAAAAGGGGAAGAGCAGCAGAGCGGAGGCCAGTTGTTGGTGGGGGGTTAAGCGGCGGCGGGATGGATTCACACGCGAGACAAGCGGAGGTCTGTCTAGTGCCGAGCTGGAACGAGCTGGACGTCACCTAGGGCCTGCGAGGGGCGAGATGAGGGGACAGGGACAGTCCAGGCGATTAGGGGAAGCGAGAGGATCAAAATTTGAGGGGAAAAGAGAGAAGAGGAGAGGGCCGAGAAGAGCGATGGACAGCGCCGGGCAGTGCAACCCAAATAGGAGATGGTCACTTCAGCTATCTTCTGGCTTGACGGGGGCCAACCTCGAGGCTGAACCTGAATATTGAGGCCCTGCGCGTGAGCTGACGCCGGCTTCTGCAGAGTGCCAGAGAGCCGCTAGGAAAAAGACTCGGGAGCTAGCAGGACAATTAATTAAGGCTCCTTCATTCGGTCCCATGAATGAAAGCAATCAATCAATCAATCAATCAATCAATGCATGGCTCCATTGATTCTTGAGTTGCTCGACGTCAGACCAACCGTAATTACCGTAATTCTCAGCCGGCCCATCATTACCGGATAGTTACCGTCGGTTACAGTCCCTGTAATCTATTACGCCGCGGGGACTCTCCATCTCCGTCTCCTCTCTTGTATCTCTCCTCTCTCCTCTCTCTTTCTCTCTTTCTCAACTGTGTATCTCCATCTACTCCCCCTCTTTATTCACCATGTACGAATCCTACCGTAAGTGACTTTCCTCTTCTGCTTGTCTCCCACTGACATCATTAGGCCCCCATCCCCTCCTGGCCCAGGTCCCCTTGACCGTCTCCCCGTTCATCAACCTCCCCACTTCCGTCACTCTCCCCTACACCTACAAGTCCGTCCCCTCGACTCTTCCCCCCTCCGTAACCGTCGACCCCAGTAACCCCGACGCCAAACCTCGCTACGTTGTCTCGCCCAGTGGTGAGCACGCCGCCTCCCCAGAGGAGATCCTCGCCTCCTGCAACTCCCTCGAGCAGCACCTGAACAAGACCCGCAGTGACGCCGAGAAAGCGATTCAGGGCTGGGAGGACTCCATCACCCAGCGCGATCTAGCAGAAAAGAGGCGTGTTGCTCCGGGATGGCTAGACAGAGACGAGAAGATACTTCAACCCCTCCAGCCAAGTAATGCGACGTCTGCACACAGTCAACCCCAACTGAGTCTCCTGGACAGCTCTTTCTCCGACCCCAGCGCGGCCGCATTGCCCTCAATGGTGCCGCGCGATGAGGGTGAGGAGCTGGATCGAGCATTTGGCGGCCTGGACGTGAAATGAGAGGCTGGATATGATCTGGAATACAATCCTTGGGACTCACGGGAGGCCTTGAATTGATCCCTACCGCGGGAGACCGCAGGTGTCTGCAATGGCCCCTTACTTTAGCGGGTTAGCACACTCATCCCAGGCTGCGACAGTCCAAGCTTGCGCACTGCATACTGCAAGAGATCCCAGGTGCAGGGCTTTACATCCGGACTACCTAGCTGGGCGGCAGTCCGCAGTAGTCCACTGCGCCAGACGAGGGATAGCCATGTTTGGTACCACCTGAACATAGCAGACCAGGATATCGATTAAGCTTAGAAGATCTAGAAGTCAATCAAGTAACACTGCCTATTTACGCTCGCATAAAGTTTCCGCAGGGTACCGAAAGGAGGGATCGGAGTAAAGCACCCGACCCGCCGCGGATATCAATCAGCACCACCGCAGCTATCCACAATCTAGCTCTGCTCCGCCAAAGCTTCTTCCTTCCTCCACCACCACCAACTTCTCTCCAACTCCACACCCACCACCTCTCAACCTCACCACCACTACCACTACAACCAACCAACCCAAACCCTCAAAATGGAACCCCTAACCACACCCCCCGACACAACAACCTTCATCCCCCTCGCCGAACACCAATCCCGCACCCCCAGCTCCTTCCACTCCGGCCCAGCAGTCCTGTACTCCCACCACCAAAACTGCAAGTTGGTCATCCTTGAGCGCGATCTCCTCGCCGTCCCAGCCCTGGGTGCTCTGCGCGACTCCCCTGCCACCGCAAACGGCACCTCTACCACGACCAGCGACGAAGAAACTGAAGTCGTCATCCAGGGCGTGAACGTCTGGGTTACGTCTGAGTGAGTTCCCCCTCCCACAACCCCCAACCATCCCCAAACACCCCATAACAACCCTCTCTAACAATCCTAACCACGACAACAGAAAATTCCTCCTCCACAACCCCACCACCAACACCGGCCTCTCAATCCCTTACCCCACCATCCATCTGCACGCCATCCAACGTCTCCAACTCCCCTCATCCCCCGGGGAAGAAGTCCAGGGATTATACATGCAACTCGCCCATCCCTCACCCCAAAACTACACTTCCGGCGACGACGAAGAAGAAATCCTAACGATTACTATCGTTCCTGGCCCCGCCACCCAGTCCCAAGAAGAAGAAGACGAGAAAGACGAAACGCCTACGCAGACCCTCTACGCGGCTGTATCGGCTTGCTCGAATTTGCACCCGGATCCGGTGGAGCCTGGGGATGAGGACGAGGATGATGAAGAAGAGGGTGGTTTGTTGCAGACGGGATTAGTCTCTATGGGAAGTACCGAGGCTGGTGGATTGCCGCCACCCGTAGAAGGGAGTTCGGGGTGGATTACGGCGGAGAATATGCATGAGTTTTTTGATGAGGAGGGGAATTGGATTGCGGGTGGGGAGGAGCCGAATTTGTCGTTGGGGCCCGGAGCTGGGACGGTCAGGCACAGGGAGGATGGGGAGGAAGGTGGAGAGGGAGAGGGGTGAATGGGGAGGGGGAGAGTGAGGAGACGAAGTGGAGAAGGACGGAGTAGGGTTTGTTCTGGATATTTAATGATAGATGATATCCGACGCTTAAAAGTTGCTTCACAAGGTGATTGGTTGAGGTCTCGCCAAGATTACATTATTTTGAATTACCCTACCTACGCTTATCTTTACAGTGAATAGTAGACACGCCCGCATGCTAACCAAGCAAAGGAGAAAGAAACGAACACCGGACCACTCCGGAACAGCACAGCCTACTCCTTCAGAAACCCATCACCATCATACAAGCTCGCCGGTGTCGCAGCGCCTATCCCCAACCCAACTGGCTTTTTCGTCGGAGTGCGAAACCCTTGTCGGGCAGCGTAGTTTGGGTTTCCTGGCGATTTGTCCGCCGGCCCATGGCACTTGGCCCGTGGTGGCTTGCCTTGACTCCCAGATGACTCGCTGGTCGCGACTGAAGACTGGCGTGCCCCTTTACGTCCCGAAGCCTTGTCTTCCCAAATGGGGACGATGATCCCACCGTTCGCGAGCGGCGGCTTTGACACGCCAGACGATGAGCGCCGGTGATGTCCCGGCGTCTGTCTGGTCGACGGCGCGTCATTTCGACCGGGATGCCCATGAGGACCCTGGTTCCGTGGGCCTACTAGATGTTTGGTTCGCGGAGATGGTTCAGCTACACTTCGTGGCTCCTTCCTCAGGTTTTGAGGGCGCTGGGGACGCGTGGATGGGCTTAATGGCGTCTTGACAGTATCCTCAAGCGTATTCAACGAGCGGTAGCTGTTGCGTGCTGCCGACTTCGGCGGTGGGTGACGAGGCCCTTTAACGGCAGACCGACGGGGGCTGCCAGGGTTTGAAGAGTTCTCAAACCCCGTCGGCGAGCTGTTGTAGTTCGGAATCATCCAAACCGGGCTGTTCTTCTCCGGAGACGGCGTACTCGACAAAGTGGTATCAATCTTGGGGGGCGGTAGGGTCGTGATGATCTCCGGCAATGACTTCTCGAGGTCCATGATATGCAGAGTGCTATCTGTGGCGTCGGCGGGCAGATTCGATCTTCGCTTCGGCGGTCCCACCTGCGAGTTGCGCGACGGCTCATCGGGTATCTCCGTAATTCGTGGATGTTCCTTGTGAAGATCCGGATGCGCGGTTCTGTCCATGCAAAGGCTGGAAACACTGGAGCGAAATGATATCTGAGGCGTAGATACATTGGAGAGCTGTCTCCGGCTCGCATCAAACCCCTCGAGCTCTGGCTCCTCGGCCATTGGGGAGAAAACAGAGCCCCCGAAGGTGATGGGTGGATGGATCGAGATCCGGACACAGTTCTGCCGTCGGTGGCCTTTACGCGTACCGCTGCCACCCTTGAGTGCAGAAGGCAGAGGTGGTTTTAAATGGCCAGTCGGGCCCTGCAGAGGAGCTTCCTGAATCCCCGCACTGGCGGGCCTCGGTCGGGAGATATGGTCGTTGGCCGTGGCGGCATTTCCCGTCGCACTGTAGAAAGGATCGAGATCTCGTCGCTGGTCACCATGCATGGTATGCCGCTGCATCTGGCTGAAGTGCGGCAACAAGCCTCCATTCGATCCGATAGGGTTGAGCGAAGGGGGCCGGCTCAGATCCAGAGGTTTCACCCACAGAGATGAGTCCCTTCTGGACTTGGTTTCAGAGAGAGACTCGCTCCGTCGCGGCGTTGGGCTGATACGTTCCATCGAATGGGTCGGGCTCCGCGTGGTCATGCTCCGACGAGGAGAGGTGCGGTCCGGTTCGAGCCTTTGTCCCTCCCACATGGCGCTCGAACTTGCAGGGAAAACAAATGGAGATGGCACGACTGGGCCAGGCGGGGCAAAGGCTCTTCGATCGTATTCCATCCGCCCGACATCGTTGGCATCAAACGGGGCGAACGTGGGACATGGGGGTAACGCTGGCGAGGTAAACGTGCTATCCACATTGGTCGACGTCCGGCGGCTATCGTCGAGAATGGAGCTGTCGGCGGTTTCGAGACTTAGTGATGAAAGACAGGTTGAGTCATTCTTCGAAAGACGAAAGCGATTTGGGGGATAGGCACATGGCGGCGGAGGGACCGGCTGCTCGGGGGCAGCTCCGGACGACTGAGTAGTGATGCTTCCTCCTCGGAGCCCACTACTACTATAGGGTGGACCGTCTGGCTTATCCTCCATGAGCGGATACAGACTGCCAGACCGCTCCTTCTGGTGCATCAATGGCCATGCTCCGGCTCCCGAAACTGGCCGCATGGTCAAATTCGCTCGGATCTGCTCCTCTTCCCGGTCGGGAGTATGTCTGGGGGTGGTCTCCGTTGCCAACTCGAATGCCCCCTCGACAGCGGAGTTGGTCACACCGTCATCGATGCCAGAGACGGTCGGCGAAGCGGACTGGCGTTTCTCGGATCGCTCTGTCAGCGGGGACAATGAACTGAGACGCTGGGACCCTAGGAGGTGTCTTGACAGTCGCGCTGATCGGCTGGAAAGGGACCGAGTGAGTGAACGGCGCACATCACGGGCCTTCTCCTCCAAAGGAGACGACGTGTCGGACTCTATCGGAGATTGAATTAGACTCTCTCGAGACGAGAGCACTCCCCATTCGGACGGCTTTCCGTATGGAAGCTGCCCATACTGTCGTAACGCGGTGCCCTCTTCGCGTGATAGTTCCGTCAACGTCTCGCCATGATACTGCTGCAGAGCATATCCATTATGCTTCGCGTTGGCCACAGCCAACGACAAGCGATCCTGACGGACTCTGATCCAAATGACCGTGCCAACTATCGCTGAAACAATGAAGATGACGGAGCAGCTGACGGCTATCGCTATCACCGTGGTCAAAGGCGGCATTGTTGTTTCTTCCAGCTATCGATGCGAGAGCTCACCACCCTATATTGTTGACGTAGGACGTGTTAACCCATGCACTCGAGCCGCTGCCTATCCTGCTGTCTGGAGGTCGATGCCAGTTTCGTGTTAGATCCGGGCGACATTCAAGAGGGCTGATGACAGGCAATAGTAGCAACCGCAAGCCACGAAAACGCCAGCACAGAGGAGCATAAGACAAGCAGGTCCATGATGGATGGGAGGAGGCGCGCTCGTGAGGGGAGCATTGCGTTTGTTATGGCAGCCGGCTGGAGCACCGGAATGCGGTAGCATTATTGTCGGGTACGCGAGGAATGCTGCCAGGACACCTCTCTTTCACCCTACATAGTAGTAGATATTAGCTCACGAGGAAGGATCCTCAATCAAACCGTATCCAGCTTTGAGGATTCCTGAAATGTTTGAATCCGATGGATGCCTCGGGAAATGACCGCCGCCAAGGTGAGGTAGATCTACAGTAGCGTCCCATCGGACTGATAACTAGAAGAATGTCAGCGACACGGTGGAAATTGAGCAGCCTGTTCCTTGGATCTGAGAGCGTCCCAGATTCCAGTGACCGTTTGCCATGGAGGACAAGAAGATATCGTGGTAGCACCATCAGCCACTACAAGTACCTAACCTCCCGGCCTGTCATTAGGGGTGATTGCGGGGATTCCAGCGTCGTAGCATGCCATTTCACACTGCATGCAGGCTGCATTTCGGGTCCGAGCCGGGCTGGACAGCTCTGACAGGAGACTTGCATTAGCGATAAACTCTGTGTGTCTGATGAGGTGAAAGTGAGAGTTGAAGTGGAGGAGACGGGAAGTACAAGCGGAGTAAAGAGTCTGGAGTAGAAGACGAGCGAACGGGGGGGGGCGGAAACCTTCCCAATCAGGCAGAAACTGTCACGGGGTCGGGAACCGGAGACTTGCCTAATTGGGTAGCGGCTGTCCCAGCCGGTTCCGCCGGTTGTACACCTCTCTGTGGATGATAATACCTGCAATCTATTGACCTACGTGGTCCTCAGTGGGGTAAATAATTCCCTAGAGATATCCTATCCATATCCATTCGGACTGTCGGTCCCCAGCAACCTAGCAACGTCTACTATTCAGTCAAGGACAGCCCGATGATGGCACCGATGGATTTCCTGTGCGATAAGGGAAGCTAATGCTGCACAAGCAAACTATGGCGGTCAACCCACACCCGTTCGCAGTCAATAGTCTGTATGGCTCTTAGGCTTCCAGACTTAGGTCCTCTGGGCGCTTAGCGTCATTGGAACCCACCGGCGAGAAGCTACCTGTGCAGTGGATGCAGTGCGTGGCCAGTCGGAGCAGCTATTCAACCCGGGATAACGCGAGTCCAGAGCAACTCCAAATCCGAAGAAGACGATGGCAGACCCCTCCCGAGTGGGGTAGCTTTACTGTTGTGCTGTATATCTAAGCTCTGCCTGGTCAACATATAAAGACCGTCTGCCGCCTAGTTGATTCGTCTTGCATCTAAACACACTCTCTCATTCTACCCCTCTTTCCTCGCATTGAACTTTATCTCTGCTTTTCCTCGACAATCACTATGGCTGCCAGCCCCGTACAGAATGGACTCTTCGTCCACGAGAACACTGCCGCTCCCGCCCACCCCAGCTTGCTGAGCATGTTCTCCCTCAAGGGCAAGACGGCCATTGTTACAGGCGCCGGTGCGGGCATCGGTCTGGCCGTGGCCCATGGCCTGGCTGAAGCCGGTGCCAACGTGGCCCTGTGGTATAGTTCAAACAGCAGTTGCAACGAGCGAGCGGCCGAAATTGCCTCCAAGTACGGTGTCCAGAGTCAGTGGCCCTCGGACCCCTCCCCACCTGCGGCAGGATATGGTTTACTAATTCCGTCCAGCCAAGGCTTACAAGGTCGAGATCACCAACGCAGATGCTGTAAAGGCGGCCGTCGATCAGGTTGTGCAGGACTTTAACGGCCGACTGGATGTTTTCATCGCCAATGCCGGTATTCCCTGGACTAAGGGTCCCATGGTCGACGGCCCGCTGGATCACTACTCGAGCGTTGTTGACATTGATTTGAATGGCACCTTTTATTGCGCCAGAGCGGCGGCAGCTCACTGGAGGAGACAGAAGGAGGAGGGCACCGACATCAACGGCAAGAAGCTAGACAACTTCACCTATGGCAGCTTTGTGGCCACCGCTTCCATGAGCGGTCACATTGTCAACGTCCCTCAATTGCAATCGGCATACAATGCTGCTAAAGCGGCTGTCATCCATCTTTGTAAGTGATCCACTGAGTAGATTAGATTAGGTCTGTGTGCCGAGTACTAATCCGACATACAGGCAAGTCGCTGGCCGTCGAATGGGTGCGGTTCGCGCGCGCCAACACCATCTCCCCGGGATACATCGCAACTGAAATCTCCAACTTTGTGCCGGCCGAGACCAAGAGCATCTGGAAGGATAAGATCCCGATGGGACGTGAGGGACAACCGGAGGAGCTCAAGGGAGCATACCTGTATCTGGCATCAGATGCATCCAGCTACACGACTGGAGCGGACATTGTGGTTGACGGTGGATACTGCGCTCCATGAATACCATGGATCTCTGAAGTATATAGAATCGCCCTTCCATATTCAACAAATACTACAATAGACTATTTCCTGCCACTTACACGACAATCCTAACCCTAGTCCAATAACTGGAACCCCGTGGCGCCCTAGACCAAGCCACCACCAACTATGCAGAAACCGACATCGTGGCTTGCAGGTCGAAGACTAAGTTGCAGGGCTTAAATTCCTCGGGATCGGCGATTCCTTGGCCGCCATCGCGTGACACAACCCCTCCAGGCCTCTATCCCACCTCTCCAGTTCTCCCTAATTAATCCCCTCATATATTACTATTAACGTGACCCCTCCTATCATCCTCGTATTCATTCCTCCTTCCTTCCCTTTTTTACACCTACGTCATACACAAACAAGCAAACAAGTAAGCAGGCTCTTAGATTGATACCATATAGTTAAAAAGACCTTTCATCCCGAACATACTCCACCATCCAATCCACCAGCGAAACCACTATTCTATCCATCCATCCCTTATTCTCCTCTTCAAGGGAATCTCGTATAACGGGGGAAACAACCGGTGACGGCGGTTCCAGAATCCCCTTGTAGATGATGGAGGTATCCGGGTCGAAGTATTTGGTCAGCGGTGTTTCGGGGATATTACTTTCTCTGTGGGATTTAGTTGGTTAGTTAGTGGATGGGCAAGTAAGGTAGATGTGGGGAGGGGTATTATCCATACCGATGAGTATTACTATATTCTGGTTCGTTGCTTGGTAACCGGGTATAATTCTCTGCTGCTGCTGCTGGCTTGGGACGCGAGAATAAAACGGAGAGGATAGATTTGCGATGGCGAATGAGGAGGAAGAGGAGGGAGATAAGGAGGGAGATTATGGGGATGAGGGGGAGCATTATCATGTTCTGTTGTGCTGGTGTTTGTAGTAGTAGAGCAGCCGGTAGTTTGACTAGGTAGAGTATATGTAGACATGACTGTATATAAGTAAAACAAAACATGCAATAGATACAAACTGACGCTGCTGCTGTGTTACCAACATAAAGCCCTACGTTTCCTCCCTCCTTTGCACTCTTTGCACTCTTTGTACTCTCCCTACGGAGTAATTAGTCTGTCATTCACTCTGTACATTTCTGTACTCCGTACAACCAACAAAATATATACTACAAAGATAGTGTACTACACCCGTCCCAACACACTCACCTGACCTTACCCCCCCCCCCCCCACCCCCCCCACCCAACACTAACAACAATACTAATGGTAATCACTTGACTCCCCCACTGAAAACCACCTGAGTCCATCACATCACATCACATCACATCATTCCTATTAAACCCAGATCAGATTCTCTTATCTTAAACGCCCAGTGATCTCATCCAACTAACTGACCCCATCACACTTGAATCTTGTATCATGTGCCCGGATGTAGTTATGTATACAAGAGTAACGAACCATATATTTCTTATCGTTGAGTACATTACGCTGCTTATAAGAAAGGAAGAGGAAGTTTGAATAGGTTAGTGGGGATGTATAGTATATAATAGACTCTTTGTCTTGTTTTATTTTGCTTCGCTTTTTGGTGGGAATGAAACTATGTAGTACTATCATCTCATATGTTCTTCCGATATATATTATCTGAGAAGAATAAGACCCGAACATACTACTAAAAATGCCCCACGCTACTCCTCCCCACCCCCCGCACCCCTCCAAAGACGAAGAACTAGAACTAGTACGTCCACCTCCCCACCCCCATCAACTCCCCAAATCCACACACAAACATACCTAATAAAAAAAAACAGACCACATCCCTCCACGAAGCCCTAACCTGCACCACCTGCGCCATAACGCACATCCCCAAGAGCATATTCCACCAAGACCTAACAACCGGCATCTACAACCAAACCCGATACCCACCATTCCAACTCCCCAGCAGCTCTTGGAACCAAAGCGAGAAAGAAACCGACTGTATAGCACCTGAAGAACTACCCCCATCACCCACCACCAAACCCAATACACAAATACAACTAAACCCCCACCAGCACCAGCACCACCCCCTCTACAAAGCCCAGTTCCAAACCTACCTATCCCACGACCCTACCCACGATGAAGCCTTCGCGCAATACCTCACGGACTATCATATCCATGTACATTATCTCCTACGACGCGGGGTGTTGGGGTTTTGTCGGGACGTGAAGGATGTGTATGAGATGAAGGCGTGGAGGGGGAGAGTGCATGAGGTTGATTCCGGGGTAGGGTGGCAGCAACCTCGGTCGAGGATGGGGTGGGTGGATGATGGGAATTTGATGATGGTGTATCAGATGGCGTTGTGGAGGAAACGGGGGTTGGGGAGGCAGAAGAGGGTGGAGGAGAGTAGGGCTAAATGGGCGGGGATTATGGAGGAGAGGAGGAGACAGAGGTTGAAATTGAGATTGAAACAGAGTAGTGGTGTTAGGGTTAGGTTGTATTGTTCGCAGGTGGGAGGGGATCGGTGTTTGTTGAGGGAGGTGGAGGTGGAGGTGGATGGATGAGGGGGTTGGATAGGATTATGGGTGTGGGTTTGTTGTACATTGTTCATCTCATTTCTGGAATAGAAGGTATGGAAGGTGAGGCGATGGAATGATATCGTGTCATATTGTCGCGTCCCACCGCCTGCCTTGCTTCTTACCACTGGCACTGCAATCATATTTATCATTTCCATATCTCCATTGAGCATGTATGTGCATATCCAATATGCTATTCCACAGACATGCAATCATCCGGGTCATAATACCCCCCAGAGGGCCGCATCCCAAAAAGCATCGCTTCAATCGCTTCATGTCCTTCATACTCGTCCTCCCCGTCCAGTGCCTCTTCTTCTCCCATAGCATCCCGCGCTGTAAGCCGGGACACCATTTTCTGGTTGACACGATAGTATGAAAGCATCTCGGTTGTCACGGTCCGTGCCGGTAGCGTACTCGTTTTAATCTGACAGAGTACCTCTCCAAAGGCGTGGATCACGAAGCCAAACCGGGGATGCTTGAAATATGTGTACGATGCCAACACGCGGAGCCATTCATCTCGACTGTGTTGCCACACCTGGATCAACGGATGATTGCCAGAAGGAGGCGGAATGGCTCGAGCCTCATCAGCAGCCTCCAGAGTGAGAGGCGAGAACGAGTTTTGACCCCCCTGCAGAGAGCTACTCCATCGATCATAGAATCCCTCAATCTTCTTCGACATTTCTTGGACGGCGGTGTATAGTTCCCCGCTGCCGTTCCGGTCTAATTGAACCTTCTCCCGCAGCGTCTGCCATGGCCGTACGAGATCTTCATCTTTGCTGGGGGATGCCTCGTTTTCTGGGAATGCTTCCTCTAGCTTAGTCAGCATCTTGCGCTGCTCGTCACGTGCTATCTCGAATCGAAGATAGTCGATGATATTCGTCTTTTTGTGTCGCCGCGTCGGATTCTTATATGCGGGCAGTTCTCGCACCCTGGGACTAATCCTCTTGCGATATTGCCGCCAGGATTGCTCCGATAGGTGCACGCCTCCTTTGCGGCCATCGACCAAGTGATTCAGGAGACAAGCTAGTTCCTTCGCCTTATCCGAGTCAATCGACTCGTCGTAGGCGATCTTTTCATGCTCCACTGTGCAGCGCCCTAGGTTTGACAGTGTCAAATTGAACGTGAATGCGCTCTGGAGGAACTCATCCATGGATTCGATCTCCCGCATGGGCACGGAATGCTTCGTAAGGCCATAATGCTCCGGTGGAAACTCGTGACTCGGCAGGTCTGTATTGTAGAAGTTGTGGACGATATTCTGGTCCCAGCAGACCCACGGGGTATCCCCGTCGTAGTCGCCACCAGACAGCATATGCGCCAAAGGAATATCCCCTGTGCTGGGAAAGACAATCACATCCTTGAAATGTCGAAGCTCAGGTTTCCACACAGCTCGCCGACGTTGGATATCAGAAGGGAGATGGGCGGGAAGACGGCCGACGAGAACGTCCACCCCATCGAGTAAGTTGTCTTCGAATTGTCCATTGCCGTCGCGCCAGTTATTGGAAAAGCCAAAGTGAACTTCATCCGGCTTCAACACACTGTAGGGATCCGCAATACAGAAGGCGTATGTGGAAAGGGGCACCTCAATGTGGAGTTCATCGACATAACGGTTGAGTAACTCTCGGAGGCATTTTCCAAGTCGCTTGCGAAGCGGATAGAAGCTCCGGGGACCAAAGCCAGCTTCGGTGAGCCGGATGATAAACTCCGCATCATTACTCATCCACTGTTCAAAGCGCCAGGCCTTTTGTGACATCAGTCCCAAGCCATCGTCCCCTGATGGCCGGATCTTCTGGACCAGGCTCCGACAGAGCACCGGGCTATCTGACTTGAGAACCTCCGCAAAGTCTTGGTAGACCGATCGAATTCCTAGCCGAGTCAGGTCGGCAATGTGCTCTTTGACGTGCCCGCCGTGTTCCAAGATGGCCAACAGCTGGGTGTTCAAAGCCACGGGGTGTAATGGTTTCGACCACTTGACAACCTCAAAGGTCAGCTGCTCATCGTCCACAGGCTCCTGCCAGACGTGTGGATGGGGTTTGATCTTCAACTGCGAGTCCGAGATTTGAATCCAGATGTCCTCCCCGCCAGCGGAGATCTGGGACTGGTGCCGATCGACCATCCATAACCCCTTGGCCCCGGCAATTCGACCCTGAAAGGCGCTGGGAGTATTCCCTGTCAGACCTAGTGAGTCGCAGATCTGGTTGGCCAGGCCCCGGGACATTAAAGCACAGCCGTCGTTCATCACCGGACGATTGGACTCATCGGGCAACGGTAGGACCTGATGCGGTCTCAAGATCACAGTAGCAAACGTTTTCGAGAGGCCTAGTGAGAAGCGCTGGAACAGCTTGCAATTAGACTGGCTACGGTTTGCTTCTTGAGGCATGTGCCAGTCAATCAATGCATCCAGGCTCATGGGAGTATGGCTACCACTGTCCTGGCCGGGAGGAGCAACCGAAGAGACCGGGTGTGCACCGTGATCGAAATCAATACCATCAATAGCAAAGAAATCGACTCGAAATCTGCGTTCGGACTTGATCTTGCGTTTAGATTCGACCTCTTCCACAAAAAAGGGTTTCCACACCCTTCCCAAGCATCGGTGGACATTCTGTGTCAGCCATAAAGCCAAGGACTCACGCAAAAGGGTGGGTTGAGAGGTCAATCGAGGATGCGGTGGTGGCCGCGCTGGGGCGGGCATGGTCAGGCTGAGAAATCTATCGGATCCAAACCGACGGTGGAAGCGGCAGGTCCTTTCAGTCTTCAAAGGATTCAGCCTCAATTTGAAGATTCCCTTTTCGGATTCACCACACCAATCCAGATCTCCCGTGAGAGCCACCACTTCCGAGTGTTTGTCGGTCTTAAAGCTGCCAGTAGCCGCCTCCCAAGCCTTGCGAGAGGGCTTCTCGGGAAGCCGCTTCCCTTGCCGTTGATTGTGGCCCCCTATCCATCCCCAGAAGTCGTCCAACGTCTTGAAAGAGATGCTGGAGCCAACGAGCATGCGATCCAAGGATATATCCCAGGCTCTAGCCACCCTTTCTAGCTCATATCGATACCGAAAGGGGACGGAGCTCGGGTATTGGTGATCGAGTGAGAACGGTCCGTGGTGGAGCAGGTCTTCCATGATGTATCCTTCATCCGAGTATACGGGCTCCTGGAGAGCAAAGGCATTCGGGGCTTGCTGTTCTTCGAACGTTGTGGTTCCTTGGCTCAGTAAATGCCCCACCACAGAGTCCTCATACATGGATTCAGAATCCAGAAGTGGTTCAGTGGCTTCGGTAACGGTCGACGTAAACGAGGTATCATAACGGCCGTTGTTGGAATAAAGGAAAGCCGAAGACGCCTCGGTCGTGGAAAAGCTGAAGTTTGCACCATTGTGCGCAGCAGGCATCGCCTCATAGCGTGGGTAACTGTCAGATGCCGTCAGGCGTTCCACGAACCGAGACGGCTTCTTCGTCATGTCCGTTGTCTTAGGGCTTTTGAAGATATGGACCGGGACAATGGTGGTGGGCTGTAAATCCATGGCATGTCCAATGTCGAGATTGCAGACCTTTCCTCTATCCATGGGAGTACCCGCCCTGTCTGGATCTTTGACAGGAGAGTTTGGAGCGGTATGGAATTCTTCCTCCTCCTCCACCGAGAGCCTCCTCTTCAGCGACCTGCCCGTTATAGCTGGATGCTCGGCTGAAAGCCCGTCATCGCCCTTGAAAGCCGAGAAGGAGCCTTTGTTGAGCAGATACAATTCATCATCGATCAGCCCTACTAGGTAGGTTAGGCGCTCCTGTCTCTCATGTTGCGAGATTCTCCTGCCTCCATGGCCGGTCAAGGAATCTCTCCCGAAGGAGCCTGAGAATGAACCCGGGATATGCCCGTACCGACTACCCCCGACAATCTGGGTCGTTGACTGGGAAAGGACCCATTCCTCAAAATTGTTGAGGATGCGGTTCAGATCCACGCTGCGATCAAAGTAAAGCCGCTGGATTCGACGATAGATGCCCCATGAGAGTGATTTGTCGTTCCTCCCCACCGACGGCGAGTACAACCGGGGGTTGGGGATGTCCAGATCAAACTGCTCATTGATCAGATCGATCAGCTGGCTTAACTCCGGCCCGGACCTGACCGGAGTACGGGGAAAGACCATGGCCCCGGCGTGGGTGGCGAACGGCGCTCTCTCTCGTTTGGAATCCAGTCCTGGCCAGTTCTAGTTCCAGTTCCAGTTCCTCGGTTGGTTGTGGCGCAATTGAGTGGTGCGTCCTCGGGAGTCGATCGAGCGCTGGAATCCCCACCTATTTTTATCGCGGCGTAAACAAACGGGGGGCTCATCAAATTCGACCGCCGGCCATCTCTCCATCATGCACAGGAAACGGTCACGTTTGGGGTCGGCGGGAGGAAGACAGCCTCAGACGGTCAAGCAAACAAGGATTGGAGGAGGGGCATGGGCAGTGTGAGGGAGGTGCAGAAGTGAACTGAACTCCTGTTAGGACACTAAAAGTTCCATGACAGCTGCCCCCGCCCCGGCGAATCATGGGTGAATCTTGACGCCGATACCAGCACCCCCAGGGCCATGCACCTTGCCTGCCTACGTCCATCTACGACGCTGAGGACTGGATCTCGATGGCCCAAAAAATATGATATCTCAACTGCAAGTGTCATTGGCGCGGTGACTCTAGCGGTGACTTATCTGGACCGCTCACCCTTGCCTTGCTCTAGTAGTGTGCTTTTTTTGGTTGCTATGTAAACATCCCGAGTAGTGCAGTCCCCACTTTTCACGGATCACAAAATAAACGACACAAAACGACGACCGACAGCAGATGTTCAGTGAATTCCACACAGGTGAAAAATTGGTATGTAACAATACGTGAGGTTCACACGATAACCCAGAGAATTGTTGGGCTGCTGACTGATGAACATGTCAAGAATCTGCTGAGGCCGTGTGACTGACCAGCAGTGACATCACAGCAACGGGCAATGGCTTCCATCCGTTCATGCCCGACTCAATGGGACTGGCTCCGGCTCTGTTTGTCCCATGGGACTGCGATCCGCACCGTGCGGCCCAGGGATGGGGGTCAGGGATCCCATATCAACGTCCTGTGGGTGTACGTGTTTGCTTTTGGTGCCGATCTTATACCCAGCAACCAGGGTGATGTAGAGTGGAATGCCTATAAAGGATGTGACAAACGCTATGCGGTCTACTCCTTTAGGGTAGTATTCACGGTCGACGAAGTCAAACCCACGTATGATGGTGACCAGAACACATGCTACCAACGCAACCCACGAACCAAACAGCCCCAGTGGTGCCCTGAATGTTAGGACTTCATCGGTGATCTTTTGAGCTTTACGAGCCCGTATGAATGAGAAATGTATCACAAGGATTGAAACCCAGGTAAGGATACTGAACATGGAGACCAAGTTAACCGAGTATTCGAATAGCCTTTTGGAACCACTCGAGATGTTCAAGTACGCCAAGCAGGCCACGGCAGAGCACATACCCAAGGCGAAGATGGGAATTCCCCTCCTATTAGTACGCGATAGAAATGAAGGCGCGTTCTTGTCCAAGGAAAGTCCGTACAGTGTCATGCTTGCCATTTGAAGAGCTTGATTTGCAGCCGATAGCACGAAGAGGAGCAGACAGGCGTTCAGAAGGTGAGGAATCACCGTGGGACCAGCAGACTGAGCAACCGCTACGAAAGCCGAGGCCGTACGCGGCTGAGAGGCTTTTTGGGTGAATGCTATGATGTGGGTGTCATGGGGGACTAGCATCCCCAGAAGCGTGATATTGACGATGTTGAAAACCAAGATGCGGTAGAAGGTTACTTTGATCGCCCGACCCGCAGCTTTTCGGGGGTTTTGGGTGCGCAGGATTGTCATTCCCATTAGTTCACTTCCAAGATAGGCGAGCGTAGCGGAGGGGACTGTCCTGCAGATGGCGCGTATGGTACCTGCCACGGCACCTCCTGTACCATTGGCAAAGGCTCCCGGGTCCCTCCAGTAGCGAAATCCTTTCATATCGCGGTCTGGGCCTCCCCCCAGTGCAAGGACGACGGACAAAGCCATAAGCCCCGACATTACCAAAACCTTGAAGAACGACAGCATGACTTCGTACTTTCCCAAGTATCGACTGCACAGAGAATTGGCGGCGATTATCACGCCCAAAAAGGCCGTGGTCCAGAACACGGAGTACTTGGCTTCGTTTACTTGCCAATATGCTATCAACAACTCCCCGGCTGCTAGCTGGTTGGGGATGACAACCATGAATTTAAACCAATATCTATCCTTGAGTGATCAGCTTTTGACAATTGCAACACACCACTGAGACGGGGCAACTTACATCCAGCCCAATGTGAATCCAAGTGCTGGATCACAGAGTCGAGCAGCATGGTCCGTCATAGATGGCTCGGGGGACCACGTAGCCACCTCTCCTAGGGCGCAGAGGACCAGATAAACGATTATTCCAACCCCCGTATAAGAGATCAAGATCGACGCAGGCTAACAGTATTAATATCGATAATCGGCCTTGATCGTGGAAGACTTACCCCGGCCCTGTTCTTATTGTCAACTGTGGCTGCTAAGATCATGGCAAATGCTCTTACTTGGACAGTGCATTTCCTGCGCAGATCGTCAAGCCCGTGTTAATTGCTCCGCCAATGGCTTTAGACATCAGTTGGAGATCGACGTTGCATTCAATGGAGAGACTAACCGACCATGGTGATCTGGCGTGGCTTTAAGGCTCCGTAGGAAGCTACCGATTTTCCATCCTGGCTAGGAGATTGGGTTGAAGGAGCGTAAAAATCGTTAGTAGCAATACCCCTTTCTGATTGCGGTGTTCCTTGGCCTTCTTGCCGAGGCATTTTCAATGTCCAGAAACGATACCGTGAAGCAAGATGGCGGGTCATAGGTTGCAAGCTGATATGTCTGGAGGTTGTGACTGAGCATTAGAGGATTCAAGGTATTAATGAGAAGAAGTGAAGGTGGAAGGATATGTTGCCGGGGTCGCGGCAAGGCACTTGCCCTTTTGGGCATGTTCACCATTCACTACTCTACTCAAGGTACCGTTAAGGCGTGACTTGGAAACTCAACTAGATCTGATTGGGAATCGCATGGGTATAGGTACTAAGTAGGTTCTGGCTTAGCTGAGCATCGTCGTCAGATGATAGGCTGTAAGCCTCTCGAATACATTGGTATATCAATCAAATCAATGAGTGGTGAACATCTCCCACTCAGGCAACCATAATCCATCATAAATACAAGAACGCCGGTCTAGAACCCCAGGGAATAGAAAAGAAGCAAGTGTTCCAGTAATGAAGAAGCAGAAAGAGAAGAGGACCATCATCGTATGATGTGGCTCCCACATAATGGAGTCATATACACATCGCGCCGGGTCAGGAGGCACGTCTAGCGTCGCCTCAATGTCCTTGTTTTTCTTTTTTAGCGAAGAAATGCTTGTCGAGGATTACCTAGACATGTAAAGCGAGTCGCTCGACTCGGTTCTCGGGAATATCCGGGTGTAGAGGGAATCGCTCGATTCAGTGCGGGGGAACATCCGTTGGTGGGCTTTGGAGATCGTACGGTCGGTGTAGACACCCTTGGCTGTGCCTCGAACAACAGTTTCAAGGTATTCCTTGAAGTCGTGAGGGGCGAAGTCAGGATACAGGTCCTTGGAGGTCAAGTAACCCAAGTACTTGGCGTATTCGGGGTTGTTGTCGCCACGGACGCCCCATGACAATTGGTTCTCGGCCAAGTAGCGAGGAATGAATTTGACGGGGTCGAAGGGATAAGTCTCGCTGGACTGTCGAGCTGCCAGCACTCTGGTGTAAATGGTTTCTTCGGGAATCTGCGGTGAAACATCATGAGCCCATGTCCAATAATCATAGCAAATCACACTACTCACATAGTTTCTCTGGATCTTCTCCTCACTAATTTGCTCCAAGAGGTCGTAAATCTGGTTCTGTGTCAACACCGTGTTGTACGCGAAGACCATCTTGTTCAGCGTGCGGTCGTCGACGATGATCTTGGCGACGTAGCGTCCAATGTCTCTCAGATCCGTCAGGGCGAGGGGCGTGTTTCCGTCACCGACGATCTCGTTGTTCGCCGTGGTCATGGCATAGTCGGTTCTTCCGGACCCAAGGCGGGGGTAAGAAAGCTGGTACCACCAGCCGACGTCGATGATGGTGTAGGGAAGTCGGAGTTGTTTGACATGGCTGTACACTGTTTCTTTCTGGAGTGGGGTCAGCTGATGAGCGGCGGAAGTCATGGCGTGCGCCAGTGACAGCAACTTACCTCGTCTCTCAACCACATGATTCCGCCCGGAGGAGCCACGGTGATGAAGCCACAAGGGACGAACCGTTGGACTCCAGCACTCTTGGCCGCTTTAGCAAGAGGAATCTGATCCTGCTGTTCGGCAGGCCCAACGCAGCTGACGACCACATCGATTCCGGTCAAAACGTCGACGAGGGATTCTTCAGGTCCCTTGAGATCACCTTTGCGGATTTGGACGCCTCGCTCTTGCAGAGCAACGATGGCAGGCTTCTGGACCGACCGGGGACGCACAAGGGCATGAACCTCCTACAAGACCAACAAGAATGCGAGGTTAGAGCAAGGCTCGACGGGAACAGAACAAGGGAGGAGAGGGGTGGTAAGTTACAAAGTTCGGGTTCTCGAGCAGTCCGCTAGCAATAGAGCCGCCCGTCTCGCCCGCAGCGCCGACCAAGAGAACTCTAGTTCGCGACATGATGATTGAGGAAAAAGGCGATGATTCGTGGGAAGGGTACTATTCGATCGATCGTGATAATGCAAGTCGGTTGGTAGGGGGGTGTTGGGAGGTAGGGATTTATCAGAAAGGGAAGAATTCAGGTTTCCTCTCCCTGCTGTTTCCAAAGTATGTATTTTTGACGTTGACGTTTCCAGGCCAGATGGAGGGTCATTCGACGTTATAAAGGTCAGCGTCCCACTGGAGGATGGCCACTACCCACTTTTCTCTTATCCAGAAGTGGCCAGCGGTGGGTCGATTGTGGATGTTAAGCTCCTAAGAAACGCGCCCCCCTTAAAGGTGTGTGAATCGGCTGGAGAAGGAAGGGCGGCTGTACTCCGTACGCAGGCAGTCCTCCGGGAGACCATCCTGCGTCATCATATCCTGATTGCTACGAGAGGGTCTTCTAGACCACACGATGTGGTAGCCTCCTTTTTCTTTATTGATATATTCTTTATTATTCTTTAATATTCTCTATTATTTTTTGTCTGGTTTTTTATTCGTTATTGTCTTCTTTTAAATTACATAGATATTATGTTTTCCTTTCCCACTTACTACTAGATACAACCTGCACACGGACAAATACTAGTACTAGCAGCAGTACTAGTCGGAAAGTCGGCCTTCCCCTCCCCCCAGAAGGCGTTACTCTCTGCGGCCCGGTGGCTCGGGAGTCAAAAGCCAAAGGGAAAAATTACGTCACTTGCCATTCCCCTGCCCGGGAAGCCGTACATAGTAAGGCCAGTGACGATACTGGGGTTCCATGATCACGGCTGTCTCAGACCACTTGAACCAAGCAGCAGCATCATCATCCTCCCCTTATGATCCAGTGCTACCATCATCGTCCCACGGCAGTGGATGTCGGGCAGGTACCCATCCTTTGTGTGTTCCACAGTCCCCTTCTCTTCCCTATGTAATGATTTATTGGAAACCACGTCTCCTCCACTCCATGTCCCCTTTCGATTCCCTTGTGCATAATGCGGGGAGCAGAGGGTCACTTCCCCTCAAAATCTCACCTTTAATAAGGATGCATATTACAGCGTCTGGTGTTTTACCTTACCCCCCCCACGTCAGGGATCTTCGGATCTGCGTGGCGGGCTTCATATTCATGACCTTTTGCAACCCTGGGAGCATGACGACATGTGGCATGGCTCCTCTGGAACAATCATTACCATTGGCGGAATAGGCAACTCGTCCCATGGTTACAGCCAGTGGTTCTCTAGAAACTCTGCGAAGAGAACTATCGCCCAGTGCGCTGGAATCCATTGTGGCGGCTACGAGAAAAAGAGATTTGCAACTTGAACCAACCTTGAACTTTTCACAACACGGTCGGAAGGTAATTGGAAAGCAACAATAGCGGTTTCATGCCATTGACAAAGTCTTGGGTAGCTTTCTGGCGGATGACCTGGGGACTGTCACCTGGAGAGATCTGATGCGCATTTACGTCCCTGTCAACCTCCAAGGCCACTTTCGTAGGCAGCTCATACCGGCGGTGCAGAGTCTGGCAAGTATCCTGCTGCAGTTCAGACCGTCTCGAGGAACCCCATCTCCCGAGTAAGCCCGCAAGATCTGTTCTTCCATTTAGGGATAGATTGATGGGCTGCGACTACAATCATTATTTATGGTGGTTTCGCTAGGAATCCGGGGTCTGGAGGCCTAGATAAGCGTTCGCTCCTGTTCCTGGCGTCGGGTCGGATAGCCACTTAGACTTTGTTATGTGAATATTGACCTGATCCCCTACTAAGTTTACTGACAGCTACGAGGCCAATGATGTCTTGATTCTTGGAGGCTTGTCTCGGTTACCAAACACCACTGGATGATCGTTACTCTGAACGATGGACATTTCTTACAGACCAGACTCTGGATCGAACCAATGTCTCAAGCAGTGAAACCAAACGTTCAGGATCGATCTCCATGGTACTCCATACCCGCTGCAGTCTAGGCGAGAGGCAAGTTCTCCGAATGAAGATGCACCCACCAGAGCGATACTCCGTACAATGGGATACACTAGGAAGCCGCAGCCTGGTCGTTTACCTACCTAGTAGGCAGCCCATGCCTCTCTAGCAGTGGCACTACTGCAGTCATTCAACGGCAATGGGCCAATGGCTTGAAACGAGGCGAGGTGGATCAACCGCTAGAGAACAAATCGCGCTGGACTATCTAGCCGCGATCAAGCACGGCGAAGGATCGTGACTATTTAATGCCGAGTGATTTCTGGGGGAATTCCAGGCGGTTGTCGGGGCATGTGAGAATTTCCCACCTCGTCTTTTGCTCGATCTGCAGGTCCGTCACGGCCCTTCCGCCAATGGCAGCCAAGGTCATCTGCACACTTGATGTAGGCTGCGGCCGAGAGCTGTCGAGATGGTGTTATTCGACCCTGGGGAGTCGGTGTAGGAGAAGGTGTGTCCAGTGTCCACTGCCTGTCCTCGGGTATTGGAGGGCGCGGGCAGGAGAGCTCCGAACCTGGCATGCAGCTAGACGGGAAAGGGATTAGGAGGGGGGGCCCTAGTCCCCTTCAATAATGGTCCAGATTGGCAGATACTATCTCCCTAGTGGCTTTTCTCCAAAGTCCAAACGGTGGGGTATGGAAATTGCGGGCAGAAGGGAGGGGGGGCGGAAATGGGAATGCGGATGGAGCCATCAATGTAACCACAATGTCTCTTTTGCAACTCAACCGATGTTTGGGGGGCGGCATTTCGGTTTGCCCCAATGCGGCCACATGCCTTCCCCCGAACTTCCTGATCTCTGCAGTCTGCCCCTCCCCATTATTGGTCCCTATCAATAGCCCCCCGGCAGAAATACACAGGCGCAAAATGGCGCCACTATCGCTCGATCCCTCCGCAGACGGGGTACAAAACACCAACATTATGACCGCCCTTTGAGGATTTTAACCATATCATATCGACCACCCGACTGATTGGCACCATGCTTTAGATCCGATAGAGGAAGCTGACCAGCTGATGATCAAGTGCGAAAATCATTCAATCATCGAGCTCACCCAGGAACATGTGATGGGGGACTGTGAGTCTGTTCGCTTCAGCACCAGCGCGACATTACCATTTCCTGGGGCTCGATGTCGATTGATTTTGATTTTTCCCTGTCTATATTAATTCCTTAGCCCCATAAGCCAACGAATTGCATACCAATGCCGTCTGCAAAGGACCCAGGCCTCTCGGCGCTGAAACCGCCGTCTTATTATTGCACGATCGCTTGGCGGCCATTCGTCCATTCCACTCGATAACCAAAAGGCCAAGCAGATTGGCGGCGTCCCCGACCGCACTGCCTTCGGAGAATTGCCCGTTACTGTACCATGCTTCAGCCACCATGTATCTACAGGCTTGGTGCTCAAGTACGCATGAATTGTCTCAGGGAATAATCTGTTCAGGTGGCTTGGCTTTCTTTCTATCCAGTTGAGACCAACGACCTGATTGAGACACAAGCATCGGTCTCATTTTTACCGGAGATTCCAACAGGACATCCGGGACATCTTTTCACTCTTGCCCGAATAGGGTTACGGATCACGACGACATGGGTCCCCGGGATAAGCCTGTTCTAGGCTTTAGCAGCAGCTTACTTACAAGATGACTTGTGCCGCGTGCTTCGTTGTCAATTCCAAACATCGCTGAGTGGTGCTTGCAAAGCACATGTTCTATGTATAGTGTAGAGGTCATCTGCGCCAACAGGGAATTTTAGCCTCTAATCTGGCTATCCGCATGCATACTTGTTTGCTCTTGTCAGTCTAGATGATGTACAATACACATCAAAGAAATTGCCGCTGGTGTTTCTGACCATTTTTGATCAGACAAGTCTGAATTCGAAAACAGCGCGCCTTAAGCTACTTCTAGTCAAAATCGAGAACGGAAATACCGACTAGATCACTCAAGTACGTCATAACATCCTGGTCGACTCCTCAGACATGCTCGCATTACCAGATATGCAAATGCTTTATCCGAAACCATCTCTGGAGCGTAATCGCTAGCAGGTGTGATATTCATCAAGCGCCGAGACTACTTTTCCAGAACATAGACACATGCTAGGAATGACGCTCTCTAGCAACATTCTGCAATCACTAGTTTGACAGACTCCCGGCAAGCAACGACGTTAAACTTTCAATACGCCTACCGTAATGGAGGCGACTCAATACTTCCTATGATGGTTCTTCCTTGAGGTCAAGGGATGTACGATCTATCCACTATCGTTGATACCACGAGTATGGGTTTCGAGGGATTGGAAGAATGTCCGGGACCAATGATTGGCTTGTATGAGTCCTTTACAACAGACCTTGTTCTCTTGACGATTAGAATCGTGGCGTCTCGCAACAGACATGAAGGATGAAAACCCATTTTATAGATCGATAAAAAGCTTCCTACCCGTTGTCTCATATCAACACTACCGGGGATGTGCTGGTTGTGTCGATTGGATGCCTGGTGTCATCAGATGGCCCCGGGACAAGAAGACGGAGGTTTAGCTTATTGATCCTTTCGAGATATAGTAAGAAGCTGATGAATCAGAGCTTGGTCCCGAAGTGTGAGAAGAAATCTTGTTTAGTGTCCGGTAATCATTGGCTAGACAACCTCTCCGCGTGTCTGGATGGGTTGCCACCGGGCTATTTAATTTGGTTCATTGCACCCTTTTTGTTCCTCTTCATGTTCTGTGTATTTCCTTCTGGAGTACTATCCAGTAGAGGCCGAAAGATCTCTAGCATCATGAGAAACGTCTAGTAGTCCTAAACCTGAGGGTAAATCGGCCTGGTATCATCCTTCGAGGCCACTGTTCTGAAGACTGTGTACCCTGGCTACCAAATACGTCTTCTGAGTTACACAAGTATCAAGTAGAGGCTTCCCCTTCCTTGCGAGGACATGCCATGCTCCATAGGTTAGAGCCTAGGTTCCTGATTGGGTCTAGCGTCTGCGTGAGAAGCACTCCCTGGCTTTCGCCGAGATGATTTCTGTCCTTCTGATCATTTCATAAAGCCCAGAAGTAGTCTATGACGCATCGCTCACACTTGATGGGTTACTCTTCTTGCATAGTAGTTTTGGCTTAATACGATGAATCTGTTTCAACAGATGGCACCTTTCTTTAGTGAGTGCACTGGCTATGAAACAATGCAATGTATACATGTCTGCTAACGCTTTGTACATGACACTAGCAGTCGGATGTCAACTCAGCAGTATCAGACTTGGCCATCCAAGTCAAGCCAACATGAAGCGGACAGAAGCTATGATAATCTTTATATGTTGACGTGCTAGTCGAGAAGCGGAGGACTGCCGGTCAGCTGGGGATACCCCGGATCGTCGACCCCCACGCGGGGTCAACTCCACTTCTCCGCTTCCTTCTTCACTCCAAGACTATCGAGCTGGTCAAAGACATCATGCCACGACGGTCTAACATTAATTCCGCCTACCAGATCCAGATCCGCATACAAAGCCAGAAGCTGATCACCACCCATCCCTGTCCCGATCGGCTTTTCTCCAAGACCTCTTGCCTCGTATGATCCAAGACGCCAGCTATCCCCGGGTTACCAAAGGTTTCGAACAAAGATGCGGCTATCTCAGCTGTAAGATATGCCGTTCTGGTCGGCAATACACCTGGAGATGAGGTGAAGAATGTGTTACTCAAGCTCAGAACCCCCACGTCTGCATGATGACCATCTAATCATCGGTGGATATCCGTACCCCGGATTAGGAGTATCCAAGTCTGGAAGATCCATATGAGGACAAAGCTTATGCCGGCGTTGGAAATGCCGACCAGGCCTTATCTTATGACAGCTATAACATAATCCTCCTTTCGATAAGCCCTTCAACGGACCAGGCTGGATCTTTAACTTTGTTGTTGTAAACTAAGCAGTTATAAAGCGGGTCCCCTGCTAAAAATCATCACTCGAACATCTGTTGCTAGCTGTATTCAGCCCTCACCTATAACACGAGAGACCTTCTTGGGTAGGCCATTGAAATGGCGAGGATATCCGATCCCAAGCCACACTCTGACCATCAGGAGAATGTAACCGACCTATCCATTGCCACTGAGACCGAAACCAACCATGTCGAGTCGGAGTGGAATGGGAAGCAGCCACAAGATGGCGACACAGCCATGGCACTCTTTAGTGATCCAGATGCGCTTCATGAGGCTATTGATCCGACAGAAGCAAGAAAGTTACTCTGGAAGATTGACTTGATGATTCTACCATATCTTGCGGTCTGTTATGCTTTCTTCTACATTGACAAAGTAGGTACCTCAAATCAGCGTGCTGCTTTTCGTACAATGGCTTACAATTGCTCTAGACAACGCTTAGTTATGCGGCTATATTCGGTATAGAAGAGGATCTCAAACTTCATGGCACACAATATAGCTGGCTTTCGAGTATCTTCTATTTTGGGTTCCTGGTTTGGGCATTTGTGAGTTTGCAATGGTTCCAGGAGTGATCTACCAACGCTGATACCGTACCAGCCCACCAACTTTCTGCTTCAACGCCTACCCATTGGTAAGAGTCATCTCTCAGTCTCCGATGCGGCCTAACTTGCGCCACAGGAAAGTATCTTGGAGCCAATATCTTCATGTGGTACGTTAGAAAACAATCTTGGTATTGAGCTACTTGCTAAGTACAGAAGGGGAGTATTCCTTATCATCCAGGCAGCATGTCATAACTTTGCTACGCTCGCTGTTCTGCGAGCCCTAGGTGGAGCTGCAGAAGCATGCTCAGACCCCGCATTTATGCTCATCACTAGCATGTGGTACACGCGACGTGAACAACCAGTCTGCATAGGCTTATGGTATACTGCCAACGGCCTGGGGATTGCACTTGGCGGGCTTCTCGGCTATGGAATCGGTCATATAAGAGGGTCTCTTCCTTCGTGGAAGTACGAATTTATTGTCATGTAGGGATCAGTTGCTTCGACTATGATTCTGATGCTGATAATCCGCCAGTGGCTGTCTCTGTGCTGTCTGGGGCATAGTCATGTTCATTCTTCTGCCTGATTCGCCAGTCACAACACCTCTTCTCAGCAAGAGGGAGCGTCGAATTGCAATTGAGAGAGTGAGAGAGAATCAGACGGGTATTGAGAATAAGCATATCAAACCTCACCAGATTCTGGAGGCTTTCACGGACTACAAGCTGTACTTTTTCTTTTTCCTGGGCCTATTTTGTGAGATACATCTGCTCTATTGGAAAAGGCCATGCTAATATCCTCGGGCAGGTAATATTCCCAACGGTGGGATATCGAACTTTGGAACAATCATCATCCAAGGCTTTGGATTCTCAACGCTGGTGACAACCTTGATGCAGGTATGTACGACGCTCAACATAGGGGTGGAGTACTGACGATGTAGATCCCCTACGGTGTCATCATTGCACTATCCATTCTTCTTTGCGTGTATCTCAACGATCGGTTCGAGAACAGGCGTTGCATATTCGTCTTGATTTTCCTCCTTCCGAACATTGCTGGAGCGTTTGGGCTACGGTTTGTGCAACAGGACCATGAAGTCGGTCGTTTGATCTGCTATTACTTAACTGGACCGTACAATGCCGCTTTCGTGCTGATTCTCAGTATGCAAATTGCCAATACCGCTGGTGCGTTACAGCCTTCTTTACCTCGGACCTGGGGACATGATGGCTGATGATGTATAGGTCACACCAAGAAGGTCGTTACCAATGCAGTCCTCTTCCTAGGATACTGCACAGGCAATATCGCAGGCCCTTTCTTCTACAAGGAGAGCCAAAAGTAAGCTACCTTGCTGCACTAAGCAGCATCTTGGTCTGACAGAGGACTAATGGTACCGATCTACAGGCCAACGTACGAACTGGGAATCTGGTCTATGATCGTGTGTCATCTACTTGAAGCCGCGCTTATATCCACACTTGGTCTTCTCCTCCGCTGGGAGAACCGACGACGTGATCGAATCCAGTCTCAGGCGACGGGTGGTCTGGAAGGAAGAGACTTGGACTCTACAGCGTTCCTAGATTTGACAGATCGTGAAAATCTCAAGTAGGTTTTCCTTCAAAGTCTGTTATGTATGACTGCTAAACCTGTTACAGCTTCCGGTATATCTATTAGCTACCGTGTTTCCATCTCCCTACAATTGTAACTTGCATCCATCTATAGTTCCAATCTTGTATCCGGCTTGAAACATGGAATAGTATTTACTATCAAACCTGCTACGAATAAATATGCCCCGTAACTCAGTGCCTGTCTCGGTCTCCATAATCATAACCGTTAAATACTTGAATCCTCCACCTGTTTCCACCAAGTCATCTAGATATATCCCAGAAAATCCCACCTCTGATGACCATCCCGAACACCATACCATACAAACCACCCCTCCTCTTTCTTCTCGCATCCCTCCCCAGTTCCAATTCCAATTCCAATTCCAACCTCAACTCCAATTTCCTCCCCCCAAACCACTGCATCTCCCCCAAATCCCAAAACTCGATATATCCACTTAATACAAACGAACCTGCCACTTCCACCTCACAACCCCAACATCCCCCCCCCCCCCCCCTCCCAATCCCCATCTAAAATCACACCCTGCAACTTCTGCTCAACCTCACCAGAAACAGAAACAGCTCCTTGCCATAAGTGCTTCTCTACTCCCCTTTAAGAACATACGTGCAGCTTCCCGACCAACGAAGACATATCTTTGAGTTCCTATAGTTTGGGAATATGTTTATCTGCATTGGTTTGAGGGGGTTCGTGGGACGGGTATGGTTATTGATTTTGTTCGTGATTAGGTTGTGTTTTCTGGTGGGTGCAATGATATGTGAATGGGTGTATGCTGTTCCTGGATGGAGTAGATGGTTGTATATAAGTAACCATACTGCTGTTCTATCGTCTTTCCAAGCCTACATCCTAGGTATAGTAGCATCAAATACCGCATGAAAACCAATCAATATACAATGCTAGTAATAATACATTCGCCAAATACCCAAGTCGACATTGACATCCCCACCCAAATCTACCGTTTCTTGCCCGCGCCGCCCTTTGCAGCACCAGCACCACCAGCCTTCTTACCGGCAATCGATCTCTTCTGTCGGAGGTAGTTGGCCACGAGGTTCTCCACGCTGCCCATATCATGCTTGGGCTTCCTATAATTCCAAACGCGATCCGGTTAGCCACAATCCCAGTCCAACCCTCCCATCCCGATACTATACACCCCCAAAGCAAAACGCATACGCACCTCATGTAATACAACCTAGCTCTTCTCTTCCTCTTCTCCGTCCTCTGCACAATCTCCACACTCTCCACATTAGGACTAAACACCTTAACCGCCATTTCCACACCCACTCTCGTCAACTGATTCCGCAACAAAAACGACGTATCGATGCCCCGAAGCCGAATACTCAAACACACCCCGGAGAACGGGTCCCCGTTCTTAAACGTCACCCGGATAATATCTCCCACTTTGACACTGCGAGGGTTCCGGCGGTAATCGAACAATGCCATGCGTTCTCCGGTGGGATCCAACTGCGCCAATTGAGCCTCTTGCACGGCTCCAATGGCGTCCTTGCACTTGGGGGCCGGAGGCGGAGGGGGGATTTTGCGGGTTTTGCGCTCTATTTACACACACAAACACAACCATTAGATATGTACCAGTCCAGTTAGATCAAGGGAGGAATGGAGAATACCAGGACTCGGCCTCATCCTCAGCGGTAATTGGCGAAGAAACTGCTCCGGCAAATTGGCCGGAAGAGGCTGCGGCTCTGGCTTCGCGGAATAGACGGTGCTGAGCGCGCGGCGACCAATCTGGCTGGTGGTGCTCTGCGTCAGGGACTGGGGTCGTAGAAGCGACCGTAAGCAGCCCAGCTGCTGCAGGATCGGAGATGAGGTCGCCATGGTTGGTTGATGTATGAGGGTAACCTAACCTGGCGTGTGTGTTGGGTGAGGAGCAGAGCAGCTTGAATCGATCGAATCGATAAATTCGGACCGGCAGAATTTCCGCCAAGCCGCGAGTTGCCCGTTTAGGTGATGAGCCAGAATCCGACGCTCGGGAACTTTTCTGCCGCTAGAAGAAAGACAGTGTTGCTTTCGACTTTGAGTCCTGGGGCTTTGGGTTCAGATTCACTTGATTTTTGTTGTTTGATTATATTCGGATCGTTTGGATTTAACTGATATTGTTTCATCATGGCGCAAAACGCCGTGGGAAGGCTCTTTCGTAGCCAGCAGTCTGCTACTACGACGCTTCGTCAATCCGTTGGCTCGATTACACAGACACGCGGGATCTCTAGACATGGTATGTCGTTGATTTCATTCTTCTCTGGAATTGCATTTGAATTGGGAACTGGAAGACTAATTAATACTGATCGATGTAGCCGTCCCAACCTTCACTCCCACCTCCTCCCCCGAGCTGGACCAAGCCCTGACTCGCTTCCGCGAAGAGCTCTTCATACCCTTCGGACTCGGCCAACAGCAACGCCGTCTCATGTTCCGTCAGAAATACGCCGACCAGCTGGAACAAGAGCCCGTGACAGCCAACCTCGGCGAGGAAGAGTTCCTCCTCCGACCGATGGACCCGCAATCGCGCCCCACGAAGAAGGAAGCCGTCGAAGTCATCTCCATGATGAAGAACACCACAGACTGGAAGAACCTTGTTCCGTTGCTCTCGGGGCTCCGGATGTCGAATCGGCTGGTGAAGTCGGGCCGACTGGAGTGGATTGTGCGGAAGGCGGCGGAGGCGAATGCACTGGGGGTTGTGTTGGAGTGCGCGAAGCAGGTGGAGCGGACGGGGCTGCGGTTGAATGATGTTGGGTTTGTGCAGCGGTTGTTCTTCGAATTGCATCGGAAGGCGCAGAAGGCGGAGTTCCAGGGACCCGAGGTTGCGAAGGCGTTGTCGATTGCGACGCAGCTGGTTGGGTTGATGGAGCGGCCGGGTCATGTGGAGCATGATGTGATGAAGGATCCGAAGAGGAGGCCGTTTGTTATTGGAACGTTGTTGGAGTTGAGTGCCGCGAGGGCGTTGAGTGAGTTTGGGGGCAAGGATGTGGATGGGAATGTTCGGATTTACAGTCAGCGGTTGTTGGGGAGCTGGTCGTTGGGCAACTTCAATTCTGAGACGGCGGATTGGGTTTCTGTGGATAAGATGCTGCAGGAGAATATCCCTATTTATAACGGGATGAAGCTGGCTCTGCAGGTGCATGGCATTCTGAACGAGAAAGCGGTGGCTCCGGCAATGAAGAACCGTCTCAATGAGCTGAACCAGTTGTTCACCAATCAGCTCAAGAGTGTCCCGGAGAAGGTCCAGCAGAAGCCTACCGTGGGTCTTGTGCAGGCTCAGCTCTTGTACCAGGGCTAGATTAGGGGATGGATCGGATTATGAACTGTATATTACCATTTTGGATCGTTCGGAGCTCTATCTGTGTTTGAAAATAGATGCAATTTCTTTTCATTAACCGGATATGAAACTAAGCTATGCGCTATATCCAACTGACATGATGCAAGTGATATGAAATGATTTTGGTTCTGTGGGCAATGAAAGGGAAGAAAAGAATCCCGGAATAAACGCTCAAACGCATTGTGTGCTCGATAAGTGGATTACAGGAGCTCGAATGTGTTGTCATCGCGGATGCGAGCTCGTCCTGCCAGGGCGGTCTTGCCAGAGATGACAGAAGGGCCGGATACAGTGATCTGAGATGGTCAGCGGATGAGAAAATCCGAGTGGAATCACGACTTACCTGTCCCTCTTCGTTGGTCGCATCTTTTGGCACGCCAGTCAACACAACTTCGACGCTGCTCAGAGGTGCGCCAAAGTGGCTCGCGCCGTTGAAGCGACGGTAGTCAAAGACGTTGGTCTGGAACACAGCCCCGGCCACGCCGGGACCACTCAAGGCGTACACGACTCGTGCTCCAGTGAGAATGCGCAAGTCGGCAAGTTGCTCATAGTCCAACTGGACCTCGGCATCGGCATCGACGCGGTGAGAAATGCACAACAGACGTAGGTTGTCCAGGGACAGTTCGGCGGTGGGCCCGACGTTGGCCACCTGGTTTAGCAGGCCATGCGATGGCATGTATCCGGAATCCAAGCTCCGCACCTGGACCCAGCGAGAGAACCGAGAGATAAAGCCGGCGTGCGGCTTCATGAACTTACTGTGGTAGTCGGACATGGTGCGAGAAGAGGCAACAATGACTGTCGGAGACACCCCAACAGTGGCGAGAGCAAAGTCAACGCTCTCTCCAGCAACCGAGTTGAGAGCAACGGATGCATTGGAGTATAGTGCAGTCATGATCTGGCAAAGAGGGTATGACCGCGAGAGCGAGTCAATTGAGAGAACGAGATCGCTGGGGCCGATCCGCTGGGGACGAGGGATAGAGTACATGAGACCAGCAATACCCGAAGCCAAATTCTGTCACGAATTAGCTCAATTGCCTGCTGTGATGGATGGAATGGCCTACCTCGGGCTGATACTCGATGAATTCGCCTGCGGACGACTTGGACGGCCAAACAGTAGTCACCGAAGGCGTGGGAGAGCTTGGGTCCCAGCTAGGAACTTCAAGTCCGGCCAGGTCCTTCTTCGCTTCCACCAGTTCGTGCCAAACACCCACCTCCAGGGTGCCTTTGACATCCTCGGGAACATCGTTCCAGTCCATGTGTCTGCTTCCCAGTTTCGCGACCCAGATGACCTGCGAGAGCTGATCGTTACCCTTGGCGACGACAGACAGGTCGAGAGCTCCGGCCTCAGCAATAAGAGCCTCCGCTTTAGACTCCTTCAGAAGAGCCGAGAGAGACTCCGCTTCCAGGTTGTGGGGGATAATGATCGTCTTGATTCCGTAGAAAGCGCCCGCTAGAGGATCGTTAGCACCATCAGTCAGTCACAGGGCAAACCAAGGATCCGAACCGAAAACAGCAGCCAGCAGCTCAACCGAGTCCGTCAGACAGATCGCAACCGTGTTCACCTTGGCGGATTGCAGGCGATCTCCAATGACGTTCATTTCTTGAGTAACTTGTTCCAACGAGTGCTCGACCGCTTTTCTCCCAAGCACAGTATAGATCTTGCCCTGTTTACCGGTGACTCGGCCATCCTCTTCCACCGTTCCCCGCACAGCAGCCTTCCAGATATCGCGCAGGTCACCCTTTCTGCCGCTTGTCCATCTTGGAGCTCCAGGGTCTTTCACGTTGAGTCCGGATCGGAGAGGGAAGCCGTGCGGAGTTTCTAGACTGCGGTATTGGGCAGTTTCGCCAGGCTGTCGTACGGGAAAAGTGGTCGACTGACGGGCGAGAAGAAACGGGTGGATATCAGTATCTTTGGACGTAACGAAGGAGAAGACGAGAAAGGCGACAATGCCGCCCGCGATCAAAGTGGTGTAAATGTTCCAGTCAGCCAGAAGCTCGGCCACAAGGGCATCGAGCTTGGCCACGATGGACGTGTTGGGGTCCATAATGAGGGAGAGTCGTATCTATCGGCGAGGGTCGGACATCAACGACAATGGATGTACGGAGTAAGAGAGGCCTCTTATTCCCAGGCAGGTGAGAGATGAGCTGGAGGGAGTGACGTGAGGGGGCTGAGCTGAGCTGGGGCTGAGGCTAAAGGCTATGATGGCAGATGTGGGGAGCCGCCGCGCCTAAGCCAACTAGTGCCGCGCCCAGCTCCCCATTCGGGTTGGCCGAAAACTTCGCGCCAAAGGCGCTTGCGTTGCCAGTGACCCTGCCAGGGCCGCCGCACTTATCATCAAAACAATCAAGCGCCGCCCCGATCACAATTGCCCCCCGAACACTCGACTCACTCAATTCACTCTCCTGCCCCTCCCTTGCGACTACAGCATGCTCCTGTCAGGTCCTCGGTAGTAATCCGTCACCAGCAAGCAACTCTCCGATGCGGTAACCCCCGTGCATCCCCCGTTTGCAATTAACTACAGGTAAGTCCAACAGCAATTTTCCTATTTCAGGTAAGTCATCACGACCCTAGCGACTTTTGCGACAAAGTACTTTACTGACGCGGACTAGTTTCTATCATCAATCAGTTTTTTTCTTTCATCTTTGGCATCAATCAATGGCGTCTCCAGCCCCTCCTTCCACCCCCAACAAAGCTGCATCTGCGCCCGCACCGACGCCCGATGGCTCCCAGACGCCTGGGAAGTGGCGTCATCCGCATCTGGATGAGGTGGTCCGTCGACAGAATGCTGGTACATTCGGGGATCGCAATGTGAACAGGCTGATGTGGAACACCGCTGCTTTGTTTGCAACCTGGGTCTTTGGAGAGACATTCAAGTCTTAGTGAGTGGTGTTACTGGACGCACCAGTGCTGTTCCTTCCTAACCAGCATGCAACAGTTCGGTTTGGCTTCAGAAATTCAGCCAGCTCCCTACATACCCCGATCTGTCGTTGCTTGCCCTCCGGCTCATCTTTGCGCTGAATATACTGGTCGCATTGTATCCCCTTTTCCGACCGAAGGACAACTTCGCCGACATCCCTTTGACCCCTACACAACGCTCGCTGCTCGGACTGGATCCTTCATCCACGCAGTCACTGACTCCGGGCTCGACGTACGTTACCCCGCCAAGGTACCGACTTTCTGCGTCTCGGAACGCGAGCCCCGCCAGCAGATCTGGCTCGCCATTTTCTGCGAGTGCCGGCGCGTCCGGGCGCAGACTGTCGTCCGGCGCCTCTTATTCGCCTTCTCTGAGCCCGTTAATGCAGAAGTTGGTTGCGACCGGGGGAAAAGAAGGCGGGCGGAGACCGAGCTTTGGGGCTTCGTCCACCCTTGGGCGGAGCTCGTCCTTCTCACCTTTCAAGGAGTCGACATCCACATTTAAAGATTCCACATCCTCATTCAGAGAATCCACGTCCTCGTTCAGGGAATCCACATCCTCGTTCCGAGAATCGGCATTCAGAGAGTCCACCATGTCTACCATCTCCACTCTTTCCACCATGTCCAGCATCGCGCCTGCGACCCCTTCGCCGGTGGGTGGCAAGCGTGTGAACCTGGGCTTGAGTAACAAGTGGCTGTATGAGAGAAGCCGGCGTCTGTCCGCCAGCAATGGTAGTCTGTGAGGGGAGGAGGGTGGTCGGGGCGGGTCCCGGGGAGAATAGGGACAATTCATGTAAACTCGTGTTTTCTAGCGGGTGCTTCGGAAATACCTTTAGGCCGTATTTGCTTATGATATCGCATGATGTACTTTTGTCTGATAGAGAGAGAATTCCGAGCAGCGTCGTGGTTGCCCCGTGCTTTGCAGGCGACGTGCGTAGGAGCTGAGGTTCCCCAGTCGATCTCCGGGTCTCCACGGGCCTAGTTCCCGCTTCCAAGGCATTGACCCCAAGTCCGCCAACATGCCACAAGTTAAGTTCACGTTCATTATTCACACGCGGCCTCTCTCGATTGGGCTTACGTCCCAAGCAATTTACCCTCGGGGATCCCCCTCGCACCAGACATTCCGACCGAAGTTCCTAGTGCTGCTCAACTGCATGAGGTCAATAATTTCGTGATCTCGCTGGAGGCTTCACCATGGGAGCTTCGGAGTCCAAGCTCGTCTTCAAACGGGGCATCTTCCGTCTGTCAGAGGAAAAGGATATTCCCGCGGATGATCCCTACTGGGCCAGAGTGCGTATCTTCCTGCTGTGATTTGAAGCCTGTAGGATCACTGACTGACTTATCGTAGTTCTGGGAGCTCCCAGAGTCCACGGAGGACGTCTTCAGCTTGTTCACCCCCGCCGATATACGACGGACTCGCGATCATGCCTTATCCAACTTCGAAACGCTCTTACTCGCGATCACCTCGCGTCTCACAATATTGAAAAATCATCCATCATTTCCCGACCCCGACCTCGCCCCCGACCGCGATGCGCTCAACTGTATCCGCATCCTGACCCGCCTTCTTCCTTTCATCTACGAGGCGGAACATCTGGAGGAATGGGAGGAGAAATTCTTCTGGGCTCGTCGCAAGAAGAAAACAAGAGAGTCGCAGGTTGCCGCAGAAGTACTGTTCGATGAAGCGCAGACGGAGGACCGAGATGCTGCCCCGCGACCAGATTATGAAGACGCGAAACCTTTGGCGGAGGAGTTGATTGACAATCTGCTGGAACTCCTGTTCTACACTGGCTTCACAATCCCACAGCTGCCCACTGCGAAGAGCAAGATCTCATACTCGATCTGGCAGAGTGGGGTGGGCTGCAATACGTCCATGGGCTCCACCAAAGAACTAGAGAACAACCGCTGCGAGATTCTTCGGTTGTTGCTGACCTTGACTGGAAGAGCAATGTATATGCCGTCCAGTAAGTACAGTCTTTCGATTTGAGGGAGTACTGCTGACAATTTCAGGCCTACTTCCCATGCAGGGTGTCAAGGCTATCTCCTATATCACAACTTGCTCTGACAAGCAGGTGGTACTGACTCTGCTATGCTCGCTCCTGAATACCGTACGTCCGTGGATGTGATACGTTTGCTTAGTCTATGCTAATAGTTCACCAGGCTGTCAAATACAATCCAGCTTCATGGAGGGTTCCATATGATCACGTCGTTTGGAAGGACCCCAAGCAGATCTTGGTCATTTACTGTTTGCAGTTTCTTCTAGTACTCCTCCTCTACCCAGTACCCGAAGATGGTCGCGGAGCTCCGCCGAAAAACTATTATCGGCACTACTTTGGGAGATTGCATCGGCCGCAAGACTTTCAGTTCCTTACTGACGGCATGACCCGAATCTTGAATCAACCGGTCAGTACTGTACCTTTCTCGCTCGTGGACGCTTTACTAATCCACTTGGATAGATGCAAGCAACCAATTCCTATCTTCCAGGTAGTCAAAGATCAGTCAAGTGGGCACCCGAGATGCTGGTCCTGTTTTGGGAGGCTCTGCAGTGCAACAAGCGATTCAGATCATTCATAATCGACTCCAACCGCTCGCATGACTTTATCATTCTCTGTATATTCTATGCTATCGTTTACAAATCCGACGCTTCCAAGCAGGGCGTGGTTAGGATGTGCATCTTCATCATGCAGACGATGAGCGTTGAGCCCAATTTCGGCCAGAGCTTGAACACCAAGTTCGAGGCGCAGGAGACTCTTCCGCAAAGCATCCGTATACCTGGATTCCGGGGAACGTATGCAGACTTTTTGATCATGGTACGTCATATGCTACTCAATCTGTACATGAGCTGACGTTGGTATAGTCCGTCCATACTCTGATCACTGCCAGCAAAGGAAAGCTGAACACCGTTTACCCTGCTCTCTTGGCTATCATCAACAACATTGCCCCGCATGTCGAACATCTTTCGCCGAGCTCGTGCTCCAAGTTGCTGCAGCTCTTCTCGTCCATGTCGGCTCCCAGTTTTCTCCTGGTAAACGAGACGAATCACGTCCTTCTTGCCTCAGTACTGGAGTCGATCAATTCGATCCTTGAGCATCAATTTACCAGTATGTGATTTGTCGGGACATGTGGGATCTTACTAACTGAGTGCAGAAAATCCCTTCCTGGTGTATGCGATTCTGAAGTATAGAAAGCGCTTCGAGGCAGTGCGAGAGTTCACCCTAGAGAGCGGACAACAAGAGATAGAACGCCAGAACGAAAGAAGAAAGAGCTCGAGCGGCTCGCACGAATTCGTCTGTAGCCCTGTTCTTTCGCCCTCCGATGAGGATGCCCAGGTCTCTTCTGGCACACGGTCACCATTGGGTCGCATCCCCGAAGAGAACAGCCCTTTTGCGATTGGCGGAGACGAGGATTCGGACGATGAAAGAGAGGGGCAGACCACGCCGGCGCAGGATTCGCCGTCCGTGCAGACGTCTCGTCGACCTTCGATTTCCTCTGTCGTCGAAGAGAGCGTTCCCCTGCAGCTGCGCGGCATGTCTGAAAAGGCACGGGGCAAGATGCCGGCCGGACAACCCTCCTTCTCTAGACAAAACAGCATGACTAGTCAGAGCAGCCTTTCGGCAGCATTTCTAACATCTGCTAGCGGTTTCACGCCGACTACAGCATGGGTAAGCAATGCTTCCTGTATAGCACCATACGTTTACTAACTAAGAATGTAGCTTGAATCCTGGTTAGCGGAGCTACCACTCCACACCATTCTTACGATCATCTCGGCCATCGCCCCCCATGTTCCCGAGTCAGCCTTCCGATCCGCTTCCAGTCCTGAAGCTCGCACGTTGATTACCAACCTCCCCACCTTTTTGGAAGACCCAGCGATCCAGACCATTGTCTCGGAGCCCTCGCCGGTCCGTGTGCATTCGTTTGAATGGTCCGCTCTTTCGATGGGCTGGTACGAGTCCCTGCTCTGGGGATTCATCTTCTCGAGCGAAATGGTGGTTGGTTCTGCCTCGGGCGCGACACCGGGCACAGTTGGTGTTTGGAACGGAACTGGCATCAAACTGTTCAAGGTCCAGGAGGCAGCTGCGCAAGGTCCCACATTGCTTGCGCCCAAGGGGGCCGTCGATGCTGTGGGCAGCAACCTGGTGCAACGCATTGGTAACTTGAGCTTCCGGCGGAGCAGCACACAGGAGTCTCAGCCCAACTCGCGACCTCCATCGATTCGAGAGGTCTGATCATCGCGGTGGGTTCTTTATTCTGGCTTGTGAAGGAATCACACCGTGTCATTATAAATTAGCTCTGCTTAATGATTCTTATGTCTGAATGATACCTCCCGGCGTCTGCGTGGGTTGGTTTGTGTGCCGTTACTGTTAGAAGTTAGCGTCAGGTTGTGATTATTTTCTTGTCGCTCTTGTGATAGTCGTGTTCAGCTATTCATTTGCATGTAAAGATGCCGTGTCAAGATGTAGTGTATAGTAGTAGTTGTTGATAGTAAGTAGATGAGTGGGTGGTTCTTCTCCGGCTGGCAGGAGCCACCACGTGAGGCCGCGATTGGCTGGTTGGCCTCCTTTCCTCGTGCTTGACCGTCCGTGAACAAGACCGGCTCGATCTCTTCTTCATCATTCACAATCTACCCATCTTTATTGAAACTAATTGAAACGGCTACTATACCATAATTATTATTTCTCCCATTCGCTATACTCGGTACCAAAAGATGGTCCTTGCCCCATCACTGGTCGCGGCATCCGCGTTCCTGCTGGGGGTCCCGAGACTGGCCGCCGCGGGAGCCACGGAGCTGCAAAGCGTATTGAAGAACACGCATGGGGGCAACGAGTATGGCTATCCCACAGACTTTACCAGGGGAATCATGCCGGTGAGTTTATATAATTAATAATGTAACCCGTTGATGAAACCATTGCATGCGTGGTTGTGTCTGGATAGATAGTCACTGAAACTACTCATCTACTTCATCAGATTCCAGTCCATTCACACAAGTCAGTCATTTACTCTGAACACCTTCTCTATTTTCAAATACTAACTTTGTTGGCAGCGACTACTGGAGAGACATACCATTTTACACTGGTATAGCCCACCACTTAACCGTTGTACCCACCCCCTACTAACCAACCCACCAGGCATTTCAAAAGGATGTATCTCAACCGAAGCAGACGTATGGCTATACAACGACACTCTCTACGTCTGTCCACCTATTCTAAATTCTAACCTCTCTCCTAGCCAAACCCCCCACTAACAGGTTAAACCAGGTCGGACACGACGAATCCTCCCTAACTGAATCCCGAACCCTAGAATCCCTATACATCAACCCCATGCTAGACGTCCTGAAACGTCAGAATCCCACAAGTCGATTCGTGACCTCTCCCACAAACAAGTAAAAACCCCATCCCTCCAACTTCCCCGTCTAAGCAGATTAACTAATGAGAAAAGCGGCGTCTTCGACACCTCCACTGCCCAAACTCTCTACTTCTTCATCGACGTCAAAACCTCCGGGCCGGAGACCTTCGCCGCCGTAATCAAGGCGCTAGAGCCCCTCCGGGAGCGAGGCTATCTCACTTCTCTGAAGAACAACAACACCTTGACCACCGGACCCATCACCGTTATCGGAACGGGTAACACGCCCCTTGCCATGGTGGGGCCGGTAGCAGACAGGGACTATTTCTTTGATGCGCCGCTTGGTGCGCTCAGTGAGAGTCGGTATCAAGATATCGATCAGTATATTTCACCCATTGCGTCGACAAATTTCGGGGCTGTCGTGGGGATGATCGAGGGTGGGGAGGTGAGTGGGGAGCAGAGGGATGTGCTGAGGAAGGTGATTAATATCGCGGCGCAGAGGGGCATTGGGGCGAGGTTTTGGGGGACGCCGTATTGGCCGATTCGAGTAAGGGATTCTGTGTGGAGAACTTTGGTGGATGAGGGGGTTGCATTGTTGAATGCGGATGATCTGGATGCTGTGACGAAATACTTCTAAGGTTCGTGTCATCTGAGTTCTCTAAGGGTATTCAACAGTATCGAAGCCCCTCTAGACTTGAGGAAGCACGGTATACACCTCTTCTGCAGACGTTTGGGTTTTCTGTTTTAGCAAGAGTTTGTCGCCGCACCAGAGTCACTAGGTAACTGCTTTAGCTTCCAAAATCAACTTCCATAATTACACTGGTCAATTTCCGTGGACTTTCCATATATAGCGGACTCCTCAATATGGGCAATGTAAAGATACGCCATTTGGAGCAATCTGCCTCTTGTATATGGCTCTCCTAGAAGCTAATCACATGTTCGCTCTAGTGTCTTGATGAGCTCATCTCTTTGTGCAATATCACTCAACCTTCTCAGTGGCAAGTGTTTGAAGATACAGCCAACTAGCAAACTCCACACTCGGTCTGATCACTGCCCGAGTAACAAGCTCTGCAAGCCCCAGGGTCAGACACCCTAGGATAATTTGAGGGACGATGAACCCAATTTCCAAGCCTAAAGGCCCTGAACTTGGCAGTGGAAAGAAATTGGCCAGCCCATTCAACGAAGGATGAAGCGGAGGGCCTCTGTCTCTCCATCCCACAATCATGTACAGCGTGTCCGCGAAAACGAACATCACAGGCCCGTGAATCAGGTATATCCCGAATGATATGCGGCCCAGCCATTGGAAACTCCTATGTTCGAAGATGGACCTCAGTCGAGGCACTCGTCTGACGGAAAAAATGAGGAGAGTTGCGGCAGGGAGCAGAAAGTGCCATTTCGGATCATAGGCGACTTCAACCCGGGGCACAAGCCGGGAGAGAAGTTTCCATCCGGGATTGATTTGGACACAGTCCATGTCGGGACAGTGAGGTACTCCACCAAGATACAAACTGCAACAAAGAGCGGCTGATAAGATGTATGCTGTTGTGGGGGGCCGGTTCCATATCGTGTAAAGGTGTGTTTCGTTTTCCAATACATCGATCTCTCGCAGCAACATTCCGGACATGAACAAGGCAAGGTACCATCCATCCTGGACGGCATACATGAAATAGAGCATCAAAAACAGTTGACAGGATATTCGTGCCCGGCGAGAAGATCTCGATAGTGCGAGAAGCACCGCATAGATGACTAGCGATCCTTTGAATTCTACCGGGATAGACCAAAGGTGGGAATTGTAACTGAGATATGGAGATTCGAGCCTCGCAAATGGGAAGCCGAATTCCTTGACTTCCCTGGACCATACCCTCAGCTCCTGGGACCAGCTATCCTGCGGGTATGCGCCACGGATCTGAAGGCCGAAGACATGCCACAGGGTCATATAAAGAAAGGTGGTGGCTATGAGAGGCAGATAGAGGCGTGTCCATCGTCGGAAGAGCGCACCGGAAAGGTAAGCTGCCAATGCACCTTGTCGCTGACTCGTGATCAGATCTAGGGGCCGGGTTGATAGGACATAGCCCGAGATCACAAAGAAAACAGCGGCGGCATAGTGGCCGCCGTTGAAGAGAATCCGGACTCCGGGCAGTGTGATGAAATGATAGCGCGAATGGAATCCGAAAGCAAGTTCGTATATAGCAAGTGCAGGTCTATGGGCCCAATGCTGTTGGTGATGCCAGTAAACGAGGACCGCACCAGCACCTCGCAGGCCGTCGAGGAACTTGATGTGATCCTCTGGTGCTCTGAGATCTATTCTCATGATGTCTGCCTCTACCCTGTGGGGGCTTGCTGGGACTTGCTTCCATTTCCCTCTTTTTTTTAATCGTATGAAGGATGGAAAGCGGGGTGAAAGGCCAGTCAATGCATCCTCCAGAGCAGAAAGCAGCGTACTAATACAAAACATGGGATGCACCGTATCGGAAGCAGAAGCCCGAAGACCGACGGACGGCCTTGATGCATGAACAGGGAAGCTTATCGTTACTAGTGAATTACTGCAGCCATGTAATCTATGGACGGGACTGGACTGTGCTCCGATGTGTCCCGATATTTAAGCATGCTTGTTGCCTACCTGATTATAGGACAGAGACAAGAGACATACTGCTTCATGCTTTTCAAAATGGACTCAGGAAAGTCGTCGCTCACCCTGCTGTTTTCTGCCAGTCTCTTACTCCTCAGTGCATTGCAAATAGGGCAATGGGCCTCCAAGGTGTCGTTCCTTACGTCCAGCAAAGAGTCATCTCCAGTGATCACCAGCTCGTATGACTGCCACCACGAGTACACCATTGAGTTCCTTTCGCTGGATCCGCTGGTCATGTACATCAACAACTTCATCAGTGAAGCAGAGATCAATCATCTGCTGAGTCTCCCGTAAGTTCTGCACTGCCCTTTTTCTTCTTCTCGCCTTCATATCTGATCCTCATCGCCAGAGGGGACAAATGGAAAGAGTCTCTGGTCTACTTGCCCCGCGACGGCCAGTGGCAGTCTGACCTGGACAAGCACTGGCGGTCCTCAAAGTCATCTATGGTACCGGCACGGGATCCAGTGTCTCGCTGTCTATCCAAGCGGATGAGGTCGCTGCTAGGAAACATCCAGCATGAAGCCACCGAGCCTCTCCAGCTGGTCCGGTACGATGGCGGAGAACGGTTTCGCTTGCATCAAGACTGGCTGGAGACTCCGATCCTGGAAAACTTCACTGCGACTCCATCCCTACGACAATACAATCGGCTTCTGACCAGCTTTGTGTATCTGGAAGACAACTGCACAGGTGGCGAAACATACTTTCCCCTGCTAGTGGGTGTTGGCCCGAGTGCCGACGGGGAGAAATTCTCACGAGCCGAAAATAACGAAGGGCTGCTCGTGAAGCCAAAGCGCGGAAATGCTGTGCTGTGGAACAATATGTTCATGAACGGAACAGGAGATCGCCGGCTGCTCCATTCCAGTTTGCCAGTCAAGTCGGGACGGAAAATCGGCATGAATTTGTTCAGTCTGTTCTACCTGGACCATCCGATTGTAGGGGAACCGGACAATGTCTGATGAAAATGAAAGTGTCGTCCAAGTATAGTTTAACTAGTTATTATTGTTGGAACATCTAGCAGTAGCTACTACTAAGTAAGCCAAAAATGAAGGACAAAATCTATCTACCTACACTGGGAGCCTTCCACCCCAAATCAAACCCCCAGATATTCAATCCGACTTTCTGTCCGGACTTAACGGGCAAAGCCGCATGCAGCACATCATAATGCACCGAACCGTTCGGGTGCATATTCTCCCAAAACACCGCCGTCCCTTCGATCGGCTTAAACGTCACCCCGGCGTATTCGTCATTCTCGCATTCGATGATCTGACACCACCGCGGGTCTTCCGGCCGCTTCAAGCGCGGGAAATTAGTGCCTCCCCCTGTACAATTATTCCCCACCAGATAAACCAGGAGAGTGGTGACCCGGTCCCCCTCTGGAAGATTCCCATGCCAGTCATAGTGCCAACTGTAGAAGCCATTAACCGCGTAGCGTTGAACCTTGAGCCGCTCAAGGACGGTGTCGTTTCCTCGCCACCCCTGCAATCGTTGGGCACGCTTCTTGATCCGACGCACGATGGGGTCTTGAGGCAATACGGCGGACTCGGATACACGGGACAGACGGTTAATGTGATGGTTTCCTTCTGGGTAGACCTTGGATGGCTCGTAGGTTCCTTCACTGGGGGTGGGGGGGGGGAAGAAGTGAGAAAATGGTCTTGAAACGCGGAGAAAGAGAGGTTAGGAATTCTTATGATGTCCTGTCCGTACCTGATCTTCAGTAGGTGGTTGATCTCTGCTCGACTGACAAAATCACGGATATGAAGGATCAGAGGGTCTCGAGAGAAGATCTGCACGTCGTAGCTAGGTTCATCGCCCACAAGACCAGCAGCGGATGTGGAAGTATTTTCGGGTGCATTGGGGCCGGATCGATGGAATAAGTGATCATGGCTAAAGAGAGCAATGTATCCCATTGTCAAGGCAATGAGTACATTGATTGAGGTCTTTCTTAGAGACATGCTGGAGGTATGAAACTGATTAGTCTTTTATTTATATATATATATATATATATATATCAGGGAGGAATATCGGTGCGGGTTTGAGAGAAAACGGAATGCTTTGGATGAGCACGAAGACCAGAAAACCTTTTTATAAAGGGCCCATTCTTCTATCGGGGATTATTGGGACTCATGGAGCGTATCCCCCCGGGCTTCTTCTGCTACATGTGTCTACCCTTTATCCCCGTAAACCCGCTAATACAGGATGCATTTACGTAGTGAGGCAATACAACAATTTCAAGGTTAATAATGATCCGAGGGATCCATTCTTTGATGTCATCATATATGTGTGCGTGAAAGAGTGTCTGGATATCAACAGGATTGCTGTGTCGCCACTATTCATCTTCCATCCTTCCCCGAACTTCGGTCATACTAGGTTCCACGTCGTCTTCCTATTCATCACCTTCAATGTCTTCTCTCTTCAAGGGGGAGTTGGGAGCTAGTGCAAAGCCATCTGAGTCAACATGTTATATTATCTCGCCACGGGGGAGGACGTCCACTTACGGATATCGGGTTCGAGCTTGTTGCGCTTCTCCAAATCATTCAAGTTCACGATCTCGGGGGCCGCGACTGCCAGGGAGGTGCTGGCAAAGAAGGTAAAGGCAACAAGGACTTTGAGGAGTTGCATTGTGAATGAGGTCTTGGGGTTGAGGGTGGTTGCTGTTTGTCTTGTGCGCGATGCAAGTAGGTTGTGGTCTTAGAAAAAAGGGAATCTGAGATGGAAGAATCCTTATATAGCTTATGAAAGCAATGTCGTAAGATATTTGAAAGTGAGAATGACGGCACGAAACAGCCTGGATGTGGGCGTGTCCGGGGTTGCGATATGCCTCACTCAATCCGAAGGCAACGCTTGCGTAGGCTCCAGCATTGAAGATACAGGGGTTGTAGTATTGTTATCTCTCACCTATTGGAGTCTCGATGACGCAAGGTGGTCTATTCCAGATGGAATAATTATGTATTGAATGTGTCCCGCAGAAGCATTCAAGTGCCAATTCTTTACCCACCGCTAGAGTTTACCATGAACCCCGACTCAGAGTCCGAAGTGTACGTCCCTTTATGGTCTCTTTGCAGGATCAATATCCATCTCTGACTGTGACCTAGCTATGAACAGCTGGAACTGCCCGATGCTGAATCCGAAGACCAGCATCTTATTCGAACTGGATTCGGAGAGATACCAGAATCGAAATCTCGACTCCACCGGCGCTCCCTCAAGGTGCCGATCAAACTTGTATCGGCCACTATCACAGTATTGTTGGCTCTTGCGCTATTAGCCCTCGTGTACACTCAGTGGCCGCCCTCACCCTGGAAAGACTGCGGGAATTCCCCCGAAGAAGCCCGAAGAAGGGGGTGTAATTTCGATATCATGTCGTTTTCCTGGGTGCTCGAGCCATGCGATGATACCGAGCTAACCGAGGAGTTTCTGGGACTGGAAGATTGGCAGTGGTTTACTGAATTTAACGGTACGGAGACAGTACCTAAGGATGTTGTTGGCGCTGGGGAATTGGACCTGTGGGTTAGCTGGAAGTATCACATCATTCACTGCACTTACATGTGGAGGAAGATGCATCGAGCCATGGAGCGGGGAAGACCCATGGACAGTCATCTACGGTCCTACAATCACACCGTGCACTGCAGCCAGATGCTGTTGTACAATTGTGTGGCGGATATGGTGACCACCAGAGCATATGTCCGATATCCGCGCTGTGGATAGTTGATGTGATGTGCGGGCCTGTTGCTTGCGAGGGTTTACGAGACTAGCTCACTCAATCGGGGGTATAGATAGCAGACAAGGCGACTTACTCGTACTGACATGGGCCATATTGCGCCAATCTCATTCATTGTGTTCTCGTCGTGCATTGAATAGCGCACACAAGGCAGAATCGAAGGGGTCAGAGCGTAGCCAGATCCATATTTCCATGCTCTTCGATAAAATAAATGAACCGGGAGGATTTCTCTCATTCCTGAGCAAGGATCAATTCCTTTCGGAGTAATATGCGGAGAAATGCACAAGAGGTAGGTATTTTACTAGGAAACGCGTCATTCCTCCATCATGTCTCTGTCTAGCTCATCGCTTATGAAGCCGTACAGCTCTCAGTGAGAGCCACACACATGGTCAGAATCTCCTTGTCGCGTCCCTCTCAGTCTTGAAATCAAGGTACACGTGAACATACACCTGAAAGAACCCGACCATCTTGGTCTACACAATCTCGACTCCAGAAGCTCTAATCAAAGAGATTGCATGTATTGCCGGATAATATTTCCAGCCGCTTGATCCCACAAGCGCTGGTCACACGACCTCCGGCGGGGGAGCTAAATTACGTCCGTGATAATCGCTTCAGCAATAACCTAGCTCCTTATCAGGAAATGAAGCTTTTGATCGACACGGCCTTTCGGGACTTTGGCCTCCACCGGGAAAGATATCGTAATGTTGTGATACTAGTGGTTGTCTTCCTACCCCTGCAGCATCTGACATGCTTAGCGGCGCATAGACACTTTTAGTCTCCTCTATGTCCGAGGCAACAGCATTCTAACAACTCGTTTTTCTAATTCCATTCCGTCTCGGCCTGTTATATCCCAAATGCTTATCTGGTACCATGCCCAACCACCTTCTACTTTTGTTCATCGTGCGGGGTATGAAGACATAAAATTGATGTCGCAGACAGTTCATTGCATTGCGGTACCAAACCCCGTTCTTCTATTGGAAATCCAACATGGCCACAGTTCAGCCCCTGCTCCTAGTACCTATCGCCGAGGAAATTGTCCCCACCATGCAGCGAATCGTTAGTCGATACAATGCTGTTCGTAACGAGATTCTTCGCACCGTTACTCCAGAGACTGCTACATATGATTCGGTCGTTCGGCCATGTGCAGAACTCGATAACGTCATCAGTGCTGACGTGCATATGCTTTACATGTTACAATACGGCGCCCCGGACAGAGCCACCCAGGATGCTTTCGTCCAGGCACGCCGCATTCTGGTCGATGCTGAGACGGGATGGACTGCGCGCGCAGACTTTTTTGTTTTGCTGGAAGCGGTTAAAGAAAAGTCCGAGCTAGTCGATTCAGAGTCCAGGCTCTGGTTGGAGCGCGAATTCCAAGACTACAGGTTAGCTGGACATGGTTCGCTCACGACACCAGCCCAGCGGGAGGAATACCGCACGGAAAAAGCGGCAATCTCTGACCTGGAACGTCTGTGTCATCGGAATCTAGCCCATGAAAAAGGAGGAGTCTGGTTTACGGTGGATGAATTGGACGGACTGTCAGACAAAGAGCTAGCGAAGTGGGTAGAAGGGACAGAGCCAGCTAATCGGGGCAAGAGACTTGTCACCTTTGCAAATGGTGGGTATACGGCTGTTATGACTTATGCGGACTCGGCGGAGACGAGGGAGCGCATGTATCGGGCTTACAACATGAGAGTTCTGGAGAATGGACGGCTGTTGGAGGAGATTGTGAGGAGACGAGATGCACAAGCACGGAGGCTGGGATATCCAGATCATGTTGCGGTTCAAATGGAACGGCGGATGATCAAGCAAATCAAATGGGTGGATGAGTTCCTGGCGCAACTGCAGGAGAAACTTGTCCCGCGGGGTCGTGAAGAGCTGGAGGGGTTGAAACGGATCCGGGAAAGATATCTACTGAAGCAGGGTAGGTCAACAGATGATGTCGATGATGGGTTCCCTCCATGGGATCAATCGTACTATCAGCGGTTAATCGAGCAGGATTTCGATATCGATCAAGGCAAAATTGCGGAGTATTTTCCCCTTGACAGAACTGCAGCTGGGATGCTTGAGACCTTTGCATCGATGCTGGATCTCCGCTTCGATCCCATTGAAGGGCTCGCCTTCCCTTTTGTTTGGCATGAGAGCGTGCGGGTGTTTTCCGCATGGGATGGGAGGGATGCCAATGCGCCGTTCCTGGGATATCTCTATTTCGACCTGCAATGGAGAGAGAACAAGTACCGCGGCAACCAGTGTGTTATTTTGCAATGCGTAGGTTATTCTCCTGCATGAGTTATTTTTACTCATGTTCGTTAGGGCTCATCCAAGCCAGATGGAAGCAGGCAGCATCCTTCAGTGGTGCTAATGTGCGCTTTTTCAACAAACTCCGGCACTCATCTGCTCCGCCATCGGGAGATGATATCTTTGTTCCATGGTAGGTTACCGGGTGATTTATCCGGTGGCCCACCATCTCTAATGCGTATACAGAAATGGGCCACGCCATCCATAATCTCCTATCCCAGACGCAATATGCCCGCTTCCACGGACCCCAAGGACTACGTGACTTTGGCGAGATCCCTAGTATGATGCTAGAGAATTGGTGCTGGAGAAAAGACGTCCTAAAGCAATTGAGCTGCCATTATACACAGTTGAACGAGGAAGAGCTATTGCAGTGGCGGACTCAACATCCCGGAGAGGCGGATCCTCCAGCCCAGATCCCGGATCAGCTTGTGGGCGATCTGATTCGAGGTCAATACGTGGGGAAAGGATTGTGGTATTGTCGTTTGCTGTATGGTCACTATTCTTCGCATGCAAGACACTGTTTCTAATATAGACGTAGAGTGATATCACTTTACGACCTGAAAATCCACCGTCGCGGTCCAAATCAGGAATTGGACCTCCAAAAGCTCTGGTATGACGAACTCGAGAAGGTCATGGGGATGGATTATGCAACGTGCAGAGACGGATACGAATTTGCGACAATCGGTCATCTCACTGCTGGATACGATGCGGGTTACTACTCGTACTTGTGGTAAGTCAACAATCCTGAATAAATTGTCATAGATAATGGAGAAACAACTGATAGTTTTAGTTCCGCCACTCTGGCCCAGGATCTGTACCTGACCAGGTTTGCCAATGATCCTTGGGATAAGAAGACGTGGAGAGATTTCCGGCAGACTGTGCTGAGACCCGGGTCAAGTGATAAGAACCTGCTGGGGGTGTTGGAGGATTTTCTGGGGCGTGCATTCAATCCTGATGCGCTGGTGCAGGGGTGGATGTCGCTATAGATCCCATTATCTTCTGAATGGAGGAGAGAATAGAGTTGTATGTTGATGAGATGAGATGGGATGAAATGAATGGGATGAATGAGATAATGAGATAATGAGATGTTCCGGTGATCCGGTGCCTTCCCGATTAGGAAATCCTCTGGGGGAGCAAAAGTGGTTGATTGCCAGGCAGGATAAAGATCCCATGACACGTTCAAATCATTCTCCATTCACTACTACGCTGAGTCCCCGGTTTACTTTCGCCAAAATCTTCTTCTACTAGGTGACCACCGATGCTGTCAGCAGCGCCAGAGTGCTCATTGGCAGACGAAAGGAGTCAGACGGCAGCACGTGATACCCCGTGAAATGGAACGCGTGTGAGGGGGAAAAAAAGGCCAGGGCAGAAAAGCGCAAATAAAACGCCACGGAGGTCTCGAGCCATCTCCACTGGTCTCTCGATGCGAGAGCCACCATCCACGATGTCTCAGGTTGACGTTGACCTGGGCGAGCTGTTGGCCGAGGGGCTGCCCGGCCACGTCGAGCTCTCCATTCGCCATGTCTCGTCAACGCCCACGCCCTCCACGGCCCTCTTCGCAGCGCCACCGGGTGAAACCCCGGAACCTACGTTCTGCACAAACCACTTCCTCACCGCTGCTATCAATCTAGACAAGTCCAATGGCGCCGAGATTATCGTGTTTGGCATGGAGGTGTTGGTCTACAGCACCGCCCACTTGACCACCGTATTCGTGTCCAAGGCCGACTCCACCGGCTACCTCCATCGTCTGGCCACGGCCCCAAAGGTCTCTCTTCTGCGGCGCATCTCTCATACTTTCCTCTCCTTTCTGGTCCAGACCCATCAAAGACCGGGTGTCCGGCTGCTAGTGTCCTTGTTTGCTCGGGCGCAAAGCCAGTATTTGTTCCCCGGCAGTATCGACAATCCACAGAAGCATGTCTTGGATGACCGGGGCCTGATCAAGTGGTGGTGTCGCGTTGTCGATCCCATTCTACGCGAATACGAGCCGGAGTCGGGCTCGCACCAGAAGGGGCTGCAGGACCACCAGGCGGAGTCCGCCAAAAGTTCAGCAACTGCCTTTCTCATCGTCCCCGGGTGTGACCGGTTTGAAACCAGAGGCTTCTTCCCGGCCACAGCCAGATCGGATGACAAGGATCGTCCGCGGTGGTTGAATAGTTATCCCGTACACCAGCTGTGTGACAATCCCAAAGCGCCTCCTCGTTGTCTGATTCCCCAGTTTCCGGATGACCCCAAAACACGCTTCGTGCTTGACCTTGATAATGAGCTCCCGAAGAAAGCAGATGAGGTCTCCGGGGAAAATGCGGGGCACTGGCGGAGCGTTAGATCTTTGGAGCAATTTTGGGAGATGATGTCTTTCAGGCAAGAATGCTCAGCTGGAAGGTTGGTTGGCTTCTTGTGGCTCGTTATCAATCCTCCCGGGCTTGTGAACTCGGTGCAGATGACCAGTTCTCGGTCCGTTCTTGGTGATTGCAAGAGCCTCGCGGACAATATAGCCAAGTCGGCTGGTGATAGTGCAACGGTTTCCAAGGAGACGTCGGGCGATGCTACATCTACCCCGGAGCAGCCTTCCAAGATAGCTACGGATCCTGGTGCGCGGTTGTCGTCGGGCCGTTCGAACGATTCTACTTCTACTCCAGCACAGCCGGCTGCTACAACCGACACTGATCCTAAGCCCCCACAAACTGCTGATGCCGATGCGTTTTTCTGGCCAGAGGCCGGGCGAGGGCATGCAGTACTGAGCGAAGCGGACTACCAAACGGCAATCAACTTCCTCCTCGATCAAGACTTTGACACCGAGCAGGTCGCTATTGCCAGCACCAAGGCATGGGGCGAGAAGGTTGCCTCCCTGGCGGACCAGCTCTGGGTTGGGAAGCGGGTCGTGGGAAGAAGCAAGAAGGACGAAACCTCCCAAAAGACCGTTGAGGTGAACACGCTCATGACCAGCGGACTTGTTCGAAAGCGCAAGAAGGCTGACACCGAAGTTGAGCAGACTGCAAGCAGCAAGACGGGTGATGAGGCGAACAATAGCACCGGATCAACGACGGTGATTGCTCAGGCATCAGGTACAACTTCGGGTGTCAACGTTCTCCAAGCCAGCTTGATCAGGAAAAAAAAGAAGACATAGACGACCGGTGCTCGTCTGTTGGTTTGGACGGTTTGTATACCAGTCTTGGGCCACGGACGAGCTGACAGGTATTGCATAAGCGGAGTCGGACTTGGGTGGGGATTCGGCGAACATTGGATTTCGCCCCTTGTACAATAGGATAGGATTAATGGGTTGTTCTTTAGCATGTTATAATAAACACAATGGCCATAATTGACATGGTTCCTCCTTGGGTACTCTTTCCGCGGGTGTCCATGGAACGTGGGATAGCCTGGAGCCACGGAACCGTAGGGGAACAGGCTGATACTATAGATAGATGTGACCTGTATTGCCTGTCTTCATACACTACGTCGATGGTATCTATCTACTAAGCATTGTGGAAACTGGAAATGCCCATGTCGACCTGCCTCAGGCCAATGGCAGTGAGGCAGTGCGGCTCCATCCGGATCCGCGACGCCCAATTTCCCGCCGCGCGATGAAACGAAACCCACCGTCGCGCTCAAGTCCACCAACCATCCGCTGGATCCGACCAGGAACGCTAGTCCACTCGGCTCGACGGTTCATTGCTTGTCTGCGGCAGCTCGACGGTTTGCGTGGCCGTCGCATCCAGTAGAAAAAGCAACGAATCGTTGCCCGACCGCAACTCTTCTCCCCTCCTCCACTTCTCCTGCTGCTCCGCCTCTTCCTAGAATGTCCTCGTCGTCCTGTCCTGCTTCCTGCCAGATCTCCGCCTCTCGTCGTGTCCGCCTATGTTAGAGCTTCAGTCGCGTTCGATTTCCCCCGATGTTGGACCGGCCATTCGCCATGGCGGGTTCCAGTGGTCAGTCGCGGCCGGTTGGGTGGGATTGATCTGGTATACCGTCGTGGTGGCCGTCTGCATGCTGGGATACTTTCAGCTGTACTTTCCCCACCACTCAGGATCAGACGTGGCTTCTTCCACTAACACTTGCTTTCGATCAGATGGAGGAATTATTTGCGGATTCCCCGGAAATCCTCGTCCGCAACGGCCTCGAACGCCCCCCACGTCACCGCAATCCGACCGGTCAAAGGACTCGAACCGCATCTCTACGAATGTCTGGCCTCAACCTTCCGACAGGACTACCCCCACGACAAGTTGACTGTCTCCTTCTGTGTGTCCTCCCGTAGTGACCCGGCATACCCGATCCTACAGAAGTTGGTTTCGGATTTCCCCCATGCCGATGTGCGACTCTACGTCGAAGACGATGACCCGTTACTCCAACCGGACCACTCCCCCACCTACGACTTGGGTCCTAATCCCAAGATCCGGAACATGAGTCGGGCCTACCGAGAAGCCAAAGGGGATATTGTCTGGATCATTGATTGCAACGCGTGGGTGGGAAGAGGCGTTTGTGGCCGCATGGTGGACAGGCTGTGCGGCACTGGTGCTACTCCAGGGAAGCGGTACAAGTTCGTCCATCACTTGCCGGTTGCAGTGGACATGTCAGGAACTGCCAGTCTCCGAGAGGAGCAGGAAGCATTGCTAGAGTCCTACACAAACCGCAACGCCATCCGGGAGAGCAGCGAGGCAGCAGCGGTAATAGGGCACGAAACGGGTCTACTTGCGACAGGTGGCGGCCGTTTGGAAGAACTGTTTCTGTCCTCCTCGCATGCAAAGATGTACACTGCTATCAACACCGTGTTGATCGCACCATGCATCGTGGGCAAGTCCAACATGTTCCGCCGCTCGCACCTCGACTACCTGACCGCACCGTCTCCGACGGACCCCCGCCGCCGTAACGCAGGCATCGATTACTTCTCTGACAATATCTGTGAAGACCACCTGATTGGGGACCTACTCTGGAAGAAACCGGTACGCGAGGAGAAGGAGCTTGGCGAGCACTGGGGCAAACATGCGCTGGTATTCGGAGACCTTGCTTTCCAGCCGGTAGCCAACATGAGTGTGCAGGCGTATGTGGCACGCCGGGTGCGGTGGCTGCGCGTCCGCAAGTTCACCGTAATGCTTGCAACGCTTGTCGAACCGGGCACGGAATCGATCTTGTGTTCGTGCTACGGGGCGTGGGGCGTCACGACGGTTCTGGCACAGTATCTTGGAGACAAGGGCTATGCATTTGCGGCGAGTCTGTCTACCTGGACGGGACTCTGGGGCTGCTTCTGCCTGAGCATGTTGGCATGGATCCTGATAGACTGGACGGTCTACATCATGCTGCACAGCGGCAAAACGGTGGAACTGGACGAAGACACGCCTTCCTTTGCGCGGCCCCCACGAGCCGTAACGCGCCGGAGCTTCCGGCAATGGTTCGCGGCCTGGCTGGGACGGGAGATGCTGGCGTTTCCGATCTGGCTGTGGGCCGTGTATGGCGGCGTGACGGTGACCTGGCGGGACCGGCAGTTCCGGGTCGGGCTGGACATGAAGGTCCGGGAGATTGAGGGGATTCCCACCATCCCCAGGACTTCATCCTCGCGCTCCTCCAGCTCATCCTCCACCGCAGACCGCACCAAATCCCGACGCGACTAGCCAACCCCATAGACATACATACCGGTAACCATCGCATAAAAAGAATAGACCGCAATGAACTTTTTAATATATGCCCAAAATCTATCGACCAATCATCAAAGTATCCTACTCCTTCCCCTCCGCAACACCACTCTCCAACTCACCCGCCTTCTCCGAACTCAACAACCACTCCACCACCTGTCTCCCCCTCGTCATCTCCCCAGCACCCTCCCCATCAGCACCCTCCCCACCAATCTCAACCTCCACCTCCTCATCCCCTTCACCTTCACCCTCCCCCTCAGCCCGAGTATTCCAATCCGCCCTCTCCGCCAAAAACACCGCATCTAGCCCCGCATCATTCTTAATCCCCACGTCCGCACCCCCCTCCACCAACGCCTTCACGCACTCCAAATGCGTGTTCAGTGCCGCCCAGTGCAACGGCGTGTTTCCGCTGTAGTTCCGGTGGTTGAGAATCTTGCTTGCCTCGGGGGTGGGAAGTTGCCCGAGGTGCGTGAGGAGGTAGGTTAGGATTTCTGTGCGGTTTGTTTTATTAGTTTTCATTCAGTCATTCGTAACGTACCGAAGGAAAGGGAGGAAGAAGGGGGATGGGCATACCCAAATTGCCATTCGCAGCGGGATAATGCAATAGACTCGATCCACTACCTCCTTCTTCGGCGGGAGCGGCATCGATTGCGGCGGCGATGATCTGCGCGGGCGAAGAGTTGGTTTGGGTGGCTAGGGTGTCGAGGTCGGTTTGGAGGGCGGGGAGATCGCCGGTGCGGGCGGAGAAGATTAGGTCGTCGATTGTGTCGGGGGTGAGGGTGAGGGACATTTTGGTGGATTGTTATGTTTGGTGGGGGTTGTTTGGTTGGGTTTCTCTTGGGACTTGGGTGTTAGGAGTTGAAGGGTGGGTATCTGGTTTGTTTTGTTAGTTTGGGTTCTTTCTTGGGTATTGGTTGGAGGTGGAGGAGGTAATGCAACGCAATGTAAAGCAACGTGAGAGAGAGAGGAAGGGAGGGTGGTGGGAGGGGTTGATATAAACTTGATATCATGCCCAGCACATCACCAGAGATGATCTCGAAAAAGAAAAATGCAGGTCCAGCTTGTCACAATGAGGAAGATGATGATCTCATTTCCTATTCTTCATACATCCCTCTCCGTTCGTGCTCCCCGCTGGAGACATGCTTTTCATCATTCAACTTCTTTTTATATTTTTTTTTCTTCCCCTCATTTCTCACCTGGGATACCCCGCACAGCTCACCAAAACCAGAGTTACAAATTTCAAATGATACACAAAAGCAAATGCGCAGATCTTACCTTATTCTAGAGGGAGGCGTGAATCATTAATGGGTTCTGATAGGAGATTACTTACTCTTGGTTGTAGATGTTTGGGAGAACTTTGATGCCCGGTCAGGTGACGAGCGGGTCTCGACCACATCTTTCTCTCATCTCATCTCATCTCATCTCATCTACGGGTATGTTTGTCTACAATCTATAATAATCTTCAAGATAATACCAATATTCATATTATACATACCGCTCTATCATGCACCCCAATCTACGTACAACGCCATACCTCACTAGTCACTAAGCATACAGAAAACTAAATAGGTATCTCAAGCGGGAACAATACGAAAAATCACAAGAATGCGCCCATCCCATCTAAGATCAATCAATCCCTCAACCAAGCTCGTCTCTTCTCCTCCTTCTTTTCCCTTCTTTTCTCCTTGAACATTTTCAATTCCTTCTTAGTCAACTTCTTCGCACTCCGCTCTGCCCGCAAGCTCCGTCCATCATGACTATTCGCCGCAGCATCCACATCAAAAAAGGCATACATCTGCCGCCGCGACTTGTTCTCATCATTGTGATATTCCGCGTTCTGCGACTCCGCCTGCCACCGGCCCGTAAACCGATTGAACGCTCCCACCGCCTCATACCCGCCCGGCACGCCCCCGGGCCCCGCTGAGGGGTCTTGTTGGGGTTGCTCGTATTGTTGCGCGTACGGCGCCGTGGGATCGTAGTCGCCGTGAATGGCAGGGTTGTAGCCTCCCATGGTGGCAGTGGGCGGGGGCACATCGTCGGTATCCTCCACCGCAGCGTTATTGTCCTCCGCTGTCGTGGTGGTGGTCATCGCGTCCGGAACACGCGGGTTCTCCCACTGAGAGGTCCCCGTATACCGATTGTAAAAGTAATAGGCTTGTGCGGTTCCGTCCCAGACGGGTTCCCAGCCATCATCTTCTCCTTTTCCTTGTCCTTGTCCTCCTCCTGCTGCTGCTTCTCCTCCAGGAACCGCTTCGTTGGGGAGCGGTGGGGGGATTTCATCTGGTAATGGAGGGGCAGAATCATCTTCCTCTTCTTCCTTTTCTTTTTCTTCTTCATTCCTCTCTTCAGATGATTCTACTTCTCCTTGTTCTTCTGGTTCTTGAGAGGTTATTTCTTTTTCATCTCTCGATTCTCCTTCTTGCTGTTGCTGTTGCTGTTGCTGATCTTGTCCTTGCGAGGGTATTTCCTTTTGTCGTTCTTGTTGTTGTTGCTCTTCTGGTTCCTGTTCTCTTTCGCTTGCTTCAAAGCTAGCACTAGCTGAGGTCTGATCCTGGGTGGGCGGAGCACCCGCGGACAGGCTGGTGTCGGGAGGAGTCGCGGACATTCTGCGATTAGCTCTTCCTCTTATCTGACGTGCTGAGGGGGGCGCGGCGGTGCTGGATTAGATGCTGGGGTTCATTGGGGCCAGTTCATCGCTGGGTTTGGGTGATGATGTGAATGCGGATGGATGGATTTGTCGAATATGACTAAGCCGTGTCGCGGAGTAGACGGAACTAGCCATTTTGGACTAGGGAGGTTGCCATTTTGATTAGGCAAGTTGCGCTACGGGACGAGTCACGTGGCTGGTGTGTAATTGGTGAGTTGTGATTGGTGGGGGGTAGTAGGGAAATTGATTGTGTTGGTGGTGAGTGCCGAAGAGTATGGATGGATTGGTAGGGTAGGGTAGGATCAAAGGTAGTTATTGACTACAGTGTCTTTGAGTGGAAAATATGATTACTGTGAAAGGAAGTTAGTTTGTTAGTATTCAATTGTTAGCGACTCAGGTACAACTGAATGGTGATGGTCAGTGTAGCAGTGACATACTATATATGTTTACAGTCCACGGTGAAGTGAATGCCACAAACCATCTCATTCAAAAACACTGACATCAAGAACCGAATTATAATATAGATAGGCTTACTGAGCATGCCATGTTATAGATATCCTTTCTAACCTTCTAAGCAGTATAGAGTAGATGGGCACACTTATTACTAGATCAATCAAACAGAGGTCGAATGTCCACCATAACAGCAAGTGACAATTAAATGACGAAGTACTCCATAGTTTATTACTATCTTAATACAGCTGCTTAGCTCATAGAAGAATCATATAGATAATAGGTTACTCTCCATTTTCATACTATATAATCTCAGCCAATCTATCCATCAACCAATGGCTACAAATTATACAACCCAACAAACCTTCCCTTCTTCAATGGACACTTCCGTTCCAGGTATGATGACTCTACTGCCATAGATTGCCCCGTTCAAAGATCACAAGTGATGCACATCCTAACCTACCGAGTTCAAATCATAGTCTAACACCAGATAAGTCAACAACCTATGAACCCCTAAATAAACCCCTCCAAAAGCGCACTTCAGGTAGTTGAACCCCATATCTACACCGTCCAGATACACAAACCTAAACAAACACGCCCAAATTCCTCCTCCCATTCCTCCCCACTGTGGCAATCTGCAACCCGCTAAGCAAACATCCCCAAACCCAAAACCAAGGAACGAATGTACCCTAACCAGATGCCAACTCAATATCCACCATAGAAAAACTCAACGCCGTCCTCTATCTACTAGGTACTACGTAGTTACGTAAAATTCTTCAGACGATTCATTATTATAATCGGAGAGATCCGACCTGAGTGATGATCATCGCTGATTTGGGAACCAAGGGATGAGGAGGATGTAAGGCCGGTTTGATAATATACCGTAATCTTGGGGTAATCATCTGATGTGCTGGTGAACTTAGTGAAAGGAATGGGGTAAAGCTTGAGCTTATCGGGGATGCTTGTGAGATTGTTGGGGTGTTGTGGATGAATTGAGTTTATGAGAAGGATTGGGGTGGAGGGAGAGTTTGTCTGGATGCATGCATGCACATATGTAAGTATTTGAGTATTGGAGCATGGAGGTTGGGATGCGATGCAGGTTGGCGTGGCATGAGACGATCGTGCAGTGCAGTTGCAGGGGTTAGTTCATATGTACGATCGTGTTGGGGTGCAGGCGATGTTGAGATTGAGACGCTGCATTGGGATGGGATGTGGTAAACGGAGTGGGTGAGTTGAGGATGGTTTAGAAGTACACTTTATGGGAGAATGGGCTTATACTTTAGGATAAACAGCGGATAAGCTAGATAAAGGAAAGCATAGAACAATGGCTTTGTGGTTAATCAAGGGGTGGAACCTCTATCTTGTATGTTATCGGTGACATGTACGGAGGACGAAGTATAGTTGTCTGATACAGAGTAGAGGCCAACCCACTGAACATAATAATGAAACATTACAGCTAGTAGAAGCAAATTTTGAACTTTTCAAGATCAACAATGTATTGGTATCATGTTACACGTAGATCTGAATACTTCCGAGATCGTGCACATGGACGTGGATCAACTGGCCAGTCGGGCCAGGCACCAAGGCTGCCACGTGCCGGATGCTTTTGTCCTTTCTCGTCTGCAGCTAACCTCGCATCCTCGCAGTCCATGATCGGCGACCAAACCTCCCCTCCCCGGTGCTGGAAGCGGAATACGGTGCCCGGAATGGTTACAGTGAAAGCATGCTCCTCACCGTCCGATCAACACCGTCCTCGTCATCTGTTTCAGACCCATCGAATAGAGTATCTATCCTCCCGGGCAATAGTTCACTTGAAGTCAGCGAGGCCAAGGCACAGCTCAGCGATTCGGGGACTTGCGGCGAGGAACAATGCTATTCGGAGATTAATAGGGATTCATTGAATACCCCTTGCTCGTGTTCGCCTTGGAAGACAAATTTCCGGCCCACGTATACCCTGGAGCTGGGGTTTTCTCAAGGGTCCAACCTTCTGTCATGAATCCCTTGCAGAGGGGCACATGCCATTGCATATGCCCTGCAAGCTTACAACAGTGCTTGCACGTCACTTGCATACCGCACGAGCGCCGTAGAAGGCACGAGGAGGACTATTGATCTGGTGGCGAGGCGAATACACAGTACAGCAATCGAGTAACAATGAGCAGGTGGCTGAGTGGCTACGACAATCCGCTACCCACCAGGATTTCAGGGCGAGACTCTAACTTTAGGTGGCCAATCGATCCACTTGGGACGAAAACAGCTGCGTACCTGCAGCTCCGGGAGACTTGCCGCCACAGGCGCTTGCATGAGGATCTGCAGCAAAAGCGAGGAGGAATGAGACCCTGGGTGCCTGCAATGCACCCCGGCCATAGCGCAAAGGCCGCTGTCTGATGGCATGCGAAAGCGGGCATGACCCGGGCAATTACGGCGAGAACCATGGGTCGATCCATGCCAACTGCTTCAGCAGATGGGTTCTGGAGCCAGGGTGACAGCTACAGAGGCATGGAAAGCTGTGAACGAGAAGGCACTTCCTTGCGTGACGCATTCCACAGGGGATCAAGGCCGATTGTACGCGGGTGGGAGCGCTCCGTAGGAACAAGTTTTGACCTTGCAGTGTTTTTCCAGGAGCTCAGAGACCTCCACCAAGTTCTATATAAGGGGCCTCGAAGTCGCCGTTCAATCGATTCTTTCCATCATCACAAACATTCGTTGATTCCCTCTCTCATTCTCTCTCTCAGTCCAGTCTTTCCAAGCACTCCGAGTTCCAACTCTCGTTCAATTCCAAACCCACCGTCACAATGAAGTTCTCCATCACCGCTGCTGTCCTTGCCTTCGCTGCCACCGTTGTGGCCCTCCCTGGCACTCCCTCCGCTGCCAATGGCAACGGTATTGCCAACGGTAACGGCAACAAGGGCAACAGCGACGTTCGCTTCCCTGTCCCCGATGACATTACCGTCGAGCAGGCCGAGGCCAAGTGTGGTGACCAGGCTCAGCTGTCTTGCTGCAACAAGGCCACCTACGCCGGTGACACCACCGATGTTGACAGCGGTATCCTCGCTGGTACCCTTGGCAACCTGCTCGGTTCCGGCTCTGGCTCCGAGGGTCTTGGTCTCTTCCAGGAGTGCTCCAAGCTCCCCATCGAAGGTATGCCTGCTCCCTTTTTCGAACTGATGGACCAATCTAACCACAACAGTCCCCATCATCGGTGTTGCTGTCCAGGATATCGTCAACCAGCAGTGCAAGCAGAACATTGCCTGCTGCCAGTCGTCTCCCTCCAGCGCCGTGAGTATCTCCAGATCCTCCCACACCCAACATCAGCTAACAATACTAGGACGGCGACCTCATCGGAGTCGGCCTTCCCTGCATTGCCCTCGGCTCTCTCCTGTAAGCTGCTTATCAGCACGCTTCTGGTCGGGCTTGGTCACGCTGCTTCACGGCATGGACCGGGGCTGGAAAAGGGATTTGGGCCTTCGCTTTTGGGCCGAGTCCAAATCCCTCTGGACTAATCGTGTACGAGTACCCTGGTGTCGCGTGGCACCTCGGAGAAAGACTGTTCTGTTTGCGTTTACCCTTGCTATTCACCATGCATTTGCCGAGTCTATTCGGCTCTGGCCTCGTTGCATAGAAATTTAATTGCATTAGACCATACCTTTATCTCAGTAATCAATCTGCTTTTAACCACTTCCTTCTAGTAGAGCATCCCTAAGACTTACAGTTGAGCACTGTAATGGTCCTCGTTTCTAAATCTCGCTTATAATCCAGTAACTCCCTCGAGAATACCACAGCCTGTAAGAAATTATTACATACCCAATGTACTTCAGCCATCTCCACCATATTTCCCCCCCTCATATTAAATGTCCCATCTCTTCCTCTCTTACCTCAATACTCAACACCGAACATGATAAATAGTACAAACCCAACTCATCAGTCTATAAATCCTTTCTGTCTTACATGATCGAAGTACTTTGCAAATCTCCCTCTAGGATAGAACTTGATTAATCAAAATCTCTTTTGTTGGGTAGAGCGGAAAGATCAGAGATAGATCTAGATGTGAAGTGACTCAATCAGTCTCTACTTTGGTGTAGGTAGTTGGAAGTGGGTTCTTTATTGACTTGCTTGGTTAGTCGGATGATTTTGGGTGTGATGAGATGATCTTTTCAGTAGGAGTGCATAACAAGGTCTTTTGATAAGTATGATATTATTATGATATTATGCTCTGCATGTTTGTGTTTGTATGTATGTACGGTATTAAAGTACAAGGTATTCATCTCCGCGGCGCATGGAACTGAGGTATCGTACACCGTTATTGCCCTTCACCTCCGCGTCCTTCGTCGCAATCACCGGGGATACTTCAGCAAATTGACAGATTAGAAAAAGAAAGACAGGGAGAGAAGGAAGGAAAAGAAAGGGAAAAGAATAAAGAAGGTAAAGGAGAAACGAAAAGAAAGAAAGGAAGTAAAAGAAGGAGAAAAGAAAAAAGAAAGAGAGAAAGACAGCACCCCTTAGCTATCATACAACCCACCAAAGGAATCAATCCCAGAGTACCAGAAGCCTCAATCAAATAGATACAACCTCAAAATTATGAAGCCAAACAATGGGTAAGTAGGTAGGTTAATAGAAAGGAAAAATCAGTGAAAGAAAGGAAAGACATTAAGACATCCAAACCCTCGATAAGGACCATACACCCCGACGAAATACAACCCCGGTGGTGGTACCCCGAACTCCGTCGCTAATGAAAAAGGGTCTGGTTGTTGGTTTTAATGTTGGTGATGTCTTCATGGGTTTCAGGCCACTGGTGGGGAAGAGGAAAGACGGCGGTGCCCATGCGGCGCTGTTTCTTGGTGGGACTGGAGCTGGGGGTCGTTAGGGTTGGAGCCGCGGTGGAGGGCTGGTCGGATTCGGTGGTGAGAGTAGGGGATTTAGGCGGGGGAGTGGGTGGACGTGGAGAGGAGGGCTCAGGCGCTGGGGAAGGACGAAGAGATTTCGGAAGCTTGATATTGGACCGTTTAGGAGCAGAGGCGACGGCCGCGGCGGTCGACTGGAGGAGATTGAAGATCTCGACCATGGACTTGCGTTGGCTCAGACGCCAGGCGGATGAACGTTTGGCAGGCTTGGTGGTCTCAAGATCCTGCTCTTCCTCGGAGCCGGCGACATTCACGTTCTGCTTGGCCTCTTCTTCGACATCCTCAGGGATATCTTCGATGATGCGACTTTTGATCTCCGGCAGCTTGGTGACCGCGCTGGGAGGCACGTCCATGCTGGCGGGACGAGGCTTCTTGTCCGGGCTGCGAGGGATACGACGGCTGGACAGCTCGAGATCGATGTCGTCTTTGCTCTGGGGCAGGACGTTGGCTCGAGGAGTTGAGGTTTCTTCAGTCTGAGGCCCAACTGTCATGGTGATCACCTTCTGCGGCAGTTTGGGGCTGCACTCGACGTCGGTTTCCTCGTCAGATAGAGTGTTGGTCTGCTTTGCAGAAGGCTCTTGATCCTGTGGCAGATCATCGAATTCCAGGGTTGAGCACTCGGACTCCTCTGGACGGACAATGCGAATGGATGATGTCGTCTGCGGGGTCTTGGTGGCGGCCTCATGGGGCTGATCAGGGAGAGCTGTGAGCTTCTCTGACTGTGGTGCGTGATCATACTCGTAATGCTTCTCGTGTTCATGTGCGTCGGACAGCTCAGAGGTCTGTGCAAGCTCTGAGATACCTGCACATGTCCATGAGGCATGGTAATCCTGTCGTCGCTGACGACGGAGTTTCCGCGCCTGCAAGCAGGGGAAAAGTGAGGAGAGACTCTTCATCTTGTGTACACGGCGCATGAGGATGGAGTGGGAGTTGTGGTTAGAGTTTGTCATGACGGTGGTGTTGTCAATTTATAGTGACGTGAACCGGCGTGATGTTGTTCTTGTCGTCGGGGCGATGGATAGGCTTGCAACAGCGGTTGATGCGGCGATCTTATTGAACCGTGAGATTAACGACGCGGGGGTGAAGCACTGGCACTGCAATTGTCTGTGGGTTCGTGGATCGTGATGGATGGGGTACATGAGGTGAATTGGGTCGTGCTCGATGCTGAAGCTGGCATCTAATCTCCCGTAAGATAGAGTGCGGAGGGGATGAAGAACCCAAAATAGACCTCGCCATCAGGAACACTCACCATCCCATTTGCCCTCCATGACTCAGTAGCTCAGTCCTGCAAGGAGCGGCCAGAGGAAAGGGTTTGGAAGCAAGGACAGCCATCTCCATCTGTATGCGAATACGAAGATGGAAGTTTCCCATGAACGTCCTTCTTTCGGCCATGGTCTGGAAGACTTATGGTAGCAGCTAAGATTGCCACTGCCAATGTCGATGCATGCTGTTGCGGATCACAATAGCTGGTCCTGAAGTGGCGGTAAGGACGATTCCGGCCGAGTAGTGAGGCTGCAGCTGGAGAGGCAGCCGTCAACTTCATGGAGTTGCTTTAGAGCCCTGGTCCCCGTGTGTGACCTCCACATGTACCTCACTGCCCTCTCGTCAGTCCAGAAAATATCCTGCTCATCGTGCAGACCCGCGTGTATCTTTTCAGAAAGGTACATCCCCCTCCTCGTTCATCCTTTGGTGGTGGGTTATTCGGCAAGGGATGACCACTCATGCATTGATGGATCACTACTCGGTATACTCGTTGCCTCTACCAAATCACAATGTATAGCTTCTATTCCTTGCTTAGTCGGTAATACAAATCTCAAATGAACGCTCCAATCAGTTACCAGATATCGAATCCATCCAGACCATCTACAACTTGCTTGGAATGGTTGCCGTGTGCAACGACCTGGAGCGGTCCAGCGTCTCAACAGCTTCCTTCTCAATTCGCTCGAGCAGCTGAGCGCACGTCGGGATGTCGTGGATCAAGCCAATGACTTGACCGGCGGTCCAGACCTGTCTTCGTTAGCAGAGTCCCATGGTGTGACCCATTCTAACGGGAGGGGAACATACTCCAAAGTCAACGTCGCCGTTGAGGAAAACCTGCCGTCCACGTTTGCCACTCACAAAGGGAGCGATCTCGCTGAAGTCACCCGTCTTGCTCTCCTTCTCCACCTTCAACGCCTCCTGTGTCACCTTGTTTCCGAACAACCGGGTTGTATTCTTCCACCGTCTGAGTACCAAAGCCGTGTCCGTCTCATCCGCCTTGACAATCGCCTCCTTGACATTGTGGTGGATTGGGGCTTCGATTGTGCACATGAAGCGGGTACCCATGTTGATGCCCTCCGCTCCGAGCGCCAAGGCAGCAGCAAGCCCCTGACCGTCGGCGAACCCACCGGACGCAATGAACGGCACCTTCAGCTCCTGTCGCGCACGGCTGAGGAGAATAAAGTTGGTAATGTCGGTTTCACCGACGTGCCCCGCGCATTCGAACCCGTCGATTGACAGGAAGTCGACCCCCAGCTTCACAGCCGATTTGGCATGCCGCACGGTCGTGCACTTGTGGAGGATGATGGTGTTGGCCTTCTTTAGCTGGTGAATCACCGGGCCAGGGTTGTTTCCTGCTGTCTCAACGATCTTGATGCCTTCATCAATGATCACCTGGGCATAGGCGGCGTAGTCTGGAGGAACGAGTGCGGGAAGGAGGGTCAGGTTGACGGCGAAGGGCTTCTTGGTCATGGATCGACACCTGCGGATCTCTTTGCGGAGGTCTTCAGGGGTTGGTTGTGTGAGGGCAGTAAGCTGAGTCGTCAGTATTCCACCCCTTTGTTCTCTCAGCTTATCTGCTTGGGTGTACGTACAATACCAAGTCCACCAGCGTTGCTGACGGCCGAAGCAAGTTCCGCATATCCGACCCATTGCATGCCTCCCTGCACAACCGGGACTGCACATTATCAGCGACCTGTTCGAGAGCAAGACACTTGTTGCATTACCTGAAATGCCCAGCGCCCTGGTCAAAGCCGTGTTGAAAGGCATTATGTCGTTGTCTTATATCTAAAGATGGAGATGACTTCTTCGGCGATGATAGTCCACGAGAGTAGGGTTTGTTGGACAGAGTTTAATGAGTCTGGTTAAGTCGGATGCACTCCTGCTTCAAGTTAAAGGACGATATAGATAGTTGGAGACCAAGTACGGGGAAGGGCGCGAGGCGAATGCTAGTAATCAACGCTTTGCCGCGGATGCTGTGGGGGGATCGGAGTTGCCGAGGTCCAGGCACCCAGTCGCTGCCCGCTGCACAATCGGCACAGGAGGAGCGCTCACAGTCAACTCCAGATGAAAGAATAACAATATTCCAGCTATCAGAGTCGCAGAAAGCACCTCATATCCTGCAGGGAGTGAGAAGACAACTGTGTCTCATCCCAGTGTGCGGTTAATTGTTCTTTGTTGCCATTGCTGATCCGGCTGGATGCATGTGATCACGGGGAGATTCTCGGTCAGACATCATCTGAGAGGCAACGCTATGCCTGGCAGGTATCTGCCTCGTGAGATCCCACTCCAGGGGTCGTCAGTCGGCATCTTCCTTGAGCCGAACAAAAAGAAAGAACAGTGCTGTGTGACAGTGACTGCACGTAACAGACCCGCAGGATCTAGATACTCCGTATACTCTGTTCTCCGTAGCTCTCCCGAATCCCGACCTTCTGGCGGCACCGTTGATGGTTAATCCACCGACCAATCACAAGTCCGGACCGGGAACTAACGAGGACCACGTACATGTAGCCCTAAGCCCTAAGTTTGTCCTTTATAGGACTAGGGCGGCAGATGTTCTGCATGGAAGAGGAAAGTGACGCCGCATCGATCCAGCTTCAATCTGGAGATTTTAGGTTCGCATTCAAGAGAGAACTGGTCTCGTGTCGCTTCGCCACCCCTCGTCGTTGCAGGACAAGCACCATGCCGTCTCCATTCCTCACTCCCGGCTCCCACTCGAGCCTCGATCAGCTCGCCCTCCTCCACCTCCGTCGCGACCATGCCATCCCGACTGTCCTCCGCCTGCACGACGATGAAGACGCAGGCTACAAGGAGGGCAAGGTAGAGACCACCCGGTTCGGCTCTTTTCCACATACTACTCTCACCGGTCAGCCCTGGGGCTCGCAAATTGGCGCCTCCAAAGTCGACACTGGATCGCGACGCGGCCGAGGACCTCAGAAGAAGAAGAACCAGAAGCTCAAGCGGAAAGTCGACGAGATCGATTCGGCCACCCCAGGCGAATCTCCCAAGGCTGCTGTCGCCGCATCCAGCGGTTTCCTTCACCTCGTTTACCCCACCCCCGAACTATGGACGACTTCTCTTCCCCACCGCACGCAGGTCGTCTACACCCCGGACTACAGCTACATTCTCCACCGTCTGCGCGTTCGCCCCGGATGCACCGTTATCGAAGCAGGAGCAGGTAGTGGATCTTTCACTCATGCCGCTGTCCGAGCAGCCTTTAACGGATACCCCACCGACGACTCGCCCGCGACGAAGAAGAGAAGACTAGGCAAAGTATGCAGTTTTGAGTACCACGAGCAGCGCGCGGGCAAGGTGCGCCAGGAGATACACGAACACGGTCTGGACGGTCTCGTCGAAGTAACGCATCGCGACGTCTACAAGGACGGTTTCCTGCTCAACGACCCCAAGACGGGCAATTCTCCCAAGGCTAATGCTATTTTCCTGGATCTGCCTGCCCCCTGGCTGGCTCTCAAACATCTCGTCCGTCACCCATCCGATGGCGGTGAATCCCCACTTGATCCGACTTCGCCAGTGTACCTGTGCACATTCTCGCCTTGCCTGGAACAAGTCCAACGAACCGTCAGCACCCTCCGTCAGCTCTCCTGGCTCTCTATATCCATGGTGGAGGTGAATCACCATCGCATCGAAGTCAAACGGGAAAAGACAGGTCTGGAGTACGAGCGCGTCCGCGGCGCAGTTGTCTTTCCGAAGGATGTCGACGAGGCGGTCGTTAAGATGCGACATGTCGAGGAACACTCACGGAAATACCGCGAGATGATGCACCAGCTAGACGACGAAGAAAGCACACCTATGCCCGCCTCTACCGCGAAACCAGAAACCGAAGCCCCAGAGTCCTACGCACCTACCCCTCAAACCTCTGATATCCCACCCTACAAGCAAGGCCGCCTGGTCCACCGCTCCGAGCAGGATCTGAAAACCCATACATCCTACCTCGTATTCGCCGTTCTTCCCCGCGATTGGACCGAAGAAGACGAGCAGAAATGCCGCGAGAAGTGGCCTCCGCATCAAGTCGACCTGACCCAACCCGAAAAGCCCAAGGGAAGAAAGCAGCTCAAGCGGGAGCGCAAAGAGCGCCTAGAGGAGGAGCAGAAGAAACAGCAACAAGAGCAAGGGCAGCAACAACAAGAAGAACCAGCACCGACACAAGAGCAAGCAAATGCTGCCGAGCAGGCTTAATAGATATTACCTGCCTTGCTAGATACAAAAACGGAGTTTTATTATGCGTGTTTAGGATGTATTATGCACAGCACACTACTTTCTTCTTCATTTCCATTCTTGGTGTAGCACTGGAGTCAATTACTTTCAGATCTGAGAGAAAACGTTCAAATCGGCTTCTCCGGCTTGCCATCATACACATTATCTCCGAGATTGATCAGTCCACTACGCCATCACCCATGATGCATTCAAGATGCAAGTAAAAAATATCATCGACATCAAAATCAACCGATCTCCTTCGGCATCATTCATAGATAGTAAATTCAGGTCAGGTAAGTAGGTATAAGCTCTATTTATGTACAATTGTATGTGCGCATGCATCTCAATGGGAAAGGGGGATAGATAGGTACGACAGCTAAAAGAATTTCTGGATTGAAAGATCCAGGGTGTAAATGCAGGGTCAGATCAATCAGGATCAGATATCAGATATCATAGGATAGTAGGGTGGTGAGGGATAAGTGGTTAGATGAGAAAGAAGGGTTGTGGGAAAGGGGACGAGACAAGATATATGCATGTCATTAGAGGTTGTTTTCCTTCTTGAACTTGTCCCATGCTTCGTTTAGGGCACCAAATACTGCGCCGGCGATCATGCGTTGCTCGGTGGTGGCGTTGGTGGGGATCTGAGGGAGTGGTGGGTTAGAGAGTGTGGATGGTGGGATGGTAGGGGCAAGAGGGACGTACTTTGTCTGGGTGCACCTTGGAAATACCCTTCATGTACTGGATTTTCACCTTGTTGGGCATGATCAATTCGGACATGTTGACCTTTTTCCATCCTGCTTCGGGCCAGAGGACGGTATCCAGACTGCCCAGGAGCGCTCGCAGGTTGTCTTGTTTGCCGTTCTTCCAGGCTGCCAGACGAGCATCTACGCTTTCGGAGAGGGCGAACTTTTCTTCGTCGGCACGCTCCGCTGCTTGGTTAGCTGCTCGGAGGCGAGTCACGGCCTCGAAGGAGGAGCCAGATGAAGCCGAGCGACCTTGCAGATCGTCCAGAGCAGAGACCTTCTTGGGAGCTGGAGGCGGGGGCCGTCTCGCGGGTGCTGCGGGTTTCGATGCGGGCTTGCTGATGCCAGCAGCTTTCTCGCACCGGTTGCGGCCCTGAATACTAGTGCTACCACCATGGCCATTCTCAACGGCCAGCTTCCACGCCTGTGCGGCATCCGCCCATCGCTCCAGTTGTTCCAGGGCTTCAGCCTTGCGCATCAATGCCTTTCCGAAGAAATCCTTCATTGGCTTACTGGGTTCTCCATTAAGGAGATCAATGCTTTCACCTTCTCCCTTGGAAGGACCGATAAGCTCCACGATAGTATCTGCATCGCTGATTGCCACCTTCGGCTCGCCGACTTTTAAAGCGGTCATAGCGCGATTGCTGCGAATAATGATCGTGATAGGGTGCTTGTTCGGCAGTGGTGTGAGTGCTGCTGTGAACGCCTCGTGTGCAGCTGCATAGTCACCCCGTTTATAAGCTTCTGCTGCTGTTCCACGCTGTCGGTGTGTAGTAGAAAGGGCATCCGGAGATACTGGTGGTACAGCTCGAGGTGGAGCCTTGGGTCGTGCAGGTAAAGTTGTAGATGGCGTAGACGACCGTGATGCTTGAGCTGGTGCGGGTGAGGGCTTCGGCCGCTGCACCGGTGCCGGCGCCGGCGCAGGGCTCTCAAACAAGTCGACCGTCGGTTCCAGGGCAGGCGATGGGGCAACAGGGCGCTTCCGCCGTGCAGGACTGACATACGCTTGTGCCGACTGTTCCTCCAAGGCGGTTTTCGTTAACCGGGATCTGGGGTCTCTTGTTTCTGCTCTTGGATGTTGCTGCATAAACGCGGGCTGTTGAATACGCCTTTCGCTAGCCGGAGACGGTTGATGCCTAGCACCATTGCTGCTCGGACGAGATGCCAGTACATCGTCGGATCGCAGAGCGTTGCGTGACGGACGGCGAGGCAGTGCATCTTCAGATCGCATGGCATTGCGTGACTGACGGGGAGGCCCACCGGATTCTAGCAAAAGTGCTTCATCGGTCATCATTTCGGGACGAGCTTTAGGCCGGCTAGCAACCCGGGGACGGTCACTAGACGAAGATTCGTCATGCGAAGAGGTCTCTCTCAGCCACCGGGGCTGGCTCGGATCATGATCCGCATTGAGGTCCTGAACCACTTGCTGTACTTTCTTGCTGCCAGTCTTCCAAAGAGAGTTGGCTGTTTTCAACAGATTATTTCCGAAAGTCGCTGCAAGTTGCGAAGGATCCTTGTCTGCTGGCGAGCCCGTTCGGTTATTGCTGCGGGACCGCTCCTGCTGCATCCATGAAGGCACATCACGCCCAGGTCTTTCGCTGCGCTCCCTGCTTCGGCTCGGCTGTTCAGTGTAGCGTTCGTCCGGAGTCGGCCGATTCTTGGACTTTTGGCGGGCTTCTTCGTGCGCTTGCGTTAGAAGCAGGCCAACTGCAGCCTGGACGTCGGTGCCAGATGACGTCATTCGCAAAGCCTGGCTGGCTTTGTCGGCAGGAAATCCCATATCCACAAGTTCTGCGACTGCCCGATCCATTCCATTTAACGGCTTGGGGGACGGGGCGTGGTATTCACTTTCAATGGGGGAAGGCGCTTTCACAGGAGGCTCTGATCGAGGAACTTCGGATACAGGCTTGCCCAGCAGGCCAAGGAAATCATCGTCATCGGCCGGTGCAGGTTGCGGGGGTTGTGCTGGCTTGGGCTTCAGTTGACTGAGGCCGAAGGGATCATCGTCATCAGGGAATGACATTGTGTTGGTTGGCCGCGACATGTCTGCATTGTTTGGAGCAGCCTGGGAGGAGCTCAGATGCTGCGGCGACGGGCTAGGGCTAGGCACCGGGAAATTTGTCGACGCATCTACCGGCGCAGATGCGTTGAAAGCAGCAAGTAGATCATCTTCTTCGGGTAACGGGGCGCTCCGCTGGGCAGGAGTGCCAGATGTGGGAAATCCGTTACCCCGGCCCTTTTCCAAGCTGTCCCAAAACTGAGTGTTCTGCCCTCCGTACTGCGTTTCGAAACGAGATCTGTTCTCTGCCTCCTTTCTAGCTCGCTCCTCTTCCAGCCTCTTCTGTTGCTCGACAAGGGAAAGGTTCTTATTGGCATTGGCCGAGTTGAAGGAAACGAGGTTTGCGAAGCTGTCCTTGTCCGGTGTTGCAGACTTCGACGGAGCGTTCGATGGGCCGGAGGACGCAGAGAGGGGTGTAGATCGGCCAGAGGTGTCATTTCGCCTGACGCTCGGAAATAAGAGGCCTGTATTCATCGGTGGTGGCTTGTGGGCATCATTGGAGGAGCTGGGAGTCCAGCTCAAGCCGTTCAGGTCGTCCATTATTGTTGTGTTGTGAAAGGTATCAGTGGGGAAGTGTCTGGAGGGGTCGAATTAGGACTGAGGTCGTAGGTGAGGATGCCATGATCTAGATTATCTCACCATCAATGGCCACTGAGCAGCGGAGTAAGTGGATCCAGTCGGGGAAATGAAGGTTGGATTCGCAACTGAGGTGGAGGAGTCACAATATGAGCAAGAGCCCGTCAGAGAATCATTGTGGCATTCCGAGCAGGCCAACAGACGGTTTGATGGGCCCGCCAACTGTTGTCTCGACATTCCCCTGGAGATGGAGGGCCGCGACCGTCGCGGTGGCTGAGGCGGGCCGATGGGGCTGATGGATTCCTTCAATGTGGCGGTGCCATCCGCCGTTCAGCACGTGAGGCTGGGCGCGGCAAGGCACGTGCTTCTCGCTCGGCCGTTTCCTTTCCATTCCTTTCCTTGGCCATCCCTGTCTGCCTAACAGCTCCGTAATTCCTTGGGCCAGGATCAATTATCCACCGCACAGTGGATCCAAATCTAGACTGTTGACCCGATGCGATTACTATTATCTCAGACTTTGGTGGCCGGACGGGAATTCTGCAGGTTTTGACCATGGCCTGTTAGCAGTGAGCACAAGTTGAGGTAGCTGTGGGCAAGAAGCTCTCTCTACCATTGAATCATTGATGTCGCCAAGTAAATGTGGTCTTACAGGGGATTATTATCTCGTCTACTACTCCGTATCTACAAATTGGCATCCGTCGTGTTTTGAGGGATACACTACCCTCACTTGCCTTCTCACCTCTTTCGCGCCCCGTATAAGATGGCAGATCAGCGGCGGCAGGCTCCAGTGGGCACCAATGTCTGTCTCCGTCAGCTTGCACTCGGGTCCGTACTGGATACGCGGCAATTTGCTCTGGAGAAGTGGAAACTATGGCTACCTAATAATCACTAACCAGTAATCACACAGTAACTTTAGCCTTCCGAGGTTTGCCCATGGTATGGACTGGACCGGGCGCCTGGGTGAATGGGGCTCGGTCTCGGGGCCTCGGGGGACCAAGGAGAAATCAATGGCGAGACTCTTTCGGGAGTTAAGCGAGAGAGAGGACGGCACGAAGAATTGAGAGGCTCAAGGAGAATAGCTAGGCACCGCGGTTAGGGGAAGCCTGGAGAATGATGAACCTGGCAATTTCACGAGCAGTTTCATGATGATTACTTCCGAGAAGGGGGGACAAATCCAACAAGGTCGGCCGGCGCCCCCGCACAGGAAACAGGCCCTGGACGGAGCCATTATTATCTTGCAAAAGGTGCCGCGGGAGAGATGGAAAGGGTTCCTACAGTAGTGGGATCATGGCCGCCACGGTGTTCACCAATTGGGGAACCACTTTGCGCCAACCGGCCATGTCAGCACTCAGAGTCGCGAGGAATCGCCGAGGGATGAAAGTGAAACCCGTCGCTACCGTCAATCATGGTGGCTGACAGCGGCGTCTGACAGGGGATGCGCGATAGCGTCAAGGGGAGCATCGGGAATTATTCCAATACCGACTAAGCGGGGACATTACTAGTCCGGAGCAGGCGATCATCATGCCTCATGGCTGACAGAATATGGAGACAGGTGGTCTTATTTCCAGGTATCGCACGATCCCATCGGGAATCTGTTCCTGCCCTAGGCTCTCGATAGAGTCCATCCCACTAGTAAGGGGTCATAGCGAATGTTGCAATCATCAAGGCTGTACGGAGTACTCCGTACCGATGGGTGTCTATCTAGTGTCAACCAAAACGATCACAATCATGGAACTAATTACTATGATTATTATGATTATTATGATTATTATGATTATTATGATTATTATGGAGAATTGGAGAAGGCCACACGGCATGGCGGAACTTCGGAAGGAAACGTATGGCGCAGTTTTGGTAGGGCGGGTAGGCTTTATGACAAGACAAGATCCAGCGCACTAAAAGAGTCATGTCAGTCACTGAACTACTAACTAGCATCGGTCTCTTCCAGTAGCCGCCGTTGAGATTACGGGCCACAAACTTCCTCCCTTGGAATTAGACTAAATCATCAGCCTACCCAGAGTCACTTGGAAATCCACCTGGGCAGTCGGTCTGTGACGACCACTACTAAATAGCAATGGATAATATATCCTGCTTGAAATTAAACATTGATACCACGTTATCGTTGCAGCAGTCTTCGCAAACAAACCGTCCAACGGGAAACCCGCACGACCCAGCAGTGTGGCCAGGGCGGTGTTTTCCGCGTTAGCGGGTGCGCCAGTGCATTGACAATTTGACATTTTGAGGGGACGAGAGGAGGGGCTTGCAGCACAGTGCATAGGCCGTACCAGGGTTTGCTTTTCCCCCTCCCCAAAAGTACTACTACAGCATGTGTGCGCGGAGCCATTCGGGTACAATCAAGCACACGCTCTTCCCATTTAGCACAGTCAGGATCGTATGATAGATTCTAGGATGCCTATGACTAGTCCGCGCACCATGTCTAGGTAGGAGGACCTGGACATTGATTACTGCGTACTAACTACTAGATAGATAAGTTGGTGCATCCAGGTCGCACGCAATACGACTTCTGCCCTGCAGTGGGTCCACTCGGACCACAGAATCCATTATCAATGGCAATGGCAGGAAAATTCACAGTGGCCCTCAATTGAATGGTCATAGCATCAGGTAATATACCTACTATGTACGAACCTTCAACCACTCTGGGGTTCGCCTCACTGCAGAGTTCATCGACTAATGAACTCAAGTCCCATGCTACAGTCTGGATGTGCCTGTTGCCTTCATGCATGACCCCTGTTCCGGAAATGTTGAAACGGTATCAGTACCACGTATTTACGAAATCGACCCTGCTGTATATATACCTTACCAGTGTAAGACAGCTTCGCTAGGGACGCAGACACGGTCGCTCTCAACAACCTCATCTCGAACAAGGCCACAAATGCGCGACATCGGCGAGCGGAGGTTCTTGGAGGGGTAAGGAGTCAAACTTCATATTAGGAGGATTCTGCCGGCTGAACTCAAATCGTGATTTGAGCCATATCTCCGCCTGATCCCTTCACCAAATAGCCTGTGATAAGATCGATTCATGAGATGACCTGGTATCTAGGCGCCCTAAGAAAATAGTACAGTATCCGATGTCTTGATTTTCAACCCTCCCTAGTGCTGATATACATGTGATGTGTGAGCACCTGGCCTATACAGGGTGCATACACGACCTGGCGTCAACAGTGCCAACATAAGCACAATCAAAGAAGAAACCTATATTCCTGACATGCCTCTTATCTAGAGGCTAGGCCCGGTCCGTATATCCTCACAAGGACGGCTAACCTTTCTATGAACATGGTGAGGTAGGTGCTTTAGATTTAGTGCTCATGTCTTCGCTTCCCGTTCTTCTGTGGAGAACCTGTTGACTGCTGATTGCTAGGTAAGATGTCGAAGCTCAGTCCGTCCTCGTCTCATGGCTATCGGCGATCGCCATTGTACTCTTCATACTCAGTAGGGCTATTGAAAAGTGGGTTCAACACGAGCCAGAGCTCGAAAACATTAACCCGCCCCCTACTGCTGGCCAACATACCGAGTATTGTGCATATGACATGCCTGTCTATAAGACAGCAAGTTATAGACAGGGTGTCACAAAGCAACCCATGTGAAATTGACGACTGGCAGTCGATCTGGGATTAGAGTTGACGGCGAGCACATCGACGGTTGCGGGAACTTCCTGGCCACCTTCGTTTGGAATACTACTATCGTAGTATTATTCTATGCTCGTCAGCTTCCTCCTATTAGTCCCAATTTTCTGCTATGGAAGATCCTGCCTGATTGGGATCGACACCGCAAAAGTTATGTGCCGACGTACGATTCAACCAAGGTCCACATGAACCATAAATGCGCGTATCGGCAAGATCCCTTCGGGAGTTGCACAGCACTTGATGGAAATAGAGTTGCCGATCTACTCTGTAGAAGGGCCAATTCTTCAATTCTTCGCATACCGCTGGTTGTGGTTGCGTCTTTCACTATCACTAAACAAACCCGGATGCTGTGGTTGGCATTTAGGGTCAGGTCGAGACGAGGTCGTGTCAACCGCAATGCGATTGGCGCTATTTACTCCGTACTTGAAGCACGATCGGCCTTCGGCTCATGGTGGGATATTCAACCCTCCAATTGTGTACCAAACGGTCACCAACAATCTTAACGCCCCAGCTATGGTCTATGATAATCTATACTAATGCCCGTAAGTAATGAGTCACACGAAGTAGTTATCTAACAAGAACAGTTTTGTGCTTCGCATTGTTAGTAGTCCTCTGTTGTGGCGCAGCAGCGTATTCTACAGGTTGCCATTATTACCAATCCTACACAGTATCTAGTACTTCGTATACGCGGCATTAAAACGACATACCAAATATAGTCACTGGGAAATCCTGATGCTAACGCTTTCTATATTCATTCTTAAACGCCTTCGCCTCTCTTTACGAATTTGCCACTTGTAGTGGATCGGGGTTGCGTTAGCATAGCAGAAACACCCCCTTAGTTTATATGGGGACGGAGCTGCAGGAAGGCTAAATCCTGCTGTGTTGCGCTGAAACAAACGCAGTATGTGTGTCCCCCAGGTAGACTATTCTGTGGCTATGGCTACAATTAGAGGATAGTAGGTAGATAGACACGGCATAGGCTCAACACGCGTCGAAATTTATACATCAATAGATCGGAGGAATTCCCCTGATAGGCGAAAAGGGCGTACAATAGTGAACAATGACTCCTTCGTGTACGCCCTGCCTAGTAGGTAGATACTGATTACATAGTAGTATAGATGATAGCTAGGTAGACGCCATGCTCTATATGGAATACTTCAGGGAAACGCGACATCAAAGGTGGAGAGCTCGACTGATCCCCGCCGATGATGTTGCCACGGGAGACTCATTTGAACCGGGTACGCGAACTCACCTATCGCGACTCCCCCACCTCCTAAGCATTTTATGGAGTCAGCTATTGGGTTGCCTCCCCCCTGTCTCTGAAAAGTCATGGGGATATGGCCCGATTCGGTGAATTGTTGGAGGCGCAGAGTGACAGGATTGACTGTGTTCACTGGTTTCACTGGAACCCTTCCGACAAGCCCGAGAACTACCTAGCAGCCAGCCAGATCCGCCGTGCCGGGGCGAGGGGAAGCAAATGAACCCGGTATAGCCTTGTGCGCACGCTTGTCTGTGCTCCTGGTGGTCCTCTTTTTTGGTCCTCGCTAATTTAACCTACTGTCCATTGGTTCCATCGATCTGGACATTGCACCCCTTGTCGGCCGTAGCAGCGAGTAGTCGAGGGCTAGAGAGCCACTAGCCGGCCAGGACCCGTTGGAACCGCTCCATCCTGGGAAATTGGCACTTTACCACATACGGGCCGGTATCCCTCCCCACCACCAGGTACCGCCCTAGTACCGTGCGGTATTGTCACACTCCCGTATGGGGAGCGGTGGGTTTATCATGCATGTAGAATCATGCACCTACATACTTAGGGCACATCAGATATTCTTGCTACTGTGAGGTGCTTCTTTTCAACTGGTCTGATATCTGACCTCATCACTGGTGTCGGGGGCGGTTGTTGTGACGGACTGGAGACTCCGCGGTATTCCTGGTCCCTTGGCCTATTTACCCCCCTCCTATTCTCCTCCTAGTAGTAGTCTTCTAATCCCCCCCCCCTCCCCCCCAACCTGTCTAGTCGGGTACTCCGTACGTATCTAATCAGATACTACTCCTGTACTTTGTACTGGAGGGACCACACCCGACTCGAGGGGGAAGGTTGTTGCCTCCGTCCCTTTTTACCTGAGAAAGACCAACCATGAACCAACCAACCCAACCCAACCCAATCCCCTCCCCCTAACCACCGAGAACCAGTGAACCAGTAGGTAACCATTACTTACTATATCAGGTCCCATACTTTCATACTTACAGTTACGCCCGTGTGTGAACTGTGAACGGACAACACCCGGACAGTACTAATCTGTCCATATCAGAACGCTAAATCGGCCAACCCGCCATGCACCCTTTTAACATCGAACTGGAGCCTTTCCGACAAGACCTCTGCCCCCCTCAAGCTCTCCACCTCCCGACTCCGAAGGCTCGACTAGTTCGCTCGTTTTATGCTCCGTGTAGGTCCAGTGGCTACTGACCACTCCTTTTTTCTCCAATGATGTCTTGCTAGTTGGGCTGCTAACTTTCCTAACCTTTCCTAACTCCCCCTAAGCTCGCTCTCGCCCCGCTCCGTATTATTCTGGTTATTATTCTTGTCCTTTCTTATTATTAGTATTAATGTCCCTCCATGCTGTAAAGAAAAAAAAAATAAAAATAAAAAAAAAGACCCAAAGGGCAGAAAAGGAAACCCAGAGAAAAATTAAGAGTCAGACTCAGAGGCAAAACCGAAGCACCCTTCAGGGCCTGCCTTTTCTTCTTCGAGTCTCCCGCCAACTGCTGCAGATCACCATCCTTTTATGTACTTTTCCCTCCCTCGGGTGCCCATTTTTACGGTCTGCCTTTCTGCCACACCAGGGCATCTTCTCTAGCCCTCCCTGTTATCCTCTGGAGTTTCACCGCACCGTCCATCTCCTGGCACGAACAAGTGTTCTTTCTTCCCTGAGCGCTAGGGAGCGTTTGCTGTGTTTCACCCACCGACCCCGAATACCAACTCTTTCACCATGGGTCTCTTCAAGCGCAAGGACTCGAAGAACTCGATTCAAAGCGAGAAGGAGGATCTGGACTCCTCCGTGACTATTAACAGTGCTCGCACCTCGAATGCGTCGTTGAGATCCCCCGGTTATAAAGGAAGTGGGCTGCCTGCCTCCATCCCAGAACTACCGATTGCCAAACCACCTGATCCGGCATTGGATCCCGCCGCCTACCTGCGCAGTATCCATGCGATCCGCGAGAGGTGCAAGCTGGTTCTGAACCAGGCTAAGAGAAACAGGCTCAACCACTTCGATGTGGATATGGGCAAGTTCATGGCGACTGCCTCTTACATCGTCTCCATCATCAAGGTATGCCATTTGTTCTTCCCCTCTCTATCATGTGATTCCCCCCCTTCTCTCCCTCCCCTTCAGGGTGACTGACTGGAACTTTCGCCCGCAGAGAGATTACGCCCCAGATTACGACTCTATTCCCCCTCATGGCCGCTGGCAACACTTCGATGTGGGTGGACGACCCCGCGTCAACCAATTGCTTCAATCTTGGCCCAGCACCATCGATGCTCAGGAACGTACCCGGCGATTGATCGATCTTTTCGTTGTGTCGGTTCTTCTCGATGCCGGTGCAGGTACCAGATGGTCATACAAGTCGAAGGAATCGGGTAAGATTTACTCGCGAAGCGAAGGGTTGGCCGTGGCTACATTGGAAATGTTTAAGAGCGGATTGTTCAGTAGCGACCCAACGGAGCCTTGTCAAGTGGATGGGGCAGGTCTGAAGAAGATCTCGGTCGACGTTCTGGCGAAGGGGATGCAGCACTCGGAGAGCAACCCCTTGGCGGGAATTGAAGGCCGAGCCGGGCTCTTGATCAGACTCTCCGAGGCCCTGAACAACCAAGATTTCTTCGGAGTGGATGCTAGACCAGGAAATATGCTCGGTAAGGCTATATCTTATGGAAAATCGTCTAACATCGCACTAATATGAATCGTTAGACTACCTCCTTTCCCATCCCTCTACACTTGCGTCGTCTGTTCCAATCGTCCCTATTACCACACTATGGAGCGTTCTCATGGACGGCTTGTCTCCGATCTGGCCCCCTTCTCGCACACAGATCGATGGACTATCTATTGGAGACGCTTGGCCATGCTCCGATCTTCCCAGGTCTCCTCCTGCCAAACCTTGGGAAAACATTGTCCCGTTCCACAAGCTTACGCAGTGGCTGTGCTATTCTATCATGGTTCCGATGTCGAAGTTGATGAAGATTCATTTCGCTGGCAGTGAATTGCTAACGGGTCTGCCTGAATACCGGAACGGTGGCCTTCTCATCGACATGGGGCTGTTGAGTCTGAAGGAGAAGGAACTCGAGCGGGGAGTTGCGGCATTCAAGGAGAATGCGCAGATTAAGGGCCAACCCAACATGGAGGTCGTTCCTCTCTTCTCCACGGATGACGATGTCGTTGTTGAATGGCGAGCTGTTACCGTCGGTTTCTTGGACGAACTGCTGGACGAGGTAAATGGCCAGCTCGGACTGACGGGCGAGGACCAGTTGACCCTTGCACAGATGCTGGAGGCTGGGTCTTGGAAGGTATGTTCTCTTGATTTCTAGTCGCAGTCTTGGGAGTAAACCATTCGCTAACGCATGGTTTCAGGGTGGTCGTGAGATTGCGGAAGTCTCGAGGCCCAATACGAAAGAACCTCCGATCATGATCCGCTCGGACGGCACTGTTTTCTAATGATCGCATATTTTGTTGATGTTTTGGATACCTGACACCGCCAGTCGGCGCCTGTTCCACGACTGGTGGTAGTGCTTACGACTTTGATGACCGGATGTTTATGCGTCTTACTTTCTTCCTATCCCCCGTGGCCTTTCTTCCCAGCTTTGTACAAAGCCCTTTGCTGCGCCACTTGGCCGATTTTATACCTAATCTTTTCTGCTGTAGAATTGTCTCGATGAGATGGTTCATCTATTCTTCCTGTACACAGTTCCTTGGTTCCTTTACCTTTTTTATTTTTATTTTTTATTGCCTATATTTGGACGGAAATGTGATAAAAAAGTTTTCATGGCATTCTTTGATTTGGTTGACAGCTTGAGTCCCTGAAGTCCACTGCAGCCCCTGAATGATGGGAGACTTTCCATTGATAATGCACCAGTTAACAATAATCCACCGTGACTAAAATGGGGCTCCATGATTGGCAATTCTCCCCGTGCAGAAAGTCTAACGACAATGGAAGGAGATTGTCAGGCACCGGCCGTGAACGCAACGGAACGCCACCTACGTGCTCCATTCCAAGGGCGGGCCTGGGAAGGTGTGCGGATGAGACATGCTTTCCTGCCAGGCTCGCCCCGGTGGCCCGTGCTCCCACGTGATAACCCCGGAATATCGTTGACCCCGGCGAAGCTCATGCAATGACGCCGGAAGGCTGGTCACCCGGCTGCTGCTCACTGTCCAACCACCCTCGCCCATTGCCTGTGGAGATCGTTGCCTCCCTCGTCTTGCAGGGTCGAAATCCCATGGGCTGGAGGTATATATGCGGATGCTGAATTCTACACCTCTCCACGGCTGCCATCCACCTCAACGATCACCACCCGTCAGTGCGGGGTACGGTTAACGGATAGCTCGGGGGATCTGCCAGTATGGATATGAGAAAGAAAAAGAGAAAGGTCCTCTTGATGGGCAAGAGTGGCTCGGGCAAATCGTCCATGCGGTCCATCATCTTCAGCAATTACGTTGCTAAGGATGTCCGACGGCTGGGCGCTACCATTGACGTCGAGCATAGCCATGTCAAGTTCATGGGAAACCTCACGCTGAACCTATGGGATTGTGGAGGGTAAGTCGTATCTCGAGCATTCTCGAAACATTCCAGGGTCTAATCAATGATTCTCTTTTCCCCAAACAGACAAGATGCATTCATGGAAACATACTTGGCCTCTCAACGAGGGAACATCTTCTCCGACGTCGCGGTCCTAATCTACGTCTTCGACATCGAATCACGAGAAGTCGAGCGCGATCTTGACACGTACAACGCCATAATCAATGCCCTCAAAGAATATAGTCCCAATGCCTACGTCTTCTGCCTTGTACACAAGCTGGATCTCATCCAGGCCGAACACCGCCAACGGATCTACGAGGAACGATCGGCCCTGATCCGCAGCCGCTCGGAGCATTTCGCTATCGATACGTTTGGCAGTAGTATCTGGGACCAATCACTCTACAAGGCTTGGGCCGGCATCGTTCACAAGCTCATCCCAAACTTGACCGTTATCGAGCGCTTCCTGCAAGCTTTTGCCAAGAGAATCGATGCCGAGGAAGTCATTCTTTTTGAACGGTCGACCTTCCTCACGGTCACTTCCGTCTCCTCCGAAGTTGGCGACATGAACCCCATCTACGATCGCCATGAACGACTCTCCAACATCATGAAGGCCTTTAAGCACTGTGCTGCCAGAAACACACACACCACTCCCGCATCAGCCGGGTTCGTCGTCATGCACACCAAGACCCCACAATTCAACGTCTTCCTGGGCCGCTTCACGGACAACACATACATCTTCCTCGTCGTACCACCAGGCGAGGCAGCCTACAACTGCGCCGTGCTCAACACCATGCTAGCCCGAGAGGGATTCTCCAAAGCCGCCGCGACTGGCCATGGGGACGGATTTCCCCTCCCTGCAGCATCCCCAGAGAACAGCAACGGGGTACATTGAAAACGCTCGACATGCTATATTCAATCCAACCCGACCCTAAACGTAAGAGGGGCCCCCAGGCCCCATGGCAACGACACAAAACAAAGGAGTGATAAAAAAGACCACCAACCAACCTGCGGCGCGATGCACGGCGTTTAAACCCGCCCCAAGGAGTGAGTACGTAATGCGACCTGTTTCATTAAGACAAAGATACCCTACTTAGCATGCATGGCATTCTGTATGTATGTATTCTATTCTCTCCAGCGGATCGAATCCATCTTTCTTTCCTTCCCTTTTTCGCCCCCTTCCCACCCCTCTTCTTGTAACATGCTGATATCTGTTTCCGTGTCTGCGTGGTAAAAGTTAACCAAACCTCATCTTATGACCTACTACTATTACTATCCTTACGATTTCATCCCTTTACATCTTGGTTCTGCATGAATGACCGGGTTCTTGTCTCAACTCAAAGTCTCTTCTTTCACTTCACCTCTATCTACAAAGCCGCTCAAGGATGTCGCATATCTTCATATTGGATGTTGGCGCAGGAAAAGTCATCAATCAAAAAGGGTTATACGCATACATGACAAAAAGAATAAAAAAAAAGAATGAACAAAAAAGTGGGACAATGTCTTGGATCAGTGGTTTTGTTAGATAGTAGACAGACAGATAGATGGGTGATGATGTGCTTGTTGATTGGTTGGTTGGTTGAATTGTCAATAAAGACAATAGAGTAAATAGAAGTGGTGTTACTGCCTGAGGCTTACTGAGACTATGATGACTAGTGAGGGAGCTCCTACCCTACTGTGCAAGGAGTACACACCATCAATCAATGCAGAAGATATCTATTGAACTAGAAAAGAAACGCTTTACATCATTGTACATCTGGCATGCGGACAGCAATGTCGCCTGATTGTGTTATATATCGGACCCATGGGAGGGAGGGGTATTGTAGCTGCAGCAGGTCATCAGTATTGTCCTCGTGTTGTGTAGCTGGTATGATGGCGGGGGAGGGTAGGGTAGGGTCATGAGATTGAGGATAGGACATACCTTAGGTTCCGTGATCTTCAAGTACCGGACTTGGATACCGCTGGTGGTGAAGTAAGGGATTTCGAACTTGACGTTGATCGGCCGCTTGGCCTTGCCCTGTCCGGTACCTCCCATGCTACCTCCAAACCCACCGGTCATGCCACCGCCGTGCTCGTCGTCTCCCTTCACGGACGGAAGACCCAGCTCCGCGCGCATGAGGAACTCCTTACCACCGCCGAACTGCTTGATCTTCCAGACGATTGCGGATTTCTCCGGTGCGTAGTGAACGGTTCCGATGTTGGTGCGGAAACGGGGTGAGTCGGCGTCCTCGGGGACGGGGACGAGAATTTCGACGTTGTTGGCGGTACTACGCCGCTTGAATTGGGCCTTGGCCTGTTCGAGGAGGATTGCGTTAGCTTGATGGTTTGCTTTCGGGCGTAACATGCGTGGGGTGATCGTACTTTCAACATGTACTCCATGCGAGATCCGGAGTGCGATTCCACCAGACACTCCACCCAGATCAGAGGCTTGACTTGCGTGTTCAAACGGTAGCTCATCAACTCGAACTCTCCATCCGGAGGAATGAAGCTGATCGTTCGGTCATTCTCGAATCGAGAAAGCCGGACACACTGATGGAACTTGACGTCTTCCATCTCGACGGCCTTTCCTCTCGTTGCGCGACCGGTGGTCTCGAACATGACCTTGTCGTTCAACCCCAGACGAAGCTCCGGCATTCCACTCAGGTAGCACTTCATCTTGATCGCTCCCAGGATCTCCGACCGTAGCACGTTACCAGACGCGGATACGAGGAGGTTCAGCGACTCCACAACATCAAGGAAGACTTCGTTCTTGCGGTACCGGATACCCTCACTTCGCCATGACACGGCATTGGTGACGGCAATGGGCGGTCGGGCTTGGATCTCGAGCTTGTGTGATTCTTGGGTGATGTATCTGTCATGGACTCATCAGCTGCGCCCCTATATCACAATCCTCTCGGACTGGCCGTCTTACTCTTGCAATATCTTGCTCTCTGTCGTCTGCGGATAGCCAAAGTCCATCATCTCATCGAGCAGTTCGTAAATGATGACAAAGTTATCGCGGATACTCTCCTCCTCCAGTACCTTGAAGTATTCCGTGAACACCTCGACGATCTTGTGTAGGAAAAGGAGGATCTCGGTGGCATTGGTGTTCTTCTTGGTCAGGGCGAGGATGTAAAGGTTGCTGTGACGAATGTAGAGGTACTAGACAAGACGGTATTCTCAGCAATTGACATCATGCGCGCAGGGTTGAGGTGGGAGAGGCAGACACAGCGGGTTGCGGGGAACGGCGGGGGGAGGTGCAGGTGCGCCGCACTCCGAGTCGGAGACACAAATACGTACGTTGATTCCTTCGTGGGAGAAGCACGGAGCCACGGCGGAGCTTTCTTCTTCGGCGTCACTGAGCAGGATGGGGAATTTCTCGACGGCGGACATGGGGATGTCTCCGCGGTAGTTTCGGGCTAGAAGGGTCTACTAAACGGTCAGGTTCCAGGGGATCACAGCGGAATTGGCAGGACAGCGCAATGCCCACGGGGCTCCATACCTTGCCCTTGAGGTCGAGGAAGAAGATGGCCGACGCCATCGCGAAGGAGATCGAAGTGAGGTGGTGGTGGGAGAAGCAAGGTGGCCGTCAACCGCGCGAGGATCGGGGAGGGTCAGGTAAGTCGGGCAGGTAACTAGTAGTTGTAGTAGAGGAATAAATGGGCGGGAGGCTCCTGGCGAGATTCAACGGGAGAGGCCAGCGAAACCACTAGTTCAACATGCTGGACTGGCGGGGATTTGAGCTGCGGACGGCGTATTAGAGATGGCCAAGGAAAACGTCCATCTAGGACCATGTGGGATCGGAACTGAAGAACTTACCGAAAGCTGCAGCAGAAGACGTCTTGGCCGACGTGCGATGAAGTGTGGAATGGAATGAATGGAAGACTGATGATGCGGCCATCGGGGATGCTCTGCCTCCCGCGCTGTATCGGCCCGTACGCCATCCACCACCATGGAGAGCCCTCGTGGCCGGGTAATTTACTCAGCTTGGGTCACGACCCTGTATCAATGCCTCAGGGGACACTGTCCGCCCGCTAGGCCTGTTGGGGACTTGGGCCCGGTCCAGATCTCCGCTAGCCCCGATGGAGCGTAGCGCGGGTCACGCGCAGAGGATTTATTTCGCTCGCGGCGCTCGCTTCTCTTCCTCTTCTTTTTCTTTTCTTTCTTTGTACCATACGCCCTTCCTAGACAGTGCAGGCAGTGCGAATTGCATTTTGTGATTTCCGAGTTTCCGTGACATTCTGTCGTGTGGCTCGGGGTTTTTCATTGCTGACTTGCGATACAAAGGTGCGAAGACTATGCATCGTATTTTCGAGGGTTTCATAAGAGCTGGCCGAGTATTTTGCTCACTGTTACTCGGGCGGTGTCAGAGAAACCGCACATTTCCTTTGGTGATATTTGTTATATATGTTAGATCTTGCTGTAGCATGCTACGTGGATGGAAATCCAAGTGTTTAAGAGAGAAGACAGAACTTCCAGTGGTATTTGCAGTCACTATATAAGACAATTCGTAGATAAAAATACATAATATACGGTGTATGAAGAGAGCCCCCAACACATACAGAGAACATCCAGGGAAGAAAAGCAAGGGAAAAGAGAAAGGAAAATAAACGCCTTGAAAATGCACCTGCGGCCATTTCCCCATGAATCCACCTCCCAACTCAAGCCGTGATTTTGAATCCCAGAGGTGCTAATATCCGCTCCCGAGCCACCTTGTTGGCAACGAGATTGCCCTTCTCCAAGGAGATGGCACCGATCACAGCGTACATCGTGTGGGCAAGAACGAGATCAATCCCGGAGCTTTCGAGATTGTTGGGCTGGACGCAAACACAGAGCTGTTAGCAAGGGCCCATGACCGGCTCGGGTACCATATCATAACACAGCAGCAAAAAGGCGACTTATGGTCCCCAAAGCAATAAATCCTAGACTCACCTTCCGAGGGCACCACCGTATAACTCTCTGCATATCATACTTATAAGCAAGTTCCGCCAGCTTCGTCTTGCTCGTGAGGAAGCTCTTCGTGTTGTAGTCGAGGTTGTCCAAGCTATCCAATGCCGGGTGGGTGAAGGGCTCCCGACCAAACGCATCACGAGCGACAGCGTTCGATGCGTTGCTAGGGTTCTGGACAAGAGCCAACGAGGCCTGGAGCTGAACAATGTATTTGCCTTCATAGAATCATCCGGATTAGCACCTCCGGCCACCATACGACGGAATCATCCCTCGACATACCTAGAAAAGCCAACCGGTCGTTGAAGCCTCTCCGGCCCTGGTCAAAACTCTTATGTGTCACTGCAAGCCACTTGGTCTCCTCCGAGATCATCTTGTCGCCATCGTTCCCAAGCATGAGGATGTAGAACCGGTCCAGAACCTTGGGGTCGGAATTGACGGGGAAATCAGGGCGCTTGGAGTTGAGTCTCAAGGAGAAGGGGGCTTTGGCGCGAGGCGGCGTGTACGACCACCGCGGCTTGTCCGTATAGTCGACTGCTGGCTCCTCGGTGGCTGTCGAGTATCCTCGCCGCGGAAGGAGAGCGGCCTGGATCGAGCTGGGACGAGCGAGGGGGCGGCATGCGGAGCAGGAGACAGTCCTGACCGCGCGAGTTGATAGTATGGAAGCCATTGAATCGGAGAAAGGCCGGAATCCGGAGTGGTGTGGGAGAGAAGGGGGAGGTCGCCAGGCCGGGTCTTTTTCCACGATTGATGGCGGCCATCAATAATAATTCCTTTGATGGAGGAAGAATTCGGAGACGTGGCACTAGTCCCGATCGGGATAGGCCTCCCAGTCTCCGGCTCGCCGGCCAAACAGTAGTAGTAGTAGTAGTAGTAGATACTCCGTAGATCCTCGATAATTGCCTGGCTGGGGACCACCCGGATTTCCATTCCTCCGATGGCAAAAAGATGGTGGTACATTACGGAGTACTATTGTGGCCCTGTCGCCTCTCCTTGTCTGTAACTACGGGTTGCGTTTGTCCTTTCCATCCCAATCCCACCCGAATGGTGCTCGAGCCATCCAACGCCTAACCGCCTTCCGGATCTCATACCAAAGATCTGCAGTACAAAAGCTGAAGATTGTCGGGGAAGCAGCAGGCTTCATAGTGGTACGGATGCCTTATGCCAGGGCATCGCCTGTCGCTCGAGATCACCCATTCGTGCTCGGGAATTAGTGTCGTAGAGAGAAGCGGAAGAGTGCATGCCACAAACTGCCAAAATCAACTCCTGCTTTGGCTTCTCCAAGAACATAAGTATCCACTCCGAGGCAAAGCAAGGATACGTTCTATCGAATGAGCGAGGCTGTTGGCGGAGAAGCTGTGCCTCACGGGAAGTGTGTCAACTAAAAGCACATTTGCCGTCTGGGCTTCCGGTTGTACAGCTCGCGGAAACGAGTCCGATAGCGTCAACTGACTAGCAGCCTCTAGAATGCTTCCAGCCTTCCAGCCAGCAAGAAACAGCCGAGATGAGGGTACCTTGTTCAGAACCCGCGGCACGGAAGCCTACACCGCAACGTTGAGCGGTAACTAGTTTACCTTTCTACCCCTGTCAGTATGTGTGACATGCAAGCACCGGAGAAGTAGACGACGTACTTATGTGCACTTGCAGTAACACTCGTGTCCCGCCATTCCCCGTAATTTCTATGCGCCCCGCTGCTCGAACCCATGAGATATCTGAGCGCAAAGCGAAGTATTATGACTAACCTGCAATTGTCCATTGGACAATGTCACCATGCCGTGTCGGGCGACATTCCGGACAGCGTCGGTATACTCAGAATCGGCGGTAAGCTTCTCGCATGCTTGCAATCTCGCTGCACCTGAATATCGTTGTGGCATGATCAAAACCTGAAACATTTGGATGTGGACTGTAGTTGTAATATTATTATCGGCGGGTTATTTACCCTCCGTTGAAGATTCCTGATTCCTGTTAATTCATACGGCATGCTGATGTCGGATTAGGGCTGAGAGCAGGGCAAATGAGAGCAGATGTCCTCATGTGTGAACGCTTCTGGGACAATGTTGCTGCTCTTCCATGAGAAGATCGCCCAGGCCGTTATGCCTATCCTTCCGTCTGCGCCTGACCTGCTGCTGCAAAGCGAAACAAGATCCCGACGCCTACAGAGGCGTTGTGCAAGGATGATACGTGTAAATTGCCGACCCACTAGACAGACGTACTCCGCCTCGATTCTTGCTTAGCGGTAGTCGGCAGGGCTCCAATCATCGAGATTCCGATTCGACGCAGTGCCGTGGGGAAACGGTCTCATGCAGGCCCTGCAAGTAACAGAAGCACCAGGCTTGCTGGCAGATGACATCTGAACCCCCCCTCCCCCCACCGGCTTCCTGATAGTATCTTCCTTCCTCTTTGGTGGCACCATGTCCAGGAATTCATCCACGTGTTCACATGCAGTAGGCCTTGTATTTTACAGACCCTATCTCACAAGACCCAATCTTCTCCGTCTGCCGCTGCACCATCGTTTGTAGACCGCTCCCAGAGAAGGATCTCGAGCGTGCAAGCCCCAATGCTATCCGAAAGGGCTTGACGAGAGGCACCCAGAACGGTAAATGAGGGAGTAAACAGAGATACGAATAGACAACAGGTGACCAGGGTAGCATCGATATCACTAGCAATGTGGAGATCTGCCCTATAGGTAATTGTCATGTCCCGAGAATATGGTTGAGATTGTTTTGGCTGGTGACCTCAAACCTAACCGTTTGCACCAAGCTATAAATTTGCAGGGTTTCATGGTTGCAGACAGATTTATTTGAACATGACTGTATCACATCAAAGGCCCACCCGAGATCTCCGAGGGGCTTGGGTCAACGGAGGCGATTAGTATCCTTAAACTGAACAAGAAAAAGCACCCTCCTTACCGAAAGCCGGCGGGTAACGGCTCCTGTCGAACAGCTGACCGGGGAAAGTGGATGATGAACATCCAGGAACGGAAATCAAGTACCTTTGACCGGCTGTGGTGGACCGGGGAGCTTTGGACTTCCATATGTTCTGTTTCTGGGTTGCAATTCGCAGTTCCTAGCCGTCGGGTGACCGGAAAGGGTCAAGGGTGTAAAGCGGCATATCTATGTACTATGATGGTATGCAAAAGCACTGGAAGAGGCTATATCCTTGGTCGAGACAAACGGCTGCACGCACTGTTTAACGTTTTATTCCACCAACCATCCGTCGGGCCCTTGCAGGAATGACGGTAATCCGATCAAGATCCGGCGACAGCCACAAAGATCACCGTTAGATCATCGGGAGGGTCATATCCACGCGGTTTCTCGCCGTTGATCGGACGTTGAACGGTATGGCGGTGTACGACTCAGCAGCATCCTTCGGGCTCAGGGCCGGGCTCTGGGACTGGGGTATTTAATGCGCATGTTAGCCGGCTTGCCAGACGAAAATAAGCATATCTTTTGCTTCATAAAGCCTTCCCCATTAGCAGCGAACCCACATCAAGAATTCCTTCCTGATAACAACAAAACTTACCTTCCTCTACTCTTACCGAGCAACATAAGAAAAATGGCCGGTGTTCCGTCAGACCATATTCAGCTCCTGATCCAGAATAGCTGGAAGAACGTCATATTCAGCAACTTTTCCGTGCACGATCCACCTTCGCCTCGGCCTTTCCCTCCCAACCCACCACCGAGTCCCGCCTGATTATCATGCCCCAATAACTGCTTGTCGAAGACAGTACAAGCAGGTAGATGAGTAAGTTAACACATCGCATTAAGCTACCCAGAGCCACCGGACAAGCCCTGACTGACCTGCAGCCGAAAACGACTGAAGCAAATCTGGACAAGTGTGAAGGGAAAACGTACTTTCTTGCGTTGGTGATTGTTGCTGTGTCGAAAGGGATTCCGGGAAGGACAATTATAGAGGCGTGTTGGATTGCTTTTTGAGGAGTTGATGGAGCAGAATGCACTTTAGACAATGACACGGCAGTTCTTGCATGACGAAGACAATACCACCGTACCTTCATAGTATTCCAACGCTGTGGCTTTGGATCGTACCTATCGATGTGTAATTCGCTGGACATTGAATTCTCTTTTCTTTCTTCGCGCCCATTTGGATAGGCTTGCGACTGTGACACCCATCCTCCATATCGAGGAATCTCCTACATATTGGCGTGTTCACCGCCTGAAATTGTAAAACATAGTTCAGATCTGGAATGAGAGAATAGAGAAGTAAACCCAAAAATAGTCATCAATTGACTGGTAGAAATATATTGCACGAAAATGTTTTAGAACAGAACAAGAATCAGAGGTATGTCACAATATCACAGGAAAGTCAGAAGAAGAGCGCTAATGGTACTCAAACCCACCACAGTCCAGCCGGACTTGATGACCTGGGCGTTGGTAAGACCAGCACCAGTATCCCAGATCAGGTGGCGCACTCCGTTCATGCAGTGGTAGGTGAAGGGCATCGCCATGGTAGCCTTCAGAGCAACCTTGGCGACAACAGGGAGAGCAGCGAAAGCGGCGGCAGCAGAGGCAGAGCCCAGATCCCAGCCGAGCATGGGAGAGGCGAGGTAGGCACTGGCATAGAGGTACAGACCTCCGGACAGCATGAGGCCGGTGACACGGTGAATACTACTGCCGATCCATGTGATCTGGGGGCGGTAGATGGAAAGGTGGGGAGAGACCGGGCGGACAAGGCGCTGCTGAGCGAGAAGCTTGGAAGGGTCGGAGGAGTTGGAGGAGGTAGCAGCTTGTCTGATGTCCATGTTAGCAAAGCGAAGTCGTTGCTTTCCATCCCCTTTGGCGACACTGGCTTCATGACGTCGAATTCAATATCGCGAATCCCGCTCCCCCGTTCCCCTCTCCTCCGAGTCGAAATCGTCACGATAACGATGGAAAACATGCGTAGCAACTCACCTAGTCTGAATGTTTCTTCCGAGAGCAACGGCGGCGGGAGAGACCGAGTTCATCAAAGACCACCGCAAAGCGTAGGGCTGCTGGACGGCGACTGCAACATTGAAGTTAGTGGAGCGCAATTCGTTAGAGGACCAGACAAGCACGTACGCCGCCGCAGCGATTGCTGAGCAACCTTCTGAGAAAGCATTTTGGGAATTGGTGACCTCGAGGATGGGGGAAACGCTGAATCCGGGTAGGAAGCTGGCCGTCGTCTTCGTCGTCCAAGAAGAAAGTACGAACTGCCGACCTTCTCGTAACTCTTCGGAATCACGGGACGGACAACCTCGGGTTCACCTCCCAGTCACGGGACCAGTCCCGATGCCCCGATGGCAACCAATCAACGACCCTGCATTACCACTCGGAAGATTCATTTTCCATCCCCTGACCGCCCGCCGGTTCCGGGATTTCTCTTTTGTGTGATTTTCTCGTCGCTTCCTCTTCTCTTCTTCTTTTCTCTCCTCAAGGGTCTCCGCGCACGTTGTCTACCATCCATGATGTCGACGTGTCTAGCAGGGCCTCACTGGTTCGGCATTCTGTCGTGACCGCCGAGGTCAATGAGATACCTGAGAAGGACTCGTCCCGTCGTTAATCGCCCATTCTTCTCTGTTCCATGAGATGGAAGGGTTTCATATCAGGGTTACATAATTTTAGATGCTTGTAAGGGTTTACTCAATGGCGTGGGCCAGATGGGTCTCGTTGCGTAGAGCAGATATTGAAATCGGTCAGCAATGCTGAACCACGTTGTGCTCACTGCCATTTTGGACCTGTGGTTGATTCTCACCTCGATCAAGGGGAACAGGACCTCAAGAGCCCTATAGCCCTATTGCGGCGGGCAGGCTTTCAGCATGCATGAGGAAGAGAGCTGAATGGATCAATTATGCGTTGTCTCCTGACCCTCGCTTGGTTTTACATGCTGGGTCCCGGCCCTGTAGATACGCATCCTTCTCAGACGGAGTAGGTTTGAAGACATTCGGTATTTCCTGTTTGCAAGTAGTGACTGCTTGTCACTTGGCAGTCTTATCTCAATTCTCAACCACTGCCGGCGTGAGTGCGGGAGGGTCCCACAGCTATACATCCACCCGCTGATCTCCGCACTTGTACTCCATAGTCCGTAGGTACATCTCTTGAAGTTGTGGCAGGTATGTCTCAAGCAAAGACAAGACATACTACTAGTTAAATATCTTCGGTTCTGGATTTCTCTATTCCTCCAGGTATCATGGAGTCAACAAAAGAGGACTCTGCATACAACTATCGTGTTCAGTGATGAATCCTACAGTCATCCTATGTACATATCGGCATTCTTCCGCGAGTTGTTCGGACTCGGCCCGAAGGGATGCAAGGTATACTGCGACATATCTATTTAGGCTAAATCATGTCCTTTCATTCATGCAGTGATCTGATGGGATGAGGGGGACCGTGGAGCTCAGTCGTGACTGGTGGTATACGGTCCTTATCGTAGCTTCCCCTCTCCTCCACATCCAACCTCCCCAACCTCACCAACCCATTCGTTCTACAAGAATACCGTCTAGTCTCGGTTCTCAAGTACATTTAGCAATACCATCCAGGACGTCCATTCATCGCCGTCGACTACCGTTCAATCATCACCATCACCATGACTATCCAGACTGGACTCGACTATATCCGCTCCCGCTCCATCGTCGACTGCGACACCCTGGACGAAGAAGGCACGTATCCCGACATCTCGATGCCCACTAATCCTTTTATGATATGCTGACCAAACGCAGTTGCCAAAACCCTCGGTCCTTTTCAAGACTGCACCTCCAATCAGGTACATACACCCAAATCATCATGGATTCACACATCTAACAACAACACCAGGCCATCGCCTACAATGAACTCTGCAAACCCAAGCATACCGAGCTCATCCAGGCCTCTCTTGCCAAATCCCAATCCATCATCCAAGATTTTCCCGGCCTTACCGTCGAAGAACTCGCCATCGAGATAGCAGTCTGTGCCTCCTCTCTCCCCGCCTCTAACAACCACTGACACCACAACGATGAAATGATAGATGCTTTCTCTCTCCGTGAAGATCGCTCCCCATATCACGGGCTACATCCACGTCCAAACAAATCCTTACTACTCCTACTCAACCCAAAAGACTGTCCAGAATGCCCTGCGTACGTCTACTCCTCCCCCGTATATCACTATCTATAGACCAACACCCGCGAACACGCAGGCTTGGTCAGATTATTAACCGACCACATCACTCCCTCTGATTATCAATCCCGCATCTGCATCAAAATCCCCAGCACCTGGGAAGGCCTCAAGGCCTGCGAGTTCCTTGAGAAAGTGGGGGTACGAACCCTTGCTACAACACTCTTTACCATTTCCCAAGCAGTCCTAGCAGCAGAAGTAGGCTGCACATACATCGCACCATACGTGAATCAACTGAAAGTGCATTTTGACTCGGAGTATGTCATTCTCCCTCCTTCCTCCTCGTCCTGATACACACACACACACACACACACAGAGAGAGAGAGAGAGAGAGAGAGAGAAAGTGAGAACTAACAACCCCCAGCTTCCAAGATCCCGCCCCCCTCCTCCCCGTCTGCGCCGCCATACAAGAAATCTACACCACCATCGGCACCAAAACCCAAGTCCTTCCTGCGAGTCTCACCTCTACAACCGAGATCTACGCTCTCGCAGGAGTCCACCACATCACCATCGCGCCAAAGCTACTAGAAGAGCTCGCAAAGCAGTCGTTGGAAGACGGAGTCCCTGTTCCATCACTATTTGAGACCTCGATACGAAGTACCTATGAAGTGCCAAAGGAACCTATGTCATTTTTGAATGATGAATCCGGGTACCAGATTGCGTTCACAAGAGAAGGTAAGGGAGCGAGTCAGGAGAAACTAATCCAGGTGAGTTCGCCAGTACTATTTCTATAATATCTTGATCCATGCTGATCGTGTGCGTGGGTATATAGGCTATAAATATCTTCTGTGACATGCAGGATAAGCTGGTTGGGCTCTTTAAGAAGAATTTGAAATCCACGCTGTCATAGACATAGCTGGGTATCCTCAACAATACATAGCCTTCAGGTCATCCGGGCACTATCTTACATTGGTTGTGCATGTTATGCCAACATATCTGCTCTGTCTGATTGAACAAACATAATTGTAGTAGGATTATATTGCCATGGACATATAATACCGCCACAATACCTGACAACGTTGCCAATACACAGCATTGGGGTTCCGTTTTAGACTATCTAGTCAGGTAACATAGATACTAGTAAGAACTGAAATAATCAAACGACCGGAGCAGGAAGGAAAACATGATGATGGTGATTTACCCAATACTAGGTAAGAGAGGAAAGTATATAGACTGGCCTCTAAACAGATACAGAAAAGTGGTATGGATCCCTCTGTCTAATAACCAAGTTCTACTACTCTTCTCCTCTACAACCAAAGCGAACGAGTCTATCCTAATATCCATTGTTCTCTTCTACCTACCTACCTACCTACCTACCTACCTACCTACCTACCTACCAACAAACCAACCAACCAACCAGGCACCCACCTTTACCCAAGCTATGCCAAACTATCTAATCTAGCCCACTCATCAATCATACCACCAATGAAGCAAAGAGCATACAGGCAAACGGGGAGTCGGTAACGCCTGCTCATGCAATAAAATGCCATGCCAAAACTATATACCTTTTTTTAATCCTTATTCCGGAAGAAAAATGACCGAGAGACAGCCGCATATAACGAATAAACAAACAGACAGATAGATAAGATAGACAGAGAGACAAGAGGAAGAGGGGATGTCGGCGACAGAGCTTCAGTGCGTGTGTGTGGATGTGGGAATGTAAATGGTCACATGGGAACATCAGTCATCAAACCAAACCGTGGGGGAATCTAGGACTGAAACAAATGATCGGGTGGGTAAAAACAAAGAATAATGATAAGATGAGATGATGGAAATGACCTCAACGTCAAGCGCTCAATCGCTGGATAAAGGACTGCAGGACGTTAGTCTTCCGTATTGGAGCACAATGTAGGGAGTACATACCGGGAAGAACTGCCGGAATCCCTTCAGGTCCAGCCGGGTCAATGCCCCCACAAACTCTTCCACCAAATCTGCTCCCATCCCCATTCCTGGCAGCTCGCGCTCCCGCAGGTACTGAACGTACTCCATGCCCGTCTTTGCGTATATCGTCCGCTGTAGGACTCCCGCTTCCGCGAGGACCTGCTTGGCTTGTGCATCCTTGGAGTTGAAGGACGGCGTCGCGGGCAGCGCCCAGCACAGAGGGGACAACCGGGTGATCATGAACTGACCGAATCCTGGGAGTGCTGGCTGCTGGGGTGCCGTGCCGTTCGCACCCTCCGGCGCAATGTCTGGTCCGCCCCAGGAGCTGCCCATCTTCGACAGAACCGAGAACGCCATCTTGGCGGTGGTAAAGTCGTCGACATCCTTGGCGAAATGCTCAATAGTGGTGATGACCGTGTCGAACATCGGTTGGTTCCCTGCGATTGTTAGTCTGAAACCATACTATCAGAAAGACAAAACTTACGTTCGCTGATGATAACGGCTCCAAGCTCATTGTTCAGAACTGCCAGCAAGAAGTTAAGGTACTCCCGCTTGAGCTCCGCCAGCTGGACCTCGTCGTCCGTGCCAGTGGGAGCGTCGGCAATACCGGAGAATACACGCTGCAGGAAAGGGGTTAAGAGCGCATCAAGGATAGTGTATATCTCCGACTTGAACCCGAAGATGACCTGATCCAACAGCCGCAGGAACAGTGCCATCTCGTCCCGAGATGATGTCTGCGTGAGCAGACCATCAATCCACCGCGGGAGCTGCGGTAAGATGCGTGATCCCAACACACCAATGAGGCGCGAGAATGCAAACCGGGCAGCCGTTCTAACATTGAACGAAGTCTTGAGCGACTCCAGGGCCACAAGCGTAGCCTCAGACACCTGCATGAACGCCTCCGATACTTCAGGAGCGGGCAGCGAAGCGGGCGAGCTGGTTCCCGGCATCCAATCGGAAAAGCCTCTGGCCAGCGTGCCTAGAGCCATGATATCATGGTGGATCTGCAGCAATGCGCGCTCATCGTTGGCCTTAGCCGCGGCCAAATTCTTCTCCATATCCATAAAGACCGGGTTCAGGACGGACTGTGCATAAAGGACCTGCTTGTCGGCGGGAACAGTCGGTGTCGAGCAGATAATTCCCACAGCTTCGAACAGGTACAGCTGGCTGTTGAAGACGGCATCAGCCGACCCCTCATGATCCTCTGAGGACATTTCATCACCCTCCGATCCCTCGGATGGGAGTTCTGCGTTGATCACGAGAAGATCACCCAATGCCTCGACAACTGTCTGTGCCACATTGCCAATGTGGGTTCTGAGCTGCTTAACTAAACGCTGGAAAAGGTACCACGAGCGCGTCTTCACCTTCTTGATCGGGTGATGAACCAGTTGGAGGAAGCTCTCCAGTACACTCGGGATCAGGTGGGTGTGATACTGAAAGAATGAGCTGTAGCGAACACAGATCTCCATGTACTGCAACTGTGTGGCCGGGTGCGTGAATGACCGGATGTCCGACTCGACCATTTTCAGCATCATCTCGACCAGTCTCTCCGCGGCTTGGTTGTTGGGGCTACCCTTGTTGTACAGACTACCGGCCCTAACAGCAACGTCGCCAAAGAGGAACATCTCGTGCAAGGCTAGGTCCAGGTCACGCCAGTCGAGCTGGGCCCCCGACTGACGCAGATTCTCGAACGTCGTCCCCACAACTTCCGAGACAGCCTCCATGCAGAGCTGTTCGTTGACGGTCGCAACGATTTGCTGCAGCACGCCCAGGCGTTTCCGAAGTTCCTGGAACTCCGCTTCATCCGTCTGGTCGTCCTCGTCACCCCAGGACGAGGTTTCATCGTACCGCATCTTGGCGATGATGGCCTTCAGAATAGGAAGCAAGATCGACGAGTGCTGTTCGGCCAGGGCAGGGTTGATCTTGGCAAGTTTCCTGAGGTACGACAAGAGGTCGCTCACACAGGGGATGACAGTCGAGCAGACCTCATCGTATTCATCCGAGAAGTATCTCAGGATATGCGGCAAGAAGACCTGCAGCAGTCCGGTAGCCTTCTCCTTGCAGTCGGCCATAACGGTGTCCTGCTCCAGGGCCCGTACAATATCAATGACAGTAATATTGACTAACTTGGCCACCGTTTCCGCCAGGTCAGTATCGTACTTGAATGTGAACCTATTATCATGAAGAGGGGGGCTATTGGACAGCTGCGTAACAATAGTGTCGAGATTCAAGAAAATGATCATTTCCATCTTATCTTCGGCCTTCATTTTCTTGCCGATAATCTCCGTGAAGACATCAACCGCCGCATCGCGCACCTTCTCTTCCCCTGTTCTGAGCTCCGCCTTCTGCGCCCGGCCGAGCTGCTGGAACAGTAGGTCCAGCATGGTCTGGTTCACTACAAGACCGATGTCAATCCAGCTGACCCAGCTGCCGACCGCTTTGAGAGACATCTCCACGATCATATCGTTCCCGTCCCGCCAATCCGACAAGATCTCCTGCCATGAGCTGGCGATCTTCTGCATGTCGCGTGAACGGATAAGATCCTTGAGCAGGTTGGCCTTGTCCTGCTCGACACGGGACCGTGACACAAGTACATCACCGATCTCCTCGTGGATCGAATTGACGACACGCAGGTAAAAGATGATTCCGAGCGTATTGTCGCGGTTTGTGCTGGCCGGGCTCTTGTATGTGAGACTAAGGAGGTCGTCGAAGAAAGTCTCCCAGCCATTGCCGTAGAGGGCGGAAAAGAGGAAGGTGATGGTCTGGGCGATCTTGTTCTGGATACTGGATGGGTCGGGCGTAACGTTTTCCTGCCCATATACCTGGCGGAGATAGGCCATCAGGCCGTCACGGACATAGATCAGGGCCTGGGGGTCAATGAGACCCGCCTGGGCCGCACTGTTGACAACCTCCAACGCCACATGCCGTATAATCTCGGAGTATTGCGGGGTCTTGGTGAAGAGAGCGAGGCAGACCTGCCATCCGGAGGGGTCGGTGCGGAGTTGGTTTAGGAAGTCAAAGGCCTGAGCCTTGAGGGTGGCGTCTGAGGAGGGGTTCCCGGCGATTTCAATGGCATTTGCTACCTGTACGGGGTCAACGTGAGTCGACGAGGGGAAATAAAAATGGGCGAAATAAGAAGGGGGGGGGAAGGAAGGGAGGGGGCAGGATAGAGGGGAAAAGATCGGTGGTGGGGGTGGGCTTAACAGAAAAAGAAAAAAAGGAAAGAAAAGGAAAGGAAAGGAACAAAGCCAATAAGGGTCAATGTGCAAGATAAGGGATGTAGCTTACCTGCTCTTCCATCTTCGACCAGCCGGGCTGCCTTCGGAGTCGGAGGACTCGAAAGCAATGAGGGTGAGGGGGAGGTTCAAGGAGCGATAGAGGTGGTTGTTCGGTCAAAATGCAGACAGCGGCGGAGAGTCATAGCAGAACAGAACTAGTCGCAGAAGCCAGTCTATCGAGCCATGACTAGTGCGCTGGAGCCAGTTAGTTTCCCTACCAGGTGGATTCTCGGAGCCAGACCCGTCACTTGGGGAAGCGAGAGGTCGCAAAATCTGCTCACCGGGTAAATCGATGGTCTGGGATAGCTGTCAGCAAGGCGGGTGGTCTGCCTTGGAGATGTTTGGGAATTCGAATGCTCTCGTGCCGATGACGTGCGGCCTGAAGGGAACAAAAGAAAAACGAAGAAATAATTCGTGCCTGAGTTTGTGTGGCCGCCGGTCTTCCGCCCAAAAAGGGCAACGGGCGGCGTGCCGTGGCGGCCTGGCTTTTCAGGCCCCTACTCCAGTATATACTTGTGTTACATCGTATCTCGTTGATGAATTGTTGGTCACTGCTCACTCTACGACCATATCACAGATCAAATCTCTATATTTATTAGATTAATCGAGTCATACGCCTGCTGTATTCGCCATCAAGCTCCACGCTTCCCCTCCTGCCGCAGCACCTCCAACTCCATCTTCTCAAAGCCCTCCACAGCCTGGCCATACCGCTCAAACACCCCCTGCTGATAGCCATCTGCAATCTTTTCAATGAACTCATCTTCGTGCCACCGCTTTCCGATGAGATCTTCAAAGGTCTGTCCTTCGGCCCGCTCCATCGCCCAAACCGCCTTGTATGCTGCACCCAGAGCACAAGCGTTATCCCCAATTTCCAGCTTGTACACACCCTCACTACCACCCAAAATCTCCCCGGCCACTTTAGCAATAGCTTTGTTCTTTGACCCACCCCCGACTAGGTACACCCGGCGCGGTTGCGCTGGAATACCCCCACCAGGGCTCTGGGTAAGACCGCGGGATCGCAGGCGCAGCGATAGCATCTGGCTCTCGACAATGGCCCGGGCTTCGTCAAAGGGCTTATTCCACCCGCCATTTGACTGATTCAGACTGCCGTCCTTCGGGTTGTAGTCAAAGCGCCATTGTCCCGCACGCAGGTTTGGCACGATCTCAGGACGAGGGAAGAACAGACCCATCTTCATCGGGTCGGAGTCAGACTTCTGCCCTATAGGCGGAGTCTCCAGGGTGACTTTATCAAAGTTCACCCATGACGAAGATGGCTTCTCACCGAGCTTCTCGTTGACCGCATCGCGGACATGCTCGCGGGCAAGCCCGCCGTTCTTGTAGCACAGCATGAACATGTACAGACCTGGGGTGGTCGGGTGGTTGAAGAAATGCGTCGCCGGGTCAGGCATGTAGTTTGGCGTGGACATGAGGAAGGTGGTCGAGGTACCCAGCGAAACCATGGCATCGGAGGCTCTGAGGGGCAATGCAAGGATGGTGGCGGGGTTGTCGCCCGTAGCGGGGATGATCGTGCAGTCCGGGCTGAAGCCATAGCGTTCAACGTAGTACCGATCAATGGCACCGAGGTGGATGCCTCCATCCTCTGGGACATCGCCCAGCTTGCGTCGCAGGTCATCGACGCCGGATGGACCGGCGCAGAGCTGTAGAAGCTTCTCATCGTAGGCACCCTTCTTGATGTTCCAGAGGTTCATGCCACAAACATCGGAGATGTCCATTGATGCAATGTGTCCCAAAAACAGAGAGGCCAGGAATGAAGATACCAGCGAGATCCGCAGCGTCTTCTTGTATACATCGGGGTACTTCTTCTGGAAGCGCAAAATCTGAGGGCCTGTAAATCTCTACATGGTATTAGCGATCGTCGGACACCTCTCCAACTATGCAGGCTACCACCGGATACTCACATGGTGCGCCTTACTCCCCGTCGCAAGAGCCAACTCGCTCTCTCCACCCAGGAAGGCATCGAATTCATCACATTCCTTCTGAGTGCTCGAATCCTGCCAGTTCGGGCTGAAAGGGTGCGAGAATGCCCCATCCAATTGCTCCTCGAGCGTCTTGCTTGCATCTAAGCTCTTCAGCAACGTCTCCGCATTCTCTCCCCAGTATACACTTCCATGTTGCTGTCCAGCACCACTGATACCCTTGACCTGGCTGAAGTCCAAGCCCTGCTTACGCAGGCCTTCTAGGACGCCGTCAAGGGCCTGTAGCCATAAGGCGACAGGTGCGAAGACCTCATGTTCGGCTTCGTTGGTAATCACGCCTTTTTTGATGGGAAAGCCGTGGGAGTCGGCGTCAAAGTCGAATTTGGAGACATAGACAACCTTGAGGTCGGAATTAACAACGAGACCCTTGAGTTGTTGGGTGGAAAGGTCGAAGCCGATGTATAGAGGACCCTGCATGGCGAGTGCGGCCCGGAATGATGACGTATGTGAGGACGGAGATGGCTGGTCACGAAAGCGATGAAGGGAAAGAGATCGTAGAGCGGAGAGGGGTCAATTGAGAGGAGATAGTCTAATAAAATAGTTCTATCGTGGCAGGAAGACAATAACTGACGGTGAAGAGCAGGGAGAGAGAGGAAAAGAGAGAAGATGACAGCGCAAAAGCAATGATGAAGTCAACACGCCGAGGAATGATTTATCCCTTGAGCTCCCGCCAGCCTGGCTGCTGCTCGGCAAAATCCGACCAACAGAAAGGCCATGAGCACGTAAACCCCATGACTGATCATTCCCGACCTCTCTTTTTACCGATGGCTGCTTAGAGCCTTAGTGTCTTCATTATTATTCTTCTGGCACTCGCTTGGTTGACGATAAGATGATATCAATTAACCTGGTCCCCCCCCCCCCCCACCGCCGCCGGGAATTTACCCGGTTAATCAATTGGAGGCAAGCCCTCAGGGAATAATCACTCTGCAAGGCCACCATGGTTGGGTCTAGATCCAAATCATCCCGAGAGACCTTTCTGCAGGCTTTGCTGGGATTCCCTACCAGGAAAATTAGGCTAGTGCTTGACTACGACGAACTGGCCTAAGGCCTGCGGCTAAAGTGAAGATCCCGCGGATCGCCTCAGCTGGGAGGAGTGCAGTGCGTTCTTGACTTCTTGTATATTCGAGCATCCAGGTCCCATACATACAATCACCCTAACAAGATCCATCTTTTCTATTTTCCCCTCCCTCCCGATTTCCAAATCTTGTCATCTGTCAACTCTCTATTCTATCCAACCGGGTTGTACTTAGCGGCAGCAGACGGGAGGGAGTATTTCTCCCTAGTATCCATCCTGGGGTATCATCGGACTGGGGACCAGAGCGCTAGTGAACGACAGAAATGTAAGATTGACCTTGTCGACCCATACACACAATGATGAGAAACAAAGACCTGACCCTCAGCGTGTTTTGCGGGGTTCCTTTTCATGTTCATGGTCATGCTCGTGATCATGCTCATCCTCCTCCTCAGGCTCAGCGCGCGCGCGAGACGTGACATCCGCGGGAATGAACTCCTCCGTAAAGGTCAACTCCTCATGCTCCAAGGGAATAAATCGGACCTTGAGACGCTTGACCCCACGCACGCCTTCCCCGACCGCATTGCGGACCGACTCCTCGATCCCCCGGGTTCGGCTGACAGACCACGCGCCCGGCACAGCGATCTCAATATCCATCAGATAGTTTTGTCCTGACTTCATGCCCTGCACATCACGGACTTTGATCGCATCACCGCCCTCCAGCTTAGCCAGCATCTTGGCCGCGGCTTTCTGTACCGATTCCCTAATATCATCGTCGACGGTGGTATCGGCCAGCTCCAACAGCGACGTCTTTGTATTTCCCCACCCGGCCTTGATGACCATCAGCGAAATCAACAGTCCACCCACAGGATCCAGCCAGGAGGCGTCTTGGAAGAGGTAGGTTCCCCCGATCGTAAAGAGAGCGACAATGCTGGTGAGGGAATCGATGCGATGGTGGATGGCATTGGAGGCCAACACGGAAGACTTGCGCTCCGTAGCGACTTTCATGGCTGTCAAGCAAAGGAGTAGTCAGCTATCGTAGTCTACATCAGGGGAAATGTTCCACAAGGTACTCACTAGCATGGTAGAGCCACTCCTTCACCACGATGGACCCCGCAGCTAGCCATGCTGCATGAATGCTCGGACCCAATGCATCGACGCCATGGCTATGCGAGTGACTGTGTCCCAGGGCGCCCACATGTGCGATAGCTTCTGCAGCCTCGGGGTAAAACTGACCCAGGAGGACCTGGCCGGAATTGAGACCCATAAACACACCTCCGCAGAGCAACAGCCCGCTAACCCCTAACGCTCCGATACTCTCAATCTTGCCGTAACCATTAGGGAATCGCTCGCTCGGGGGTCTGAGCGACCAGGCGACCGTGCCTAATGTCAGAAAATCGGAAACCAAGTCGGTGAGGGCGTGGTATGCATCAGCGATGAGGGCCTGGGAATGGAACACGTAGCCGCCGATGAACTTCCCGATGGCCATGGCGAGGTTGGCAACCAGACCAAGCCGGGTTATCCGCACGCCTGCATCATGCTTATCGGTGGAGGTGAGGTAGACATTGTCATGATGGTGGTGGTGGTGGTGATGGTGACCATGGTGGCCACCGTGGTCTCTGGATTGGGTGGTCATTGGAGGTAAAGTGACGGAGGTAGCGGCGATGGCAGCGGAAGGGACTAGGGTCGGACGAGAAGCGGGACGGAGGAAAGCATTGGGGAAGACGACAGAAGGAGGAGAGGAGGCAGAGGAGGAGACACTAGGGTTCTTAAGGCGCAGAGGCGACGAGGAGGACGAGGATGAGACACGCAGCTGAAGAGACCGGGGGAGAAGAACAATGCCGGATCGTCTCCAAAAGGCACAGACCGGGCGTGATGGCGGAGGATGGGCCCTGCACCGCAAGGGCTGCGTCAGCATCCTCGTAGTGGCTCGTCTTATCGACCGGGTTCTGCGGCAATTATATTGTTATTTGAGGGGGAAACACTGAGGGAAGTCTGGACTGAAACGGCAGCCCCATGATGGGTGCGGTGGATTGTCTGAAGAGGAACCGGAGCCTGATCGCAATTGCGAGGCCTCCGTCATCCGTCATGGCTGTCGGTCGAATCCCCGGCTGAGGCGATGCCGACATGCGCTGACGATTTCGGCCCCGGGGTTGATCCACCGATCGCTTGTTCGATAACAATCCTCCCCCAATCCCGCCAGAGGTGATTAGCAGACCCTGCCAGTATGCCTGACCGACGAACTGCTCTCACGAGACCAATAATGACCCGGGTAATGCAATCCTCTCACGCTGGCAATTCGCCCTGATCAAGCACGCCCCGTCCCTCCGTGACTCTTTCGCTTTTCATGTCGATCCTTTCCCTCCTCCCAAAGAAGCAACGCGTTTCTTGCTTGGCAGCTCCTCCAGCTGCGTCACCAGATGCTTGTCATGATCCAGAGCCCCTCCAAGAGCCGGAGATGAACCGTTCTTTTCGATGCATCCTCTGTTTGTCGGTTGGTGGAATTCTAGCGCCGACCGAAGGAGGGGCGGCGGCTTGGCGGGGATCAATCTTTACCAGGACCTCCGCGTCGGATGCAGAACACTTCTGCCATTGATGGCGTACTGTTAAGCTTATGATTCACTGGTTTTGATATGAGGGGTCCTATACGGAGAGTGGCTCCAGGATCATGGCAGGCTCCCGGTAGATGTGGTTCTCCAGCTGTCAATTTGACCGAAAGTCAGGCCAAGACAACCAGCGTTATGCTGAGCCCTAACTGTGTTTCAGGTGAGATGGCTGCCACTATACTGCCCACAAGTCATCAAGTGAATCATTCTTGCCTGGACACGATATCACGAACTCTAGCGTCACAGCCCTCCAAAGCACCAGTCACCGTCTAGCTATGCTCAGCCTTGCTGGCCTAAGGCGCAACCGCATCACTCAAATGACAAGGCTGCCAGCAGAAATCCCATATAAAGATGGAGTGAATGCACCCCATATCCTAGAATCCCTATGGCGAATGTCTTATAGAAATTACTACAAATCCCATCAACGTAATGGCGCGTCACTTCTTCTCATATCTGCACCGTACCTCTAAGCAACCCGTGACCCAGGACATAACCCCTACTTCAAACCTATTCAACACCTTAATATCTGAACCAAATAACATCCCAACACCCGGCGAATGTGCCGTCCACCTCGAACTCCTTGAAGTATTCCATACCTTACGTACCCGAATCATCTACTCCAAGGAACTAGACCGTGTATTCGGTCTCCATCCCAGTCGTCTACGAATCCCGGGACGTCGCAGTGCATCACAAGGGACTGAGAAATGGCACCGCTTTGTATCTCTTGCCGTCGACAGATTCCAACACTGGATTCGTGCCGCAGAGACGCTGCTCGAGCAGGATGGGAACAACGAAACACATATACTTCCCCCCGTCGGTGAGCAGCTACTACCATCTTCCTCCATGACCTTATCCTAACAACTTGATACCAGACATACTCATGGTCTGGCACGCATTCCTACTCAACCCCCTCGACTACAAGAACTTCTGCACAAGTCACCAACTCCACCGAATCCAAGAGACTCCCTTCCCCTGGTCTGCCATCGTAAGTCCATCTCCACCTCACACCCCAAATCAACCCCCGAAATCCTAACCACCACAGCACACCTCCATCAACCCAACAACCTGGTCCTACGACCTCCCTAACCCAAACAGCCAATGGCTTGAATCCGAAGCAAACCTACCAACAGACCTCCTCTACAGCCTCACACACCCAGCTCAGCCCCCACCAAACCACCCCACCGAAACCGAATCTCTACTGCAAAACGTCCTCCGCCAAACAACCTTCATCGACCACATGCACGCCCACCTATGGATCCGAAGTCCCGATATCGAAGACCTCCTCGATGATGCCCGAGAAAGCTACAACGGCTTTGTAGAGCTATTTCGTCTTTATCCGGGGGTTATACTGGTCCCGACACTTGCGATAGATTTGGTCTGGCATACGCATTTGTGTAGTGCGGAGAGGTATACGGCCTGTATGATGGAGCGGGTTGGGCGGTTTGTTGATCATGATGATAAGTTGGGGAAGGGGACGTTGGATGATGGCTTTGAGAGGACGAAGGTGTTGTTTGAGAGGGAGTTTGGAGGGCGTGGGGGGTCCAATGTGATGGAGGAGGAAGAGGAGGGGGTATGAGGTATGAGTGAAGATCGACGTGGTGTGGCTGTGGTATTACCATGGATTGGAATTAGGACGGAAGAAGGAAATATCAAAGTGGTTTTGAATAGGGCGGTAGAGGTATATAGTATATCTGGAATTTTGATGTCTTTGAGGGTATCCTTGGAGATATATAGGAATGGCATGAACTTCGTTGGCATTATCGTATGAGTACTAGTCGATCACTTGCAGGTGGATTGTCTTGACAATGACATTGCCAGGAGCGAATACATCACGACTATCCTTATCGGCTGGGTAGGGATTGACAGAATCATCACAAAACTCAGTTACAGTATTGCACCGAGCCTGGAAGTTGGAATCCAACAACAATATATAAATCATGAGTATTTCATCAATGGCGTTCCGTTCACTCTGGCTAGCCTTTCCTGCATATCCCGACTCAGAACTCCATCGAGTCAATCCCGAGAATCATCCACGCACCAATCAACCCCGAGAACCCGCCTACTAGGAGAACGTAAGCAAGCGGACTGCTGGACTCGGGGACCGCATAAAGGATCAAACTAGCGACTAGAGCCGCCGGAATCTGCGGACCAGCAATTGAGACATTGTGCAAACTCATCACAAGCCCTGGTCTTGGAGCGCCAGTCGTCGCAATTTCACTCGAATGTGTGCCCGCGATGCGCTGAGAAATTGTAGTGCTGATCAGCGCATATGGAATCCAACCCGTGCAAGCCCAGCAAATTCCAAGAATTCCCATCAAGGCTGTGGCTGTCGCTGTCGTTGAGGCCAAAAAGAGACCGATCATGCAGCCCCCGAAGAGAACTTGAGAAACCATCCAGACGCTCATAAGGGTTGATCGAGCGTCTATCTTTCTCGACCGCTGGTGGTAGTCCCAGACAGCGGGCATGAGAAGACTGGCGAAGAAGGACACGCAGGCATTTATTAACATTGCCTGGGGGCCGAAGTGTAGCGATTCTACTCTTATGTCGCGAGTTGCCTCCCGGGTTTGTTCTGAAATCTCGCCTAAATGGCCACGTAAGGGTGTGGATGTTAGAAAATAGTCACTTGTTGATGTTTTGTCTTGTGCATAAGATTGCCTTACCCAGGCTTTCAATGTAGCTGTTGACAAGTTAGTGAGTCCGCATACAGACGGTTGACGCGGAGACGGGGTGAAAAGTTACTTCAGCATCACTTACGTGGCTGCATAGAACAGAAAGGGAAACCACCCCATCCAAGAAAAGAATTGGACCTTCCAGACACCAATGACTCCTTGAGGGAGCGTTTTCCAGGCCGATCGGAGTGCATCCATCGACACATGTAGAGGACGAGAACACACAGTAACTTTGGAGATAGGTGACTCATCACGGAGAATGAATGCCAGCACAAAAATAGTCAGCATTAGACTAAAAGCGGTGATTAAACACAGGTTCTTGAATTGCGATCCGGTTAGAACCAAGCTCAGTTTCCTCGTGTCGACAGATCCGGCGAACTGGGCTATGATATTCCCTGCCCCAGTCATCCGGGCTGCCCACGCGGAAGCCAAAGTCTGTTGATCTGGGGAACAAGTCTCGATAATAAGCGTGCGTAAACCGAGCTGAACAGGTTGGATAGCAATATTTAGAGCAACTATTGCGGTGATGGCCACAGCCTTGCCTAGTACGGGCCCCCTTTTGCCCAGGTGTACAAGATCGGGGGCCCAGCCCAACGCCAGGAGCGCGATGATAAGACAGATGATCCCACCCGTCACGAGCCGTTGACAATGGCCGTATCTATCCTTGAGTATACCTACTAAAGGTTGCACAAAGGTCCCTGCAAGAGGCCCTGCGAGCCAAGCGAGACCTAGTTCCCACTGACTCATACCCATCGACAATAGATAGGCCTGTCTCCATTGTGAGTTAGAAGAAGAATTGATAATGATGAACCCTCCAACGAGGGGCGTGAGTCTGCCTATCTCTGGGGGGAAGCACTAAAGCTCCTTACCGTGCCATATGAGGCCAGCAAGGCGAAAACGAATTGAAGCCTGGAACCGTCAGTTACATGTCTAGAACTTGGGACACAATTAGCTCACGTTCCGAACCCACTGGTCAAGGCCTGCAGATATCGAGATCCACGACGACGGGGACCAGAAGAAGAGATTTCATGGCCAACTTCGGTGGTCCAAAGCCTCCGACGAAGGTCCATGTCTGTAGATAATACAGAAGCAGTGCGATGCCCGAGCCTAGTGAAAGATCAAAGCCCGGGCGGAGAAGCAGTAGCTGTGGTGGACTTGTTGGGCTTCAATTTCAAGGACCGACGTTTAGAGAAGCGCAGGAATGGGCCCATCTATTCTAGAGTCAGCCGCAATAGCGAAGAAGGAATCAACCCCTCCTAACTATCCTATGTGACAGTCAGATCTCGGACGCTTGTTCTTACGGGTACTCAGGTACTAGCTACTAACTATTTCTAGATAGGCCGCACCGTCACTAAAGCACAACTCATGCCAGTCTAATGAAATCTCTACCAATCGGGCCGTCCAATTTACATGCAAACTAGTTATCGTATGACCCCTACTTGTATGGTATTGGGAATTACTTACATCCCTAAACAGTGTATGTACTATAGTACTAGATACAAACAAAGACGACAAGGGTACTGATAAGAGAAGCTCGCCGCACGTTTCATTTTTTGGCTCCTCCGGCGGTCCGGACCGCACACGGCACACCCGCCCTATCACCGAGCATCCATGGTTCGCGGGAAATGGTGTCTATCTACTCCGTACCTTTGGAAAGCATTTCTGAGAAAGAGTTTGATGCTAGAACGCACTCAGCATAAATGATAGCGTTGGCTATCATTACTGGCTATTTTAATTAAAAAGACCGAGCGCATGGCGAAGGATACGGCAAGATCTAACCCGGCCGCTGCGTATGCTCTTTCCGCGGTATGCCGCGTCTGCCATGGCCGCTGTCACGGTTTCTCGGTCGCTCATGGGGGCCCTCCTGCCGCTCGCAGGACCCCCGTTGTACAATCGGCTTGGTCTGGGTTGGGGAAACTCTCTGCTTGGGTTCATCGCTTTGGTCATGGTTCCGGTGCCCTATTATTTGTGGAAGATGAGGCGATCCCTTCGGGTCCATCATCCAATGGAACTGTGACGTGATGTTGAGGAATTATTACCCCTTCATTCCCGTCTACTTACTCCCATAAGTGTAGTAAATACACTGGCGAACAAGGTGTTCCAAACATATCTAATTCCCATCGTGAAGATCATTCCCAAACATCATATCCTGAAGCGTTTCTTCACTCAAATCAGCATTCACAAAATGCTCCCTCTGGGGTGTTCGAATTCGTCGATGAACCTCTGCTGCCGTCTTCCAACCAGAAAACCCAGCCATTTCCCAATCAATGAGGCCCACAATCCCGTCGTTATCAACAATACGGTTTGACTGAGTAAAATCATTATGCATGAAGCCCAAGTCCGGGTCGGTGTAAGTATCAGAAAAGAGAATCTCCCCCTCTAGAGAACAAGATCTCGGGGTCCAAAGGGCCAATGGACCTAGCGGCTGTCGCAACCATCACCCGGCAGTTGGCTTCACCTGTTTCCAATTAGGCGGGATCTGCTACCTAGGTATTCACCGTCATCTTCATACTGGCTGTAGGCATCTGCCGCGGATCCTTCCCTATCCGCATACATCTTTGAAGGCGCGATATGGGTCACTCACATCGGAAAGTCCTGAGTGATAGGTAGGTACAGTTGAAAGTCGTGAATCAATAAGTGAATTGCCGTGCTTGAATAAATTATCTAATGCTGAAAAGTCAGTATCCGAGTCGTTTCATTCCATACTAAATTTATATAAAGTGTGCACTTCATAAGGATCGTGACAGTTACTAGATAGATTTTAGAACCGGTACCAGGATAACCGGCGCTAAGTTCCGAAAGTCAAATGTTGCCGGAAAGGGAAAAGCCTGCTCCTTGTTCCTTTGTTGCCGCCTCTTTTAACTGACATCTGTGGCCAAAACATCTCCATCCTCAACATTATAGAGACTTGCGACCATGGCCGATGATATCACAGTCATTGATCCCGAGGGTGAAGTGATCTTCATACTGGAAAACCCCAATGCACCCTTTGCTGTTTGGAACGATACCAACAATGGGGAGAAGGGTACGGGGAGAAACGACGAACAATCAGGTTTGGCTGCCAGTCGTCGACCCCAGAGCGAAAATCTAACTAGTATATCCAGCGTCGAAGGTTATTCGTGTGCGAGTCTCAGAAAAGCACCTCACCTTAGCTTCGCCTGTGTTCAAGACAATGCTTATAGGTGTCTGGAAAGAGAGCAGGACTGCGGGGGATGAAAAGATGAAGGAGATCCGGACAGAGAGTTGGGATGCAGGTGCATTTCTGCTACTGCTAAATCTTCTCCACTGTCGACACCGCACGGTACCCCAGGGGCTGAGCCTAGAGCAACTAGCAAAACTTGCCGAGATAGCAAACTACTATAATTGTATCGAAGCTATCAAATTCTTTTCTGACAGGTGGATGGAGTTGTTGAAGCCGAACCGTCCCAAGCAATATTCTCGGGACCTGATGTTATGGTTATGGATCACTTGGGCATTTGGCTCACCCGACCGATCTGAGGCATGGATGATTGCAGTGAAAGAGAGCAAAAGTCCAGTTCGGAGCCTTGGATTACCATTTCCATCTCTAGTCATGGGTATTGATTGCATTGAGTGATTAAATCAACTATCTTTGAACACGGCTAATTGTTCTCCTAGATCGCATCAACACGCAAAGGAACACGGCTATTTGTATACTGTTTACGACACTTAACAAGCTCAGGGATGATTTGCTTTGCGACACTAAGGGGTGCTCCTTTCAATGCAGGGCTGTAGCAAACGGCGTCCTTACCAAGTTGATGCATGAGAAGGGCCTTTTGATAGAGCCCACGGCAGCTGCTGCCAAATGGAGCTTTGTTGAGTTAATAAATATAGTGGCCACCTTCAGCAAAGGTTTACTAGATACGTGCCGCTGTCAAAGAAACTACTACGACGTACACAGCCTGTGTCAGCCCGGGAGCTGGATTACTGAGGTAATGCAGAGTGCGAGCAAGAGCGTTGATATGTATGTTACCTGTTGAAGACCTTGAGGCCTGCGCTTCACCGTCTTTCCTTCAAATGTCGAGTTGATTTACCCCTCTTATCCAAGGAAGGTCATCAAGTGATGGTAGCATTGGTTTTTTCCCGTCCAGAATTGATTCCCCAGTGATAGCCAGCCAATTTTCCAACAGCGTGAAAAGACGCGGGCCCGAGAGGCGGGGTGGAAGATCGGCCAATGGCGACCCCCCTTTGTAGCGCCGGCCGTGCGTGTCTTTCTGTCTCGTGCATCTTCCCTCTTCCATCTTTCCCCCCCTCCGTCCCTTCCTCACTCCAATCAGCCTGGTCAATGTCCCCGGCACACCCAGCACGGCGGTAATCATCTTGATTACACCTCCTGTCACTTTTACTTTTGCGGCACAGTCTGCCCGCAGATCACGCCTAATGCACCCTTTTCACGCTGAGCGTCTACCGGCCCGTGCGAGACCAACCCATGCCGTATACTAACCGCTGAACATTTCCAGCTCGACACGCTCGACATTCAGCACGGTTCATCAGTTGAAAACAATGAAGCCACTCGGGACTAGTTGGTCAGACAGATGCACCCATTTTCATGGTCTGTCCCAAAAATCATGGTGTTGGAACTAGTATTTCCTTTGGACGATTATTGTTCTCCGACATGGATATAAATATGCTGCTGTGGACAACCTTCGGGGCCAACTTTTTCTCTCTACTTCTCCATCAAATCTTTCCTTCTTAACATAACTTATACCATCTCTCTACCATACGTTTGTTTTTCTCGTGTCTTCTATCAAGTCGTCGCGATGATTGATCTTCTGGAAGTCAAAAGACGATACGAAGCTGTGGTGGCAGTCGAAGATAGTAGGGATAGAATCCTTCAGGTCAGCCTCTCTTATGCACGAGAAGCATGACCCTTGTTGATGTCCACGAACAGAACCTGTTCGCTCAAGTGGAAAGCCTACAAAAGGCTCTTCGACACAAATTGGGGGATACCGAATTCCAGGACCTGAAGAGATACAAGACAGAGTATGATGACCTGCGGCATGACCAGGTACTACTTCTTTCCGCCATCTTTTTCTTCCCCAAGCTAATCATTTTATTCACAGGCAAAGCTAAGTTATGTCTCCGTGCTAGTCGATGGCGACTGCATGAATGTAAGTCAGACACCGTTTTTTTTCCATCCGCCTACTGACAACTTAGTTCAACAATGCTCTCATCCGAGATGGCTACAACGGCGGGCGTAAAGCTGCCCGCCTTCTTCGAAAGTCCGTCGATCGCCATGTCCGCGACATCGATCCCCAAGCCAGCCCGAACATCCAGTACCGAATTCGCGTATACGCCAACGTTCCGGGTCTGATGAAAGCTTGTCGGGAAGCGAACATCCTGCGTTCGAACGAAGCGTTGGACCCGTTCATTCGGGGGTTCAACATGGAGAATCCTCTGTGCGACTTTATCGACGCAGGCAATGGCAAAGAGTGCTCAGATGTCAAGATACGGGGTACGTATATTCCTCATCCCTAATAAAGCAGATAGGGCCGTGAGCCTAACAACCGCCGCAGCAACATTCGAGCAAGATATCCTAGACGTCCACTGCCGTCACATCATCTTCTGTGGCTCGACCGACAATGGCTACGCGCGTATCCTCAGCCCCCACCAAGGGTCCAACCGCATCTCCCTAGTCCAGGGGGCACCCTTTGCATGGGAAATGGAGCAACTGGCAAGCGAATTCCAAAGCACCTCCTTCCCCGAGGTCTTCCGGTCCACAAGACTCCCTTCACGAGCATCATCTTTCAGCGCGCGCAGCACGGCATCAGCCAACAGCTCCCCTTGCAGCTCGCCCACGAAAGCCAAAAACAATTCTAGCCTCGTCACGCCCCCGACCACATCAACAGGTGACTATGCGACCATGGCCAAGTCAAATCTCAAGGCCTCATCTTCCAAGCGCTCCAAAAAGTCCAAAATATCCGTCATCACATTTGACATCTCCTCATCGTACGACACCCACTCCCACTTCAACAGTGTCCAGCTCAACAGCCAAAGCCAACGCATCGACCCGCCTCTCCGGCCCAGCAGCTACAAGAATATGATCAAACTGCGAAACGGGAAATACTGCAACCGGTACCATATCTTGGGGGAATGCGTTCCTGACAACGAGTGCAGTCATCAGCATGGATGCAAGCTCAGTGATCATGATGCTCTCGACCTTCGATGTATTTCTCGGACGAACGTCTGTCCAAACGATGCCTACTGTACGGATGAGAAGTGCATCAGTGGACATCAGTGTCCTTGGGAATACCGGAATGGACATAGCATTGAGGACTGCAAGTTCCCGCGAGAAATGCATGAGGTTGATAGAACGGTGGCAATCGTTCTATGAGTATCTTGGCTTGAATTGGAATTTCTACATGCGTCAACAGGATGTAAATAGTTATGTCAATCTCATTCATCTTATTTTATTTCATATCATATATGCATCATCTTCCCCTTATAGATCAAGAAACCTATATCAAGGCTCTCACCTGCCGATCGCTTCACACAATCAGAACCATCCCACGAACCCTCAAGTTTCTTTTCATACAAGACATAGACCATCAAGTCACATCAGAAAGATAAAAATTAGGAGAAGAAAAACCCACTAAGCAAACAAAAACTTGGCCGCATGTTCAACATGGTCATCCGAGAACGTAGCCATCGTAAAATAACTGTGATCATAATCGGGCTGATACCGAACCGTCACGCCCTCTACGCCCGCCTCCTTGGCAGCTTTCTCGAAGTTCTCGGGAAGAAGTTGGCCTTGCTTGTAGAAGTTGTCGCCAGTGCCCTATAAAATATCAAATATCAGAAAACCATATCGAAAACAAAGAGAACAGGAGGGGGAAGGTGACCAAGAGAACATACCACATCAATCAACACATCCAACCTCCCCTTCCACTTCTTCACCAACTCCGTCGCATCATGCTCCTTCCACTTCTCCGTCTGCTCCGCCCCAAAGTACCCCGTAAATGCCTTCTGGCCCCACGGACAGTTAATCGGGTTCGAGATGGGCGCGAACGCAGACACGGATTTGTATTTGCCGGGGTTGCGGAGGAACTATCACCATTATCCCCGTTAGTAAATTACTAACACCTCCAAAACAGCCAATAAAGGAAAGATAGAGTGAGTAAGTGACATACCAAAGTCAAAGCTCCATGTCCACCCATACTATGGCCCGTGATACTAACACGGGAGGAATCCAGCTGAGGGAAAGCGGCAAACACCGTTTGTGGGAGTTCCTCCATAACATAAGAGTACATGTTATAGCCGTTGTCGTAGGGGGCGTTGGTGGCGTCGACGTAGAAGCCTGCTCCTGTGCCGAAGTCCCAGGCGTCGGCTTCTCCGGGAATGTTGAGACCGCCTGGATATCGGTGGGTTGTCAGTAATTGGGTTCAATTTTTGTTTTTATTATCAAATGCCATTTCTTTTTTTAATAGTTCGTTTTTCTCGTTCTGGTATTGGGGTATATCTCTTTCTCTGGGAAGTGTAGGGACGGACATACGCGGACTGGTATCCGGATACAGCACAGCAATGCCCTTCTTGCTCGCGCCGTGTTGGAAAAAGCCCTTCTCGGAACAGTTGTCGGCCGTGCAGGTCAACCCGGACAGATAGACCAGGACGGGGATCTTCTGGGACGGGGTCTGGAAGGCCTGTGGGGGCAGGTAGAGGTTGAAGGACATTTCGCATTTGGTGGTGGTCGCGGCATGGCTAAGCTTGAGAAGCTTGCCGCCGAATGAGGCGATGGTGGCCTTGGTGGTGACAGACATGGTGGATGGGGGATGGGTAGGGTGGAAGCGAGGTTAGATGGAAGAGAAAGAGAGAGAGAGAGAGAGAGAGAGATAGAGTGAGTGAGAGGGGCATATAAACATGGATTAGCGATGAGGGGAATGCTTGGATGAGGGGAAATGAGGGGCGGTGGGCCTGCGCCGGGAAATTTTGCCGTTTGTGGTTATCGCGACACACCAGAGCTTAGAGTTTAGTATGTGCTTATCGCATGGATTATTAAAAGATGCAAACTAACTAGCTCGCGATGCTATGCCACAGGTAACTCTTGAATCCAAAACGCCAATGCTATTACCCAGCCATCCCAGGATATTACGCCAAAAACACCGCGGGAATTCCGTAGATCACCGGCGCGGCTCCATTCAAGTACTTCAACACACAGGCTTGCCGCGACTGGCAAACCGCATCATCCAAGGCCACGGCTCCCTCCAAGCTCCCAACAAGGCCCCATTTCTCAAGCGTGCTCTTGGCAAACCGGTCAATGTCCTTGTCCGTCACGTCCCACAGCGTCGCCACCAACGCGGGGCTCCCAGCATGCAGGTAGTTCAACGGGGTCCCGTACGGCTCGTACTCGCCGGCTTCCGTCAAGGCACCACTGCTGCAACCCATCAGGAAAGTGATCGCGCACCGGTCCAGACGTTTGATCGTCCGGGCCCGGCAGTACTGCGCGCCACTGCCATGCCCGAAGTAAAGAAACAGGTCCTTCGACTCTAACCCGTTCTTGAATTCCTCTTCCGTCGGTTCCCGGTTCACCACTCCACTCCACTTCAACTTCACAAGGTCCTTTTCGAACGTGCCCTGAGTGGTTTGCAGGTCACCCGTGGGGTTGAGAATATAGGTGCCGTTCTTGCGGTCAACACGGAAGCCGACCCCGTTATCCGCCCCTTCGTCGCGGAACCGCTGGATTCGGTCCCGAAGACATTCCAAGGAGGGCACACGGCAAACGGGGAATCCCTGGAGACACGGCAGAGACTCCCACGGGAACATATGCAATGACTTGTCCAGGACCAGGACAGTGTGGTTCGGCGATGGGTTACCCTGCTCTTTTCGGACTCGATCGTGATGACCTCTCAGAGCGTCAAGGGTTTCCACGACCATCATGTCGAAATCGATCTCGTCGTACGCGTTACGCTCCCCTTGGAACTGCAAAATATCTACCACGAAGTAAAGAAGGTCAACTAATGTCTCCTCGGGATCGTCTTGAGCATCCAAGTCTTTGACACCGATGAACAGCTCCAGCACGTTCGGATGAAGGGTCAATCGCGGGCTTCCTGCCCGGCTGCCCTTGCGACGTGAGGGAAGATGCTTGTCGAGAATGTTATGGAACGAGTCGGCAAACCGCGCAAGAGAGCGGGTCTCATGAGGCACCGGAGAGAAGATCCCGCGGAATCCACCGAACCAGACATTTTCGATATGTTGCAGCAGGGCCTCCATCCGATGGTCCAGGGCTTCCCGATTTTTCCACCAATCCTTCTTCATCTGTCGATCGGTTTGGTGTTTTGCTGCATGCGCACTTTCGTTGGCCAGCCGGATGAGCTCTTGTATGTCATCCCTGCCATCCTCAAATGTGTATTGCTCGTCTTCATCTTCCGAATTTCCCCGTTTAAGAGGAAGGCGCAAAAGAAATGGTGAACGGCCCTTTTGCAAACGCGAGACCACGAACTCGGTGCGGTCAGCGCTCAAGGAAAGAGAGAGAACGTTCCAGTTCTCCGGCAGAATCTCCACGTATTCTTCGGTAAAGCGCGAACAGAGATCGTCTTCGGGAACCACCGCGGTCTCAGCACTTGGCCAAAGTAGAGGGTCGCAGTAATCCGCTAGTTGCTTATCAAGAGCGATGGCAGCATGCTCCCGTGTGAAAGCACCAATACGGCCAATCTCGTTCACGTTTGCTGGGGATTGAGAGAGGGAGCCAGGGCACTCGAGCGCCGTAACATGAGTCAGCATGGAAATTCGACTCATTAGGCGAGAGGCAGCATGGCTGTCAAGGGTAGACCCGAGGGTGGTAGCAAGCGGGAAGACGGTCTTCAAGCTTTCGCTCGCTCTTGATAACATCACGGAAAAGTCCTCAGTGGGCTTTGGTGTTTTCGAGCGCGTGCTTCTGGTGGGGGTTTTTGTCGGGGCTCGTGTTCTTCGCGTCGAAGCTGTTTTACTGGAGCTCACTTGGGTCGCCGTCTTACTCGGTGACTGCAACGAGGGAAGCGAGATAGTTGATTCAGGAAGGACACAGTAAACTGCGTGGCTGGCAAAATTCCGAATGGCATCGGCGAGCAGATGCTCACTCTCTCCGATATGCAAGGAAATCTGACTGTCCCTAGAAGTCGCGAACTTGCGTGCGTCACTTAACAAGCACGATGCCTGTTCAAAGTCTCGCAGTGAGCGCAGGCAGGCTGCTTGCTGTCGGAGGATGTCACTCCTCAGATGAAGTATTGACATCGAGCCAGTTTCTGTCGATTCGGAGCTCTCGCCCGACACTTTTGGTGCGCTTGAGGTGGTTGCGGCGCGAGTTCTGCGGGTCGTCGTGGGCGCCCGCTGCCTCGTTTTCCTAGCAGTACCCTGGACTTGCAGCTTCTTCAACTTATCATTAAGGTCCGCAACCCCCGAGAGGATATCCGATGTTTCAGAAGCGGCACACTCAATCATTATCCTGTCGGCTTCGAGGAGAGCCTGCTGCTCGTCGTGGTAATGGCCTTGCGCTCGATGTAGAGAAGCAAGGCCAATCTGGAGCGAAACAAGCTCAATGCTGTTGTCGAGTTGCTTTGACAATGACTCTGCTGCTGTAAGGAGCTCCTGGCCTTCCGTGATATGCCCACCAAATATCCAGTGCGAGCCAAGCTGTGCTTGTGACGCGATCAAACGTACATTCGCATTCAATGTCTTGTTGATCTTCAGTGCCTGTTCTCCATAGTAAATGGCATCCTGGAATAGACCGTGGTGTGCAGAAAGGCTAGCAAGGTTCAGCAAAGCCATGTGATGTGAACCAATATGAGGCCAAAAGGGAGCTCCTTGAGAATACACGGAAATGGTTGCATTTGCTTGCGAAACCTCGAGTTTCGCCATTCCTTCCACGACGGTTTCAAGTTCGGAATTCTCGCCGGATTGAGAGATCTTGTCTTGCTTTCTCTGGGCGAGCTTTTCGATCTTTGCCCAAATCCTGCAATTCAGTCTGACAGACAGTTTACCAAAGAACAAAGCGTCCTTGATTGAGCCCTGCGCGAAAGAGAGCCGAGAGTTCATGAATGCCGCATCAGCCACCAACCTTTCCCACATAAGCTTCGACAAAACAGAGCAAGCATTCAAATCCTCCTTCTTCTGGTTCTTCTCATACAAAGATCGTGCTGTTGAGAGAGTGCTTGCTGCTTTCTGAACATCCCCAGTCTCCAGAAGATATCCCACGCGCGCTAGTTTATGGGACAGCATTGCCAAGCAGGAGATTTCAGCATGGTTGATGTACTGGTCCGCTCTGCTCAAAAGATCGCCCGCCTTCGCACAATATCCAAGGCGACTATATTGAACTGCCAGTCGTGAGAGAACAATTATTGTTTCAGAAAAGTCGCTCGATCCTCGAAGCTCCGTGGCCCGCAAGACCAATTCGAGGGTGGAAAGCTGGAGTTTCCATAGTCCATGGATCTCCGTATAATCGACAACTGCTTTCATCTGAAGTAGAAAGTGGTCCACATCTCCAACGTTTGCAATAATCGTTTCCCAGTCATGACACTCTCGCATCATCAGACTCCACCAGGTTAGAACATGCTCCAAGTCCTTTGGCTGGAGACTGCCTTCGTGAAGTCCCAGTGTAAGTCTGACCGAGTTCTGCAAATGACCGACAAGGGGAGAAAGCTCGGAATCATACCCAAGCTCTTCGACATCAACATTGCTCAAGCCTGCCTGAATGACATCTTGAAGCAAGGACGAATCTAAAGAGTTCGGATATTCGAGCGAAAAGCGCAATATCGTGAGCACTGCCCGCAAGCGTCGGATCGGGAAGGCTTGTGGGGAGTACAGATCGAGAAGCTTCGTCAGAAGCAGACCAAAAGTACACCGAAACGAGTTATCAATAGAGGCCTGGGATGCCAGCTCCGTCATAATTCCAAGCTGCCATTCGAGGAGGTGGCCACGCTGTAGAACAGAAAGGTTGTCGTCGTCATAGACACCAGTCTTGATCGACTTGATTCTCAGATTCATCTTGAGGAAAGCGTAGAGAACACGGCCAAGCATGAAGCCACTGCTCTTCGGATCCTGAGACATTCGATGAGGGAAGCAGCCGTCTGTAGAAGACAGGACTTGGTCGAGAGTACCTGTCAGTAAATGCTCTTGAATCGATTGCTGGAAAGCCTGTTCAGCCTCGCGGGCCAGATTGGCCTCTAAGTAAAGGTGCGCAAGCTTCTCATATTTGAGAGGCGTGAATCCCGCGATTTTCTGGGAGGGCGAGCAATTCGACAGAAGAACGGCGGCCTGCTTCAGCAAAGGCACAAGCTCACGATAGCCTTTACCACACTCCCTCTCTTTAATATACCGAGACCAAAATAGATTGGACAATTTGACGAAGCCAAGGCCAATGCTCTCAGAATTCGAAGGGTCGGAGGGTTCTTCGGCTGATTCCATCGTCATGAGAAGGCGTTGGCTGTCAATCAATGTTGACTGCATTTCCTCCCATGGGGGTCTCTGCGATAAGATGGATAGTCTTCCAATAGCATTAACAGAATCAATGGCTGCAAGCGCAATATTCCGGGTCGCAGTAACACGCTTTTGAAAAGACTCTGATTCTTTCCCTTCATCCTCAACAGGTTTGCGTCCAAGGTATCGTCTTAAAAACCGCACAAAACCATTCAAATATCCATAGATTCGATAAGGGACATCCTCCTCCTTCAGGCTTTTCTCCTTGGAAACAATATCCCCGAACAAGCCCATCGCGAGTTTCTTCAATTTTGCTGCTTCAACCAATAATTCGTCGAGGTCATTTGCGCTACCCTTGAGTGGCATACATAGCACATTGGTGGCTTCCTTCATCGCGTTGGCGAGCCCGGAAGAATATTTTGTAGCCTGCTTCAAGGCCAGTAGATGAAGGGAAGCGATTTTGCAGCGGACGGTGGCCAGGGCAAGGCACTGTCCGTTAGAAAGCGGGCCTAGAGATTCCGTGAATAATTGCAAAGCTTCATCAAAGCATCCTGCCTCCTGAGCAAGCTGTCCCAATATGGTTGCAATCCTTGCAACAGAGATATTATCGTTCATCGTAGTCGAGGAGCGTTTTTGTACGCCGGTGAAAACTGATTGCAATCGAACAATGGTTTTGTAGATGGAGGCGAACTCGGATCTTGTGATACCTTTGCTCTGGTGAGCATAGCTGGCGACGTAACGCGCCAAAGGATCCCACATCTCTTTAGCATCATCACAGATATGTCCGGAGATTTTCCAGGACATGCAACGAATTTCCAGCGAAAGTAGTTGAAGGGAGAGTGACGTAGTTGGCTTGATTTTGTTCGTTGCAGTTTGTTGAGAATTAGAGGATAAGGAAAGCACTGTGTTCGACAGAAGTTGAAGTTGAATTGCGGCCTTGTCCTTGGTGAGGGCTCCTGATTCGAGTGCAGCCAGGGTCACATTCGCCGGGCTACTAGGGTCCGACAATTGTAATGAAGATGCCACATTGTGCACAGTCGCAGGCTTCTTTTCCGAGGATATGAGACGAAGAGCATTTGACTGGTAAGAAACAAGAAGCCCATGCAGAGGCGTTGCTAGGCTAATGTGAGAGAAAGTGAGGAGGTCAGAAATCCTTTCCTTTGTCGATTCCCCATCTTGTTCAACTGGGCTCCCTTTCCGACTTGCGACTTTCTTCCCACCTGTAGCTTGGCTGTCGAGATATTGTTGAATCCTTTTTTTCAACGCCCTGAGTTCCTTGTAAGCCATATCACCAAGGCCTAACGAGAGATATCTTCCTGCTAGTATACATGCGCCCTGTTCAAGTTGCATGTTAGGTACTCCTTTCTCCTGGTCCCCTTTCAATGTCCTCAAGCATGACAGAGACATTGCTGCACACTCTGCCACCGCTAATATTCCATTGTCTGTTGTTGTAGTATTCTGTAGGGACATCTTCGACTTTCTGGGTGATTTCGCGACACGGGTGGGCGAAGGCGATTCCCGAGGGGTACTAGCCGAGGAGGTGCGAATGTCACCACGTTTGGCCGAATGTAACTTCATTGCTTCCGAGAGAGTTTTCAGAGTCGAGTTGAAGACCTCCGTGGCGAGGACGAGCTTTTCTTGATTCGATAGACGCGCAGCATCCTGTTCGATCACTGTGTTTAAAGTTGCCTCTGCCGCAGATACTGTCGTTCTTGTTCCTCTTGTTGCCCTTGTTCGACTCGCCGCAGTCGAGGAAGCTTTTGCCGTCCTGCCTACCCGTTTCACTGTTGCACTTTCACCGTCCAGAGGCGATTTCGATGAACCGCGGAAGAGTGTTTGGAGGGACAACACGGTGCCGTGAGAACATGTTGAGGTTGAGCGGACGGCCTGCTTCACCGATTCCACAGGGGAACCGGGGAGTAGCGTCGAGACCGTCATGGTTGGCGGAGGAGGTGTGAAGACAATGCTGCAGTCACTGATGATTGATGATGGAGGTTCGAGCCATGCCTTCGATGTGATCATGACAGCGGGCGGCAGCCAAGCAAAGCGCGTTGTCGCAGCAACCACCACTGGGGCTATACCTGATATGTGCTAGTGGATTGTGACCCCGATTCTCCGATTGCCTCAGGCCGAACTGCGGCAGATTGTGTGCTGCAGCACTGTACAGATTGGACACTGGACTACTTTGAATACCTCGACGTCGCGTTTCAACGCAATTCCCACGATGAGCTCATTTACCATGAATGCCACTCGGCTCTCTCTACGATATCTGGCTCCAGCGATTCCTTCCCTCCGACCTGTCGGCCCCTTTCAGCTCCCAACAACTCAGTTACAGAACCGTCTACAGTCCACCTCCAGAACACTACCAAAATTGGCTCAAACATCAGTATGGACATCCTTAGTTCCCAAGTTCATTCGAAACCGTGGCTCCAGAAAAACCAAGCCATATAAGCCGAAGTCCAAAGAATGGAACCCCGCAAGTTTCTACATCATCATCTTCATCCTGATCGGGTCCCAGGCCATCCGGATGATCGCATTGAAGAATGAGTATGCGGCATACACCCGATCAACGGACGCGAAGATCAGACTTCTTCGAGAGGTGATAGAGAGGGTCAATAAGGGGGAGAAGGTAGATGTGGAGAAGTTGCTGGGCACGGGAGACGAAGCGAAGGAGAGAGAATGGGAGGAAGGTCTGTGGTTGTCTTCTTTCGTCATCTGGCTCTACTCATCCTCTGACCCTCTTTCTCCAATATAGTTCTGCGCGAAATCGAAGCGGAAGATTCATTATGGCATCGCAAGGCCGCCGCATCGGAATCCCAGCAACAGCAGGTCAAAGAGCCCGAACAGCCAATCGCGAAGGATCCTGTTGTGCCTGCTGAGGGTCCTGCAGACAAGAGCTTACCCACCGATGCCAAGTCAAAGAAGAAACTCAACTTCTTCTAAACAAGAGTGTGTCTGTTGATGATCGACACTGCCAGGATGAGGGTAAGCACAAGGCTACCACTAAGCACGGTGGTGCATCGAATGTGAAAGCTGCGGTGCGCATATGTACCGAGACTCCAAGGCCTCATACATGGGCATTCCTGAGGATTTGAACATCGTCGTGATCTGGTTGTCCTTGGTTAGTTGAGTGTCGGTCATGTTCGATCCGAAAAAAGCCGAGGGAGCAGCAACCTCTAATAGCATACTGACTCTATCTAGTCTCGGCTGACTCAAGCATACCATCTTTTGGCTTGGTCCTGTCCAAGTATGCTTGATTCTTTCCCATCTCCAATTGCATCTCAAATGATACCCACATAGCATATCATATGAACTCCGGAGGCGTTACCCTAACGGGAGATAACTTGGAAGGGTCATATGCTCTGTAAAATACAATCAATCTACTTAAAGGTCCGCAACAAATCGTATATCTAGGTAACCAGCATATGTAAGATGCAAATGTTTAGATAGGAAATAGACATGATGCAGGAGACTGAACGGCCATCTATGCGGAAAATATGGAAACGATACATATTGAACATCAAGCTGGGATGACGCTGGACATTGATTGCATAGGGAAAAACCAGACACTTGTACACCAGCACGTAGTTCTCACGACCCTAGGCAAGTGAAATGATCTCTGCAAGCCTCATGCCAGACCAGGAAGCATAAGGACCAGCAAAGAATATGCACAGATCGGGCCTAGGTACCCGGGCACATGACAAATGACAAGGCTCATTCCCAAAGTTCTATCTGCTTTTGTTACATGTGCAAATGCAATTCGGTTCCGTCGAGGACATGGATAGGGTCACAAGGTAGTCTTTGCCCCAAGCCAAAAATCTAGAAACCAAGGAAAACAGATCGGGTAGTATGGTAACAAGAATATTTCCATTTAAACAAAGGAACACAAAGAGGCAGGAACCGATTCATCGCTATTAAAACAAGGAGATGCTTATCTATTGCTTGGAGTGTTGGAGAAACTTAGGCCACTGCTCAGCAGAGGGGATCGGAACGCGGCCAATGTTCTGATCCAGATCAAGGATCAACTTGAGGGCATTCCTTGATCTGAGGTATGGCAGAGGAGCCTTTGCGGATCCCAAGCCGACGCCGGGTTCGACGTGTCCGGTCGGGGTGACATCGGTTTCAGACCCAGGCATGGGAAGCACCTTCTGCAAAACTTCATATGCTGCCAGTGTGAAACCGAACTGTGGGGACGAACGAAGGATACGCGCAGGACCTCCCTTGAAGAAGGCCTTGAACCCTTCTTCCCTCCAAACAGTGGTGGCGCAGTGACGCAACCCGGTGTACTTGGTATCTCCCTTACGAGCTTCAACCTGCAGACGGGTCTTGATCACATCGCACGGGGTAGTGAGGTAAGCCGCAGGCATACCTGCAATAGCACCTGCGGTGAGCAATTGCACGACGCCGAGCTTGTTGGTGGCCGTTTCGCCGAAGAAGTCGGACTTGAGGTGAGCGTATGTGGGGAAATAGATGGCCGAGAACGGCACTGCCAGATCGAGTCAGATGGGGGCAAATGGAAAGGGGGAGGGATTTCTCACCATCACGAAGCAAGCAGGCACTTGCTCCCTTGTACAAGCCCATCAAACCCAAGTTCTTGACAATCCAGAGGGCCGAGCGGCGAGGGGCACCCTCGACAGACTTGGCGATTTCACCCTGGACTTGAAGACGAATCTTGACAATCTCCAAGGGATTGGTGAAGATCTAGGAAGGCTTGCCATTAGCTTATCGCAGAGTTTCAACCAAATGCGATTCCAGGCCATGATAACTTACAACTTGACAAGCTCCTGCAGTACCACCGGCCAGAACCTCATGACCAGTCCAGATCTTTCCGTTCTCCTTGTTGGTGAAATGACCACGGACCAGGTCATTCACGGTGAGCTTGATAGCTTTTTCGGGAGCAACACCGATCAACTGAGGAATAACTCCAGAGTACAGCCCCAGGAAACCCTCATTCCGGATCACCTTCCTTGCGCAGTCAATCGAGTTGTTGTACAGTCTCTCCCCGACGCGATTTGATCGCTGGTTCTGCATGCGGGTCTTTACAAGATCGATGGGGTACACCATGAACGCTCCGAATGCACCTGCAAGACTTCCCAAGGCGAAATGGTGCACGGATTCAAGGACACTATACAGCACCGACTTGGACTTCTCGGCCACCTTGTGCACCGAATCCGATGCAGCCTGTCCAGCAACTGCAATCGGCGTACGCCATGATGCATCAATGACCTTGGCAAAATCTTTCTGTGAAAGTCTTCCCGATGGTGCATCCAATCCAGCGAAGTGGAATAGAATGTCAGCCTCCATAGGAGTGAAGAGCGAGAATCGAGTGACACGAGTAGCAGCATTCAGGAAATCCGCACGTGTAATTTTCCCATCATTGCTGTTATGGGTCGCCTCACGCACAATGACATCGATGATATCCATCTCGCGCATGATGTTCTGGAAAGCACGGACAGTGGCATAGGAGATCTTGGTGCCTGCGGAGATGTTGCACAAGCTGGGGAGGTTCTCCAGGACATAGTCGGACAGCTTGTGCTTCGAGGTCTCGAGAATGATGCGCTGGAAGTCTTCGGGCTCAATGTAACCGTCGCCATCCTTGTCGAAAACGTGGAAGGCTTGCCTGATGCGCTCGCCTTGCAGTCCTCGAAGCATCTGAGCGAACTGGGGGTATGTCATGTCGTGCCGACGCTTAGTCTTTCCAGTGTACAGAGAAGCCCATTCGGAGTTCCAGTCGAACGGTATGCTATCACTACCCTTGCTCAGGTCGCACACCTGCTTGAAAGTGTCCCATTTCACGGCGCCTGTTCCCTCCGCATCGAACAGTCGGAAAGCGATCTCGTATTCGGCGTCGGGTTTGGCCAAGAGGTTCTCGAAGGTTGCCCAGTCGGCAAGGCTGACTTTGCCTGTCCTGCGCCTGTCGGCGACCATAAACAAAACGCCGTAATGCTCGCGGTTGATTTTATGCTATTATAGGCAACAGCATTTCCATGCATTAGCCAAGCACAGGACCCTCGCGACTTGTATGACACATGCAGGACAATCCGGGGAAAGAAAGGCAAGGATCAGGGAAGCTCACATAGTCTTCATGCTTGGGAGCAACAGCATTGACGAAGTCATCCTGGGACATGTAGAGTTCGCCAGTCACCTCGTCTTTGCGTGCATGGCGCAAGAAATTGCTTTTGATCTGCTGCGATGGCTGTGGCTCCTGGGAGCTGCCCACCAGGGACTCCTTGACCACGTCCTTCACACTAGCCATTGTGACCTGCAGCACTCTGAGAGGATTGATGCAATTCCAAGAAAACCCAACCGCGCAACAAAGAAACGAAAAGGAAAGCAGGCAATCAAGCCAAGCGAGGGAGGACTGGGAATAAGAAGGGGTTGGGATAAGAAGAGAGTGGGTGGAGAAGGGGGATCAAGACCAAAATAACGGGGAGGGAAAGGCGCAAAGCACCAGGCGATAATCGATCGATCAATAATAAAATAATAATAATCCCGGGGTGGGCAGTGAATCATAAACTGACAGCTGTGAGCTGTTCAAGAAAACTGGGGCTAAAACCCGTAAGGCGCTGCTGCTACAGGATTCTTATTCTTTTACGTCGATTTCCAATTTTTCTTTTTCCTTTTTTTTTCGGCCGTCATCATACAAAGCTGCCTCCCTTGGACGACAATCGGATAAAAAGCCTCTCTCTGCTGACTTTTTTTCTTTGCCTACTGACCACCTGCAGCCGGGGACGAATCAGCCAACCCATCGGGCGGTCTCACCGCCCCTGGCATGCATGTGTTATCTAATTAGCCGGCCCGGTGAGGCCTTTTTCTTGGCTAATGCTCTCGGACTTGACCCCGAACCCTGGTCAGCCCGGCCCTGCCTTTCGTTATTTAACTCCGCAGTTGGACCACTACTATCCTCTTCCAAGAAGACGATCTACTCAGCTTCCTAGCTGGCAATTGCCAGAATCACCTTCAAAATGAATCAGACTCCTTTTTGATTTTTTTTTTTTTTAGAAATTTCCTGTGCCCGAAAGCTAGTCCGCTTGAAACAATGGCAAGCCGCGCCGACCCAAGGGACTCACTACCTGATCCACGCCCCCTCACGGATTTCGCCATGGACAACCAGTTCTCTCGGCGTGCCACGGTAACTCCGGAACCCTAGCCACCTGCGATATGATAGCCATCGGCCCCAGGGCCAGACAACCAGTGATCTGAAGATGTCCCAACTTCCAAGACAAACGAAACGTTATCTACGGAGTAGTATGGTCACGATGCATCCCATTTCTTCAACAGAGTAGCGAGGCCATGCCAATCTATCTATATATTCGACCCTCATCGGGGTATCTGCAGAGTGCAGACAGACGCGGCCTGCGACCCGATCTCGGAGAACGCGATCACTGTACAGGATCAATTTCGGATTTGAGTTTCCAGGTGAACGCCAGCAGCACATCAGACGAGCAATAGGAATGCAATGCTCTGGCCTTCACATGACATCTCCGTCTGACACACAAAATGGAAGTCTTACCCCCATCTCGGGCCGATGAATCTGACGCGCCCGTGAATAAGACGGGCTTGTTCACGACGAGCGTCTCCGGTTCGGTGGGGGCCCGGGACAAGCAGGAGACTAGAACTTGATAGTTAGTTAGTGTGTTCATCTTACCTAAGGATTTGATCTTCCCCATACTCACGGGCGTGATTCTCCCCGACTAAAAGACCCCGAACCTGGAGACCCCGGGAGGCTTGTTTCCACTGTGGCTCAGCAGGAGTTCAAGGCAGACGGGAAGTCGCAGGTCCTGATGTCTGGGAATTTCAGTAGTAAACTATAGACTCACATAAAAGAAAACCCAGAAAGGAAAGTGGTACCAAAACCGTCGAGCGGAACAACCTCCAGTTGTCAGCCTGAGGCAGCAAGGGGCGAGGTTGCAGAATGGGCACGGAACCGCATTTTCTCCGGGCCAAAGCGGCGCCACTCCGTCTGGGATTGCGAGGTCTCGGCCTCGGCCCTGCTCCGACCTCCTGCAGTTCTCCTCCGAATGCTGTCCTCACGCGAGCAGGGAAGAGATTCCACAAGCGCCTCACTCCCGTTTCCCCCTCATGAGGGTGAGCTCAATTTGGTAGGTACTTCTTTCTCTCACTTCCACACACCCGAGGCTGGTCCATCACCGCATATCTATCCTCACCGGGCTACTACTTCAACTAGTTTCCTCTACCATATCCAATATATTCAAGACATGTCGGGCTCTTTCTCGGGCTCCGCCTCAATAAACAAAAACAAACCTTCCTCCCAACCCCTAGGGACATAGTTCTGATCACAATCATCCATGTTCATATCCCAGCAAATAAATATGCAACTAGAAATATTTAGTCTCGGACATTCTGGTCCATCCATGAATCTCCAACTAAGTAGTCACCATTCCAAGTAATAATGATAGCATAGGTATCCAACTACCACCCAACTAAATTCACAAAGGGCCCCCCAAAGAACAAAGAAACACAACTTGTGCTTAATTTGAGTTCCCACCCCCCAATTCCGACAATCATCACTATTATCATCATACCCCTTCCGAAAACTACTATTGTAGCAACAAGTTTCCTATACCACCTTGATTTCTGGACTATCCCGTGTGTTGATTCTCCGAAACTTTACGTGGTCCTTCCCAAGAAGGATCCGTATTTGCAAGACCGTTCTGCGCTGTCGTGGCAAATAGGTGATGGCTATGCTATCGGAATTTTTCACATGTTTACAAGTGGCATTGATGCATATTCTGGATGTGCATTTGTCTTCGGGTAGGTTTGTTTCGGTTCGACTGGGCGGAACGATACGTATCGTACGGAGGCTACAGAGCTGATTCAAATATAGTTTCATTTTCGGGTAATGACTATGCACTTTCCTGAAGCACAACAATCCAAGGTCCAGGAACGATATGAATAATCTCACACCGGGTTTCGTGATAAGGAATGGTTGTACACAAACGCTCTTTTATAACAGTGATTTAGGGACCCCTGATCATCTAGGGTTTCTCTAAGCGCAACAGCCTGAACAGTGCCCTCTCCACGGGAAGAAGAGACAACATGATGTAGTTGAACCTAAACGCCGTGAGCGTCACACACGCGCCAACAACCGCATCTAGGATAAAGTGATTGGCTGTCGCAACGATAGTAAGACCCATTAGCATTGGCCATAGGGGTGCAATAGCCCGGAGGTACCAGTGAGGGCTGAACTTGAGCAAGCAGAGCGCGATGAACAGCGAGTTTCCAAAATGGAGCGAGGGCATCGCTGCAATCGTAAGTTGGAACTTGTTCTGCGTCCAGGCTGAACCGCCTGTGTTGCTGTGCAGGACGTCGACGAAGCCGTACTCTTCCGGCAGCAGACGAGGGGGCATACACCTCCACAAAGTAAGAATCGTGAACGCAATGACATTTTCAAATGCCAGTGTGCGTCGGATTCCTTGATACTTGTCGCATTGCATGAAGGTATAGCAATAAACGACGAAGATTACACCGAGAACGATGTGTGAGTAGTAAACCCGTGCCAAGAAGGCCATGAGCCATGGCTTCTGCCCAAGAATATATCTTTGTACAGCTAGCTCGACGTCGATGTGGAGGAAGTGCTCGAAAGACAGTATGGAAAGGGCGTGGCGTTCAGCGGTGTCGAAAATAGCTTTATGGCCACTAATCATTCTAGCCGAAAACGCCCGCAGACCTTGGTAAACCTGGTCATTTAGTCAGTGGTGCATGGGGAGAAGCAGAGAGTGCACTGGGTACTCCAAGACATGTCTTACCCAATATGTGAGCAGCCAATACCATATCTCTAATAAGAAGGGAAACTTGGCGAGGATCCGTGATTGTATGGTTCGACGATTACGGATCGTGCGCTCGTCTGCGCCCTCATCGCTTGGCTTCAGATCCTCTGGAGGAGCCTCCAGCAATGGCGACTCGACATCTGGTGTTGTTAGAAGCTTGGAATTCTTACGCCGATTGATGAGTGTTCCTGCGGTGAAGGCGGCGACAATCGCTACGGGAGAAATAGCGACGAATAAGTAACTTTCGGATGACGCGGTTTTGCGATTGAAGATGAGAATGGCTTACCTGCTGGTTCCAGGATATTCTTCAGCCCACCCATTGTAATGTATACCGACGGAAACCCCAAGGATGTAAGCGAGCGCCAAGTTATATACACCTTTCTGTGGTTGTCGCCCTGTTGAAGGTAACTGTAGGCGGAAGCTTCGTATACGCTAGTTGACGTCACCGGATTTAGCAAAAGGCCCAACAGGTGGAAGCGATCTTATTCTCAACCCCGATGTTAAAGGTCATGAGGTGTTTGGATTCGTGTAACAATACCCCGGACGGTCAGTTAGGAGGCATGGAAAAGAGACCCAGGGTGACAACGAAGGACGGAGTTGCGAAGCTGTCGTCGATCCGTGGCTGCCGAACACATCGGTCGATAAGTACCTGACGGCTGGTGGTGGGTTTTGGCTTGTTTGCATAACTGGGCCGCAAGGCTGAAGCAGCACAAACAAGGCAGTAGGCAGGGGAGATCGGCTAGTCTAGAGGCCAGTCAGTTTCGTCACATTGTCTGAATAGCAAGCACCAGCAATTCCTAGGCAGGTAGATAGTACATATGGACCAGGTGCAGCTCAGGCCCGATAGCAACCTGATTTACATAATACTTCCTGTGAGAGCCACTCTGAGACCTACTATGTACTATACTAGTAATTAGAGTGGATTATTCCAATATCCATCGTATCCGAAGCAGCCGACAGGCGGAAGAGCTGCCACCATCGAATTGAATCTGCTTGTTCCTGTTGATCATCCATCCTGAGATACTCAATCAACAGAATGGACAATACAAATCTACAGTTAGTGTAGGATTTGAGCATGAGCATCAAACGGGCCTAGAAGACTGACGCCAGGATCAACATGACAATGTGATACTTGTGATACTATCACTTGAGGTTTGTAGACTCATATGAGCCTATGACGTCATTGTATCAAAATACGAGTACTACCAGTATCCATATCAACTAACTATCTATCCAATTACAAATAAGAGAGGAGGGCTATACCTCCAGCCTAAAATTCACATTTACTGTTCCCTGCAACCACCGAGATACTTGAGGCTTTAATTACATAGCAGCTTGAGGGGCAATTAACGCTGAGGTAAAACGGCAGAACGCTATGTCTCAACAATTTGACAGAGAACCGGAAACGTAACCCCTCAGAGTATTTAGAAGATCATACTACGATTAAATATCTTTTGACTGTGTCTGAACAATAGATACACATGAGAACCTGGGATATAAATCAATGCGTACATGTGCTAGCAAAGTCCGTAAGAGACTGTCTGACTGTTCCACCCTACGTGCGCTTCTACATCGTAGATATACTTATCATTTAGAGCTTCTCCCCTCTCCTCTGCATCAAGCTGTTATTCTATCAAGAATAATCTTCGCGGATTCAAATTCTGCGGATTTAGTAAGAAGCATACTAGAAATTCCGAGACTCCCTCAACCGATAACTGATACCTGTGTGAGGACATTGTGGCTTGGATAGACCGAAATGTACTGCAGATTCAGGAGTGCTGAAAGTGCGTATCTTTGGCATGTCCATTTCGCAAGAGGAAGTCACATTCATACTCGCTACCAAGGGATAGCAGTTACCTAGTACTACTATGTACCTACCTACGGAGTACTTTGTAGGTAATAGAAACTTAGCAGGATCCCCAGGGCTCGAGGGGAAAGCAGGGACGGCTGGGTGGGGCAGAGGGCGGCTAAAAATACGTACACCAAGCCTTACCACGAATCCAAGATTCGTCATTTCGCTCTCGCCAAGTTTCGGCGGCCATCGCGAGTTTTCCATGTCACTCTCTCCTGTCATATCCCAACAAAAGGACAGTCTCTTTGTCTGAACCCTTTGGAGAACCCTTTCCGACCGTACTGTGTAATCATGCAATCTATCTGGATATGCCGACAATCAGGGAACCGCCGATCATGTCTACACCTGGATAGCATCTGGGGCTGTCACCATGATCAGCCTGGACGACGACCCACCACCACCGATGATGATGGACTGATTGGGCTTCGGTACACCGAAGTGCTGACTGCTGACGGCAGACGAGGGATTGACCAGTGACCCAGGGCCTCCATCCCGCGTCGAAACGGGACTAGAAGTCCTAGCCAGATTCCCTAATGCCGTGGACCGTAAGGCGAGGTTGGTGGCTTTTCTTCCATCCTCCCGTCCAGGACTCCAGCGTCCACCGCGAAAACCCCCTCCCCAGTGGGCGCTCCACCCGGACTACGTACCAATGAGGCCCGGTGCAATAGATTAATCCCAAACAGGCCAAGCTGCCCACTTCGACGCTGTCTATTTTTCTAAAATGGTTTTGGCGCCGGGGCTCACCTTCTAAGCACCACGACCCGGTTCGTTTCTTATCTCGTTCCTCATCGACTTCACCTCCGCCGTCCCGGATCCTCACGCAACAACCCGCCTCTTCGTGGAAGACGACACTGGCTCTTTCTTTCTTGTGCCACATAGCATCGGCAAGACCTATCCGCTCCAAAATCTGTCGAATTGCAACCTGAAATGACCTATTTGCGGTTTACCCACCCCCGACCTTCTCACTCCTGAACGGTCTCCAGCCATGTCGGACCGCGGTTGAATGCGGTGACTGGTTTTCCATGCCAGCCATTTCTTCGGTTATCAACGCTAGGTGATTTCAACGGATGCGAAGGACGATGACAGAGCTCACCCTCAATGTGCCTCGACACCGGACTTCAGGATGGCTTCCGCGTACCTTGCGTCGACAGTACTTGGTCCCGCTGGCCTGCCTCATGTTTGTCATGCTACTCTTGACGGAGTTCCTCCGTCAATTGGGCAACGACAAGGGCAGCCTCAGCCTCTTTACCTCGACTGACCAAATAACTGATACGCGAAGGTTCGCCTACACCTATGTCCCGACCATTCTGAGTATGATCATCGCCATCCTGTGGTCCCTTGTTGAATACGACGCCCTCCGACTCGAACCGTACTTTCAACTGTCCAAGCCACAGGGCGCTTCGGCCGATGTGCTCCTCCTTAACTATGAGTTCGGCCATTATACCACCGCTCCGTTTTTCGCTATGAGGAACCGTCACTGGATTGCAGTCTGCATCTCGATCCTGAGTATCTTGTTGCAGTTAGTGTTCCCTTCGTTGCAGAGCAGCTTGTTCAAGATGGATGATGCCACGGTATATAACAACCAGCACCTTGAGACGTGGCCGGATCTAGTGAACCTGGCAGAGCAGGGAGCCTTGGCGGACAATGACAATCTGAACTTGACTGGAGCTGGACTCAGAGACCATCGGGACCTTGCTTATAATCAACCACAATCAAGCAAGTACGCTATGGCACCGGTCGCTATACCATTGGATGTGCAGTACGATACAAAGCTGTGGGAGCTTACCCAGTCCATCTATTGGGCGGAGCTATCTTGTGCCGAGGTGGAAGTGAGTGATGCTATAACACTTGAAGTGTCCTCGAATGCCTCATCATTTGGTATCGGATCGCCCAATAGCCAGCCCTCGATTTGGAATTTGAATGAAGTGCCATCGACGGGACAGAATTGCTCCTTGGAACTTATTGAGGAGATCATCATTCCGCCGACAAATGGATCTTTGCAGATCTCACACTGGCAGCCAAGTACATCTGGAGTCAGTGTCACAGAGCAATGTGCTTCTTTCGACATAATCGGGGTGACGGTGGATATCAGCCTCAACAAATCCAGCGAACATGTTGATCGTCAGAAATCCGACTTCTCGAGCTCTGATTATACTCACCAGGTCAGTGGATTTGGCTGCAAGATTGTATACCAGACTTCCCAAGCCGGCATCTCAGTTCAAGTAAACGGTTCACTCTCTATCGCTGATTTGCATCCGAATTCGACTACAGAGGTGTCTGAAGCGTCTCTAAACACTACTCATTTTAAAGGCATAATCTTGCAAGAGGTGGCTTCTACCAATGGTACATCGGCTTCGAATAAGAAGCCTGTGAGACCGTCAACCCTCCAGCGCGATCTGATGTCGAAGCTTGAACTTAGCGTCCAGGGTGCTTTTGTACCTTTGATGAACAGGATATTCGATATCAGTGGCCAATCACACTATGTAAAGGCTTCTCATGTGACACACCAGATGGCAATCATAGTTGGCCCGGTACAGTCCTTTGTGTCCGAGGCAATTCTCCTTTTCGGGGTGGCAGTCGTTTTGTATTTGGCCTACACCTACCCGCGCCGCCCGAATATGCTTCGAAGCGACCCAGCCTCTATTGCATCAATGTGCGGTATCATGGCTGATGTCATTGATGCTTCTTGTCTCTCTCATTTGAACCTTGACGAATTATCAACCAGACAGCTCAGGACCATCCTTCAAAATTACACTTGCCGCTGGCAACGAGCCGCCGATCCTCCGCGTATCTGCATCGAGCCATCCGCTGGTGAGTCCACCCCAACTCTTCTCCTAATCGTTGTTGGAGAGGAATCGCAAAGCGCCGGTATATTGACAGTGTATAGTTCCCCGCTCTCAAAGACAGATCTTCCAAGGCAAATCCGATCCAAGACCACATTTCCTCTTGATCCCAATATTTGCCCTCGAGATTTTCCTTTTCATTGCGGCATTTGCCGGGATTGTGACGATATTTGTGCTGTGTGCCAAGGATGGTGCTTTCCATTCCCTGACCTATCTCGATTCCGACAGCCTCGCAGCGTTGTTCCAGCTCATTCCGTCCGCAATAGCCTCCATCATAAGAGCAATTTGCCTCTCAATATACCGATATCTGAGCGTTTTAGAACCATGGTCTGTTCTCCAGGCAGGAGGTGCATCTGCTGCATCTTCATTATTGCTGGAGTACGGTTCACTGAACCCTCTAGCTTCCCTCTTCAGGTGGTTCAGTTACCGTCACATCCTACTGGGGCTCGTAGGAGTGGCGTGCATGTTCAATACAGCGATGAACATATTGGCCAGTGGACTCTTTCAGCATGAACTTGGTCCGACGAGGGCAGACACGGATATGAAATCTAACTATAGTTATGAGTCGTTTGCTATCAGGCAACCTTCGTCACTAGTCCCCGAACTTAGCACTATCAAAAGCAGCATCTACAGTGGTACATCGTTACTTTCTTGGACCACATCTACCTACTCATTTCTCCCTGCATGGACAGACACCTCTTCCGAGTGGCTTGTGGGAGGCACTATAAGGGGCGTGGGAGCCGATCTATTCTGCAAGGAGCTTTCGATTGCCGACAGCTATTCTGAGGACTCTGTGTCAAACGTGGCGCATTGGCAGTACTCACCCTTCAACGAATCAGACACGGTGTGTCAAATAAATACAATTCAAACCAGCGAAACCAGTCAAGAAGAAAGTTTGACGGTCCACTTTTTCGCCTCGTCGACATCTGACGAGACCAACGGGTGCCAGAAGCCGGCGGTCCTCGTGGTCGCCTACCCGAGCGGAAGTGGCTATTTGCAGACCACATCTGAGAACGCAGTTGCGTTATACTGCGAGTCTCAACTTATCATGCAGAATTTCTCGGTTGGCTTCAACTCGGACGGGTACATACAGTACTATGTTCCTCTGAATGGCACCTCTGTGGTCGATGAACCCATTCTGCAAAATGGGTCAACAAATCTTGCGAACTACAACCTTAGACTATCGAGTCCGCTCAGTGTTACTTACAATGGCTCACATCAAGAAACGAACAATGCAAGTGACGCTGACTGGTTTGGCGCGCTCACGGCGAATCTTTATCGTATCCTGGACACCAACACAACGGTCGTTACTGCAGACGTTTTGGAGGTCGCCTCCCGTGATGTATACCGGACCATTTTCGCCACTGATCTCTCGCTTGAACGAGATGCTTACTTCCAATACCAAGATCCCCCTTCTCATATAAATGATGGCATCATCTATAACATGTCCTGGGCCGTGGTCCCGTCGTTGGCATCATTTATATACGTCTTACTCATAGTGCTTTTCGATGGGTGTGTGGTAGCCTCGGTCTTTTTTACCAGGAGGGGTCGGTTCAGGTTTCCTCGCATCCCACGGTCTATTGGATCCATCATTCCGTGGGTGATCCATGGCCGGGTCCTGAATGATTTCAAAGGCACGTACGCTTGGAGTGAAGGTGAACGAGAGAAACACTTTGCCGACCTCGATAAACGGTACAAACTCGATAAACATGAGATGCCTGATGGAAAATGGAAGTACATCCTGGAAGAAGATGTCTCTCGTCGCGACAGCGAACCCCCTACAGGCGAGATACTGCAGTCCACCACCACGTCGAAAAGTCGATTCCAAACACTTTTGCGAAGGGTGACATCCGACTTTGACAAAAAAGACCAAAATGGGTGACTTCTGCCGATGCATGATGGTTTCAATATTCATCATTCACGCCTCGGCAGCATCTGTTGTTTCAGATGTTGGATCTGAACCCGCATGCGCTTGCTAGTAAGATTTAGATGTCTGGATCATGAGCAATGGCCAAGAATACATCGCCACATTGCTTTTGAACCGACAGCGACCTAGCTGTGCGATATCACGAATCCTTGTTTGTAAGGAAATGGGCAAAAGACGCTACAGCCATGCTTTACAGAACTTGGAAGTCTAGGTCCTGGTGCGTGGTTACCCGCCAAATTCGCCTCTGATCCTGTGATAGGAGCTGCCATGTTCGTCGAATTGCACCCGAGTGAGGTCTTGCTTGGGTCTCGGGTGCTGTCCTCAACCCACGGGCTTCCTATAGGTTGGTCAGGACTCAGGAGCATCGTCAATGGACCACACGCTGGACTCTGGCCCTTCCGTTCGGAAAGCAGAAAAGATTTGATCGAGATACGACCGACGAGAACCAATGGTCTGGTCGCGGGATGTGATGTCGGTGTGCCATTATGCATGTGCCGTCCATGTCCCACACGCTAGCCCATGCTGCACCGAATCCAAAAGCCAATCGCCATCTCATTCGGCATCGGGGTCTATGCAGAATTGCTGAAAGTCTCCATGGTGAGGGGAAGTTGGGATCGTCGCCTGCAGGAAGTTGCAAATATGCCGGGCGGGCGACGAGGGGGCGTGGCGACCGCGGGCCAATGGCCGCGGTTCATCACACTCTAAGCGCCGAGCACCTGCACGGCCAGGCACAAGTCACCCCTTCATCACACTTAGTCTCAAGGGCTCTGCTGAACGACAACGAATCGACGACCCCCAATGGGTGCGAAGCGTCACTTGCCGACCCAAGGGTTCCTAAAATAGGTTGCCATCCATCGCCCGGTCAACCCCTCGCCTTCCCCCTCCCCACCACCAGGGCCTCCCCCCCTGTGATAAGAGGTCGAACAGCTATATAGCCGCCCAGCTAGCCCAGGGCGTAAGGACCCTTTCTCTTTTCTTGACACACCATCTGTTTTGGGTTTGCTGGGTTTTTGTTTCCATTCTATTTTCATCCTTGAGTAGTTCGTTTGGCTGGTCCAGGCGACTATCTGTTTTCAGCTTCTTGTTTGGTCATCATCGAATAATAATAGTATCATTTACACGCCTGCCTCCTTGGAAGCACTCTGTTGATCAGAATCTCTCCTTGATAATCTGTGCTACTCCTCGCGCTTACTCTCCATCAATTCCACCACCCAGAGAACGTGACATTTCCTGCCTTCAGTTATCTCTCCTCCAGCTACCATTGTCAAGATGTACGCTCGCACCGCAAAGCCTAAGCTCTCTTTGAGCATCTCTGCTGCGCAAAACGCCTCTCGCCAGCCTTTGTCCCTCAAGTCACCGAGCTCGGTCCCGCGTACTCCAATTTCCCCTGCCAGCCCGGGCGCAAAGCGGTTCTCGTCCTTCCAAGTGCCAAGCTACTCCTATACTAGCGCCTGCTCATCGAAGGGTATTCTCAAGAAACATTCAGCGGGTGCGGCCAGTCATGCAGAGAAACGGATCCAATTCAAAGGCACTCCAACAGTCCACTGTGTGACCCCAATTGAGAATCCCGAGGAGTATTACGGCACCTACACGAAACTTTCGCGGGACGAGCGCCGTTGGATCGTGCGAGAATGAAGACGTCGCTGGTGACGCTTTACATATCAGCAATCAATTCTACGACCAAAGGCAGATCAGCGGGGGCGCTGGGCCAGGTATCCGCGCGCGGCAGGGTCTTGAGTCTATCATGATCGATCTCCGCGTTCCCCCGACCCCGACTCGATTGTGACAAGTCAATCATGCACCTGGACAACGACGATACCTTAGGCCAGGAGTGGCTGCGCAGAGGGTCCGATGTCTCCGGCAGCTATAGTGACTACTGGAATGAGTGCATTTGACGGAATGGGAGTAGACTCTCAGCGTGTATACGAAACCTGTTATGTTCATGATGTGATGATATGATCTGGCGTTTTGTACTTAGTATAGGGCCCTATCTTGGGGTGACCCAATTACGATCGTTATGGCTCCATTCGCATCCAATTTGATCCCGTGTGGTTTATCGTAGACTTGCCTGGGCAACACAGCATTGTCCTCAGTACGGAGTATGTAGCGATCTATAAGTGGCAGCCGGGGGCCGATGGTCCGTGCGAGAAGAATCCCGACTCTTTTTCCCGCCGACGAACCATGCGCCGGAAAGCTTGCCTCAGCATTCTTCCTTTGTCTCTCAAACTTCCCAATGTTGAGCAAATTTTCCACCTCGGCATTGCGAAAAAGCTTGTGTAATGCTTCGAGGTGGAATTCCCGACCCCGGAGCCGTGGCCTACTTACCCTTGCCATTGAAACGTCTTGGTGAGTCTAATCCACCCGAAAGTCCCGCCTGCGCGATAGCATAGCTGATAATCGGGTCCTACTATTCAGCGATGACACCTCCGTCGCAATCGTTGAGAAGGAGGCCAATGCGGTTCAAATTCATTTTCTCGACAAGATAACCTGCGACACCAGCGCATACCAGGGCATACACCCGGTTGTGGCCCTCGAATCCCATCAAGAGAATATCGCAAGCCTCGTCAACAAAGCACTCGCCCATTTGCCCGTCGCATGCGAGACAAAACATGGAAGACATCAAACGATAAATGTATCGAACAGCTCAGAGTTGCGCAGAAAACCCGACCTCGTATGCGCCACTAGAGGCCCCGGCTTCCGGTCCAATCTTTTCGTTGGACTAGATACAGGAAAAGCGCTGTCGGTCGGATGGCAGGTCCCATTTGTTGGAGTTCACCATATGCAGGCTCATCTCTTGACTCCTCGCCTTGTATCCTGCTTAAACCGAGGTCAAGATAGCAGCTCCGATGTCGCTCTATCGCAGCCTGTTACCCCCGAATTTCCGTTCCTCTCCATCCTTATCTCCGGCGGCCATTCGATGTTGGTCAAGTCTTCTTCGATAACTGACCACGAAATCATGGCTTCAACTGTGGACAGAGCTCTTGGGGAGGCCATAGATAAGGCCGCTCGGGACATCATCCCTAGCGACCTTCTTCAGACTTCAAAGACTACCATGTATGGTAAACTGCTGGAACAGTTTGCCTTCCCGAATGGTAGTGCAGATTATGCCGACTATCAAGCCCCAAAGTCCCGTGGCGAGGAGCTCGTTCCACGAGAAAACTCATGGGGCTGGAGTTTTACCGAGCCATGGTCCCACAGCCGTCAATTGCAGTTCAGCTTCTGCTTCATCGGCACTACGCTCGCAAGGATTTTCGCCGCAAAGGAGGCGTCTGGCCAGGCCATAAGCTACGACGAGCGTATGGCCTTGGCGCGTGAAATAATGCGTTCGAGCTTTGAGCACCTTGCATCGCGCACTATCATGGCGCTCGAAAGCCTTGTTAAAAAAGGAACCGACAAAGAGATCGAGACTCTCGTTGTCAGTGGTGGCGTTGCAGCGAATCAGTACCTTATGACTGTGTTGCGCTCATTCCTGGATGTCCGCGGGTTCGGGCACGTTGGCATCGTCGCACCTCCGCCCTACCTGTGTACGGATAATGCTGCCATGATCGGATGGGCCGGTATTGAGATGTTTGAAGCAGGCTGGCACACGAACCTCACCTCTCGCGCGCTGAGGAAATGGACACTCGATCCGCGAGAAGCAGATGGTGGTGTGTTGGGGCCCTTTGGATGGGAAAGAGTATAGTAGGAATGAGGATTGTGTTGGCGACTTTGTACGATAGATAGACTAGCGCTGTCACCACTTCACTCTTCGAGTGTACTTCTAATTGTATATAGTATTATGTATGTATCACCACCATGATTGGGCCAGATAACAACTGTACAGAATCCGCACCATCATGTACATCTCATTCCGTGTCATAACTATTAAGTCAAGCTGGGGGTGTTACCCTACATAGACATGATGCCATCTGATTTCTCAGAACCGCACCATTCGTCTGTGACGAGTATCTGCGCCGGACCTCCTTCCAATCCAGTATCCAGACGTGACAGCTTATCAGCCTGTCACCAGAGATATACTCCATCTTCTCAGCCCAGCCGCGACAGGCATATCAGGCTCCTGAGATACCGTTAAACTTTGCCTAGGACGCCACCGCCCAGGTTCAGTTCCAGCATCGACTGACTTTGTACAGATTACCAGGGCGGTTGTGTCAACCACCTGGAACAGCACCCCCCTGTTGCAAGGCCGTTACTTGCTTCCGGAGCTCGAGGAAGAAATCCTTCCCGTTCGCCATCTGATTGGCTGTACGTTGCGAGTTAGGCACTGATCATATCTTCCGTGGTGTCTCCCGCATAGCAGATGTGTAACGTACGTTTTGCGCCCCAGGGTCCGCTAGTGCGACTGTTCACGTCTTTCCCCTGTGGTTTATAGTAATACGGTCTGGGTTCTGGAGAGCAAAAGGGTTAGCGATTTCGATAACGGGCTTCCTCGATTGGGCAATCAATTACCTCCGGGTCCTAGAATCCGGCGCGAGCTGCTTGTTAGCCAGTGCCAATCTATCATGTAGGTGAACTTGTACGTACCTTTCTTAAGAGCTCCTTTGGACTCCGCGGCATTGAAGCCTCGCACGGGGACATGCTGCTCCTGCTGCGGCCCGGAAGCGAACTGATCACGCGAATCTCCCCAGTTATTCTGTCCTCCCCGAGATCCACCGTGCGCGCTCATTGTGCGGGAGTTGGAGTGTCTTTGGGCCGAGTGGCGGTTCTGGTCATATGGGCGACCTCCGCGCCATCTAAACACACCCAGATAGTAGTTAGTCAAGAGGTTCGGGTAGCCATTCGACCGGGGACGGTGATTTTCTCGACCGAGGCAACTTACCGCTCATCGCCGGGACCACTCATTCTGGGCCAACCCGTGGATGGTAAGCAGAAGTACGGGGTAGGGCTGAGATCTGGGAGATTTGTGAGCTTTTGGGGGGGGGGGGGGAGAGGGACTGAACCTAGCTGGGCGGAAACCGCGCGAGTGTGGAGAGCGGCTCTCTCCGCCTTTGGGCCCGACGGCGGCCAACCAGCCAGCAGGTTGCTTACAGGAACGTCCGGCGATGATAAGCCAGCACCCGACAGGACAGGACAGGCCAACTCCCTCCCGCCCTCTCGCGGCCCTGCGCGTCTCCCCCCTCCCCTCTATGCTGTCGCCCACGTTCCCTCTCGTTTTCGGTTTCTCCTCTCCCTTTCGACCTTGGAGGCTTGGATGAGCCATGCTCGATTCCCTTCGATCGTTTGACCTTGTTTCATTTAGACTCTACGGCGCGACTTGGTTCGTTGGATCCCATAACGTGCGGCTGAGCGGTACGCTCGGCGACATTCTATCAACAAATCTATTCTAGCTCCCTTCCTCTCTATCCCTCTTCGCGCTGATACCTATCACACTTCAAAATATGGCACCAGTCTCATCTTCAAAACAACGCTCATCACCAAGCAGACCGTCCCGAGCCCAGCCTAAAGTGACCTTGAAACCGCCTCGGAGCTCAGAGTCGACCACCAACGAAGGCCCCCCGCTCAAGAAGCGCAAGTATGTTCCTGGCGGCCCTGGTGGTGGAGGAAGATACATCGAACTCGACGTGAAAGAACCTCCGCCGAAGCCAAAGCCCAGTCCAGCAGCCAAGCGTAATTCGTCCAGCTCCCGGAATCGCAATGCCCCGGTCCCTGTTTCAGGCCCTCAACCTCAGCCTGTTCAACTTCCTCCTCCGCCACCACCCCCAGTCCCAACGACACCCCCCTCTGCGCGTCTGAGACGAGAAAAGAGCCAGAATCGCGGCCGTTTTGGTTCATCGACAGCAGCTGCCCTTGCTCTACAGCAAGGAGATGGTTACAAGCCGCGAGAGGAGCGAGGCTGGGAAGAGTTCCATCCAGACTTAGATATCGAGGCGAAGTTTGCGGTTTTTGGCTCAGAGGATGTAGATCGACCACCGCCATCGTCATCAATTGCCAATATTCTCTCGCCAAACGGTCTCGATAGTACGAGCGAGAAGGACCCAATAGCGGAGTTGATTCGCGCGCACGCCAATGGCTCATCACCATCCCCGATCAAGCGCCGGCCAGGTCGCCCCCCTCGCCGACCCGAAGCCATTCTCAATGCCTTGGGGATCACGCAGCAGCCTAAGAATATCCCGCCCCCGGGTCCGAATCCCCGGGAGAGGCTCACGCTGCCGAAGCCCTCGTTTCGCATACGGGATCCGTTTACTTTCTATGATCAACCCGGTGTTTGTCAGCAGAACTATGTCGATCGCACTATGGCAAGTGTCGGGTACCAGGAAAGTGACCTGTTTCTTCGCCATGACCGTCGGTTGATTCGGATGACGGAGGGTGCGCAGGAAGATGACTTAGACGCGGCGAATCCTGTCACCTCAGAAGGAGAGGTCAATGCGGCCGTTGGCCGCGTGGAGTATGACATGGATGAGCAAGACGAAAAATGGCTGGAGGAGTATAACGCAAAGCGAAGGGAAGATCAGCTAGAGCCGATCAAACCTGCGGTCTTCGAAATTACCATGACTAAGATCGAAAAGGAGTGGCATGTTCTAGAGAAACGTATTCCGAAACCTAATCCGAAACCCCCGCAGACGCAACGCCCTCGTTCGAGCTCTGCCGCGGCCGTAAATGGCGAGACTGGGCCAGGAGAAGAGCAAGATAGCAAATGTGCTATTTGCGATGATGGTGACTGCGAAAACTCCAACGCAATTGTTTTCTGCGATGGCTGCGACTTGGCAGTCCATCAAGAATGCTACGGCGTTCCTTTCATCCCCGAGGGACAATGGCTCTGTCGCAAGTGCCAGCTCATTGGAAGAGGCTCTGTCAACTGCATCTTCTGTCCAAACACAGAGGGAGCGTTCAAACAGACTACTTCCTCGAAGTGGTCTCATCTTTTGTGCGCCATATGGATCCCTGAGGTGTCTATTGGCAATCCGTCTCTGATGGAACCGATTACTGACGTGGAGAAAGTGCCTCGCAGTCGCTGGAAGCTTCACTGTTACATCTGCCGCCAGAGGATGGGAGCTTCCATCCAATGTAGTAACAAGAACTGCTTTGTCGCTTTCCACGTGACGTGTGCACGGAGGGCTCAGCTTTATTTGAAGATGAAGTCCGGCCATGGAACCCCGGCCGTCATGGACTCGCATCTTCTTAAAGCCTTTTGCGACAAGCATGTCCCTCCTGAATGGCGCAGAGAACACGGGACGGACGTTGCCACAGCGGAGGCGATTGAGTATTACCGCAGCACCATGCAAGGCCGCCGATGGGGAGACAGTCAGGCGGCGGCGCTTTCCTTGGAGCCCTCCCATCCTCTTGGTTGCGACCATGGGGACGATGATGGACAACGTATGCATACACCACGCATCACTCTCACTGTTGGCGGCAACAAGCGCAAGCGACCGACAGTACCCAAGACGATCTGGAAGTTACCGTCCGGTGCCCCTGTGATCCCTCAGGTCGTGCTGAATTCCGTTGTGGCCTCACTGCAGCGCTTCGGTGTTCGGCAAAGAAAGCAATATGCTGAAGACGCCTGCAAGTTCTGGACCCTCAAACGGGAGGCAAGGCGAGGAGCTGCGCTTCTGAAACGCCTACAATTGCAGCTGGAAACCTTTTCGTCTATGGAAATGACGAGGAGGGACTATGTTGCCATGGGGGTTACTGGCCACAAGCGGCTACAACGACGTATCGAGTTTGGCGAGAGGCTTCAGTATGATCTAGATAGGTTACGAACACTGTGTGAGGAGGTGAAGAAGCGCGAGAGAGAAAAGCTGAAGGACGTGGAGACCCTTCGCGGTATCGTTGACACCGTCTACTTTCCCATTTTCCCTCTGCTCTGGCCAATATTCGACAAAGCCCAAGTGTAAGCATGTCTCTTCCTGTCAATTTTAAATTGGTCCTAACACCACGGCAGGCTTGACGGAAAGGCTATCTTCAAACAAGGACTTATGTCTATCAGAACAAAGCTGCAAGAACGCTTTTATCCATCAGTTGCTACATTCTCCGCCGACCTGGCCCATGTTTTCACCACGGAGATCGGGGTCCAACCGGCCGGAGACACTGCTGAGCTTCAGATGCAAATTAGTGGTCGCGCCCCGGAACTGAGCCTCGAGCAACGCGAGAAAAGGAAGCTTGCCAAGCGGATTATCAAGGCCATTCAGCCTGCATTAGAAGACGCGATCAGGAAAGAGAGCGAGCTAAATCGGAAGCCGTTCGAACAAGAATTGAAGGAGCTTGATCTCATGCTGGAGAACAGTGTCATGTCCAGAAGGGGTTCTGAGGTCGGCCTGGCGGAGCAACCTGGGGATGAGAAACTAGGAATGCTGGAAATCCCGAATGGTCCAGACCAGAAGGGCGAGGAGTCCGATATTACAGCCAAACCAGAACCGGAGGATAGCGCTGGGATTTCTGACTTGCCTGAGAAGACAGACTCAACTGCCGAGCCTGATACGATTGAAATCCAACCTGCAGAGACCTCCACGGAACCTCAAGTCCAGGACGACTTGGATATGGAAGATGCCCCTGCTGCTTCGGAGGATACAGAGCTTCAAGATGCAGATGTAGCACCCATGAGTGTACAGCCTACCATTGAGGACCAACCGACAGTCAATGGAGACAGTGAAGAGATGGAGGAGGAATCATCAAAGCCGTTAGAGACTCAGAAGGAGCCACTGACTCCTCCACCCAGCTACAAAGGCGACCAACAATATCCATTGGCGCAAGGAGGCATCCAGTGGTATATGCAGCCGTTCGACCCCATTGGCACCACTATCCACGAGGAGCGGTGGACCGGGCGAGATGTGATGCGAGGGATGAGCGAGGAGCTCAGTGAGCTTGACGAGGAAGAATTGAAGGACCTCGTGGAGGATGATGAGCTGATGGACGGATCGAATGAGGCAGCGAATTGTGGCGATGCACCTACACAACAGAGTGTCAAGGTGCATCGGACCCGAAGACGATGGCGCGGGTTCAAATAGTTACAATTACACGTACAGGTGGAGATATTATGAGTTTTCAGCGATCATTCCCTTCATTTTTTATACTCCATTATTTTACTACTACCATTCTCCGATTTCCCCTTTTTGTGGTTGTTTGCTTTTTTTTTTACCTTTTCTTTCGTTTTTTCCCCCTGCTGTGAGGCAGCAAACCGGCTGGCCAGGCGTTGGGTAGGTCAGAGCTGGGTCTTAGGTGGGTAGCTAGATAGCCACAACTCATGTAATGAAGTTCCACAGAATGTATTCAAGGATGTTGGACAGTAATGAAATTTGTATTATTGAATAAATGGGGCATTGGGAATGAGAGGAATGGAATGAATTGAATGCCTTGGCGCGGCGACCGCAGAGCCGCGGGCGGTCCAGAATGGCTTATGGAAGGAAGACAGACTCGCCGCGCTCGACTTTCTTTCCCGGTTTCTCCCCCTTCTTTCATCATCATCACCGGATATCCATCCTCTCCCCATCCATCCTCTTTTCCTTTCTTCCTTTTCTCATACCCCGGCTTTCTTCTCGAATTGCTCGGAGACTAGAATCACCTTTTCTTTCTGGTTTTCTGGTGTCCGCTTCGGATTCCTGTCGGATTCGCTTGTCGAATTTTTCTCCATCTAATCTAACACATTGCACGGTCTGCGTCGCGCGCGCGCTACCTCACCCCTTCTACCTACCTCAGCTTTCAGTCCGCTTCTCTCCTTAAATTTTTGTCATTATGGCAACGGAATACGATAACGAAAACGGTCGTTACGACGGTATGTCGAGCTGTCTTCACCCCAGCTGATCTGCCGGGTAGCACTATCACAACAATGCTGACCAGCTGCTTCTTCTGCCTTCGCAGACGAGCCACGCTTTGCTCGTGATCGCAGCGCATCTCCTCGCGATGAGCCTCGAGCTGATCGTGCCCGTAGCCGTTCTCCCAACGGCCGCGTGGATGACCGGTATGTTGACGTGAATTACTAGCTAGCCCAGACGCCAGCCGACTGACTAGAGCTTCTTATGCTAGCGCTCCCATTGACCCCCGTAAGAACTTGGATGACGACGAAGAGGGTGCCCTGAACACTGGCTCCAACCTCTTTGTTACCGGTATCCACCCTCGTCTGACCGAGTCGGACATCTCGCGTCTCTTTGAGAAGTACGGTGATGTCGAGAACTGCTCAATCATGGTCGACCCCCACACTAAGGAGTCTCGTGGGTTTGGCTTCGTCAAAATGGTGACTGCCGAGCAGGCCGACGCGGCTAAGGAGGGTCTTCAGGGCGAGGTCATCGAAGGCCGCACCCTGAGCATCGAGAAGGCTCGTCGTAGCCGCCCCAGAACCCCGACTCCTGGCAAATACTTCGGTCCTCCCAAGCGTGGTCAGTTTTCTTGAACCTTACGTCCCGACTAGTTTAACTTACCACGTTCAACCTTCTAGATTTCCGTGGAGGTCACCGTGGCCGTGGTGACCGATATGACGATCGTCGTGCTCCTTACGGCGGCAGCTGGCGTCGCGGTGACGATTACCGCTATGGCCGTTACGACTCCTACAGCGACCGCCGCGACTACGGTCGTGACTACCGTGACTACGGTGGCCGCCGTGACTACGGTGGTCGTGACGATTATGGTTACCGCGGTGGAGGTAGCAGCGGTGGCATCGACCGCTATGCCTCTGGTGGTCGTGAGGACCGTTACAGCCGTGACGAGCGCCGTGAGGACCGCCGTGAAGAACGTCGTGGAGGTAGCGGTGGCGGCTACTACGACCGCGATGCTAACCCTCCCAGCTATGGCTCCGCTGCTCCGGCGCGCGATGCCTATGCCGGTAGCGGTGGCGGCGGCGGCAGCGGCGGCCGCTCTTACGACGCCCGTGATGACCGTTACAGCGCCCGGTAGGTGAAGTTGTCCAATCTGGCAGGAGAGATCCGGGCCGAAGCGCGTAGCCTCGCCCAGTAATGGGGTTTTGTAGGCTCCGCGCTCCTTTCCTTTTACCCCTACGTTTTTTGTTTCTGTGACATTCCCTTACTCCCATTTTTCCCTGGAATGGCTTTTTAATCTCAAATACCCCCATTCGAATGGAAATCGCACTCAACGGGCCACGGTGGGGGCGTCATATGTGTTGTCTTGTCGAAAAGGGGAGAAGAAGAAAAGTCCTCATCGCATTAACATGTCATTACGGACAAACCGACATGCCACCGTTTTTTTTGCGACCAGTCGACTTTCAGTGAGAAATTTAGTGGAAAAAAAAAAGGAAAAGACAAAAAAGAATCCTGTGTGGTGTCGTCGCTCTCGGTCACACGCTGATGTTTTCTTTTGTTAAATTCACTCGCAACAACGGAAAATTTGGCGGCAGGGAAAGGTTGTAATTCCTCGGAATGTCAGATGGTCATCAGCAATGCTTCCAACATCCGGAAACTTGGTCGTTATCTCGATAGTCAGCTGTTCGCCTTTGTTTGCGTCTTTGCGTCTTATACAACTCTCTTAACGTAACGACTTTCGATTGTATTCGGCCAGAACTACATAAATCTGCTCAGCCTGCAGAGGCTATTTTTCACGCCTGGATTCCGCTCTGCACCCGGTGATCTGCCGGGGTCGACCAGTGTCGCGGCACCAGATCGCCATAGCGTTGCGTTGTAGTATCGCCAGGGTATCGCCAAAGTATCGCCAGGAGCTTCGCCGGGGAGTATTGCTGGGGCTTTTGCAATAGATCCGATGGCAGACGGGTTCTGTAATTCCGGCAGTCGGCTTGAATACGGTAGGTATGGTCCTGTCGAACTGTTGAGTTGATGCTCTGATTGAAATAGTCTGGTCGGGATCTTCCGATCATTGAATTGCTAACCGCAGCATGCATGAGGATGAAGTGTTACAGGTAAGTCTTGTTTTGTTGCATAATAGACATAGGGTGTCCTAAAGTGTCGTTCTCTGAGTAGTTTTGCACAGACACGTTTGCTTCTACTAGAGACTGCACCAGAGCATGAGCAGAATTGCATAGAGCGACTGATGGTTTAGATGTGTACCACAATATGATCTCGATGCTCGGCAACATGCAAGTAACTTTCCCTCGTTTCAGACAGTATACCCATATGCTTTATCATCTAGACACAGTATAGCCAAGCCCAACTCAACCACACAAGATTTTGTCCATCTATATCATAACCTCGTAACCACATGGCCATGCAAACCACCAGCCGGAACCGGACAGGCCGCGAGGACACAGTCCTAACCAAGAGCCCTCGGCTCTCGATATCTCAGCATGGATAGCCATAATTGCTACCGCGCAGCCTATTCCTCTTATACCCTCTATCTTCTCGGCAAAGCCAGGATTAGACCCGCGTACAGCAGTATCGCATTGGCTACACGCCAAGTGGCGAATCCAGCTCATGACGCCATCGCGCAATCGACACGACACGTCCAGCAAAAAGATCCCCAGTACCATATACAGAGCTTTACTCCGGTGTCTTCGCAGCCACCCCTTGTTCGACTTCATTACTTTTCTGGATCAGGAATTCGCCGAGTACGCGGAGGGGGTTTGGCGGCCTTGTCATTCAAGAACATCCGTTAGTATTCATTCATTCATGCATTCATTCACCTTGTCCCATGATACACCCAGCGAATAGAAGAAAAGTCCAGACACGACACAAGGTACACATAAAACGCGTAGGTGGGCACAAGTACGTACTGCTCCTTCGTCACACTCTTCATCCCTTCCAACAAATACGGCACGATCTTCTCATTCATGTACACTCGGGCTGGGGCGCCCCCGGGCCGAACCTGCGTGTTGGCGATGGGTGTCGCAGCGGCGGACTCACCGCCGGGGGTATTTGCCGCGGAGTCTTGAGCCATGAGTTTGTCTTTTTCGGAGGGTGGTGGGTGTTGTTGGGGGTCGGGGTCGGGTTGTTGCAAAGGTGGAGGTTGAGGTTGAGGTTGAGGTTGGGTTGTCTGTATGATGAATAGATAGGTAATTAGGTTAGGGTTTAGAAAGTTATTCCGGATATAGGAATCGGAAGAAGAAAAGGTAAATTGTAGAAGAATGGAAGGATTAAATTGAATAGAATGTCAGAGTACGTAGGAAATAATTTAGAATTGGAATTGAAACCGAGTAATGAAAGCGGAGCAGCTCCGCCTGTGGAGATTGCGATGGAGTGAGTGAGTAGTGAGTGAGTGTGGTTCGGGTTCCTGATAGCACTGGGGGGGGGATATTCTTACTGGGATTTCGTCGGCCATGGTTATAGCTTCTGCTGGAGGTTGTGGCTGTGTGATGGAGAGGGTGTATTTGAGGGGGTTATGGTCATATTTGATGGATCTGGGCTGGCTTGGTCTTTCTTGGGCTCTTCTTGCTGGGTTGCTGCTGCGGTGCTTACAGTTGCGATGGATTGGGGGTGGTGCAAACAGTGCAAAGCGGAAGTGGATGTGGGCCGTTCCTAATTGGGTTATATGGATCAGGTGATTTCGTGTCGGTTCGCGTCACGGTTTTATCGTGGGTTTGAAACCGAGGGAGTGATTTGTGGGGATTATTGGTATTGTTGTTGCAGCACTATGTGTTAGTGCTGCTGGTGGTGTTGCGCAGCATGTCATTGTTGGATTATTGGGATACTAAGCGTCCTTTGGCGAAACGCAGAAAAATCACTGAGGATAGTGGGCCTGTGAATGCGGGCGAGGAGAAAGACAGTCCTGATGAGTTGGATAGTCCGTTGATTGAGACAGATACACCATTGTCTGATCGACGAGACGGTTATCATACCCTGGATGAAGTTGGGGAAGAGGCTGAGAATGATGCTGAAATCCCGTCGAACAGCCAGACCGAACTCGAGTCGTCCCTCCCTGCCGTTCAGGCGGACAATCGCGCAATCGAGGAATATGAATCTTCCCGTATCGTGGACGACGAGCCGGACCTACAGCAGAGGCTGAGGAATGGCACATGGAGGAAGGGGAGGAGTTCCATCTACGTGGACGCGTTCAATCTCGCGCTGGAAACTGTGCTGGATGAGGAGGCGCATTTGTTCGATGCAGCGGAGATGGAGGTGTTCAGGCAGTGGCGAGAATTGGACTACGAGGCTCAATATCTGTATGTCCTCTATCACTTCAATCTTATGGTAGCCAGGGTAAGGCTAACTGGCCAGATACGTGCGTCTCTTCCTCCGCAAAACCTCTGCATGGCACCGCATCGATCGACTAGGATACTACTCGGATATTGCAGACATGCCCCGAGTAGTCGCCGAATTGCGTCGCGCTCGCAAGCTTCCATCGTCTACGGATGAAAGTTCCCCAGACATCGACGCCGTTCCTGTTGACACAGACTTCGTCTTGGGCCTGGATGGTGTATTCAGCTTCGCCGAGGAGATAGACCAAATAACCACTCTGGAAGAAGCATCATCCCTATTACTCCTCGACGAGCTGAAAACGCTCGCAAAGGAAGCCAAAGTACAAGGGAAGAGTAAATCAGAGCTCATCACAGCCCTTCACCGGTCCAGCCAGAACCAAACCGGCCTGAACTGGAGCAAAACCCCCAGCAACAACAGTAACAGCAACAACAACAGAACCAACCACTTCATCCAAAAAATCCTCGACCACTCAGGCGACTGCATCCGACTCACCTCCGGCCCCCGCGCCCTCTTCGAACGAGTCCACCTCGTCTTCTACCGCTCCACCGAATGGTCCGAGAAATCCCTCACGACCATCATCCTGGCCAAAATCTCCCGGCGCAACTTCCCCTCCTACGTCGTCTGTCGAACCAACTCCATCTTCCCATCACGAGCCACCCTCCTCGAATTCGAATCCGCCCTCCGCACCCAATACCAAATCGACACCATCCTCGAATTCAACGGAACCCCCACCATCTCCCTCCTCACCCAAATCAAAGACCTCGCCTACAAAGTCTACCCTCGATGGAAAACTCTCCTGCATCAAGAACAACGCAAAGAAGACACCATCTACGACTGCGGCGAGGGGGCCTACCTCCGCCGCTTCTCCCCAGCATGGGTCTACACCCGCATCATCCACAAGGGCCTGCACCCACTCGGCCGCTTCAAAGAACACGCCGAAGAACACAGACTCCTCTCTGAACTCCTCGCCCAACGCCTCTTCCACCCCGCTCGCCGCGGCGCCTGGTACCAGCGTAAAGCTCTCCTCGAAGAACATTACCTCTGGGCCCTCACACCATTCGATAACCGCAATGAAGAATCCCAGCGTAAGCACTGGCGTCGTATCGCCTTACAGACCTGCGAAACAGGCCTCCAGGACCCAGACTGCCATCTCATCTACCATTACAATCTCCAGAAACGGATCACGAAGCTCGAAAAAGCCCTCAAGGTGGTCAAACGCGAACAGCACGACTTCGGACACGTCATGCTCACTAAACCAATTACACATACCATCCAAGGTATCCAAATCGAACGCGACGACCCCGAACCCGTCTCCAAACGAGGCCGTCCTACCATCTGGCTCGATGAACGAGATGGTAGCGAATGCAGAGTAGAAAGTATGTGTCTGAGTTGGTATAGAGATCGTGGTTGGAAGGGTTATCACTCCGAGGGTGGTATCATTCGAACATTAGTACGTTCCTCCCCCCAACACTTTCATACCCCTTAAATATCCCTCTAATGAAAGAGAAAACAAAAAGTTCACCTACCTCCTCTACGACATCCTCTTCACCCCCTACCCCAACATCTTCCAAACGCCCTACCAAACCTGTCCTCTGGACCTCCACACCGACACATTCTACCCGACACGTCTCAGCGCCATAAACCACCGATTGGTGGAAATCGCCAACGGGGGCGCAGAATCCCTCCTGAGAGATGTCCATGCTCGCGAATCACCTCGCCAGCCATGCGCGATTGGTCTCGATTGGTCGTTTCCGTTGGAGGATCTGGTGCAGATTGTGAGATGTTTTGGAGGGGAGAGGTTGGCGGTTGTTTGTAGGGTTTTGGCCCAGGAGTATGCGGTTAGGGGGGGTGGGGTGCCGGATTTGATGCTTTGGAGGTGTTTTGGAGGTGATGGTGGTGGGGAGGGTGCGGGGGATGGGGATGGGGATGGGAGGGAAGGGGAGGTGATGTTTGTAGAGGTCAAGTCGGCGAATGATCGGTTGAGTGATTCGCAACGGTTGTGGATTCATGTTCTAACTGCTACGGGGGTGAGGGTTGAGGTTTGTAATGTCGTTGCGAGGGAGGTTAGACGGGGATGATTACATAGTAGTATATCTTTTATATAAAATGTGTAAGGTGTGGTGTATGTATGGAGATAGATCAAATGATAGCAAGCAGTAGATGCTTATCCTCTATACATCTACACCATTATCTGAGAGCTCTGAACTAGGTATCCACTACAACATCTACAGTCTGGAAAAATATGGGTCGTAATTTTATTCAACTATCGAACATAACCCTTATCGTGCACGACAGCCAATCACCACCAAACAGAACACGAAGTAGACTTCGCAACCGTTTAAGCAACCAGGGTGGAAGCGGTGGCGCTCTCGTAACGCCAGGTGGGGGGAAGGACACCGACGGACTTGTAGTAGCGGGACAGACGGTGGATACGGGACTCGATGAGAATCAGGCGGAACTTGCTGTCCTTATCCTTGCGGTTACGCTCAAGGTGCTTGCGGACGGCGACGGCCTAGATGATTCGTTAGTTTCATGCCTAAAATTTATTTACAAAACGGGAGATGTGGCATACCTTCTTGATCAGGTGGTACAGGTCCTCGGGGAGCTCGGGGGCAAGGCCTGTTAAATCACTCTGTCAGCCTGTGGTTTGACCAAGCAGAGGCATACGGGAAACCGAACGACAACTGCGACATTTCTGCCGCGGTTGAAGTTGGCGCCCTCCAGTTTATGTGGATGTGTGGGTTGCGGTGAGCGAGAGGCGGGATTTCTGCGATGTGTGCAGGTCGGTGGTGTTCTTTCGAAATATAAGTGTCGATGATGAGACGATTCCGGGTATGTTTCAACCTCGTCCCTCCATTTCAGGTATATCATCGTTTCAACTGGTTCGAAAATTGCCATGCCTATGATATCGCCGGATATATTCCAATCCGGGTCCTGCCTGCTCGCGCGAATCCCAACACATTCCTCATGAAACTGGTGCGACTGGTGAAAGGGTGGTTGGTGGTGGTAATGTCGTACCGTTGGACTTCAAAATACGGAGGATCTTGTTACCTGTTTTGCTGTTAGTATATTTAACTCATCTTTCAATTATAGACATCAAGGATTCTTACCAGTGACAGTCTTGACCTGGGCAACACCGTGGGAGTCACGGAGGACAACACCGATCTGGGAGGGGGTAGCACCCTTCTTGGCGAGCTTGCAGATCTGCTCAACAACCTGCTCGGTGGAAGCCTTGAACCAAGCCGGGGGAGTGCGAGAGTAGGGGAGAGCGGAGGACGAAATGCCCTTTCCCTTGGAGTGAAGACGACCCATGGTGATTGTTTGGTGGGGGTTTGTCGGACGGTGAGATTGATCTGGTCGACTCGCGGTTGTCGGGAGGTTCAAAGGGAAATTTTGAGGTTGTCCCGATGGGATTTTGCGTCGCGGTCGTGGGTCACGTGGGATGCATTGTGGGCTCAGTCAGGTGATCCCGGCCTTCGCTTATTTTTTTTCCGGCAGTTGCTTTTTAAGCTCGAATTTTTCTCGGCTTCTTCTTTTCTTGTTGTGGCAGCTTTGCAGCTGACAGAGTTTATGTGCTCTGTGGATGATAATTCCATGTGGACTTGGAGTCGTGCTCGACTAACTGATATGTTATGTGTGCAGATTTGAGCTCAAGGTTAGTTCTTACCCCCCTATACTTTACTCTGCTTTACAGGATGAAACACACCTTTTATTTTATTTTTCTGGTACCTCTTATGTCAGAGGTAGGCTTCGGTCTATCTCGATGATCTAAATGGACTTCTGATATCATTCAATTCCTTCTATTGTTATCATGGAATTTGTGGCTCAGTATGCTGACTCGCATTCAAGATAGGTCTTCACTCGATCGCAAAGCTCGAGAAAGCTTGGGTTGGATATGGGTTATGTAGTCATGGAATACAATGAAATTGTCTACGGTTGAACATTCTTCCAATGTAATCTGCTCCGACGGGCCGTCGTATCACTAACTGAAGCCTATCTTAGTCCTGTCGTCGATATAGATTGGCGCATATGGTGTTGGGACCCGGCCATGCGATTGTTCATTCACGACAGTCGCATATCCGTAGCGCTTATAGCCCTGCTCGGCGGAATCGACGCCAGCAAAATTTCCTATAGAATCAAGAATGAGCCATTTCTCAGACACTGGCAGCCTGGTGAACTCCACAATAGACAAGTCACCACGCAACTCTAGCTGGACTTATGCCGCAGATGAGACATCCCCATCGAAGATGTCTGCCTGGACAATGCAGGATTATCACACCGCAACAAGCATTGTTGACAGAAGCATCCGACACTCATACAGATGCATGAGTGTCTCGAGGCTTGCCCCACGTGCTCCGCGCAACCTCACGATAAACCTCAACATCGCTTGGTCCGCTATGATTCCAAATCCAGTCGCATGAACATGCAGTTTGCAGGACAAGACCTGTAACAGGGTGTTTGTAGCATCGATGCGAGCAAGCTGTAGGCACGATGCGGTGCTGGCCTACCTCGTGGCGCAGCAACTAGCATATGCCATCTTGAAACGACAAAAGTCCCGCGTAAGCCCTGGACTACACCATCTGTATTTTCTGCTCAATACTCACCCTTCAGCCCAAAGGCGATTGGATGTAAGCACGGTGTGGGTTTGCGATGTGTCATATCCCAGCAGTTGTGGGATGTGGCATCAATCGTTGGTGAGAGGTGAGTGGTGACAGGCAGCCTGATGTGACCGCCACTTGTGGATCATGAAGTGGGTATAAACACACGTTGTAGCGAAACGAAGAGAATGAGACAGAAACTCGTCCTCCGTACTTTGTAGTTTGTGCGATAGACGATCGTCTTCCGTCCATCTGTAAGAACATCGACTGAAGTCTAGACCAGGGACGAGGTAACATCATGTGCCTGCCAGTTAGACGACACAAGCGAGTCTCGCTTTGTGATTTGACGCTGCAAAAAGCCGGAGTAACGGCTGACCTCAGCGGCCGCCAAATCAGAATGCCAAAGAGGGCGGCGGAAGAGGGGCAAGCTGAACCCGTATCGATCAGAGCCCAGATCATTGAAAGATCCGATAGCGAGATCGTGGGTAACGCGAGTCCCACGCGTTGTGACCGGTCAGTAGGCGACGAGCCTATGATCACCGCCGCTGGCCTTGCCGCAGCTCCCCTTGTGCCCCGTCACCTTCACGGCCCTCTGTGGGCCACTGATTGGGCAGTGGAAGGGCAATGAAGAGGCAAACCCAGGCTGGGTTTGAAAGCGAGGACGAGGATTGATTGCCTGTTACGGGCGAATCCTACCATACCATCGCATGATGTTGAGAAGTGGACGGTCGCTGGGGTCCCTGCAAACCGATGCCCCCGCTATGGAACCGAGACGCTTTGACGGTGCTCAGTAAACACCGTGCTCCAGTCAAGAGTAGAAGTTGCGATATTTCCCCTCATCTGGCCTCTGTCAACAGGGCTGAGTCGATGGTGTAATCCTTAGTCCAAGTAGTCACCACCGAATACTATTGAATCCTGCGAGGTAGAATCCAAGCACACAGAAGCAACCATGAAGTCTGCGTACGACGGAGGATATTCCGGCATGCGTCTCGTACTGCTTGTTCTTCCCGTCTTACCCGAGTCGAGGCCAATCGCTCGTTATCAGTGTCCCTGAGGGGCTTCAGAGTTTTCGCTGCGACATTTTGTGCGACTAGCAGTGAAATTACTTCTTCTACAGCTGTGTAGATCCATTCATCCTTGGCAATGGATGCCGTGTCTGTATGATTCTCCGGACTAGTTGAGAGTCGTGATGCAAAGATACGAGGTCGAAGAGAGGCAAAGAGCAAATGCCGAAAGGGGAAAGTTCGGGAGGCAAACACGAGAATGCCTGCCTTCGATGGAAACTTCTACGACGAAAATGATTCTATACACTTACTCCGTGGATCCACGGCAGTCAAATGATGATGGTATAATTAATCTCAAGGGCTGGACTAAATCAACTTAAATTTAAGCCCGGCAGGGAAGAGCCGGATAATGAACCGTCGCTACGGATTTATAGGGCCCAGAATTGATACTCGGGGGCAAAGGAAGAGAATGAGATCAGTGTTTGCTACCGTAGCCATTTCTAGAAGTTCTCCACGTGTGAGTCCGTCTGCCATTCGCGTGCTGCATAACCATGGTACGTACAGAACAGCTACGTAGCTCAGCTATCTACTAGATAGGTAGATGCATGCTTTCAAAGCCCGATGCACTGAACAATGCGATTGTGAATAGCAAAATTGAAGTCAGCACCGGCTGTGAACCGAATAATGGTGAAGACCAGTCCTACAGAGTCCACATTACCCAATGAGGATAATAAGCATCTCCCTAATGGTACATCCCAAAGCTTGGTCAAAGGCTCCCTTTTCCACGGGATGGACCATCCGTGTGATCATTATTCATGATCACACTGTTGAGGGCGATCAGTCCGGTTGGCAATCCACTCCATCCACCAGAAACGTGCTAGAAGATGACAATCCATACTGGATCACGCAAAAGCTCTGGCAGCTAGCAGGGAACTACTAACAGCCAGGCCGGTGCCGGAGCGGGAGCCCTAAATTTAGCCGGACGACGACCGTCGTGGCTTCAAGTACCGTGGACGCTTGACGACAGTGGTGTCGATCAGTTCGCGGCAAATTCCCGTCCAACGGGTACCGGTAGATTCTGTTGCTAGGGAAGACACTAGGGAAACCGACAGGCGGCTATACAAGAGGAATCATTGAAAATACAGGTCCGTGTGGGAAACCGGTGCATCTGGGAGGGGCAGCAGAGACGCGGCGCTGTTGTAATGGATGGCCCATGCGCCAATCGCTGGGGCATCATCTAGATTCAACCGGGGGTGGTGGATTTTGAATTGGTGGCCATAGCGATGACGACGTACTTATGTACTTGGGTAGTATGGACTATGGAGGCGTCGTTGTAGTACTACATTAGCGACGGTGTTCAGAGGTCGGCATCCCTCAGGCAACACCCCTTCGGTACGCGACTGGACGGTCAGGAGCACAGATAGGTAGCAGATCTGCTGTGCAAGTCACACCAAGCATCAGTCTCAAATGGCTCAAGATTGGCAAAATAAACAAGACAAATCACCCTCCTAATGTTACCGACCGTAGGACGTTGAGCAAATCCCATGGAACCATGAGTCAGAACCGAGCAAGCGCGGCCATCGTCCGTTTAGAGTCTGGTGGCAGGTCGACCCTCTCAGGCACCAGGGGCAAAGATGCAGGCAGCGCGGAGAATCGACGCGACACTCGTGCGAAGCCGGTCGAACTCAAAAGCGACCAGGATGTTCCTTCTAGGTTTAGTGGAGGTTGATCGCGGTGCTGCAACGCTGACGGGAGAAGTGAGAAGTGAGAAGTTGAGAACTTCCCCCCTGCCCGCATACGAAGCCCCGGCTGTAAGGTACGCTGCCATTGCTGGCCATCGTCGCAGAGTTTTTTTTTTTACTCTCTTCTCCGTACCCCTTCCGGATTTACTTTCTACTCCTTCCAAGAGGGATGTGGGAATATTATTGACACTGACCAATAACCATCGTCATCATCATCCTCCACTCTTCCGTCGAGGGGAAATGTGCCCCAGCCTCTAGTCAGTCAGTCGAGGACTGATTTCCTGAAATGGGAGCGCGGTGAAGCCACCAAGATAGGAGAATGCCATTGTTGAGGTTGGATGCAGAGAACAGCTGGAGTGTGCAGCGAGAGTTGTCGCTAATGTTTGGGATCCTCTCAAAACTGGGCTGTAAGTTTCAGTAATGCCGATGACAACAAAGGCTCTCCCGACAGATCCATGGATGGGCCGGTGGACCCTCCCTTTCTCCAGCCAGCTACTACCCACTAGGTAGTAGTATCTATCTACCTATCTAGCCTACACAGTAAACTACGTCCGCTAAAGCAGTCCAGCTAGGTCCAGTCGGTACTTCCACAGCCAATCACCAGCTACAAAGACTCCGATCCATGCAGATGGCTGCATCGTCAGTTAACCCAAAGAGGTTAGAGGCCAACAACGTCCGGCCATGGCATCGGATTCCCCGCTCGCCGTGCCCTACCAGGTAACCAGACTGACCTCCTCCTCGCCTTCGTTCGTTCGTTCTCTCCTGATTCCGTCTGATCTCCGATACTACTCGCTAGCCCGACTGCCTCTGCCTCTGCGCCTCCCCAGTCGATTGGAACCCCGACGGAGCTTGGAACTTTCTTAGTGCCCAGAACAGGCGTCGTCGCACGAAGCCAGTCGGTGGATTGCAGCGACTCCACCCTCGCATCGTGCCCCTGATGCCAACCTTAGTCTCGCCGTTCTTACCCACGGAGAGGTTTCTCTCAGTTTCGCGTCAGAACCCAATCAGCTGCGTCTGGGGGCAATGGCTCTCTGTGTGAACGGGCCTCCTATCAGTCCATGGCCATTCCCCAACCAATCCCCAAGTGGTACTCAGCCGGGACCATGATTAGGGTCGACGGCACATCATCCACGGCCGTAGCATGTAGTAGTAAGTAGCAGACTAGTAGTAGTATATCTGATCAGCCCCCCCCCCCCCATGTCCGTCGGCGCCCACCTGCTCTTCGCTTCCTCTATTTTGCATGCGATACACAAGGCTGTCCATTAATTCGGACTTGATCGTTCCACGGCCGTGAGCCTCTTGCGCGGGGTAACCACGCCCTGGCACAGTCCATCATTGTTGATAACCCTGCCATTCGTTACTCCGGAGGTCATGGTCCTTCCGTGCCTCTATCGCAACATCCGCGCATTGACGAAGATTTCTGATAGCCATTGAGGCTCGCACCATGGCCAACCACACATTGAGCGGCTATTGTCCGACTCCGTTCCTCCAAGAGTCTCTTTTCTCATCCACAGGTGGATGTATGCTGCCTTTTGCTGTTCTTGGGTTAGTTGGTTGTGACCAAACTGATCGTGTGCTTCGCAGTCATCGATGGACGTTTTTGCGAGGAACTTACCACCGAGCATGGCAAGGTCTCTTGTTGTCTTCCTTGCCCAATGGCCGAATGGGTATACGGCGATGGTATGTGTCTTACCAGATGGCAGAGAGAATCCGGCTAATGGTCGCTATCTCACTCAGATTTAACCTCCCAAACCAAGGTCGCCAGCTGGCTTGGCGTCGCTACCTTGCCCCTTTGTATCTTTCTCTTGATCTCGTTTGCCGTGCTTCCCGCGAAATGGACGCATCGTCACTATCTGAGCATTTGCTTCACACTGGGGATCTGCTGCATGGAGGTAAATGCCCAATCCGTGGGTCAATCGATGGTTGTCTAACTTGGGGCAGCTTGCCTTCATCATCCCGCTTGGGGTCAATCCGGAGCAATGCCATGATCCGATCACCCCCAATGACATGCACACGGATTTGTCGTGTGCTTTTACCGGGTCCTTGCTCCTCTTCGGTGGCTGGGTATCGGTAGTATTTAGTAGGTTGCGCAACACTTTCAAACAAGCCAATGCTGACTAGAACAGGTTTCATTCGCACCTTGGCCTTCCACCTCCAGGTGTGCTGGGAAATCGTACTGGGTACGAAGTTTATGTGGGGAGCACTCATCCTGGGATGGGGCATCCCCATCGTGGGCCTGACGGAAATGTTGATCCTTACCGGCGTATCGTACCGCTTTGGCATTGTATGCCACATCAACGTTCACGACAGTAACAAGGATTACTGGGCTCCCGTGTTGGGCTTTGCAGCAGCCGCCTTAATCTTACAATTCGTCACAATGCTCTACTGCGTCTATGTATACGTCAAATCGGTCTACGACCAGGGGACGTCAACCACCAGCTCAGGTCTCCCATCGTACTCGACCAGCGTGCGCACCCTGACAGCCCGACAAGCCTACCGGCGCATCCGCCGCGTCTTCGAGCTGCAATGGCGCGGCGTCACCTTGGTCCTGGTGATCGTTACAAACGTCATCTTCTTCTCGGTGGTCTTCATCCGGATGGACAACCACCTCACCGCAACGGCCGCCAACCTAGACCGTGGCGCCCCCTGGCTAGCCTGTCTGGTCCTGACACAGGGCGACAAAAGCCAATGCTTCTCCGAAGCGAGCAACCTCCTTCCCAACAAAGCCACTCTGCTGGCCGTTCTCATCCTATTAGCCACGGTCGGATTCTGGAACTTTGTCCTCTACGCACGACCCTCCATCTTCCTCGGATGGGCCGATCTCTTCAAGTCCCAGGTCAGGGAGCCTCACGAGTTCGTCTCCGCTGATGCACGTCGAACCCCGGACCCGCGCACATACGAGATGATCAGCGGGTCAAGCCTGCCTCCATACAAGACACCAGAAGCGGTAGTCCGATCCCCTAGTCCGGTCCGGATGAAGAGCCCGGACGGGGCCCAACACTATGGCCGCCAGGCTCGCTACACTCGACCGTCGATGAGTTTCTCCTCTCCACGACCACCCAGCTCCTTGCAGGGCCATGAACGGGACTGGGACCCGGAGGCCACCTTTGCTCCAAGTCATTCACAGAAGGGGTCGATCTGACCGGACCGGATCTGTGCTGGGATTGGCGTTGGCTGGAAGGATTTGATTTTTTTTTTTACTATACCCTTGTGTTACGATATGTATACCATGCTACTAGAATAATGATACAGAATCAAACAGGTAAAATCGCTCATGCTTACAGTAGTAGTAGTAGTGTAGTAGTAGTATCGACCCCAAACCTTAAACCCCAACGGCCCAAACATCCATCCGGCAACATCTCCGCAGACTAGATAGGGCTTGGCGTGGCCTTGCTGACAGTCAGCAGCATGGTGCCACTCGGCCTGGACTCGCTTAGCTAGCTAGATAGACTTTGAATTAATGCTGTAGGATACTTGCCAAGCCTGGACATGACACAAGACAAGTCGTCTTCTCTTTCATCCATCCATCGAATACAGTTTTCTGTTTCTTTCACCCTGTGTGAACCTATGACTAGCATATCCGCTGCATGAAACCTTTCTTTCATGCAATTTATCCCTTCGTCCCATTAATTCTCCAATGAACTTTCAAGATTCATCCCTTCTTGAGTTCTGATACAGAAACAGGAACTCATCAACCGAGGCACATCACACACATCTCACCTACCCATGATAATATCCCACATCCATATCCCACATGCAAGTAACTACCAAGTAAACTCCAATTTCCACTTAATACATACATACAACCAAGCCCAGCACGGACGTCTTATCCTTAATTGGTAATTAGCCCCGTTTTACTTCCATCTTTTCCCCTACTTACTTACTTACACTCCACTCCGTCTATGTAAGTTTCCTCCTTACTTCCTCTTTATACCAGAATTGAGTGTAAACCATGCTCAGACACACAGTTAGAAAGATAGATGAATATAAATCCTAGGTAGGTAAATAGTACATCGACAATAATATAAACCTCCATAGATGGCGTGATTAGTATAGTGTAGTATAGTATATCTACCCGTTACCCGCACGGAGTTCCCCGTAGCTACTAGTATTTATCTAACCGAGCTTGCATCTACTACTTATCTATTACCTATCCAGCTAGGTAAATAAGTAGGTAATTGTAAAAACAATAGATAGGTATGCTAATATTATCCTCTCTGCGCCTCAGAAACCCACCCGGGGTAGATACTGTATATGACCGACACCGGGGACACCGACAGCGGACAAGGGACGGACGGAGTATCTACATCCTTCTAACCGACCTCGTCTCTTTCCCCTCCTGCTACTGCTACTGCTATACGCACAGACCTACTACGTACGCTACTAATAACCCCCAGGATTGCTGATTAAATTGACTGATTAATTAATTGATATTGTTCGACGGGGATGGGATCGGACCCTGCTTACTTACCTACCTTACTCATCTATTTACCGGTCTAGATCCTGCTTCCGGGTAGCTTGATCTGAGTTAGTGTACTCCGTAGGTATATGTGGCCTTTGACTTAGCTATCTTGCAAGGGAGAGAGAAGGATGAGGGGTTTGTCCGGGGTATACGTCATCTATTGATGGGGCTTACAAGGATTAGTTAGGTATGCCGTCGGGGTTCAGTCCCTATGTGGATAAGATGGGATAGATGGGATGGGTTGTGGAGATCTCGGATGGTCCCGTGGGGATTATTCTACCAAGTAATGCATGTGTTGGTCAGATCCAAGTCATTTTCGCTATGATACATCGTAACCCAGTACTAGAAGTAATTATCCCCAGTACAGATTGTGCATCGCCTGCTCCAGGCGTCGGCCTTGAATCAATTACGCGTCGTCAAGTGTCAAAGAAAATAGCAGAAAAGATATAACTATGTGTATATTACCAGGCGCTGACGTCGAAGTTTTCCTATCAAGTGTTAACAGAGTGTACGATAATCCAGGGGGGGGAATGAGGGACTCACCTCGGAAAAGTAGGTTGTAACCACAGTCCGGTCCGAGAACTTCCTGCCCGCAAGCGCCTTCAGAGCACCCGTTGCCGATTCAATCGTATCGAATTTGACAAAGATCTTGCCCACTCCGGGGGACTGTCGGCTGCCACCAGACGGACGAGGCACCTTCAGCTCGACCACAGTGCCATACTTGGAACACTCTTCGCGCACGTCGTCGCAGATTTCTGTCACGTCAGCAGTCTTCTTGCATATTCAGAAAAAGGCTTACCATCGTAGTCCTCGGGGTCCATCAGCTCCTCCGGCGTCACCATGTTCAGCAATTGCAACACGCGGCTGGTCTCCAGGTCCTGGGAGGTCGTCTTGGCGAACATCGACATCGCGTTGACGCCCATGTCAAGACCGGCGGCCTGCGTCATTCCGATACTGGCGCGCACAACCTTGAGGTGTCGGTCGCCCAGCTCCATCCCATTAAGTCCCTCCACGGCAATGGTCGTTGCCGAGGGATCAGCATACTCGCAGAACGCAATGCCCTGTTCATGTCAGTACACACCCCGAAACAAGCCGGTAGAAACCTACCCGAGACTCCTCCGTAGAACCATCCTTAACCAAAACAAATGATTTGAGCTCTCCAAACGACTTAAGAAGCATAGTCACAGGTTCCTCGGGAATATAGTGGGGAATGTTCGACACGCAGATCTTGTTGGGAGAGTCGGGAACCTCATTCAGCAACACGCCTTCCTGGTATTCCTGCTCAACGCCACCAGGGACAATGTAATCCTTAGGGCGCCGCACTTCCAAGCCCTGAGCAGCACCGTTGGCCGCACCATTGCCGGCAGCCTCCTGCTCTTCCATCACTATTCCATCAAACGCAAGCGCAACCGTGGCATCATTGGGCGACTTGAACTCGAGCAGAGCGAAAGCATGGTCGGGAGACACCTGGGCCGAGATACAGGGATCCACGCTCTGAACAACGTTGAGGCCGTTGAGCTGAAGGTTGAAGAAGGCCAAGAGAGCCTCTCCCGTGACAGTCGGAGGCAGGTTGGAAACAAACAGACGCTTGGCCTGGCGGGAGTTGGCAGGCTTGAGGGTGGACGTATCCGTGCTTCCGCCGGCAGGCTGGTTCATGAAAGCTTGGAGGCGGCTGGGGTCCATGGGCTGCTGTCGGGGGGCTCCAGGAAGAGGGAACATGCCTGCGAACGACCGCATTAGACCAGTATGGCGAGAAACAAAACACAGAACTCACCTGAGAGCTTCGCCTGTTCAGCAGTAACATTCTCATAGCCCGGGGGCTTGATGTCCCACTGTGTCAAGCGACGTTTCCGATTCAACACCGACAGCACATCTGTCAGATCAGGCGTGGCCTCCCTCTTGCGCGGAGGAGGCGAAGCACTCCGCCTCCGCTCTCTCCTTTCACCACGCTCGCCACGCTCACCACGTTCACGCTCCGCACCCCGATCACGCTCGCGCTCACGGTCTCGATCTCCTCTGCCTTCCCGTCGGGGTCTCTCTTCGAACAGGTCTCTCTCTCCTCTCTCGCGGCGAGCGGGTCTCTCGTCGTAGTCTCTGCGTCGGCGATCACCGCGATCGCCACGGTCGCCACGGTCGCCACGATCCCGATCCCATTCCCGGTCATCTCTGCGGCTAGAATAGCGGTCCTCGCGTTCTCTGGCACGGTAGTCGCGGCTGGAAGAGTAGGAATCCGCCTCGAATTCGCGTCGGGAGCTCCTGGAGCCGTAGTGGGGAGATCTCGACCGTCTTCTCTCTCCGCGTTCTCCGCGTTCTGGCCGTTCTGGCCGTTCTCCTCTTTCTCCTCTGTCTCCGCGCTCGCGGCGCTCTTCGCGCTGTCGTTCCAACCCAGTTAGCTTCGGATAAACAACCCCTTGATTATTACTCACGTAGTAGTCCCTAGGGCGACCAGAGTCTACGACATTAATATTAGACACCTAACTAAGCTGCAGATAATCAAGGAAGATAAACTCACCTCTGGCCGTATACGTATCGCCGTTCATTATGAAAGCTCCGGTAACCTTCCTGGGCTCCTTTTTTTCCCGTTCCACGTGGCGGAACAAATAAACAGCGGACAAAGCTCGGAGATAGATCCTTGACGATCAAACACTCCGAAAGGCGAGCTCGATGGCACCGACAAGATGGAAGCAGGGTGGTCTGGGGAAGAAGTAAGAGCTGCGCTGGAGGGAAAACTCGCAGGTGACGATCGGCGACAGGCCCGTCCAAACCGGGCTAGCGCGTCCTGTCTGCGGAGTCCCGACCGCCTGCTGTGTCGGACAACCCCCGGCAGAATTTCGACTTATCGCCTCATTATCAGCGACTGCATTTGATACTTCGCCTTTCTAAACGACAGCTGACCTCAATTGACTCAAATCATGACTGTCGGCGCGTTCTCAGAATGGCGCAAGCTTCCCCTGAGCCTCAATGAACTCTGCATCAACACCACTCTCCGCTGTGGCCAATCCTTCCGGTAACCGCATGTACCCTTTCCATCCCATCCACCGTCCATACTAACAACCCTCCCATCTCCAGATGGCACAACGTCCCAGACACCGACGAATGGCGCTGCGTCCTGCACGGCCGTCTCCTCTCCTTAAAACAAGACCAAACCCACTTACACTACCGAACATATCGCTCCTCAAAACCCCCCAACCACCTCAATGAAGACGACACCACCACCACCACCACCCTCTCCCTCCTAACCCACTACTTCAACCTCACCACCAACCTCACAACCCTCTACACCGAATGGTCCGCCCAGGACCCCAACTTCCGCAAAAAGGCCTCTCAATTCACCGGCATCCGCATCCTGCGCCAAGACGCCTGGGAAGCCCTCGTCTCCTTCATCTGCAGCAGCAACAACAACATCGCGCGCATCTCGCAAATGGTCGAGAAGCTCTGTCTGAATCACGGCCCCTTCATTGCCTCCGTCGATGGTCGTGCTTATCACGGGTTCCCGCCCCCGGAGGCCCTCACCGCCCAGGACGTGGAAGGCAAACTGCGTGGGTTGGGGTTCGGGTACCGCGCCAAATACATTTACCAGACTGCGGTGATGGTGGCTAAGGAGAGGGAGAAGGGGTGGCTTGATTCGTTACAGAACCCGGAGTGTCCTGCGTGGGGAGTGGAGGTTGTGCCGGGGGGTGAGATGAGGCCTGAGGGGAGGGAGGGGTATCGGGAGGCACATGGGAAGTTACTTGAGTTGCAGGGGGTTGGGCCGAAGGTCGCGGATTGTGTGTGTTTGATGGGATTGGGGTGGGGGGAGGCTGTGCCGGTTGATACGCATGGTTGGTATTCTCCTTGGTTTTGTTGTTGGGTGCATTTTACTGACAGTGTTGGTTCTTTTTCTAGTGTGGCAAATCGCGCAGAGGGACTATAAGTTCGGGAAGGGGTCGAATAAGTCCCTGACAAAAGTCACTTATGATGCCGTGGGTAATCATTTTCGAAAGCTCTGGGGGAAGGAAGCTGGTTGGGCTCATAGTGTGCTGTTCACGGCTGATCTGAGGACGTTCTCGGATCGACTGGCTGCTACCACTAAGAAGGTGGAGGTGAAGACCGAGGTGAAAGAGGAGAAAGATGGCGTGGAGGATATCGAGGTCGAGACGAAGGTCACCACTGCGATGGCGGTGCCTACAAAGAGGTCTCTTGATGACGCGGGCGTGAAAGTCGAGGATGACGAGGAGACCAAAGAGGACGGAAAACCGAACACTCTTGTCCAGGCCTCACAGACGACAACGCGGAGGATGTCGAAGCGGCTTCGAAACCGCTGATGATAATTATATACCCTGTACATTATTTACATTTATCTCGATTTATCAGAAATACTATATTCCTTGCCTAGCAGCCTGATTGCTGCCTACCTACTGCCTAACACATGTCTCAGCATATAAGACGATAATACCGCAGTGCTATACACCCCATCAAGCAAACGCAAACGCTCAAACCTCCTCGTCCACTTCAGCATATTCACATGCCAAGCAACTGTCTCAAAATCTGCATTAGTCCCTCAACACTGAACCCACTGAACCAAGCACCGCCATAACAAGACTAAATAAGCATTGAATAATAACCTCGGTTCAGCGATCCCAAACTCTTCAGCACCCGACACAAAATACAAACACTCAAGTACAGTAGGTAAGCATATATGTAGCTAGAAATTACAAGCATTAATCCCGCAGGCGCCCTCCGGTCCGGGGTATCTGGGTGGGATTATCCGGGGGGTGGGATATCAATCAATCAATGCAGATTGCAACGCCATAACCCTGGTCTGCAGCATAATTCCATTCTAGGTAGACAGATAGATAGATACTACGGCGTAACTACTATTCAGGTAATAGGTATGTACCTACACATGCAGAAACCCACGATACTACCGAGTAGGTAGATACTCAGGTCGGAAGACTTTCCTGCAGGTCGGTTAAGATCGGTGATGTTTCTTAGTAACAGGGACAGGACAGTGCGGTGAGTATCGGGATGGTCGGAACAGGGAGTGTCCACTGCAACCCACCGGACCAAACCAAGGAAAGGGACGAAGATCCGTGAGGAACGATGATGTCTTGATGTCTCGAAAAAAAAGCAGGAGTGGATTTGCAATCGTCAGGACGGGGCGCGCGGGGCAATTGATTGGTCGGATAACCTTCCGTGGGATCAGACATGGCTGCGGCGATCATTCAAGAAACAGGGCTTGAAATTGCCGATATGCTGGCTGGGATGCAGAATCCGCCGCTGGGACGAGGGGGCCCGAGATGTCGCTGGGGTAGCTACTCCGTTTGCACGGAGTACTAAGGACGGAGTTGGGCCCGATCTTCAAATCTCGACGAGGGCGAGAGAGCTTGAAATTCAATGAGGATTAAAGGGGAACGGCCGGCCAAACCAAACGGTGACACGTGCATCCCGATGTTGCAGCTGCCAGAAGCGGAAGGCTCAGGCAACTCTGCCGAGTGCCTGACTGCGAATCAATTGCCAAGCGCAAATTTCGAGCCTCTCTCTTGGGACTGCTTTCTTTCGGCTGCCACTTGGGCCCTCGATCGCCTTCCCGTCTTCCTACGAATCCTACGCCGGGTGCTTGATTGTCGGGATTCAGCATGTTGTCCTGATGGCTGTAGGCAGCGATATAGCCAGAATCCCGGCCGAGAAACCAGATCCCGCACATATCCGCTGCAGAAAAGAAACGAGTCGCTGAAAATGCGTGTACGAATGGAAGAGCTCTTCGTTCTCGCCCTGCTCTTTCTTCGTGCCATTAAAAGTCATGCAGTTTCCGGATACAACAATATGAAATCAAACAAAGAACATGTTGGTATCAATTAAAAGCAGCAGGCTGATTCTCAACGCAGATGCACATATATGCAACCCATTCTGGGTCGACCTGCACAGTACAGTCAGATTGCTGTCCGCAGGCGGTGGTCGATGTGGGAGGTCCGCATATTTACAAGTCCCGCATTATCTCGACGTGAAACGATGATCCGTCGACTATCTGGGCAGGATTATGACGAGAATCGCGAGGCCCGAAGCAAAGATGTCGGGGAGCGGCTCATAACCGACCCTCTGTGAGCCTAAAAGTCCAAGTCGTCAGGTGTCTTGGATCGTGGACTCTCACGGAACGCTCGCATCCACGGAATCTTCATCCCAGTCCCATTCTCTAAGCAGCTGATTTACGCGATACTCAGTTGCCCAGCCAAGATCGGCTTCAATTCCTTGCAGTAACTGCAGAACCGACCGTCGTTCGCCGGGCTCCGTCAGACACTGGCCACTGACAAACAGCGGCTGGAGAGAGTTGATCCGGACCGAGCCATTCGGACAAGCCAGGGCGATGCCGACGATCTCACGACTATGAAACCGGATGTCACTCTCAATCGAGCGATAGGAATTGAGTCTATCAGTGATGGTGCTCCGTCTGCTGGTCGACGCATGCGGCTTATTTATGAGAAGAAGGATACGAGCCATATGATAATGCTGCATGGCTGAGGAGCACATAGGTATGCTATACCATATCTCAGACAGCGTGCCAGCGTCAAACTTGTCGCTGTCCTTATTTTGTGGCAACTTAGAGAGTTCAACCCGACCACAGGGCTGGAACGTCTCGGGAAGGCCATTATACCAGACATCAAGCTCAGCCTCCAGGCGATACCATCGCTCCAGCAAAACCTGTTGCGAAAGACCCAGAGGGCCCGTATCCATCGAGCCGGGATGATTCAACTGGATGTTATCTCCAGCATTGATGAAATTCACGATCTTTGAGAGAATCCAGACGAGACCGTTTGAAACGAGGTCTTCCTTTATGGGCTCTTCATCGTCAGGAAAGCCTGTCGTGCTCGTGCCTTTGGAACGTACGAAGCCCATGCTGTCGATTTGAAGACCTGCCTCGGTCCACAATACCAGATCATCAGTGTTTAACCTTGTTTGACTCTCATTGATGACTGTCGCGAGCCGATTAGCACATTGAAAGGAATGGCGGTCCTTTAGACCCTCATGATATGCACTCACAGGCAGCTAGGTAGTCTTGTCTCGCAAAGTTCCAGAAAGTCGCCTTTCTCGCCTTGGAAAGTCCTGATAGCTTGGGTTGTTGCAATGCAGTCCCCCCGGGAGAATGGCGCTGCTCAACCGGCATCATTCCCACCTCGGCAACATCCAACAAGGACTTCACACCGCTCAGATGTCGATTCCAGGCTGGACCTGTGGCATCCAAAAACTCATATACAGACAGGATGGCCGTTGCAGCGAGTATTTCATCAGAATGTACCCCCTTGGAAAATCGACTATCCGAGTAACGTCTTCTGCGCTTTCGAGGATTATCGTTGTCTTCACACAACTCAGCAGCCTGCCACTGGCCAAACGCCTCTGGAGTACTCAGCGGCGGAGGCCCTTTATCGGGTTGCAATTCTTTCATCAAGAGCTGGATGGCCTTTTCATAGTACTTGGCACCAGACCAAGGCCAATCTACGTTATGTGCAAGATGTCTTGTATGAACACCACCAGTGGACACCTTTGCTCCTTTCACGCGACCCAGCTGCTTTGCAGCGTACGCGCAGGCGGCATACTTCAACAAGGGATTCTGGAGCGCTCTGACCGGAACGGACGATGCAAAATATGTTCCTAGATCAAAGAGGTCCATCCTATTATTCCATCAACAATGTCTTTCAGGAACTGACAGCGTGTGTGACCTACCAAAGTCCTGGGACCTCTGAGAAATGTCTCAAAAGATACGCAATCTCATAGTCTGTTTCTGCAGGCACCTCCGGCTTCGAATCAGTAGACGTGGCTCGCGGCACTACTGCTCTGGAGGTCAATGAGGAGCCCCTACGCTCTGGTGCATGCTGAATATTGGGATCAACAGGCGGTGACCGAGATTGGGAAGGATTAAGAAGGAAGTTGATATTATTATTATGGTTATTGTTGGTGGTAATCGAAAGAGGAGGAGAGACCTGAGGTGCGATGACGCCGCGCACCTGAGTTGGAGAAGGACCTGAAGATGCTGTGGTTGGGACATTACTAAAAGGTGCGCCGTTATCTGTCGGCGGAATGGACTGTTGATCAATGCTCAAGGGAGGGTAAGAAAGGCGGTCGTGAGCTGCCACCGTTGAAAGAGTGTTCAACCGATGAGTTTCGCCGTCTGCGGACGACGTACGCTGGGCGCTCCACGCTCGAGTGTGGGAACTTGCGGCAAGAAGGGCGGCTTCGGACTCTCCTAGAGCGGCCTCAAGGTCCTCCGCATACGGATCTGAGTTATCAACGAAGATGACTAAAGAGGAGGCAAGCACCTGTCAGACTCTGGAAAACCTCACACCCAAAAAGTTCCCTGTCCGTACCATGTTTGGGGATGTCGAGCCAGACGCTGTCTTCATCAAAGGTATTCTTATACGAATAGAACCCCTTCAGACTGCCACGTCCGGTGGAAGCATCGCTCAGATCTTTATTCATCGATGCATTTTGCTGATGGCGAAAAACGATCCCCTCGCTGGGACGACACTCCCTGGCACCTTTGCGACACTGAGAGCACTCCGGTTTCTGCTCGTCACCTAGCCACAACACCTTTTGTTTAGTCCTGGATTTCTTGATAGTGGTGGTAGTCGTAAGCAAGGCCGTAACTTACATTTGAGTTTCCGAGTGCGACACGTCAAGCTGCGGCGGTGTTGTGCCAGAAGGCAGAAGAGTCAGTTTCTCAATTACTTGGAACACAGAATAAGATGATGGTTTGGTAGAGGTTGGGGGCGGGAGTTCCCGGTCTCCCAACATGACATGGGGGTCTGAGTTTTCGACGTACCAGCCTGTGCGGGATCGCATACCGGATGGAACCGTTGGCGGATGAGCTGCAGCATCCGAAAGGGCTCAGTGGTGGGCCGATAACAACACTCTGGAGGGTAGAGGAAGAGAGAGAGAGGTGAGCAGGTCGAGGTCAGCCAGCGAGAGACTAGCCCGAAAGCGACCTAAAAAGCGACTAGGCCCGAGGACCAAGGCGGAGAGCGATGAATCTGGGGAAACAAAGGGCGAGCAGAGGCCAGGAACTAGGAAAGACGAAGGAGGCTGCAACGGAACGGCCGTCCGGGAAAAAAGACGCGAAAAGGAGAGCGCGAGCGACGGCCAGACTTTCACCATCCGCTTTCTGCCCTTTTTTTGCTTCTGGCCAACAGAGCGGGACGGGGGAAAAGCAAGCAAACAGGCGAGCGAAAAAGAAAGCGGGGGGGTTAGTCTAGTCCATCCTCGCAAGGGCTCGCCGGGGTTGGACACTAAGGCCTCCAGGCTCAGTCTCCAGGCCAATCTCCCGAGTCGGCCTAGTCCGTTCCCTTCGGTCTGGCCAGTCGGCCGCTGATTCCCGCCCCCGGCCTCACCGCACTATCCTTCCTCCGGCCGTCATGGGCCTGTCTGCCTTGCGGGGAAATCCACTCATGTGATCTGGAAATCCAGACATACTGGCCCTGACTGGGTGCACTACTTTTCTTGGTTCAGATTTATCCTGCCCCCTTCCTGCACGCGTCTGCTCTCTCATTCGATGCTAAGTCTAGGTACTTACCCAGTAGTAATGGCCCCCATCCCAAATCCATCTGCGATGTGCACCCGCCCTGCACCATGACTTGATCAACAACGTGGAGAGGGCGGGGATCTAAATAAATTAAGTTCACACATGTCCCCGTTTAGATCGCTTCCCTCTTGACGAATCATGTTCCGTCTTCTTTGTGTTTTGGTTCGCATGTGGATCCCCATCCGATCATACTACGTAGGTCACAGGTACAATCAGGTGGTGTTGGATCCTTCCACGTCATAAAGGAATGTGGGCTGACTTGCCTCGGGTTTCATTAGTAAGGGTAGTGGCAAGAAATGGTATACATTTTGGTGTATAAATCCATACGCAGGCTTGAAGATAGATGTGGGTAAGAGAAGTAGCAAAGGTTCATGGAAAGTATGGTTGGTTCATTACCGCGATCTCGCGCGGGAATATGTACATGTACATGTCAACCCGGTGACATGACATCCACTGCACTCAAGAGGAATGAAAGGCAAGTCACCAAAGTCAGAGACATGGTGTATATGGTACAATATCAAGACAGATCACAAATAACGTCACAAAGATTGGAGGTGCCCCGGGAATGGCGGTCAATCAGCCCCGGGCCAGCGAGAACATACATACGCATAGTGCACAAGAAGTTAGGACATGATGGGAGGGAAACGGAAAAGTCAATGACCTCTTTCAAACATGAGGTCAGCAGCATCACAGATTAAGAATAAAAGAGTCGGGTATATGATAGATTGTTTCCCAAGAACGCCGTTCTGAGGTATCAGATGAGAATCCACATGGTGGTTGGTGTCAGATTAGATGTCGTTTTGTTTTTCGCTCCGAAATGGTTCGTGGATAGATGTGGGGCGTCTCGCCCCTCGTTCTAACTCAAATGGCTGGTGCACCCGGGTTGGGTTGCTTAATGGAGTTGAAGAGGTATTCCGGGGGAAGTCTCCGCATGTTGGAAGGTCGATCGGTTCCAAATCCTTGCGGAGCCCGCATGTAGCCCTGACGACGGCGTTGGATCTTGTTAAAGATGATGCCGGCTATGACGATCAAGAAGACGCAGCCGAGGGCGCAACAGAAGGATATCAATACGACGATACCGTTGGAGAGGTGCTTGCCTGGATGGAGCGTTAGTCTGAGTCCAACATTATCATAGATCCACTGGACGAATGCATACCTCCGCTTGTGTAGGGGTTCTGGTTCTGGAAAAACATGTGGGCCATACTGCCCGGTTGGCCATCAGGCTTAGAAGAGAGCAAGAAAGGCTGCACCGTCGTCCCGTTGTACAAGGCCGCAGAGGCGTTTCCGAAATCCGGAATCTGAAGCCGACCAGTGACCAGAAGCATTTGGTCGTCATTCAGAACGCTAACATCATCGTGGTTTTGGTTGATGGGAAGGACCTCGAGTCCACGGATGTCGGTCCCGTCATCGAACACGTCTCTCACAAACTGGAAGCTGGAACCGTCATACTGGGCAATGAAGCTGGAGCCGTTGGTGTACACGCCCGCAAGCCAAAACTTCGTCACCTGCGTATTGGCCGGAGTGAACGCAGTGATAGTTCCCGGAATATCGGATGAGGAAGCCCCTTCGAAAGTCTGCCATTGCTGTTTCTTCACCACATAGGTTGCGACTACTGACTGATTCCCACTGATAGTGAGATCTCCAACTGCCAGTATTTCCTTGCTGTTCAGCCACTTGAGTGCCAGCACGGTTCCATTCAAAGTCGCGCCTGGTCGATTCCACTGCTGTTCTTCCGTATCCCAGTAGCAAACGCCCGGGCATGGGAGAGCACCAGCGCTTTGAAAGCGCCCCCCAATGTAAATGTGGTTCGAGCTAGGGCGGGGAGCAATAGCGTTGACCGTCACATCCTCACCAATAAACCGGGGTGGCTGATGCTCGGAAAAGGTGTTGTTGCTCATGCTGTACGCGACCAGTCCATTTAGAGTAGAACCGCTCACGCGTCCAGTGACATTTCCACCTGCATAGAGAATTTTGTCCGAGATTGCTAATGCCAAAAAGGTAGAGTTGCTATCAATGCCTGCCCCCAAGCCACGGATGGTCCCGGTACTACCGTCAAGTATAGCGAGATTCTCGATTGCAGACCCATTAGTCGCATTGGTTGTGAACTGGCCTCCAAGGATCGTAAGGTTATTGCCAGAGCTCGTATCATAAATACCTGTGAAGGTCTGACCGCTTGTATTAAAATCCGTCAGCAGAGGCTCCAAACCCAGCTTATTGTCGTAGAGGAGAGCAACAGCGCCGGCAGCAGCGATGCCGCCAGAAGAAAGACTGCCAGCAAGAATGGTTGCATTATCAGCCTCCGCAAAAGCTGACAATTGGCCCGCGAAGTCCAGTTGGCTGACGTTGAGATTCTGTAGCCAGTTGTTGTGCGAAGGAACCCACACGGCAAAACCAGAGACATTGGTCGACGGACTGTTATCAAAGGGAAGCAACTGATCGAAATCACCACTAACACCAACGATGGTCTCGTTGAGATCCACAGAAACATTAAGTGAGAGAGCAAGGACGCTGTTGACGGGGCCATTGACACCTGCGCCTAGTGCTGACCAGGTCTTCGAGTTGAAGGAATACGCTGCGACGTAGCTGAGACCGTCGTTTCCACCAGCGTAAGTATCCGTGAAATTTCCGCCGACATAGAGATAATCGCTCAACACCGTCATGGTAGACACTTTAGAGTTTAGTCCACCCTTTGGCATTGCTGTCGCATTGCCGTCCTGTTCAAAGTACATGACGTTCTCAATATTGGAGCTTGAGAAATTGCCGCCGACGTAGATGGTACTACCATGACTGGCTAAGCTGTAGACTGAAGCACCGTGTTCAAGTGCCAGCCCTGCTTGATCGATGGCAGACTCTGTAATATTCGTGCTTTCCTGCGACGGATTGTACTCGTATAGACCATTCAAGTCATCGCTGGAATTTCCCGACAAGGAGTTCGCCACGAACTGGACCATGGAGGCCACCACAGTGACACTGTTCCCTTGGCCTGTTATCGGTGTCAACTTGACGCGCGGGCGGAAAGAGCTGTCGCTGGCATCCACATGGCCGGTATAGACCGTGTCGTACTTCTCGTACAGGTTGGTCTGGTAGATGAGCGTCTGAGCAGATTCATCAGCATCGCTGGTGGCGGTGACGGTCACATTGACGATGCCACGGGAGCTACAGGTGCCATCCTGCTCACAGCCAGGGGTGTACAGTTTGATCGAGTAATTGCCTGACTGCTTGACATCTGGTTCAAATACTACTGAGGCGCTAGTCGCGTTTGAGTCGGTCACTTGCGTGGTCAAGTATTGGGATGAGCTCTGGCCGGACGCTGCCGTAGACCATGATCCCGTGCGAGTTGATTTCGAGGGATAACTCAAGTCTGCACACGTGGGTTCGTTGAAAGCATCCATGGCGTATGCATAGATGTCTGCCAGAGTCAGTAATCTTAGGTCCAATCTAGAAGTAGACAAGGTAAACTAACTGTTCTCGAAAACTTCAATCCCGTTTAGGCCGCCGCCATTGCCATACCAATCCAAGACCTCTATCTGGAAGCCACTCATGCCAACGCTGTTGACAAAGCGGAACTCACGGTACTTCTCCGATGTGCTATTGGAAAGTGGACAAGACTGGTCGCAGTAAGCAGCATTGCCGGAATCAGGATCGGTGTAGGTCAGGTTCATGATTCCATTATCTGGAAGTCTTCTGAACAAGAACGTTTTCGTGCCTCGTCCCTCGTAATGAGTGTTGTACAACTTGAACTTGGTAGGCGTATACTCGAATCCCATTTCTGCGCGCCAGTATCCGGGGGAATTATTCTCGAGTAGCCATGTCTTCCCGGAACCATCGTCGCCGCTCGTCTGACAGATAATATTGCGAGGACTGATGAAGCCGCTTGTCGAGGACTCGGCGTCGGAAGTAATCGTAGCATTTTGAAGATTGATCACCTGCGGGTCCTTATCGACCGACGTAGAATTCCCGATGCCATCAAAGGAGCCACCGAAGACGATATGGCCATTTTTGGCCTTCAAAATCGAATTGACGGGCCCGTTGAAGCCACCAAAGGACAAGTTCGACCAGCCTTCATTTCCGACCCAGGCGACCGCGTTTGAGATATTAAAATAAGTGAAGTTTCCTCCAACATAGACACTGTTTGTTTCTTGATCGCAAAGTAAAGCCGACACCGAGCCTGAAAGTCCTGACAAGGCCGTCACTTTATCCGAGTCTGGGTTGTACAATGCGACGCCTTCCGATTCGACTCCTCCCAAGCTGGTGAAGTTGCCTCCCACAAATATACCCGAGAACGTTCCGTCTTCCTTGGTGAAGGGGCACATCGCACGAATGTGGGCGTTGGATGTCGAGAGTGACGTGAGTATCCCGTTCGGGAGAGGGGTGAGAATAGACTGCGCATTGTTATTTGCGGTCGCTGCGTCCGACTGTTCGGTGTACTGATAAAGCGAGACGGCATCGAAGTCTCCGGTGAGGGCGACCTGACCCAATGGCGAAAGATCCAACTCGGGCTCTGTGACGGACTGGAAGGTCAATCCGTAAGCGGGGGTCAACTGGAGAAAATACCCAAGGCGGAGGACGGTTGACAAGCCAGCCGTCGCAGGCCCAAACAGTGAGGGAGCCCTCATTGTTTAGGTTCGCGACGACAGCCCGAAGAAAATGTGAGGCCCAAGAAGAGAAGGGGGAATTGCGAGTTGCTGGGATCCGAGAAAGGTGTTGAGAAAAATGGATGAATTTGGTTCAAAGAAAGACAATGTGCTCTAATGGGAGGCTGAGCTACCAGCACGAGGAACACGAGAAAAGGAGTGGTCGGGCCAGAAACATGAAAAGACAGATGCAGAAAAACAAAAAAGCGAGCGAAGGAGATAAGGAATGAATGAATGTGAGATCAGGCAGAGGAGCCCGATACTACAGGAATGGCCACAGCCAGGTGAAAATTAATTAACGAATGACTGGATGAAGTTGGATGGAGCGAACGAGTGACATGGCAGGCAGGGGCTTGTTTGTTCAAGTCCCGTCGTCGCTGGTGGTTTTTCAGGTACCATCATTTCCCGCCCGGTCATTGCCTGCCCTTCTGGCCCTTCTGCGCCGCGCTCCGGTTCCACCAGCACCACCGCCCACTTGCGAAAAAGCGAACCGTCGGGAGGGGCGCCCGGGATTTACATCGGTCCGGTACGTGATACGCTCCCATTACTCGTCCGCGATGGGGCCGCGGGTTGCGTATGAGATAATGAGCCACTGTTCGGTGTCCACTTGCGGTGGGGGGGCCTCAATTTACGGGCCTCACTGGTGGTCCTCACGATTACTACTGTGTACTATTTGCATACCCTCCGATCATATCGAACAAAACAAAACCAACCTTGCCAATGACTCGGAAGGCCTGGACACTAGACAGAGGGCTGGTTTGATCAAATGCAGGCCTACTACTGACTACCCTGATGAGACACCTTGCAGCCGGTGAATTTCCTATTATTAGGCGATCTGCTCCAATTATCCCAACCCCTAATATTGGACGCCATCGCAGCGACAGCCATAATGGACTGCATCGGAAGACTACTAGATGACGGTCCTCAATTTACCGCCGTCATCTCAGGATCGGTGCATCTCACCCTATTGAAGTCATCCTTACTGGCGGTGTGTCATGCAACCTTGAGTCGCATGAACATGTTACAGAAGCCTAACCTAATATACCTACAGCAATGGTACATTAAGTTTGGCTTTTTACACAATATCCCTACATGCAGCTACATCTTGTTTATGTTGATCGGCTCTGTACTAGACTCCGGCAGATATTTGCTATTCAATCCCTCAGTCATTGGTTTCTTACGCTCAGGCATTAAACAATCTCTCTTGGGCACTCACCGTGTAAATGCCCCATCGCCTCAGACTTTAATCGAAGGCTGCCCCAGATGATGTGATGCATAGGTCAGCAGGCCTGCTGCATTCTAAACATTACAATCAGAGTAGGGTATGTTTCGTGGGGTTATCTTATCCTTCTCCTTACTATGGGGCTGAATTCTCACGTCACTCCCTACGTATGGAGTACAGGTAGTTATATTGAGCGATGATGAGGTTTCACTTACATTCTGGGTGAGCGAACAGGCACCTCTATGTGCAGACAGGCAAATACTAGCTCGCTTCAGTCTATGGGGGCAGTTTATCCACTAGTTATATATGCTTGCAGAGAGGCATCGTGACCACAATATATTGATATATCAGACGAAACCTTGGACATATCAAACTGCGATTGATATGTAAGATATGTTTTCCAGAACAGGAACGGATCGCTGCAAGTTTGGATTCCAAATCAGACGACATCCGGAGTACAAGCCGGAGCTATGCCGTCATTATTCTCACTAGCCTGAGCATATCGACCACATATGATAGGCATACAGCTCTCAACCTATACATCGGCAAAAACCACGTCCTACAGCTTGACAAGTGTTTGACTATACTTCAAAGGTACTTTCGGTGGCTATAAAAGATTCACATATCAGGAGGGTCGAGCTAAGCCCTCTTAAATGAACCCATTCCATTATTATCTTCCGGTAGGGCCTGGTGAATCTGAGAAATAAGCTTTACTACTACGCAAATTAACAACAGACTCTGCGGGCCATAACGTGGGATCTGGGGTTGAATGCAGACAGCTGTCCATGTCCTGATTTATGAGTCCCCACGGGGCTTTGCTAAGTCAACAGTATTATCTGAATTGGAAATAGATCGGTAGCCCAGATGTTTGGAGGCTACCAGAATTAAGCAAGGTCGAAAGCTTCATTTCTTCGACGTGGTTAGCCCGCTTCTTATCCGTATGTGTTCTCACGCCAGGAGCACCTATCAGGTTCTTGAGTATTCCTGGTGAAGAGGACATAGTTAGTCTTGGGGCTAGGATTAAGACCCGGCCTGATTGTCGGCCGATGTGTTACAGCTTTGAGACCAGTTTGGTTTCATGGTTGGGATTTGTCATGTGCTGTCACTATGGCCCTTGCTCAATGCTTGTTTCGATAGATATGTAGTGGTGGACGGGCTCGCAATACTAGCGTAAGTACAGGGTGGTAATGCTGCTGCTCAGATATATAAAATTGTTTAGACATTTGTAGGGAGGGCGTAGGGCGACACCGGTTCAGAGACGCGACAGTGCCACAAAAGTACATTATTATAATTCTATTCGCCAAGCTAGATACTTATTTAATGCTGGGCTCGGCTATATGACTGGGATTCCATTCACCTCAACGAAAATTGGATAATGTTAAACGGTATAGATCCAATTAAGTGGTAAAACATTACACAACTTACTTTGAACTGTGATTTCTGTCTCATCTAGAGAGCCTGTAAGTTTAGTTCTCATTGGTAGCACTCACCCTGGCTCTAATATGGGCCTGCCTGGAAATATTCACATCTCTGTCGTGAATACGATGTGATACTGTGACAGTGTTGATTATGCTACTGCCTCAGGCATTAACAAAACGCTAAACCGATTCTGCAGAAGTGGCGCCAAGAGTTCTTGCCGCACCGCGTGAGAGGCAGCCGCGCGCAACGCGAGACTCCAGGAAAAAGGATATCGGAGCTCATTATCAGATAGCCTACAATTACCTTTAACTCTATAAAGCAACCCCAACTCACTACTCATCCACCTAGAATTTGTCGCCGCCTCGGAATATATTAACCTACCTTCTTCAATTCCCCTTTCACTTATTGTGACACCCCTGAGGGCTCCTCCAAGATGTGAGCTTCTTCACTTTATTTCGCTATCTTTCATACTAAACTCTCTATAGGGAGAGCTTTGATAACATCTATCTCGACCTCTCGAAGCAACATGGAAAATGCAAGCTGGCGGAATCTGGCTTAGGATGGAAGCCTTCCGGAGGAGGCGAAACGTTCACTCTCGATAGCAGCAACATTGGCGCGGCCCAATGGAGTCGAGCAGCAAAGGGTTATGAACTGAAAATCCTGTCGCGCTCATCGGGTGTCATTCAGCTCGATGGTTTCGACCAAGAGGTATGCCCTTAAACCTGTCATGGGGTGATGTCGCTATGAGAGAAAAGCCTGCCTAATCTTTGACCCTTCGACTTTAGGATTTCGAGCGGTTGAGCAAAGCGTTCAAGATCTGGTACGGCATCAACATGGAAAGCAGGGAACACGCCCTCCGGGGTTGGAACTGGGGTAAGGCAGAATTTGCAAAAGCAGAACTGTCCTTCAACGTACAAAACCGACCAGCCTTCGAAATTCCCTACTCCGAGATCTCGAACACAAACCTTGCCGGAAAGAACGAAGTCGCCGTTGAGTTTTCACTTGGTGGCGAGGGTAACGAGCCCGCAAAGTCAGCTGGTAGCACGAAGAACCGTGGTCGCAAAGCCGCTTCTGGCCCCGACGAGCTTGTTGAGATGCGATTCTACATTCCAGGAACGGCCGTGAAGACGGAGAAGGGCGTCAAGCAAGAAAATGCGGACGAAGAGAATGGTGAGAACGAGGGCGAGGAAGAAGAGGGTGGCGAAGAGCAGAATGCGGCGAACTTGTTCTATGAGACGCTCATGGACAAGGCAGAGATTGGAGATGTGGCTGGCGACACTTTCGCTACGTTCTTGGATGTTCTTCACCTCACACCCAGGTGCGTATCCCCCGAATGGTATAATCGCAGTATGTTAACATCTTGTGCAGAGGCCGATTCGATATCGATATGTACGAATCATCCTTCCGGTTACGCGGTAAGACCTATGATTACAAGATTCAGTACGCGTCTATCAAGAAGTTCTTCCTACTTCCGAAGAACGATGACACACATACATTGATCGTTCTGGGACTTGATCCTCCGCTACGACAAGGCCAGACTCGCTACCCATTCTTGGTTATGCAGTTGAAGTTGGATGAGGAAATCAGCTTGGAGCTTAATATGACCGAGTGAGTGCTTATGGATGAGTTTATGTGGTTTCCGTCTGACGCTCTCTTAGTGAACTCTTGGAAAACCGCTACAAGGATAAGTTGGAACCTCGTTACGAAGAGCCCATCCACCAGGTTGTTACAAAGATCTTCCGTGGGCTGTCAGGCAAGAAGGTCATCATGCCATCGAAGGACTTCGTCAGGTCAGTGATATGGATACTTACATCGAAAGGGTTTTCGAGTTACTGACATATTGTATAGCCATCACGGCCACAGCGGAGTTAAATGTTCCATCAAGGCCAACGAGGGTCTCCTATACTTCTTGGATAAGAGCTTGATTTTCGTTCCCAAGCCTGCCACTTACATTCAGATTGAGAACATTGCTATCATTACCATGTCTCGTGTGGGTGGTGCCATCTCGGCTAGCAGAACATTTGATATCACCGTCAGCTTGAAGGCTGGTATGGGAGAGCACCAGTTCAGCAACATCAACCGGTATGCGCATTTCTAAAGCTGAGCTATGCAAAGACGCTGACATCTTCCAGTGAGGAACAACAACCACTCGAGGAATTCTTCAAGGCGAAGAACATTCGATTCAAGAACGAAATGTCCGATGATGTATGTGGAATCCTACTGATACCTATCTATGTAGTCTGCCCTAACTGACTTGATGTACCAGGCCTCGGCTCTCATCGCGGCTGCTCTTGACAACGACGATATGGCCTCTAGTGATGACGATAACGTACGGGCCGACCGCGGCTCGGCTGATGAAGACGAAGAGTCAATTGACGAGGACTTCCAGGCCGAATCTGACTCAGATGTTGCGGAAGAGTATGATTCAGCGCACGAGAGTAGTGGCAGCGGAAGCGATGCCGAAATGGGGGATGCATCCGATGGCGGTGACGATGATGAAGACGAACCGATGTCCGATGACGAGGGCAAGCGGCCGAAAAAGAAGACCAAGGTTGGAAAATAAGCATCCCCGCCCGATTCCCGACGCGCGCCGATTGCTATGATGATAATCTCATAATGAACCGGCCGACATGACTTTCAGGATCAGGTCCTTCTCCGCTGAAGCCAAGCCGCCACGCGGCTGGGATGCCCCCCCCAATCTTTAGGCGGGGAAGTTAGACTGGTTGGATTTTTGAAGCCCTTGTAGTTGTACTCTGGAACACTGCATATCGGCATGATTAGTTTCACGAAGTGTTGGCCAATGGCATCGCATTGGTTCCCATTCGCAAATGTAGCATACATAGCTAGTTCCGTTGTCAGTTCGGTGTTGCGGCAATATGATATATCAGGCTGGTCGATCTGAACCAGCTCAATTAATTTTGCTATCGACAAGACTATTGAGGAGCTCCTGCATGTGCATATATGTCATACTAGCTCTTCGCGGAGGATGATCCGTGTTCATGACTCCAGGTTATTGTCGATCATGGAAGGTTAATTCCATATAGAAACCCTTTGGCGTCGACGGTATCTCCTCGACTGCCGCCATCGTTTTCCAGACATCAATAAATTGTCACTACAAGACAGATCATACGGCACTAGACATCCCTGGAAGTCCGCGAGGTAGGTAGATAGAACTTTCTGCACTACTTCTGTGGCTGCAGCATGGATTTGGCCGATTGCCATGGTGCTGTACGGCGAGGCCAACCTGTCTTGCATTTGGGGGCTTGCGATAGGGTGTTGGCCTCGGACAATGAAGTGCGGTGTAGGGGATGAACGGCGGGCAGCAAGCAAGCAGGTCGAGAAATCGACCGGAAGAGAGCTCTTTGTTTGGATGGTGTAGCATTACTCCGAATGTCTCTCCCTTGCTGTGTAATAATGCCGCCCCGTTCCATGCATTGTGATCGCAGATGCATAGAGGATTATTTATAGCTAAGGAATTCCTCCGTATGTAGTACTACTACTGAGCTCACCCCAGAGAAGGAAATAGTATTTAATCCAACTACCGTATCTATTTGGCGGTCATGTCCAACCTCAGTCAGAGCCCCCTATCTAACTGTGGCCTAAATTTGAGATTTATTGTTGCTTCGAAATTCCGATCGGCCTCCCGTTCTCTGTCCGAATCCTTCCCCGTAGTAACACTGGAACGCCCCTCCGGCAAGTTCCCTGGATGGTGTGACGCTTTGCTCCAGACCGTTGGCGGGCAGCAACCATTGGCTGCCTGTTAGGCCAGACGGCTTACCGGGTTTTTCCGTTCCACGGTGACCTTTTTCTTTGCTCCCCCCCCCCCCCCCCCCCTGACTGATGTCGGCCCGCCCGTTACGCGGTTACGCATCAGTAGATTCCAGTCTAGCTGGCTAGATGCTTTTCCCCAATGAGAGAGGCCCCGTGCGGTGCGAGCAAGCGCATCCTGTCTGAAACAAGGTATCTGCCGGGTCCAGCTGGAGTAAGCCTAATGGATGTATGTCGTGAGGTAGCCGGGCGGGCTTGCGTATAAATGGTCCATCGGATGATGGTTGCAGGTCCAGATGATTCGCACCGGATACACCTGACTGACTGACTGACTGGCAAGGCTAAGAATAGCCCGCCGCAGCGGATCTGTCTTGGAAAGCAAACTTGAGAGTGGTTGTCTTCGACCCAAGGACCGGTAGATCCAACACAGTGCAGCACACACGGGTCAGGAGTTCAATTTTCTAATTCACCCCCTCTGAGTGAAGTGTACAGCTCCAATCCCATCGGCCTAAAGTGGAATATCGGATGGCTCCAGGGTTCCCCACGATTTCGGCATCCTGAGTTTGGGGGCCTTCGCCTTTCTTATTAAGCCTGCGGTGGTGTCCCACCGATCTCGAGGGACTTTGAGTTTGCTTGGGGGATGCTCATTGCTTTTTCTTTTGACATGTCTGGTAGCAAAGACTGGGCTTGGTAGGCTGGGATTTGCTGGATAAATACCCAAGGGTAAATTTATCTACTACTATCTACATAGGAGTACTTTAGGTTGGGATGAAATAATCATGACCTTTGCGCCATGGTAGATCGGAAATCGAGAGCGCCATATAAGGGGAAAATAGAAAAGCAGGCCAAACAATCTGATAGAAAGAATTCATCAATCAGTACGGAGTAGTAGAAAAGTGGTGTATCTGAAGAGTGGGCGACAGAGCAGCAAGACTAAAGGATTAGCTTGGAGCCCCCCCTTTCTTTCTCGGACAGGGCCACCAAACAGTCTGGCTCCAACGACTAAACACCCCCATCACTCCGCAGGTCCCAATCGCTCTCCTCTTCCCCTGTTCCTCTGTACGTCTTCTCTTCTCTCTTTCATCGCCCGTTTTATTCCTTCGCCCCGACAATTGTTTATTTTTTCCCGTTTCGTTTCGCCTCGTCTCCTGTGCACACGCTGCTTTTTTAGCCGTGCCTTGAGAATCCTCCTTTGGTTCCAGCCATCATCGTCCCCTTTGCTCGTGATTGAACTGAACCTCACTCACCCTTTGACCGGCGAACAGTAGTATCCAGGTAGGCCCTCACTTCTCTGCATCCCACGGTCCCCAGTACGTGGAAGTGATATCGCCGTCCACGTTGCTGCTTCGAGACCCTCCCCTTGACTGCTTCCTGCAAGGACTGTGTCGCTAACGAAGAAGGTACTACCGGTTCAGGGGAACTTCCTCATCGACGCTCGCTACCTCCTGCCTCCTCGACGCTCGCTTTTCATATCACCTGCATACCCTTTACTTCCACAATGGGTAAGCTTGTCGCCCTGTGCCCTTCCTTTCATCAACCTGCGATTCGGGGACCCCTTTTCTATCTGCCATCCAATCTTCCTATCGTCTCCGATACGGGATCCTTGCGCGTTGTGATACAACCATGGCACGTTCCAGAAATCGGAGTGCGGATGGTCGCTCTCAAGGAGACTCTGAAGCTCTCGCACTTTCTCCTCAGAAAGGCTCAGAGAGAGTCAAGCGTCATTCGTACTCACCTGTCCTCGATCGCTTGTCCTCCGAAAGTGAAAGACAAGATCCTGAACCAGATGCTGACGCTGCTTCGGACAATGTAGCTACACCACCACCTGCACCCGTTGCCAATGGCACGCCTGTCTCTGCATCTCCCCCCAGCAGCAAGCCCAGTTCGCCCTTCGTTGAACGCAGTAACCCAATGGGAGCTGGAAACGCTCAGACTGTGAGCTCGAAGGACCCCAAGGCTGTTGCTCAGGCTGCTACGGATATGAAGAATGTCGTTCGCCGGAAGCTGACCGGCTACGTTGGTTTTGCCAATCTGCCCAACCAATGGCACCGTAAGAGTGTCCGCAAGGGTTTCAACTTCAATGTGATGGTGGTTGGTAAGTTTCAAGCCCACCAGAGATCTGTTCAACGGAACCTGATTAACTGATACGGCCTCTAGGTGAGTCCGGTCTCGGAAAGTCGACCCTCGTGAACACACTCTTCAACGCCTCCCTCTACCCCCCCAAGGAACGTACTGGCCCTAGCCACGACATTATCCCCAAGACCGTTTCCATTCAATCGATCAGCTCCGACATTGAAGAGAACGGTGTTCGTCTCCGTCTGACTGTGGTTGACACACCCGGATTCGGTGACTTCGTCAACAACGACGATTCGTGGCGCCCGATTGTGGAGAACATTGAACAGAGATACGATGCCTACCTCGAGGCTGAGAACAAGGTCAACCGAACCAACATTGTCGACAACCGTATCCACGCCTGTGTCTACTTCATTCAGCCTACCGGCCACTCTTTGAAGCCTCTCGATATCGAGGTTATGCGCAGATTGCACACCAAGGTCAACCTGATCCCCGTGATCGCCAAGGCTGACACCTTGACGGATGAGGAGATTGCTGCTTTCAAGCAGAGGGTATGATAAAATGCTGCGCCTCTTCGCTATTCAATGCTGACACAATCCGCTCTAGATCCTTGCCGATATCCAGCACCACTCTATTCAGATCTTCGAGGGCCCCCGCTACGAGCTTGACGACGAAGAAACTATTGCCGAGAACCAGGAGATCATGTCCAAGGTCCCCTTTGCCGTTGTTGGTGCCAATGCCGAGGTTACGACCCCCGACGGCCGTAAAGTGCGCGGCAGAAGCTACCCCTGGGGTATCATCGAGGTCGACAACGAGGAACACTGCGACTTTGTTAAGCTGCGCCAGATGCTGATCCGCACCCACATGGAAGAGCTCAAGGAACACACCAATAACTCTCTGTACGAGAACTACCGCTCCGACAAGCTTACCCAGATGGGTGTGGCCCAGGACCCAAGCGTTTTCAAGGAGGTCAACCCGGCGGTCAAGCAGGAAGAGGAACGCGCTCTCCACGAGCAGAAGCTCGCCAAGATGGAGGCGGAGATGAAGATGGTCTTCCAGCAGAAGGTCGCAGAGAAGGAAAGCAAGCTGAAACAGAGCGAAGACGAACTATACGCCCGACATCGCGAGATGAAGGACCAATTGGAACGGCAACGCCTGGAATTGGAAGAGAAGAAGACTCGCCTCGAGACCGGGAGGCCGATCGAAGAAAAGGGGAAGCGAAAGGGATTTTCTCTCCGTTAGACGAACGAACGCATGACCGGCACCCCGATGCCTTTTGCCCAGGGGCTCATACAACGGACCACCGAGGTTATGTATGGTCATCGGAGGCGCTCTGGTGGTTTTATGTTGATTTCTCCACGACTCCCGATTGGCCGCACGCTCTTTCTAACCCGCCGCCTTTTTTCTCTTGTGTTTATTTGTTCTCTCCCCCACGCTCCCTGAACCTCTACTTTCTCGTATCTGCTTCCAGTAATGACTCTATTATTTTTTTTGACCGGATGGACCGCAGAAAAAGAATGCTTCGATTTCTTTTCTCTTTCTCAGCCGAAATTAATCACCAGTTGGGGCTTGACTAGGAGATGTGCAGGAACACAAGAGCTACATCCGGCTCGGTGATCTGCTTGGATGCTCAACCAAGTGGTCTGGTCCTGGACTCGCAAGATGACGCACGGGGTGACGGCCTAGAAGACCGCTTTGGGTTCGGAATTCACTGCTTCATGTCCACTTTCGCTTCTTGTTATGTACTTTTGCCTACGCTATACCTTGTTCCCGCCGATTTCCTATTCCCCGTTGTGGCCTGGTACTCCTACTTTTATTTTATCTTCGGTACACTTTTGCCTCTTTTACACATTTTAGTGAGATCACCCACCCCTGACCATCATTTTTTCTGGACGTTTTTCCTTGTTCCATTGCAGTTTCTGTTGTGTGCTAGTTGTCAATCTTAAGTGTTATTGAAGAGCGAAGCGAGACGGACAAAAGAAAGAGAGAAAAAAGCAACCCGAAGCTAGCAGTACCTCGATTTTGATTGATTGCGTACAGCTCTAATTGTAGGGGAGGCATGGACGTAGGCATCAGCAAATGATGTGCGCAGTGATCCTCAGAAAGAGGGAAAGGGAGAGGGAGAGGACCACAACAACAGACCCGTCTAGGTAGATCCTCGAAGCAGGTGATAAGGCGATGACCGAATAGATAGACCAAGATAGGTTGAGAGATAAGCTTTGGAGCAGCCGGTGGTGTTGCATCATTGCGGGCGGCGACGTCACGGGGGGCGGAGTGCGGCTGAGCGGAGGTGAGCCTAGAAAGTACACGGTCGACTGTAGAAGACTACAGTAGCTTCCTTCAGCTGGCTTAGGAAGCACCAAAGCACCTTTAGTTCAGCCCGGCACGCTACCACACTACCACACTACCACCCTACTTACCACCACCAGCAGCTCAACCAGAACCATCGTCCAAACCCACCGCTGTCCCCGCCCAGCCTCCCTCCCAAGTGGATATCCGGCGCCGTCCACCGCTCAATTAGTTTCCCCGATTCTTCTTCGCTCCTTCTTCTCCCTTTCCCCTTCCCTCCCTTCTGCACCTGCTGTTGGCCGCTCCGTTGCAGCAGTTCCTGTCTACCCTAGTACCTTCGTCCTTATTCTCACGACATCCCGAAGCGTCCAACTTCAGTCGGTCTCTATGGCTCCTCCTCCCCCCTCAAACTTGCCTCTGCCTGACAGGCTGAAGGCTTTGGCTCAAACATTGCAGTATGTGTCGCGTGTTTCGGAATCTCTTCACGGAATGTGCTAACATAACCTGATTCTGCTCAGATTTGCTTGGTTTGCTGGGTAGGTTCCGCTCCTGCGAAATGTCTCGCTGTCCCTTTCGGCTACCTTTCATAATACACCCTGTGCAATTGCGTCTTAGCCCTTGCAAGACTGCTTTTTTTCGCCAAAGCATCTCCCGACAGCTTTCACTGCCAGACCAGGGCCCTCGCTAACGGATCACAGGCATGTGACATTGCTCCTTTCCGTACTCCGTTATGTGTTGTCCTACATCACTTTCAACTACTATTCTTCCTCGGCGCAGGCGTCCTACCGCCTTGCATTCGTGTCCGCTGCCGCGACATACGGCATTGTGGTGTACAAGGGACACATTGCCCGCGGCCGTCTCCAGGGCAGCGTCCCTAGCATCGTCTTGAAGCTGGCTGGTGATGAGAATGTTCAATATCTCGGTAAGTCATAACGTGGTATATTGCTATTGGATAGTGGAGCAACTGTGGCTGACACGAGTATCAGGTATGGCATTGGTTTGGCTCTACTCGCGCCAAATCCCGTTGGCCCTGCTGCCTTTCAGCGTTTACTCTGTATTTCATGTTGCGACTTACACTCGCGCCCAATTGATTCCCACCATCCAGGGCCCCGCCCAGGGTGCTGCCGCTCCCGGTTCGCCCACCTCTCCTAGCGCCCCCAAGCCTGCCGCTAGATCCTCCCCCCTGGGCGACACCATTGGACGGTTTGTCAAACAGTACTATGATGCCAGCATGCACCTGGTCGCCCAGCTAGAGATGTCGCTTCTCTTCCGCCTGGCCTTGGCGATTCTCACCTTCTCCAAGGGTAGCTTCGTTCTCTTCGTCATCTACCTGGCATTCTTCCGTGCTAGATACGCCCAGAGCTCCTTTGTCCAGCAGGCTGTTCGTCATTTCACTGCGAGAGTCGATGCTTCGGTGTCCCACCAGAGCACTCCCCCGGCGGTGCGCCAGGGATGGGAGAGTTTTAAGGGATTCGTGGGCCAGGCCTACGAGGCTACGGATCTCAACCGGTTGAGCGCCGAAGCTGGTGCTAAGAAGCCCCAATAAAGGGTCGACGGTACGGCTCCCGGTGGCTCCAGGATATATGACGGAATTGGTTGAATTGCCCCGTGGCCTACTTGCATGAATGGCTTTGCGGGAGCCGTTTGTTCTGGATGCCGAGCAACTAATGAACTCGACGGCCTATGGTATCATCTTTTGGTGAGAAAGGCGGCCATTTTTACGAACAATAAAGATTGTGAATAGTGGAGGAGGGTGGAGACAAGACTGGAGTAGCATCAAAGAAGGTATCTTTAATTGCTCGAGGGAGGAAGTGGGGAGTATTATGTGAAATGTCTCAGCAGCTTTCTTGTCCTTGAATACGTCTTATTGCTTATCGCTTATATATGCACAATGCGAGAGTAGAGTGCTCCACAGTACTATCTACGTAGTGGACAATGGTTAACCTTTGTTCGTGCCCGGCTGGCCTGTAGGGAGCTCGGTCAGGATCGGAGATGGCGTACCTAGTCGGGGGTTCGGCGGGTCTGATCAGACCTCCGATCCAGTTACGGCCTGGCCGTGGCTAAGCAGCAGGTCGATAGGCGGATTATTGGCTGAGGGCCTGACGAAGATCCAAGGGCAGGCCTGCCTGAGGCCGCCATTCTAACTCGGACGGCGGAGAAAACAGGAAACCGACCGAAATTTTGGGCTCCCGGGCGTTGGCTATGCCCGAAGTATCTTTTATCATCGAGAGGTGCGATGCTCACGACTCCCCCTCCAACCGTTGTTGGCACTTGATTGACCCCCGGATTCTTTCGCTTCCCCTCTCTCCGAACCCCCTTCTCTTCCGTCATCCCATTCCTCTTCGGGGTGGCGTCCTTCCGTTAACCCAACGTCGCCGCATCCCAACCCCCGTGGTCTGGCCCGCACCACGATCCGGTGGGTTGCGGTATTCTTGCAATGAGCTTGACCTCGCGTGTCCTGGGCCTGTTTACAACGACAGCGACACCTGCTTCCGATTCCCCCGCGTCGCCTGCTCAGCTACCCAACGTGGCGAGCAGCAACCATGTCTATCACGCCGCCGGTCCGATAAGCGCAACCAGCGACCATGCACAGAACTCGGCGTCCCTTCTGGACGAGGAGGAGCCTCGTCCTCCCTATCTACACGTATGTGGCCTCAAGCGACTGTTACAACTTTCGTCATGACCTGGCGGTTGAATCATTTTACTGTGCCCATGATCTGACTAATGGCTTGGATACAGGCAATGCTTGCTGGAGGCACCGGTGGTACCTGCGGTGACATGCTCATGCATTCGTTAGATACGGTCAAGACCCGGCAGCAAGGCGATCCGCACTTCCCTCCCAAATACACCTCCATGACCTCGTCCTATGCGACCATATACCGACAAGAAGGGCTTTTCCGTGGTCTGTATGGCGGAGTTACTCCGGCGCTGTTCGGTTCCTTCCCGGGAACCGTCATCTTCTTCGGTGTTTATGAGTTCACCAAACGCAAGATGCTGGATGCGGGTATAAACGCCAATGTCGCGTATCTGTCTGGGGGTAGGTAAACCCAGTGCCGTCGCTGCTCAGTTTGCGGTGCTGAACATGTCTAGGTTTCTTTGCCGACTTGGCCGCCTCCGTTGTATACGTCCCTTCAGAAGTCCTGAAGACGCGGCTGCAGCTTCAAGGACGCTACAACAACCCCCACTTCAACTCTGGATATAACTACCGCTCGACCACGGATGCGCTACGCACGATCGTCCGCCAGGAAGGATTCCGCGCGCTCTTCTACGGATACAGGGCTACGATCTACCGTGACCTTCCCTTCTCGGCCTTGCAGTTCGCATTCTACGAACAGGAACATCGGTTGGCGAAGGAATGGGTGGGCTCTCGGGATATTGGACTTGGCTTGGAGATCTTGACTGCAGTCACGGCTGGTGGAATGGCCGGTGTCATCACTTGCCCTATGGATGTCGTCAAGACCCGTATTCAGACCCAGCAGAACCCGGAGAGTTCGCCCTCATCTCATTCACCCAAGTCGACGGGCGAGCCTGCGTCGACGAAAGAGAGCCCCCGGCAGCATACCTCTTCGCACACGACGTCCAACCTGCGCACGCATTCGCGGCCCATCTCCACGTCGGGTGCTTCGACGTCGGTTGCGCCGCCGGGCGCTCCCCGTCTGGATACCTCATCGTTCCTAACCGGTCTGAGGATGATCTACCAGACCGAGGGAATCGCCGGGTGGTTCCGTGGAGTCGGACCTCGCGGTGTATGGACTAGTATCCAGAGCGGAACGATGCTGGTCATGTACCAGTACCTCTTGAAGAAACTGGAGGCCTACCAGGGGGTGGAAGACTTGAGCCCTCTCTGATTGAGTATCTGCAATTTGCATTTGGCATTCGACCCGTTCCTGGGGGGGATGCCTGGGACATATACGGAGTATGGACCGTTGTAGATAAAACCGCACCATAACCGGAGCATGAGCATTATAGACGGGTATGTTGGGAAGGCGGCCCGACGGGGGTGTGGCATGATTTTTCCTTTTCTTTTCTTTGTGTGTTTTAATTATTGGATTCCCATTCCCCTCCCGTCCGTTCCTCGTGTTGATGACGAACTGCATGATCGGGTTGCTGTCTTGTCTATACGAAGTGGTTGAGGATCATCATGTACGGTTATATTGATAGACATTAGAAGGTTGAGTAATGAGCACTGTATTATACTATACACTCAGCACTTTTGTTTCTCCTCAGGCCTGACTGGAGCTGCTTTTTCACTGAGCTCCCTACAGCATGATTGTATAGAATCACTAAAAAGTCTTTGATTACTTAATAAGTACCAGACTTCTGTTTGGATAAGAAGGTCCAGTTATGGTTGACATCTGGAGCCGGAATTTGGAATGTTTCGGCCGATCTAAGGGATGTTCTACTTCTGGCGCTGCTTTTTGCTTACTGAGGACAAATCCCCTCCTTTTACTCCAATCCTTCGCGAGACCTGATCAGTAAACTATAGAGTCAATCACCTGATGCTGAGCATATATCACAAGTATCTAAGGCGGTGTGGCGCGTGGAATACACAGTACCTTGCAGCCCCCTTCCTACTCCTTCTGCGATACCTTTAATCGGCATCACACATCATGATCCACACAATGGGAGACTCTAAACACCTAATCCGCGAGCACATCATTGATCAAATCCCAAGGATCATCTTCGAACTCCTCCAAAAGGTCGATTCAACTGCCATCCGGATCTTGGGTGATACTCCCACCAGCGTCCTCGATCCTGGGGATTATCTGAAATCTATACGTCCATTTGTATCCAAAATTCAGGATTGCGTTCATGAATCTTACCCAGAGTACAAGACGTGCTTCCTATCTGTCAACATATACCGCGGCAAACACTCCTATTTCGTGGTAGATGTCAACAATATCGACTATGACTATGAGACTGCTCATACTTGCAAGACGCCCATCCCGGTCTATGTCCTTCGCCTGTCGAAGAGAAAGCCGACGCTTCATAGAACAACAGCGCTGGATGAGCAGCTCGCTGAAACACTGGCAGATATGCACAATGGACATGGTCGGGATCCTCTGCCTTTGTTTGATGATTATAATGACCCGAATATTCAATACCGCAACCCACGCAGCCTTCAGCGTTGAGATGAGACCTTCGCTCTATAATTCTACTATACATATTCTGTTAATGTGTGGCTTCTTTTTTGGCCAATCATTTCATTCTCATTTACATCATTAACATATATCATGTTCCTTGGCTCCCCTACATACCATCGTCCATTCAAACGATTCTCCTGACAGGTTGTCAACCGCCTTGGTCCTAGAGAGAGATCAGCATGCTCACTTAAAAGACACTCCCATTCAACAACATGATACCATACCCATTCATCAAAAAAGACACCTACTGGTTCCTCTTCACGCAAACGACCCTTCGCTACTAGATGGTGTCATTTGGTGAGTGTGGATAGGACATCTGGTGGAGATGGTTTCAATGTCCGTTCTCTGTTGCGGAGTCTGTGTTGAGATCTCACAATCCCCTCGCCCCTCTTCTCCACAATTTTCTTGCTTCTGCGGAATAGTCAAGCATCTGCACCCTTGATAGAATTTCTGCTTCCAGGTGCACATCTGCTATTCGTATGAGTGTGTGTGTGTTCGATGCTACCGAGTTTCACGATGAACAGGCCTCGCTTGAATCTCGATGGTAGATGTTTTGTCAAGACAGAGATGGGTGAGTGAGGTGCACGAAGATGGAAATGAAGGACCGTGGAGGATTATCGTGTTCTGATATAAATCCAATGCATACTACTAGTACACTATGTGACTGTGCACCTGCTATCACGTGCATGGTTTCGATTGGTCGAACCCCGTCTATCTCTACCTAATAGTACCTACGTAGTACTTGGTGTAGCTCCTACCTATGTGATACATTTATCCTGGAGTTGTCTGGCGGGGGGAAGCACAGACCTTATTGAAGACCGCCGCACGGATGTTAATTAGCTAGATAGTCGCTAGTGACCTAAAAGGGAATGGGGGGAGTATAGTACTACTACTCATACCTACTAGTACACACATCACATGATCGCAGTAATCAGATCGTAGGCAACAGCAACAGCAACAACTAACATACATGCCATTCTACCCATCAGTACAGTACGGTATCTACCTAGATAAGCATATGCTATTTGCCCGAATGGCCACCCAACACTTCCCCGGTTGGCTTCGAGTGTACGTCACGTACACCCTACCAAGACAAGACATGAATCGCACACTAACATGAAAACTAACATCACCTATTAGCATCCTCCTCATTCTCACCATTGCCTCCTTCTACCCTCAACTGCGCCTTCTCTGGACGAGAAAAGATGGCTCGGGGATATCGCTCTCCTATCTATTGTTGAATTTGATCTGTGCGACAGAGCAGTTCTTGTTGGCTTTTATATACTATACCATGCCGGATGGCGAGTCGAGTATGTTTGTTGAAACGCCCAAGTCTTGGGGCGATTGGGTGAATTTGGTTCAGCTTGGTGTGGGTTGGGTGGGGATGGGTGCTGTGTGAGTACTACCTACATTGATTATCTCTTCGTTTGATTATACCTATCTATTAAGGCGAGGGGAGGGGAGAGAGGTGGGCTAATTCTGGTGAAAGATTCGGGCTGTGTCTTCTATACCCCTCCGACTCACGACTTCGGCATAAGATCGGTGTGGTAGTGGTATACATAGCATTCCTTTGCATATCGTTGATTCCGGCGATATTGCTCGTCAGTGTCGGTTCGAAAAGTGATCATCACAGTTCGGAAGATGACTTTATGTTTGCCCTTTTTACCGGTGGACATTTCGTGTTTCTGAGTCCGGTTATAACTTTATTGGGTCTATTGTCGGTGGTCTTTCAGGCGTCGAGGCTCTGGAAGGGTTCGCCCTTGCGTGCTCTCAGTCTGCCAGGCCTCAAGGCACAGGCCATTCTGTTTGCGGTTTTGGCAGTTACTTGGCCGTTTCGGGTGACATATCTGGGAAATGCCGTGTGGGATTGTTTTGGTTCTTGGTTTTCGGGGGTCAATTGGTTCATGTTTGTTGGGTGGCCGGCTGTTGATAGTGCGGTTTATGCGATCATTCAGGCGGTATTGCTGGGGTTGGCGAGGAAGTGTAATAGCGAGTTGGATGCTGTTGGAGAGAGAGAACCATTGTTGAGAAATAGGGAGTGATGATTGATTGATTTCACTAATCACGGTGAATTCAACTGTACAGAGGCTGGGACTACCACCTTGGGCCGTCCTTCGTTATCCGGAGGATCAAGAACTGCACCTCCCCAGAGACCAGGCACCGTTAACACAGTATCCATATGGTTTTCCTTCGTTCCCCAATCTCACCAGTCCAATTGGCACCTTTCGAACCGGTATCGGATTGCCTCACCTACCCGGGCATCTTCAGGCAAGTCATATAAACAAGTAAGATCGGCCCCCCAAGTCCAGGTCTCATAGGGCTGAAGAGTAATGAACTTGTCCTCTTCCATGCCTACATTGACTTGACTATCCCCCTCAAGATATGGGGGATAGCCGGGTACCATGCCAGGACTCCCATTTGTCGGTACCATGGCGATGCCAATGGACACCAAATGCATGAACCCCTTCAAAGCCGGACGGGCCAAAAGTAATCGGTCGAGCTTTATCATCTCCTGAAACCCCATGGTAAGTGACCTTATATGTCACTTGCAGGTATTCCTTCACTTTCCATGTTGAGGGTGCATCGATTTCAAGACTGAGTATCAGAACACCTGGACTATTGCTTCGCCGGAAGAAAGTCGTAAAACGCACATAAAGGGTACTTGGGAATATAGAAGACTCACACTGTCATACATGGCTCAATGATCGGGTCACCCCGTCGTCGAGGCGGTGGCATCCCTTCGAGCAGAGTGAACGAGCAACATGCACCCCTTGGAAGAATCACAGGTGTCGACTTGGACAACAGGTCCTTGCCCAGGTACGTTTCATTCGTGAACCTCCCCTCCTGGCCAAAATAGCTCATGCAACTCACCTGGTTTCAAAGGCTGGTAAAGGGCTGGACCCATCTTAATTTTCCATGACGATGAACCACTGGCACTGAGAGACCAGAAACGAGGAGTCTCGGGTTGATTGAGAGGCTGGGTATTCTCCACTTCTAACTTTTGGAAACCACCGTGATACAGACTATGAAAGAGAATAGATCCATCCGGCTAGTCAGTGCTCGGAGACCAGGAGAGTATACATGGTTGCTGACTTTCTTTCGGTTCCTCACGATCCGGTAAGCGTTTACTAATGGTTAGAGTAAAGAAATGCTTGTCTGGGTTCTCAGTCCAGAAATATCGGGGTGCATAGATGGAAACTCTCAGAGCCGGAGTAGTTGGGCTGACCCGGTCAGTGTCTTTGAAGTTCAAAGAATAATGTGTCGTACCATCGGTCTTTATTAGAGCTTACATAGGAGTCCAAATAGTTAGCTATCGATAAAGAGATGATAGTTATTATTGGGGCTGAATCGATGAGATGAAAGAGTGGAAAAAGGATGTGAAGCCTGTGAGTGAAAAGGACCCCTCTTCGTTAAATACCTCTAGTCCATTTCGTCCAGCAGTCATCTTACCAGTTTACCACCTCAGTACCCGACTAAATAATACTCAACTCCTCAACTAGGCAGGCAACTATGAATAATTCCCTTTTGGAGATAGTTTCCAGCGGGGAACGGACCCTAACCCAAACGGGGCTAGAGCACAAAGCGGTAGGCGACAAAGAAAGGCAACTCAACAAACAAGGCTAGCGGCGATGTTATTGTAAACAAAGCCGGATGCGGTCAGCCCCTCCGCCGCCTGGATTGGCCCCCTCCGCCGTGACCTCACGGCCTCCACCAGTCACTTGCCCTGTCAGGTAGACTCGCGACTCGCTGTTCTTGCTCCTCTCCATATACCTCTCCCTGTTGTCCTCCGTGGTTCTCTTGTTTACCTCGCCCAATATCCTTCCACCCTTCTCTATTTACCCACCCCCCCTGCTCTGTCCAGTTGTCGCATGGTCTACGTGGATCCGTAGCCGCGCGCATCATCATGTCTAACGGTTTATCGTATTTGCAGAAAATGCGCAAGCCCCAGCTTGCGGAATGGGCTGAAATAACTGATCTCCAGAAGTGAGTCGCTCCTCAAGTCATGGACTGCCCTGCCCACTGTTCTAACCACCGATAGCTACGGGGACTACACCAAACCAGACCTCGCCGCCGCCCTAGATCAACACCTGCAAGCCAATCAGTCTATCTTCAACAGCGATGCGCGCCTGGCAGACTACTACAAGAAGCTGTTGCAATCTCCGCGTATTTACTCGCCGACCAAGAGAATCCCCAAGGTGGAAGCATCCCCGTCGCCCTCGGAGGCACCCAGATCCGTGCGCCGGAGGGCTACCAAGGCTAAGTTGGAGGAGCGCACGCCATCGTATGATTTCCACGTTTCATCGCGTCTGGTCTCGTCCGTTGCTGACATGCGCTTAGGGAGGAATCCGAACTGCCCCAGACCCCCGGGCAGGCATTGGTGAGCATCCAGCCACCAACGATCGCATCACCAGCAATCGCGTCTCTGGTCCAAGAGCTACCGCCTTCTCCGGCTGTTGTCACTGATGCGATTGATCGTCAGACAGCCGCGTGGGGCAAAAAACTAAGCGATGCGTGGACCGGAACCGGGGTGCAGGAGCGGACCGATTCGCTCCGCTCGAACCTCAGCAGCGTCAAGGCCTTTGGGGCCTTGCTATTAGCGCTGGAGGCGATTGGCCTCTTCCAGACGACTGTCCCTTGGAACTATGTGGCCACGCTGAAGCTCCCCCAGTCCCTCCAGATCGCCGACTACCAGGTCTGGATTCCCGACCTTTTCGTTTTGCTCGAAGGCCATTTCTGGGCCGCGGTGACCTTGTGGCTGTTGACCAGCCTGGTGCTGCCACTGACTACCGCCTATTTCTTCAACATCAGCCTGCAGGCGGCGCAGCCGGGCAGTCCGACGTTTAGTGCGCGTAGTCCCTTCGCGCATACCAGTTTTGATCCTCTGAGTTTCTACATTTCCAAAGCAGTGATTGCGTATATAGTTTACGTGGAACAGTTCTCTTTCTGGAGCCTTTACCAGGGGTTGACCATTGAACGGCTGGAGGCATCCCTTCCCGGTGGAGTTTACGGCGCGGTGGCGGGATGCGCCATCGGGGTGATTGGGACTCTGTACGAGGCTATCCTGCGGAAGTAGCCTGTATATACCTGGTCAACGCGTTGCTTGGAGTATTGTGTTTGGTTACTCGCTCTGATTGAGTTGGATGCTGGTTGTTTCCGTTGACTCGGCCGACACTGCGTCGGCTGTTTCACTGGAAAGGAAATAGTACAGAAAGATGATCTAGAGAAGCGAGCGACTCTGGATAGGAATGGTTTTGGTGCTTCGGGGTACCTTGTCTTTCGTTTCGGGACTGGCGTAATAGCGGGACTGCTGATGTTTTGCTACCACGTTATGATTTACTGCTTCAGCCAGGATGGCGATGGATGGCGCTTGGGTAGTAGTTAATCTGTTTATCTTTTTACTTAGTTTTGGTAACATTAGGAATGATCATGATGCCAATAAGTGAAACGTCTATTTACTAGTACTGCTGTGTATAAATTGTCAAAAGCCCCCAAGTAGACCAAGAGAGTTATTAACTCCCTACATAAACCACCACCAACCCCCATAATATAAACAACACATTACTACTAGTAAATCAAAATAAAACCCTCTTGAACCTCCCCGCCAACTCCAACGTCATCAACACCGGCCCTCCAGCCTGCACCTCCACCTCCTCCGCCCGAATATGATTACTCGTACTCAACTGTCCCCCCATCACCGTCTCCCAATCCTCCACGTCCCATTGGAATCCCTTTGTCGTGATCCGCTCCATCCCGTGGAGGGGGATCATGCCCACGTTTTCTTCGAGGAGGTATCTCTCCTCTTTCCCGTCTTTTTCTTCTTCCCCGTTATCATTAGAAGCGGTGTTGGTGTCAGTAGATAATGGAGGGGCAGCCCTTCTCGCCCGCGGCGTCCGGATGATATTCTTCCCCGGATGTAAGATGAACGTTATACTTTCTTCGGAGATGAGGTATAGATGGCCTGTTTTTCTTTCCGTTGAATTGGATGTGGTGTGAGTGTGGGTGGAGTTAGAATATAAATGGTGGATTTGGGAGAAGGCTTGGTCGACGCGGCCGCCGAGACCGCCGAGGATTAGGATCGTGAGATTATCTTCTTCTGCTTGCTGTTGGTGATTGGTGGTGGTGGGTGGTAGGATATCATCCACATTCGCACGAATATACCGTAATGCTTTGGTAAAGTCGGTGCTGTAGTCATCTCGATGGTAGATTATATTCACGCCGTGGGATTCATAGTGCGTCCGGACTGAGGGGCGGATGGAGTCCAGGTCGCCGATTATGACGTTTGGGTGCTGGTTTCATATTATTAGGTTGAATTTTGTGTTTGGGGGGTGGCGGATATTCCGAGTTGGGGTGATTATGTCCTAGTGCAGGGCAGGGGAGAAGGGGGGATGTGTACATCAAGAGACTCCCTCCCACGGGCTTTCATCATATCATAGATATGGTTTGCGCCGCCGTCGGCGCAGACGGTTATCAGGGCTGTGTGTTTGTTAACTGTGGGTTCCGTATAGAATGGATAGGGGTATAGAGTGGGGATAGGATTATACCATGCTTTTGTAAAACATCATAGGCTTTCTCGTTGATTGGATGATTCAGAATGAGCAAAGCGAATGGCGTAGGTGGGTTGTCACCCTCGTCCCGGAAGAATTGCGTTGGGTCCCATTCCATTGTGGTGGTTGTGGTTGGGGTGGGTTTGTGGTTTAGGCTGAGTGAGATGAGGCGTCTTAAGGGTAGGGGGTTATTATATGCAGGATATAAATGGATCGAGATAGATAATAGTAGTAATTGATGGAGGGGAGGATATTGATTAGATAGCGAGGAGGGGCAGGTGGGTTTTCATGCGCTCGGAGCCGAATTCGATCCGTGGGAAATTTTGCTTCCTGCGACGGAGGTCTCGGAGGGATTCTTGTTGAGATGGTTTCAATTCCATGTGAGACACTGAGGCTACTACTGGAGGGACTCTTGTAACGGAGAGCGATGATACGATATGATGATGGCACGCGATGGATGCCCCTCACTGGCCCAACTGGACATTCAATCCATGCATGACGCTGACTAAATGCGCCCGGCTCGTCCATTGGTTCTCCCGCTTCGTATTCAACGTCCCTCATCCATGACTTTACAACTCTTCGCTCCGGCATGGTGGCTCGGAGTAAGGGCTGCGCGCGCTGTGTGCAGCGTCGAGTCAAGGTTGGTCTTGTCATCCTGAGCGTGTGCAGAAATTGCAGCTGGGGTCTGGCGGCATACTGATCGTCACTGTGATGAGAATGTCCCTGGATGTCGGAGATGCGACACGTACGGGAAACCCTGTCCTGGCTATGACCGGGGCTTCAAGTTTGTCGCAGGGAAGCCGTTTCGCTCCCGGCGTCTGAAGTCGAGCAATGGGGAATCGAATGAGAAGAGTAGGGATGTCGGAGGTACGGCCGCTGAAGGTGATGCTTCGGCGCAGGCATTGGCCTGGCCACCGTCTGTGAATTGCGCCCATCTCAATGTCGTGCGCAGTCTTGACACGCTGGTTCTCGAGCTATCAAAACCGTTTCCAGAAACGTCAGCGCATATCATCTCGCATTGGTTCAGGTTCCTTCCTGCCGTCTATGGACGGAATAGAACGCTGGATCTGACCATCCAATCGTTTGCAGCGCATCATATTGGCAGGATGGGTGATAACATGGCCGCAGTGCAGTACGCCAAGTCTGCGTATGGACAGGCACTGTGCATGCTACGGGCCTCTCTGGACAACTCTAATGAGTGTCTTTCCTCTGAAGTGTTTTGCGCAGTTCTGTTACTCTGCCTATATGAGGTGAGTTTGGCCCGCATAGGACTAGGCTTATCTCACACGACCAGCTCTTTACAAATACCAATGAAGCAGATGCCTGGATGAAACATGCCCAAGCATTGAGCCAGCTAGTACAGATTAGAGGGCCACGCTACTATCGGAACGCCTTTGATCAAGCTTTGCTCAAAGCCTCTCGCGGAATGATGGTCATGCACTCTCTCTTCTCCGGCCAGAGCTGCTTCTTAGCCTCGAGTGAATGGCATTCTGTGATGGGACAACAGTTCAACACGGGCTTCTCGGCAGAAGTTGATCGTTTGGTAGAGCAGTTTTTTGCATACTTTACCTTTGCGCCAAGTCTGATACATGAGCTCTACGATCTCAAAGAGGGAGACCATACCAGCCCGAGCACGACTGCACGAGTGTCCAACCTGCTGACCCGAACACTCGACATGCAGGACAAGCTGATTGCATGGTATGATCAATTTGCCCGCGTTGTGCCTGTTCCTTATGAGGTTCTTTCGCCATCAAATGATTATCTCTACCCAGTCGTCTTGTGGTATTCGGACGAGAATGCGGCAACGTTGTTCTGCAGCTACTACTCCTACATGCTTGTCCTGTGCGAGATACTGAGGCTTTGCGGCTACCCGGGCGAGCACGCGGCTATGCTTGTTTACTTTCGCGACCAGATTTGCAAATCGGTTGAATTCAATACCCGGGGCCTTTTAGGTCCCTATCGCATGGCCTTTGCCTTGAGAGTAGCTTATGAAGTTCCGGATCCTACAACGAAGCTTTGGATTGAAGGCTGTTTGCAAAGGCTTTCAAAGGTTTATGCTGCAGTACACCCGCAGAATTTTGGGTGATGCATAGCTGTATTGCTTTCAGACTACTGGTCGGTTTCAATGCCCACTGACAAAAATGGTTCCGCCACCGCACGAGCCAGCAATAAGATGATGACAATGAATATCTCCATGACCAGGCTCATTCCAACCATAATACCCCCGCTGCCCGTGACAGGGCTGAACTTCTGCGAGCCATACTGGCCCAGCAGAAAGTAAGCGACCCGGACTGCCAAGAACGGAAGGGTCATCACCACTATCAGGACACTATGGTATCCGGCAGTCGGGAGAACAGCACGATACCTCGATGCTAGCCAGCCGACGAGTCCAATCACAAAAACAAAGGTGGCGACAAAGACGGCTGCTCCTGCGTCCACGCAGGCCCGAATATCAATACACCCGCCGACTACCACCAGGAGTATAGATATGAAGACCGGGAAGCGAAAGAAGTGGAGCAGGAAACGAATGTGCTTGGGATATCGGGAATTTCCAGGACCGGTTCGACCAGACTGCCCGCTATACAACCTGTCAGCTTCATTCTATTCCCGGGTTCTCTCAACATACCTTCTCAGAAGCACGAGGCTCACCTCAAACAGAAGTGGCGAAAGGCCAACGCTTTGTAGAACGGTTTCTGCGATCAGCAACGACTGGCCTGGTCTGGAGTTGGCAATAACTATCGCTGACCCGGCAATCCGCACTGTGGCTGTCAGTAATACTCGTGATCAGGATCTCATACATACGCTGTGCCAGGATGCCTAGCATGCCACACCAGGAATACAGGAAACAACGGGCATAGCCCTTGCGTTTGTCATGATGCCAGTACCGCCATTCCTGCGTGAATTTCATGAGGAACTGGACGACTTGAATGACCGAGAATATGGTGATCTCAGCAATAGCAATGTAGCGCTTCTCACGAGGGATAGTGAGAACAGAATTGGCTGCCATGCTGGAACACAAGTAATGAGCGAGTTGGAAATCTTGAGTAAACGGTGGACGGACGATGTGAGCAGGGATTTTCAAGAGCCCGCCAGGCTGGCTATAAATGCTGGGCATCTTCAACCACTCCTATTCTCGCTTCTTTGCTCAAAACCTCTCATCGATGTTCTTATGCATCGCCATGGCCAAATCGGGACTGGTGGGGACATCGCGATGAATGACCACTTCGGGGTTGGCGCCATGCGGAACCGACCAATCGGGGCTGCGACATAACCAGATATTCTCGTCACATCGCTTAACGTGGTGCTTCTACCACCGTTGCCTGTCCACGGAGAATGCAGTTGGTGGCGTTTCTACCGCTTATGGCTTGCTGATGTCGAAGCCGATTCTTAGCAAAGCGTCTTGGCTGACTGGTCTTGTCTTACAGTGAATCATGGTGTGAGGACATGCGATGAGCATAGCATTACTACATCAGTAAAGGCAAATCCAGAGTTACATACACTGCAAGCAAAGACATAACGGACATAGCGACCTGTGAACAGCACTCCTTGTCCTTCCTCTACTACACAAGTGAACCTTTAATAGTCACACTCTCTCAGAATCAACATGACCCCCAGATGGTTGTACTCTGCTGCATAGGCAAACGGCGTCTTCATATAAGAATCCACCGAGTGCGCGTTGACCTCCTCCCGGCTCAGGAGCATCTCGACGATCTTTTCACTACCAGATTCGGCTGCATAGGACAGTGGCGATCGGGCAGTCTCGTCACTCCATTCGGCATCTACAGCTTGATCTTCGAGCAACAACCGCACGATGCCCTCATTCCGATACTCAGCCGCGTACGACAACGCCGTTCGTCGAAAGATGTCAAACTCATTCGGGCGGATGTTCCTGTTGGACAGTAGGGCTTTCACCAATGAGATGTCCTGTTTCTTGGCTGCCCATACCAGGGGAGTGAAGGAAAAGGCGTCCAACATGTCCCAGTTGAAATCACCCCGCTCGAGCAGCAGCTTGACCAGCCAGTGGTTTCCTCGCTGCGCCGCACATACCAGAGGAATCTTTCCGTTGTTGTTCTGCACGTTTACGTTGATGTCTTTCCTAGAGAACAGGGCCCGGGCGATGATTCTTGACCGTCCCTGGTCTTGGTCCTTGGCCATGAGGTGCAGGGCGGTGTCGCCATTCTCCTCGCGGGTGGTGAGGTGTCTCGAGAGCAGCACGTTGACGAGCCACGGTGAAGCAAACAGAAACAGACACTGCTCAATCGGCCTGCAGAACATGAACACGACAAGGATGGTTTCCAACGAGAACCGGGTCCTGGACAAGCGGGTTGCTTGGAGGAGTCAGAGCCTGTCATGATGAAGGGGATCAACTGCTCTCTGGAGCAGTCTGTAATCGTAGAGGACTTACAAGGAGGCATCGTAAAATGGTCACTGATCTCCAGAACTATGTATGAACGTGCGGAGGGATGGACTGCGGCCAAAATCGAGGGTGCTTGTCGAGCAGGCTCACAGGAACTCTGACAGAATAGAGAACCCGGGCGGGGTGTCTCTTATTTACATTCTGTTCAGCTGGGAATCAGGCAGGCGACACACCACCAGGGAGACTAGGACGAGGAGAAGGAGGATCTAATGCCGGCGAAGAGCTGGGAAGCACCAACAGCGTATCGCGCGGTAGATTGATTGGTCAATGCCGGCCCGACCAACGCTGCGTCCCGATCCGGTAGCATAGTGCCTGAGGCATGCAGCGCCAAGTGCGCTGGTTGGCCGGCCGGATGGTTTGCCTGCTTTGCTTGCTTTGCATCCGCATTTCCAACCAACTTTCTCCGTCCGATTCATGACGCTCCCCTCGCGGTGATCTCCCCTCTCGCTCGGTCTCTTCGCCATTTCATCTCCCCACTCGCCTCGCCCGCCATGTTTCGCTCCGCCCCAGAGCCCTCCTCCGCGCGCCAGCCGTCGCAGTCCGTGGCCCGGCCAGCAGACGATTGATAAGCACCACACCCGCAGACTCCAAGCCGAGGAGTTGGAAGAACACCGCTGCCCGCTTGGGTCTGGCCATTGGCGCCGTCTACTACTATAACACGAGCCCGATCTTTGCTCAAACCCCGTCCTGTACGTTTCCTCTACCCACCGCTGGGTAATTCCTCTACCACCGCCGCCGGCGCCGGAGAAAATCCCACTAACGACAACATGCAGTCTCCCTCCTCTCTCAAGCCACCTCCGACCCCGAACCAGACACCACCCTCACCCTCGACTCCGTCAAGCCCAAGATCCGTGAAGAGAAGAAGGCTTCCGCTCCCGCTCCCGCTCCCACTCCCGCCCCTCAAGATGCGCAACCCTCCTCCGACCCCTCGCTGATGTCCCCCGAGGAGCTCGAGGCCGAAGCCGGCCAGGAAGGTGCCTTTAACCCGGAGACTGGCGAGATCAACTGGGACTGCCCTTGCCTGGGCGGTATGGCCCATGGTCCTTGTGGCGAGGAGTTCAAGGCTGCTTTCAGCTGCTTCGTGTACTCGTCAGAAGAGCCGAAGGGTATTGACTGCATTGACAAGTTCCAGTACGTTCCTCTCCGTGCTTCCTAAAGTCGGAAACGTAAATGAAGAAATACATTACTAATATGGAAACCAACAGGGGCATGCAAAACTGCTTCAGACAACATCCCGATGTCTACGGTGCCGAACTCGAAGATGACGAGGCCGCTCCCGCCGCTCCCGAGACCGGAGACGAGCAGCCCGTGACGGCTGCTCAGATCGACGCCGCCCCTCTCCCCGAGGAGAAGCGCGCCCAGGCACAGGAAATCGTCGCCCAGACGAAACAGGAACTCACGGAGAAGGGCGAGCTGGCTGAGAGCGAGGTCTTGGTTCCCAAGGCTGCGCATGATGCCGAGAACTAAATCCCGCTCGGATACCCATAGAGAAAACATAGGGTTAATACATACATACAGTACCTCATACAGGATTGGCGAGAAGCTTTGGAATCAATCAAGAACATGTGATTAGCAGGGTGGAGGGAGAAGAGGATCCCGGATGTACAATCGGGCTGTGTATTACTATATGCATGATTTTGATTTGGCCGTTCAAATTCTCATATTATACCCTCATACAACACCCCCCTCCCCTCTCTACTCTGTTCTTGGACTCCTCTGCTTCCATCTTTTCTAACTTGTCTATCGTCTCTTCTCCAGTTCCGGTTCCAGCTCTGGCTTCATCTCCATTTCCATCCCCATTCCATCAAGTCTCTGTATCTAAGTAACCACCTGTACTTGTAACCTTCTTTTCTTTTCTTTTATTTCGTTTGTTTCTGCGTCCGTTTGGTTTCAATTTTGGTTTAGCATCTCGGTCAAAAGGAGGTAGAATCAATAGATAGAAATAGATGATTTTCTTTCCTTTCTTATTTTTATTTTTTAATATGGCAGCTATGAGGGCAAGTCAGAATGGTTCTTCAATTTAGTATATCTTTCTTTCGTTCTATGTCCATGAGAATGTGAAATCAGGATGAGAATGAGATAAACTAGTTGATGTTATTGCCACGTCTAGACCCATGCCCATGTCCATGCCATATTTCGGTGTTCGGTTGGACCAGATAGACAAAGATATAGCCATGGAGAGACGTGACGATTGTACACCAACTAGATAGACCCGATGGATTGGAGCCTCCTGTATGTATGTATGTGTGTGTACGGATTGGGGAAAACCGCAGAGATAGAGATCACTGTGTTGAACAGGTGATCTGGATTGTTTGACCCACATCTCTCATACTCATACCCATATCACAGAAGATAGCAAGGCATCGTTTATCTATCGGGTGATCCGATCCGATCTGATCCAATTTGTAGACAGATTGTCTGCACGTTTGGTAGATGACAGGTTAAGGGGAAAACTGTCCACCGGTGTACGTGGCTGTGACAAGCTGACTATCAAATCAAGCTCCACTGCTGGGATGAGATGAGATGACTGACGCTAGTGTTGTTTAGTCGCGAGGGGACTCGGGTGCTAGACCATCGAGTTTTGGTTGGCCATGGGTCTCATCTACCAGTTCACGTCGCTTAACTGGAGCTTGCGGGAGCGGAAAGCGGTTCGGTTTGTGCTTGCTTTGTCCATTCTGGTGTCGCGATGAGGGGATCGTTTTTCGGTGGCTGAGGGGGTTGAGTTAGTTGGGTTGTGTGGGATATAGGGCCAGGGTAGGGGGGGAGTACCCTCGGTGGTGGTCTCGGTTTCGTTGGTCATCTCGTAGTTGAGAACGAGGTTTTTGATCCGTTGTTGCTCCTCTCGGTCGGCTTGCTGCTGGCTTCTCATGGCCACTGCAAAGGTGGAATCGGAGGGTAAGTCGATTGTGCGAGTCTGGGCGGTCAGAGAGGTTTCTGGTATTGAGAGGGGGGGTATTTACCTGCTGTTTATTCCCCTTCTTGGTCATCAGAGAGAACGCCATGGTGTTCGCGATGGGTTTTGGCGTCTCCACTGGGGTGTTCTCGAGCATGGCCTCACGACCCGACCGCTTCATTGGCAAAGGTATGTCAAACACGCCCTTGCGTTCGAACTTGCGGGATTCCATGCTCTCCGCCATCATCTTCTCGAATTCGCGGTCGAACTCGGCTTCTGCCTCCGGGTCGCGCTCCTCTTCTTGTCGAGTCACAAAGATTTCTTCGTCTTCAGACTCGCTATCGCCATTTTGCTCGTTCGGACCGGACACCTGACTCGTCAGCACGACACTACTTCCGGACCCGAGATACTTACTTCCTCATCGCTGGATTCCTGGTCTTCTTCCGCTTCAGGGATCGCATCCTCCTCCAGACCTTCATCCGACGAGCTGCTTTCGGCATCATCCTCGTCAGGCTCGGCAGGTCTCTCGGCATCTTGCGTTTTGAAGTTCTGTGCCACAGCGTCACTGAAGATCTGCGTGGCCTCGGCCAGATCAGCTGCCAGCTTCCATTGAGGGCGAGTCATCGAGAAGGTGTCCTGGACGAGGAAATCAATGTCCATGGGTAGAGGATCCTTCGTGTGCATGTAGTACTGGTCGAGTTAGCGTGGTTTCACGTAGAATATAAGTGAGACCATACCTGGAAGAAAGTCAGGAAGAAATCAAGCTTCTTCTTTGCAGAGCCCCGGTCGAAACAGTGGCCACAGGTGTCGAGGAGTGTGCAGACCAGGCGAACACGAAAGAAGTCGTCCGGCAGATCGAGCGGATTGATCTTTCCGGGCATCGGCGTGCCGTTTTCTGCAAGCTGTTAGTGATCATTCGCAGGATGGCTTCGACAGACTCACCATGACCAAAGGTAACAATGCGATACAGGGTGTCAAAGATCACTGGCGAATCAATCATCTTGTAGTTGTAGAGCTCTCCCAGGTACTTGACTTCAGCGACACGCTTCTGGTTGAACTTGAAATCGTTCTGCTCCAGACCCAGCGTGATCTGCTCCAGAATGTTGTCCACGACACCAATGACAAAATCCTGGTGATACCTGTAAAGGGCGCTGACAAGGATGGCGAGAAGGTGGATATTGCCGTATTTGACCTTGACCGGCTTGCTGAAGACACGCTCCAAGATGTCGACAACCTATTCAATTAGCGACAATTCTAACCGCTCACGCAGACATACTCACATCCTGTTCTTCCCAGTGAAGCTTTCGGATCGACTTGAGAATCTTGGTGTAGTTGCGCTTGTTCATGTCCAGATAGACTATCCTCCGGATGTAAGACTCCATGGGCGTGCGCTCTTTCTGCTGAATGGCAGGTCGCGGCGGCGGGTCGACGTAGTAGACGGCATTCTCGATGATCATCCGCTCTTGCTGACCCAGATGCTGTACGGTCTTCTTCCGCCCGAGAGTCTCCAAGAAAGAGGCCATTCGTGGAGAGGTGTCGGGATTCCGGAGCAGATAACGTCCACAGTTCTCCAAGAGATGCCCGATGATTTCGATGTTCATGCGGGAAAAGTCATCCAGCGAGACCTTGAAGCAATGGAAGATGATGTGCTCCGGAACCACCCCGAACTTGGTCAGCTCCGCGAGATAACGGACATTGCTCATGCGGACCTGCCCCAAGAACTCCTTCGACTTTCGGCGCTGGAGGCTTCGGAACTCCTCATCAAGATACGTGGTAATGCCCTGAGGAATATCGGGCATATACTGCCCCAGGGTTGCAACCAGACGAGAGTACAATGGCAGAAGGTCGATACGGCCTTTGGGAACATCCGAAACCGCCTTGATGAGCCGGTTTCTCGATGCTTTCGAGTTAAGGAAGCAGAAGTCTAGCGCCAGCTGGTCAACCTGATCCTTGGTCTGCAGATCGGGCAATTTGGCAAGAAGTGCGTCCACCTGAGCTCCGACGGTCTTGCTTGCGATAGCTGTAGACTGATCGTCGGCGTCCGCGGCAGGCTTCTCCTCAGCTTGTTGGACTTGTCCAGTAGGTTCTGATTTTTCTGCTTCAGCACCTTCACCATCTGCTTTCTTCTTCCCTGCCTCATCGGTCTCGGTCTTTTTCTTCTTGCCATCCTCCAGCAGCACCGCCGGCACTTTACCCTTAAGGTCGACCAGGTTCTCGTAGAAGCGCCTTTCCTCTTCGTCCTCCCAGATGCCGGCGCCCTCGCCTTGACCACGCAAGTACTCGCTAGCCTTCACCAGGCCGATACCACCACCCGCCCCAGCATCAGCGGCCTCCTTCTCAGCCAAGGCTGGCATTTCCACGCCCAGAACCTCACACAAGACCTGGGTGTTGGCAACCAGCCTCTCCAGCGATTTGGTCTGTCTCTCAAAGTTGGCCTGGCGGTCTTCGAAGATTTCACCGCTTTTCACGTAGGCTTCGGCGTTGCGGCGGCTCTGGGCAGCCAACGCTCTCTGGTCGCGAACAACATGCGCCTTGACATCCTCCAGGTACCGGTTGAGAATGTGCTTGAACCGAAGCTGAACCTTCTCCGGCGTCAACGGAGGATCATTGTCCGCGTCAGGCATCTGCTCTGCGCCTTCGTCGCCGCCATTAACAGCCTCCGCCGGAGCACTCGTTGTAGCGCCATCAGCTTCCACAGTTTTCCTGCCCTCCTCAACCATCTTCACACCCAGCACATCCCAACTAAAGCTCTTCACGAAAAGAACGGCAAGAGGCAGATTCGAGTGATCGCGATCGTGTCCCAGAAGGTCCTTCAACACTTCCAGAGGAAACGGTTCCGGTTCCCTATCGCCATCTCTACCAGCTGACGGGGCAATTCTCTTCACCGGCCCATCAATCGCCTTACCACCAAGCCCAACAACCCCATCCTTGCCCTTCGCCCCAACATCATCCGGTTTCTCGATATCATCCAACGTCTTGAGAACCCCCACCAACCACAGCTCCGTAACTACCCTCAACAACACCCGATGCCGCGACAACCGTTCCTTCTCCTCGCGCTCGCGTACCTCCTGGCTAAGCGCCTTCAGCTGTCCCTTATCCGGTGTACTCAAGCCCCGTCCCAGCAGCCATCCGATCTGGCGAGTGAATTCCTTAGGTCCGAACCGCTGATGCAGTGCGCTTGTAATCTCGACCCCTGTAGCAATTTCCCCGGGCGACTTGAGCTTGCAGAGACCTTCGTAGCAGGCGGAGATGATTTCCGAAAGATATTTGTGTAGCGACAGCGTGCGGATATCGGTCAGGAAGGTTTGTTGGGCAGCGGCGTTGATTCCGGTGCGGAGACGCTTGATGAAAGCGGTATTTTTCTTCAGGGCTGAATCGAGAGATTTGCTGACTGGGAAGACATCTGAGTTGAGTGAAGCGGTTAGTTCTGAAGCTGAGTATTGCCATCGCCAACGCTATCGCCATCGTCATCATAAACCGTAAGGGTAGGGTATGGAATTACCACTCTCGCCAGCCCAGACTCTCTCATTCTGAAGACGGAGATCGCCTATAAAACAAAATAGAAGTTAGTGGCGTGAAAGTCAGGAGGGGAAGGGGGAGGGGGGAAGCGGAGGGACAGACGCTTTCTGTGACGATCCATTGCTTGCCGGCGTGCGGTGGGTTGACACCGCAATCCGCGCGTGGGTTTGATTTCAGCTCAACTGTCGTGGGATCCTTTCAAAGAGTGGGAAAGGAAAGCGCAGGAGTGACTTGAACGCCACATTGGTGAAGCAGGCAGGACGCGCAAATGATCTGGGCGTCAAGGGGCGATCGCTCCAAGCCTGCAAGTGGCTGACGGAAGTTGAAGTGAAGAGAGAAGCAAGAAGTGGGCCGAAGGCGGAGTGGAGGGGGATTCTTCTCCCTCTCCCCCTCATACTATCTATCTACTGGCACTACACCACAAAAACGACAGATGCTCTGTTTATATCGGTAAGAGTTGGTATTAGGCATTACAGATGTAGGCTCAGACCTGCACATTTTGATTACAGCCATAAATCAATACACATTACTACAATCTTCCTTTTCTTCCTCTCCCTCCCTCCCTCCCCTCTTTCCCTTCCTACTAGACAATCAAATCACCCATCTCAAATACACATTACCCTAATACCAGAAATAAGATCCTCACATTCTCCCAGCCTTACTCCCATCTCCATAACATCATCACTCACTCAACCCCATGTGAAGCCACCTCCGTAAACCCTCCCTCCTTCCCTTCCTCCTCTTCCAACAACCTCGCCTGCAGCGCATGTTTCCGATCCTCCTCACTCCAACTATAATGTCTCACCACGGGCGGTTTCACCGGCTTGCCCAGGATCCGGCTGCTTGGGTCCTCCGTACATGCTGGATGGTGTGCTTCTGTGGGGGTCCCGACCTCTGGGACGCTGGGGAGGGTGGTGGGGTTGGGGTTGATGTTGGTGGTCATTGTGGGTGTGGAAGATGTATGTTGGATTAGTCTGATGAGTAGAGTATATGATGGATAGATAATTAGGTAGGAGGGTAGGTTAGATATCTGTTTGTTTATTGATTGAGATTTGGTTTGTTAAGGAATTGATTGATAGCTAGAGGTAGAGGAGGATGAGGAATAGATAGGAGTTGCGCGCACTGGCTGCAGCAGATACGATGGCTTTAATATGCCTCAGGAGGCAGGCATATCATCCGTGGCGATCGAATGTGGGCTGACGTCTCAACGCGGCCAAGACGTTCAGTCCGTCTTGGTATTGGACTGGAACGAGCTGGACGTTACGAGGGATGCACAGCGGTTGACCTGAAGTCATCCAGACATCATCTAGTCGGCACGTGATGCTGGTTCCAGACCATCCGCTTCTTCTTACTGTACCGGCTGATGAACATACATGTTTGATTTTCTAGGAGGGTCGATGGCTTACTCTGAGCCTTTGGCTTAAGCACAGGATGATGCCCCAGCAACATGTAGGTATTGCTGGCATGATGGTCGATACGTAGTATTGTGGGTGTAAATAGTTGTATACCAAAGTTTGTACGGAAGTTGTTGATGTGATATTATAGTTTACACATAGTAGTAGGGAGAAGTCATATATCTTAAGAAGTCCAAACTAGCTCTGGGAATCCTTATAAGTCTCCAGAGAACACTCTTTAAAGTCTTACTGGCTGCATTCGTGAACTAACATCATGATATAAAGAGACTATTCAAACTCGCATACTTCCTCATCTGGAATCTCAGGCCAGTCACTCTTAAGTGAAGAGTATATTTGATTACGTCTCATTCCTCTATCAGTTGGGCCGTCGAAGGAGCAAAGAGAATTCATATAAAATACATTGGAAAATGACTTGTGATGTATTTCACCTGATCAAAACTTCTAGTACCGTACTAAGGCCTTCCCTTTTAGATAAGCCCTGTCCGTTTGCTGCTCTAAGTAAGTATCATCAGCATTAATACAGTGAATCTTCTACCACAGCACTTTAGAAAGCTGGCGTGCAATCCACATGAAGACTAGAAGCAGAGGCCGGACAGCTCTTAAAAGACAAAAAAAATAAGAATCACTTCCTACACCAACGGAAACGACCAATAGATCTGACCACTATAAGAAGCCACGGAAAGGCTCTATACTATACTGCATTTTACGGACCATACCATGTGCTTCTGGACTACTATGCCGACATTTAGGATTATACAACCAGCAGATGCAAAGGATCGGTAACTAGCGCCCACATACATCTTCTATCACTTATATCTCGCTAAAAGCTTCAGGGCCAAGAGAGGTTCCAATCCGGGTCTACTATACAGCCCAGAGCATTTGGACAAATGTGGCCTAACATCAATGACCGGAAGGCTTGATCGGACGTGTAGACATAATATCCAGGTTAATCAGGTTTATTAGCCAAAGAATGAAGACCAGGATCAAACATGGGACATGCCCCTAGCCAACAGTATCAGAAGTCAGAGGAAACTAGCCTTACTGGCTTCCAACCCGTGGCTCTCAAAATCACTCTGAATTATAATTTATTACCAGTATCACTAAGACACCGATACCGAGCCTCAGCAAAGACTCCTCCACCTCACCTTCTAAATAGAAGATAGTATTAATACTCAGCCCGGCATAAGAATAGATTCTTAGAAACAATGTGCTCGGACACAGAATAACCATCAGGGGATCAGCATACTCACAATAAGCATAATGCAAGGCCAAATTCGGTCTGAATCACACAGCATAGGTCTAGCTACTGGTAAAGATATATATGACAACATTAACCAGAGCCTAGAACTTGGACGCGTGCTCCGACTTGGCTTTCTAAGTCACAAGGTTTCTTTGCCAATAATCGCATCCATCGCTGCTCATCACCCCACATTTCATGTACCACCCCTCACAGAAACCCATGTAAATACTATTACAAGTGCACCCCCCTGAGTTGTTTCAATACACTGCACCACAGGGACTAGACACTTTGCATCTTATTAGAGACATCTACATCTTGTATAAATCCGTACGTGACAGATCAACAAGACAGGGCACACTCTTATCAATTTAACCCAGCTAGATGTTACAATATAGTAAGAAGCGCCACTCTCCAGCAAACCCGGACTGTATGACAACCTGACTGCCTAGATTTTATCCTGTTTCAATGATAACCAGGCTATTCAAGTTGTATCTGACCGGCTAGACCGGTTAGGTACTGGTTATCAATCTTGCCCACGTTCAGCCCTCTATACCGGGGTTCTATTCCGCGCAGCGTCTGCTATATATACTGTGTTGGTTGGGGAAATCAATAACCCGCCTCTACCTACCAGCTTCCCTTATTTCCATCAGCGGCCTGGCCTCACTGCTGAGGTCATAGATATGGTGTCCAGGCTTGCAACGCAAGCAGAAGAGACCAAAAACAAACTGGCATCATACAATAATACCGCCTTATCATCCACTCAAGGTAGCAAGAGAAGTCCAATCTGCTCGACGAAGATATGGTGCCTACTTCCTGGATAGGGTTAAACCACATATCCGAGAGTCAATCTGCCACCCATGCAACATCAACCACGTCAACCACATACCTTTCATATTCTGATAGTCAAGCATTCGATAGCTATTAGTTCATGTAGGCTTATACATACGCCTTCTCTATTGTTTTCTATTTTATTATAGATGGCCATCCTATGGTTTGTAAATAGGTGAGTCTCTTTAGATTCATATCCTCGAGGGTCCTCACCCTGTTTGTGAATAGGTTTCATAATATGCATGTTTTAAATGGTGGCACTGATTAAACTGAATGGATGGTCCTCTTCAAAGTGTTCCCAACAAAAATGACTGCGAGAGTAAGGAAATATGGATACCTAGCAAGTTATGTTTGCATGTAATTTGACAAGTCTTATGGGTGAATTATGCAGACAATGAACAGGGCAAGCAGTGGGCAAACAAGGAAGTATTAAGCATAGTAATCACCGTTTGGCCTTGGTGGCTCTTGTGGACAAGCAGACCGATCACGGAATCTTTCGGTCCTCTTGGACCTCAGGCAATTTTCCCGGGGTATGAAAGATGGTTATCTGGAGCCTTAGACGGGTTCCTGGGAGCACAAGAAAACCTAGATAATGGCATAGCGTTCTCGCGAGCACTTTTAAAAACCAAATGCAGGGAGCAGATAGAGTAACAATTCTTGTTAGGTGCTCTGCAGAGATCCCAGAAGTATAGACGCGGTCTTCCTACCACGGCCACATTGCTGATGGCTTGGAGTATATGTACAAGGTTCAGGAACAGGAGGACGATGTTTCGTGAAAATCAATAAAGACATGTACTGATACATTCCTTGGCATCAGAAACATGATTATCGAAGACGAAGCAAGCATAAGGAGAGACTAATCTATCATGTCGAATCGGACATATAAAACCCTCAGTATGTTTTGTTATACCTTACCTGTAAAGGCTTAAACTGCATGGTATCGGCTATACTGTACCATACCATTCACTTTAATACCAATACAGCGGAGGCATACGGAGTAGTGCTTCATCTGGCGGTAATCAATATCCGAAGCACAGGCTCCAGGGTTCAGTAAATTAGCAATGCGTCAGCGGAACTTCCCCACTCTTTCCTCAATACACATTGATATAAATCCTGGTTTCCATTCCTCCCTCTGCACACAAACCATTCGGCCTATTGTTTAAATCCTCCTAGGCTAATAATATTTGAACCCACTTCAGCTCCCTATTTAGACTGCCCATCCCCTCCTCCCTTCTAAAATGGAAGAATCATTGATACCCTTTCTGCAATATACAGAGAAGGACCGTCGGTGAGCTGATCCCGCTACTTAACGGAGTTCCGATCCAACCTAGTGGCCACTTGCAATAGGTCTGACGCGCCTGCCTTTTCACTCGCCCTTCAAGGTCCGGAAAAACTGTCACGCACAGCCCCATACCTATTTCATGTGACCCTACAGCGGGTGGATGAGGTTAGCCATGCCTGTGTCTTTGCATGGTACCCACAGACCCGTGGCTTTGCTACCTCAAATGGCTTCATTCTCCTTCATCGTACCGCGCAGGGCGAGCTGCACCCAGTCAAACTCCTCCCCGAGTCCACCACACTCCCCCAACTAGAACATTGGCACATCTCCCCTTACAATCGCCATAAGCCCGGTAATGTCCAGCAATATTACGACGTCATCCCCGACCGTCTTATTCCATACCTACAGACGGGCGAGCGATATGTACTCCTCTGGCCCGGTCAACAATATGGCTCATGGAATTGGACCGACAAAGTAGAAAACTCTAAAGTCGTCTTGCCAGGCGGGCCCTTCTTATCCTTCACGGTCGAGGACGATGAGAACAGGCCGATCATGCCGACGTTGATCTCCGGGTGAGAATTTTCCTTGCTCCTCTTCTGCGTGTACTACCCCAGAACACATGCTAAGCTCCCTATGCACCCATCTGTTTAGAGCGCAAGAATGCTGTCCCACTCTGATTGCAAAAATCGAATGTTGCCCTCAGGACCAGGTGGCTTTACAGGATGACCTCGTGCTTGCGACCCTTCATATGACGTACGTGCCAACAAGTGGTAGCGGCGGTAGGCCGTTTACTTTCAACACGGCAGGGTTGACCGTCGGGCTCTGGGTTTGGCGGGATCGGTGGGTCAATCTGAAAGGGCTCGTCTGCGGTGGAGGATGGGCATTCGTCGATGACCCTGATATGCAAGTCTCGCCAGGCCGCGATAAGGGCTTTGCCAGTCTGCGTCCAGGAGAAACGTGGTCCGAGGTCTTGCGGCTCCCCTTGCTCACGGACATGGAGAGCAACGATGGCGGGGAGGCTCGGGTCGGGGAGGGCATCCAGTGTCTCTTCGAGGGCCTCCAGCTCGACTGGTGGGTTTGGGAAAGTCGAGAGGACCATTTGGAGACGACAGTCACAATTCCAGCCACGGGAAGCTGGACGGTACGGGAGCCGGGCGAACAGCCCAACGTTTTTATTCCTGCGGCGCCACCCGTGGATTTGGAGATTGTATAGTCATCTGAACTTTAAGCAATTCATCCAAGAGCTCACTTCTATACATCCATTCTGGCTCAATCTGGCTCAAGCATGGCTTCATTCTGTTATCATAATATAATCTTATTAAATATATCGCATGTAATCTCATGTATAATTAAAGAAATTTTATGTTTATAACCTGTGTAGGGTGTTGTATTATTGTATTCTGCCCTGAGCTACCTAATATGGTTCTCTTGTAATTATTTAGTAAAGAAATTGAAGATCCCCTGCTTGTATAGGTAATAATAGCTTGTGAACTCAGCTAGTAAGCAACCAAGCTGTATTAGCCTCTGTCAACAACTAAAGCGCAAGCCCCTGGCTAAAGTTAATAATAAATAAGATTATTGTTCCCAGTATACACCATATCATATTTGAATAGTGTCACCATAACAGAGACATGCTTATCTCTTAGTCTAATCAGAATTCAGCATCTCTTATAAACTGATCGCCTTTCCTTCCCCGTGAGCATCAGTGGCTTGCAAGTTAAAGGCCTCTGTGACAAGCAGATTCCAATGACAACGTTCAGGCTGGACAACCGTCAGATGGAAACTCACTGCAGTATATCAGCCTGGCATGATCCGACAGGGCAACGGCCATCGACGGGCTTCTTGTTGGAAAGGTAAATAACATTATAATCACGGTAACACTGAATCAGCATATTTTCCGCAAACAGGAGCCTTTAATCAAATGACATTAACTCCACAGAAGATAACATTATCTCTAGAAACTCTAACTCAGATATAATACATACCAGAGCTCACATACACATGTAGGTCTCCGCACATTCCACATCATCCTTCCCTCTATTAAGAATTCACTAGTCTCTTCTCTCTTAAAACCATTCGCCTTGATAACAGAACAGCTCATCAACACAGAGACAGATATATATTTCCTATACTCCCTTTTCACGGATTCTGCGGTTATGAGATTCCCATTTCCAAGTAAATCATGAATACAAGACTTCAGTCCAACAAGCTCCGCGTTCTCCAGAACCACTTTCTCTTTCTCAGCTGAAACTGTCTATAACCCTACCAATATTCTATATAATAGATCTCATTTAGTTCATCAAGAACGTCGCCAACCGTATCAATAAACAAACAATATGCTAGGTAATATTCCGGAAAGGCTAACAGAAATCATAGACATATATCTACAACACCGGCACAGAGCCATACCTAGCTATTAGATATCAAAACACACGCTTTAGCTTTCAAATCAATCAGAAACAGCACAAACCCTCAAGTTTCTTACCAAGCTGTTCACAGATATCATGGATCAAGGACTGATTAGAATACCCCGCAGCAATAAAAATCCAACAAAGAAAGTAACAGAACCTGTGTCTTCCAACAGAGAAGGATTTCAATTCTCAATCCATGACGGAGATCATACTCAGCTACATCGTCCAGAGGGTCGATATCCTAGAGAGCCCCGTGCTTTAGAGCAATAATAAGCAGCGGAATACCTGAAGTGAACTGTGGTCTGTCGTTGTCTCATATTCCAATAGTACCAGATCTAAACGAGTTCGTTGGGTGAAATCAAGGTCAATCTAGTGAAAAACATGCTTGTTCTGCTGGCTGTATACTTATACTGTATATTTTGAACTTCTATACTTTTTTAGCCATTGCTGGTTGGACTCTACTGGCGGGGGGCAAGCTGAACTCCTTCGCCACTTGCGTCATGTTGAGCGGGTATTTGAGCGGGCTTGGGCAACTTTTAGTAAATGTTGTTGAATACGCACAAAATAGATGGGGGTGAGCGGCTCAGTGAGTACACATGACTGCTCAAGAACAAGGACTGAGTGCTCAGTGAGCGGTGATCCGTGATGTATATACTCACTGAGCAGACCCCCAAGCGCCCTCACTAGAGCGGCGGTATCCCGAAGAGGAAATCTACGGTCCTCGAAATCAAGTACGTATAGTTACATATGAAATGCTTTTGTTTCCTGAGAATCTGATAACATACAGTCGTGAGGTCCAAGGCGATGGGATACAAAATTCCAACCACCCATGATGGACAAAAGAAAGTTCAGTGAGAATCGTTGACGTCGCACAAGACAAGTTGGGGCGCCCACAAAAGCAAGGTCTACACCATCAGGCATGTGCAGAGACCCTGGACTCATAATGGTCAATGCGGCCAGAAGGAAACATAGTGGACATCGCACGTGGACAAACAATACATCTGGCTTGGGGACCGTTAACAGAACGCAAGAAGAAAGGAAAACCACCGTCATCATACACCTTCATACAGCAACAGAAAATCGACAGGGTATGCCCACGCCACGCTATGCGAGTCCTTAAAAGAAGAAGAAGAAGAAGAAGTAAGGGGAACGTTGCAAATATGTACTCAGAATCCAAGAAGGTCGTGTCGAGATATTAGCAGGAGTGAAGAAACGTTTTTTTTATTTATTTGGGTTTGCGCCAGAAGTATTGCTGCGAGGGTTAGCAATATCCCGATCTATCGTGGCTGAACACGTACCTTATGCTGCTTGCGGCAGTTACGGAGGCCTGGCTTTCGGAGATCGTGCACGACCGCCTCGCGTCGCATATCATCCTCATCATAGTCAGGGATATAATAATATTCGCTTTCCAAAGGCTTTCCCGCAGCGTCCTTTCCTTCCCGTGCAACCTTGCCAATGCACTTGGTGGTATCTAAGATGGCGCGGATCTCGTCTTTGGATGGGCCCTCTCTGTGATGGCTATCCCGTTTCCACAGGGTGGGAGGAAGGTTGTTCAGAATGGTTGAGAATGGCGTCGACGAGAGACGTGAAAAGGCCAATTGATTGACGGCATGGTTCTGCACGCGTTCAAAGCTCTCATCAAGGGGCTCCAGCTTGGTTGTCAGGCTTTCAACGGACTCGCTCGACTTCAACTGTTGTCTAGACTGGAGAGGGGCTGAAGCTTGGTTGCGGGGGCGTGCAGGCCGGAGAGGTGATTCATCTGCAGTAAAGGAGGCCATGCGAGGGAGGAGGTTGTCACCAAATGGCCCAAAGGAGTGGATGATAGGGTCATTTTCCTCGTCATGGTCTGAAAATTCATCTTGTCTGCTCAGGTCACTCAAGTCGCTGGACTGGGAGCTCTGGAAAATGTCCTCGACAATTGAAGACTTCCGAGTGTCTTGGGCCAGCACATCTTCAGTGTTGTTGCGACGAACAGGAGAAGCCTCATCTTCGTATACAACTACTGCATTCCGCGAGCGAGTTGGGGTATACAAGGGCGAGGATGGGGGCACCAAAGACTTGGTCGCAGGTGACGGCGAGACAGGAGACGCCAAACGCTGCCGTTCAACATTAGGGCTTTCATGAAGGCTTTGACGGGACTGTGCGGCACGTTTGGGTGTAGTCTCCTCCCAGGTCTGTTCTGAGTCGGTCGATGCATAGTCCTTCCGGTCATTTCGAGGCCATTGGACCAGCACTCGGGCGTCATGGACATCAATCATGATGTCAACATCCTTAATATCTGAAGTAAAGGTCTTCCCCTTAGCCAAGTCATATGTTTTCCCCTGACAATGCAGTTTTATTCCATTCCACCCCATGCACATGATCTCCACACTGCCTGAGTCGAAAGGATTGCTTGCTGGCTTATAGATGGCCTTGACATGTACCCGTGATATCATACGGTTGGCAGCGAGTTGGTGATGGCACGAGGCACTCGATCTCCCCATCAGGACGGGCTCTCCGCTCTCCGAGAGCATTATAGTCGGGACGTCAGACAGAGGGGCTCGTTCGGAGCTGGACGAGGCTAAGGTACGCCGGGAGGCCGTCCGAGGCAGGGTCATTCGAGGGGGGGACGAGGACATGATATGGGTCGACGAGGTCGGCACCGGCGTAGGATAAGTCGAGACAATGCCATGATTGTCGCGTGCTACACGCTTCTGTGGGCGAGGAAGTGAGGGAGAGGAGCTCAATGGCTCAAAAGCAGGCAGCAGAGACGCAGGACGCTTCACACCTGCCACAGGAGCAGCGAAACTGCTCCTTGGAGGCGAAGACTCCATGATGCTATTGGGGAGGGGGGTAGGCCGTCGTACCAGGCACGACCCAAAGACGCTCCTACACCACTCGAACAAGTGCTGGAGGGGTGGAGGAGGATTGAAATAGATCAATTGAGTTTTTAGTCGCGTCGAGACAAGGTTAGGGGAGGAATGTCTAAGTTCTATGGAGGAACAGTTCACGAGACTGGGAGGGAGTCCCGAAGGAAAGAGAGAAAGACAAAGCCCGAAGCGTGTCAAGGACGAAAGGGAAGGAACTTTGAGGCTTCACCCCCCAAGACGAGGGCCAGGAGGTTGGGAGGCACGAAATCGGGGACGACCAGGCAAAAACGAGAAACATTGAAGAAAAGGGTGAAAGGATGGTGTGTGGTGGAATGCCTGCCGGAACGGAGCGTCTTGTCCAGCGCGGAAATGCACGCTTACACCCCGAGACGCGTTCGATAGGCGCCGACGACGGTCGAGAGCTCCACCACTAGGCTCGCGCAGTTCTGACTCTTGGACCGTCCGAAACTATGTATGAGGATGGTCTGCAATTGCACCGCTCGTTTGGGAGGCTGTATGGGGTATGGGGGAGGGGGGCAGCCCTGGCGGCTCCCTGAGTTCCTGCTGGTCCCCTGCGTAAGAAAGTATACGATTCATACGGGGAGTACTTCGAACCGAGTATATCCAAGGCGCGTCTCCGCGTCTAGGAGTCATGTGCTCCGCGTTGTCCGGTACGGTCCCCGTGACTGCGCGCCTGGTCACGTGATTGGCTCCAGCCAATGACGGCTCGCTGCTTGGCCCCAACCCGCCCAGCCATGTGCCCGTTGCAGGGATTTCGTACAGATCGTGACTCGCCAACCTTATTGGGACTAGCGTGTGTGACCTCGACTGGACGGTCCCGGACGAGTTTCATGCCTTCATCTGCCCCGGATGGATGAGATACGACACCGTCGGGAGGAACGCGCCGAATTCGTATTGTTCTCGACTCCTCGACAATCCTGCGAAGAGGCAACCGGTCATCCGAATTCACCATCCATGTACAATCCTGAATTGCACACAGCTCTTCCCCGTCAGTGGGTGACAGGAACCTGGCCAAACCCCGGAACCTTAAACTCCAGTCAATGCCATCATCATCTCTCCCTCCCGATATATAATCCTCATTCAATTGCGTGTCCGCCCCCATCCCAACCACCACAATTGAAAAAAGTGGTTACTTAAAATATCTTCCTATGATGTAACCAATGTAACCAACTGGGACGGGAACAATCGTCACGAAACGAGGACCCAACCTACTTAAACCCCGGCCCAGCATTGGCATGTGAACCGATCCAACCTGATCCAGACCCTGATATGACGAAAGTGAAAATCTTTTGACAGTCACCGCGCCAGCCCATGTTTGACATGCCACTCATCTGAAATGGAAGAACTCACCGACCGATCGATGGCTCCACTTCTGCACATTCCAGGCCAGTGATATCAGATACAGTACACCGTGCATGACGCATGTGGATGCCCCTGGAATGCATGTCCACCGCCTCCCGAGTACTTTATCGGCTCTCCCGCCGGTTGCTCCCTCCCTCGGATTCACCAAGCCATCCTACAGAATACGATCGAACACGAAATGATTCAACATAATACTACTGTACAACGGTTGCTAGGTTATAACATGACAAGCAGGCCAAGCTGCTGATGGGGAATAAAGGGACAGTGCGGCTAGAAAGACGGAAATCAGGGTTACTTTGCAGTAGAGAAGGTAAGGTCTAACCACAATCGTCTCCATCAAGCGAATGGTGACGTGACAAATGTGACAGGTGCTATATTTTCCAAGTCACATAAGACAATATAGTAAGATACAGAGAAGAAAGCAAGCGCACTGGACAGAGAATCATGAACAAGACGAACAGAGGCATGAAAGTTCTTCTATTTGCAAGCCGCCTGGGTCAGTCTAGGCGTGGTCCTAAACCGAACCGAAGGGTGGCGGCTGGGTTTTACCTTAGTAGAAGACATAGGTGGCGGAGCCGGAGAGAACCTCAACCTGCAGGGAATTGACAATCAGCGAGGGAACCCAGGGAAGGAATCAGAAAACGCAAGGGGGCTTACAGTGCATCCGGAGTCGTTGGAGCCGGTCTCAGAGTAAAAAGTACCGTCCTCATACTTGCAGGATCCGCTCAGGTTATCACCCTCGATCTTCACGTTGAAGTCAAGCTTGGTGGAGGTGGTAGGGCTGTTCTGGAAGAGCGAGAGCCACTTGCCGTCGTTCTCACCGACACCCATGTTGAGAGGAGCCCAGTTGCCGTAGGGCTCGCTGCTGTTACCCCACTGGCAGCCCACCGAGGTGGACACACCCTTGGGGTTGATGTAGTACTGGGCGGAGGTGGTCTTGCCCTCCCACTTGTAGTAGGTCTCGCCGTTGGGGCAGGTCAGGGGGTGGAGTTCGCTGTTGCTGGAGACAGTGAGAGGAATGGTCTCGGACTCGGTACCTGTCATATTGGTTAATCATTGCCCTAAATCAGACATTCCTAATGACGGGTGCTTACCAGGGTAGTCAGTACGGCAAACAGCAACATCCTCGCTCAGGTTGTTCTGCACGTGAACACCGCCAACACCCTCAATGCAAAGCTTCTTGGAAAGAGCCGAGTTGGTGAGGTAAAGCTTTCCATTCTTGCACTCAATACCACCGACGGACTGGCCAGTCGAACCCTGGGCACTGGGCCACTGGGACTTCTGGTAGCCTGCAGGGCAGGCGTAGGAGCACATGGCTCCAGAAATGCAGGAGTCTCCGGTAACACCGGTCACAATGGTGTCCACGATCTCGTCAACGATGGTCACGTACTGAATACCAGACCAACCGCCGAGGCCAAGGTAGTCGAGGGCAACGGCACCGTACTCGGAGGGGAAAGTATCGCAGCTAAGCTCTCCATCGGGGAAATCCTTGCCCACGCCGGTGGCAGAGGAGGAGCTGCTGGCAGAGCTGCTCGCCGAGGCACTGGCCGAGTAAGAGTAGGCGCTGCTAGTCTTGGTGCTGGTAGTCTTGGTGCTGCTGCTGCTGCTGCTGCTGCTGCTGCTCGACGAGTGCTTGACGGCGACCTCGATGAATTCCGCAGCAGCCTCGAGGGAAGCCGTAGGGGTCGTCGTGGAAGAGACGGTCGAGGAGGACTTGCAAGCATTGGCAGGGACGCTTCCGGACCACGTCAAGGTTCCCTTGGCGATACCGGCGCAAACATCGTCCAGAGAGATGACCTTTCCGTCGAGGACATAGGTGGTAACGGTGGGACCGGGCACGGTGACGACCTCAGTCTCGGGGGAGCGCTTGTGGTGGTGGCGGTGCTGGTGGTGGTGCTGAGCAGACACCAACGATCCGGCCGTAGCCAAAGTGAGGGCGACAGTATTGAACTTCATCGTGTTTGTTGATATGGCACGGGGCGCGAGCTGTTGGGTATTGCGTCAAATGTGGACCTAATCTAGATACGGATACCATATTAGCATGCGCTTGACCGGGCGGCCTTCAATCTGGGATTCTTCATTCCATGCTGCACAGTACATGTGGATCAGGGGTTCTGCGGAGTATACCGCAGGCAACAATGATGAGGATAGAAATACTTACACCAAAGTCACAGCAAGCCAGTCGCGCGCTTCTTGCAAAAGTCTGTACACGAAAGGAAGTCCTCGTGAATGACCGAGAAGGTATATGAGAGGTTAAAGGAGTGAAGGAAGAGAAACAGGTTCCCAAAATGAGCGTGCGAGAGAGAAACTAGTTCCCTCTGGTCGGATAGGAAAATCTCGCAAAGGACAGCAGGCAAAGGGCCGGAGATGAAACGCTCTGGGGGAGGCCAGGAAAATGTGGAGGATCTCGAGGAGAAAAGGGAATCGGGAGGGAGATGAAGGAGGAGTAAAGACTAAGTCGCGCCGTGGTCCAGGGGGGGGGGGGGACTTTGGGAAGATAGTGGAAGGAGGGACAAGGAAGGCGTGCGCTGACCTTTCCAGGGGGTGAACCAAAGGAACCAAAGAGCGAAAAGCGTGGCACTTGGACCAAATGAGTGGATAGACAAAGAGGATAATCGTTGGTAGGGAATAATAATACCACGACTAATAAAAATAATAATCCTCATCAGGGGGGCCCACCGCCAACAGGCTCAACCGCTCAAAGACATCGGCGGGAGTTAGTCTGCGCTGTTAGTCTTTAGCGTTGGAAATTAGCTTGTTACAGTCTTCGTACGGCCAATACTCTGCGTCCTATTTTTGTGGCCCGAGTATAACTTTAGGACGGAGTATTCCCTACCCCAGGACGTGACTCCTCGAACAGGGGGGGGGGGGGGGGGGGAATTGGAAAGGGGAGAGTTCCTCAGATAGATCAGGGACCGACAGAATAATCGCGACGACTTTCTTACTAGAACATAGGAATGAATCGTTTTCGTGGTCAGACGATGGACAGGGGCCCCTGGGCAAAAAAGCCAAGACATCCGCCGGGGGTTGGTTTAAAAAAATCGACATCCACGGCGCAACGTGAGAACCTCTCAGCAGTGCAGCTGGAAGTGGGGTTCGACGTGCCCACTGCCCACAGCCTTTGAGAACAAGAACCGCCAGGCTCTGGAACACTGGGCCAGCAACAGCCAGCCTTGGGGCCTGCTGGCCACAGCGGTGATTTTCCCCTTTGAAACCCTTGCTTTTTTCTGTGTTTGGGGGCTTTCCTGTTCCTGAAAGTGAGCTTGGCGTTTACCGAAATTACTCTGGGCCCGCCTGGCCAATCACCGTGGATACTCGGGCACCAGCCGGTGGACATCAAACCTTCCCCCCGGTCAGGTACACCAATCAACGCCTCCCGCGCTGCCGAACCATTGCCACAATTTGGCCTACCAGGGAATGTCTCATGTCTGATCTCAATGTTGGCCTGCATTAGGAGTATTATTAGCAGTCACACTTCTGACGGGCGGTAAATGTATTTTCAGCCCGGTAAGCCTATCCTCGTCTCGGTCAGGTCTCTACTTTGTTGGACGAGGGGCCAAATCATTGACTGATAGCCGGAATGTCGGTATCCCTTATACTACCGGTGGCTGTCAAAGTCAGCCTGTCACTTCCCCTCAGGTTCGAGCCATTCTTGGTGCCTAACTTCAACCATACTCAGCCACGACGATATTCCATGTAACCAACAGGGATACCCCGCCACCAATACTTTACAGTTTACACAATACATACCATCTATGAGTCCACTTTCATAGTAGACAGTGCGCACTTGCTGCAGAATAATCAAAGATTCTACCCTGCCTACGATCTGTCTTTAAGCAGCTTTTAACGGAGCGTTTCCACCGACTAGAGCCCGTTGCGGAGCATGCAGCCGTTAATCACAACTTGCAGACCCTGGGTAACATCTCGTCATACATGTCGTCATTTCCGATGCACTCGAATAAGATGCCTTCATTCGCTATCATCTAAGATTATTGACTGACTACCGACTGACCGCTACGTGGTGATGCTATTGACATGACACACTGGACGTCTCATGCGTGGTCGCTGCTCTTCCACTCAGTCGTCATATCTAGATGCTTGTGAATATTGGGTTTCTGCCCGCCGGGTACATACGCAGGTACAGAGCACACTTAGTCCAAACGGAGATTTCATGCAACTACGTGGCAAGGAACCGGCGGCGATACAGGTGTCCTACTCTTAGCTTGACTGGTATATTCCTTCAGGTGATACATATTGAAGACGCTGATGTGTTCGATGTGAGTTGTTATCAACCAAGCTACTGGATACAGCCTTACCGCGATCTTGATCACTGGTCAGTGGCCGTACCTGCAGATCTCATCATGATAATGTTGGGTATCGTTTCAGACTGATCATTTGGCCCGAGTGTTACAATGCCCTCCAGCCTTTGCAGACGATGCTTGGTTGCTGTCAGCCTGTGCTACATCCTTCCATCAGCTCTATCAGCCCTCTATCTCCGAGGCGCTTAGCATAGCCGGTCGGTGAGATCCACCTGTGGACAAAGTGATGGTTGTCATTGGACTGTGGGATCCTATGTTTCATTACCTTTGATTGATTGTTGACAACATCGCGTACTAATGTCTGATGTGATCGGATCTATCAACCCAACCAAACAATTTCTATTGTTGTCGGCTGTTGTTGTTGTACAAGTCAGACCTGGCCAAGACCGTCATTAAACCTAGCCGTATCGCTGGCGACTCTGATTGGTCTGTTGGCCCAGGTACCTCAGGCACGCACCGGGCACTGGCAGTCGGTGAATAAACACGAGCCCGAACTCTCCCACTCTTTCAGCCCCTCTCCTCTGCCCCCGGGCCAATTCTCATTCCTGGTCATTGCGCCCACCACAGTGAGGAAAGACCCTTGGACATAGATTGCTTTGGACCCCTGAGTGAGACTGCACTGCCCTAGTCGATTCGGTTGTAAATTGACCTGAAAACACCGCGGTGGTAACCATACGGTATGGACCCGCCAGCCATGCTTATCGCCAACAGAGGGACTGAAATGGCTGAAATGCATCTCGGATGGCCCAAAGCTTGGCAACTGGAGACTCCAACCCCCAACCGGCCAAGACTGACTCATTAGTACTGGTCCCCGCGACGCCTCGACAAAGACAAGCGCAATGCTGCGCTGCTGCACTGCTGCTGCTTGCGCGGCTTTGATCCGTCGTTTACGTATGTGTACGTATGCCACTGCTTGGACAAAGGCTATCGGAAATCTTGATCGCCTCAACCAATCTGATGGTCCCTTCTCCGCATTCTGATGGGTATACGCCGATACGGAGTGGGAGCCGACAGCTCGATTGATTGAGTGGAGTGGTGCTTCTGCAATCCAACCGTCGATAACAACAGAATTACTCGGTGGCCTATAGTGGGACCCGAAGCTTTGGACCTTACGTTGATGCCACTAACGCTGAACGGACTTATTTCCACGCATTCTCGCCCGTGTCTCCCCGCCGACTAAATAGTCTCTTCAACTTGCCTCATTAACATTCGACTATTGAATTCTTAAAGAAACTAACCCCCCCAACACATCATCTATTGACGTGTACCTGGCCATGCCGCCCTCTCCGGATGAATTGCCGAGTTCAAAGGACCAGCATCTTCCGATTAGTCACTGCAGAAGCAGATGCGCGCGTGCTCCGTACGGAGGGTCCATGGGAGCGATAAAGCCGCAACTGCAACTGTTTCAGGCACGGATGTTGGTCCTATCACCGTCGAGCTGTACCTGAACCATTCCATTATCCGTTTGCCCTCCGCTGTTCCACTAGCTCTCTTCCGTCGGAGACAGCTGGTGCTGAGTTCGGCCCCATCGGCCGGACTCAAGGAGGTGACATCCTGCATCGAGTCAGTTGGTACCATCACAAAAGCTGTCGCCCCTATCCAGGAAAAGGGGCTGAGATTGAGGCCTTGGCGGGTATTGATGATACTCCACTACGGTGACTATCTGCGAGGCTTGTTTGTTATCTTTACATGATTCTACTGACTGAAGTTGACTGTTGGCTAACCTCGGTCGAGAGTTACAGCAGGCGGATGAACTATCTTCAGGTCATCATGTGCATGGCGCCATCGACTGAATTATGGTTCTGACCATCGAGATATCAAAGACTGGACTTGGCTGTTACTCCATCTTTGTTAATGTTCCCGAGACAACTCATATAAATCCCGCATCCTTTGAAGCTGTTGAAGTTGCCTTGGCGCCTTGAAATCTAGGCCTCAGTACCCGCCAAGGCATCAACAAAGGCTCCAGTACAAAGCCGTTACATGAGTGATTCTGGAACCTTGGCGGCCCACGATATCCGAGTCCATGGGACACGCAAGGGATTCTTCACACCCACTATCGGGATTCGGAACTGACCCGTGAGAATTAGGTTTACATGGAGGCTGGTGGAATCATCTGCTGCTTTCGTCAGGACTTGCACTATCACCAAGGGCAACCCAACTCTCTGTCTACTAGACAAACCAATGCCGATCCGGTTGATATGATGATTCCCTCGCCTGGCCCCGTGCAGATCAATGATGATGCAATTCGCAGCTCATCATTTCATACGATGCACAATCGACTGTGCCTTGGAAGTTGATGAGAACATGCATGAAATGAGTCCGACGTGGCAAGCCAGCCTCCCGTCAGCGAGGGCCATGCCTATCCTGCAGAACGTGGTATGAAGTGATGCGAGGGTTGGCTCAAAGTTTGCGGATCTGGTGGCAAGGCAAGGGACATTACCGGGACATTACATACAACCAGGCCTTGTATAAATCCTCGTGCTGACTTCCACGGTTCCGTATGGAACTATCGGCGATGCTCAACCCAACATTCGGTCACTGCTGACCCTATACCGGACCAACTATTTGCTTCAGACCTGTGATGTGTATAGATGTAAAATTAGATTCTTTGTAGCATCTGCCTGACCATTGATGGCTACTATGATTGTAGACTACGCTACCAAAATCAGCCATCAGCTCAGTTTAGAGCAATGTCAGTCACATGACTCTCAATTGCTGACTAAGTTCCGCCAAGCGGCAAAATCCACCCACCGCCTTCCCATGAATTTTTTTTTAGTGATAGAATTATCACGGCATTCAGCCATCGGACTCTACAACATTCCACCGCAATCGCAAAAATGGTGTCTTCTACGGCGCTGACGACCAAGGTGACCTCGGGTTCTCCCTACCAGCTCGATAAGAGCCAGGTGCGTGGATCACCCCTCACCAATGCCAATCATCCCACTGATAAGTCTAGGTCTCGCGTGCATCCTCCGCCTTGTTGCGCCACATCAAATCTAAGCAAGACGAGAAAGAGAAGACCGCCACCAAGAAGACGCTTATCGGCGACAACGACTCTGATGATGAGGACACTCCGATGCACAACGAGGCCGTGTGGCTCGTCCTGACGACCAAGAAGCACGTCGTCGACAAGAACCGTCTTAAGCCCGGCAAAATCACCATCCCCCACTCCCTCAACTCCTCTCCCTCCCTCAGCATCTGTCTTATCACTGCGGACCCCCAGCGCTCCGTCAAGAACATTGTCGCCGACCCCTCATTCCCTCAACATCTTACCTCCCGCATCGACAAGGTCATCGGGTTCTCGAAACTCAAGGATCGCTACAAGAGCTTCGAGAGCCGCCGACAATTGCTCTCCGAACACGATGTTTTCCTGGCTGATGACCGCATCATCATGCGCTTGGTCAACACCCTCGGCAAGATCTTCTACAAGTCCAGCAAGCGCCCGATTCCCGTCCGCATTGCCGAGATCGAAAAGGTCGATGGAAAGAAGGTCAAGAAGGACCCCAAGTCGAAGAACAAGGATGACGACAGCGCCTTCGCTACCCCCGCTATTGTGGCCAAGGAAATCGAGAAGGCCCTGAACTGTGCCCCGGTGCATCTGGCTCCTGCTACCACCGCTGCCATCCGCGTCGGATCGTCCAAGTTCACCGCCGAGCAGCTGGCTGAGAACGTCGATGCCGTGGTCAAGGGCCTGACCGACAAGTTCATCACCAAGGGATGGCGGAATATTAAGGCAGTTCACATCAAGGGCGCCAACACGATGGCTATGCCGATCTGGTTGGCCAGTGAGCTGTGGGTTGAGGATGCAGATGTGGTGGAGGAGACCGAGGACGCCAAGGCCATCGAGGGCAGCAAGAAGCGCAAGCAGAGCGATGGCGAGGAGGAGAAGCTGATCGAGGAGGCGCCCAAGAAGACCAAGAAGGCCAAGCCGGCCGCGGATGACGAGGAGGCCTTGTCGCTGGCCGCAAGGAAAGAGAAGCTGCAGAAGCAAAAGGCCAAGGCGCTGGAAGATGGCGCGGCCCCGGTCAAGGCCACCGGAGCGGGCAAGAAGAAGAGAAAGTCGACTTCATAATCGCATACTGGTGTTGATGTTTCATTACGGCTTGTATTCTGAATAGCAATGGGTGTCTTTCCGGCGCGGTCGTTTATTTCTTGTTCATAATCAGGGCATACCCTTGGACGAAAAGTTCTTGCATACCATCCATCCCATCTATAGAAGATCTACGCCGATATCTTAGATTCCTACACCTATCACATGGCCAAACATCACATCGAAAGACGTCGATGGAAAGCAAGAGCCTTCCTAGGCGTCCCTGATCAATCTAGGAAAGAAATTGTCTCATGCTATTCCGAAACAATGCCTCATGGCATTTCCATTTGCTAATAAGGGTGATCCTATACAGTATTGAATCGTACGAGAAGGATCATGTACATATACTACGATCATAAGGTGTCATCCCTAGATCTCTGAGCCTCCGTATCAAGCCGAAAGATGTCCAGGGCATAACCACAATCTCTTCATATATACTCCCACAGCACAGGTCCTTCTGAGACAAGCAATCAATCTTAGAAAAGGCATCTGAGGCTATCTGACAAGACAACACAATCCAACCCATACACCAGGGAAGTAGAGTAGAGATGCAGCAAACCTCTCTTCTCTTTTCCTCAATCACCCAATTCAGTGTGAATCCCCTCAAGAGTACATGGATTAGAGGATCAGCGAACAACGGAGTAGTAGACAGTGATAATTCCAGGTGAGCTATCTACCTGTCCAAATCAAGAAGCCTATATAGTACAATGTCAGCAAACATCCCACGTAAAGCCGAGCATGTGAAGATATACTTACCTGCATTTACACCTCCCCCTCAATAACCACAACCTCACCCATTTCATCCATTCATCAAACCCATAAACCAAACCTCATCATCCAACCCAACCACAATCCCGACGAACCCGTGCTATACCCGCCGGCAAACCCGCAGCGGCACCGAGGCAGCCATCAACCGAAGACTCCGACGGCTCGGCGCCGCAATCTTGGCGGCACCCGACGATAACCTTAGTTCTTCTCCTCTTCTCCGCCTCCACCACCCACTCCCCTCACCACCACCACCACCTCCTCCTCCTCCTCACGGCCTCCAGCCAAACACACAATATCACCATGCTTCTCCCTCAAGCACGATTCTCCGCTCTACGCGCCCTGCGCGCCGCCCGCACCACCCCTGCCATCCCCGCCTCCACCTCCGCGCTCGCCCGCCTCCTCTCCACCCTCGCCGTCCTCGAACAACGCGACGGAAAGCTCCAGTCCTCCTCGCTGTCCGCTATCGCCGCGGCCCAGAAACTCGGCGGCCCAGTGACGGCTTTTGTGGCGGGTGCTGGTGTCAAGGGGACTTCTGCGGCCGAGGCCGCGCAGATTAAGGGTTTGGAGAAGGTTATTGCGGTGGAGAATGAGGCTTATGAGAAGGTAATCCCTCCCCATTCTCCCCAGAGTACCAGTTATACAGAAGTGGAGGAAGAGAAAAGAAGAGAAGGGAAGGGAAGTAAGTGCTGACTAGTATGTTGGATAGGGCCTCCCCGAGAATTACGCCCCTCTGCTCGTCGAAAACATCAAGAAAGGCGAATACACCCACATTGTAGCCGGGCACTCGGCATTCGGAAAGAGTCTTTTACCTCGTGTTGCTGCGTTGTTGGATGTTCAGCAGGTGTCGGATATTACGGGCATTGAGAGCGAGGATAGTATGTTCACTTCCTTTCCCATTTCCTCTGGATAGTTGTGTTTTCTCCGGTGTCGGAGTCATCCTCTCCACCTCTACATACCACCACCACATGAGTATGTAATAAGTAAGGAAGGGTATTAACAAGAACAGCATTCGTCCGCCCCATCTACGCCGGCAACGCCATCCTAACTGTCCAATCCACCGACGCCATCAAAGTCCTCACCGTCCGCGGCACCTCCTTCCAAGACGTCACCACCACCGGCGGCAGCGCCTCCATCGAGGAAGGCTCCGACCCCAACACCCCTCTCCAAACCACATGGGTCTCCGAGGAGCTCGCTAAATCCGAGCGTCCGGACCTCGGCACCGCCTCCCGGGTAGTTTCCGGCGGCCGCGGTCTCAAGAACAAGGAGGAGTTCGAGCGTCTGATTGTTCCGTTGGCGGATACGTTGGGTGCGGCGGTGGGAGCGTCCCGCGCGGCAGTGGACTCCGGATTCGTGGATAATAGTCTGCAGGTTGGACAGACGGGCAAGAACGTCGCGCCGCAGTTGTACCTCTGTGCAGGTATTTCGGGCGCTATCCAGCATTTGGCCGGTATGAAGGATAGTAAGGTGATTGCGGCCATTAACAAGGATCCCGATGCGCCGATCTTCCAGGTTGCGGATGTGGGACTCGTGGGGGATTTGTTTGAGGCTGTGCCGGAATTGACGGAGAAGTTGAAGCAGTAGATACGATGGATTTCTTGGTGGTTGGTAGACCGTGAGGGGGGTGTATTATGTATGATGTGATTTATTTTGGCTGATGGATTAGATATACCAATGCCAATGCCAATGCCATGTTTTGTCCAGCATGTGTAGCTGTAGATGTAATAAACTCCGGATATCCTAACCTATACATCTATACATACATTACTCCATACCCTAATCATAATCATTACCCCCATCCATCCCTCACACCAACCAAACAATAAAGGTATACATCTACAATTCAGCCAACAACTCCCCCAACGAAATCGGTTTCCTCACCGCATTCGAAAACCCATCATGATACGTGACCCAGACGCGTCTCCCAGCCTTCAACGACTCATTCTGCGCCGCCGCTGCCGCGTCCCCATTCTCATCTGGCTGCGGGGTAGGTTCCTTGAGGATTCGTCCAAAGAAGTCGCGTTTTACGTTCGGTCCGTCCCGAGGTGTCTTTTTCATGCCTGTTGGATCATCGCCGGTCTTCTGAGATGATTTCTTACTGCTGGTTTTGGAGAGCGGTTCGGTGTGCGAGTGTTTGCGGATGTTTTCTTTGCGGTATTCTTGGTCGAGGACTTGGCGGATGGCGTAGCGGACGGGGGCGGCGGTCGAGGTGGAGGTAGGGTTGGGTTTGGAGAAGGTTATGAGGGTGTCTAGGGGTCTGGATGTGGAGGTGGGTTAGTATGGGGTTGGAGGTAGGGAAGAAGGAGGGGGAGGGCGTACGGTTCCATGCGATAGGCCCAGCCGTTGTGGGCGCCTGCGTTCTCGATGCGGACTTTTTCGAAGCGTACGCCGAGTCCGGCCATTACTCGGACGGCGGATTGGACGAGGGCGCGTTCGCTTTCTTTGCGGACGCTGGCGACGCTGCGCTGCTCGCCGCTGCCGCGTACCACGACTGGCTTCACGTCCGGGGATAGCATTCGGATGAGGTTCGGGATCAGGTCGATGACTAGAGAGTCGGTGGATCGGAAGAGTCGGGATAATGGGGCTGAAAATGCGGATTGGAATTCTGTGAGAATGGCTCGGTTCTGCTTTTGTGCTTCGTAGGCGGCAAAGTCGGCTCTAGGTCCTGAGAATGGGTGCTCTTCTTCGTCGTCGTCTACCGGGTCCTGAGCCTTGGCTTTGCCTTGTGCCGAGGCGAAGAGATGGTGGAATGCAACGACTGACTGGCTGAGGTAGGCGCTGAGTTCCCAGTCTTGGGCCGTGTAGACCTTGGAGGACATGGTGTCGTGGAAGTGAAGCCATTCGTAGGCTGCGTTGGGTTTCGAGAGGAATGTGTCGTCCTGGAAGGTCTGCAGCGGATACGAGGCAAAGCACTCGGCCACGCAGCGGTCGTGCTCGCCGCTGGCGTCGACCATTTCGCGCAGTCTGCCGATGGCATGGCGTTTACGCAGATCTGCAACGCCTACAGGCACTTTTTCGTCAGAGTTGGCAAACGGATCGCGGAAGGAATCGACACCAACAGGTGCGTCTGCGAACCCGGCGCCTTCGGTGAAGACTCGCTCGACGAGATCGCGTACACCACCGCGGTTCAAGCCTTTGAAGAAGGCGCTGCCGCCTGTGTTTGCGCTGAGGACCTTTTGCTCTAGCCAGCTTCGTGTTAATCGCAGCGTGGAGGGACATTCGTTTCTGAGCTTATGCGCCACCCACTCCGCTGCGACAAGGACACTGCGAATATCGCCCTCGGCCGTTCCGCTGCTCTTGACGCCGCCTTGTTTTCTGCGGGCAAGGCCCCAGGATGCTTCGCAGAGACGTCGCACGCCGTCGTTGTCGGACGGGATGCCTTCGACGGTGAAAATTCGCTTCATGCGCGAGACGACATTCTCCAGTGGTGCTTGGCGGACATGAATAATCTCTGCAACGGAGGCTGCTCGGAGTGGTCGTAGGCTGGGATGGTATACATCGTTGCAGACCATGATCAACGGACGCAGGAATCGGAAATTGTCGCCCTTCTTTTTCTTGCCCTTGTTCTGTTCGGAGGAAGCGGCCGAATTCTTCTGGTCGAGCAGGACGAGATCGATCAAGGCTTTCATGAAACCGCCTTCTCCGCTGCCTCCAGATCCGCTGGTGACTCCATCTACTTCGTCGACAACAACACAGACTGGCCGTCCGGCCTTGCGTACCTTTTCCTCACCAACCTCCACGTTCATACCCTTGACATTCTCTGTGGCGAGAGCATCCCGGATTCGGCCTTTCACCACATCCCTGCTTCGATCATCACTCGCGTTGATTTCCAGGACCTCATAGCCAGCCTGTCGAGCACAGACATGGGCCATTGTAGTCTTTCCAAGACCCGGTGGACCACACAGGAGCAAGACCTTGCGATGTGTCCGTTCCTCGTCCTCTTTGCCATTGACAGGCTTCTTCGGTTTGGACCTAGCGATATTGGGGAAAACAATCGGTTCCCAGGCTTTCAACCAGCGCAAAACAGCCCGATGCGTGCGCTCGTCTCCGATCAGTTCGGTAAACTTGCGCGCGCGGTATTTCTCAGTCCACATGGCTGCTGCCAGCTTCGCCTTTCGGTCATCAACCGGGGCTTCGATAGACTGCACGGGAGCAGGTCGTGTGGGGGATTGTGTCTCTGCTTCTTTGGCAGCTTCATCAAGGAGCTTGTGAATGTCGATACCGTAGTAACTCTTCTGAGCCTTTCCGGGGGCAGTTGTAGAGCGACCAGCAACAAGTCTTTCGTAGGAAACCCGGGTTGCAGCTTTCTTCAAAGGGACGTAGTGCGTCTTGCCCGAGCAGGTCTTTATCGGGATCGATCGAAACGGTCCGCGGGAGGGAACAAACGGGATTATCGTGGTTGGCGTAGGTTCAAGATATGGCACTGATGCTTTTGGAGTCAAATCCGGCTCCACTGTCTGGGACGGTCTCGGGATTTCAGGCAATTCAACAGGCGGTAGTTGAATAATCTCTTCCTGAACCTGAAAGTCGCTCCGCAGTTGCGCATCCTCGAAAGCATTCCATTCATCATCGTCCGCTTCGTCCAGAAACCCACCCATAATCTTCTGTCGCTTCGGTTCTGTTTGCGCTTCATTCTGTCCCTGTGCATTCTCAAACGCATCCCATTCATCATCATCTGGCTCATCCACAAAGCCTCCCAAGATCTTCTGCTTGGGCTGTGTCTCCCCAATCTTCTTCCCTTGTGCCTCCTCAAACGCATCCCACTCATCCTCATCTCCCTCATCCACAAACCCACCCATCATCTTCAACCTTTTCGGCTCAGCCTGCACCTCCTCCTCATTCTTCCTCTTCTGCACCTCCCCCTCTGATAATCCAACAATCGCCATGGTCATCCTCCCCGTTGGCGGCGAAGACGGCCAAATTCCAATCCCGCCTCCCGGAGAACCCCCGTATATGATCTCTTTCTTCGAATTTGATCTTGTCCTTATTCTCGTCGGTGTATCTGACCTCAATCAGCCAAACTCCACAATCCAATCTAGGTATGTGATAATACCAGGCCTTATATCCTCGTCACTCCGAAACACATCCGATAGATTCCACGCTCGATGCTGAATGACCACTTTCTTGCGGATATTTTCTTCGCGTTGGAGAGTTAGCGCTTCGATGTCGGAGGAGTAGGTCTCTGAGGGAAGTTCGGGGGCGTTGTCGTACTCGGAGTGGAGGTGGAGAGCTGGGTCGGAATCGAAGTCGAAGGAGAAGTCGAAGGAGGGGGGGATGGATGGAGGGGAGGTTGGTATTGGCATTAATTTTGAAGGTAAATGGGCATTGTTTGAGTGGGGAAGGGTGGGATTTTGGGTTGGTATAGGATTGATGATTGTGATAGATTGATGGGGAGATGCGACGCGTGAGGAGACGCGCGCGGACGCGCTAGGCCGGATTTGTGGTTATTGGTTCGGAGTATAGTATATCGAAGAGTATGAGTACGGAGTATGGGGTGCATTATTTGATTTATTTCTATTGAAGAAACAATTTCAAAGGAAGTATTCGACATTAGAAAAAGGAATTTCTTCATATTATTACCAACACATCAAAGTATTCTATCCCATCCTGACGCCATTATTACCCATAAAGCAAAGCCCAGCAAATGAAGCATATAACACGCGCATGACTTCGTTATTTCCAATCTATCCCATCCCAGAAGATCTTGTGTATCCAGCACTAACTGCATATGCTCATTTCAAAGACAGGTATGTAGCGAGGGTGGTGTAGTTGGTAGATGGATTGAGAGGTTTCTTCTTGGCGGCCTTGGGCGAGGCGGGTTTAGTCTCGGTGTTGTCTTTGTCTTCGGCTTCGGCGTTGTCTTTGCTGGAGAACCACTTTTTGGTTGTGGAGGTCAGGCTTTTGAGGGTTGAAGCCGTGGAGGAGACGCTGTGAGTGGAAGAGGCGGAGGAGGAGAGGGTAGTGGTGGATTTGTCGGAGGGAGACATTTTTTTGGTTTTGGTTATGGCTGTGGTTTTTGATTGTTTTGAAATATGGTTGGTGGTGGTTGGTGGTGATTGTATAGTTCACCGGTGTAGAAAGAGTAGAGTCAAATAAGACAGATGGACGATATTTTAACCAGTCAAAGTATGTACCTGATTCTGAATGTTCTGAACGAAGCTGATGATCGAATATCCAACAAACTCGAGGAAATCCATCCTCTTTATACTCACTCATCATCATCTACTCCGTCAGAATTTACTCCGAACCCACGGAGTAAAACCCTTACCAAGCCACGACCCACTCAACCACCAGTGAAAATGCTTAGCGGTCTGACAGCATCAGATGCTTGATTTAGACTTCAGGCTCGAATCAATCAGTAGATCATTGCGCCGTATGGCCCACCCACTCTGGTGGCCCGCATACCAAGGAGCGAAGGGCGTGAACGAATGTCAACACGAGGCGCTAACACACTGCGGTGTCCGCAATCGGAGTCGTCAGTGTCTGACTCAAGACAAAGCGCCAAAGTGGAAGTTAATATCTGCCTGATAATTTGTCGGAACGGGATGACGACACCCTGCGTGTAGATTTTGGGTTTGTGGTGGCTGATGCCTGGGATACGATCTAGCCTGGACTTGGAGTGGGTGGAATCGAATCGGGGTATCAAAACGGCATGGCCTCGACCGGCTTGGAAGGTAGCGTTGTTTGGGCCGCGCCGAGTCATACTGTGACTCAATGCCTGAGGTTGTAGCCTGGTTACAATGACATCGAGTCTGACATATGGCTGGCCAAGACGAGATGATCTTTGGCTGCTGGCTAAATTGTAGTCTAGATCGGGGTCCAGATTGTCCAAGTGACAGGCGGCCTGAAATCGGGTATTCCGAGTCCGATTCCAGCGTCATCTATTCCGAAGCTATGTCTCTAGTCCGAGCCAATGAGATTCACCCGGAGCGCTATAGAACATGCTACAAAGTGCTATATTATTCAGCTTGGATTCTTGCTGCCTTGATGTAGATGATTGTGATGAACTGCCTAATGAGCAATTTCTCTTTCATTTTCTTTTCTTTTCTTTTCTCTCCTTTTCTCCAACTCGAATTCTTTCGAGGACCTCTTACAACCGTTCGTTTCGGACACTACATCGAGTTGGTATACAGAGAAGACCAGGACTTACACTACCATTAGATCACGAGAAGAGTATCGTTTGTCGACAGTAGAGGGCATATTCAAGTAATTATCTAATCCCAAACCCAACGACTCGCATTCATTATTCTCGGTTACTTTGCCCCCCGTCGACACATGCGTGTTGACACTGAAGAGCGCTCAAGACAAATCGGAGTCATCGGCATTGATCTACTGGGCTCCTTAATACTGTACATGCTGTCTTTTCACCTACCATTTACTCTCATCTAGAAAAGCGTTGAGTATGAACGATTTGGAGGTTAGGTGTACCCACCAACTCACATACTCCAACCAAAAATGGCCAGTGAATCAAGATCCGCAGATACACCAAGTACCCTGGGGACACACAAAAGACTCTTCTTCCCATCTTCGAGTATATCCAACGATAACATGGTCTGAGCGACAACTGAAGATCCAGCCATCCCACTGCAGCAGAATCTTTCGGTGGGGCAGATGTGACGCTAAGCCCTCCTGGGATAAATTTTACGCCCGTTATTACATTACGTTATGTTCACCCGAAGTATACATCACCCACACCAGATTAAAGGGAAGACTCAATATCATGACATGGAGGATTCTATACGCCTGTATTGAGCTGGTTTCCCGACTACCCGAGATGCATTGCCTGGCCACCCTTCCAGGAATTCTTAAACGCTCTGCTGACCCTTTCAAGCTGTTCTAATATCCTTCCCAGAACAAGAGATAAGAGAAATGGCACGCGCTGTTTGGACAAAGCTTCTTTCGGACGCCTCTATCCAGCGGTCGTCGCAGACCTTGGCTGTTGTTGCTGGAAATGCATATCTATATGGCGGGGAGCTGCAGCCCCGTGAACCGGTGGACTCTACCGTGTATCGCATAGCTGTTGATTGTGGTGAGCATCGTATCTAGGATCAGAAAAGGAACTGCTAACGTCTGCAGATGGTGCGACAGACAGCCGGATATCCCCAATGATCGCCCCCAGCACCCCCCAACCCCGAGTTGGAGCTGCATCTACTGCCATCAAGAAGAGAGTCTACGTATTCTCAGGCCGCGGCGGAACAGCCATGACCCCGATCGAAGAAGCAGGATCCTTTTGGGTTCTTGATCCAACTACCAGTGGTTGGTCCCAGGTCACCCCTGCCGATCCCCAGTCCCCGTACCCCGTCGGACGCAGTTACCATGCTATCGCCAACGATGGCAAAGACACAATCTTCCTCCACGCCGGATGTCCCGAGAAAGGCCGATTGTCTGACCTGTGGGCGTTCAATATCGTGACTCGTCAGTGGCGGGAATTGGCCCCCGCCCCGAAGCCAGAAAGAGGCGGTACGTCGATTGCATATGCCGAGGGAAAGATCTTCCGGATGAATGGATTTGATGGCAATAAAGAACAAGGAGGGGCGTTGGACGTGTTTGATCCGGAGAAGAACGTTTGGAATACTATTATGTATTCGGCGGATGGGATCTCAGGTCCAAGTGCGCGCAGTGTGAGCTGCCTATTATCGCTCAAGGTATCGGGCAGGCCAAGTCTGGTTACCATGTTTGGGGAGCATGATCCGAGTAGTCTGGGGCACCAAGGAGCGGGTAAGATGCTTGCAGACGCGTGGATCTTCGATATTGAGAGCCAAAAGTGGACAAAGATCGAGGCCAATAGTGAGGAGGCACCTCAAGGACGCGGTTGGTTCGACGCGGATGTGATCCCGGGTGCATCACAGCCTAGCATTCTTGTTCACGGTGGACTCGCCGAGTCGAATGATCGTCTAGGCGACGTATGGCGGCTTGATCTTTGATGACCTGTGCTGGAAATAATACTCTGCCGCATTCTTGCGTACACGGCCTCTTGTACATGCCTCAGCAGATGATTACGGAAGTAGAGCCTTTTCAATGAAATGCTGCCCATCCTTGTTATAGCCGCAGACCACCAGGTCGACGGGACGATCGATATCCAGCAGCCTTAGTTTCGATATGTTTTCTGCAACTGCCGGCAAAGCAAAAGTTACTGCTCGGCCTTTCTCCCAGTAGGCTGCAACTTGGGCTATAATCCGCTTGACGAGATGTGTGGGGTAGTGGGAGTGCTCATAGCCTTTACCGCCCATCTCAAGCTGCGGCCAGAGGGAATCTAAGATGTGGTGAAAGAGTCCATCAGAGCGGCAGGCGAATGCAAGTTGGAGCAGCACCTCCGCCACACTAAGCGTGTATACATCCGACGTATTCGACATACTGAAACTCAGTTGACCGGCAATCTGACACATATGGTGCGCCATACTGGCAATATTTGCAGAATACGCCTGTGTCCCTTCCGATGAAGGACCCGCATTAGCTTCAACGAAAGTGATTTCACAGAGCATGTAATACAAGGCGTTCATGGCGTCTCGATGGGTCAGAAATCTTTCAGCAAAAGGCGAATTATGTTCGAACAGTCGATCAGTGTGGAGTCTGGATCGCCACACCTTTAATCTCTCTTTTTGAACCTCCAACAAGGCCAGTAAATGTGAGCCTCGCACACAGCCTTCCCGGGCTTCTGTAAGCTCATCCGGTACACATTGTCTTCCGAGCATTTTGTTCATGATCTCATACGCGAGACTACCAATCTCACTCGACAGCTCAGATATCTGGCAACTACCTGCTACACTGCGAAAAACAACCAATTTTGTCCTAATCTCCAGCGTCTTGATGAGAATGTCGTAGATAAGGTCGTCCACATTCATGTCCAATATGCAGCGAAGGTATAGATGCTCAGAAACATCTGGAAGGGGATTCGGTCCAATGATACTAGCCCCGGCTCCTTCAAGAATCAGCGCAGGTGGCTTTGCCGGTCGATGGGATGCACATAGACGGTACCACATTTGCAACGATCCAGCCCCATCGCGTGAGTCCATTATGCTCGCTCGATTCTGCAAAACAAAGCGCACAGAATTTTCGACCGCCAGCCGGAAGCTCAAATGATCCGTCGACGCATGGTGGTAATAGGCGAGGAGAACATGTGCAGCAAGGAGTGCAGGTGCCTGATGCTTGACCTCCTCTTGCTTGGCATTGGAGTAGTACTCGAGCGCCATATTGTGATATTTTTGGGCATTATTGTGATGCAAAATATTCACAAGTGGGCTGAACACAGATCGCCGACTGTTACCGACCAGAGTGCGGCTCTGAACTCGCGCATTCAGCATCGAGAGATTTGATGCCGAGATGCAGAGCACAGCGTACCAAAGACAAGGAGACTGAAGGAATCCGTCTGCGATTTGTGGAGACACTGCAGGCAGAAGATGGCGCACATGTTCCCGGAAATGGTTGAGGTAGCCGAACTCAAGATTGTCCTCAGAGCTAAGCGCGGCTGGTATCGCTGCATTTGAAATCTTGCCGAGGGAGTTGGAGATATTAACGCCAATTATGCATGGCCCGTTGGAAGGATAATCTAATCGGGATGCAGCATGCTGCAGAAACTGCACCCCGTTGGTATTGCGGAAGCTAAAGTTGACTCCATAGCTGCATTCTAGGGACAGCCTCGCGCAGGCCCGGCAGCTGGGCTTTGCCTCGTCGCACTGTAGATATTAGCAGAATGCCAAATCAACGCCGGAAGTACTGACCCGCTTGCCTCTTCTGCGGCATGGTCTGCAGCCTGAATGGCTCCGACGGATCTTCAACTGCATTGGCATATTGTCTGATGCCAGTGGCGATGATGAGGGGAAAAAAGGAAGCCGGCTCAAAATTACGCCCGTAGGTACCGTAATCTGCCTTACTGCCGGGAATCTCACCCCGACGTTTCCACTCCCCAACATGGTTCCTAGCTGGGCAGTTCGCTGACAGAAGAGCTGACTGGCCTATGCCGGTTCCCACGAAATCTATTTAGTCACCTACGATAAGGCAGAAGTAGACAGATTCCAAATTTGACTGGTGTGGAGTCAGATACGAGACAACTCGCTTGCGAATGGCGACCATCTTCCCGATAGAAGTCATCAAGTGACTGACACCGGTAATCCAATCGTGGGTTCGAACATAGACTCCCCCAGCATCCACACATGCAGAGAATGTCAGCTTTTTCATAGCTAGCTGATCTCAATCCAGCAAACTTCTATATAAGAGCCACTGATCGTCCGACCTGGAGGCACCCTCACAACATCTTATTAGTCCAAAGTCCAACTCTACATACAATCGCCATCATGATCGCCTATATTGGCAAGCTCAATTATCATCCTTATTCTCAGGATGAGATATTCAGTGTGATCTTTGACACCAACTTGCTCCCGGGCGACGGAGTAGCCGTTATTCACCAATGGACCAGGGATGCGTCTGGCAAGTCGAAGAGTAATTCGTTTGCCCAGGGCACAGTGAGCAAGTCTGTCATATTGAGCCCTGGGGAGAAGGAGGTCGAGTTTCTCTATAACGAGAGGGAAACCTATTATTATTGGTATGGTTCAATGTCCATTTCCAGGTTAGTCAAGTACTAATGTGAGCGCTGGTTAGGTACAAGGGAAGGCAGACGGGCGCGAAACTGATCCTGTCGATGTATAACAAGGGGGGAGAGGAGGTTGCGAAGAACATCGAGCTTGTGGCGGTTTATTATTGATCTGTATGACCTGGAATATGATCTGGACTTGTGTGGGCAGTGTGCAACTACGTTGAGGTGTCCAAAACATTCTAGGAGGTCTGATGTATGCCTGTCTATCTGCTTTCTGTGCGCAGCTATCAGGCATTCTTGGTATGAGTACGACTTCTTCCATGCCATAGTGTGAATGCAGTAGTCTCAGAAAATCGTCCCTAGTCGTATATTGAGAATTGTCGTCAATGCAAAGACCCAACGTAGGAGGAAAACAGACCAATAGGAAGCGATCAATGCGGAACCTCACTCTTCATGTTCAGCCTTGCAAGTGGATATTACGTGTCACATCTCAAGGATAGACATAACAAGACAGATCTGAAGTCTGAACCACGAAGGTGAGAAAACTTTCCACTAACTTACACCTGGGATAGCTTTTACTCAAGGACTAATTCTTCATTCTAAGCTTTAGTTGCCTACCATACTCCATTGTATCTCTCCGCTTACCGTCATCAACATGAAAATGTATCATGATGAAGTCGCGGGGGATCGATGTGACGAAATACTCGAAGAGTTCAAGAAGAAAGTCTCAACCCCTGATACCCTATGGGCAGTTACGGAGTTCATGAAAAGCCATCGACCCAATACGAAAGCAACAGACCGCACTCGGTCTGCCGGATTGGGAGCATTCAATCTGTGTTTCCGGATGGAGTTCGAGGATGGCTTTGCGTCCATGCTACGCTTTCCTTGCCCTGGTCTGGTCGCGTTTCCAGAAGAAAAGGTCCGAAATGAAGTCGCCGTAATGACCTATCTCAAAAAACATACCAAGATCCCTGTGCCCAGTGTCATCAGCTACGGCATGAAAGACCAGAGCCCCGGTGGTCTGGGCCCGTTTATCTTGATGGAGTACATTGCAAACGCGTCAAATCTTACAACGCAATCATGAGCACCAGGCTATGAGAGAAGCGACCGCCCGTTCTTGGACCCTAATATTGAGGAGTCCAAGCTCGAGTTCTTCTACGGCCAAGTAGCCGACATCTTATTAGAGCTCTCTAAGCCCTCCTTCAAGCGGATTGGTTCCGTGGCAATTGGCACATGGGATATCGATAGCAGACCGTTGACTATGAACATGAATGAGCTGGTTCAATTGGGGAATTTCCCTCCTATCATGCTCCCGCAGACTTCATTTTCAACGGCTTCATCTTATTACAAGAGTCTAGCTCAGACCGAGTTCTTGCACTTACAGACCCAACGCAATGATGCCATTGACTCTAAAGAAGACTGTCATTCAAAGTATATCACAAAGAAACCCATCTGTAACTTGACAGAAGACTCCCGACTCGTTGATACCAGTAATGATACTGGTCCATTCAAGCTCTTCTGCGACGATTTTCGTCCCTCCAATATCTTGCTCGACGACAATATGAAGATCATTACAGTCATTGATTGAGAGTTCACTTACGTCGCACCCCGCGAGTATACCTTCTCTCCACCCTGGTGGCTACTATTGGAAATGCCCGAGGAATGGCCACAAGGTATCATGGATTGGAAAGAGAAATACCAACCCCGACTCGAGACATTTCTTCGAGTGCTCAAGGATCGCGAGGATGTCGCCATAGCGAGTGGCGATCTGGAAGAAGATCAACGGCTTTCGGAGAAGATGTGGGAGAGTTGGATTAGTGGAGACTTTTGGGTTCATTATGGTTTACGGAAGAGCTGGGCCTTTGATGCTGTTTGGCCGATGATGGATGCGAGGCTCTTCGGTGGGGATACATCTCTTGAGAATTGTGAGAAACTTCTGTGTACGGAGAGGCTGGACATCTTGAGCGCTGAAGATAAGAAAGCGATGGAGCCTTTTGCTCAGGGAAAGCTGAAACAAATGAAGCTACCGAGGTTGGATACTTGGGACAAGATTTAGAGTATTCCTGTTTTCAATTATCAACTTCGAAATAGCCCCATATACTCATATACTGAACGGCTGAATTGCTACAATTCAAAGTCACCATATGTTGGAGTGGCTACTAAGGCGATTCAACCGTGTAGAATGAGATGGATGATGATCTAGCTAGGGGCCTCGTAGGCCATCTATATGGACTAACTAGCGGTGTAGGGAGGAGTGTCACGTGACCCTACGTTGCCTACCGGCGTGGGAGCCCATCGGGGATCCCAACACCATACACTAGTTATACCCATATGAAAGAGACTTGGTTCGATGATCAGTTACTAAATTAAACATCACTATATCCGTAAGTGAGCTCCCAGAACTCTGCCCTTATCGCCGCAATGTCCTCTTCAAGCCCCCGGAGCGCCTCATCCACCGGGGCCATTACCTCCTCTTGCCGGTTCATGGCCTCAATGGCCTCATTCCGTGCCTCGATGGCCTCTTCTAATTCCACTAAGCTTTCTTTGTATCTATCTTCAGCTTTAAAGAATCTCACCATCACCTCCTGCTTCTTCTGCTTCTTGGCAGCTTCCTCCTCCTGCGGGATCTACGTGTATCATCATCAGGCACAAATTAGAATAGTGGATAATAATGAGAAAGAGATTGTGTACACTAACCTTCTCGGGCCCTGGCCCGGCCACCATCTGCTGTTGTTCCTGCTGCTGCTGTTGCTCTTCCTGCTATAAGTGTCAGTTGGCATCTGAAACAAGTGATCTCTAGTGCTTGATGCTGTAGTGAGATGATAGTATGTAGTGTTATATACTCAGCTTGACACTGCTGTTGTCTTTTGGAAAGAGGGTAATGAGAGATGTGAAGTACTGGGAAAGATACTAACCTGGCTTTCGACTAGAGCGGTTCAGTCACTATGGTTCGACAGATGTGAGGTGAGTTGGGCTTTCTTGGGGTGAGGTACTCACAAGGCATGTCTGTGGCTGCGGTTGTGGTTGTGGTAGTGGTGGTAGTAGTGGTGTGGTAGTGGGTGTGTGGTGATAGTGAGTAGAAATCGGGATCAGCGTCCACAGCATGGGTTGGTGCCGTTGAAGGAAGTGGGGGTGGTCAATACGAATTCCTGAGTGGTTAGATTACCTGTAAGGTGCGAATTTCCAGCCAGACACCAAATATCTCGATTGGTTAATTGGTATTGAAAAGATTCCCTAAAAAGAAAGAACTATGACTGATATCATTGAAGGGGATATTACTTGGGATATACTTGAGTATTCTCCTAGGCGAGAAGATCCTCTGAGAAACATACTCTGGGAGAAAGATTCTCTTGCGGGACATCTACTGGGGGAGATCCTGACACCTTCTTATGATGAGATTCAGCTGGCAATGCAACTTCTTCATACGGTGTCTTTAGCTCCCCTATGTTCACCCACGAGATCAGAGAAATAAGATAGCTCTACATGAACTAGGATCATGACCAAGATATACTACTTTAATATTGGCTCCATTACAACGTACTTTTATATCTAAATTTCTCTTCACATATGTAATTTCTTATAACTCTGTCTGACTATCACGCTATTATACCTATACCGTAGATCATATGTCAAAGCTACTAGTACCACGTAGACCAAAAAGGATATATCCCTCTTGACTACTGGCATAGGAGGTAGAAAATGTACTGTGAATCAACAACATATACTAAAGAAATAGTATAATAATTTTGGATAAAAGAATTGATGCAGGGATCAAGATCCAATAGTGTGAAAGCAAGTCACGTGTAGACGAGGGTGGTAGTCCCCCCATTTGGAATACAAGACCGCCTCCCCCTTAGCCAACAATGGATGGTTAAATTCATTGCGCCAGTATGTCTGAAACGCGACGGCTTCTTCGACGCGAGATTACCTATGAATCCGCCAAGGAGAAAGAGGAAAATGTCCTCCACCAATTAGGATACTACCATCAACAAGCTAGGTTCTTCGCTCATCTTGATGCCCACCGTTCTTGGATTGAGTCAGTTGTTGCGCATCATCTGGGATTGAAATCCAGAACAGAATGCCGCGTGGTGGAAACAGACCACTGGCTACATGGAAGTTTCAATGTTTGCATTCCGATCATTCTTGGGGACTGCATCCAAAACTGTGTCCTCGTCCGACTTCCATTGCCCTACCGGATCGGTGAAGCCTTTCAGCCTGGAAATAGTGATGAAAAAGTCAGATGTGAGGCAGGTACATATGCGTGGCTACAAGAAAATTGCCCGGATGTACCTATTCCACGGCTGTATGGCTTTGCCTTATCCACCGGCGAAAGTGTAAGTTTATAGCTGATTCATATCTTTGTTGGGACTAACTTGATGTAGTTCACTCGAGTTGAACACTTGCCATTTCTCACTCGGTGGATGTATAAACTCCGTCATCAAATTTTGAAGTGGCTGGGACAGTCTACGCCTACCAACTATATTCGCCACCAAAATGCCACCCTTGGCAATCCCATCGGCACTGGCTATCTCTTGATTGAGTACATTGAGAAAACACAAGGGGCGATGCTTTCCAACACATGGACTATTGTTCAGCATGATTCACGACTACGGACGAATCTTTTCCAGGATCTCTCTCGGATTCTTTTGAAAATTGGCCGGATACCCATTCCTAAAATCGGTTCCTTTCTCATTGACAATGACGGGTTTTTGAAGTTAGCAAACCGACCGCTGTCTATTGAAATCCAGCAAATGGAGAATGAAAATATCCCCACTGGAATTTGCCTTAATTATACCTATACAACCGTCGATTCTTACCTGATGGATCTTCTTACACTTCATGATAATCGGTTTCGGTACCAGCCAAACGCCGTGCAAAACCTTGGCGATTGCGTCTATCAGTTATCTACACTCACCGCAATGCGAAGTGTCTTTCAGTCATTTTTCCAAAGGGACTTTTGCCGCGGCCCGTTTGTGTTCACTTTGACAGACCTTCATCAAAGCAACATATTCGTTGATTCTGACTGGCATATAACCTGCCTAGTGGATTTGGAATGGCATGTTCTCGGCCAATCGAGATGATGAACACACCCTACTGGCTTACAAACAGGGGAGTGGATGAGATAGATCCCACAGAATATAACGAGATCAGAACAGAATTCATGCGCAATCTGGCGATGGAGGAAGAAAGCATCGGTCCTGTTGCTTTCGCAGGCAATAGCCACCCGCCATCACTGTCTGATGTCATGAATCAAACGTGGACTACGGGGACGTTCTGGTATACGTTAGCTCTTTCCAGCCCCTCTGGTCTATTTACGATTTTCAAAGACCAAATCCGGCCACTCTTCTGCACAGACTATATCGAAGAGTTCAACTTGATTATGCCTTTTTTTTGGAGAAGGAATGTGGGATATATTGTAGGTTGTAAGCTCTCAGATAAGGAACAGTACGACAAAAGCCTTCGGCAGGCTTTCGTGAATGATTCGGATTAGATGAACATTTAACGAGCTATTTCTTGTCCATAACCCCTTTGTTTTCGTTTGCTCCGTGGAATTCAGCTTGGATCGCTTCGCCTGGAGCCCTCATTCCTCTCTCGACATTATATCCCTCCCTTTTTTTCTGGCTGCTTGACCTGAAGAACTGAGTTGTTGGAGGGTTCGGACATCAGCTTGGACTCCAACTATAGCCTCTTCCCCTTTCGCCTGATGGATATTGATGATTCGACCCCTCTTTTCATCCAAATAACGCAGACACAATTGCACTATAACCTTGCAGCAGAGACTAGTCGAGTTGAACTTTTGTCGAAATCAATCTCGTTTTCAAGAACAATCCTGGTTCCTGAGATCGGTTGATGAATCCCATGGAAACCAAGAATTACTCTTCTGTACCAGAGAATATTGCACAAGATAGGATGAAGCATGCAGAAGAGGCTATGAAACCTGTCTGTCGTTGATCAAATCGTTCTTGTTATTTGAATCTAACCAGTTTGGAAGCAATTTCGAGGAAGTAAAAGTGAATATCGAAGACAGTTGTTTGTTTGATAACGTTCGCCTTTTTGAGAGCGCTCTCATGGAGCGATTGGTACTGTTCCAATTACCGGCATCATCGAAGGTCTTGCACCTCTGGAATGTGTCAATAGGAAGTGTGATTGCCGTTTATCTTGATTGCAAAATGCTCATTCATAATCTCTACTATAGCGCACTGCTAACGTGATATGTGGCCTGTGATCAATCAATCTACCATTGTTTTACCTGTTTTGCTTACGCCTGAGCACATTGCTAGATATCCGGGAGAAGGACTAGAGTGCACCTGATAAGACTTTATCACTGTGAGTTTTGAGACTGTACTTGCTTTGATAGTAGCAAGATGATATGAAACTTGGCTCGGACCCGAAGTGCTATATCCACGCTAATCATATAACTATTTTCCGGGTATCAGTATATTGCTCCTTCATATGTTAGTATGACCTCGATACTCCGTGGCTGGTTGCTACGGTTCAAAATCTACCATAAGGAGTTATAGCCTTTGTCAAGGGAACTCAACCCTGTTGTAAATTTTTAGATAAAAAGAATTCAGTGGATTCCATAAAGAACCTCCTTCATCTCTTCCTCAATGGCCGCCAACACCTCCTCCCAATTTTGGACCTGTTCATCGGCCTCCTCCTTTGTTTCCTTAATCTCTTCCCTTCTGATCTTCTCAGCGCGGATTTCATCTACCGCAACAAACATTCTATCTCTCAATTCGCGCCACCTCTTCTCCTCAGCGGCGGCCTCGGTCTACATACATGATCATCAGTCAGAAGTTACAGTAGTGGCTGGTAACGAGAAAGAAATGGTATACACTGACATCGTTGGGCCCCGGGCCGGCCCCCTTCTGCTGCTGTTCCTGCTGCTGCTCTTCCTGCTATAAGTGTCAGTTGACATCGAAACAAGTGATTCGCAAGTGAGATGATAGTATTTAATGTTGTATAATCGGTCGGATATTATTATGGTTCTTTGGAAACGAGGAGAATGGGTGAAATGGAGTATTGAGGGGGATACTATACTGACCTTGGCTTCGGCTAGAAAGACTCGGTTAGTATCGTTCGGCATACGTGAGGTGGATTGGGCCTTTTTGGGGTGGAAGGTACTTACCAGGCATGTCTGCGGTTGTGGTTGTGGTTGTGGTAGTGATAGTAGAGTGATAGTAGTAGTAATAGTAGCAGTAGTAGTAGCAGTGGAAGTGGTAGTGGTAGTGGTAGTGGTAGTGGTAGTGGGTGTGGGTGTGGGTGTGTGGTGACGGTGAGTAGAAATCGGGATCAAGTTATCCAGGAGGTGAGCGTTTGACCAAAGAGCAAACATGACTCCTGAGGCTTCCTTCCTCTACTCCACTACAAGCATCCGATCACCAGATTCTCGCTTGTGGTTTCTTTCTTTGTAAGAAGTCAATTCATCTTCTCGTCTACTGGCTAACTCTTTGGAATCATCATCTTGATAGCTAGGCACGAGACCACCAAGTCACTTTCATATCCTCCCTGATGATTCACACTTCATAGCGTTCACTGTCTTTGCTTTAGCTGCTTCTTCTTCACAATCATGACTGTGCATTTACTCGAATTCCTAACGATCCAGGAGGTGAAGTAATACTAGTTCACTTGTATATATTGATTTGAGTCTTCCATGGCTTGTCGAGGATTCCTTCTCGCAGTCAGTATCCCTTCTACTTTCTCTTCCTTCTATCTCTCTAATCATCTCGCCTTGAACAGCATACTATCTCAATCATTGATATTCCTGGCCATCATGTCAAACTCACATACACATCGGAAATCAGCTGCCTTTGGTCACGTTGTGGCTCAAACTTCAAAAGTCATCTCAGTAATACCCAAGAAGGGGAAAGGGTAAGGGACATTTATACATAACAACTTGTACTGAGCCGCCTTGGCTAAAAACGAATATTCTTGAATTAATTTAGCGGACTCAGTTCCTGCAACAGATCGCTACCCAAGGCGGGTCAAGGTAAGTGACGTTGACTCAGCTGCAACCGATAATAATCGCCTGGCTAATAATGGGATGCGTCTTCCAGGAAACAGTCTAAGAAGAAAAAGAGATACAGTCGCATTCCACCTTTACCTACCTGGCAGCAGATGACTGCGTAGACTCTGGGCCTGCGGGCCTCTATAGCCGGTGCGGTCTCGTCTCCCACAGCTGCGGGCGCCTTTTTTATAGGAAAGATGAAGAAGAAGGAGAAGGAGAAGAAGACAAACAACAAAAAGAGAGCCGGCATGATGAGAAGTGCCTGCGGGTGCCCTTTACATCGACACCGGTGTGTTTCCTTTTCCCATAGATGCAGGTGCATTCCCTTTGGGCAGAGTCCGCATGCTCTTTTCATGCAAATGGACGCGGGTCCCTTTTTTTATGAGCCACCCATTCGTTCGAGAACGGGCGCGAGTGCTCTTTTTTATGGGCTGGGGGAAGCCCTCGTTTCAAACAGACTCGGTGCATTTGTCTTGACAAAGAGACGCAGATGCCTTTCTTGATTTATGGGCGCGGGTAATCTTTTTTATCACTGAGATGGTGTGATGTTGTGGTGGATCTTGTTTGTCTATGGTCGCGGGTGCATTTTTTTTACGGTGTTCGACATGCTTTAGCATGCGTGAGAAAGTCTGTTATGTCTGCGGTCGAGCTTGGTCGATTCAACTCGTATAAACCTGACGTATAAAATGTTCTTTTTAGAAGACGAAGCACAAGCATAAGATATTCGGAGGAAGGGACCAGAAAGGAGCTGGAGAAGCTTGCCGCCATGGAGGGGGAAGTGTACATGTGATGTACGGGGCATTCTCTTTTGCCGTCGAATTCTTCGACGTCCGCTGCGTAAAGCAACTAAAGGTATGACAAATGCCAGTCTCAACTGGGGAGAGATACTAATTACAGTTTTTCTAGTTAGTATGGTTCACACCACCGTCATCACCATCAACAGTTACCTCAACCCTCCTACCACCACCACAGGTGGATGGTTCCTAAAGCAACTAATAGCATAAAGAAGCCCATGTACATCTAGCTAGTGATGCCAACTGACACATATTTATTCAACGTTGCTCGCATACCCAAAACCACCTCTACCAGCAGCACCACCAACAACTCCAACAACATATTCCGCAGTCAAGCGGTTTCTAGCTAAAGAAATCAAAGGTACGAGAACTGCACTCCCCTTTGGGTAGTGATGCAAATTGAGATTCTTCCTAGCTAGTAGTGTCCTTGCGCCACCACCACCGCCGTCACCACCACCGCCGTCACCGCGAAAAAAAAAAGAAGAGCAAGAAAACGTCCCGCAGACAGGCCGTTGCCAAGTAAAGCAACCAAAGGTACTACAAATGACATTCCCATCAAGCTAGCAGTACTGACTAACCTTATCCCTAGTTACTATGTTGCCTTGTGACATGGTCAGGTTTATGTTTTTACTCGGCAAAATAGTTTATAGGTGCGGTGATAACCCGTGGGAGGCGGCAACGCGAATAACTGAAGGAAGATTTCTTAGAGGGCGACGTCCGAGCCGTCGAGAACATTTATAGAGCTCAATCAGATTTGATAGTTGCTCACTCAATAATCTCATACTTCCTCTGCTCATGTCAATGACAATTATCGTAATGTGTTTCTCCTAGAGTACACCACGGACCCTGAAATTTACTATATTGGGAATAGCAGCGGAGGAAGCCCCGACGCTATACTTTAAGAGGAATACATGATGTGTAGTAGAGTCACCTAATAGCACTACTCCCGATATGGACAACTTCAGGGTCCATAATCAGGACGAAGAGGACCCTTGATTAGGTTGAGCTGATGGAAAAGATAAGGGATATCAGGGTGGAGATTTGCGAAACCCTGGTTCGTAAATCTCCACTGTAGCGCCGCTGCCAACACGATATGTGGCCTATGATTGCGCGACGGTGGCTCTTGGCGTCAGGGCGTAGGATCGATCTACCATCATTTTTACCCGTTTGGATCACGCCCAAGCACATTTGTCTAGGTAGATAGCACGCGGAAATGACTGAGTACTCGATAGTATATCAAGAGACATTGGCTCAGTCAGACGCGCCAAAGCGCATTTCGGACCTTGCCTACCCGTGGGGGCGGAAAGGCGACTCCCTCTTGTCGTGGCTCGAGAAATCCTTGTTGTCTCTCTCATTGTCATCTCCAACATCTACCGTTATACTTCCATCGATCTAAAATGTCTCAAATCCAGCTTATCATCAGCTGTTTCCTACTCATATTATCCTCTCCCATTGTGATGGCTACATGCTATGCGCCCGATGGAACGACCACTTCGGACTCGCGATACATCCCCTGCATCGGGATCCAAAATGAGTTTTCAATGTGCTGCCGGCTCAACGATACGAATCCGGACCTGTGCTGGCCAAACGGCCTGTGCTACTGGCCGGCAGAGAATCAATATTATAGGAACTTTTGCTCCGATAAGTCTTGGGAGAGTCCGAATTGTTTACCTAGGACGGTGTGCGATGATGCAGTAAGTGCTGAGATGAGGCAGGCCGTGTCGAAAGGGAACCCACGAGGGTTTGGACCTAGATGCTTTAAAAGAAATACGCTAATTGTATTTCCTTTTGCTGAATAGGCAGGGGGGTCATCAACTGCAGCCGCTCAGGTGGTGTGGTGTGGCAATGATTCATACTGCTGCGGTACCAACAACGATTGCTGCACATCCGATCAAGCATTCTCCCTCAAGTCGACATTAGTATCCATCGGCAGTAACTCCACGAGTAGTGGTACGGCGACAGTCACTGCGACAGTGACAGATATCGTGAGTGCCGGAGGTGATGGGACGGAGGAATCATCGAAGAAGAAGAGCGTCGCGATTGGGGTCGGAGTCGGTGTCCCTCTAGGGGTCCTATCGATCGTGATGCTAGGAGCTGGTTATCTGTGGGGAAGAAATATCACCAGGGCAAAATATGAGGCAGTGCAACAAACGTTGCCAGAAGGCCAGATGTATGCGTTTAGTACGCTGGAGGCCAACTCAAAGCCAATCTATGAAGTTAGTGAGGCGCTTCCAGAGTTACCTGGGAGCGGGAGAGTTTCGACTTAATGAGCGATAGAGATTTGGAGAACTCTCTTCATATCCCACTCACATTCGAGATTCGCTCCTCTGTAGAGTTTGGTCGTTTGAATCTCCCAATATCTCAAGTCGAAGATATCACCCAGATCAAACACTGCCAGTCCAGTAGGGTTTTACTGCCTTTTCTTTGCCCTGCCTCTTCTCCACCCATGACTTTGATTTCCTCGAGTTCCTGCCGGCTCAGGGGGCGAAACAACACTAAATTCTCTCCTGTGTGTTGATTTGAGCCTCCCGTGACTCGTCGAGGAATCCTTCTGGCAGTCAGTATCCCTTTTCCTTCTCCTTCTCCTCCACCTCCTTTATGATCCATCTGGCCATCTCTTTCTAAGCAGCATACAACAGACACATTGGAAAATTGCCTTCTGTGGACACTTTGCGGTTCCAGGCTTCAAAAACACGTCGATCATTCTAAGCATGCGACTCTAGATGTGGAAAACACCCGACAGGATGCCAACAAAGACCTTGACAAAATCCTTGGTTAATTGCAGATTCCCTTGCTGGGTGGACAGCGGCTAATTCCAAGACGACGTCCGCGTTCAGACGACGTCTTCGATATTGGCATCAACGAAGAGGTCAATATTGTCATCTACGAAGTCGGCAAGCAAGCGCATCTCTCCATCTGCGATCCGCTATACTAAGATCCAGTTCGACGAAGCGACAATAGACAAGGCTTGCTCCTTTCATGCAGACGGCTATGAATGAATGCATTGGTTTGGACGGCTTGTCGTATCTCTGTCATCATTATCGCAGTAGTTGTATCTATAAGAGTTGCGTAGGCATTTTACAGGGGAGAAAACTTGAATCTGCACGAATGGACTAGATATGTGGAAATCGATGACCTGTGCTCCAGATTTCAACTTCGCATTCAGTGGTTAACATGAGAAATAGATGATGTACATATACAGGACATGAGACGCCGAGAGGTAAATATACAGCTCGTCCCAAGGGATGAAAACCATGGTAGAACTTGTCCGGCTTGCGATCACCATCGATCTCATCCAATTCGTTAACTGAGTCTTTAACCCGGAAACGCTTCCTTGGATGAGTGGTCATTGAGTTCATCGAACTCCCTCTTGAGTGTGATATCATCGGTTTCCCGAGAGCTCAGATTGCTAACCCCCGTGTCGATTATCAAAACGATCAGCCATGTTTAACCCACGATTGTAGTCATTCAAAGTATGATACGTGGAGTAAAGTAAAATAACTAATCCATAGCGAGGCCCGGTAATACTCCCAATGGATACAGCGAGGCGAGGCCCTTTTGGGATGTCACGGGGCATCATTTCACCGTCCTTGGCCTTCTCGCTCGCTCGATTTCTTTTCTTCCTCTTCTTCCCCTTCTCCTCCACCATCACCACCACCACCATCATCATCACCGTCGTTGTCGTCATCTCCCCCGCTCCCCTCGCACCATGGCTCGTAAGTACTCACATGGTGAACTCCGATCCTAAAGCTAGTAGCAGTACTGATTTTTGGTCTGCTCTCTAGCCAAGCGGAAGGTGAGTTCATAAAGCCCGTTCCTCTTCTATGCTTCTCCTATTCCTTTCTCGCTCCAGATGTAACTTCCTTGTTTTACTTCACGATTCTGCTTTCTCTCGATTATGGATGATCGAGTTCGTGCTGTTTCATCTAATGGTGGCACATGCATCTCACCATGTATCTGAACCACCCTGGAGATGTCAATACTATCTGGTGATGCGCTGTCTTATTCTGGTCCTCAGTGGATGAATCCTCGTCATAGCTCTCAGGCTTTTCAACGAGAGATTTTGTTTTCTGTACTTTGAGCATTTTGAAGAGATATACTAACAGTAGAGCAAACAGTTCGAGAACCCCGCCCCCCTGAGTGCCGCCGCCGCCGCCCCTTCGGGGGTCAAAAAGAGGAAGGTTGAGCCCAAGGAGAAGGCCAAGAAGGTAAGCCAATAACCAGTGTAGGAGTACATCTAGCTGATTATTGTTATTGACAGGTCCCTGCTACTGTCCCGGCTCCTGCTCCTCCTGCTCCTGGCCCCGCCGTCGCCGCCCAAGAGCGGCAGAAGGTGAACACTTCATTCTCATGTCATGTTTGCACATGGTTATTTGGTCATTTTCATGATACTTTAATGGTGATTTACTTCGTGTGTGGCCTGTAAAGGCCTTGGGATACATACAGAGAATCTTTCCTTATTATCATATTCCTGTCTTTGACGTCTATACTATCTGTCCGATGAGGGATCTTGATCCTGACGCCATCTTTTTATGCTTATCCGATCTTAGTATGATATCGATGCTAACTTTGTTACAGGCCGCCAATTTGCTGTTCGCGGCGGGTGTGAGTGTGCCCGAGGGGCTCCTCCCTGCCCCTCGGGTCCTCACGCCCGCCCAGGTGCTGAGAAGGGAAGAGCTTCTCGCAGAGTTAGAGAAGAAGAGGAAGGCTGAGAGGCTCCTTCGGGGGCAGAAGAAGACTACTGGCAAGCAGGTCAGAGCTGCCAACGAGCAGCATGAGGAAATAAGTAGCGCCCATGAGGGGTTAGTGCGGTCTCTGAAGGAGACTATCAGCGAGTTGAAGACTCTAAGTCTTACTTAATTTGAAGTAGACTTGTGTTTGTTTTCTCTTGTTTTAAGTTTATTCCTTTCTTTTTTTAATCTTATATACTCTTAATTGTTATCAAATTGTTTCTAATATGATAAATGGCTTTTCATTTCAAGCAGTAAAAACTCAAATGTTTCGTAGACTGCAATAGACTTAGATGTCTCCGTAGGTTAAACATTGCCATAATCCTCTCAAATTCGCCGAGCTAGTATCGGACTACCCAATTACTACTACAGCAGGAACCCACCGATTCTCGAACATTCACAGGACCAAGTCAGGCTACGATCAACAGCAAGAGGTTCTTAACCCTTGGCTTTTGTTCATCATTCGGACACCTCTTTGTGGCTCACTTAGATACTCTCCAGCTTCAACCTTTACTACTCTTCAGAGTTTGGTCCTTTGATTCTCCCAATCTCATGCACACTCACTCAGTCCATATACTACCTTAACAGACAAGAATTGCCCAAAAACTGACCATCTCTTCTTCACCTTTCTGCTGACCGTGTTCCTCTACAACCACGCATCTCCTCACACGTAGCCATCCCCAAATAGATATAAATCCTTCTTCACTAACCCGGTCCGTATTGGTATTTGTTCAACCAGCTCCTTCTTTCGAAGATTTTGATGGCTACTGGGGCATTCGGCCTTCCACAAGGCGCTATAGAAAGATTCGAGTCCAAAAATGCTGTTCTGGAGAGAAACGGATGTTGATGCGGAAGAGTACTTGCATATAACGGCTATCTAGCTAATAGCACACGCCAATACTACTTACGGACACGAGGTGTGGTATTCTAGGATCATTAGTCGGCTCCTGATTCCCATAGAGGAGCAGGGGTTTGCGGTGAGACATAAACCTAGCATCTATGTAAATCAGCGACAGGAGAGGTTCAATCAGGAACATGTCACGTACTTTGACCCGTCTTGGAAGATAGTATGAATAAGGGATTTCTAGCTTTTTTGAGGGTGTTTTGATTGATTGAGGAGTGGATGAGAAGAAGAAAGATGACACGGATGGGAAATGGGAGGAGGGATTCATGACCACGAGTAGAAGAATGCAATGAGATGAAGAATGGATTCGGGGGACTATTCTAAACATTGAATTGTTGGCGAGGAAAGGTAAAGTGAAGAAGTAGGTGAAATGAGGAAAAAGATGACGATAGGTCAGCAGTATATCCAAAGCATCAATACGAACAAATTATAGCTTCGCAGGCGACGATTCGACATCAAACTCAGTCGTGCAGAGCAAAAATGTATCCTTCAAAGCCTGTAGACACATTAGCATCCCCAAACAGCCTAGAATCTCGAATAGAATCTCACCGATAATCTATACTTCTCATTGATCCCCTGATAGTCCTCTCCAGCAAGCATATCACAAAAGTGCCGAATCGAAGGGTAATGCACAATCGAGATCTCATTCCACCAATCCTCTTCCCTCTTCGCCCAGTCCCCCCTAGAATCCACCGTAGCATTGTCTGCAGTCTTAGGCTTCACCACATTACCAACCAACTTTGCATCTCCGCCTCTTTTTCCCGCCACTGGAATGAACGCTTGTCCGTATTGATAGTAGCTCTTCTTCCCATCTGGCTGGTTGAAATGAAGCAGGTTCAGCATCGTCACAGGACCAGAGTGCTGGGGAGTAAGCTCGTCCATGAAGGAGATAAGCTCTGGAGAAAGCTCTAGATTCTGGGAGCTCGGTTTGCTGCGCGCTTGGTCTAGAGATCCGGTGAGGGGGATCGAAGGGGCGGTCCGTTTGAGGGATTCATCCCGTGATGCGTAGGTGGAGAGTAGTTTGGATGGGACTCCCACTGTAACATAGTACTGAGTCTTGATCTGTGACTGAAGAGTAAGTGGGATTGGGGGGGAGTCTGGGGGTGGCTGGATGAGGACAAGAAGGTCCCATGGTGTTCTGGTCAGGATGTCTTTGTCCAAGACAGTGGGACGGATCACGGCATGACGCGGTCGAGAGCTGACGATAACTTTCCGCGTGGACCGGAGAGAATTGAGGAAGCTGCTTGTGTCTGTGGTGAGTGAAAGCAGGTAGAGCGATGCAACTGGCATGATGTGTGCTTGCTTGTGGACTAAGAATTGAGGTTGTGAAGCGGTTGAACGAATGTCACCTGCGGTTGTCGATTGTGGGGTCGATGGGGAGATAAGGGTCAGGTCTAGAGCATTTAAATCCGAAACACGTCTTGTAAGTAGGAGCAATAAGGTACCAAGTTGATAGTAAGGTGGAATCGAAGCTTCCTCACATCATGTCGATGGCCGAGGAACGCGGGGATGCCTCGGCAGTCGGCACACTTGCCCCTTGGGGCCTCCGCAGCCCGCACGTCACGTGGACCCCCGCATTGTCTGCAACTACAGCAAATATTCTCAAATGATCATCAACATACCGATATCGGAACTTTTTTCTTTAGAAGTGGAGATACTATGTACGTCAACATCGGTGGGGAGTGGGATAGCTTAGATGATGCAGTGCATGAATGGCCGCTACTGTCAGCCGGGAAAATGTTCATGACAGGCAGTGGGCGTGGATGGCACCGACTCAGTGAATAGCCAGTAGCCTACAGGCTACATGCCTCAAAAGCCTCAAAGGAGACGTCATCTCAAGATGGCACGATCGGCAGTCAACAGACTCCGAAAGCCGTGGTTAATGCTAGTTTCAAGCAGGGTCATGGAGCCATGCCGTGAAGAAAACTTCATGGCTTCTCCGTATGGCGGAGAGAATTAATTAAACTACCCCACATCTCCAGTTTTCCACGCTTACGGAACAGACTTTATCCTCCTCTACCAAGTGAGTAACGAATATTCTGAATTCCCATAAATATCTGGAGCACCATGGGACACTTTCGCAGCAGTAGAAAATCCTACCGTCGCAATGAGACGCCGTACGTTCCTCGCCTCCCTCAGCGTGCTGTACAACTGTGTCTCAGTAGAGGCCAGTCTCACCATCCTCTTCCAGAATGACGGCAACTGGACAACGCACGCTGAAAAGCCAGGCGCTCTCTTCATCAGCGATGCTTTGCCCTACCAAGATGCGCAAGCCACCTGTGCGCAGTACAACGAAACGCTCCTCAGTTGCAAGAGCTATGACGACTTCCACTACTCATTCACATACCAGCAGTATCTGAAAAACATCGACTCGGATCAGCTTTTCTGGTCGTCCTGCAGCTCAGATCATCCGACAACCTGGGAGGGAGAGCTTGCTAATACCTCATCATCTGCTGCTCTTCCGTTCCTGTGCTCCAATTCAGCCGAGTTTGTCAAAGAAGTGGATACCGACTATTTCGTCTTCCCCCGAGTCAACACCAGTGCAAATGGCGTGACGTTCGAGGGTTTACGCGACCATATGGCATTCAGGTTCCTAGGCATCCCCTTCGCTCAGCCCCCCGTGGAAGACCTACGCTTCAAATATGCCCAGCAATGGACCGAAGAACCTTATGTCAACGCCACCAAATATGGACCTGCATGCATTCAGTCTGGCTGGTATGACGGGAATAGCTACGGCCTGAATCCCTGGGGTAACAGCGAGGATTGCTTACATCTGAATGTCTTCACCCCGTCCATCCCATCTTCAAGCGACAACTCACCCAGACCTGTCATGCTCTGGATCCACGGTGGCGGCGAGACCGAAGGCACCGGTGCCGATTCCACCTTCGACGGTGACAGTTTCGTTAGCCGCAACGACGTCGTGCTCGTTACCATCAACTACAGACTGAACATCTTCGGCTATCTGAGTCTCGACGACGCCGCTGTCCCCGGCAACTTTGACCTCACCGACAAGATCGAAGCCCTTAAATGGGTCCAGAAATACATCCGAGCTTTTGGCGGTGACCCCAACAGCGTCACCATCTTCGGCCAGTCTGCCGGCGCCTCATCAGTCATTGATCTCCTCACCACCCCCAAAGCCAGTGGGCTCTTCCACAACGCCATTGCGCAGTCCATCGCAGGCCACGTCGAAACCGCCAATGCCTCCGCTACTGCCATCCTACCCTACATCCAGCCACTCTGCAACAGCACCGGAACCGAGCGTTTGGAATGCCTCCAGACCCTCCCCGCCTCGACCCTCCTAAACATCAGCTCTGGAGTAACATGGGACACGGTAATTGACGGCCATTACATCCTCGACTACCCCGTTCCCCAGATCGCAAAGGGAGCCCTCAACCGCGTGAACTTCCTAACGGGCTTCATGCCTGAAGAGGCGCAATCAATCCTCCAAGACTCCATCTCCCCCAACGCCACCAACTTCAACACTACCCTCCAAACCCTCGTCACAAGCGCATCCATCACCGAAACCCAAGCACAAGCCGTCCTCTCTTCCGGCCTCTGGACTAACTACTCCAGTCCCTACAACGCCACCATTCACGTCGACTCCCCCGCCGGGATGACCTGTTATTCCAAGGAATTCGCCGAAGTCGGCGCCGCCTCACACTCCTATGAGAGTCTATACGTCTACCTCCACCAGCGCGCCTACGGACTCAACTACTACGATTGGTATGATCTGTGCACTTACCCCGTCGGCAAGCCAGAGACGCCCTACTATCGCTGCCACTCGGGCGACCTCTATGAGGTCTTCGGCACGTACTATCTCTTTGATCTGCCCGTCCGTTCTCAGGAGGACATCTATTATACGAATATGGTGCAGGACATGTGGGCTTCATTTGCTCGGACGGGCAATCCGAACGTCGATAAGGATTATCTTCGTGCGAGGGGATATCACAGTACGCTGCAGTTGACGACTAGGTGGAATTGGACGCAGTATGAGCCGGATAGCGCCAAGGTGGCGAATCTGCAGTATCCGATGCCGTTTTATTCGACGCTGCCGTATCTGGAGGAATGTGCTGTTCTGGGTTTGGAGCATAGTAATTGAGAGGTGGAAAGGTACTTTGATATTTTGATTTGGGGTTGTGCGTGTCTTTCGCTGTCGAATTGGTCCGTGAAGGGCAAATTTATCCCTGATACCGGGATGTAGTCATGAGTTATGTACCTACTACACGTTAGTAGCATGATGCCTCAAATTATTGGTTGTTGAATCTAGTACGTTAGATCTTCGAGTTCGACTGCTTTCCCATCGCTAGTAGTATGCCTCAAAATCCAGTCGGGACTGAGGACACCCCTGCAGTGTCCCCTTGAGCCTATTCGTTCGATAAAATCGAGATCAAATTGCTCCCTCGGAGGTAGTCATTCATTCATTCATCTTCCATAGACGATGATGACTATTACTCCTCCGCAGACGGCACCGTTCGCTCATGCGGTTCGACGGCGTCAGCCTCGAACTCGATAAGGCGTGCGCCGGTAGTTTTCTCCATATCGGAGGTTGTTCTTCGACTTCGCCCTACTGGACAACGAGAGGTCCTTGCGGCTGTCGATGAAGTTGTCCAGAAAAGTGTGCTATGTTTTTGAAGGTATTGAGGATGATTTTAACATCCCGTAGCTGTGCCTAGAGGATTGGTTATCAGTGTTTAAAGTATGGCGCTCTCCTACCCAACGATGCTTCGTTCTTCGATACTTGGGACATGTCAGCTTCATTCCAAGACAATTCTGGTAAGGGCGACTTTGTGTTCGTCTTCAAAAGATTTTCCCGGCTATGGACCTTCCTCCCTTGCGTTGATATTGTGTACGCCCGCACCCAGAGCGTCGGTAACCATTATGTCTCTAAGGGTCCCTCTAACCTTCCGGCTGTCATGCTTAGGCGTTTACTTCGTGTGAGCAGATGTTTCATCTGGACATCTCTCTTCCTCGTGCGTCGAGAATTAGTATCGGATGAAAGAAGTAAATCAACAGAACAGTAAAGGAATAGAAGGGAGGAGAAAAAGAACAAGGATAACAGTAGCACTTCTTTGACAACAGTAGCCATGCCCCCTAGAATCTTGATCTTAGTGTATGGTAAGTGAACCAAGTTACCCTCTCTCAACCCTACAGTACCTCAAAGGATACAACCACCAGCCTTGTTCTACATCAGAGGTGCAGTGGCGGGACAATATAGCCCAGCTATATGCGCACGCCTCTATGCAGTATCCGGTGCAAATAACAAAAAGGCGAAGATGAGATAAGCACCGGAATACTGGTGACCATATGTACGATCAGCGACTGGAGTATTTATAGCGTCGATGCATGAAAGAGATGTAAAGGTGTAGCTCTGCTCACTGTTGGTCAATGCAGAATCCAAGGTTTTGCAGCATCATGGACGTACTAAGCCAGTTATAGACCCGTCGCCAGAAACACGGAGAGCGTGAGAGCTGTCCGAGGATGAAACAGACGCGAAAAGGTGACTGAGACAAAACCAGGAAGGCATTACGGCACTCTCTGCTTCCTATTCCAGAAAGTTTGCTGCGTTATCGACTTTCCATATATGCGTGGCTCTGGGTAAGTTCATGTCCTGTGAGTTTTGATGGGTCTGACAGCGTTAGTAACCAGATTCTTGCTTTACATGGCAAATCGCCCACGTTTCTAGTATCAATTAAGCGGGCTCTATTGGCCCAACTGAGGATAATATGAAGATAAATCAACTCGAACCAGCAGGGCATGACTAGCCTATCACACGATTGTCCAAATGATGCTCATGTTCGCTATTGGTGGGCAATGAGTCTAATACTCAATGAGCTCTGCAACGGAGCCTTGCCATCGAAGGACCAAGATAAAATAATACCGTGGCTCCTCGACAACACAAGTCATGTACAGACGATCAAATGCATCCTGATCAAGGTCGATCGATGTCCGACGAGGGATCTGTCGATCCCCGTTTCAGGTGGAAGTAATGCATCCAAGGAAGATCTCTGTTGGATATCCATGTCAAGCATAGAAGCAGACGTAACTGGTAAGGCGGTACCAATGAATAAACGGACATGGTCTTTACGACGAGTTATCCCGTAGTAACTCGCAGCATCAAAGCTCGAGACTAGATGATGATTAGACGATAGGCCACACCATGATCATTGTATTCTCGCCGAGAGTCAAAGCTAAGAGACCGTTTCTTCATCTGTAATGTGTAAGTATCTCTGGAGATAATATATCTGAAGGACCTTGAAAGGCTGATAAGATAGTAGTTGGATGTACGTATGTACACATGGTGACTACCCTGATGCCGCGTGTAGTATACTGAGATGGAGAAAGTCTGGATATGAGGCAGGATGATTGATTCTCAATGATATGGAACGACTAATGAGGAAGACGAGATATAGTAGATGAAGGAGCTATAATAGTCATCAAAAAGAATCAGGTAGTGATGAGTGACATGTGTGAATGACTCAAAAATCCGAGCTGAAGACTTAGAATAAGACAGGGGATGAAAGGATTCGGAGGTAGTAGTGGGAAACATCCCGTACAAGGGTGCCTTTGGGATCCGGAATCCCGTGACATGCCATGTCCCGTGTTGGTTAGTCATACGAGCCTCAAATAAGCCGCACATCACGTGATATCAAAACCGCGATACTTTAACCTCAACATACAAAGGCTATGAAAGTGCTACGGCTAAGCAACGAACAATTTATGAGGGTCATTAAAGCAAGTCTTGATTTCATACGACCGTAATCTCTATTAACATGATAAACGAAAAGCGAACCGAGCTCCTCACGTTTAGAACTCCTCGTCATCAGACACATCCTCACCACGCTTCCTATATCAAAAGTTAGCATCAGAATCACAAAATAAAGGGACCGGGCAAAAACATACTTTCTCAAGAGACGCTCCTTACGCTTCTTCCTCAATTCGGAAGAGGTAAGCTTCTTCTTCTTCTCGACGACAGTCTGGGGCGAAAAGTTAGCATATGACTCAAAATAGCTTCATAATAGCTCAGAACGCTTTCCCCTTTCTTACCTTGTTGCCCATAGCGTCAGTTATTTCACTGGGGCCTTCTTTATCCTCAAGACGAGGACCAGATCCTTGTCCTTGAACCCAGTTGTGGCCAGAGGGGGTCATGCGGCCATCCATGACAGCCCAGACTTCCTCGGTGAGGTTCTCGGTGAACTCGCGGGAGTGGGTAATGATGATGACACCACCCTCGAAGGACTTCAGAGCCTTGGACAGAGCGCCCAGGGAGTCACGGTCCAGGTAGTTGGTAGGCTCGTCCAGGACGATGACGTGGGGACGCTGCCACGAGCAGGCGGCGAGGACAACCTTGACACGCTGGCCACCGGAGAGACCGCGCATGCGGGAGTGGGAGACCAGCTCGGCATCGAGACCGAACTGCTCGCAGTGGGCCTCGATCTCCTTACGGACCAGAGGACGGAACTGACCACTGGCCAGAGCCTCCTTCTGATCAACCTCGGCGACCATCTTGGCGTGGGACTGGATAATGTCGGAACGGGGAATCCAGGCGTTGTCGCTGGTCATCATGGGAGTCCACTTCTCGCTCTTCATGCCGATGTTGTCACCCAGCAAGAAGGAACATTCGTACTCGTAGCTGTTCTTGAACTTACGACGGGAGTGGATACCAATGACACGACGGGGCTGACCCTCGATCTTGTAGATCTTGTCCATGGCCTTCTCATCCTCGTCGGTGACGATCTTGTTGGCACGGTCCATGGTCTCACGGTCCTCACCGGTCTGGAAACGCCACTGGATGTACTCAGAGGGGGTGGAATCGAGATGGTTATCGATGTGAGCGAAAGCGTGCTGCTTAATGTAGGCGATACGGATGTTCTCGTGCTGGTAGACCTCACCAGCGGTGGGGATCAACTCACCGGTCAGAACGTTGACCAGGGTAGATTTACCGGCACCGTTGGGACCGATGACAGCAATACGAGAGCCCAGAGAGACCTGGAAGGAGATATCCTGGATCTGAGGGCGGGGGGTACCGGGGTACTGGAAGGTCATGTTGCTAACACGGATGATAGCCTTGGCCTTGGTCTTGACACCCTCAAGGAAACCGGGCTCGGGGAACTTGAACTCCATCTCGGAGGCACCGAGCTCGTAGTAGGAGCGAGCGGAGGGGACACGCTTGACGAACTCGCTCAGGTTACCACGGTAACGCTTGAGCTTGAAGCGCTCGTAGTGGACGACGTGCTGGATGACGTTGTCCAAGAACTTGCTGTCGTGGGAGACGATGATGGAAGTGCAGGGGGAGGTGCACAGGTAGTTCTCCAACCAGGCAACGTTCTTGACGTCCAAGTGGTTGGTGGGCTCGTCCAGGAGCAGGATATCAGGGGACTCGAAGACGGCACGGGCAAGGGCCAGCTTCATCTTCCAACCACCAGAAAGGGAGGTGATGGGACCCTCGAACTGCTCGCGCATGAAACCGAACTCCTCGAGCTTGGCCTCGACCTCCTCCTGGGCGGTCTGGACACCGACCTCGCGGAGCTTCTTGATGGTCCAGCCGATGACGGTCTGCTCGGTATCGGCAGCGTCCAGGTCGTGCTCGACGTAGACGGTCTTGACCTCGTCCTTCTTAGGGAAACCCTCGAGCTGCTCGTTGTTGATGGCACGCATGAGGGTGGTCTTACCGGTACCGTTGGGACCGAGCAGACCGTAACGCTGGCCACGCTTGAGGCGGAGGCTGGTCTGGTTCAGCAGAATCTTGGCACCGTAGGCCAGGGAGAAAGTGCAGTTGCACAGATCCTCACCCTCCTCCTCGTCGGAGAGGACGGCATCCTCAGCGGCAGCACCGGGGGAGGCGCGCTTGCGGAGGGTCTCGGCGATGGGCTTGGCCTCCTCCTCACCGACGATGGCAGTGATGTAAGGGAGGGCGTTCTGGGTCCAGCTGGTAACCTCGGCGTCCTTCTCGTCAACGAGCTGACCAGCAATGGCAGAGACGTAAGTGATGACGGGCTCGGACTTGTCGGCCTGGGCCTGGAACTTGGCGGACAGGATGTCCTTGAGGATGGCAGAGACGGTGGAGATGTCACCGGCGGTGGAGATCTCGGGGATCTTGCCGTCCTTGACATCACCGACACGGGAGAGAGTCTCCAAGGCCTGCTTGGTCTTTCCACGGGCCTCGGGGTCGGCGAGGGTGTCGTGGTTCTTCTCGAGACGGGGCATCAACTTGGGCAGGAAAGGAGCGACGATCTGGGGGTCCTCCACGAGCTTACACATGTTGTCGACGATGACCGCGGACTTACGCTTGATAGCGGTCTCACGCTCAACCAGACCACGGTCCAGCAGGGGAACCATGATGGCGAGGGTAGGTCCGGTAACATCGGAGACGAAAGTGGTGGCACCGAGCAAGTGAACGGTCTCAGCAACGTTCTCAGGCTTGGCGATACACTTGATGAGCTCGGGAATGAAACGCTCGATATCCTTGTTGACAATCAGACCGCAGACCTTCTCCATGGTGGAGTAGGCAGCCTTCTTGATGTCGGCCTTGGTGTCCCACATGGCCTCGGAGACGACGGGGATCAGCTCGGGGACACGGAAAGAGAGCTGAGCGGGGGAAGACTCGACGAGAGCGTTGATGCACTCGAGAGCAGCCATCTTCTCCTGCCACTTCTGGGCGTTGGAAACGGACTCGAGGATGGCGGGGAGGATAGCCTTGACGGCGTTGCCGTTGACACCCTTGACGATGGCGAGAGCAGCACCCTGGGCAGCGTTCTTGACGGGAACCATCTTGTCACCGACGGCAGCGAGGACGGGGCCGAGGAGGGTAACGAGGTGAGGCTCGACACCAGGGGCGATGGTGGAGTGGGAGGCAATAGCACGGATAGCCTCGCAGGCACGCTCACGAACGACGGCATCCTTCTTGTTGCTGAGCTGCTTCTGGAAAGTCTCAACAGCCCTAATGCATCCTGTTAGTGGACTCCTTCCCACGACGGAAGCGGGGTCCTAAGGGGGCAGGCAACCTACTTGAGGGGGAGGGTCTGCTCGGGGATGGGACCGCTGAACAGGTGAGCCAGGTTGTCGGCTGCAGCGTTCACCTCATCCTGAGAGGTGGAGATGTTGAGGTTCTTGATGAGGTCCTCAAGGACAGCGACGGACTGAGCCGTCTCCTTGCCGGAGACGGCGGGAACAGAAGCGACATCAACAGCAGGCATTTTGATCGTAAAAGCGCCGAAAGACGAAATCGTTAAGTCGGAGGAAGAGAGGAGAAGAGAGGAAGAGGGGCGAAGAGGAAGCGAGAACGGGTTCTATTAGGGTATCTCGATAAGATGGGGCGGCCCACGAAAACTGCGTCTGAAAAAGCACAGGACACAGGAAACGCTCTAAAACGGCCACACGGCAATCTAATTTTTTGTCCGAAGACGAGAAAAAACAAACACAATTTTTGAAAAAAGAGAGGATCAAACCTCTAAGAGAGATGAAGGATGGGAGGGAGGGAGAGGAGGAGGAGGGGGATGGGCAGGGCAGATGGGGAGGGATGATATTTATCGCTTTGTGGCCTGTTTTTCGCCGCCCGATGGCTGTCCCGCCGCCGATAAAAAATTAAAGAAAAATTTTCACGCTGTTCCTTACAATGGTCCCGCACTAGGCCCGCATCCGGCCTAGGCTGGATGGCTGTCGAAGCAACCAGTCCAATCACGTCCATGGCCGCACCCCCCTCCAATCTGCACCTGCTTATTCGTTGGCTGCCAACCCCCCTTCCCGGTAGTTAACACTGCTGCGCTGCTGATTAAGCCGCAAACTCTCCAGGTTCCCTGTTCGGACCATCCGAGGATGGCGCTCGAGATTTCACCAGCGCTGGCTATGATGGAGAAATGCAAAGGTTCGTTGCGGTCGCCCCCCGGCCGCTCTTCTCTACCGTCTACGGTAGTCCCCCGTGCGGCAAGGAGCGGAAATGATGGTTGAAGCGGACGGGGTGGCCTCGAGCGACCGAGATTCACCCATCATCATCGGGGTGAAGTAGGGCTGCCCGGTTCATTACACCGTACGTATGGGATGGTCTGCCAGCCAATCCTCATTCAGACCATCCATTATTTTTGTCTTTCAGACGGTTACAACTTGCAAGGATTGTTCAAGAGCCCCTTTTCTTTGACAGGGCTGATGGCCTCAACAGTCGTCACAGCCAGTTTTTTACTCCTCTCTTCTTGATAACAATAAATTCACTCGAATGTTGCAGAATTTTCTTGATATGAAGTATACCAAGCACCCTTCACCAACATGAACCTTGACTGCCCCTCTTCACTACAGTACTTCCGTGGTGGTTGCTGCATACTGCACACCCCTTGATAACGGGCCTTGACACGCCATGAATCCGGGGATGCAACCATTCTGATAGCCCACTGCGGCCGGCTAGTTTCCGCCCCGTGTAATCCTCGGCTTGGCTGGCCCTGCAGATGCTTGCTGCTCTTCCAGTCGCCACCTCAGATCATTCACGAAGCCAGGTGGCGCAGCTCCCCTTCCAGACATCCGACTCGTCGGGCAGAAAGAGTAAAAAATAGAAAATAAAAACAAAAATAAAACTCTCCTGGGTTAAAGTTACACAGAGCCGTGGACTGCCCCAGACCCTTTTCCGTTTCTGCCCGCCAACCTGGACCGCTCCAGGGATGTTACTGAACTGTCCTCACAGCATGGCTACGTTGGCATCTGCATCTCAATCTGTTTGCTCCGCCTTAAGCGACGGGGATCTTAGTACATAATGATCCGATAATAAGCATGACCAACATCCCCAGAATTGTGATCGACATACAGTAAGACGCAGACCTGGGGAATCCTGCCCGAGACATGGCCCGGTTGGCTAAGAGAGTCATCAAGGGGAAGGAGCATTATACTTTGGCGCTTGGATGTTGTTCCCCAGAGAAAACATTGTTCCCAAACACGAAGGGAGGCAGAAACATACTCGGGCATAATCCCGGGGTTTAAGCGTCGTGACCGTGTCTGAAACGATGGTTTATTGCAGGAGACTACGCATTACCGCCATTCGTCTGACTCATGGGTTTCTCATCGTATTAAAGATAATTTTTATTTGCCCTGGGCCAGAAATCGGAATGATCCTAAGTGACCACCACCATTTCTACAGTGCCTGGTCTAGCCTGGATTGTTGACATGCAGACCTGCAGCGCCAACGTCAACCCGGGGGACCGTGCCTATGTACTTACGGCGTCACTCCCTTATCGCCCTTATCGAACCATCGATTTTTGAGTTCAAATTCTCCGGATCCATCCAGCCCTTGTTCCCCGCGAAAGACGGTGGCGACCACTATTGCCACGTCAGGGTGTGGAATTAGGGCCTTTTCGGTTCCTACAAGTACTACTGGTCCGAATGACGGGTCAACCAATTGTTCCTTAATGGCACATCGCAGCTTCTACGGGGCACACCCAGCACAGCACCTTCATCGGTAGATGGCGAGGTGTATAGAGACAGCTGCTGTCTCTGCCTTTATTGAACCATCATGGTTATTTCATCATGCGTCACCCGAACCGGACTTCCGTTTAGAGGATATCCTCTCCCGTCTCCCAGGCTTCGCCTCTTTTGTTCCCTGGTACTCGAAATTGGCTACTTTCTATACTTCGGCATCTCCCCGGGACCTATACAATAGTTGCGGAATAGTTGCGTTGCCCTCATCAGCCATCATCATATAGTCCATGTAAACATTTCTTTCCCAACAACATCATGCAGTCATCTTGTTCTGACGCATCTCCGTTAACTCATCCACTTCCATGGACCGGTTGACCAGATGTATTACTCAACCTAGACGCTTCCATCAACTATATCCTCTTCCATAGCCCCCTTGACTAATAATTGTTATCTCGAGACTGCATACGCACCTCTCACTCCGTCCATCGTCATCGTTACCGACTTCCTCCAGTGCTTCAGAAGCACGTCATCACCACCAACGACAACATAATAACCATTCCGCCGGTGCCTTTGACGATTCGGCCAAATAAGCCATGTAGAGCAGCCTGGTACTCCCATAGACCTGCCTTATTTGACTGAACCGCCAAAGGCAGGTTAGTACATCTGTCTATGAAAACTTATGGATAGATGATCCAATGCATGTCGAGACTTCCACACATCTGCCCACTGTAGACAGACAAGGCCACCCGAACCCTTGTTTATTGCCACTTTTGCTATGATATGGCTATATTTGCATCACTTACCTAGATTTCTTCATATGTACACCTTTTCCCTTGAACCGGACACACTATGCGTTGAGCTAACATTCTATGCAGTGCCAAATCGCTGGGATTAGGTCCTGCTCTCACATTGTTTGGTGATAGTACAGCAGATAATCGATACTGGAATATATAACAGTAAAAGATAGGAAAAATATATCAACAGCATCATTGGTCTAGTGGTAGAATTCATCGTTGCCATCGATGAGGCCCGTGTTCGATTCACGGATGATGCACTCTTCTTTTTTCTTTTTGCTTTTAGTTTCCCCGCCAATCATAGCTTCTTCTACGCCATCTCAGGCAGCACCATCTCCGATTTTGTTCCAGAATTGCATTCAGGAAATCGTTGTAGGGGTCATGGGTACTACTACTCGTGCCCCACAAACGGAAGTTTACAATTACTATATTCGTTACTCGTGGTGTACAACATGTCTTTCGATTGCTTTCTCGCGTCATTGACGCTGCCAATCAATCTATGAATACCATAACCTGAACTAAGCAAAACGCACTGTCACCAATAGCAGATACTTCAACGCTGCATTCAACCCGAATGTCACACAGGGAATGCCACAGAAACCGCAAAGGATTCAGGAGGAATCGCTGTCACTTGAGGAGCTGGAACTCGAACTCGAACTCGAACTTGAGCTTGACGAACTGGAAGCTGATCGACGCTTGTACTTGCCATGGTGCTTCTCTTTATGCTTCTTGCGCCTGGTCAAAGCAGGTTTTAGTGCATGGGTCGCCGAGCAGGATAGCAGATAGACTTACAACTTGCTTGCAATTTTCATTCCTGCAGCCCCTGCCAATGCACCTCCTGCGGCACTCAGCACTCCGCCTCCCAGCTTATGGCCTAGAATGCCCCCGCCAGCTGCACCGGCTACAGTCGATACCAATCCTTTTTCGCCCTCTGGCGGTGTGGTAACAGGAGGTCCTGGCGGGGCATCATAGTACGAAGCACTCTCCCCTTGTTGGTACTGAGGCTGTGGATGATACATCGATTTATGGTCATAATTCATGGACATGGTTTGGTCATGTCGATATTCGCCTACCGGCTGCTTTGCGTCGTAAGGGGGTGCATAGCTTTGTTGAGGGTACATGGGAGGGTTGCCGGGTGACTGGTAGGAGCAATGATTGTTGTAGGGCTAGATGCTAATCAGCTCTTTGTTTCTCCAATATCAAAACTTTCTCCACAGTTCATGATGCATGAGCGTATGGTGTGGAAAACACAGATGGCCATGGCTACCGGGCACACCTACTGCAACCTGGTCGTATGCATACTGAGGATTCTGTTCAGGTTGGTATTGCTGTGCGGGGTAATCTCCAGGAGGGTTTCCATAGTTCCCTCCTCCAGTTTGTTGGCTGTAGTAGCCATATTGAGGATGACCGTACTGTTCATTGTAGTGATAATTGCCGTATGAGCCCGACATGGTGGTAAAGACAAGTGATGATCTGCTCCTCTGGATCGACTAAGACCACGCAGTGACGAATCAGTTGAGGCTATACGACACATGAACCTATATGGCTTCGCAAGGAAGGAATAAGCAATGCGATTGCCTTTTCTCGAAGACACAGGAGCACTTTCCAGATTAAACAACTTATGTAGTGACTATAGAGTGCGGTAACCGACGATCACTGCTTGAGATATTGGAAGGGTTCTGCATACCTTGGACAGCACTGAATCGCATAAGCGTACTAGCTAAATGGAAACCGTTTGGAGACAACCGCTCAATAAAGGCAATCCCAATACGAATGCCCACCGGTATCGAAGGAGGCTTGTGAACAAAGAGATCCTTCCTGCGTGGCTGGATGGTTCGAATCAAATCGATCGGTAAGCGCCTGGCTTAGGTGGCTTCCATGCAACATGAGGATATGACAAAGAACAGAATGCTTTCAACAGGTTACATCGACATTTGGGACCAAATCGTGACCCGGCACGTGATGGCTTCCATGGCAGGGAATCTCGATCCCTGTCGTCCACTCACCTCCGCAACCTCCTTCAAGAACAAGATTGGTTTCCCTATGCCCCCACGAGACACAGTGGTATATCATTGATACCGAGTGACTATGAATCGAGGGTCTTCTATCCAAGTATATGATACATTCCTTCGAATTGATGACAGTTGCGGTGTGGAAGAACCCATACTCCTAAGCTAGCATTCCATAATGAACCGCACTACCCTGACCAAGTGTGCTCTCCCAAGCCACGTCCCATTGCTGAGATTTTTTGATGCACAAAAGTTAGTCTCTCAGCGAAAGTTGATGTCTTCATCTTCTTATCGGTATTTCTGGTAAGTGGCCTCCTGCTCAAGGTTCCTGTGCTCTTCTAGCTTACTTGTTGTTTCCATAGTGGCATCCCCAACAACGCCTAATACACGCGAGGAATATGAGAACACGTTCGTGATACCGTTTTAGTGATGGCATATATCACATCAGCTGAATAGACGCTGACAAATCTGAATGGATCCATTAACGAGGTGCTTCGTCTACACCCTCCAATGGCATCCATATCGATGGCGCTTACATACCTGGCAACATGATAGTTTCCTGCCTGCAGTGAATACGAAAAAGATGTGAGTACCATACCATCAACTAAAGACCAAGTTGGACTAAGACTGTGGCCCTTGTAGCCGATGCTTTCTACTGGAATGCACAGGGTATTATCCCTGAACGGTGGTGCAAATACCAGGAGATGGTCAAACACAAGCCCGCCTATGCCCCCTTTCTCAGTCGATGAGTAGATACTTCGTGTTTCCCCTGTGTCACCAGAGAAGGTGATCTATTGCAGCACTAATTTCGTATGCCCCAGATACTTACGCCTGTATTGGCAAACCATTAGTAACCATTAGCATGAGAGCAACCATTTCGCAATAATCATGGGATTTGACATGCAGCTGCCACCAGACGATGACGGCACATTACTCGAGAGGAATATGAGATAGCATTCCTCTAGCTTCGTCGAAGATATCCACATCGTCTCAAGAAGCTGTATTAAGCGCCAGTCCTACTGTGGCTGAAGCACGCTGGTATTCACCCCTGTCTGGAATGACCTGGAACTGTGCTTGTGAAAGATGGCAGTTTGCATTACCAATCAGCAGATCTTACAAGTTGTACGCGATCCAGGCAGAGTTACATCTGTCAACCATTCATTTATTGATTCGAAACCAAGGTAAGACACCATGACACCTTTTAGCGGACAAGGGCAAATCAACAAGCTGTGTTCTCGGACCTCGGAGTATGGATTACTTCATAGAAGATTGTGGCCACGAAGTAGCAGGAAGGCAGCTGATTACCGTCCTGGGGTTATATATAACAGGAACAGTGTGGCAAGAGACGATGCTACTATCCTTCATTCCGAGCGAACAGGCTTGAGGAGAGTCCTGGTTGTCTTTGCTTGGGTATAACAGACTGCCACATAATCGCCAAAGGTGAGGACACAGTCAATACCGGTGCAAATGATAACGGAATGGGTACTGATCTCTCGCGTCTCCTATTCATTGCCTGACAGGTTCTCTGATCTTTGCCTGCAACATATCCACTGTGGTGTCAATGGGACACCCATTTCTACCTACGGGACAAGATGCGAGCGTTGACACCCATGTGCGGCTGCAACACAATCCATGAGACATAATTGTCAAATATCCGACCCCCTCGAATGCCGATGCACTCTTTTGCTAGCAGGACGTCGGCCCACTTCTCGGTCGTCTCCTGCAAACGACAGGCTATCCCATTCCTGAGCAATACCAGTATCTGCCCTTTGCCCGGCACCACATTATCTCCTCTTTGGGACCGTATCCGCAGCGCCGGCCGATCATGATGACCTACACTGACCTACCAATTGTTATGAGCATCAACTTTCAGGATAACCGGGGGTCAACCGTTCGTGTGGGTATTGAGCCAATCTGCGAACTAGGGGGGACGTCGGTAGACCAATTTAATCAGGTTGTGACGGTCGCCAGGATATCAGCATTGGGACCTGAATGTGGGTGCTCGATCGGAAGTTGTACCATTATTTTGTGGGAGATTTTGGGATCCGAGGCGGAGACAACCAAGCTGAATAACTTGGGCCCAATCCCGTGCAGTCGATGTATAGTATTGGGTTCGACGTCAAAGAGACGGGCGTGGACACGAAGGCATATGTCTTCCTAAGTTGAAGGAAAGAGCGTCTGGCATACCTATGCTGCAGCTGCTGATTCGCTGGGACGGCTGGATGGGATGGTCCGGCAAGTGGTTGAGCATATAGGAGGTGGGGGGTTCAATGAGTATACGTACCTGGCTTGAGATTATGTCGAGCCGCCAAATCTCAGGCCAAGATTCATGGGATGCACGGGGGATTGAGGCTTGAAGAAGCCGAAAGTGCGTGGACGCTGGGCGGAAAGTTAAAGGATCCAGCTACCATGTACCTGTGGGGCTTGGAGTTGGTCCGTCGGCTCTGGGGGTAGCTGGAAGATGACAGTTGGTCGATGTGAGTCTCAGTGGCGAAGAGGAGGAGGGAAAGGAGGCCAAGGCGGGCAGCCAGCCCGAGCAAGGTTTCAAGACTGGCATACTATGAGATCCGGCGTGGATGCGACATGCCCGTTCCGAAGCTTTATTTTCCGCTGTTTGGAAGGAACAACATGTTCGTGGCCAAGACTTTGGCGCAATTCTTCCAATCGCTAGGCTGGACGGAACAGGCTCGGACATATGTGGATAGCGTGCAGTATCTGTTGTGAGTCTTGACTTTCCTTCTTGTGGTCCAGACTGACCAAGATAGTTCCGATGAGAAGCTTGACCAGTCTTCTGTGTCGTTGGCGTATACCGAAAAGGCCAGGGTCTATGTGAGGGTGCTCTACCACTCTAGCCAGGCCTAGAATCAGTCTTGGTATCATTATGGCACAAATGTTATCTGTGGACCATGGACAGTTGCATAACACGGTATGCGTAAGCGAACAAAGGGTCGCTCCTGGCCGTCTTGTGCGACCACGCCAGTCGGTGAGTCAAGCCTGGCCGGCCAAGAGGGTAAGTATATAGGCTACTTCCTAAGTAAGACGGGGGCCCATCCGGACGAAAGGCAATTGGCCCGCGGGGTTTCGCGTGGCACCAGCTGACCCGACTGAGATTGACTGTCCCCGCGGGCATGGCAGAGACATTACATCAGACCAACCGGGGGGAGGGGACGCTCGGTCTAACTCCGCAGCAGGAGGATCGTTAGCGAGGGCATGGATTGGGTCTCGTGTCCGGGCCGAGAACCATTGATTCGCTGGGAGAGCAAGGGTGACAGTGTTGGTGGCTGACTGGTTCCAGGTGGAAGACTAGGGCGAGGCCCCCGGTCTCTTAGCTCGGCGCTTTACCCCGCGATGGACCGCCCACGCACGGCCGGGGCTCGACTGACTCGACTCATCATCCTGCGCTCTCGGCCGGCCACCCATTGGTGGTTATGAACGAGGGGAAAAAATTATAGTACCCATGAGGCAATTACAGATGTCGCAAAGAGAGGAACGAGCAAAGAAGCCGTAGTGGCAGGTCGACACCCCGGAGATCGTGGAGAAAGAAGCGACAGCTGGGGAACAAGATTCTGGGGACGCCCTTGGCGCCGTCTGGGGAAAGCTTGGCAGCGACACTCTTTCGCGGAGACCAACTCGCATCCCCACCACCAAGCACCACCAAGCACCGCGAAGCACCGCGAAGCACCGCGAAGCACAACAAACAAAGAAGGATGGTGGCAAGACAGCATCAGATGAGCCACCAGCACGGTCAGCAACCACTAGAAAAACGAGACATCGAAAAAGGGACGAAAAACAAGTCATGGAGATAGCATGGCTTCCGGTCGCCGGTGTGTAGCCTGACTAAGGAAATGCCCGAGGCCCTCCAGCCATGGGTCGATTCCGTTAAGCTTTCCAAACTCTCTTTTCCTTTTTTGCCCTCTGAGATCCTCCCTCCACCTCCATCTCACTCTGATTCGATCCCCACGTCTCCGGTTGCAGCCTCTTCTTCCTCATGTGAGGGATCGGCAAGCTGGCCGGAGGAAGTAGAGACCAAAAACCACGGCCTGCGGGGTCCGGTGTCCATATCGTTTCGGCTTCCTGTCCCAGTTTCACCGCGAGTGTCCTTATGCCCGACTTCGGGATTTAAAAGCCAGCTGCCCGCCAGCTCGGCTTGCCCGTCTTTTTTTCTTTTTTCTTTTTCACTCCCATCCCTCCCCTACCTTCCTCCCTTGTCTCCTCGCAGTTGGACGCAGCCTCTTGGTGGTTCTCATTTCCAACCCGACTGCTCACCATGTCCCACCTTTATGGGGATAAGCCCTCCACGGAGGTTCCAGTCCAGGTGTACGCCTCAGAGGAAGATGAGCCTCCGCGGATGGGACTGGGCAAATACCTACTCACGCGGGTCCCAACTTTGGTGCCTCCCATGAACCCGGCGCCCAACCCCTTCACAGCCCTCTCACTCTTGAGTCGGAAACAATGGCTCTTTTTTGGGGTGCGTTCCGAAACCGGCCCAATTCTTGCGTTGCGGCTAACCATGTCTCTAGGTCGCCTTCTTCGGCTGGACCTGGGATGCCTTTGATTTCTTTACCGTTTCCTTGACCACCACGCAGCTCGCAAAAACCTTTGACAAGACGGTCACCGACATCACCTGGGGCATTACCCTCGTGCTCATGCTTCGGTCCGTGGGGGCCATTACCTTTGGAATTGCGGCCGATCGCTGGGGTCGCAAGTGGCCCTTTATCGTGAATAACCTCTTGTTCATTGTGTTGGAGCTGGGCACCGGGTTCTGTCAGACATACCGGCAGTTTCTGGGCTGTCGCGCTCTCTTCGGGATTGCCATGGGCGGGCTGTACGGCAACGCAGCCGCCACCGCGCTCGAGGACTGTCCCATGGAGGCACGCGGTCTAGTGTCCGGGTTGCTCCAGCAGGGGTATGCGTTTGGATACTTGCTAGCCACGGCTTTTGCGCGCGGATTGGTGGATACCACCCCCCACGGATGGAGGCCATTGTACTGGTTCGGAGCATGCCCTCCGGTGTTGATCATCATCTACCGGCTGTGCCTTCCTGAGACCGATGCCTTCCTTGAGCGCCAGGCAACCCGGGAAAATTTCCATGGCGGAGTGACTGCCACATTCATGTCTGAAGGCAAAACTGCGATCAAGAGGCACTGGCTGCTCCTGGTATATCTAGTTCTGCTTATGGCGGGATTCAATTTCATGGTACGTCTCCACCCATCCCTTGGTCCTCATCAGCCTTGAAATGGGAGTTTACTGACCGACCTAGTCTCACGGTTCCCAAGATCTGTACCCGACCATGTTGGAGAACCAATTCAACTTCTCGGCCAACGCCGTGACAGTCACCCAGGTGGTGGCCAACCTGGGGGCCCTCAGTGGCGGCACGCTCTGTGGATGGGCGAGTCAGATCTTTGGTCGACGGTTCTCTATCATCGTCATGGCTGTCATTGGGGGAGCCCTGCTGTACCCGTACACGTTTGTGACGTCGACCAACGTGATGGCGGCGGCGTTCTTCGAACAGTTCTGCGTGCAAGGAGCGTGGGGGGTGATTCCGATCCACTTGATGGAGCTGTCTCCGGGTTCGATCCGCACATTTGCGGTGGGCACGGCGTATCAGCTGGGCAACCTGGTATCGTCGGCCAGCTCGACGATCGAGTCGACGATTGGGGAGCGATTCCCGCTGCCGCCAACGGATGAGGGGACGAAGCGGTACCAGTACGGCAAGGTGATCTGCATCTTCATGGGGTGTGTGTATGGATATACGATCCTGGTGACGTTACTGGGACCAGAGCGCCTGGGACGTCAGTTCGACGTGGCGCACGATGCGGACATGGCGGCTGTGGCCGCGCACCGGGGAACCGTGGCCGACGGGGCGGAGAGCGACCCGGAGAAGGGTACGGCCCGAACGCTGGAGGGATGAAGATGATGGGGAGGATTTACGCAGCATTGATGACGTGATGATTAGGGTTATAGCATTGTACAATTGATGGCAAGTCACGAGGGACTCTGATGTGGTGGCACCGGGAGGATGGTGGAGGACTCCACCAGAGCCCTAGACACTAATGGAGAGAATAATAAAACATGAATCAAGCATGCCCAGATCACCACCTTAATTGTAAGTCAATCACCCTAGAGACCATCAGCCTTGATTCATATGAACACAAGCATCATGTCCAGGAGGGAGGGAGGGAGGCATCAGAATCTGCTTAATGAAGGATGCTCATGATCCCGATCTGGGGACCGATCACCGGGTTGAAGGATCATCATGTGCTTGACTGTAGATGGAGAGAGAGGAGGGACCACTCCGAACTTACTTTGTGTGATGATGAGAGACAGGTCCAATGCCATCATTGGCGAAGGCAGCAGAAAGTAATGTCCGAGGAGGGCGAGTCCAGGGGCACAGGGCCTTTTATAGGCTGGCCGGGCAACCCCGCACTGGACAAGGCACACACAGCCAGGGATGAGGTGGTCGGATGATATCCCAATGCCTCCTATGTGAACTGGTTGGGGGTGAAATCAAGGGTGTCAGTAAATTGTATCTAGAACGAGGCCGTCAGCCAAGGTGAGTGATGCGACCCTCTTTTGGCTCCACTCTCGGACATTGGCATCTCGTGGAGCGGATCGGCCGCGATGCTCAGGGTCTGGGGCCCATCGTAGATGGATTCAGGGCGCACTGGGACGATGACGGAGACCCCGCGTAGGGATAGGTCTATGGACGTCAACATGCGGTGGTAGATTCCTTTTGCAGGTGTCAGGCGAGACGAATCCATGGTTGGACTCTGATGCTATGAATGCGATAGATTGATGTATTGATGCGTTCGCGATTGTAGAATCCACGCCGGAGAGATGAGAATCATCCCCACAACCTCAATCAAATTTGACTCTGCACTTCTTTGTACGGTTGGAGAAGAAGAAGAAGAAGAAGAAGAAGAAGAAGTCCTGGGGATCGAGCAAGCCAGGGAATAAAGAACGTGGAGTTGGCCGGTGCGGCGCCTGCCTCCGCCAAGGCCGGACCGGGTTTGGCTGGGGCGGCTTTCTCGCGGGTGTCTTTATCCTGCATCCTCCTTTCCCCTCGTCTCTCCCCCATTCCGGTCTTTTCGGATCCTTTCCTTGTCCCCTCCTCCTCCTCTGCTGCGGCGTACCCTCCATCGACCGCGTCTCCCTCCCTTTTCGCCCGATCCCCGCCTCTCCTAATCTCCCAATCGGCCACTCGTTTGCTCGTCAATCCACCCGATTCACTTCCAGGGTCCAATCCTACGCAGCATCAAAGGGAGGAGAGGGAAACCAAGGGTAGCTTGATACCAACTCGGCCAGTAGATCCCTCCGTCTCGGTCCGACCGGTGCTTCTTCTCAACAGTTGTCCGGTTCTTGGTATCCGAACCGTTGGCGCATTCCAGGCTGTTCGTCAGGGTCCAGCAGCAACCAGCAGATCGATCCCCTTGCCGCCTTCCCCCCAGACCACCACCACCACCACCATCACCTCCCGATCGGCTTCCTACACGCGCTGAATGAGTATCTTGCTGGCCGCCTCTTCCAATGCACAGACGCTCGTCTGGCTCGCCGGCCGAGGATGATGCTGAAGAATCCGTACTCACCGTCTCTCGCCCTCCGACGGAGCCGAGTTCTGGTCCCATCATTCTCGACCCGCCGGAAAAATCGCGTCCGCAGGCTGCCAGAACCGGCACCAGCTTCGATCTGCGCCGCGATGCCTCGACTCCTCGCTCCCGCAACTCCAGCCTCTGGCGCACCTCCTCCGCCTCCAATGACTCCCGCTCGTCTTCCGTCATGATGCCGTTGGCCTCCCAGCGATTGCCCATGGAGGCTTCCCCGGATGCTCACCTCCGCTTTCGACCCTCGCGCCTCCGCAGTCCCTGGCCGGTCTCGATCCTGACGGCACTCACCACCCTCGTCGCCTCCATCTTCATCTTCTTCATCATCCGATCCTTCTCCGAACGACAAATTGGTGGCGATGGCTGTGGGATTCCCGTCATGAGTCCCACGTTCATTCGCATGGTTGGATTTGATACGGAACATACCCGCTTTGCGAGCAAATATAACCTTTTTCTCTATCGGGAGGAGGGGGTGGATTGGTACCACCAGGAGAATTTGGGCGTAAGTATCTGGCCAATCATTGCTTTGTGTCCGACTGTTTCGCGATTTCAGGCTGACCCGGGCATTCTGCTACACCCAGTTAAACGGTGTCCCCGTCCTCTTTCTCCCCGGAAACGCCGGCAGCTATCGCCAAGTCCGATCCCTGGCTGCCGAAGCCTCGAGACATTATGCCGATGTGGTCCGACACGACGAGGAGCGCCTCAAGACCGGCACCCGGAACCTGGATTTTTTCATGATCGACTTCAACGAGGATCTGGCGGCCTTTCATGGCCAGACACTTCTCGATCAAGCCGAATACGTCAACGAAGCCGTGGCATACATTCTGTCGCTATACCATGATCCGCGGCGGTCGCGGAGGGATCCTGGGCTGCCAGATCCTAGCTCCGTGATTCTGGTTGGGCATTCGATGGGAGGCATTGTCGCCCGGACGGCGTTGACCATGACGAACTACCAGGCGAATTCAGTCAACACCATCGTCACCATGTCGGCACCTCATGCCAAGCCCCCGGTCTCGTTCGAATCGGATATTGTCCATACCTACAAGCAGATCAACGATTACTGGCGCGAGGCCTACTCCCAGACGTGGGCCAACAACAACCCCCTGTGGCACTTGACGCTGATCTCCATTGCGGGTGGTTCGCGTGACACGGTGGTCCCCTCCGACTACGCCAGTATCTCATCGCTGGTCCCGGAGACGCACGGCTTCACGGTGTTCACCTCTACAATCCCTGATGTCTGGATCGGCATGGACCATCTGTCCATTACCTGGTGTGATCAATTCCGCAAAGCCATCATCAAGTCTTTGTTCGATGTTGTGGATGTCCGCCGAGCCAGTCAAACAAAGCCACGAGCTGAGCGCATGCGGATCTTCAAGAAGTGGTATTTGACCGGTCTGGAGCCAGTCGCCGAGCGAACCCTCGCCCAGAAAGGTATTCGCCAAGACGTCATCTTGCCCACATGGTACTGACTATTATTGCTAGAGCCAACCACTTTATTGACGCTGGAAGACAATACCAACACCATCTTACCGCAGGGCCAACGACTGATTCTTCGCGAACTCGGCCATACCCCGAATACCAATGTGCACCTGCTGCCAGTCCCGCCGCAGGGGGTGTCAGGAAAGAAGTTCACTCTTCTTACGGACCAGAAATTCGACGAAACTGGCGAGCAGGGTACACTAGAGGTGCTCTTCTGCAGTGTCTTCCCCTTGCACAATGGTAAATTCGCCAGCATCTTTTCGATGAATATGGACTTTTCCGGGGGGAACGCGGGTTCCACGCGGCTTGCTTGTAAGAACGCCGCGGAGGATGGCATCCACCTGCCCGCCTCGACGCGGACCTCTAAGCAGGCGTACGACCGGACGTCGCCGTTTTCATATCTCCAGTACGATCTGGAGGATCTGGTGGAGCACCAGTTTGTGGCGGTTGTTGACAAGGCGCGTACACCCACACGCGGATGGGTGGTGGCGGAATTCTCAGACAGCTCCGACTCGGTCATCCGGGCTCGAGTGGGCCTGGGAGGCTTGCTCAGTGCTGGCCTGAAGATGCGACTGCCGGCGAATCGTCCCATGCTCACCGAGGTGAAGATTCCGGCGCTGCATTCGAGTCTGCTGAACTACAAGCTCAAGATCGTCCGACGGGGCTACGGCGAGGAACCCGAGCTGTTTGCACCGCTGCTGCGCCAGTCGATGCCCGATCCCCACGAGTCCAAGTTCTTTGTCAACGCGAGGCAGGTCAATGTGAACTTGCACGGTGTAGCCCCATTCATGCCTCCCCCACTTCGCGAGCAAGCCGCCTTGGGTGGCGTGTCCTTTCAGCTGTGGACGGACCCGAGCAGCGAGTCCACACTCGACATCTCCCTGTCGGTGGACATCCTGGGCAGTCTGGGTGAGCTCGTGATGCGGTACCGCACCGTCTTTGCGGCATTTCCGGTCCTGGTGATTGCTCTGGTTCTGCGGAAGCAATTTCAAGTCTATGACGAAACGGGATACTTCATCACCTTTGCAGAAGGGTTGGATAGCACGTTGCGGTCATCTTTGCCCCTCCTGCTGCTTGCTATGTCCTTGCTGGCTTCGTCCCTAGCTACGTCGACCACACTGCCACCAAGTGATGATCCGTTCCATTGGCGAAGCAACTCCACCGAGTCACCTGTCGATTTCACGAAGAACGATCTCCTGCTAGGCTCGCAAGATGCGTTCTTCTGGTTTCTGGTTCCTGTCTTCGGTCTGATCAGCGTGGGGGTGTGCGTTATGATGAACTACGTGGCGCTGTCTCTGATCTCGGTGCTGTCTTTCTTCTATGGCCTCTTGAACAGCAAGTCGGGGTACATTAAGCGCGACGACAAAGGGTAAGTTTGTCATTGATTGTCGGTCGGGTCTGTCGCTAATTGTGTTAGCAACCTTTCCCTCTTTTCTACCCCCACAACAAGACGGCGGTTGATCAACACGGCGATCCTGTTGGTTCTAGTTGCGACCGCCATTCCGTACCAGTTTGCCTACATGGTGGCATGTATCGTGCAGCTGGCTACGTGTGTGCGGGCACAGTGGCATGCGAGAGAAACGGTACGTCTTCGTGGCGTGGTTCTGGGATTCTGCTGACAGCCATAGAAATCCACGACCCATTTCAATTTTGCCAATTTCACGTATTCGATCTTCCTCCTGATGCTGTGGATCCTCCCCATCAACATCCTTGTCCTGCTCGTATGGGCCCACAACCTGGTTGTGCACTGGTTCATGCCCTTTTCGTCGCATCACAACGTGCTGTCGATCATGCCGTTTCTCCTGCTCGTCGAGGCCATGACTACAGGGACTATGATCCCTCGCGTTAACACACGGTATGTGTGCCATCATCTTCCGTTTGGATCGAACTAACATAGACAGACTCAAAACGGTCACCTCCCTCCTTCTCTTCGCCCTTGCCATTTACTCGGCCGTGTACGGCGTGTCGTACGGCTATCTGCTCCATCACCTTACTAATATCTTCGCCGCGTGGCTGGTGGGAATCTACCTGTTCAGCAGCGGCTTCTCGCTCCGGCGCCTGTGGCGGGTCCTGGAGGGCGACGACGCGACGTCGACGCAGGAGCCCGGACGCCACGTGAAGAAAAAGCCATAATCCCGGCCATACATATACGCTATTCTTCTATATTCTTGTCTTCTCTGTTGCATTTTGCCGGGTACCGGACCACGATTATACGGCGTTCTTGCTTGGGAGCGGTGTTTTGCTTATGTGCCGACCATGGTCGGTTGTACAGGATTGTTTATGCTCATACGAATGTTGATCGGCCAGTCATGCTGGGCTCAGCATGGCGTGGCCGGATTGTACTGGCTATCCGTTGTTGATACGTTGTCTGTATATACGGTTGGATCTGGAAATAGACTTGGCCGGTAATATCATGTATGCATGATCTTTAATGGTTCTCCCTGTAGTCACTTTCATTAGTATTCAACGTGTCTGATTCATAGCCCTACTCATCGTAGCCCTAATCATCACGATCCTACCCATCATGGCCCTATATTCACCCCGATTCCTCAACGATTTTAACCCTCACACCCAACCCAAGCATCGAAAAGGGATAGATAAACTCGACAGCGAAATTGAATCTAAACAACGGTGCCGAACGCCTATTACGTGACCCGAAGAAAATCTGCGAAGGCACCTTTCGAGGAATGCCGCTGCCCATGGTAAAATCAACATCGGAGAACGAAAATTGTTTCTATAGTTTTCGATTTTTATTGGTGTTTCTGTTGTCTGTCGGTTTTCAAGTTGTTGGGGCATGGCTTTTGATTTTTTCAAGTAGCTTATGTTTTTGATGTTTTATTTTCCACATTCTTTCTTTTGGAATATAGCTTTTGGGAGATGTTGTTGATCGTCTCTTTTTTATTTCATTTTTGGAATAGTTTATGGTTTTGAAGTTTTATTTTTCATGTTCTTTTGGAATAAAGCTTTTGGGAAATGCTGGTGATGGTTTTTCTTTTTGATAGATTGGGTTATGTCATTTTTCTCTTAGGCTTTGAGGTAGCTTATGTTTTTGAGGTTTCATTTTCCATCTTTTATTTTCCATCTTTTATTTTCCATCTTTTATTTTCCATCTTTATTTTCCATCTTTTATTTTCCATCTTTTACTCCATATCCTTTGAAATATGTCCGTTTTGCACATTTGACAAGTTGTTCCTGCATATCTTTTCCTACCCATATTCATTTATCATACTAACATAGCCAAATCCGTCCCACCAACTAAATCAATCCGGCGACGATGCCTAAGGGGGAACTCAAGCCCGCCCAAATTTCTCGCAAAAAAGAGCTAATTGACCAACTATCGGTCAAAAAGGGAGTAGAACGATTGAAACGGGGCAGCTAAAGATAGCAAAGGAACATAGAAGAACAGTAGTAGAAGAAGAATATCGAAGAAGAAAAAAAGGATGAAGGGTGCGACATCATGGGTTTGGAATGGACTCGTATGCACGAGCTAGAAGCCGTGATTGAGGGATTGGTAATTATGGAGGAGTTAGATTGCATTTATTTAGATACCAGTAGATCTTTATGGGGGTATATCATCTTGTTGGGTCTAGTTGATTGGTTTGGTCTAGGTATTATTTCTTTGCGCTCTGATTGGCTGTATGCTTATTTTGTTGTATGTAAGAAAGAAAGAAAGGAAGATCAATTAATCAATCAATCAATCTCATGATAATCAGGTAGGAATACACCCACCTACTCCGTACATATCACCACCTTCTGCTGAGTCAACTCCTCCTTCTCTTGCTCCGCCGGCATATCCTCCGAGGTAATCTCCACTTGGACCTTCTTGACAATTCCCACAGAACTGTACATACCCGCGCCATTCTCCGCTTGCTTGATTTCATCTTGCAGCTGGCTGAGATTCTCTTTCCGACGGCCTGGCGCGACGCTTTCCCGGGTAACTGTATAATTCGTGTATCGACGGGCAAGGCCTCTATTTTCACCGATGAGACGAGGAGCGTAGCGACGAAGGAAGTGGCGAAGGAAGGGGAGACAGATGCAGATGATGGCGAAGTTGGCTTCGATGTTGCTGGCAAAACATTAGATATGGGTTTTGGTGTGGTGGGGTGGGGTGCTTACATTAATAAATCTGGCAACCCGATAGTGTATGTTGGGTCTTCCGAATTCAGAAAAGGCATTATGCTAAGTAACCGAAGGATGCCGGTGACGAGGGTTCTGTTGATATCTCAGTGGATGTGGTTTGGTGGGGGGGTTGATACGCACGCGCAGCCGATCATGAACATCAGTAATAGACCGACTTTTTGGATCGAGGGCATGTTCAGACCCAGTACGGTTGGGATTGGGACCAGGATGAGGGCTATATCGGAGATGATGTTTGACACGGCGGTGGCGATATACAACGTGTCTTGATCGAGACATGTTCCCGGGACTAATGGATTCCAGGCTCGCTGGACGGGACGACATCCTAATAGGAATGCCATCATCAGAGCGAAGCTGTAGCCAATGATCATGAAAGCCAGACTGTATAGAATCCATCGCTGGTAGCGTTTCTGATGGAGGGTTCGGTGGTAGAGGACGATTAGGCTGATCTTTGCGAGGGCGAGTGTGGGGACGTAGATGATGACTGCGGAGAGGAGGACCTGGCCTTGTTAAATATGGACATCATAACTGGTTGTTTGGTGGAACCTTGCTGTATACTATGTACGTCGCGGGTGTCACATTCCAGATATGGATTCCCATGCCTCCATGCGCGTATCCATCTGGCTACATGTTAGTTGGGAAGTTGAAAGATCGTGCCGCCTTACAAATTGAACAAGCTTGGGTACCAACTGAAAAGACCTAAGCAGGTTAGCAAAGGAGTTGCTATGCGGCGTCCACTTACCCAGGCAAGGATGATGGATACTGTCGACAGTTAGCCACATTCCTTTACTGCATAACAAACATACCATCATCCCATCCGAACTTGTGCAGGAGATGTGCTTTGGTATACACCCGCATGGCCAGGCAGCCAGTGCTGATGATTAAGCCTCCTATGATGACCACCATATTGGATGTATACATATGGGGATGAGTATAGTCAAAATTGTAGGTCTCTCCGGGAGGAGGCACCTTCACTGTGATATTAGCCATGATGTCAGTTCCAAATGCTGAGGCTGCTTCACAATGATCATGGGAATGAGTCTTGGGGGCTTATATTGGTCTTAAGAGTCCCTGAGGGCTTCGATCATCAACCCTTGGCACAAGCAGAACTAGTTTGCCATCCTTTATTCCACCATGTATTGACAAATTGTCACGTTGTACAACACTTATGCACCATTCTTAAGAGGATAATGTTCAGGTCATAGAAATAGTAGCAATTAAGTATATGGGTAACTTCGCTTAGCTCCCTATGGGGCACGATTGCCATGACTGGCATAGATTCCCCTTGCATCGCTCGTGGACTTCCAATCAATGTTGAAAGCTTAGTTGGTCCAGAGGCCCGTGGGTGACGCCAAGTGTCGGCGGTGGAGCATGCCATCATGGAGACAAAGAACTTAAAGAAGAGGGGGCAATCAGGGGATGGCGCTGATTCGGATCGTGCGCAACGGCTCGTGCGAGCTATATCAAGCCACTGTCAATGCCGCTGTCTTTCAGGAGATATTCTCCTGGATAGTCTAAGATACCAGGACCAGACTCGTGCATGTCCTCGCTTTCATTCGTGCACATTGACAATAGTTCTGACATCGCTAATCGCTACACCTCGCTGATCTTGAATCCACCCGGAACTTGTATTTGGAACACTCCATCGGGGTCGTACTGTTTTGCCACGCGGGAGATGAATTCGATGTTCTTCTCACCGTAGCCCTTGAGTGGGTTCTGTGACTTGTCCGCATAGTTGAGGTAGACGTACTCATTGTCCGCCCCAATCGACTTGGCAAATTCATTGAGCTCCCCCAGAATGGACTCACCCAGGCGGCGGAAGAGATCGTCGTCATCTTGGTTGTCCCAGGAGTAGTCAAAAAGTAGTTCTGCGGGGTTTAGTCCAAGGCAAGGAGAAGAGCGAAAGCGACACGTACGAATAAGGTTCTCATCAAACCGCTCCAGGCCTAGCACATTACCGCCCTTCTCGACGCTATGTTGCGAAAAGAGTTTAGGCCAGGGTTGGATCATGGTATCCATAGCCCAATAACTGCTCTTAACGTGGGTCTTGGCCTGCTCGATGTAGTTGTTGTGGAGGTCAATCGCCTTGCGAAGGACTGTGGCGTCATTCTTGTACGTGCCCGTCGTGTAGATATAGCTTTGTCATTAGAACCTGATGAAATCATTAGGGTATGAACCTACCGATAACCTGGTGTCTGGCCTAGCTCATTGGTCAGATCATAGATGCTCGCAAATCGCATCGTGCTGGTAATGTTCGGGATCTTCAAGAACCCTTCAAATGCGGGCGCATACGCAACTGGTTTTGTATATTCCAATGCATTGGCCATGATGTTCTGCCCCGTTACTGAGTCGTATCCCCACATACCAATCCAGGATGCGTAGGGGTCATTGTGTATGTTGTTGGTAAAGTCCACTCCGGCCTCAATCTGCTGAGCGGTGGTGGAATTGTCATACACGACGAGCCCTCCCCAAAGGGTCTCGTGAGGAAACGCCCTGATATCGTACTTTGTAACGATTCCAAAGTTGATCGAGCCGCCCTTCAGGGCCTGGTAAAGATCCGAATGGCTAGTCCGGTTGGCATTCACGATCGATCCACTGGCGAGGACGACTTGAAAGTTCTCGACATTATCACATGCGAAACCTACTTGTGCTGTGTAGAACGAATTGCCGCCTGACTCGGAGCATCATTAGATAACCACATCCCATCTATTAGGCATACACCTTACCTCCAATCAGAAATCCGCTGACTCCAACTGCTCCAGAACGTCCGCCGGGCACCGTGACTCCATAGGGCTCGAGTGTCTTATATACGGACTGCCACCGTGCACCCGGTAAGATTGATGCCACTCCCTTGTCCTCGTGGTATGTAGTACTATTCATCAGGGAAAGATCAATGGTAACCCCCTGTTCAATAGCAGCCGCGCCAGGCCAGATGGTATGGCCACCACTGCGCACGGCAAATTGACATTGCGTTTGTGACAAAGCCGAGACCACGATTGAGACATCCTCCGCAGAATGAGGCTGGACAATGCATGAGGGACTAAATCGAGCATTCCCCGCGAAAACTTGATTTACGGACTCATTGTACGCTGCACTGGTGGGATAGAAGACCTGGTCACGCAGGGAAGTGGTTTGAAGAGCGGTGCACTAGTTGTTCGGTGTTAGTTTCTACAAACACCTCGGATGTGCGGTCAGCATACACAAAAGCCTGTGTTGTCGACCAGGAAGTTGGCCTCAGGCAGGATGCTAAGAAGGGGTGCTGCCGCGGTAGAGACCTTCATCGTTAGTTTGTGTGCCACATTCGCTTGAGGGGTTCGACATCGTCAAGGGAAATGGCGGAGCTCTTATATTAGAGTCCGCTGCATTACCGGAGTATTCCCGAGACAGAACTACCCCAAATGTAGAGATAGGACCGAGTAGAACTAGCCACGACTAAAGTTTACTTATCATGGCAATGCGGAGCAGAGTGGGATTTATGAAGGGATATGCGGGTTCCCATAGGACGGAAGGGCCGTGTTGATCAGAACAATCCCAAACTAGCTACTGCACGTTGGTGCGGGGTGAGTTGGCCGAGGCTGATTTGACGGTGGATCCATTGTATCTTGATGGTTGTCATGATCTGCCAGCGTAATGCGGTGCCGATGTTTGGAACTAAATCGACTGCAGCCTCACAGTATGATATCTAATAGGCAGGCTCTTTGAACGTTGAAATGGCATCGGGTTTCGGGCTGCGGACCGCTTGCTGCCATTTCCTGACGTCTCCATAATTTGAGTGGAGCATTCTCGTATAGAGTTAAAACTAGTATAGCATTGTCAATTTGCTAAAGAAACGGGCCAATTTGGACTACACCGCGATCAATTTCCTCATATGTCATTAGTATATCACGAGACAGTAAGGGTCGCCGGTGCTGCATGCGACCCATCCCTAGATCATCTATAATGTGCCTAAGTGCATGGCATAATAAACGTGCCGCTTAGGAAGAGAGCTCTGAGATCTGATCTGTTGAAAGAAGATGGTGGCAACAATGCTTGATGATTGCTAGAATACACAAGATGCAGTGGAAGGGTGATGAGGGGAAGAGAGGGAAAGAGAGGGGAAAGCAAATGGCGTGTACCACGTGTCTGATCAGCTGACCAGCAAGCATTCTACAACGAGACGTAGCAAACGATCATCCACAGACTCACTTTGACCTCCCCGCGTCTCCTCAGGATATTACCCGGGCAGACGTGACAATCGGTCCAATGGCGCTGTCGTTGCTAAGCCGAATGTATGGAAGCAGTTGTACAGCAGAAGCGCAATTCAGTATTAGATCGGGATGAAAATAATCTGCTAGACTAACTTTCAACAAGCGAACGCGAGAAGAGTATATTCAAACTGACGCCATTGTGTGGCTGCATAAAGGCTACAAGAAACTCCGCGGCACGCGGCACGCGGCGTCGCGGAATGGATCCGGTGGGGAGAGCAAACAGTGCAAACTGCGCGTCTTATCGAAAACTTTCCCGATTCCACGGCGAGAATTGATCAGTCAACTTTTCGGCCCTGTCATCGACAGTGTCGCAATGCTCTCCTGATCATTCGGGGTGTGAGAGAGAAGGGGGAATGATTTCGTCGTCTTCCCCAATCCCATGCCTTTGGTGCGCTTGCCTCTTGGCCCTCTCCTTTGATCATGAGCAGCCCAATTCCATATGAATACGAAGAAGACGACGACGCCTCGGATTTCAAGCTCGAGATTCAACAATCGCAGACCAGCGCCCCCTTACCGGCCCCTCCATCATACGGTCCCACTTCGTCCTCAACGAACAATCCACCCGCACAAACCTCGGTGACGCGCCGATCGACGAGGGGCACACGAGCCCAGGCGCTAGAGGATCTTCAATCATCGCTACCGAGGTCATCCGTGGAAGCATATTCCGACGTGCTTGTGAGGACCGTCGAAGATCATGCGCCTGTTCCTGCGACCATTGGTGGGGAGAACTACAGAGTCACGCAAAACGGGATCGTGACATGGACTCCGAAGGAGAAGGAAGTGCTATATTCTGTATTGGATAGAAAAGGCAAAGATGGGATCAAGGAAATCTCACGCCATCTCGGCTCAAAATCTGAGCTCGAAGTTCAGGAGCACTTGAAACTGCTCCATACGGGCCTGGAAAAGCAGCACCTAAAGGATCGCCATACAAGAACGGTCATCTTGGGTGATGTCCCCGCGGCAGCCGAGATCAGCGGTGAATGTTGCGATGCGCTCGATCAGTACGCTGAGCTGGTTGCATTGGAGGAGCAGCTGGCAGAGGATGTCGCCGGGAAACAAAAGCACCATGACTTATGGATCATTGATCGCAAAGCGGCTGAAGAGCTTGGGCAGGAGATCAAAACCCAGGGTGCGGATCCTGGTGCCAACTCAAGCGCACATCTAACAGCTGATCTTCTGAACATGAAGAAATGGATTCGGCTGTCGGAACGCTTCTTCATGAATTTCGGGGGTGCAAGGCTGGAAGACAATTGGGTCAATGTAGCCTTTGCGGGTGAGACCCCATCTATGACTGCGGATGCCTTTGCAGACTTTTACGCCCTGACCGTCAGTTTGACACGCCGCCTGGTGCAGTCGACTCTCTTCTTCGCCATGTCCAGACGGCGGAATATGCGACAGACTGGCAATGAAAAGGCGAACGTGGTGAGGTCTCGCGATGTTCAGACCGCTGTGAACGTGCTCAACATGCAACGGGACAGCTCCGACTTCTGGGTCGGGCTGGCGCGAAGATGCAGCCTACGGGTTGAAGATTCTCGCCACCGAAAGGGGTGGAAGGCAGTGCATATGGAGCATAGTGACGTCGAAGATATCTTATCCGCGCAGGTGCCTTTTGAGTTCGAGTCTGGTGAAAGAAGCATCTCACAAGGGAGATCAGCAAGCCGTGTAGGTCGTGCCACAGATTCCGAAGATGCAGACGCCAGTGACGCCGAGTCCGAGCCGCCCTCACCGGCCGAGTCCTTGCCCTCTTCTCCTTTGTCATCTCCGGGTGAAGAGAAACCAACGGATCCCGAAGATGACCATGCGGAACACGTGGACGAACAGATGAGTCGCCTTGAGGAAGTGGATTTATGGAAGCTCATTGGACAGCCACCGCAATCTCTTGAAGCGCAAATCGAGGAAGATCAAGCGCGTGGTACTCACCGGCGGAAACCAGTCGGGGAGCGCAAGACGACAGCAGACTTGGTTGATTGGCGCGACAGGACATTTTATCGCAACGAGTGGGAGGAATATGGACATGACATAGTAGACCTTCACGATGAGCTTTCGGAGAACCGACGAAAGCGGCGCCGTGTCGACCAACAGACAGATGAACAGCCGTCATCAGCGCCGATTCTTAAGCATCTGTCTCCAAGGCCGACAGCCGGTCTCGTGCAAGAAGAGGGCGATGAGGGCTCTGATTACGAAAACAACGAGGATGGCGGTGAGGAAGATGATGAGGGAGACGACGATGAAAGAAATGGCGTGGAGGAAAACTATGAGGACTACGAAGAAATGGCAGTTGATGAGCCAACACCAGCGAAATCTGACATCGAAGAGAGTGAAAACAACGATGCAACAGGCGGAGACGAAGGAGAGGACGACGGCGATGACGATGACGATGACGATAGCGATGAGGAGGGGGGAGAGGAGGAACACTACCAGGAGATGGCGCTGGACGAGCCATCACCAGCAAAGTATGAAGCCGAAGAAACTCCAGAAAAGGAGGCGACGCCAGAGGAAAGTCCGGTGTCTGAGCTTGCGTCTCGTCTAATCTACGAGCTCGAGAAGGGCCATTCAGACCCAAAGCATACACCACGCATAAGAACCCAAGACACGGGCTCAAGTGCATTCTCAACTCCTTCCAAACCCAACGAAACGGTTAGACCCATGAGACGAAGTGCTCGCCTTCAAAAAGCGGCCCAAACGGCGCCAGAGGACGATATATCTTTCAGCTCGGATGACAATTTACCCAGTCCACACGAACGAACAGTCTCAGAGGAGGAGGAAGATGACGATGAAGGGGGAATGCCCTTGTATTCCCACCCAATGAGCCCAGCTGATTCATCAGACTGAATACGGCACGGCCCCTCGGGTGCAGAATGAGGATATATTGGTTCCATCTACCGCATATAGATTCTTGTATATATTGTCTCTCGGGATACCTGCTTGGAACTTTTGTTAGATACCTGTTCGCATGGCATAGACCATCTACAATCACATACTACGCTACGACTAAATGTATAAGGTCTTCTGTTTGGGAGTACTTATCCCAGCCCTTGGATCTACGCAGTACACATCATCGGCCACCACAATTACAAAAGCTGCGTCTCGATAGCACCTTCCATTCCCAGGGAACAAAGACAACCACAAAGATAATAAAAACATGCAGGCTACCAGAACCAGGTGGCACTGGCAAAAACGCAAAAAGGAAAGGGTCGAACGCGATTTGAACGCGTGACCTTAAGATCTGCAGTCCCACGCTCTACCCCTGAGCTACCGACCCTTTGCTTGTCAATGCTGCAAATTCTATTGCTACATCAACATGGTAAGCGTTTAAGCGCGAGCAATTCATGTAGAAATGTCAATACGAGGTGATCTAAGTTTCTGTTGGTTTCGGTGTCCATATCCATGTTTTCCTGAACCTCGATTCTGGAAGTAATCTACTAGTGGGCTGGGCTCGGTCATTCTGTTTTCTCAGCGGACTGATCTGTAACCCTAACCCTTGGTTGATGTTGACGACTTAGATATAGAGTACAAGTAACTATCTGTTGGGGTGGACTGACGCCTCTCCCGACTTCCCCGAACAATGGGCTATTCAACGCGATTAGGCACGGTTTAGTGTAAGCAGTTTATTTTGGGCGGGGGTTAGAAGGAAGGAAAGAAAAGGCACAAGCTAAATGAAAGGAAAATGCCAACTCGAGCTCGGAATCAAGTACACTCCACCATCCGAACAAAAAATGAAGGAGGAAAAAAGCAAGGGCCGAGCGTGGATCGAACACGCGACCTAAAGATCTGCAATCTCTCGCTCGTACCACTGAGCTATCGACCCCTCTTGCTTGGGAAATTTATGAGTTGACGCTCTATAGGGCTGCATGCCAAACATGTTACTGAGGGAGGATTATTCATCTGCTCTGGTTGGCATTGCTTGCTGATTGTATGTTTTATTATATCTATTCATTTTTCTTGGTTAGATATAGTGGAGTACCCGTTTGTCTTCCTGTTTTGTGCTGTACCAGTAGTGCTGTTCAATGGCCGGGGTTCTTGTCTCGGGGGATATATATTTTGTTCAGTTCCTCTTGAGGTGTACGATGTCCAGGGGGGGTTCTCGGTAATTATTCACTATGATGACAGACAGGTTGGTTACTATTCACCTAATACACTCCGAGCATTCCACAGAGGAATAGCATCGTGAATTAGATTGCTGCCGCATTCCAGAGCACCACCGGGGGACATGGAAACACGCCAAAGCCTCCAATATCAGTTAATAGCCACTAACAAGGCTGAACAGTGAAGTGGGGATATTACAAAACAAACCTCATATTGAAAACAGACGACAACAAGTGAATTGCACTGTTAGTATATAGCAGCCATAAACTCCGAGATTGTACCTGGTATGCATCGGGATATTGAATTTGTCAGCCCGCCATACCACGGCATACCCAAACCCCGATGGGCACCATGTCACTAAAATACAGTCCAAGCTAAAGTATGGGCAAGTGCTCATTATGAAAAGTCTGTCCATGTACTCAAGATGGCCGTAACCCATTAGATATCTGATTCGCGTCCCTCTGGCCATGGTTGCCACTCTCCTGATAATCAAACTATAGTACGATAAAATATATCAGAATGTCTCTCAAGCCCGTCACCCTCTACGGCCATACCCTCGGGCCCAACCCCGGAAGGTGGCCATGATTCTCGAAGAGCTCAATGTCCCCTAAAAGACCACCTATGTCCCGTCTACGGAAGTCAAGAAAGAGCCTTTCGTCCTGATCAACCCCAACGGCCGCCTGCCCGCCATCGAAGACACCAACACTGGAATCATTTTGTGGAAATCAGGCGCGATCGTCGAATATCTCGTCGAAACATATGACAAGGACAACAAGATCAACTTTCAGGCCGGCAATCCCGAATACTTCCATGCCAAACAGTGGATCCACCCCCAAGTCAGTAAACAGGGCCCATACTTTGGCCAAGCTGTTTGATTTCAGTCATAGCACCCGAAAAATATCCCAAGCGCAAAGGAAAGATACAAGAATGAGGTTCTCCGGATGTCAGAAATATTGAACAATGTGCCCAGAGACCGCGAATACCTGGCTGATAGGCGGTTTAGCTATGCAGATGCCTCATTTCTGCCATGTTATAATGTATTTGGACACGTCGCTGATAATGAAATTGATTTGGAGAAAGAGTTTCCGAATCTCAACTCGTGGCTGGAAAGGATGAGGGAGAGGCCCGCCATGGTGAAGATTAGCAAGGACAAGGAAAATGCACTTGCAAACCAACTGCGTTAGTGTGTGGTTCTCCATGCGAGTACATAATTATTGGGGACTTCTCGTGTTCCTAATAGTATATAAAGTAGCATTGAATATGATCTCTAACTACGGAGTATTTGTTGAAGTGGAGATGATGGGGAGTAAACCGATAATGGCTAGACCTAACGCGGCTAGCGCGCCTGAGAGGCTTGGCGCGAGTTTTTGGAGCGTCGGTCCGAGTCGCGACAGTTGCTCTGCAACCCACCCTCATCACGTCTCGTCGCTGTCCGGTGGAGTCATCCACCCCATTCATCTTGGATATCCCGACTGTTTCTTCCTCCTCCACCTCAACCGATTGAGGGCTGCGTCTGCGCCCTGTCTACCTTTACCCCCGAGCAGAGTCAAGGTCCCTTGTTCGCTGCCATCGCGACCTCAGCTCCCATCGACTACTAGCCGACAGGATGGAGGACAACTCTATCATGCCTGGTGGCGCCGCGGAGGATGCCCACGCGCTTAACTTGACCCAAGATGCCCCAGGTGATGTGATCTCTACTTCCGGTGCGTCTGCTCTCTCCGCCCCCAAGGGGAACCTGCCTACACTCGCAATCACGACACCCAGGGTCGCAACCGCACCAGGGATCTTTTGAGCAGAAAAACGAGACTGTTTCGAGGACTAATGTTCTGCTAGATGCCCCCGGCTCACCAAAGCCTCACAACGATGGCGAACCCGAGGATGAAGAGATGGGCGGCACGGAGACGGAGACAAAGAAGGAAACCGACGGAGGAGACGACCTTGCCGACGTTGCTGCACAGTCCGGCGCTGAAGGTGCGGCGGAAGAGCAACCGGCGCAGGCCAAGGCATCCGTCGAAGCCTCTGCACGCTCGCATCTCGTTTCGCAAACCCACGCCATCATCCTCCCCAGCTACTCCACCTGGTTCGACATGCATCTCATTCACCCCATCGAGAAGAAAGCGTTGGCAGAGTTCTTCAACGGCAGAAACCGCAGCAAGACACCCGCCGTCTACAAAGACTACCGCGATTTCATGATCAACACTTATCGGTTGAACCCTATCGAGTACCTCACGGTCACTGCTTGCCGCCGCAACCTTGCCGGAGATGTGTGTGCGATTATGCGGGTGCACTCTTTCCTGGAGCAATGGGGCCTGATCAACTACCAGGTATGTATATAGTCCGATGCTCTCCAAGGTCAAGATACTGATGTTCAATCAAGGTGGATCCCCAAACGCGTCCGTCAAACATTGGCCCTCCTTTCACTGGTCACTTCCGAGTAGTCGCCGATACCCCGAGAGGACTTCAGCCCTTCCAGCCTGGGCCCAACCATTTCGTCAAGCCCGGAAAGCCCTTGCCAGCTACAGATCGCGCAGCGTCAGCCACACCAGCTACCAAGGCCGACCTGAACCTCGAAATCCGTCGCAATGTTTACGACGACAAGGGCAAGGAGATCACCCCTGCCGCCGACGACAAAGAGAAGCAGACCAACGGCGAAGGAACAGCAAACGGTACGGCCGGAGATGCGACCAAGGCAATGGAGAGCGCTTCCAAGGAGCCGAGAAAGAAGTTCCATTGCTTCTCTTGCGGCATCGATTGCACGCGCCTCAGATTCCACTACGCCAAGGCAACACCGGCCACCGCCAACCCGGCCGCACCGGACACCAAATACGACCTCTGCCCCAACTGCTTCCTGCAGGGCCGGATGCCGTCCAGCCACAGTGCTTCAGACTTTGTCAAGCTCGAAGAAAGCCCATACACGATCGCCCCCGACAAAGAGGCCCCGTGGTCGGATTCGGAGCTCGTTCTGCTGCTGGAGGGATTGGAGAACTTTGACGACAACTGGGAACAGATCTCCACCCATGTCGGGTCTCGGACCAAGGAGGAGTGTGTGATGAAGTTCTTGCAGCTGGAGATCGAAGACAAGTACCTTGACGATATGCCCGAGATGCGGGCAGCGAATGGCCGTGAGCCAATCAGCCAGACTGAGAACCCCGTTCTGTCGGTGGTTGCTTTCCTGGCACAGATGGCCGAGCCGGCTGTGGCTGCCGCCGCTGCCGGTCGCTCCGTCGAGGAGATCCGCAAAGAACTGAGGAAGCAGCTGGAGAAGGGCTCCGGTGCGCAAGATAAGGGCAAGGAGAAGGAGGGTACGGCAGTCAAGGCGGAAGATTCCATGGATGTGGATATTGCTCGTGACGACGCCACCGAGCAATCCCTCGAGGTTGCTGGCTCGGATAAATCCAAGGCCTCTCTTCCTACCGTGGCCCTTGCCGCCTCCGCGGCGCGTGCTGGAGCTCTGGCTTCCCACGAAGAGCGGGAGATGACTCGCCTGGTCTCCGCCGCCGTCAACGTCACCCTTCAGAAGTTCGAAATCAAGTTGCAGCAGTTCAACGAGATGGAGGAGATCATTGAGGCCGAGCGCCGGGAACTCGAGCTTGCTCGCCAGCAGCTCTTCCTCGACCGGATGTCCTTCAAGAAGCGGGTCAAGGAGGTCCAGGACACCTTGCAAGCTGTCAGCTTGAGGGGACCGGGCGAGGAGACCAACGCTCTGCTCGCAGATGCCGCCACGGCTGGGATTGGAAACCGCTACAACTTTCAACCGGCGGGAGGAGATGTGAGAGGCGTGCAGCCTCTGAGCGCAGACACAGGGGCCGACTACAAGATGTTGGACCTGTAATGTATGAACGACATGCTTTCGACAATTGGAGAAATCGTATAACTTTTAACGACCGGACAAGGAGCCGAGTGGGATGCTTTCATAATATCCATTGTATTGTACAATATCATAGGGCCGGCCGGAGGCTAACAGGACGGGAGGTAGACCGCTTGGTGATGTGATGGATGACGGATGCACTATGGCCTGATTTTATTTTCTCTTCAATCTACAGTCAGCTAGGTAGGAAAAGGCGCAAATGTTTTGGAGTTCCGAGCTATGCGTGCCTGTGAATTTCGTTAGTTTTTCGGTTTGGTTGCATGCCTGAATAAATGTCTCTTTAACATAGCCATAAGATCAACACCTTTCTTATATTGACTACTACTTATCTATAAACCAAATTCCCAAGATCGAAAAGCCCTGGTACATTGTACGCGATATGCCCAAGAGAGATGAGAAAGGACCCAGGCTCCTTCTCTGCTAAGGCTATCTTCCAATGACATGGCATGACTTGACAATTGGCAGCTACACAGTACAATTTACCTCAAAGACGACCTTTGTTCTAGAGTACTATAGAGTATCATGAATACTCGAGTACGCGAAGCAATCATGATCCATTTAATACCCCCCAACCACACAGCTACATTCGCAGATCCCCATATAGTCAAAAACATACACATACACAGGACGAGTCCCAAACAACCCACAATAATGGCCTGACACCTCAATATGATGGCTCGACGAATGTCGATCCTATCCACCAAACAAGACATGTCGCTCCACCCGCGCCGGGGTATGACGCAGTGCTTTTATAAATCTAGACGCGTCTGCGCGTGTGCTGTTTTCCCACAACAACTAACAATCAACCAACGAATCTCGTTTCTCAATTCACCACTTTATGCCTTTAATTTTAATTTGCTTTTGAAGTATATCCCATTTAATTATCCAACCTACAAACGACAAGCTACAATGCCTCCTCGGAAGAGAAAGTCCACTGAGGTGGACCCTGAAATAGCAACTGTCGGGTCTGATAAGGAGAATCATACTGCAGTTGTTGCAGCAGTACCAGCAGTGGCTCCGACTTCGTCTACGAAGAAAACCTGTGATGAGGTTTGAAAGGAAATACGCGACTTCGTCGCATCTGGAGAGATGAGCGCCGCAGAGTTTCAACGTGCTATTGACGTGTCGCCGCGGTCGTATTCGGAGTTTTTGAATCAAGAGGGAACAGATAAGGGAGCTAGATCGGCTACGTATAGGAATGCGGTCAAGTTCTTTCAGGATAGGAGGGGAGGGGTGATGCCCTTGACGGAGGTGCAGCCTGCTACAGTACCGGGAGTTCAATCAGCAGAAGTACCGGTAGAAGCACCAGCACGAGCACCAGCACCAGTACCAGAACCGGCATCAACTATGACATCAGCAGTACCGACCAAGAAAACAAAGAAGAATCCGGCACCGGCATCCGGGTTTGATCTATCAGCAATCCACCTGGACGGGGACGAGGATATGAAGGTACCAATCTTCGAGACATGTGATGTTGTGAGAAAAAAGATGAAGGCGCATCTTCGCAAACCCGGGGTTACCCAGGCCGGCTTCTTGCGAGATATGGCCAAGGCAGCATTCCCCCAGACCGCCAAGCGGTTGAGTTCCAAGTCGATGGCGGATTTCTTGTCGTACAAGGGGCCTACCACCGGCAGCTCCGGGGTCATTTTCTATGCGGCGTATGTGTTTTTTGAAAAGTTGAGGGTTAGGGATGGCAAGCCGAAGAATGAATTCCGACTGGAGATGGAGAAGATCTGGCCCAATGGCTTTGAGCGCGACAATCCGGCTAATGGGAAGCTTTGGTGTGGTCCGCACGAGAGACCTTGGATTGACAAGTATGGGCGGCTGCAGTTCCGGTAATCGCCGCCGGAGTGCTTGGGAATGTATTATCTTGCTATTGTACTAGTCTGACTGTTGAGGCTCATTCCGAGGTTCAACCTCTTTGATCTTTTTCCCCTGGTCATCGATGCCATCAAAGATTTGCCACGCATTTTCCTCGTCCGTAGAGAGGGCCAGTTGGGGATTGGTGTGAATCACATCCCAGGAAAACGTAGGCCTTTTGGTTACTGAATTCCAGTTCACGCGAGGGACTAGACAAGACACGCGCTTCCAGAGCCTCGTCATGAATCGTCGCGTGATGTTATGAGGTCGCCCGTCCACATATTTTTCGAAAGTATCTCCCTTCGACGGCCCCTTTATCAAAAACAAAGCAACATTGATATTGCGAAATGGGGCGGTACCGACTGCTTTTCTTCGTTTGGGCGGCGTCCACGGAGTGGCCCCGGATATTAGGCCGTCTAACGTATCGAGCTCTGCATCAGGCAGCGGCGGAAACATATTTGATCGCGCCTTGACGTACCATTCCCTCCTGATATTAATTCGACGAGATTGAGCGAGCGGCCTCCCCCAGACATTCTCGTTGGGGATGACTGGCTCAATCTCCTTGACGTGATACCCGGCATTCAGCAGGGTAATCATCGCGTTATGCCGTTGAGCCTTCAGCAAATCAACCATGAGCGAGGGAGGCCTCCACCCATCCTTGAATTGTCCCACAAGAGGTTGCACGTTCGCCGGATCCAGTGCGTCCACTGCGTCCGATGGCGTGATGAACTTATCAATCAGATCTTGTCTCCGTTTCCCTCTGCGACCATATGCAAGTTGCAAAACCTTTTCCAACGGTTTGCTGTATCCCTCATTGGCTCGACGGAGCAAAGACAGTTCCTGAAGGGCTGATTTATGCAGCGCAATCTGTCGAATCAGGTCCGGCTTCTTTTTGACATACCGTCGGTATCGGTCGAGGGTGTGGGCATGCATATTGACTCTGGCGACAGGGTCAGGGAGGTAGGAGCACTCGCGGAGTAGCGCACGGAGGAGATGTCGCCATGTTTCGACAGGGATTCTGGGGCTCGACATGGTGTTTGGCAGCACTGGGATCAAGTTCAATGTCGCCTTTTCTTTTCCTGTGCGGAATAAGGACGGAGGAACAGAAGCAAACAAGGCAGGCGGTGAGGCGGATATCCCAAACAGGCAATAGATGTGGTAAAAGGCAGCAAACGCGAAAACGGCTAGCCGCGAACGCGACCGGACGAATAATGAAGCCCCGCGACTTCATCTTCTCCCTCATCGTGTGTTCTCCAGGCTTGCCCACCTTCCCCCCAATTCTTGTTATGCAAGGCTACAGTACGGAGTATATTGTACAAGTCACCTGACAATTCCAATCGGCGTGGCTTGAGAGTTGCTGTAAATCTCCCGGCCTCATCGAACCTGTCTCATCCCTTCGCGGTCGGTGCGCTAGCCACGCGCCTCTCTTTCGCGACTTTCCGACGCCTGGCCTGGTCAGTAAGACCGGAGCAGTAGATCCTAGGATAGGTGCAGTTCCCCACATGCTTCCATTCTCTCCTTCTGCCAGGATGCTTTTGGCTTGCTGAACTGCCCCTGCTATTGGCTTGCGTCCCTGCAAATCCAGACTTATTAACTTTTTCCTTTTCGACAGAGCAGTCAGCCTCGAGGTCGGTGTCGGGGTCGGGCACCCTAACACTAGTATATTCACCCGTTCCCCAATGGCATCCAACAACCACCACGCAGCCCGCCCGGGCCTCCCCATGTCCTACTCTCAGAGCAGCATGAGTTCAGCCAATGGCATGGCCTTTTCGCAATCGCAAATGACCTCCTTCAACGCTTCCCAGTCCGTATCGTCCACCCCTCGAGCTACACCTCCTCCGAAAGGATCGCAACAGTCCACCATGTCCTTTGGCTACTCGAACGGCATGCCGCCCGGCCCTCGACCTAGCTTCGCAGGGTTTGAAGACATGAACGGCTATGGAACAATGATGTATCATGAAGAATTCAAGCCCCAGATTTACAGGGTCAGTGTTTACCACACCTGCGCCGAGCTTTACTGACTTGCTCGTCTGCCGTACAGGCCGTTTACTCCAATGTCTCCGTTTACGAAATGGAAGTGAATGGAGTCGCCGTCATGAAACGCCGTACCGATTCCTGGCTCAATGCCACACAGATTCTCAAAGTTGCCGGCGTGGTCAAGGCAAGGAGGACAAAGACGCTGGAAAAGGAGATTGCGGCTGGTGAGCATGAAAAGGTTCAAGGAGGATATGGTAAATATCAAGGAACCTGGGTGAACTACCAGAGGGGCGTGGACCTCTGCCGGGAATACCACGTTGAAGAACTGCTGCGACCCCTTCTGGAATACGACATGGGCCCCAACGGTACCACTGGCTCGGCGCAGGACTCTCTGGATACCCCGACGAAGGAGCAAGCGATGGCGGCGCAGAGGAAACGACTTTACAGCGGAATGGATAATCGCGGCATGGCTCAGCCGCAGCAGGGCACGTTCTTCCAGAACATTTCTCGCACTGCCGCAACCGCCGTCAATGCCATGAGCAAAGCTCGCTTCGACTCGCCCGCAGCCCGAGGCATTGACCAAAGACGATCCAGCGTCATCCGGAAGCCTTCGCATCAGATGGGCAGCCAAGAGACCCACATTCCTTTCAACAGCCAACAAAGCATGTATAGTGTGGCGTCGGATAGCGGCCTCGGAAGCAACTTCCAGAACAATAGCCGCTACCCAATCCATGATGGTGCCAGCTTCGACCACGAGGAGCCAGTCGAACCTCCTCGTAAGCGTGTCCGGTCCTCGTCCCACCATACACAATCGTTCGGGCTTCCCTACGAGCATTCGACCCTGTCCGTACATGAACCCACACCCACAGAGCCAAACGATTCTTTCTACCAGGATATGGACGTCTCAGCTTCAATCGTGGATGGCAACAAGCGCGGGTTTGAGCCATTGCCCCCCGCCACCACTCCGGAGAGATTCCAGAAAATGAAACTCATAATGACACTGTTCCTTGATAAAAAGACCCGGGATTTCTCAACCCACCCAGCGTTGATGCAATTAAGTGGAGACGACTTGGAGATCCCATTGGACGAATATCGGAATAATGCCCTGCACTGGGCAGCGATGCTCGCTCGTATGCCTCTTGTCTATGCTCTGGTCGAGAAGGGGGTCAGCATCTTCCGCTTAAACGGCGCAGGCGAAACAGCGCTGCAAAAGTCCGTAGGAACAAGGAACAATCTTGATTACAGGAGCTTCCCGCGTTTGTTACAGGTGCTGGCCCCGACTATTGACATGGTCGATTATAGTGGGCGAACCATCCTCCATCATATCGCCGTAATGGCCGCCACTGGGGGTGGGGGGCACGTCTCTGCTAAACACTATCTGGAAGCCTTGTTGGAATTCATCGTTCGCCACGGGGGTACGTCACTGAGCCAGCAAACCCCCAACGGTGCTACAGAGAATGGGCTGTCACAGACTGGGGAAGTAATAACTCTCGGCCGTTTCATCTCGGAAATCGTCAATCTTCGGGATGATCAAGGGGATACTGCCCTCAATCTGGCTGGACGCGCACGCTCTGTTCTTGTGCCCCAACTTCTAGAGGTTGGGGCAGATCCTCACATACCGAATCACACGGGTCTTCGGCCAGCCGACTACGGGGTTGGGGTAGATATGGTTGACGGCAATTCTCAGTCGCAGCAAGCTGGAAATGGGAGTGACTCATTCATGGACCAGCTAGCGAAGACAAAGAAAGAGATCCTAGATTGTGAGTGACCTTGCTGATCTGTCCATCACTTACTAACTGCTATAGCAACCTTGGCTCAAATTACATCGATGGTACAAGAGACACTGGGTGGTCTCGACCGAGAGTTGGCTTCTACCCTGGCGAAGAAACAAGAGAAATTTGACCACTGGCACTCGAAGATTCGCGAATCGGCCAAAGCACGGCAGATCGAGCAGAAGCAGCTTGACGAGCTCAAATGCAAAGCTTCTGATCGCGTGGAACTGAGCAGACGGTACAAGAATTTGGAGAAGTCGTCCGAAGACCTTTTGGTGATCCTGAAAACGATACAAGGAGATTCGTTAGATTTATCGAAGAATTATGCAATCGGAGATGCCGACAAAGACCACGGGATCGACATTGCCGGGTTTGAGGCCGTCTTCCCCGAGACCTTTGACCCTGCGTCTGGCTTTTCCGAGCAGCAGGTGGCCTTCCTTCGCTCACTGCCTGCCCCCGAAAGCCTACAACAACGAATGGGGTGTTACCAAAAGTTCAATGAGGACATATTGAATGAAGTGGAGCGGCTCAAATCCAAAAACGTCGTTTTGGGCCAGAACTACCGACGCATGGTCATGGCCTGTACGGGGTGGACCGCCGAACAGGTGGATGAGGCTGCCGAGGGGCTGACGCAATGCGTCAAAGAACTCAATGAACACCCGGTCCCGGAAGATGAGGCGATTGAGATTCTGATGAAGGACCGCGGTCAGGACTGGTGATTCTCGTACGAAATGTGAAACGTCATGGTACATATGTCTGGATCGAATCCGTGGATTCGCCGAGGCTTTGAAGCGATACAGCGATTCTTGTTTATTGTTGCTACCGGTTGGCCCTTGGAAATCAAGGGAGCATTGTTTATATGACAGGGCTGCGGTGTTGAGCATGGTTGTTTGGATGCATTGATGTCTGTACTTGCAGATACCCCAGGGCACATATAATGGATTTTGAACGGCTAGTAGGATGTGGTCCATACTCGGTCAAATATTAGCTGTACAGTTGAATAACAACTTTCCTGGATTATCTAACTTCATACCATTATATTATATGGTACTATGCTCGAGACCGAGCTCTGGCAGCATCTTATCATATAGTGCGTTTCTGAAGAGCCAAGTGCGTGGCCATAGTACTCTGGATGTCCGTACAGATACGACCTACCAAGCCTATCATAATGCCACGGCTGCCAGCCGAGTCACCGCCCGGCGATGGCTTATCGATAACCCGGCAGAAAAAAGTGCGAAAAAGGAAGAAAGCGGGATGGCGGGGTCGGCCGTGTTCGCCGTGCTCTCATTTCATTCCTTCATCAATCTGCTCAGACAGCTCTTCTTGGTGTCAGGCTCGTGTGGTAATATCTACTTACCCGGGCGCATAGAGCATGTCCTCCTGAGACAATCGCTCAGTCAATCCGTTCAGAGCTGACCGACGCGGGTCTATTTCCACCTTATTAATTGAATCAAATAGAAGCCCGTCGAAGATTCAATTGATCTTCTCGGAGGACACAGCACCTTTTCTTCTGATACCTTTCGTAAGGAACACTCTCTTGTGCAACCAAAATGGCCGCCTCCACTCCTTACCCCGCGTCCCTGAACACCCTGTTCGACGAGACATCCTCGCTGCGGGACCAGTATGACCCCATCCGGCTGACAGATGCGGATATCACTCCCCTGCTCCAACTGCCCTCCGCTAAAGCGGTCTTTGGACACGATTCGGCGGATGAAAGTGCCCTCGGCCGTGTCTTTGCCGGGGAAATCTCCTATACTACCTTCTTGTCCGAAAAGGCAAAGGCAGTCTCTCAAACACCCGTGGATGGCTTGACCTCCGAACAACAACGCTCTCAATTGCTCTACATTGGTCTGGCCGCTCTGTTCGCATTCTTGCAGTCGAACGTCACCGGTCCTCCTCTTGAATTCAGCCCTGCAGATGTCATCGTTCCTGCTGCTCTTCGGCCGGACGCGGCGACCCTCCGTGCTGTTCGTGCTCGTGTCATTCGCGATCTCTCGGTGGATGGTGAAGCAGCCTACAAGCTGACCCCGAATGTGGAGTTGTTTGCTGTGGCAAAGGCTATTCTGGTTGACGCCGATGTCTTGACAAATGGCCCGGTGGTGGCTAGGACCGCAAAGGTCCGTGTCAACTTCCTTCACCAGAAGATGCTGTCGGAAGTCACTAGCACATTGCAGGATGTGATCTATGACGACCTGCAAGAGCTCGAGAAGCTTGTCATGAGCGAGAAGTGCACTGCGCAGGAAAAGGGAAGATTCCTTCTTGAACGTGCTACGATCCATACTCACCACAGCTTTGATGCGAAGGCTAGAAAGGATCTCGAGCAGGCAGCCGTCGTGCGGAATTTCGAATTCGCTTTGACTGGTAAGCTGGGAAAGAGAACCAAGTTCCAGGACCGTGATATCAGTCAGCTCGTCATCCTAGCCAAGAGCGCCGATGAGACATCAGAGGCAACGGGTGCCACCGCGGAATCGGAGAACGACAAGCCCTCCGGCCCGAAGAACCTTGACCTCAATGATGATACTCTCCTCGAGTCCATTTCCTTCACCAAGACCGACGGACAGGAGTCCCAAGGAAAGCCAGTGACCGTCCAGGACGAGTCGAACCTCTCACCAGCCCTGGCCTCTCTTGATCCCGGCAACCAGCCCAAACTTGACCCGGTCGACTCTGCTATTCTCCTCGCTCTGGCTTCCGCAATCACAAATACCGCCCCCGAGAACGGCCTCACCCGTGAGGAAACCCAGCCGTACGCTACCCGCGTCCTCGAAGGTGGCAGCTCGAACTGGCAGATCTACACTCAGGCCCTGTTGGTGCGTAGTCGCATCGAGGGTTACAAAGCCAGAACGGTCGAGAGAGCCGTCTTGCAGATGCAGGCTCTCGTTGACCAGGTCATCGCCGACACCGCCACCTCCGATACCCAAGCTGGCACGTCCGTCGAAGAGCCCACTACTTTCCTTCCGAGACCCGAGAAATCGGAATCCGCATCAGCTGCCGAACGTCTGGAGTACATCTGGATCCTGCGCTTCTCCACCCGGTGGAGCCTCGAGGCAGAGCTCGCAACTCGCTGGGTCAACCTCGGAGGTCTGCGGACTGCCCTGGACATCTACGAGCGTCTGCAGATGTGGGCCGAGGCTGCTCTCTGCTACGCCGCCACCGAACGCGAGGACAAGGCCAAGTTCCTCGTCCGCAGACAGCTCTACCAACCCACCGGCACAGACCCCGACGATGAGAATGAGAAATTCGACGGACCCGAACTCTCTCCCCTTCCTGCGGACGCCCCCCGTCTGTTCTGCATCATGGGTGACATCGACACCGACCCAGCAATGTACGAGCGTGCATGGGAAGTCTCGAACAATAGATACGCTCGTGCTCAACGCTCTCTCGCCCGTCACTATCTCACCCTGAAGCCCCCGGCTCTGGACAAGGCCGAGGACGCCTACCGCAAGAGTCTGCACATCAACCGCCTCAACCACGGCGCATGGTTCGCCCTCGGCTGCGTCCAGCTCGAACTCCAAAAGTGGGACGAGGCCATCGACTCTTTCACCCGCACCGTGCAGTTGGAGGACAACGACGCCGAAGCCTGGAGCAACCTCGCCGCCGCGATCCTGCGCTCTCCCAAGCCCGCCGAATCCGAAACCCCCATCCCCGAAACCTCCCCCGACGAGGTCACCGAGGAGGGCGAGCAGCCCATCCCCGAAGACCCTCACAAGCGCAAGCGCGAAGCCCTCGCAGCCCTTCAGCGCGCCGCGCAACTCAAACACACCGATGCCCGCATCTGGGACAACGTCCTCACCGTTGCCGCCTCGATCCCTCCCCCTTTCACTCCCTTCCGTGAAGTCATCACCGCCCAGAAACGAGTGATCGAGCTCCTCGGTTCCAAGAACGGCGAGAAATGCATCGACCTCCCCATCACCGGCATGCTCGTCGACCACCTCGTCACCGCCTACAACTACGAGGACCTCCTCATCCACATCGACGACAACCCCACCTCCGAGCGTGTCGTCCGCAGCGGCACCATCGCCGGCCAAATCCTCTCCCTCATCGAGAACAACATCGTCCCTCTAATCACCCACTCTGCTCCCCTCTGGCTTCTCGTCTCCCGCGTCGAACAGTTCCGCGACCGCCCCTCCAAGGCCTTCGAGGCCCATGAAAAGGCCTGGCGTGCTACCGTCGCCTCCTCGACCCAGGGTGCCTTCCAGATGGGCGACGAGAAGAAGTGGATGGAGATCGTCCGCGCCACGGAACGGCTAATCCGGGATGGATATGCGCGGTACGGACCGATGGATAAGGAGGGTCAGCAGACTGATGCGAATGGCGAGGCTGTCCTGGTGGCCAAGGATTGGCGATTCAAGGCGAGAAGTGCCGTCAGAGGTATTCTCGGCAAGGGTAAGGATTTCTGGGAGGACAGTGAGGGGTGGACTCGGTTGAAGGAGGTGCAGGCTGAGGTGGGAAGTTCGTAGTATGATGTGATATATGGCATGTGTTTATGAAAAGAGAAAAGTTTTCTAGTTGTTGATTATGAGAAATGTAAGCAGGAGCTGCATATAGATTTTATGTGATTATTTATTGAACTTTTTCTGGTATACAGTCGACGTATTATTAAGGGATACAGGCTATCTTGCAAGTAAGATAGACTACTTCACTTCCCCTCAACTTTCCTCTTCAGCATCCCACAGAAACTCTCAAATAAGACCGAATCTCTCCCCTTCAGCCAGCGTATAATCACTCTCACTCCGTTCTCGTCAATCGGATCCTTCTTCATCTGCACCTTGAATCCCAGCGCGGCCTTCGCCTCATCTATCGTGGCCTTATCAGCCATTGCGTCCGGGTTCTGCATCTTCCTGCGTGCTTGACGGGACCAGACGTTCTGCATTGCGAAGCCTACTCCTGTAGTTAGGTTCTTGCGCCAGAGCCATTGAATGTGCAGGGAGCTGAGCTCTGTGTCAATTTTGGCGCTCACTTCGTCGAGGAAGTCGCTTTGTACGATGAAGATGTATTCGGAGGGGAAGGGGAGAAGGTGTTTCGGAATTGCAGATGTGCCGCGTGCTACGGTCTGAAAAGATGTTAGTAGTTAAATGGGTGGGTAGATGAGGGTAGGCGTACGACTGTCGGACGGAGATCGGTCCAAGACCAGGCTATGGCCCATCTTCGAGTTTTACTTCCTTGGATGAACTCGGTGACTGCGTAGTTGTTGTTCTTGTGTTCGAGGAGCGTCTCGATGAGCACAGATACGCTGCTTAGTTTGCCGAGCATGGTGGTGTACCAGATCACGCGTTCGCGGAGCTGCAGGCTCTCCTCGATCATGCGCGTGATGAAGGCGATCTCACCGCCGGTGGTGACCATTTCGACTTCTGCACCAGTGCAGGCCTGTTGTTGGGTTAGTGAGGTTTTAAGAGGTGGTGGGCGACCTTACTGAGAATGGAGGTCGTTCTTTGGCCTCCGCGGAGGTGATCAGTTCGTTGCGAGTGGCGTAGAATGGGGGATTGCACATGGTGAAATCGAGTCTGTGGTGGTTAGTGGTGAAGTAGAGGTGGGTTGTTGTATGTACCTGTCGACCTTGAGCTTTGTGTCTAGCGAAATCAGATCATCTTTCGCGTCTGTTTGGATGATCTCGATCCGAGAATCGAGCTTGTTTGCAGACACTGTCTCTCTCGATGTTTTGATATTATCGTTATCGATGTCTGCGCATGTGAGCGATTGAGCACGTAGTGCTCTGTATGGCCGCGACATACCTGTTGCGATGAAGCGCCAATGGGGCCGCATGGAACATCCCAGAAGGGGGTAAATGCTGCAGCATCCTGTCCCACTAGGTAATTTAGAGGTCGAGTTACCAGAAAGGAGTGGGTGGATTACATGTCGAGTCCAACGACTTCTCGGTCAGGGTCATAGTTATCACGGTACTCGTCGCCGGTGGTGTCGACCAAGTCTTGCAGCCACAGAATATAATTGAGCCTATCTTGTCAGAGATGGAGTAATAACAGAGGCCATTAAGCAATTAATTACCTGTTCGGGACCTGCAGGTGTTGTTAGCTGCAAGAACGGCAATCGAGCAGCAGCCAGACGTACCGGCGGGCAGAGTCTATTCTCCGGAATCTCGACTTTCAGATCAAAGTCTCGTTGCAGCAGACTCTTGGTCAATTGTCTGAGTACGTGTCAGTGGCAACTGCATATACCCTTCAGGTTAGTCGAGACCCACCGAACAGCGTCCGGGTCGCTAAAGTCCAGCTGCCCGTTGGATTTCAAGCTGGAGGATTTTAGTGACGGATGGAAATGCGCAGGTTGCACTCAGCTTGGACGTACTGCTTCGCAAAGTCGGGCGACTGCAAGGCAAGGGCTGTAAAGTCCACCTCATCCTTGTAGATATTGCGTGAGGCCCTCATCGTGCTACGTATTGCGAGGAACGGATTAGTGCCTTGTGCCACTGGCAGGGACGGGGAGGGGCATCTGGCCTGCGTGTGTTGGAGGACCAATGGATGCGGGTGGAGCGTACCGGAAACATCCACCGATGCGGAAGAGACACGCTATCGCTGGGCCTATCGATGGCTCTCAATGCACGGACGGAGCGAGTCTTGGAGGGGGGGGGAGGAGAAGGAGAGCTGGGATGAAGCGGTGCAGTTGCGCCAGAAGAGAATACCGAAAGGCAGAGAGCAGCTGACCGGGATGCCCGTGCCTGAGGCGATAAGGCTTGAGAGGCAGGTGATGTGATGTCATGATTTGGGCTCTTTGTTCCTCTCTCGAGTCTGCTGCAGTCCGTCCTGCACTTGTTGCTTTGGTTCCCCGCCGATCCGCCGATCTGAAACATTCCAGGCAGCATCGCAACCGACAGCTTGGTGGAGCCCGTTCTCTTTCTCGGTTTCTCCCCCTCATTTTCCATTTCCCTACAGGGCGGTTCCTGCAATTGTTCTGTCTCCCTCTCCTGTACCACCCATCCATCCTCCGAGGCCATCACTTCTGTTGTGCCCGCAACCATGGACATGTTCAAGTCCAAGCTTGAGAACCTGGAGGAGCACCTCAAAGGTCATTCTTATCTCCACCCCTCGGGATCTCACTAACCGCAATCATCCCGACAGAAACCCACATCGAGGAGAAGGCCTTCCACCTCAAGCACAAAGTCGGCAAGTTCTTCAACATTGTTAACCCCAATCACCGTCACGATGAGGCGCACGAGAAGGCCACCGACGCTAAAAGAACCACCATCTCCGAATCCCACCGTTTCAAATCATTCGCTCCCATCCGCGAGGGCAACAAGGTCAAGTGGTACGTCGATGCGCTGGACTACATGTGGGCCGTTTCAATCGCCCTAGAGGAGGCCAGGGAGACCATCTATATTGCCGACTGGTGGCTTTCCCCCGAATTGTTCCTCCGGAGACCCCCTTTCATGGCGCAGGAATGGCGGCTGGACCAGATCCTCAAGCGTCGGGCTGAAGCGGGAGTGAAAATCTACGTGATTGTGTACAAGGAGGTCAGTTCGCGCGCCGGCTATACCGTTGTCGCGGTCGCTGAAAGATTCGATCTAGGTTAACCAAGCATTGACCTGCAATTCGGCCCATACCAAACACGCGCTTCGCAATCTCTGTCCCGAGGGAACCCCCGGCCACGGGAACATCAGGGTCCTGCGCCATCCGGACCATAACATTTTCGAGAACGCAGCCGACATGACACTGTACTGGGTAAGTGTGGCGTTCTCGACCCCCCGACAGCAATTAATAACCATTACTAGGCGCATCATGAGAAGTTCATTGTCATTGACTACGCATTGGCTTTTATCGGAGGTATTGATCTGTGTTTCGGAAGATGGGACGCACACCAACATCCCTTGGCCGATGTTCACCCGTCGAACCTGCGAAATGAGGTCTTCCCCGGACAGGAGTTCAATAACAACCGTATCATGGATTTTCAGAGCGTTGGCGACTGGCAGGCAAACGAACTCAGCAAGGCGGAGTACGGTCGAATGCCCTGGCACGATGTTGCCATGGGCGTGATGGGTGACTGCGTGTATGACATTGCAGAGCACTTTGTCCTTCGGTGGAACTTCATCAAGCGAGACAAGTACAAGCGGGACCACGGCGTTGACTGGTTGATGCTTGAGGGTCGTACTGGCGATGACGAGGATCTGGTTGCGGTTCAACGTCCGAAGTTCCCTTGCGGCGAATACCTACAACATCCCCTCTCACCCCTTGATACGAAACCACTCGGCCAACAGGGCTTTGCACGGGCGCAGATCGTGCGCAGTAGCGCCGACTGGAGCAGTGGAATCCTGACTGAACACAGTATCCAGAATGCCTACCATGAGGTCATCAGCCAGGCTCAGCATTTTGTCTACATCGAGAATCAATTCTTCAGTAAGATCTTCTATCCTGACTACTACACAACGGCTAACTCCATCTAGTCACTGCGACTGGAGACCAGCAGGCACCGATCCTCAACACCATCGGACGTGCCATTGTTGATGCTGTTGTCAGGGCCGGAAAGGAAGGAAGAAAGTTCCGGGTGATCATCGTGATCCCAGCCATCCCTGGATTTGCGGGGGATCTTCGACAAAATGCAGCGATGGGCACCCGCGCCATCATGGACTATCAGTACAAATCGATCCTCCGTGGTGAACACTCGATCTTTGGCCAGATCGCCGCCCAAGGCGTGAACCCCAGAGGTATGTTAAGCCTTTTGCCTGTGAGAAACGCCAGCTGACGTAGCCAGACCACGTCTTCCTGTTCAACCTGCGTGCATACGATCGTATCAACAAGACCCCTGCGCTGCTCAAGTTGGAGTCGGAGGCCGACGTGACTTACAACGATGTCCAGCGTGGAATTGCAGAGTCCATCATGAGTGACAGTGTCCACCCCGCCATCGGCAAAGAGGGCGACAAGCACGAAGTTGGGTATGACAACGCGCAGCAGGAAAAGGAGATTCGCCTCGCACGACTGCGCAAGTACGAGGAGCAACACGAGCGTTACAGGGAGCTCGAGGGCCTCAAGGGCAGCGACACTGTTGCCCATACCACCATGCTTAACGGTGGCAACATGTCGGATGAGCACTGGGAAGGAGACCCGGAGGCAGAGAAGGAGAACTTTGTGCAGGAAGAACTCTACGTGCATGGGAAGGTGTGCATTGTAGATGACAGAGTTGTCATCTGTGGTAGTGCCAACATCAACGATAGAGTATGCTCCCAACTCCAGAGTTCCATACAACCCACTAACCAGTCCAGTCCCAACTTGGCTACCATGACAGTGAGCTTGCAATTGTTGTTGAAGACCAGGACTTTATCGGCAGCACCATGGACGGTAAACCGTACCGGGCTGCCCGCATGGCCGCCACCCTCCGCCGCCAGCTCTGGCGCGAGCATCTCGGCCTCCTTCCCTCCCAGGACTACGACGCTTCTCAACACCCGAATGCCAAGCCCCCATACCAGTGCATGAACTCCATCCTCGAGGGTCCCGAAAACGACTTCGTCACGGACCCCATGAGCGACGAACTCTGGGAGATGTGGACCGGTCGAGCCACCGTCAACACAGAAATGTACCGGATTCTGTTCCGCGCTGACCCAGACGACAACATTCGCACGTTCGAAGATTACGAAAACTTCTGTCCCCGCGGAAATAAACAGGGCCATTTGTTTGACCCTTACCAACCGGTCAAGGAAGTGCGAGAGAAGTTGGATAAAATCAAGGGGCATTTGGTCTGGATGCCGTTGGATTTCTTGAAGGATGCCAACATGGCCGAACCTGGATTGGCGGTGAATCAAATCACAGAGGTGAGATACATTCCTACTTGCATAAGAACTTGACTAACACATCACACCCACTCCCAGAGTATCTACACCTGATCTATTCCCTATCTACAAATATACGAGATAGGTTAATTGCACATACCGTACCTCCCTCCAGAACCCATGGAAAGAAGGAGACCCCATCCCCCTTCCGAAGACCGAACCATCTAGAAACCCAGTCCCCACCCCAAAGGCCCGTGCCCATCTAAACTATGATCTATCACATTCCCATCCGGCATCGGCATCCACATCCTAATGATCCCTACGGAACAGACCCAACCCACCGGGATCCAATCCAGGCAAGCCAACTACAAATACGAATGCCCCATTCGCATTATGCGGAGTACAGAACCTTCCACGCAAGGGGGGGGCAGTGGCATCCTAGTCCCCTTTCTACGTACCTATCTACCTACCTAGTTCCAGGTTCCTACAAACCTACCTACCTACCTACCTACCTACCTACCTACCTGCAGGCACTCATCCACCTACATACACCAAAGTCCCTCCCCCCACTACGGATCCCACCCCAAGCAAACCCAAGTTCTAGACTCCATCCCCGAAACACGAACTCTAATTGCAAGGGATGATATTTCCGGTGACAACTGTCCTCCACCTGAGTCAGAACTCAAATCCTACCTAGATCCTGTTTCTCGTAGGTGGCCTCACTTTGACACTTAAGTGTGAGTGGGTGCGTAGCATGACTTGCTTACTTAGTAGCCTACTACCTAGGCTAGCATGTTTCTTATGCGGAGGGCCCGATCGGTACCTATCTACGGGTACGTAGTAGCCTAGTAGGCAGGTTTCCTTTTTAGGGGTGCAGGGGGAAGATTTGATTGGTAGGTACTAGGTAGGATCGGTCTTTCCATTTCGAGTTTCCTTTCGAGAGGGGGATCCACTATGGCATTGTCATTTGTCAGTGACCAGTGTGGTTTTGGGGTGGGTAGTGGGGTTACGTTACTTACTAGGTAGGTAGGTACTTTTTTTCAAAGTCTTGGAATTCATGTAATGGCATGGCATGGTGTGAGGATCGATAGAGGGGGTGGGTGTACAGTCTACGCTTTTTTCTTTCCTTTTTTTTCAGATTCTACTTGCTAATAATTAATAGGTATGCCATTAATTGCGTCGCCGCAGTTGTATTCCTGATAAGGATCTATAAGTCATCTATCGCAGAAGAATTCAGAAACAAAAAGGCTGATCAAGACAAGGAATGCAACGCAAGACAAGAAGCATTGTCTGAAATGTGGTCACCAGCAGACCGTTGTTTCTGAACCTCAACACCGGGGCGATGCTTTTTTCCGAGCGAAAGCAGATGATGGTGGACATAAGAAATTCTGGCCGTCACTCTGCATCAGAAGAAACTTTTGTTGAGAAGACACCAAGGGCAAATAAAGACGAAGGGGAATTGAGGAAAGGATGGTATTAGTGGCGGCAAATGAAAAAGGCGACTTGCACCCTGCTGGCGGTTACGAGTCGAGGACGAGAGACTCAGACTCCAGGTAGCCACAGCCTTGTTGATCAATTGAGATCTGGCCGGAGGGGGAAGATATCCGATTGGACCGTACGGCAGCCGGAGGCGCACTCCCGTCGACTTCGATCAAAAACGCCAGCGGAGAG